ATATCCCGATGTCGTTGGGCCACCAGCGTGCAGCGATGGTCCACCTGCGACGCTTTCCTCACTCCTCCCACAAGTAGCTATTTCTGAGCCTTGCGTGCTTTCGTACTTCGGGTCATTTCGCCCTTGGTCATGTTACGGGTGAGGCCGCCAATGTAGTCCTGCAGAATCTTGTTGTCCTTTTCGAGCTTGTCATGATCCGACTTCACGGCGTCGATTCGCTCGGCAAGGGCTTGTAATGATGATTGTAGAGCCTTAGCTTGTCTGTTGCTTGTTAGCGTTCCAAAGGCCCTTTTTCCATTCTTTCAATTCTCGACACCCAAGGGGGTGTCTGTGATCAAAAAGGGGGGAACAGAACACTCACTCTTGGAGAGTCTGTCGAGCCTCTTTGCCCAATCGCTCCAGATCAGCTGAATTCCGTCGGGGACTCATGGCACGGGCGTCGTCGGGGGGGAATTCCTCCTCTTCGATTTCGATTTCAGGGTGGTCACGGGGTACGAGTATCGATGCACTCGGTTTGCGGCTCGCCATTCGTGGGCGTTCAGGTCGGCCGCGGCGGTCAGTCTCGGCGTCAGATATAGATGAAGATGAGGACAATGATGACATATGCATACGGCCACCGTCGTTGGGTTGAGGCAAGGTATCAACGGGAGAGGCTTCAGTCATCTCTGTATCGGCCATATGGGTGGTTGTTTGCAACAGACGCAAAGATGATGGGGTTTGGCGAGTCCAGTGTGGCGGCTGTTCCGTTGCCTATTTCTTTGATTTTTTTCCCTCAAGGGAGGTTTTTTTCTTTCAAGGTCGTCGGTTGTGTCGATTCCTTCTCGTTCGCTGGTCGGGAAAACGAATTTTCGAATTCGAACGACCACGGTCTACCCCTAGCGATGTACCCCAGACGAAGAATCTGCGTTACGCTTGAGGTAGCTACCGGGGTCGGGAGGGAGATCGGATTGAGGTTGATGGGACGAAACCGAGAAGACCAGAGAATGGACCGTGTTGGGGGTTGAAGATTTCCGTTTTAGTCGAGTGGGCGAGTCAGTAGAGGATGTCGAGAATGAACCTGGGGGGGAAGGAAGAGACAGTGGCGTGTGTGAGAGAGCGAGGAGAATGAAGGTGAAGTAAAGCAAGAAGCCAAAGGGACTGAGCTTTCGGGAAGGTGTGTTACAAGATGGATAGGATTTCCGTCGTACGAGAGCGGTGGACGGTACGGACTATCTTAGCACCTTTTCAGTAGGTGGAGGGCCAAGTCCCTTGGTTGGATGCGACTGATCGTCCCCCCCCTCTTGCGGTTTTTTTTCTTCTTTTCTTCGTAATGAAGTATTGGTAATGGAAATTTATCAGATTTCATGTATCCTTATCTTCATTATATTCTACGGATTGATTTTTATTTTTATTTTTATTTTTTTCATTGATTATTGAATTTGGAACTGGAAATCACTTGACTTTTTACTCTTTTTTTGCAACGGATCAGGTCCGGTTTAGGACCACTCTTTTACTTTCTTCGTTCTCTCCCTATTACCCTTTTTTTTCTCTTTTCCCCCTTTAAACTAGGAGGCGAATTGGTACACCGCTTCCTGATCCACTAGAATAACCGGGTTGAGCCAGTAGGGCTTAGATCCACTTGTAGAAATTAGCCAATTATAATCTAACATGACACTCCGAGTGGCAGAAAGTCTGTATCAAACAGTACCGAACTCTGATGAACGCGTATGTGTATTTATTCCCCCCTTTACCGCAATCGACCTACTCAGATAGGTTGAATTCAAAAGTACCTTTACTCTCTGTCACTTTCAAAGTAGCTCGATCCTCTTTCATTCCTACCGAAAACGGTGTTTGAACTAGAAATCCAACAAGTCAAAAACTATATGTATACGATGTCTCGAAAATCAATTAACTCATATTCATAGTTACCTGAAGTATGGGGATGCTCCCAAGGGCTGTCGATCGAGCCTCAAGCGGATTATGACGCCATTTGACTGGTGCTGTATAACATACGAAATTTCGAGGTTTACTCCCGGTATTCTCCCCCAAAGAAGCCTCAAGGCATGTACAAAGTACTGTACAGTTACAGGTATCAAGAGAAGATTTCGATCTGAGATATCAGTTTTAGATTTTCCAAGGTTTGTTTGAAATCATCAAAAGTACGTAAAACCCGATCTAAACAGGAAAACATTTACGGAGTACTGATGGAGACAATTCAAAAATACAAGACGATCGCTTTACGCCCCAATGCCAAGACTTTCATTCTGCCGCTCGGTTAGCCTTAGCTTAAACACAGAATCCATGCTTGTTATCCTATGTACGGAGCACTCCGATCTAGGATCTTCTCCGTGATATCCATATACATATCAAATGAACTTCGGTACTCCGTATCCACCTTCCTAGGCAGAGGGAGTCACGGGGAAAGGGGGGGCGTAACTACGGAGTTGTACATCAACGCTTGGAGCCGATCCCATTGCCCGTGATCCCTCCCATTTGATGGACATTCAACCGAAAAGGAGGTGAAACCAAGCAGGGTCATCACTGCCGATCCTCATGGCAAAATCGTTCTCCACCTGAACTTTGGAGAGGCAATCCTCCACTTGTACATTGCTTCGTTGGCCTTGGCAGGAACAACCTGTCAGGCGGTCATCAAATCCACTGGCTTCTCCGGGTTTCCAATCTCGGCAATATATGAATCAAATACGGGGGCTTCGACGGGGTTCCTTGGATCGGTCTTGCCTGCTTTTAGCCAGCTGCTAAATCGGTCCCGTTGGACCAAACCCAGGTACCGGACCCGAGAGTATCTTCCATGGGTCCCTATCCCGGCAGTGGCGTGGATTGGGAGAACGGTGGCTGCAGCGAAACAATCGAATCAGAACTGCCGGCGCCACTCCATCTTATACGTCTGGGGCACGTTGCACGAGCTCTTGATGACGGCATCTACATTAACTATGTGGCAATGTGTAGTTCTATACAAATTTTTCAATGTTTGTTGATGTTTTCTATCTTTTATACTAATGGATCCATACAGAGTACTCTTGTATCCTCGTATACTCCCGTAAGTAGTCGCAAAGTGGAACCTAAATTGATCAGAAATTTCTCTTTACTTAACTTCTGTACAGTATATTATAATTCAATGTACCTGTACCCCTCTTCAAATGACCAGTGGCCATCGTTCCTGAATCCCCGACGCTCAGGCCTGGGGGGGTTTTTTAAAGTCTGTGCGATGGTTCCACCATAATACGCATACTTTATGCTGTTGATGGGGGCGACTGAGACAAAAAACACTGCTTATTCTTTCCCCGTGAAACCGGAAACCTATCCACCTAACTCGTCGAGCGGAAGTGGTAAAATTGTACCGAGAGTTAAAAAGCGCCCGCCAAAAGTAGAAAAGTTGAGGGAAAAATTCAGATCCAACTGATGGGCAGGGCAACCCTGCCGATCCGTATGTCAATTATAATGATTCGTCCTTTTCATCCCGCTTCCCTACAATAACCCACCAGTACCGAAGTTGTTTTCATTTATAATTTATAATTTACAGCTACGGAGGGGGGGCAGTAAGGCTAAGTTGGAGCACGCTAATCTCCACCCCTCCCTCTTCCGAGCTGCGGATGGCGCGCGTTCTTTGGGTTAGTGCGGGTGGATAATGGACGTGGCTAACGATTTTTGGCACAGTCTCACTGGCCACGTTCACCTTTTGCCGCGGGATATTTCCCTTGTGCAGAATATCCAATCAAACAGTCTATTTATTTATTTTTTCAGTAATTTTTCTTTTCTTTTATATTTTGCGTTTCCTTTTGATACCCAAGATACGCCAACACCAGCACCAACAGATTACTACGTACATTTAAACCTTACAAACTGAACTGGCTCAGGGAATCATGTATATTGATTGCCTTTCAATTAATTGGGATTCCAAGTCAATAATCTATAATCCATCTATAATTTATTCCCAGTTCTTACACAATATCCGAGTGGAATTGAATCACGAGGTCCGGGGCTGTGCTGCCTGACAGTGGGTCATTTATCGTACTACTTACGGATACAAGTTTTTTAGTTATCGTGACTGACCCCCTTACTAAACCCACTACATAGTTATCTAGCTTAAGCTTGGAAGTTGCAATATCGCTGGAATGCCGGTTCCAAGTTCCTTCTCTCCTTGCAAGGTTGAAGAATTTATTTATGTCATCGCAGGGGTCAAGTGACCTATACCAGCATGAGCATACTGTAGTGATAGTTATCCAATCCCTACTCATACATAAATTCTTACCTGTTACAGCTTAGCGTCGCTGTACCTTGAACCATGGCTACATATCATTTAAACATACCAGTAATCACCGACCTCAGTTGGTACTAAGGTCAAAACTAACCTTGGGAGCCGAGCTTGAAAATAACCACCAGTTCCAATTTAGTACACCGTACGGAGTACATACCCCTATACCATACCTTAGTATGTAGTTAATGTTTCTTAGGAATACTCGAAGAGGCTCTATCTAAACATTATTCACACAAAAACAACCTACATTGATGTCCCACATCTGCAGATCCTCTCAAGCTCACAATCCTGTTTTTAGATTTGGATTCTTGTTTCTTGATTTTTATTCATTTTTACTCTAGCTTCTGTGGAGCGATGTTCTCCGGAATGTGGGAGCTTGGGTCCGCCAGGTCGATCCAGGTTAGATTGAAGACTAGTTGATGAACCGTGCACGAGCGAAATGTTTAGTAGTGTTACGACGTATGGCGGGGTCTTGCGGAAGTAAGCGGGTTCCAAGGTTAATAGATACTATAGTGTGAGATTCTGGAGGCGTGGAGCTGAGAGATTTATCGCTTACTGAGTTGGGCGTACGTACTGATTGCCTATTCGGTTGATTTAGCCGCTGTGGATCTACAACAGCTTACTGTACATATGCAATGCTGTCATACATAGGGGCAGCTGGCTGAAGTTCCACGGGTGATGTATTGTACACCTATACGGTTCTTAATGATGAGTAACGATACCTAATCAAACAGTGTTTAGGACGTTATGAAAGGACACTTGTCTGCCACTGGAACAAAGCCCGGAGTACCGCGACGCCGCCGGACTGTGTCTCAACTGTACGACCACGGCCACGATCGTTAAAGTCCCGTGGTACGCCCACTGCCGAGGTCCCGTCATCCATATTGCCGTTGCGGTAGTCCACCGCGCCTTCTGGGAGAGTACTGCTATCCACAACTTCATCGGCTAGGATGGACGAGAATGGTATCCCCCACCACATACCAAACTTTCCATCGTCGTCCCGGGTCATCAATACCGCACGGGCATTGTGCTCGATCCATGGTCCATAGGCTCGGCATCGATTCAAATGGCGACGGAAGACCTGCTCCCAGTTCTCATCTGCAACAGGTCGTCGCGTCTCAGCCAGGAATTGTTTCTCCTGTGGCCGGAGCGGGCGACAGAATTCCGTCAAATGGTGGAAAAATATTCCCTTGAAAGTCTGCCCATCCTGCGAGCAACTGGCGTGCGAGTCGCACGTATCTTCGAGGACACCACCACGTCCTAGTCCAGCCCAATTGGTAGATGAAGTCCTCGGCCAACCTGTAGCGCGAAGGACTTTGTGAATAAGTTCGTGGCCATCACGGAGATAATCCTGCGAGCCGGTAGCCAGCCAGAGACCTCTCAGCCCGCTGAGGATGACGCCTTGGTTGTATGTGAAGACCATTGTGTTCAGCACGTCGCATTTCCGCGTGCCCGGATTCGACGCGCTGCGCCAGCCGCTGATGTGGAAGCCGTCGGCGTAGAGGCCGTATATGCCGGTCATGTTGGAATCCCGGAGCCAAGTATACCCATCGACTGCTGCTTTCAGGTGGATGGGGTTGTGTATGCCAGAGGCTGTGTCTTGGGTGGTCAAGAATGGGGCGTCAATGGGATCGCCTGGGAAGTATAGGTACATTGCAATGCTTGCGGAGATAAAGAGCTCGTTTGTAATGGCGTTTTTGTATGGCGTGAGGGAAGGATTCCAGATCATTCCCCCATCGCAGAGGGTTTTGTCCCATCCCGCCGAGGCAAGCTCGTAGAAGATCCGCGCTCGGTGTGCAGCCGAGTCGCGGAATTGAGTGCCATACCATGCTGACCCAGAAGATATGTTCGGTGTATAGTGTAGCTCGGTGTGTAGGTCTTGGAATTTGATATTCTCCAGCCAGTTCAATACCACCCAGAGCATGTCATCGTAGGCCTGATTCCGTAACTCAAAAGCATTCTCGCCAAAGTAAAAGGTGTTAAGCTGGCTGAAAAACCGATTGACTGTGTTCTCAAGCGCGAGGGATGACTGGTTGTGGGGTTGCTCTGCATCAGCGCCAAGGCCGTAGGAGGTAAAGGATGACAGTGACGCGCTGACATGTGTACTAAGAACAGCCGCAGTCCAGTCAATACTAGTAGGCCATGTACCCAGCCACATACAAAAGTATCCATCCTGCATAACATTCAATGCATCCAACAGGTTCTGCAAAGTCTGGGCAGGAGCCTCCAAGCTCCACGAGTCCACGCCCCTCGCATCGCTTTCTCCGAGATCGGTTGCGAAGTCGAGCAATTCCTGCGTTTCAGACAGAGACTCCCCAAGAGGCCGTTGAGGCTGAGTTGCAAGCGCATTGGTCAAACCCCATAGGGAAAGCAGGAATATGGCAAGTATCGTATATGGAGACCGGGGGGGTCCGGGGTTCCGGGAAAGGGTCCACAGCACCATCCTGCTGTGGGTCGGGAATTGTCCAAGGGCAGAGTTCGACCTCCTCTATAATAATGTAAAAATGAAGCACCAAGTCACCTGCAACCAACGACCAGGACACCATCAGCCTCTAATGCGGGGAAATGAGGAGAACAGGGTTTGGCCCCAAGAGTGGCCATGGGGCTTAGTCACCCGCCACCCCCACCTGGCGGTGCTCTATACCTATTACCTATACTGTCGATATTTTTACGGAAAATAATGGAAGAATGGTCAAGAAGAACGCTAAGGGCCACGGAGATGCATACTTGGCTGCATCACGAGAAGCCATGCATTGTGCCACATGGTCCTGTGATGCAGGTAATGAATGGCTAGAGACGCCGAGCCGCGGTGCTCGGACTAAAGGGCTGTAAGGAAGGTCATTGTAGGAATTGACTCTTCACTTTTTTTCTTTTGATGGAAAAACCTTAAACCTTGAATACGGTATGAACGAAGGGCAGAACTTTCTGTGCCGCTTATCTATAAGGCAGATGCATGTCTACGAAGTCAGCCAACGGTCGCATTTCATAGAATCAGCCAATTGAAGTCAATTTCCCGATCTGAAATATAATCTAACGCGTTTGGTGACAGCGGACGCCATTCTTACTGCGTTCTTATCCTTGATCTCTTACTGGAAGCTTATCCTACCGTCTACCTCTTTAGCGGGCAGTGAGACTGTGAACGCCGATCTGCAAAGCCAGATCGGGAATATCACGGTATAGAAGCTGGTTGGATGTATTTGCACTCGCTGAAACACTCACTTGGTACCACCCTTGGTTGGTACCTCAAGGCAGATACTTCAGTAAGCACTTAAGTATTTAAAGGAACGGGATGGTGTATGATGTTGTAAGAGGTATTGACATAAGTAATGAACAAAGAACACACCTTTACTGCTAGTAGAATATAGTGGCTTTGAGATCTGATTGGATACTTCGGTGGGATGCATGCACAGCTTGAAATACACTACATTGTCTTTGTAACTCCTCTGTTTTTCTTGAACATCCATTCTCTTAATTAGTAGCTACTACTCACCTGTGTTTTTTTTCTTTCCACCAATATATCCAAGCTATGCTATATCTAACCCTCGGCCAGAAAGTCTGTTCCTTAGACAAAAAAAAGAATTCCACCTTTTGAGCACTTCCACGTTGGTTCATCAGTTTAATTTTCAATCACCATGATGCAACTACCTAAGGTCAACTGAATCATAGCCTAACTTATATATATAGTCGTCAATGGCATCCAACATGCGCATATGTGGAACCTCAATCTTCATCGAAACCAGTCTAGTACTTGACGAGCCGAAATGGTATACGTGTTGTTCAAATGCTAGAACCTGAACTAAAGGAATTATTTCAAACAGTAGCTACAGCTCCTCTACAAACAAATTTGGACATCAAGTCCGTCTATAACACATCTTTCCATGTGCTAAAGATACTATAAGGTCAGATCATGTATTCATGCAGGCGTTTTCCCATCTATATATACCACTGCTCTTTCAATGGTAAGTAAGTACAGGAACAGAGTAGGTCTACCTGGGTACATATACTATAGTACACACTCACCCGGCTCGAACGAGCATACGTGAAGACACACATGCAGGATCTCAAAGGAACACTCTTCAATAAGTCCAATTGCGACTGGACGATCATGGCATGCACAAGGTGTTTTACAGCAGAGGACGTGACTATGATCTATTTTGAGATTACCCAGGGAATATTGCCGAATACCTTGATTCCCAATATAAAGAGTTCAAATGAATGGCCATATTACGCTGTATCACTAGGACATTCCTCATCCAGATGTCTCCATCTCAACTTTTCCCATAATCCTTAACTGCTGCAGTGCATTCTTGTAAGTAGAACTAAAACTTCAGCTTCCCTTTCCTTCTTCACAATCTTCCTGAGGTTGGTCTTCATCTTTGCATCACGCGCCACTATTCAACAATCCAAAACTGAATCGTTGAGTGATCTTGTTCCCAACTCTCGTCTTCTTCACAGCTTAGTTGTTGACCCAAGTTTCTTCCTTCTCCAAGTTTCTAATTTTATTACCGCCTCATCAACTTGCACGATGGCCGAATCTTCTAAGACCTCGACCCCTTCGAAGAAGAACCTCAATGCCCAGGATGATCTCCTCGGCATGACACCCGCGGAGATTCGCCTCCTCTTTCTAGCCTGGGTTTATACCGGCCAGGATGGCAAGGTGAGTACCATTTGATCGAAAATCCCTCCACCTCACAGGTCTCTCATCGACATTCAATAAAACTCACCTGCAAACGTTCATGTGCATATCCAAGATCTCAACTCATTCTCACTAGATCGATATCGAACCCGTTGCCCAGCTCGCCAATTTCACCGTGGGCAGTGCCAGAACTTTGATTGGCAAGGCCAAGAGGAAGCTTACCAAGAACCTCGAAGATGGTATGGGTCCTCCTGCATCTATGGGAAAGACCACCCCGTCCAAGACCCCCGCCACCCCATCCAAGGTTGCCTCGACTAAGCCCGCGGCCAAGCGTGGCCGTAAGCGCAAGGCCGAGTCTGAGGATGAAGCCGAACCTGAGCATTCCTCTGAGCCTGAGAATGAATACGCACCCACGTTTCAGGTCCAGGTCCTGGAAAGTGAACCCGTGGAAAGAGAGTGTGAGAGTGCACAGGAGGGCACGGAGGAGTACCAAAATGAGGCAGATGAGGCAGGTGAGGCTTAGTGGGCGGATCTTTTGCAATGAGTCTTCACTCAACGGCTTCAACTTTTGCACGTGTTCCTATGGCCAAGGTTTTCAGGGACGATGGCTATGAGCGTGATTTTTTCCTTCGTCATGGGATGGCATTTTGAAGCATTTCTCCAAGCAGTCGGCATTTTATCGTTGTGCGTAAAGATCAGTTCGCAGAAAAAAAGAAAAAAAAGACACACAGTTGTCAAATGCTTATTGAATTTCCTTTCCTTTCGCGCACTGCTTCGACGTCTTGCGTATGATGATTACTTGGTGCTTCTTGAATGTCTTGTTCAATAGGATACCTTACAACATATTTATTGTGTCAACTTTGCTATGCTACCAAGGGCAGCGATTGTCTCAGAGAGGCAGATGTCAGGTCCGGGTCATGAACTCCATAACCTTTTTTACATTGCGATTATGGGAAGGTGCTATCTGGAACAGATTCTCCGATAGATGAGTGCAATGCGCAAAAATAATCCTATACGAGACCGACTTCAAAATGTATTAACATTCTTTTACCTCTGAACCCAAGTTAGCATGTGACAATCAACCAGTCCGAGACAAAGTCGCCATACCTTCCGAGGCCATTCAAAGAGACGCCGACACATACCTCTCCATGGGTGTGCTCGGTCTCCTCGCAACATAATCCATGATATACCAAAGCATCCAAGGAGAGAGAGTAGGCCGGCGAAGGAGGGACACCGATTGTTCGTCATCCATCGAGAGCGTCGTGGGGGTATGCGGGTGAAAAGGTGAAAAAGAAGCGCTGGAGAGAAAAACGATGGAAACGGGTAATCCAGGTATCAAAAGAAAGGAGACAAGCAGTTGCATCCTCATGAGTAAATCATCTCTCATCAGGGATCAAAGCTTAGTTGCGGTCAGCCTCCGGGCTGCGGCTTCGGTTTGGGCTGCGGCTACGATTGCGGGCACCACGAGCTCCCTTAGCTCCTCCCTTGCCAGCGGGGGGTGGGCGGACAAATGCGTAGTCGACCGAGATGGTCTGGTCGAGGAGCTTGGTGCCATTCAGGTTTTTGATAGCCGCAGTGGCTTCGGGGAGGGTGGAATATTCGATCAATGCGTATCCCTGGGGTGAAATGGTAAGCAAATGGCTTCCTTAAGGCGGCTAGCGACCTTGTGGGCTATAATCGCGACAACTGGACGGGATCTAAGCGCTGTCATGACGTACCTTAACGTAACCTGTCCGTCGGTCAAGGTTCAAGTTGAAGTTCTTGATCTCGCCATGTTCTGCAAAAAGCTCGTTGACATCCTCTTCTGAAGCTTCCTCGTGGATGTTCGACACGATGATAATCCATCCCTCAATACTGCGCACAGCCACGGCGCCGGACTGGGTGTGAGGCTCGAAACCACGATCCTGCTCTTGCTGTTCAGACACCTCATCCTGGATGACAGGGGGGTCTACTTCCATTTCGGTTGACATTGTGGGGAGGCGAATAATGATGCGGTGGTATATGCGGTGGTATAATGAGATTAGGATACGGAAGGGGAAAAGCTCTGGCTGGAGTTGCTTTCCTTTTTAGGTTTAGCGTATCCCGCAGTAGGGTTGACCATCTATACAGTTCAACCTTGGAATGTTGGGTTGTCAAATACTGAGACATCTACAAAATTTGAATAATTCTCAAATAATAGCTATATAAATGGGGGATTTCTAGGTACATACCTTCGGCTTTCATTGAAAATTACTTGGTATGTATGTTGTGACCGGAGTAAATAACAAATGAAATTTTGTACTTAGCTCTTCAACGAAGGAATTGGGATACAGTATTTATTTACAATTGGCGGAGAAGCGCCGGGACTGGAACCTATTGGACTGAAGAGAACAGAAACGAAAAAAGTAGGAAATAACCACTTTAAAATCATATTTCTAACAACTTCACTTCTCCACCACTAGAAACCATATTAGCTCTCAGAGCATCATTCTTCCAACCAAGGTCGTCACGATACATCCCAGATGTGAGCAAGAGAGACCTTCGATCAAGATGGTCTGGTGCTGGTACGTCCCATATATGTCATCAGAAATCATCAAACAAGCTGACACCTCATGCCTCAAAATAGTGCCGAACTTTCATGTCCCTGCCAAAGGGCAGGACACCGGCCAGTCCAGGAATCTCTCGAGTTGCTTATTCACAACATAAAATCAGGCGAGACCCACGACATGAAAGCAAACTACACCGAGCTCGACGCCACATTCGACATAATCTCCGGAACAATGCTCATCAAACAGAAAATCCACGACCCAAATACCAGGCCCAGTATCCAATATGAGACCTGGGTACAATTCAACCAGATAAGCAGCAAGTTCATCAACCTTGAGGGACTCGCCGATAACTCCTTGCTGTTTACTTTCAAAATAAACTCACCCGATCCCGACCCCGATCCCAAGCCTAAGACAGAGACAGAAACACAAAGTACAGAAGAAGGGTACCGCAGCAACTCAAAGCTCAGAATCTGTCACCAGGTGTACGGTTGGGAAACAAATACTGTGGGAAAAAAAAGCTCACTCTACAACTATCTCATGAACTGCTCAAACAACGAACAAATTTTACAACTGCATTTACCCCATCATCGTATCGAAGAGTGGAAGACTGTCGCCATGATTCTTTTTACATACCGCAAGATCAACACAGCGACCTGGCACCGGTTTAGAGCCAGGATAGATCGATCTGACATTGCGGGTCTCAATTGGACTAAACTTGAGGATCGGATGGGACTGCAGCCTGTTTATGTGGTGGCGGGTGTGGAGGCTAGAGCGATAAAACCTCGTCTTAGCAAGTCTGTTGCAGATGCGAACATTACACACCTGGCGCCTCGGTTTGAATTGAAGGAAGGTTTGAGGGCTAGAGGATTTACCGGTCTCTATAAGGCCTTCCTTCGGGTTAACGATGATTTGAAACCGGCTGATTTGGGTTTCAAGAATATCTGATGATCATAATGTCCATATCAAAGGTAGAGCTTGGGTGGTCAGTGTTTGAGCCCGATATTGGGGAGGGATACTCGGGGTCTTGTGATCTTGCCAGGGCACCACCATGGTACATAGTAACTACTAGCTCTGACCTGATCTAAAGGCATGATACTGGCTGTGGCTTTCGGACAAGAATGGAATATTTTCAAACAAATAAAGACCAGATCTTTGAATTTATACTGTTCTAATTTTTTTGTAGATTTTTTGAAAGGCTATGGAGTGGAGATCTATCCCCATTTGGTGCCAATGAAATCTCCCTTTGGGTCCCTTTGGGATGGGTAACAGGGAACTGTGAACAGGGAAGAGGAGCGCAATTCGTTTAAAAATACATAATGTCGAGGGAATTAACTAGAAAGAAAACCGATTGGTGCCAGGAAAATTGCTTATTTCCGGTTGTTGCGCATGCTCAGGATCTGAACCATGCGAACGAAGATGTTGATGAAGTCAAGCTCGAGACTGACACTCTCGTTGACAACGTCACGCTTCACGTAACCACGCTCAGCAAGACGAGCATGGTGAAGGACCTTCTGCACATCGTAGAGAGTGAAGCCACCGAAGACAGCAAGACCACCGTACAGCCAGATGCGCTCAGACCACATCAGAGTGCGGGCAGCGGTGGCGGGGACAACCATGGGAGCAAGTCCAGAGAGAGCAACGAGCACCACACCAGCAAGGAGCGGGCCACCGAGGTACAGGTACTTCTCCTGCTTGGCAGTGGCACCGACAAAGGCAATGGAGCCCATCAGGCCAACGGTGTAAATACCAGCACGAGCGAGCAGAGCAGGGTTGTAGAACATCAGCGGGGAGAGGAGCGCGGCCTGGGTGAGGTTGAACAGAGTCCAGGCGCCGTACTTCATGACGTAGCTGATATAGAAATTAGTACGAAATCTTGGAACGGACATTACTGTTTTGAGAAGTCGAATGCAATACTTACTTATCCGGGGAAGTGTAGAAGGTGGCGTACATCGAGCCAATGCTGCCAACCAGACCAACACCGAGGACAGCCCACGGGTTCATGGACATGAGGCGGTACGACCAACCGTTAGTGTGCAGTGCGCGAGCAGCGATAGCGATAATTCCGAGACCAAGACCAGTGTGCATGAAAGTTTCGTTCAGGTAGCTCCGTTCGTAAGCGGGCATGCCGCCATCCTCGCGGGTTTCACGATTGAAGATGAAGTTGGTGGCCACCACGGTACCACCGACGATGGCAGCGCCATACATCAGCTTCTGACCCATGTTGCCGCTCTGGGCATTGTAGGTGGGCTGAATGTAGGTGCGACGGAAAGCATTCTGGAAGGTCTGGCGGGACTTAGCGAAGACCGAGGAAGCAGCGGGCTGAGGCTTGGTTGCTGGGGTGGGCTTTAATGGAGAGTTGTGAATGAAACGAGTAGTGTTTGAAAGTTTGGGTGCTTGGCGAAGTGCCGATGAGACGGCGAATGGACGCCGAAGAAAGAACGCCATGACGGATGTTGAAAATGGGGTGGGATAGATCGGGGGAAGGATCTCCAAATATATCCGGCGGGTGATATCACACTGATTACTTTCCCTGATTACTCACACGGAATCCGGTGACTCTTAAGTCCGAAACTTCCAGAATCATCACGTGTTTAGAAGTGGGATGAGCTTCATCATGATCTGCCCCGCTTAGCGTAATTGGCTACGCTTCTACTTGTCTAAGATTATGAAAATGGCGCTGCTAGAATCAGTCCATCTTCCTCACTTACCCGCCGACCTTCCGGTATTCGTGGCACTTTATCGCAATGTGGAAAATGCAGCTTTCTTGCGACAGCAGCTACTTGCCGGGAACACCGAGTTTGAATATGCTTTGATTGATGCAAGCATGGTATGTAGAATTGCGTAAACAATGAAAAAAATTGGGGAATTGAAGAGCTCATGAACTTCTACAGGTCCTATCTAGAACACATGCGATCACAGCTATCTTCCGAGCAGTCAATGACTATATGACCGATCGCCTCAAGTCCCGCAATGTGCACTCGGAGATTGTCTTTTCCTTCAGCGCGGCCAACAATGTGAGCAGCGTCATCAACACTACTCAACCCACATAAGTCAGGAGCTAACTTATCTAGATCGCCGACTCATTCCGCAAGTTCGGCATTGCCGACTCCACAAAGGACTTATTGGTGGTGAAAGTCCCCGTGTCTCCGGAGATAACACATGACTCCGTTGCCGCACATCTCGAAACTTCCATCCTAGGAAATTCTGTACCTTTTGACGACCAAATCATTTCTGAGATCTCTGATATCACCAAGATCAAGAAGGCTTACAAACTCGGGGCTTTACCTACTCCTGGGGCCAAGGCGGATCCTAAACAAGTTAATGGCACACCCGATGACAGCAAACGACGACTTGAGCTATCGATATTGGGTGCAATTGCTCTACGTGGATCATGAAGGGCCTTTTCATCAATGATAACCTTTTATTCCTGACTGAGAAACCTCATTAGCGCCCGCAAATGACGTGGGACAAGGCCGGCCTTTTGGAAATGTTGATGACGAGACGACAAGACGGCACAAATGATTAGTCTTCTACGCAAAGCAGGAAAACGGGTCCATCAAGATCAATGGATATGAGACTCACTCCACGCCTCGATACCTCACCCTTTGCGGCATGGGCCATTAACTTCTTAGTGGCGTGTGACTGTTCCTTCATTTTGCCCCAGCAAAATATGGCCTAGAGGTTGTTGCGCAACGCTAAATCAAAGCGAATTTTGAGGAGAAACACAAAACCTTACTGTTGGCTCCTTACCCAAGTCATTGAACTCATTTAAACACGTCTGTAATGAGAAGTTGACATTACAATCCCCAATGAACTAAGTCTGCTCTGAGGTTGAGGATCTGAAGATTTCTTCAGTAGCGAATAAAAACTAGACACATGATATATGTGAATAACAGGTTTAAAAAGCATATCAAAGAATGAACAATGAGAGCTTCAATGACGAATTCCTTGCGTTGCTCGGACCAACTTGTAATCATCCCAAAAAGGCAATTCTACAACTTTGCCAAGACCCGCCGATCTTCGTCACCTCCGTCCCATCGCGACTTTATATATGCTCCACCTTTTTAGTTATAGAACACAAAATAAGTTGCGACACCACTGAGCTTTCAGGATCATCGAGACTACAAAAGCAATGGTTTCTCAGAGCAGGAGAAGCTTCAGACGACACCATCAGCCCATCTCGCATTGACGCGATCACTTACAATCATGGCAACCGCCGCAGATGCCATTGTTTTGTCCTCTTCCCCAGATCCTCCCACGCGTACCCCCATGAACGATTCGAGACACCCCGAAAAGGTTTTTGAGATGTCGCCACTGAAAAAACCGCCACTGCCAGCGCCATCCCTGTCAGACGTCTTCCGCCCTCCTACACGATCTCGATTTTTTGAAGAGTCCGTGGCCAACAAACCAGCTAAGATCAAGCGCCAACCGGCGAAGAAGCTCGATACCACAGATCCAGATGCGATTAAAGCCCCCGCCAAACCGCGACAGAGGGCAAAGAAAGTCACAGAGCAGGATCCAAAGCCAGCTGCGCTTGGGGACCTCGAGCCTGAAGCTCTTGAGCCAAGGGATAACACGGGGAAGCAAACGGCACCGGCGAAAAAAAGCAGTACGCGGACAAGCAAGAAAGCCAAAGAGCCAGGGAACATGAAACTAGGGAACATGAAATTAACCGGCAAGGTCACTAAGACGGGCAGTGAACCCGCAGCAAAGAAAACGAGCAAAGCCGACAAGAATTCGGACTCCAAACAAGAATCAACAAGCATGGACACTCACATTGAGCAAAGCAATACTTTGGGACAGACTGAATATTTACAATTGGACGAAGCGATAGCTAGACGCCGCGACTGGACACCTCCAAGGGAGTGCGCTCCCGATGTCACTGCGGCGGACAAGGAACCAGAGAGTCGCGAGGCAGGTGGATTTGGGAAACTTATGTCTGATTATAATTACTCTGGGCTCCTTTCAAATCCCCGCGATGTTCCCCTGGATATAGATGGCGAAGGGCCCACAAAGCGCAGGCGAATAGAGGTATCTGACATTTGCTCACTATTTACCTAACTTATGCGGATACTAACTGAGCCCTTAGCTGGTAGACTCTGGACTTCAAGCAATGATCTCCGGCAAACCATACCAAAGCGATTCATCCTCTGGCGCACAACCGAAAAAGAAACCAAAAGCCCAGAAACGGTTTACGACGTTGACGGCCCGGATGACAGCTCAATATACCGCCGAGTCGCCGGATGAGGATTTGGCCGAAGACGTTGCTTCAGATAATAGCAAAGCTAAATCCCGACGGAAGACCAAGCCAAAGAACGAAGAACCCACTTTCACCGTTCTTTCGCCCGAAGCTGCTGTCAAGGCTTTGGATCAGCAGGATCTCATCTTTGGCAGCTGTAGCCAGCTGGAAAGGGAAGATTCTCCAGAAACGCTGAGAAATATACAACAAGCGATTCGCGAATCCGAGAGTCTTGCTGTGCCTGCAAGTAGACGTACTGTGGGTCGTGAGACATCTTCACTCCTGGGAACTCGTCTGACCGGGAAAAAAAACCTTTGGGGAGTTGCAGCTCGGGATATCAACGGATCTTTGGTTCAGGCAGCGGAACTGGACTCTGTTGATCTGACGAACACTTCTCAGGCATCCAAAAAGAAGCAGGGCGATTCGACTGGGGCATCTGCAGCTCTTGAGGACGATGATTGGTTTGATCTCGACTATGGAAGACGTGCCACTCCAAAAGGCATCTCGACCTTGCAACAAAAAACATACGAACCTGTTGTCAAAATTCAGCCAGTGCCCGTTGCAGAGGTACCCGCACCAGTTGAGGATAACACAAAAGCCGTGAAAGGCAGCCAGCAAGCTGATAAGCCAAAGCTCGCTATGCCTCATTACAGTGGCTTCACCGATGCGGAGCTCTCGAAGCAGGTTGCTGTGTTTGGGTTCAAGTCGATAAAAGGTCGCAAGAAGATGATCGATTTGCTTCAAAAATGCTGGGAGTCTAAGCACGGCACTTCAAGTAAACCCATTGAGGTTTCATCACAATGTCAAACGGTTACTTCAAAGGTAACCGTGCAAAGTGCCAAACCTAAAACGAAACCAAAAGCGAAGTCTAAGCTTACCACTTCGTCTACATCAGCGTCGACTGACAAACTCACACAAGTAAAACCTCTTGCTTTTCCAAGTCCAAAAAGGACACCGCAGAGAGCAGGAGACACCGATGCTCCGCGGTCTTCTTATATAGACGTGGAAGAAATCCAGGACTCCGAGGAAGAGTTGTTCCCATCTCCCATTCAAATCCAGCAGCGTTACACGAAGATGTTGTCGACTAGCCCGCCCCGTGAGCATACTTTGGACATTGTGACGAAGGCAGTATCCCAAAGCCCCACAAAACGAAAGACGACGGCCAAAGTTTCACGCTCTAAGACCTCAACTTCATCTACGTCAGCACTCAAATCCGACAAAGTCGGATCATCTACTCGAAACAGCTTACCTGATATCTCCGCTCAAATAACCAAGGCCGTGCGTTTACAGCCGAAGCTCTCGCCACTCTCATCTTTGACTGGTAGTCGGAGTCGCCCAACATGGCACGAGAAGATCCTCATGTATGACCCCATCGTACTAGAGGATCTTACGACATGGTTGAATGTTGAAGGCCTTGGCCTTGTCGGCGAAGATCGAGAGATTAGCTCAATGGATGTGAGGAAGTGGTGTGAGGGTAGAGGAATTTGTTGCTGTTGGAAGCAGAATGCGAGTTGGTGATACTACAGTCTGCGGAACCTTATCATATGTATTAACCGGATACCCAGAGGACATAATGAATTGACTCAGTGATGGCTGATAGCGCTGATATTCAATTTCTCACCCTTACATAACATGATCTGTACCTTCCCACGCCAATTTGAAGACATCAAAGAATAAATCGACAGTAGGAGACACAACACCGATCAATGTAAGAAACAGGTGCCGGAGGAGCAAAGAAAACAAGCAAGTGCGAAAAATACGCCACTCGCGGAGTAGCCCAAAGAGTACAATGTCAAGCATCAAATACTTAAAAACCGAGTTAGCCACATACAACGATGGGTATCATACCAATCACCTACCTATCAAGGAAACAATTCTGTTCTCTCCACCTAAAATTTTCCTCCCGAATAAGAGCATTCTCGTCCTCCAAGGCCACAATATTCGCCCTGAGCTTAGAGTTCTCCATGATAGAGACCTCAACCTCACCCTCAAGACCGGCAACCTTCTCCTCCAGCTCAATGACCATGTCTTCCATAACAAGCGGCTCACGAGCAGATTTCTCCTTGGCGTAGTCATCAATCTCCGCCTCAAGATTGAAAATCTTGTCCTCCAGCTCAGCGATCTTACGCTTCATCATGGCTGGTTCACCACGCTTGTACGTCTCGTTAGTGACGCGGTCAGTGACGTAGCAATCCTTTCCCAGCTGACTGCAGAGCAGACATCTAGGATCGCCAGGTACAGCAGTGCAGCGCGTCTTCTTGTACTATGAGGTTGAAAGCAAGCGTTAGCGAGTTCTTCGATAAAGGTGATTGGTGGATTCTATCGGATGGAGATGTATGATAGATGTATATACTTTGCACCTGTCACAAGCATGGCGACAGCGGTCTGAGGTTGCCTGCTTAACTTGTTGTTCCTCCCTCACGAGACTGGAGTGATCCGGCTCCGGGTCATCGCGACGACGGCGGGGCCTCTTCCGCCTGGGACCTTCCTCTGCGCTGACATTGGAAGCTGTCGTGGGGTCTTCCGATGCGCTTGTTTGCATGGTTTCGGGGAGCTCTTCTGGTATGAGCCGGTAAAGAGTCGAATCGATGTCATCGGCCATGTTGCTAACTGTTTGATAACTTTTGCATAAAGTGACAACGATTAGCCTGGAACAGTTCAGTCTTTACAAGAATCAGTAGAATGCAATACTGTTTTATCAAGGAGAGTGCCAGCGATGCTAGGTTTGATACTGAGGGATGCTTGAATAACCTTTTTGGTTTTTGAAATCGAGGTTTGGTGTTTTCTTTGGAACTGGCGGGTGACGACGATGGAAAATTAGAAAGATATGAATGTTTGTGGTTAAGTAATGATGGTTGCGAGGATGCGTACAATCAGAATAGGCATATGGGGTGCCTGGGGTATCAGATTGACTCGCTGGATGACCTTTCGTTTGAGAACCTTCCCATGGGATGTACGTACAGACAAGCCTGGAATCCGCTTAAGATATAGTATTTAGGAAATGATATTAGAACGAAAGGATAATTGATACCCCATTTACTTCAACTTATCTCTTTATATAGAAACAAGGGTATTGTTGTATTTCAAGACAAGCTAAGAGAATGAAAAACGAAGCAATTTCAACCTTATGTAGCTCCAATGCCAGCCATATGAATAGCCTAGAGATAAAGAGGTTTTGGTGAAGATGGAATGCTTTCGTTGGCAATTTCTTGTAGAACTTTTGAAACCAAGCTGAGGCTCACTTAGAGCTGCAGAGCATAGCAGACACAAGCCTGAAAATTGGATCTCTCCCTTTATATAACACTGCGAGACATACCATCTGAAGTTCAAGACTCAGTCTATTAATAAAGATGTGTTTCAAGTGCTATTATGTAAACCAATGTTCTTGGATATATAGACAGTTCACTTGTAACATTCCAAGTCTAGAATGTATGTTTCTACCATACCTTCTATAGCATTTACTACCCAGTCTTCTACCTAATTACCTACTTAGGATCGTACCATATCTCCAACCTTCTTTTCTATTGTATTAGTTCTATTGTAGTAGTTAAAGAATTGAAATGCTCCCCAAAACTATGAGTAATGGACTAGAAGGAAGAAAAGTGAAGGAAAGAGAAGAAAAAAGGAAAATAGGGTGGAGGTTGCGTGTCCCCGAGCGTGCTTTCTCATCTCTGTTTCGGACCGCTCTCGTGCCCATTCAGAGCTTGTAGATGAACCGGCTGAATCTCTAAGGTTAAACGTAAATGAATATTATTGCGATTACCAGAAAACGCTTGCAAAATCAATCAAAAGTTTGAAGTAAAGTGGTAACATTATCTTCGTAAAATGGCAATAAATAACCGACCATATGACGAGAATTAAATATCGAAACCGACCAAAAGAAGTCAAAAATGCGTTCAGTCTTGAAACTCCAGCCATGCTTGACCAGGTTAAGAACCAATATATGATCCCGAATACCAACCCCAATGACACAAACACAGCCCAAATCCGGTGCCAATCTACACGGGACAAAACCAAAAGAATGAAAACAGTGCCCTAGAAAGCCTGAACTCCCAATCATGAAACGGTAAGCCCGAGGTGGCACAAAAATCAATGTATCAAGAAACCCAAAATTAAAGGGAACGCAAAAGTGCTTATTATCTTATCAAATGGTTGTATGGGTACCGCTGCTTTGTACTTGGATCATCGGAAGTTTCTTCCATTGGACGCCACGAGTTGGAAGTTGATTCGTGGCTGGTAACGCACTGCGCCACCATCTTCAAGCCACGGAAGTAGGTTCTTGCATTGGCTAACATCGAAAGAGTCGAGTTGGTGACAGCCTTCGGACACGGCTTCAACGCCTACACCAGTAACGCGGACACAGCCACGCACGGAGAGATGGTTGAGTGAAAGGAGATGGAGGCCAATACTTCGAAGAGAGGGATCGGAAATCGCGGAACCACAGAACGACATATTCAGATACTTCAAGTTGGAGCATTGAAGCGCAAGGACTTCTGTTGCCGTATCAGATAAGGCGCAACAGAATGACTGGGTAATGATTAGCTTCTAGTTCATGCAATGGAAAGGGCTGGTCCTTACCAAGTCCAATTCCTGTAACTGCTTTGCAGCGTTGGTGAGATGCACGATGGCATTGTCGGTTAAATAGGTGCAGTCCGCCAAACAGAGCCTTCGCAAGTTGGTGAACCGAGCATTCCCCCAATATTGGAAACCTTGGTCCGTGATCGTTGTGCAGCGAGTCAAGTCCATTTCTTCGATTCGACCTGCTGCATGCGAAGCGATGTGGTGCATTGAGCGGTCCGTAACATGTTTGCAGTACGAGAGTGTGAGCTTCTTCAGCTGCGGACAGCCATAGACTAAGCTATCTCCTGTCTGTAGCGTGGGCTTGATAGAAGCACTTTTGCCTTCGGTAGGCTTTTGATTTCCAGGGATTACCCATCCGAGGATTCGAGCCATCAGAGTATCCCCTACTTTTCGACAGTTGCTCAAGTCTACCTCCTGTAGACTGGTAGCTTTGCTAGACATTTCGAGAATCGCCGATGCCGTGACATCCCAGACACTTTTCATCTTCCACGTCGTAGAGTTAGGTGCACATGTATTCACTAGTGCATTGAATCCTTCGTCGGTGATATGAAAACAATTGCTGATATTCACAGAGCGGGGCCTGCTACCAACGAATGGACATATAATCTTCACAAGGGCCTCATCGGTGACTATGCGGTTGTAAACGCTTAAGTCGAGATCCTGAACCAGCTCCGATGACTTGTTCAGAATATCACACCAGCGAGACGACACCGCACGGAGTCGAAGGAGGTGGTGGAATTCCAGGAACCGAAATATGTTCAGCAGAATGCGATCTGGAAAGAAGGAGTGTTGAGCTTCTCCCGAGTGGCGTGTAACCCGCTGTAGTTTGGGAAGTTCGACCGTTTCAGGAAGCGCAAAGGTTGATGAAGTAGCAGAACGAGGTTCTGAGGGAGAATGTCGCTGAAATTCGCCCGACATTTCTTCTGGGGTCATAGGTGCAACCGAGCCACGCCGGCTTCTAAGTCGGACATTGTCTAGCCCGAGGCTCAAATAAGGATCTGGGTCAGATGGTCGTGCCAAAGGGTGCTCCTGATCTTCACCAGTTAAGGATTGGTGTGGGCCATCAAGCTCAGTCTCAGTCAATGTCAATAGAGGCATGGACTTTCTCCGAGCCGAGCTTATTTTCACACGATCATCAATGTTCAAGTCACCCATCGGTGTTTGCTCATCAGAAGCATCTGTCATGACTACATCGCCATCAGAAGCTGCCTGTAGTCTTTCTTGAGCAGTGCGCTCCACCTGATCCCGAATATCCTGAGGGCACATCTCCCAGAATTTAGAGAGCACATCCCCACTCAGCATGAGGCACTCCACTAATGTAACAGAACGAACAGTTGCGGTTCTTCGCGGCGCTAGCGCCAAACTGACCACTTCACCAAAATATTGCCCCTGCTTGAGTCTTGCTTTTATCTCCACAGCCCCGTGACCAACTCCATTAGGCTTGCTATGATCTTCGTTGTTTGACTCGCGCTTCTCAGCCACAACTTCTACTTCACCACGAACGATGAAATAAAGATCGCGGCCCGGGGAATCTTGCTTGATGATGTCGGTAAATGGATGAAAGGAAACTGGCTGGGCATTCAAGCCCAAGAAGTGAAGAATATCGGCAGGTAGCCCGGAAAAGAGCGGGAGTTCTTTGAGCAGCAGACGGACGTTCACCAGTCCATTGGCTAGTGCACTGGCTGCATCTCGTCGCCCCGGGCTCGGTGATTTCCGCTTTTTGTAGACCGACTTCAGATTCAAATCCTCATCTTCCGTGACAATGAAATCTTTAGAAAAGCTTTCCCGCAATCGCTTTGAGCCTCTCCGTACTGGACTGGGGCTGGGCTCGTCGTCCACGACGGGAGCCGAGGTCTCTTTCTTCTTTTTCTCCAGAATCATCAATCGCTCCTGGGCTTCTTCCATGATCGCGCGCTCGACCTCCGGAAAGCGCGGAAGGATGTTGCGAAAGTCCTCCTTGGAGAGCACGACCAGCATGCATCGGGTGCGGGCGATAATAGTCGCGGTGCGCGGGCGATCCATTAACACACCAATTTCTCCAAAGAAGGAACCTGGTTCCAACTCGGCGTATATACTTTCACCGTCCCGCGATGTGACGGAGACGGCGCCCCGCACCAACCAGTAGATTGCTCTTGCATCGTCACCTTCAGTCAAAATATAGTCGTTCGGGGCGTGGAGCTGCGGGCGCAGGTGCTGACCGACTTCGATCAGGAAGGATTCGGGTGTGGCTTGGAAGAGGGGAAAAGAGCGCAGGCGATCAACGAGTTCGAGCGGCAGCGCTTTAATGTGAGAGGAAGCCAAGGGCGAGGGGCGCACGGGTCTGTTCGGGTTCATGACCGAATCGAAAGAATGGATGAGGGACAGGTTATCAGACATAGGCGTGGCAGCCTTAGTCGGGCCCCCGCCCGACCTACCATGGCGACGCATGTTCGATCACGGAAATGAAAATTGGGAGGAAGATCTGGTTGGCGACAAGACGTAGGGCTCCGAGCTAAGGAGAGAACGATGACGTCGACGAAAGCGCAGATGTCAAGCCGACAGTCGGCATTCTTTCCACGCCCAATGGGTTGGAAGTATCGCTAGCAGCTATACATCTGCTACAAAGGTGGATGGGATAGATGGGTAAAAGATCAAAGGTGATGGGGAAGTTCTCAGAAAGGTGGGGGAGGAAAGAGAGTCAATGTCAAATGCGGTTGAGCTCCACCGATCATCTGGAAACCTTCGGAAACTCTATGGGAACCCGCTGTCGGATGATCCACTTTCTCTTTCACTTGGAATTTCAGATCATAATCTTCATAACTTGATTGAAAGGATTCCTGTACTTCTATGTGGCCAGTTCATTTGTGTCCCGATCGTCGCAATACCTCGGTGGCTGCAGAGGGCGATCTGCGATCCCGGAGGAGTTCATCAGTCAAAATTACTATAACACGCATGAGGCACGGCTCTAATGGCAGTCAATGCATTTGGCTTACTATTCTATGCATTTGATGTATGGAATCTAGAGCGGAATAAGACAAAGAAAAGTATAAAAAGAATCCTGATCCTTTCCTAGAGCAGCCTTCGCCCAAATCCGGACTTTTCAGTTGAGAAGTAAAAAATTACCAGGTTGTCTCAAGAACAATATATTTATTTTATTTGGAGATCCTATGCTATTGTTACAGTTCGCAATTTATGTACTTTTGGTTCAATATACCTAAGCTAAGGTGCATTAGTACCAGTGATGCAGGCATTTGGTCAGAAAATGTCACGTGCCCACATGGTGAAGAAAACAATTCCATGCAAAAGTAGAGGGTATCAAACAACTGTAAATCATACATGCGGAAAATAACATGGTGCGGCACATTTAAAGCCGCCAACATCTCAAGCTGCCTAACAAAGAGACCCAATCTCGGGGTCGTTGCTTGCCACGTCTCAAGCGGTCTTGGACGCTATGGAAGCAGTGGCTTGAAAAGTCCCAAGCCATACATTGGCAGTTCTTTGAGTAAGGTTGGTAGGGAAGGGTCTACCAACTGCTGGTGGAGCTTTGATAGATTTGGGCGAGTGGTCGACGTGTATCAATCAGAATAGGGCATTCACAAGGGAACAATGACAAACCCAACTGGAATTGGATCAGATATTACCCTCGTCCTTTGTTCTAGGCTCTCTTTTGCCAAGAAAGAAATCCAAGTATTTCGGGCGATTGCCTTTTGCTGTTTCTAGAACATCTTGTAATAAGCCGTAGGTCAAACTCAGCTTCAACCCGAATTTTGCAGTACGAGCAGCAGTGTAAACATCGTGGCGAGCTGTGACAGAGATATGGTTAGTTTGAACGATTCTTCAAGGGCGGATAAATGCGGTAGGGTCTTACCTAGTAAGCTGTAAATACCAGAGAACGATAGACCAGCAGTCACCGTCGACAAAAAGTCCCTCTCGTCATGCCGAGCATAGTCCACCGTCTCCTCAAATAGGGAAAAGGCCAGAGCTCCAGCTCCTAGCTTGGCCCCCATTTTTACCCCATCCTTCACACCACCCACAATGGAGATATAGTTCTTGGTCTTGTGGTACTGGAACCAGCCGGTCGAGGACGTGGGGAATCGATGCGCGTTCTCTGCTCGGAACAGCAGGCCAGCTTTTTTGCTTCCATGAACATATCCCAGAGCTAGTCCGGGAAAGAACGCACACATAGTCGCGTATGGTATGCGCCTTTCCACGTCGATACCCAGGCGCGGAGGGGTGTCGGATTCGAAAAGCTTGTGCCAGTTCACGAGCTTAAGGAAGAGTGAAGCCTCCCGCTCGGCCTCCGTGGAGAATGTACGACGTTCCATGTCGAATTTAGATTGGATGCAGCAGCCCTAATGTGGACAATGGCGAAGTAGTCCTCGGCGAGACGGAGAAGGGCCGCAGATGCGAAAACGAAGTTGTCGGATGTTGAGGGTAATTATTGTTCAACAAGTGTGAAATACTTTGGTAAAATAGCTTCCAAGTGACATAGGGGGACTGAGATGATATAATGTAGCAAGATGAATGACCTTCGGGTCTTTGATCGAATCACCTGTCCTGCTTGTTTCTAATGGCGTACAGGGCCGGTGCAGAATTTCGGTCTCTCCGCCTTCGTCACTACGCCAAGTCTAATTAGAAGAACAGTTGAGATAGAGCAATCCACGAGTCATGGCACGGAAGGTGAAGCTCTACATCGCATGAGAGTAAATTTACCATGCCGAATTTATAATTTTTTGAAGATCTCTAGCTCTTAGCGCTGTATATTGGTGCTTTGCAAAATCCCGTATGAATTCACCGCCTACATAGTATCACGTGCTATTGCCGATGGGATTCACATCCCGCATTTCAAGCTCTAATCACGTGACAACTCTTCAGTCGAGCTCACGCGTTACAGAAAATGGTACAAGTTCGAAAGAATCCCACCTATGCACTGGAAGGAACCCGAAGGCAAACTAAGAACTAACTTTGAAAAGGCACCCAAGCAAGCGAAGGCGGACTCACGGGCTTTGACCCTCCTCTTCAAGAAGCACAAAATCACCATCCTACTCTCGCTACAGCCCCACGAATCCCTTGCAGCAGTCAAAGCTAAATTGCTCGAAGCATTGAACTCGCGTGAAATTCGTCAGATTAATGGCGAACCGGTCCCCGATGACCCTACATACATCGATCTCGGTATTCCTGTCGATCGAAGCGAGCTCGAAAAAGGATGGACCCGGATCGGCAAGGCTGCCACGACCAACAGTGGCTCTAAACAGAGTGCAGGAAGGACTGGGGATACTGTGTTAGCAACTGGGCTTGAGAATGGTCATATCGTTGCCTTTCGCTTCCGGAAGCCAGACGAGGTGGACAAGGACGCGGAGAAGGACGAGCTGGAGATGGATGCTGATCAGGAGGAGGGTTGGGATGTGATCATTCCAAGCTTTGACGATGAAGAGGAGGAGCTATGATAGTGATATGATGTTGCTTTACGAAACTATAACGATACGGATACAATTATGTTTCATGGCGCTTGCAACACAGGAAAATGAATTCACACACTTGAAATATCTTCGAGGTCATCAGATATCGATTTGAAAAATTTACAGTCGGGTCCACCTTCTGTGTTATGACTCGTGTATTGGTTAATCCCAAAGGTGAAATGTATGAGACTCTGTAAAGCACCAATATATTCGCGTAGGCATCGCAGCTTTCTCCACAAAGTGGAGCTTGGACAAAGATGGCCGTGGCAAGAATGGGATATGATGCGTGCGAGTACATGAAACACACTATATAATCGAGGAGTGTCACATAATATGGTGGGTGATCTTTAACGCCACGAGATATGAGGCTTAATCGCCACTATCAAACGGTTGCCAGGAGCAACCAGGAGGGGACAACACATCCCTCGCATCAACAAATGAGATCGCTCCCGACTCTCGGAGAATACTGCATCCCAAAACCCCATACACGTTAGATCCACACATTCTTCGCCCTTCCATCGTTAACTCTCGACACCCCATCACCAGGCCTTGCCGAACGGTCGCGATACGGCTTCGACATACCGGCCCCGCAACAGGAGCAGGCGGCTTCGACCCAATCGTCCAAAATGCCGACCACCGAAGGCGCCTCCTCGATCACGGTCACAGTTCGTGTTCGCCCATTTACAATTCGTGAAGCAGCCCAAATCACCAAAAATGACGATGGCCCTCTTTTCCTTGGAGATGGATCGCTGGCAGGCGTGCCCACACCCAAGCTCAACCAGAAAGGGATACGATCCATCGTAAAGGTGATTGACGATCGGTGTCTGTATGTACCAATTTGAGGTGTTGACGATCTATGGAGTCATTGTCCCGGCTGACACATTTATTCTAGAGTGTTTGACCCTCCCGAGGACAATCCCGTCCAGAAATTCTCCCGTTCCGTCGTACCCCAAGGCAAACGTGTCAAGGATCAGACCTTTGCCTTCGATCGTATCTTCGACCAAAATGCCTCACAAGGTGAGGTTTACGAATCCACAACCCGCAGTCTCCTGGATAGTGTCCTGGAAGGTTACAATGCCACCGTATTCGCCTACGGAGCGACAGGATGTGGAAAGACGCATACTATCACAGGAACAACACAGCAGCCTGGTATTATTTTCATGACGATGCAAGAGCTTTTCGAGCGTATTGATGAGAGATCGGGTGAAAAGTCGACTGAAATATCCCTCTCATATCTGGAGATCTACAACGAAACGATTCGCGATCTGCTTGTCCCTGGGGGAGCTAAGGGTGGCCTCATGCTGCGTGAGGACACCAACCAAGCAGTTTCGGTGCCTGGTCTATCCAGTCATCATCCACAAAATGTAGCGGAGGTCATGGATATGATCATGCGAGGTAATGAATGCCGCACTATGTCTCCAACGGAGGCCAATGCGACTTCATCCCGATCCCACGCCGTTCTTCAAATCAACGTGGCACAAAAAGACCGAAACGCCGATGTTAACGAGCCTCACACTATGGCCACACTCAGCATCATTGACCTTGCTGGTAGTGAGCGAGCCAGCGCCACGAAGAACCGAGGCGACCGCCTACTCGAAGGTGCAAACATCAACAAGTCCCTGCTGGCACTGGGCAGCTGTATCAATGCCCTTTGCGACCCTCGGAAGCGGAACCATATCCCTTATCGGAACTCAAAACTGACACGACTCCTCAAATTCGCTCTTGGTGGCAATTGCAAGACTGTCATGATTGTATGCGTTAGTCCGTCCAGTCAACATTTCGACGAGACTCAAAATACTCTACGATATGCGAATCGCGCGAAGAACATTCAGACTAAGGTCACCCGAAATGTTTTCAATGTCAACCGTCACGTTAAGGATTTCCTGGTGAAGATTGACGAGCAGATGAAATTAATCAACGAACTCAAAGCGCAGCAAAAGGACTCGGAGAATCTGGCATTCACCAAGTTCAAGAAGCAGACGGAAAAGAAAGACGCTGTCATGCGGGAGGGCGTTGCTCGTATCCGCACCGCCTACGACCACTGCTTGCCAGAGAGACAGGAGCGAACGAATCACATGCTCAAGCTTAGACAGATCAGCCGCCGGATTAGCATTCTGTCCTCTTGGATCGCAGCATTCGACACTGCATGCGCATCGCGCGAGGATGGGGAGGGAATCGCCAACTTATATGCCATTAGGAAAAGCGCGCAGGGTATTCTGCTTGAATTGGAAGGCAGCAGACACCATTACAACCAGCGATTGTCCAAGAGCACTTGGGATCGAGCGATGAACTCGGCGGTTGAAAACGCCACGAAGCAGCTTCAGGAATTTGATATCAGTGATGCGAGCGACTACGCCAACTTGGATAGGGAAGCTCAGCTTCTGAGATCCAATGCAGAGCGCGAGTCCTTGACAGCAGTTATTGATCAAGACAAGGCTGGCGACGCGGCCGCCTTACAGCTGCTCCTCCAAGCGCAGTTTGAAATGATGTCGTCAATTGAGAATATCATGCAACTGAACGCAACCGAAGCAATTCAGAAGGGACGTGTGATTCTCGCGAAGATGCTCGAAGACTGCTCAAATGCTGCATCAAATCTCGTGAAACCGGATGGAATTCTGCCTGCACTTCCGGCTAGTCCCGTCAAGATGGCCAGCCCTTCAAAGGCGAAGAAAAGATACAGCCTGGTGAGCATGCCGCCTCCATTGAAATCTCTCCAGCCCTCTGTTCAGATCGTGCCCATGGCTCCTGTCTCTCCAACCAAGGGCTCACCCCGTCGCCGCAAGGCGGGTACTGGCCGTAAGAACGTCACCTTCTCACCTAAGAAGTCACAAGTCAAGGCTGCCAAGAGGTCGGTCCGTTGGAAGGACGATGAAGAAGATGCTCCTTTAACTGAGTTCCAAAAGTCGCCTCCGAAAACCCAGTCCGTTGAAGAGGACAGTGCGGAGGATCCTTTCGAGCCTACTTTACCACGGGGCGTATCCCCGATCCCGCGTAACATTCCGAGGATTGTTAGTCCATCAGGAATGGCCTTGCCTCCTGCGCCATCTGATGAACCGACCCTGAATATTCAAAAGAACAGCAGCCGTTTCAAAGCTGGATTCCTATCCAAAAGAGCTGACAGCTCCCCTCTTGCACCCCCACCTACTTCAACTCTCCCTCTTTCCGGTCGTGGAAGCTCTCCCCTTCGCGACATCGAAGGTAGCAGTTTCCTGAATCGGGCCCCCTCAGAGCGTCCATCCCGAATTGCTGTCCGAAGCCCAAGTGGAAACCTTTTGAGCAGCCCATTACCCGACACCAAGGGCAATTGGAAGTCTGACAAGGATGAGGCGATCAAGATTAATTCCGCGATGCGCCGTATCTCTAGTGGGCACTTTGGACCTTCTGCCAACGCTTTGCGAGTCCATCGTCGTCGAAGTCCCGGATCTAACACATACAGCAGCTCTCCCAACGAGGGTAACATGTTCACTGCATCCCAGGCTCGCCGTATGGTGAAGAGTGAACGGGAGATTGAGGCCAAGCCCCGGGTATTCAGTCCGCATACCCTGCCGGTCATGAAGAACACCGGGCGACGGACAACATTGGGCGGAGATATCCGACCACGACATGGCAGCCTCTCAAGTAGAGATGCCTTGCGACTTTCTGCCATGGCCGCGCCACTGGTTGATCGTACCGCAACATCGACGTCTAGTGGATTCCGCTAGGCGTTAATTTGTTTCTTTCCCTTTTTCAATAATGATATGGCGTTGGCATGGCTCGGCGTAACAGATACCACATTTTCCCTTTTTTGTTTCCTCTCGTTTCCATGCTCATGGGTCAATCTCCCAATTGTTTATCTCGGTTCCCTTGGTCACTTCTATTGTTGTCCTTGACTACGTTTCACCATTGATGCACTGTCATCTTCTTTTCCCTTGACATATTGTTTCTCGGAGTGTACATTAACGATGTTGTTTCGCTCTATTATCACAAACAAAGTTTGTTGAGTATGATACAGTTCATGTTGATATTGTTAGAGTTTAAGAGTGATCGCCCTATCGGCCGATTTAGTAACGTGAAGTCCGGTTGCGCGGGCGACCCGGTTGAGCGAGCGACCCCACCAAACTTCGAATAATCATTAATTTTGAACTACCACTAAAACCATCAAATAACTCAAAATTTTGCTAATAAACACGTGAAGGGCATCCAGGATATGTATGACCTTTTATCCCACAGCCAGAACATGTCACATGCCGCCGAACCGAAGGCATAGAAGGTAAAGTAGGCTCAACAACCGCTCTTGTAGATACCTCCGGCAAATATATATCTTTACCATTATCTTCATCCTCATAAACCACATCATCTTTACCACTCTCTAGACCCCCAAAGATACCTTTCTGGGTAGTAAACTTATGTATGGTCTCTCGTTTTTTTGTCTGTTTCTTGTTGGTAGCCTCTAATTGGGTACAGCGATTCTGGAGAAAAATATGGTGGTGGACCACTTTGATAGTCATATCATAGGTCTTCTGAAGCTCTCTTTTTGTTGGTGAAGAGAGGATTGAAGAAGAAGATTCTAGACCTTTTTTGATCCGAGATTGTGATTTTGTGAATTTTGAGAGAGTCCAGAGAGTATTTGGATCACTATCACTGCCGGAAGAGAGTGGTCGCTGTGAGACAATATCGAGAGGAGGAAGGGAATCCAGGCGCACATTTAGCTTTTCCAAGACTTTATTAGCATCAAATGGTGCTAATCCAGTAGCTGAAAAGCTATTTTGTATAGTAGAAGTCTTAAAAGCACCAATTCTCGCATCAGCGATAAGTTCAAGAAAATCTTCCTTATCAATAGAGTTCACTCCATTCCGCATCAAGGTTGAAACCGCTCCTCCATAAAGCCTCTTCAAAACCGAAAAACAGCCCACATCCAAAGGTTGTAAAAGGTGGGAAGCATGAGGAGGCATACAGATTGCGATAATTTGGTTTTCTTCACAAAGTTGGTCAAATTCGGGGGTCAAATGACTCCCATGACCATCGAGGACCAGTAGGCAATATTTCCCCACTCTTGGCCCAATATTTGGGATAAAAAGATGTTTCAACCACCATAAACCAATTGTATTAGTAGTCCAGCCATTTTCACTCATAGTGAGACGTGCTCCTTCTTGATTTAAAAGAAGATAAGGGCGTAGATGCTCTGGAAACTTTTTTCCCTTGAAAATGAAGAGTGGAGGCATAATACTTCCAGAAGCTCGAATACACTCGATTATGGTTACCCACTCGCGATTTCCGGCTTGTAAAAGAGCTCTTTTCCCGTGGTATTCTGCAGAAGTGATAATCTTTTGTGTTGCGCCGATACCCATAGCAAAACCACTCTCATCAAAGTTAAAGATATCGTCCGAGACAATACCCCACTTTTCAATTGTTTTTTGCACCAAATCAAATCATGGTTTAATGATTCTAGGGTCTTCTGAAAGGGCTCTCTGATAGTCGTATTTGCGAGAGAATCGAGTAGAGAGATTTGGGCGTCGTTTGATAAATTCAGCAGGCCAATGATTACCCACAGTAGAGGGCGTAGTTTTTCGGGCATAAAGTAGCAGATTAGCCATATCTCGCAACATAGGCAAAGTAAGAGCTGCCCCTCTAGAATCCATATCCAGTAGCCATTTTTCAATCGATCCTTCCTCAATTTCGGTGAAAATAAAGCGATTGTGTCGCTTTTCAGTAGCAGATTCACGCCCATTAATCCGTGCCTTCAAAGTTGAGACAGGGATATCAAAGGATCGTGCAGCAGCCGCAGCAGAGGGATATTTACCATCTTTTATAGCTTTTATAGCTAATAAAAGACGACCCTCCTGCTCTATTAGCTTTTTTTTCTTATCGGAGCGCTCAGGGGGCATTCTTGTTATGGTTGAAGAAGACGTATTAATATGGAAGTGGATTTTTGGTGGGGTCGCTCGCTCAACCGGGTCGCCCGCGCAACCGGACTTCACGTTATCCGATAGATGGCTTACTTAATTGCTCGTGTTGATTTGTCAGAAAACTGGATGACGCCATTAAATACAGGGTTAGTCAAACTAGATTTACCTCCTTAGACTGCGACTCTTACATTACCAGAGATCTCAATCTTGCCTGATCTTTGTGCAGTGTGGAAGAAACTACAGTGTTCTCCAGCCGAAAAAAAAACCTTTGGTCGAACGTTCTGTCAACTGCTTTCCCCACTCCCGGCACTTTCGTCTCCACCAGAGTTTCTGCAGATGACTTTCGCCGCACCAATCGCCTCAACACTCTTCTCTCGACTCGTCCGCCCCTTCTCTGTCAGCGCCCCAATCCTGTCTCTCACCCCTGAACAATCGCGCAAAATGTCTACCACCGAACAAGCCACCGTCGGAGCCGGCTGCTTCTGGGGTGTCGAGCACCTGTACCGCAAGCACTTCGGCAACGGCAAGGGTTTGCTGGATGCGCAGGTCGGATACTGCGGCGGAAAGACTTCAGACCCCTCATACAAGGCCGTCTGTACCGGCTCTACTGGCCGTAAGTTCTTTTCTATCTGATCCGAAGCTCCAAGGTTGCGGAGATTCTCTGCGAAATCTAATCTCGCGCGCGATATGCGGGGAATCAATAAATTTAAATTTTTGGATGTGACGGGATGCTGAATTTTATATCTTGGTTATTAGATGCCGAAGCCCTGAAGATCAGTTATGATTCTTCTATCGTCTCTTACCGTCAGCTCATCGAATTCTTCTACCGCATGCACGATGCTTCCACTCCCAACCGACAGGGTCCTGATGTTGGTACCCAGTACCGCAGCGCTATCTTCACACACAGTCCGGAGCAGCAGAAGATCGCAGAGGAGATCACCAAGAAGGTCAGCGAGGAGTGGTATAAGAAGCCTGTTTCGACTGAGGTCGTTCCTGCGGGTCAGTGGTGGAGTGCCGAGGATTATCACCAGCTGTATTTGCACAAGAACCCGGCTGGTTATGAGTGCCCTGCACAGTATGTTAACTCCATATCATCCCTCTTGTCAAGAATAGTTACTTACTTCATTCTTTCCCTAGCTTCGTGCGCGATTTCCCTCCTCTTTCTGAATGACTCGGTTCGTCGAAAATATAATGATTCGAAATTTTTTTTTTGGAGATAAAACCCATTTTTGGAATATATGACATATGGAATGATTATTCCGCATCATTGAACATCTGGATTTTAGGGTTCATTGAATCCTACTAAAGCTTCGGGGATTCAGTCCAGTCCATGGATTCCCTAGAAGCTACATCAAAGTAAATTTACATCATCATGAGTCGTGGGTAGGCTAGATGAAGCTTCAGCTGGATGAAATTCTCATCAATTCGAACCTCGATCTCAATCATTACAACCAACCACAAATATGTTCTTTCACTCCCGTGTCGTGCATGCCCTCCTGGTCTTTTTTTTTATTGCAGCGGTGCGCTTTTTACCATTCATCAGAAAGTTCTTACGAGGCCCTCCCCAAATCGAAGCCGATCATCCGAAAAGTGAAAATTTCAATGATCTACAGCAGTTCCGGTTCAAACGATTCTATGATATGAGATGGCGCCAATTTCGAGATATCTCCAACGACTTCCTCAGAATCGAACATGCTCTGCGAGCAGCTGCCCAGCACGAAAATCCTCTAAACAAAGAAACAGTACAGAACTCGTCAAGCAGATGGACCCGTTCAGAAGGCAATCAATACCACCTATTTGAAGAGGAGCTCCGTGATTCAAAGCAAGACTATTGGATGAGGGAGCGAGCATGGTGGGCTCACCGAGCTGCCTTTGCCGGGTTTATGGCCAAAGCCTTTGATTTATGGCGCTCCTACCCTAAGTGGTACATGCACGAGATTCTTGTTGAGGATTGCGTCGCTCAAGGGGGTTGTTGTGGTCGTAAGTATGGGTGCTGTTCGAAACGACGCCTTGATGTTACCCCTAGGCTTGAGGTTGGGCACTGCACTGCGAATTGTCAATGCTGTATCAGAGAGCAAGGCTTTGTCTTCACATCTGGCATGAAGCGAAAGCTTAATGAATACTCTCGCCTTCGCACCGAGTTTGGTCGGCCAAAGGTTGATAATGTTACCCGTGCTTCTATCTGGGGGTGGATGGAGAGTAGCAAAGTTAGTCCATTTGATCTTATTGTTGAACCACGTGGATATGAAAAGCCGGCTCTGCTATGGAAAAATAGATGAGAAGCATGATAATTGTAATGTTTCATTTTGCTTGGTGTCTATCTTTGAGATACCTTTATATGATGGAATTTGTTGAAACCAAGTTTGCTATGTTCTAGCTACATATCAAAAATGATATCAGTGACTACTACTTTACTTGTCGAATTTCTATGCGGTCTGACTACTATGACCTTCGATAATATTGGACGCTCAGTGAACAGAAATTGTCTTCTTCAACCATCTATCCTCAAAAGTTATAATTTGCAATCATCCACCTTGTCCTCGGTACTGTTTAGGCTATCTCTGCTGCAGCCTTGACCACCTCTAAGCCAATAGTCTCATACAGCACGGTAATGCTCGTGCCTGGTGTCCACTCCACCTTGGTAATGAAGGTAAAACCTGCCCATCTGTATGTGGTTGTTGTTGACACGAAGTGATATTAGGATAGAAGTGGCCGATGAACTGAGTCGCACACCGCTATTATGGGCCGCATACAACGGGCATGAGGGTATTGTCAAGCTGCTTCTTGACAGAGGCGCCGCAATCGAGACACTGGATAAGTTGGGCCAGACACCACTATCATTGGCCGCAAATTACGGGCATGAGAGTATTGTCAAGCTTCTTCTTGAAAGAGGCGCCGTAATCGAGACACTGGACAAGTCAGGCCGGACACCGCTATCAAGGGCCGCGATAAATGGGCATGAGGTTATTGTCAAGCTGCTTCTAAAGAGAGGCGCCGCAATCGAGACACTGGACCAGTTGGGCCGGACACCACTATCATTGGCCGCAAATTATGGGCATGAGAGTATTGTCAAGCTTCTTCTTGAGAGAGGCGCCGTAATCGAGACACTGGACAAGTCAGGCCGGACACCGCTATAATGGGCCGCAAACAACGGGCATGAGGGTACTGTCAAGCTGCTTCTTGATAGAGGCGCCACAACTGAGACCTGGAGTAAGGCGGACTGGAAACGGCTATTAAGGCTCAGGGAGAAGGGGTATCATGGTATTGTCAATATGCTCAATGCACTGAATTAAGGTTATGAAATGGGAGAAAATTAGTGATTATGTTTTATTACTAGCCGGCGAACGCCCCTAGCAGCACCGTATTCAGAGATAAGCCTGTGTACTAATATTATCCGCCTGATGCGTAGTGCATGGCCAGTCCACGAATCAACTTTGCTATTTAACCGACACTCAAGGTGGCACTAATTCGGGAGAAAGACTGTATGTCCGTCTATACCTAGTTTCATTGCCACCAGATCAATCCTGCCCTGTTTGCCAATCGTTTAGAGCTCAGGAAAGATAATGAAACTTCAATGTGAAGCGCAGGCAGCTGCACAATTCATATTTACTCACGCGACACTCCGGACCGAGGAGATGAGGAAGAACAGTTCAGGCTCAGACGGACGCGCTTTGAAAAACAACAAGAACAAACAGTAAGGCTAGTATCGGTGAGTCATCGCCTAATTGCTATTCCCAGATAGGAAAACATGTCATATAACCCTAAATCACATGAATTGTGGTCCAGCTAATTCTGGGAATTAGTCAATCACTCTGGTACATATTATATATGTATACTGTATACTAGTACTACAGAGGTCGTGAGTGGATAAATGGAGACTGTGTTATTGTTCCCAAATAAGAATCACAGAGTAGCTACTATCACTTCCCCAAATTCTCTTTCCCACAACCAAATGCATTTCTCTCCCGTCCCCAACTAACAACAAGCATTTTCACACAATTTTTTCCCCCATCGCATGAAATGGCGAAGAGTCAGAAAATCAGAACCCTCGGCAAGGCAGGGAAGGCTAGGACCCCCCTGGTAAGTGATACTTTTATCCAGCAAATGTATATCACCCAGGACCTACCCCAACTCCCATGTAAGCAGAAAGTTAGCAGATGCTAATATTAAATAGACCGCGTCTCGACCCCCTGCAGCGGCGCTGGCAGCTCGTGCTGCCCAGTTGAAGGTCTCTTTGGGGAGGCAAGCTCCACGGTTCCAGCTGGATTACCACCACCTTCTACCTTGGCTTGCGCCCCAGGCGAGCGTGCATCTGCCTCTTCCGTGCCTCCTTCGCACACACCTCTCTCACCTACACCTCCACCCCGCACCGAAACTCCGCCTTCCTCGCAGGCCCCGTCGCTGGCCTCACATGCGACTGCTAACCTCCGGCTCACCGGAATGGCGGTGGCAATGACCGCCACGGCACAAGAAATGCTTGTTGCCGGCAGTGGCTATGGGTCGCTCAGCGCTCAGGTCATTGCTGCGACTGCGTCAAGGGAGATGGGACTGGCCGCTATTGAAATGAGCTTTGTTGCGGCCCAGCAAGAGACTGGAGCTATTCTATCCCGTCCGCTGGCCACCCTTATCAATGTAGGCATTATCACCCAGATTCTATGTATTCAATATGTTGATTATTGACTGATATACAGCAGACTTGTTCTTTCAATCATCAACCCTCTCGTCACATCATTTTAAGAACAATTACCCAGGATGGTACAGGTAAGTGAAACCTTCCATACGATCACCACAGCGAGGTCGGGATATGGGCATACATCAACACATACTAAGTTCAAATGGGCTTTGCAGAAGGCCTCTCATCTTGCACTTTTTGCCCACATTATGCAACGCACGGTTGCTATTAAGAAGCCTATCTCCTCCCCCCCCCCCTATATTACACCATCCACCAACTCTGCTACTTTAGTTTTAGACAGCCAGGAAACTTGCTACAACGACTTTGTAACACGATCTCGAGGATTCTGATGCTGGATTTATTATCTACTAAAGTGGGAGGCAAGGAATGTCCTGGACACACCATCGCCTCGAATTTACCGGTGGAATTCACAAGCGAAATCGCATCCTGTCGGGGCTAAGTCTATAATCGTGGAAAGCTGAGTGTGTTCCACTTTCCCAAGTATGGGGCACTATGTAACCTCCTCAGGTAATGCAGATGCTTCTTGCTATAACACAACTCCAAATTCAATGACTGATGTTTCAGTCTCGCATCAAGGCAGCTTGTATTATGCAGGTGATTCTCTGCAACATACCAACGGCAGCCACTACGCCAAAGACGGCAATACTGTCGAATGTCTCAGATTCACTGTGGGCCCTAGTGCGGCTCGGGATTGGCTTGATGGCTGCCGATCAAAGTTGGATATTTACAGGGGCCCGTGTATGTGAGATCTTCATTTTTTTATTATTCAGCAACTGATAAATACAAATACACGGGCGTCACCGACAAATTATCTGAGGGCAGCCGAAGCACTCAAGCAAAGACCAATTCAATGTTTGAAGAAATCAAAACAACTTGCTATATTCTGTGGTCCTAAACTTTACCAGGCAGTTTTGGAAAGAAGCTGATCACTTTGGCACACTATCAACAAATCGTCAATGTTATGATCCCGAAAGACGCTGAGGTCATGAACCCATCCCTCTGGCATGATGATCTACACGATGACAGCATCTTTGTAGATCCATTTCACCCTGAAAATGTCACAGATATTATCGATTTGCAGTCTTATCATGTCTCGCCACTGTTCAATCAGAATCCGGATCTGGCCTTCCTTGATTGGGCTGGCCTTGGACCCGAGAAATCTGATCTAGCATCAAAGCCAAACATTTCCAACCCTTCCCGGGAGATCGGGCTACGACATTTCATGAGTATACTTTTGAAAATTTATTCATTGGATGGCGGAAACTCAAGCAGCTCAAGATCCGCGCTACATCGGGCAACTGAATTCCGAAAAATACCAGCCTTTGGAGTGATATCCTCTGCTCACCGCATATTCGAGTACGGCAAGAAGCACCTTTCATCGGTCGTTGTCGATCTCAAGGACTCGTGGGAAAGTTTACCTGCCGTCCAAAGTGAATAGAGAGCCTGAGTAATTTGTGACCAGGTAAAGAACTCACAGAGCACGAGCGATATGAAGATTGTAAAGCTACTCTTCACACGTTCAAAAGCCAGATATTAGAGCAATTGGCAGAAACTGACGACGACAAAGTTGAGTACGAAAGATATTGGCCATTTGACTGACTCCATTTTCTGAACGATCACCTTCTCACTGTATTCTTTATCGCGGTGGTATCATTTGAACTTTGTAGTAGGTCTCCGAGTCCTTTTGATATGAGGCGGGTCTTAATTGTTTATTTATGAAAGATGCTGAGTCAGGAATGCAGTAATACCAGACTAACCCAAAATAGAGAATGCAATACAAGCCAAGACAGCTTGCCTTGGAGATCCCAGCGCAACACAATTTGCCCCCAGATTTTTCGATTTTCCCTGCAGATCCATTGAATGCTATGCATCCTCCCCTACCGATCTCTTACGCGGCCTGACACATTCCGTAACCACCGAGTAAACACTCCGAAGCCACTGAGGTCAGAATCGATTCACATTCCTTCTGGAAAATAGCGGTGGTTGCTGTATGGCATTAATCCGGTATTTCCACTTTCCCATTTCCCCTGATTGCCGTCAGCAGGTTACATAAGGTTTTCTCAGTCCTGGATCGACGGTTGCTCGTCCCTGCAGAAATGTATTCAGAATTTCAGTATTTTTTTTTTCTCCTTTTTCTTTGTCTGGGACAGAGTTCAGATTTCTTGGTGCCGAGCCTGGGTACGCCACTTTATTGGCAAAAGTTGGCGCCCAGTCTCGGTTCTGTGGTTCTTGATTATGTCTTGAGGCTTTCAGTAGCTTATGGGTAGGTGTCTCCGTTAAGCGGGGCAGGCTCGGCTTTCCCACAAAATTGAGTCCAATGTCTTTGAATCATACGGTACGGACTCCGTAGTATTGATCAGTTGCACAGACTGCCGGGTCCCGTGCAATTTCCCCTTATCACCACAAACACCTGGGGCCAATGTCTCACATCTGCACCCACGATGAAAAGCTACGAAATGCATCAGATTGTGATTCGTTCTAATGGGATCGAATGAAAGTCTTGCATCACATAAATCTTGAACCAAGGTACTGTACATCATCCACCATTCTCCTCATACTTGTTGCCAACGACTAAAAATAAACCTTAGAACCAAAGTTCATTGGTGGGTAATTGGTGGTAATTCATGTAATTAATGTAATTGGAAATAAATTACAGGACCCACTTGACTCTCAGGGACTCAAAGGGACTCGCAGGGGACTTGAAAAGTGGAGACCAATTGTCTTTGATAAGGGTCTTTCCTCCAAGCTAAACCTTCCCAATTGGGTTAGTCTCTCATTTGTTTCTTGGTTCAAATGTAATATATACTAAAGGGAAAAACCACCTCCCTTTCCCTTCAAACCCCACAACTTGTGATCACCTTCTCTTATTCTAATTCCCACAGTTCACTCGTTTGCTGTGGCCTTTTTTTGATCCCCCTTTTCTTGTATATTCCGACTTGATTATTTGATTCCCCACGTACATAATCTCACTATGGTTCGTTTCGTGACGGCCCTCCTGGCCCTGTCCGCAACCGCCTGGGCAACCACCACGTGCAGCTCTAGCAGCCAATGCCCCGAGGACAAGCCCTGCTGTTCCCGTGAGTGATTCCAAATCAAACCACTTAGTTTGGACGACATCCTGACCTGGTTACAGAATATGGCGAGTGCGGTACCGGTGCATACTGCCTCGGCGGTTGCGACATCCAGTCCTCCTACTCCATCGAGTCCTGCGCTCCCATGCCCGTCTGTGAAAACAAAAGCTACACCTGGGACAACCTGGACAACTCCGTCCTGAACACCAAGTACCTCGGCAATGCCAGCGCCGCCGACTGGACCTACAGCGGATACCCCAAGATCGAGAACAACAGCCTACTCATGACCATGCCCAAGGAATCTGTCGGAACCCTCTTCGCCAACAATCACTACATCTGGTACGGCAAGGTCTCTGGTAAGATCAAGTCCAGCCGTGGCAAGGGTGTCGTGACCGCTTTTATCCTGCTGTCGGATGTCAAGGACGAGATCGATTACGAGTGGGTTGGTGCCGACCTGACTGCCGTGCAGACCAACTACTACTGGCAGGGTGTTCTTGACTGTATGTGGTGATGCTCTAAATCCCAAGCCCAATCTTTGTGATGCAATATTAATTGACTATTACAGGGCACAACAGCGCCAACGCCTCCGTGAGCGGCGAGGATACCTTCGACGACTGGCACACCTACGAGATCGACTGGCAACCCGACCAGCTGCAATGGATCATCGATGGCACCGTCATGCGCACCCTCCAGAAGTCCGATACCTACAACTCTACCTCCAAGCAATACCAATACCCCCAGACCCCCGCCCGTCTGCAGATGTCTCTCTGGCCCGCCGGTCAGTCCACCAACGCCGCCGGTACCATCGCCTGGGCTGGTGGTGAGATTGATTGGGACAGCGAGGACATCCAGGATACCGGTTACTACTACGCGACCATCGGTCAGGTTGATGTTACCTGCTACTCCACCCCCGACGGCATCACCACCACCGGTAACAACTCCTACGTCTACACTTCCAGCAGCGCCATGGAGACCGATGTCGAGGTTACCGGTAACTCTACCGTTCTGGGCTCCTTGGGTGCTACCGGTCTGGACATGACCCTCGGTGCTAGCTCAAGCTCCTCCACCGGTACCAGCACTAGCAACAGCACTGACAGCGTCCCCACTAGCTCCAGTGGCTCTGGAGGCTCCGCTCAGGAGGGATCCAGTGCTGAGAGCTCCTCGTCTGACTCCGACACCACGGCTACTACTACATCCACCTCCTTCAGCCAGGGTACTACCAGCACCGGTGCTGCCAGCGGAAACGAGCGTGTTCTGCACGGCTCAATCTTTGCTGTTCTAGTTGCCGTCATGGCTCTGGTGACAGTATGAATGTTTTGATTTGGTTTGGTTTTTTTTTTTTGCTGGCATCGCCATCCACGTTATTGTACCTTATTTTACACTCTTTCGAGTACATTCTTCACCCATATGACCTTCAATTCTCGACTTTCCCTGAACAACTTGAATAATTCAATCTAATGAAAGTGGGATTCTTTTCATGTCTTTCTGTCCATGTCCCTAATTCCTGTACGGATTATACCTTTTCGCGTCGCTATTTTATGCCTTTGTCCTGTCTATTCTTCATTATATTTACGTGACATCTTTGTTATAGCATGGATTCTGTGGAAATATACGATACCAGGAAAGCATAATAAGCTATCAAAATGGGCGGTCGTTTTTGAAATCAATCTCTTTCTTTATCCTATACCCGTTCTTGTGCATGCTTGGCAAACGGCACCAACCCGTCATTGAGGTCTGTATCCTGGTTGGGTACAAAATGGTCCCATTGTTCCACTTGCTCCACATCCTTGTATCCACGTGGATCTGAAACGACGATGTACTGTAGTCTTGGATATAGTGGGTCTGGTATGTAACCATATTTGTACTTTTATGCATAACTCCTTTGAAAACGGTATCCTGCATCTCAAGGCTGATTGTCATCAACGGCGCAACGGCATAAAGGTGGGATCTGGCAAATAAGGATCCGCAGCTGATTGGGCCACATTGCGTACATGAATTTTCCATGCACCAATCGCCAGAAAGAGTTGACTACCAACAAGAATATATATAAATATATGAAAGGACATAAATGTACCTAGGTACCAAACTCTCCTCATGAGTATGATGTGAGCAACCGACGCGATTGAGCTTTAGTCATGAGCACTAAATATATATATCTCTGCTCAACAAGCCAAGAAATATCCTCACCTTAGGACCTTGAATTGAAGTTGCAACTATAGACAGCATTATTTTGTCTTTTCCCTCTTCCCTCAAGTGCTTCTTATCTTCCCTCCCCCTCCCTTTTCACAGAAATTCGAAGAATTCCCAAGGTTCCTTGAAACAACGACAGAAGAATACCAAGGAGATAACCTGAGAAATCTCGACTCAAAGCGTCATCTCGCTTTCCTGTTCCCAAAGTCTCTCGACCCTCTTCTCCTCCTAGAGCAGAGTCAAAAGACGTACTTGGAGACAAATCGACAAGGACGAACAAACATAACAAATTCACATGAGAAGCATTGGAGTCAACAAGAGATCTTCTTGAATTAGTATCTTCACTCAAATTCGTGACTACAAAAGCATCACCTCACCATCTCCTCTTGTAATTCTCGTCTTTCTTCTACTCCTGGAGACAAATCGACAAGGAGAAAGAAGCTTCAAAAAGTCCACAATTCTAAATCCTTGAACAAGAAGTCCTCGAACCAGCATCGAATTCAGAATCGGGACTATCAAACACATCTATTTTTTTATTTTATTTTATTTTATTTTTACCTGATTCAGCTAAGCTTTAACTTTCAAAACACAGGCCGAGTCTCCAGGTCGCAAGGCCTCGATTATCGTCTCACCTCTTTTCCTGGGAAAAATTCGAAAAGCTTCCTTGAAGACGCATTTACGAAGAAAATACACAAAAAGGACCAGCTCGGAAACTGCCGGTCTGGTTATTTGACCCACCATAGGGAAGCAACAAATCCCTTACTATCCTTCTTCCGGGTGGTGGAGGCCTCTTCTTTTGCACTGAGAGAACCCAGTGACATCGCTGACAAGTCTATGGCCTGTTCCTGTCTCTGTCCATTGACTATAAGCATCTTTCAAATCAGGGATCCCAGAGAAACAAACATTTCTATCCCAACATACTCGTTCCGCCAGAAGCGGATCATCGAGCCTGTGCTTCTCAACTCCTTAATAATCATCACCATGTGTCGGTACACGGGCATCTGGTACTACGAGTGCCAACACATCTGCTTCCAGCTTAGCATTTTCTGTCGGGATCTTTTTGATGAATTATTGCGACTGGATGGAGACCCAACAGAAGATGAGAAACCGAAAGGTGAAAGCCCGCGGAGTTGTCTGCCTCGCATCTTAACCCGTGATGGGGTTGTTGTGATGAAGGTGCAGGATCATGATGGAGGAGCAACTAATATTGATCAGTGGGTGACTGATTTGGCGGAATCGTGTCCTTCTTGCGCTCGAAATTATGGAATAAGGAGCTAATCGAGATCCAAACATGAGGACAGGACTGGCGGAGAATATATATTCAGTTCAACCTTACTGCGCTTGTTGAATGTTCTGGAGATAGAAGTAGATCAAAGGAAGACAAGGAGGTGAAAATAACAATATTATCCGATTTAAGATTCTTTGTAAATGGATATCCTGAGGCCGTCTAGAAGTATATACGCAATACTCCATAACACCTTCCCCGTCAACCCTCACCCATACTCCTCGATCATACATCCGCCTAACCCATCTTCCAAATCTTTCAAACGTTCCAAGTCGACTGAGGAACCCCTCCAAAGGAACTCAAGCAAATACAAGCCTCAATCGCAAGACAACGCAAATAACCGCACACCCCAACCCATCAACAAAACACAAAACCAATTCCCACAGCCACAAAAAACCAAAATGTGCAATTACAAAGGATACTACTTCAAATACTGCAGCCACTACGAATTCAAACTGCAAACATTCTGCAAAACCGTCCGCAGAGAACTGGACCGAATCAACAATCCAGACGATCGAGAAAAGTACGATATTCCCTGCACACCTAATCCCCGGTGCCCGCCTCGAGTTCTGCGATTGAGTGTCGAAGGAGATGGGGATGGCTCTATTAAGCACGTCTGTGGTGGAACGTGGGAGGGGTGGGATACTAATATTGTTTCTTGGGATGTTGTACCATTCTGTGATGGGTGTTGGGAGGAGATGAGAATTCCGGATGTGGAAGTGGAGATCGAGATTGAGCAGGGTCTTGAAGGGGTCACGGTTGGAGTTGAAAAGGTTGAGGAGGATGTTGACTTTGATATTGATTGTGACGAGCTTGGGCTTGAGAATGACGGTGGTGGACGTTGAAGAATTGGGCTTTTTACGCGGCGTTAACGAAGTCTACGATAGCGAAGGGTAGATTGAATTTGTTGACCAGAGTTGCTGATATGGTGTAGGGAATATCACGTCTACTCTCCAGTCAAACGCTAAGTGTTGACCTTTGTGGATTTGGAATTCAGGTGAAGTCATGAATTGATTGGTAGTGTTATGTTTATCTTTATAGCATCTGCTCCTCCTATGCCCGGTAACTCCAGTCAAAACAAGATCCGAAAATGAGACCCGAAAGAAGAGGAAGACAGGAATGGGATGTACATCGTTAGTGGAGTCCGCCACATCCACAATCATCTAAGGAGCGCTTCTTGAAGTCTCCATGGTATGTGTCAAGGCCATCTGCTCGTACATCTGAGCCCAGTGGGTCTCCCATCCAGTGGTAGTCTGATTGAGTGGAGACTTCGTCGGAGGATACTCTCCAGGAGGCTGAAGCCTGGAGGCGTTTGGTGGCATCTTTGACATCGACACCGAGGTAGTTGGCAAGGAAATTTCCCACGTCGGTGTTTTCATTGTTCCCTACCAAGGGCCAGGCATCCTTGGTGGATGATGCGTATATGTTGACATCGACGGCTGTGTTCATTAGTATAAGAACGACTTGGTGATCTGTAGATGGTCACTTACCAGAATGTCCATGAGTGGACCAACCAATCTGCGAGCGACGGCTGACAATATCGGCAAAAACGTAACCAGGTGAAAGTCCAGGCTGGGGGTGGAGAAGGGCTTTCACCTCTTCGTCCGAGGCATCGGTGATACCAAGATGCTTCTCCAAGAGAGTTTGACGAATGTACGCCTTCTTCTCAGACTCATTTGCCAGCTTTCCAGCTCCTGCGGAATATTCACTGAGCTTAGCGGCGGCATACTCCGAAGAGTGGCTGGCGTTCGCCAGAACACCCGGATACCAGAGGTACTGTGGGTAAGACGTGTGAAGCTGTCTGGCTGTTGCCAGACCACCGGTCTCGTGATCAGATGTGCTCACAAGAACTCCTGGGGTGGAGTCCTTCTCCAGGAATTCAACTACAGCAGCGAAGGCTTTGTCATAGGCCAATACCTCGTGGACTTGCGCAGCGGGATCATTGCCGTGGCCAGCATGGTCGATACGCGAACCCTCGATCATCAAGAAGAAGCCATGCTCACTGTCCTTGGTCGCCTCACTCAATGCTGTCAGGGCAGTGCGAGCCATCTCCTCCAAGGACGGGTACACGTCATTCTGCGAGCGGCGGTCGATTTCATAAGGAATGTCCGTCTCGGCAAGGAGACCCAGTAGTGGCAACTTGGCTTGGGTGCCACCATTCAGCGCATCAAACCCAGCCCTATCTTTCACGAGATTGAACCCATTCTTGGAGGCAACCTCGACGATATCACGGTCATCAGCTCGGCAACTGCCACTGGTCGTGTTGGGCAAGAAGTGGCACCGTCCACCACCCAGCATGAGATCAACAACCCGGCCCAGTGGGTTCTCCCCAACTTCTTGTTCCGCAATGCTATCCTCATATTGCCGCAGATTGGCATGCGACGCGAAGCACGCCGGTGTCGCATCAGTCAACCGGGTCGTGACAACCAGTCCAGTCTTGTATCCCGCCAACGAAGCAGCTTCCAGAACAGTTCCACACGGTGTATGATCCGGAAGTACCGAGATAGCTCCATTGTAGCTCTTGAAACCGCACGAGAACGCAGTTGCTCCCGCTGCCGAGTCCGTCACCAGGCTAGAGCTGGATCGAGTCCGAGATGTGCCGATGTAGTGTTGGTCCAAGATCAGAGTATTATCGATCGGCAATCCTTCGGTGTACTGGCGGAAGCTTCGGGTCATGGAAAGACTGGCCGGGCCCATGCCGTCCGAGACCATGAAGATCAGGTTGCGTTTTCCGGACGGCTTCCCGCCCGGGCCCCAGGTGTCTTTGGAGGCCTGGTTTGGTTTGGAGGCTTCATGTTGATAGACGACTCCGAGGATGATCACTAGGATAGTGGCGATTACGGCCCAGGCGAGTAACCCGATCTCTTTCCAGAAGCTCCAACCCCGCCGTTCCGCGTGCTTGCGTTGTGCTCGCTCCCCAGTTAATAAAGCGTCTTCTTCTTCAGCATGGAAAGATTGGTCATCGGAGAAATGTTGAGGTGGAACCAACAATGGTTCTTCTCGTGGAATGGCTGCCATGGTTGTGACTCTGAGAGAAGAAGAGAGGCTCGGAAGCTCTGAAGGGATTGTGTGGGGCTAGGGAGAGGTGGAGCTTGAAGGGGTAAGATAAGACCATCCACTAAGATATGTCACCAAAAGCCCGTGGCTTTCGATAGTGCCTCATGTGACCGCCTTTTCAGGAATGATTTACAAATTATTAATTCATTATGAGCGGGGATCTTATATGTACAGTGAGGATCTCATCCATCACGATCTTCCCTTCCATGAGATCGGCAGCATCGCAGCCGCGATCTCGTTCACACCACGCTCAGTAGCCAATAGATTGAACTGTGCCGCCGCATTGCGAGTGTCCTGAATATCCACACGAATCCCCAGCGAGTTGATCTGACGCTTCGTTTCAGGCGACAAGGGATACATAGAGGCACCCAGGCCAAGAATGAGCATATCTAGACGAAATAATTAGTCACAATCCCATAAACTTGGTCGTGCAAGGTCCCAAAAACGAATCAGATGACCACAAGTCCATCTGACCATAGCTTGAAACCTTATACAAAACACAAGAAAGTCAAGTACATACCAGGTCTTGGCCAGACAACACTCAACAGCCCCCAAGCCTCTTCCCCCAGCTCAAACTGTCCCTTAGCATTGATCATGCTGGCCTTAGCAGCACGCTCATCTTCGAAATTACCCTCAGATACCTTCCACGGCCGCCAAGCGAACGCTTCACCACCCACAAGCATCAATCCTGATTTACCAGTAATCTTCAAACCGCTGTTCAGATGGAACCCGGAGTCAAGGCAGGCGTCGATGCCTGTAGTAGGGGCCTCGACACCGCCGAGCACATTCAGGGCGTTGAAGTCTGTCTGGGTAGTTTCTTCTGATTGAGGGCCACGGTCGTGTGATGCGGGCTTGTGAGTGTGAGAGCGGGGGATCATGCGCGTGGGTCGCACGGCGGTGCTGGTGTTGCGGCGCGGAATAGATGGGGCAGGTTTGAATCGCAGAATAGGGCGGGTATTTAGGGTGGTGCGCAGGGCGCGAAGGAGTTGTGGTGATGGGGTATGCATTGTAGATGTTGATTGGTTGGAGATGGAGAAAGATGGTGATGGTGATGGTGATGGTGATGGAAGGAATTTTGGCGGTTGAAGCTAACAGCTTAGTCCGGGGTCCCGGTCTTGGCGAACTAGTCGTACATGCCGGGGCAGATTCTACAACAGAACTTGATTTTTAAACCTGGATGGAATGAACTTGAACTGGATGGAAATTAATTGAAGTTGAATGTCCTTTGTATTAATATATCCGCCTTTGGTGGCCATAGTGATTATTCTAGCTTTTATTTCCAGCTAACCCACCCGTGCCCGTACTGCACTTTCGATTCAATATGAAACAAGGACAAAAACAATGTCATACGCGTCATGATGCCCCGAACGCCAATGAACAGAATGAAGGACCGCAGTCGCCATCAAGGAAAGTAAACATCAAATCAAAAAGCGCAAAACAAGGCCACGCATCTCGGGCCATTCCCTGGTCCCTGAGCCAGCATTACTGTATCGGTTTTGTTTCCAGCGGGCCAGGAATCTCAAAAGGACGTGCATGGAAAGATAAGACACGGGTGAATATGGAGTGAAAGTGTTAAGGTGCCTGTACAGGTCGTTCGAAGCATGGAAGGTATCATTTGGCCGGGCGGGGGGTACCGGTGCCATTGCGATCCTCGTCCGATTGACTAGAGCTATCATCGCTGTTTGTGGCAGCGTTGCGAAGCCGCTCCGCCCGGTCTTGAAGAACCTGGGCCTCGGCCGCTGCCTTTTGGGCCCGGATCTGCTTTCGCCACATGCCGGCGTAGCGACCCTTCATCGCAAGAAGCTCTTCGTGGGTACCGCTCTCGGCGACTTGACCATTTTGCAAGACCAAAATGCGGTCTGCAGTGGTGATAGTGCTGAGTCGGTGAGCAATCACGAGCATAGTACGGCCGTGAGAAAGAGTGGAAAGGGCTGTCTGGATGTGCTCCTCCGTGTCAGTATCGAGCGCAGCCGTGGCTTCATCCAGGAGAATAATGCGAGGGTTCTTAAGGATAGTGCGAGCAATGGCCACACGTTGCTTCTCACCACCACTGAGGCGCAGACCACGCTCGCCAACCTTTGTAGCGTAGCCGTCTGGGAAAGCCAGTATCTTATCATGAATGCTGGCGGCCCGGCAAGCCTCGTACACCTCTTCATCCGTGGCGTCCTGGTTGGCATATTTCAGATTATACATCAATGTCTCATTGAAAAGCACAGTGTCCTGCGGCACGACACCTATATGCTTACGCAGGGAGTCAATGGTGACGTCTTGCACGTCATGACCATCTATACGAAGACAGCCCTTCTCGGCATTGTAGAACCGGAAGAGGAGTCGGAAGACCGTAGACTTGCCTCCACCCGACTCTCCGACCAAAGCAGTGGTTGTGCCAGGTTCGCAGTGGAATGTGAGTCCGTTCAAGGCTGGCTTCCGAGAGTCATATGAGAACTCCACATTCTGGAAGCGAAGATCACCCTTGCACATAGCTAAGGGAACAGCACGGGGGCTATCGACCACCGTGGGCTGCTCTCGGAACAATTCCAGCATACGTTCCGCATTAATGAGCGCAGACTGAATAGAGCGGTAGAAGGTGCCGAAAAAGTTCAGCGGGCCCTGAAGCTGCGCCATATAGGTCAACAAAGATACAAATTGACTGACAGGACGCTGGCCGGTGGAGACCTGGTACGCAGCGATGAAGCAAGTTGTCAACAGGCCCATCATGAAGACCGTGTTCTGGCAGGTGTTGAGCAGAGTGAGAGAGAAAAGAACGTGATACTCGGCCTTTTGGAATGTGCCGACAGCATCACGGTAGCGGTCGAATTCGTACTGTTCTGCATTAAAGTACTTGACTGTCTCATATGAGACCATGGAGTCATTCCTAATTTCCAAGTCAGTAATTGTCATGAATGCGGCGATGGAAACCTACTTGACAGCATCTTCTTGACGTGAAGCATTGACCATCTGTCTTCTGATCTCCGCTCTCCACTGGGCCATGCGAATAGTCACGTAGAGATAACCAAAGGTGGAGATACCAACAACAAGGGCGTAGTATACATCGAAGAAAATAAGGAAGTAGCCAACCGCGACTCCCAGATCAACCAACATGGGGACGACCTGGAAGGTCACCTGCTCCAAAAATGTGTTGATCGAGCTACCCTTGCTCAGTGCCGAGAGCACCTCACCGGTCTTCTTACCCAAATGGAAGTCCAAGCTGAGTCCATGCACATGCTCAAAGGCAGCCGTGGAAAGCTCCATATAAGAGTACTGGCTCACGGGGATCCAGAGGCTAGAGCGCAGGGAGCCCAGCAAGCCCTGACCACCCTGCAGCCATCTATACACGACATACATAAAGATTTCAAACCATGGAACACGAAACTGGCCTTCGTCATCAGACAAGGCCTTTGTGACATTTCCGACCTGGATGGGCACCATCACGTTGATGACTCGTTGGGCGATAAGTATGAGGAAACAAGCCACCACGACAATCTGGAGCCGGCGGGACTTGGAAGGCCACAAGTAAGGGAAGAAGAGCGAGTAGCCACTCAGATACTCCCACCAGCTAGTCGAGGGGATGGTTGTGGGACGGACCCATTTGTCTTGCGGCTTTGACGGCTCGGGGTGTCCATTTCCATTTCCATTTCCATTTGTTGACCCGTATGTAGGACCATTGCCATTGCCATTGGCCGCACCATTCTCCGCGTTTGATGCGTCCAGCAAGCCAGTCGACTCCGTGGCTTCCCCACTGGACCGTCCGCGCTTGTCATGCTGCTTGCAGCTAATCGACTTGCTGGCATATAGGACGACCAAGGCGAACAGAATTAGGATTCGAACGGCATTCGAGGCCACCTCCAAAGACTCCCATACTGTGATGCTTCGGCGAATCCGACCACCCTCTGGGTCTCCTACGACGGGTTCATGGTGGACGGAGGTGTAAATGAACAGGGAGGTGCTAAGAATAACCAATTCGATCGGGATGGCAACTGACCAGCAGACGAATTGAGCGAGTGTCGGCGATGGGGTGGTATCCAGTAATGAAATGAGCAAAACTGCGTAAACGAAAAAAGAGCCGACAATGTAGACCTGATCATAAGTTAGCAAAGTCTCTTGATTGGGCCGGTTGACATATCCCGGCAATTTGGGACCCTGGAGGGTATTTGCCCCGAAACTTACCACGACCGACTGACCACGCCACCAATGTTCGGACCTTGCTATTATCACATGGAGGATGTAGATCGTCGCGTCTGCAAGGAAGGTCAGAAGCACAGCAGCCGAAAGCCAGTTGAAGACCCGCTTGACGTTCTCCGAGAACCCCTGCGTCTTGTGGATGCCGGAGCTGCGCGATCTCTGGGGCAGCTGGCGTCCACCAGGTCCCATTCGAGGGGATTCAGTCTGGTTGGCCTTTTTGGCGTTGGCAACGGTGTTGGCGATGAATGCCACGATGAAGAGGATCATAAGGAAGACCGGGTAACATGTTCGCAGGTAATCCAGCAGCTCTAAAGCTGCGTGGGGATCCATGATGCAATACCCCCGAATTATCCCAGATCAAAAGAAACGAAAGTTGATTCAGGCGATTTCCATGACACACACAGTGTCAGTTGTTTTGTGTTGGCGGAAACGACTGAGTATGGAGGGATCGACGCGAGGAATGATCGCGGCCGCACGCGGGGGATTATGTAGGCGTGAATTCGCTTTTTGGGTCCACGAGGCGAGATCGGTAAATCTTAATCCTTTTTCCCCTTCGATGTTGATCTTGGTATTTTGCTGGTTTCGTATGAATTAAATTTTGGTGATTATTTCAAATATGCTCGATTCACGTTAATTTTCTTTTTTTCCCCTTTTCCGCTGGGTTCTTGGAATGTTTTTCTAGCCTTTTCCTGGCCTTTTGAATGGTTGAATTGCTTCAAACCCAAAAATCATTAGGCAACCCGAGAATCCACGAGGTGGCGAAAAACGTAAAAAAAAGTAGAAAACCGGGGAACAAAGAGATGCGATGGAAAACAAGTTAAGAAAGTCCCACATACAAAGAAGAATTGATCTTCTCAGGCATTTAAGAGTGGAGGGAATGACGGTGTGGATGCAGCTCAAGACTCCACCGGAGTTGTTGGCTCACGCTCTTCCGTTTTATATGAGAATTCCAAGGTTGTTTGCATCCAGCCCGAACCACAAACTCGGAAACTTTGCCAGATGTTTCTGTGTGCCCAATGGTCCAGGTTTAAATGTTCAATGTCAAGCAAACTGCAGAAAGCTAGATGTAAGGAGAAGAGGATGAAATATATGAAATGAGAAATAAAATAATACAAAAAATGAACATGACAGTATCAAATTAATATACATGAGTTCTATATCGGTATACGCGAGGTAGAAGATCTAGTTCGTGTTACCATCGGTGCTTTTGCGATTGAGATCAGCCTAGACTGATGGTCTAGATTGCTCTAGGGCTCTTTGACCTATTTATTGTACTGCCCAGGTAGCTCGTATAGTGGTATACATGTATACATCGTCACGAAATCTTTCTATTTCTGTTTCTATTTCTATCCCTTCCTATTCTATTTCTATAACTGTTGGATTCATTGGCTATCCGGTTCCCCGATGTGAAGCTTGTTTGTTTCTGTCCAAAGTAAGACATTTTTTCCCTTCTACTCAAGTGCTTAATCATGCCTGAAAGTTCAAATCACCTATCACACTCATATGGTTTCCATCGGATAGTCCGGGGTGACCTGCAGTGGGTCAATTTCCAAAATCTGATCTCTCGTCTTGTGTGTTGGCCATGTCAGACCGCTCTTAGGATCAGTACAATCATATTCTCCTCAGGTGTTAAGATATAGAGTATATACTTTATGATATACATGAATGCCTTCAAGCCCAATTACAGGTGTCCACTTGTGCATTTCATTGTGTAGGTGAGATGTGAGGTGTAATCTTCATCTTCATCTCCAATTAATTGATGAGATCCCATGTCCCCCCACTTTTTTCTCACCGCTTTGCCTTACCACAACCACCTTGGCTTAGTCCAACACGTCAGGACCTGAAACCCCGGCGATAACCTTCATTTTGGTCAACTGGTCGTGTGCCCTTAAGCAATGGAAGTGTGATAGAAAGTCATGTCAGACCTGTCAGGGTCACGCTACCCGCCCCCTCCCCCGCCACCTCCGCAAAGGTACTCGCGTGCTGCTAACGCCCTCGCCCGGTTCGCGCCGTTCTTCGGGTCGAGACCCCCAAGTCCGCAGAATAGTCGGGTGGATGGTCCTCGGCCGATCAGGTCCAAATCACTGTACGTTGCCAATCATCTACACCGCTGCTTGTGACACTTTCTATTTGCTTGGGGTCAGGCCCATATGGCTGCTATTTGATACCTTACCCCCCTTCCTACTTACCGCATCCCCGATTCCTCGTGTTGAGATCGAACCAATCCTGATTTCACGATATAGTCCAGGTGAACCTCAGACCGTCACCCATCGAACTGGCATACCCATTGTCGCTCTCGATATCTCTCCCCAACGGACTCATGCTGTGATCGGCGGTAAAGATATCCTCAAAACCATCCGTGTCTCGCCTGACCACTCGTCGGAGGAATTTAATATTCGCAATGCAGTCGTGAGCTATGCATCCACTCACCATGATGCGGGCGTGTCCATGCCGCATAAGGACCAGTTGAATGTAAAGGATGTAAAGTGGTCACATGGCAATTACGACCGGATAATCGCCACGGCCGTCGCCAATGGTCGGATTGTCGTTTACGACCTGCAGCGGCCCGGCCTCCAATTATGTCGCTTCCAGGGCCACAACCGTCAGGTTCACAGACTTGCCTTCAACCCTCACCTCGCCTCTTGGCTGCTGTCCGGCAGCCAGGATGGGACCATCCGCATGTGGGATCTGCGATCTGCTTCTACGAATCGCGGTCTTTCCACGTGCGGCAGCAAGCATATCTACCAGGGCAATAGTGATGCCATCCGGGACGTCCGGTGGTCCCCCAGCGATGGGGTCGTGTTTGCGACCGCCTCGGACAGCGGCGCCATCCAGATGTGGGATTCGCGAAAGACCACCGCCCCGCTGATGCGCATTGCGGCTCACGATCGTCCGTGTTTCGCCGTTGACTGGCACCCGGACGGGAAGCATATCGTCAGCGGAGGCACGGACCGACAGGTCAAGGTCTGGGATTTCTCTTCTTCTGCAGAGCGACGGCAGAAACCTGCGTTCCAGTTCCGAACTCCCCAGCCCGTAACAAATGTGCGCTGGCGCCCTCCATCGTGGGTCGGCGACTCCCCGGGCTCGGGGGAGTGGCAATCCTCCCAGGTTGTCACCTCTTACGACAAGGAGGACCCGCGTATTCATCTGTGGGATCTGCGCCGGCCGCATGTCCCGTTCCGGGAGTTTGATCGGTATGACACCCCGGCAAGTGACCTGCTCTGGCACTCGAAAGACTTATTGTGGACTGTCGGTGAGGTCGGGGCGTTCACTCAAACTGATCTTCGCTATGCACCTACGGTGGTCACTCGGCGGCCGACTTGCTCGGTCGCCTGGAGTCCCAATGGTGCGTTCGTTGCATTTGGCCAAAAGCGTCCTCGGCGCCGAGGTCTTGGTGTCAATGCCCCTCAATTTCTTCAGGTTGAGGAGGACGCCGCCAGCACTGGGGAGCGGTCATTAAGCCAAAGTCCGGCAGATGACATGCTTGATGATGAAGCTCTAGCTTCCTCACTTCGGCATCGGCAGACCAAGTCCAACGCCGTTCGTGCGTCAAAGTCCCTAAGTAGCACGCCACCAGGGCCTGTGGACATTATCCCTATTTTACCCCTGGACCAAGCTTTGGCCAAAATTACCACCCCAGCTCCCGAGCAGCTTGGGGCAATTGGACGCATCCCTGGTGCAACGAATGATGAATCACAATTTCGATTTTTGGCGCGTCACTATTCACCTCTGATAAACGAATCTGATCGCCAGAAAACCCATATCGATGCTCTCAATTCCTTGATGAACTCGCTAGACCAGAATGCCGAGAGTGCAGATGACATCTCCATGCCCAAGCTAGCCCAGACATGGCGCATCGTGAAATTCTCCATCACCCAAGAGCTTCAGCGCAGGTCGCGGGAGCAGCCATCCAAAAGTGGCATAAAGGGGAAGTCATCTAAGGATGGCTTGTTGGGCGAAAAGTCGCGAACCGATGACAATCGCCAGGGGAAGGTAAAAAGTCGGCTGTTCAAAGGGGTCATGGAGACAGAAAGCCAGAGAGTAGGGCCGGAGGAGAGCACTTCCAACATGACAACGCCACTGGCACGGCCATTGCCCGACTCCCCACGAATGGAATCGTGGAGTAGCGATTCCCAGATCCCCTCGTTGGATGAGAACGCTATCGATCTTGATCCCCTGCCTCCATCAGTGTTGAGTTCGCATAATGGCTGGAGTATGCCAGAGCGTAGTATTGGTCCCACGGACCTTTCGCCTTTGCCGCAAGGTCAGTCGGTGTCGAGTGAGGATATAAATACGACGGGTATTGTATTTGATCGTCTACGTGACCCGACGTTGGATACGGACAGCGACCAACGATCTGCACCCAGGGCAATCGCTGGGAGGGTAGACTGGCGTACTCGCAACCATCCAGACTTTCCTCGCGAAGCCTCGGAAGACGATTATGACCAGCAGATGGAGGACAAGCGAGCTGCCATTCGAGACTACAAGCAATTTCCCAAGAAAGTTCTAACCCTGGATTCTCAAATGGAATCCAATCGTCCTCCTGCGCCCGAGCGGTACCAGCGACACGATTCTTCAGAGAGTTTCCCTATGTTCTCTGCATCCACCGACAGTTCTCACCCTTCAAAATCGATTGGTGCCTCCTACTCATCCAATAGTCGATTCCCAGAGCGGCGACCGTCCGATGCTGACCAAGCTGGGTCTTATGGGCGATTAAGTGTGTCAGGCAGGAGGGAATCCATCTTGGAACCGTCACCGCAAGAGCTGGATGAAGATCTTAAATTTGATGATTCTGCCGAAGCCAATCAAGTTCATCTTCAGCGACCTTCCAGTCCTCCGGTCTTACTGACCGAATCCACTCCTCTAGAACGCCCAGACTCAATGGACCAACTCCAGTCTTACAATGCGGTGTCAGTAGATGTTTCAGCCTATCCAATGATGGCAGGAATCTATGAAGACCTCTCCCAGGTCAGAATCCCCTTAGCTGCTGATACAGCCGAACCGAAGCCATGGAGCATTGAAGCCATTTTGAAGGAGGCGGTCCGATACTACCACAGCAGCAATAGCTCCGTCGATATCCAGACTGCAGCACATTTGCTTCAGAAACTCCATGTCCTCTTTCAAGACTGTGAGGAGATTCTTCCCCGTGAGGAGAGCGAAATGATCTTCAAGACCTACAACGAATATTTAATTCGGCATTCCATGGACTTGGAGGCTGCAGAGCTCCGTCTATCCTGCGTGCCCACCTACCCTGCAGTCTACGACTACGCCCAGGTCGACACCTACATCAATGTATTCTGCTATACCTGCCAAAAACCATACGAGAATGCCAAACGTGACAACACCCGTTGCGACCGCTGCAGCACTCCTCAAGCACCGTGCTCCATTTGTATGAGCATCGACCCGCCCGCTGAATGGGTCGCTGCACAAAAAGACCCGCACTCAACCTCGTTTGGTTCCGCAAGCCCTGAATCTGAAACCACCTCACACGCCTCCCTAGTCCCAACGGAGATAGCCCCGAGTTTCGAGCTATATCAATTTGACTCCTTTGCCGCACCCCGACCAAAAGGCTCTTCCCTCTGGACCTGGTGCCAAGGGTGTGGCCACGGCGGCCATGTCGCCTGCATCACAACCTGGCTGAACGATATATCCATCAGCGAAGGCGGCTGTGCTACTCCCGGGTGCTCGCACGACTGCGGTCCAGGTCCGCGGCGCGACTCCAACCGCCACGAACTACTGGCTGAGTCGAAGCGACGCGACTCTGCCAGTCGTTCTTCGGGCGTTGGTGTTGTGAAACGTGATCCATGGACAAAGGGGGAAAGTAAAGCCGTTGAGAAAGTCCGTGGTATGCTTGGTGCTGCCGGCGTTGTTGCTACTACAGGTGGGACTATCTCTACTGGTTCTTCAGGCCAGCCTGTCTCTTCTGGAGCTGTTTCTCCTAAGAGGGTGAGGTTGGTTACACCGGGCGAGCAGGGTCTGCGGAGGGGTCCTTCTAACCGGTCCAGCGCTGCGCCTTCGGAATAGTTCCTCTTTTCGTATGGCCGTGAAGTCTGGGAATCTGCTGGCGTAGCACCATGTACTTTATTTTCTTGTTTTTAGCGAGCATCTTCGAACTTGATTCCCCCAATGCCATTTGATATTTTACTTTAAACTCCATCTTTAATATTATTATCTATATGCACCTAGATTTGCATTACGAATTCGACCAGATATTAGAACCTCCGCTTCTTCTTCGGGGCTTTACTCTTCTCCTCAAGTTGTCGTTTCAACTCCTCTCGTTTCCGAATAGTTCTCTGCTCCTCACTCTCCTCCGAAGCATTGGCACTCTTTTCTTCTCGACTAGGTTGACTTCGAGATGGCTCCTCTTTCGGTCCCGGGGTTGGTACTACCTCCGTAGGACTATGCAGATCGGGAGATTCGTCGCATTTTTCCTGCTTTTGCTTGGGAGCTGGAGCAGGTTTTGGGACTTCAGGTGCTTTGTTTGTAGTTTTTTTCCCGCCTATCGTTCCAAGCCTACCGGCTCTGGCTTTGCGCGATGATGCAGGTGGAGAGGGAGAGGGAGGGGCTGGTAACGGTGATGGTTGCTTTTCTTCTTTCTTCTTCTTGCCTCCGATCACACCCAAACTACCTTTGACTTTCGCTTTCTTGGGCGGATCTTTGATCTCGGGGTTCGGCAGACCAGGGTTTTGAGGCGTAGGTGTGGGTTCCAGAGGTGCTGAGGTAGTCTCGGGCTCCGAGTCCGATGCTGTAGCTTCACCTGCGTCTATTTCTGGCACTGCCTTTGAGGATTCTTGCTCCTTTGATTTATGGGGTGAAGAGGTCGGTTTTTCCTTCTGTGCTTTGAGTCGGAGAGGGGTCTCTTGTCGTTGAAATTCATCTTCACTGGCGGTTGAAGCACCATCCTCGTCCAGATCCAGGTCTTGGTCTTTCTGAGAAGCCCTGACAGGATCATCGTTGGAAGATGCGGATTCCTTTTTCGGCGGCGTAGTTACCTCAGATTGAGGGGTTTCGGTCTTTTGCAGATCATTCCACCACTTTTCTTGCGGTGCGCGAAGCTTTTCAACATCGCAGCTACCAGATCTCGCAAGCTCGTTCAGGATATTTGCAGCTAGACCGGAGCTTTCAGAAGTATTTCCAGACTCACAGAGCCATGCCGCTTCGTCAAACGGTGCAAGGCCTTTGATGAATTTTGCGGCCTCCAATCTTGTACTACCCTTTTTGATAGAGCGCATCCCAACAGCACCGGGGAATACAGTGCCCAGATCAGCACCCAAAGCCTCAAACTTGTCGAACAGCTTCCCGAGAACCCAGTCTTTCTGTTTGAGCTGGTCCAACAGAACTCGCTGTCGGGATTCCCAGCCCGCCTCATCCCTCAGTAGCGGAAGGAGCAATCGATCGGTCAAAGACGCCGATATCTCTTTTGACAGATAAAGAGTCCATTTCAAAGGCCGCATTGGAGTGGGTAGTTTAGAACTTGTGCGGAGGACGAGCGAATCGGCTTGCGCTCCACTGTTCAGGGTTGCGCTGCCTCCATCACCACGTAGACCCTCTCCAACCTTCACTAAAAACACATTGAACTGTTCCTGATCTTCACTCGGATCGATGGTGGTGTCGATCTGTTCCGCTCGCGCCAGGATCTCTTGATGCGACAGCCGTTCCGTCCAAATAGAGGTGAGATCAGTGACGCAGAGCGCGTAACCTTGGCGAGTCCATGTGTATTGGAAAAGAAGCGGGGGTGAGCTTGTCTGTTGTAAATTCAATCTTTGCCATGTGGGAGCCATGGTTTGAGTTGGTGGGGGGAAGGTGGTCTCTTGAAGTCGGTGGATTGAGCTCAGACGCGGAGGAGCTGACAGAGCCGCACAACTTTGCTCCCGCACGGTTCCTGTCAATCTGTCAACCTCGCGACTAATGCCACGTTTTGGCTTTGGTTTTATTTTATCTGCATAGGCTCTATTTACATCTTTGCGGCTTCTAGATTGGTTCGATCCGCATGATCGATCATCGATTGCATCGATCGCGGTTCCCCCACTTATGCCGACCGAGCAATCTCCGATAACAGCGATGAGTGACCGTTCACCAGATTTGAATGGATAGAAAGCGAAGTGAAACAAACTGGATCAGATAAAGGATGATAGTATGATTTTGGATTTTGGAATGGGCAGGCATTCAAGCCTCGGCTCTTGATACCACTCCGCATTCGTGGTCTCCTTTCCGCGGACTATAAGTGTCGACGCCGAGTACACAAGGACGGCCAACCAGTCAATGAACAACTTCTGACCTGGAGATACAAAAAGAAACTCGACTCGGACTCGAGAGATGATCGCCGTGCCAATGCCCACTGCAGGTCCATCGGAGCCGGTTGAACCGGGTAGCATCCAACCCATTACTTCAGGCTCTCATGAATGATGTCTTTGACTCGCGTGCTATGAACTCATCCCAACGATAATGAATAGCCGACCAGTCCACGATCATGATTATCGTCATGATCATGACCGTTGCCGATTTCCGACCAATGCATATCAATGAAACCGCAAGTACCCATATCCGAATCCCACTCAACGTCCAAGTGGCCACGAATGGAAGCACAACGTACCATAACAACCCGCTAGAGTTGTGCAAGGTTACAAGCTCATCTACGACTTTATCAATCAACCCGACCCGTACGGGATTGGGTGGACTGTGAAGTCTTCAGTAATTTTCATGTATTCCTCCGGAAGTATCATCCACGAGGCATGGAACTGTTTATTTCCTTGGTGATACCAGCGCCACTTCCCAGAGCCAGTGCCTTTTGACTTAGCTTTTGCTACACGAAGGGCCGCTGACCAGTTGTCTCAGATCTATTAGTGGAAGTAACACCTGCGCAACAGCTTTGTATTGAGAGCAAGTTCATTTTGATATATGATGTATTATATGCATGGGGATTCGGGGCGTATTTGGCAGTTCATCGGTGGGGAACTGGATTGGGTAGGAAATATTTCCCCCCAACTTCCATCGAAAGGATCGTGAAGTAACTAAAGTCCTCAAGCTTGGCCCACGTGTGGAGACCAGTGTCAAATGCTTAAACCGACCACTTGGAGATTCTATGTAACCTTTCAACTTTCTCTTAAGATACCATTGACTTGTAATGACCAGGTTTAGTACTTTTGGTTTCCTTTACCCTCTTCTCTTACTTTTCATCTATTCCGTGTCCTTCCTATTTTTTATTTTTAATTTTTATTTCTGATTTTTCCAAGTTTCCTATTTTCCAGATTTTCCACTTTTCCAATTTTTGTTTTTATTTTTATTTTTATTTTTCCAATTTCCCTTCTCCTACGGGCCTACGAAGTCGCGGACGTTTCTATCGGCTTCCGGTAACACGCAGTCCTGCAACATGCAGGAGAGGCCAACAGAAACAAAAATACCCGGGCAGGACAACAATCCCAGAAAAAGATTTAGGCAACCTTTCCAGAATAAGTCTTTCAACCTATCACTGTCATCTTCCGAGAGGTCCGCGATCTAATGCACAGTGAAGAACGGCCAATGGGTCTGGTGTACAACTTGCCAGCCACTGCCTCTCTTCGCCTTTACCTTTGCCCCCACATGATTCATTCTCAATTGACTCTTGATTTATTATTATTTTTATGTGCAGTCTGCAGTAGCATCTTAGATCGAGCCGCGCGTAAGATCATTGGCCTAACGTCCCGTGCTATGGCAATTGTAGTTCCACAAAGAACTTGGGTATCTGAGGAGTCAATGACTGTAGATGGCGCCAATAGTATCCCCGTTTCATTTTTCCCTTGGGTTCTCCTAAAAAAGGGATCAGCCCGTCTCATGCTGTTTGACCCGGGGATGCAGGCTATTCACGGTTTCCAGCAGATTAGGAGGCATGTGCCTCATGTGCTGGCGTGGGGAGGTGAGAAATGTATTTTACTTTTGTTTTCACAATAAAATAAATAAAATTTCGAAACTGTCAAAAATGCATAAATCCATACAAATGAGTAATTTTCCAGATTTTACTGATCCAATCTGGGTTCTTGAATGGCGGCTTGTGCTAAGCCTAAGCCCATGGCCCCGGTTACTTTAACTTGCACGATTCCCCATTTCTTCGACTTCTCTACCTTTTCTTTTCATTCTTGATCCTTCACAGTTTAAGCTTCTCACAAGTCTTATAAGCTATAGCTTGTTCCTCATTATGCGGCGTGATATTGATCATTGTTTCCCATACCACTTGCACTTGGCTGAAATGTCAACTGGCCGAGAGCAGGGTCCTACTCATCTATCGGAACAAACACCCGAAGTAATCCCCCCGGATACCTTGCAATATCCAATCAGCAACTGGGCGGCACCTAGATTGCCCACGGGTTCGCAAGTCATGGATTTCCATCAAGATCCTGGACATACTAGTGGTAACCCTAGTGATAACGCTTGGGGTACCACCATGTCGGGTCCAGATGAAGAGCAATTCAATCAACCTCATCAGATGGGAGAAAATATGCCAAACATGCTTTACTCCCCTATCCTGTCCTCTTCCACTCATTCTGTGGCTCAATTAGGGTCGGAGCATTTTCGTCCTGAACTGAAGCCTGATCCTGATAGTTTGCTGTGTCAACAAGAGCAACAGCTTCCAGGCTTGTGGGATGAGCCCCCTATCGATTCGATCTCTAGAGAGCTGGAACAAGCCATGAAGCTGGAAGACTCTGACGGAACTTTCCCTTCTACACCCACCGCCTTAACATCCCCCTCAACAACTTCTCACTACTCGTTCCCCAACTCGCCCTGCCACTCTTCTGGTACTCCCTCTGAAAGCACCAGCATCATGGTAGACCACACCTCCCCCGGAACCAGCTCTGAATTCAGTGAAGGGGATCCTCCCATCGACCCTCCATACTCCCAGTTGATCTTCCGAGCTCTCTACGAGTGCGAGAACCATATGATGCCACTCCAAGAGCTCTATGCCTGGTTCAAAAATAATACCAACAAGGGCAAAGAGCAAGGAAATGGATGGCAAAACAGCATTCGACACAATCTTTCTATGAACGCCGTACGTACACTCCACTTTACCACTAACGCCAAATCCATTATCATCAAAGTTAACCAATTCAAACAGGGGTTTCGTGCTATCAAGAGTGAAGAGAAACATGTTCCCGGCAAGAGAGTCGTGAACTATTGGAGCCTTACCGCGGAAGCCCTCTTAGACGGCAAAGTAGAATCCACCACACGCTACCGTCGATCCAACCCCAAAAAGAGCCCAAAGTCCGACGGTTCCAACCGTCGCAGAGGTCACGGGGGTATAAACAAAGGGAAAGGGAAAGAAAAAGTCAAAGGCAAAGAGACCCGCTCCGAGCACGAAGAACACCAGCACTTTCCTCCAAGTCAGATTCAGAGTCAGGCTCAGAATCAGAATCAGGCCCAGACTCAGCCTCCATTCATGGAGGGCTTCATTTGTCAACATGGAGTACCTGGGTACCAGATGTGTCCCATGTCTACCCAAATGTCTCCCGTGTCTACCCAGATGTCTTCCATGTCCCCCATGTCCCAAATGTCTACCGTCCCTTCCATGATACCCATATCTGCCATAACTCCTGCAACCATTCCCCAAGTTCCTGTGCCCATGGGCTCCCAAATGCAGGTTTACTCGCGTATATTTGGAGTGGGATACGATAGTGTGACAGGCTGCACGCCTTCGTCGCAGAACAGCCCGATGTTTGGTGATGTGGATCCTGTACCGATCCAGGAGCCAGTCGGGGGGAACTATGGATGGTGTAATAATGGGGTCGTTATCAAATCCACTAACCAATCGACTTCTATGAAGGAAGAAAGGTGGGGATGAAAAGGGGGGGAATATTACAGTAGCTGGACTTGGGGCAGCTGACTGCATACCTTCTTGATCTATGTTGTTCGTTCAGTTCGTTGGTATTGATTTTTTCCATTGATTTTTGTATCTTTTGACTTTAATCTTTTACGGCTTTTGGATTTGACTTATGATCTAGTGACCCTCGGATAAAATAGAGAGGCATGTTGAATTGCGATTGGAGGAATTATTCTACTACTTTGCCGATCAGCTATCCCAGGTCCTTGTTCTCTGCATCCTTTTGCTTTTTTCCCTCTGAATTATCAACCTCTAGATTTAAATATCCTTATCCATAAGGCGACTAGGCGTTCATCCAGATGCGTTCTTTAGTCGACATATCACCTCAGGTACTAGTCACTACTAAGTCCTTTATGGTAAACTCTATATCCCGCTTCTCATGATCCACTTGACCATTTAACAGCATTTGAACTGCAGGTCTCAACTATCTAGCAAGGAATATGCGCGAGTAGAAAGTTAGGTCCTACTAATACCATACCATTATCCTGCATTACACTCCTGAATACCCTAGAATATCCGGTGTAGAAGAATTCACTCTCGGGACAATATCCGGGGGAAAGGATCAATACAGACTATAGATGCATGTACAGGCTTGACATAGATTTCACCTGTGCAAATCCTCCACAATTGGTCCACCTCGTTTAATCGACTGTCCTGTCAGACCTATCCAGCCCTTCCCCAATTAACCGCTTGCGCTCATGCCTATCTCCAAACGTTCTATTCGACGCCTGCAACGGTCCATGACATGCCACCGGTGACGCAGACATGTCTTGCCGGGGGCGGCTGCACCTGAATGATCATCTCACTTTCCCCACTTTGCCCCCCGATCTCGCTACTGATACACAGCCTTGCCCAAAGCTTCCAGGTAGATCGCACGGGCAAGACTGTGGTACCGAGGCGTTCTCAGCGAGTCATGCCCCAGTCAAATGCATTGGCCAGGTAAAGTGGAGTACAAAGCTGTAGGGCCATAATAGCCCATTGAAAGTTGCCACAGAGGATCTATCTCCCATTTAGATCCAATTCAATTCACGGTCCTCCATAGCTCGGTGCTATACTAGTTCCCCAGAATCGATCAAGATCGACAAAAACGTCATCGATCCACGGCCGAAGACACGGCACAGATACGGGTATTTTTCGGATTTAGAGGCTAATATGTGGCAATGGCATTGACGAATTGGAGGTTGACAGGGATGTATCTGGTCTGGATGACCGGTGAGTAGTACGAAGCCGGATTAGCTTATCGCAGCCACGGTGATTCTTTTCACCTCCGTATTCTTCTTTGGGTGTTACGTCCCGCGTCTTGTATCTTGCATCTCGCGTCTTTTACTTGTACTTGTACATTTACAGTACTTGCATCCCACTAGGAAATGACAGCTGCAGATCTGACGCACGACGTTTTCGCCATTTAGTTACCCACGGACCGTTCCGCTCAGGACCGAACCTGTCACTGTGCGGAGTTCATTTGCATAGTCGATCTTTCATGAATCTTAATCTGCATAAATCCACTTATTTTATGGCATGATTCTTTTCATACATAGTGTCTATGCTATACATATTCCTAATGTTTAATTCCAGGACAATTATTTGATATGCATGGATATATTCTGAGTAAATATTAATCCCTTCCCATCTTTTACCGGAATTGATCTCCGGTGTCTAGATTACACTCACTAGAATTGCGCCGGCATGCTACCTAACGAGCTAGCTATCGAACTATTGGACTAGGATCCACAGGGCACGGCTGGTCTTTGCTCGAACAAAAACTCTAATTGCATGGGAAAGTGAAGTACACGCTAACTAAGGTCTGATATCATATTGCATGCTTCGAGTGTTGGACACGCTGCACGGACCCTATAGGTTACGGATCTTCGTGTCCATCCTTTAGCTCCTTTTCTTTTGTTGTTTACGTATTTACCGAGATCCACTTGTATATACGGTCGGCTTTTTTCCTTTAATAAGGTATAGCTTTGATGCAGGGGAAGTTCTGTCGGTGTCAATAGTTTAGATGACAGTCTCCGCAATTTGAACGAGCAGTCAAGCCTCACTTTCAATCAGGGCCATTCCGCACCCGTGACACGTATCGATTTTTGGCTTGTCGAGAAAACGGGAACATCCCAACGGCCTTTTCTCAAAATAGGGAGTTCTCTAAATTGAGTTGATTGAAAAATAAATATAAAAGGTTTAGGATCTACACCAGATCCCTATCGCATCGAGGCATGTCCCGCGGTTAAGGATTCACATATAATTGGACGGAAAACAAATACCAGATCCAGCTGAGTATTCATTCGATACGATGCACGATTCGAAATGTCAAAACTTTAAACAGGGGTCGAGTGAGATCTAGCTAAGTCCCGAGCACTTGAGTGGTTAGCCGATCTGTGATAGACAAGGATCTTGCAAAAGCCCCTTTCGAATCTGGAATTATTTTAGATGTCTCCTAGACAATGCTCTTTCTTTGTTTGAATGAATCAGGAAAGTAAGAATTTGTAAAAAATTTGTAAATTTTACACAAATTGTTCTACTACAATCCCCAAATTTGACCATGTAGACGTTGAAAAAACCTGACGTTTTGACCTCCTGTCATATACAACCTTATAATTATTAGGAAGACACGTCAGTTCACCCTAGCATCGGCCTTATGGCGGTGGAACTGCAGCTAATCTGTGGGCTTTTTTCATTCATGCACGTACTTTTGTCTCGGTATTGAGACTCCTGCCTATTTGAGTAAAGGCCATGGGACTGAAACCCACCATCGAGTAGGTGCGTGAATCACACACTTGGTTTTGCTTTTTTCTCTCCCTCATCGCCCTTCTCATCGCCCCCCTCATGAGCTCTGTCAAGACTTTGGTGAACTCCTGACATATCAACTTGCACTGACCCGTCGTTTATCGAAAATATCTACATCCATTTCTAAGTTCGGGGCGATCCCCGTTGCGCCTCCAAGCGCTGGCTGAAGTTTATAAGCCCGTGGACCTAAAATTTATCCACTTGCCTAGGTAGGTTGACAGCATCGTGCTAGCGTTCTTAGTCGTTGCCTTGTGCTGAGGTGCGGTGATAAGCACATCCATTTCATGCTTTACGGACCGCGAGTGCGTCGATGTGGGTATCCGCGACCCGTGAGGACATCCAGTTTCTGAATACATGTAGAGCCAGCGGAACATTCGGCTGTGTGGTGTTTTGTACGTCAGTTGCCAATGCAACCTGATATTTTTACGAGATGCAACTAAGCTCACAGTATGTCAGTAGGAGTGCCTTGTCAAGGCATCGTCGTAGCCTAAGGTCCATGGCTTAAGGCACGATCGCTTAAGATATCCACATATGATAGAACACGATCACGAGAAGCGCCACTTAGCAGACAAAAAGAGCACTATAAGCAAATTTGAGTTTCAGGGGCAGAGATCCAAATTCAGAATCTCCGACGTTCCACGCCATCGAACCATAAGAGCTAAATCTCTGCAGCTGCGGGCCGAATAGAAACGTGCTGATACCTATTTCAGGCCACCAAACAAGTCGATTCATTGAATGAGATTTCTTCCATGTATGTCCTAGTTTATATTAAGTCCTGTTATAGCTCATTACTTTCTTCCCCGGCCTTGCATCACGCCTGTCGTATCTGCGCCTCATGGCGGTCTGGCGACGACATCGTGGATGCTGTCCGATGACATGGAGATGCATTGTTGGCGGATGCCGCGGTGAAGGAAGAATTGTTGAAAGAGGGATCTTAGTGGCTGACACGGTCAGTGATGGTTGTGGTTGGCACATAGTTGACACACAAAGGGTCTAGACTCTTGACGAATACAACACCTGTAAAATATGACGCGGTGCGGCTCATCAATGGAAACTAGGGGAGGTTTGGAATGCCCGGGAGATCGGTGAGAGATTGCAGCGTTGGGAAGATTGCTATAGACTTCAATGGGAATTGAGATACGGGCTCTACGTCTTTGACTCATCCAGACTGAACCTCGCAAGTAATTGTAACAATGCGGGTTCATCCGAGACATTCCAAGCAAGATAAGAGAAGTTGAGCAATGCCCAGGCGAGAAAATGGGGAACGAACGCATTGTGGGAATCAACTCATGAAGGTAATAATTTGGGTTTCATTTGCATAGTCACGCCCCAATCCTGGATTCGTGAACTAGCGGTTCCTGTCCATCGTTTTAGATTCTAAGAGAACCGTTCCCAACCATTTTTTCCGTAACGTCCGCTCCTCAAAAAAGACCAACACCGACGAAAATGGACTTTGCTTAGCGCTTGGCGGCCTTCTCCTGGGACTCCTTGAGGACCTTCTTGACGATCTTCTGCTCCTCAATCAGGAAGGCACGGACAATGCGGTCCTTGACGCAACCAGCGCAACGAGAGCCACCGTAGGCACGGCTGACGTTCTTCTTGGGGCGGGAGATCTGGGCGTACTCGCGGGGGCGGAGAGCGGGGACCTATTTCAGATTGTGTCAGTCGCTTCGATTCCATCGGCGGTGATGGAGAAATTGTGTGAGTCGTTGGCAGTGCGTAGAGAATTCTTTTCGAGGGGGTGCCTTTTCCGTCGGTCCACCCATATCCACCCACAATGCAAAACCGCACAACCGCACAACGACGCACAATCACACATCGCAGGATAAAAAAATCGATTCAGGAGTTACTCACACCGGGGAGCTTGATGCCACAGTCACCGCACTTGGGAGCAGTACCCTTCTTCTTGAGGTGAAGGTACCGGAGCTCGCCACCGGGGGTCTTGATGATGCGCACCTTGTTGGACCGCGTGTTGTACCTATCGGAGGGGAAATCGTCAATAAATCGCTCTAAATCGATGTAGCCAATCCATCCTGTTCATATCCAGTGTCGAATGAAGCGTAGAGAAGGCATTGTGCGTGAGAAGGGATTTTTTTTCATGAACGTACGGGTTCCGGCGGCGCTAGAGTTGAAAAAATCTAGGTCAGTATTTCGGGACCAAAAAAAAAAAGACAAAGACACAGATTCAAGAGAACTCACGTATTGCAGTCTGTTGTTCACCATTTTGACTGTGCTGAACCTCGGTGGTCAAGAAGGCGTTGGTCGTCGTCGGGTTGTTAACAGGTAAAATGTTCAAGTTGAACGGGTTTGTGTGGGTTTCGCTCTAGCGCAGATTTGGCGAGACCACGCTAATCCCAATTAGGACTAGCGCATTATGGAGCCGCCACCGGAAAGTTCCAAGTTCGAAAGGAGCAACTCAGCAAAGTTAGAGAAGTGAGAAACGACCTTTGGTGTTACCCTTCCCCATACTCCTGGTCGGGTCGAATCTCTTTCTACGCGTTTTTGAGCAATCTTTCTTTTCGTTTTTGTATTCATCGAACCTTTGACCCTTACCTGTCGATGATCTCCGACGTGATTTGACGCGACTCTTGACCCCAACTTACTTATCAGGGAGGGTGGAAACTCCCCCCATCAACATCCACAATCATGGCATCATTGCCTCCTCCCCCTCCTCCAGGATGGGCTGCAGCACCTCCATCATTGCCGATGGCACCGCCGCCGCCTGGATACCAGCCACCTGCCGACCCCAATGTCGCAAAGTTTGCGCAAAAAAAGCATGAATGGCTGCGAACACAACGTAGTCGCTTTGGTGAGAAGCGCAAAGGAGGATTCGTGGAGACTCAAAAGGCCGATATGCCTCCGGAGCATCTGCGAAAAATCGTGAAGGATATTGGCGACGTGTCACAGAGAAAATATACCAATGAAAAGCGAAGCTATCTCGGCGCGTTGAAGTTCATGCCCCACGCGGTTATGAAGCTGTTGGAGAATATGCCGATGCCTTGGGAGTCTGCGAGAGAAGTTAAGGTTCTTTACCACGTCAACGGTTGTTTGACTTTGGTTAATGAGATCCCGCGGGTTATTGAGCCGGTGTTCCACGCCCAGTGGGCTACCATGTGGATGTGTATGCGTCGTGAGAAGAGTGATCGTCGACACTTCAAGCGTATGCGCTTCCCTCCATTCGACGACGAGGAGCCGCCTCTGTCATGGTCCGAGAACATTGAGGATGTCGAGCCTCTGGAGCCAATCCAAATGGAGCTCGACGAAGAGGAAGATGCAGCAGTCTACGAATGGTTTTACGATCACCGACCCCTCCTAGATACCCCCCATGTCAACGGTCCGAGCTATAAGAAATGGAATCTGTCATTGCCGCAGATGGCGACTCTTCACCGCTTGAGTCACCAGCTTCTCAGTGATGTGGTGGATCAAAACTACCACCACATGTTCGACCTCAACAGCTTCTTCACTGCCAAGGCCCTCAATGTCGCCATTCCCGGTGGTCCCCGCTTCGAGCCTTTGTACAAAGATATCGACCCCAATGACGAGGACTTCAGCGAATTCAACGCTATCGATCGAATCATTTTCCGCGCCCCGATCCGAACTGAGTACCGGGTCACCTTCCCCTTCTTGTATAACACCCTCCCGCGGAGTGTCAAGGTCGCCTGGTATTCTCACCCCCAGGTGGTCTACGTTCGCACTGAGGACCCTAACCTTCCCGCTTTCTACTTCGACCCTGTCATTAATCCCATTTCTTCCCGCTCGGTCGCCCCGAAGAACATCACCGTCAGCCACGAGGATGAGCTTTTCGGCGATAACAACGAAGATGATTTTGAACTTCCCGGAGAGGTCGAGCCCTTCTTTGAGGATGAGGAGCTCTACACCCCAGAGACCGCATCTGCCATCGCTTTATGGTGGGCCCCGCATCCCTTTGATAAGCGTTCCGGAAAGATGGTGCGTGCTCAGGATGTGCCGCTTGTGAAGCAGTGGTACTTGGAACACTGCCCTCAAGGCCAGCCCGTCAAGGTCCGCGTCTCTTATCAAAAGCTGCTTAAGACCTATGTGCTCAACGAGTTGCACAAGAAGACTCCCAAAGCCCAGAGCAAGCAGAACCTTTTGAAGACTCTGAAAACCACCAAGTTCTTCCAGCAGACCACTATCGACTGGGTCGAGGCTGGTTTGCAGGTCTGCCGTCAGGGTTTCAACATGCTCAACTTGTTGATTCACCGCAAGAACTTGACCTACCTGCACTTGGATTACAACTTTAACTTGAAGCCTGTGAAGACCTTGACAACCAAGGAGCGCAAGAAGTCTCGTTTCGGAAACGCTTTCCACTTGATGAGAGAAATCCTCCGTTTGACAAAACTGATTGTTGATGCCCAAGTCCAGTACCGTCTGGGTAACATTGATGCCTTCCAGCTTGCTGATGGTATTCTCTATGCATTCAACCACGTTGGTCAATTGACTGGCATGTACCGGTACAAGTACAAACTGATGCACCAGATCCGTTCTTGCAAGGACTTGAAGCATCTCATCTACTACCGTTTTAACTCTGGTCCTGTCGGCAAGGGACCTGGTTGTGGTTTCTGGGCTCCGGCTTGGCGAGTCTGGCTGTTTTTCATGCGCGGTATTATTCCCCTCCTTGAGAGATGGCTTGGAAACTTGCTGTCCCGTCAATTCGAGGGCCGTCACAGCAAGGGTGTCGCCAAGACTGTTACCAAGCAGCGTGTGGAATCTCACTTCGATCTGGAGCTGCGTGCCTCTGTTATGGCCGATCTTATGGATATGATGCCCGAGGGTATCAAGCAGAACAAGGTCAATGTCGTTCTGCAGCATTTGTCTGAAGCCTGGCGATGCTGGAAGAGTAACATTCCTTGGAAGGTCCCGGGCTTGCCCGCTCCTATCGAGAACATCATTCTCCGATATGTGAAGAGCAAGGCTGACTGGTGGATTTCTGTCGCTCACTACAACCGTGAACGAATTCGTCGGGGTGCTACTGTCGATAAGACCGTGGCCAAGAAGAACCTGGGTCGTCTCACTCGTCTCTGGCTCAAGTCCGAGCAAGAAAGACAGCACAACTACTTGAAGGATGGTCCTTACGTCTCGTCCGAGGAAGCAGTGGCTATCTACACAACTATGGTCCACTGGTTGGAGTCACGCAAGTTTTCGCCGATTCCTTTCCCCAGTGTGTCATATAAGCACGACACCAAGATTCTCATTCTGGCCCTTGAGCGCCTTCGCGAATCATACTCTGTGAAGGGCAGACTTAACCAGAGTCAGCGTGAGGAACTTGCCCTGATCGAGCAAGCTTACGACTCCCCCGGTACCACCTTGGCCAGAATCAAGCGTTTCCTTTTGACCCAGCGAGCCTTTAAGGAGGTTGGCATTGACATGAATGATAATTACAACAACATCAACCCCGTTTACGACATCGAGCCCATTGAGAAGATCACCGATGCCTACTTGGACCAGTACTTGTGGTACCAAGCAGAGCAGCGTCACTTGTTCCCCGCTTGGATCAAGCCTTCTGATTCCGAGGTGCCGCCTCTTTTGACCTATAAGTGGACCCAGGGTATCAACAACCTGTCCAATGTTTGGGAGACTGCCGATGGCGAGACCAACGTCATGATTGAGACTGATCTGGCAAAGGTCTACGAGAAGATGGATCTTACCTTGTTGAACCGTATGCTTCGTCTGATCATGGATCACAACTTGGCGGACTACATCACCTCCAAAAACAATGTCCAGCTCAGCTACAAGGATATGAACCACACCAATAGCTATGGTTTGATCCGTGGTCTTCAGTTCTCAGGCTTTGTGTTCCAGTACTACGGTATGATGATTGATCTGCTGCTTCTTGGTCTGCAGAGAGCCAGCGAAATGGCTGGTCCTCCCGCCAGCCCCAATGACTTCCTGCAGTTCCGCGACCGGGCCACTGAGACCAGACACCCCATCCGTCTCTACACTCGTTACGTTGATAAGATCTGGGTCTTCTTCCGTTTCAAGGCAGACGAGTCACGGGATCTCATTCAACGTTTCCTGACTGAGAACCCCGATCCTAACTTTGAGAATGTCATTGGTTACAAGAATAAAAAGTGCTGGCCGCGTGACTGCCGAATGCGTTTGATGCGTCACGATGTCAACCTTGGACGTGCTGTATTCTGGGATCTGAAGAATCGTCTTCCCCGGTCCATCACCACCATCGAGTGGGATGACACTTTTGCCAGCGTGTACAGCAAGGACAACCCTAACCTGCTCTTCTCCATGAGCGGATTTGAGGTCCGGATCCTTCCCAAGATTCGCAACCAAAATGAGGAGTTCTCGGTCAAAGATAGTGTTTGGTCTCTCGTGGACAACTCTACCAAGGAGCGCACAGCACACGCTTTCCTCCAGGTCACAGAGGAAGACATTCAGAAGTTCAACAACCGCATTCGACAGATTCTGATGTCTTCTGGATCTACCACCTTCACCAAGATCGCTAACAAGTGGAACACGGCTCTTATTGCCCTCTTCACCTATTACCGTGAGGCTGCCGTGTCGACTGTCAACCTTCTCGACACCATTGTCAAGTGTGAGACCAAGATCCAAACCCGTGTCAAGATTGGTTTGAACTCGAAGATGCCGTCTCGTTTCCCGCCGGCTGTGTTCTACACACCCAAGGAACTTGGTGGTCTCGGTATGATTTCAGGATCTCACATTCTCATCCCCACCAGTGATAAGCGTTGGTCCAAGCAGACCGACACAGGCATCACCCACTTCCGAGCGGGTATGTCGCATGACGAGGAGACGCTCATTCCTAACATCTTCCGTTACATCATCCCTTGGGAAGCTGAGTTCATTGATTCTCAACGTGTGTGGATGGAGTACTCTCAGAAGCGTATGGAGGCGCAACAACAAAACCGTCGTCTTACCCTGGAGGATCTCGAAGACAGCTGGGACCGTGGTCTTCCGCGTATCAACACCCTCTTCCAGAAGGATCGCAGCACTCTGAGCTTCGATAAGGGTTTCCGTCTTCGTGCTGAGTTCAAGCAGTATCAGCTTATGAAGAGCAACCCATTCTGGTGGACCAGCCAAAGACACGATGGTAAACTTTGGAATTTGAACGCCTACCGAACCGATGTCATCCAAGCTTTGGGTGGTGTGGAGACCATTTTGGAACACACTTTGTTCAAGGCAACCGCTTTCCCATCTTGGGAGGGTCTGTTTTGGGAAAGAGCGTCTGGTTTCGAAGAGTCTATGAAGTTCAAGAAGCTCACGAATGCTCAGCGTTCCGGTCTCAACCAGATTCCTAACCGTCGGTTTACCCTCTGGTGGTCTCCAACTATCAACCGTGCCAACGTGTATGTCGGTTTCCAGGTCCAGCTGGATCTGACTGGTATCTTCTTGCACGGCAAGATCCCGACCCTGAAGATTTCCTTGATTCAGATCTTCCGTGCCCACTTGTGGCAGAAGATTCACGAGTCCGTGGTTATGGACTTGTGTCAAGTGTTTGACCAAGAACTGGAGCAACTTGGTATCGAGGCTGTGCAGAAGGAAACGATTCACCCTCGTAAGTCGTACAAGATGAACAGTTCTTGTGCCGATATTCTTCTTTTCGCCACCAACAAATGGAATGTCACTCGGCCCTCTGTGCTGTTTGACACCAAGGATGTTTATGAGCCCACGACAACCAACAAGTTCTGGCTTGATGTGCAGCTGAGATACGGTGACTACGACTCTCACGATATCGAACGTTACACTCGTGCCAAATACCTTGATTACACCGGCGACAGCATGAGTATCTACCCATCCGCGACTGGTCTCATGGTTGGTATCGATCTTGCCTACAACCTCTACTCTGCCTTTGGTTCATACTTCCCCGGTCTGAAGACTTTGATTCAACAAGCCATGGCCAAGATTATGAAGGCCAACCCTGCTTTGTATGTCCTGCGGGAGCGTATTCGCAAGGGTCTGCAGCTGTACGCCTCCGAGAGCAACCAGGAATTCCTGAATTCCCAGAACTACTCGGAGCTTTTTAGCCCCCAAATTCAGCTCTTCATTGATGATACTAATGTCTACCGTGTTACGATTCACAAGACCTTCGAGGGTAACTTGACTACGAAGCCCATCAACGGTGCCATCTTCATCTTCAACCCCCGGACGGGACAGCTGTTCTTAAAGATCATTCATACTAGTGTCTGGGCCGGTCAGAAGCGTTTGGGTCAATTGGCCAAGTGGAAGACTGCCGAAGAAGTTGCGGCTCTCATTCGGTCTCTGCCCGTGGAAGAGCAACCGAAGCAGCTTATTGTCACTCGCAAGGGTCTGCTCGATCCTCTCGAGGTCCACTTGCTTGACTTCCCCAACATTTCCATCCGTGCCTCTGAGCTTCAGCTACCTTTCCAGGCAGCCATGAAGGTTGAGAAGCTCGCAGATATGATCCTCCGTGCCACTGAACCTCAGATGGTTCTCTTCAACCTGTACGATGAATGGCTGAAGTCCATCTCCCCGTACACTGCCTTCTCTCGATTGATCCTCATTTTGCGTGCCCTCCACGTCAATATTGACAAGGCCAAGATCATCCTTCGACCGGATAAGACCGTGATCACTCAAGAGCATCACATCTGGCCGTCCCTCTCCGATGAGGACTGGATCAAGGTCGAAGTGCAGCTGCGCGATCTGATCCTGAACGATTACGGCAAGAAGAACAACGTGAATGTGCAGAGTCTGACCAGTAGTGAGGTGCGAGATATCATTCTGGGTATGGAGATCAGTGCACCGTCCTTGCAGCGACAGCAAGCAGCCGAGATTGAGAAGCAACAGGAGGAGGCAAAGCAACTCACCGCTGTGACCACCAAGACTCAGAATGCTCGGGGTGAGGACATCATTGTCACCACCACATCTCAGTATGAGCAGCAGTCCTTTGCCTCGAAGACGGAGTGGCGCACTCGTGCCATTGCGACATCCAACCTTCGAACCAGATCAAACAACATTTATGTCTCGTCCGATGACATCCGTGATGAGGGATTCACCTACATCATGCCGAAGAACATCCTCAAACGATTCATTACCATTGCGGATCTTCGGGTCCAGGTCACGGGCTACATCTACGGTACCTCGCCGGCAGACAATGATCAGGTTAAGGAGGTCCGAACTATTGTCATGGTTCCTCAGGTTGGAAACACTCGGGATGTTCAATTGCCGCACGAATTGCCTCAGCATGACTATCTCAACGGCCTGGAGCCGCTGGGCATCATCCACACAGTGTCTGGCAACGAACCACCTTACATGTCTGCGGCAGATGTCACACAACATGCTCGTCTCATGAATGCCCATTCTTCATGGGACAAACGGACTGTGACCATGACCGTTTCGTTTACTCCTGGATCAGTATCGCTTGCTGCTTGGGGACTCACCCCCCAGGGCTATAAATGGGGTGCTGAGAACAAGGACATGACCTCGGATCAACCGCAAGGCTTTTCCACTGACATGGGTACCAAGTGTCAGCTGTTGCTCAGTGACCGGGTGCGCGGCTACTTCTTGGTGCCCGAAGACAACCTGTGGAACTATAGTTTCATGGGAAGCTCCTTTGGCAGTGTCGAGAAGCGACCTATCTATGTCAAGATCGACACCCCGTTGCGATTCTATGATGACCAGCATCGTCCTTTGCATTTCCAAAACTTTGCCGAGTTGGAGGATATCTGGGTTGATCGTTCCGATAACTTTGAGTAAGGGATTTTATTGGTGGGCGTTAAGAAAAAGCCATGACCCCTTTGTTTTTGTGTCATTCTGGGGCGTCTGTATTCCTATGTATGTATCTTTTTTTTTAAAGTAGCTTGCTTGTATTATGACAATCTTAATTCCATGTATTGATTGGATTAAATCTTACCTTGACACGGAGTTGATTGAAATGGATTTTCCAACGCACAGATCGTCTATGATCACGGGGGATTTCCCGCTTTTTGTCAAAGAAGGTTCCTTTTCCCTCCGGTAAATTGCCCTGTAACGCACTTACGAAGGTCATCAGGCCATGCATGCACCATTACGGCCCAGTCACCGACAAATTCCAATCGTTTATATGTGATGACGTCGAAACCGGGGTCGGTTTGGTATCCAACAACCTAGCTGCACACCGTGCACATCAAAATATTGAAATCGCTGAAAACCAACATAGGCTGATATCCCGTGGATATGCATGAGACAATGAATGCAAGCATATTAGAGGTCAACTCTCCTGCAACTAAACAAGCCAAGCAACCCACTCGGATCCTCTCAGCTCCTGCCCCTCTCACCCGCTCTATTTGCTATCGAGAAAACTATGCGATTCGATGAGCGGGGTTTGTGGTAAGTAGATGGTCCGACTTGCATGAAGCCAGATTCACAATTATCAGCTCGTATGAAATGCCGATCATCATGAGAATTGATACACTGTCTCCCTTCACAAGAACCACCCTGTGCCAAAAAGAAAAGTCGAGAGAGCCTGACTCAATATAGCAATGTCAGATTCATTGACACAACCCGTATCGGCACAAACAGTCATTCATCTCAGTGCCCTTCTGTATCATGGCGCTTTCAGACTGGCTTCAAAGCAAATCGTACCCCTGGCTGGAAGTAATTCGTTTCAAGTCAACACAATCCCGACCAACAGCATCCATTCTGCTCTCATCCCGACACGATGTGGGGTTATTGATTGGAAGTTTGGCCCATGGAATAATACCCCCATGTTTGATTGTCCCCATGCTTTTTTCCCACTAATCTACCAAGGCTGACGGGGGCGTTCTTCGGCTCTTGCCGGATTTCGATACTCCGACTCTCGCCTTCCGCATATTCGCCATGCAGTTATGCTCCTTCCTTTGAGATTCTCGAGGCAACGGTGATCCCTCCTTATATTGCGATCAACTAGGAGTCCTTAGGGGATAGGAGAATAACATATGGATTTGTGATTCAGAAAGCGCGCGCTTTAGATCTCTTGTCGCTTGAAGCTTAAACCATCTATTGAACTGCATGTTGTTCGTTTTTCTTCCGTCTCTGACTTCAAGCCCAACGAAAGAAACTCCTGAACGCAATCAGATGAGGGGCTACCGGCACACAGACTCACTATTCTTTCCCTTGCCCATCTGGGCAGGTGGCTGCAAACCTTCGAATCAAGCTGACGAGACGGGGGTTCGGTGAAAGACATAAACAAGCCCGTCGCCGCGGTTGATTTTTTTGATTTTCTTCCTGCATGTCCTCAAACTTGCTTTTTGCCTCCTGGTAGACTACCAAGTGTGCTCTCTTCACTGGGTCTTAGGTCATTGTAGCTGTTTGATACTTTGACATTGAGAAACTTCGCCACCCTCAAGTGCTTCCAATCAAAGTCACGGCTTCTTTTCTTACTGGTGCAGATTGGAGTTTGTTTCCGCTTGCGACAAGGACGTGTCCCTGTATATTTGACGTGTTAAGGGCCAGCGGGACTTCCGATTCCTCCCTTTGACCACTGCTGGAAACGACAAACGTGCGCTATTCCGGTTCGACTTCTTTTGGATAACTCAGCCACCCAAGCCGGGTTCTTTCTGGCATCGTTGATGCCTGTCCGCGAAATTGGCGGACTCATATCGAGGATTCGCTGTCTCCTATTCTCACACAGATAAGCCCAACGGCCATGATTTGATGACTTATGATGAGATGCACTCGCAGCCGCGGGAAAGGATACTAAGCGGAGTCCCCTACCACTCGGAAGATGCCACATCCCACTTTGGCACACATCTGCAGACAGTACTGCCTTTACCAGAGCCCCAGAACAATGGGTATCACGAGGCGCATTCGGCTTATGCCCCAGGTCATCAACTGCTCCACCCGCCACCACATAACTACGATATATTTCCCTCTGAGAGCAGGAAACGCGCTCGCTCAGAAAGTGACGGAGATCACTATCATCGCAACATGCCTCCTCCACAGCCTATCCACCTGATGCCTCTGGATGGCTCCGCTTCGGTACCCGAGTCTGACATGATGTTCCCCCTTAGCGATCATTCCTCCCATGCGTCGTCGAACCATGGCTATGCTTCCCCGATGCCCCTTTCTCTTCCCCTGCCGGTTCCACAGCGGCACCACCATCATCAGCTCCCGTCTCGAGCACGAAATTCGTCTTTGGGCATGCAGAATGGACCCCCGAGTGTGGTTGGTCAGCCTGGGATGCCTCCTCCAGCTCCGAGGCCCAAGGAACCCAAGCTCAAGTTCACCCCTAGGGAGGACTCACTTCTGGTTGAATTAAAGGAGGAGAAGAACCTGACTTGGAAACAAGTTGCAGACTTTTTCCCTGGGCGGACGAGTGGAACCTTGCAGGTTCGTTACTGCACGAAGTTGAAGGCGAAGGATGTGGTTTGGACTGATGAATTAGTTCGTACTTGCTTGTATCTGGGTGGGTATTCACATGCTAATTCATGGATAGGTAGAGCGGCTTCAGCTAGCCATGAAGGCCTATGAGTTTGACCGATGGAGGATTATCTCAAACAAGGTCGGTTCTGGGTATACCCCGGCGGCATGTAAAGAACGGGCCAAGCTATTTCCCCCTATGCCGAAGGAAGATGATGATGATGATGATGAATGATCTATTTCCAGGCTCTAGAGCTGCTCGTGTGTATTTATTATGTAGAGCTTTCATATACCCTAGCGATTTATCATCTGAACTATGAATGAAACTGATTCTTAACCTGCATTCAATGTTAGTTTGTTGACTTGGCGTTGGTCATAGAATTATGTATCCCGATATGAACCTTATTCACATATATTAACTTACCTCAGGCTGTATTGATCGCGCTTATGCGTTCAACAATGTATCATAATGACATAAACAGGTTAGTTAACTATATCACATCAACTGTTATGTCACAATGTTATCCCAATGTATAGCCCTAAGCCCTAGAGTTACCCAAAGCGGTCAATCAATTCTGCACCTTTGGTCTCTAATTTATAACGTATAACATCAACCAATCAAAGTCGCGCCCAATGGCTTGCTAATCTGGCCAATCAGAAGCCCAACGGGCCGTAGCGGACTCAAACTCGCTCCAACCTCAGACCTCCAAACTCTCCCCATCCTCAAATTCCCACCACCCATCCCACCTCTCGGACAATGTTCCTCCAGCGTACCGCCACCGCCCTTGCGCGGCGCTCGCCCGCCCGCGCTATTACCCTCGCTCAGCGCCCATTCTCTTCGTCCATCGTCCGCAGTACGTGACTCCTTCCCCCCCGGTGGCCTGATGCAAGCTCGCCAACCCGACCTCGATCAATTCGCCAACCCGACCGCAATTGGCCTCCAACATACCTGTTCAGCCCAATATTGATCGATTCGACGTGTTATGAATATGAATACCAGCTAACGCGGCTTTGTTTCCAGACAACGACAAGAAGTGGGCCGTTAAGGACGAGGGCAAGATCCTTTCCTTCGACGGTCAGTACCCCCCTCTCGCTATATCCGACGCGCGACCAGAAAACTCTATACGGCTCTTGAATGCGGGGATCTGGAATCCTTTGTTTGGATGTTTCTCTGCGCAATTGGGCTCCGGGAGATATCGGGAACATGGATTGTGGACCCCTCCGCATTCAAACATCAGCTCGGTCTGTACAATAAGGTGGAGGAAACTGACTCGTGTTTTCGACTACAGAGATCAAGGACGAGAGTGACTTGCTTCCTCCCGGTGCCAAGCCCGGTACCATCCCTACCGACTTCGTCCAGGCTACCGGTCTTGAGCGTCTCGAGCTCATCGGAAAGATGCAGGGCATCGACATCTTCGACATGCGTCCCCTCGACGCTTCCCGCAAGGGTATGTGCCATTCAAGGAGACGATACGCACAGCAATCGAGATCCCGCGCTGTGCATATGCATATTACGCTCGGAACTAATTGATGGCATAGGAACGATCGACAACCCCATCATGGTCAACGGTGCCGGTGATGAGCAGTACGCTGGTTGCACTGGTTACCCCGTCGACTCCCACCAGGTTAACTGGCTTACCGTATGAGGCCTCGCTGAAACAACAAGTACTAGTACTAACTACTCCCAGGTCTCCCGTGAGCGCCCCATTGAGCGCTGCAACGAGTGCGGTAACGTTGTTAAGCTGAACTACATTGGACCCGAGGAGGACCACTCCCGTATGTGCTATCCCAACGATAGACTGGGCTTGATTCTAACTGTTAATAGACGACGACCACGGCCACGGCCACCACCACCCCCCTCACGTTGAGCCTAAGACTTTTGCCGACTACGTCAAGCCCGAGTACTGGTACCGGTAAATTCGCAGCTCTATGAACCCTTAGATACAGCTGTGAACGGTCTTTTGTAGCATGCAAGTCTTATATTCGTGTCTCTGTTTCTGGCTTCGTGGCTCGCGCATGTTTTGTAGAATAGTTCTCTAGTGGATGAAAATGAGATGGTCCGTGGAGATGTGTGACTAATTTCTAACTCTTATTCATCTTCCGATTGGACTTAGAGATAAATGACTAGATTCAAATGATTGAAGTTGAAAGAGGCAATGCTTTTGTCAATCTATACAAGAGAAGTGTTGAAGCTAATATAAACATCAAGACGAGAAGTTGATCTCAAGTCCATAAACAATACCCAGAATCAGCGGCCCACAAAGCGCAGCTCCAGGTATCTCAGCGGAGGATAAACGAGCAAAGCCCAAGTGAATCCAACATAATTACCCATCTATAATGAAATATTAGCATCATCCCAGACTCTGGCATTGAATAGAAAGGAAAGAACTCACATCAGCACCATAATCACCTACAAGCTTAGCAATCGGCCCAATATACCAAACCTCAGCCATACACAAAACAGCTCCAACCCACCCAACGACAAAGGCAGCGAACGCCGCAAAGCCAATAGGAAGCTTCTTCGGATCATTCCACGCAGCCCAGTTATACCCACTCCGGAAGCGGAAGATAAGGAACTCCTCCAAAATGACAGCAAACCAAATAGCAACCCAGTACCCCATCAACGACAGGAAATTGGTGAAGATCTCAGAAAGATAACTGCGTCCCGCAAGCGCACAGACAGTGTAAATGATAACACCAACAGCATTCCAGATAACGCGAGGAACGCGCTCAGCATAACGGCCCAGGATCTGGAAATCCACACTCGAGGAGTATGTTGGCGGGACAGTGTTGGCGATTAGGCCGAGGGCTACGATGACGGAGCAGAATTTGCCGAAGCCGTGGAGGGGCCCGAAGGCTTCGACGATTAAGGCGCCTTGGCCGTTGTTGTAGGCTGTCGCGTACTCCGGGTGGGCGGTTATGCCGGAGCCGAGGCCTATTCCTGAGATGAGGGCAAAGGTGAAGGAGAGGACGATTCCTGCTAGGGTTAGGGTGAAGATTTTGAGGCTGGAGGTGTGTTCCGGGTAGTAGACGAAAAAGTCGGCTGATAGGGGGGAGTAGGTGATTGCTGCGCTAAGGCAGATGGAAAAGAATGATAGCCTTGGGTTGTTTTGTTAGATTCATTTATTTTCATTCACTGGTTGGGATGTATGTGGCTTACCTGTTACCGGCTACTGTTCGAGCGTTGCCGGTGGAGACGGTTGACAAGTCGAACTTGGCTGATGAGACGCCGAAGAGAATGCAGAAAACGATGAGTTGTGGAAGGAAAGCATATCTGGAGATTTGTTAGTGGGAGGCTTAACATGTGAGAATGCATGACTGACCGTTCATAGTAGTGGAAGACTTGGATGCCAAAGGTTGCCACAACCCAGCTGATAATCGCAATGATGACAATACCGACAGCAACGGACATGCCATTCGGCGTAAGAGCAGACAAGATCTGTCCTCCGACAACACAGTCAATCAAGCAGTACCCGATCATCTGGATCAAATTCAAGAGAACAATAATTTTGCTAGGCCACCATCCCATGGAGTATCGACCGAATGCCTAGACAAGGTTAGTCGCACATCACATCGCATCATCTATCAGAGACAAGCATACCATTGTCCGAATGCCCGAAACAGGTCCCCAAGTCGCCATCCACGCAGCAACAACAGCACCAACGAAAGACCCAAAAACAGCACAAAGCGACGAGTCCAAGAAGCTAAGCCCATAGACCGCAGGCCCCAGCATTCCAAGCGTAATATTATTGGCGGCCAGATTGATCGAAACCCACAGCAAGAAAGCCTGCAAGTATTCCATCCACGACAGTCGCTTCATGCGATCCTGTGGCGGGACACGCTCAATTCCGCGCGCTTCCAGATGATAGTCGATGAGCTGCTGCTCAAAGGCTCTCAGGAGGGATCCCAAGCGCGAGCCGACGGGGTTCGTCTGACTGGATGTATCGACGGGGAAGGGCGCATCGTGGACATTTTTGTTAGCGGGAAGTTGGGTATCGTCTTTCTCGGAGCGCACCTCTATGGTGGCGAATTCGTTTTCGGGAGTCATGGTACTGTGTGAGTGTTAGTTTTGTCGTAGAGAAGGAAGTGTGCGCATCAGTTCTTTCGCTGGAGTTATCCAGATCAAGTTCAACCGTATAATCTCAGAACGACTATGCGCCGAACACCGGTCTGCATGCAGGTGGATGACCACTGTACCTGATCAGGCAAACCAGACTACTCGTTCATGATATCCGGGTCCGTGGGAGAGGTGGGGAGGTATACTGGGGCATTTATGGGAATGTGGAGGTGGAGGCGGAGGCGTTAAGTAGTATTACCCATATGAGTCACTATGAAGCAAAGTTAGTTGGAAGCGGGTCAATTGATAAGAAATAATTACCTGTAAGGTAAAATTCAAGAATTTCCTGAGTTGAATAGAAATTCGAGACTCGAGACTCGAAACTCGAAACTTGCATATGCACAAAAGCAGCAAGTAACACAAGGCGGGGAAAAAGAAAAACGGGAATTATCCTTCTCCGCCCGCCGATCGCTTATGAACCTTGGATGTGATGATTTGACAAATTTGATAGTTTAAGTTGTATTTGATCAAATTTGATCATAGATCTGCCTTGTAATATCCAAGATGGAAAAGCCACCCTTAAGCCCACTGGTAAACGCCCCAAACATGGAAATTCATGGACATTCAAAAGAAGAAAGAGAACTCGGCCAGAATCACCAACTCCATGCCTGTATCAAATGGTGGCCATTTGGTGACTTGCATCGCTATGGAATTGCATAATCCAGGAATGCCAAACTCAGATGCGTGAAAAGAAAAAAAAAGGAATTAAGAAGAAGATTCATCATTCATCAGTAGGTCGTCATCAAATGGAAAGTCGGCTCAAAGATTCTTGAAGTGTTCTTTGGCGTACTGTTCACAGGCCTATAAATATGGTCAGTTGAGATTGGGCCTAGCATAATGAATCGGAACGAACCTTAGCGGGCTTTCCCACTTTCTGGCCAATGACCTTCCACTTGTTTGCCTCGTATTCTTTGATCGCATCGCGGAGTTTCATTGACTGATAGGTTAGCTGAGAAAGAATAAAGACAAGATCGCGTCTTGCATACCTCGTCTTCGGCAAATTCGGCATAATGCATATCCTATTCTTATGAGTATAAGAAAAATAGTGGAGCGCAATTGACATACCTTGTACCAGTGTTTCTTGACGCTCCCCTCAGTCCGAGTAGGGAATGTCTGTGATCAGGTCGATTAGAAGCCAAAGTCTGGTTTGCGACGAACAACATTTCCCACCTTGGCAATTTCACTCCAGCTTCGACCAGCATCGCGCATCGTCTTCAAACGTTGCTCCTCCTCGGCGGTCCACGGGGTGTTGGTGCGACCCTTCTTCTTCGGGGCCGGCTCAGGCGCTGGGAGGGGTACAGAATCCTCGATCCCGCCCGGGTTCATCTGACCAGTCATCATGGCGGACGAGCTTGCGATCGGAGAGGGTGGGCGTTTGCGGGAAGATGTCTGTTGGGGGATGGGCGCAGTCGGGATAGGAATGCCTTCAAATGTGGGAACCCGGTGAAAAGGATGAATCTGTTGTTGGGCGAGAAGATGTGAAGGAGCGCTCGTTGTCGCCGACGTCTTGATTCGCTTGGACGTAGGAGGGGAACTAGAGAAGGTGAGAGGTCAGTCGCGACACAAGTCAGCAAAAGAAACAGAAACAACTCCAAAGTCAAAGCAACAACGCGAACGATCCAAAGTCTCCCACCCGCGTAAACGGAGATCATAGACGAGGGACTTACGACATGGTGAAGGGCACACGATCTCAATCACAAGCCCACTCATCTGTACAAGCAACAAAGCGGCATCCGGGGGTTAGCAGAACTGCTACAGGCGCGCCATGGTCAACTTCTAGGAAAGTGAAAGTGGGCTCTGTTACACTAAAGACGATGACACAGGCGCATCCTAGGCAGAACCAGATCGGGACAAGAAGGGAACCGGGAGGGAAGGAAAGGAACCCTAAGCGATATGCTTAGGGAGGGAGATAGGTTGTGGAGAGAGGGGGATGGGGTGGTGGGTGGGGGGTGTGAGAGGAGTTTCAGAGTCGCGACAAAGGGGAAGCTCACAGATCAAAGTCGCATGGTCGAAGAGTTGATTCGGGAACCTCGAATTCTTCCGAATATGGGGAGAACATGAGGCTGGAAGTGTGGGGGGTGAGAAGAGTAAAGAGGAAATGAATATGTGTATTGGGAAAGAAAGTTACAAGGAGGAGGAGGAAGTGAGAAGGAGAAAGTGAGCGGGGATGGAGTCACCTCAGTCACTGATGCTCATCAGTCAACAACTTCCACTTTTTGGTACCTTTTTTGATTTTGGTCTAATCTTTTTGTTTATTTTTGTATATTTGTTTTAATTTTGATATTTGTTTTTCATTTTTAATCTTTTTCATCTCTTTTTGATCATTTAATATGGTTTTATCATGGGATTTGAATTGGCATTGGGGTTTCATGGAGAACCGTTGAGGGGAAAGCACTAAGACCAGGAGCCCAGGACCACTACTCCACTACTTCAGTACTCTAGTCTCTATCTGTCTCTGTCTATGTCTTCATCTCTTCCTCTTTATACATAGTCCAAACATCCGGTGCATTCCTTTAGAACCGATTCCCTGGGGACCCTGTCACAAATAGCTCGTGCTGCTCTCCAATTCGATCAAAGTCTCTGCAAAGGGAAATCGACACGTCCCGGCCTCTCCCATGAGACATTTGGGCCGAAGAGACCTGCGAGTGGTCTATTCTAAAATCCGGTGACCCGAACGCTTCACACCCGTGCGAGGATGACATGCCCTGACTTAAGACTCCTAGAGCGACGGCCCCGAGTTTTCTTAGCTTGATTTCGATCCCACAAATAAGATAAATCTCGTTCAGCTCATTCTCCGCTGAACCCGATCATTACTGTTTACCGGCCTAGTTCAAGCCACAAGAGGGTTATATGCAGCCACCGTCATCGTTGTTCTTTCCCCTCTTTTCCTAATACTGACTTGCTTCCCACCAGATAATGCATTAGTCCCCGGGAGTGTTGATGCTTGCGTAAGCCTGTATACATAGCAAAGAACAAGGTTAGAATATGTCAGTCCTTAACAGTTCCTATTTCTAGGGCACACATAGTCCCGTACGCAATGCCCGATCCTCTGTAGTGGCTGGCAGCATGCAATGCAATTCACCCTCTGTACCAATCAACCGCCCGCATCCCTGGAGCCCATGCTGCAGGCATCGGGAATGGTGTCCAGGATCCTGCATCTGCTCGAAACAATGTGGCTTGCCCTTTGCATAAAGGGAGCTCTGGGTGATGACGCCACCGGGATGGATTCTCCCCCACGGGCTATATGGTCCTTTCAACAAAGGTCATCTTATCAATCAATTCTGATATAGCCGGGTTGGCGTCGTCGAGGTGTAAATAGGACAATTTAGAAGCATTTGATAGGTCATCGGCTTTGCGATCCACTGATTGGATGGATTGGGTTAATTTTGGCTCCGTCGTGTGACATTTCCTTTCTACGGATTTGACGGATATTGAGACTGCTCCATTCAGATGCGATAAATTGATATCCAAGTAGCACTAAAGAGGCAGGTACGTAAGCATTTTAATACACTGACTTCCAGTAAAACTTCAATTGAACCCAATACATGCACCTTGAATCAACCTCAATTGAACCCAATACATGCACGTCAATCTCTCGTCATGCACCGCCGGTCATGTTCAAGTGGCCTTTTGCGATACATCCCACTAATATTCTGGATTGGCAATATCATAGTCCCTGTATAATGCAGTTGTTATCTGTTTTTTTAGATGCAAAGTTCTCAAGTATGATTATCCAGTCGTTACTATATTCGAGAGGCTTGATTTTACGTCTCATGTCGATTCTTCTCCCTGCTATGTATAAGCCTTAGTATCACTATTGGATCAGAATATGGCTCTTTCTTTGCAAGTCTGCCTGTACTCAATATCGATCTAGTAGTTGGTCATCTCATGTTGTTTGCTACCTTCGATAACCTTGAGATGCTGGCAGCAAATCAAGTTCTGTTTTACGCCAGAGAATTATCGAGATGGTGGATCAGCTGACCTATATGGCTTTTCATTGAAGTTGTTTGCTCCTTTCAAGAAAGGGCAAAATCAATATCTGATCCTTCGTTCCATGTATCACTTTTTTATCTCCATCTATATGTCCGTCTCCACACGTACCATCCCACGCTTGCCCGACATGGCACTTCCAGATATGAAAGACTACTGCTTCAATAGTGCTGTCGACAGTACTATTGTGAAGCTTTTGAAGAGAAATCAAAGAGGAGGTCAAAGAGGAAAATCTTGAAGAAATCCCTGCCTCCATATAAGGCACCCCCCATTCCTCTAATATCTCGCTTCCGGCCGCGAAGTTATACTATTTATTCCGGGAAATCAAAAAAAATCAGAGAAGAGATCATAGAAGTAACCAAGAGGCTATCAAAGAGGCTACCACGGAAAATGGCAAAGTTTCTAATGGCGTAGGTAATTACTCTATCCAAGAAGATATGCGATGCTAAATACAATCATACTTCCACTACAATATTAGTCGACGGTGACCTCTATACACCTCCTCACCCAGTCAATCAAATCTGCAGTAGCGTACATAACGCTAATGATGATGATATTACTAATTTTCTTAGGGGTCATGGATCTGCTGTTTCTCTTTCGCAGAGTTATTGGGTCAAAGACAACTCTCAGTCACTACTCCTGCAATGTGATGCCCGAAAACACCTAAGCCAACGATTTTTTGCTTGCAAGCTTAAATAAAAACCCAAAATATTCCACAAAAATTCCACCAAAGATGTAGAATTTCAGTGCCCGCTTGATTTCTGGCTTGAGAGAAAAGACTATCGCTACGGCATTGTCATTGTGGGTGCATCACAGAACCACAGAGTTTCGCCCCTACAATATCTCCCAGCCCAACGTAAGCTTGACCGGAAGAGAAACAGAGAACAAATGCTTAACCAGATTCGGCTAGGCGTGTCTAGAAAAAATTATCTCCGAAATCCTCAGGACCGATAATAAAACCACTACTATCGAGCTGCAGCACATCTAAAGCTTGAAAGCTTGGAACCTACGAGTTAGCTCACGGTGTCGGTATCTTAAAGAAGATGAGGCCGCCATGAAGATGTCGCTTATTGGTCTTCCAAACGATGTAACAGGTGATGAAAAGATACCATTGGAGGAAATGGAGGAGGACTACAAGTTCTCAGAGGATGACATGGATGAAAAGATACAAGCGCCCAAAGAAGGCATTGTATGGGAATCAGTTTTCGAAGGAGGAAGTGGATGATGATCTCCCCAATGTTTACAAGTTTTGAAAGGCGAAAACGGATGATGAAAAATATTGCACAGTTTCCAAGTGATGATGTTGATTTTTGGGAATTCCTTGCCTGCTTTTAACAACTGATACGCGCAGACTGACTAGACTACGTTGATATTGAGAAATAATGAATCGAGCATAGTTTGAATTTGCAATAAGAAGTCGTTGTCCTGGGTACATAGATTAATTGTTGACAAATTACTACTTGTAGTCCAAGTGTTCCATGAATCCGAGCATCTGATGTGTGGGGTATGTCCCCCCGACTACCCCAACTCTGCATCTTTCCAATTTAGAATCTCCGACCTAATAAACATCTCGTAATCACTCCAGAGGAAACCGAAGAAATAGGAATTTACTATTTTGAAATCGTCAGCGGGCTCCCGTGTTCGATCCACGGCACGGGCCTGTTATCTGTTGTCTCTTCCACATTAAGATACTGAGGATATTTTTTTCCTAGGCGAAGAAACCAGAAATTAGCGAAGAGAGACAATGAATGATCTTTCACTGTTCCTAGAATTTTCATACCGTGCTAGCCTATCGAAAACTATATGATTGGACCCAGATCACCATAAATTTTACTATCACTTATTGCATTGATCGTGTTGCCAAAGGGTGATTTCTCACATCGCTTTCACCCTTCTCACCCTAGTCGCGCGATGCGAAAGTGTATACTTCTGTAGATTTGCACTATATAGTGCAAATCAAATACAAATCCAGTACATACGACCATAGGGTGTGGAGAACAGGGCTTCCCGTCCGCTCAGCCGTACTTAAGCCACACGCCGGTTAGTTAGTAGTATGGTGGGTGACCACATGCGAATCCTGACTGTTGTATGTTTTTGTTTTTTTTCTTATTGGGATTCTTGTTTGCCATGGCTGCTATCTTGTGCACTATGTACTTCAGCGTCGATCTTACTGTGTCGATGTATTCACGTGATTGATGACGTCGTTGGGGCTGGGGATTGCATCACGTGAGGACACGCGGCCCAAGCTCGATCACTGATAAGGAAGCTTTCCCCATCCAGTCTCCAGGCAGGCATAGGGAAGTGCAGCCTCCGTGGACAACAATCCTAAATCAGCTGCAAATACACTCTGCACTTACCACTTTGAAGGGTGGCAAATCTCTTTCATCTATCTTTGGTGGAACTCATTAAATCAATTTCAATTTTCGCCCCGCAACGAACCCATTCTACAGACAATGGGGTGGAACGTCTTTCGCTATTTGGCAGACATATCCCACCTCGTGTCGATATGTATTCTGATCTGGGCCATTCATAAGAACAAGAGTGCTGAGGGTACGTTATCTGGGTATCCTGGTATAAGTGACTTTTCTGACATGTGGCTTCTTTAGGTGTTTCGCTCCTCACGCAGCTGCTCTACGGGCTTGTGTTCGTGACTCGGTATCTGGATATATTCAAGGGGTCATCATGGAATTTTGGACATGGAGCGTCGTTGTGGAATATCCTTTTCAAGTTGTTTTACCTGACCAGCTCTTTTTACGTTGTGTTCATCATGATGAAGGTCTTCCCGAGGACACGCGAGAGAGAAAGAGCTTGGAAGCTTGGGATCTACTCGGTGGCTGGATCGCTGGTGCTGGCGCCGATTGCGATCGCTGTGTTGGAGCGTGGTTTCCCACCGGCTTGGTTCATGGAGGTAAGATGCTATACAGATGTTATCCCCGACAGGGTGCTAATCTATGCACACAGCTTTGCTGGGCGTTCTCTATTATCCTCGAATCGGTCTGCGTACTCCCCCAGCTACTGCTCCTACGACAAACCACCGTGCCGACCGTGATTGACTCCTATTACCTCGCTGCGCTGGGGTCTTACCGAGCATTCTACATTCTGAACTGGCTGGTTCGCGGGTTCGGTAGCGAGCACTCCTGGGATCTGATTGCGTTCGTCTTCGGGCTTGTGCAGACTGCGTTCTACGTTGACTTTGCGTGGGTGTACTATTCGCGCCAGCGAGTCAAGCTTCGTAACGGCGGGGTCGTTGATTCGGAAGATCTCCGCAAGAGTTGGCTGGTGAACCGTGTTCTCAACCTTCGAGGAGTGCGTGGCTCCACTGATGAGGAACAGGGTCTCCAAGACGATGTGGAAGGGGATGAAAACCGACCTAGCAACAACCGGTGGGGCGCCCGTGGTGTCTCCATTGCTGCGGATGACACACTGGATCATCACCAGGCGCACGGGGACCATCCCGACGATTTTGCAGCTGCTCTAGGGGACGATTCGGACGAGGATCATGATCTTTCTAGTCCACGTCACCAGACCGCATGATAATCGAGGGCAATAGTTGCCGGTATATCACAGGAATTGAAAATCAACGATGCAGGAGTATTGATAGGCCAGGATTGTCCTAGTATCGGGTTTAATGTTATGACAGCGTGCATTTATCTTAGTCAATTTCTACATTTCGGGAGCGTACATCCATGCACATTCGCATAGCATATCAACAGTGTAGAAACCAAGTCCTAAGAACGGCCCCAAAGTCGAGTCTGCCTTGCTAATGTTGGCAGCCCTATTGATTTGCAGTGCAGAATTTTCGACAAGTTTAGCTGAACAGAGCCCCAGCCACCGTTAGTTGCATGCAGCTGCAGGGATCTTGACTGCCGAACTAGGAAACCATTGCGTCTATTAACGTTCTTAGATCCACCAGCAAAATCAAGAAACCCATGTAATGAGAAAAATGAGACTTGAGAAACATTTCAGATTTATCAATCTTCCCCAAGTGACTTGTCATCTCAGAAACCGATTCCGGGCGCTTAGTCTGAACACGTAGGATGTGCAATGTGGGGTTATAATCTACGCCAAGCCCCAAAGATGAACACCATTCTAGATCATAAATCAATCAACTATGCGGCTATAGGCAGTGCATGTCAAAGAAGATTCGGGAACGGCACATAGGGTCCTGGGCGCTTAACCACTTGTCAAGAATTCTCCGGAGCAAAAAAGCCATTTGCTGCGCGCGTGGGCCTTTCAGCCTCACGGGCCCCGGTTGACGCTTCGTCCAGTCAAGAGCCGCCGGTGATAAATTCCCTTTCCATTGGATGAACCTTGAATGAGGGGCCCATGTGGTTTTCTGTTAACTTTTTTTTCGAGGGGGACTCAACGGGAAGGATGGATCATCAGGGGGGGGGGATCTATGACCTTCGGTTTGTTCTCGTTTGTTCTCCACTATATTCGATCTGGATTGGAGATTCAGGATCAAGGTTCAGGATTCAGGATTCAAGATTCAGCCTTGAGCCTTGACTGACGTTAAGGATAAATCCCACAGGAGCTGAGGGAAAGGTGCAGGATAGGGCTAAAGGGAAGCTGAGTAAAGATGGGAATCCCTGCGAAACACATTATAGTATACATGCTACCATGCATAGACTAAAATCTATGAATCCACTAAGTTATAACTTAGTTCACTTATAGAACTAAAATTATTAAATTTCCGGCCCCATTAAAGACAATCAAATCCCGTTGGTTTTCGGCCCTGTGCCGTTAGTCCCACTTTTACCAATTTCCATTCTATTTTGATTCGCAATGAGGCCTTCAACTACAAATTGCTTTCCTCATTTGAAGTATTTCCACATCAGGCATGATATTTCTTCAGCTCATTCAGCTCATGGTGATGTCTTTCCCGGGGGCGTGGGGGAAATCGAATGGGGGCCGAAAATGATGAATATCAAGACGGGACCATTGCATCCATAGGCGCTTAAATATAGGCCCTCGACGAGTCTACACATTTCTCCTCCGAGCGGTTCCATTGCAGCACAGCGGTCATCGGCGGTACAGTCCTTGCTTTCTGGTGCACTCTGAGCCTATAGTTCCCCACGCCAAATCGGTTGTTCATCCTGCCTTGCAAGGCATTCCAGCGTGGGCTGTGATATCGATTTCTCTATTGCAGTTGAGAGAAGTCATTGAATCTATATCTTATTCCTTCGACCCCCACCTGTACCTGGAGACAATCTTCATCTATAAAGAATCATTTCTTCAGACTTCAGCCCTCAGCTTCAGCCTTCAGCTCCTGCCGACGCATGCCAGTCTTGTTGGTTTCATTTAGCCGCTTCCAACCACCATTCTCCAACAAACGCCGTGTTCCAAATCTGCTGCAAGCCCCGGATCCGTGTTTCATATCGTTGCCACCATCGCTTCTACTTCCAATCAACTGCTCTCTCCGCCTTCTAGAAGCAATACATGGTTCTACCGTATTACCGTGCGAGCATCATGTCCCTCAACGATGACAGCTGCTCTCCAGAGGAGATGCAATCCTTCTACGATGGGATTGGACCCGACTGGACCGGGGTCGAAACTGTACGATCCTGCCTCATTGGCCCCCGGGGCCACCCTCCAACCCAACGGCTAACAATACTATCTTTAGCCCGAGTTTCAAGCCGCTTTCCTAGGCGTAAATGCCTCCTATTGCACAGAACCAATAGGACAACCCAGCATCCTGACCCCAGTCAGTCTTCCCGACAACTCATTCCGACCAAGTCCCGCTCTGAGCCATCACTCGCAAGAATATATCCCAGAATATCAATACAGCAATTCTCTAGCCCCACAAGGCCTAGGAATCACCGCTCCCTTCGCATCCGATTTTCCTGTTTCATCAGCCCCAGATGCAAGCTACATATACGCCCCGGATGATCTTAATCTCGACTATGGCCAATCCTCCACCCCGGGCATTTCACCACAAGTTCCTGCGCCTAAGCGCGCGAGACGCGCATCTTCACAACCCCAGCCTAAATCCACCCGTGATACTCCAATCAATATCCTTCCCCATCCAGAGGGCATGGAGCGCATGGAGCGCGAGCGGTTGAATCCTCGGCCCCCGACACAGCTACACCCCCGTCCCAGGGCCCCCGGTAGGGGCCGCCGGGATCCACAGGCCATGGAAGAAGATGCATTTGTGGAGGAATTGCGGGAGCAGAATACAGCGTGGAAGGTTGTACGGGAGCTATTTCGGGAAAAATTTAACAAGGATGCTACGGAGGCGCGGTTGCAGATGCGATTGAAACGTCGACGCGATCAACGGAATACGAACTGGGAAGATCACGATGTGAGTACGTGAACCGAACCCAATTGACCCAGATAGGGATCTACCCTAGGTATGAAGGGTATTACTCTACTGTTGATCATTGTGCTGATTTGCTTTAGATCCAGCTTCTTATGACGGCTAGTGGGATGTGGGAGAAGGAGAAGTATCGATTTATAGCGGATAAGGTGAGTTTGAGGCTGAGCCCTAAGTGTCTCTGAACTCGTTACTTACTTTGTTTTGGGTTTTCAGATGAAGGAACTCGGGGCTACAAAAGAATATACACCTGATCAATGCAGATTTCAATTGCGACTTATAGAAACGAAGCAACATCGTCTGAATACGAGTGCATCACCCTCCGCCATGACCGATCCTCCTCAGTCACCACCCGCGCTAACAAGAAAACGAAAGCGAGCGCGGCCTCACTCATTGGACCCGGAGTAAAGCATTAATATTTCTATTTTCAGCATTGTTTATTTGAGCATACAGCGTTTTCACTTCTGCATGTTTTATCCACGGATTAACATGGCATTGCATGGCATTAGCGTTACATTTTGATATACCTTTTGGGCTACAAATTAAGAGATATTTTAAGACCAAATCCACCACATAGAAATAGAATGTCTAGCTCTATACTTAGCTATACAAGCTCTCATCAAATGCATGATGATCGAATCGACTAGCGGACCCACTGTAAATTAAGCTAATGCTGAGATTTGGCCCCTGGCGAATAAGATCAGGGGAACTTTGTTTCATCTATTTAGGACAAATCGGGGCCGTGCGTACAGTATACACTTAGCTCCATAACAGTTGCCTCTTGTTTTTATTTAGATCGCTTCTGATCTCTTGATTGAGAAGATCGCCGGCAATAATGTTGGTCTTCCGGTGTTACATTGCGGACTTGACTTCGGGGGTTGGAGATGGAGATGGAGATGGAGCTAATATTGGTTGCAGATGTCTATGTTTGGATCATACCTAGACATTCGCTCTATTCAGGCATGGACTATCTTTAGCAATGCTTTCCTTGACTTAGATTAGTATGGATCGTATGATGGAAGAGAGGGTCAGATGGAATTCTTCTATTTCGTTGACTTCCTCCTTGGCTTTGCGGCCTTGGAAATTTGCATGGAGCTACAATGGAATATGTAACAAGCAAAATTGGTACCAGAGTCGACCTAGTTCAATGTTCCCAAAGTCTAACGTTTTTACTATATGCGTTGTATCTTCAGCTCAGGGGAACGGACATGCCCGGCCGTTGGCCTCTAGACGGTTCATTCTCATAAAGTCATCAGTATATTTTGAACCACTCAGGGGTACGAAGTGGCAGGTCACGCATCATCATCAGAATCCAAATCTTCATCCATAACGGGGAATGTCAGAAGCGCCGCAATACCTCCAAGTCCCTCAAGACGCTTTCCACTCTCATGATCAGAGCTGAGGATTCGCACCTCACCACCTTCCACATCTCGTACTCGATCAACAAGTCCAACCCATCGTTTCCGTTCGGCGACATTTTGCGATCTGAACAAGCGGTTGGACATGATCAACACTCCTCCACCGCGACCCACAGCGCCCTGGTCGACTGCTGACTCGACCTCGCGTGGACCATAAGTGGCTTTATTCGTTTCCTTGCGCAACTGGTCCAAGAACTCGTCCATTAATCTGGTCTCGCGCGCGTATTTTGTATCGGCCAAGAGGGTTTTCACCGCAGGGGATTGAAGGACCTCTGATAAAGAGTTCATGTATCCGGAGGCGGAGTGCACAACAACAACACTGGCGAGGAGTCTTCTGAGTGCGGGTGTGGTCGATGCCTCTGACTGGATGTATTTGTGGAAGCCCGCAGCAACGAACCCAGGCGAGGCTAATAGAACAGGTTTCACGGCCTCATTGTTCGAACCCGAGGTAATGCTGGTATTAAATTCCATCTGTCGAAGAAGTGTGTCCAGCGTAACGCGGAAGAATTTGCCCATTCCCTGTCTCTTTTTAGCTTTTCTCCATCCTGACAGACTGATATACTCACTTTATCATGATCTCCTCCGCCCTGTCGTTTTCTCGGCACAGACATCTCAACCTTCTGCTTCAATATTGTCTGGAATTGGCCAATAAAACATATATGCGCCAGACCCTCCTGCATCACAACGGCGACTGCCTCTGCGCGACGCTTCCCACCCTCATCCACAGCATCCTTGAGCATCTCCACCGCAATGCTGTCCCACCCAACCCCCTCACCATCCGAACCAACATCCTTTTCTAAAGTGAAATTGCGGTTCAGCTCCAAATCGAGAGTGTGGAATTGTCCGATCTTGGTATGTGCTGTCTCATTGACGATTTGACCAGAGACATGAAGCTCTGAGCTCTGAGGATCGAAATCAAGGCTCTTCACGCGGATTTCGAGGTTTAAATGTACTCGAGCAGATGAGGTGGACCCGGTCTCTTGGGTTGTGGTGACTCGACGGATAGCGCTTGCGCGTAATAGGTCTCCCGGTCGGATGAGGTTGTATGCGTGCCACTAGATCAAATTGTATTAGCTTTCTGCAGAATGTGGTTTGTTGATCGAATGTCGTACCATGTCTTCGGGCTCCTCCGGGAACAATGTGACGGCTCCGGAGCCATCATGCTCAATCTTGTTCTTCACAAGACGCATGATTGTGAGAGGGGATTGTTCGGCTGCTCCTGATCTGTCAATAAAACTAATCAGGGTAAGATTTAATAACCTGATCACAATGCTGCCCCGCACAATACTGCCACTGGTCACCGCTGAGATACGCATGCTCAGAGAATTAACATGACTTTTAATACTCTTTGCTCTCTAGTATGCCTTGTTTCAATTGATTTTATGTATGCTATATGAAGGTTTTCTTCAGGGCAGCTTCAGGACTACTAAAGACTTCTGCTAGCTTCATTTATCAACAAACTTCTTCATTGATTGCCCGCCCGTTCCAGGCTACGTCATTGATGACTAGAAAACAACGGTCCTTTTTGTAAGTGGTCTTCGAACACCTGCAGATCTCTGATAACAATTGAATGTAAAGCACTTGCTCTGTTTGGCTTTGGCATAGCTGGAACAGATTTCTTTGCTGGTGACTCCGGATTGATAAAGTTCTATACCAACTTAGACAGTTGATGAGCCTGATTTATCATGGAGATTGTATCAACTATCTCAAGCCTGGCCCTTCTCAATGTTACTAAATGTGCCATTGACCGCCCTTATAAGCGGATGTCAACGGAGATTCTTGGTTTCATGTTTGAACTACCTCCAAGGCGCTAGCGGGAGCTGACTTACAGTTGACCTATGATGAAATTCTTCTCCAGGCTGAGCAATAATCTTTCAGCATCATCCTACGTATAAATGATTGAAATGTGACTACAAGTTCGAACTCATGACCCCTAACTCACTTCATCAGGCAGAGCATAATGTCATATATTTATTTGATACCATTTGACTTCATCTTATCGGTACCCGGTCGAGAGCGTAGAATAGAGCAATTAGCTAATATGTAATGAAAACGTCATCTAGTAGTCATGTATCATATATCGTAACTGTGGCGTAATAACAAGAATTGGAACCAGCAGAAGAATCTTCAATTCCTCAAGATGCTGATCCAGTCGGCTTGATCCGCTCCCCCACATTCAAATTAGCAATTCCCTAATCGAGTTGCGACATGGAAACAGACGGAAACTATGTGGGGGTTATCAATCAGCAACTTCTAAGTTAAATTTCTTGGAATCTTCAAATATTCATTTCTTTCTCAACTACTGCTTCAATACACAATGGCTGGCCTTTCGCTTCAATCCACTCTCAAGTTGGTGTCGGGATATGAGATCCCGGTGGTCGGATTCGGTGTATGTGGCTCTATCCCGTGTGGGAGATTTGGATTTTCTAATATGACTCATTCTAGGTCTACCAGACGTATATATCGCAAGTTAAATATCTTACAATTGACCATTGATTAATTTGGTACAGGCCTCCCGATGTCACAGAGAAGGTGACCATCAAGGCTCTTGAGCTAGGATATCGCCATGTAAGTCTACCAGTCACTAATAAGGACTGGGGTATTAATTCTTTGTATAGGTGGACAGCGCCAAAGTCTACGGCAATGAGAAAGAAAGCGCTTCGGCCATCCGCAAGTCAGGACTGGACCGATCCAAGATCTTCTACACAAGCAAGGTGCCACGCTCATGCATGGGCTACGAAAAGGCCAAGCAGGCCATCAAAGAGAGTATTGCCGCCGCGGATCTCGGCTACATTGACCTGTACGTACGCTTACTACACAAGCTCGATATCAAGCTAACAACCCAATTAGCATGTTGATCCACGCACCCTACGGCGGAAAAGATGACCGTCTAGGCACCTGGCGTGCTCTGGTTGAAGCTCAACAGGCGGGACACATCCGGTCGCTGGGTGTGTCTAACTTTGGTATCCCGCAGCTGGAGGAGCTCGAAGCCTACATTAAGGCGGGTGGTGGTGGTCAGATCTCCGTCGGCCAGTATGAGATCCACCCCTGGTGTCCTCGCGACGATGTCGCAGAATGGTTGAAGAAGCGCAATGTGGTTGTTGAGGCATACTCGCCTCTTGTACAAGCCACGCGCATGAAGGAGCCTGTCTTGACGAGCCTCGCTCAGAAGCATGGCAAGTCTCCTGCTCAGATTCTGATTCGCTGGAGCTTGCAGAAGGTATGTTTTTTGTGATCTGTTGACAAAGAGAACTTAGCTGATGTTTGTTGCTAGGGATATGTCCCACTGCCTAAGTCGGTGACCGATTCGCGTATTCAAGAGAATGCGGATGTGTTTGACTTCGTGCTTTCCGAGGAGGACATGGCTAGCCTGAAGCTTGACTCGTATGCGCCCGTGTGCTGGGACCCGGTTCGGGATTGCAAGATCTAGATCAACCCACCAGTTAAATTAGTAGACGATTGATGAGCAAAAGGACTGAGCCTTAAGTTCCGAAGAAATGCGAGCGTTCAGGTGTAGACGCGTTTAACTCGCCCAATTAGGCAATCTATTGATCGGCAGAACGTATCGCCGCCAACAAATGTTCCGCCAAAGCAAACAAAGAACATGAAGCACCATCTTCCCCTAAATCACCTGTCCCCCATGAGCGGAATCACGCCAGGCAGTGGCCCTCAACGGTTGCCTCCAACATGCCACCGGATCGGCCGCCAGATCGGCCGCGGATTATCCTCGAGAAATCCAGCACGGTGCGCCGCCGATACCAGCGCAGCAACAAACGGCTCAAATTCACCGCCAAGCAAATAAAGCAGATGGAACGCGAGGAACTATTGGAAAAACGGGCAAAGGACATACGCGAGAAGGAAAAGAGACGCGTTGCCAACAAGAAGAAGAAAATTGAGCAAGATGCGAAGGCTCGTGAGGAGGCAAGGCGGCAAGGCTTGCCTGATCCCACTGCGGGCAAGATCCCGGCTAGTCAGCCGCTACTCTCGAAATTCTTGGGGTTTAAGAACAAAGCTTCTCCGTCTGAAAAACCTACTGAATCGTCGCCTGAACCAACGCCTGAACCTGAACCTGAGGCTGAACCCAAGCCCGAGCCCGAACCTGAATCCGACCTGGAATTCGATTTTGGATCGGAATCTGAACTAGAAGGTCTGATTTCTGAGCCTGGTATTCCTGAACCCGTTATTCCTGCGCCCGTGCTGCCTGCGCCCGTGATGCCTGCGCCCGTGATGCCTGAACCCAAGCCCTACAGCGACAATGGACACATCGAGAGCGTTAGTCAAGATGGGGACACCGAGCCAGACTCGGATTACTTTGATGACATAGACGAAGACTTGCAGCGCGAACTCTCTATCCTCCAGAATGCTGGCAACTGGAAGGATTCCAACTCACATAATTCCGGTCAAATTATCAAGAATACCATAAAAACGGCCAATGATGATGATGATGATGATGAATTCTCCGACTGCTCCGCGTTTTACGACGACGACATCATAAACAAAGCCGAAGCAGCTGCAGTCACACAAGCAAGTCATACTGACACCAACCATACATTATTACAGCCACCCCCGAGTGCTCATCCGAAGAATATCGCCAGCCTCGTGGCTTCGTTCGGTGATTCCTTCAACGACGAGACTGCAGACTATCTGGAAGATGTCTTCTCACGCGGTTGCGGTGACTCTTTTGGAGAACTTATGGAATTTGGCACCAAGCCTCAACAAGCGCCCCTTTGACTAGCAGCCTATTGGCAATTAATTTTCTCCACTTTCGCAGGATATTAAGATTTTGGAGTATGGAACATTTTCATTAGTTGAATCAGATCAGCTCTGCTTTGGGGGACCTTTCAGCCAGTCCAGAGCTGGAGCTGGATACTATCTCAGGTTTGGAAAATCGGAGACTGTCAAAAAAGGCTTGACTAGGGTCTGGTTGCAATGACCATGGATACGCATTTCGTTTATTTCATACACAACGCCTTTTTGGGGCACTGGTCACATTGAGAACAAGATGTCCTATCTCATGCAACGAACGCCTCATGTAACGAACTGTACATGTACTTATGTCTTTCTTATATGAATACACCAATTTTAGCGGAACACATCACTTTGCTTTCCTGTAGACAGCGCGTTTTAAATCGTTGTCAGGTGGTCCATCTTTGCTCATCCTCGAGCTACAGAAAAACAATGTTAGAGGATTAAATCATGTCGTCTAGGCATCTTCTTTATTTAGCACGCCTTCCATAGCCATGGCCCCAGTCTATACCCTGCTACAACTAGCTACTTAGCGCAGGATTAGGAGCTTTCTATTTATAGTACTCCCATCCAAACCAGTTCCAGTTACCTATATCGAAAAACCTCGGCTGATCACAGGTCCTTTATAGCATTTGAGCCTCCTGACTGGATCCTGACTAGAAAATTATTGCAGACTATAGGTAATGCAGATGTATTTTGGTATCGCGTGAGCTGTCCAGTACAATAACAAGCTATCCCAATTTGGTTAGAGGGGGGCGTGATGATCAACGGGGGTGGGACACGGGGGCTTATGGGTAAAAAGGGGCAGATCAAGTAACTTGCCGGATCTTCCGGTGCACGTACCCTATAGCCGTGAGCCGGTTATGGGCTGCTTACGGTCAGAACGCAAAGCCGCCCCCCGTAACGCAAGATATCCCACCGACTTTGCTACATGGTGCGTGCACGGATATATGTCACTAGCCTAATCGGGAGGTTCAACTCCCCAATTAGGGGGTTCAACTTGGACAACAATTTGGCTCTTTAAACAGCAAATTAAGTAACGAAATTCGAGGGATTTCTATTAATATCTGCTGAGCTAGTGATTTGGTAGGTCAAATATCATAATTCCATATTTAATAGCAGCAGATTCAGGGATTGGCCGGTAAATCTTTTGTGCATTATCCATTACGAAATATATATCCGGACTACTCGGAGAACACCCGCCACAGAATATGTTGATTACATTTCCAACCATTTTTTTCTTATATGATCCCATATCCCCAGTAGGTAATCTTAAAATAGTAGTCTCCATAATAGGAAGGGCATCAGAATACACAACAGATTAAAGGTGGTTATGCATACCGATTGAGGCTTAAGTGGACTGCGAACCTTGCGAGGTTAGATGTTGGCAGTGTCCATGACGTAAAACCAGCCAGGAAGCTGCCAATTTAGGCTGTAAAATGAACGATCACTTCCAAAACTGCAATAAATTAGTATTCATAGAGTACGCGAGGATCCATCAGCTAAAAAAGGATCAAATGCTGTAGATCAAAACCTGGACGAACACATATCACATACTTATTTCGTCTTTGATTGATCATAGTACGGAGAAATTGCACCCCGTACATGTTAACAAGACCCCTGAAGTAAAAAGTGCTCAATTTTGCCAACAGCCAACAGCCGCATCCTCTATCTATTGGAACATGATCCTTTGGCCCCGGGGGCGGGCCGCCAAGCCACAAGCGGAGGACGTACGCACTCTGTTGCGGATCCACCAGGATACAGCCTTGTGAATTGTCAAATTTGACCAGGAATCCAACAAGGCTCGCACTGTTGCACTTTCTGGGATGCGGTGACAGCACGCGGCCCCCAGAGATTTGCAAGGATTCCATTCCTACCTACATGGAGAAGCTGAAATGTGACATAGTGCGAAGCAGCATGGGTAGTGATCGGCTTTTCTCCTCTTCAAGTAATGCGTTGGATTGAGCAATGGTTGGGGGCAAGTTGTTTTAACTGCACCAATATTAATTCCCTTTTGTTGTTCTTATGAGGAGACTCGCTATTGTATAAAGACCGGTCTGCTCTCGTTTGTTGGTGTTTTATTTACACAACCATTATTGGACAATCGAGGCTCACGCCACCGCTTTTCTCTATATTGGGTATCAGCGCTGAGTCAGGTCACAATGCTTTCAAATACTATGTTATATTCTCTGCTTGCTTTCGCAGGCGTCGCAGTATCCGCAAAGTCCTGCCGGTGTCTCCCCTCAGACTCTTGCTGGCCTTCCCAAGCTGAATGGCAAAGTTTGAACCAGACAGCCAATGGCCACGTACATGCTCTAAGGCCCTTGGCAGCTGTCTGCCATGGGTCTGGGTATAATTACACCGCATGCAATATCGCTAAGAGAAACGAGAATGACGAACTTTGGAGATCCAATCAGCCAGGTATGTCGACGCGATAACGAAATCAGAATGTGGGGCATGGAATCAAAAGATACTCATCAAAAGTTCACAGGTGCCGTGGATTGGCCAAACTGGGAGGCGTGGCCTGCTCAAAACCAGTCATGCTACATCGACTCGAAGAAAACAATGCCGTGTGGACAAGGCCGGATATCGCGATACACCCTCCAGGCCGAGTCGGTGGAGGATATTCAGGCTGGCGTGCGTTTTGCCAGCATGTATAACCTGCGCGTGGCTATTAAGAATACTGGCCATAACCATGCTGGCCGATCTGTTGCTCCGGAGTCGCTGCAGATCAACACCCACTTGATGACCAATATGACAAAGCACACAAACTTCAAGCCTGCCGGCTATGATGGTGAAGATGGAGGGGTGGGTCTTGCAGCAACCCTTGGCGCCGGTGTTCAGTTGTATGATATGTACAGGTGGTTGGGCGAGAATGATATCATAGCCGTCGGTGGGTCCGCAGCCGGCGTGGGTGTCACTGGAGGATACATCCAGGGAGGAGGTCATTCTCTGCTTGCTGGTATCCATGGCATGGCCTCTGATAATGCTTTGGAATTCAATGTGGTTGTTGCAAATGTAAGTGCACTAATTATCCACAGCTGGGTTAGTAGACAGAGCTAACTAGCCACCAGGGGAGCCACTTGACTGCCAACGCTTACCAGAACGCAGACCTCTTCTGGGCGCTCCGGGGAGGAGGCGGCGGAACTTGGGGCGTTGTCACCTCCGTGACTGTGCGGGCCTTCGAGGACAAACCGATCGTGAGCTTCTCCATTTCCGGCGGAGCGCAATTCCAGTCAGAGGAGTACTGGAAAGCAGTCGAGTATTTCCACGCCTTCCTGCCCGAGTTCAACGAGGCCGGTGGTAGTATGTACTACTGGCTGATCCCTGACTATCCCGATTCCACGGCTGGCCAGATCTCTGCGATCACCGCCGAAGGTGGCTTCGGTAACGCGACCAGCAAGGCGGCCGTCGACAAGATCATGCAACCATTCATATACGCACTTGGAAATATGACTGGCTCGGCCTTTAACTACACATCGACCTATGTCCCGAAGGCAACGTCAATGTACATCGAATTAACCGAGAGCACCAGTGGAGTCGGCTCACCCGTCATCCTTGGTTCGCGTCTGGTGACACGCGACTTCATGAAGTCAGCCGAAGGACCAGGAAAGGTCACAGAGGCTCTTCGAAGTCTGCGCGTGTATCCAGGAAATACAACTGTGGGTGAAAATGCTATCCAGGGTCTCGTTGTCGCTGGACCCGCCGTGTGGGCCAACGCCGGTGTTGTCAACAGTGCGTTGCATCCTATCTGGCGTCAAGCACAGGTCCATCTCATCATTGCGCGTGGGTGGGACACCGACACATCATTCGCTGAACAGCAGAAGATCCATCGAAATTTGACTGAGGTCGAGGTTCCGATTCTTAAGAAGCTGGATCCCGCACCGGAGGGTGGCTGCTATCTCAATGAGGCCGACGGCTATGAGGAAGACTTCCAAGACAGCTTCTGGGGCTCCAATTACCCGCTTCTCTATGATGTCAAACAGAAATGGGACCCTGAGAATCTTTTCATTGTTCGGACTGGTGTTGGCAGTGAGGATTGGGATGCTGAAGCTTTGTGTCCTGTATGAGGTGACTAGGAATGGATATCAGTGCAAGTCAAGCTAAAAATAGCTTATTATTGTATTAACTGAATTCGTCAAATATTGCTGGATCAAGACCAAGGGGCAAATTAATCTGGATAGAGTACCTAAACTACAAATGAGATCATTGAAGAATCCAGTTCTGAATGTGGAGTAAGGCTATACATATTGGCTTGTCTTCTATAAATTGGTAGCTACTGAGACTTTACCAGGGAAAAATATGAAGTAGAAAATTGTTTTATGACATTGAACAGGTTTTCTTCCTTGGAATGAATAAATGATGTTGACATAAGCACATATTATTAGAAACCCAATGACAACGTATGACGGTGCCTTCAGGTTGACTTCAAACAAGCGCATATTTTTTTGTGATTCGAGAAGAACAAGGAATTCTGCGTTGTTTGAGTCTACTTCCTGCCAAAGACAAATATGGCTCGTGCCGATTGTTTGGTTGCTGTGAGGATCATGGAAGATTGATCGAAAGCAGATGATGGATAATTATATTATATGGAACCCAGAGGAATGTTCTGAAGAAGATGATTGATTTGCAGTCGGAAGATTGGCAAATGTAGAAGACTGGAAAGTAAACCGAGAAGAGATACTGAGGAACCGAGAAAGTCGATAAAGATGAGGACCAAGAAGATGATTGAAACCGAGAAGACCGAGACCGAGAAGATCAAGTCTGAGAAGATCGGTGATTGGGGATTGAAGTAAAATTTGAGCCCATTCCGAGCCTTGTCCTGGCCGTGTAATCATGTGAGCAAACAGCGGCGCCAGCTCAGAGTGTGGGCAGTCGAAGTGTAAGTTGAAGTCGGATGCCGAAAGTCGACGCTGAGGCTAAGCCCATTCTGAAAATTGTCCTGACCGTGCGATCAAAGAGAACAGCGGCGCCATTTCAGAGTGTGGGCAGTTGAAGTTGAAGTCGGAGCTGAGATACCAAGGTTTTACGATCATGCTGTCATTGCACCATTGCTTGTAAGGGCACACCCAGAGGGTGGATTCGAAGTGGGAGTAGAAGATGCGGTTGCAGTGGGTTCAAGAAGGCATTTGACTGAAGAGAAAAAGAGGATTTGAAATTTGTGAAAAATTACAAGTGAAGCTGTTTCTGTTACCATGATCGACTCCGGGAATGGGATAGAATAAACAGACATTAGCGTCTGTGCCGGAAATCCTCCATGCCTTGATGAAAATTGGTAAGAGGAGGCTTTTGTTTTGGATGTTTGTTCTTTGTTTTGATTTTGTGACTGAAAGAATCTATGAAGAGAGAATAAATTTGTTAGTATTTCGGATTGCTAAAGCATGGAGCATTCCAGAAAATAGTAGTGAGAGTGAAAGACATCAATTGATACAGGAGATGGAAGATGGAAGAACCAAGGTGGATAAGGTTTGGAGGATGAGTGGGATAGGGTTCTTACCATGTGGAGAAGTGGAATATGTCAAATCAAGTCAGATTTAACGATAGAGATTTGAAATGCGTGGAGATTAAAAACATTTTAAAAGATGAAAAATAGGAAAAATTCATGAGAGAATGACTGTGTCCACATAGTAGATGATGAAGTCGAAGTTGGACTTGGAAGAAATTTGAAGAAAGGAGGGCGATGAGGGGCGATGAGGAAGGAAGAAGGAGAGGGAGGGGAAATGAGGTAAGGAGTATTTATAGTAATGGGTGAGGTCAATGGGTGAAGTGAATGATCCCCAGGATCACCATCTCCAGGATCACGTCCTCACCCAAGATCACCACCTTCCCCAGAATCAACCAATCCTGAGCAGGACCGAAGGCAAACAAGCATGATTCTCTGTAATTCGAAATTCATTGAGCCCTGGAGTCATTTTCCTCTCCACTTTTCAATCTTTCCTTCCTTGATATTCCTTGATCTTTTTTCCGCAGCAGACTTCGCGGCCAGAAGAACGGCTTTACTTGGCAATTGTACTTCATTAGATTTTACATGATAAAAAAGCCCCCCCTCATGATTGAGATCATAGCATGACTTACGATTCTGCAAAATAAGTCAAGCCAGAGGGTCTTGAGCATTTGCAAAGCATGGTAAACAAATCAGCAAGTCTACAGCCTGCCTAAACAAAGAATCCGCCAACTAGAATTTTTGATCTTCGGAAGTTCAATTTGACGAAGCCTCATAGCCGTACAGTAAAATTAAAAGGATACATGTACTTGATTATTTTTGGTGTTTTAACTGAGGATTCTAGCACATAGTCAACGTATTTAGACATGCTGGTAACTCATTGCTCTTGGATTTTTGAAATTCCGTGTGGCGGTCCAACTTCTGCTACAACTTACCAACTATCATCGAAAGTCCCGAGCCACCTTATTACACCAATTTTCAAAACCCTCTACTATGCACATCAGCAGAATTTTAATGCACCGTATGATTTTCTCTTTTTGTACATATAGAGATTCACTTCCCAAATCGGGAAAAGCTCCATCTGCGCTAGAGTGGATCCTTTGAGCCAATAGAAGAGTCTACATCCATATAAAGCCTAGTGCGAACCTAACCCTCACAGTGACGCTCGCGTAGCTCAGTTGGTAGAGCGCGGCACTAGTAATGCCGAGGTCTTCAGTTCAAATCTGGACGTGAGCAGTTCTTTGTTTTTGCCAATTTACGGTCTCAAGATCTTTCTTTTTTTTTACTTAGTGCTTGCTACTAATGATATCATCTTCACGTTAATATCAGACTAGATACAAATACAAGAGCTTAATAGATTGGTCAATTTATCCAAAAATATCTAGGGGATTCCGACCTCTCAAGACCTCGACGACTGGCCATTTTAACGCAGAGATTGAATTCATCTTGCAGCGTTTCTCATGGCTATTTAGGTAAGAGAGGAAAGTCGGTGATGAGAAGCCAATGAATTACCTCGAAATATCCAGATAGAAGAAAAAAGCCCAGTCCCTGAGCACAGAAGAGCAAAGCTGGGTAGAAAACTCCTACCTACCAATAAGAGATATGGCATGCATAAATGCAAATGGTATCCAAAGCCATCACTTGCTTTTCATTAAATGCATCGAGATTTTTCGCCTTGTAATCATCGTCGGCCATAGAATCTGAATGTATCAAATGAAGACATGATGTTTTTTCTATTCGATCTCCTGAAAGAATCATGCGTCCAAGCAGCTGAGCTGAACAAGTCAAATCGTCTATTGAGTAGCTGATGACTCTCGATTTGTTTTATATTCATCTATGAATTTCCCACCGAAACGGATAATAATGACATAATAGAGAGGGGGAAGAACATCAAGTACTACGTATAATTTGTGTAATAAGTGCCGGGAACCCCGGCTAATCATGGATCAATGATCAGCAATGAAGTATTATTTAATCCCAAGGTCCTCTTGAATATCTCGAATTCAACTTGAAGGGAATACGAAGCTACCATGTCTTTTGAGACACCCCCCAAAGCTGACGAGCCACTGATGAGCGGTGAGGATATGTACCACGAGAGTGGTTTGGGATACAAGTCTTCGAGATCCACCAAGCGATTGCATCTGTGGAAAGTCTTAGTAATAGTCACTGGATGCATGGTAACATTCGCACTGGGGGTGATGACGGGCCGGAATTTGCCATCAAATCACCAGGGCATGCTAGGTAAGTCGTCAAAACCCTTGAATCAGGCTTTCGATGCACTAACATTACATTTGCAGCCCCGGAAGGTAATATCGAGGCTATCATAGAATACAATAGCACCTTCGGCATGCATCCATCCCCGGAAAGTGACGCCGCGTGGGAATCGTTGTTTCCCAAATGTAATGGAGTCAATCAACATGAAGTATATGCACCTGAAGCTTCAGGGCTGGTTGTCTACCATAATCTGCGTTGCTTGAATACACTTCGTGGTGTGTATTACGCCAGCTTGGATGGGATACACACCCGAGACATGGCCGAGGAACATTACCACCTTGACAGCCCGCTTCATATCCGCCATTGCTTCGACTATCTGAGGCAGAGTTTGATTTGTTCGGCTGACACGAATTTAGAGGCCCTGCCGAAGGATTTCATGGTGAATGAGTGGAGATTTACGCGTACCTGTCGCGATTTGGATGCTGTTAAGGCGTGGGCGGAGGAAAATCTGGGTCACTGATCTCTAAGACCAAGTCTTCCTATTTAAACCCTCTCGATATCTCAACGTGTCTCACAGTAATCTGCCCTTACTTAGCAAGACTTTTTATTTGCTTTACTGAATGGAACGAACTAATTTCGGAAAGCTAAAATTTAGCCACTTTGATAGTTTACGAGGTGATCGTCTGTCGGTACGTTGAGGTATTCATTCTAAGTTTGTAGCATCAGATCTTGAACACACATCAGTTGGTGCTGGCAACTGATAATATTTGTTGACTCGCTAAGCTTTAAACAGTACCCCTACGAAGAAGGTGAGTCCATGCGACACCACGCTCTGAGTAGAGAGAGGTCATGCCAGTGCAGGAGGTCTTGCAGTTCATTCCGGATCACCCAAGTTCAGCAAAGACCGCTTCCCTGCCTGAGCAGGGAAGATAATAGGTTCAATGGAATCCCGGGGTTCGTGTATTTACCCTGATGGTAGAAACCAGGATCATAGAAAGTTCCTATAATACTGCCTCGAATATGAAAGGAAGCCCAAGCCAAATTCCACCAAGATCCATTCCCATATGATATACTCCTGCCCAAAGAGGCCCTGCTAGTAGGCCTCCAATCGAGTTCGTTAGACTGAGAAGTGTGTACGTTGTGCTCAAAGTTGTCGGCTCAACCAGGGAAGTGACCAATGTTCTCACCGTCACAGAGAACGTAACGATCCTAAACCCCACATCACAACTTCAAGACTCAACATGATCAAGTTTGGCGCTGTAGAAACACTTGGGAATCCCAGAAGTATAAACAGTGTGTTGACCTGTGTGAGATGATTTTCAGCTGCAAAATTTATCGTTTTAATGATAATTTCGACCTATTTCAGCGAATGTGCAGGGGTGCAGATAAGACCAACCTGCTAATTGGTTACCTATGTCGGGGTTTTCCCTTTCAATTGAAATCAAAACCAAATACAGGCTAGGCATGCATGGGAAATCCTCTCCATTATATCATGTATCTTCAATTTCCACTTACATCTATTTCTACCCAGTCAGAAGAAGATAAGGTGCTTCATGCTTTGTCGTGTGCCTGAGGGCTAGTATCTGCGCAACTATGGTGACTAAGCTCGGATGACCAAGCCGGATTACATAAGTCAAATAAGCGCAGGGCGGTAGGATGTTGGCTGTCACCGCACTAAGAAAAAGGTAAAAAATTGATTCTGCCACTTAAAGAAAAAGCTGCAGCGCAACCACTGTTGCATGATATGTGGAAGGAAAAAAAGATGACCAGACTGGGGCTCGATCCCAGGACCTTATCGGTGTTAACGATACGTGATAACCAACTACACCATCCGGCCAATTGATATATGAATGTGGAGATGTTGCTTACATCAACCAGGGTTATTATTGCCATCGAAATACCCACATTGAGCAAATGGTAACCAGACCCGCTAATAGTTTAGTTTAGTGGCTCTTTGGCTTTTCAGCAGTGATCAGATGAGTCTTTGCTTATCTGAAAATCCAATCAAATGTTATAAGGAAGATTGGGCCTGCGCCAGTCAGCTACCTAGTACCGTTGAAAATTATGGCCTGACAGGATATATACTGTGATAGAAGAAAGACGCATACACTAAGTAAATTTGGTATCCCTATAATCGGTGAGAAAGAATCGGAGAATATTACTGTTCTCCCAGCCAAGTACGAATCTCAAAATGCACCAGTAAGATGCTGCCAAACGTCCGCTCAACCAATTGTTAATTTGCAGGTGATCCCAATCTTCAAGTGGCCTTTAGGGTAGGAGAGGAGCTAAAGGACAATGGGGGCTACGTCAAACCATCAGGAAGCTGATGGATAGCTGTCAATTGATGCATGTAGTGGTATTCTACAAAAACGAGTGGAAAAATAATAAAGAACATTCTCGTCTGATCCTTTCTTTTTTGTTTTGCGTATAGTGTACAGTATCCCCACATTCACTACTCGACTACTTCCGCCCGTTTGTGGTCATTAACTACCAATCTTAAGCAATAGGCTACTCATTCAGCTTATTAAATAGTGACTACTGGATTACTCTCACAAAGTACCCGTTTGTAGGCAGTATTATTCGAATTTAGGGTTTAAAATCCACAAAAATATAGAGTAGTGCATGCTCATCCTTGTGTGATTCATCAGAGAAAATTTACGCTCGAAGTCAATACATGGCTTCCATCTCATTCACGACTCGTTTAATTCTGCCCACCCGTTTCCTAATTCACCCAGACATGAACAAACATACCCTTGTTCATTCTTCAAGTCAAAAAGCCTTTCAAGCTCTTGACGTCCATTCTGAAAATTTACAAAGCCGCGTTGCTTTTTTGGTCTAGGTGGGTTAAGGCCTCATCGAATCAAATCCACTCAGTCTTCAGACGAAAACTAACGCGCGATTAGCGACCAAAAAAAACAGTATCCGAACCAACAATGCAAGCCTACTACCCACCCCCGCTATTCCAAGATGATGCAGAGCAGCCCGGATTTTGGGCCAATGCAGCAGCCAACGGAGACATTTGGACTAAGAGTATCCAGCTCCGCCGGAAGCCGGATTTCGTCCTTTCTGCTCTACTCCAGCTTCCACTCCTTCGAGAACCAGCCACGCGCCTCGAAACTTCCAGCAACTCGTTCCTGCTCTTGGTCAAAAGTCGGACTTGGCATGCCTTGGGCTTGCTCGCTCAAGCAGTGGGAACGAAGATGGACGTCGAACAGCAGTGTCAATGTTGTCAACGGGGACACGGCCAATTTGTGTCTTGTGTTATGGTCCTCAGCCTTCAACATCTGATGCCAGGATGTGTCAACTGTTATTGGGGCAATCGGAGGAACAAGTGCAAGCCCGGGAAGACCCATCCTGTCCCTACCCCGAACTTTCCTCACGCTGCCATAGATGCAGTGCCTACGATCGCCAGCCCTGCTGAGAGCATCCCCATGGAAAGTCCATTCACTCCCATAGGAAGTCCATTGATTCCGATGGAAAGTCCCTTCAGTACGATAGAAAGCCCTTTTAGTGTGATGGAAAGTCCCTTCAGTTCGATGGAAAGTCCCTTCAATTCGATGGAAAGTCCCTTCGGTGCGATGGATAGTTCCTTCAGTGCGATGGAAATCCCATTCAGTTCAACAGAAAATCCATGCATTCCCGTGGAAGGTCATAGCCGGAGTTACGAAGAGCTTGAGCATGCACTGGAGATGGAACTTCTGGCGAAGATGGAATCGCAATTGAAATATGTGTTTGCCAAGAGGCGAGTCAAGGACGCCTTGGCTGCGCTCAATGTGCACGACGAGCGCATCCAAGATCTCCTTTCCGCTAAGCGGAGACTTCTGGATTGAACTGCATCGAATGAGCAAGAAGCATTGACCCGCAATGTACAACAAGTAATCTGGGAGGTTGATGGAAGTCGCACTTGAAAAAATCACAGATGAGAAGAAGTTTTGGGTGGATCATTTATTATGATGTATCATTAAGAGGATAGTATATTTTAGTCAGCATTCTTGGGCCACCAAACAAATTTAAACATTCTGCAAAATCACATTCATTCAGGCACAACAAAAGTCGATAAAGACCTCAGCAGCGTAATCGAATATTCGAGCCAGCAGATTGAAACGGCTTCCACATTCCCCTGTCGGGGAAAATAACTTTGACCGCGTTGTGCAGGTGTGCCATTTTGAAAATTTTGAAAATCATGGATGGATGCAAGAGGGAAAGCCTCTGGAGTGAGAGACGTGGTGGGGAATCGGGATATGCCGCACCGTGAACAAAAATCGCGGAAATATTACTTGTTTGCAGAGGGGTAAATGGCAAGTAGCGGAAGCTAGTAGTTTACGGAAGAGAGGTCGATAGGTATAAATATTTTGAGCACTGAGGGCGACTTAGGGTCCAATATATGCTAATAATTCGATACACAAGCCCCCCGGCTGTTCCCAGTGAGGCAATTTGACGCCTGAAAAATAGCAAAAATCGGTAGATCTGCTACAGTCCAGGTAATATCCACATGAATGTAGAAATTTCATTGAACCGGAAAAAGGGCTCGCTCCCATCAGCTTCATTAAAAAGACGGATTGGCATTCACAAGCAACTGCTGGAAATAGGCCTGTAAATCATCAGCAAGGGAACAACCATGATGATAAATTAAATAAACAAAGACAGGTTAAAACTTACTTCGAACCATGTTCCGGCTTCTGGGGCAGGCTGTAATGCATCGCTATATCCGCAGTGTGCATCATATCGTGGCGATGTGGTATTTGATGTACCATCACATTCTCCGCCAGGCTTGACCCAAACAAATGCATCCTCAAGAACGTCCCCAGTATCAGTTGTGGGGCGAACACCAAAGCCAGTACCAATGACATTGCACCAGTCACCCCAGGCATTTTGCTTAGTTGGCTGGACACCATTGCGTGCTAAATGGAGGTTAGAAAATAAACATGATATGCATACTGGAATCTCAAAAGCACTGAGGATCCGAGGATTGGACTTACAAGTATCGGTGATGAAATGAGCAGAAAAGCCTGCAGCATCAAGTAGAGGAGCAAGAGCATTGACATAAAGCTTTTCGTCGCAGTTGGAGTCTCCCTGTGTGTATGATGGACAAGTGTCGATTGTCCAGGCGTTATAGTTAGCAACATTAGTTGCTAACCCTCGCACAGCAGCGGGGGACGATGCGTTCTTGTATACATTGGCAAAGAGCGTAGCGGCCGGTTGGAGATTCGCTGACCAGCCCAGCCAGCCGGCATGTCCTAGATACGTCAAATCAGTTAATTTATGCCGGAATAAAAATATGAAAGTGAAACTTCAGGGAAGGAATCATACCCGCGTCCATATACATGGCTACGTTTGGCAAGTTGAGCTGGATCAACGCATAGTTGACGCACTCCAGATAAGCACTCTCGGCATTGGCGCATTTAGCCACATTTAGATTGGTAACAAGGTTGGCGAGGCTATCGGGCTCTAGTGAGAGTTAGCGGGGTGATCGAGTTGATTAGTCTATCTTAGGGTCCAAACCAATGACCAGAATAGTCTGCACATCCGAATATTTCACAATCTGAGCCTTGATTGAGTCAATGTACGCTTTGTAGTTCGCCACTCCATTATCGGCGATTGAGTATTCGCCGTTGCTGGCGAGAGCGGCGCAGTCGCGGTCTGGCAGGTCATAAACCACAAAAATGCCCGCAATTGGCGGGTTAGCACCAGCGGCATTCTGTGACTGGATGTCGGCAAGATAGGTTCCCATGGTCGGAACCTTGGCGGCCGTGTCACTATTGAGAAGCTAAGTAAAGGCGCATCTTGGGCAAGGCAACCAGACTTACAGCCAAACAAAAGTTGGAACTTTTGCGACATTGCTAGCCTTTGCCGCGAGAGAGCTTGTCAGGGACGGAATTGCCGATGCGAAAATTTCGGAGGAGTAGTAAGGGTTTGCATAGAGTTGATAGCCGCTGAAGGGATTGCTACTGTTTGTAGTAGCAGGGGCTGTAGTGGTGGATGTGGTGGATCCTTTAGTGGTGGTGGACGTAGTGGTAGTCAACAATGTAGTCTTGGTCGTCGTGGTGGCGCTTGTTGTGCTAGTTGTCGCACTTGCAGAGACACACTGCGCATAGTCTTTCAAGAAATTAGTGTTGCGATTGTACAGTAAGAGAGCCCGGAAATTGAAACATACAGGGATTCAAAGTGGTGCATGTTGCCTGTGCCGTGCACACAGTTGATCCTGTCCATGCACTACCACCGCCTAAAGAAACAATTAGCCCATAATCTCCGGAAGATTAAAGAACAGTTATTCTTACATTGACCCCAGAGAGATTGTTGGCCATAGGCGATATGAGAAAGGAGAAACAACAGTAAACCTGTTGTTCGCTGCATATTTGCTGACGATTGCTTATTGCGAGGGGGTTTCGATGATTTTTGAATTCAGTATTAGCGAGTTTCATGCATAAGAAATTGTCAAAGTATATATACCTGTGTAAACGGATAAACAAGAATTAGAACCCGCTTTTCAGATAAATTTGAGCATGATTGCTACAATAGCCACGGAATGATATCTCAAAATGATACGGAGCGTGGAAAGTCTTCAGGCTAACTTATTTCAGGCTATATTCCTTTGAAGATGATATGCATTACTACTTTAAGCTGTAACGAGCTAAAATCAAATTTGATTCGATTTGACTATGCCGAATATAATCTGCCAAATGTTCAGGAAAAGAAGAATTGCAATAAAAGGACAAAATTGAAAGGAAACCAGATTAAAAGGCACGGGTGATGTCCATGTGATGGTGAACGGGACTTGGCCCTTTACAGAGTAGAATTGAGTCTTTAATTAGAACATTCACCCCTTTTACGCCTAGTATTTATTTGAGAATATCCATCATCTTTCTACTTGGTTCCCGGACACTTGAAAACTCCCACAGTTCGGTGGTTGTAACTCTCCCCAAGATCTTCACGGTAGTCTCTATACATCACAGGGATTTTGAAAAGCGGTAAGCGTAACACGGGCGCTCTGCAGTTCTTCATCCCGATGCAGGGCAATTAAGGTTCAATTCCTCTTTAAGGGATGCGTGCACATGTGGGATCGAAGGGCTCCATAGCCTAAAAATCCGGATTTTAGCCGCGGGGCAACCTTGAACTTTCAAAAGTTCGAAATTAAACATTTCAAGTAATAATGTATGAATCTATGATATAAGTTACTGTAAGTAGAATATTTCGCTATCCCTAGAAAGCAAGTAGCAAAAACCAAATAATTTCAAAGATTTGATACACCGTATGTAGAAGGCCACCTTTGTTGATGCGGTATACAACTGGTGGGGCATACTACGGCGTACATACAAAATGCGGGCATCACGCTGACTGGTCGATGCATTTCTGCACATTTGCAGGTGGCACCGCAACGGGCCGCCGGGAAAGAATGATGAATGATACAATATGTGGAACGGAGAAGTTGCCGGCGGCCAAATTAATACGGACCACAAGCCGTAACTACAGACAGGCCATCAAGAGCTAACGAGTTCGAGGGAATGGCACAGTCACTGTAAAGAGGCAAGTCGAGTTCAAAATTAAAGAGTCCATTCAACGAAAAGAAAGAAGCTTTAAGTGAAAGACAAACAACTACTTGAGAATTTCTACACTCGTTTCTTTTCATTCTGAGCATATTTTCGGCTTGATTCGAGTCTTCAACTTGAAGACGCCTATAGTAAAAGCTTTTTCAGCAGAGAAAAATCGTCCATTTTTTTACCAATTTCATAAGTGACAAAAGCTATTCCTCTTGCTCTGTCAACGTTTTTGCCTGGGTTGTTGGTGTTTCAAAACATGTCGCTCGGGCGACCAGCTTATCTGTACTCGGACTCCACTCCGATCGCACTCCGATTACTCCGATTACTCCGACCCCAACATTGACTCATCGATCTCCTTGTATTCCTAAGACCCAGAATCGAAATAAACAGTTCAAAGAATCATCAAAACTAGATCAATTACCTCCTTTTCTAAATTTATTGCTGCTACTACTTGTTACAACTCAAAAATGTCCTTTGCTACACCTGCCACCCTTCTTCCCTCTCGCACATGGACTCGTGAGGGTAGTGAATTCTTCATCTCAAATGACCCCGCATATATCTCTGTCGAGGCTGTGAACCGAGCATTCGGAATGGACTTCATATACTGGGCGAAGCCTCTGCCGGAAGATGTTCTCTCCAAGATCCTTCAGGGCTCAATGTGCTTCGGAGTCTACAAGCGACTTTCACCCTCGGAGTCCGGCGAAAAGAGAACAGAGCAAGTTGGTCTCGCACGAATGATTACAGACGGCTCGACCTTTGCGTATTTATCAGATACCTATGTTCTTCCCGAGTGCCAGGGCAATGGGCTGGGAAAGTGGCTTTTCCGTTGCGTGGCGGAGGTCTTTTCGACCGAGAATATGCCTTATCTACGAAGAATCATGCTATTGACACACGAGAAGAAAACCCAAGAGTTTTACACCAAAGCTCTTGGAGTAAAGGTTATTGGGGAGGAGAAACGGCCGGATACTGGGAAAGACTTGGTCTTTATGTGTGCCAGACCGGGTGTTGATTCATGATACATCTTGTCACAAAATATTTTTCGAGGTTATCCGGTTTTTATACTTTTACTTCAAGATATTTAGTTTTACTTAAGTGTGGGGTTAGGTTATCCCTCCATTTGCTTCAGTCAGATCTCTCTCTCTCTCTTCCTTCTCAATAGCTCTCGGAATGCAGATCTTGTCCGTTTGCTCGTCAGTTTCCACGCTACCATGTGGCACCTCTCTTCCCTTGGCACACAGCAGGATCTAGCAGTTGACACTGCTAACTTCACTTAGACCCCGCACAGCGACAACAATGAGTGCGTTCTGACTAAGCAGGGCATACCTATGCTTGAGGCGGGCCTCGCTATGCCATTCAAAATTCACGACAGTGATAGGGAATCGGGATGGAAATATGTTGAATTCTTCTGGGTCAAGATCGAGTCTTTTTGTCGAAACGTGAAATCTAGGCTGCCAACGACCGAATGAAAACCGAGCAAATTCATAATCTGAAAATGTTCTCTGGCTATGTTCACGACTACTGCCACTAGGATAGATACCTGTGTGCTTTCCGGCCCATCAAAGTGAATGAGAAGATTCTCTACTTTGAAGCCTCAGCTAATTTTATCTAGGACGAGAACAAACGTCTAGTCAACCAGCATGCTTATTATACTCCAACAAATCCCTTTCATAATCTTTACAGCGACCCACATTCTTTTATTAATCCACATATTTGCACTATATAGTCACCCTTGAAGGATAAATTTAGTACATACGACCATAGGGTGTGGAGGAGAACTCAGAACACGGCTTCCCGTCCGCTCAGCAGTACTTAAAATTATGTACACCCGCACTCCTGATCGTTTATATAGCCCTATCACCTTATATTAGCGATGAAAATTTACGTTAATTAAGTATAGGTAATATAGGTAAGACTTTTATAGACTAAGTGATAGAGCTCTTACTATAGTAGTGCTACCCCTTTTATCTACTATTAGTTCCTTAACTATTCGAGGAGTAAACATGTTTGAAAGGATACTTATAGAGAGTTTAAAATAAGTATAAAAAATAGTACTATGATTGAATAATATAATAGGATTATGAATACTAAACTCTCTTTTTTGTATAAGTTAAGTTTCCTTTAAGCCGTAATAGATACCTACCTACTATTAGGTCTTAGGTAGGGTTAGGTTATATAAGTCAGACCTGATAGTAATTAGGTTAGGTCTTAGATCTATACTTTAGACCTGAATTAGATTTTAAGGAAGTCTAAGTTTACTTATTAAGGTTATCTTAATCTTTTATATCTATTTTTCTACTCAGTACTAACTACTTTCTTTTATCTTTCTTACATCATTGAACCATCATTATAGAATGAATCACTGGATTAGACTAGAAGTCTTTAACCTTAGCTATCTCTATCATAAACTCTAGTCGCGCTGTACATAGAATAGTAGAAAGCTTCCAGTCACCCCCAATATCTATCTGTGAACCTTTACGGGATATTCAAGCTTTGATGGAGGCTTTAGGCATACTTATTGATATAATGGTATAATGGGCACAGCCACTGATTTTGAGTTACTTGCGCTTGGGCTTACCTTATCACAGTGTGGCATCGCTTATAAGGAGTTCAAGGAGGAGATTACTTTATCAAGATCCTAGTCCCGCTATGTCTCCCTGCCTCCGCCTCCACATGTCATCGTGAAACTGAGGAAAACGATGCTCATCGGGTGCATCGAAGAAGGAAGTCTTACAGACAGTTGTGCCCGCTCGCAGATTGTCGAGCTTGGGGAAGAGTGACGGAGTGGGTAAGATAAGTGCCTATACACCCCGATAGGATCCGCCACTATCCTGCCGGCGTGTTGAAAATCGGGTTGATGTAGGATTTACGGAACTAAAGCGTTGCATAACGGACGTGACGGGAGTGAAGTAGCCAGATATCTACTGACGTACCAGTGTCTTTTGAAAGCTATATAAGCCTAGAGAAAAGACAAAACAATACTTCTTACTTTCGACATCAAACCCGCCGGCGCCCACACCCGGTGACAAAAACCTCAGTGCCGCGGCACAATCTGGCCCTTGAAAGCGCGCGTCGGTGTCCGCATCTCAAACAGATGGTCAAGCTCTGCAATCGTGCGGTCCTTCATCTCAGGAACCTCAAAGAAAAAGATAATCCATCCCAGTGCTGAGAGGCCAGAAAAGATAAAGCCGACTTTGCCACCCAGGTTTCCTTCATCCGTCTGGTACATATAGGGAACGGCATAATTGAATCCCCACATGAAGAAAAACTGCGCAATGAAAGCTAGTGACTGAGTCTGGGCTCGAAGGCGCAGTGTGGAGGTTTCTGACGAAATTACGGGGTAGGTTCCACCGACTCCGAGACCGTAGGTGAAGTTGACAGCGACAATAGCACATCCGACAAACCTGCAACCGGAGAAAGTAAGAGACATTAGTAAAAGCTATGAAAAACGGGTATATGGATATATGAGAGGCAAAGCGCTGATGTTGTAGAAACAGAGAAGGCAAGAGACACAGTCAAACACAGGAAAGAGAGAGTGTGAAGAACATACCAAAATGCGGTGGTAGTGGAGAAGCACCCCGCAATGCCGATGGCGAGCCAGATGAGGGTGATCGCCCCGACACTCCATAATAGAATCGTTCTTCGGCCGAAGGTCGCCATAGTGTACCACGAGATTAGGATGGCCGGAATTAGGAGACAGAGGGAGGCAGTCGTAACGAGGAGCGAGACCGTAGCCGTCATCCCGCCCAACTCCAAGAAGTAGGTCGCATTCGAGATCATAGCTATTCCTACCAAATTTTGCAGAATGTTGGCGTAAAAGACAATGCGGGTCCGCCGCCAGTTGGCGCCCTGAAAGCACTCAATATAGGACGCTTTCTTCTCCGTGCTCTCAGCTTGCTTCTCATGTTCCAAGGCTGCTTCAATTGCGCCAACGCCCTCCTGCGCCTCTGGCCCGCGACTGCTGTAGATTCGGGTAAATGCCCTGACTGCTTTTTCAACCTTGCCTTTTTTGACGAGGAAAGTGGGACTATCCGGGGTAAGAATCACAGCAAGGATCGCAATCCCCGCAGGGATGACCTCGGAAGCAAAAAGAATCTGATGTTTTTTAGTCAAGCCCACCGGGGAGGGGGTCACAGTGTGACAATATCAGGGTGACATACCCGAAATGCGGCAGCTGTAGTAATGTGGAGACGGACATCGACACCGACGACGGCAATGATCTGGCCAATAACCTAAGAGATGACAACACCGCATGAGCACTGACCGGGAACTGTTGTGAGATGGGATGAACCAACCATAAAAAGTGTGAAGAGAGAGAGGAGCGGCCCTCGTATTCTTAAGGGAGCGACTTCCGAGACGTACGTTTGGGAGGCGGGCAACTGGAACCCTAGCCCGAGTCCGACCACGATTTTTCCAATCAAGAACATACTGCGTTTCGTATTGAGTATCTCGCTAGTCTCGGAAAAGGTGCAGATCAAAGCCCCTCCAATTGTGAGCAGGCCACCGAAGATCATCAAGATTCGACTCCCAATGCGATCAGCTATAGGCCCGGTGGCGTACGCTCCTCCCATGATGCCGACCGAGACCATAGAGGACCAAAGAGAGAGCCATTGAGCTGGAAGAGTATAGGAGCCGTCACCTGTCGAGTCACCAAAAGCAACTCTATATAGTGATCAGTACATCGGATTATGACTACTATTTGTCGTGGCTGACGAAGAAGGGAAAGGGGCAAATATCTTACTGGAATGCCGGCATTGCGGTCACCACGTTGATGATGATCAAATCGAACCCATACACAAAGGTACAAATCGACATGCAAAAGCAATAGATGATTGCTTTCGGATGCTGCTTGACAGTCTGGAGGGCTGTCAATTCCTCGTCAACAGCCGGGCCTTCTGGTTTTGATGCAATATGTCTAACATCCTGCTCCTCCACATGCTCAGCGCATTGAGCCTTCTCGGAATCCATGGTATGCTTCGGTAATATCTCTGGTTGATGGGACAAGCTACCAAGAGAGATGGTCAGTCTTGCGCTCCATCTTCCTTTAAGATATATGTACGGTTTTGTTGGGAGGCAATGTCCGGCGCGAAGCACATGCTCCGCATTTCCCCACAATGTGGAGTGATGAGGGAAGTGGGGAAGCCGGGGAAGTGGGAAAAAAATGGGAGAACTCGTATTCACATTTCAGTTCTGCCGAAGTCCCGCCGAAGTCGCTCTGCCTCAGCTCCGTGGCGACTTCCCCACCTGTCTGCTCCTTCTTTAATTTGCTGTCTCCGGTTTTTGCGATGATGTACAAACATTCAATTGAAATCACACACCACGATGACCAACCCCTCCAATGCCACCGGTGAATCGCGACTATACCGCGATCCGTCGCGGGCAGTCAGCGAACGAGTCGAAGATCTTTTGGCCCGCATGACGCTAGTGGACAAAGTTGGACAGATGTTTCATAACATGCTCCTCATGGGCCCTGATGGCACGCTTGCGGGCGCGTCCGAGGTTTTCAACATTGAGAGCACGGAGCGGCTGGTCCTGGAGCGTAAAATGAGCCACTTTAACCTCCTGGGCCCCGTGGTCAATCCTCGAGAAACTGCGGAGTGGCATAATCGCCTGCAGCAGCTGGCGTTGTCCACCGATCTGGGGATCCCCATCACACTCTCATCCGACCCGCGCAATCATTTTACATCTAACGTTGGGACGGCCTTCGAGGCGGGTGCGCTGTCTCAGTGGCCCGAGTCTCTGGGATTGGCTGCGCTTCGCTCAACTTCTCTGATCCGTCGGTTTGCCGACATCGCACGACAAGAGTACCTGGCGCTTGGCTTCCGATGTGCTCTTCATCCCCAGGTCGACTTGGCCACTGAGCCCCGATGGTCCCGAATCAGCGCGACTTTTGGGGAGGATGCCAATCTGAGCAGCGAGCTGGTTGCAGCATATATCGAGGGCTTTCAAGGTGCTCAACTGGGGCCGCAGTCGGTGGCCACGATGACCAAACACTTCCCAGGTGGAGGAGCGCAGAAGGATGGCGAAGATCCCCATTTCGCATATGGACGTGAGCAGGTCTATCCCGGAGGTAATCTGGAATATCATATGCGTCCATTCAAAGCCGCCATCGCCGCAGGAACTGCGCAGATGATGCCTTACTACGGCATGCCGGTGGGCACCGACTTTGAAGAGGTCGGTTTTGCCTTCAATCGTGGCGTCATCACTGGGCTGCTGCGCGAGAAGCTTGGGTTCCAAGGTGTCATCTGCACCGATTGGGGTCTTGTTACCGACTCCGTCATCATGGGCCAGCCGATGCCTGCCCGTGCTTGGGGCTGTGAGCACTTGAGCGAAATAGAACGAGTCAAGAAGCTCCTGGATGCAGGTTGCGACCAGATTGGCGGGGAGTCTTGCACTCAGCTCCTGCAGCGCTTGGTCGAGGAGGGCGATGTTCCGGAGAGTCGCATCGACGAATCGGTCCGGCGGATTTTACGACAGAAATTTGAGCTCGGCCTTTTTGATCGACCATTTGTGAACGTGGAGGAGGCCAAAAATCTCGTGGGCAACCAAAAGTTCCGGCGCGAAGGTCATGAGGCGCAATGCAGCGCCCATACTCTGCTCACTAATCACCACGATCTCCTTCCCCTCCGTGCTTCTGAAAAGTACAAGGTCTTCCTGGAAGGGATAAATCATGCGGTCGCGTCTGCGAGGGGACTAGAAGTGGTAGACTCTGTCGCCCAAGCTGATCTGGCTATACTTCGGCTTAAAGCGCCGTACGAACCGCGGCCAGGCGCTTTTGAAGCTATGTTCCACGCTGGCTCACTAGAATACGATGCACCAGAGAAGTCCCGTCAAGCAGCCATTTTCGAGGCTGTTCCCACGATTGTTGACCTGTATCTTGACCGCCCGGCCGTGGTCCCTGAGATTGCTGCGGCTGCAGCTGCACTGCTGGTCAACTTTGGCAGTAGTGACGAGGCATTGTTGGACACTATTTTTGGGGTGTTCGCGCCGTTAGGCAAGCTTCCATTTGACCTACCGTCATCAATGGAGTCAGTCCGGCAGTCCCGGGAGGATGTGCCTTATGACACAAAAGATCCTTTGTTCCGTTACGGCGATGGTGGCTCTTATACCCATTAGACGCATTGATCTCCAACTTCTGCGATAGTCAGATAGTCATTTCCCATCTTGAAATAAGAAACTGCGAGCATTCATCATAATGTCGCCCGAGCGAAGTGCAAAAATCTCTGGCTTGCTCCTGTCAAAAAATCCGGCTAGAAGTTGTAGGTAGCGTAAACTGTCCTAAGAAATGCAGCTTGATTATGTATTGATGACAATCACAAATATCTCGTCAGCAGCGCCGATGAAGGTTTACCTTTGGAGGGGAGGCCTGGAATGTGGGTGAAGGAGTGATGATTAAGACTCAGTGGCGTAGGGCAGATGAAGCGTCCTGGTTCCTCCCCACTTATTCGACCTGCTGCATTTCCCCAGATTACCCCAGCTGATCCTGTCATCTTATTGTGGGGGACTTTCCGGGGAATAAGTGGGGAACGTGGGGGACCCACAGGGATTTAAAGCACCTCCCTCCTAGTCCTCTCTTTTAAGTTCCTTGTGTCTGGAATCTTTCTTATCTTTAAATTACCCTCTCATCCTTCTGGTGACACAAGTGCAATATGAATTACAAGACTGAAAACGAACATCGAGAGGATGTAGAGGAACCAGTCTCCGAGACGGCAGAGGGAGAGGGGAATACCTGGCCCCCCCGGGGACTCGATACTAGAACAATACTAGTGCTCTTGGTGTGACTTCCCTTTCTCGCCGAGATCTCTGCCTAAGTTTCTAATTCTCGATATAGGCCATGAACCTCATTTCCTTTACTCAGATTCTAAACTTGGTGGGGTCTGCTGCAGTAAGATCATCCCTATCATTTTGGAAACGAGCACTGATATATCTGAGTAGTTTTCAACCGAGATCGCCGAAGTGGTGGGCCAAGCTGACACTTCGGTCTGGCTCAATCAAGCAGTTGCAATCCTCACGTGCGTGCTTGGGCCCCCAGTCTCTCAAGCGGCTGATTATTGGGGAAGAAAATGGTTTATTGTCATCCTCACCCTGTTGGGCGTGATCGGTAGCATTATTGTATCAAGGGCAACATTCATGGGGATGGCTATTGCGGGCGAGGTTGTCGGAGGTCTTTCCTACGGCGCGCAGCCTTTGCTCTATGCCGTCTCCTCTGAGATCGTCGCCAGACGCTACCGGCCACTGGCCCAAGCAGGAATGAATATCACTCTCGCGCTCGCCGGACTGTTTGCGCTGCTGGTGGGCTCGACGCTGATACAGGACAACCCGGCTGGATTCCGCAATTATTGGTACATCATTGCGGCTATCCAGGCGGCTTCGGCTGGTATCTGTGTAATCTTGTACAATCCACCTCCCCGGCCGCTGCAGCTGTCATTGTCAACACGCCAAAAGCTTGAAGCCTTGGACTGGATTGGATATGCACTTCTGGCCAGTGGCATTGTCCTGTTCTGTATAGCGTTGACCTGGTCTCAAAACCCCTATACCTGGACCGACGCTCATATCCTCGCCCCGTTTATTCTAGGGGTGGTCATTCTGATAGCCTTCGGTCTCCATCAGGCGTTCTTGAAAGACGATGGGATGTTACACCATGACCTTTTTCGCAACCGTAATTTTGCTCTCGCCATACTCTGCATCTTTATTGAAGGCATGGTGTTCTTCGCCGCAAACAACTTCTTCCCTATGGAAGCTGGTATCCTCCTCCAGGCCGGTACATTTCAAGCTGGTTTGCGATTTTGCATCTGCTTCTGCACAGCCATTGCCAGCTCCGTAGGCATCGCGATATATTCTTCATTTACCAAAACACTGCGTGGTCCGACAATAATGTCGTTCATCTGCTTTGCCATCTTCAATATCCTGATGGCCACACTCACTCCTTCGAACAAGACCGCATTGTGGGGTTATCCAGTTCTCCTTGGCTTAGGTCTCGGGATTTGCCTGACCTGCATTATCGCCCTTGCACAATTCAGCACCCCGCCGCATCTCATTGCCCTGGCCAGCGGCTTGATGGTGGGCGCCCGGTCATTAGGTGGTTCGGTGGCTTTGGCCATCTACACTTCCATCTTTAATTCGGAGCTTACCCAACACCTTGCCAAAGATATAGCCAACAAGGTCATACCGCTGGGACTTCCAGAGTCGGAATTGGGTTCTTTCATTACGGCCCTAACCTCCAATAACCAAACGCAGCTTCTGGAAATGTCTAATGTCACGGGCCAGATCATTGAGGCAGGAGTATCAGGGCTTCAGTCGGGCTATACGTCCGCCTTCCGATTCGTATGGGTGACCGCGGGTGCATTGTCACTGGTTGGGATTGTTGGTAAGTTCGCTTCGCAATCTACCCCATTCCGTTCTTGTTGCCTTTGGATAATGGTGGCTCACCAAATCGACTAGCTGCTTGGTTCTTGCGGAACCCACAAAATGAATTTAGTCTGGAGGTAGATGCTCCCATCGTCTCCCGTGAAACGCATTGCGATGAGTCTGTTCACTCAGCTTGAAATTTCGCGAACACCGTCCCCTACAACCATGGTCCCAAAAATATTATTTAATTTTTTCAGAAACTATGTATATCCGAAAACGCGGTAAATATACATAGTTTCTGAAAAGAAGACAGCTGTGGATCTGATTGATGAAGCGCAAGGATGGTCTTTTTCTTTACACACAAAAATGAGAGAACACAGTTGATGTTAAATCTAGCTCCATCTGAATGTAGAACTGCGTCTAAAGCCTTATTTTATTTCCTGGTACGGACTTTCCCCTCTTTAAAATTCTCTATCGACTTCCATGGCTTATCCTTGACGAATACGAGCTCCCACAGAAGTTTAAGGGCAGTTGTTGGAGTCAATCCCCACTGAAGAATACAAGAATTTTATCGAGCCTCATTGAGCTTCTCAACCGGTACTCATGGGTGCGGAGAACATCTTACATGGAATGAGATTCCGAGACCTTGACATTCGTCAACTTTGAGCAGTCTCTCTAACGAGCATTTTCAACCCCCTTTGCAGATTTCGGCTTCGCCCTGACCACTAAAAGCAAAACAATATTTGGTTTCGACCATCAAAGTGCAGGCATTGACTTTCGTAAATACAATCTTGTTTGACGGTCAATGCCTTTTGACAGTTGCTTGGGAGTCAGACGGGAGTATTGAGCTGCCAGGATCGCGCTAGGCTTGATGCGTCATCTTCCGCCCCCGCAACGAAGCTTCCCCACATTCGCATGTGGGAATTCGGTGGCGTAGTGGGAAAGCCGCGTAAGTGGATGGGTGGAAACCCATTGGTTCTAGGATCGCCGGCTACGCTACTGCCATATGCGCTCGCACCGGCATTTGGAACGACGACGACACCACAACTTATGAGGGTCATATGATCCAATCAAAAATGAACCAGATAGGTGCCGAATGCGGTCCCGATTTTGGGCTGGTGATCTAGACGGTATTACCAATCCTGAAGTTCGGTCAACTTCGGTGCCGCCCTTCTTCGGTCCTGGTCTAGTCAAACACTGTACAGAGGAGATGACCATCCTCGCTACCAGATTACCGGCCATGTATTCGGACTTCCGCAAGGAGTAGCGCGGTCGTGTATTTTTAATTGACAGATGGCCTCAACAGAGGCATCCAAGGCTCAGATTGAACGCGGTACGGAGTACAGTCACTTGCCAAATAAATCGTATATATTGAGTATTGGATCCAGTGACAAGTACTCTCTCTATACGGTGCCTGAGGTGTCTCGGGATAGATGCGTGCATTCATCGTATAGGAGAAAATAGACCAGGTAACTACCCAATGATGACCACATTTTCGGCTTTTGAGCTTCATGATTCAGCGTCAAGCATAGAGTATTATCGACCACCACCACGAGCATCATCTCCATGCCTCCATAATTTTTCAGGGGGGGTGTGTGTCGCTGTCAGCCCATGTACATTGCCAGGAAGCCATCGAGTCGTCCTCATTTCAATATGTATTGTTCTTCTCAGACTTTGCTGCATGAAAAAGCCACATTGGTCCTGATAAATGTTTATCGTAAGGTGCTCTCAATTCCACTTCATCTGTTTAGTACTGCAAAGATACAGTATCTCCCCACCCCGCCATCTAGTTTCCTTAGCCCGTCCAGGAGTAATTACTGGAGACAGATCTTAGGGCTGTCAATCTTTTTTCTTGTCTCCAGATTCTTTCCGTCGTCAAACTGTATACACACATATATAATGTCTCCTGCTAGACTCCCGGGTAGGCAAGCTATACACTCAGCGATAGGGAGATTTTGCTTGACAATCTTCCTCAAATGGCCAGTCCCAGCTACATAAGAACGCTAGAAGATTCCGGGGGGATGAATCAAAGCTCATAGCGCTTTCTTTCGCCTAGGTAAATATACTTCAAGAGTTATAGATACAACCGAGCGACGCTGATTTTGCCTCTCTAATTACTTCATCTCAATAGCGGGTACCACAACGAATTGTGTCAGACGAGTAGGCGGCGGGGAAAGCCGGCGTTTCTTCCCAACCCACCAGGAAAACATAAACAAAACCCCTCCCACATCCCCCGCCTGAACTTTCGCCCTTGGTGATAGAGAGCTGTGACTCCGAAATCCGAGCTGGGAAGATTATAGAGGCTTCGCGCTTCGCTAGTCCCGATTGAATGCTTTGGCGGTGATTGGCTTCCTAAAATCCACTTACATTATGCCCACTGTATTAGGCCCCTAGTCATAGGATAGCTAGGGGCCCCACTAGATTGTTAAGCTTATTCGATTTTCAAGGTACAAAATGACAAAATCCGTCTCACCTGGCCTCTCTCCACTTGTTATTAGGTACTCCACCGACACCGTTTCTTTGAACTTCCTCTTATCCGTGGTGGCCGAAGAATCAATTTTCATTAAACTTTCATGTATCCTCCTTCCCTTGGCCGCTATGGGCTGCTGAAAAAGGTTCCATTTTATCAAATTTCGCCGCTATCACCACTTCACCTCGACAAGGTCACCATTAAATTCAGACCTTTCACAACCGAAAGCATCAAATATCCATCCCAAGTCAAGCAGCTGCTGTCCTCCCCAAGTTCACTGCCGAAAACCTAACCTATCATGGCAAATGGTACCTTTATATCCTCAACATTATGCGGTTGCTTGACCTGCCTAATTGGGGTCTACCCATCTTTCGTACGACTTACGCGGATGATGATCTTTGGAAATCATATCTCGAAACTCTTTATAAGGGAACTTATCATACAATGAGAAGAGCCAAGCAAGAAATTCTAGCCCCGCTTTTCTTTTGCCCGGTATCGAGGATGCGCCTCTAAAGAGATAAGGGACTCCGCACCTGTTATAGTCCTACGTAAATACTGGGACATCGATGGGTTCAGGGGTGCGCACCGCCCAGAGTGGACGGATGGAGAGACTCACCAGCAGGTCGACGAGTGCGAAGATCCGGATGATGTCATGCCCATACTAGATGACAAGGATTTGATTTTCTTTGAGGAGGTTGACGGGTCAAGAGCTCCTATTTTAGGGTGGATGTATGCGGAAATTGGGTCCATGGCATCCTTGTACAATGGCCTTCTTTGCAAATTGATTCAGAATTACAATATGTTTCACAAATTGATACAGGGAGTATCGAAATCAGTTTTACCACGTAAACATAGAGAAGATCCATATAAGAAGTGTACTAGAGTTAGCGTTACAGCATAGCCTTGTTGGTTTGACTATTGTTTAAATTGTGAGAAGCTAGAACCTACCCGTTATGATGTCACGGATATATCTCTTAAGCTACAATTTATTCTTTTCTTCTGTGCTCTAGTTATATTATCTCATAATGATTATTCAATCCGGATATACCTTTGGGCTCGGGCTTTAGTTAGCTCGGCCCTCTGTCGGGCGGGTGGCCCATACACCCGATATTCGTTCCTGCTCTCCCGAGCCGCTGTGTCGGGGTTAACTTCGACTTTACAGAGGCACCGATAATTATACCGCTAAGCTAATAATATAGTCTGTATATTATCTGGGTCAGCAGATTGCTTGTGAAACAAGTAAGTAGTCATCCGGCGCCGGCGGGAGCTTTGGAATGCCGAGAAGATGGCGCCGGGATTTGAGTTGAAGTTTTACACGAAGATCTAGAACTCCACTGCGATAAAAATTTGACCGGGGGGAGGACTTAAAAGGCTCCCGGCTCAGTGCGGGCATCTTTAGAAGTTGCCTTGGTTCCGCTGAATAAAAAGACAATATAAGTCAAGTAGATCTTCGAGGGACGATCACTTCTACATCATATTAAATACAGTAGTGAAGTACTTAGTTAGTTCCTAGACTATTTGTGCAATCACTTAATCAGCGGGGCAATACAGATCTTACGAAAATCTTTGATACTTTCCATGTGAATTCCTTGTCATCTTGACTCTACGGTAACTTAATGTTCAGGTCCTACCCCATTTCATCCCGCACTATCCTTCTTTCAAATTCTAAATTTATTTATCAGCGTTTAATGCTGCGCTAGTGATTATAGCTGCCATCTGGATGGGTCTCATAGGTTCATTGCCTCATCTGGACTTGAATGATGGAGTGACCATTGTTACGCTAGTGCTGCTTCTTACAGTGACTAGACAAACCGGCTCTCGCCAAACGTAGAACCTTGGGGTGCAAATAGTTTTTCCCAGTCACTGTACCATGCTAATACAAATTTTAGTAAATCAGATAGCAATGAGTAGGGGTATGCAACTCATATTGATCCGATTGGCTACATGAACCAGGAGAGTACTTTAGTGAGTGCCCGAAGTTTCTTCAGGCTGGCTCCACCATTCGGGTATGATCAGTCCCGAACCTGAAGATTACGGATTTAACAAGACTAGGAGGTCCGAGGGATTCCAAGTTTGGTAATATGAGTATGAATGTCCGAGGAAATCAAGTTTCCACCCACCTCCTGATCGGCGTCACCGGCAATCATAGGATATATAAGAGAGGGAGATTTGTACCCATTTTTCAAAGTCGCACCATATCGCTCCCATTGTATCGTTAAGTGGTGTACTAATTCCCGAATCCGGTCAACACTTCTTATTGTTTCTCTTGATCAACCTAGCAGTCGCCACTCCATAATGAGGTTTGCACTTCTAAATTTGGCCATTTGGGGTTTGGGCTGTGTGCTGGCCGGTCCGACGAAGGGCAGCGTTAAACGCGGTTGCTCCAATGGTGATATTGACTTCAGAAACCTGGAGGTTGATAGCGCCCCAAGCTACCCACGCCCCTACATCATGCGCCATTATGCTCATGGCCAAGCTGTGACCGTTGGTGCGCAAACATACCGATTTTATGTGACCGGACCTTCCTCCGGCTACGCATTCACCCTTCTATCAACCAACGCCCCTACATCTGCATCCCTTGGTGTACTTCCACATATCCACGAGCGCCATTATGAAAACTTCTTCAATCTTAAAGGCCGGTATCAGCTTTGGGCCAAGAAGGGAAACGGCACCCAACAAACCCGTGTCATTGGACCAGGTGACTATGGCTCTGTTGTGCGGAACACCACGCATACCTTTAAAATTCTCGACCCGGATACTGAACTGATCGGTGCTATTGTTCCTGGTGGCTTTGAGTATGTTGCTATGTCCCTTACAATACAGACAAGTCTAACTCATCTCTAGAGATCTCTTTTTTGCCCAAGGGGAGAACCTCACTAACCCTGTCCACACGGCCTATGTCCCTCAGATCGACAACGATACCACTGCCGATGGCCCTGATGCGGCCACCATAGCTTCCCTGGAGAAGTTCGATGTTTACTCTCAAGTCAACTTCACACCACGTACCGACGCAGTGGACGGCAGTGCCCCCAAAGGCTCCGTTTGGCACAACGCAAAGAACGAGCTGGGTGCCGTTGGTCAGCCATATTTCATCGCCAACGGTTGGGGTCCCAAGTATCTCAACACTAAGTACGGATACCATATTATTGCTCCGCTCGCCACCCCCACTCAAACCCAGGACACCAATTTCACCCTCTCTACAATTTCTATGGGTGTCACGCTCAACAATGCGACAGTTCCTGTATGGACTTTCCCCGGTGCCGCCGCGTTTCAAATCCTTGAGGGCAAGCTTACTATTCAGATTGACTGCAACCTTCCATATGATCTGACCATTGGTGATGTTGCTTTCATTCCGGGTGGCGTACCGTTCAAGTACTGGAGCGACTCCTATTTCACCAAAGTGTTTTTCCTAAGCAGCGGTCACGATGGTCTTGACCAGAAGCTGATTGCTAGTGGTGAACCATACGAATATGTCACTTTTCCTATTTACTGGTAACTTGGAAGTGACAACCATTTATCAATATTCTATTCAAATCATGTATTATATGTTATTTTGTTTTAGCTTACTCGTGACTGAGTAGTGATAGGTAGTCGGTGAAAGGAAAAGTCTAAGTGTTGATCAAATTCCTAATAAGCTGGATATAATCATTACAAAGCGTTTGACCAGAAGTCCCTTGTAATAGTGAAGCAGTTCTGTAGTTATATGAGGCTGGTGCAGATCAGGAATCAAGCCGCGTTATCGGAAATGATCACTCTGAAATACAAAAACTCCAATCAACGGCAGGGTGGAACTTAGACTCCATACGGGCTTGAAAATTAACACAACCATCTGCATGACTACGGCGCCTAAGGCAGCCAAGGGTGGAAGATGACTACGATATTGTAGAAAAGCTCACAGAGTAGTATGTATATTGAGCAAATTGAGCAAATGGAGAAATAAGAAGAGAGAGACAGCAGAAGGTCTGAGGGGAGATGCTCCCCAGACCACAACTGAGCGAGTCCTGAACAGGTTAACATGATGACCCGGACACCAACACACTTCCTTCTCTGAAAAACCCAAAAAAACGAATAAAAGACAATTAACCTTTATTTCCTCATTTGAACTCGCATGGCTTTACTTAGATATAAGATAGAACCTCAGTATATTAATATAGTTTATCACCTATTTTGATATCTTTAGATTAGATTGGGTTATATAGCTAGACCTTAAACCTAGGTTAGGTCTAAAATTTAGTCCTAAAACCTAGCAAAATACTAGGTTCGGTAGGGTGAGGGTTAGTGGTACCAACTCTTGAAACGCTGCGGGTCGGGCTGAGGGCTGGTGATTCCGGCCCTCAAGATGTTTTCAATGAGGTATAAATAGGGGCGAGGGCGGGTGAGCTGTAAAAAGCCCTCTATAGGTAAGGGTCGGGGGGAGGGGTTTGACCTTAGACCCGATTGAGGGTCATGGTGAGGTCTAGGTAGCACCCTATTAAAAAAAACCACTAATTTCATACCCCTATAACTGCCTTTTCTAATACTCTAAATTACTTCAATTTTGGTTTGACTATAAAGCAGACGGGGTTAAAGATAAAATAAAATCTTAGCTTCGTACGGGCCCAGGATGTATTTAAGATCCACCGAACTTGTGAAAATTCATTCTATTGAACACCGTCCCACTTTTTCCCCGCTATACTTAAGGAATTCACCCCAAATCCGTTAGTGTCTAATGGAATACCCCAAAGCCCGGTGACCGTCTCGGCATTCCGAGGCTTCCGCCGGCACCGGATGATCACTAGCGTATTCTGCTGATCCCGACGACATACAGGCTAGCTTGACGGGTCACGGTACAACGCGCGGTGCCCGGTGCCTCGGTGATTTCGAAATTAACCCCGGCACAGAGGCTCGGGAGGGATGGAACAAGTATCGGAATAGTGGGCCACTCGCCCGATTGGGTGACTAAGTACAGCCGGGTCTGAGGGCATTTCCGAGTGAAGGAAGCGTTATGAGATATTATAGAGAACGGGAGGGAAGGATAGGTTGTAACTCAAAGCTACCTTTGTGACATCGTAATGGGTGAGTTTCAGCTTCTCACGATTCATCAATTCACAAAATAGACAAACTCACATGGCCATGTTGCAGCGCCGACTCCAGTCCACTTCTTTTCACATGGATCCACGATGATGCTCGGCGAGGAGTCCTCGTCGGCTAAGTATTGGAAACAATGCGGTGACGAGGCACTTGAGCATGGAATTAAGGGCATCGTTATCATGGTACGGACTCTTATCACAATGCAATATGATATGATCCTTCGCATTACTAAGTCTGAGTCGAACGCAGGGTGCTCACTGGGATTGCTTCGGAGACCAAATCCAGATCTCGACCAGCCCGAACCCCGGTAAAAGCCCAGTCGCCTACGTTCATCCCTCTAAATATCTTGATTACAAGCTCAACACGGATCTCGAGACAGCCAAGCGATGCATCAACTTGCTGGCAGATGCCGGGTTTAATGTGAGCGGCAATGATACATTTGAATGGATCCACGACGTGTATCTCATCCTCATCCGCATGTTCCCAAAGGCATGTCCGCCCACGACACTCATCTCTTTGAACGCGCGCTACGATCCCCACTACCACATGAAAGTTGGCTCGACGGTCCGCCAGCTACGAAACGAAGGTTACCTTTTGATCGGTACCGGAGGTGCAGTTCATAACCTGTACAGGAACAGATGGGGCCCTATGCTTCGATTCCGGGACAATTTTGCTCAGGAAACCGCTCCGGAGCACTGGGCTTTGGAATTCAGACAGGCGGTGGAAGATGTCATCACCACCACCTCCGGGCCACAGCTCAGACGGGCTATGACACGACTCATGAAGCACCCTGAGTACCGCGACGCACATGCAACTGATGATCATTTCATGTCGGCTATGTTTGTTGCGGGTGCGGCTGGGGACTTTGAGGACGAAGGATCGATCGGCTTTCTTGGAGCCGAGACTTGGGAGTTAACCAACATGTGCAATTCTCAGTTCACTATTGGACGCTGGTAGAGGACTGATTTAATATTTTATCTGTTACGGTTAAGTTGATTATTCGCGGCAAGTCTGAATATGAGGGCTTTAAAGGTCGGGAAGTTGATTTCCGAAACGAGCCAAACCATAGAATACAGTCAACTCTCGCTTATGGTACTTCCGGCTATGGTAAATCCACAGATACGTTAATAGTCTGCTTGTTCGGACCTACTTTTATGGCTGTTTACTTGTCAATCTCCTGGGTATTGTAGCTTATTCTTATTGTAACCTATATCTTCCCGACAGTGACTTCTTGCTTTGAGTCGAATGGCAATATTCAACGATTGACACCGTGTAATATTCAGAATACGCTACCGACTATTTGAAAAGCGACTATAATCGAACAAAAGTGGCAGACTCATAATTTACAGATAGAACTATCGCATTTTCCAGACACGATAACCTGCTGCAACCCCAATTGCGACCAGTGAGCTGAGGATAAGGGATCCTCCGGTTACGAATCCCTGCTCGAAGAACCCAATCTTGTGTCCGGGTCGTTGCTGCATGGGCGGCAAAGGGGCTAAGACCTGATGCAAAGAAGCCTGGACATGCGACGTGCTCGCTGAACCAAGCACATCCTTGGCTAGACTCGTGTTTGAGGATCGATGTTGAATTTGGCCTCGAGATACTTGGAAGAGATCAGTGGTATACCGGGTCTTCTGACCGAAAGCGACGTTACAAGGAAGGACGGGTCCGACTAGATGATAAAGCAAATCAGATAATTGAAAGCACTCGGTAAATGAGGCAGCCGGTCTTACCAAGCATGTCATGCGGAAAATGGTTGATCCAAGCTACTCCAGCGTCGATTGATTCGGAGACGTACTTTGCTGCAGCTGGTGCTGCAAAGGTGTAGGTTGCGTTGAGTGTCCCCATTCTGCAGGTTTTGTTAAACCGATACTAGATTAGGCAAATGGAATGGAGATAATAGAAGACTCACGAATTGCAAAAGTTGATTGCATCATCGAGACTCGAAACGGTGTGAATCAAGAGGAGTCGCTCATCGATTTTAGATTTCAGAAAATGAGATTTTCTAGTCAAATATTAGTTGGATTCGAGTTGACTGACACAATGTAAGTGTTCTTTCAAGACTAACCGATCTTGCACTTGAGCAACTGCCCAGCCAGTTCCCGAAACAATGACGCGGGTGCTATCGTCCGATGGGATTTGTTCCAGCAGGGAAGGACCGTCTCCTCTCTTGACCACCTTCTTAGTCTGCTGCGATCCACAACCCAAGTAGCTTGGGGACTCTTTGACCAAAAGCTCAACAAACGCCTGAGCGCAAAACTCATGCACGAGAATGACATCTGGTGAATATGGAGAGCGACCATTGAATGCGAAACGGGAGATGACCAAGTCAGTGACGGCGTCAGCCAGATTGGCTGTACGATCAACTATAGCGACAGTTTGCAAGGTACTTGGAGACTCTAGACTGAGAGGTGCCTGTAGGTTCTCAGATGATGCCTGCTGTGAAAGCACGAAAATGGAGCCAAGGAAGTCATCATCCGGTCGTGTCTCGGCAATAGCGAACGTATCCCTGTCGAGGGTGTTCGAAAGAATGGAGCAAAGGAGCGAAGAAACTTTTAACGAGGTTTTGGGAAGCTGTGAGAAAGATTTGACTGTTAACGTTCTTCTAGGCGCGAAGAATGTGTGAAATTGTGTACCTCAATAATGGTTGAGTTCCCTGCTGCAAGAGCCGCGCTAAGGGCGGCGATCACGGAGTAGAAGAGAGTATGCTGCGAGGGAATGACATAGACTATTCCAACTCCTCTCTTGTTATCTCTATTATCAATTCCATTTGAAATTCTGTACTCGACTTCCACACTCCGCGCAACGTCGAGAGAGCTGTAGTGCGAGTGGATCTCTTTCAAGGCGAGAGCGACCTCTGCCTGCACCTCATCTTGAGTGTGGTTTGAATCGTCTGCAATGGCCTGCTTCAGTTCATTAAGGTTCTTCAGGATCGAGTTTTGCAGGCGTTGGAATTCATGCTGGCGATATCTGACATTGGCAGCTCGGCCGTCGATGTTGCCGGCCACGATTTGAGCCAAATGGCGAGGAAGATTTGAAACAGTTGCGCTGGACTCCATTCCTGACGAACAAGTGTTCTTGGATTGGGCTTCAGTTAAGAAAGTCTATGACAGTCAATCCTGCCTCCTTCTGATTATGTTCAAGGTACATAGTATACCTCGGGTTCCACTCCGTTCGGCTGCCCACGTTCACCCGATAGTCGGGAGCTCGGGTAAGGGGGGGAACCTCCGAGGGGCAACTGACCGATCCCAGCTAGGTGCCGAGCACTCCAAGAAAAGTATTGCCAATAGTGACACAATAGTTTTTGCATAGTACGTGGGACTTTGCCATTAGAAAGCTTCCGTCTCTGAACCCCTAGGGACGAGAGAACGACACGCAACAAGGCAATACTGGCATTGAATATCAACCCCTAGCGCCTTACCCAAATTTTTTATACCTGATAACTTCCCTTATATTATCATTCATGTCGGCGACTATCCTAGAGAACACTCGGACGACTCCTGTCTCCGTTTTGGTGGACTATGAGGTCCATCACAGCGGACAGGAGGAGCACACGCCTACAAACTCTCTGTCCCCAGCGCCGACCACTCAGCCGCAAAATTGGCCCTTTGATCATCGTCGAATTCCTGCCTACCGTCCTATCAGTCGAAACCTGGATTTTAGCCAACGACCATCAGGCGCAAATAATGTGGAACGGGTTGTTATTACAGTCATGCTGCATGGTGTTTGGCTCAACGCAGTACGGTTTAGTCCTTATTGCGGGATACTAAGAAATGGCTAACTAATTGTAGGTCACATCACGAGTTTGGCGCTTTACGGGAGGGAGATTGAACAATCGTTTGTTTCATTACGAGATCGGTGGTGAATGGTAAGAGGCGATTGGTCTACACGTCATATTATTGTATCTAGTGCTATCTTGTATCTTATTTTAAATACACACCCTGAATACGTTAATTACGCCAGTTATTCTAAATGCATCGCATGATTCAATATATACAGTGAAACCATCTGACAATATGCGCATTAGTATTCAGCAAATTGAATGCCCGTGATGTCACCCAGGCCTGTGAGCAATGTCTTCTTCTGAGTCCCATCCAACTGTGACGTGTAGATCCCTGCCATTAAGTCACCAAAAAAATCCGGCCATGCTGCGAAAAGAATTAAAGTCCAATTCCTCCGTGTAGTCATTGCACGAGAACTCTCACTGCCATCAGACCAACCTTGTGCGCAGCGTCAAGAGGGAACGCATTGACGGTATGCCCGAAGGGCGGATCTCCACGGTCGGTCCAGTAGAAAGTGTTGGTGTTTGGTTCCAATTCAAAGTCTATGGGCTCGGGTAGATTGTCAAGGACAGTGTGTACTTCTCGAAGGCTTGTCGTTGTGTTGGCTTCGCCATGAGGTGCAAGAGTCATGCACATGATCTTCCCTTGGCCACCTTTGGAAGGCCCCTTCTGCGACCAATACAACTTGCCCCGGACGTCATCCACTGCAATACCTACACACCAGTTTCGGCGGTCTTCGCGATCATCGTCCGATGAACCAGCATGGTAAAGAACCTCGACATTGCTCCCATCCAGGTCTGCACGCATGATCCTCATGCCTTCACGATCACACCAGTAGATCTGATTGCGGGGAATTTTGAGCTGTTTTGGTGTATTTGTTACTCCACTTGAAATAAAGGTGACGATGTTCGCACCGGAAACATCACATCGTTGCATCGAACCGCCGTTGACCATCGGGTCGCCCATGTTGGTCCAATATAACTGGTGGTTTTTCGTGTCAACCGCAATTCCATCCGGAAGAGTCTGTAGCCCAGTGACTAAGTCTTGGAAATCTGTACCATCAGGCCGAGAGGACATTATTCGGCCATTGTGACGAGGGAAGCTTGAGAGCCCCCTATCGAGAAAACAAAGACGCTCCAAGGATGCCATAGCTGTTTGAGGTTGCAGCTTGTGTTATATGTGATGAACGTGGTGCTTTGGTCAATCTGTGAGTCAAGTACAATCTCGGTCTCCGGGCACGACGAGTTAGAATTTATAACTTCTTAGAACAAGGAATAGAGAGACTGCAAATAACGCTATTGGAGTATGAGGTCAGCTGATCCCCTCCATTTGTCAGCGCGTGCATGTCTTTAGCTATCTCTCTCTCTCTCTTTCTCTCTTTCTCTCTTTCTCTCTTTCTCTCCTCCATCCCTCTCGGAATACAGATCTTATCCATTTCGTCTGTTTCCACGCTACTATGTATCCCTTTCTTCCCCTGGACAGCAGATCAGCTGCCAACAATCTCTAACTGAATGATTTCGATTCCATGATATATCTCATGCTATTATCTAGCCTCAAGTGGTCCAAGTCTTGCTACTTGGCTCATTTCCCCGCTGGCGGCCCGCAGGCCCCGTACACGATATGCCGATCCCAATGTTTCCGAGTATTTCGCCATAAACTGAGGAAATAACCTGATCAATTCCTCCTCCGACAGGAGTTTAAAGCAAGATTTCCATGACTATCAGGTTTAAAGTAACGCGTGAAATAGGTTTCCAAGTGCGTCATCGATTGCCTCCTTCCGCCGAGAAAAGCAGAGAGCAGAAAGATAAAGGTACCCATTGAAGCTGAACAGACTCTGCATTTTCTATCTATAAGGAGAAGGGAAAAAATCCATGTTTTTCGAAAAGTTGAAAGTCTCACACAACTTCGCCTTTGATTGTACTACCGCTTCCTATGCGAGTTTCTTTGCGGACGAGATATCCATAACTCCCTCGCCTTGCACAACCTTGGCCTCAACAATGTCATACACCGGAATCTCAGCAAGGCGAGATGTGATATGATGCAGGGTAGGAAGCTGGTTCCAATCCAGAGCATTGATCTCAAGCTCTGCCTGCGATGCCTTGAGTACCCGGGTAATGTTGCTAGGTACAATCTGTGACTCCGCCGCCAGATCGATGAAGACTGGATATTCCGCTTCCGGGGTGCCTTTCCCCTCTCTGCCTACCGACGGCATATAGCGATGCACAAGGAGACCTTGTGCTGTGGACCCTTCCACAGGGGCAGTTTCCTCCTCTTCCCTGAGACCAGTGAGGCTCATGCGTCCCCAGACCGCACCTCTCCAGCTCGTGGTAATATGATACGACTGCTCCTGCTTGTTCACATCAATATCGCTGTAAAGCTTCGGGAATCCAAGCTCCTCTCGTCCAGAGAGGATGGGATCAGTAAGATCCTCAAACATGATGGGAAGGTATGTGCCTTTAGTGACCATTCCATCAGCTTGCTTATATCCAATGCCGTGAATGTAAAGACCAATGTGGTTATAACCACCTCCTGCAAGCCACTCCAAGCCATCCAAACTAGTCTGAGAGAAAGTGGCGTAGGCCACACTGCCTGTTCCGGAGAAGCTGTACGCGGAGTTGGGCAAAAGGTTCTTGAGGAGTGTCCGGCTAGTCTTAATCTTGATCGAAACGGTGCAGAATCTTGCCCTAGCAGATGCCAAAGCTCGGCTACGACCCCAGAAGTCTTGACGGGGGCCGGGCATGGGGCCAAACACAGACGGCTGCCTGTAGTAAACCTCAGGGTTTTGAGTGCGCTGATGCTGTCTCAAGAATTCAGTCACGTAATCCCATTCGTCGTGGTCGTAGATCTCAGATATAATTTCCATGACTTTCGAAATGTGAAAAATTAGCTCAAAGCCATTAAACGATAAGTAGATGGGAAAATTGTAGAAAGGAGTAGCTCAGTGTTGAAAAGGGCTAAGATGAATACCTTTGGACATAGGCAGGTGGCTTCTTCCAGACTCCCGCGTGTATTCTTGAATTCGAGTAACTCGCCCATGGCGTGCCTTTTCATACAGCTTCAATCGCTCCGGAACTTCCGCCTTTGAGAGATCGCCCGGGAGCAGAACGGCCAGAGCAATACCATCCTCAATCGCCATGGCACCACCAGACGCACGATATGGCAGGAATGGATGAGCTGCATCTCCCATGAGTGCCAGGCGGTGATCGACCCAGCTGGGCAGAGTTTCCATGTCGAGAAGAGGCCAGATTTTCAGGGTATCTGGATCCGCCTTCGCCAAAAGTTTGCGAACTACAGGATCGTAGTCCCTATAGACCTGCAGCAATGTGTCCTTGCCGACCGTTTGGTCCCAACCTTGAGATACCCCGATGTTGGTGAGAGTATCTGGGTGAATGCAGACGAAATTCAACATTTCATTGTTTACGCAAGGGTAGATAACAACCTTGCTGTCAGAGGCGTGCCACATGTCCACAGATCCCATATCTTGCGCCAGATGGGCAGTATCAGGGTCATCAAGCGCTTCCTTGCGTGAGACCATGAACCGGAACGCATTTTTGCCTGAACTGAAGGCCTGCTTATCCGAGCCGGTAACGTGACGCCTGGCCACCGAGTGCACGCCATCTGCACCAATGACGACATCACCATGAACCTTAGTTCCATCTGAAAGAATGACAGTGGCAGTCTCCGGGTCAACCCCTGCGACTTTACAAGAGGTATGCAGAACGGCAGGTTTCCCCTTACCAGGCGCGCCAGCCTTGTCTTTTAGGGCCTCGTGTAAGTGCGCACGGTGACACAGAAGCCATTCCTATATGCTTATCAGCTTAATTCATACAAACCAGGAAAAGAAATCTCCCACGTGTTGCCAAGTATCCGCGAATTGATCAAAGCGTCCGGTGAAGGTGAGTTTGCCATCGGAAGTGTAGTCTCGAAGCTTGAAGTTGTGAGCGTTCACGCTTGTCAAAAGCGGTTTCATAAGAGCTTACCTGCTCCGTTAGCACAGCTCCGTATTGAGAGGCATCCACTCCAATTCTCTTCAGAAGACCATTCGCATTAGGAGTAAGGTGAATAGCTGCTCCAATCTCGTTGGCAAATCGTGATCGCTCAAACAACTGGCATTGCTCGATTAGTCTAACCGATTGAAAAGATGATTCAAGCCACAACAGTTGTCTTACCTCGACTTCATGGCCCTGCTGACGAAGGGCAATAGCTGCCGCTAAGCCACCAATGCCAGCCCCGACAATAAGTACTCTCAAGCCCTTTGCGGGTGAGTTGACATCCATGGTTTCGGTATTCATCTGCTCTGACTGGTGGGTTTAAAGAATATCGGAACAGAAGAAGAGGCACTACAAAGAGGAACGAATAAATTCGCGCTATAGAAATCCCATTTAATGGTTTCGATGATCTACATTTGCGTTGCCGGTGCCAGGAAATGACTTCTTCCGCGGCTATACAACGAATAAGGCCGCTCTCCCCAGGCCGCCGATCCCTCTCGGCTCCACGTACCCGAACGTTGCCGCGGCCTCCCGTTTCCGTGCATAAAGCTCATCCATTGTTTAGTTGAAATGTTAGGAGACCATTCCTCTTGATACGAGCTATTGCATGATTCTATCTCGACTTTGTAGCTAAAGCACCATCATGCCGAATACCATCAAAGACATTACCCGCGTGGACGCGACGTCGTTCCCCTATATTTTCGAAGAGAACGTTACTATTCCTCTTGCGAATGATGGGGGTCTTATTCGCTGTAATGTCTATCGCCCCAAAGGTGTTGCCAATGCACCTGTTTTGGTGACCTATGGTCCCTATGGCAAGGATCTTCATTACAAAGAGTTCGCAATTACCAGCCTTCCCCTTCGTATCTGATGCTGATTTTTTTCATCAGCTTCGCCATCAACTCATACAACGAAGTGAACCCTGAGCATCATTCAGAGCACTCTGCATGGGAGACACCCGATCCAGGATTTTGGACTAAGCACGGCTATGCCGTTGTTCGCGCTGACGAGCGAGGCTTAGGCCAATCTCCTGGTGTTTTAGATACTATGTCTCGCGGAACAAGCGAGGCCTTCGTGGATGTCGTTGAATGGGCCGCAGAGCAATCTTGGTCTAACGGAAAGGTTGGCCTCCTCGGAATTAGCTACTACGCTGGCAGTCAGTGGCGTGTCGCTGCGCGCCAACCCAAGGGATTGGCGTGTATCATTCCATGGGAAGGCATGTCTGATTACTACCGTGACCGATGCCGCCACGGTGGTATTCTGTCAAACGCCTTTATCAAGTTCTGGTGGGATCGTCAGGTTGTCTCAAACCAATACGGACTCCCCGGACGCGCTGCCCGTAACTGGGGTCCTGATACCATTGAGGGCAACCTTTCGGAAGAAGAGCTGGTTGCGAACCGGAACGACCAAAATATTGACAACCTGAAAAACCGATTCCGCGACGATGCTTATTATGCTTCAAAAGAGTATAATATGGAAGATATCAAGGTCCCGCTTCTTAGTGTGGCCAACTGGGGTGGTATCTTGCTGCATCTACGCGGCAACGTCATGGGCTATCTGAATGCCGGATCGGACTTGAAATATCTTCGTTTCATCACCGGCCGCCACGATTTGCCTTTCTACTATAAGGAAGAAGTCGAAATCCAGAAGAGCTTCCTTGATGCGTTCCTGAAAGGAGAGGATAGTGCTGGCTGGAGTACTGGTGAAGCACCTAGGGTCGATGTTTTGCTGAGAAAGGGCAATGTCGGCTTTAATAACGCGGAGGCAGAGAATACATTCTTACGCCGGGTTGAAAATGAGTGGCCCATCGCACGGACTCAGTATACTAAGTTCTATTTGACTCCGTCTCTTCAGCTACTGAGCGAGAGCCCGGAGCCGGAATCAAAGCTGGCGAGACTTGACTATCGTGCTCTGGGAACCCTCGATAAACCCTCCTTCCTTCAATTCTCGACCCCGGCCTTCGAGGAGGAGACTGAGATCACAGGTCACATCACTGCTCGCTTAAATGTCTCTGTTACTCCAGACAAGGGAGGCCCATTGCCCTCTGATATTGACCTCTTCTTGACTCTCCGCTACATCTCTCCATCGGGAGAGGAAGTTTTCTACACGGGAACCGCTGGTGATCCTGTGCCTCTGACAAAGGGTTGGCTCCGTGTCAGTATGCGGAAGGTCAACGAGAAGAACTTGCGACACAATGAGCACATGCCCTACAGAGACTACTTTTCGACCGACGTTTTGCCTGTCATGCCTGGTGAGGTTTATCCTGTGGATATGGAGATTTGGCCCACCAACATCGTGGTTGAGAAGGGTGGTAAACTCATCCTGGAGGTAGCCTCTGGTGACACCCAAGGCTCGGGTATCTTCCAGCACAACGACCCAATCGATCGGTAGGTTCAAGATTTACCCGCCGGCTAATGATCTCTACTGATGCTTTGTAGTTCCACCGAGAAATTACAGGGAACTAACCATATTCACTTCGGATCGTCCTATGAGAACTTTGTTACCTTGCCGATCATTCCAAACGCGTAAACTGTTGGGCAGCGGATGGCAGCGGATGGTAGCGAATACGTGGTCTTGAGCTTGTTGCCAAGTATTGATCCGATATTTTCAAATCAAAGGTGGAGCCGGGAACGGGAGGGCGAGCCGATGGTAATCCGAAGCATTATTATACAGAACATAGCGCTAGATACAATAACCAGTTTGATCATTATTTATGAAGATCTGCTCCTCGTCCAAAATTTTTGTAGAGACAAGTTCCACTTGCCATCTATGATTGCCTAGTCTCTCGATTTCAAACCGGCCACAATCCAACATGAGCGAAGAACAGCTACACCTTCCCTCCCTGAACCGGTATATTACCGCACACGACCAGAATGGCAAAGCCGTCTTTTCCAACCGCCTCTCCGAGTCTATGCCCAGGCAGGAAGTCAACGGATATCCGTTCAGTCTAGCATATACCTCAAATGAATTCCCGGTCCAGCTTTCCGAAGACGCTGATATCACGAGATACGAGGCCAATCTGATCTCGCCCCCTGGCCTCACTATTTCGACCGGAACCGTTTGCCGAATTGTCGACTTCCCACCCGCTGCCGAAAGCCCCATGCATCGCACTGTTTCGTTGGATTACGGTGTTGTGTTGGAGGGCGAAGTAGAACTATCTCTAGATAGCGGAGAGAAGCGGGTTATGAGGAGAGGGGACGTTGCAATCCAACGTGCCACGAATCATGCTTGGAGGAATGTTACACCAAACGGCGGGTGTGCGAGAATGCTGTATGTTCTTACTCCTTGCCAGCCTATCCAGGTGGAGGGCTTGGGTGTGCTCGGCGAGAAGGTTGAGGGAATTGATGTGAAGGCTAGTGAATAAGCATTCTAAAGCTCTTGCTCCTTCTTCACAGTATATGTTTGTGGAACTATGAATTAGGAACAAATCGATTTAATGGGTTTGTTGACCAAGTAATCGCGCAGACCTTCCCAAACAGGCATGGTTTTAGTACCTTAGTCCTTTAGCTTCTTTCAAGTTTCGGGAATACACCATGGCCCAAACTTTTGGCCGACATATGTACATTTTAGAGTTTATACTGTCATGTGTGAGAGTTTGAAGTATGCCCAATAGTATTGTGAAGTTTTATAGATCTAACGTATCAATTTTCTTTTCCAAAGTAACATTCGACCCTGATCCTTCTGTATTGCGACTACGAATGATAGTCATTAACTATACCTCCGGAGCACGCACACCTGGCGTGGGATAACTAGGTCCGTAGGACATGTTCTCGAGACGAATGGACTCAATTGTGTCACGTCTCCGCCGCGCCAGTATATCATCGGTACTAGAAGATGATTTCAGAGAATCATCCTTCTTAGTCTCAAGTCCCTCCAGCGCATTATGTGCTTTAATGGCCGCGTGACACCGACTGTAAGTAGCGTAAATAGTTACCACAAGTGCAACAATCCACCAGGAAAAGAGAATCGGAAGCGCCCGATACGACTGGTCTTGACATCCATCACTCCAGATCTGGACTAGCACTTGGTACACCTCATGAGCCGGAAGTGCATATCCCCAGCGGAAGAACCCAGGGCTTAACTCAAACGGACTGATGGAACTGGCAACATTCATAATGACCCAGGTAAGGATGCAGAAAGGCAAGAACTGCATCGGTATAAAGGCAGTGAGAGAATCGACGATCAGAAAGTTGATATGCATAAAAAGCCAGGTGATCATCCAGGTAAGAGCGAACTGATTGCTGTTGACATCCCATGACTCCTTATACGCCCAGATATAGCCAGCCATGCATAATGATCCAATGAAGGTGTAAATGATGGACGTAACCATACGAATGAGACCATTGGACTTAGGGCTTAGTTTCGTGAACAGTTGAAATTGTGCAGAGATTCCATTCAAAGCCATCATGAAGAAGAATTGCTGGATGATCGGCATAACGAGGGACACGGTGTTGTAAAGAACTCTCGTGCCTTGGGTTGTTTCTTTAATGTTGATTTCTGTGGCTTGAATAGGGTCGAGGAAAGTTTCAAGTGCGACAGGATTCGATAGGTTGGCGGAGGCAACTACCCTTGATGCGCTACTAGTGTAGTAGCTTGAACGGGCAGCTTCAACCATAACCAAGAGGTTCGAATAGATCTCACTTTGAGCAAAGGCTGGATACCGTGCTCCATTCCAAATGTAAGTGAGAGCAGAGCCATTCGATGCGGTGCCATTAGCGAGTGATGCAGCAAGGTTGGTTGACGCATCAGGAGATGAGTATATAGCGCCCCAGTAATCGCCACTGCATACAGCGCCCCTTACGTCCTGAGGCGTAGAATAACTGCCGATGGACTTTGTGTACAGAGTCGGGAAGTCGTTGCCCTTCAACAACTGGTAGGCCTCTGTGATAGATTGACCGACCACACCGCCATCGTAATCGACATAGAGCATTTTCATGTTGTGAACCCTGGACGAGTCGTGAAACTGTGTAGCGTACAGATAGCACATGTTGCCCAGAAAGAGAATCTGCAGGAGGAGAGAACTCGCCCCAACTGCAGTGATGAATCCAGTCTGCATCTCCTTCCATGCTCCTGGATGGGAAGGCTTCGGTGTTGGTAAGGTTTTCGCCATGATATACGGGCAGAACTGCTGTGATAGACAGGCTTGGAATAAATAATGATCGAAGAGACTGCGACCTTGGTGCTTGTATTTAAATAAGTTTTAAATAAGTACATCAGTGAACAAGTTTTTTTTTTTTTTTTTTTCATTAAGTCCAAATTTTCTCAAACTTTCAAAGTGCCTGAATTAGAGTTTAGATCTCCTTAACTATCGTCATGGACGGAGCGATAATTACTTTGTTTAAGAGATACCCGCTTACTCAGCGGTCATTTCAGGAGATCACCCTTAATTCCCGAAGCCGATGTGGTCCGCTTCCTCCCGACATCATGATCTTCGGCTACCATTTGCAAGACGCCCTTCAATGACTTCCCGATGCACTATGGCACCCCCTACTCAACTGGCTGCAAGTACTCATTTATCCGAGACGCCAAAGACTCCTTCCAGAGGCTTTTACCAATGCGGAGTCTGCAAAAAGGAATACGGCCGAGCTGATCATCTCATTCGGCATGTCAGATCTCGTATGCTTACCGGCACATATGAAGGCCTTATTGGATTTGGGTATCTTTTTTAAAAACAAGTCTCTGACTGCCTGACGTAGATACGTCCGATAAACCATTTAAATGTGACAGCTGTGGCAAGGGATTTACAAGAATGTCGGTTCTGTGCCAGCACTGAAAATCACCACCAGGCGTTGCTAATGATTTATTAGTGACCTTCTTCGACGGCACGCCCAGGGCCATAGTTTGACGCAAGATCATGGGTCTGATAGATCTACAGAGGTCAAAGGACGAGTATCGCAGGCTTGCAAGAGCTGTGCGGCGTCCAAGCTGAAGTGTGACGATAGGAAACCTTGTCGACGATGTGTACGGCGAAATCAGACCTGTCACTGGCATCAGCGAGAAAACATACATGATGCGCCCTTTTTTGGTAACCCAACTTCTTTTCAGTGTACACTTGAAATGGATGTTGCTAACTCTTTTCTAGAGCAAGCCATTTGGCATGAAAATCAATCGGTAGCGCAAATTGGTGAGCTCTACTATCATTGAGTCTTGATTATGTACTGATGACACCAGGTTCCTCCCCGATGGCACGAGAACTAGAACCAACGAACCAGCATGACGAGGCAAATTTGGGAAGTCCTGGACCTGAGGATTTGTCAGAGGATCTGGTAATGAATGACGCAAATGATGGTATCCAACCCAGCCCATGATATTGTCACTCTGCATTCCAGAACTGTAACTTTATTCCAGGAACTAGCGTCAGCCCATTACAATGCGAAGGCTCCATTCAAGGAATGGTAAACCTAAACGCGTTCCCACGGACGGTTTGTGATTCTTGTCAATTCCGATCAATATACCGTTATCGATCCATGCTGATGAATGATACAGGGTTATGAACCGTGGAAAGCGTTTGCTGTGAATAATCTTGACTTTGAGTTGACCGACGAAGATCTTGAATTCTTGGACAACCTAAACAGACCGGGTCCCCCTCCAGAAACTCACATTGTTCAAGAACAACCTGCCCAGCAAGATTTCCCTACTGAGACAGAGTATCCTCGCGATGACGGCGGAAATACTCTTGATGAGTCTCCTCTATCGCATTGGACCCCACGTGCAGAGGATAATGCGTACATGGACCAGCAATACCTGTCCGTGCCTAAGCATCTTGACACTCCGATGCTTACCGGTGTTGCCAGGCCGCGCATTTTTGCCGAGGTCCTGACAAGAGAGAGCCGAGACGCTGCGTTTGCATTGGTTGTCAAGAAATGTCAGCAAAAGGGATTGAATCGAATCTTGCAGTGCTTCCCAAGCGCGGAACTCCTGGATAGCCTGATTCAAGTCTTTTTCGCTCAGCAGAGATCCGAAATTGACACTTGGATTCACGAGTCAACTATGAAACTAAATAACGAGAGTCCAGAAATGATTTTGACTCTCGCCGCCGCCGGGGCCGTTCTCTCGGATTTGGAAGCAATTCAGAGACTTGGCTATGCTATGTTGGAGATAGCCAGACTGCAAGTAAATGAAAAGGTACTTTTTTGTTTACTATGGCTACTGAATGCTGACCTACTAACTTCCCTGACTTTCCGAAGTATGAAGACAATAATACTCTGACCCGCCATTTGAAACAACAACAAGAATATGTTCTTATTCTTCAAATTGGACTCTGGAGTGGCGACAAACGGCGAGTTGAAATCGCGGAGAGTTTTGTGCAGCCAGTCGTGACGGTCAGTCAAAAAGCCAGCTTACCTGATACACAATTGTATCCTGAATTTCAAACAGATGCTACGCCGAGCCGCACGCTTTAAATGTGAATCCTACCCAATGGTCGCTCCCACTACGACCGACGACGAAACAACTCTCGATCGGAAATGGCGGCAATGGGTAGAGCAGGAGTCTTTCAAAAGGTGCTAGTCTATTAAGATTGGTACTTTAAAGAGCAATAGCTAACGCGTCATCCTAGACTTGCTTATCACATATTCATTCATGACGTTCAGGCATCTGTCCTAAGATCAACAAATCCACTCATGTCCTATGTTGAGCTGGATCTCTCCATTCCCTTCTCACGCAAATTGTGGGATGCCAAAACTGCCGCTCAATGGAAAGCCATATACCTTCAAGAAGTCCCCAAAACAATGCCTGCCATACCGTCTTTGGCCACCACTTTGGAAGATATCTCTGATCTCAGTCGATTCCCTCGTCATGGGGATCTTCGATTGGCCGCTTTGGCAAATATGCATGGCATACTGGCTATGGTCGTAGATTGCAATAAACCACGTCGCAGTTCATCCGGTCAATGGAGCACACTGGTTATGAAGTTATGGCAGCAAGAATTGCAGCAAGTTTTGGAGAAATTCGAAATAGTTGCAGTCAAGCCTCTACAGCAATCAGTACCAGCCATTCCGCTCATCTATCACACCGCTTCACTGTCGTTATACCTGCCACTAAGTATCCTTGAGACATTCACGGGGAAAGACGGTGAAGCGCGGTCGGTTGATACATACCAGTCGTATATTCAGCAAATTAGTCTTGAAAATCTGCGAAACGCAAGCTGGCATGCTGGTCAGGTGCTGCGAATCGCAAGATGTATGCCTTCCGGGTCACTCACTGCATTTTGCGCAACTTGTCTTTACTTTGCTGCGCTAGCACTGTGGTCCTTAAGCACCGTCTTCTCATTAAATCCATCGATTTCAGATACCAGGATCGGTAATGAGGAGCCTGTGTTTCTCTTGGATGGAGACGCTGACAATGCTACATTACGTCGATTCTTTCTTTCTGGGCAGGGAAACCCTGCTCTATCATCTTCCGGAAAGCATGTGCCTTTGGGTGATCGAGCGGCTGTCATGGGTCTTTTCCAGCAACTGTTACGGTCGAAGCGCCGTGGAGGTACCTCTGATCAGCAAACAAAAGCTTTGGATCATGCTTTTTGCGTTCTGGGAAATGATACTGTCACTCCCACTCAGAATCACCGGAATACCTAGGCTCCTGGAGGTTTATCATGATATTCTTGGGTAATTTCTTACTACATGATCTCAAGACTGCTGAGTAATATGGCCGATTCCAATATCACCTCTGTACAATAGGTAAGATTGTTCTCTAGACCAAAAATGACACATCAAACACATGAAAAACAAAGCACCATCAACATCATCATCATATGTTCAATTGATCTAACCTAGCTTTATTTAACTAATAACTATAGCTTCTAATTAATGGAACTAAGTTTCTCTTATCATCTATTTTAAAGTCGATTTTATTAATTTTTATACTTCAAGAGATACAAATATATATAGATGCTATCTATTTGCGTAATTTCTTTCTCTAGATAGCTATCAATAGTTTTTCAATTTTATTTTAAAGATTTCCAAAATAAATATGTACATTAGCCCATAGATCCTTTAATAATATTTATACTTTAGTGATTTGTCTCACTTGACTCAAGCTCTTAATCTAAATCCATCAGGGTTTGTGCATATAATTGAGAGAGAATAGATAGGTATAAGACAGTAACTATTAGATTATATTAAAACCGATTTGTAAATGAATTAGGGGTCCTCAGAGAGAGATAGATCTCTTAGTAAGGTTAGCTAAGGTTATATAAGGGGATATTAAAATAGTCCTTATTAGTTTTGTAATAACTATCCCTCTCTAAGGGGTAATCACTCTATGGGCTAATGAGATCTTCAGCGATGCGCAAACAGACTAAAGACCTGTTATGAAATTTTCACATTATAATCTTAGAATTTAAATATCCAGTATAGTTTGAATTTAGATTATGCTAGATATCTCTTTTCCCTTTACAGTGTTATAGGTTAAGGGCTAGTAGAAGACGGAGGAAAGCGAAAGATATATAAGCTGATTTACTTGAAATATGAAAATGGACCCTTTGCTCTACAGGCACAGGGGCGAGTAGCAGCTATGAGGACAGAACCTTTTAGCGTAGCGCCTTATACTTAGGTATTATATTATAGCTCCTACTATATCTCCTACTTAGTCCTCTCCTTAGTATCCTATCTAGTCTTCTACCTTCTTTCACACCAGTCTAGTTAAATGGTCAAAGGGCTCTCTAACTTTATATAGCGGAATGGAGAAGAAAGAGAAAACCCTAGGAGGAAAAAGGGCGAAGTAGAAGGAGAAGTTCTGGTGGAGGTTTCGAACGTACGTCCAAAATGTTTGCGAAATACCCAGTAATAGAGGGGTAGATCAGCTGAGTAGTATTTATGATTTTCTGCAATTCATTACGTGATATTAAAGGTTCTGTCCTCATGGCTGCTACTCGCCTCCGCACACGGGTTGAATTTTCAGTTGAATAATATTCAGGTAAGTAAATGACGGGCCGGATGGCCCTGAAGAGGGCTGAATAGAGCAGCAAGCCTACCACACTCGAAGCGTGGGTGCTAGGTGACCACGGTTATATATATCCTGTTTTGTGTTATATATGTTTTTGTCAATTTCAATGCCTATGGCCCGGGTAGTGTAGGGTTACAGTTGGTTAGTTAGGGGTATGAGATTGTTCACAAAAATAAAGCTCTTGTAGATCCATTTTATTAATCAGAAAAGGGCCTAACAATATGTTCAAATCTGTCCCCGGTAACTGTTTGTTACGTATATGCTTTCCTATGAAGAGAGTTACAAAAGTACAAAACAAACGCCTTATGAAAGTTTGTCACCAGTGCGCATAAAAACATTCGACGGTCTGCTGCGGGATGCAAACTCTTCGTCAACAAGATACTCAATATCGGAGCCCTGAGGTTTGAAGCCCATCTGCCCATACACAAAGCGCCCCATAGCTGATGCTTCAGTGATAGCTTCAAGATCTCCCCGTCGCCGGGCCTCATCCAGACCCCACTGTACTAATGCCCTCGCAATGCCTTTTCGCTGGTGCATCGGATCGACGGCGCACATATCGAGGATCATAACCGCTGGCGGATCCGCCGTGGCTTTCTCTTCGATGACAATTCCGCGTTTTCTGAGGAAAGAGGCAAAAATCTGACCGAGGTAGCGTTGCTCGACTTCGTTTCCGGGGTAGAGCTCCTCGAGATTCATAGCATCGCGGATATCCTCCTCTCTCACCGCCGGAACACCGCAGCCCGGTACATTGGAACCCTGCATCCATATAGCGAAACCAGCAATAATGCGCTTGCTTTCCTGTTCCAAGGATGGCAGTGTGGCTTTGAGGAAGATAGTGGTCGGGTTGCCTCTCTTGTCTTTTGTTATGTCGCGCCAACGAGCTACCATCCGAGCGGCTCCGAGCCTTCTACCTTCGGGTGTTTCCCACCCTGGTGTCATGGCTATCCAGACTCCATCTTGTGCCTGACGACCGAATGCTTCACAGACACAGTCAAAGGCCTGGATTATATCTTCCGGTTGGTTGATGGGCTCAATGCGTAATCCAATGTCGCTTTGTTTCTTTCCGGAAGACATATTTGTGGCCTGATTGGTGATTACAGACACGCATTCATAGATTTGTTATATCTTTGCACAAATTGAAATGTAAGAAACGAAAGGAACACTTGTCCTTTGCGTTGATTTGAATGCCAATGCGGTATAGGTAGAAGCGGGTGTCTTTACTTGGCACTATTATTACGTCATCTCGGGCCATCTCCGATGAACTCCCAGTCATTAGACTTGACACATTCAATTCGAGTTTAAGATAATTTAATTGTGCCAATAGCAATTTGATCTCCCAATGATTTCCTGAAGCTGAAATCTCGACACGGCACATAGTCAGCGATTGGTCATATTACCTCCGCATGGGATGTCAATGCCATTGCAATCAATTGGACTAGCGCTATCACTAACATAGTCTGTGGCGTTCGAGGCTGAGATTTAACTGTGGGCGGAATTCCGTGTCTGCCCTATCCTGTTGGATACGCCTTTGGGCTCACTTTGCGACATTGAAGCAGGCTGCAGCACATTCTGAAAAGACGACGGTGAAACACAGGGCAAAACTCAAAACTCATCGATTGTTTCAATTCAACTATATTCTCATACCGCATACTGCTGAATCTTCTCAAGCAGCTCATTGAGCTCCTGTGCCACAAATTCCGGGTTATCTCTCTGTACGAAGTGGCCCGCATTAGGCGCAATAACAGGACCCTTGCTATACTCAGGCTCCGTAATCCTAGCCAATCCCTCATTATAGCGCTGCCAGTAGGGATTGACAAAGCGATTGGTCACACCCTTAGGCGGACCCATCTTCGACGACTCCTCAGCGAAAGTATCAAAGTCATGACCCACGACAGTAACATAAGGTCCATGACCACCGGGGCCCCGAAGCAAGGGCCCGTCGCTAGCTGGCAGCAACTCCCGCAAATTACGACGACTGAGCCCTTCCTTATTGCCGACATCAGGGTGAAACATGCGACGGGTACCGGCCCGTACCGCGCGGATAGCCTCCGCTGGAATAGGGTGGATACTGGCGGGATCGAAGTCCGCAGCGTCAGGGTCAGGAAATACGGAGACGAAGTCGGAGTTTGCTAGGACACTGTCCAGTAGCAAGAGCGCGGCCACGGTGCCCGGGTATTCTTGGGCGTAGAGGCGGGCCAGTGCGCAGCCGATGGAGTTGCCGACTAGGACCACGGGGACGGAGTCGACTTCGGAGATCTCTACTTTCTCGTTGCTGATTTGTATGATTAATTGGCGTAGATCTTTGACAGAGGCGAGGCAGTCATGGCCGTGTGTAGGATCCTCTGCGCTGGCATCCTGGGGGTCACGATCGGTGGTTTGACCTTGCCCGAAACGATCGTAGGTCAAGAAGCTGGGAGTACTGCGGCCATCACGGATGGTTTTCAGCTGGGAAGTGACGGGATGCCAGAAGGCTTGGGGCAGTCCCAAGCCGTTGAGGAAAACGACCAGCACAGGCTTGGTGGTCCCGGTGGAGGCCTGGAAGCTGTAGCTTAGCTGCGACGAGGGTTTGGTAGTGAGGGCAATATAATCAATGTCCGCCATTTTGGATGTGGGGCGCGTTCGCGAGAAATAACAACACAGGGTCGTTCAAAGGATTTTGGTATTTATAGAAGCTTTATATGCGCCGAGGGAGAGAACTAAAGAAACATGGCGTGACAAGATGAGGAGTATTGACAAAAGGCACGGAGGGTGAGATTTGGCCCCCTATAAACTATACCTTGAAATCGTACACTGTTGCGAATATACATTGGGGGCCACGTCTAGACCCGATCTGGTTGGGCTCAAGCCCTTCCCTTTTTCACCATGGAACTTTTAAGCATCAAGCTAATTTTTGCTCTAGACATTCTGCAATTATTTGGCTTCTTTACTCATACAATATTCCCAGCGGCTTTCTATGGCGCCTAGGGGGCGAAAGTTGCCTCATGAGGGATGGCGGACCTTGCCAGCGAGGATATCATTAACGGAGATTCGCTCGCCGTAGAAGCATTCATTCTCGTCGCTACGTTCAATAATAAAGGTGCCGTGGACGGCCAACACGGACCAACTTGAAATCTCAGTACTTCTATAGGTAGCTCAAAGACATTGCGCAGCTCGTATTCCTCAGTGGATGGAGCTGTAATCACCATTTGCATGCACGACCACACGTGGATAGTCCTGAACAAGCCCTATGTTGTCGCTGACCTCATCAACAAACATGAAAAAGTCACCAATGAACATCTAAAGATATCCATCGCGGATGATATAGTCAGTCACGGCAGGCCGACCGTCATTTGTTCGGCCACGTCTTGGACGGGAGGCCGCAGGGTTGTAAAGGAACTGGCAGGAAGTCAAGGCCGCAACTGCTCTCAGCTTACCTACGCGAGTCCACGAGAGGATACACGTATCCCCTCTATAGTGATGGCGTCCGTTCTGGTTGAGCATGGGCAATTTCCACCACCGATTGTTCAGGCCTCGTAGGATCCGATCTGAAATGCCATGCAAGAGGGCACATCTAAGCCTGGATTTATCAGAGATGCGCTCCTCTATCTGGAAATGCTGAATCAAGGAATGAAAGAAGAAATGATGCATCTGGCCACATCTCTCAATACTGCGGGCAGGAAAGGCATGCATGTGACACTGAACACTTTCCTTGCGAATATGATCAGTCCTCCGGGACACTAGTTCGTGCCAGTGAAGAGATGAACACGGATTGCGTGGTCGAGGATTAGTTACCGAGCGTCAGGATCAGTCGCAGTGGCTGACTTGGAGCAATGGTGGTTAAGCAGATTTTTGGGTAGCGACTCACTCCACCGATCAGCTGATAGAAGATCTTGAGTATGAAGGCTATCACTTCCCCCCCAAAAATTATATTGCTGTCAATGAATTAATTGGGTTAAGCCAGCAGCCCGGTGAGCCCGTTCGGTTTGACCAGTCACGCGGGTTGGGGATAGGGATAAGATGGGCTGTGCGCTTTGGATTGGACAACGCATCTGCGCTGGCTCGGATCGCCCAGCGAGAGTTGTATGTATGTTGCGATGGCGAGAATCATATTCTGTTTCCAGTTAAGTCCAGTAACAGTCTGTGTATGTACATTTGTTTTTCGATTCAGCAAGTGACAGACTCCAGAGTGGACAAGTCAACACTTCTGAGACTCTCTTGATAAGCACCCTTCCAGCGAAGGCGATTGGTCGTTCTAACTTCCGTCCTACATATATGCAGCTAAGTTTGCGCAAGAAATCGGGTGTCAATTGAAGTGAAGATTTGTCAAAAAAAAAAAAATATAAAAATGAACTCTCCCTCGGGGAATCGAACCCCGGTCTCCCGCGCGTATCAGTGTTAATGACAAGCGGAAATCATGACCCCTAGACCAAGGAAGATGTGTCAGTCAAGTTACCACTCGACCACTTGGTACTGGTTGATGTTCGCATCCCGGTTTCTTGTTTCATATTGCTGAAGAAGTGAAGCTACTTGAGGATCAACGTAATTTCGAAGCTGAATGTTTAATGCAGGCATTCATGCCTTATCACGATTTCTAAAAGCATCGACCGGCATAACTACACTGCATGTCAATTGGTACACGTGTTCCTCTCACCGGCAGATGTAGCAAGTAGATCATTTCCTTAAATGAATTGTCACTTATTGTGCATAAATGTCTCAATGAACCTATAGCCTATTCGTGGCGTCCCCTGAGGTTTCTTATTTTTTATTATTTTTTATTTGTTCAAAACAAAAGCATACAAATAATTGAAATAACACATAAATAAGGTTACTAAGGTAGCACGAGCTGCTGTTTATGAAGATACAGGAATGGGTCGCAGAAGAGCGCAAGACACTTTTATCCTTCGACTTGAACAACAGCTTTGTAATAAATATGTGGGACTTTTATAACGACAAAGTGATTTTCCTCACGGGGGGCACAGGCTTCGTGGGAACTGCAATTCTATATAGACTGTTCACTCAAGCCAGCCCCCGACGCGTTTTTCTTCTCTCTCGAGGAGGTTATCAGTAGGTCTACCCCATGCAACCATATAACAAAAATTGACTAACAGGTGGAAAGAAAGGCCGATGAAATATGGCGTGAGATCCTGTCTGAATCCGTTTCGCAATACTTTATTAATAACCCTCGGATCACAATCGTCTGTGGCGACCTGAAGAGCTCAAACTGGGGACTATCCGATATGGATTGGAAATGCCTCCAGGAATCAGTCAACATAGTAATTCACGCCGCATCATCAATTAACTTGGGGGCACGTCTAGAGAAAATGGACGGCTTAGTGATATCACCAACGATGTTTTTGGCAGACATGACTCTGCAAATGCAAAGCTTTCAAAACTTTGTTTTTGTCTCGACCGCGTACTCGAATGCGCATCTTTGGAGCTTATCTAAAGAGGACGATGTGCCGGTTGAAGAATCCTTATACAGCTTCGACACTGATCGCTTGGTCTCCGAGCCTCAAAAAGACTCATGGAAATACATCACTCAAGGCGCGACCGAAGAATGGGCCGAAATACAGCGAACAGCCACGACCAATATTTGGGAAACTTTTGACTTTCCTTGGGCATATGCGTACGCAAAGAATCTTACGGAGAGGCTTCTGTTCCAGAAGTTCGGAGAACACGATGCTCTGGAAAAGCTTTTAATACTCAAGCCATCCATCATCTCACCAGCGAAAGTCTTCCCGTATCCCAATTATGCGAGAGCATCGTCAACACCTGCCGCAGGGTTCGAAGCTGCCATCAACCTTTCATTTGGAAGACGTTTCCGCTTCGCGTCGCGAGCCTCCACTCCTTACAAGTCTATTTTGAATGAAGTTCCTGTGGATGTTGTTGTGGACCGACTCCTCGTCCACCTAGCAAATGGAACAAGCGGAATCGTCCACGCGGTCAGTAGTAAGGAAGACCGGCTATCGATATTCGACTTTGTACTGCCAAACTTCGCCAGCGAGCGTCGCATTCCCTGGAAGATCAAGCCTGAGTGTTCATCTTTGGATTGGCATTCAAAAGACGTACATTTCGTGAACCGGATTTTCAAGTTGGTTGGGACGTCGTTTGATTTCAAGGAGACGAAAACGGAGACACTCCGGGCCGTTCTGACTGATCGGGAAAGAGAGGGCCTGATACTATTTACAGATGGATATTTTCCTGATTTCAAGCAGAGAAGAGGGATAGTGCGTCAGATGGGGCTTGTGTTTGGTCGGAAACAGCATGTTCCATCCTTTCTCGTCAAACTACTCTTACCTCCAAGCAAACAAAGGCCAGAGATACCGTTACCAATGGGTTTTCAGGAGGAGAATATAGTCAAATCCTAGAGAATTGGATAGGCAGAGTGCAGTATGGGGCTGGAGAAGGCTTTTCGGGATATATGTTAACCACAATCTGTTATCTAATTCATGCTTAAATCAGCGTCTCTGTTAGGAAATAGACTCTGTTTCATAGAGTGTACATTTTTGAGCTATTTGGCTACATTTAGGTGGATATCGTGAGCAATTTTACGGCTTTACGCGCCGCGCGGGTGTATCGGAGTTTTCTGGTTAGCTCAGTTTCTTTAACCCCCTCAGTAGATAGAGTAATTGCTTAACAAAATTTCCTCCTTATCTGTCATTAAAATCATCTACATGATCTCATTCCTCTGCTTCTGCCCAGTAAATCTGATATCACCCGTCTAGGCTTCAAGGAATGTGTTATTCCGATGTCATTCAAGTCATTACAAAACGTCGGCATCCCTCTGAACCTCCACCCCACCCCAATGTCTCACAAAAAACGGCCAGTGCTGTGCCTTTAACGACTATTGCAACATCATAGCCGGACATATAGGACTCAGTGTGTCGCCAACCAACTTGATCTATACCGAAGTAGAGAAGCCAAAGCACCAAGGACCCAATACGCTTGCTCGGTCGCATTATTCACGTAACGACGATATCAGTGACTTTGTCTCCTTAGCCAACTTTGCCAACCGTGGCCATGGAAACCAATACTGGTTCCGCAGCCAGCTCATCTGCCACGAATATAGCCGTTGATCCGTCAACACTTTCAGACCTCACTCCCATCGCTATAGCAGCTAGAGGGAAAGAGATCACAGGATTGGAAATCTTTCAAAATACCACAGACAACATCACGGCAGCCAGAGCAGATCAGCTCGTTTCAGATATGAACGCGGACGAACCTTCTGGAGGCATGGACATGGCATATGGAAATGAGGACGCCCAACGTCTCCGCTTTTCGAAGACCATATCATCCAAGCCTTCAATACTCATCTTCGTTCATGGCGGCAGCTGGCGATCGGGGACATATTTGGACTATTGGTTCGGTCAAGGTTTATCATTTGACTGGCAAAGGCTATGCCTTCGCCACAATCAACTATACGCTCATTCCCTCCGTGACTGTAGAAAAGCAGGTGCAGGAGGTGGCCAAATCCCTAGGTTACCTGGTCAAGAACGCTACTAGACTTGACTTTGATCCCGAACGGATCATTCTAATGGGACATAGCTCCGGTTCACACGTCGTTACCCTACTTGGGACTGACTCAAACTACTTGGAGCGGGAAGGAATCAGTATCCACTTCGTGCGGGCCGTCATCTCTTTAGACGGCTCGAATTACAATGCAGCAGCCGAGATCGTCGATAGTCCTGGTCCGGTTGCGAGAAGCACTATCTACGGGTTAGGTCGTGATTTAGAGCGACTATGCGCTATGTCGCCTACTTACTATGCCCACGCGCCTAATGCTGGTGCTTTTCTGCTCCTCCATGTCCAAAGGCAGGGTGATATTCGCCAGGCAGTTGAGCTGGCGGCAGCACTAAATGCTGCAGGTACCGACACTGCTGTGCATGTGTTCGAGGGCGAAGGTTTCGAAGGCCATGTACAGATGCTGCTCCGGCTTGGCGATCCTGCTTATGCGGCGACATTAGTAATGGACAACTGGCCAAAGATTCATGTTCCGGTTAATTAGAATCCCGATTGAATCCCGATAGCTGCATGCTAGAGTGGGCTACGAAATTACATGTGGCTTATTGTATTTTGGCATTGGTGGGGGCATTCTTTCATCTCGGTGCCTGAGGCATGATGGAAGAAAACAAGTGCGTGCTTATTACTTTTCGATAATGATCGATTTCTTTTTTCTTCCCTTATCATTGAAAAAACTTTTCTTGAATTTCGCATCCTCTCAGAGTCTTATCCCCCAAAATGAAAATATTAATGCTCCATGGTAAGACTTCCATCATCTCTGATGTCAAATCATACTAACCCAAACAGGATCCCGACAATCAGGAGAACTCTTCAAAGCCAAAATCCAAGCGATAGAAAAATTAACGAAACAAGCTCTGAAGACCGAGATCGAGTTTATTTACCCAACTGCTCCATTCGCACTAGAGCCTCAAGGCGAAGTCTCCGAGCTTCGCGATCGACATGGCGCCTGGACCTGGTTCCAGTCTGTATCCCTCGACAGTCTAAATCCAGGACTTGAGAAGAGTTTAGATTTCATTGCTTCTATTCTTAAGATATCAGGGCCTTTTGATGGGATTATTGGATTTAGTCAGGGTGCTGCATTGGGTGTTATGGTTGCTGCGATTCTGGAAAATTATCGTGATCGTGAAATGGCATTTCGGAGCTTTGAGGCTGGGGGTGGGATGTTATACCCAGCCAGTCTTGGGGAGTGTGGTCATCCACCGTTGAAATTTGTGGTTTCTATTTCGGGGTATGTGGCTTCGCATGCGGCTTATCGGGGGTTTTATGAACCGGCTATTTGCACGCCAAGTTTGCATTATTGGGGTAGTTTGGATACTGTTGTTGATGAGGAGGCGTCGATGCGGTTGGTAAATTGTTGTCAGGGGTCGGAGGGTGCGGAGTTGGCTCCTTGTATTATTCGGCATCCTGGTGGGCATGTTGTTCCTAGTGGGAAGCGGCAACTTGTTGGGATTGTTCATTTTATGAAATCTTGCATGGAAGAATAAGTAACTGAATTTTATATTTTATTTTATTTTAGGCTATTTGCTAGTATTGCAAGCTAAGAACTGACATTTCTCATCACACCACGATATAAATCTATCCCTCACAAACAATAATCTGCATTGGTTGAAGGGTTTCCCCACCATGTCGGGAAGGGATGCGACGCCCCACTCGCACCGAAAACAGCAAATGACAAGATGAAAATCACAATCTGTGAACCTCCATCCATAGCGGCTCCAATAAGGTAGTTGTACTTGTTGTAGATTCTTGGCATCCGACGTCGGAGCCAGAACTGAGAAAACACGCCAACGGCAATAGAAGACCAAACCCACGAGGTATTGCCGTAGTAGTTCACTCCAGCATATAATGCGATCATAGGTGTGTTGATCGGCCAGTTGCGCATACGAGGCCAGACTCTGTTAAGCGCCCAGTGAATCATAGGCAGAACGAGTCCGATGACCAGCCCGATGGGCACGATCCAGTAATTCCCGCTGAAACTGTAGATCCGTTTCGCCAGAGCCCATGTTATGGCTTGGGAGTTCATACTTTGAAGAGTAGACCCACTCCAGATGGCGTTGCCTGTTGAGTTGAGGAGGATTTCTCGTTCATTGGTGACGATTATGGTCATCACGGCATAGTTCAGGCCTGCTCCGAGGAGTGTTCCGTAGACTTGTGTGGCGAACATGACACGGTGGGGAACCTTGGTATATTGGCCTACTTTCAACCAGTTGGAAAGATTGACGGCGAGGAGAATGACCTGGTGTGACCAGCTGGCAAAGTATAGGTTCGCCAGTGGTCGACCAGGGTGGACAGCACCAGCGACCATTTTGGAAATCTGGTTGGTTCCAATGCCGGTTCCGTAAAGTCCATAGATAATGCAGGAGAATGGAGCGATAAATGCACCGAGGAGAAGAGCGATGATGTATCCCCAGACTGGGAGAGTAGTTTCCCCTTTAGCCGTGACGATGATTCCGGCGATAAAGGCTAGACCGAATAGCACCATGTACCACCACTGTGGGACCTCTCTGTACTTCAGCATTCCCTGGTAGTGTGGATCGGGTTGCTTTCTAGTCCGTGCCTGTTTCCATGCAAGAAGCATGTCCTTGCTGTAGAAAATCAGGACATGGGATATCAGTGCTCCAATCGCGAGATTCTGTGTAAAGTATCCCCAAACCGTGCTGGAAGTCAGGTGCGGGATTCCGACCGCTTCCAATTTGGCGTCGTCGATAGTTCCTTTGCTGTTCAAAATCGAAGTAGTGGTAAATGTGGTTCCGTTGCTTGAGAAAAGCGACGTCGACATGAAGGGGAAGTCTTTCGCATTCCAGGTATTGCTGTAATACAGCCCAAGCATGGCAGGGTACCATATAATATAGCCAATCCACGTGTTGACTTGTTGTTTGAACGGCAGGGACAAGTATAAGCTCTGAATATATTGCCAATCAAAAGAAAAGTTCAGGAGCCCCATTCCCTCATTGGACGAAACACCACCAAAGACCTTTGAAAAGATCGTGCGAGTGTTCGTCGGGCCCTTCATCGATGCAAGACAGAAGACCGAAACACCACCAACCCATGGTACAATATAGGCAGGAAAAAACTCCCACGCTGCGGCTAAACCAAGGGCGTAACCGAATTTCTTCAGGATCTCTTTATTTTCCTTGCGATTGAAGTGCAACTTTTGAAACAAGACGACTTGCGGCAATGTGGACCAATATACCATCTCGGCAGGATAGACAATCAGCGACCGTAAGGCACCTGCCAAAACGAACCCACAGAGTGAGATGGAGAAAGTGGCCAGAACAGCAGTCGTGGCAGAGATGCTTCGGTCATAAAATAGTCGCTCGATGGCATATACTTCCACTCCCGATAGACCGTTGTTACCAGATGAGGCGATTAAAGATGCGACCACGTGTTCTTTGATGCCGAAGGGCTGTCCAAAATTGAGAAACCTGAGTGTTTTTCGCAACCAGGGTGCTTTGAATCTGTCGGGACTCGGTGTACCAAAGGCCCATGCTTCTCCAAATACAAAGACGAGCACTGGTGTTGTTAGAGAAGAAGATGACGAGGGCAGAGAAGGAATTTACATTGTAGGAAGACCGCTGAGACTGAAACCTCGACTGGTTTGAAAGTATAGAGCATGGTGATCACGCTGGACAAGGCTGTAAAGATGGTGCCCAGGACAATGGAGCGGAAGGTAAGAGACGGGTCGCCATCATCTCTGGTGGAGACGAGAAATTTGGACACATCGAGACCTGATATTGTTAGTACTTAACTGTGAGATGGAGACGACTACCCAAGTGGTTGATTACCATTGCGGATCACAGGATCTCCTTTGACATATTCCTCTTTATCGTCTCCTTGGAATCCCGCGTCTTGACAATCAGTCACAGTAGAATCTTCGACAATCTCTGAATCGACAGCTTTCTCGGTGACATGCTCCTGCTTATCCCCAATCACCTCCACGATTTGGTTAGTTGAAGCGTCAATTTCGCCCATCTTTTCCCAAAAACAACCGCGAATCGCTAAAAAAAGGGAGTGGGAAAATCAAGGGAGTGGGAAAATCTCGGAATGGAGGAAAAATCGCTGATATATAATTATGTTGGTTTCTCCAAACCGCTAATAACATGTGGCGCCAATCGTATCAGAACCCGAAAGCCGTGGCTAACAGGTTCTAGAATTAAGGCAATGGTGCGATCTGTAACCATAATGGTGCGTTGGCGTCGCTTCCATTCTTTTTTTCGAGCCAAGAACAGACTACAGCAGACGGCTTAACGCTAAAGAGACAATGCGGGACAAAGAGTAGTACAAGGCTTAGTTACATTGGCTATGTTCAAGCTCCTTGACAAATGAGAATTGCGCAATTGCAGCCAGTCATGCCGAAGCAAAGCCAAGTTTGTAACTAACCAATTATAATCCATCACGGCTATAAGTGGGGCTGTACATTCGGCTGGAAGCTGCAGCTTTGGGTAGTATTGCAATTACCCATGGAAAGCTAGAATATATTGATAAAGAAAGCAGTCAAGTATCTTCTGTTGCTTCAATTTGTTTGGTCAAGACTTGCAATACTTGACATGGGGAGTAAATGTCGAGATATGTGTATCCACATTAATCTCACGGGCCGTTAGCTTTGATAAAATTATTATGGAAGGAGATATTGCCTTTACGTCTTGCCATCCACGTGCTAGTCAATTTAATTAGCGTGTACACCGTGCCCGTCGGCAAAACCACGGGATTCCGGGGTCCCAACCGTTATAGATGCATGGCATGCGGGGGAAGTATAGAAACCTTAGACTATCATTCCGGCCGTGTTCTGTCATGCTTTTATCTTTCACAAGTATCGAATCTATCCGGTTTTGCGACAAGCTTGTCACTCAACTTCCCAGGAATTTATGCAAATTCAGTAGTTGTGTTGATCGATCGGAATGTGAGTGGATCCTCGGAGTAGTGATTTGCCGAGGTCGATCACGCCTTCGTTATCGTGAGCCTCGACACTCGAATAGACCCCAACTCATATGGATTTATCCTTCTAATGGTAAAACATTCATTTATTCGGTATCAGCCTACACCTACACCATACATAAAGTTGAAATGAAAGTGTTGACCTGATGTCTTTTTATCTTTCATCTGCAAAATATTCTCCCTTCAAGTCCTTTCACTGATAAGCAATGTTTAACTTGGCATTGACCATGAAAGCTTAATTTTGGCCGCCACCGAGGTGGCGTCCGCCAATTTGATGGCGTACGTGTCTCGCCTACGCAAATAAGAGCCGTGCATTTGGTGCTGATTGATATCAACCATGCCGAGGTCATACCGAAGATGCTCTTTACCCAGGCCCCACAGTGGCTTCACGTCACTCTTGCTAACGGATGTATTTACGATGAAGTAAGTGTCCTTAGTATGGCTGTTAGAATTCTGTCGTGACGATGTACCTATGGCCAAGTTTGCAACAGTAGCTGATGGATAGGATACGCATTGAATACACTGGATACATAAAATCCACACGGGAAACCCTTAGTTGACGAAGTGTCGCTATACTATGATATTCAGCTTCCACTAGCACTACATGCATGGCCTCTATGGCAGCATCTCTAAACGGACTTCTGAATTTTTATTTACCACATACGCAACACAATCACTTGTCTATCTAATATCAAGAATTGTGTGATACTGTCGAGATAATGATGAATGTGTAGCGCAATCACTGTATCCAACTTGTATTGCAATTACCATACCAAGGTTTCTTCAGACCACTCCTTGATATCGCATCTTCGTAAATAACGAGTGGAATGAAAAATTAGATAGTCCTAGAAAAGGGCGGAGGCTTACCGGAGCTACCTTTATTAGAGAAACTTGCTGGTAGGAACCTGGATGGATCTCAGACTTTTGGTGTCTAGCTTTGAGATCTTGCTATGCTACAGCACTTGAGGGGGAATTTGGCATCATCATAGGTGCCCGAAGAAGTCATTCCACTATTTTGCGACTTGGTTTGATTGATAAATCATTTTCATCTTAGGAAAAATTCTCCTGAGGGCGCTTTCTCTTTTTGATAACAAGGGGCAGTTGGGTATCTTCTGCACGTGCGTATCGAGGTCATCCACCTACAGACGGTAGCCATGGTGAGAGATGGAGAGTAGGATATTAGGAGTTTGGGTATGAGACCGAGTAATTAAATTCGAGTAACGAGAGAAGGAGGGGCCATGTTAGGAGAGGTCATGCTAGGAGGTCATGTTAAGTTTGTTTGTCTGTGCCCCCAATAACCTTCCATGGTACTAAACCTGTTCCGGAGCATCATTCCGGCTATCCAATGACTCAGATATAGGACTCAATCTCAATTTACTTATTTTCGGAATTTCTTGCCTTCACAAATTTGAAAAATGGATTCTCTCATCTACCAGTCAACGCATGAATGCACGAGCGTCTCAAACGCCTTTGAAGGACTAGAGGTCGAACCCAGCATCAACCTTGTCAAATCGTTGCGCCAATACATGCAGTCATCTACCCAATCAGAATTCACAATGAAATGGATGATACTACCTACGGCTAGAAAGTTGGCCCAAATGATTTTGATCCTGAAATTATTATCCCTGAGATCATCACCCTCGAAAAGAAATTCTCAACTATCATTAAAAAACTTAGACCCGATCAAGATATTTCCTTCGAAAATCATATCCTCAAATACCTTACCTGTATGGTCTACGGCTCTAACATGATCGACACGCCGGGAGCGATCTTAATCTTACAACTAAGTTGTGCATGAGAACGTTCTGCGGCAATGATAAACAGGACGAAATTAGCAACAAAGATTTCTTGGAGTTGAAACAGAATCTCATACACAATGGCCTCCAGGCAGATACAACCTCCATTCTACGCAGTGGTCGTGAAATCGTGCAGCACGCCAAGGCTGCTTCCTACATGATCAGTAGACTCTGCATCCACAACCAAGATCTCAGCGAAGAAATCATTCTTAAAACTCATAAAATTTTCACTTACAAAATTGACGCTCACAACTCACCTTGGGAACAATACAGTGGCGTCTATCGTAAGGATGAAGTTTCTGCTGGTTTTCATCAATTCCCTCATCACAGCCTCGTGCCCTACAAGATGACGGACATGATACGCGAACTGAAGTCAGATCTTCAAGAGGTCATCAAAAAAAGGACAATTGACCCGATCGACATCGCCTCCAAATATTGTCACATGTTTGTCAACATTTACCCATTCATGGACGGCAATGGACGTATGTGTCGTTTGATCCTCAACTTCATACTCTTGAGGCTAGGTATTGTTCCTGTATTTATCGGTAATAAGGAAGAGGATCGCTCTCTATATCGTGACGTGGTTTGTAATGGAAGTGGTCTAGAAGAGGTTTACGGTGATCTTGATGAAGAAGAGATACAGTTTATTGGTAGTATGCACAAGGAGCTAAGTGCTTTTGTCATTACGCGTGTTAAGCATAGTATGAGTGATCTGCTTCATTTGCCTTTGTGAATGCTTCAAATTATATTCTCGCGATAGTGCAATTTACTGTTTGAGCTTTTTTGTCCAACTTTAAGTGTGCCACAGAATCAGTCTTCATGTACTCACTCGCATACCCTCACGTCCTCTTACAATCAACTACTATAGTTTGTTCTCCAAGATTGATCTCCCAATTCTTATATTTTTATTGGCCCTTGATATTCTGAGCATCAGGCATCGAGCGTGGGTGATGGGAAAATCGTCGGAGAGTGACTGCCTTATTCAGGTATCACAGACCTTCTCTCTATTCGATTCTTTTATAGTATACCTGTATTGGCGCACTATAGCCACTTCAGAAAATATATGCTACTGATAAAACTTAGTCACTCAGAAGCTTCCCCAGTAGTGCAAATCGTAATCTACTCCCCCTGGACGCCATAGAGGAGCCGGACTATAGACCGGGATGGGAGATGCCGCTGTAGATAATCAAGTTAGGCAATTGTCGCGAAGGAAAGCAAAGAGAAGCACGGTGGATACTTACTTCCATATCCCGTACTAGGCAAAGCCCATGTTGGAGTAGTAGGCGCCTCCCAGTTGGTCGGAGATGCTGTGACGGTATAGGTACTGGTATAGGCTGAAGGCGACTCTCCCTGACCGAGCGACTTGATACCGTCATTTGATCCATAACTATCATCCCCGATACCAAATATGTTGCTGATCTTGTTCACAACAGAAGTACCTGATTCTGTCCACACTGTGAAGTCTTCGACCGTGACATTGGTAGCAAATGTTAGATCGTTCGCAATCAGATAGAGTGGAGGCCGCGTCACTCCATTGGCAACAGAACCTGAGAAGTTCTTAAAAACTAGATTACTCAGGGCGACTGAACCAGTGTCAGGTTCAAAGGTGTTTTGCCAGTATTGGTTGATATCTAAGCCGTAGAGGCTGGCCAAAGAGCGGAAGTTGGAGAAAGTGACGTTCGTAACGTAGCCTGATCCTCCAGGGTAGGTCTTGATAAAGGCAATGTTGTTACCTTGAATAATGCTGATATTGCGCGCTTCCTATTGAAATATTAGACGGATCTAGGGAATATCTGACATTACTTGGAACTCACGATGTTTGATATTTCAGCGGACACATTCAAACTTCCAATAGATATGCCGGAGCCCGCTTGATTGCACACCAAGTTTTCAACCAAGGCGTGGTGAGAGGGACTTTTCACTGAAACACACTCGTCGCGATTGGTCACCTAGTCTAATGTTTAGCTTCCTTGAGCTTGTGGAAGTATCAGGTCAATGAAATTACCTCGTTGTCATGGATCCAGTAGTTTGTTCCAATGGCGTCAATACCATCGTAGCTACCCAAGTTAGCTCCGCGAATGGTCAGATGATACGCTTCAACATTGACGGCAAAATCAAGAATAATGTGAAACTTGGGACTGTCGACCAGTATCAAGTCGTGGACTGAGGCGTTCGTCGGAGATATCAGGCGAACCAAGCGTGGACGGTCGGTGCTACAATCGGTATTAGCTTCAAAGTTTTCATGAAAATGGATATATATGCGAATGAGCTGACTTGTCGAGATTCCGATAGATATATCCCTGTCCTTGAAATGCACCTTTGCCATTGGAAGAGTAGAACTCGAAATCGACAGCTATTCGAAGCATCAGTCCCAGTAACATAGAATCTATGACAGAACATATGAACATGTTCACTCACCATTAACGATGACAAGCACATCTAGCAAAAATTTAGAATCGCCCTCTCCATTGATAGTTGCATTGATGATCTCGGTGCCTGCGAATCCTTCGAGTACCAACTCACGCGAAATACTCCAGTTGCCACCATATGCAGCGGTAATCAGCCCATCGAGCTGGAATGCCCAGTTTGTGCCATTGCTAAGAGTCACGCCTCGCTCAATCAAATATTCTCCTTCGGGCACAATGAGTCGACTACCCGGATTCTTGAGAACACAGTCCGAGAAGACTCTTTCCAGTGCAGTGGATATGTCGGTCGCATTATCGGCCACTGCGCCATAATCAATAATGTTGCATTCGATTGTTTTGTCTTTGAGATCAGTTGTTGGTCCAACAGGGCCGATAAGTTGGCCCGCGATGATACGGGCCAGAAAGGGTACTAGGAGGAAGCCGGAGAACTTCATTTTAGATGATGGTGATTTACGACTAAGTTTCATTTGGTGGCACCCATGATGCTACTCTTATAATCTTTTTACACCCACGCTTCAACTAGGGTGATCTAAATGAAATCGGTTCAGATAGTATCTTCAACATCTTCGGTTAATTTAATGCACTTTTCTCAAGACGTCATAGTTTCTCCGTCCAATCAATAGACGATTTGCGTCATATCATGTGTTATGAGTGAGAATGACTTCCCTTGAAGAAGTTAGTTTAATATCGCAGCTGTTTCAACCGGCATCTATTTCTATCAAAAAGTGGGGTTTCATGGAACATTTATACGATTGCTAATCAGCCCTGCAGATGACAACATAGAGGACATAAATCGGTTAAAAGCCATGAGCTTCCAAGGTTGGCACTGGAGCACATCATCATCATGTAAAATTGCGCTCACAGAACGCCTAACGGAGAGAAGCTAGCTTCAAATAGAGTTAATGCACCAATAAAAGAAGCATATGTTTTGATGATTAGAGCTTTTGCTCATAGCGGAAACTATCGTAAACTAGAAACAGACTTTGAAGACGTACTTCAGTCATGTTCAGTGGGATGAGAAGCGGAAACGTTTTCGCCAAGTCATTGGTCGAATCAGAATGTCTGAAATTTCATGATCGCGGGCTCGCAAATTTGTGGCTCACAGGCCGGGTTGCTAGAACTCTCAGCTAATCCCACCCGATTCTACCTAGAGAATGATACCCCAGTAATTACTAACAATCTACCAACCCGCGAGCCTAAAATTTGAGAGAAAGCTCGGGATTTTCTTTTCACACCCTAATTTCTTTATGTTTTTGTGTTTTATCCAGCTTGATCTTATAATCCTGTCATTGCATCTAAGGGTGGTTGTCACGCTGATTCGCATTATGTGATTACGACGAAACTGGACCTTTGGGGTCCTTTCACAGGTAACTTAAAGTATCCTCTAACACTATAGGTTAACGTAGTTTCGGGTACGGACCGACAAATGAAAGGATGCCGGGATTTTTAAAAAGTCGTGATTCGATAAGGAACTGTCCATACTTCATAAAATACGCACGACCTATATTCGGGTCTCAAGATACACTTGCATAAATGGAAATATAATTATGCTAGCTTGTGCATCGCTCAAACGTGTGTTGGGGTAAATTATTGCGTAGTATCCTGCAACTTCTCCTATCGCTAGCTTCAAAATTAAGTTTTACCCATTCCAACCATAACCAGCAATACCACATTCATTACAACGATGAGCAGCCAGACGAGCACAGCAGTAATTGAGAGCACCAAGCTGTTTCGCATTGGGACTCGTTCCGCCTGGACGTCACCCTCACGATTACCGACCTCCACCGGGACATTCATGTAACGGTTGAAGCATGTGAAGTAAATCAGGGGTGCGGAAACGAACGGTAGGATAGCACTCAGGACGACCTGACTGGCGTTGAGGGTCTGGTCCATTCCGTCCTTCCCGACGACAGCGGCAATAATAATACTGGGAGCAATGCTGATAGACCGAGTAATGAGTCTTCGGAGCCAGGGCTGCATACTCCATTTCAACATTCCCTCATTCACCATCTGACCCGCCATAGTGCAGACAATGACCGCAGATATTCCCGATAGTAGCAAGGCCAGGGCAAGAACCAGACCAGCGGCGGGCGCGACCGACTGGGAGAGTAGCCTTTGGACTCCGAAAAGGTCTGCTTCATTTTTGCCAGGCATGTCGTACAGAGCAGCACCTGCGATAATGATTATGGCGCTGTGAACAAACAGCGCGAAGGTAAATAATGCTAGGACCAACTCGATGACAGAATACTTCATGCAACCGCGGATGGCATGGATAGAAAGTCGGTACTCCACCGCGCCGCCGTTGCTTCCAAGTTGAATAGAGGCATCCACGTAGCCTGCTGTGACATCAAATTCCTTCAGACGAGACTGGACCACCCCACTTCCGAGGAATAGGGAATGCGGCATAACGGTAGCGCCGAGAATGCCACAGCTCTGGTAGAGACTAATGACAACTCATATCAGCAATTTCATCTAAAATAGGGGCCTACTAGTAGGTGAAGCAAAGACGAACCCTTCTGATTGGATAATAGCAGTTGATAGCAGGTAGCCTCGGAAGACTTCCCCGACTGCCTGGTTCTTGATAAGGGAGAGTTGGATGCAGAAACATATGACGACTCCCAGAACGAGGGCCATAACAAAGAACTCAAACCAGCGCAACCCCCGCATCGACCCGTTGGGCCGATAGAAGAGAAGCAGAAAGAGGACATCCACCAAAGTGATGGCGCATCCGGCCACCAAAGGGATATTTAGAAGCAGATTCAGGGCGATCGCCGATCCGATCACCTGTCAAAGGTGTCAGTGAGCAGATTTCTCAAATATCTCGATAATCAGAGGACAGGTATCCATACCTCTGCAATATCGGTTGCAATGATAGCCGCCTCCGCGAATATATAGAGAATGATGACCAGCCATCAGGGAAGGTGCTCTCGACAGTTTTCCGCCAGATTAAGACCGGTCACGGTACCTAGTTTGATGCACAAGGATTGCAGGAGTATAGCGAAGAGGTTGGATATGAGAACAACGAACAGCAAGCTGTACTTGAAATCCGCTCCGGCAGAGACGTCTGTGGAGTAGTTTCCCGGATCGATGTAGGCGACCGCGATGAGAAATCCAGGCCCCACGAAGCGAGCAAATTTGGCCATGCTGCCAGTCAAATGAACATATGAAGATGTTAGGATGTTTTGGAGAAAAAGTCGAGGTAATTGTCTGGCCCTTGGGGGTGGCTCCCGCCCTGAGACTCTAGCAGCGACCGGTTCGCCGTCGACGTTCTTCTCGTTTCCCGGGTCTTGCTCTTTCTGGCTGTGCTGCTGTGGATTTATGGACAAAGTACCATCGCCAGCTGCACATCTGGTGTTGGACGCATGCTTGTGGTGGGCGCTGGAATTCCCATGCCCATTGAACTGGTTTGGTGAGATGGTGTCCGAATTCAAGTGTGGCAGATCCTGGTTCCAACCTAGGTGCTGGACTGTATCGTCCGTTTAAGAGGGGCAATGCATGGCGGGGTGTTGTGTTTTTGCAGGTGCTGTTCATTTATGGCCACCACACTTGTGACTTTTAATTGAGGGCGCTTCGAGGCTTTGACCGAGGGCATGAATGGCCGGCACCCGATTTGGAAGAAAATAAATCGAATAATCTACGGGAGAGCTGCGCCCGGCAAGCTCAAATCCACAATGCTCTGCAATCTGGCGACGAACAACAAAAGAGGGCCTAGACGAACTCTTACAATAGAAGCAGAAGTACACCGCAATTTGCCTAGGGTAAATGTGGAAGCTTAAATGCCTGACTGCCCAAAGTGCTGCCTAAGATAGCTATGCGCTACAAAGGCCAGACTCTAAGAAACACGGTAAAAATAATAGCTTCCCTACTATTTCATACCTCGGTACAGGTCTTGATTTGTCAGTTCCTGACAAAAGAGAAATAAAGAAGGAAAAGCAAAGGAAAGTCCTTATAGGGAACGTTCCCAATTTGGAATTATTCTCTTACAAAAGCCAATGATGTCAATTCAAGATTGATAGTACTATTTTCTTTTTACGGAAAGTGCATGAAAACTATTGGAGTATATGGGGTCGGGTCAGCTGACCCCCTCCGTTTGTCAGCGCTTGCATGTCTTTAGCTAGATCTCTCTCTATCTCTTTCTCTTTCTCTCCTCCATACGTCTCGGAATACAGATCTTGTCCCTTTCTTCTGTTTCCACGCTACCATGTAGCCCTTTCTTCCCCTGGACAGCAGATCAGCTGCCGACAAAAACAAATACCTTCCTAGGGAAGGCGACCTGCCTGTTCCTTCAAAGGTGATTTTGATATTATCTTGTCGATGAATTGAACTCCTTTACGACCGCTAGGGGCCGTTCACGAGCAGCATTCTTTACTACGTGGGAAGGGATGGCCTCGATCTTGCCTTTTTTTCGCTCTCGGTTACGCTCCCGTCAGGATTCGTAGTTAAGCTTTCGGGTTACGTAATTCCGGGTACGGAACTAAGCAATAGTCTAAAGAATGGGTCAAAACCTAAACAAGCTCTTGGTGTTCATACCCCATTGCGGGGGAAGTTCTTCCGGATTCAATTGGGATCCGAGCACCCAACTCGAAACCAAAATTTAATTGAGCCGCAGACTGGCATATCTCCACATTCCTTGAATTGACAGTTTATTAACTCATTAAGTTCATGCCACAATGGCGTTTTGGGTGTCCTAAACGTCGATCGATTGTTCGGATTTCTGCTTTGGGCGGTCAGCTGCCTATGCTAGGTTAGGAAACCCATACATTTGCCATCAAATTGAAAGCCACTTCTAACTCACTTCTGGCCGAGGAGCATGCTTCGCCGGTAGCATGTAAAATCCTGCCGCCAAATGAATTATCCATAGCATGCTTTGCATTTTATCTGTTCCCAACGAATACTTCACGCTTCCGGTATGTCAAACCGTCATTCTGTATGCCCAGGGGCCATGGTTGCAGCTATTCCCAGCACATCTTGAATGAAGATGAGGAATGACAAAATAAGCCTATGAAGCAACTTTCATCTCTATAGCATAGTCAGTGAAGACTTAAGTGACAGATGCAGAAGGTAAGCACTAGATCGAAGAAAAGATTCGAAGACAGCATAGGGAAAGCCTGTTTCCAGAGCATGCAAACAGCCATGGAGTCACGAAAACTGGCACAACAGGGAGTTATAAAAAATTTGTGATCGCATATATATACCCAATACTGTTTCGTTTTACTTGCTATTCAATCAACCTAAACCCAACTCTCTTGTATTCTATTTGTCGATCTTGGTCTTCAACTCTCAATCAAAATGAAGTCGTCTTCCTACGCCGCTCTTGTTGCTGCTATCAGCACTGTCCAAGCTAATCCTGTCTCCAAGCGTGCTGTTACTGATGCCGACATCCTTAACTACGCTCTGACCCTTGAGCACCTTGAAGCCACTTTCTACGCTCAGGGTCTCCAAAACTACACGCAGGCAGACTTTGTCAATGCTGGATACGCTGATCCATTCTACGACAACCTTTTGAGGGTTGCCTCTGATGAGAAAACGCACGTCAGCTTTCTGACCAGTGCTCTTGAGGGTATGATAAATGCCTTTCCAATGAAGTCGCAGGATTGCCAACTGATACTTGACCAGCCGCTGGCGCTCCCGCCACTGCCGAATGCACTTATGCTTTCCCCTCCACCGATGTAGACAGCTTTGTGGCCCTCGCCAACGTACTTGAGGGGGTAGGTGTCAGCGCCTACCTCGGAGCTGCTGCCTCTATTGCAAGCAAGCAGTACCTCACCGACGCGGGCTCTATCCTAACTGTCGAGGCCCGACACAGCTCTTATCTCCGTGCTGCTGCTGGCGAGGTTCCCTTTGCCCAACCTTTCGATAACCCCCTCGACTTTGATGAAGTCTACACTGTCGCGTCTCCATTTATTGTTTCTTGCCCGAGCAGCAATCCTGCTCTGCCCGTCAAAGCATTCCCTTCTTTGACCAGTACTTTCAGTGGAACCCTTTTGACTGGCTCCCAGGTCTCCCTCGCCACAGGAGAGGGATTCACTGCCAGCGGAACTGTCTACGCTGCCTTCATCACTGTTACTGGTCCAGTCTGGGCGAGTGTCACTCCTTCTGAAGGTGGCTATACCGTTACAATCCCACAAGGCGTTGAGGGTCAAAGCTATGTTGTTCTGACCTCCTCCAATGACAACGTCTCTGACGATGACATCCTCGCCGGGCCTGCAATTCTTGAGGTGCGTGAAGATTAAACTCCCTTTCCTAGCGATTGATCCCCGTTATCTCAATTGTTCTTCTATGATTTAGTTGCTGGTTCATTCAGAATTTGGCTGACGAATCATTGCTTCATTTACAGATTGGTGCCAAAAATGGCCGCCTGACCACTGGTTGCACTGGTGGCAGCAACAGTACTACTTCTAGCACGGCCTCGGGTCAGAATGCTAGTGCGTCTGGGCAGTCCGCTGGGCAGCCGTTGAGTACCTCTCAGGCTCAGTCTTCATCTTTCCCTGCGACACCTAGCGCAGGCTCCACTCCTGGCTCCGGCGCCTTTTTCACTGGTGCCGCCTCTAGTGTCCAGCCAGCTGTTGGCTTCCTTGCCGTTGTTATTGGCGCCATGGCTCTCCTGTAAACCAGCATTTCGTCATAAAGGTAGCCTGGATCATCTAATTTTTTTCGATGCTATATGATCTTTACTACTTGCTGCATTTGGTCAAGCCCTTCGAAAACTTTCTAAAATATATTCATGCGTTGACTAGGAATAGCTATCTATCCTGTTTTTTGTTGCGGTGATAAAACCGTTTGGTTTCCGATTTTTGCAATATGAGAATTCGTTTGGTCATTTCAAGGTTTCTTTTTCCAGTAAAAGCTAGGAAGCACTAGAGATATATTCCAGAAGCCTTTGTCAGGAACAAAGAGCCCAGTTCAAGTTAAAATTCACGGGTAGTCAATAGTTTGTGAGCCACGCTCAATACCTGTCAGGAGATCTTCAGTCTAGTGTTTTCATTCCCGTCAATCTGATGTAAAATCTCCGGCTGCCTTGACTATGAATCAGCAGAGTGAGGACGCTGACTTCATTAGCTTTGTGAAATAAGGCTTGCCTGGACGGTCTACTAGTTGAGTATATGAATCTTTTCTCCTGCTATACTATACAAAGTCGCACTTGGTTGAAAGCAACATACTTCATGCTTTATACCGATTGGCCACCATTTTCTACTAGTGCTTTTGTATACAGAAAAGGCGACAATTTGTCTTAACAGAAGGATGAATCACACAGAAAGGAGATAATAGCAATTTTATTACATAAAAGCCCACGTAAAGAAGAATGAAAAAAGAATCAAACATCCCATTTCGCGCTATACCATTCAACGCTTGGATTCGCTTCACATGCTTTTTCTCCAGATCTAATAAATGGAATTGGGCCAGACAAGTAGACCCAGTTGGACCTATGAGGCGTTTCACAGCAAATCAAAGCCAGACTTTCCTCAAAGTTCAGCCGAGAACTTCCTTCCCCAGTGAGGTGCACATTAACTTCAAGCGATGCTGTCGGATCAGCTAGCCAAACCTGCGTCAGTATCTGTTTATGGAGGTTAGGATTATGGAGTTTTTTACTTACCTTTCAGAAACGGCAGGTCGGTATAGTCTTTGGCTTTCACGCTCCAAAAAATCACACACTTCTCCCATGCAGGAGCAACTTTTGTTCCTTTTTCTGTTCCTGTTTCACGAAAATTTGTCATCGGAGCTGCTTGTTGTCTCCTTCTTTCAAGGAACTCCCGGGCTATGGCTATAGCCCCACTCACGCCAGTACCGGCGACAAACATATGACGGTTCTGTACGGCGTGGGATCTGCCTCGGAGAAGTATGGCCCTTCAAGCCGCAAAGAAATTTCCACCCCCTGTAAAGAACAAGTGCGTACTAGACTCTTGTTGACAGGCTCGATAAGTGGTGTGCTGAATCGCTGGCTGCTGCTGCTGCTGCTATTTGGTCCATGTCCAGATAATGGTTTGCATTTATCGGCCAGACCAGCTAGTTTGTCTGTCCACTGAAAAGTCTGCTTTGTGGATTTGAAAAAGAACCTGAGCCGAGACGGCCGCTTATGGTTCCTTACCTGTGGCCCCGGGAAGCTGTCTGGATTACCACGCTTACGGAAGAGAAATTGGATCGGCATATCATCTCGGGACTGGGAAGTGATATTCTTCTGAGAGGCAAGAGGCGTAATAGTGGTGAAAGGATGCAGTTCCCGGGCGGAGGTCATCGAATGGCGAATGTAGAAATGAGCGACTGGGGACTTGCACGCGCAGCCGTCGATTCGCTCTCGAGGGAGTAGCATATCAATACTGAATATAACTTAGCTTGATCCATTTATAAATAAGAATGACTCCACCTACCAATACCATCCTTTTCCTAGATGCACCACCTTGCCTGGCACACAGTTTCTCAACTCGTACAGTCGCATACCCCAGTCGAGCACCCACATGGCAAGCCCTGGAGCCACACAGTAAAATACTGTACTGGCATGTAGACAGATGATTATGATGGCCAAGATACTCAGAAGGTGCGTGTAGTAAAAGAGATTAACATGCTTCGCACGAATTTTGGGTAATGTGGTGACAAAAATGAGACCCATGATCGTGGTGGAGGCGACACCAGTGAATACTAGAGAGGCTCGCCAGATGCCCAAGGCAGATAAGTTACCCGGCCAAGTCTCGAAATATAAATATGTTGGGTTTAAGACGGGGAATGCCGGCCGAAGCCTCTCCGAGAGAGAGTTGAAGACCGCCACCCAGGATACATAAAGGAATCCATGGATCAGGACAAGGGTAAAGAGAGTATATGCTGTCAACATATGAAAGGTAAGCGTGGTTGAGACGGATAGTTTGAAGAAGGACGCTAGTGCGCTGTGTCGAGAGACGGGGATAAGGACCATTCCCATTGTGACATCGCAGAGGTGGCCAGTCAATGCAACCGCAGCGAGACGGCGGTTTCCATCCATAACGCCATTTTCCTGACCCCTAACATCAAAATAATCTCGCAGGCGAATCCACCAGACACCTATAATGATGCCGTATAGGCTAGTGATCCAGATGAATCCAAGTAAAACGCTAATAGCGAATCGTTCACCCACTAAGGGGATCTTACATTTAAATAACTGTCGCTGGAGACAACGTCGCAATTGGGGTTGAAAGGCACGAACAGTGAAGAACACCATAGACATTAGAACCCAGGAATACCAGATCACCACATGTAATCGTGCCTGTAGAGGAAAAAGCCATTCACCACAAGTACCAGCATAGCAATGATGATCTGATCGAAATGTCAACCCAATTGAAAGACCAAAGGTGAGAAGAATACTGCCTGCGAGAGGATAGAGGCAAGTTCTAGGAGTAATTCTCGTCATTCCAAAAGGCAGTAGCATAAAGAGAGGATTGGGAGAATGTAGGCAATAAATGGTCCTAGAATTGTTCACTGAGTCACTTGCAGCCTGTGTAATGGTAAGTCGACGCCATCCTGCCAGCAATCTGAGAACTATTAGCTCAATGGATTTCTCTTCGTCTCTGGGAGGTGCGTGAACACTACAATGACTGGGAGAGGGAATGAGGTCGCGTCTTCGTTCTCGTTTTCGCACTCGGTCGGGTATCGCATCCGGAATTTATCAACTTTCGATAGCGCTATGACCTACGGTCATTCTAGGTGGAAATCAATCTTGATTCTGCACTCTTTAACATATCTTACTGTACCCCCTATTGTACCTGCAGTTCCTGGTCCGTGAAGACTGGCGCACCTCCTAGCTCCTTGGCGTTGTTTATTATTTTATTGTTCACTACCGCCGAACTTTCAATCAGCATTTTCTAGATCTGGAAACTCCACCGTAGATCTCAGTCTTAGGCCATAAGGTTATGTCGGACATTGAAAAGCTCAAAGTAAGGGAAAGAAGACAGGTAGAAAGCAGGAAAAGAGAGATCGACCGCTGTTTACCCAGCACAGGAAGGATCGCGACGAAGTATGAATGATCCTGTCCGCCTGTTCTAGGCATAGATTGGTCCTATTTATTCAAGATCCATGATCCAATTTATTGGGGATGCCGAAGTTTCAATTTTCTATTACAATCAAAGCCCTCACAATCACCCTGAACAGTGAGGTCTTCAGTCTTCACCAATCATATAGCCATCACCAACAGTATCTCCCTCCCGTAAACAAAACAATCAGCTTGATTGTCTAAGATTGTTTTATTATCAGCCAGGGTGCACTCAGTTACTTGAGCGATGGATCTAGATCATTGGTCTGACAAACCAGGCCATGCTGGTGTAATTATAATATCGCCGATAGGCCTACTTTTCTCGCAGCTGACACCTCCCATTGATTCAAGATAAACCGCATTGCTCCACAATTAGTCTCAATAACTGAATATTATTATGGTGATACTAAAAATGCTTTCTAATCATATCTTTTCTAGGGCGGCGATGGTTGGGGCTCATCAAAGGTTTATCTCCTAACTATATTCTCACTTCAGTTAGACATTAGACATCCCACCAGACTTTCCACGACACAATTGTCACTCGGGACTTTCTAAGCATAAAAATTCATACCTTCGGCAAATCATTGACTGGCAAAGGCTATTGGGCAGTTGAGAATAGTATAGGACGAAATATTAATCAAGAACAGATAGTCAAAAAAAATATGCTCTGGTGGAATCTGCGTCAGACTCATCATTCTACTCATTCTAATGCTCTTGATATTATTGAACAATCGTACAGTATCTTGATGACAATTAAAACAAAACATTCAGTGACGAACTCATACACCTAGGTAATTATTGAATGAGCGTGAGGTACCGATGCGCATTGCTTTCTTGACTTTGCATAAAACAATCTCATCTTACCGCCAGCCACCATATCTTCAAAAGCGCCTATGAGAATGACGGACAAGTTTTGAGCGCGAGTTTTTTTTCTCATCATTTCCCCAAGAATGGGCGATTTGCTGTTGCTGTTGCCTTTTACTTTGTCTTCTAAAAGGATAGCAGCGCATAAATAATTGATTCTTTTCGAAATTTCGGACTCGTTCTCGCTCTCGCTTCATTCTGGACTTCTAGCCTGTATGTTGTGCGAAGGGTTATTGTGCTTTTCATAAACCTAACCCTTCCATCAGCTTTGCCTAGAAGTGGAAATTCTGACGCCGATCACAACACCTTGTCCAATGAATATGTCCCGAGTATGAAAACGCCCGAATTCTGGACAAAGACAGGTACGAGATGATTCTCATTGGCTAGTCAAGACATAGCAGATCCTGAGTCCCTTATAACAACTTGACAACACAAGGGACTCAATCGCTAATAGGTATAAATACTCTCGCTCGTTCTTAGAAATTCTTTGCATTATTCCAGCTCCTGCAATCCAATCTTCTACAAAAGTTTTCCAAAGGCTCTACATTCACACACAATGAAGGTCAGCAACATTGCCCTGGCCGGTGCAGTGTTCGGCATGGCCCAGGCTAGCCCTATCGCTACCCGTGAAGCCATCACCGACGGTATATCTTCCCCACTATATTCACAGCTGATACGGCTTTGTTAACTTTTTATAATTTAGCCGATATCCTCAACTATGCCTTGACACTCGAGCACCTCGAGGCCACCTTCTATGAGGAGGGTCTCAAAAATTACACCCACGAAGATTTCGTGACAGCTGGCTTCCAAGATCCATTCTACGCCAACCTGCAAGAGGTCGCTTCAGACGAGAAGAAACATGTGGCCTTCCTGACACAGGCTCTTACTGGTGAGTACTCAATTCAATATATGTAGAGCTTGATCTAATAATTTTTCTCTAGCTGCCGGTGCTTCACCCGTCAAACAATGCACCTACACCTTTCCCTCGACCGATGTGAAGACCTTCCTAGCCCTTGCTAGCGTCCTCGAAGGTAAATTTATCCATGACAGCTGCACGACCTCTACTAATAATTATCATCAGGTGTCGGTGTTAGCGCCTATCTCGGTGCTGCGGCGTCTATTGCCAACAAAGATTATCTTACTGCCGCTGGTAGCATTCTGACGGTTGAGGCCCGCCATAGCGCCTACATACGCGCCACTATGGGCGAAGTTCCCTTCCCCCAGCCTTTTGATGACCCTCTCGACCTCGACGAGGTGTACACTGTTGCATCACCATTCATTACCTCGTGCCCCTCCAGCAACGGAAAGCTTCCAGTGAAGGCATTCCCTTCGCTAACGCTGAAATCAACCCAAACAATTGTCAGTGGCTCTAAAGTCACCTTAGTAGCCGGCAGCGGCTTCGACGATTCCACCCCGAGCAACCTACACGCAGCTTTTATTACTGTTACTGGACCTATTTGGACCCCCCTCCACTTCAGGGGTGATAAAACATTTATTGCTACTATCCCTGATGGCATCGCGGGCCAGAGTTACGTTGTCATCACCAAGGGCAAGACCCAGGTCACCGATGATAACATCGTTGCCGGCCCTGCTATTATTGAGGTAATTTAGATGTGTCCCTTAAATTACTTGAAATTCAAGTTCTGGCGAGACTGACGTTGGTTTCTCGATAGATTGCTAGCTCAAAGAGCACCAAATGAACCGACCGAGAGCTATTTGGCTAGCAACGGCGATATGGACTACTAGTCTGGCTCGCCTTAGGGCAGATCCCATGAGTCAACTTCAATCCACAATGGGGCTGATATCGTAAACCGGTATTTTCTCTGTCAATTTTTATTTCCTTTTAATTAGGCTTTTGTGATGTCAAGGTTTGGATTTCTGGCGAAAAATGCGGCAGTACGCTTTCATTCATTTTACTTTTCGTTTTGTTACTGAAATATTATTGAGACTTGTGATTGCAATTATGTATGTCTAATAGCAGCTCAGAAGCGGGCAATCAAGACATATTAGCAATGATCTGATTTCGATGTCGTTCTGTAGCCCAATCAAGTAAAAGAATAAGTTTTCCAGATTGACAAGGACCAGCTAAAGAAATCAGGGCAAATCCGTTGGAGTACGTAGCTTGCTATTGGATGCGATATGCACGACCTCAGGAGACACAGAAGATCTGCAAAATCAGTCGATCATTTGAGATAAATACAGCTAACCACGTTGACCCCGATTACACCTACACTAGACCGTGTTTAGGTATAACGCTTGGTGGTCACACCTGCTACTAATATGATTGAGCAGACCACTGCATCTTAAATGCCCTTATACCCGTGCTATAGAAGTCAGAACATTAAATTTATCTATTAGTATATGTTAAGTACTGGATTATTAAGCTAGAGGATTGGTACTTGATAGTGTTGCCGTATGTATGCTCTCACCTTATACTCACCCTGGCGGCAGCCACCCGACTACTGGCCACACTTGAGCCACACGCCGGTTAGTTAGTAGTATGGTGAATGACCACATGCGACTCCTGACTGTTCTATGTTTTATTTTCATCTATGGTTTGTCAAGAGGAACTCCGAGGTGCTAGGCAAACAGGAGTATCCGGTTAGAGAATATGAAGTGGCTAAGTGCACATGTGCAACTACTAAACTTCTTCCCTGGCCGTGCAGGACATAAATCGAAATAAGATAAAAATATGAATTTAACCATTCAAACGGAATATATATGCCTAGAAAGCTAAAAAGAAAGAAACATGAAGTCGGCGTTCGTCATTTATGATGGCACTTCGTGTAGTAAGTACTAGGGCACTGGCTGATAGCTTTGTCGACCCCATTTCGCTTGGCCCCACTGGTGTTGGGATTTTTCCATTGCTGCGAGCTCTTCGCCATGACTTCCATCGTCGAGAGCCCGTTGAAGTCGACCCGATTTTCGCTGTCGAATACACCACCAGCCAAAGAGAGCAATCAAGAGTCCACCGGCGGCGGCTGCACCACAGTAGACACCGATGTGGGCGCCTTCGCCTAGATCATCCCATTTTTCGGACAAGCTCTTTGCAGGTGTTTTGTTAATTTCGGCCGCTGCGGTCGAATTTCCACTGTAAATTGTTAGATGAGGTCTGCTTGATGGTTCCAAGGTTTAGCGATAACATACCTGACTATCTCAATGCTGTTATATGAGCCAGAAGTTCCGTCATATTTATACTCCTTTCCAGAGGAGAAATCCTGCACGCGGATGCGTTGGATGCTCATAGTAAAGGGAAGATCGTCCCAATCAACAAGACCACCACCCCATTCTATATTGCCAACGGACGAACTGGCAAGTCCCACAGGCCAGATACTGGCCTTGACACGGCAAGGTGTCTGGGGGTAATTCTTTCCATACACCGTCAACGGCTCGGAGTAATTGACTGTTCTGACTTTTTCACCATCAATCCACCACTCGAGCCGATCCCGGTCCCAGTAGGAGGTGTAGTTGTGGTACTCGGTAGCCGCATTCTCTACGGGATGGATCCCGCCACGATCGCTCGTGGTTGTGTTGCCCTTCCCGAAGAAGTCGGATTGCACCGCACTCGTGTTATATCCCACCCATTCCCAATCGATCTCGTCCAGGTCGTCCGACTGCAGGATGATACTGCTGATGATACCCCGGCCCGGAGACATTTTGACGTGGGCTTCCATGACGCCGAAGAAGATATAGAAATTCGAAACTAAAAGAGTGGATCCATTCTCTGCTTTGATGGAAAAGTCGGCGCCATCGCTGGTGTAGTCGGCCGTACCAGTTTGCATGTCCCATAGTGTGCTGTCGAGGGTTGAATTGAGCCACCAGGTGTGCTCCGTACTGAGTGCGTTATCGGCAGGACATGTTGTTGTTGTGTTCAGAGGGTTACAGTCGGTCGCGGCCGTGATGCCTAAAAAGATCAAAAGCGAGAAAAGAATGTGTAAAGGAGAGGACGCCATGACGGCAGCGATCGGATAAAAAAAACTCGGGGTAGAATTAGCCCAATCGAATTTACATCACTGGGACTCTTGACCCCCTTTTGAAATGAGTGTACGGAGTAGAAGTGTTAAAAAGAAAGAAACGGTCGGTTTATTTTTATTTTTTTAGGGGTTGCAGGTACCCGCATGCATTTAAGGGGAATCGGCGTTTCCATGATTCGGACCAGTAGAAAAACTGGAAAAAAAAAGTAACGGATCGACATGGGAAGCTAATTTAGTGCAATGGATAGGTCTCGGACTTGGTCTTGGTCATGATAGGTAATCGGCGTTCATTAGGAGCTGGGCATGTCTTGGCTTTATTTTTGTTTCTCGGCATTGGGTCGACCTGATGTGGCTTTGACCAGCTTCAAAGTCTCACTGACTCCCAATAAGATCCAGATAGGTGAAGAAGACCGAATCCTCACATCTTTCATGTTTATCAGTCAACCACAGGGTCCACGGGTGGGTTTACCCTGAAAGTCTGAGCGGTTGAAGTCGCACATACCCACCTACCAAAGAAGGTTAGCGTTGAGTTGATCCCCCCTGAGCTGACAGGAAGCCAACTCTGCCACATTGTGGGTAAATCCGGCAAACAATCCGGGTTTGAACCAATCATTCAGACGTTTCATTAAAGAAGTTGTCTCTCAGTCGTCAAAATACCTTGACCTCTGTAGCAAATAGGTCTCGGCAGGTTGCGTATGTTGCAATGCTGGTGTGACGCAGGGGATAAAAACGATGCATGTTCGAATCTCAAAGCCTGTTTATCCGAGGACGCTGTCTGATAGCTCCCTAATAACGGAGGAAGCTTGCCACTTGGAAGCCACAAAGGCAGATCGAAATGTGGCTTGTACTATCGGTGTGTGGGTCGTGGAAGGAAGCGAGAGCGAGTCAGAAATAGACAAGGATGTTTGAGTTGCTGTTTGTCAGCCTCTCTTATTTCTCACCCCTAGACTCTCGTGATCATGAATATTGTAACAATTATGTGCTATCTTTCTTTCAAATGTTCAAGTGTCCCTCTGGTATAGTAGAAATTTCATTAGCACATCTTTATTCTTGCGACCGGGCCACATTGCCCACAGATCGGATCGTCCTATTGGCCCAATTATCTACAGTATCTTGCTTATCAGTTTCTTCTCCAATTCAATAATATGCCCAATCTAGTTACTTTGTACTGAGTCATGAGTCCGCGCTTGACCGGCTTCAACCGGGAACTGAATAAAGTCACGTGATATAACATCTTATCTGGTATCAGATCAAACACTGCAAATCATTTTGGGACTGTCACGTGCCGTAGTTTCCTGGCACCTGAGGCATCAAAGACAACAGCTCAAAAGATAGGGGATGAACGTACAATGCAGTGCTTATTTACACATCAAATAGGGGGCGCTGCATATAGTTCGTGGGTGCTACGCCGACGATACATACCCTACCTCAAATTACATATCCGCGTGTACTAGAATTTTGCCCTTGAATAGTGATTCAGTGATTCTAGATCTTCATTCTTGTAGATATAAATGGAACTCTATCCGGGATAAGCATACGGGTATTTAACCGTATCCTTACTAGTAAAATACTACGAGGGAGGATTGTGTCGACGGCTCTATGATTTTTAGTCAGAAGAAAGAAAAGCCAGATGGCTAGAGACAAGATCTGTATTCTGAGAGGTATAGGGGAAGGTAGGAAGGGAGGAAGAAGAAAAAGAAGGAGAAGGGAGAGAATGGAAGTACTACAATAGTATAAAGCGGTGAAATGATTATCAACATTTCGTGAGAAATCCATCCTATCCCCCTAACTAGCTAGCCAACCTAGAAGTGTTTATTGGGAGCTAGCTTTCGTGTATAATTACTTCCACTAGAATAAAGGGGTAATAGAACGCGCGAACATCGAGAGAAATTTCCACCCACTTTTTGAATTGTTCCACTCAGATCTTCATCCGCTTCTTGTTGCGCTCTGGACCAAACGTGATGTGGCATCTCACTCGAGACGCGACTATAATTGGGTAATGTTGCTATCTAGGTCCGTACGGATGTTGGAATTAGGCGTTCTTTCTGTATATGCGTATGAAACAAAGTCCACAATAAGAAGCTCTGGACCCAGTTTATCATGGTTCCCTCGTATTCGAATTATGTACCTCTGCAGCCTCTTTTGATGGCTTGCATTTGCCACGTCATCTCGCTAAGAATTCCCGCAGAGGAGTATGGGCATGTATAGCCGCCAATTTGATAGATTCTTGTTGGCCACAGCCTTTAATGTCATATTGTGACTTTGGTATATGCTTCTGGTAGCACTTATATTGGCTGCTGAATACGAGATATGGCGCAGGCCACATCCATGTGCGAGCTGTTATTCAGCTGTATAAATTGTGAGACATCATTTTTCCCGGCATTGGTAAGTGGATAGCAATTTTTTTTGTCATAAATAGTTTCTTATTCCCCATACTCAGTTCAGTGCCTATTGGCTGATCATCAACTTATCTTTACAACTTCCCCATGACAATGGTCGATCAGATGCTTAGCCGCCCAGCTATGGGACAGGTAGCTTCCCTAGGTAGCCTCTATGATGCTCGGAGTGACTCATTCATATCTTTCTCTTTGTTACGAAAGACACCGCCAACCGAGTGCATTGAGACAACAGGAATGCCTTCTACGACTATTAAATTTAGTAAAACAGACACATTCCAAGAAAAGTTTGACCAGCTCCATATCCCAGCTGAGCTCCAAGCAAGTTTCTTGGCGGGTCTCGTTAAAGTGGGGGTTTCAAGGCTTTACTTGGATGACAAAAGACAAACGAATCAGGTCGCACAGTGTACTCTGCACTACAGCACTACGACTGTCGAACAAACGCTTCAACTATCTTCCCCGGATGTCTGCCCCTGTTTAGACCGCATTATTCTTGGTACCGGTCTCGCCACACATGTGGTCACTGGTATCAGGTGGGGAGCCAACTGTGTTGTCACGGCCAAAAGTCAAGTCACTCGGCAGCAGGACATATCCGAGATTTCCGGTGAATTGGAGGCTCAAATGAATGAACTCATTGCCCCCGGATTGACCGTGAAGGGCTCTGCGGGTGTCAACAAAATAGCTACATGTCAAGACTCAGGATCTTCATCTTATATCACCGTCCATGGTAATGTGGTGGCAGATGATGGGCTAATGCCCACTGACCTTGAAAGCGCCAAAATTTTCATGAGCAAGATACCCAAGTACATCCAAAATGCCAATGACGGAAAAGGAAAGCCAATCGCCTTTATGCTTATGCCTCTTTCTATTCTGAGAATGTTCGGTTATCCCGAGGTCAGGACCGATATGATACTTCGCCAACTAAGTATTGATTACGTTGAAAGTTTCGTTCGCCTTTTCGAGATATTAGGCATACCCAGCAGAAGCTCAACGACTATCAAGCGCGGATTCTCAATCATGAAGCTGTTGTTGCTCCAGCCCATGTAGCTGAAGTGAATGAATTTGTCAAAAAATCAAGATCTACCGAAATATTGCTCGGCTCGAAGTACATGGAAGTCTTGAAAAGGTTTCGGTCCGGTGATAAGGACAGCTTTCATAGTCCAAAGCTGCTGTTGGATGAATTCTGTGCTGGAGAAAATTCCCCCGGGCGACTTTCTTCCGTTGTTCAATTCACAGAACAAATGGATTTCGCGGATATGATTACCAGCAAAGGGGCCAAATACAGCGGTTACAAAGGACCTTCATTCCACGCGGCTCTGAGCAATAGCGATCATCATGATACTTACGTTCTCTACTTTACTGAGCAACTCCGCTGTGACTCTCCCCTGTGGGATCCTAGTCTTTTATGTCTCCTGGATCTAATCAAGGATAGCTCCCGCGAAAAGACGATTATTGTTGTCGACTGTGCGGCAGCAGGCATCGAAATCTCAAAGCCTCTGGTCACTCAGTTTCGCGGAAGTCGAATTGTCGTCAATGACGTGGTAGAGTACATGAAGATATTGTCATCTGAATGCCTCATGCGTTACAACAAAAATACCATAAGTACCATCAGCGGCAGACCACTTGAGCGGAGGATTGTCAAGGTCCCTTGCCCCCATCGCAACTGCAGCAGAACTTTACGCTGTGAATGGATATGTGAAACGTGTCATTGCCTTGTGGAGTTTGGTTTCGTTGATGATCTACTTTACTGCAATTGTGGTGCCTGTTATTATGATCAATGGGAGTTCAAGTGCAAGGACGACCAACACGGCTCCATGTGGTCCAGTTACGATGAAGAAACATTGCTGGTCTTACTAAAGGCTCTTGAACCATTTGACGAGCTAAACATTCTCATCCTCGGCGAGACCGGCGTTGGCAAGTCCACGTGGATTAATGCCTTTGTCAATTACCTTACCTGCAGCTCTCTTCAGGAAGCCATGGCGTTGGATTCTCTCCGCTGGGTTGTTCCCTGCTCTTTCTCGACACAGACAACAGACCCTCATGACAAAACGGGAAAATTAGTACAAAAGAAAATCAAAGTTGGGTCTAGTCCAACCGAGAGAGATGAACCGGGCCAGTCTGCCACGAGGCAGACCTCCGTATATCCAGTCACTATTGGGAATACTCGAGTGAGACTCATTGACACCCCGGGCATTGGAGACTCTGAAGGATTGCATGAGGACAAGAAAAATATGGCCGACATTTTGAACGTCTTGCGCAGTTACAGTAAGCTGCATGGAATTCTTATCCTGCTGAAACCGAATGCCTCTCGCTTGACTGTGATGTTCCAATTCTGCATAAAAGAGTTATTGACTCATCTGCATCGCGACGCCGTGGAGAACATTGTTTTCGGGTTCACCAACACTAGGGGATCAGGCTATACACCTGGTGATACCTTCACGCCCCTCATGGCTCTGCTTCAACAACATATGGAGTTTAAGCTAAGTCTCTTCAAGTATAACACTTATTGTTTCGATTCAGAGAGCTTCCGGTACCTTGCAGCTCTCAAACAAGGTGTGGACATGGACTTCCTCGAAGAAAACAAACGAAGCTGGGACTATTCGGTCAATACGTGCCAGAGAATGGTGTCTTACTTGGGAACCTTGAAGCCTCATAATGTTCGAAGCACGCTGAATCTCAATGAGATGAGAAACATCATCACAAATTTGGCCGAACCCATGACGCTCATTCAAGAGAAGATCAAGTATAGTATCGAAGTCAACAAAGATGCCATCGAGGAACTGACAAGACGTCAGCTTACAAGAGAGGAATTGGAACGTAAGCGGTTTATACTGAAGGAAACCCTTGAGTCTTCCGCAGTGACTGTACCACGTACTGTGTGTGCCCATGCCAATTGTATCGACGTCCAGAACGATTCAGATTCCGGGGCGCACAGAAACATCTACAGAACAACCTGCCATAGCCCATGTCGAGTACGAGGGCTTCCAAGAGACGGGGGGGGATGTAATGCTCTTTTTGTGCTCGAAATTCGGCTGGAACGGAGACTGCAAGCACTGTGGCCCCCACGTACTGGATCACATGCACGTTTACTACGAGTACAAGTCCAAAACAGTCAGGCTTGAAGATGAAGTGGTCAGCAGAGACCTGATAACGAATGCGGAGGAAATTGAGCTGCAGACCACGCTCATTCAAGGCAAAGAAAAAGCCATCAACGATTTCCAATCCGAATACGACCAGTTGCAAGAGGCAGGTCTCCAATTTGGCTACTTTCTCAAGCAGCATGCCATCACTGCATACAATGATTCAACGCTCGAATATCTGGATCATCTTATCGAACTGGAAAAAAACAAGGTTCGGGCAGGTGGAACACGTGAAAGGCTTCAGTGGCATGAAAGAGAAAAGGCGAATCATCTGGAAAAGGTAGAGATATTTGAAAAACAAATTGCCGCCGGCGAAACCTATCGGTTGCTAGATGAGGACAGTGTCCGGGAAAAAATTGATAGTATTTATAGTCTTCATTACTTCGGTGCAGATCTGCAAAAAGTCATGGATGCGAATCAGAGGGCTGACGATCTGGTCTATAGAGAGAAGTCAGTGAATATCTGGGCTGGCGATCATTGGGAAAAACAGAGATCGGATCTTGGCCTCCGTCGAATTCTTCACAGCGTTCAACGGGCCTTAAGAGCAAATCTCTGGAGCTCTTCCTAAGTACCTTTCATTCTAAGATAAAGATTTAACAGCACAGGTTCAGACAGACGTCGAGGTATATATCTATTGTAATTTACATCAATGGAAACGAAATGGCAGAGTTGTCGGGTTCAGTAAGTCCCAAAGCTGGATATTATAAAGTAGCTCAAACTGACTGATTGGGCAGATTGGGTGTTTCTTAACATTGATACACTGGGAGGACTGTCCTTCCCATTTGCACTAGGTTCGAGACTTTGTTCCTGTTACAACTCCAGAGCTAGTAATGGCTAACACTCATCAGTGGCACAAAGATCTTTTGAACGTCTTGGTTGTGTTATGTACATCTTTGTGTGAGTCAAGATTCCTATCCCTTTCATGGACGAAGATCATAATGCTCACTATCCGTAGAGTTCTTGTTGAGCTTGGTATCTATGTCAGTCGCATAATTTGGCGAATCCGTTTCAGAGAGCTTTGAGAAAAAATATAACTTTCTGGGAAAAGCATCGATGATTTACTTGAAGAAACGTATCAAGAGACATGCTCAGTATAGAGATGATGCTTTGACCTGAAAGCTCTCGCAAAAACCATGAGACACGAATCTATAATGAATGATCTCATCAAGCAACCATCCTAATAGAATTCTTCAAACCCCTTGTGAAATCAACTAATGAGAAATTTTTATCTGGTTCGCACGTACTTTGATAATCCCAAATTTCCAAAACTTCCAACGCCTTCCGAAGTAAAATTTGTCATTCACTCAATTCTATGATTCATATGCTTGGAACCTCCCGCCAGGTTGATGTATTCGCTACTCTTTGTTTCGAATTATTTGATCGGATAGCCCTGGTTTGCCCAACCCTGCAACATCTCCCCAGATAGCAACATCTGGTCTTTAATCGTCGGTGATAATGTAGTCTGACCCCGCTTCTGTCGAGATTCCCTTGTCTCTTGCATTGGCGCTTCATCGAATTTCTCATTAAGACCACCAATGTCTGCGACAAACTCATAAGTTCGACACTCTGCATTGGCCCACCCAGTCCCTGTGACCAATGATTATTAGAGTGGGGATCTCAGAACCAAGTCTCCGTTTTAGTGCTTGTGTGAACATACCGTCGTATTTACACGCATCTTCCCAATCCTCGGTTAGAAAATGTAGAAATCCTCCGTGGCTTACCACCGCGATCTCCTTCTCTGGACGGGATTTGAGCCAGGCTCTGACATCCCGAGCTCTACCTCGGATCTTGTCCCTTGTTGGTTCGTATCGACCGGTCTGGTGTCAAACATTGATTCAACTTCATTCCATCTAATTCTGGGGTCAAACAAAGTACCTTTTTTGTCCAGTTGAGCTCAACAAGACTCAGGTCCACTGGAAGATTTGATTCCTCCATCTCTCTCTGTAGATCGGCACGCTCGGTACCAATGTCGCATGGGAAGTCGCTGATTTCTTGAAGATCCGGAAGTGCAACCATTTTCATCCATGGCTTGTCCTCAAAGGTAGGACGTAGAGCTTCTAGTCCTGTGTGGATGGCTCGCCTCATGGGCGAAGAAACAACCAATTCAACAGAAGAGCTGAAGGAAATTTTGCGCCTTAATTCCCGGCATTGTTGTTTTCCCTTTTCGGTCAGATTGGGATCTAGAAGATTCCAGTACTCAGGCCCAAGGTTATGATAGCCCTGATGGTATCAAGTAAGCAGATGAACAGACAATTATCCTTAGAAGACATACCTGTGCATGGCGGATAAGATGTAGCTTTGGTGGCATAATGGTGATGTGTGGAAATTTGGTACTGAGCAAGAGATCTTAAATTGTAAGAGTATCTGGGCCAGTAGTTATACTGAGTGACTTAGTGCATGCTGATCCAAGATTTAAAGATTATGAATCAGAAACGGACATCATTTCAGTTTTCCATGTTCTACTAGTCCCACGTGGATCCACTCTAAACTATAATTAGCTGTCTTGGCTTCCATTTAGGGACTAGCGTTGTTAGTTATCCGCCTACCAACGGTGCATGTTTTGGGATCCTACGTAGGGATTCGTGCACATCATGATGTAATCAGCGGTGAACAAAACTGGTTCTTATAGGATTTTATTTACTTTGGGCTTATTAGAATCCGAGTTCGCCCGAGGATTATTGAAATGATAAGCGGGGATTTAAACATTCATTAATGGTGATACCCCTCACCTCATTCGATCAGGGTCTAGGGAATTGTGCACTTTTATGCTGGAATTTTAAAAACAGAAAGTAATTCTGTAGTCTTTAAAATACTGAGAGAAATTTGGAAGATCAGCAAGAAAGAAAGAAATGTGACACACGCCAAATTTCCAAAGCACCCCCCGACAACAAATTCTTCATCACAGTACTCAGTAGAAACGTCCGCAGAGCTCAGCAATTTTTATAATTCTTAGTCACTGGAGACGTAGAATTAGACTTTGATACATTCCCTGGGGGACTGTTTCAGAGAAATTCCGCAACGTCTTGTTCTTCGTTTGTCACCCATAACCGCTTAAGTGCTGGAATTTTCTTGGGAGGATATGGATCCCTTCGTTGGCACTACACACCTCGATATTTAATAGCCAATTTCCATGTTCTTCTGAAACAGTAGTCCGAGATTTCATTCAAATTCTCGGAAGTTAAACTTTGATGAAAGGCAATGACAAGATAAGTATTCTGGGTTCGAATTCAATCCCGATTCAATGTTACCTAGTCAACTTTATGCTTTCTCCACGTCAAGAAAACAACATAAAATTCTTCTTCCGTCTTTGGGTCAAACCGAAGTTGGCTAGGGCCAGTACCATCACCAGTTTTCAAGGCAGACTGAAGATCAAACGGCTTCAAAGTCGGAACCACATGCGTATGTTTTAGCTCCTGAGTAGTACTAGACTCTGGCTCAGAGTCCCCACCAATAACTTGTGGAGGAGAGAGTCTATTCTCCTTCAGGTCCCCCTCCTTCGCTCCAATCCAGCTGTATGAACTCCGGGAGTTGGGATCAGCAACCAGATACACTGATTCCTCGACCTTCATAGGAAACTTCCAACCCAAAGCTCGTTCCACAATACCGTCCAGCTGCTCCCGCTTCCGCATAATAGTCTCAAATTCAATAACCACTTCCTCGAGTGATTGGATGAGAGAAAATTGATTCCCCCACGCAAACTCTGATCTCGGTCCAACAGGGCCATCCATCTCGTGAGCGCGGGTCCTTCCACATCGAAACGGATTCATACCCAGAGGATCATCGTTCTCCCAGTACCACCAATCCGTATGCCGAAATGTGAAAGTGATCTTCTTCGGTAAAACCCTGCATTTCCCAGGGGCAACCGGCCCAGACTCATTCAAATCAATTCCCGCCCATGCACGAGACCAACCCGGGTGATCTTCCAGAAAATACTGCTGGACAAAGAAATGGATATGTTGCACCTGATACCGCTGTTTGAGGGTCATCCTGCGAAAATATTTATGTGGCAGAGATGCATCATTCACATGTGGTGGAGCACGATAGAACCAGAATGTATGCTCATTAATTGCGATTGGGAGGAGAGATGCCTCGTCGTATATCTGCTGGCATGTTTGAAGGAGCGCGGTTTGCATACGCTTGGGCTGCTTGTAACCTGGTCGATAATAAAACGTGTTTCGAGGGTAGAGAGCATCAGAATTTTCGTTTGTGGAGTAGTCATCTGATTCGAGAGCTAGGGCATAAATGTGGTTGCGGATCTCTGCGGGGAGGAGAGAAAATAGCGGACATGAGGTTTGTGAGATGGCCTCAAGCGACGGAACGAGTTGGGGCAACTTTTTGTCCAGTATCACTGTTTGTGGCATCGGCCTAACCCTTAAACCCCTACGGCGATTTCTCAGATGAATCGGCACTGTATGTTCGGCCATTTTGTGATTAAAATGTTGGGAATGACGATTAAACTGATGTTTTGGATTGGGGTTCGGCCCCCAATACCCAAGGCTCGACTGATGCCTAGAATAGCTTAGCACGTGACACTTGTATAAATCTAGGTAATTTTAGTTGCAGTTGCCTGTTAAGTCCTTTGTTTTGGAGCTGCAGTGAAGTAGTCACATGTTCCATGACAGAAACGTGACTCATCCAAATCTCCCAAATCTCCAAAGATACATGAAGCTCATCAACCAATCATAAACGGTAAATCATGAGAACCCCTCAAAGTGTCATTGGCGTTGATTCGCTCTGACTTCTTGCTCAAACATGTTTCTTTTCTCTATTCCCGTCTCTAGCGAAATCTTTATCACTTGAAGGTCACCCTTGTATCCCTGCTCATTACTAACCAAGCTTTTTCTCTAATGAACGCTTTTTGGCACACAAATGCGGTGATACAATGCTTTATTTCAAGGACTTACTAAAAGACCCAAAAATGGATTGATGTCGATAGCTTCCTTTCCTCGTGAAATCTGTCTCGGTTACTACACGAGCCTAACTCGCTTGCTATCTTGGATTCCTCTATTCCGTCAATACTCTTTCCATTTCCTGTAGTGATGTCAGGGAGCGGACCGGTCCACAAAATTGGAAATCAACAATGGAGAAAGAGAAGGGTATGAAACCCAGATCCAACGTAGGCGCTAAGCTGTGGGCTGGTTTTATAATACAACTTACAATACGATATGTAGTGACTGTATGAAATACCAAGACCAAACATTGAAACATTAAGTTGGATAGACAAAGATAAAGACAGACAAAGACAGGTCTCATATGAACTCCGTTCTTATTTGAATATGCATAACAACCATTGTACAATTCTCTTCAATGACGTTGAATGGGTTCTAATCTGGGATCAATAAACATTAAAGATCTCGAGAGACATGTCGTTCTTTGTGAGTCCATATTTGAAGACACATTGTCTTTGTCGGACTCTTTGTGCTGTACCTTTACAATGCCTTTTGTATAGCACCTACCCTTTGTTCCAACATCCCTTTGACAGCTGTAGACAGGACTCGACTTGCAGTATTTAATGACCTTCAAATTACCACATTTCAACTTCATCATCACAACTTTCATATATTCGACAATCCAAACAGACCTTTTCTTCTATCATTATATTCATCTCTATCAGTGCCTCCATTTAAAATGTTCATTGAATACGGTGAGTTTGAATCCAAGGGAAGTGCTTTGCAGCGACAGATGGAGAACACTGAAGAGCCAGGATGCCTTATCCCCAGAAGTACAGCTACCCGCCTGGGTGACCTTAGCCAAGAGGAATGGAAGGTCATTGCCAAGAAAGAATGCCTACCTTCGGAGTTCGTATCCTGCTTTCATCTTCTTGGTCTTCCCGCGGACACTAATCCCGACGAAGAAAGCTCCCCATACCGATGTGTCTACATCGTCAGGCGTGAATTCCCAGCCATGAGCTGGGTCGGCCGAGTCGGAGAAGGCGTCATCTTACTTGATTGTATAAAGAGATCGAATGGTAACCGATACCATATGAGTGACCTGACCAAGCTTGCTTATGAAAGATACTTTCCCCTTGACACCCTAAGGTTTGTGATTGCGGCTTGTGTTGTTAATACTGATAGTACTATGACTTTATTCGAGATCTACCGGTCCCGTGGTATTTACTATTTGGACAATGATGAGTACACATGGGAGTCTTCTGCGGCTGAGTTCAGAGCTTTGCTTGGCTGTGGTATTGGTAAGTGCGTCACCAATTTTATCCTAGCTGCTTATGGTCAAGGTGTCAAGCGTATATCACGGATTGTCACTTGGAGAGAGAGGGGAGAGTTGGAGATGTTGTTCGCCATTGAGAATGTTGTTTAAGGCTGATTCTTAGGGCATCCATTGTAGCTATGAAGATACACTGTCGAATTCAAAATGTCAAATTCCAACATCTCATAATTAACAAAACTAATCTCTGTAGCTCAACACTATTCATAGAATTCGTAAATCATTCATGTCATATATTCTATGGAAAGTGTCAAAAATAACAGGTTTTTGATATACAGAAGTGAATAGAAAAATTATTTCATGTACGGGACTGAAGAGCACGCAGTGGGATGATAGGGAGACGGTTCAATATTTACGGGCATTATTTGATATTGCGGGATTGCCTAGTTTTGATAGTGCAGAGAGATGTCCGCCTCTTCTAGATGAAAAGACAAGACGGGCGATTCGAAATATCAAGATACACCCTGAGCCTGAGACGAAAAAGGAGGATTGGTGTGTGACTTTTGGCTCGGCAGAGGTCAAAAATGGACTTCACTTTATTTAATCTATTCTGGTCCTATCAGATTGGGATATTAGCCCCTATGCTGCGCCAAAAGTCGCATCGTTTCTTCAATTCAACCAAACGGACGTTCTCGAATCCATGATCAACAATGACGAATTCTTCCCCCGTTTCCTGTAGCTCTGGTACACCGGGCTCGGAGGAGTTTGTCAATTTGTGCGCGTTTGGGTCACCGGTTTGGAAGAAACTAGCGAATGCGCCAGCGTAACCCTCGTAGACCACTCGATTTGTCTTTTGAACCGCATTGACGGAGTTCCACTATTTCATTGTTAGCAAAATGCTCTTCTTGGTTGCACATTATTCGAAAAACGAACATAAATAGTATCACTCCCATGTGTTGCTGGGGAAATCGTGTATTCGCCAACATATCCCTTTCTCGGTGCAGACGAAGCGACCCAATATGCTGGACATGAGAGCACCACATCCCGATAGATGAGCCCAGCGCGAAGATAAGTAGTATTATACTCTGAAATAGTCTCAGAACTGCCAATGACCGGATAATATGTATCCTCAACAGCTTTGATCTGCTTCGCCGACAAACCAGGTAGAAATCCAGTCAACCACTGATGAAAACTGGCCTGAGACGAGTTGTATCCACCCGTCAAAGCAGCATCGGCCAGCCCCGGAGGAATGAAATTCTGTCCCTCATGCGTGTTGTACATTCCCCAGATGAACTCCGTGTCCAAATCGCCTTTCTCCACAGCCTCGGTAAGGGTATCAGCAAGGAACTCGCCATCGATGACAGGCGCCCAAGTATAAGAGCTGGTGGTATAGGTACTATCAGCATCGATGATGAGACTCGCATTCCTGATAGTCTGCACATCAACGGATTTCAAACAAGCGAGCGTTTCATGGTCGTGATCGTATCCAGCACAGCCGGTCAAATTGGCCAATTGGTCGTAGATTGTCTCAGCCTGGGGTGCATCGTAAGCGTACGACTTGGGCCAGAAAGGCGAGCTAGCAATAGCCTTGGAAAAGAGCTTAGGCTGTCCATTTCGACCATTTGCCAGAATCTGAGCTACCACTGAGCCTCCGCCAGCAGATTGGCCCCAGATGCTGACGTTCTTCGGGTTCCCGCCAAACTGGTCGATGTGGCTCTGCACCCACTTCAGCACATATTGTTGATCCAAGAGTCCAGCATTGAGATCCGAGGTCAAGGAATTTTTGATCGCTTTGCCGGGCAGGAATCCAAATGCATTCGTGCGGTAGTTTGGGTAGATCACTATATAATCATTCAGAGCGCTGGCGTTGAGAACAGGGTATGAATTAGGCGGGATGCCGAAAGATGCACTGCCTTCGATGAAAGCTCCTCCGTAAAACACGACAAGAACAGGTCTTTTCACCTGTTGTGACAGATTCCATGGACGAGAGAAGAGTCCCAGGTATAAACAGTCCTCAGAGCCGTTCACCGTGCGCTGGGGGCACATGTCGAATGCCTGATCCGTATCATAGACGCTTTCGTTGATCTTGAGAGGCGGCTGAGGGCCACGAAAGCGGTTTTGAGCCGTTGGAGGTGCTGCAAATGGGATCTTGCGAAAGTATGAGAGGTTGTAGGTCGTGTCGTATTTTCCCTGAAAGCTGCCATAGTCAAGGTGTACCAGTGGGTCGTCGTATGCGCTCGCCACGGCTAGCAGAGCCAAGATTTGAAGAATGAAAGGTATCGAGTACCCCATTGTAAGCAATAAAAGGTCACAACTGTTTGCAAATTATTTGATGTCGAGATGATGTACAGAAGTAATTCGCGAAGGCTATATATGCCTTGTTTTGGAAACCACGGCCCAGAAAAGCTGGGTTTCCTCGGAGCAAAGCCCGCGTAGGTGCGCATGGGGTCTCGCGCGGATCATCTCGAAATAGCATAAGTAATGAATATTGTATTGACAAGCAATAGCGTCCTGTTCCTTATTGGTGCAGTTATTGTTTACGGAGCCCTAGAAGTCGCGGGGCCGAGATGCGGGGATGCATGAATGGCTGCTACTTCGGTGTCGATCAACCCGGTGAAAGTCCACGAAGACCAAATTTTCCTTAAACCAATGAAGGCATTATTCATGTTTGTAGTAAATATTTTTGTTTCAAACAAGTCGACTCCAACGACTCCAAATGCCTATGATCCTATCCAACACAAGTCCGAAATGCTCCAAGAACCAGGCCCTCAAACACCAAGTTCGATGCTTAATAAAAGAAATGTTACAAATGCCAACTTCTCAAGTCATTTCCTCTCGTACATTTAATGCTCTTTACATCGTCAACCGCAATTCTCGGGTTAGGCGGCGGCTCGCACGGGTGTTGCGACGAGGCTCGAGAGCCTCACTAGCCTCTGTCTCGGTGCGAGTATCCGAGAGTTCAGGAGTTGGGGTGATACCAAAGCTGATGCCTCGGTCACGGCGTGACACGCGAGCCTCGGACTCTGGGGAGATGAAACGATGAATTGTTCGGTGATCCATAACCCGGTCTTCGCCATCGTTCCCTTTGTCCGTCTTTGGCCACTGAAATCCATATAGTTTGGAATGTCGCTCACAGCGAGGACACTCACGGCGGGTCTGGTATGAGTTGGATTGGACAAACCATGAATCGCATGTTAAGCATTCCACCCAGCGGTCGTATTTCTGGGCGAGGAGTCGTGAAGTTTTAGTATAGTCGCCGGGAGCTCGCACGATGGGCGTCTTGTCCTCGACGGAAGCGATGATCTTCCATTTGCGGCGGGTTCGGCGAACCTTGGGCTTGTCGGTAACATTTGCAAGGGTCTCGTCAGGCTCAATAGATTGAGATACGTCCGACGCCAAGTCGGGGTCATCATTGCTCAAGGTTCGAGTAATATCTGGCTGGTCTGTAGGAGTTTCGGAAGTATCCTGGTCAGTCTCAAGACAATCAATCCGGGCCTTTAGACCTGGTTCGATCACCGAAGTAGCAGCACTCGATCTGGATGACCTGTGGGATTCCCCTGTAGCAGATCCAGGGGATTCACAATCGACGGAGGATATTGTGGTCACAATAGTGGTCTCGATAGACTCGATAGGCGCAGCCTGGCTAGTAATCACCGGGAAACCAGACTGGTCAGATCCCAAGATAGTTTGTACTGATTCGGAGATGTTATCGACAATCAACTCTTGTCTCAGCTTAGACTTTCGGTTTCCAATGGGAGTCACGACGATAGAGGAATCGAAATCAGAGCCAGGTGTAGAAGGAAGGTCAGTCTCCGGAGTCGCGGTGATCTCCGTGAGAGAGATTTCTTCCCGGAGCTTGGAGATTTGACGCCGGAATTTGGCCTTCTTGCGTGGAGAAGAAGATATTGTGGGTGGTGTATCTTCCACATCCAAGTCAGAATCACGACGGCGTTTTTTGCTGGGAATTTCTGTGGCCTCTTCATCCATCGAGACGGGGGTCGACTCCTTGCTGTTCGTATCCGAATCGTCCTGTGGTTGTGGCGCCCAACCGTTACGGGCGCCACGTTCACAAGTCAAGCACAAACATTCACAATTATCGATACCAAAATAATCCTCTCCATATGAAACAGTAATTTCTTCTCCCTCGTAGATATTGCGCGTAGCCATCACAGACATACCCTCTGTGCCCCGAGTCACCAAGCGACCATTAGCATCACAGTCGTGGTTGGCAAAGCGAGCGGGTCCGAGGAAAAATGAGGGAGTCTTCCGCCGACTGGACATCACCACACTGAAATCCTTCCGCGTCAAGCCAAGATCCAGTTCTTCCTCTTTGGTCATAGATACAAGAGTTCCACTCAGAAACTTGATCTCTTGACCCGATTTAATGAACTTGCGGGCGCATATAGCGGCTTCGTGTTGTGTGATGATATACCGGTTGGTCGTGGTAACCTCGAACGGACAGTCCGGGTGGTACATCTGCACGTACTTTCGGAGATGGCGACGAAACCACTCTTTCTCGCGAGGACTAGGCAGATTTGCCATGTACTTCCTCAGCCCTGGCAATTCCAACAACTTGCGTTCACCTTGTGGGACGTCCTTGGCAACAACCACATCGTGAAGGAGGATGCGCCCTACATCGTCATCGTGGATCCCGCGGGCAGGGCTATATTTAGTGCGATTCTTGCGCGTAGTGGTCCAGAAATAAGCCTATTCATAGAGCCAGTCAGCGGATGAATTCCAGGTGCAGATAGGACACGAGAAGCCTACATGATCGACTAGCGCATCCGTTGCGACATCGTCATAGCTGGCCAGTTTTGCCAATGTCAGGCGTTCACGGCGCTCGCTTGCAGGAGATATAGAGCGAGACTTCTTGGGTGGCATATTGGATGTGATAGTGACCGGTTGAGAGACTTGGGTAAGGAGGAATGCCTAGGCAGGAGATGTAGGGCGATTTGCGCGGTTTCTGGAGTCCGGAGAACGCGGCAGTCCGCAAGGAGGGGTGTAGTGAGTGAGAAGAGGATTTAATAAGGAATTATCGTAAAGGAGTGAAAACACGAGAGATGAAGACAATATCACAGCCCCAGCATGGCGAAGGAAATATTCATGGGGGCGCCAATGGCTGAATGGGCTATGGTCGTCGCAAATCCAAGGGGAAAACCAACTTAGCCCGCGTTCCAGGATCTCGGGCCGTTCTCGCCGCTTTTACCCATATGCTTGTAGACATCAGTTAACATTGAATAGAACTTGCCTGGTGATTTAAATTGAAGTCTATTGTATTTTCGAAAATTAACCGAATTTGACATTGTGTTTATCACTTTGAAAGGTGGCGCATCTCCGTTAGGTCAGCTTTAAGACATGGGGTTCGTACATACATTCCAGTCCTCGAAGCTACCCTACCTCATAGGTCTTGGGTCAACTGATTATATGAAATTGATAATGCTATTTGCTTACACTATTTAGTTGTGTAGAGTATCCTGTCATCGACTAAAAACATGAATTCCGACTTGGTTATAATGCAATGCACAACCCTCAAAGGAGACTTGCGGCGCTTACGATTATGTATATATAGCACGAGTGTCCAACATAATTTAATAACATGTAACTTGTACATAAGTACTCACGGATTAGAACAGTCGAGCCCTGTACTACATGACATTTCTGTCAACACCATTTATAATAAATAACATAGCAAATCAATTCGTGAATGGCCTTATGATAGACACCTGGAGTATAAATGGCAGCCGGAGAAACTGTCCATTCGGGGAAACCACCATCCGATCCCCCGATCAAATTATGGCTGATGCGACTCCGCGAATAATTACCCTTTTTGAATACGCCCAACATGATCCAACTAAAGGTGAGAACCACCTCAAAGTCGTCAAAATACACCAATGGCTAACAGCCACCACACAGACATTACTAAATTGCATCGACAACTCCGGCGCCTCGGTCGTCGAGTGCGTCAACGTCCTCAAGAAGAAGCGGCCCGCGACTATCGGTCAGTTCCAGACCCCGAACCCTGAATACACGAATTGAGATGGATACCTTTGAAGAAAGGGTTATCTGAATCTTCGAAGCTAATACCGCTGGTTTTTAGGTGATCGGATAGTCGTCGTTGTCCAGAAACAGAGAGCTGCTGGGTCCGAGGGATCTGGTACCGCTCTTGCGAACAAGGTCCGCCGTGGTGATATTCGTCATGCCGTTGTGGTCCGTGTGAAGAAGGAAAGACAGCGGATGGATGGGACTGTGGTGCGGTTCGGTGATAACGCCTGTGTGCTAGTGAACAAGGCCGGAGATCCGATCGGGACAAGAATGAATGGTGAGTAGTTGGACTATCATGCTGTGCTCGGATGACTTTGCAGATGCTAATCCTATTGTAGGTGTTGTTGGACAAGAACTGCGTGATAAGCAGTGGTCTAAGATTTTGTCGTTGGCCCCGGTGCACGTGTAATACTACAGCTATCTGATTTTCGTTTGGGAAAGCGTTGTTTGGAAAGTATATTTTTGTATCAATAGAAATCTTCTCCGTCACAAAACCATTGAGCATATACACCAAGGGTTCCTCGCTAAACTCCTGAGCATGCTGAAGTCGCAAATAAAAAAAAAGACCGTGAAAGGGTATCCGGGGGAATTGGGACGCGTCGTAAAGGGTCATCACATGAAAACGTTACCACAGGCGCAGCACACGTAGTAGAGTTTCTAACAAAAGAGTTGGCTTATGATCGTCGCGCCGAGGGTGATCGGGATATGCAGGAAAGTAAGAAACAAAACTCCAGGGATGCTCACCATTCCAGTCTCAGCGGACCTTTGTTGGGACTGGAAGAACACAGCCTCGTTCTCACCACAACTGGGACATAACTTGTTCGCGCGGGGGAGCTGTCGGGAGAACAGGATAGAGTCAGCCTGATGGAATCCTAAGAATGGGTGGAACTGGAGCCAGGACTTGAATTGCAATAGCTCGCAAAGCTCCATTCAGTGCTATCATCGTCCTCTTCCAAATGCGATTCGGGCAGCTCGCAGCAAAGATGGCAAGTGAGTTCATCACCGCAAAGGTGACAAAAGCTGTTGATAGAAAGGAATCCAGGGAAACGAACCGTGGGATCGGAGCCCACATCCTGGGTGACACCGGCGGTATCACCCACTTGGCTGTTGAGCTTGTTCTGGTAGACACAGTGAGAGGTGGCGGGTTCGCCGACATGGCAGGTACGGCACGTGAACATCAGTTGGTTGGTGGCGCGATCTTCCTTAGGGTAAAGCAAGTTCGAGCTAGCAAATGGATCAGTATTTGTTTTACTTGACAATAAGAAGTTGACAGGATTGGAGTACGACTTACCACTCGCGACAGAATCGGAAATGAATCTGATCGGGCTTGGCGTCACCGCCGGCAGCTGGGGAAGGACTGGCAGACATGGAGGAGAGTGATATAGCGTAATACTGAATGAACGTGTATGGGTATTTGAAGCAAAATCAAAAGCAGACTTTCAAACAGTGAATGGTGAAATATGTAGGGAAGTGAGAGATAGGATTGGGATTCAAGATTGGCAGAAACCATGCATATTTGCACTGTTTGCACCGTATCTTTCTCCCCCGCAATTTGGTTAATTTACTACCTTTTGTCCCGCATTTTCAAGCTTGCTTAACCGGATTCAAAGATCACAACCTTCATTCTTATTTATTCACTATGGTAGAATCCCAAATTGAATCAAATACTCTAGGCACCATTTGCTAACTTCAATGCTTTTAAAGGCTGATACAGGATTGCCTGCAGGTTGGGAAGTTCGTCACTCCAACTCCAAGAACCTTCCCTACTACTTCCATCCCGATACCAAGGAATCTCGTTGGGAACCTCCTGCCGATACCGATACAGAGAAGCTCAAATTCTACATGGCACAAAATCACACCCCCGCTGCTCGCAGCGATGTCACCGGACAAGCTGAGGGCAAGATCCGTTGCAGCCACTTGTTGGTGAAGCACCGCGACAGCCGACGCCCCAGCAGCTGGCGAGAGGCTAATATCACCCGTACCAAGGAAGAAGCTATCCAGATTCTTGAGGGTCACCAGCAGCGCATTCAGTCTGGCGAAGCTACCCTTGGAGACATCGCTATCTCAGAATCTGATTGCAGCAGTGCCCGTAAGAAGGGTGACCTGTAAGTTTTGATTTTTTAGAGTGCTCCGCATGAGGCTAACAGCTTTCAGTGGTTTCTTTGGACCTGGTGAGATGCAGAAAGAGTTTGAGGATGCTGCGTTTGCTCTGTCGCCTGGTCAAGTCAGCGGCATTGTCGAGACTGCCTCCGGTGTCCACCTCATCCAACGGTATGCAGTACCAACCCCAGACCGAGCTAATATATTTGCTGACCATGTGTGAAATAGGGTACAGTAATCCAATCACCGTCTAGTCGATTGGCCCAGTCCAAAGATTTGGTGCTTCATGTTTGTTATTCATGCGTTGATGATACTCTCGGGATGAAGAAATGAAATCCACGATCCATTCCACTTCATATGCGATCTCGATTTTGGTGGGAGCTATGTTTTCTGCGTTTTAAAAAGCACTCGATAGCTTTCTACAATCCAATGTTTCGGAGATAGAGATGGGCACTGGTATCCAATTAAACAATTAAAATCATTGATGAACATTGTACATCCATGCTGATCTCAAAGTCCTTTGAGTCAGACCTCGACTGATCTACCCAAATGCACGCTGTTCTTTACCTTGCATTTCAGACAAAGGATCTCATTTGTTCAAGTTCAATCACGACCAATGCTTTGTTCAATTCTTTGTTAACCTGGACGATGCTGACACCCCTCTACTAATCCAGTCAAAACAAAGCAGATCGCCAGGTGTGAGAGATACACAAAAAGAACAATGAATTTCATCGCCAAGCATATCTGCGTCAATCAATCAATATATCTTCAAAATTCCCAACGTCCCCATGGTTGATAGCCATAAAGGATTCACGACAACTCCATGCAATGTGTATTACATGGACTCGGAAGTACACGCTATGTGGCTGCATCTTGGTCGAAGAAGATATTCTCTGTGAAGCGGACCAAATATGCTTCGGCCGACGGATGGTTATCATCCACTCACATCTACAGACGTGCAAGGAATGCTGGAAGAGTGGAGACAAGAGAGTTAACGAGACTGTTGCCAAGGTGTTCATCTATGCCGAGACAAAAAACCAACAGGAACGCAAAGGAGATTCTAGCCAAGACAACGGGGTTAATGATGAGACTCCATCATGCAACAGTGAGCGAGAGAATACACACGATCTCGCCTCTAGCGTCATCGGACACTCCAGGGAAACATACAAAGAAGAAAGCAGCGACAAAAAAGAAGCACCTGAGATATCTATAATATGCGCTTGCAAAGTAGCCCCAATACATCCAAGCCAACCCTACAATGAAGACGAAGAAGGCCAAGTGCCAGATATGGAAGACTGCACTGAAGGTGACATTAGACTCACAAATCCATCCCGGCCACAAACACCCATGATCGATTACGATCTAGACCCGGACAATCTTCCCTGGTATCTTCTGCATTATGAATACTACTGTGAGACATCCAGGACTTGCGACCCAGTGAAGCTTTCGTCTATGTGGAAAGATTATCGGACGACGCGGGAGAAGAGTAACTGGGTTTATCTCGAACCTGAGATATCGAATGGGGAGTATGAATGTGATGGCGGATATTACGAGGATCGCGAAGATAGATCACCCTGGTGGTGGTGGAAAAGGGATAGTGATTATTAGGAAGTTGATGAGGTAGGGTTCTACTATACCTCCTATCCCGTTTATCCACCCTTTCTCCCAATTGGTCTCTTACCTGATTTCCTATTCAGTCTCACTCCATTTCACGGGGGCTACAGGTTTGGAACATCGATCCCAATTTACTAAGTACTCAATTTTGAAGAGGTGGATGTTTCTAGTAGAAACTTAATCAAGGTTGAATAACTGGTTGTGCTTAAAATCGTATGAAATTCGGCTGTAACGTGTCCATTGACCTAGAGGGAGGTGTTGAGACGTCCCAGACGAGAAGTGATAGCATCGATAACCGCAGATCTAAGAAATTTGTTAGCTTGCAGTTGCAAAGGGTCAGGGAGAAATCAACTCACTCTCGTTCAACCATCCTCATAGCTTCGGTGACCCGCTGGCGCTGCAGGCGTTGCGGTACCATAGGCTGAGAGGCTCCAGTAGAAGAATCTCCAAGGTCTGGGGAGACAGGAGCCCTGGCAGCAATCGATTTGCTCTCTGACATGAGGTCAAGGGCAAGTTGTTTGACCTAGAATATTGTTAGTTGATATAATTTGGTTACTGAAGGGGGAAATCTCACCGTCTCCAGCCGCGCGGCAAGTTGCTGCTTTTCATCGTCGTCCTTATTCTCAAGCGATTCAGACAAAGCGTTGACTTCCATGGCCCAGGCTGTCTCCTTCTCACTCAGAGGACGTCCACCTGAATTGAGAACCTTCTTGCGTAACGCATCATAACGCTGTACAAGCTGGAGTTGCCTGTCCTTTGCATTTTGCAGTCGCGTATCAATGGCTTCACCTCTTCCAGTGCCTTCCTTGTGTCCACCGTCTTCACTCATCTTGCTTGTCACTCCCTTGATTTGCTCCGCTACGGCAGAAATTTGTTTCAGCTGGTCCTGCATCTCCCCTTGCAACCGTTCACAGCGACGGAAAAGATCCGAGGCAGCTCTCTCGAGTCCATTGGTATAAGACGCAAGCTGGCGGTGGGCAGTAGCAACAAGATCCAAAGTTGCTGGCGACAGGCGCACCTGCTCCTTGAGGGTGTGCCGTTGCCGGTGAGGCACTTGCGTATCGACAAAGGATTCCATAGGGGAGGCCGCGTAGAAAATAGCCGGAACTTGATATGGAGCTCGTTGAGGTAATGCAACAGGAGACCCAGGAACACTTGTTCTCTGTTCCAAACGAGAATCCATCGCGGCAGAGAAAGAGTCTTCTGGAGCGTCCATGATAGCGGAGTACGGGGTTGAAGCGTGATAGGTGAGTAAAAGATAGCCGAGGTCAAAATCATAGAAAACCACAGAGCCAGCAAGGTGTGCGCCCTGGGGTGGGATGTCAACATCCGAAACCTGCAAGATTCGCTCTCTGTGGGCGACATTTCCGCTGCATAGAACTTGCAGGCGGAAACCAGAGCCCGATGGATCCTCTGCCTGCAATTCGGCCTCAAGTCTCTGCACCCAGGAAGACATGGAGAAAGATACCACGTTTGTAGCAGTAGTTACGAAGAAGGAGTAGCGTGAGTGAATATCTCGGGTGAAGACTGGCCATGCTACCGACTCGATCCCTGTGGTTTTGATGGTGTCAAGTGATTCCACCAAGACGAGATCGGAGGGGTCTGAGAGAGGAGTTCGGAATGTGTTATTTTTAGCTTTAGGAAGCCACTGGCCCTCGACGCCATCAAGCTCCAGGCAAATGTTGACACGGCCATTCCCGCTCGACAGGCAAATGACAGTTGCTGAGAGCTTGTCTTTCTCAGTGGCTTCGACAGCAAGCTCCTCATCTTCGCCCATCATGAGGTCTTCAACATTGAGTCGGGCCGCAATGACGAGGATGTCACAGAGATCGAGATCATCTAAGTCGTCCCCGATGTCATAACGGAACGGGCCTTGCAAACGTGGAATAGCGCTTGGAACTGACGGACGGGTAAAGACATCTGCACCCTGTATGTTGCCAGCCTCCAATGGAGCGTCCAAAGGTTCTTGCTCATCGATCTCTCGCAGCCAGTCATATTGTTGCCGGCACGCGATCAATTGCTCCTCAAGATCCTCAGGGGCCTCTTCGAGAGCTGCCAACTTCGGAACAATAGCCGAAGAAAGCGAGGGAATGGTTGTAGACGGGGCCTGCCATTTAGATGGCAGCAAAGGGCAAAGAGCATAAAGATCACCTGGTCGCATAGCAACCCAGAGAGTCATAGGCGCCCAAGCATCCTCTCTCTCATTTCCAGTGCCCGCGAAACAGGCAGAAGCAACCTCCATATCAATGATATCGGCGGAGAAGCCCTTGTTTTTACCGAATCCTGAGGGTGCGAAATCCTGGTCCGACGAGGTCCCGTCAACCAGCTTCCTCAGATCTACTGCCAGGGTAGGCTGGTCAAAAGACCAGTGATTGTTCCGGTCCAACTCCCACACACGCACCGCTGCATCTGAGGTGACTGTCACGATACACCCACTCAAGTTGGTGTGGAGCCCAAGGGGATGCCATAGAGCAGATACCACTGGCGCTTCTGGAATGACGTGGGTGGTCGGGCCAAGCTGGTAAGTCTTTAAACGAATGGGTGACGTATCTGTGGAGGATAGATGTGAAGAATCAGGGAGGACAGAGATATGGACAGTATGCTCAGTGACGATTGCGAGGAACGCGCCATTCGGAGAGGGTAGGATTTGTTTAATGAGGCCGTAGACGGGTACCGCCAGAACCTGTGCTTGTTAGCTATGGGTTCTCACATGGGTATTCAAAGACAGATATCCTGAGAGAATCCATAGGAATACATACCCTGTAGGGTGGGATTTTAGTACCGTTTGCCTGCTCATTAATAGGGCCAGAAGAGCTCTTCTTCTGCCGAGCTTCTTGTTGCCATTGGTCTTTCAGTCGCGCAAGGTCCGACCATCGAATTTCATTATCGACAACGACAAATATCTCGTTTCCTCTCTTGGCGATTGTCCGAGTCGCTGAATCTGGTGTAACGGATTTTGATTCATTTCGGAGGGCCTGCGAAGGACCTTTGTTGGAGGCGCTGGTGAAAAGGCTGGCGCCAGGCGAGGGCCGGCATAGCCAGGCTGGCGCAAAACTAGTGACCTTTGGCATAGAGAAAGCTATTACCAAAAAATAGTAAAGTAGAATAAAAAGAGAAGATGAGAAGAAAGCTTAGAGCTTTCTCACCAAAAAAAGATGTTAAAGCGGAAGTGTTGATGCGGCGGGAATTTGGTCGCGCCAAGATCTTTGAGAAGCTCCGAAGCTCCCTTGTCCGCCTTTCGTGACTTAACTTTCATTCTCTCTCCCCCATCTCGAATCTCCATCAATCCCACTTTCACAATGAGTTTGTTGGAAATCAACACTGTTGATCGGCTAGACCGACCAAGTGCTTATTATGTTGGCAAGGTAAGTGAAGACTGAGGTCTTACAAGCTCTACAGGGTCTGCGCCTGGCAAATGATAAGCGTTAACCAATGAACCACGCAGAACAAACGCCGCAGAGATCGTGATGATGAAAGAGAGCAGGAAGACCCTACGGCCAAGCTGCGTAATGCGACAACACTTTATGTTGGTAACTTGTACGCGACCGGCTCTATTGGAATTGGCCGACATAACACTGACCGGAGAATAGATCCTTCTATACAACAGAGGAGCAGATCCATGAGCTCTTCTCCAAGTCAGTTTAGCAGGACCGCCATCACACCTATACAAGACTAATCTCGATGTTTAGATGCGGTGAAGTCAAACGGTTGGTAATGGGCCTTGACCGGTTCAATAAGACACCCTGCGGATTCTGCTTTGTCGAATACTACAACCACCAAGATGCTGTAGACTGTCTGAAATACATTGGCGGCACCAAGCTGGATGAACGAATTATTCGAACCGATCTGGACCCCGGATTTGAGGAGGGCCGACAATACGGGTTTGTGATCTGACGGAGCATGCCTCGAAGCACAAACTGATATGATTCTACAGACGCGGAAAATCAGGCGGCCAGGTCCGTGACGAGTACCGCGAGGAATACGATCCCGGCCGAGGTGGCTTTGGCCGTGCCTATGATGAGCAGCGTGCACGAGAGGAAGAAGAATATGGTGCGGGACGATAGGTATCTAACATGGACATGAAGCGTTGCGGGCAAAATGGCGTTATTTCCGAGGGTGTGAGATCGATTAGCAAACAAAAAACACCGGACACTTTCTATTCATATGATACTCTATTTACATGTCTTCCCAGCGTGATCTATAAGTTGGTCATTGCTTTCCCAGTTTGTTTCTTCTGTTAACTGCAGCTTGCACCTGCCGCAGCCACCATGCATGGATTCGAGCATCACCCGTCAGCTCTGGGTGGAAGCTGGTACCAAACACATTGCCCTGGCTCACAGCGATAACATCGCCGACTTCTTCATCAGGGCTTATGTTTCGGCTTTGTGTGGCGATGCGGGCTGCGGGCCCTGACAAGGTGGCCAGCACCTCGACGTTCTCTGCAGTTGCAGCTTCTGCCACTGCGTCTTTGGTCGATCTAGACGGGGCAACGACAGTGTCTTCCCGATCAACCTCCTCCACTTGGATGCCCTTCTGGTGTGGCAATATGCGTTCCACAATCGGTGCGCGAATAAAGACTGCGGGGAATGGTTCTGCGTTCTCGCCTAAGAATGGAAGGTCCAGTGGCGCCTGGAAGCTCTCTGCCTGTCGGCCAAAATGATTGCGGTCGACTCTGACGTCGAGGCCTCCGATGAGTTCTTGGCCACCTTTCTTGGTGCGATTTGCCGACTCGGCAAGCAAAATCAGGCCTGCGCAAGTGCCCCAGGTTGGCTTACGGTGGACCCTGTACAACCGTCGCATTAGTTGCCAAGCACATTCGTGGGGTCAATGCGATAAATGAACACTTACTTGACGAAATCTCTCAGTGGCTCCAGCAGGTTGGACCTGGCAGCAACCAGAGACATTGTGGTACTCTCGCCACCAGGCAAAACAAGCCCATCGCATCTGGCGAGCTCTTGTGATGTTCGCACTTCAATGAACTCCCACTCTGTGGAATCTTGCTTTACTGCCTCTTTTAAGAGATGGATATGCTCGATGAATGCGCCCTGCAAGGCAAGAACGCCAACTGTAATAGTCATTTCTGTAGTTGAGTTAAGTATCGACAAGAAAGTTGCCCCCTCGTGGCGATATGACTCTTCATGCACGTGATATTAACTTTCCGCGGGGAAATGGCTTATCGTCACGTGGATATATGTACCTGATAACCCGATAAGCTTATCCTGAAACACAGACATCAACACCTCATAGTGGGGTCCAGAGGGAGATCAGCTAATATTGCGAGATTGGTGGGGGCCGTAAATAAAAAAATACTTTTTCATCCATTTAACTCTTCTTATTCGAGGGAGACTCATTATGTTACCCAATGAAATCAGCCTGGAGGATGCTCGGCAGGACAATCTCAACATCGAGAATGTCCACTCTTCTTTAGCGGGCCTCCCAACTACAGCGCGTTGGTACATCGACATCCGAGATTGGGAATCCAATGGGAAGAACCTGCCGCTGTTGGAATTTCTCCGCCCTGACGAGCAGAAAGCCGTGACAAGGTACTACCATGCTCCGGACAAACGCATGTCTTTGGCCTCACACCTCCTCAAATATCTATTTATCCACCATGCTTGCGGTATCCCATGGAAACACATCATCCTCAGGCGCACAGAAATGCCTGAAAACCGACCATACTACAAGTCTTCCTCAGACACTCAAGTGGAATTCAACGTCACTCATCAGGCAGGGCTTACCATTCTCGCGGGAACTATTGCTCCAAGTCCCGAACAAATGCAAAACTACTCCATTGGACGAGACTTGCCTGCCCAGCCCCGGCTAGGTATTGATGTGACCTGTGTGAATGAGAACCGCCGCAAAATTATCAAGACCATGCCCGAGTACCTGGAACATGTATCCATTTTCGTCGATGTATTCTCAGACCGTGAGCTTGAGATCATGAGAAACCCTGCAGCCGCGCTCAACCAAGCTCGAGCACTTGGTCTTGCAAAGGCATTCGATGGATCCAATACCCAAGAAACGATCGTTCGATTCGGAATCCGTCTATTCTACTCATACTGGGCTCTCAAAGAAGCATACTTGAAAATGACCGGAGACGCCCTTCTCGCTCCATGGTTACGCACCCTTGAATTCTCAAACGTCATCCCTCCCGATCCTGTCGATCCTCTACAGGCCCCGAAACCATATGTCTCTCAACCTCCAAAATTCATACCGCAGTCGCCCAAGAACTGGGGTCCCCCATTTGCAGGTGTGAAAATCACGAAGGCTGGGAAATCGCTCGATGACGTTCGCCTTCAGCTTGTCGCATTCGAATCCGATTATATCGTTGCGGTTGCTGGTCGGGGTCTCCCGGTTGGTGTTTTCTCGGACATGAAGTGTAATGAGGGCCTGCATCATCTACCTGCCCAGATCACTCTGCTTTCTGGAGATACGAGGGAAGAGTGTTGTATTCCACTCAGTACCAAGAAAGTTATTGGAGATATGGATCCGTGGAATATTCCATCGGTGATCACGGATCCCTGGCTCCCAATGCAGGAGGTTGATGTTGATAATGATATTCGGGCATGTGCTGAGGGCCGATGTGTTCATCCTGAGAACCAAAAGGCTGTTTTTTCGGGTGTCATTATACGCGATTCGGTGTACATGTAGAATGCCTAGGTATCAAGCCTATATGTAGGTGGCAATTATGACTTCTTATAGACATGATCAACGTTGAGGATACCTATTGGACTCTGTTTGAGGGCTGGCATTTTTCAAAATTTGATGCATTAAATTCCCGGTTGACATGTGCTTAGGTGTATATAACTCATGTCATTATTAAATTCAAGACAAGAAAATACTAAGGTTGGCAGGTCATTGAATCTTTGAAAAAAGTTCATGATAAATATATATACAGTTGAAGGTGAGCTGAAAAGCAAGGAAGGGTGACGAATTTTGCATAATAATGGCCTCGAAAGTAGCGATACCGAAAACGAGGTAGCAAAAAGTAGTTTTTCTAAGACGCTGAAAACAAGCAATTCGTGATATTTCCCATCATCAGATAACGGGGCTAGCGCTCTTCTATCTACAGCAACCTGCGCCTGAAAGACAAAGGGTATGTGCCGAACAAGCAAATGTATATACAGCAACAAGGGTTAGAGGGCTGCTCTGTTGAGACTGCAGTTTCATGAAGGCGGTATTTTGGGAGTGGCCATCAAGCAAGACTTGAGTCGGTACACAGAGCCTTGTCTGTGGGTTCCATGTGTTTCTGACTATCCGTGACCATGATATAGCGTTCAAATCTCAATGGCAGTCGACACGCCGTTGGCCTGTGACTCAACCTTGTTTTGTTGGGGTTGTGCCATTTCCAGAATGGTTGTCAGCATGGAGTCGCGTGTCAACTGAGTGAGGTGATCAACGTCCACGGAGGTCATGTTCTTGGTCTCAATTGGAGGCAGGACTTTGATTAATGTAAGTAGGGGGTTCATATGAATATCTGTATTTGCAGAAACTAACCTTTCACCTTGATGGTTCCCGCATTGAACCGCCAGGCACGAGGGGACATGATATGGGCGTAGTTCTCCGTAACAACCGGCACGATAGGCACACCAGCCCTGATGGCAAGGTGGAAGGCACCCTTCTTGAATGGCAGTAGCATAGCCTCATCAGAGTAACTCCGGGTGCCTTCGGCGAAAATGAACACACTTTGGCGGTGGGCTTTCATCTCATCCACGGCACCATCGAAAGCCTTCATAGCAGTTTCGCGGTTCGCACGATCAATGAACACAGTACGAGAGAGCCACATGAACCAGCCGAGGAAGGGAATGTTGCGCAGGGACTTCTTGGCCGTGACACTGCAGTAGGGCGGGAAGACATTACCGAGCATGAGAACATCCAACTCGGTCTGGTGATTACCAACAAAGACGGCCGGGCGAGTGGAAAGGTACTCCTCGCCTTCGACAATATCGAAGCAGACACCAGTGGTGAAGCGCATCAGCCACTTGAAGCAGCGGGCGGTGGCCCATTGGGAAATTCGGCCGTAGCCTGCGAGACGGAGGCCGATGGATGCGATGACTCCATAGGCTGCACTTATGAGGAGGGTGCCGTATGCGGCGAGACAGCGAGCGATAAATGCTGCGCGAGGCACCTTCTGGCCAAGGGCAAAGAGCGAGAGTGTCACCGCCACGAACGAGCTGATGCCCGACACGATGTAGGAACTGATCGACATAGCGGTGGGATTGATGCGCCAAACTGTTGGGGGAGAGTTGGTGGTTAGCTCCGGGGGTTTCAAGAGAAAGCCTTTGGCCTCCAAACTGTTGGAAATAACTACCTGGTTCACTGAAATGTGGTCTCGACCAAGAAGAATGTCAAAGAAAAGAGATCCCAAGGAACGAGAGCCATGTTGCGGGACTGCGGAGGTGGATACTGCTTTTTTTGCCCTGCGCCGACTCACCGCCAGCTGGTGGCAGATGACGGCATCACGCAGAATATATACATTCCACATGTTTAATGTACTTTAGGCTAATTACCCCCTTGGAGTATGTGAAAAGTCTGCTATACTAATTCGAAAACAATAGAAAATGCTAAAAATGCATTGCGCTATGCCATCATCAGGTTCACCATGATGCCCAAACTTCACTAATGTACAAAACACCATGAATGCCGGGTGTCTAGACCTGGAAAAAAAACTCCCCAGTGATGCTGTGTAGAAAACTTGTTCCGGAAACGCCGAGCTTGTAAGACAAGATCCTCCCAAGTCAAATGTAAAAGTCCAAAAAGCCGCGGAGCCTAGAAACATCACAGGCCTATGCCATATCGTCATCCTCCATGTCATCATCACTTAATGATTCCATTGCATCCTTGATGAACTGTGCAGCCTGTATACAAGTTAAAAAATGAGTGCATTTAGAGGGGGTATCAGGATAACTTGCCTTCGGGTCTAAGTTCAAGGCTGTTGTGAAGTGCTTGATCGCATTGGCCTTGTCATGGATGATTTTGTACAACTTGCCGAGAAGGTAATGCACATTTGCCTCATCTGGAGCCATATCTTTGAGGACTTTGAGTTCTGCCAGTGCGAACTTGTATTCGTGGAGTTTCATTAGTACACGAGCCTTGCGGAACCGGGCTAGGATAGAATGTGGTGCTAGGGAGCATGCCCGTTCGTAGTGCATCAACGCAGTCTTGGAATTGTCACTCTTCTCCAAGATCAGTCCAATGCAGCAGATGAGGACTGCGTTAGTGGGGTTAATCATCGCGGCATTGCGGAAGTGCTGTTCGGCCTCGTCCAACTTGCCCATCTTATCATAAACAGTGCCCAGGCCATACCAGGCATTGTAGTGCCGGGCATCAGCCTTGATACCATGACGGTAGGCATCAAGAGCCTTGTCATACTCTTCATTAGCAACATATTCATGTCCCTGTAGAGTGAATGCATATGCAAACTCAGGGTCTAGCATCGTTGCACGCTTGAAACACTTAAGCGCTTGATCATGATCTCTTTGGTGGGAGAATGAATTGCCAATGGCACACCAGGCTTGAGGGGAGAGTCGGTCGACCTCCAACAGCTGATGTGCCAAATACGCCAGTTCCACATCGTTTTTTAAGTGCCAGAGCACCGTCGAGTAGATTTCCATATCCTCAAGCCTAGAAGGTGCCAAGGCTTGAACCCTGGAGAAGTATTTTGAAGCATCTGCATACATCGCCTGTTCAAAGTGGGCCCGGCCAAGCTGAGCCAGGACCCAAGGTGTTTCCCGCTGACCCTGTGAGAGAGAATTGAAGTGCTGGATGGCATCTGCACACTTGTATCGACTTAGAGCAAAATAACCCATTGCAAGCTTGGTGAAGAGGCCCAAAAGCCAATTCAAGGCATCAAGTTCCTTTGTCTTTTCGTGATTTTTGGGCAGAGGGGGAACAGGGGGTATGGATGTTGTACGGTGGTGATCTTTCCCGTCACTGTCATATGTGTCCATCGGTTTTCGGTTGCCACTAACAACACGACCAACCGTGGAATTGTGTCCAACCCGATTCTTCGAGGTCGTACTTCTTACTTTCTTAACTTCACGTCCATCTCTACCAGCCAGTGTGCTACTGGTCAATTTTGTGGTGGGTTTGATTTGATTGAAGAGGCGCACACTGCGACGTTGAGGAGCGCCTGGTTCTGTTGGCTGCGGAGGAAGAGGGTGAGCGACTTGACCAGAAACAGTGCGTTTACGATCGCCAATCCGTGGTGCTGGTGGAGGCTCTCTTTCAGATGGCGCGAATGGTGGCTCTTCTGGTTCTGTTCTTGATTTTGGTCGAGGACGGATGCCAGTTGGTCGCATTTTTTGTCCTGCTTGAGCAGTGTGATCCAAGCTCATTGCCTGCATTGTGCGGAATTTTCTAGCTGGTGCCAATGGTGGTTCCCAGTTTGATTCTGGATCACCGACGCCGTTTGCGATGCGAAACTCATCCGATCCGCTGCTCTGAGTGCCGGGGGTTTCCATTCCTTCGTGGATAATTGGTTGTGGCATGGATGTAACGTTAACCGAGCTCAGGTTGAGCTTCTCCCAGAGAGCAGAACTACCATTTGTAGTATCGTGATCACTGTGTAACGTAGGGGCCGTAAAAGGATCGATCCCAGGGGCCCCGGTGCTTTGTACCGGGAATGACGCTTCGGTGGGACTGAAGTGTTCGGATAATGTGTCCAACTCATCTGGGGAAGAAGATATCATAGCGAGAAGTTCAGGGCTGAGTTGAAAGATATTAGGGACTCTGATATTGACACCTAAAGAGATATTAGTCTTGACAGTTTTCAATGGGAAGGGTGGAAGGTAGGATCAAGCATACCCGTTGCGCTTAAACCTAGGAATGCATCCCACATGAATGGGTTCAGCTTTAGCGATTCCACATAGCAATCAACTGCTCTGGTCAAGTCTTTCTGGGCATGAAACAGCTTTGCTTGCAGACAATAAACCGCAGCCGCATCGGGCAAGTGCTGCCGTTGTGTTTCGCTATGTTTATCTGAGGTTCTTCATTAGTCTAGTCCCGGCTCGAAGCAAGGCAACTTCGAACACTCACTCCAGTTATTCTTAGAGGCCCACAGATTTTTGCTTCGTTCCAATGCTGAAACACCATCTAGATATTTTCCCAGATCAAGGCAAGCCTGCGCGTAGATATAGGCGCAGCCGGCGTGCAGGCCTCGAGACCCGGTAGCTTGGCTACACTCAAAGGCTGCCTTCACCTCCCCGTTGTGCAAGTGACAAAGAGCCAGAAGGTATTGCGCCTCGAAAGATCGTGGTTCGAAAGCGTGGAGGCGAGCGGCAAGGAAGAGCGCATTTCGGATGAGGTTGTTGTCGAGATGATAGTAAATCAAGTGTCGCAGCTGTCCTGCGACATGACCTGTAGACAAGGCCATAATGAAGATGGGCGCGCGTGGGATTCAGTTCGCGAAGTAGCGGTTGCGGGAGCGAAGAAGGTGTCGAGGGGAAGAAACAGAGAAGTAAGGATAAGGCGGTTACGCGATTCAATTCATTCACTGTTGAGAGCACATCCAAGCTCGGCGCTTTGGGGACACCCTTCCGAGACGCGGGGAGACAACGCGCGAGTTCGACTCAGGAAACAAAGCACCAAAGCCCATCAACACTCGCTAGACATGGATATATGATCAATCTTTAGGCCGGAGAAGATACAGTCTGAAAGTAGGGATCTTTGACCGATCTGAGGCGAAGGACGACAACGGTTTGAGCCAGGACGGAATGTAAACTGACGAAAACGGTAAGAACGGGAGGAGAGACCAGGATTGACCGGCAAAGTCAGATATGCTGTAGACTCGAGTATGAGTCCTTTACAGTATCATATTCATTGTGCTCGAAAAGAAATCCAGTCAAGGGCATAGACAGTTGTTCCGCGGTGAAGACGTTGGATTGTGTTGCTTCATAATGATCTTATTTTGGTTGCGTCGATCAAGGTGCATGGGTTCTGCCGGGCGGTGAATGTCGGAAGGGCAACAATCGGAGATTCAACGAGCTTGTCTCCGCTTCCCTCGTGGGCCGTGGCCACTTCTGCATTTGTCACCATCAATCATCCTGAAGCGGGGACTGGGCACTTTGTGGACAACTCAATACTCAATCTCTTTTTTGATTCCACTATTTGTGCGACTGTGTAATATTGCGTGAAAAATGGCACAGGTGAGCTTCACCGAGTCACCAAAAGCTACCGACACAAGCTGGTTGAGCTAACAGCTGTATAGAAAGCGGCCAAAACTCTAGCCAGCCGCAATGCGGCTGTCCTCACTCGGACTCACGTCATATCAGCCACAATCCATATCCTGTTCATTATTCTTCACCAGGTCTTCAACAGACCACGCTCACTGAAACCCTACTTCTTGCTCGCGTTTCCCACCTTAATAATCGAATTCTACTTGGACCGAATTGGACGCCCAACCTACAATGCCGATGGCTCCGTGCGCTCAGCTGGTGAAGATCTGAATGCCACTGGCCTGACTGAATACATGTGGGATGTGTTGTATTGGACTGAAGGCTGCATCGTTGCGGCCTGTATCTTCAATGACCGTGCTTGGTGGCTGTGGACGGTCATTCCCATATACTCTGTCTACCTAGCCTACACTACGGTCATGGGTGTAAAGAAGGGATTCTCGGGCATGGGCGGTGGTGGCGATGAGGGGGAGTTTGAGGGCGCAAGGAGCAAGCGGGAGTTGAAGAAAGAGAAGAGGGGTGATCGACCGAAACACCGAACTCGTTAATCTTGTCCATTCGACTCATCAACGGACCATGCAGATTGAGCATACAATCTACTACTATGAACATCATCCGGGCTCATCATCTGCATAATCGACATTGGCACGTATTTAAAAGAGCCACGTATGCCAGGATAGAGTTTTTGAAAGGCATGTACATCAGTGCAAGGAAGCAAGACCGACCTCAAAACTCCTGATCTCTATGAAGGACCCTAGGGCTGGGCAGAATATCTAGCAGTTGGCCTAGTCCAAGTATATTTCACACCTATTATAAAGTCCACAGGTACACGATACAAACTGGAAAGGCTAGGGATTGCGGCGAAATGATATGATTTCCAAACTAAACGGAATATGGCAATGGGCCATCCATCTTCCAAGCCCGATTTATCCAAATTACTTCGTCAAAAAGTACAAACAAATAAAAATGAGCTTCCGGAAGCATTGAAGGATAAAAAGAAGAGGGAAACCGAAAATTGAGAAAAAGAAAAACGAAGAGGGAAAATGTTGGGAACGCAACATAATAATAACATCAATGTGCATCTGGTAGGTCGTGAACATATTGTCATCGTGACAAACTATATGGGGAATAATGCGTCAAGAAACCGAGCATGACAACATTTGGCTGGCAGGAAGCCCAATTTCGGCATTCAGAAAAGAGTGGACATGAAACAGTAGCAAAAGGGGGAAAGTATCACAAGTCGATGACTCATGAGTCGGTGTGAAATGAGTTTATTACAACTCGTCCTTCCCCGAGGACATGGCAGACTTGATGTGGCTGGTGGCATCCTCTACATGGGATGCAGCAGTCTCAGCAGCTTCGGAGGCGACGCTGCTGGCGCTAGAAGCCAGTTCGGCTAGCTGGGACTGGGCACCTTCGACAGCGGCAGCGAGGCGACTGGTGGCGCTCTCCACTGCCCCGGGCTCCTTCCCGTAAATGGCAGCACTGGCCTTGGACTGAATATTCTCAATGTTCTCTTTGGCAATATCAATGTAGCCAGACTCCTTTCCATAGATAGCACTGCTAATCTGTGCTGAAGCAGTGCTATAGGCATCATTAACAGCCTCTGTGGCCTGTTCGAAAGAGCCCTTGGAAGTGCCATAGAGCCCGACACTGGCGGCTTCGACCGCAGCGTTGAGCTGTTCGTTCACGTTTTGTAAGACATCCTCCACGCTGGGAACGGCCGAGACGTAAGCATCAGCAGCGGATGACGCTGATTCGTATGTCTCACCAATGTAGCTTGAAGCAGAAGACAAGGCGGCAGCAGGGTAGGGGGTTTCGTACGCAACACGGAGTTTGCTCATGATACTTTCCGTGAATGAGGGTTCCTTGCCAATAAGGAGCTCAGACACTACCCCCTGAACAGCCTCAAATTGCGGCAGTCGCTCCTGCAGCTGTTGAAGATACGGCGCGGAGGTGCCATATATTTGCTCGCTGGCCTTGGAAATGAGGCTTTCCCAGTTCTCGGATGCTTGGCTGGAGAGGGACTCCAAAGCACCGGGTGTAGTGCCATAGACAGCAGAGCTAGCAGATGCAGACGCAATAGACAGAGAGGTAGATGCTGCCGACATGGCCGCGTGATACCTGGATGAGGCATCGCTAATGATGCCCTGCACCCTCCCCTCATCTGCTGTTGAAGCCATAGAGCTGGCGGAAGCGATAACTGCAGCAAGGCTGGCGGAAACAAGAGAAGAAGCCTGTGCATATTGGGACCCAGCCTCTTCGATGAGCTGCTGGAAGCCGCGAGGAGGTGGAGTGGGGGTCGGAGTACCATAGACGGCGTGAGAAGCCGTGGAGACGAAAGCAGTGTAGTGATCGTGCGCAAGACCAACAGCTTCATAGTAGCGACGCTGAGCATCAAGCACATAAGGCTGCAGGCCTACAGAGCTTGTTTGGGATGGGACGGGTTGAATATTGGCCAGTTTCTCAGAGGCGACGCTAAGACCCTCGCTCAATCGAGAAGAAGCAATTGAGGAAATCTGGGCCAGAGGTCCAGCAGGGGTAGGAGTTGCCTTGACCGCAGCAATTTTAGCCTGGAACTCTTCGGTTGCATACTTGACGGCTCCAGAGTACGCCGATTCAACGGAAGAGAGGACCCGTGCATGGGCAGGCTCACTGGACTGAGCCATTTGACCCATGACTTGCGACTTCGCGATCTCGTAAAGAATCTTGGCATTCGAGGTTGAATCGGCAAAAGCTGAGCTCGCCTGGGAATAGGCGTCGGAGTAAGCATCACCGGCCTTACTTGTAAAGCTATGTATGGCATCCTGCTCGTCATCATCCAGAATAGGAGCTTGATAGGTGTTAGCATCAGCTGCCGCAACCCCTCCCCAGGCGGCCTTAACAGGACTCGACTCATCCTGAATAGCATCAGCGGAAATTGACTCAGCAATATCGTCATCACCCTCAACGTGAGCTGTGCCGTCGAAAGATTCCTCAAAGTTCGACGAATTCTCGCCAGCCAAATCGTCATCCTCATCGTCGACATTAGATCTCGTGAATTCCGAAGATACCTTCATGGTTTCACCATTTTCAGTGTCAACATCGCTCTCTGAATCCTCAGAATAAACTTCCGGCTTTGGTCTCGGGGGAGGAGCCTCAGTTCTGGTCTCAAAATTATCGCTGACTTCACGGGCAGCTAGTTTCCAATAGCCAACATCCTTCAATCGGACAAGTTCCACAGCAGTTTCTTGAGCAACCTCCATACCACGATCCAAAATGTCGGTTGCCACGGACTTGGCTTCCGCGACCGATTTGTGATTCATCCCAACGTGATAGATATCATTGCGCCAGTCCTGGAGCTGTTCTTTGACTGCGCGATACTTTGCCCAGTCTTTATAGGTGACGCCATCCATCCATGCCCAGCGCATACCGATTTCCTGGAGACCAAGATCACGAATGCCGTCAAGGACCTCGAGAGTCGAGTTCACAGCTGCAGATACCCGACGTAGGAGTTCCTCATCGAATGACAATGACCATTCGCGAAGAGCATGGGCACGATCTCTGACAGAGATGGCGGATGTACGGATGTCGGTAAGCATCTTTTCGCGGGCTTCCTCCTCAGGTTCTGGTGCATCTTCTTCGGGTAGTGTTTTCACAAGGTCATTGATGCGGTCCTTGATAGTGGAGAGTTGTTTCGCAGCCACACTTTGAAGTGCGGTTGAGAGGCTTTGGCCGTGGCTATTAGCGCTACTGGCGATGAGAGCCCCCACAATTTTCTCCAGTCGGTCTTCAAGATCTTCAATGCCACTATCAGCTGCAACTGCAAACTTGTCTTGCCATCTCTGGAGATCAGAGTCAATCTGTTCACGAGCCAGCTTTGCCTTCTCGGCTGCCGACATCGTAGGCGCAACAGATGGAGTTTCAGTGGTAGAGGTCATCGTCACACTGCTAGAGGTCCGAATAGCTTCAACCGAAGCAAGGCTAGTCGAGAGACTGGGCTGCTCAGAGGAACTGCTAATAGGCATGTTAGTGATATTAATTGCATAAGCAGGGTAGACTAATTCGTACTTATCCAGTTCCTCTATAACTGCACGGAGGCGATTCCCCTCCCGATAGCTCGCCAAACGCTGTCCGATCTTGACCAATTGCGGTTCAACCTGCTCCGAATAGAGGCCTGTAACATGGGGCCACAGGGAGCTGTTGGCAAAGTAGACAACGGAGGACCATGTGTATTGCACACCCGGCACAACATGTGTCACCAGAATATCCTGGGAAGTAGCATACGTCTTCCCAATGAAAGGTTGGGATCGGGTGTAGAAAGGAACCAGGTGATTCCAATAAACTGTGAGCGCAACGCTGTTTACTTTTTGGTAGTAAGGGGACACTACCGCAAAGCTCTGCTGAACGTATGGATCCACTTCAGCCAGATAGAGCTGATGAACCTTGTCCTGAACCGCCTCAATTCGGGGCATCACCTGGACCTTCCATTGGGAAGCTCCATAAGCCTGAGCTTGCTCCCATGCGGGTGCACCGTACCTTTCATAACCGGCTTGGGCCAACTTGGATGCAGGAGTATAAACTTGCTTGTTCAAAACTTCCACATATGGGCGAGCTTGATCCACGTAGGGGCGAGCTTGGTCAACGTATGGTGCGGCGTAGGTATCATAGTAGGGAGTAACGTAGGGTTCCACGTGGGATCGAGCAATGAGATACGGTTTGCAAACCCGAGGCGATGTGTCGTTCAAGTCGGAAAGGTTCGATGGGCACCGCAGGAATGGTGTCAGAAGCGTGTACCATATTCCAAGTCTAAACCCGTCACAAATCAGCATCAAAACAGATCCAGCAATGACACGATTTCAGTCGCAATACATACCGCACGACCAAGCCTATGATGGTCCATCCCAAGAACTTTGTTTTCCTCTGACCTTGTACAGTCTCCTTTCGGCCATTCGGCTTGATTACTGCTTCCGCATGGCCATTCTCCTGTGACACTGTCATGGTTGTCGACGGGCCTGATCTAGGCTAAGAGCGCTTCGAAAATTGACAAGGGTAAGCTGTGCAACACCAGTGCCGTGTCGCTTGCGCAAAGGTATCAAACAAAAACCGAGGCGCTCGAGCTCATTGGAAAAAACAATGAACACCCCTGAGATGCTATTGGCCTGATAAGGACCCTTGGAAAGAAAGCTGAAGCTAGGCGGAATGCTCGCGTCGGTCTTGGCAGCAGAACTTCACGGGGGGGGTTTGCCGCGGTCGGAGCGTGGAGACAGATCTAAGGCAGGAAAAAAATTGATTAGATTTATTGGGGTATCAAATCACTCGACCACCAACGCGACAGTTGTATAGGGGAAGAGTGCACTTTCTATTGAAAATGGGCAACTCAAAACATCAGAAAGCAAGAACTTTAGTTGGCGATTAGGAAAAGCAGTGAGGTCATCGGTGCCACCTGCATCACATAATACAGTCTAATACCATATATACGACAATCACATGGCTGAATCCACCGAGTCCATGGATATTAGTACTGTAATATGTAATTCACTGTAAGGGTGCATGGGCTGAGTCAGCATCACTGGTCCGAACGCTGATGCAAGAACAAAGGAAGTACGACTCGACGACGATTGCCTGTTTCGTTGAGGCTCTGTCAATGCAGGGTACGTGTGTCCTTGACTTTTTCTCCACCTCAGTCTCTCTTCTTATCTAATACCATCTTCTCCTCTGCAGTCTTTTGAGAGTCCCCCGTTCTCCCGTTTACACCCAACAACCACTACCCGCACCCACATCAACCAACAGTTGATAGTTTTATCATACATGGAATGAGTGACATATGATGAGGATTTGGTGAAGACACGTGCGACCGTCGACTCGACGAGATTCTACGCCATGAACATGGACGCCAACCCCTTCGGCAGAGTGGCGGGGTCCTCTTTCCCCGACCTGATGAATGATCCAGCTTTCGATGAACGGGAGAAGGGTTTCGAAGATACGGATACTTGCCGGATATGTCACGGAGAGGCCACAAATGAAGAACCACTATTTTACCCATGCAAATGCAGCGGAAGCATCAAATTTGTCCACCAGAGCTGCCTGGTAGAATGGCTAGCACATTCGCAAAAGAAACATTGTGAGCTTTGCAAGACACCTTTTCGGTTCACCAAGCTATACGACCCGAATATGCCACAAAACCTCCCGACACCGTTATTTTTGAGGCAAGCTTTGATTCAATCCTTGGGAACAATAGTCACCTGGCTGCGATTTGGCCTCGTTGCCTTCGTCTGGCTGGGATGGTTGCCATGGTCAATGCGCGCAATCTGGAGGGCACTCTTCTGGCTTGCGGATGGCCGATGGTCCACCAGTGGAGCAGGTAAAGAGGCGGCAGTAGAAGGTCTGGTCCAAGCTGCTGCAAATCAAACCGCAGCCAGCGCTACCATGGTCAAATCGGTGATCCCCACAATCTCGAGTGCAATCCAATCTGCTGTCAGTGCGGCACCAGCAATGCAGTCCTCAACCGAAGGCTTTACCACTGGGGAGCCAATGATGCTCGCGCTGATCAAAAAAGTGATACCCAGGCTTTTCCTCCCTGCCTTGACATCACCTGGCGGCCATAATGGTTCCATGGCAACCAATATGACCGGGTTAGCAAAGGCTCGGTATCCATCCTGGCTTTCAGATGTGAAATTTCTCATGACACTCACACCTTATCCGACCATCAATAATATGATAATTGATACTTTGGAAGGACAGCTCATCACTCTACTGGTAGTGGTTGCCTTTATACTTTTGTTTCTGATCCGAGAATGGGTCGTCCAACAGCAACCCATGGCCAACATCGCCGAGGGTGAACGGGAAGCTGCCATGCAGCTGAATGTAAATGCCAACCGGGTTAATGAACAATTGCGGCCACCTCTACCGGTTCGCCCCCTCCCTCTTCTGGAACTTGACTTAGAGGAGGAACTCCACGAAGTCCCCCGACCTCGCGCTGCATCTCCCGCTCCCTCCTGGACTGATTCAGATGATGGTCTTCCACTTTTGGAGAGAGCTTCTCCTTATGCGCTTAACCAAGCTACCACCGACGAATCTGCCAGCCCAGAATCCTACAACCAGGACCATGTTGCTCATTCCGGCGTAGCTGGCTTCAGAGACATCTTGGCTCGATCCAATGGTGATCGTGAGGAAATATTACGACTAATTCGGGAGGAAGGCCGTGAAGAGGAACTGGGCTGGATCGTGAACGCGCTGACATCCGGTACTCAGGACCAAACCTTCGCTGGTCCCTCAAACAGCGCAAATAATCCTGAAGTTGGTGATATTTTCGGTGCTCGCAATTCATTGAACCCGCAGGATAATGCCAATACCCGTCGAGAAACCCAACCGGATGATAGACCTGTTACACAGATTCCAAATCAGGAGTTGCCTGCTCAAGGCGAGACAGAGCATACAGGTCTACAGGAAGATCAGAATCAATTGGGCTCCTTAGAAAGACTGATGAACTGGTTCTGGGGAGATATCACTCCGGGAGAGCCTGACCCTGCCGAGGTAGTCCCAGCCGATGATGAGCACATTGTTCAAAATCCAGCATTGGAAGAGCCATTTGTCCCTGTTCCAAACCGATTAGAAGAAGCACCCATCGAGGGCGATATGGCCATGGCGGCTGAAGCTGGGTTAGACGCAAATGACATGGATGCCATCGAAGGGGATGATTTTGAAGGAATCATGGATTTAATCGGCATGCAGGGCCCAATCTTTGGCCTTTTACAAAACGGTGTCTTCTGTGCTCTTCTGATCGCCTTTACAGTCACTGTCGGCATCTGGCTTCCATACTTGTGGGGAAAGATTGCATTAGTTTTGCTGGCCAATCCGTTGGAACTGATTGTTGGCGTACCAATGACTACACTGACTGTCGTGACAGACATTGCTCTTGATACATTGATTGGTGTCGTTGGCTACGTCATGTACTGGGTGACGCTCATTTGCAGACTACTGCTGAGCCCCTTTGTCGCATTCATTCCTCTTGGAGAATGGATCCCACGAGGGAAATCCGTCACAAGTGCCTCACTTTCACTTATCGACGCCAGCTCTCACCGTTTGAATAAGGTTGTTAAAGCCTTCCTTGTTTTCAACGAGTCAGACATACCTATGTTCTCAATTCTGTCTCACCAAGCACTTAGACTCCACCAGGCTCGTCTTCTTGCCTTCTTTGAGTCAATGTTCGCTATTACGAAGTTTGTTCTCCATGACTTTCCCTTGCGATTATTCACCCTAGGGATTCCGGGAGCGCTCTCTTTCGATCTAGACTTTTCCCTGGTGAAGGAATACGCAGTGTACTTCCAGCAGCACATCGGAAACTTCACACGGTCTCAACTGTATTCTAGCCCCGGAACGAAGCTACTCAATGCGAGCGCCGCCAAGGCAGCTTCAGCATCCGTGTCTGTCGACTACGATCTCGCTGTGTGGGACACTAAAGACCGTGCCATCGCTATATTGATGGGGTATCTGCTTGCAACGATCATGGGATATCTTTATCTCCGGATCCATGGATTTATGGCGGGACCTAACCGCGGGCAACAGATCCAAGGCATGGTTGCTGAGATTCTTCTCCAGGCTGGGGGCGTAATGAAAGTGATCCTGATCATTGGCATTGAGATGATCGTCTTTCCTCTCTACTGTGGCACTTTGCTCGACATTGCTTTGCTTCCTCTTTTCTCCGAGGCCACTATTTTCTCCCGCATTGCTTTTACGACAGGATCTCCGCTCACGTCACTATTTGTGCACTGGTTCATTGGCACTTGTTACATGTTTCACTTTGCCCTATTTGTGTCCATGTGCCGAAAGATCCTGCGGGCGGGCGTTCTTTGTAAGTTTCATCCACCATCTAAGCCGTCGAAATACTAATCTTTTCCCCCACAGACTTCATCCGAGATCCCGATGACCCTACTTTTCACCCCATCCGCGATGTCCTGGAACGCAGCATTGCCACCCAGCTCCGTAAGATCGGCTTTAGTGCTCTTGTTTATGGAACGCTGGTAATTGTCTGTCTAGGAGGAGTTGTGTGGGGCTTAGACTTTGCATTCGATGGTGTTCTGCCCATACATTGGTCTGCTAGAACCCCTATGCTTGAGTTTCCGGTTGATCTCTTGTTCTACAACTTTGTCATGCCACACATCATCTCATCCTTCAAGCCTTCGGATGCGCTGCATGGTCTGTACGACTGGTGGTTCCACCAGTGTGCCCATTTCCTGCGCCTCAGCAATTTTTTCTTCCCAGAGAGACACCCCGAAGAGGAAGGACATCACGTTCATCGGAACTGGTGGGGCCTATTTGTTGGACGTAAGGGTGAGTGGGAACGACCCGTGATCGGGGCAGCTCAACAGGCTGCAGCGGAGAACGAAAACCGTGATGTGTATTTCCTGCGAGACGGCCGATACGTCCGGGCTCCTGCCTCAGACCAGGTTCGCATACCAAAAGGAACCCAAGTTTTCTTGGAGGTGACCGAGAACAATGAACGCGTGGATGGTAAAGTCGATATGGAAGATGGATTACATGGCCGTTCCAGCAACATGTTCACCAAAGTCTACATCCCGCCTTTCTTCCGACTTCGAATCGCCACCTTTATTCTCTTCATCTGGCTGTTTGCTGCAACTACGGGGGTAGGCATCACAATTATTCCGCTCGTCATTGGGCGGAAAATGATATCTGTGCTATTTTCCAGTCCGCTGCCCGTGAACGACATCTATGCATTCTCCAGCGGGCTATGCGCCGTTTTCAGTTTTGGATACCTGGTATATCACTGCCGCGCAGCATTGAGAACCTTGCAAGACAACTCTTGGGCACACTTGCGATCTCCGAGTGATTTTAGCCGACTTTGTGCAACTCTTGCAGTTAATGCTGGGCGTCTCCTTTACATCTCTGCTGCCTTGGCAATCCTGCTACCCACGCTTTTCGCACTACTCACGGAGCTTTATGTGCTGATCCCTCTGCATACCTTGTTCGGTGACGGTAAATCTCATGTTGTTCATGTCGTCCAGGATTGGACACTAGGGGTACTGTACGTCCAGATGGCAATCAAGTTGACATCGTGGCACCCTCGGTCCTGGGCCGCGGCAGTTCTGAACGGTATCTTTCGCGATGGCTGGCTCCGTCCCAATGTCCACCTCGCCACGCGAGCTCTTATCCTGCCTCTATTACTCTTCACAGCTGCCGCCGTTGTCATTCCTTTGTCTATTGGCGGAATCCTGAAATATACAATCCTCTACTGGGCTGAGGCGCAACAGAACATCTACCGCTATGCTTACCTCGCCACTTTGCTATTCGCCCTCGGCGCGTGGAGTATCCATCTTGTGCTCCGCTGGGTGACCATCTGGCGCATCAACATGCGGGATGATGTGTATCTTATCGGTGAGCGATTGCATAATTTCAGTGAAAAGCGTGCACGGGATGTCGGAGTGTCGAGGTTGATCACAGGGTGAAGATGGGATGAAGTCTGATCATGGAAGATATTTGGTGTGGCTTCGAATGTTGCCTAACTTTTATGCTTTTCATTTTTCCTTCGAAGATCAAATGTGTCTGTGTGTGTTACTTTTTATTTTATTTTCGTCTCATTGATACTGTAAATTTAGACCATTCTCAAGGCAATCTCATGAACTTTGCAACTGATTCGTGCTGCTGCCTGTGGATCCACTTTGACCACACAACCTTACGTCGTGTAATATTACCATCGGTCTGATACGACCCACAATTCCCAAAAATACAATTGAGATGCCTGCCACGTGATCATTTAGACTCCACAACACTGCACAGATCGAACAATGTCATTGGTTAGGCAACAGGATTCCCTTCTACACTCCCGCATCGGGTTTATCGCTGCAATCGCCGCGCCTAGGCACCCATTGATGGCTCTTCTCCCCTGACCTTCCTGCTCTGGGTTTTCATATCTTTCAACCTCTCAGGATGGATCTGTGATACTACGCGACTCTGTATTTTGATATTTGGAACTTCCTGATCGAACGTTATCACCCAATATGTCCGTCCTGCGCCACGGAGGAAGCGGCGGCTTCCTCCAGCGCCGCCTCACCAAGTTATATACCGACACCAAGACATCCTGCGAAAGTGTCACCACCGCTTCGAAAGCAGTCGACGATCCGGAACTTGTAGCTCTGCATCAGAGTTTTCAGAAACAACGGGATCGGCTGTTGGCCTGGGGTCTGGACTGGAGCGACGCCAGTGCCGCTCAGCCCAACGATATCGATGAATCTTTGACCGCGGCGGGATTCAGTGATGTGGTCGAGAGCGTCATGTCTACAATCCAGGATCTGCTCAATGACGCCGAGCGAGTTCAGCGTCTTGACCCTCCTATGCACCCTCCGAAAGACCGCAAGGTGGACCTGTCGAAACAAGCCCTCGGAAGCGGACCTCTAAAGACCCAGTGGACAGAGGACGACATCAGCCGCTCAAAGATCATATTGAGTGACCTGACGGCCTGCATTGATACGTTATATGACCTGTCCCGCTCGCGGCGAACAATGGCTTCCAGCATGTCTTCAACGAAGCGGCGCGCTCGACCTACCCCGGCCTCACCGTTTGACTCCCCGCATGGCTCGTTTTCGGAATCGAAGGAAAAGATCCAGAGTCCGAAGATACTTGACCAATATACACAATCCCCCACTATGCAGCGTGACTTCAGCGCTTCATTTCCCTCGACTCACCATCTCGTCATTCCACGATCTGCTTTACAGCTATACGGGGCCGCCGATGATAACAGCCCGCCACCATACGAACCAGTTGCTGCATCTTCGAACTCGCGTGCCATTGGTCGATTGAATACTTCCGCCTCACCTGCTCTGCAGGCCTTTACCAAAGAATCTCATGTCTCAGTCCTGGTTGAGTTTATGCCTATTATGGTGGATTCAAGAAAAGACACCAAGAATTTCCGGCTGGAAAAGCTGCAACAATCTCTCGAACAACTATTACAGAATGCCAGAATCTCCCATCTCGGTCTCTTAAGATTCTTGGGGTATTGCATTGATGAGCCCAACGCCCGTTACGCCTTCCTTTATCAAATGCCCGTTGATTACTTCCCGTTTTTACGCAACCCAAGCGATCTATTGAAAGAACTGAAGCCAATGCCCCTCGTATCGCTCCTCCCTTCCCCTTCCTCGGATGACTATCGTGAGAAGCGGATGCCCAACCTCGAGATCCGCTTTCGGCTTGCCTATGACCTATTGATGTCTGCCTTGCATCTCAGAAGCCAAAATGCTGTGCATGGTAACATCAACAGCAGTAACATCATTTTCTTTCCCGGTAGGACAGATGCAAATAACGATGAAAGTGGTCTCTCTCCTGATCTTCGTCGTCCTTACTTGACTTCCCCCGCCCGCTTCTCTGGAGATGGACCTACCCCCGAACCATTGAGTACAGCCATGTATCGTCATCCCGAAGACAAGAGAAATGTCGACGATGATGGCGCATGGGCCTACGACCTATACTCCCTCGGTTTGATTCTGCTGGAGATTGGTCTGTGGGCACCGGTCGGGCGCCTGTGGAAGATGAAGTACGACCGCTCTTGGTTTAAACACCGCGTCGAAGATCTCTATGTCAAAAAACTTGGTGCAAAATGCGGCGGTGCATACCTTCAGGCTGTGCAGCTTTGTCTCGATGCACCCAACTTCCATCTTTCTACGCAACCCATGACCGATCTCTCTCTCCGTGTTCCTCAAATCTACCATTACCCCGTCCTCGACTTATCCGATCCTGATGGGACATTCTCTTTTTCCATGAATTTCATGTATACCATCTGCAAGATCCTTTGGTCATGCTGTCGGATTGATATCTTCTCTGCGCCGCCTGCCGAAGAGCTGGATGACTGCCTCCCACTAGCTCTTGTTCCGACCCCCGAACCTACGCCCACAAACGAGCAAGTGGACGCATATATATCTGCCTGCGAGCCAACTAATATAGGCCAAAAGATGCCGATTGTTCCGAGTCATCAGTGGGGTGCAGGCACACCGGAAAAAAGCCTAGAGAAACCTGCTAAGAAACGTACCGTCAAGCGTATTCCCAACTTGGATATCCCCGACGATCATCTACACGAGTGGAACATTCAGTTGATGCCGAAATTGAGCCGACTCCTACAAAAGATTCTGAAAGAGTCAAATGAATCCTGTGGAGCCACCCTCATGATGACTGGAGAATCACCGGACACCGCACGGACCACAATCTGTGTTACCTGTTCCAGTGTCAAGAAAGTCAGATCTGCGCTGAAGAAACACTTCCAGCTGGGTCGTGATGATTGGGATCTGATTGTTATCCGGGGGGATATCGAAAGGTCCAAGGTCCCCCACAAACGCCGTAGGCCAGCGAAGACTCGTCCTAATGGATCTAACGAGACGCCCTTTCGTCAACGAGAACTCAACCCATGTTATCAGCAACGGCCTTTGTGTGGAGCCTCGATTGGTGCCTTTCAGAACGAAGAACATCTGCCTCCTGTCTCATATGGTGGCGCAGTCCTAGTTGATGGAATGCCCTATGGTCTGACAGTCCACCATATGCTCGAGGCACCGAGTGACGATGAAGGCTCCGAGACCAATGATCAAGATGTTCCAGCTCGTTCTTCGGGTAATCGACCTCGTGACACATCTAACGCTTCGATCTCGAATTCTATGCACGCTTATCCTGAAGATGATCGATCTGAAGCCAATTTGGATCTTGAGATTTCAGATCTTGAGGATGATGATGCTTCAACATCGCCGGGCCCGGACGGTGACGAATACTGGCTGTCGGAAGATGAATCCTCTGACGATGAATCTATTGATCCTGACAACGATGATGATGATGCTGCATCGATAGGTGACACCACCGGCATTGACCCAGGCGAAGAGCCACGGCTTTTTGTCACGCAGCCAGCCATTGATGATGTCCACGAGGATTTTTTTCCGTCCCCCGAAGACCGCGATGATGAGCACCTTGCCTCACATTCGTTAGGTTACATCCATGCATCATCGGGTGTACGGCGCTGGACGTGGAAGGGGATCAAGCATGAGATTGATTGGGCGCTCATAAAAGTCGACGACGCCCGCATGGATCCTCGGAATATCATCATTGATAACACCACATCCTCCCCCGCGAGGCCCACCCCCGGACGATCCGCTCAACCCCCACCCATATTTCTGAACCAAATTGCGCGAATGGAGGAACTGGGTGGATTGCAAGTTCATTGCTGTGGCCGTACAAGTGGCCTACAATCAGGTTTAATATCTAAAGCAATGACGCTTGTCAAGTTGCATGGGCGGCACTCCTTTTCGACTAGCTTTTGCGTCAACGGGAACTTTGGAGGTAAGAAGCGCACCTTACAGATTGATGTTTATGTCTATACGAATGTTTAGTTAGATACCCTTGTTCTTGTTTTGTTATACCCCTGTGATTCCCCTACCTGTTAAGCCGGTAATCAATGACCGTCCCCGCCGGATTTAAGATCAACCTGTTCATATATGAAGTAAACGTTCCTGAAGCTAACAAAATGCAAGCCCCCGGCGACTCTGGCGCATGGGTCTTTGACAGAGCAACCGGTCGCGTCTGCGGCCACGTCTTGGCTTGGTCCGAGAAAACCAACACCACCTACATCGCTCCCATGGAGGTCACCGTCGAAGACATTACTCGCACCCTCAACGCTTCTCTCGTCTCCCTCCCTGGCGATCCCACTCGGTCCGCAGGCTATATTGCCTCTGCTTCGTCACAACCAGCCCAGTACCTCTACCAGTCACAGCAACTTCCAGGCGACTTCAGTCGTCTGACTGTTGGTGGTCCTTCGATGCCTACGCATCCCTTGTCCCATCACCATCCTCACCCTCCGGGCTTCGGTCGCCCTCGACCACCACCTCCCCCTCCTCCACGACCCGGTTCCAGAGAAGCTCATGGCTTCCGTGGTCGCGTGTCACCAATCCCACCCTCCCTTTTGACTGGCCCCCGGAACGTTGAACGCCAGCTTGCTTGATGCGATGGTTATATCTTGCCATGCTCTTCGATTATAGCCATGGCAGGAACACTTGATTTTATGAGATGCAAGATTTATGATATGATTTCAGAATACCCAAAATGAACAGTTAGAGCTTCTCGTTTTCGTTTGTCTAATTTTATGAGAAATTCCAGGGGCGCTCCCCCGATCTTAATCGCACTCATGTCTAAGTTTTCTTTTTGTCAAAGTTGTGCGGAAAGTCCCGACATTTCGAGATTTGCCATCATGATTTCGGGAAATACCGAACATTTCCCGATTCTATCGCGGAAATTAATGACCCTTTAACATTTCGGGCCGTAAACAAGTAGCCAGCCCGTTTGGGTCTCGACAATGACGTATTGGCGTCCATACCACAGAATTAAACCACGGGAAGCCGATGTCGGGTGCTAAGCATTCTGCCTTCCTATTTGGCCATATTTTAATTGAAACGCCTCTTCCCTAGTCATGTTTAGCGCTAGTGAATATCCAAAAAAATACTGGGGCAGAAAACAACCTAATTCTCGTTAAATTTAACTCTTATTGTCAGATTCCGATGTTTCGGGCCTTGAGAGGTTTACAGAAGTGTGCTATACTGAGAGAAAGTGTTTGTTTACATTTTCAGCATTTATAGATGCCATGTGTTTTGCCATGTGGTTCAATTACTCTTTCTTAAGTCGAATAGAGTTTCGTTCCCTTCCGAAGCGAAATTTCTTCAGCCACGACCGGGAGAAATTCCAAGGAAAGTTGGAGAATCCGGTTATTCATCCCCGGTGGCTTTCAAGCTTTGACGCTACCGGCTAAACTTATTATTGTACTCTGTAGTGCCACGTGACAATTCATAACCAGTCTTCATATTTGTAGCATATCCAAATTTTCTACAGCTCTAACATTCCATCATAAGGTCGGGCTAATATACCTTAGCAGCTGAAATGCAACCATAAGACCATGCGCAATGACCTTTTTACCCCGCTTGAACAATCAAAGTGCCGCTTGGAAAAGCCGAATACCGACCCCACGGGGACGTCGGGAAATGTCCGGCTTCCCCCACATTCCGGGGTTTGCAGCTTGCCCCGGAGCCTGCGCGTGACCCTTGACCTGCGTACATTGACATGTTTACTTCGAGTCTTCGCCTACTTTAACTTTCTTCCACCCGACTAACTCAAGCCACTTGACACGGGATCATTTCTCCCCACCTAACCCTTCTTCCAGATTGGTTGCCAAGTGTTTACCAAGGAGCTAGTAAAGGAATTTCCCGCCTTAGCACCTTCTTTTTGCCATTTTTGGAGGGATACAAGAAAAAGTTCTGCCGATAAATAGCCGACTGTAGGTTGTTGAGAGGGGGATGATGTCGGTAGCACTGCTGTTGACTAGCGGAGTGTGGGGAAGCGTTGAAGTTTTTCTGTGGATTTAATGATTCATAGTAGCGACGGGGAAAATATAAAAGGGGAAGTTCTCTTACTGAAAAATGGAATCATCAAGTCAATCACCTGTTCAACTTCTACCATGTTAAATTCTTGGGGTCCGGCAAGCCTGTTGGTTGGCCTTGCCCTTGGCAACTATGCTGCTGCTGTAGACGTTATCACCAGTGACAGTCACTTCTATGGCCAGTCTCCTTCAGTTCACCCATCTCGTAAGTCAGAAGATTCTGTTTCATTCTGACTTAACTATCATGAGCGCTCTGTTCTTTTAGGGTCACTAATTCGTGGAATAGCTGCCGGATCTGGTACTGGGGACTGGGCCGCTGCCTACGTGAAAGCTAAGGCTTTTGTGGCTCAACTCTCGGATGATGAGAAAGTTAATCTCACTGCTGGTGTAACAACTGAGACCGGCTGCTCTGGATTTATTCAATCCATCGATCGTTTGGGATTCCCGGGTATCTGTGTCAGTGATGCTGAAAATGGTCTCGTAGGTACCACCGCCTCAAGCCTTCTGTACTTGAACTAATAAGAAACGTTCCAGAGAGGCAGTGACTACGTTAATGGTTGGGCCTCTGGAATTTCCGTCGGAGCCAGGTAAGTCTTTAAGAAATGTTCACCGAACAAGGATTTTATTGACTTTCTTTTCAGTTGGAACCGTGACCTTGCCAATGACCGAGGTATCCACATGGGCAAGGAGTACCGCAAGAAGGGCGTGAACATGATTCTTGGCCCCGTCGCTGGTCCCCTCGGTCGTGTAGCAGTTGGTGGACGTAACTGGGAGGGATTTGCTACCGATCCTTATCTCAGTGGAATCCTGATCGCCGAGTCCATCAAGGGTATCCAGTCCCAGAATGTTGCAACATCACTCAAGGTATGCCTATCGACTGAAACGCTTTCTGAGACACGATTCTAATCTAAGTAGCACTTTATTGCCAATGAGCAAGAGACTGCTCGCAATCCTACCACTGATTCGGATAATAACACTGTCCAGTCTGTCTCTTCTAACCTGGACGACCAGACTATTCACGAACTCTACCTCTGGCCCTTCCAGGATGCTGTCCTTGCGGGTGCCACCTGTGTCATGTGCTCTTACAACAGAGTCAACAACTCATACGCCTGTCAAAACAGCAAGAACCTGAATGGTTTGCTGAAGACTGAGCTTGGCTTCCAAGGTACGATACCACTTTTCAGGCCGACTGATTAATTACTAACGACATAATCAACAGGATACGTGGTTTCTGACTGGTATGCTCAGCATGGCGGTATTGCCAGTGCCAATGCTGGACTTGACGTTGTGATGCCTTCATCGACGCTCTGGAACAGCAACTTGACCACTGCCATCGCGAATGGAACAATGGAGGCCTCTCGCCTAGATGACATGATAACGAGGTATGTCTAATGCGAAACCAATGATTAATAGATGTTAATTATCTCTTGCAGACTTATGGCCACTTGGTACTACCTGGACCAAGACACTGCCTTCCCTAACCCCGGCGTTGGCATGCCTTTAACCGCAAATGCCGCGCACCAAGCTGTAATTGCCACCTCCAGTGAAGCGAAGCCGATTCTTCTTCAAGCCGCTACCGAAGGCCACGTTTTGGTTAAGAACACCAATAACGCCCTCCCTCTGAAGTCCCCCAAGCTGATTTCCGTTTTTGGGTACGATGCCTATACCCCAATGACCTTGCAACTCGCCTCCGATTTCGACTTCAGCTTGAACTCAATCACTCACCGAGCAGCTCTCTACCAAAATGGGACCCAATATGTTGGCGGTGGCTCCGGTGGAAACACACCTGCCTACGTCGATGCTCCTATTAGCGCCATCCAGCGCCGCGCCTACGAGGACGGCTCGTCTCTTCTTTGGGACTTTACTTCCGTAACCCCAGTTGTGGACTATACTTCTGACGTTTGCCTGGTCTTCATCAACGCCTACTCCACTGAAGGATTAGACCGCGACGCGCTTCATGATGCCCACAGCGACGCTATCGTTAACAACGTCGCTGACAACTGTGCCAACACCGTCGTCGTCGTTCACAACGCTGGTATCCGCACCATTGAATCATGGGTTGACCATGTCAACGTCACTGGTATCATCTATGCCCATCTCCCCGGCCAGGACACAGGTCGCGCTGTGGTGGATATCCTCTACGGAGATGCCAACCCATCCGGAAGACTCCCTTACACTGTTGCCAAGAAAGATTCTGACTATGGCGACCTCTTGGAACCCGCCAAGCCCGAGGGTATTTACGAGTTCTTCCCCCAGTCTGACTTCTCAGAGGGTGTGTACATTGACTACCGTGCCTTTGACAAGAAGGGTATCGAGCCCCAGTACGCCTTTGGCTATGGTCTCTCTTACACAACCTTTGACTACTCGAAGCTCAAGGTGTCCAAGAAGGTTTCTTCTCCTTCCGAGTACCCGGCCAAGGCCGCGATTGTCTCGGGTGGAAACCCCCGCCTCTTCGACACGCTGGCTACCGTGACTGCCACTATCAAGAACACTGGTAGTGTTGATGGCCAGGAGGTTGCTCAGCTTTACATTGGTATTCCCAATGGCCCCATTCGCCAGCTTCGTGGATTTGAGAAGGTCCTCATCAAGTCTGGAAAGTCGACCACAGTTAGCTTCAGCTTGACTCGTCGCGACTTGAGTACCTGGGATACCACTGCACAGGAGTGGCTGCTCCAGCGCGGCACATACAAGATCTATGTTGGTCGCAACAGCAGAGATCTGCCTCTTGAGGCAACTTTGACCATTTAGATTAGATAGATTGGTTGATGACCTTGGATGTGTGTCTTTAACTTACTGTATGATTCATAGAATTATGGTGATCCATGTCGTACCAATATACAATAATGTGATTATGTTTACTTTATTCATTTCAAAAAAGGGTGACCGTCATATGTCCTACCGACTGAGCAAACCGGATAGGACTCGAACAATACCTAAAGATAGCAAGAATTCAATAAATGGAAGCTATGTATCTTTTCCTCCTATTAACCCTTCCAGCGTTACTCGTTCACCGTACTACATGAGGGTTTTCGATGCGCAAATGCCAAGGAATTTACCAAGGATCTACAGAGTAGACTAATGCTGTTTAGCCCAGACTCCCTCATACTATTATGCGAATGACAGATAGTTAAAAGACGCATTGTCGAAGAAATGCCCACCTTGGTGGATTCTTATATCCCATACTCACCTAGGGATGGAGCTAGCTAGTGTAGTGGGGAGAACTGGTCCCTACTACGGATTACCATACCCTTACGGGTCACATTCCGTCCCGTAAGGAAAAGGGTATATTAATACGAACTTAGCACTAGTTACAGAATGGACGCACTTACACATCTCTCACTTTTGACCTTTGTCGAGGGATCCACTGCTCGCCGAGGGCGACCTTCGGTCGTGGTGGGTTTTGCTGAGTATATCCGATTCGTGCGTCGTCAGAGCGTACAGCCAACGAGCGTTCCCCTCTTCACTAGGTAGTCACAAATGGCAGGTCAAGCGGTAGGGGCGGTAATTCCAACGCGTATAACTTGCAGTCTATGTCAATCTATTAATGCAGCAATGTACCGCTCTAGATAATATCCATGAAGGTGAACACAGGCCTTTCTTATTTTCAAAACCTCGCTAAATACGTGATCAAGCCACGTGTATTCCCATCCAGGAACGAACTGAGGTCGGACACGCGCGAACATTCCAGGGTTACGCAAAACCTTAATACAACCTCAGTCAGTCCACCAATTTTGATATTTCGAAATCCCCGTGTATGTTGTGGTCATGTATTAGGTTGTCATGCATAATGTGGACCAAGTCTACAAGTCTCTAAGCTGCAAGGTCATTTCCTACTCGCGCGGAATCCAAGCCCGTTGACGAGGCCGTGCCAAGCGGATCGGGCTTAGACCCTTGAGTCTTGACTACTTTCAGTTAGGGCTGAGGGTTAGTCATCAGAACGTGGGCCCGTTCACAATCGAAGCTTTTCAGCAGCGCCGCAGCTTACGTATGTTGTGCCAGAAATGGACGGATGCCACGAATACAGGCGATAATAATAGGTGCTAATTCGCGAAAATCTCAGACTAGAAAAACAAACCGGAAGCCCCACATGTGCACTGTGCATAAATTCCATAACCTGATAATGTGTCTATCACGTGATTTGCGCCCCAAAATGCAAATCTGCAAAATCACAGAAGAGATATCAACCTGTAAACTGTGTGCAGGGTGGATTTAAAGGAAGCCCACCCGTAGCTAGTATATTTGTCTGGTTTCAATTCTTCGTTGGGTTGTCGAGTCATGTGATTTGGGGGTTTTCGATTTTTCTCGCTCACAAAGCGGAGGATTTGCCCATTTTGCAGATAGAGACGGCTGCTTGGGAGTGAGACCCACTAGACAACAAGCAACGTTACCGCAGGGTCTACTCCTTAAAAAATTGAAAAGCGAATCAAAGGACCGAAATAGAGTGTGAGACTTGTTAATGTGGGCTAAATCCCTGTCAGCGCCCCACATCCATATGTCGGACGCGTGGTCTGCGTTGCAGTCACGACACTTCGTCATCATGGCTTGGCAAGATACGCGGCCTTACCAATAGCGAATGGGAAATCTTTATCGCACATCTTGAAGGGATTGTTCTTTAATCGTGGGTCAAAGTCGAATTTTTGATTTTATTTTTTACTCTCTGCAACGCTCGTCCGGCAGAAACATTTTCCAATTGCATACCTGAATAATACTGGGATGACATACGATCCATACAATCGGTCACCTGATTATAGTACAAGGCAATCGGGCTTTTCGAGAATCAGTGAACCGCCAGCTTACGGGTCGTGGAACATGGGCGCTGATGCCGCGACAGGGGAGGCGACCGCAGGATATTCCGCCTGGAACCCACGGGGATGGTCATTAACGAAAAAATTATCTCTTGCGGCCGGTGCGGTTGTTGTCATTGTTGCTGTTATTGTGGGTGCTGTGCTTGGAACGCGGGCCCATCGCTACCCAGATTATACCCAACTCAGCTACAGTTTGGTAGACACATATTCGGGGTCTAATTTCTTCGATAATTTCTATTATGCTACTTCTGATCCATCGGGTGGTTTTGTTCAGTCAGTCCCTGGGTTCCGAATTTCTGTCTCACACTTCTAACCTCTTGCAGGTATCTTGATGAAGCCTCATCTAAATGGTCTAATTTAACATACGCCTCGAGCACATCCGCCGTGCTCAAAGTCGATACTACATACAGTGGAGAGGACGAAGTGGCCAATGGTCGCCAATCCGTCCGCATCACTTCTAATAATACCTACGCTGATGGGCTGTTCATTTTTGATATTCTGCACACTCCTTACGCCTGCGGCATTTGGCCTGCTCTGTGGCTCACAGACCCCAGTAACTGGCCAGAGCATGGCGAGATCGATGTCATGGAAGCAGTGAACATGGGCGAATGGGGCAACCAAGCAACTCTCCACACGTCCAAGGGATGCAACATGGGTGTGAAACGGAAGGAAACAGGAACTGCGCTATACAAAACCTGTTACTGGGACGCGAATGACGAATCAGGATGTGGAGTCAGAGGTGCTAAGGTCACATACGGTCCCGAATTCAATGCGAAGGGCGGCGGAGTAAGTCTTTTTCGTCGTGAGAAATGGATGCCTTGGCTAATTCTGGTTTAGGTTTATGCTATGGAGCTTCGCGATGCTGGCATTCGAGTTTGGAACTGGATTCGCGACGATATTCCAGACGATATTACTTCTGAGAGTCCCGATCCTTCCACTTGGGGGGAGGCTTACGCGGATTTCCCGAGTACGGATTGTGACATTGGAAGTCATTTCAAAAACCAAAGCATCATTGCCAACATCGATTTCTGTGGAGGCTGGGCATCTGCGACGGAGTATTACACAACACAAAGTGGTTGTCCAGACACTTGTGAGACTTTTGTGATGGACAACCCTTCAAACTTTACGACCGCATACTGGGAGTTTAAGAGTTTCAAAGTTTATCAGGCAAACACATAGATAATAGATTAATATCCCATTATATATTGGAGTTGGCGTCAATGATCATTTCATGTAAAACCTCTTGCCCAGTTCATCGGACCTCTTGAGTTTTCCATTTTGATCCCCTTGGCTTTGAATGAGGCTCGAAGCTCTGTTCACAAGTCTTTATTTCGAGGCTTTCGAAAATGGCCTGTCCGCTGCCTGTGAGATGTGTGCGAGGAGTTCCATTAACGTTGTCAACCAAGTCGAATTGTCTTGGAGTGTTTTGTGCCGCCTATGTAGTGTCTCCGCATTGTCCTAAGGTAAAGCTAAATTTTCTGAATCTGATAAGATCAACTCCTGTTTCCTTGTATGCTTAGAAGGGGAGGGATCGCAAAGCCTTTTGTCACTCGGGCTGGACGTAGGCGCATGAGACAAACCACCATGTAAGCCGATTTTGAGGTGAAAATGGGTGTCATTCCAGATGTCCACATGGGGCGCTCCTAGCCATGGACATGTTGAAGGTTAATGCTTTGGCCTCTAAGGCAGCCGGGCAACTTGGACGGTTGCGCAGTGTGCCTGTTGGGAGTTTTACCACTCGTCCACCGGGATGTCAGTTGTTAATTTCATTCCCCGAAAGGTCGTTATAACCTAACTAACTAATTTTTGGACCTTTCACATGCATTGTGAAAGCATACCTTTTTGATCAATATGACTAGCTGATTGAGGTTCTAGCAATGGTTCTGGATTCAACACTCAGTTTCAATGGTCAATATTCATTTAATTGGTATTCACTCATCATGTACTGGATGTTGGAGTGACTATGTATGTGAAGGGACTCCCAAGTTCCAAAATTGGAAGGAACTTCAAAGCTAAATATACAATGTATATTAAATGGTGCACTATGCATTCATTCCAGCCCTTTCTCCCAATATAGGTAGGGTTCAATGCTTAAGAACATAAATTGCAGACCACTTTCAATGTACCATTGAAGATACCAGACCAATACGAATATTGAATCTACAAATTTAACCAAATCATTAAATCAATCTCGTGGAAATATGAGGCTCTACTTTTGCTCTAGGCGCTGTGCACGCGGCGGAAGGCCTCTCTCTCTTTTGGTTTATCTTTTTTATCACTGGTCCACGCCACACGACCGCACAATTCGACTTGATTGACTCTCAATTGGTTTCTCTATTACAGAGTTGGAGATTTGCTAGACCGCGGTCGCCTTGCTACAATATGCATACTAAATTTTTCTTTCCTCCTTACCCACCGTCAACCTCAATACCCAGTCATCCATTGTATCATCCTTTGAACATCTAACCTGCAGGAATCTTGCACTCGACTCGTGCTCCGCTCGACCCCGACACGGGCGCACATCATCCCCGATGAATCGTGAAGATCGGCGGGACCCACCCGGGATCCCCGCCATTCCCGCTACATTGCGAATCGACAAAATCAGCAAATCTTGAAAGCAGCGTGGAGTTTCTGGCGAGAGCGTGAGAGCTGAATAGCTTTCGCCTCGGGTCAATTCACTCGAATGGCGATTGCGGGGAGAGTGGGAAAAGCTCAATGCACACCGGTGTCGATATATATAACTGCGGTACGTATGATTCATCCCGCAACGAGTTTGAGAACTTGTTCAGATGTAGAAAGCCTCGAAGCACTACTTTGGTTTGAAGGATGAATGGCAGACGTTCTAGATCACCTTGGCCTGTGGTACAGGCATGACATTTCCTAGCCATGACCAAGGGGTATCCAGTTTATCATCTCACAGGACTTTCACCAGCTGCACAACCTTAAGAAACCGACCAAAACTGCACTTCATCGCAAATTGACAGCAATTTACGATATGAGTTGTTGTATTGGCTCCCTAATTGCCTGTTTGATTGGGGACTTTCTCGGTCGGAGTAACACCATCACGAATTTATGACTGTTGGTGCTATTCTCCAAGCTGCATCCTACAACCCGGGCCACAATGTGACCGGCGGCGTGGTCGCGGGGATTTGGCAATGGCATGATTGCGTGTTAGATCTTGACTTGCTCTGCATGGATTTTAATTTTCTTGGTTCGGTTTGAACACTCGGACGGTACCCTTCTGGCATGTCGAAATGTCCAAGATCCAATGGCAACAGAAACTGGTCATTCAGAAGAACTGCCTTTTTCTGGCCGGTTTTGCATTTCTAATACGCTGGTTTGTGGTCTTTCGTTTTCCGAGGGTCCCGTTTCATGGCGTTTCCTCTTGTTGATATTATGCAATGTTCCATGGCTTCTATAGTGCCCAAGATTGTTTTGAGTCTCAACTTGCACTTCCAAGCTTTTTTTTCTTTCTTCCTAGATGACTTATTGCCCTTCACCGCCTGACTGAGGCTATCCAGATCATCGCCCCTATTGCGGGACAAGAGACTTCAGCTTCAGCTCCGCAAGATACAGTACAAAGTGGAATACGATGGCTCCGACGACCTCAGCTTCAGCGATATGATCTGTGGGCAAGGCTGAGAAAAATCAGGGACCAACACAATTCGTCGGCTAGTATTGAGGGTGAGAGCCCAAGCGTTCCAACAATTTACGGGGATTAATGTGACATCTGACTACCTTCCGAACGTGCCAAACACCTTGATCGGACCAAATGAATCCCTGGCTAGACTACTTACAGCGTGGATTTGCTTCCCATCCATCAGAACTCCAAAATTCGAGCCCTGGGCGCTGCGCAAGCTGATGATGTTTGGCTGTTTAGTGATGTGTTTCTGCTACGTCTTGTTTTCACAACAGCTCTGATCCGTGAATGGCCTGTCTGTATACCCAGATCAACAGTAAGTCACCTTCGCCTCAGTGGCATTCTTCTTCCTTCGCTACGTTTTCAATGTCACTGGCATGCAGGGCGTGCCCTGGCGTGAGTCGAATATGGTTGATCCTGCCCACGGGGTTCGTTTCAGCGCTAACAGTTGGATTCACATCGCAGTCTATCCTACTGAGATCAACTCACTCACCATGCGAACAAGGGAGTGGCTATGCGGGTCGCAACAAATTGCATTATGAACTTTGTGGTTGTCTAAATCACGCCGATTGGGATCCCGAGTCTCGGCTCGAGATTTTCCATCATTTGAACTGCATTGAATAGGGAGGTTGTACCCACAGTCTACCTGTTCTGCCCGGAGACAGCTGGATGGCACTGGATGACATGGATGATTATTACCGTGGCAATGCGCCTGCTCTGGCATGCCTCGGCAAGGAAGCAGTATCTAGCAGATGTCCTGAGAGGTACCAAGTGCACGATGAGCACAAGATGCCTGGTAAGGGAGGTGGTGCGAAGCATGTTGAGAGTATGGCATTGGAATGGCTACATGGCTACAACGAGACTTGATACTGGGACGGGATTCATGCATAGAAATTCATTACAGAGATTAAAGAGGGAAATTTTAATTCTTTGGAGCGTCGGGCAGAAACATCATTGATTTTCATCAGCACACACCATGATCCAAGATAGAATGTAGGTACAAAAGGAAACGCCTTCGGCGGGGAAACTTGCATGCAAGAAACAGAAAAGAGCCATAAGTTCGATACATCAGTCAGGGAAAAACAAAAGGCAAAGAAAAAAGGGTAAGCACTTGCATGCAACAATAGAGGGTGAAGTGGACATGGACATGGGAACCAGGAATCGTGGTCGGGAAAATGAATTGAAAAGGGAAGAACAAAAGAAAAAAATCAGCAAAAAGGAATGGGCCCGTCCTAGCTTCCACGCGTGTCATCAAGTACAAGTCAAGACAACACGGGGTACTAGTCGCCAGCACTGCGCAGAAGTGCAGACCCGTCGCTGGCGCATCGCGCACCAGTCCCGATAAATGTGGGCAGTGTACGACGCCCGTCATTGATCCATAAGCACAAGGTGCAAGTGAATCTCGGAGTAGAAGACCTTTTGCCATTTCCCCTCCCAAAACTTCTTACAGAAATGGGCATCCGACCAATGATCTTTTATAACCAAGAGAGGCGGATGATGGGGGTGAAAGAACCACCATAAGTTGCCCACAATTGCGCAGCTCAATCACAACCACGGAAGCCTCAAGGTTCGCAAACCAACCCCAAGTATCCGTACCCAAGAGCGCGATTTTCCAGGCGTGGGACTGGGATCGACACCCCTCCCTGGACACACTTATCACGATGTGCCCAAGTAGTCCCCCCGGAACGAGTATGAATCGAAGAATCACTCCTTGCTCAGAAACCGTCATGCCCGCGTGAAATACTAGAAGAATAATCAAATTAAGGCAAAGCCAAAGGACACACCATAGAGTTTGTATGCACCCAGAAGTAAATCCATACCATGCATCAGGGGGCTGTCGAAAGAAGAACACCATATCAGCCCACAGGCAGACCCGAAGATCTCTGCCGACAGGCAGATCCAAGGCGGTGTTTCCGCAGTGAAAACCTGGCAACGTCAACATGGAACCGACGACAGAGTGCATTGCATCCAGTCAGTCCAGGCTGAGATCAAGAAGAATGCACCAATGTAAGCTCGTGAATGCTGACGACTAGACGAATAGTGGCGTTGGCCATCAGCAAGCCTCAAATGAGCGAGATAGCATATCTGTTCCATTCCATGAGAGCATACGGGCATCGATGGGAGATTGTGCGCTTCATTTGACTTTTTCACTGGACACATTGGCCTTCAGCGGGTCCTTCGGCAGCACGCAAAACCCAAAGATCTTTCATGTGCAACGCGTTGCTGAAAGTCCGTATTGATCAGGAACCTTTGAGCAAATTGGTCATGGAACCAAAAGCCTGTAAATCCAACGCCCACAAGTGAGGAAGAAAGAAAGAGAGGAAGAGGGGAAGGAGTAAAAAGGTATTTATGGGCAGAGGTGGGGGGAGGGACACTCTTAGAATCAGCCTCTATCCACTCCTGATTTGATTCAACCAATAGAAGAGCAGAATCAGGAAGATGCTCAGTCCACCTGATCCGCATTGACGAATTAGGAAATGTTTGGTGATTTTTGTGACCCCCCAGCCTTAGGCACCCATCACCATTCAGGCTCGACCAACCTCGCTGCTCACCATGTACTAGTACTATAATACTAGTAGTCTCTTTGATTCGTTTGATCCTCGTATTTGGGAAGATTACTACAGTGAACAATGCCTTTGTGGTTGGGAAGTTACTATTGTTTAAGGTTTGATACTTGCATCTGTCAGACCCACCTCCGGCCCACAAACACATTCTTATCATGATTACGCGCTCTTTGTGTTTGTTCAACACAGGCAATTTTAACTTGCACCCAGAGTCATCTATGCAAACTGAGCCAATGTCATTTAATCTCTGGCATGTATCAATGAATTCCAGATTGGTGGCAACTGCTTCCCAGAACCACCCGCTCAAGCCCACATGCGATTCAATCGGCTCCGTTCCAATTAGATCTCTCCAAATTGACCATGCGAACAAGTCTTCCAAAGCAGAGAATGTTGCTGTCCACCAAGCACCAGCCGAAAGATTTTTGTGATACCCTCTCCCTGTCTTGTCAGACCAAGAAACAAGGCACTAACTACTGGTATCTTCTTGGGCTCTCGAATGCTTTCTCCACGTCTGAATCAAGTTGCAGCACAAGAAGTTGCGGGTAATACTGGAGACAGGACCAAAGATGTCAACTTGCTGCCCGAGCAGTAATTCAGTAATATAGTGCATCTTGCGCAGGGAAAATACCTACCACTTAATTCTTCGCTAATCTGACCAAACTGGTAGTAAAGAGTTAATCAAGGGGTCCTTTAGTAAAAACCTACCAAGGACCAATCAGTTTGCATCGCTAACCTAAGCGACGAACTTCACGCGTACAACACTACATTGAGCAGCGATAAAGCAAAATACGTGCTTCAGCAAAACTCTGGGGTCTGTTTTTGTTTTACATGAAGATTAAATAAGCAAGCCTTTCAATGTTCAACAAATTGTTTGTGGCTAGGGTTCCAAGGTTGGAGAGCCCCGTCGGCTATTTGTCCAACTTCTCGAGGCTCTCCCCACCCCACAACACAGCATCAGCCTCGACGACGGGTCGCTTTTATTCACCTGCTCAGATCTCAGCCAGTGTATGGAGGGTTTAAGTCTGCTGGAGCTTACAATATGTATTGACAGGAGCTGAACATTCAGCTTTGCCTCCTCCTCGGTATCATACACCTATTCGGATCTTAGCCAATGTATGGAGGTTTCAAGCCTGCTGGGGGGTCACACTGTGTATCTATCGAAGCTGAATTTTCAGCTGCGCCTCTCCTTTTTACCAGTCACCTATTCATATCCTCGGCAAACGGAGGTTTTAGGCGTTCTGAGGCTACATTTCGTATCAACAGAAGCTGGACTTTCAGCTTCAAAAAGTACTGCATTGCATGAAGCCATGAAAGAGAATCAATTATAAAGGCTTTGACTCTTCCTGTCAAATCTCTGCTTCTATGCTCTTCAGAAAATAATTCAATAGAGCTCCAACGAGCCCTTCCATATTTTCCTCATTTCGAGTTCGCCTGTGAATCCCCCTTTCATTACAGAAAGATGGCTGAAGGTACCATTGGCTCCCTCCAGTTAAAGAAGCACTCTCTAACAATTAAAGTACTTTCTGTTGAATTGAAAAAAACTCACATACCAATCTCGAATCCATTTAATGATGAGAATCCGCTGTACTCTTTGAGCTTCAAACTGTGGGGCTCGAACGGCGAGATTGTCAACCCCGCTACGATTAGCCTGGACAACTGGGCCCAATTGCTTGTGAAGGTTCAAGGGGCCAATTTAGACGAATCAGAAGAATCATTGAAGCACTTGAAGTTGATCGGCATCCCCCAGTTTTCCGACAATAAGCCCAGTTTGGAGTCCCTGTCCAGGTCACCATTCTACCTCGAAAGTGACAACTGCGTCGCAATTAACAAGATCTTTGAATTCACCGTGAAGTTCAAACCTTATTCTACGACTGTTCCATGGGGCTTTTGCGGCGACGTTATCTGGTTTTTGAAGAATGACCCTGAACCGCCTGTGTCGATCCTAACCCCAACGCAGTTGGAGGTGTATGCCATCGTTGAGGATATAGCACTGGCCTACCAAAAACTCGGCATTCCTCGAGAACTATTGAAGCTTTTTGTTCTTCCGACAATCGAACAAAAGATCGCTAAACTTGAGGATTGGACCAACTGGGTAGTACGCAGATGCCACGCATCAAAATATGATGTCGAGCCTTTGGGATCCATTGAGCGTATTCACTGCTACCGCTATGATATCGGAGGGGGCAGACGGAACTTCCTCAGCGACGTGATGTTTGATCTGGATAGCTGGTTGAAGAACCGTTTCGAGGAAATGGAGGGTCAGCGGAAACCACAACGAATCAACTGCTACGACCAGGCCGGCCTAGTGAATTGTTGCTTGTTCCTCGGATACCCGTATAAATTCAAGGGAGGAGATGACGTAAAGAGCCTCCCAAAATGGTTAACTAAGAACAACAAGCAGAACATCGACCTTGGAGTAGAGAAATTCACCATAGGTGTGTGGTGGAAGGGGTGTGAGAAGAAGGCGCAACATATACCCCGATTCGGATATATCAACGAAACAGATTTAGTGGGCTGGGGCATCACCAATGATCCGTTCTTTCGACATGCTCTCACCGGAGAAGCACGATCCGATTTCAAGAACCACAAATGGGTAAGTATTCGCAGCGGAGGAGACATCCTGGCTGCGGATGCCTGCGCTGGTCCTGCTTTGCCGTTCACGAAGGTTCCCGATGTCTCTCCTGTGACTTTCGCAGGTGCAACAATTGACGACTATCTTGACTCGGTCATCGATGTGGAAGGAATACCCGCTGATGAGAAAGAAGTGGCATGGAAGTACAAAGATTTCAAATTGCACGATGCCCGCTTGACGCAACCTGTGCAAACAATTGGATCTATTCACGAAGAATGGAAGTATTACGATTTTGACGAACCTGTCGAGAAAAGGATTCGAGACCTTCTAATCGAGGAGTCTAAGCCAATTCTTTTGAATGTTGACGACCTCTTGGACTTCATCAGGGCCAAATTCCCAACGAAGCGCGGATGGGCAGTGCCAAGGCATTGCATACAGACTGTTGCAAACCGCTCAAACATCACCTTGCATTTATATCATAATTCCAAGGAAGAGCCACACAATATGGATAATGCAACGTCAGTTCCGCCAAATGCCACCAGAAAATATCTATTTATTGAAGTTGATATCATGAAGACTCTGGAAGCAGCATTGAACCAAGCACGAACTGAAGCTGCGGGTTTCTCATCAGGTTTAAATCACCTGGTGACCTTCGAAGTTGAGCCTGAATGCCAGGCACACCATGTCTCTGGGGAGAAACACGAATGTTTGGACGCAGACCTTCACTTGAAGCCGGCAGAGGGCATGGCCACTCAGTACGTGATGATATTTTCAAATATCCTGATTCATATCAGGGGAGAAGGCATGGATCAAGAGGCGGCGAATTTGAGCAAGGATGTGAGGCTTTACATCAACAAGATCAGAAGCGATGATTTGGCAGCAGAGGCAAAATCGAATGAAGATGGAACGCAGGAGAGTATTGTCTCTCGGGAATTAAAGGAGTTTCTAAATGTGAAAATGCCCAAGTCAATAAAGGTTGGCCTAGAGGTGGAGATCCCAATTAAAGTATGTTTTATTCCTTCCTTTTGTTGCCGGAAGAAAACTGACAAGAATAACCCCCTAGTCCCCCGACTTTCCCCACTTCGCCAAGATCGCCCAAATGAATATCCATTCTGAAACAGGCGTATGTTCTTTCCTCTTCCCCCATATCCCACCTCTCAGCTCTGATGTATCATTCTACTAACCAAACAATGCCTTTTCTTTCGCAGAATATCTACATTCAGCAACCCATCTGGGGTGATGATGGATGGACCATCCGATTCATGGCACGGACAACGGAAAATACTGTCCTTGTTGATGGTGAGTGGAAGAAGGTCGAACATGACACACTGAAAATCACTTTCGCCGAAATATCCACCTACACCCCTGGTACTTTGGAATACGGTGTGAATATCGACGCGGCATGAAGTTCTAAGTTAATGGTCCATGAAAGAAGGGATATGAAGTCGGACTTTTTCGTGTTACTAGTTGTCAGCGCGCACGCAAGAATGCTCATCCAATTTGTTTTTTGTTTTATTTCCAAGAACCTCAGTTTTAATAACATTTTTACGACTGTGGGTCCGATAATACTAGATTCGTGACAATCATTCCAAGCGGCCTGCTGCGTGGCTAGCTATTCCCTGCTTAGTCTGATTTCATCAGTATGGAATCTGAGGACCTGAAAGCATTGTCGGATTTAAATTATTTGATATCACCACTGGTGAGATGCCAAAAAGTACTAAGTTCTCTAAATTCCATGCTCTGAGTCTTCTGATTCACTTTGAAATGCATGTCACTCCGGTGTGTAGCTTCCTGCTCATCTTAACGCCAAGGATTGCCAAGAAAGCCAAGTAAATATGAATGCTACACTGATGACAGTCGGCTATTTTGACTGAGTAGAAGAGTTAAATGCGCAGTGTCGAATTAGTGGCGTCCGTATTAGATGCCAAGATGCCTCGGCTCTCATTATCCTTGGCTTCATAATGCATGTATTTGTTGCGGATCTTTTGAAATAAGTCAGCATTCACCCCGAACTTCCGGCCAGTCTAACCAAAAGAATGCTCCTCAATGCAGATCTGCTTACTTCCCCCATTCTTGGCATCATGGGTTCCTGCTTGATGAGCGGTAATTCCGCGACCATTAACCTTAAGTGGACTAATCGCTGCAATCCATTGATCCTGCACCGTGGACACCGAGACATCACACGCCTAAGCAGCCACGAAGTAAGTCAAGTGACCCAAAAACTGAATTTGAACCCAGTCATAGAATGGATCCTCACCTGCTGACGGGTTGCGTGATTTAGATTGGACATTGCTACGCAGAAATAAATCAGTTTTATGAACCATTGCTGACCTCTCTTTAACCACTTTTAAAGTGATATCTGATTCGTAGAAAATACACATCCAATAACATCCAAAACGTGCCGATTCATTGGAATATAACTTGCTGCATTGCCACCTAAGAACGTGATTTGGTGAGCTGTGCACAAGTTTATACAGCCAAGGCAGGATGTGCTCATTTAGATATCGAATAACTCAATCTTGGACGCCTGATGGTTATTTAGCTGATGTGAGACGAGCGATGCAACTCGAGGTTGGGGTAACATGGAGGATTCTTCATTGGGAAAGTGTTAAGACACGGCTTGATCAAGTATGTCAAAGCGTGAGTCTGCAGGGATGTCAAGCTAATATAAAACACACAACCCATCCTGCAATTTTGAAAGGTAATTTCAGACTCTATCTATCCACAGAAATTACCAATCTCGATAGCCCATCCCTCGTTTTTTTTTTAAAGTGACCTTTGCAATGCTGAACAGATCAATCTACGCAATGGGCCTACTGGCCCTCAGCCTTTCCAGCCAAGCGACGCAGATATTCAGTAACACCGGAACAACCTCCGGTTGGGACTCCACCAACCAAGAACATGAAGGTACTGTGCAGCAAGTCACCAACGTGGTCTACCAAGGATCAACAGCCTTGAAGATGACCCAGATCTACGACTCCAGCTACACGGGACGATATCACTCCGAGGTAGTGAAAAACGACGTCTACAAACGGGGTGACACTGGCTTCTACGGGTTCGCCTTCCGTCTTCAAGAGAGCTGGCAATTTTCGCCCGCCCAGTCATATAACATCGCCCAATTCATAGCCGATTTCTCTGACACCGGGTGCGACGATTACATGCCTTCCAGCATGGTCTGGCTTCTTGGAGACCAGCTTTATTCCCGTGTGAAGCAGGGAACGATCTGTGCACAGAAGATCCAGACATTTTCCAACCTCGCTACCGTCTCTGCAGGAGTGTGGCACAAGGTTGAGATCCAGGCGAGCTGGCAGACAGATGGGACTGGGTACTATAAGTTGTGGTTCGATGGGACGAAGGTTTTGGAGGAGTATAATATTGATACGACGATTGAGGATGATCGGGAGTTCCAGTTCCGTGTTGGTCTGTATGCTAACGGGTGGCACGATGATGGTGAGCTGAAGGGGACGCAGGGAACCCGGCAAGTTTGGTATGATGAGATTGCCGCTGGATCGACTTTTGCAGATGCCGATCCTGATCAGTGGTAAATGAGATGAAGGCGTTGGAGCTGAAGGAGGTAGCCAAGTTGGATCAGGACCACATAGTGAGATTATGGATTGACATGCACGCTACAGTATGGCTCGTAGTCGGACGAGACAGGCTGCAAAGTGTATGAGAGTAATTCTCAAATCTCTCCACTCCCCAGTGCCTGCAAAGCCCCGTTTGCCAAATTAAGTCACCAAACAATATCTCTTGGTTATCTATCGTTTATACTGCGCCCTCTAATTAACATTGTCTTCGAACCTCTCTCTAGTCTTCTGCTCAACGCAAGATGGAATGCTACAATTGAAAAATGATGACCTGATCGGAGCTAAGCCTAATTCGGGTGATGCCTTGGTACCTGAGGAAGCCTGCCAATTACAACATAAATGGCATCAACACCGCAACTAGTACCTGAAAGGATAAATGAGATCAACACTGCAAACATTAACTGAAAAGCTCTAGCTATCTGTTTACATGGAGAATGACGTAGGATTAAATTGCAGGACCCTGAAACCCTGAAACCCTGAAACCCTAAGGGTCAGCCCCGAGCATGATGTAGCACGTTTTGATTGGCCAATGTGGTCACCAAGTGGAGACTTCCCCATCCACTTAACGCCAGTGACGTCGATTGTCGTGCTTTCCATGTTTTTATGCAAGTGACCGAATGATTAATTTCCTCGTCTATTAATTGATACAAATTGCCCCAAGGTTTTGAGATCTTCATAATCTGGTCAGATCTTCGCAAAAGATTGTCAGTCACTGCTCGAGAACTGCCTTGTTTTGGCTGCTGGCATCATGAAGGAGTCAACCATTGTGCTCCAGGGCTTTGTCCAAGCTTGTCTCTTCTCCATAATCTCCGCAGCACCAGCTCCGACTGCATTCCCAAATACCAACAATGTCGCCCCGCGTGACCCTGTTATCACACCTTCCCCTGTCGAACGTCACCCTTCTCCGATTGTTAGAAGAAACCTATTAGACGATGTTGACTCCTACGTCGATAGCGTTCTTTCGGGGCTCGGATCTGACCTACCTACGTGGGTCGCATCTGGTGTTCCTAACTTCTTCCAAGGGTTCCCAACTGGGGACGCGGTTGTCAGCTCCCTAGGCCTGGACAGCACGGAATTGGCAGCATTGCCGACCAATGCGCTAAACATCGACCCCTATGCGAACTGGACCAACTCAGGTTGGAACGTGCGCTTCCACGGAAACATCTACAAACAGCCCAACACTTCAGTTTCGGACCTGAATAAGCTGGCTGATGTCTTCCTCGTCAATACAAGCATCTCCGACCTCCCCGAATCGCAACAAAAACAGGCACGGAACCTGACAGCAGATATCTATGTTGTCCAGCAGCCCAATGTGGCCGTGAACACAATTCACCTTGAACCTGCCCCCAGCCAGGGAGCCAGTGGACAGCCAGGCGGTGGTGGATCATCGAACACAACAGGTGGGACGCAAGACATTACTTTACCTTACAACACAACAGTCGAAGGTGATTTCGATACCTTTGTGACGATTAAGAGCAATGGACTCACTGCCGGAAATGAAACTTCCGCGATCCAGAGACTTAACACCTACGTCGATGGTGCAACTATCGGGAATAGTACCGCTTACCTTGTGCCTCCCACTGGACTGACTATTGTCTCCGACATTGACGACATTCTGCGTGTCACCAAGATCTACGAACCGGAACAAGGATTGCTCAATTCCTTCGCCCGCCCATTCACCGCTTGGGAGAATATGCCGGACATTTACCGGAACTGGTCCATCAGTGTTCCCAATATGCACTTCCACTACCTGGTAAGTCTCGTAAGTTCCTTGTTCCTATTCAACATGCTGACCATTATCACCATCATAGACTACCACTCCCGAGCAGATCACCAGAAACTACATGGAGTTCATCTACGCCAACTACCCAGGCGGCTCCTTCGACACCCGTCCCCTCAACTTCAGCGATGTTTCCGCCACACTCTCCATCCGCAAGTTCCTATTACAAAAGGTCTTCGAGACATTCCCCGAGCGCAAGTTCATCCTCATCGCAGATACCAGCAACAGCGACGTCATGAAAGACTACCCAGAGATGGCCACAGAATTCCCCGGCCAAGTACAATGCATCTGGCTACGGAACACAACTGCCACCGATCCAGGAGACAAATTCCCATACGACACATCCGGCTTCAAGAGCTTGAACCAATCGAACTACATGTTCTTCCTGCATCCAAATGACCTGACCAACCTGGATGTCGCGAAAGGAGAGTGCTACAACACGTCCATTCCCCAGAACTTAACCTTCGGGTACCAGGGACTTCCAGATGGACTCGGGGATAGCACGTCAGTTAATGGATCGGCAAATCACACCGGAGCTGCTTTTGCACTTACGCCAAGTGCATCGGGCGGTTTGCCGAGTCTTATTGCATTGGTTGCGGTTATGTTCATGGGAACCTTCATCTTGTTCTAAGTATATGCAGATATGAATAATGTTGTACACGAAGACTAGGACCAATTCCTTGATTTGCTTGATGGCAAAGCAAAACATATCAATGATCCATAATTTATAGCTCATAAATTGGTTCTATAAAACATGTTAGCCTTATCGGCCACCCGCACTAGCGCGGTGTCTACTTGATGGGAAAGTAGCTAGCAGACCGAGCACGAGACCGAGTGATTTCAACGAGGGGGCACATTAGAACTAGTAGATAATCGAGTAGAATCCTGCAATGCAGCTCATTGTGAAATTCACCTTATCAGTCCAAGAGGACGCCGTGCCAACTAACCGGTCCATTAGGAAACCACCTCTCCTCTCAGTGCAACCTGAAATATTGATGAAAGGAGAGATTTCCAATGTTCGGGGGACAAGACACTCTTGATAGAGAAAGGTCACTTGTAATTGACTGCGCGAAGCCGGTGTCGAGGTAGTCCAGTCATGAAGTATGACGCATCCAATGCCACTCTGGATTGACACTGACGTCCATCGGACCTTTCAATTGTATAGTGAGCCTCGACTCTAATTTTGCCCGTGCCGTCTCTATCGAGTGGCTCATCTCAAGCCAGTAGTTCATCTTTACTTCCAGTGCCAACCCTAGCGGATCAGGGTAGGTCGCAATGGAAAGAAGAGAAGTGGATGGTCTGGAAGAAGCTGGATACCGTCCAGTATGGGACTGGCAACGTGGACAATCTTGGGAACATGCTGGTCGATGATGATGTAGTATCTTTGCTGACATGAGAGACTCAAACTCAGGAGACGAATAACAGGCAATCCGCTACCTCGTTTAGAGGTATCAGATGAATCATGACAAGTCATGATAAACCATGCTCACTTATTCAGCTACATAGTAGGAGACACCATATCTTGGCATCAAAAACAGAATGATACCTGGTGCCGAAGCTGCACAGACTTTCATCATGAGTGCCCATATGTAGTGCAATAGCCAATCTATTATATATCGTGCTAACCTTGGAAATTGACCGTCACCTAACGGATGACCGAAATCGGGTGGGGCCCGTAAATCAAAATATTTAACAATGAGCCAAAAATTAGACCTTAACATTTATTTGAACACTTAAGGAATGCTCTTCATCTTAGACTTAAGCTCGATATTTCCAGATGCAATCAACCCTCTATTACTTGGGTACATTGTGGACATTTGGGACACACCTTCAAAACCTCCCCTTAACTTTGATCTTTTTCCAATTCTGCTTTTATTTTTCCAATTCTGTGGTTTCTCGGCAACAAACGGGGGGCCCCGAAAAAACCCAGGACGCCCTCTTCATCAAAAAAAATAGGGCTTTGCAACGGCGGCAGTGAAGTCAGCCATTTGGCTATGTAGCTAAGTTATGAAACAAAATAAAGAAAAGCATAACGGAATAGAAAGGGGGGAAACAACGATATGGAGTAAGCTGATGTTCACCAGCTTGGCGGTGGTGCCTGGAGGTGGTTTGGGGTTGACTGACAGCCTCGGACAGACTGGTCGCTTGGTACTAGCTGAGAGAATGACTGGCTAAGACTAGCCGATTGCTTGGGACTAACCGGCAGCTCGGTTAATTGTTTGGGGTCAATCGGCTGGTCCTCAGTGACAGGCTCATCGTTCTGTTCGACTATGACGGCAGGTTCCATTATGGCTTTATCCTGCCACTTGGAACGCAGATACACCTGATCCTATGCCCTCTACCAATGCTGGCGGAGCGAGCAACGTCCAGATGTCGCTGTTTTGTGCCATGATAGACAATTCAAGGTTTAGTATGCCAGTAAGAGAAGTAGGGAGTTCATGTTCCATCCCCTGAGCGACCAAGTAGTCTTCGTGAGAACCACGTGAGGCTTTCACGTTGTCTAGGGCGTTCTTCAAGCTAGTAGCTACCCTGGATAGGTCGTAAAAGTGACCATAGAGCAGATCGGTGTTGTCCTTCATGATAAGCTCCTATGCTTTCCATATCTGATCCTCAGATTGGTCAGATCTCAGCTTCGTCTTCCATTCGAACACTGTGCACAAGTCGTCAAAAGGCGAGCAAGGAAGCACGCTTGTGGCTTGATATTAAAATATCATGGTATAAATTACTGTACGATACATTGTAGAAGACTGGGTAGGAGTCAGTAGAAAGATTAATGTTCTAAGCGCCGCGCAAAATGTGCCTCGGTAAGCCTTAGATATCTGCTTACACCGTTCTCATGTCGTTGCAGTAGAGCCTAAAGTGTAATCAGTTATACAAGAAGAAAAGAATATTTCTATTATCAGACTTAAATTGCGTAATTGACCGACTAGACTTCACATCCTAAGAGATAATACGACACATATTCCCCCGTCAATAGTAAACAGGCTTAAACGAGATATTGTAAAACTCCCTCTCCTCTCTACTTTTCCTGCTTCCTCTTTCTACCCCAACCTCACCTTCTTCCATTCTCGCTTCTCTACCCGCTCTGCTAGATTCTTTTATTCTCACCTCTCTGCTAGTTCTGCTGGCTTATTCTCTTCTTACTCCTCTACTCATTATGCTATCTTTCGCTCTGATCTCCGAGTTCCCATACCGATACCGCTTCTCCTCAGGTAGCAGCCCGCTTATCCCTGTGGTCTCCCCAGGTACTGGGTCAATAAGACACGCAGATGGCCCTCGGCCATATTGTCTATTTGTGAGCTCCCAGCAGTTATTTTATATTCTGAATGCCTTTACTAACAAGTCAAAAAACCTAGTCCCGACACATGGCAGTCAAGTGATCGGCACCCCTATGGTGCTCCCTACCACTTCGTATGATGTGATTAGGATGCAGCCTAACCAGCTGGCGGCGCATATCCTTACCCTACCTTATAGGGTTATCAGAAATCGAGGCCGTATGCCTATTGTCAACATCGAGGCAATATTTGTAGAAGTCGAACGAGCAAAGCCAAGTACGACAACACCAACATCACAACTGGCTATCTTGGGTGGATCATACCCGATCACCCTAGCCTTCAAAAAGGGTAGGGTGATGTCACTCAGAAGTCGCATTCCAATCAAATTAAAAAGGAATGTGCGTGATAAGCATATCTCTGTCACCCTGATGCTTGATGGCCGCCATAAGGTCGTGGAAAAGGAGTTTAGTGAGATTATTCGGAAAATCTCTGGCCATCTCAGCATAACTCCAGTTGATGCGTACGAGACAGACGCATCTGTTCTGATCTTAGCCAAAGTGAATCTTGATGTTTGGGCCCGCTTTTCACATCACTTCGACTTTGATTTTGTGGGAGTGATTGTGGAAGAGACGAGAAGATGAGAAGATAAGATTAGGAGATGAGATGAGGCGATGATCCTGCAGCCAAGTAGGGAAAAAATACCATCTACACCCCTTCAAGAGCCATTCCGCAGAAAATTAACCATCAGTAAAGATGATATATTCAACTCCGAACCTCTATTAGGGATATCTTCTAAGCTCTTGGAGTAAAATATCTCATATATATAAAAGTCATCTTACCTTGTATACCCCTTTATCTCTATCTCTTTCTTTATCTCTCTCTTATTTACCTTTCTCCTTTCCTTGGTGGGTGTAGGTGAGGTAGGGGTAGGGTGTCATTATCCTGCTAGTTCTGGCTAAAGAGCAGGGCAGAACTGCGACCCACAAAAATTGGTCCCCAAAATGAAGCTAACAACACTGAATATCACTCAGTCCCATGCAGGTAATGACGTCAGAGAACGTAGGTAGACACGGGAACGAGTAGATACAGCACTCTCTGGAGACATGCCCGGCAGCTGTATGTCTGGTTACCGTGGAAGATGCGAGCACAGGGAGCCGGATCTTGTGCGATTCGTAGACAAGATTCGCGGAGGCTGAATTCTGAAACGAAACGATGACTTGCCGAGAAAAATAATCGGCTCAACCTGTGCTATCGTTCGTTTCTCAGTTAGCTCACAGGGCGTTGGCTAGAGGAATTCCCAGCGAAATGGCCGATCTTAAATGAATTGATTAGCTTTGATTAGCGAAGCGAGCTGTTTCCATCTCAAGGATAGCTTTGGAGGGTAGGTTCCAGGTCAACAGGCATGAAGTTAGTTAGTATGCGATCATTCCCAGATCGCCTGAAATCTCCACAGTGTGCCTTCACTCGGGTATTGTTTCTTGAGCACTCGCCTGAGACCTCGATATACCTAGTACGGTTAATATACCAATTGGAAGTACAAGACGGCAAACGAGCTGCCAAAAACGGCCGCAATCAACGCTGTTTCTGGCTGTCAATCTGCTACGCACTCCACCACGTCCCCGTGAATTTACGTCCACGCACTGCCACGCCCCGGGTGTGGACCCACTCGAACCTCATCTCCCTGCACCGCAGTATAACTTCAGGCACACGTTCCTGAGGCCGGCCAATGCAAAATTTGCATAGACCTCAATGTGGTCTTAGTCTCCAAAACACACGAAAATTGACCGTTGTAAACAGTGGCCACCCTCTTTTGTAAAGTATGCCTTGCTCTGGGTCGAGTGAACGTCTGACGAATGGGGATTTCTCAAGCATCTGTGGCTTTGAATCTCGTCAACTAGAGTGGGAGCCCATGAGGGGAATATGGCGCGAGCCTCGTGGTTGAAAAGCGCTAAATGGTGATGAACGGGATTATAGTCCAGAAGGTCGTTGCGGAACTCAAAATCAATGGAACATCTCTCGTCGTAATCCTCGTCGGACTGTGAGAGGTACCGGAGCTGCCATAGGCCCTTATTGTAGGATTTTAGAGCTGAGTGGTCTTGATCGGGTGGAGCGAGACACCATATCTGCATACGTAGCTCTGGGGGCAGACTTGGACCGTAGGGAAAGATTAATTCTATGGCCCAACTTCTTGAGATGTCGCCATGGCAAAGCAGGTCTGCGGGAGATAAGAGCGGAGTGAGTGCTGGGATTTTGAGGCTGAGGCCGTGCAAAGTGGCATGATACTGGTGGGTAGGGGTACTTTTGAACCCTTATCATTTTAGCAAGTGTTTACTAGCTTGCTTTTTACGCTCTCTTTGCTTAAACTTTTCACTTATTCTGCACTACGTCCTAGTCTCTGATCACTATTTTGATCACTCCGTCTCCCTAACCTCTTTTGCCCACCCCCAACTGCGCTCTCTGCATTGATCACAGAATCTTGGGATTTCCTAATTGCACATCCATAGGGAGAAATACCAGCATTCTAAACCGCACCCTGTTTTTTAACTCGGGAGGTCCCGGCGCAACACAATCAGAGCACAGCAGTAAAAGGTGGTGGATTAATTCATGGCAGAAGAGCTGGTGAAAAATCATGAAATATTAATTCTGGAAGGACTTAGGTGGCTCAATGTCATTCGAGCCCGTATAAAGGTTGATGGTCAAGAACCCTCCGGTATGGCCTATGCGCACTGTTTGATAAGGTGCCGGGGTTTGTGGCGGCACCGGTTAGTTTCCAAGGGTCTTTAGTACTGTTCGAAACTTGTGCCTTCCTTATCGATGCCGAGAAGGGTAGGTATCTGAAATTCAGCATTGATAGAATGATGTATGATCCAAAAATGCGACTCTGGCTGTTGAAAAACTTTGTGAATGTGAACGGGTCGCCATACTTCTTTCTTGCTATTCTGGTGTAGCTTTCCTGTCCTGTTTTGCTAAATTATCCAATGGTTCTATTTCTCACCTTTTCCATGTACTTAGTGATTAGTCACTATTAATCGTACATTTTGTTGTTTTATGTTTTCTAATGTCATAGGCCGCTGCTTGAAATGACGCGCACCCCCAGAAGTTTCAAAAGTGCCTTCTATCCTTCTCTTATTTCCTCTCGCCCTCGTCCTCGTCCTCTTCCTTGCTTGTTACTGAGCTCAACACAACACCTCTGACTCTCAACTGAATAGTGGTCTCTCCATAGCTGATTCAAAGTGGGCCATGCACCTGCAAGAGTTCAGCCACAGACTCTGCTCAAAAATAGGAAAGGGCCGTAATCGTATTTTGCTTGGTGCAAGACCTTATGGATCGGTTTCATAGCAAATCCTCCGTTATGTCGCGTGAAATACTACACTTTGGCCGGTCAATCTAGTTGCCCACCAAATTCGAGCTAGGTCCTCTCAAATACTTTGTCTTTCATTGACTTTTGTAATTCTAGTTTGAAGTTATAAGAGTGAATTTTCAAGAATTTGTATATTCGAATTAAACAGTGCTTGTTTCATGAGCGGTGATCAAATTCGGATGTTCTCCACTTTCAATTCCCGATAGCAGTGACGCGTCCAGTTTGTGAACTCAACAACAAGATGCTGACGATGTTGTTCGAACAAAATTTCAGGGGCCGAAGCTGGGAAGTAGATGCAAAGGTTGGCATCAAATCCAGAGCCGTCAGCGTGAGGTCTGAATTGGTGTAGCACGTAGCCATTGATTAAGCCGTCATCGGTGTGCCCATAACCGCTGAGCTTGAGAGTGAAGTCCTCGTACATGTCTCTCTTCTGAAAAGGCTGAGATGGAGCCTCGAATTTGATGAAGAAGCGAGAGACCCAAGGGCCCAAGTTTTCGATCACTTTTTCGTTGCCATGTTCATCAGAGAGAACAAGCCAATGCTCAGGCTGACCCGCCAGCATGTAAGGGACCTTCTTTTGGCAGCGGTTGCGGAACCATGGAAGGAATTCATTCATAGTAAGACCTTCAACCGAGAGTTCAATGCGAGCGGGCTTGAATTCGCCTGTCACGTTCTCTGCTAGAACTTTACGCCAGAATTCATTTGACTCATCGATGTCAGGTTGAATGAGTTTTTCGATGGCTTCGAGACCTAAGCGGTCTTTGATTCTTTCCAGGCCGCGGCGTGCAAATCGAAGTTCGTATTCATCAGATGTTCCGGCAATGGAGGGACCGATCGTTACATTGGCACTGAATCCTGCCGGGTAGTCAAGGACTTGGGAGGGCATAATGATATGGGTTTAAGTAGAATAAAATGTGATCAGATCCTGTAGAGTTCATGTGCAGATTCGTGCCTTGGTACCTGAGTCATTAAATAAAGATTTCGAGATGAGGGGGAGGCTTTGGTACAAGTAGTGGTGACGTAGTCTGTTTATGCGGTCTCGGGGATCTTGGGGCCACGAAAGTGGTAACTTGTCAACGAGAAAAGTACCTGGCTAATGGCAATAGACCAGGATCTATACTGGACCTTCCGAATCATCCTAATACGCATCAATTACCAGGCCTCGCCCCACGTATGGCGCTCCCCACATAGTCGGCCCGCACAAGCCCCGAACATTAAAACGGAGATCTTAGTCATAGGTCGACGTTTCCCCGTTCTCCACACAGTCGGCCCGCACAAGTCCCGACAGAAAAATGCGAGGCAAATCTGTCGGGCCGCAGGATATCCGCACACGCTAGCACTGAGGGAATCAACCATGAGGCGGTTAGTCGATTGATTGTTAAGGTTCGTCCTCGGCGGTTCACCGCTAGTTTCAATACGTAGTATTAGTCGTGGGACCCGACTAGTGCGTGGTTCAATGCTTACCATCGGCCCCGCATAATACCGAAATGCCCCGTACTGCGCTACTGATACCGAATCCACCAAAAATCAATGTTGTAACGTCGGTCTTAGAAATCAATATTGCGTATTGTCTCGTAAATTGAAATTCATGAGGAACTTGCGTAGCCGGTACAGGCTTTCGAGAATTATGCATCTTAAATAAAAGAAATGCGGTCGAGTCTCTTCTAAACAAAGATCGTCCTTGGTTTATGCATAGGTGTTTTGAATTCTAAAGCACGTAATTTCCATTAAAAGGGAGAGCAGGAATGAATACAATAGGTATTCGTGCCAAAAGGTTTGGAGCCTTGAAAGAAGAGCCGGCCAGGAGGCGTGTTTGGGATAGATATTTAATGATCTCTAATGTAAAGAAACATCACACCTTTTTTCATTTCAAATAGATTAAGTCAAATGTTCAACCCAGCTCTATACAAAGGGTACGCACGATTATCATCTGGAACAAGAAGGGAAAATACATTAAAAAAGTATATTCCATAGCCGATTAATATGATCCTGCATGTCAGTCAGAACATGATGTGATTCATTGATTTCTGACGGGAGATGTTCATGCGTAGGAGCGTTTGGTGGCCTAAAGGTGGTCTCTGCACCACAGGGTTCTGGGCTTGATGAGCGATAAATGCTCCCGTCGAAATCTTCGGCTTCAAACGGGAGGTAGAATGGCTCTGTTATGTCCATGATCGGCAAGATGGATGAGAGATGTACAGACACTAAGCTATGCAACTCAGTGCTGGCTATTTCATCCATAATGGGCATGGACCGCGAATGACACGCAAAGGCTTCTATGTCGCGCGTTGAAATCATAACACGGGAAGCCAGTGTCAGTAGTTTCTCCCACTATGTAATGTGTCAGGTTTTTAAGATGAAAGACCGAGTTGGCAAATTCTTGAAAGATGAAGCTTACCATAATCTGCGCTGGGGCCCATAAGTATCGTAAATGATTCAAAGTAGAAAGGTTAATCAAGGCGCATGACCGAAGGGCACGCAACAGGCGATCACTATTCTCGTGAAATGGTTGTTTGTAAAAGTTGTGCAAATGCAGAAGTGAACCCAATTGAAGTGATGCAGCAAGGAAGCTTGAATACCCAAGAAATGGTGGAATTGAGCTAAGTTGCTCAGATGGGGTTATTACAAGTAAGCGATTCATCGCCTCGGTAAGTGACAGTATATGGCGGACGGCGATGATAGCACTTAATTGAAAGAACTCATGATCAGCAGCATTCCTCCGCAGACTGCAAAGAAACATGTATAAATGCGAGATCGCCCGACAGTGGTGGTAGAGCACTTCGGAAACAAGTGATCTGCGGAGCCAGGTAGAGTTCGAGCCTGGAGAGGGCACTGGCTCCGTATTAAAGGAATTATAGCAAGCAGTCGTGTGGATGTCCAGTTTGGTCAAAGATGATATCATGGAAACGGGATCTTCCACAGCGTGCAGGTCATAAACGAATTGACGGACATGGAACCTGTGAATACGCAATGAGTCAACTCGGAAGTTCTTCACTTTGACATTCTGGGGATTCTCAATATTACCAGCATCCCATAATAGCTAAAAGTTTGGAGTTGGTAGATAACTCCTCGCTTCCATAATCGTAATGTGAATTTTGACCTGCCTGGATACTTTGTAAAATTTCTCTGACGGTTGATAATTTTGGTTTGTCAGGAAGCTCTAGAACGAAGCAAGGGTTGATAGATCGAGGTTTCTGTACAAAACATCTAATAAACCAGTAAACTGCAAAGGTACTTAACGCGGATTGTGATGAGAATTCGATAATGTTGGCCTGCCCTTGTAGCGTCAAATGGAGAGATGATTGAAAGGCAGAGTCTTTGACCATGATTAACTCAGTGCTGATGATAATGTTTTATTGTTTTCAACGATCAATCTCTTACCTGCAATCGACCTGGCTCTATTTATTTGGCCCCGAGAAAACCAATAAAGGGACAGGTGGAATGAGGCCAGTAAAGCTTCCACTGACGGGGAAGGCATTAAAACAGGCATAACCCTGCTTGCTTGTAACACCCAAGAATCACATTGACAGCGATAAACATCACCGCTCGAAGATACATCCGAATATTTTGCGCGAGTATTGAGATGCGGCCGCATCGCCCCTGGGACAAAAATAGATGAAAATGCAAGCAGGCTCCGCAACAAGAATTCCGGGATATTCTTATCCCGGTAATTGAGGAACAGGTCTTCCTTATTGAACAGAACGACTGAATTGATAAATTGGGAGAAGTATGACTGAAGCAGGCCAAGTCTGCGGTCGACCTGGCAGATGGAGTTTGAACTAGTAGACTGCCATTAGAATGATGGACTCCCAGATCTCACAGTTCTTTTGCTGAGGAGCTTACCAGCGATTTTGGTTTTGATTTTCTCTGCGGCTCAGTCGTTGTTCAGCTAGGAGTTTTCGATTAGGAGGCAGGGGATAGTCACAATCAGCCTCAAATTCACGGCAACGTTGGCAGACCGGGAGATCTCGAGAACATTTGCGCTGAGAGAAAAGACAGTCCGTATATTTCGAGTAGAAAATTTAGCCAGTTGACCTACTTTTTGTTCCCTACACCGACGGCAAGCAGTCAAACTAATCATTATCCCTTCATTATTGCCAATTTCTGTCATGTTAATAGATTCCAAGGTCTTGGTGATTGCGCTTTTGCGTTCCCAGGAATAGATTTTGCTGAGGAATCAAGATGGCGTTCCACGCGTGCTTGGCAGTGCAGGTCGGAGGATTATTAGTCCGGCGTGCTATCAATCTTCTAGCCTCAACGTCATCGGGATAAACTATGACGTCTTGCCTCTTCAGATCGAAAGAGTACGCGGTTATTGAATTGAAACTTGATCCATTAATTTTCACGTATCATGATGTTCTTTCTGGGCATTCATTTATCATTATCTGAAAAGAGCAACACTTAGCTCATGTGCATACAAGGCAGCTCGAAATCCAAAAATCAGCTGCTTTTAAAAGAGAAGGGAAAGTTGAGAACTTAAAATATCTTCATGCCAACATCTGATATTGAAAAGTTTGATTTCTTCAATGCACCTTCTCGTCCTTCATATTACACTGGAAAGTGCATACATACATGAATCTCAGATAACCATACTTCCTGTCGATTCACTCAAGGATACATACATCACATTTTCTTCACCACGGAACAATTGATCCATCCCAAGCAATAAATTGGGGATATTCCTCGAGTTTGAGTGTGCTCAGTACCTTGCAATATCCAGCAACGGATGTTTCAACGGGCATACCCCCTGGACCACCCATATCAGTGGCTACCCAGCCTGGATGAAATGCTAGCAAAGTGAATTTTTCTTCGCGCAATTCATGATGGAGCTGAATCATCATCATATTGCCCCCAGCCTTGATGAGAGAATATGGGCCAAGAGATCCGTGATCAAATTCGCTCTGCTTTTGCAATGACCCACAGAGAGAAGATGTCAACACAATCTGCCTGGTTTTGCGAGCAAGAAGAGCAGGAAGGAATGCTTTGACCAGTCGAAGGGGTCCCTTCAGGTTGATGTCGAGATATTTGTCAAATTTTTCGTCCGGACAAGTGAGTAGCTGGTCTTCCTCGCCAAAAGCACCGTTGATAATCAGTGTGTCAATCTCTGGGATTTGAGATGCAGCCTGGGTGATAGATGACGGGATACCCTGATCGAGGGTGATGGATGAGACGTTGGGAGCACCAAAGTCGGTTGGTTGGCGCACGCTCGCAATGATATGCTGGTTGGAATCAGCGCTGAGCTGTCTCACGAGCTCGCGGCCAATTCCACGCGAAGCTCCAACCACCAGGGTGATTTTTGAATTCATATTGCTCAATGAAGGGTGTAGAATATTGGTTTAGATATCGTTTCGAACAAGTACACCAAAGCTTTTATACACTGCAAATACAGCGAGAAAATTCCAACCGATATCCACAAGTGCACTTTTTTTTCTTTTTCGCTTTATGTTAAAGAATGCATAGACTACTTATCCATAAAATGTCCGGACGGCTCCGGTTTCAGTGAAATATTGTATGATTATGAGGTTTCTGGGAACTTTTACCCGGTATTCAGAATACTGTAACCAGCTGCCTTATTTGATGTTTCGGGACGCGACACAAGTGGGGATCGGCAGTAATTTGACTTTCATCGGAGGTGGATACTCCTAGTTTTTTGAGCCCGAAAGCCGAGTGGTACGTGGTTTCGGTATTACCGTTATCTCCTTCCTTTTCCTGTGTAACGGACAATCGCCACATTAACCATGCCTGCAGTGCTTCCGATGGGCAGTTGGCCATGGAGCTACACGGACGGAGAATAGGAAAGTTATGTCTCGAGTAATACCGCATTGTTCAATACATCGTGTAGAAACAGCGGTACGTTTCATGGCTAGGTACTTCAATGTAATAATGTATTAATTTTTGGGACATTGCTTCACTATATAAGTGCGACTACACGGCCCTCTGTTAGCTACAAATTCATCATTGGTCAAATCTGCACATCCTCATTTCTCTAACATGGCCACTCATGAAGACGTGGCAATTATTGGCGCTGGTCTTTCAGGCCTCGTTCTAGCATTGTCTCTACACCGACAGAACATACCCTGCACCATATACGAGCTCAGGCCTGCACCACTGGATATTGGAGGTGCTATTACCATCTCCCCAAATGCACTACAAATCATCGACAAGCTTGGTCTATATGAGAATGTTATGAGTGAGGGGTACGCGTGCGAAGCTTTTCATTTCCGTTCCCAGGATGGTGAGCTTCTCGATACCTATGAGATTGGAAGCTTGGAAAAATACGGGTACCCCGGCCTTCGCGTCTACAGAAAAGTCCTGATTAGAGAACTCCTCGCGAAATGTGCGGAGAAGAAGATTCAAATCATCTTTGGCAAAAAGTTCACTCGGATCTTATCCGAGTCCAAAGCTGGGGTGACCTGGGAATTTGACGACGGTACTGTTGGCCAAGCGGCCAGCCTCGTGGGTACCGATGGAATTCACTCCCGTGTTCGCTCTTATCTTCATGGCGATGTTCAGCCCAAGTTCGTGAATGTCTTGGCAATTGGAGCCACAATCCCGACCAGTCGAGTCACACTGCCCGAGGACTACGGCTTGCCTGTCACCATCATGAGCAAGACACATGGCGCTTACATCCTGGCCCCCAACCTTTCTGATGGTTCTGAGCTGGTTATTGTGAAGCAGAGAAGAATCGAGGAACGTAATCGAGAAGGTTGGAGGGATCTCTTGGCCGACAAAGAAGGATCTGTTGATTTTCTTCTTCAAGGGGTGGAGGATTTCCCAGACATTGTTCGTCAGGCCGTCTCAGCGGTTACACCAGAGTCAGTATCTATCTGGCCGTTTTATCAAGTCCCGAAAATGGACAAGTGGACGTCAGAAGGAGGCCGAGTTTCGATCCTTGGAGATGCTGCACATGCCATTCCTCCTTCGTCAGGACAAGGGGCCAATCAAGTGTTTGAAGATGCCTTTACATATGCCCTCGTGCGTGGTCAGTGCAGCGAGGCTTCCCTAAATTCTGTTTTGGCAAAATGGCAACGCGGTCGGCAGGAAAGGATTGACCGTTTGATTGTTCTAGCGCAACAGATGAATGTCCGTCGCCTGCCCGAATCGACGGAACATGGGCTCAACGAGGTAGTTGGAACGGAAGATTTTAACATGGACTGGCTTTTTAAGCCTGACCTTGATAAGATGGTCAAAACATGGCTCACCGTTTGAATTCGAGGGGTATGATCAGCATTGCTTACTGTTGATCTCACCAGATAGGTACTAAGTACAATCATATCAACTTGAGCTTTCACACGCTTAAGCGAAAGTACAATGCTCTATAGGAGCTTTTCTTCCCATTGATTTAACAAAAACACGTTTTCCACCTGGGAATCATAAAACTCAACCAACATCGCCACTGCTCATGCTGTTTCTCTCTGCAGCCTCGAATTCACATACCACAAGAAATGGTGATGAATGTAGGTGGTTGGACATGCAATTAAAGAAGAAAAATAATTAGAGCTAATAGTAGGAGGTTGTCAAGAAAATTGGTATTTTTAAATGATGAATCTCTGGTTGTTCTTCAAGAGGCAAAGCCTAAAGAAGCTGGGCAATAGGTTGATGAAATTCCAAATAGTAGACATAAGTTTCAGGGCGTTCTCACAGGCTATAGGGCTCTTGAAGGTTTGGCTAACGAGCAATGGACTGTCAACTTTTCTTTGGACTGAAAGACTTAATGACCATTGACTGCTCACCACCATAGGGCCGACGTGCCCGCAGCAATACTGCATACAGTCTTCGTGAGTGCAGATTTTTTACATAACCGCGGGCTTGGCACTTCCTCAGTTCCCAGAATCAAGGATCTATATGCTACTTAGCGGTATATTCTCAAACCATGGATGGAAGGTCTGCTGTCAAAAATGCGCCACTGGGGGCCAAACAGTTCACAAGCGATATCAGCAAAGGGCAAGGTAGGAGTGGGTAGAATTGAATTGCGCCAGTGATAAAGAGAATGTGATTCAACTGCATTACCGCAGTCCGGCAATGGTATCACTAGTAAGCATTGCTCAAATAGGATGTTGAATGGCAAACTTTTGCATGCTGGCCTTGCCGTCAGCCACATCGAGCATGGCGCGAATACCCTCCTCTCCTCCCTTGACTACTACAACATTTGGCATGATGTAGCCACTCCCGTAATTTTCAATGGCCCATTTGGTAGCCTGGTCAATCTTGTCTTGCATTTCTTGATCTGGTTCGTGTCTGAGCACAATTCCATTAGGAAGCACGAAGTCCACATCGGCGTTTCTGCAAGCAAAGGTGCGGCTCCAATGATTCTTCGCATCCTTCGTAGCGGGAAGAGGAGAAGTGAAAAGAGCGTCGCTTGCATCATCCACGCAAGCCTCACAGAGGACGGTTGTTGACGGCGGACCCTGTCCCACCACCGAATCAAACACACGCTTTAGCGGCTTGGTAGTGTGCTTTGAGAGGGCACGTCGAATATTTTGCACGACATCTCGATCATTGTAATCGAAGCATTCCGTCGCGCCAAGCGACAGCAGCTTCGCATGGTTTCTAGGTGATGCAGTCACCAGAATCGGATGACAATTTGCCTTTTTCGCAAATTGGACTGCGGCGCTTCCCACAGCACTGGAAGCACCCCATATCAGTAGAGGCTGGGAGCTTCCACATCCGACCTCGAAGGGAATCTGGAGCTGATTGAAGAGAGCATCAGCAGCAGTATGCGTCACGACCATCAAGGTGGCAGCATCCGGCATAGGCATAGTTGGCGGAACGTGGTAAATGAAATGTCTGGCGCAATGAAAGTCCTGATGCGTGCCGTACTGCTTTGGTTTGTTCAGAGCAGGAGCAGCAAAGCCAAGTACACGGTCGCCTTGCTTGAACTGGCCTTCTCTATCATGACCTGCTTTGATCACTGTTCCCGAAAAGTCGTACCCAGAAACAGAATTATTGAACCCAACTGTCGCATGCTTCACGTCGGCTGGGTTGATTCCGGAATATTGTACCTCAACGAGAACTTCGCCTGGTAGAGGCTCATAAGATTCGTCGGTCTTGCGAATGGACAATTTGCCATCTTGGTCAATCCAAATGACGCGAGTCGTCATCTTGGAAGGGATACTGATAGTAATTTGTAGGCAAAGGCAGAAAGTAAAATGAATTCAGCACGACAAGTTTGGGTGAGACCAGGAACTTGAGCAATAGGGGTCAATACCAACTTTAGGGGTTATTTATGATCAGCAATTGTATTTTTGGAATAAACTTGGTTAGCAAAGAATATTGGTGCCCTGTTGTTCAGGATTTGTGCACGAAGATGGGTCTATCGACGGCCCCGTCGGCCCCGTCGGCAATAGGAGGGTTTTGTCATTTTTTATTCTACGTATCATATCCCTGTGGGTGAATCAGGTTGAATAGATTATTTATCTGTGCTTGTACGTGCAAATTCAGATGGAAATCTATCTAACAACTGCAACTTTGAGGCTTTTGGACATGATGATTAATGGCATCGCTGGCTCTGAGGGTATGGTTTCGCTGTAAAATAAATGAATGGGGGGGAATTGATAGGGCGTTATGGAAACTGAGAGGAAATAACGTCACACCATCGCAGTATTTTACGTTTCCGTCGGGCCTGAAAATATTACTTGGGAAGGTGACTTTCCAGTTGGTCTTATTGGACTGTGGGTTAAGTGACGCTCTTCACTTTGCACCAGCGTTTACCGCTTTTCTCTCTCTCTCCTCGATATCTCTCGGGATACAGATCTTCGCTTTCTTCTCTAGGGCGACAGCAGGATCTAGCTTTCGACAAATTTGGTTTCATAGCACTCCGCCCATGGCCCCACTACCAAGATGCATCGGATCTCTTGGAAAACAACTCCGTCGGCCAGCCGTGTTCTCCACTATCCCCGTTACGATACCCCGTCGGAACCCCACTTGCATCCCAGATCGACATATGTGGTGGAGTGGAGACTTGACTTCGACATTGTGAACTGGCTATCCATCGATTTTCAGCTCTGGCCTGGGCATAGATATTCTATCCGAATCTTGATCAAGGGCCATCTCAAAATCTCAGAATCGCCACGAAATTCTACCACTGGGCACAAATTCTTCTTGGTCGTTTCATACTGTCGATTTATTCTCTCCAATTTTCTACCCCAACTCGCCATGGTGTCTGAGATCCAACCTCATGCCGAGTTTCTAGCGTCATGTCAAGAGAACAGAAGAATTGCAAAGGACTATGTTCAGTATCGTTCTGCATTGTCTCTAGAAGACCCCAAAGCGCGCTTTCCCGGGTTTCACCAGGGGCTTACCACCTTCAATGCTGGACAGCAAGTGGAAAAGGGCGCGAAGCCCCTCACAGTTGATATCCTTATGCATGAAAGCATGCCTATGGTTCTTTCCGATGGTACCAAGCTATATTACGATATATTCTTCCCGGCTGGTTACGAGAACCTTGAAGTCGTTGACAAGAATAAGAAGATACCTGCATTAGTTGCCTGGAGTCCTTATGGGAAACAGAAGGGTGGAACGCTATTGGATGATTTTCCGTTCCGTGCCGGTGTGCCCAAGCATTGGCTGACAGGTCTACAAAAATGGGAAGGACCTGATCCTGGTTTCTGGTGTCCGGAAGGATACGCCGTTGTAAATGTCGACACACGTGGCGCTTACACCTCTGAAGGTAATCTTGAGATAATGGGCCACCAGGAAGCTCAAGATGGAGCCGAATTCGTGACATGGTTATCTGAGCAATCCTGGTGCAATGGCAAAGTCGGGCTCACTGGCAACAGTTGGTTGGCCATGTCGCAGTGGAAGATCGGAAGTCTGCGACCTAAAGGCCTAGAAGCGCTCGCACCATGGGAAGGAATACAGGACTTGTATCGTGACAACACATGTCAAGGAGGAATTCCTTCCGGTGGATTCCATAACTCAGTTGCTGGTAATAATACTCTGCACCAGCTATCCTTCAAGTTGATAAAATGCTGACTAAAGACAGATACCCTCGCTAGCTACGCCAAGCTGGAGGACTTACCTGGGGTTCTGGTGAAGTATCCGTTCTTCACCGAATACTGGGAAGACAAGAGAGCCAAATGCGAGCAAATCAACGTTCCCACCTACGTGGCTGCCTCATGGACGAACCCCGTCCATACTCCGGGAACTATGAGAGCTTACCGATCCATACCAGAATCCGTGCCAAAGTGGCTTCGAGTGCACAACTCACAAGAATGGTCAGATTATTATGCCGATTCCAGCTGCCGTGACTTGAAGCGATTTTTCGATTGCTTCCTGAAGGGGGATGTCGAAAATGGCTGGCTCGAAACGCCTAAGATCCGACTCAGTATTCTGAATTTCGGCCTAGATGGCTTGGATGATACCCTGAATCGGGCAGAGACTACTTGGCCACTCGCTCGGACCAAGTACCAGAAGCTTTATCTGACAACCGATGGAAAAATGAGCCTATCACCTTCAAACCAGTCGGGCCAAGTCACATATGACTCTAAGAACGGAAAAACCACATTTCGGTATCTCATACCTCATGATATAGAGACTACAGGATATTTTGTTGCCCGCCTCGCAGTCTCTTGCCCAACAAGCGATGATATGGACCTATTCGCTCAGGTGTGCTGTCTTCGTGGACGCTCCGCATATAAGCAGGGCGTTCTCACTATCAAACCTGACAATCTGATGGTGATCAAACTGTTGAAATTGTTGCATAACTGGCAAATTGGCCTTCAGAATGTTGGTATGTTGTTTCATTGGGGACCAGCCGGTCAGCTCCGGGTCAGCCATGCCCACCAGCTTAGTGAACATGCAACCACCTTCGAGCCGCTTTATGCCCATAAAGAGCGCATCCCATTAACTAAAGGCGAGGTTCGAGTTGTGGAGATTCCACTCCGTCCATACGGAATGTATTGGAGGGTACGTACCACCTTACATTGAGCTAAACTGTGGCATCTTGTGAATAGACTGCTGACTGCACTTTAGAAAAATGATGTTATGGAACTTACTGTGGCTGGAAATCCAGTACTGCCATTTCCAATTCCAGGCGTCAAGCCCTTGCATGGAACCAATAATGGAACTCATGTCATTCACTGCCTTGACAGAGGATATGATAGTTCTTGCCTTGTCGTGCCATGTATATAGCTTATCATTACGGTTATAAGAAACAATATGCAATACTTCAGAGTCTAAGGCTTAAAAAGTCGCAACAAAAAAGTGTTCCGCTGATTGACGGCTGCAATTCAAGGGCTTACGCCTCCCGCCCAGGACCGTTCGTGCAACCTTTTCCCAAAAAAAGTGGTCTCGGTGCATAAGAAATTATTACCCCTTTTCTATTTTTCCCGTCTTTCATTTTCGATTTCTCATATATAGTGCAAATGTGTCTGGTGCGGAATATGTTTCTGTATCGCTCTTCTTTCTTACTACCTGTCACATAGCTCCTTCTCCTTTGGCTTGAGCAGAATCAGCCCGCTGACATTCCTTCCCCAATCACCCACAGGATTTACGTATCTGTATAACTCATGCGATGGTTTTTCTAATAAATTTCAATTGTTATGCTTTGCATACATCGTTGTTGACTTGGGTAGTGACACACCAGGTATCGGGTAGAACGGCGACTAAGGGGCCGACGGGGCCGACGGGGCCGACATGGACTACGAGTAATCCATTTCCGCTGAGTCCCTGTCATGATTGGCAGATTCTGCATTTGTCTCCGCTGAAAGCGGGGTTTCTGGGCAGATATTACGCGTGTGGATGACATCTTTTATTGTACTATTCTGTAGCTGGGCAACGAAGAAAGGAATTTCGTTTCATGGGCCACTGGAACGATACCATAAGAGAAGCACTGTTCCCGCCATTGTACTGTTCTCTTCATCCCACAGCCATTTCGATTCAGAGCATTGTATGACGAAATGGTATTTCAGGCAGTCACATCATACTTGGGGGGTATTTCCGATGTGGGATCTCCAGAAATGGCCACTGGTTTAGCTTTTGTCATCTTTGTGGCGCTCATTGTGAAGCTTGCGCTTCGGACATACCGCATACACATGCATCCTTTGAATTCATTCAAGGGGCTTCCAGAGGCATGCGTGTCGGAAAATTGGCTATACAAGGTTACAAAAAGTGGGAGAGCAGAACAAACATTCGAGGCTCTTCATAAAAAGTACAGTATGTATTCAACAGCCAAGGACTATGAGTTCACCTAGTTACTAATTTTTTTATCTAAAATACAGATACAAAGGCTCTTCGGATTGGGCCTAATGAGCTTCATATCACCGATATTGAGCTGTACAAAGTGATCTATAGTCAGGCAAAGCCGTTTCTTAAGCATGCCCCATTTTACAATGGATTCAACACACCGCACACTGTTTTTGCTGAGCTTGAACCTCATCTACACAAGGATCGCCGGCGTATGCTGAATCCTTTGTTTTCGAAAGTTGGCGTTTACAAGCTGGAACCTCTTATCCGTGAGAAGATCTATCTGCTATCGGCAAAAATCACCCGACTTTGCGCGACCAAGGAAATCGACGTTTACAACGCAGTTCGGTGAGTATCAAATACTCCATGCTATTTGACGATGCGCTAACTGCTTGTGACAGTCTCTTAACAACGGAAATCATCACAGAGTTCGCCTTCGCCAAATCGGCTAATCTCATCGAGGAGAGGCGTGATGAAATGGATTCATGGTTCCTTGACGCTTTCGATGTTGGTTCCCAGAGTATCGTGGATCTACAGTATAATTCAGTGCTCCGGCAAATTGTGAAAATTCTTCCAGCTGGTGCGGTAAAACTTTTAAATCCCAAACTTCGCTCTATACTGGACCTTCAGGAGGTATAGTACTTGGAACTCTTTTTTGGGATCAGCACACTGAAATTTCAATTCAAGTTTGCGGCAAGCTGCATGCGATACTGGCAAAAATCGTCCGACACCTCCTCTTACCCTGTTATCTTCGATAGCCTGAAGTCAATCTCGGATGAGGCCAAGGTTTCTGAAGCAATGGATATTCTTATCGCCGGTGCTGATACCACCGCATCTACTCTTACAACTGGGTTCATCCATATTCTGTCCAATGAAGACATCAAAAGCCGTCTTGTGCACGCCATTGATGAAGTCATGCCAGAAGCTGGATCGCTAATCTCACTTCAAGCCTTGGAGAAAGTGGAATACTTGGTATGTGACGACCTAAAATACAAGAAACTCCAACAAAAACCTTACTAAAATTACCAAGTCGGCATGTGTCAAAGAGTCGATCAGGGTTGGCATGGCCGTACCAGGTCGTCTACCTCGTGTTGTTCCTACTGGTGACCCATTCGTCGTCGAAAATAAAGTTGTTCCTGCAGGTGTAAGTCATCTCTCTTAGTAGAGCTATCTATTACGCCATTGAGAGACCACTAACGACATGATATCTGCAATATATAGACCATTGTTGGTATGTCAACATACACTATGCACAACTCTGAGGACGCGTGGGGACCCGATGCCCGTGAGTTCAACCCGGACCGTTGGATCGGAACCGAATCCAAGGGCTTAGAACAGTGGATGTGCACGTTTTCCAAAGGCGCAAGAATGTGCCTGGGACAAAAGTAAGTTTGGGATATCTCGGAATGTTGCATACTCATATTTTATTCACATCCACTCACAAATTTATCATTGCAGTGTCGCACCCGCTGAGATCACTCTCGCATTCGCTTACATGTTCCGCAACTTCGAACTTAGTCTTCCAAAGGGTTACGTGAAGCCAGATGCCCTTGACCACTTCACCTTGGCGTACCAGAAGCCTGGATTACCTGTCGTGTTCAAGCCTCGTCAGTAAAAGCATCTTGGGATGCGTGATCAAAGAATTGTGTATTTGATTCTATTGTTCAGGGTTGTTTGAGCCGCAACTTGAACGTTCGAGCCTATGGAAAAAGCAAGGAATAGGCTTGGATCTAAAATTGGAGATCTAGGAAGTTCTTCGAGAGTTGAATTTTTGATCTCATAAATATATTTACATGTATATCTATTCAGCCTGTCCCCAGAGCTCCAAGTTCAATTTTAGACCCTTACCAGCATAACATTGTAACCTTTTTGGTGTTTGTAACTGATATCGTGAATGTCCTTTGGATCGGAGGAGTATGGGTCAGAAGAGACGGACTTATTTTCTCAAGAGTGTAACCTATTAGACCACCTGCTGAAAGAGAGGTCGGAGGATAGCAGAAGATATTATTTATAACCTTGGATCGTTCCTCCCCGCCCCCTTCATCATCCTGAAATACCAGAGAATATTCCCCACAGACCACGACTACGCTAGTCCTATAAAGTGCTGACAAGGTCACGTGACCAAGACCCCATGTGCCTTACTAAGTAAGGTTTGCACCTTTTTGACGTAGTGGCAAAGTCATGTGATTTCTGAGTTCCGACACCCCAACAGTTTCACTCTTACTATTAGTCATCACCACAAGCAGCGTGGTTTTGAGGACGAGTAATAATTCGAGAACGCACCCCATTGGTCAATGTACGTCCCTTTCCGCGATCGACAACTTCCGCTGACTCCGCATGTTGGCTCTTCAAGGTATTCAAAGGTTTCGACTCGTGTCTAACTCCATGGATACTGCCCTGCTCCTTCATAATGACAAATTTGCCTCAAGAATCTCTAGCATTCTACCAACATGATGCATCGTATCTTGACTCACCTCCAATCGTCAATGAGGTCTCTACACCGCCGAGAAGGTACAATTGCAGCGTCTGCTCCACGTCCTTTCGGCGCCGTGAGCACTTTGAGCGTCATCTCCAGAGCCATTCTAAAAGCAAGGACTTTAAGTGCGATATTTGTGATAAAAAGTTTACCAGGAGGTAAATTACTCGCGACTCCAGACGTATGCAGATGGACTTACGATTGTTACTAGAGATACATTGCAACGTCATTCAGCAATACATGGAAAAGTAGCAAACAAAGTCCAAAAGCCGCTGACGAGGGCACCACGTGCTTGTATCAATTGCGTTAAATCGAAACAGCGCTGTTCTGGATCCCTTCCATGTGATCGCTGCAATAACAAGAATTGGCTTTGCCAGTTTTCCAGGGGCTCCAGGGAAGTGGGGCCTCAAGAGCAAGAAATCCTTGGGGAGAAAACTGGACAAAGAATGATCAATGCAGATGATCGAAGATTATTGCTAAATGATTTTTGCGAGCCATCTCTTGCATCTGCCATCTCCCCCATAAGCCCAGATTATTCGAATACTAGAGGTCCAGGCAGTGTCGCTTTTCCGGACGGAGCATATTCATATCCTGCTGTCCCAAACCAGTCCGAACAAACATCACAATATCAAGATGTTCCTTCTTTATTTGATTCATATTTGCTCTGGCCTCTGGATGATGCTTTCAACGATGCCTCTATGTCTGATGACCAATACAGACTTCAGACGACTCCTGGACCAACAGGGACAATGGCACACCCGCCAGCTATCTCACATGGAGGTGGGACGGTCACGGGGCTGAGAAACATTTCTCAAGAGATTCCAAGACATTCTACGAAGGACATAAGGCCTCTTTCCAGTAGCCAGTCGGACAACGATGTGCAAAGAAGAGACCCCACAGAAGAAGACCGCGACATTCTAATTTCTGAGGATTACGCACATGTCTCTAGACCTCCAAAGGAAACCTATGAAAACGTATATGCTCTATATGCTGAAGTGAGACGGTCTTCGCCTGAAACATCTCTGCCAAGTCTTCCCTCGTTGGAAATTCTACACGCATGTACGCAGCTGTTCTTCGAACATTTTCACCCGAGTTTCCCAATTCTCCATCAAGCTACTTTCAGGGCTCGAGCCTCGTCATGGTTACTTTACCTCGTGGTGGCCGCTCTGGGTAGTCAGTACTCCCGGCTTTCAACCCGTGCGAAAATATTCTCTGATCTCGTAAAGATCATTCGAGTGTCCTTACTTCGAAAGGTAAGTCTTCACCATATCTCTATGACAGTCCAGTCAGAGGTGATTTAAAGAAATAGCTCAACAACACCTTGACAATGCAAAACGACCTTGAACTCACCCAGGCAACCCTCCTTTTCCACTTCGCCCTCCTTTTCGGTGGAAATCGAGAAGGCATGATGCATTTGCAATACCAACGAAATGTGCTGGTTACGATGTGTCGCCCTCTTCTCGTTCCCGGCATTCTCTTCGCAAAGTGCTGGATTGCATCTAATGCTACCGTATTGACCGAAGATTGGGGTCGGTGGGTTGCAACAGAGTCTTGGAAGAGGGTTGTCTATTTTACGTGGTGTAAGTGAAGTTTCTGTTTTCCCTGTATTCCCCTAAGTCCCATTACATATACTGACTTAAATCTCGAAAGTGATGGAATGCTGTCAATTGATCTTGTTAGATCTTCCAACTATTATTGCGGCTAGTGACCTTCATTTAAGTATGCCATGTCATGATGAGCTATGGCGGTGTGAGAGCTTTCATGAGTGGAACCGGGTTAGAGCCCTACAGAGAGGTATTTATCTCCTTCAACCGGGTGGAGAGAAATTCCGTAGCTGACTTGAAGGGATCAGATCCACAGGAATGCCCCGGTATTCTTTCTCTTCTCAAGATGGATGTTATTGACCAGGAGCGCATCAGCCAGTTGAGCGACCCGGGGCTTTGGATAACGGCAGTTTCGATATATGTTGCCGACAGGCAAGCTTCTCGGCAGCAATCATTACATTTGTTATCCGGTACGCATAAAACATCCAACCAACGGAATGTGGATCCTCCAGAGGTAGTCCACGCTGCCGGGCACGAAGAGGATACTGTTGACGCTATTCTTGGTCATTGTCAACAAGTTATTACCGAGCGCCGCCACGACTCGCCTATGTGTCTCATCGTCACAAAATTTTCTCTTATACTTAGGCTGCTCCGCTTCATCGAATATCGCCTGTTATATCTCTCTGCAGGATGGATGGCCCAGAAAGAGGAGGTTCGTGCCGCCAGACAACATATCGCAGATCTACTACACGCCCAACCTAGACAAGCTCGCAGGGGCCTTTTACATGCTGCCCAGCTGTTCCGCGTAATCCGTTCCCAGTGTCAATTTGACCCCTTCGACTCCTTTCTTCTACTGATGGTTATTCTCTACATCTGGAATTATGTCAAATATGTGATCTCGCATTCCCCTTTGGATGAAGGCGGTGAGGCTATTTTCCGAATCGACCAAAATACCGATGAAGATTTACAGGAAAAGTGGTTAGCGGGCACATTTGAAAAGCACAAGCAGATTCATATCAGTGGTATCGGGGTCCTCAAAGGCCACAATAGCATGTCCCGCATCTTCAAAGAAGCAATGAGGATTCTAGACCACGACAAAGCTTGGTCGCGTCAGGCGGATGCTATCAAATGGTCATTGCATAAAATAATGGAAGGGAATGCCCCGTCGTTTGCCGATGGGGAAGTCGCGACAAATGAAACTGTTACTTAAAACAGTCTACTGAATGGGCTTGCTGGCAAACGGATTTCTACTTGTACTTCTTCCATCTCAAGAAACTTATTATAGCCATCTGCACCAGGTCGGCCAGATTACATTGTCCATGTCCAGTTACAGTTCAACCCCGTCGTCGGTATGCACTTTGTAGGTTCCTACCCGCAATTGTGACAGTTGTGTGTTTCGAACCTGCATAGAGCCTATATTATCATACCTCACAATGGCACCTGGGACCTGGTCTCGCAAACCACTGCGTTGTAAATTTCGCTTATTTATATCTACAGAATGGTCGATGGGTTCCCCACTCAGTTTTGTAGCTGCAGATCATTCTACAAGCGCATTCCGGCATTTCGTTAGTGTCGCAGTGATTAAAACCAATCATGGTCACTGCGCGGTACGCGTGGCGCATGATTTATAGTTAGCGGCAAGGTAGATTACAAATAAAAGGAGTCGTCTCCATTTTTGTCAAATTTTGTAGCTGAATACCTATTCAACTACATATTAGGACTTGTCATAGTTCAACATCCAAGAGAGAATAATACCGGGCGCTGAAGCTGACTTTCCTCACGAGTGCTTAGTGCACCAACGCATGTCAGGATTTTATTTTAGTGCAATAGCCAAACTATCATATATCGTGCTAACATTGGAATTGAACCGTCGCCTGGCGGCTAACCTTAATTAGGCGAGGCCCATTTATCAAAATGGTTAATATTGCACAATAAATAGAACATACACTTGACCAGCTATATTATACTCATCATTTTCGGTCTAAGATCGTATCCACCAGACTCAATATCTGCTTACACCCTTATCATTTGATTATAGTAGAGCGTAAAGCAGGAGGAGTTATCCAAAGATAAAAAAAATACGTCTACGACACTATTCCTAGAACTCTCTTCTCAGATCTAAGTTTTGTAACTAATTGACTAGACTTCTCGTCCCAAGAGATAATACGTCACATACTCCCCTGTCAATAGTGCACAAGATTGATTGCTCGAGAAAAGTTCTGTGGAATACCCCTGAAATATGCCTGTGAAGTCATTCAAAGACAGAAATATTCTTGGCATTTCTGTGAAAAATATATCATTCGTGAGGATCAGAATTAGGGCATATTCGCCTTGGAAATCAATTAAATTTATTGGATCAACCGAGCGCTGTCAAGCTTTCATGCCTAAGATGTGAAAAGAAAGAAAGAAAGGCATTGGAGCCACAAACCCCAGGGGTACGTGGGGTATATATACGGGGTGGCGGGATTAGCGAGGGCAGCTTGGCCGTTGTAGCCCCGACACATACCCGGTACTGCCGTAATCAATGCCGAACACCATTAAATCACCCTCAAAAGTATCAAATATGGAGTCAAATAACCTCGGGTAGCGATAATGGTAACGGAAAATATTATTTTGGACCCTTAAAGCGGAATTGATCTGAGTTTCCCCGTATTCACCCCACAAATTGCTGCTGGTGAGTCGGGCCTCCAATGACAAGTGATAGTTTACACTCCTCATGTCCCCCAACAAGGGTCCTTCGTCCGTTGGCGGGTCGTCAGATACCCCACTATACTGACCGGAACAATTTCTATAAATTTGATCTATGGACACTGGACTGACTCTCTTAACCATTTTCTGGGCATCATCTGCTCTCTCAATCTCGTTACCAACATCAATTTCAATATTTATGAATCTCTTGGACTTTTACCTTCTTTCTCTCTAACCTTCATTTACTGTCAGTCATAGTGCTCCTGCATACTGAATATTACCCACAAGATGAAGGATAGCAGCACCGAGGATTCAATTCATCTTGAGAATGCAGCGCCAACTCCAGCAAGTGAAGACACGCAAGGTGACAAAATACGGGCGTCAGATTTACCCCACGACCCTCAAAACTGGCCACAATGGAAGAAAAATGCACAGATCTTGATGGTTGCTTTTCACTCCATGATGTGGTAAGTACTATCAAGATCAATTGCAGACACATACCTCCATATCAATCGACAACTAACTTCATTGCGCCTTCAGTACATTTATGGCAGCTGGGATTATTCCGGCTTATGATAGCTTCGCTAAACAGTATGATATCACTGTGGTAGAGGCCAGTTACTTGACTTCCTTTCAGGTACGCTGTGGATCCCTGAACTGTTGGCATTCCCAACTCCCCAAAAGTTAACCCCAACTAGATCCTGCTTCTCGGCCTCGCCCCTTTGTTTTGGAACCCAATCACTGTGGTCTATGGTCGGTACCCTGTGAACATGTTTTCGGTTTTCGCCAGTATGGTCTGCAACATCGGCGGTGCGAGGTGCACCTCATACGGCCCCCAAATGGCCACTAGAGTCCTTACAGCTTTCTTCATCTGTCCCCCGATTGGGAACGGAAGCGGAATGATCGCAGAGCTATCCGAGCCCGGAAAGCGTGCCCAGAATTTGGGATGGTGGACACTGTTGACAACTGTTGGTACGCCTGCAGGTCCTTTCTTCATGGGATTTGTCATCAAGCACATTGGCGTTGACTGGATTTTCTGGATATTTGCCATCATCAACTTCTGTCAGCTCCTTTTGTATATTGCAATTGGTGATGAGACTATCTTCAACTCGAGCAACATCGCTAAATCCTCCCGTGGGACTCTAGATCGGATGATTCCCCGAAAGATCACCGAAGGTTCATTTCAGCTCAAGAATATCCTAGCACCGTTCTCTTTGGCCAAGCATCCCCGCGTGTTGATTACCGCATGTGCCCACGCCGTCACCTTTTGCTACGCCAATATCGCCTTGATTGTGGAAATGCCCATTGCATTTGGCGAAAAGTTTCATTTTGATGCCCAGCAGATTGGCTTGCAGTTCATCGCCATTATCATCGGATGCGTCCTTGGCGAGCAAGTCAGTGGACCTTTATCCGACTGGTTCTTGAAGCGTGTGCGGCAGAGGAAAGGACATGCGTGTCCAGCCGACCGTCTGTGGCTTTCATATATCGCATTTTCGACTATATTTACTGGTCTCTTGACTTGGGGAATCCAGCTGCAGCACGCAACTTCATGGAATGTTACGCCTTGTATCGGTGCAGTTATTGCTAGCTTCGGAAACCAGATGCAAACCACTATCCTTACCACATTTGCGGTGGAAAGCAAATGGGAAAGAGCGGCTGAAGTTGGAGTTTTTATCAACGCGTGCAGACAACTTTATGGATTTGTCAGATTCCCGAAGCTACCAAGTCGACGAATTGGAAAAAGCTAACCGTTTTACATATAGCTCGGCCCATTTTATTTCCCTGATATGTTCTCTGCGCTGGGTCTTGGTGGGGCTGCTGGAGTAATGGTGGCTATCATAGCTGGATGTTCACTGTGTCCAATTATCGCCATCCAGATTGCGGCTACTCGAGATGAAAATCGCATCTGAAGACATTGTCGTTCTGTCCCATTGATATGGTCTTCTTTAATTCGATAGTTTATCCAATGAGATCAAGTATATGGTGAGATAAAGTCGCAATTGATCCAGTATTCGCCTTACGAGTCTGCATTCAGCCTCTGCTTATATTAATACACAATCACGATAAATAAGGTTGAAATCCAAAAGGCAGATAATAGGTACTCCTTATTGCGTGAAGAATTCGACGGTGGTAGATATTATACCTTCGAGCTAGCTGTCCTAAAACGCCTTAGCGAAGGTAAATTAGATTATCCTAGCTGCTAGTATATTACTTTTCTCCTCGATCACTTTATATACGGCTGGTATTTACATCTGATCCTAGAGCCTATAGCGGAAAATCTGAACGATTTTTACTTATTTTTCAAAAATTCTAAGATCCATGGTTCTATATTAAAATAAATCACCAAATAGTTGCTTTCTACATTAAAATATACCTAATTATTAGGATTTATCCATAGTGGTAAGAGATTTAAATAAGCTGTATAGGTAATACTAATGCCTTCATACCTATAGATATAAGATAGGATAATCTTGTATTTAGAAGCAGCCATAATTCCATTATCAAGTAACATCCTCATTCCCAATCAATCAGTCTTAGGGAGCTCAACTTTGATTGTCGCTACAAGCTTTCTTGAGTTAAAATTACCCTTAGGGACTGTGGGATGAGGAGTTAAGTAACACACTATCGCACAGGAATTATGTACCAAGACATCTTCGAGCCCTTAAGGTTATACTGCAGGCACTGTGGATTAAGGGGGTCAATATTTGGAGCTTAGGCGCCTTGCTTCTTAAACACCTCCATACTGTATAGTTGTTTTACGATCGAGCTAGGGTGACTGGTGGTGATTATCAGATTAAGTACTATTTTGAAGAAGTTAACGCACTTGTCGGTCCCTCCCCTTCTCATAAGTGGAGGAAGGGAATTCAGAGAGGTAAAGGGAGATATCCAATGGAAGTGTGGGAAATCAGAGACCGCAACGAACACCCGCCAGTAACTCTCGAAAAATGGATATAGTGTCTTGAAGGGGAGGAAAGCAGACTTTCCTATTGTTGATTTGTCCATGATGGCGATTGACCCAAAACAAACGAATGAATGCTCAGTTATTGCGAAACGAAATTTGGCTCACGAGCCAATAGATCTAATATGTTTCCATCATGATTTGATTCGGCTGACATTCAAATATTGGTACTGAATATCAAATTTGACTTTTCCTAGCAGAATGTGACTTTCTTGCTCAAATCATTGAGGCTATTATAGATTTTAGACCCAGTCAAATTACTATATAAATACATTTTAGGAAATTTCAAGCACATACGACCATAGGGTGTGGAGAACAGGGCTTCCCGTCCGCTCAGCCGTACTTAAGCCACACGCCGGTTAGTTAGTAGTATGGTGGGTGACCACATGCGAATCCTGACTGTTGTATGTTTTTGTTTTTATGTTCTGTTGCACTTGACTTCCTTATAATCGGCTGAGGTAGGAATGGTGTTTTCACTTCTAGTATTTAGGCCTGAATTTTAACTGGCCAATAATTTCTTGTCTATATTATCTGACCTTATCGGAGTAGGGGTAATTCCTTTTTACAAGTCGGCCTGGAATCCGTCTTCACCATTTTATTCTCTTCGGTTTTTCTTCAATCTTGCTCACACTTGTTATCAAACGAGTCTGCAATATGGACGTTTGGGGTGACCCACTCGATGGTGTCGGTAGTCAACTATGTTACCGGCTAAATTTGATCCGCCCCTTGCTTAAAACGCTGGGGCTGAGAATGATAAGTTGATCCACTCCCATACCCGAGTCGCGTACAATTTACATGGGACCAGAATGCCTCAAACTATCATTAGGATCATGTCAGGCCTTTGACTATGCTCAGCGAACAGGTGGGAATTATGACAATTGATTGGATTTTGTAAGATTGTTACTCCGCATCTGTCCGTAATTTGCATGGGCTAACCCCTCTTGGGACGAATACTAGGAATTTCAGCCCGTCCGTCTTATCTTTGAACGCATGTACTTTCCTTGTTTGGCGATTGATAAGGGGTCAAATCCTCATTGTTATATGTTACTTCTCCGGAATTCGACCCATTCTTGATTTCCCTCAAGAGGACTCAGTCAAAATAAAGACATTGTCTGTTGCTCAAGTATCGATCTGAGTGGAAATAGTTCTAGGGCCACGAATTCCACTCGGGGTTCCATTCTTTGTCAGCATGGATGCCCAAGTGTTAACTGACTGGGAACAATGCGACAAAACCGATACTCTGTTCGTGGTCATCTGCAGTGTCATTTGCTGGACTATTATACCAGCAGTTGGCCTGGGTTATTCAGGATATTCAACCCGACATAATTCCCTGGCATCCTTCTTTCCAGCATTACTTGCGGTAATCTGTGTCTCCTTACAGTGGTACATCATAGGCTATTCCCTGGCCTACAGCGAGGGCAACGGGTTCATTGGTGATTTACAATATGCTTTTCACCGAGGCGTTCTAGCAAAACCAGTGGGCACCATTCCAGCCATCTTGTTCAGTGAATTTCAGCTTATCTTCGCTGCCACCGTGGCTGCGATTGCCATTGGAGGCACTTGTGAACGAGGCAGACTCCTTCCTGTAGCCCCATTCATTTTCGTAAGTGAATTTCCTATCCCTACTTCCACCATCAACATCCTCAAGCCCTTCCATCGATGTTTATCTACTCTAACGGAACTCTGGATAGCTGTGGGCCACCTTCGTATATTGCCCACTTGCACACATGGTATGGGCAGAATCTGGCTTCCTGAATAAATTGGGAGTCGTCGATTTCGCCGGTGGTACCCCTGTACACATTTGCAGTGGTGCCACTGCGACAGCTATTTCAGTCTACCTCTCACACCCTCTTTTCCGTTCAAGAAAGTCCAATATCCGGACACCATCGCATTTGAAGCTCCACAAGCCACATAACACAATGTCTCAACTAATATCCCTAATCATTATCTGGGGGTCATGGCTTGCCTTCGACGCTGGCACTACGTTGAGCTTCAATTTCAAATCAGTCTATGCTCTATGCATTACCAATCTCTGTGCAGCTGCCGGGGCCTTAACCTGGAATCTGATGACTTACTACGAAAGTGGCAAATTTTCTCTTGACTCTACTTTCCTTGGGGCAATTTCAGGCCTGGTGATGATTACCCCGTCAGCTGGATTTATCAGCATGACAATGTCCTTTTTCTTCGGCGTTGCCGGGGCCTTAATCTGTCGACAGGCGCTACGGATCAAGTTCACTTCACTCGCTCACCGTCTTAAGTGGGTCGATAACGGTGACACATTTGCTACACACTGTGTTGGAGGTTTGGTAGGGACTCTCGCTACTGGTCTTTTTGCCAGTCGAGAGGTGGCTGCTTTTGATGGAACAACTGAAATCCCTGGTGGAGTTTTCATCGACGGTAACATTAATCAGATCTTCCTTCAGATTCTTGAAGCTACCATCGGTTTTACATGGACCTTTGGGATTTCTTATCTCATTTTTGCCGGCCTAGACTGTATCCCAGGTCTAGAAGTTCTGGCCATAGACGAGTAAGCTATCCAACCCCACCTCTGAATTCCTCTTATATCTTCCATATTGACAAATATATAGCCATATCATTTCTGGACTTGATACCGTGCAAGTGGAAGAATCCCTTCACAGTGCTCAGTGGAAAGATGAGGAGAATTACGTCGCACTGGAATCACTGGGAAGTGTTTGTTTAGTATAAATCTATTGATCAGCATACAATACCAGGGCTACGGAATTCCTGCTTGGACAAACTGGAATTAGAGGCCTCTACTAGCGCCAATCAAATTGAAGGCAGAATCCACGGTAGAGGAGAAAATAACATTCGAAGAACTCTCTCCCTTTGATGCCTGCAATCGTTCATGAGATAGTCAGTCTTACAAAATACGAAAATTCGTGGTCACAATTAAAATATTCTCTGGGGCACTTTATGCTCTATGTGAATATGGAGGAGGTCCTCCTCCACTTCCTATCTGCTTCCGAGAGAGTGAATTCGGTCGCCCCGCCTGAGCCATTGGCTGTCCTGGTACAAAGCCGCTTGGATATTCTGACCTCGCCAATGAACCCGGTAGTTCAGGAGGAGGGTCACGAGGCGCTGGTGGAAGCTCTTTCGAGTTTCTGGGTGCTTGTTTGGTATCTGCATATAACTCGACAGGTGGAGGGGATTGTTGGGAAGATCTCCCCAAGCTGTGGGAGCCTTGAGAATTGACTCTTTTATCGAATATTGGCGCCAAAGCAGGTGGCCTTTCCTGATGACTGATCTGTTGGTTGGGCCAATACTGATTTTGGAAGCCAGTCGCCAGTTCAGAAACGTCGTGCTGTGTTTGCGGCGGTGGCTGAGAGTGATAAGAATCCGTTTGCATGTAACCGAATCCAGTAGGCGTTGTTCCTCCGCTGATCTTGGCTTCAGATTGTCGAGTTTTGGGTCTGCCAAGAGGCTTTTGCTCACCATTTGAGCTCACAGGTGACACTGACCTACTCTCGGAGTGCATGGACATGAAATTATCGGCAGATGAAATGGAATTCGGAATTCGAGATGCAATTTCTTTGGCCGCCTCTTCGAGCTTTTTTTCGACTCGATCGATTTGATCCTGCAACCTTTTCATCTGGATCTCAAAACTTTCAACCTCCACGATTTTTGATTGAAGAAGCTCTTTGTAGTAAGCCTTTACCCCACTGACTGGCTTCGCTAAGATATGGTCTTGAATATGCGACATCATAAGCGTGGCAGATGTATAAACCACAGACTTGCTGCGATAGTTGCACTCCACGCACTTGAAGCAAGCCACCATCCTAGACGTGGAGATGGTAGCCATGACGTGCGACATTCCAAGGCATATCCATTGGGCCGAGCTCCATGGCTCCAAAACATTATCCTCAATATCAAGATAGCACAGCGTACACCGGTAGTTGTACAGCCCGTAGGCGGAGTCCCCTTTCACTTTCAACGATATGCTCTCAATACCCTGCGATGGTTGTTTTTGCAGAGCAATAGAGCCCTTGCAATAATCATGACGTCCATCAAAAAGCTGTCCGGGAGTTGGAACAACTGGGCTTCCATGTTGTTGCAATGACCCCAAAGACTTTTTCCCTTGAAAATCTCCAGGGTAGCTGATTTGCGCAGGGGGGTCAGCCTTTAGCACTTGGGCTGCAAATGGGGCCGAATAGTTCCGTAGTGAGGGTAGTGTCATGAGGGGCATCAGAATTCTCCAGAGCCAGAAACGTTGGTCCGGGCATTGTCGTTTTGACAACTCCAATAGTGCCTCCACAAGAACTTTTTCCGTTTTCTCAATCTCCATCTCGATTTGCTGTAGGTTCTTGATGTTTCGATCTGGTCGAGACAACGTTTCAGAGATTTGGACTTGTATTTGAGGAAAGTGAATCTCATTGTTGATGCGGCGAAGATCGAAAAATGCTTGCTCTGCCAATTTATATTGCAAGGTTAGTAGAGTTTTGATAAGTGGATATGCGTTGACTCAGATGACACACTATCTCCTTTCGTGAAACTTTCTCCCAGCCTCGAAGTTAGGATGTTGCAAATTTCTTCGATCTTGCTCTCCATCTCCTGAAGCCTATTGGCAATGCGTGGCTCTGCGATCCCAGCAGCTTTTGTGTGCTCTCTGTAACTCTTCCAACATTTTTTGATCCCAAGTATAGCAAATTCAGTGATAGGACCTATTGCCGGAGCCATGAGGACAAGTAGCTCTGCAACCATGATGAGTTTGTGAAATTTCCGAATGCAAGTGATGAGGCTAATGGGCGGATGGATGGAAAATCAATATCAAGCTGCTCAATATATCAAAGCTTGTCACCCAAATTTAGTGCCCTGGTGAAAGTTGACACATTTTGAATACCCAACGGGTCCGCCTTAGCCTCGTATTCCTATCAAAGTTACCCAAGGAATTCAAGTTGTGGCTGAAGTTTAGGTGGGGAAAAAGGCTCCAACCGAGGAAACACATCACTGTGCAGAAAGAATAAGCAATGAGTAGAAATGAGGCGTGGCTGAACGCAGCGGGCTGCAGGTAATTAACATCATGACTGGCAGTTTCGTCGGGAAAAAAACCTCCAGAGGAGACACGACCCGGGTAGAAAAACCACCTGGGCATCTACAATTGGAACGAGGCAAAACTGAGTGATGCAGTTGGCAATTGGTCGTATCTGATCTCTGCACTCTTATTGGCTGTTCAGTGTTGTACATATTCACATAGAAAGCGTCTTCGTCGATCATGCATAATTTTTCTCAATCCCAATATCTCTGTCAGACTCTCAATCGCTGGTCAGTTCCTCCACACCTCAAGCGCATTGACATAATGCCAAAAACAAAATTGAGTAAATCCAGTGGCAATGCGAGCAATGGCAATGGAAAATCTAGTCGTATCGCCAATGGTGACGCTTTCTCAATCGATGAGGACTTCTTCACACCCGATGGCGACTATGCAGACCTGTTGGCCACACTCACAGAACTTCAACGACTGGACTCGAAGCATGAGTTTGATCTTCCCCAGCTAGTTGTTTGTGGGGAACAGTCTGCTGGCAAAAGCTCTGTTCTCGAGGCCATTACTAGCATTCCATTTCCCAGGGGTGACGGAACTTGTACCCGGTTTGTCACGCAGTATGTCACTTCTTGATTTTGTTTAAATTGTGCACTCATCATATGCTGTCTCTCGCTAACAATAATGAAAGGATAAATCTTCGCCGACCGAAAAGTGACGACACGCCTGAAAGGATTGAGATCGAGCTACGATCTCGCGATCAGCCCAATCCCATGTTTCAAAGGAAGATCGAAGTCAGCCAGCTGACCGACCGGGTGGTAATCGAAGACATCATCGCTGAGGCAGGCAGACACATGGACATCAATAAAGAGGCCAACAAAAAATTCTCCAAAGATATCCTGACGATCAACGTTGAGAAGCACGGTTACCCGATGCTGTCGCTGGTGGACACGCCTGGTATAATCCACTCCGAGGGAGTTGGCTCAACAGGCAACAAAGGACTCGCAGACGAGATCGTCCACGATTGGATCAGACAGGATAATACCATCATCATAGCTGTCATTGATGCCACCCGTGATCTAGCAAGCCATGGAATCCTGGACGAAGCTTTGAAAGTTGACCCGCGCCGGGAACGAACTATCGGTATCATTACCAAAATTGACATGTACAAAAACGGTGATCCATCAACTCAGAAGTGGGTCGATACGGCATTGAATGAAGACGACAAGTTCAATTTCCCTAGAGGGTGGCATGTGCTGCGCAATCGAAATGGCACGGAACTGCAAAATAGGACCACGACCAGCGAAAGGGACGAGACCGAGAGGCAATATTTCGAGGACGAAACCAACGGATGGCAGGCCGTTGTTGAGAAGAGTCAAAAGTCCCCAGAGTCTTGCGGCTACGGGGTGAAAACGTTGAAAAGAAGACTTCAGGATTTGCAGAAACTCCAGGTCAAGAAATCTTCTTTGAGAATTCGCGATCAGGTCGATGAGAAGTTGCGGGACCTTGAGTATCAAATGAGCCAAGTCTCTATTAGCGGTATGCCAATCGCTGAAGCAAAAAAAGAGTTCAGAAAAATCTGCATAAAACTGGGAGATGATATTGTCGCCGGTATTGATGGTCATTATGAAACTCGAGGTTCTCTTTATGCGCTGGGAGACTTAGGCGATTTCAAGGAAAAACCCCCCCGATACCTCCGAAACAATATCCGGGACCGCGATGCTGAATTCGCATTAGCGATTCGCAATGGTCACAGGGACTACTATGCCCCTGATCATCAAGGTTCTCGAAAGGGAGGGAAATCTGAGGGAGGAATGTCGGATAAATGGGTCGCCAGGGTACTCAATGTCATTGGAAGCACTAAGGGTACAGAGATCCCGACAGAACCCGACCCCTCCAAAATATCACTTCTGTTTCAGGACTACTCAAAGGGCTGGAAAGATATAGCCCATTCACATATTCAGGCCGTGGAGCAGACTTGCCGAGAATATTTCGAATGGCTATCGTCGGCAGGCTTGAAAGATTCCGGATTCACTGTCTTCGAGACCAGTTTGACAAGCCTCTTTTATCAAGAGTTGGATCGGCGGAAGGCCTTAGCCAGAATGGAGCTCGATAAGCTTGAAAGAGATCGCAACAGACCAGCCAGAACGTTGCATGTCAAATACGAGAAAAAATTGCTGAGGGTTCGGCATGAGGAAGCAATGCGGACAATGGCCAAAGTCAACCACGCCACCCGGGAAAGAAATGGACAAAATGCCCTTACTCCATTAGAGCTGTCGGAGCTGGCTAGTTTGACATCTCGGGCAAATCACGAAGAACAGATTGCGCAGCGTTTTATGGATCAAATGTTGGTCTACTATCGGGTAGGTAATTCCACTGTGACGGGTTTCTGAAAGATAGTTGATACTAACCCCGGAGAAGATTGCGAGTGAACGGTTTATAGACGAAGTTGTCATTCACGTTAATGAAAGGCATATGCTTGACGCTCTTCCCGAAGTCGTGCGTGAGTTGGCTATCAGTGACTCTGCTCTTGACAAATTTTGGGATAATGGGACAATAAAGGGCAAGCAAACTGAATATGATAGGTTGAAGAAAGACGCAGATCAGTATGCTCAAATTAAAAGGAAGCTCTAGACGTGTCATTCCAGCTCCGAACCCTTTTGGTTTCTTTTGTCTTCAATTTTACAAGATCATGTTCCAAATGTCTATATAGCCATGCTTCAGAAGGATTGCAGGCTCAAAACTATTTGACCATATATCCCGGCATATTGCATTGATCAATGAAGTGAATTTTCGCATTATTCCACTCTATTTCTAAATTTCTATTATATCAGGCCGCACTATTCAAGTTAGTCGGTTAATTTTGGTCCGCAGATAAGTATCATCTAATTTACCAAATCTACATCATGGTATTCATGAGGGGAAAGTTACAAGAATGTCAGAAATCAATATCATTCACTTATATTCACTCTACAAGTGTCGTTTTGGGACAGCAGAAATTTTTGTTTTGTTTGCACATAATAATCCAAATTGAAGATGGATGTGCTACATACGACCATAGGGTGTGGAGAACAGGGCTTCCCGTCCGCTCAGCCGTACTTAAGCCACACGCCGGTTAGTTAGTAGTATGGTGGGTGACCACATGCGAATCCTGACTGTTGTATATTTTATGTTTTTGTTTTTATTTTTTGATTCGTTCTAGAAATTTCATTTGCCGCCCTTGACGTGAACGCCCTAAATAACCTGAACAATATTCCTCTGCAGTTAAATCAGTCTCAGATGGTGCGAGCTAAGGCCTTCAATTTACTTAGAAAAAAGACGAACCTGTTGACAGCGTTTGCTATTCGGTCTGCAAGTCGCTAGGATGTGATCCCATCGAGCGTTCCTCCCCACACTGTTTAACACGGGACACTTAGCGCTGTAAGCATCCTAAGTATCTCCTGACCTCGTCTCCAACCCAATTTCAGAACTTCCCTCGCTATAAGGATGATATCATTATTTTGCAACTGGCTACTCAGAGTAGCTAGCAAATGTTGGTATCGACTAGAAACTCCCGCGTCTGCTGCCTGTTCCCTGAACAAAGGGAAATGCAAGAGCAAAAAAATGTAGCACTAACAATATGAGCCCCGCCATGAATCCTCCTAGTTTCAAAGATGTTGATATTTTGGACCCACACTCGAGGTCGGATCAAGCTCCTTTCCTTCAAACGAGAGACACTACTATACAGGTCAGGCTGATGATTTTTCTAATAAGCAGTGTTCATAGCTCTTATATCTACTCTATCTCAGTCAGAAGACCAGTACTAGTATCAAAGGCAAGCCCAAGAATCTGGATATTCTTTTTGATTAGCGGAGAAGCCCTAATGAGGGCAATATCTTCTCGGATACTGTTCTCAATGCTGGAAAATAGTTAGATTCCATACGAAGCGGATCTGAAAGATCATGCTTGTTAAAGCGAACCTGTTTTTTATTTCTCCAAATTCGGAGGCCTTGATTAACTCCTTTTCATGGGGCGCAATTTCGAGTAGCGCCTGTTTGATGTCGGCGTCGTGAAAATGCGTCAAGCCGCAATCTAAAGTTGTCAAACTATGCCTTCAGCATGGAAGACCACCAGTCAACTTCAGATCGCAGAGCGTAACGTACCCGTATGGTGCATAACTATAATGGTACCGGGAGCGCCAATGGTCTGTAACACAGATAAGGTCCGGATAGCGTCAAAAGCCCGACCACCTGCATTTCGCACCATGGTCGCTTCTGTTATTCTGTTGTCAGTTCCAATCGGATTGTTTGTTGTGATGATACAGATTCATCATGTGAAGTCTTCGAGAAACGGAAAGGCGCTTCAAGAATGAGACTCACTTATGGTTGAATCGATACCCAAGATTTGGTATGGATTGAGGCGAGGGTCGGAACAGGATAACACTATCACCCCGAGTCCAGAAGCTCTCATTGCAGAGGCCATTTGTCTCAAATTGGGTGGTGCTTTATAGTCTTGAGAAAACTTGCTGCAAATTGTCAGCGGTAATTCTTCCCCTTGGACTTTTCGATGATGGATGTACAGATTGCGTGCTAGCATCTCCTTGACGACTGGTCCGCCACTCATATTTGCGTTTCGATCGAGGTGTGAGTCTGGAATTGTGATGGATTAAGGAAGCAATAGCCAAGGAATCGGGTTCGATGAGGGAAAATAAATTGAGATCAGCTATTTTATGCGCAAAGTGCTTACAAAGAATACTGCCTGAACACACAAATGAAATCAAAGCTCGGCCAGAGGTCGCCCTAAGCCAAAGATTAAGGTTTTTGAGGTAAAGGATTGCGAGTCTCATGATTCTCGTCGACTGGGGAGCAACAGATCCCTCCTCCGTTTTACGAGTGGTTTTTTCTTGTTCTTTCTTGTTTTTTTCTTTAACTTTTTGGTTTTAGTTAATACGCATTCGTATTTTCCTTGCGTGAATCTCTTAAGTCTTTGCCACGGTCCACTCTTTGGCTAGGCCTAGGTTTGTTTCAAAGTTCAAACGCTTGTGCAAGCTAAACGACGAACATGCCCAACTGGGTAGAAAATGTGTTGAACCGTGGGTAACACATATAAACGGGGTCATTGATGACGTGAGATTCCGTGCAGATTTGGGGTCTCCATCGAGAATGTAAATGTGTTCTTCTTAATTCGGCCTCGAACATTAGACTCTAAATTGTCATGAGAATGGTAAATGAGCTTCTAAGATTCTAGTCAATCAGGATGTGACGATGGAGAGACAATGATGATCGCCATCGGACGGTCGAAACAATCTTATTATCGAATTCCCATGGTGCTGTGCGGGAAGCCAAATAAAGCACAATAAAATTGTTGAATAATCACAGTGCGGTCGGCACCCGAGGAGTCGAAGGAAAGCCACCTATAAGCCTGCTTACAGATTTCGACTATGCCCTGCATTTCAGCCCAACAGCCTAGCTATGAATTAAATTAAATCGCATGATTTCAGCTTAAGTCAGTGCTGTTTTTGGACTAAGCCCAAGTAGACTGACTTTGGGTGACAATATTTGAGGGGGCAGACTTATCACGAGCCCGGGGGCATTTGAGGATATCCCTTTTGCCTTTACTAATACTAATAGCTTGGTAGTGGGTGAGGACGCTGAGATCTATTACGAGATAGGTTAACGAAATTCTGTTGGAAGCAATTTACTTAGAACGGAAATTTTATGGAAGCATCCATGGATTTCATCTATCTTGACTTTGCAAGCACCAGAAACTGTGACTGTGGCCTGGACCAGCGGCTCCAGCTGTTCCAAAAAAAACTGGGCGGGTTGTAGTAGGGTCCAATCAAGATTTAATTTTCAGAAATGACAACCGGTATCAGCTGAAGCTTTCTATTTGATAAGAATTTGGTCTTCTCGCACATTGAAAGAACCTATTCATAGCGCTACATTCCGCTGGTTAATCTTATACGAGCAGTAGTGAAATTTCAATTGCCCCTCAATACGACGACACATTTGGTATAAATTGCGAAACCCACGCCTTGGAGACTTATGTTACTTGGTATTGTTCATCACACGCAGGTTTAGCACTTGGCTTTGCCGGATATTCTCAACGGTAATCTCATCTACATGCAGATTCTGAATGAGATTTATACCTCCTACATTGAGGGTCAGGCACCCTTGGTACGAAATACTGGGGCTTTTGTTCGTCAAGGACAGCTGTTGGAGCGCATATGTGCTCCGGAGACTTCGGTCCGATGTCTTACCCGAACAGGTACGGGGGATGGTTAGGAGCCGGGCACCCAGAAATACTAATATTCCATGAACATACATTACGAAGTATTTGATATGCTTCTTAAAATTCGTGAGTACATCTTCTTATTAACAAAGTAGCAGTCTATAGCAAGGAGAGTACTTACGGAGTTCTAGTATTATGAAAACCTATAAGAGGGTATAATACGGCTGGATCAAGAAAAGAATAGAGATTTTTAATTTTTCAAAGACTTCTTTACTACATTCTCTTATTTCGATTTCACTTCTCATTGCGGCATTCCAACGGCGTGGGCTCCGGGTCATCCTTAATACTGGGGCCAGGAGAGAGCGAAAATACTAATCAATGAAAATACCATCACTTCCGCTCTCGATCACGATGAAATGATCCCTGCGGTTGAAGTCAAAACGAAATTCAAATTTATCGTCTGGCAACGCAGAGGACTTTGGAGGTGCTGAATGATCTGGGGGCAAGGTCCCAATTGTGACTTTTGCTGTACTTCAGATCCAGAATGATCGGAATGGGGTTCTATATCTGTTATTGTCACACAGACCTTTGCAAGAATACTGTGTGCACTACGACTGGTGATGTGAAATTACAAGCAGAGGCCGTCGGAGATGGCACGATCTTGTCGTAGCTAATCAAGTGGGAGTACGAACTATGCGGTCTCCGTATTGTTACGCTTACTGATGTTGTCCACCATGTGCAAGAAGTCAATTCGCGTCAACTATCTTCGCCTTAGTTGAAATATTCTTATCGGAGCCAAACAGGATTGAGAATGAGAATGAGAAGATGAGAGCGGCAGTGATGAGGAGACCGAGGCGCCTTTCTTCGCTCGTCATTTGCATGGGGGTCCAATTTTAGACCTCGCCGAAGCGATATGCAGTCTATATCAACTATGTATCCGAGTGTGTACATAAAACGTGATCCACTTGCTGAGACGAACTTCGAGGATTCGTCACGATCCATCGTGACCACATTGCCACTCCCATTGTTAGGCTGCACCTAAGACACACGACTGCGGAACCGCTTTGACGCCTCGACGAAGTCCAGCGCAGCTTGCACTATTTTGGTTCGCGACACGATGTTTGGTTTACCACTCTAACCTTACTTTGAGCCTCCCTGTAGCGACATGATGGTTGCGCTCGTCAATTAAGGTTCTGCTATCGTGACCGCATATCCCTATATGATTACAGGGCTCTAGTACTACTCATCTAATCGTAATTGACCAATTACAGTATAGAGTCAATAGTTTGAATATTAAGCCTTGCATTTCTCAACGCCGAAGGCACCGAGAAAGCGGAAGGAAGTACTTAAGTACGGATGGAAGCGAAAGGAGCTCATAGAATACCGTGTAATGAGCGTAATGAGCGGGATGGGGAAAGAAGAGAGAGAGAGAGAGAGAGAGAGAGCTGTGACACAACATCCAGCTGTCAGGTCTAGAAATAAACGGAGTGGAGGCTGCATGTGACGCCGCACACTCTCCGAAAGCATTCGCCAAACATACCATTGGCCCTATCAATAGACCGATCTACACCTAATCTGGGCAAGCAGAAACATAAGCCGGAGCGGTGAAAGAGTAGGACGAGAGTAAAACGTGGTCAGGCTGGCACGGAGGGGTGTAGACGAGCTGAGAGGCTCATGAACATTCATCAATGTCATCCTCGGAGTAATCATCCTCGGAGTAATCATCCTCGGAGTAATCATCCTCGGAGTAATCATCCTCGGAGTAATCATCCTCGGCTTGATCCTTCACCTTGGCTTGCTCTGCTGCCTTGGGCTCGGAGGCGGCCTTTGCGACGGCCTCTGGGGCAGCTCCGGGTGTGGGTGCCACCTTGGTAACAAAGCGAACGTAAGTAGAAGTCACGGAATCGCCAGCCAGGGCGCTGGAAGAGTAAACTGTGGTCGGGATAGCACTAAGGGGTGTAGACGAGCTAGTAGCAAAGCGAACGTAGGGAGAAGTCACGGAAGCACCAGCCAGGGCGCTGGAAGAGTAAGATGTGGTCGCAATGGCGCGAAGGGGTGTAGACGAGCTGGTAGCAAAGCTAGCGGATGACGAAGTTACGGAAGCGCCAGCCAGGGCGCTGGAAGGCGTAAGGCCAGGATAGAATGAGGTCGGGATAGCGGGAATGGGAATAGACGAGTAAGTAGCAAAGCCAGAGCTTAAATCGGCCGCCATGGTAGGAGCAGAGTATCCCGACGGAGCAGCGGTCACGGTGACGGCTGTGCTGTAGGTGGTGTACTCATCTCCTTCCTTCACGCAGGAGCCGCCGCCGTAGGCGTTCTCGCACGAGTTTGCCTGGTAGTCGCCGTCCTCGGTCCACATGCGAAAGTCTTCGATGGTGACATCGGTGCAGGGTGCTCCGCTGGCACAGTGCACCTTGATAGGACCACGCTCAGCACCGTCTGACTCAGTGCCCCTCCAGTTGCTGATGGTGATGTTATCGAGCTGGACACCGTCGCCTTCGATGGTATCCATGCTGCTCCAGGCTTGGTCGATATCGAGAGAGTAGGCATTACCGTGGCCTATAAGTGTTAGTTATGATATGACCCCTAGTTATAGGGTATCATACCGATGAAGTTTTCGAGAAGTAGGTTTGAGACCGTTCCATCACCGCCGTTACTCTTTATCATATACATTTGATTCGAGGACCATGTGTAGATATTGCGGTAATGAATATTAGTGATGTTGGTATCTGTGCCTAGAGAGCCCATAGCACAACCACCACTCCAGTTACAGTAGATACTCTCCACTAAGATATTACTGGCTGGGCTCTAGATCAAATTTAGTAAATATGTCACTCTAAGGTAAGTAGGACTCAGCGATTTTAATATTTACCTTAACAGTGACACACTCATCCTTATTAGAGACCTCGACCTATATAGAGGTTAGTAGAAGCATAAGAAGATATAAGATGGTTAAGGCACACATCATGAACCCAGATATTAGTAGACCATATATCAATACCATCTAGTCCACCCGAGTCTCCACCCCGAATGATCATATTGTAAACTTCGCCATTCTCACAGGTATCCATAGAGAAATGGAAGGCGGGAGAGTCGACGAGAGCAAGATCGTGAACAGAGAATTCAGTGACCTCGTACAGACGCAATATGCGAGGCCCACTAAGACTGCCGTTAATATGATACTCATACCCAAAACCCTGAACGGCGCCTTTAGAAGTTGAGCTGAGCAATTCAAAGTCTGAGGTATGCTCGATGTAGATCATGTTACCTCCATCGGTTCCAGTCCGGTAGAGGATTCCATCAATGTTAATAGCGCAACTGCTACCGCCGGTCAAGTCGACCCATGAATCGAGAGCGTAATCGCCAGGCGGAATGTAGACGACACCACCATTCTTGCAGTCGTCCCAAGCCGAGCTGATAGCCGGTCCGATATCAGTCGAATTGTCCGCGACAGCACCATAGTCAAGAACACTGCAGGTATTGTTCTTTGCCTTGTCTGCGTACGAAGTTGTTGGGCCCACGGAGCCGGAAAGTTGAGCGGTGACTAGCAATGGCGCCAGGCCAATTGCGAGGAAAGTCGGCAGCATGTCCAAGAAAAGAATGAAAGAAAACGAAATGATAAAAGAGTGACTGGATCGAAAGGAGTGATCGAAATGCAGAATTGTAATTGAAACGAGCAGAAATGGTGACTAGATATGTTATTTCGATAACAAAGATCGACCTCGGTAAGCCGAAACTGATGTCTCAAGTAAATTAAGGAGGCATATTGTACGGCTCCACATGATCCGGCTCCACATTATCCAGCTCCCCTAGAAGATTCTGACACCCCACAAATGACGCCTCTTTTCGGACAGGATGCATAATTTGCCGATCTAAATGAATTGGGAGGGGTACGTTCACTTCCTACAGAGACGGTTGAGCCACCGCAGAAGAAGAAGCCCCTCCGCAGCCAAGATCTTGAGATATAATCTAGGCGCAGGTTTGATCTATGCGGCGGCGTTCAACTAGTGTGCAGTCGTGCTTACGTGGGCGCTAAGCCCATTCTTCTCAGAGGCCGCTGGTTGGCTAGTAACTTGATTAAGGTCGGCCGGTATTACCTGACTAGGCTTAGCGCCCCACATTCTAATTAGGGCGAAACACTTCTTAATTAGGTATAGCAAGTGACCGGCCCACCAAAATCAAGTATATAAACAGGGGACATTTCTTTAAGCGTTTTCAACCCCTGGACCCACCACGTCACTTCCACCAATCCTCGTCACTTGACGTGGATACTAAGTGGAGTGGACTGATCAAGCCGCATTATAGGGGGTGGTCTGTGAATACTCATCATATTGGAAAGGATATTTAGAATATGCGTTAGTCATGCTTCGGCCCCACAACGACTACAGGGGCACTGTCTTGCTCGGCAAATTCCTTCGATTAGTTAGGGGATCCCTACAGGGAAGATTATACTGCTAGCATCATCTCGCACAAGGTACTAGGCTTTCTTGAAGCTACTTGGTATGCATTCGACAGCATTATACCTCACGAGTGACGACCTGATTGGCAAATTGGCAATGGCATATCGGGCAAGCAAGAACCAGATACAAAACCTTCTTGACTCATGTAGAAAGTAACTCCGCATCGGGCTTGGAATTGGGAATATCGCTGCAAGATGAAAATCTACAGGCTGATTTTTGAAGTCTCTGGCACCAATATCCATAGACGTGCGGCAATCATGATCGCAGGCGCATTCAAAAGCATGTCCGCTGCTGCGCTAAATGCGGAGCTTTTTCTACTTCCAATAAAATTCCAAATCGAACAAATTAGCCAAGAAACAGCCATCTGGATCCGGACAGGTGCGAAATGGACGTAACCTTGTAACCTACAGCCAAAACTAGATAAACGAACGATCTCGGAAATTCGCATTAGAGGGTATTCCCATCTCAAAGCTCTCCGATGGAAGAAAGGAGGAACTATATTCGGCCAAGCCCAGTGGGAGTCAAAGCAGGCCTTCGTCCTATCTTCGTGGGAGAAACGTATTTATTGCATCATTAAGAACTCTAACACTGCGATTAAATCGCACAATCAGAATCAGAGGGGAAAGTAACTAGTCTTCTTCCCTACTTCTATTGTGCGGCTTATCTGATCAATTACCCGATATATCGGGGTAACCTTTCTCCGGCCTACTCGCCGGGCAGGCCTCGCAGCACATAAATGTGTGTTCATGTGCTTATGTCCTGGTCCTTAGGCCCTCCTACGGGCCTTCTGTAGACGTGTCGTGATAGCGCCCCTCTAGACAGCATATTCCCCGCGCGATTTATGCCTACGTTAAAGTAATCTAAGCCCTACGACCGCCCACGACCCTTAACCTACTTGACGATATCTCAACTTCTATCCGCTAGATTCCTGAGTACGTGGGCGTTCCTAGCAACGAGCTTGCGGGCACTACGGCGAATAGTGTGGCTCTTGCAGGGGTCGAAATCGAGAGGTCGGAAGGGAACATCCATTTCCCCCAGCTCGCTGCGACCGCGAAGCAGTAGGTGTGGAGCTAGATTAGCGTCAAGTGGGTATCGCAGTAGGCAAAGGAGGGCTAGGAAACCATCAAAAAGACTTGTTAAAACGCTGTTCTTAAAGAAATCAAGGCTCTTCGACAACCTCCCATGATACGTTTAATGTGTATTGGGTTAAAGCACTTCCTATATAACATCGGCGAAGTAGACTTAGTTAAGTTATTCGCCTGAAGGAATTATAGACACTGTAGCATATACTACTATAATATCTACTCTCTATCGATAAGAAGAATAATATGATAGAAAAGATCCGGGCACCAACCGATCTCAGAGAGAATCCGGATAGATTAAGAGGCCCTTACATATATCTTACCAGCAGGCGATTCACTACGTCGCCGAATTTATATTTTAAGTACTTTCAGGCCCGGCCGCTTTATAGACCGCTCACCAATCTAGTAAAGTCAACTCCAGGCGCCCTGGAATCTTAATATATACGGCAATATTTGATAGATGAAGGGGTGCTTAGAAGAAATTACGGGAATTTTGAGGATTTCTCCACGTACTCCCTCTAACCCGATTCGGCCATTGTGTCCAAGTACCCCTAAGTATTTTATCTCACCTCTTTATATAAATTGACTCCCAAAGTTAGGGAGCCAAATCCCGACTTAATGCTTTCTGAGACTATGACCCTGTAGACTATATGATCTCTATGCTGTAATGGCCAGGAATTGACCGAGTTCTGTATGCTTTTCTCAAAAGAATGCAATATTCACGGTAGACACAGGAAACACAGGAACCGCCATAGCACACTCAGCGTTCTCTGCCAGGACTCAGCAGGGGCAGAGTCCAATAAAGCGAGGATATGGTAGATTCTGTAATGCAGATATAGGTCTAGTACCAGATATACCGCACTATATGATAGGAGTCCTCGCGTTTTGAATGTTGGATGTGGGGACTCAGAGGCAGCGAGGTTAGATTAATGAGTTTGAATTGTATTAAAAATCGGTGATAATATATGATTTATGTGCTGAATATGATAACCGTATTCATTGAGATCAAAGCACGTCTATAGAGAGAGAAATCATATTATAAGTGTGGCAGAAAAAGTATCGGTACTTAGGGGGTACTTAGATCAATGGCCGAATCGGGTTAGAGGGGGTACGTGAGATCTTTAGGGAGTACGTGGAGAAATTATCGGAATTTTACTCATATTCCTCGGCCAAATTAGGCCAGATTTGGATTATAATGAATTTCTGCAGTTTCTGCTGGCAATAAGAGAAGTGGGACCTGAAGTTCCCAAGGTCAAATACTTGTTAAACACCACTATGTAGCTTCCAACGCCTGAATTAGGATCTAATAAATTCAATAAGTCAATGACAAAAGACAATATGATTAGTAAGGATTTAATCTGATTTAAAAGCTGATAGTAGAGATCCTGCTTATTTTGTCGACTTCTTTTTTTGAATACTACTTCCGTCTCATCTCCACTCACTTATCTTTAAAGAAGTCACACAGGGCGAGCTCTTACCAATCTTCATTATGGCCCGAGGAATTCGTAGAGTAATGGATAGATAGCTCTCGTCCAGTATTTACAGTTAATAGGACTAGCAATCCTACTCGATCTTCCACATTATCTAGAGATTATATAAAGCATGATCGATCTCGATATTCAAATACGCGAAATTGACCAACACAAAGCTTTTCTAATAAGGCAATACGCTAGTATAAAGAATCTAGTAGATCATCAACAAGATGATTGGAATATGGAATTAAAAGCTCTTAAGCAGAGTTATTAGGAGACGGGGCGCAGAATTCACGCTAACACTATTTATTGTCCCTATAAGCCTTTACTACGAGCTTGTCTATGCACTCAAAGGACACCAAAGTGGCATACTAATAAAATCTGGACGGACGATTATGTGGGGAGCGGTGGTTCCTGTGCTCGAGCTTGCGGATGTTGCTCGAAGCCACGCAGCTCCCACTCCAAGGGCCATGGACATTGTACAAAAATGTGCAATTGCTGTATTCAGGCTCCGGGGTTCCTATTGGAACAATAAAAGCTCTTCCAGCCAACTATCACTATCAAGCAAGATATTTGTGATATGGACGAATATAGTCGCGTTATGCTTAGGTCTTTTAATTTGGCTTGAAAGCCTCTTAGTGATGTTTTTGAGTATTTTATGTTTAATCAATAGAATGTTACTAAGAAAGCTTAGCATGAAGTTTTATTTAGATAGAGATAAGACCTAATACCTAATTTTATAAGAGATAGCTACCTCTAGTAGTATATATGGTATAGATATGCATAACGTAAGCGGATCTTAAGAAGCTAATTCCTGCCTAAAATTTAATCGGGACTACGTTCTATACCGGAAATTATATAAGCATCCTTCTAAACACCGCTTACCGGAACAGGCTATATATGAGGTAGATTAAGGTTCACGCATAATCAGTCCATTCAACAATCTTGCCTAGCTTAGAAATAAGAAAACCTAGACAATCCAGCTCCACTAGCTCGCTAGCTTTCTAGCCAAACCCTCGTATATTAGCGACTAAATTGCCCTTCTACTAGTACTAGATAAATAGTACTCTCCCTTTAGAGGCCTACCTTAAGTAGTCTAAGAAATCCCTCTAAAGGGCTTTCTCTAAGAACTTAAAGATTAAATCTAATCTGGAGCTTACTGGCACCTCTATTCTCGTCGACCTCAATGATCACGAGGGCGTTCAGCTTGCAGTTGACAGCCTTCAAGGTGACCGGGTCCACGTCAGCTATATTCAACGATGTCGCTTCGTTGAATGAGAAAGATTCATCACATGTGCTATCCAAGAACATGTTGATTGTTGTGGGAAGCCTGGACAATTCTCGCTTCATTCGTGAGCTGGTAGATATTGGTACTCTTTGTGTCCAAAAGATTCAAGGAAAATGGGAATCCTTCCAGACCAACGTCTTAGCCTGTCCATGGCCATCCATAAAGCACACGTTGGTCATTACGGGAGTGACAAGCGAGGAGGAAGTATCTTTGTAACATCCACTCTCGTAGAACAGATTAGAGTATCACCGTAAGTAGATAAGCATTGTTCTTTTCCCCAAGGTGCTTGGCTGTTGAACACGAAATGATGCACTCTTTCTGCTTCAGGTGGTATTGGTGGGCCGACGTTCTTATATCGCCACACGAGCATATCTATGCTCTTCCTGTACAAACAGTCCACGGCGAACCCAGCGTACAATGCCGTGGAATCTTCATCAACGATGAGACACCGGGGTTGACTGATTGGACGCATGAGAAGTTTGGACCTAAGTTGAACTCGGAGTTCTACAAGAGAGTTTTCGAATTGCTCTTGCGTATGAACGTAGGTTTTTACAGAATCGAGACAAACATACCAGGTTTCTCGTGATGCCTTCCGTTCGGTATTCATACAATTCGTACGACAACACTAATGTTCGATTAGGCCAACTTTCTCTGGCCTGCAATGTGGTCTGGCTTCCCAGAGCCGGGCAACATCTTCTTTGAAGACGATCCCTTGAATCAGGAAATTGCTAATAGGTATGGTATCGTTGTTTCAACATCTCATCATGAACCAATGCAGCGCAATATGTCCGAGTGGCGTATGGCAAATAAGGGCAAATGGGTGTGGGAAAATAACAAAGATAGCATTGCCGATTTCATGAGGGCGAGTCTCGAGCGAGCTCATCCTTAAGAAAGCATTCTCACTCTGGGAATGCGAGGGGAAAGCGACGGCGAAATCCAGTCAAAGGACTCCCGTGTTATTTTGACAGATGTCATTACCACTCAGAGGAACATCGTCAATGACGTGTATGGAAGGCCATATGGTGTAGGTCGTACGTGTCGAAAGGGGTCAAAGCAGAACCAACTTCGTGGCCTACAGCGTCGGAATACTACCAATGACCTTGCTCACCGGATACTACGTCTTTTTGATGATGACTGGTTGCTCACTGAGCAATATCACCACTCGCCTTGGGTTGGTGACAAGTGGAACCATATTATGAAGCAGCCACATTACGGTCTCGAGCCGACAACATGGCAAGCGCCGTCACGCGACATGATCACAGGTCTCAGTTTTGTGCAGCGACGACAAGCTTCAAATTCCTTATGTGGTCAAACGGGTATTGCTGTGGAGGGCCACTCCGGCGCTCGGCCAGGTCTTGTCAATGAAGAATCTGATCGTATGCAACCTTCAAGGCGTGAACTGGTGTTAGACTTGACTCTGCCAACACTTTGCCGCTATGGCCCAGAAAGCCGCTTCCTTGAGATATACACTCGAGGGGCTAGCGATGTGGATTGTTTTACCGACATCGAGCAAGATTGGGTCGTCCTCTCTCAATACTCAGGCCATCTGTCTCCTGATGGTCAAGAGGACCAGCGTGTGGAAGTCTCGATTGACTCGAACAAGGCTCCCATGAAACTTCAAGATGACATTATTAGCATCCGATCTCAACAAGGAGACTTCGAGGAAGTCCATGTGAAAATCTTTCCCAGGAAGGTGCCTGACGCTTTCGGCGGCTTTGTGGAGTCGATCGGGTCAATTTCAATCGATGTTGGTATGTCACTGAGCAGATCGCAAGAGGTTTACCAGACAAATCCTTACCTGGGGCGGACCAGCTCAGGTACTATTGGACTGATACAGTTGTCAAAGTCTCCGGGTATCGATTGGCAGCCTTTACTGTATCCTATCTATCTCTTCTCCAGCACGTCGACCATTCGTGTCATTCTACATTTCACCATGACCCTCGGGTACCAACGCGAAGAGCAGCTCAGATATAAAATCGCGCGTGGCGATTCAAAACAGACAGTGCGATTGCTAGAGTATCATTCGGTCGCAGATCTTCCGGTTGGCTGGGACGATGCGGTCCGGGACAACGTCTGGACCCGCACACACTCTTTCCACGCTGTCTGTCCGGGCGCTCACGTCATAGGATATCGACCCCTCTCACGAGGATTGTTCCATGAGAGGATTATAGTGGATGTATGAGGTCTAAAGGACAGCTATTGTGGGCCTCCGGCGACCTCTTTCATCGGGGAATCGGCTTGAGATCTTCGGCTCTAGTGGTGCGCATCCTCCACACGGCTGTAAAGGGCCTTTCAACGAAGTTTGGCGGTCTCACAATGCATTAAGTCTGCTTCAAACGGTGAATATCTTAGTTGAAAATGACCACATACACCTCCCCTCAACTTCGACCTATGGTCTCCTTTCCTAACCTAATCGCGTCAACTACGCATTCCTGATTTCATCCTTCGATTATTTAATGCTATTCCAAATCCCTCAACGCATGATTTGAAGACCAGACTCTTGAAATTTTGCACCTAATAAGGAGCTGAGTCCATATGCGGGTAAAAGTTGTTGTGCGGGTGGAAGCACTGGCAGGTCAAAAATCTAGCCGGATTGCCGATGAGCTCCGCCGCGCGTATACTACCGTCCAATAACAATAATCCTTACTCTGTTCCATGACTTGCCGATGGACATTGATAAGTATTCTCAGAAGCATATATGGATTTCAAATAAAATGAATGCTTATATTACTGCAAGGTCAGGAATTACAGCCCTCAATTCATATAGTATATGTGTATAATTATGTCACCAGAGCATTAAAATTCTTGAAACCCCCTAAGCATATTAGAAATCATATAAACAGAATTAAAATTAAGGAAAATTTCTTATAGAAAACGATTGTTGATATAAAAACTATTATTTATCGCATTTCTTATGGTGTTTGGGGGTAACCGGACCGACTGTGAAATACGTTATAATCTGGATAAAGATGCTTCTCGCAATGAGGGTAAATCACTTCCTCGGAAATGGCGCCTTCTAAATCTTTCTATACGACATGAGCGAACTATTCTTCGAATTTTTCGCATCAATCCAAAGATTGCCTATCAGCATCTGCGGCGAGATGTTAATCTTACAGTTTCGAAGGATTATTTATCGAATACGAAAAACCTATGTAATTCACAATTGGCTAGAAAAACGTCCATATCTCCAAATTTGGCGCGAGTTCTGCGCCAAATCTATCACTCAGCGATGTAAGCCGCGCGGCCCCCACTGGTAATTACTCCATCCGGTTAGAGCTGCACAACAGGCCTGCACAAGAAATCACACAAAGACTGCCTGTCACGTTCTTAGAACTGTTTGGACTGATAATCCTCTTAACCCCTGGTGCTTGATAGGCTTGATTGACGTACCAGGGCTTGTTGTAAACTCAATTAAATTAAAATAGGTATCCGTGCACGAATATGACCCGGTGCATACTTTACGGTTATGCTGAATATTTTGCTAAGTGCCAAGCCAGGTAATGAACCCCCCTAGCCGAGTATGTATTTTTTTACATGCTAGCATGCTCGCATCAAATATATGTATACCTAATAGATGCTAGTCCACCGAAACAGGCAAAAAGGCGGGGATCTTTCAGTTTCATAAGACTAGGGCTTTGCCTTCTATCTTTCCAAGAATTGAAAATTGTCCGACCTTGAAGAAACATTACATCTCTTTTTCTTTTCCGCTTCATTGAGATATCTTTGTAGGCATTATAAGATACGACAATGTCATCAAACAAGCTTCAATGGCCACCTCAAGCGCCTCCGAGATTCAGTGACACACCGTCGACGGTTCTCAGCAAGGCTAGGGACCTGATAGAGCGCTCTCGAAAGGCGAAAGATGAGCTTGTGGCACATGTGCCGCTAGAGAGCGCAACTTTTGCAAATGTTCTGTTACCACTCGCGAACGATGAGAATTTATTGGCTGTTGAATTCGAAATTCTCAAGTTCTATCAATCTGTGTCGACCGACCCGGAACTACGTGATGCATCAGGGGAGGCTGAGAAGCTTTTACACGAATTCAATCTTGAGACGGAGACTCGGGAAGACCTATACAACCTTGTCAAGTGGGTTTACCACAAAAGCAACATTGAAGAACTGGATCCGGAATCACGTCGACTGTTAGAGAAAAAATACAAAGATTATTACCGAAATGGATTGGGACTCCCTGAGTCTCAGCGGGGTCGCTTGAACGAAATCAAGAAACATCTCAATCAGCTTAGGATCAACTACAAAAAGAATCTTAACAGCGAACATGGGGGTATCTGGCTTACCCTGCAGGAATTGGATGGAATACCTGCGGACTTATTATCCAGCTTACAGAATCGAAAAACGGATGGCAATCATCCGGGCAAGGTCTGGCTAAGTTTCAAGTCATCGGATGTCTTCATGGCACTCAAATTTGCAAAAACCGAAGAAACCCGAAAGAAAATCTTCATTGCCAATGAGAATAAATGCTCACAGAATGGGTACATTCTTAAGGAGGCTGTGGTGCTTCGCGATGAAGCTGCTCGGCTGCTTGGATACTCAAATCACGCATCGTTCAGAATAGAAGAGAAGATGGCCAAAGACTTTGAGACGGTGGAGATTTTCTTGGATGACTTGTGGTCCAAGTTAACGAGCAGTGGTCACAGAGAGCTTGCCGAGCAAAAGCAGTTGAAAGAGGCAGATCTGGAGTCTCGTGGAGAACCATTTAACGGCTTTTTTCTCTGGGACCATTCATTCTACGGTCGTTTAATGAGGCAAAAAGAGCTGTCAATCGACCAGGAGAAGATCGCAGAGTATTTTCCTTTGCAAAACACAGTCCAAGGGATGCTAGCGATTTTTGAGAGATTATTTGGTCTCGTCTTTAGAGAAATGGTCGTCGACAAAGGCAGTGACATTGTTTGGCATGAGGATGTACTGGTTTTCAATGTTTGGGACGATGACGACCTAGGCAGTGAATTCGTTGGCTACCTCTACATGGATCTGTTCTCACGAGAGGGTAAATATCCAAATCCATCGAATTGGAACCTACAGCCGGTACGTATTATCTCTTGTCCTAGTTTCAGGTTTTCCTGAATATCTGAGTGGCTGGATACTTCCACTCTAATTTTCCTATTGATAGCTTCATTCAGAGCTGACTACATATAGGGCTTTATTCGACAAGGCAATACACGCCACTATCCGTCCACAGCTTTATTATGCCAGTTCCCTAAGCCTAGCCCTGGTAAACCGAGTCTTCTAAAACATGATGATGTTGTAATAATATTTCATGAACTGGGACACAGTATCCATGACCTTGTGGCAAAGACTACTTTCTCAACTTTTCATGGTACAAAATCAACGGAAGACTTTGCAGAAGCACCTAGCCAGATGCTTGAGAACTGGTGCTGGCTCCCTTCACAGTTAAAGTCGCTGAGTCGACACTACTCAACTCTATCGGCAGAAAGCTGCAGTCTAGGGAAAGAAGAGCCCCAATCAAGGCCCCCTAAACAAATACCCGACGAGATGATTACAGGCCTTATCCAATCACGCAACTGGAAAAGGGCACTGTATCATCTGCATCGGATATTTCTTAGTGTTTTTGATATGAAAATCCATACACCTAGAACTCACCAAGAGATTGTGAATTTGGATATCTCATCCAAATTTAATAGCCTGCGAAAGGCAATCAGACTGACTGACGGTCCCGAGATACTGGGTCAGGGTGATAGATGGGGTCATGGCGAGGCAAATATTCCACACTGGATGGGTACGTATGATGCGGGCTTTTATAGCTATCTATGGTGAGAACTCCTTACTTGCACACCATCGATCTTGAACTAAGCACCTATTTAAAGGTCAGAAGTATATGCCCTTGATATGTTCAACACGGTCTTCCGGTCTGACCCTCTCAACGCCAAAGAAGGCCGAAGATATCGACACCTTGTTCTTGAGAAGGGTGACAGCCAGGATACGATGAAGACCCTGACTGATTTCTTAGGCCGTGAACCAAGCAGAGAGTCATTCTTCAAGGAACTCGGTCTGGCGTGAAATTTACATTGCCAACAAGCATATCTCCTCTTTGTTGAATCAACGATGCATCAATTTTCTCATAGTCCAGGCCACTGGTCTCGCGGAGATAGATAGCTCTTCCACCACACTTAGTTTCTTCCTCTCCTCACGGATTTTTTCCACCACACAGTTCCACATATATTAGATAATCTCTGAGACAATGACGTCAAACAACAGTTAAAGCTTCCTGCTTCTAGCTGATAACTTCTACCAGATTAGATCTTAGTCGCTTTCCTCTAATATACTGCATTGAAGTGGCACGTAATTAAGATTAACATAAAAATCAAACAAATATATGCAGGTACAAACATTTGGTGAGGTCCTAATTGAGCTTACTAATATTTAAAGGGACTTGTTAATCCACAACATCGCCCTTATCGTAACAGCCAGCATATCCCCCAAGCACTTTGATTGGCGAAGTCCTAAAGTCGATCCCCCAAGCGGTCATGTTCATAAATATCCAGAGCAATGATTTGTATTCACAGAGTCTGCACTTATAGAATTATATGTACTTCGACCCTCAGCAAATGCCCTGTATTGCTTCCCTCACAGTATTGCACAATGAATGATATGATCTCGCTCGTTGGTGCTCCACCTCATAGTCGTAATGCGGAACGTAGCAAGCGCCCTGGGTTACCATGGAGGCTGAGCACCATCGTACTGATTGATCCCCTCGGCATTCTCCCATCCGGGCACGAGAACATTGAAGAACTTACCGTTCTCCGCTTTTCCAGCGCGGAGCACAATATCCAGAGTCGCGTTGGCACTTTGATCGACAGTCAAGTCGGCATAGGCACTGCCCATATCAGTCTTCACCCACTGCAAGGTTTGTCAGCGTGAGTGGAACCGGTACGAGTTGAAAAACCTACCCCAGGGGACAGGGTAAAGATGGAAAATCCCTGGTCCGCGAAAGACTGAGCATATTGCACCGTGAGCATATTGAGAGCGGCCTTGGAGATCTTGTATGCGGGGACGGGAGTGAGAGAGTAAGTGGATGCCATCCCAAGAGAGCCGAGAGTGGTGGAGCTAGTCGTAGTCAGAAGATTCTTCCTAGAAAATAATACAGAACGGAAGAAATATGGCTTACATGTTGGCCACCTTCTTGAGGTTGCCCTTTTTCAATAACGGAAGAAAGGCGCTGGTGACTAGATGAGCGCTGGTGACGTTAGTGGTGAAGGTCGATTCAAGGTCGGTCCTATACCCACGAGTCAGCTGGGAACTCCAGGAAAACGATTACCAAGGCTACTGACATGGTCTCAATGCCGGTAGGGGTGAAGTTCATGATGCCAGCATTGTTTATTAGAACATCGAGGCCCTTTCCTTCTAGCGACTGCTCAACCTTACTGGCAGCCTGCTTGACGCTCTCCTCCGACGTGACGTCGATTGATACAATCTGGACGCGGCCAGCAGACTTAGCCGCTACTTGTTTCAGGGCATCACTTTCTGTGCGGGTAGCAGCGAAGACAACCGACACCTCTGAGGCAGGCTTGGCTATAAGAAGCTCAGTAAGCTTCAGGCCAATACCTCTCGAGGTACCGGTAATAAGATAGGAGGCCATTGTGCTATTTGGTGAAAAGTTTGCGGGTAGAAAAGTGAGGGGTAATAGTAAAAGTAAAACAAAAAGTCCTCAATAGCAATTCAATCGGAAGTGCAGACGAAGTAAATAGCAGCAGGACGGAAATGACCGGCTTGTTATATTTTCGCCCAAGGCATCAATTTTGTAAGCCGTTTTCTCCTCATCTAACTTACATACAGGGATAGTAGTTTATTTCTTTTTTCTTTTTCGCGCTTTGAAATCAATGCGCGCCGCCGAGGTTTTAAGCTTTGCACAGTACAAGGGTAAGTGACTTTGACCGCTGCCTTAGTACTACTCTGTCACCGAGCGCAGCTGACGCTAACTGGTATGCAATCTCATGTATATTCTCTCTCCTTCGAGTATTATAAATGAAGTCTCTCTTTATGGCTGTCGAAGATTACGATATGTCATATCTTTCTACAGTATATTTCATATAAGACGAAGGAAGTGACCTTTTCAAACATCGATTCATATGACTTGAGCAGCGGTTTGGAGCAGTCTAATTCGATCTTTTATAGAGCAACAGTAAGATCTTTTTCTCTTATTACGCCTAACCTAGACGAATTCTTCGGTCCAAGTCCAGTTCAAGGCCAAATTGCAAAATCCACTCTTCGGGCCCTCTAGCGGGGCGGTCATGTTATCATCACGGTGCATGAGCTTTACTTTAATCCCGATCTGATATAGCGAGCTCAGTTCGTCCACAATGCTGTGGATGCGCTTGATTAGACGCTCTGCATGCTTATTCTTAGGACCGGACACCAGTCGCTGTGACTTTAACATATCGAAAATGAATTTGGAATCAATGGAGTCGAGAGCTTGCAATGATGGCTTGTAATTTCTTGCACAGGCGTCGCCAGTGAGTCAAGAGATCTTTCTCGCTCGAACCCTTTGAGAACCCAGATCATTATAGCCTGACATATCCACTTTTCGAATACAACCCCGACTTTTGCCCGCAAGGCCTTTGTGGTCTGCTGCGGACCATTTGATACTGCTGCGGAATATCGAAAGAGATCGACTAATGGTGCTATTGACTCCCCTTGACGCCGCATGTATTTCAAAGCTGATTCGAAATGGAACCTTCTGAGTTTCGCGCTAGTATCGATATTTCCTCTCGTATCGAATCCGACTCTTGCCGCTGGCAGTCGAGCAAACACGACAAAGCAAGCTTAGAATCGAACCGATTAGGACACATGAAATTCCAAAAAAAAGGGGTCAAGATGCTGTGGGTCTGCTATTGTCGATTGGCTTTTTATCTTGCGGCTTATCTCAACTCTACGAATTAGACCTAGGTGCTGCAATTGAGGAGAGAAAGAACGCCCAGCTACGATATTTACACTGTGCAGACTTGTTCTGAAGTCGCCTCCGAGTGGACATGTTTTCAACTTGCGTCCAGTCTTCATCAGATGCGACCAGGGCATCTTGCCCTTGCCACAGAGCAGAGGGTGTCTTTTGACGGATCAGTGGATTTTCTCCCATGTCTGGCAAGCTCTGACACGTATATCACATCCCTTTTGATGAACAAAAAGCTTATTATCGTCTTACTGTTGTGAAAATCTTTTGGTTCACATGATGGGTTTTCCAGAGCCTCCAGATGTTAGCTTTGGTGTATTTTGGTCTTCTTCTGGCCACGCACGGTAAGGTACTATTCCTCATCCCTGTATATGCCTTAAAATTGCATATTTTTTGTCGCACCCGACTTTTAGTTGACAAATACCTGCAAGTCCTCAGCTTTATTGGATACCAGAATTACGCCATATTTTTTTATGACACGTAGCTTTCGGTGTGCACGCATTGCTCAAGCTTGCAGTAGATCAGGATCTTACCCACTCTGGCTATTGGCTGTATCAATCACTTTCATGAATTGGCACTGGTGGCCTAAAATGTATATCCCTCCCTACGCCCACCTCGTGGAAGATTGGATCTGCCACCCTATTGCTATACGTCGCTATACTAGCCATAGCACGAGCTAGTTTCTTTACGCCAAGTCAAAGCATGGCCCTCGGATGAAACATCATAACATTCCTCATGATCATCTGTATTGGATGCGCGATTCTTTCATTCTGGTTAATTCCTATGTGCAGATTTTGCGCCACACACCTGCAGCCAATGAGCCCGCTATAGTCATTGTGAGGCTGGTCGACACGTACTACAGTGAACTGGGTGTCGGTACTCAGGTCGATTTAGTTCCTGGAATTTTCCAATCTTACCCCGCGCAGGATCAAGCGACGGCTCGAGGGGGTATCTCTGTAGGGCCGGGCGGACCATCACCCGGAACGGTGTGGGGACTCCACTTATACGGGCAAATTTGTACCTTTCGGCGATCGCGATCTCAGGGAACACGAAAAGTGGGTAAACGTGAGACTGTTCAACAATAAGAGAGGAGCGGATCATGTAGTGGCTCGCAGTGGGGGCCAAATGGCTACTAGGCAACTAAATACTCGTATAATGAGCTGACTGGGTCCCCTGCATGCATGTTTCCATTTAGGGGCAAAAGCTGACATCTCCGTCCCCCCTCCCCCCTTCCGGCTTGTGCCACACCCACCTTCATATTCCCTCGACGATTAAGATCTCCACAAATATTTTACTTGATCTTGATATTACCAGCCGCATCTACCCGGTCAGCTTATATGACTCGTTTACGTGTCGACCGAGGCGCCGCATTCTTAGTTACATTGCCTCCAAAAGATCAGTTATCGTGTCGTGGGGCTACAAAAAATAATTTTTTGTAATTCCATCATCTTCTACCCGCTCAGTGCTTGAAAAAAAGTACAAGATCCTATTATGTTACTGCCATACCAAACTGTTGGAGTGTGAGGTCATGTAGCCCCCTCCGAGCTTCTAGTGCTTGCTTCTCTCTCCCCTCTTCTTCCTTCCTCCATACCTCTCGAAAATCAGAATCTGTTGCAGCGCATCTGCCTCCATGCGGCTTATCTAGCTGCTTTCCCCCCTGACCGGCGGCCATGTGGCGGTCAGTTCAGATAGAATTATTTATTTCCTACTGATTCCCTACTACCTTTAGAGTCCGCAGCTTTGCAATGACTTATTAACCTCCCTATAGTTGCAAGATCATTTTCCTAATATCAAGTGATTTAATGCCGGAAATGCAGAAATTAGTATATTTCAAACTAGAGAGAAATTTGAGATACCATGTCTTCATGCCTTCGTCTTTTACTTCTGTTACAGTTCCCCTCGAGGTTCAAAATAGCTCCATGTTCAACTCCCTTTCTGTTAGCGTCATTTTTCTTTCTTCCTAAATCAGCATTCTCACTTTCGGTCAAGTCACCTCCTCTTGGCTGCAGAATTGCCAGTCTACTATCATATTGTTATCAATTAATATTTTTTCAACGTTATGTCAAACTACTAAAACCCTGGCTAAGCTAGCAGAACAGGACCTGGTCCACCGCAATAAGAATCATTTTGCGGTCAGATTCTATGATTGCAATCGTATTCTGGCAGGAAAGGGTGCCCCATATCCCGATTCTCATTAAGTTTCAATTACGATGTCTTGTCTAGCATTTCAAGACCATTGACAATTTTGAGCTTGAGAAAGTATTTGAAATCAGCACTGAACAGAAGGCCCAATAGGAATGAACAGTCTAAATTACTTTATTGGATAATTTTTATTATAAACTTGTATATTACCGTTGTCAAAATCATGTAATGTTTGATGTTCCGCCCAATAAAGGTATTCAATAGTTTGCATTGGCTACATAGCGCCTGGGTATAACTCTCAGTATATGATGTGGGATACTTAAATTATATTAGAGTAATGTTATATGCAAAAAGGTGGTCTGTTTTGTTCTTCTCTCTTACATTTCATATCGTAAATAAACTGAAATGTGTATAGATCGGAAGCACAGTAAATTAAAGCTTATCGAATATTGAAGGAAAAATTGTCGAACCTGAATGGATGGTTCGACGGCGCCTCCAATTCCGACCGTATCTGCTCATTGGGATGCTGAGGAAACTTGGAAGAGATATCCCCAAAAAAATTGGACCCGCATTTGTCGAGGACCAGTTATATGTTTCCATGGTGAATATTGGGATAGTCTGAAATGCTGTTAGACGAGGAAGCTCGCAGGAACAACAAGAATACATAACATACTGTCTCTAATGCGGCAAAGATAGAGGATATTGTGATCTGGGTTATCACCGCAGTGAGAAATCGTACATCGTAAAATTCGCGAAGCCGCAGAGATGCTTGATTATAATCCTTCGGGGGCAGTGATGTCGCCTCTTCTCCAGCCAGAGGCGACAGAGGTTCATCTTGATCTATCAGAAGATTAGCGACGATCTTCAAAACATGAATCGGCCGAACCACTGTCAGCCTCTCTTGATTACCTTTCTCAATGATCATTATACGCAGTATGATGTCGCATAATAGCATAAAAGCTGGAAACGCGAAAGCCCCGTGTGCTCCAAAGTGGTCGAACCTGTACTTTGATAAGCAAATCTCCCCATAAAAATCAGCTGGAGTGGGATACATACAGCAGGCCTCCTATGACGGGACCGGAAATCATTCCACAGGTGTTTGAAGTTGATACGAATGGCATATACTCCCCTCTCTTTTCAGGCGACGCAGTATCTGCAACAATGGCAAAACTCAAGACACCGACGACGGCCCCCGATACACCCTGACATACTAGCAATATTTTATCAGTATCAAAAATCAGGGGAATTCTGAGTCAGGGGGCTTCTACCATAGCGTAAACAAAATTATCCGTGAATGTTGAAAGGCACATTGCCACTAAGACAAATGCGCCCGACGCTCGTAGCTTGCGAAAGCGCTCCAGGTGGGTTAGAACTGAGGAAAATAACCGGATTATATAAATAGGCCGGACTGAAGATAGTTACACAACAAGTTAGGGAATCTCTTCTTCTATGACCTGGAGTCTCAAAAGATCAAGTAGTTACAAGAGGAAAGGAGACCAGTGAATATAGTGTGGACGATCGACAAGGTCACGTTGAAATGGAGAAGCAGGGGGATGCAGACTGTAATTCTTGGCTTGACTGGTTTTCAGCTGCATATGTCAGCCGCGGTAATCGGGGATTATACATACTATGGAATCATTTGTAAACTTGAAGGTTACGTGTTCGGAGTACTTTATAATCAAAGAAAACCCCTTGATTTGTCAAAAAAATCTAAAATGTGCTTGTTCTCTATGCAGCTGTACTAAAGACATAGAACGTCTCATGGGCACCCCTGATACTTTCAACAAAAGTCGCTCCGGTCTTGGATGAAAGAGAAACCAGTTCGTCCTCCTCCCACTGGCGCATCTTCATGGAAATATAATTCTTCTCCAAGATTGTTTGATCCTCGTTGTTCACAGCTTCCATATCAAATTTGATGTACTTGAAATTACCCTCCAAATCACCCCGATGGTTCGATACTCGGTACACAATGTGAGGAAAGGTTTTGCTTTGAATCTCCTTGACAACCTCAGGCTGATGGAATGCGATATCCTTTTTCTTGTCGAGGAGAGAGCCATCGTAGATCGAAACATAGGCCCTTCCAGTCACAGGACGTAGAACCTTGGAGACTTGATTGAGGAATGTCTCTGGCTGACCGTCCTCAGACAAGTGGCTGATCGACCCAATGGAGAAGACCAGAAGATCAATCTTCGAGTGCACTCTGTCCCGCATAATAGCCTCCAGATCAAGGGCAGAGCCATTGATCCAGCTAACATGCTCCTTCAGAGGCCCTGTAGTAATTTTCTTCGCCTTGTCGAGCATAAGTTGCGCATTGTCAACACCCAAGACTTCGGTGTTGGAAAAATCGGCGTTGGCCTCGACGGCATTCCGCTCAAGATCATGAAGGACACGCCCTGTACCCGTTCCAACATCCATGAGGACAAAAGGTTCATCTGGGGTCGGTGATCGCAAAGCTTTCAAGTCCTGGTAAACTTTCCAGTAGAAAGAGGCATCATCAACGGATTGCGAGTTTGGTGCAACGATGTTATAGTAGTCAACCAAATAGGGAGAACTGTAAACATCATTGGGTCGGTCTTGTGTAGGTACAGTCATGTTTGAGAAGATTGAAGCTGCGAGAATTGAATTTTATGAAGTCAGCGAAATTCGAGACGAAATAATAAATGGAGGGTGCCCACAAACCCGCAGCCCAGAGCCGAAGACACCCCGCGTTGGGGAATGGAATCTGCACGAATCCTCATGACGATCACAATTGCTCTGTTACATAAGAAAATTGCTTTTCTTGTGTCTTGCGGCGGTGTGACGAAGTATAATGAATGTGGCTGGCTGAAGAGGATCGCCGGAAGTGGGGCGCATAGCATGAGCTGTGATTAAACACATATTTGAATCACAGCTGGCTGAAACTTGACCATGCAGCTAGATATGACAGGTCAAAGGAAATCTCACTTTCTAATGTATTGTTCTCAACTGCGTCAGTGATGCATAACCACACATCACCAAGGCATTAATAACTCGGGCGCCAATATCTCCCAGATAATCATCATGATTGGATACCTGGGTACATACCGGTGTATAATGCGAATTACTAGTAGTATTCGCGGGCGCGACATGCATCTGCAGTCACAGAGACAAGTGTATACATGAAAGTGAAAACTAATGGATCACTTTCAAGCGAAGTCAGACCAAACTCTCTATGCTCTGCTCTATACTACGTGGCTTCTGACAAGCCTAGCTGCATACATCCGCACGGGATCCGCCCAGCCTTTCAATTTAGAGTTTCAAACAAACACGGCCCTAGCCATCTCACTCTTGACTTCGATCGGAGGCATAGTCATGTACATGCTGTAGTGGGGAGAACTGGCCCCTTCTACGGATTACCATACCCTTACGGGTCACATTCCGTCCCGTAAGGAAAAGGGTATATTAATACGAACTTAGCACTAGTTACAGAATGGACGCACTTACACATCTCTCACTTTTGACCTTTGTCGAGGGATCCACTGCTCGCCGAGGGCGACCTTCGGTTGTGGTGGGTTTTGCTGAGTATATCCGATTCGTGCGTCGTCAGAGCGTACAGCCAACGAGCGTTCCCCTCTTCAATGCGTACAGGTCTACTCTCTTTCATCGGAACTGGACTCTTCTACGGTGCGCTTCATCTTCTCGGCTTTGTGCGTTTGTGTACTGGTCAAGCATATGGCGACGCCACTTGCATGCTGGCTTCTAGCATGATGGCTATTCTCTCAATTCCATGCATTGGCGCAGCAAACAAAAGGTTAGTTCCATTTGAAATGGGTCTTCTTGGCATGTATGGAGGAGTAGTTTTTGCAAGCAAGATTAGCTTATGGTCACCGGTTTTCCTTTCTTTTGGCATTATTCTTCTGGCTTTCTGTTTGGACTTGAGTCGCTATAGACGCAGAGAGTAGTACGTAATCAGGGAAAACAAACTGGCCCTCGGGTTGCTGAGGGGGTATGGAGAATTGGCCGCGTGAAATACTGTACGTGGCTTATATAGTACGGTTGAATGGACATAAACCCCGTTCTCCACACCCTATGGTTATATGTACTTGGAATCGCATTCATCTGAGATACATAATGTGGTTTTAAAGATAAAATGTTCAATCCAGTCTGCGAATAAACTTGGCAGGTACTCCACCGAAAAGGCATCCAGGTTCAACATCTTGTGTGACCACAGCTCCTGCTGCGATGGTTGCACCTGCTCCAATACGTACCCCATCCAAAATTGTGGCGCGTGCCCCAATCCAACAGTCCGACTCTATAATTATCGGTCGAGCAAAGGAGGTCCCACTAGCTTCTTTTCGGTCTTTGGCGGCACTCTGATGCGTACCTGTACAAATACACACACCTGGTCCTAAAAGGACGCGGTCGCCAATGCGAATAAGTGTGTTATCATATAGTGATACTCTATGAAATATTATGGCACTCCAAGTCAGTAAAACCCTAGAGGAAGGATGGAAGTAGTCACCTTCAATTAGAAGGGGTCAACTTACTCACGGTTAATGTAAACACCATCTCCGATAAATACATTACAGCCCCATCCCACAAAAAAAGGTGGCTCAATATTAGCTCCCTCACCAAGCTGGCCAAGTAGACCTTTGGCTACGGCCATGCGACGTATCTTCAATGATTCTAGCGTGCTGCCCTCGGGAATTGCTTGGTCATTGAAATCATTGAGCTTTTGCAGTGTTATGATTTTAAAATCGCGAAGCTCCTTGGACCTGGATGCCGCGAAGCTAGACATATAATATTTGTCAATTATATAAGACTTATCAGGGCTGGTGTCCAAGAGACAGACTTCATTCCATTTATCATCCTTTCATATTCGTCACACCAAGGCACTTGAACGTGGCTTTCCTTGAGTTCTGATATTAGAGTGGGACTTTTTGTTGAAGAAGACATATTTCAAAACCTGGATCCTCTGATCAAGACTGGTGACAACGAATAAGATGTAAAAGGAGGGGTAAGTCAGTCGTGTTCAGGTTGTTAGGTAAGCGGAAGGCTCGTGCTGGTCCTGTACACTGGTTGAGCTTTCAGTGAAGGATATCTATTGAGAGACAGGTAGAAGCTTTCAAATTACTATGTGATATGGAGGAATAAAGCCAGAATGAAAGTGATAACATTCGTATTGAGGACAAAAGGACGAGAGTAAGACGCACTCTCTACCATGAATCTGAAACTAGTCCCGATTGGGACGAAACGAACTAAGTTAGCCTGATCTACCCTTTATGCCTGCAGCGTAGCAAGAATATCTCTTTCTCACTTCTTTCACGCCTTATCTGTACAAGGAAAAAAGCAGGCAAGAAAATTCAGCGCTTGCTTACCAAGTTAGTTCTCTCCTTCCCTGCCTTTCCTTCTTCCGTTCCTCTCGAAATGCAGATCATGTTCCAGTTCCCATGATTTCCACAGAAAAGTCTTTTCAAATGGATTGTGGGTGGTGATCGAGGTGGGAAGCCTGCAAGACAGCTATTGTCAGGCATATAGAGAAACCAAAATGGCTTTCTGTGGAATGTGAGAGAGATCATTTGTGCAATTATATGGAGAGTTTTCATGCTCTGAATGATGCCCAAGTGTCTTCCTTAAACTGTTGGCGAGAGTTTTGTGACTGATATAAATCAAACCAAAACTACCCCTCCTTTCAAGTGCTTATGAGTCACAACTTCGGCGGTTGCCATCGTGTTGGTCTGATTCCCGACCAATGTCACCTGCTCTCAAGCATTACGAAAAGTCGATCATGCATTAATCCCGCACCGCAATCCTCCACCCTGCAGCAGGAAGCACAATGACAAAAGCCCTATAGGGCTGAAGCTGAACATGGAACATCAGCTTCACCATTAATAGCCATTCTACCCCAACTCTCCATCCCTTGGGCCACTTAATTGGTCATCTAATTATGGTCCTAGAGGGTGACACGGACATCGCACCAATTGTCGATAGATCAGTACCCTGCCCACCCAACCAACTCACGAGCATAACCGCCAGAGTCAGCATTACATTCCACGAGATTCAAGTGCTTGATTTTACTGAGTTGAGATGAGGTTCTCCTTAGAATATAAGATTGTGGCCATACCCCGAGACCAGCAACACTCTAAGCACAATGTATATCACTTTCTGAATCTTCCTGGCCCTTTTTCCTTCCCCAATTCAGTACATCATATCGACATCATGGGGATAGTGAAACTTCTCCTCAAAGTAATCCTCATCCCTATCGTGATTTTCGCTGTCATCATCATCATTATTTCAGTCCTCATCAGGATACGCCGAGATCGGAAAAAGGAAGAGAAACAGATCAATCAGAGGGGCTTCCAGCTACCGCCTTTAACAGAATGGACCTATCCGGACCAGGGTGATCCTGTTCAGGTTCAGAAGCCTGCTCCGCTGGCTTATCCAATCACTCCGATCCCTACTCCGGCCCACATGGTTACTCCGAGTCAGATGGAGTCAGGCTATGCTCGACCGTGCTAGATTATGTATGACAAGGTACTCCCTAGACCTGCTTCCTTTCTGACCACTCCCTAGGTGTATTCCTTGGTGGTTTAAATGAGGTTACTGTGGCATTTAAACTGTTCATCATGTTTGACAGATCGTCTGGACTGTAGAAGCCCGGGATATTGTTGATCTTTATTTCCTGATGTGTAATAGCGTTTTTTTCTCATGTTTAATTTGAAAGTTCAGGAGCTCAGCCAATTGACCTAGATTATTGTTACAAGTGCCTGTTTTGAGGACGAAGCTACTCATAAGATGTAATCGATTGAATTCCCATGAAGGATCTAATGCAGTGAAGTAGGTCAAAAGCCCCAACTTCGGTGAATAACTCTGCTGCCTGGTCCCTGAATGCGGAGTATTCCCCTGGAAATTGGTACAGACACGACACACATGGCGCGTAGATGTAACCCTGCTGCTAATCAGCACATTTTGTGAAACATAATTGCAACCTGTGAATCCCGTAGGCAACCGTTAATCCGTGACTAATGTGATCTCATAGAGCTGAGCTCTGTGAGAGTCGAGGTGTCGATTCTTACCAATTTATAGGGCTGAGAACACTTGAATAGTAAATTTTGAAACTAGTCTTGCGTGAGAACTAGTCATGTGGGTCATAGAATCAATCATGGGAATTTGAACTTAATTTTTGTCATCACTTCTCTATATGCAGCCGTTCAAGGTCTCGGGTTCTTGAGAATGCATAGGCATTTATTTACATATATTTATTTCGGCTTATTCCGGATTCCTTCCCCATCTTTAAGCCCGGAGCCCTCAAAGAGTGAAGCCGAAAAGCCTATATACGGTGGTAATTATATGCAAGATCAACAATCAGCACCAAAACTAGCATCTGTCTTTCACTTTCGGTGACTTTAGAGCCCTGGTGAAGAACGGCCAATCCCAAGCCTGATAGTTCTTCACCAGCACGTCCTTAACCAAAGGCTTCCTGTCCCGGTCACATTTAAAGCCTCGCACTTGGCTTGAAATTACAAATAAGTCATTCTAGTGGTACCTTCTGCAAATATCCATGATACGAATCAATCTATGGGAACAGTGGCTTTGCAATGTCGGCAGTCTTTTCGTTCATCACACCCGCTCTCTCCAAAATGCACCTGTCACAACCACGTTGCAGGTATTTCAATGGGCCTATAGCACAATGAAGCATGGTGTACGATGTGCCTTGCCGTTTCCTTTTCTCGGCACATGTGTATCAAGTTTCCCCATTTACATCTGATTCAATTTTCAAAATGCCACTTTCATTCTGGCTATAAATAGTAGCTTTCTGCATCTTGTCAAAGCTTACATTACGTCTAAGTAATTTCCTGCCCGACCTTGCTTAACCCTATTTTCAACACAAAAATCCTACAGAAATCGACATGAATATTTGGAGCATCATTTTTGTGGCTGTCTTTGCCATCTTCGTGGTAGCAGCCCCGACGCCTGATGAGATGACGGTATGCTAATAGAGACAATTCGTTGATTCTGCGGTTATGAAACATGAGCTAATCGCACTTTTATGATCAGGCTAATGGTGTTAGTAATCTACCTATGCTCCACTAATGGATTGATGAAGATTGCAGCTTGACTTACGTTGATAAATAGTTCCTTGAGCCTCCGTGGCCCCCATTTTCGGATAAACTGGTATGTACGCATTAAAAGAATGATATATGAGTTCCATCGTTCATGAAATACAAGCTAAATCTACTATGATGAGCAGAGTGTCCGTTCAGATTGACCTATGCTTGACCCAGGCATCCATGAGTCTGGCAGCTGACTTCGATTGATATATACAAATAGGGACCTGAGGATCCGGAACCGCCCGAGTTTTGGGATAAACGGGTGCGCAAAGGGAGATCATAAATATACGTTCCATTGTTACAAAAATATAAGCTGACTTTATTACGATGAGCAGGGTGTCCGTTCAAATTGACCTATGCTTGACGGATGCATTCATACACCCGGCAGCTGACTTAGATTGATTTATACAAATAGGGACCTAAGAATTCGGAACCGCCCGACGAATATGATAAATTGGTACGCTAATGAAGTCATACGTGAATTCCCTGTTTCAAAATACAAGTTGATTGATGTATAATGTGATGAATAGGGTGTCAGTCATTGACCTATTCCTCAGATGGACTAATGAAAAAGGCAGCTGACTTGATTGAAATATACAGGGTGTAAGTGTCTCACCTTCTTGAGTGATCAGAGTACAACTGAGTTTGCATAGGGTGTACGTGATCTGCAGTGAGCTTCATTGAAAATAGCTCTGACTCGGATTGGATACGAACAGCCTTGTTGGCCCAAACCACACGTAAGGAGTAAGTTATTGACATATATGTGACGAGGCTTGGAGACTCAATTGCAGAGCTGATTAATTCACACAGAAGCCCCAGTCGAATTATATGCTCATACAGGGCCTTCAGATGCAAGAACTAACGGATTTCATTACAGCAAGAGAACAACTTGGGTGAAAGGGAATGGCCGTGCCCGTAACTCGTCTACGATCGAAAGAGCTGGGCCTCATGAACCCAGCTTTGAGACCTCGAGATCTTTCAGGCTCGGTATAGGTTTTCCCTTTTAAATTAGGTTTCCCTATACTTATATGCGAATGCACGGGCTTAGACTAAATGCCGTTTGAATAGTATGTCAGATTGAGGTGATAGACACTTAGCGTATGATTGATTTAGTCAGAAAGTAGAGACCATACATGATAAAGTAATTCATTATTCACAGTACTGCCCTTGTGGAGCACTCTAGACAAATGGAGTATTCTGCTCTAGCCCCGCTAGTCAAGAGATGGTGAAAACTAAGTAGAGGAGTAACAATCGAAAATGAATAGCCGACTGTGAGAAACATGAGGCGCAAGATTAACAAATTCAAACGACGCACAAGACCACAGGCCACGAATGAGATGCATCTGAACAAAATATCGACAGGAATGAGTTCACTGAGTAGCAGATATGATGCTGCTGCATTCCCGGCCACATCCTTCCCACCAAGTGCAATTTTCGTTTTCCTCGAACTAGCATGTTTCCTCGCGAATCCATTAATCGAAGTCTCCTTAACATATCGAGTAATCCCAAAGCGCTTCAGGACGCACTTAACTGTCGATCGGGAATGGAACTGCGGTAGCACGGTACTTAGCTCTGAGTATGTCCATGAAGGGTGTCGACGAGCTCTGAGGTGGAGATATTGCTGATCTCGTTTGCTGATCTCTTCGGGGCGGCCACTTCTTGAACGTGATCAGAGGCCTTTAGTTTCTTGGAAGCGTTTTACTGTCTTGTAGATCGTGCCGCGGCTGCATTTGAAAACCTGGGCTAGCTTTGTGGCGGAAACTCCCTCCTGGCGGGCGTAGATGATGGCTGACCTTTGTTCGGTGGATAGCTCACTGTTCTTCCTTCGGTCTTGGCTGATCCCTGTGGCAAGGGAAGGCATTTGGGTGTAGGTGGAAATCAAGTTCAAGTATGGATGGTTGTTGTGTTGTATGTAGGTGGCAGAGGGGTGGAGTTGGTAGAGACTTAGAGATACTAGGAGATTATTTAAGGAGAATTACATTGGAAGTTCCTGGTTGAAATGACATTCAATAAGATCAATTAGATACCGATACAAAAATATAACTCATAAACGTGATAAAGAAAAACCGAACAAATACCCATGCGCAATAAGCTTAAACAAACAAGAATCAGATCAACATCAAGTCATGAAGGTAGACAACTCTATTTCGTTTCCATTTGTTTCCACATTTACGCGGAGGCGAGGTACTTCAGCACAGACTCACGCTCCTCAACAGGAAGCATAGAGAGAACTTGCTGCACACCAAGGAGACCACCCTCCTTGTTTCCGATGAGAAGCTGGGCAACCTCGGAAGCGACACCCTCGGTACGAAGGGCCTCGACCTTGGACTGGACAAGCTTCTTGTTCTCCTCGTACCAGAGGGCGACCTTTTGGTCGTCGTGCTCGAGCTCATCGTCCAAGAGACCGGTCCAGGCGCGGAGGTTCTTGAGGTGGATGGCGCGGGGGGAATCGACGGTGGCGTTGGTAGCACCAGTGACGGGGATAGCACCAGCGGAGGCGGTGCGGGGAGTGGGAGAGGGAGAAGCGGTCACCATGCGCTTGACGATGAGCTCCTCGCTGAGACGGCGGCGCAGACGCCAGTAGAAGAAGCGACGGGCGTTTTGCCACTTGAGAGCCTGGCGGATGGTGTCCTTGGCCTCCATGCGGCCGGCGCGGTCGTGCAGGTCGGCGAACTGGAGGGCGATCTGCATGTAGACGGGCAGAAGCAGATCCTCGCGGGCGGCCATCTTAACCTTGATCTCGGAGAGCTGCTCGTTGGTAAGGGACTTGTCGTCCAGAGAACGGCGGAGATCGCCGTAGGTGGGGTCAAGACGGGCCATGGTCTCAAGCTGCTTGTCACGGCGGAACTTGATACCAACGATACCCTCGGGCTCGAGAACACCACCACGAGCATCCTCATCAGCGTACATCTCCATCTGCTCGGGGTTGATGGTAGGGTCAACAACGACCCAGGATCCACCACGGAGCTCACCGAAGGGAGGAATGTACACGAAGACGGGCTGCTCGTACTTGACGAGGGCATCGACAATGTAAGAACCGTACTTGAGAACCTCGTTGTACATATCACGCTGACCACCAGAGAAACCTCTCCAGTTGGCCAAAATCATGACAGGCAGCTGCTCACCGTTGTTGAAGTCACGGAGAGCCTGGGCAGTCTTGTACGCCGAGTTGGGGTACCACACACCACCAGCCTCCTGTACGATCATCTCCATGGAGTCAGGGTTGGCAGGGTCAGCAGGAGTAACGTTCTCAACCGAGCGCGACTCAACAGCGATGACACCCATGGGGATACCGCCAAGACGAGCACGACCAACAACGACGGTCCGGGCCCAGCCACCAAGCGCCTCCTCGAAGGAATCCTTATCGAACAGACCCGGAAGGAAGCCTTCCTCTTCCTGCTTACCAGCAATGAGCCAGCGGACATCGTAGGCCTGCTTGTCGGAGGGAGGGAAGTAAGAGATGTCACGGTCCCAGGTGTCAGACCAGGGACGAATAGGAACGGGGGCACCCTTCTTGTCGGGAACAAAGGACATCCACTCAACAATCTTCTGCACACCCTCGAAGTCATCAGTGGCAGTCATGTGAGAAACACCGTTCTTGTACATGATCTGGGTGCCACCAAGCTGTAGGTTGGAGGTGTAGACCTCACGACCGAGCAGCTTGTTGATAGCCGGAGCACCAGTCAGAATGATGGGCTGGCCCTCAACCTGGATGGCACGCTGACCAAGACGGACCAGGTAGGCACCGATACCGACGGAGCGGCAAGTAACCAGGGTGATGGTGAAGATGTCCTCGTAAGCCTTGGAAGTGGCACCGGCAATGAGACCGGAGCCCTTGAGACACTCGACACCAAGACCGTCCTTAGCACCGATAACGGTGGTGATCTTGTGACGCTCCTCACCGTCCTCGTGGATAAGCTCAGTGATAACCTCCTTCTTCTTGCTAGCGTCGAGGCGCTTCTTGACCTCGGGGGTGAGGTAGAGGTACTTGAAGCCAGCCTCAGGCTTGGCAGGATCATTCCAGGCAACGGAGAAGAAGGGAATCAGTTCATCAGCAATACCGATACGAGCACCAGAGTTAGCAGACAGGTAGATACGGGGAATACCAAGTTTGCGAGCCAGCTCAGTACACTTGTGGAAGAACTTGTCCTCCTGAGGACCGAACGAACCAATCTGGAAGGTGATGTCGTTGGCGACAATGATGAAGCGACGACCACGAGGGTACTCGGGGGTGCGGGCAGTGACAATCCATCCGACCATACCGTGAGTGTTGGTACCGGGCTCACGGGAGACCTCAACCAGGTTGTCGGTGTCATCAAGCACAAGCTCGCTGTAGTCGATGCACTCGCCAACAGGGGGGCGCTGGGAAGACAAAGAAGGAATAGTCTCGAGGGCCTTGGTCCAGCTGTTCTGGAAGGCCTGGCGGAAGAGCTCAGGGAAATCGTACACATACTGAGTTCCCATAAGGTGAGCCTTGTAACGCTTGGGCTGCAGCCACTCCTTGGTAGGGTAAGGAGTAGACACCGGACGCAGGTGCATGGAGCCAAGCTTGGTGGTACCGCCAATGCTCTGGAAGATCCACTCGCCCTTCTCGGACTTGCGCTCAATGTAGAGCTCGACCTGGATGATGAATCCGTAGGTGTTGCTGATGATGACACGCAGGGGGTAGGCCATTCCAGTGGTAGGGTCGGTGCAGAGAATACGGATCTCAGCACCGGTGACACGCAGACGCCACAGGCGGCGACCGAAGCGGTCGAGGAAGCCAGCCAGGGCCTGCTCAACATCGACAGGCTCGAGGTTGAAGACGGGAGAGAAGTTGATGAAGATGTGGTTAAGATCAGAGTTGTTGTTACCAATGATCTCGAGGGCATCCAGAATGTCAGTCATCAGGCGATCAGCCTCCGAGATCAGGTACTCGGCAGTAGGGATGTCATCGCGGAGACGACCCGGACGGACGACAGCGCGAACGAAGTAACGCTTGTCAACAGCCTTGTCATTTTCAGGGCCCTTTCCAATAGCCTCGTAAACGTGGATGTTACGGTTCTCGGTGAAGACGGGGGAGATCTTGAACTTGGACAGACGAGCGAGCTCAAGCTGGAAGGCCAGAGCCGGCTCGTTGTGACGGATACTGACATCCTCCTCGTAGTTCGGGCCACGGAAGGTGAAGTAACCGGGGTACACACCCTTCTTGCCACAAATGAAAGTGATGCGACGAATACGGCGGGCAAGCAGCTCATCCTTGCAGTTGGCAAGCAGTTTCTCCATCTGGGAAACAAGCTCAGTGTCGTCCAGGTTCTCAACGTCGCGGATGGCGATGTTGCAGACACCGGTGAGCTCGCTGTCGTTCTCAAGCTTCACAGTGGGACGACGCTTGCCCTCCAGGTTGGCGATCAGGCCGTTACCACCGACAGCCTTGAGCGGCGCACGGGGGAAGACCTCAAGGGCTCTAGCCAGGCACTCCTCAGCATCCTCCAGGTACTGGACAGGGACGATAACTCCCTTGCGAATGGGGTCACCGGAGGGATCATTTGCCAAGTAGGACATCTCACTGATGGAGTTGATGCGCTTGAAGGGGCTAGCGATCTCGGCAGTAGGAGTGCCGGGAGCAGAGGGCTGAGTGGTCACAGAACCAAACTCGGCCTGGTTGCCGACCTTGCTCAAGGTGAAGTCCCAAGACAGGTAGGGAGTCTCCGCAGAGGCAGCACTGTAGTCAATACCCTTCAAGGTGTAGGCACGGTAGGCACGGCGGACGTAGACCTCCAGAGCAGCAAGGGTAACCCAAGGGTCCTGGTGTACGAAGAAGCGAGGAAGCACATCGAAAACAGTGTACTTCGAATCGACAACCTCCTTCAGGGCAGCGAACTCAGGCTGACGGTGCTCCCAGCCAGTCTCACCGTAGCGGGACTCAACAACGGAAGACCGCAGGATGTGCTCCATCTGGGTCAGGCGCTCCTCCAGGGAAGGCATAGCGCACTGGATGAGAACCTCACGGGCCTTGAGAGTGACCTTGGCAGTGGCGCGAGCCTCAAGATCAGTCAACTTCTTCAAGATGGGCTTGAAGTGGGGAGCCACATTGCCAACCTCGGGCTGGTTGGGGCGGTACATGTCCAAGATAGCCAGGATCAGGTTGTTCTTGGAGCCAACGCGGCTGTGGGAAAGAACGGTGTGGACAACCTTGGTGATGTCATCCTTGTTCTCCTCACGGAGCTTGAGAATAACATCCTCGTCGCGCTTGGTACCGGTGGAGAAGAGCTTCTCGACCTCGTAGTACTGCTCAAGGAGACCAATGAAGACATTGTACTCATTCACCTTCAGACCATCGATAAACTTGTTGATGACCTGAACCAGGGGCAGAAGAGTACCGCGCAGGATATCAGCGTCAGCGGGGTTGACATTGTCCTCAATGAAGCGGATAATAGTCTTCTGGAGCTGCTTAGCGGGGAACTCGGCATGACGGGCGCGAGCCTTCTCAACAACAGCCTCCATCTGAGCATCGAGCTTCTGGGGAATACGCGAGTGCAGGGCCGAGGATTGAGCGGTCCACTCTCCGTAAGGAAGATCAGGGTTGCGAAGAACCTCAACGAGCTCCTTCAGTGTAGTACCCATGATGACCTGGTTGTCGAAACCACGGAGAATGTTATCCAGAATAGAGTAGAGCAAGGTGAAGCGCTGGGGGGCCTTGGTACCGACCACAGTAGGCGATCCAAGCTCAGGCAGCTGTCCAGCGAAGGGAGTAGCGTGCTTGACACGAGAGGGGTCATCCAGAGCGAGAATTCCGAGGATATCTCCAGCCTGAAGGGTAGCACCAGGCTGCTTGATGAGCTGCACCATACCATCCTCCTGGGCAATGAGGGGCATGTACATCTTCATAACCTCAACCTCGGCGTAAGGCTGGCCAGCACGGACATGCTCACCGTTCTCAACGGTAAACTTGACCAGCTTACCAGGAGAAGGAGTGCGGAGCTGAGTAGGATCGTTCTCCTGCTCCAGAAGGCAAGTCTTGCCGTCCACACTGAGACGAGTGGCAGCGGGCTCCTCCTTCCAGTAAACGTTGTGACTGCGGCCGTCCAGCAGAACGAGAAGACCACCGTCAGCCAGGGCACGCACACCAACCGAGCACTTGGAACCATTGATGAACAGGTGGTAGCTGTCAAGGCCTGCACGGGTGGCAGTGAACTTGTAGCGGGCACCCTCGTAGATGAAGTCAACGGGGAAGACGGTCTTCAGAACCTCCTTGGAGGAGACCTGACCCTTCTCAAGGCCCTTACGGTATTCCTCAATACCCTCCTCGCTGGCGAGGTGCGCCTTGGTGACGGCACCGCAAATAACAGCAACGATGGGGTCCGGACGCTCAGCAGTCAGCTTGTTCGAGATCAGCTGATCCAACCATCCAGTGGTGATGGTGTTGTCCTCAAAGGCAGGAGTCTCGAGCAGCTTGATCAGGTACTCGACAGTGGTACGGAAATCACCACGAATACTCAATTCCTTAAGCGCCACAACCATGTGCTTCCGCGAGGCAGATCGGTTCTCACCGTAAGCGAAGATGTGACCGAACTGACTGTCGGAGAAACTGTGAATTCCACCGGCGGTACCGACGGAGAAGTAACCCCAGACGTTGGAGGAACTACGGAAGTTCAGCTCGTGCATAGTACCGCTGGAAGGCTTGAAGCCCTCGCCGGGGTCCTCAGAGGTGATACGGCAAGCGGTGGTGTGACCCTTGGGCTGGGGTCGGCGCTGAGTCTGGAAGCTCTCCTCGCTGGAGAAATCGAAGTCGATCTCGGAGTGGGTGTTGGGGTCAACGCCGTAGAGTAGACGAATATCGCGGACACGGTGCAGAGGAATACCCATGGCAATCTGGAGCTGAGCAGCGGGCAGGTTGACACCAGACACCATCTCAGTGGTGGGATGCTCGACCTGAAGACGGGGGTTCAACTCGAGGAAGTAGAACTTGTCATCGGCGTGCGAGTACAAGTACTCGACGGTACCAGCGGAGACGTAACCCACCAGGCGACCTAGGCTGACAGCGGCCTTCTCCATAGCCTGGAAAGTAGGCTGCTTGGCAATGGTAACGGGAGCCTCCTCAATGATCTTCTGGTGACGACGCTGCACGGAACAATCACGACCGAAGAGCGAGATGTTGTTACCGTACTGATCGGCCAGCAGTTGCACCTCCAAGTGGCGAGCATTTCCAGCCAGCTTCATGATAAAGATGGGCGATCCGGGGATCTCGTTTGCGGCCGCGTTGTAAAGAGAAATAAAGTCCTCCTCATTGTCGACCTTGCGAATACCCTTACCACCACCACCCTCGGAGGCCTTGACCATAACGGGGAAACCAATCTGCTTGGCCTTTTCCAGACCCTCCTGCGGGGAATATGTGCAGCCCTTGGCGTAGACCTCGTCCTTCACGGTCACAATGCCCTTGTCATCGACCTCCACCTCATCGACACCAGTTCCGGACCACGGGATACAAGGGACTCCGGCATGCTGTGCGACAATGGTGGAGGAAATCTTGTCTCCCAGGGAGCGCATGGCCGAGGCGGGGGGACCAATGAAGATAATCTTCTTCGGCGACGCCGCCAACGACTCGGGTAACCGAGGGTTCTCGGAAGCGTGACCCCAGCCAGCCCACACGGCGTGGACATCCATACGCTCTGCCACATCGACGATCAGCTCGACGTTGGCATAATTATTATTATTTGTGCCACCCGGCACCTCGACGTATTGATCGGCCATGCGAATGTAATCGGCGTTGGCGTGCAAATCCTCGGGAGTAGCCATCACGGTGAACTGGATTGCGCGCTCGTTGCCAAAGGTCTCGTAAGCCCATTTACGCACCGAACGGATCTCCTTAACGGCGGCGATACCGTTGTTGGCGATCAGCACCTAGAAAAAAAAGAATCCGCTTGTCAGTTCCGGATTTTGGAATTCAACAATCTCGAGTTTCCTTGCATCCAATGCTTCTTCATCGTGTTCGGATTGGATTGAATTGGTTACTCACCGAGCTGATCACGGAGTGACCTCCATGGTTTGCCACGAAGTCCTTGACGGCACTTGGAGGCGCGACATCCAAGTTGTTGCCACCGATGAAATGTGAAGGAATGGATTCTTTGGCATAGACATTGTTGCCGTTTGCTGACGAGTTACCGTTGGGGACGCCCATGATGTATTCGATCAATTAGGCCGACTCAACGACCATACAGCGGGGGTGGAAGGAGGATAAGTTGTGTCGGAGTATTAAACAGCGCTGCTGCTAAGAAAGTAATATACAGGAAGTTCCGGACGGTGGCTAGTCACGGAGGGCAAGAATCTGTTGCTTGTGATCATCAGCAAATGAGCCCAAGATTCGGGGGATTCGGCAGTTGCAGCCAAGCAAAAACAGTGAGCGGTAACTTTCTGCAAGCGGAGGTTGCAGGTGTGTCTGCATTGTCAAGCTGGCTTAACTGGGAAGTATTTCAACTCACCAAGTTTTAGAAAGAGAGCCACCAATTTGAAGCCCAGTGAGAAGTAAGAGAGAAATGAGAATTAATTAAAAAACCCAAAAATTAAACCCAATGATTTCCGGGGTTTCGTGATGTACAAGTAGTACTCAGCAATTTTTTTTTGGTGAGTTACTAACGCTGGGAATGAGTTTGGCCCCACCAGGTTTTTGGTCCGTGCAGTCCCAACCAGGTACATCATTTTAACGCTATCTACTATGGTGATTGTAGGTACCATCAATACCCCCAACCAACGTCGTGTTGGGCTGGATCCACTCATATCATTGAACCAATCATATATTTCCTCATGGACTCAATTGGACTCGACTGGACTCGACTGGAACACTACGGAGTACACTTCCTTCCTTCCGTCTTCGGATTCTGATTATTGGGCTTTTATCCATATCTTTCTGACTTAATTGGTGTATCTGTTTACCCCGGTATCCGCTTACAGAGTTAAATAATATGTAGTTATAACTTATCGGAGTTTCTAACGGACAATTGCATTTCTATTAATATTTTCATATTCCAGGCTGATGTAGATTTAGGGCGGAATCCAGGGCGCATGGACTCATGACGTTTTCAACCGGAAAAGGGAAAGGGGAAAAAGGGATGGATGAAACGTGGGGTCGATAGGAACAGTCGAACTACTCATGACCGGATTGAAAAACATTTCGGGGTCGACCCCCAACCTGAATCGAATTAGGTAAAAAGGTAAAAATGTCAAAGGCTTAAGAATAGTATATTTTTATATTAAGCCTACGATCGAAAATATGGGAACATTCGACATGAAATCGTTCGTGGGTATTGTAAACGCCTCGCGACGGAAGAAAATATGAGAAGAACTTGCTGAGACACAGCTTGGGACGCCTGAGAATCCATCCAAGGCTACACCAAAATAAAAGAGGGAAGCGCAGCACAACGGCTGGCATCCCCGTAAGAAACACCTCCCACTCATAGGGGAAAAAAAGGCTCTGTACAGGGAAAAGCGCAAAAGGGGGAGAGTCTAGGTCCACCATCCAGGTGGATCGCAGAATGCCAAAAAAAATGCAACAATGCAAAATGCACGACAACTTGACAAAGATTTTCCTTGCTTCCAGGCAAATGGTCGGAAATAGTACCGTCAAGATTCAAAGTGGGACAAGGGAAGACGTTACTTCTAAAACGTTTCACCAAGCCCATTTGCCTGCTTCCGGTCAGGTACTGGCGGGATCACTGGCGGAATCGCTCCCGGGCCGATGCTACTCTTAAAGCTTCGGGGAGTGGGGATGGCTGAAACGCCACTAGTGCTGCGCTTCTTCAATCCCGGGGTGGCCGAGATCGATGGCCGTCGGAAATCTAGTGGAATCCGGGAGGTCGGCGTTGTCGGGCTCACGATGTCTATGTCTTGATCCTCATCAATATTGGACATACTGCCCACCGAAGGGGTTTGCCCATTATGGTTGCTCAGAGAGGAGCGGGGGCGTCGGCTTTCAGTGGTCGGGTTGGTAGAGTAATGGCCAAGTGGGGTTTTGGCACCCGGACGGCTTTGTCGACTTTCGGGGCGAATGGGGACGCCCGAGTGGACGCTCTGGCTGAAGGAACTGCGGCTCGAAAAGCTAGTCCGGCTACTAGGTCGACTATCCCCGGTCCGTGCACCATACGACTGCCGATTCTGCTGGGCTTCGCTGTCTCGTACTGAGGAGCTAAAACTGCTGCCACTAAGGCGTTTAGAAGAGCTTCTCCGTACGGTGACGGTCGATGGAACCGGGCTGTCCCCAACGACAGAGCCGGAACGAGGAGAGCCTCGGGATGAAGTATCAGAAGGGGCGGGGAGTAACGACTTGGCGGATTGGACTCGCTCTTCGAGCTTCTGCATCTTGCCGATTAGACCCCGAATCTGGTACAAGGACCCGGATTTTGGTAGTCCCGATGGCCGCGGGGCATTCATCCTGGTCAGACTGGGACGAGAAGTGACGGACGGAGTGGAGCGACTCGCAGTGCTAAAGGCGAGGGACGAGGCTCGTGAATGGGTCGGGCGAGGCTGAGTTCTCGCCTGATGCAGGGTTCGGGAGTTGACAGCATCGGCACCTGCGACTCTCGTCCGAGGGAAGGTAGGAGTGGCATTGACTGATTTGCGGAAGTTGGTCGAGGCCTCGGAGATAGGAGGCGACGGAGGAGTCGCTGTGGAAGATGCCAATGATGACTTGGCTGGTGGTGTCGCAAACACGGGTGAAGATGTGGCGGTGTTAGGCGATCGGTCGAAAATTTCAAATGTCTGCGGGGTTGATGGGCTGCGGTACAGGGGAGTCGGTTTGCGACGACGGTACCCATGTCCCTCGGCGTGTCGTAGTCTCTCTTGGACAATCTCGGCCTCAACCTTCAGATCGGACAGTTCGTCTCGCAGGCGCTGATTATCGATCCGGAGACTCTCACGCTCCTGGTCACCATTCCTCATCTCCTCCTCTAACAGCACTCCGCGCTCAATAGCCATGTTGTACTTGGATTCCAAGTCCTCCAGGGACGAGGTGGTATTTCGGGCTTGTCGCTCATAGTCATCATTGGCGACCTCAATGTCGCGTAGCTTCAGCTGCAGAGAACGGTTTGTATCGCGGAGAGCAGTGATCTCCTTCTGCAGATTGTTTTGGACGGCGTTGGCTTCGGCTTTAGATTGCTTGTACTTGGTCTACAAACACATGAGTCGCCGCATCGCACAAAGCATCAATGCCCACAATAGCCACATACCTTCCACTCTTCCACTTCGTACCGCTGGGTATCCACTTTCTCTTTCAGCTGGCGCTCACGCTTCTCTGAAGCTTCAATGTCCTTCTCCAACTCCGCCTCCAGTTCCCGGCTGGAGAGTTGAAAGTCCGCAAGCTCCGACTCTAACTGCTCATATTGGGCTTTGTAGTGTGCAAGTTCATCTCGGTATGAGGAGCTGGTGTGCTTCTTCTCAGAAGGCACCTCATCGGCGGCTGGCATCTTCCCGCGTTGGGTACCCACCGACGGGTCGCAAAGATGACCGCGAGATCCGGATCACCTAATTTTTGGTAGATCAAAGGCCAAGTAAAGACTCAGCACAAATCAATACCGGGGTATTTCTCCTTGCGGGTTCATGCGCTAGCGTTGTGCGCGAAACCCGATCTCGTGAGTTGTCGATAAGAGCCCCTCGTCGAGGCGGTGACGAAGGCGATCGGGAATGTGATGGCCGAGCACCCTCCACCGTAGAGAGCGTAAACGCGCCAAGAGGAAAATTCCACGAAGAGGGGCCGAGCAAATAAACTTACCGTATTGCTCCCCTTTCATGCATAAATATGTGGGAGGGAACTCTCACGGTGGAAGGCACGATGTGATGTTGTTGTGATGCAAAGCAAAGCGGCTTGATTAGATTGTTGATTTCCTGTCGTCAGGGGCCCCATGCGCTAGTCCAGATCTAGTCGTCCCACGATGCGTTATGTAATCATCAATTGTTGTGCATCTATACCACGTCCTGGACTTTACTTAGATAAAACCTGTCGTATATAAAACCTGTCGTAGGACTTAAAGGTTACCTTAATGTAGATCAAGATGTAAGTTACCGGCTAGTTCAATGTACGTTGATATGTATCGAACAATCTGGAAATGTTAAACGTCGTCGCAAATGTTGAGGAATCGAATTATATATTTGCACAATGTCAGAACTTCAAACAGATCGGAAACGACAATTTACATCAATTGTTCACTTATGGGCTTGCCAAATACTTAAAATAATTAGCCCAAGAACTAGGTGTCTGATTAAATCCAGAATTCTATAGACTGATAGTACATAATGTTGTAGGTAAACCCGCACATTTGTTTGCTTCAAATTCATTGGTGCACGCCCAACTCAGTCTATTTTCTCCACGCACATATCCCACCCACAATGGATATGCACGCTCAAGTGCTCTTGTTTCCACACATGATTTGACCAAGGGCGTCTTCTCTTCACATATTTCTCGTGCCCTTTGCTTCTGTATGTTTCACTGTCATTTTACATCCACGCATCTTTCCTTCCACACCTTTTGCCATATTCATCTCACCGCCCACGGCCCCATATTACATAATGTTTCAGCCTCAGGCTTCCAATGTCGTGGATCTCGATCGCGTCTGGGTCCATCCAAATGTCCGATTGACCTGGTGCCCGAGGTATACACCAAATCTTGGAAGCTTGAGCAAAAGAAGGTGAGAGACCTTGCTATTGTGTTTAGGTGGGCACGTATGTCTTCCCTTTCTGTCTATATTTATCCCACTTCACGATCAACCCTTTCACCTCCCTTTCCCAAAGCTCCAGTCTAGAGTTGCTATGCCCACGCACGGCTTCGTTCCATCGCAAACTGATCGCCATGTTTGCTTCCACGCACCTATCTCTGAACCCCTTCTGCTCCCCAAGTTTCATCCAAGCTAAACGGCGATACCCGCCCGGCTGGGCTGTGGTATGCGACTATCGTACTGACAAATTCGCTAGACGTCGTATAGACCGTGGCGTCAATATATCCTTCGTCCATCATGGCGAGCCCATCTGATTTGAACCTGGATGCTCCGAGTGACCTCCAGGACATTCCTGAGCTGGCTATGCAATTGATTCCCCCACCGGAAGGGACATATCCTGATAAGTCAGTCTTCGAATTGCCTCCCTGCGTGGCATCGTCGTCGCATTCTGACATCTGTCTTCGCGCCATTATAGAAATACCCTGCTCGCCGCTGTCCAAGAACATGCTAAGGCCCATGGATATAATGTGGTTGTCAAATCGTCCAGTACCCCCACGGAGAAGAAACCAGGTCGCACTGCGAAGGTGTGGTTGCGCTGTGATCGTGGTGGACATTATCGACCACGGAACGGTCTCACTGAGGAGACGCGCAAGCGCCGGCGCACATCACGGCTGATGGACTGTCCCTTCATGCTAGTTGCGGCTGGGTCTCCTGGGATCTGGTCTCTGACGGTCCTTAATGCAACTCATAACCATGGGCCTGTCATTGAGAAGCATCGCCCGATCCCTCAACACAAGGTCCGCAAGGGCCAGCTGCCAGCTATCCCATATGACTGGCCACATGATGCATCTTTTACACCATATACCACCGCACTCGTTATCATTGATATGCAAAAGGATTGTATGTATACTGACATTCACTTTTATGAGATGTGAACTAATCCGCCTTAGTTTGCGCTACCAATGGATATATGGAATTCCAGGGATACGATATATCTGAAGCACAGGCGCTGATCCCAAAAATCCAGAGGCTATTGATGGCATTCCGCACCGCAGGCTTCCCAGTATACCACACACGTGAAGGTAGTTCCAACTCCAATCAAGCCGGTGTCAGAACCAATTGACTCATTCATCACATAGGTCATCGACCAGACTTATCAACTCTTTCTAGCCGGGAGGCGCACCGTTCCCGCAACAATGCCTCTGGCCTCGGCATTGGCGCCACTGGACCGCTGGGCCGTCTGCTCATCCGTGGGGAAGAGGGCTGGAACATCGTGGACGAGTTGACCCCATACGCAGACGAGCCAGTCATTGATAAGCCAGGACGGGGCGCATTTGCTCACACTGACTTCGAGCTTCTCCTTCGTAATAAAGGCATTAAAAACCTCGTCATTGCGGGTGTCACCACAGATGTTTGTGTATCTTCGACCATGCGTGAAGCTAACGACCGCGGATTCGACTGCGTGGTTCTCCATGATGGAACCTGTGCCGCTGACCCAACACTTCATGCTAGCACAATCGACTCCGTCAAGATGGAGGGCGGCATCTTTGGAGCCGTCGCCAAGATCGAGGACGTGGTGCATGCAGTCGAAAACTTCAAGTCCATCACCATGAAGAAGCTGGCTCCCCAGATGATGCCAGTTTGATCAGCCGAATTTATTTATTTAGCGGATCAATATTTCGCGACTAGGCGGATTTGGCGTTCTAGGACTCCTTGGATTTCTTTTTTTTGGCACAAGGGAGCGCATTGCAGCCTGACTTACAGGTTTTCTTATCGAACTTAGCGAGCTCGGGGCTTTTCATTTCATTTGCTAGGTGAAGACACGACCACCTTTTGACTTTCGGTCCAAAAATCGGATATAGCATAGTATGCATTTGAGGCCCAATCAAGGCTCTCATTCGGGTATCATACAATTTGCACTTGGCCTAGTACATAACACGTTGGAGAACATCTCCAGCTCACCTCGCTAATACCAGTCGCAACGAAAAAAAAATCTAAACCAAATGCAAACCCAAACGCCACGCTCAAAGTCAGGATAAATTCCTCCTTAAGTCAACGAAGCCAGCTTTACAGCCACTTCTTCCCCGCAGCCGTAACCTTGGTCCGAAAGACGGGACTCCGAATCTCCATCCCCTGCTTATAGAACGGGCTCATAGCAGTTTTCACGTAACTCTCATAAATCTCATTCATAAACTGACGCACAGCCTCCTCCGTCTGCGGCGAGGTCGGATTCGCAGCAATAGAGCTCGACGAAGCACGAGTAGTAGACCCAGACGCGCCCAGAAGCGAAGACGCACCCAGGCTTCCCGAGTTACTGGAGGGGAGTTGTGGAGGTTGGTGGAGAAGGAGGAAACGCGCTCCGCTGGGGGTCAGGAAGGCGGAGATATAGGCAGCGGCTGGGGGGTAGGTATCGATATGTTTGAGATACCTTTTTGTCAATGAGTTAGTTTTGTTGGGAACAAGATTGGCTAGAGGGGGCAAGGGTTGTGGATAAGGAATGTGAGGCCTGGGAGTAGTTACATTCCACCATTTGTCCATTGTGTTTCTTCGACGATATCCAGACTTGAGTGAATGATGAATTGGTTCATGTACTGGGCGGTGTCGGGGAAGCGGAAGCGGGCAATGCCATCACCGCCACTTTTGGAGGTGCCGAAGGCGATGTTGAATATCGGGGTATCGGTTGGTGAGAGGATAGTGAAGTAGTATGACATCTTGGCGGGGCTGGTGTGCGGAGGTATGAAATGGGGAGTTGGAGAGTTGGGGGGAACATGCTTTCCGTGGACACGTGATTTACTGTGGACGTATAGAGCCACTCGCTATGTTGACAATATATATTTTGATTTTAGGCAACTAGGCAGAGACGCATTTATTCACTAATAAATAGGAGACTATGTTTGTTGTGCGATGAATTTTTTCGTGCCTGTACGAAGTACTGATGTGGATGTGCCGGGTCTCATCAAGTCTCATACGCTGGAATAGAATGCGTATTTCTGGGAGATTCAAACCGAAAGTTATTTTCACATTATACATTAAATCAAACTATCTACCTAGGTAACAAGGAGCTTGTTCACTGTAAACGTTGGTTCTTGAATCCAACTCCATTTACAATGATCGGATAGTATAGAGGGGAGAAAGTACAGCTGGTGGTTCAGCAGACGCCAGTAGAATCGTCCAAGAATTGAACAAGAAAGAAAAAGAGAAATAAATCTCTGTTTCACCGCAAGGTAATCGACCACTTGGCGAAGTACAAATCAACGTGCCTCCTCCCCACTGTGAGCCCTCTCCTCCCCGCTGTGAGCTCTCTCCTCGCTTGTGTGGCTAGTGTGGCGCTCAACAGTCACCTCCTGTGTGGTCTCGATACCGGACTTGGTGCTGAGGGGGTAAGTACCCTCAATTTCTTCACTGGCCTGGTAGCTGGAGCGGATGCGCACGATGAGGATGCGGAGTGCAGGGATTGAGGCGGCGAAGATGGTGAGACCGGTTTCGGCGGAGGCCCAGATGAGGATGCTGGAGCAGAAGTCTGAAGGATTTTTTTGGTTAGAAGAGATGTGTTGGCAATAAGCGAGTTAGTCTTACAGGTGAAATCCTGAACCTGGGCAAGGTTGACGAGTTTCGAGGTCTTGATGAATGCTGTGATGGCGGCACTGATGGCTGTGAGATAGGTTTTCCTTATTGGTGACGATGGACTTACAAGACACCCATGCTCATGGCGAGAGCAATACCAATCTTCTCACGCCTGTTCATTTCGAGTTTCCAGAGGATAAGCCAAGGCAGGAGAGCAAGAATGAAGTCCATGCATCCGGAGTAGGCTATATTTCTCGGGTTAGTACTTGTTGAGCCTGGAAATTTGAAAGCCTACTTACCTCCAGCAACAAGAGCAATGTTCTCAAACACGCTAGTTGGCCAGCATTTAGCTGTAGCCATGAGGGCGGTATTCCACAAGGCAGCAGCTGGTTTGCACTGAGCCATATAACAGATGGCACAGAGAATCATGACAGTGTTCATGGTGATGATGATAAACCACAGAAGAGCCTTCATCCACGTCTTGGTCACAATGCGCAGGAGGGTAAAGGCGAACGACGTCTTGCTCCAAACACAACCCAGAATAACAATCGTGAGGCCGATGTAGATCATTTTGAGAGCCCCTGGAATGTTTTGAGTTTCTTCAATTGTAGCTACGTGTTTGCCAATGACTCCCATATTCACAGCCCTCGTGATAAGAATGGTATAGATGAGGAGTAATGACTACTCTCGACGTTAGCCACCTGCAGTAATGCAACCTGGGATCGAAGTTTAGACAAACCCATGCTAGGAGGATGATCATGTCATCCACACCAAAACCTCTGCGGCTCAGAACAGTCTTACACCAGATCCGCAGAGCGACTACCAGACCGGGAAAGATGACCAAGAGCCAGCAGACTCCCAGAATGGTTGGACCTTGGTCCTGGGCGGCCAGGGCAGCCAGGGTAGCAGAGTCCATAGCCATGATTGCTGCTAGTCCAGAATTCAAGCCGCTTGTGTGTATAGTGGGGATAAAACGAGTGTGAATGAAGGAATGGATACGGCCAAGTTAATGGGTGTAAAGTATGTTAATAAGTGTTAGAGAGGAGATATAGGGGGCTCAAATCATTTCAAATTAATCTATTCTAGTAAAAGAGATAAAACAGCCAATTCTCCTGAATATGATAAGTCGACTGGAACGCATAAGTGATATGTTTATCAACTCCCGCTGCCGCGCGGGGAGGACCACCTTGCGTCCGAATATAATAAATGATATGCTGGTGCGGACTGAGCGATAGACATTGTTAGTCGGTTAGAATACCATTGGCAAATCAAAATTGAATGTTCCAAATTTTGACTGGCCGATCATTATGACAGGGATAAGTATATTCGACAGATCTTTCGCAGATGCCGCGGTGCAGAAGATCTACAGCAACAGGGTTCCATCAGTGGCGATGTTCAAAACAAAGAAATTATATGGAAATTATATGTTTACTCTGCATAAGATTGCGGGGAATTCATCCGGGACTTTACTCCAAACATGGAGACATTTATAATTGGTGCATGGCTTGTGTTCTGCAGACGCGAGTTTCCAGTATAGGGCTAGGGCTGCGAACTAACGGGTTTGCCCACAAATTCTGCGACACTTGCATACATATTATTGAGTTTTGAACGAAAATTGAGGATTGGTAGTTTCCATACTGGTATGGAAACGATTTCCTGGCTAAGCTGAGCCTGTGGCCCCTGCGTTGTTCTACTGCTTACGGGATCGAGCTCCTCTCCCCACCATATGTAGAGCTTTGACTTACTGTATCCCACCCCGGATTGACCTTGGAATTAAACCGTTAAATTAAAGTAGATAGAAGAACGCAAACTTTTGAGAACGTTGTGATTTCTATATATTTTCCTTGATACATCCCACATCCCAACAAAAGATGGGACAGGCCCCTCTTTCCTTCTCCCCTTCTCCACTCATGGCTGAACTCAAAAAAGCCGCTTATGTATGCCGGAGTTCGACCAAATGTGATCTGTCAATTAGATCGTGATCGAAAGAAACACGGATTGGATTTCACTGAGCATGAGGGAATATTTATCAACTGAGGCCTCAATTTAATATCGAGACATGCCGTTGACAGTCGAGAAGCTTAAAAAATGATCTTCATGAAAGGTGACATCTCAGTGCGAATGATATCTTCATACTATGGACTTAAAGATTTACAAAGTTTGAATTATCGATATGATACGTTGAACATCTCAGCAGAGCTCGGAATTCGTGGATTGCTTATAACCTTTGAACATGAAAGTATCTTTCATACGGTCGGACCACAGAATAGGTACATTCAAGAACTACCATTCTCACAGATTCTCACCAATTGAGCCTAGAATCATCGGTGCCGAACAGCGCATTATCACAATTCCCTTGTTTAACACGACAGTCACGAGAAAAAGAAAAAAAGAACCAATGACTGTTATCAGTCTTCACACCAAACTATACACGAACTTGGTGTCAGACTAGCGCCGGTCCGCAGAGTTCTAGGTCTCCTCACTAGCTGGATAGAGTGCCTGAATATCCCCGGCCACTGAGAGTTCATCCTCACCCTCCAAAATCTTGGATATCTGCTGATCTCCGTTCTTCCCGATACACAAGTACCTCAGAGTGAACTTTCCTTCAGTCCGTGCGAATGAATTCCCGTAGACATGCGCTCAGAACCCCTCTTCTCTGTGGGGCTGAGGAGACAGAGGCAGACCAGTGGAATGGCTCTGACCTGTGGTCATTTTACTTATGTTGAGGGGAAGGACTCGATTTTTCATTCAAATCAGAAACCCCTCTTTTGCTAACATTGTCGGAGCTGTTGGAATTCAACAAAACATCATGATCTCGCCAGTGGATATTGTAACGAATCTAGCCCTTTCAGTGGCGATTCTGTTCGTCTCTCGCTTCCTTTGGAACTATATTCGCTCCCCGTTGAAGTCCTTCCCGGGCCCTGCTAGTGCCAGTTTCACTAATATCTGGCGACTGCAAGATGTCTTCAAGGGACGCTGTGATATCACGCATAATGAGCTGCACCGCAAGTACGGACCTGCTGTGAGAATGGGTCCGAATGTTCTGAGTCTCTCTGATCCGGGCTTGATCAGCCAAGTTTACAACACCAAGAATCCATGGATGAAGGTGAGTCAAAGCTTGTGTACACCATGGAGGCAGTGCAATTTCTGATCTGGCATATAGAGTGACATGTATAACGCCAATGATGTCGTCGTTGGGGGAGTTCGTTTGAAGAATCTCTTCTCGAACCAAGATGAAAAGTGGCACTCGGTATACATCCGTCCGATTAAGAATCTGTACTCTATGAGTCGGGTTCAAGAAGTCGAGCAGAATGTGGACATCACGATCAATTTGCTGCTTGATAAGCTCCGTGCCAATTTCGTTCGTACTGGCAAGCCCTGTGAAATGACCGAATGGATCAACTACTGTGAGTGTTTTACCCATTAACCATAGCCATCGACTAATAGACATGATAGTTGCTTGGGATTGTATGAGCCAGGCCACCTTCTCTCAAGATCTCGGAATCCTCGAAGCAGGCAGTGATCACCAAGGATTCGTGGGAAGATCAAACAAAACCCTCGACTACTTCGCTTCAGTATGCTCTTAAGTTCCACGTTGAATTGGAAGCAATAATACTTACCCATTACCAGATCTGCCAAATCCCCCTACTAGACATGGTCTTCGACAAAAACCCAATCATGCGTATCGGACCCCCCGGCTTCGCCTGGGCAAACATCTTCAGCGTCGAACAGCTCCAAAAACGCTACCAACAAGGCGAAACAACCCAAAATAACGACTTCCTTTCCCGGTTCCTTGAGATCAAAAAGAAAAACCCAGAGCTAGTCGACGACAACACTGTAATCCTCTACCTCCTCTCTAACGTCCTCGCCGGTAGCGAATCAACAGGAGCATCCATGTGCGCTGTAATCTACTACGTCCTCAAGAACCCAGACGTATATAACAAGCTCCGCGCTGAGCTTCGCGGCGCGAATCTCTCCCTCCCGGCAAAGTGGAAAGATATCCAAGGACTAAAGTACCTCGAAGCCGTGATGCGGGAGGCAATGCGCATCCACCCAGGCGTTGGTCTTATGATTGAGCGTATTGTCCCGAAGGGCGGATTTAGTCTTCCTGATGGTCGATTCGTTCCTGAGGGCACGGCCGTAGGAATGAATCCGTGGGTTATTAATAAGAATGAAGAAGTCTTTGGTGAGAAGACTGATAAGTTCATTCCGGAGCGTTGGCTTCAGCGTCCCGAGGAGACGGATGAGGCTTTCCAGACGCGTTTCTCAAAGATGAAGGCATCTGACTTTGGGTTTGGGGCTGGGTCGCGTGCTTGTTATGGGAGGTACTTATCGCAGTTTGAGAATTATAAGCTCATTGCGACGCTTTTTAGCTCCTTTGATGTGAGTTGTTGCATTATCTTTGTATGGGATTTGGCTAATTATTTGTTTAGATGGAGTTGCCGAGTCCGGATCATGAGTGGCAGATTATTAACTCGTGGTTTGTGAGACAGAAGGATATTCCTGTTCGGCTGACGGAGCGGACGGATAAGATGGTATCTGTTTGAATGTTGGATGTGATGAATGTATGTGTTACGTTTGGGTAGTATTCTAAGCTGGGATCGTCGGTTTATTGGAACCTTGGAAAGGTTTGATTCTGGATATGGAGTACTTTAGAACCTCTGGGGAATGGGTTAGGATTATGAATACAAAGAACATCATCGCAAATCACATGTTATTAAGCTAGGCATAGCTATATACAATCGTGCTCATTAAACGTTCCTAAGAACCACGCAAATCATCACACATTAATCCATCAAGTCCTTGCAAGTCCTATAAAAACTTGCGCTCAACCTCAACCTTGACACAGCTGGGATTTTGGGGCTTTTGTGAACCATTGCCCATCACCCAGGCCAAGGTCTTGTATGTGTATGCAGCGTAGTTTGTCTCACACACATACCAGTTCTTCAGCACCTTGACCGTGTCATCAGTGGGAGGAGTAACAGCGTCATTAAGGTAGCTGTAGATGCCCATGATGTTATCCTTGTTGAAGAAGACCTCTTGCTCGTCATAGCTAGGTTGGAACATGGGCATGGCCACATTGGTGGATGGGTCGGTGTAGAAGCTCATAGGCTCAGACTCGACAAGATCTGTGGTATGTTAGATGGATTTGCATATAGCAGTAGATATGGATATTCAGATGGACGTACCACCGTTGTATGGCAGGTTCCAGATAAGAACTCCGGGAAGGCCATTGCCCTTGATGGGCGCTTCTTCTCCCTTGGTGTAATTCAGATAGAAGTGACCGCCGGAACTGCCGGCCAGACAAAGTGATTCAATGGCCGCGCCAGAGTGGCAGGCGGCAAGTTGTTCGCCATTCAATGCCTTCTTAGCTGCCTGAGTGATGACCAGGTGGAAGGGTTTGGACTGGATCTCCTGGGCAGTGGCAGCTCCGAGGAGTAGCAGGGAAGAAAGAATAGCAATAGTCTTCATTTTAGATCGGAGTGGCTTGTGTGTTATTTAATTTAGTGTGGGGTATTGATGATCACTGGAAACAATAACAAGCTTGGGAGTGGAATTGTAGTGAACCGATGTCGTATTTATACTCCAGCAGTTTCATTGTCAGACCCGGATTCCCGGCTACAATGTCCTGCATAGCAGGACCCTGGATGACTAGCGCAAACTAAAAGTTTCTGGTAATTGCAACTAAATGAGACATTTGTGCCTTAGTGCAGTTTAACACTATCAAAATTTGGGCAGATCGTCGGCTTAGCTTACTCGCTAGTTCCGCCGAAGAAACAATTACATCAGTGATCACTACGAACCGTGGAGCTGATTTCGTTCAAAAATAGACGCATGGTAAAGTGGCAATGCAAATGAGATTAGAAATGTTAGGTAAAGAATGCCGAGTAACAGTGAGAGCGACGCCACAGTGGAGTGCCCTACGGTGACTCCGGGGGATGCAGAATGAGAGAAAGAAGAAAGAATGTCAGGCGAGAGCCGAACATCCACGTGAGAGGGCACGGACCTATAAGCAAAGCTGAGCAAAGTTCGCATTCGATTTTCATTAACTGTAATGGTCCAAGATGTCTTGGAATTCTTGAATTTATTGGAATCGATACCCAAATTTTGGCCTCGCGAAGGTAGATTCTATGTCTATTTTTGGGTGTACGCATGCTCAGACACACAAAGCAGAATACTACAGAGGGGTGGATGGACGCACTATGCTTACACGTAACAACATAACATATGGATAATCCAAAAGACAAAGAAAGCTATGTTAATTCCCCTAGTTCGGCAAAAGTGCTAGTAGAGAAAACATTGGTTGCTGGACAAGGATTTTGGCCTTCATACATTATTACATAATGATTCTTATCTCTTATCGCAACTTCCGCTCTTGTGCACGTCACCCATTTTGAGCTGTACGCGACCAAATTTACTTTATATCTTGCTCTGTGACGCCTCCAGGCTGGCCCAATCACAGATAAAAATGGCGCCACAATTCTCTACCGGACTGAATATGCCGAACAAGAAGCCAGGTCCGAAACCAGGAAATCCTCTTGGACAAAAACGCAAGAACATTTTCGATGACGACTCCGACGACGAGGGCAAACAGAATGACAATGGCGAAGTCGAATTATCCACCCTCGGTGACTTAGACGCCCCAGCTCCAGCCCCCAAGCCATCAAAAGCAGGACCACCGCTCAAACGAAAGATGCAACTGGGCGCTGGGAAACCGAGTTCCAAACCGTTGAACAAGAACTCTATTTTCGCCAATGACGAGGAGGAGGATGAACAGAAGGATAAAGAGCGTCAGAGTGGAGTGCAGTTCGGATTAAATCAATCCAAAAATACAGATGCCCCGAAGGACTTCACCAACCTCTCTGCGCTACATAGCAGCAGAAAACACGCCAAAGAGGCTGAAGAACTGGACCCGTCAATTTACTCCTACGATGCTGTTTATGATAGTTTACACGCCAAACCTGATAAGTCGGCAACTACGAACAAAAGCGATGTGCCACAATATATGGAGAACTTGCTACGCAGCGCCGAAATTCGCAAACGAGATCAGCTCAGAGCCCGCGATCGACAATTGGCACGGGAACGAGAAGCGGAGGGCGACGAGTTTGCAGACAAACAAAGCTTCGTGACGAGCGCCTACAAGGCTCAGCAGATCGAGATGCGAAAGATAGAAGAAGAGGAAGCTCAGCGGGAGAAAGAAGAGGAAGAGCGACGGAAGAAGAATGGCGGCTCTGGAATGGTTGGCTTCTACCGCGACGTGTTATCACGGGATGAGGCCAAGCACAACGAGGTTGTCAAAGCTGCAGAAGAAGCAGCCCGACGGGTCAAAGATGGCGAGGTCCTGGAAGACACTGCAGAGTCAACAGAAAAGTCAGAAGCTCAAAAGGCAGCCGATCTCAATGCTCATGGTGCTCGTATTACGGTCAACGACGAGGGTCAAGTCGTCGACAAGCGCCAACTGCTATCTGCTGGGTTGAACGTGGCACCAAAGCCAAAGTCAGAACCTGCTGCCAAGCCAACCTCTCGCGGGCCGGTGGGACGAACTGGACCTCCCGCAGGCTACCAGGCAGGTCGTGGCGCCCAGCGTGCCCGCCAGACCGAGATGGTCGCACAGCAGTTGGAGGAACGGGCTCGACAGGAAGAGGAAGCGGAGGCGGCGAGACAAAAGGAAATTGCAGAGAAGAACCGCAGTCGCAAGACGGAAGGGGATGTGTCCAGTGCCAAAGAGCGGTATCTGGCTCGGAAAAGAGAGCGGGAGGAGGCTGCTGCGAAAGAAAAGACCAAGGCCAAATGAGAGTCATCTCTGTATATCTACATTTTGGGCGTCTAGGAGGGTTTTGGGTTTGTATATTGCGGCGTTGCAGATTGGCTTGTAATTGTACCTTTACTGTATTTATGACGGTACACAAGTTCCGAAAACATAGAACATCCTAATCGTAGTCCAGATTATTGTTCCATACATGTGCTCTATGTATCATTTGCCTTTCCTACTGTGGATTGACGCGAAAGTATGGCTTTAACTGCTAATGAAGATTTCACGCTGTCGTCGTGCTTCAATCTAATCTGGAATCCAGTGCGGACCACGTAATGATTATTGGGGGCCATCCTAACTGTGGCTGTCATAGGGCACTAATCACCTGATGGCGGGCTGAACGGCCACGCAGTAGTCTGACTCCCAGACCTGACTATTCTCTCCATAATCCGTTACCCCAGAACACTATTGTCTCGTCGACCTCCTTATTGTGGCCTTGAGGTCAACAAAGAGCACATATCTAGATGGATGAAACGGACCGGCCACCAAGAAAGCGCCAGCGCCACAAATCAACATCACCCGAGGGCAATCCTGTGGACCATAGAGCTACTTCATTCTTTGGTGGCGTCAACTCGGGAATTCAAACCGGCCAAAACAATGGCAATATCACTACGAACTTCTATTCTCAAGCCGGTAAGTTAAGGATCCCTAACCAGTGAATATACTCCGTACTCATCCTATTCCTAGATAATTCCGAAGTAACAGAAAATCAAAAATATACTCAGGCCTTACACACGACTAATCCTCGTCTTGATAAAGATCGAATCGAGCCAGCCAAGGGTGGACTGTTAGAAGATGCATACAGATGGGTCCTTGAAAATGCAGATTTCAAACGATGGTGCCATGAGAATGAAAGCCAACTTCTTTGGATCAAAGGTGATCCTGGGAAGGGCAAAACCATGCTCCTGTGTGGAATCATCAACGAACTTAATAAATCTTCCCCAGCTTCAGACACCACGGTTGTTTTCTTCTTCTGCCAGGCAACAGACGCTCGGATAAATCATTCTACTGCTGTTCTCAGAGGCTTGATATTCATGTTGATTGATCAGCACCCGGAATTTATTTCCCACGTGCGACGCGAGTACGATAAGGCAGGAGAGAAGATCTTTCAGGATGCAAATGCTTGGCAGGTACTGCTTGGCATCCTGACAAGTATCTTCCAGGACCCATTGTTACAGAAGACCTACCTGATAATTGACGCCCTTAATGAATGCACAACAGGTCTGAGCCAGCTTCTTGATCTCGTTGTCGCAAAATCATCTTCATACTCACATGTCAAATGGCTCATCTCGAGTCGCAACTGGCCTTCGATTGAACAAAGTCTTGAGACAGCAACTCGAAAAGAAAAGCTTTGGCTTGAACTCAACGAAGCTTCTGTCTCTGAAGCCGTCGCTTCGTTTATCCACTCTAAGATTCAGATCTTAGCAAGAAAAAAGAAATATACTGATGAGATCCGAGATGTTGTTTCCCAGCATCTGATAGCAAACGCACACGGTACCTTCCTCTGGGTGGCCCTAGTCTGCGATGAACTTGCCAAGATAGAAGTCTCTAGATGGGCTGCTCGGACGAAGTTGAAAGAATTCCCTGCTGGCCTTGATCAGCTCTATCGGAGGATGTTAGATCAGATCAACTCGACTGAGGATGCCGAACTCTGCAAGTCTATCCTTGGAATTAGCACAACAGTCTGTCGCCCCATTACCTTGGAAGAGCTAGGTTCTTTCATCGACTTCCCGAAAGACTTTGAGCTTTCAGACCTTGAAGAAATCATAGGACTTTGTGGCTCCTTCCTCACGCTTAGGGGATCGACAATCTCCCTAGTCCATCAATCTGCAAATGACTTTCTTCATCGACAAGCTGCCCAGGAGATATTCCCGCGTGGAGAGGGAATTGTGCATTTTGATATTTTCTCGAAGTCATTGGCTGCTATGAGGAGAACACTTCGACGTGACATCTATGATCTCGTACATCTTGGATATCCTGTTGACCGAGTCCACCAGCCAGCCCCATTCCATTAGCTGCAGTACGCTATGCATGTGTATATTGGACCAGTCATCTTCAGTTTTCCTGTAATCAGACCTAGGCAGATGTAATCGATGACTTTCGGGAAGACGGCCCAGTCGGTAAGTTCTTTCGCCTGAACTATCTCAATTGGCTCGAGGCCATGGAGCCTCATGAGAGCACTCTCGAAGGGGATAGAAATAATTCTACAACTCAAGAGCTTGATTAAGGTATGTGCATACATTCATAGAAACGAACGAGCATTGAAATAATATCCAGCTTGCTAAACAGATCGTCCTTGGACAGTCAGAGACAGAGTATGTCAATCTTATCGATCGAGTACATGATGCCTCTGGATTTGCTCTATATCACCAAGCAGCAATCAAGAGTTTTCCGCTTCAAGTATATGCATCTGCATTGGTTTTCAGCCCGGCGAAGAGCATCACAAGGATTCAGTACCAAGCACAGGAGCCTGTTTGGATAGTAAATCATCAAGACATAGGAGATGAGTGGAGTCCATGCTTGCAGACCCTCGAGGGACACTCAAATTCTGTTAAATCGGTCTATTTCTCTCATGATTCTAGTTTCATAGCCTCAGCTTCAAGCGATCGTACCGTCAAGATATGGGATACAAGCAGTGGCCAGTGTCTCACTACTTTGAATGGGCTTAACGAAGCTATCGTTTCTCTTTGTTTATCCCATGATTCGAAAATTCTAGCCTCGGCTTCAGCTGATTCTACTATCAGGATTTGGAATAGGAGTAGTGAGAAATGCGTTATGACACTCAGAAGTTATAATGGCTTATCTAAAACCATCACCTTCTTCCAATCTTCCAAATTCCTCGCTTCGGGCTTGAATAATGGGGCTATCGAGATTTGGCGAGCTATTTTTCCCGCGATTCCAGACTTCTAGCCGCAGTTGGAACATTTCTCCCGTTTTACATTTTTATATGGGAAACCCATAGCGGAAAGTGTATTCAGAGGATAAAGAGCGCAGATGGAAGAGCAATCTCTCTGGTTTTCTCCTATGATCTCAAATTTATCAAAGCACGTTCAACCCATAATACCACGCGATTGTGGGACGTCAACAGCGGGCAATGCATGCAGACTTTCAAGGCACGGGGCAGAGACTTGGTAGAATTTTTCAATCCATCTCTCAAGCTATTTGATGGCTCTTTTCATTTACCTTCATTCTTTGTTGATGGACCAAATTGGCAGACGTATGACGCTTGGTCTCGGTCTGAGGGCTATGGCATCAGTGAAGATTTGAGGTACATCTCCTGAAACTCAGAATGCCTGCTATGGTTGCCACCAGAGTATCGACCGCATTCCATGTTCCGGCCTGTTGTCTCTGATTCCAAAATTTGTATCAGTTGCTCTTCAGGAAGAGTGATTTTTTTCACTTTTGACTCCGCTGCGTTATTAGATGCCCTTGCTGCTACATAATATGGCAATTAATCTTATTATTTACCTAATCAAGTCCCAATGATATCATTTGAGTTTAGCTTCTTATAAGCTTGATCCTAGTGTAGTCTCACCCACGGCTGTGGCGGTAATTGGTGCTATTAATTTATGTAAAATCTAAAACATTTCAAATGCATGAATTCTATCTTTAATCATCTCGCCTACTATGCTCAATGTCAAATTGTTCCACTGGTAATGTGATAGAGCGATCGAGTTTGTAAGGCAGTCCTCGATGGCGGCCCCGAATCATCATGAAACAGATTATCAGCTTGCTGAATGTATTGAATTGAGCGCTCAATGATGTATTGACGTTCGGATATCCTAAGCTGAGACCAACGTTGGCACTGCAAAGATATTAGCCTGAGTAACAAATCAGAACACCGCGGAAAGAACTTACTAGGCCGACACAACTTCGAACAAAATGGAGAAAACAGAAAATGCCTTTAAACTTATTAGCAGATCCACCAAGATCAGATAGAAGGTACTGACCGGAATGTTATTGTTGGCAATCTTTCCAGACTCGGCAATGCAAATGCAAAATACCCCAAGAAAGATGTACCAAAGGTCGAAACTCAACTGGTTCTGTATATGATGTATAATATATGATCGCCGTTGTCTTCGTTTGTATCAAGGTCGTCAGCGTAGATGCCAAGGGCTTTCTCTTCGTAGACGTTTGATGCCCTGACGCTAATAGCAATCGGAAAGGCGGAAATGTACATCATGACGACCAGGCTGAACTTCACAGCAGGATTTACGTCAGCCAAATTGAAGATGGCCATTCCTGTGTGACGCGAATTCGCAGCTTGAAAAATGGCAGCAAGGACTCGAGGTCCACCAGCAAGACTGTTCACTGATTGGTTATACAAATCCAGAACTAGGATCAACAATGTATCGATGAAGTTCAAGACGAACAAAATGCCGAACAAAATCCACGTCGGGCGACTTGGGAAAAGCAGTGGATAGCATCTGCGTGGATGATCGAGGAGAAAGTTCAGCGTTTCTTTCGTGGAGGAGTTGTCTGGAGAGATTTTGAACATGATCCAGATCACAAGTCGGAGGAGGCATGGGTAGCAAGTATTCCCGGCAAAAGCGAGAAAGCTTAGCACGATCAGCGGAAATGTGGCATCTTGAAAAGACACCATAGAGTCCGGCGTCAAAGTGTAGCCTAGATTAGAAATTGTGCTTTGTGCGGTATAGAATCCCCACCAGGTATTGCCTTGACCACATTCAGCGAGATAGTCGCGATACTTTGGATTGGCGTGCCAAATCCAACCGACCAGACAGATTGCACCGAAGAGATGAAGACCAACGAAGTATCCCGTCACGATTTTCAGCAGCAGCTTCAGAGCTCGATATTCAATGCCTCCAAGCCTCTCTCGATCTTCCGTAGTAAGATTGCCAAAGTTGGAGTTTCGACCCAGCGTTGCGTGAGACGAGAGTTGTGGCAAGGAAAGTGGCTTGAGGGCTGGTCTTTCACGTGAGGTGGCATGACCGCGACTTGTAGAACCGCCTATAACGAACATCATAGATGCAACGGTCGCAACCTTCTCGAGAGGCCGAGTGGAGGAAGGTAGAGTGGTCGATATTCTTCGGCGGATGGACCTGGAACCGAGGCCGGGGTCGTCATCGCGTGTGGATATTGCTTTTATAGAGTCTAAACGGTCAGGTTATACGTATAAACTCGGTTCAAGCAAAGAATTATACGTACCACCATCATTCACTGGGTCGTCAACCTCAACGATAGCGCTTCCTGTGACTCTTGTCAGTGTCAAATTTATTAACACCTTCATGGTGGCTTTACCTCTGTCACGTTTCCAGGGAGGAGGGATATACAGGGCTTTGGATGAACCTTGTTCTCCTCGTGGATCCGCCGCAAAACGAATAGTTTGCTCAAAGTTAGAACTTGATGTTGTTGCTGTTGTCGGTTCCTCGTTCGAATTGTCTTCAGCTTGGATGGTATCGGGCGAAATTTCATCGTCTTTATAAGTCGGGGATCGGTCATAATCTTCCTTGATAACATTTCCTTTGCTTTCTTTTATATCATTATCTAAAACGGCGTCATCTGTGTCATCGGACCGATCATTTGATTTGAAGTCATGCTCTGCAGAGGCTTCTCTGCTGGGCCTCGGCCTCAGGAGATGGGGTGCTGGAACCCAAGGAGAATCTTATCAGAACAACATTCTTGAAGTACATGTCACGCATAGCTTGAGAGCCACTCACCATGTTCTATGAAATATTTCTCGAACATCTCAGGCGCACGACAACCACGAGAATGTTGATAAAGCCCAGGTTACCCAAGATCGGAATCAAATAAATATAGACTTGCTGATAGGTCTTCAGCTCATTGATATTGACCCTATGTGACCGTGAGCCCTATTCTCAGTCTTATCTGGAGCTAGTGGAACCGACGTGTTCAACCCTGATTCCGTAGACGAGCTTGCGCCAAAGAAGTAGGCATCGATCGCTCGAAGATTTCCATAAGGATAGATGATGAACAGACTTGCAATTCCCAGTAGAAGAATCCAGGCGTCTGTGGCTTGTTAGCTAGGACTTCTTCTAGAATAGAGTAACCCACAATGTAAAGTAAGAAAGTTCACCGGTGGCTTCCACATAGCGACCAAATAGGATAGAGCACCTGCAACAGCAAGGGGGCTGTCGCGGCTCAAAAATTCCAGAGAGCGTGGGTGGTTCAAACAAATGTCTCATTCCAACCCCATGCTTTGGTAATATAAGCTCCCGGTATGCGGGATTAATCTCAGCGAATCGCATGTTGAACTCAATTCCCGCTCACGGTAAGACCCACCTTTTCGCCACAACTTAACATGGATTTATATACATACGCCACGATAGTTGAATCAAATCAATATAATTACTTCCGCCTTTGGAGTCTTCGAATTCCCATCCCTGAATGACAGATCACTCTCATCCTTGTCTTCGCTCTCCTTCATTTCATTGCCTTGTTCTTCCCCCATTTCATCATCTTTCCCCTCCTCCATCTCTTTCTCTATCCCATCGTCTCCCTCCTCAGCTAATGAGATAGCCGCACTCTTCCGAGTGGCCGACAATGTCTCATCCCCGACAAACCGAGTGTATTGTAACTTTTGTGACAGTTGCTCTCCAATTTTGGTTTCTCCCACTTGTGAATTTACCGGCAATGCTTCCTCATGGGCTTCAAATCAGTGGTCAGCTGATCACAGGCGTCGTTCTTCCAACCACGTATGATCTCCACCAACTTCACCCGTCTCATGGGCTCAACTTGCTTTTGTACTATTCGGGAACTACACACGATCCCGGTACTTGCGAAACCAGGCCATGATTAACTGATCGATCAAATGTGGGTTCTCTTTGTTGTTATTTTTTTCCAGGTGGGGATGGATGCACCTGTCTACCAAGGCCGTCTTGCACTGTAGGCAGAACTTCAATTGGAATTTGGGATGTAGATGCATTCTTCCGCACAGCCCCTGGGATTTGCCCTGTGTAGCCCCAGCCATTTTGAAAATAGAAGCAGGAGATGTGAGGATGATAACCCAAATTAAGGATAAATGTCGAAAGCTGATCTGTCGCTCTGGTAAAAAAAGGGCCGGATACCCGGGAAACAGATGAAAAGGGCCATGATCTGGATTCCGCTAGGGATTGAGGAAGGAAAGAGAGAAAACAGCAACAGTTTGACTAACTAGCTACGATATGTAGATTAGGGGGCCACGGGTTGGACAGGTACCAGTTTATATATTTTGGGCACTATTTGTGACAAGTGTTGCAGCTATATGCCTCTAACCTGATTGAGGCAAATAGAGTATTTGTAGCAGAGCGGGCAGAGATGCGATGATTATCAGGCTACAGGTCGATTTGTGGAGTTAATATATGAAATATCTTTTTATGAGCTGCTCAAATATTTGGTAGTATTATCGCAACCCGGAATCTCATGGAGACTGCAAGAGCTGCAACATTTATGTACATCAGACCTCTATTTAGCTTGAGAAGAAGAACAAACGAGCCAAATGAGTACCTTTCTGATCCAACTGTGAATATAGCTGATTCAAATGCTGCAAACTTGATACTTCTATAAACTAATTGACCATGTGATATAGTGGGGCGCCGGATACAATACATGCCCTTGGCGTAACCTTGCATTGAGAAGTGACTACTCCATAGTTAGATCATAAGCATTAAATTTGTGCGCCGTAATCCTGATATAGTCTATGCGGGTCTAGCCAATGAATATGGCTACAATTAAAAACCTCGGGGACCCAAAACGGTTAGCCTAAGAGGCCCTTGAGCCCCTGCTGACATCAGCAATGAGTCAAGTATCACATGACCTAGAGCACATTCACACGGAATAACTCATTAATCCGGCCGCCCACACTCGCTAAGCGGCCCCACACGGTCGCACTCCCAATTTTGCAACTCCATCGTCAAAGAGCGAATCGTCTCCATCCCCCTTCAACAAATCGTTCATCCCAGTCCGTTCATCGCCAAAAATCATCCAATATGGGTAAGGTTCACGGATCTCTCGCCCGTGCCGGTAAGGTCAAGGCTGCCACCCCCAAGGTCAGTTATCCAGCAAACCCCAAAACTCCTGCGCCACCACGATCTCGATCGCCGCCAGGATACCCGCCAGAATCGCCATCCTAACGAACATTTTGAATCCAGGTTGAGCCCCAGGAGAAGAAGAAGCAGCCCAAGGGCCGCGCCTACAAGCGTGTCCTCTACACCCGCCGCTTCGTGAACGTTGTCATGACCGGTGGCAAGCGCAAGGTACATACCGATTGATCCTATCCACAACACACAACCCACACGAATCAAAAAATACTTTTGAGAACTCGGAACCCCTACTCCGCCATTATGCAGATGCATATCTCGAAACACAGGACTAGGAAACAGGAACAGAAAGGCTGACATACTGCCCTACCAGATGAACCCCAACCCCGGCGCTTAAGTCGATGCATCTTGATAAACAAAAACCCCGAGGCGTGGAGGGAGGTCGAATTCTACGATTTTGAAAGACATTCGCGAGACTCGACACCGCTACGGCCTCATCGAAACGAAGGCTCACCAGATACGGCTGGCTACTTGTACGGATGATATCATGCTGCGTTTCAATTTGAATTTTCGGCACCGGATCGGTTTTTTGAGGGGTGGAACAGGGAAATGGATGAATACCACATGGTGGCCCGAGGATGAAAAGTTATGGCTAGGAGTGAGCTGCTTAATTGGCAGGCTGCGCTTGGGATGGTCGCTTTCGACTCGTACATAGGCTATTCCATGCATTGCATTTCCGATCCTTGAGTGGAATCTTGCTATACAACTGTGTATGTGCCTAGACCGGGGGAAATTTCGTTCGAATCTGAGGCATTGTGCCACTGATGGACGGAATGGGGCTCTGCGTTTCCTGGGATTACAGTGCTCTGGTGACCAGGTGACCAGATGACCTCTGTAGTTTCTTTACACCAGGCCCTCTGGTGTTCTGGATCTAAAGTGTGCTCTATCATGGCCGGAGGGCCGTTTGAAGTGATCTGAGTATCAAGGTAGAGACCGTACGAAAACTACATGTACAATTCTTCCGGACATGATGTCTGCGTAGGACTCGTTACCCAAGCTGTAACTGCGGGATACGTTTGAAACCCACAAGTGGACGATGTCTAACTTGATATATAGGTGATGGATGTCAAGGCGTATGATTAAACACTGCATTTGTTTTCCAATCATCCACCACCTGGGAAGTTGGGCAACTCCAGGGCTGTGCTGGTCTCTCCACAAGGTTCCTACATAGAATGTATCTACATAGTACTGTACATATGCAACAGCCTCACAGTTTCTATGATTCGGATGATATTCAGCATTGATTGAAGAACAATCTTGGAACATTGAATTACTCTCAAACGCAATTCTATATCTTGATGTCTATGTACATAACTTGTTAGTTCAATATATGTCATGACATAACTGTCGCCTGGTATTGGGACTAATACTCTTCGTCGCACAACGCCAAAAAACCGATACAGACATGATCTCATGATTTACCGGGACCTCCGGGATTAATGTCCAGAACTGAAATGTCTGGGGGCATGACCTCACAGCAGCAGAATCCATGGATCGTGGAGTTGGCTTAAGGTTAGATCGAGGTGAAGTTCGGATGACTAAGAGCCACACCTCGAATTTCTTCCATCTCCAGCTCTGAGAGGGCGAAAGTCTTTACGTCACCCAGAGAACCTCGTGTGGTACATCCGTCCACTCGTGCTCTATTGTTTACCCCACATCCATACACTCCATTCCTGAGGCCAATTCATACCGTCATGGGTGCTTCTCCCCAAATCTCAAGAGTCAACACCAATGGCCACGAATATATATTCACAAGTACTGTTTGAGATCAATTGATTATATAGAGCCTAGTGTATCTAGACTGAACTAAAGTGATCTTAATCCAAAGCTGTGTTAGCTTCGTTCTAGCTATTGATATAAACAGTGACGATCGAGAAGGTTTGTGTGGAGACATCACCTGGTCCAAATATCCACTCATGCTGTTGATATCTGCCTTGCGCATCATCGACTTTACTCTCATCCTGGTACCGATACAATCAAAGACTGCAATTGCTGAGTTGATCCGCTTGCGGCCCTTGGAACAGTACATCGTCATGGCATGGCACTACCGCCCGGTTCGAACCGCACCCCAAGTTTCTTGCTTTGTATGGACCCCTCGATGGTGGGGGTTTATGTTCGGCAGCGCCGAGAGCTGATTTCATGATGCAATGAGAAGCGGAGGTGCTGGGCCTGGCTACTTCCTACTTATTTCCACCCCATCTTCTCGTTTTCCCCGTTTTTCTTATCACTTATGAAAACTGAACTCAACGATTTACGATAATTCCGATTTCCCTGTTTTAACGACTCTATATTCTTCACATCCTATTATTCTATTCTATTCTATTCTATGTCATCCTAGCTGATAACATAAATATCATCAACATGTCGAATCCTATGAACACCGAACCCGAGGCCGAACAGGTGAGCCAGGGTAGCAGCTCCTGGTTTACCAAGAAAATAGGCAGAAAATTATCCCTGGTCCACTCCAAGGAAAGCTCAAAAGGAACTACCGACGAAACAGAAACCGCAACTGAGGAGCACACGGGCCAAAGCAGCACAGGTCAGCAAGCCATGGAAAAGGGAGAGCAGGCGAAGCAAGACATAACATCTGGTGATATGAGCGGCTCCAAGGAAATGTCTGGAAAAGGCGAAAACATTCAGAACCTCGCGAGCCAGGGAGACACTACTGGAGTCACTGGTGAAACCGGCCTGAACAAAGAGAAAACCAACAAGAAAAGCATTGACGACGTCGGCCGTCGACTTTTTGGTAGCCGCGGCGGAGGTATTGCCCCCAACAGGGATATCAAAAAGGGTCCTATTACGGAGGGATCTGGCATGGCTATGGATCAAAGAGACACAGGCCAGGAGCTCATTGGAGCTACTGGATCTGGATCTGGAATCGGAGCAGCAGAAAAGGAACCGAGCACCGGAGCTGATATACTTGGAGCTACTGGGTCTGGACCTGGATCTAGGCTAGCAGAAAAGGAACCGAGCACCGGAGCCGGTCCACTTGGAGCTACTGGATCTGGATTCGGAGCAGCAGAAAAGGAACCGAGCACCGGAGCTGGTGTACTTGGAGCTACTGGGTCTGGATCTGGATCTAGGCTAGCAGAAAAGGAACCGAGCACCGGAGCTGATCCACTTGGAGCTACCACTGGAACTGGCATGTCAAAGTCTAGTACATCAAAAGCCAATACCTCTGGCACCACAGCAGCCGCTGGCTCTAGCGATCGAGGCCTGCATCAAGGAATGTCCGGAAAATCCAAAATGGCTGGTGCCGCTTTCGCTGAAAATTCCATGGATCAGGAGCTCGACAGTCAAGCACATATCAGTTCAGATGTATTTGGAGATAAGAACGGTCTGCAGAACACTTCGACAGGCGGTCATGTTTTTACCTCCCCAGGAATCGAGCAAAAGCTTGCCGAAAAGAGGCGACTAAGCACAGAAAATACACCAAACCCGCATCATATGAAACACAAATCTATGCGAGAGGGAGGAGGAATCAGTCAAGGTGCCATTGGTGGCGCGGCCCTCGGTGGTGGTACTATGGGTAGTGCCAGTGCCATGGGCATGGGCAAAGGTGGCATTAGCCAACAAGCCAGTACAGCGGGACAAACAAGCAAAGGAATGTCGCCTACGTCGACACAAGCTCGCATGACTGGCGTGACCGGTGGGGGCCTTACACAGGCCATCGGCCAAGGAGCATCCAGCAAAGGAGTTGGTCAAGGTGGCATGAACCAAGGTGCCATGCCCCGTCGCAAGCCCACTGGAGCCACGATGAGCAGATCAGCCGAGAACGCTGGTATGGCTGCCACCCCACGAACCATGATGGGGATGGGTGGCTCTAGTCACAAGGCCACAATTCTTCAAGAGAAGGTTCAATTTGTCTCGCAGAAGTGCAAGACTCAATTGGGCGGCTCTGCCAGTGAGATTAGTTTGCGCAGCCCTACCGTGGATGCTTTCTTTGATTCAGTGGCCATAGAACGTCTCCGCTGGATGCCTCGTGATGGCAGCAGACTTGACTGCTGTCTTCGATGGGCTTCTCGGCTGGCATACGCAGTCGACAATCTACGCGAGTCAATCGGTGCTTTCGCTCCTGGAGCAAACGAAGCCGCGAAGCTGATTTGGGGTTTCGAAATCATGCTCCTGGAGGTAAGCCAATAAAGATCTAGGCAAGTATATATGAAGTTACTAACCAGCCAATCAGTCTGATATAGACAACACGGACATTTTCGAAAGCGTCTTTGGCAGATATGGACGTGTTGCTGTGGGAATTCGTCTACTTCTTCAGTACGAGAGTGTGTATAAGCCATCGCCAGAGCTTCAGCCAGAAGCCGCTGCCGTCTTTGCCAATCTCCTAGAGATGGTCTGCAGTACCACCATCAGCTGTGTTGAGGGATTCAAGGCCAAGGAGTCTGATACAGTCATCCGTCACAACATTGATGCGGCCTTCGTGACCTACGCCACCCGCTACTCGACTCACTGGAATGCCATTGTTGAAGCTGCAACTTCAAATGTTGTGACGCAGAGCTCGCTGATTTGGGCAAGTGAGGAGTTGGGCAGTCTTCGCCAGTTCCTCGGTGTGCAGGATCGTCCTCTTCAATTTATTCTTGACTCCCGTAGTCATACTTTAGCTGAAGGGTCGTTCGAGTGGTTCAACAACAGTCTGTACGATTTTACCGTGGGTAAGCCTCCTGTCCTGATGGTCACTGGTGGAGCTGGCTGTGGAAAGAGTGCCATGGCACAGTGGACTGTCGACAGAATGCAGGAATCTTCCGAGCATTCGGGCTGGAATGTCATTCCTTACACCATCCGTGAGTATAAAAATTCATTTTTATGATTTATACTAACATCTACAGGCGCCGATATCCCCGTTGCAACTTTGCCACTCCGTATCCTGAAAGGTATATTGCACCAGATGCTGGACCACTGTGTCATTGAAAAGAGTATCCAGGAGGACATTCTCTTCTATGTGGCCAAGGCTGCTCAAAGTGCCCTTGATGGTGCCGGAGAAGCGGAGGTTGAAGACAGCCTCTGGAAGGGTATTCGCACTGGTCTGGAGTCTGACATCCAGTACATGTTCGTGGTTGATGGTCTTGACCAAATCAAGGGTGGTGACCCCGACGCCACTGAATTCATGGACAAATTCAGCGAGGTCCTTGTTCAGCAGAATGAGGGCTCTAAGATGATCGTCTTTACCCGACCTCTCAAATCGAGAATGAGCTCTAGAAGTATTCAACACTTCAATATTCAGCCATCTCAGACCATGAATGATCTGGAGGCCTATGTGAAGAAGCAGCTTTCAACTGCATTTGACACAGAAGCCGGAAAGACTGGCCAGCTCGATACCGCTGTAACTACTATTGTCAAACGATCTCAAGGCTCGTTCAGCTGGGCCGAGATGGCAGTTGAGTATGCTCGACAGCAGAGGACCCCGGGCCAGGCTATTCAGTCTGTGCAAGGGCTACCCCAGTCTATGCCGGAGCTGCTTGACTTCCACATGAAGAATTTGGACCTGAGCCAGAATGAGGCCAAACACGTCTTGTCGTGGCTGGCTGCTGCCGAGCGACCTTTGCTGGTCGAGGAAGTTGAACAGCTACTTGCTGTTGATCCGATTTCAGTAACCTTCACTCCAAGCTTCTCTCATTCTGATAGTGCATGGAGCAAGTCTTTGAGTCCCATTGTGATGACTCGCGATGGTGTTGTTTCTTTCGCCCACACCTGCATTCGCGATCACATCATCAACCAGGCCAGATCTGCAAGCGCCAAAGCACCGCTGAATCTGAAGGACGCTCACTATGACCTCCTTACCAGATGTCTCGCATGGGTACAGCTTAGTGTCCGAGAAGAGACAGACATCTCCATGGATAAGCTTAGCATGGAAGAACGCAATCGTCTCTTCGACAAATATGTCCTTCTGGAGTATACTGCACGATACTGGCTGTCACATCTTCTCTCTTCGCAGTTGGTGACTGACGAGGGTGAATTCTCCTTCAACGCAAACTTCAGAAAGCTGGTTCCTGAGACCGTTCTGTTCGCTCGTCTTGAATTGACCTGTCGCGAATCGCAGTTCACTCGATCCAGTGTGGTGGAATTGTACAGACTGGCGACAGACATTCGCCGCCTGGTCTTAGGCGAAAAGTCAATGGCACTGCTTCAAAGCCTATTGCTGAGTGCCCGAGTCTCTAAGTATGCCCATGCCAGCCATGCCGATGAGCACTGCTACGAGGCTTGGAAGCTCAGCCAGGAGCTCCTTGGCCAGTCCGAAACCACCACCTTGACAAGTGCTGAGATGATGACGCAATCGTTCACCGAGCGAGGCACCATGACTTACCAGCAAGAGGATATTATGAAGTACTTGATTCTGACCGATTCCGAGATCACCGGCGTCGAGTTCAGTCAGCGCTTGAAGTACCTCGGAATGATCGTGGGCATGTACAAATTCCGAGACGACAACGCATCTGCCCTCACCATCTCGAAGCAGTTCTATCAGCAGATTCTCCAGAAGTACGGTACCAACTCCAGCCAGTCTTCGGAGACTGCAGATTTCTTGACCAGCGAGTTCTCTGCTACTGGAAGCGACGAGATGAGCCGCGACATTGCGCGGACCAAGTACGACAGTGTAGTCCGTACGATGGAGGTTACAGATGAGCGTCGCATCAAGTACACTTTGTACATGGCCCAGATGTACGAGCAGCAGGGTGAAATGGCACAAGCACAGGGTGTGCTATCTAGTCTGTGGGCTGGCCTCAACTCTCGGGACATCGACTCTGTTGACATGATGGATAAGAAGTCCAATGTTGCCCTCGCTTACTACCAGTTCTTGCGCCGCCAGGGTAGAAACGATGAGGCTGAGGTCATTATCCGCGAGCTTGTTGCTGATCTTGAGGTCACCGGCATTCACTCTCAGGAAATGATGCTGCGCGTACAGATGCTTCGTGCTGAAACTCGCGAAATGCACATGTACAGTTTGGATCGATCGCTGTCCATTCTCACGTGGCGCTATTACAAGGAAATGAACATGGAGTACTCGACTGAGGCGACGGCTCTGGCTCTATCGCTCGCCGAGAGCATGGCCAACACTGTCTCTATCGAAGATAGTCATTCCCTTTCCGGAAGGGACCGTAGGCTGATGGTCGAGCTTTTGGATTCCATCACCTCGTCGCCCAGCAACCTCTCCGTCTCCACACTGATCCTTTGCCATAATCTGGCTAGCATTTATGTCCGCGAAGAGGACTGGGTCGAAGCCAGCGACTGCTCTAAGGCTGTTCTGCAGCATGTTTGGCCCACAGTGGAGCAGGCAGGATCTCACAAGAGTTTCTCGACAGAGTTGGCTCCTCCTATCGCAGACCTGGCCCTGATTCTGGCATACTGCCACATCCGCAGACTACATCTGGAACAGGCTACTATCGTCTATGAGAATGCCTTTGGGTCACTCATCGCTTCAGATAGAGTTCCCGTGCCTTCTGTGTTGGCTGTTGCTAAAGCGGTTGTCGAATTCTACGAAACTACCTTCCAATTTACTAGGGCTCTGACTCTTCTGCACTCTGTCAGCACGTTCTTGACAGCCAGACTGGGTGAGACGCACAAGCATACGATTGAGAACTTCTACCTCGAGGCCACGCTCGCCAATCGTCTTGAGATGACCAGCGAGGCTAAGGCCACGTACCAGCGAATCTACAAATGCACCACGAGCGACGGAAAGATTGCCCCCGAGGGCTTTGAAGCTGCCCTTGCACTTGTTGCGCTTTACGAAAAGGAGCTCCAGTGGGATGCTGCTCTGGATATTTACCGCCACATGTGGCCTACGGTCGTTGTCAAAGATAATGTGGCTTCCTATGACCGCACGAGGGTCGAGAAGATGCTCGAAAATACCTACATCGGCTACATGACAATCCTGACCACCCGTACGAAGAGCACCGACTTCTCTGAGCAATACAAGGTCGCTTCGGAATACGTGACGACCTGCAGTAACGTCTACGGTTCCACGCACCAGAAGACCCTGAGCGCGACTCTCCTCTTCGCCGAGCTATGCGAGAGCAGCGACTCGCACATCGACGAGGCCATCTCACTCTACAAGAAGCCGTTCCAGATCAGCGAGTGGGTGCCAACCTCCCAATCCTCTAAGGGTCTGGATCAAATGACCGCACCGCTGCCCATCACGCTCAAGCACAAGCTCGCACAGCTGTTCGTCCGCAAGCGTGATTCCACAATGGAGGCTCGTTCCCTCTATACAGAGGAATTCCAGCTGGCAAAGAAGACTCAAGGATACTTCTCTGACACGACCCTTTCCTGGCTCCGCGAGCTCGCCCTCGCGCACTCTCGCCAGGGCACGCAAACCTCTGTCCAGCAAGGCTGTGCCATCCTCCACACATACATAACGGATGTCCTTCACACCGGTGGTGGTGAACCCGACGCAATGAAGGACTGGGCCCACAAGGTCGCCGCCATTTATCTGGAATGCGGCTTCATCGACGGTGGCAACGGTGTACTCGATGAGCTTCGCCAGCGTGTGATCTATGGCTCTGAGACCTCAGCCATGACACTTGGAGAGCGGCGCGATGCCGTCTTCTCTGCAGCCTTCGAAGAATCCTTCAGTCGCCGCACAACCTATGAGCAGATCATAACCGAGATGTCTCGGGAGACGCACATTCAGCAGTCCTTTACCAAGAATCTATCCGGCCACGACTTCATCCCTACTCTCATATCCGGCGAACGTCTCGCGACCCTACAGACACAGCAGAAACGGACCCGCGTGGCGAAGGACACACGAACCAGACTCTACGAGTACTTCTGTAACACGCTGTCCGCAACTTCAATCGCGGACCACCAGATTGTGCAACAGTTCTACGCCATCTGCCTCCGCGAAGTGCAAACAGAGGACTATAACACAGGCATTCTAAACACAACAACCAGTCTAGTCCGCGACCTCTGCAACTCTGGCCAATTCGCCGACGCAAGTGATCTGACCGGTGTTCTACACTCATTCATGCACCTAACAGACGGCCTGAACAACTACGACAACATAATAACGGCTACAAAACTCTGTCTCTACCTAAGCGGCAACCAAGCAACACGCTGCCAAAACGAAAAACTCTACAACGAAATGTCCGTGAAATCCAAACTACTCCTCCAAGAACTCCTCGCCTCCTCCAAGAATCTCGGAATCGAAATCGTCGACCTCCCCTTCCACGAACTAAACGACATAATCACCCTCCTAGGTGAATACGAAATGTTCGACGATCTCGAAGCAATCCTCACCCAACTCTGGACATCCAGAATCGTCCAACGAACCTGGACTCCAGACGTAGTGGTCTGGATCGGACGCCGACTGGTCGAAACCCGCTTCTGTCGCGGCGCCATCGATTCCGCCATCCAACTCTGTCGCGATATCTGCTACAATCTTCGCCAGGTATGGGGTAACTACGACAGCGTCACGTTGGAGATGACGAAATTACTTTCCGGACTCTTCGCTGCGTCGGGGGATCATGCCTCCGCCGCGACTTTGCATGAAGGCATTCTTCATGATATGCTTACTGATGCGGATGCGAAGTCGCATCCGTCGGGGGCAGATACGGCGGCGCAGCATTTGGAGTTGTTGAAGAGGGCTCAGAGTCGTGGGAATGGAGGTGCGAGGTCCTCGCATGCGGATCTGGTTCAGCAGGTACAGAAGAAGTTTGGGTTGAAGTCTGGTGAGATGGAAGGTGGGGAGTCGTTTGGACTTTGGTCTAAGCCCAGACGGTTTAGTATTGATGTCGAGGACTTGGATGAACAGGGGCAGATGCACCAGAATCATTTGAGGGAGTCTAGTGGGGCTGGTATTATGAGTGGTTCTGGGGCGAGACGGATTTCTGTGCAGGCGTTGTAATTGACAGATTGGAATTGACAGGATTGATATTTTGAAAATTAGTTGGACCAAATTGTATCTAATAGTATGAGTTCAGTGAATGTCAGTTTTCTATTATTATATTTGAGGTTTAAAGATGAGTAAATCTTCATAATTCGTCTGATGCATGCCATAACTACCAACGCCGGATCTCATATGTAAACACTGCATAACAATATCCCACCCCCCTGCACGATGCAATATGCAAGGTTTCGTCTCTGAATCACATATAGAAGACGCCAGCCACCTTCCATTTTTCTTTTATCTATAGCGCCCCAGACGGGAAACCAATGTGCAAAATTCAATGTTCAAGCCGTCAACGCAAAGCTCACACCCATCATCCCCATGCCGGCAACTGCAAATCCAATACCCATGCTTCGATGATGGGTCAGCCCCAGGCCCTCGCTGAACAACGTCAGCGCGACGGAGGTCATCACGCCGGCAGTAGCGGCAAACATGCCTCCGTACACACCCCAAGACGGTCCCATCGTATCTTTACCAGTGTGCCCTGATGTCCAAATCCACAGGGCAGCGATGCCAGCGCCGGCAGGTTGACTGATTCCACCAAGAAGACTGGACCAGAACATGGCTTTCCAACGTGAGCCAAGAGCTAGGTAGAGGGGTAGTGCCATGGCAAAGCCCTCCACGATGTTATGAATAAACAGGGCAAGGAACACAGTCAATCCAAGAGTTGGGCTGGCATGGTTAGTCGCATATGTGATAAATCCTTCAGGGAGTTTGTGCAAGGCGATGGCAAGCGAGGTTTGAAGACCAATGGAGAGGAAGGCGTTTTGTGGGACATGGTGATGATGTACACTCTCTGCTGCATGCCTAGAAGCGTGGTCATGATCGTGATCGTGGTCCTCATGGACGTCATGATGATGACTGTGATGGGAGAAATTGGTTGTGTGGTGATGGCTAGGGTCATCCAAATGATGGTGATGTACCTGTGACGAGGCAGAAAAGGCCGTTCCACTAACTTCATGGATGAGATGCTGATTAGAGATCTCATCAAAGTACCCCGTATCGGACGCAGTCAAACCAGAGTCAATGGGCATATCCACCGCAGGGTCTCGCTCCGAATCTAGTTGTACGGCGATACTCTGATGTTGCGGCAAGAACGGCCGCGTGACCTCATTGGTATGGATGCTCGGCGGCGGACTAGCTTTGGGGAGCACCTTGATACATTCCTGGCCACATGTCTGCGAAAACCCGTAGCATGGTCCATTCTCGTCGCATACAGTCTTGACACCACCCACAAGAGAGCTGAACCGGCGACTTAGCATGGCGCGCAACGATTCCCGCTTGGCGGTCCTTGCAGCCGGCTCCGTCCGTTGTAGTACGGCCGGGGTTGATTTGAAAGATTTAGTTTGTGTCGGTCGCAAAAGAGGGGTCCGCTCCGTGCTACCATTGATATGTGCATGATCATGCTGTCCCGGTTGAGCTTCGCCACGCTCGGGATCTTGCTCCGGAGAATGACTATGTGCGCAATCGACGACATGCGATGGGATGAAGCGGTGAATAAAACCAGATACAACCCGGATGATAATGACACCAGTGAGAAACAGACCGATCAAAGTGTATGCAGATGCGGAGGGGGAGAAGCCGGCGCGGGTGAGGTACTCCTTCGACGTGGGGAGCATGCTATACAGAGAGGTGAAGAGCTTCGATTGGTTAGGGATCTGAAACAAAAGGTATAGCTCTGGAGTAACTGTAACTTACCATCACACCAGCACTCAGACATAGTGAGGCCGACAGGAAATTATTGCTGTTGGCGATCTGGAATGTCTTATCGTTGGTGACTCGCCGCACTATCAGATCGGCGCAGATGACGGTAGCTCCGAGGACACATGCTACAAACCAGGTTAAGTCAATGTTTAGTATGAAGGGGAAATAAACTTACCCACGCCTGAGACAGCGCTCATCACCCACCCCCGGAGATCGTTGCTGGCAGCCATAATGTGGAGAATGGAAGAGGTGATGTAACCAGGTCAGTCAAGATAACGATCCTGTTGGCGGTCAAGCTCTTTGCCTCTTTCCAAATATGGACTCGACTTGCCTCCCTTCAACTCCTGAAAAACCGAAAAATTGTAAAAGAAGTGGGAGAATGAGAAGAAATAGCCAAGATTCCCAAATTCCTGACTCTTGAGTCCGATGCAGGAGTGTCCTAGGCGTCTCCCAAGGTCCTCACAGTAACCCAATCATCACAAGCTGCAGGAACGCTGTTGCGAGAAATAAGATAAATGAGGTTGAAATCAATTTATAGTCCATACACCTATGACTTAGATTATTCTCCAGATACCTACTAAATTGATAGTTGTACTTTCAAATGGTCTATACAGACTATCTGTATACTCCATTGTACTAGTATAGCACTGTGGGGTAGACTAGGGACAGTGCAGACATTACTATACTATGCCCAAGTGGCATATATTCTATGACTAATGTACTTCTTTTATTTAGGTACTTAATCTTCTATATCAAATAATCTTATCTTCCTGTATAACTTTAGATACTAAATGCATTGTTTAACCCCAATCTCCCAGGGCAACACCTGCAGGTGTGAATTATCCAACTTGCAGCTCAGTTGATCCAATGATACCTAGGAAATAAGTAAATCATATGATCCCCGTCACACACATGTAGATATCGGTCACACGTAGCTGGTGCATGCTAAATCCATTGGCTCGTGACTTCTGTTGTTTTCCCTATAGTTTTTTTTTAGCCTATCCACTCTCTTTCCCCCGTTTTTTTCTTCTTCTCCACTCCAACCTCCAACTCCAGACTGCCATGTCCAAAGCTACATTGGCCATCATTGCGGCTGCAAGTGCTGCCACCGGTGCCGGTGTCACTGCAGTGCTCTACTCCAAGCCCGCCAGACCTCAACAGCAGGAACAAAAACAACTCCAAACCCAAAGCACCGTCCTACAAGTCCCCACGACCATTCAAACCCCAACCCTCGCAGCCAAAGCCCTTGGCCCTGTCGACCCCGCCGGTGTGCTCGAGTATGGCTTCCCAGGCCCAATCGCCGACGAGCTATCCTCCCTCCCCCTGCACGGCGCCTACGACCGCCGCACGCGCAATCCCGCCTGGGTCGCCGAGCACATCACCCCCCAGTCTCTGCTGATAAAGAACGCCGACCGCAAACACAGCACCTTCTTCGAGGATACCTCCATCCCGGCCCTTTTCCGCGCAAAGCTGACCGACTATCAACGCTCCGGATATGACCGCGGTCACCAGGTTCCTGCGGCCGATGCGAAGTGGTCCCAGGAGGCCATGGATGGCACTTTTGCGCTGAGCAACATGTCTCCGCAAGTAGGCGAGGGCTTCAACCGCGATTACTGGGCGCACTTTGAGGAGTTCTGTCGCAATCTGACGCAGAAATACCCGTCTGTGCGCGTTGTTACTGGACCCTTGTACCTGCCGCACCGGGACCCGGATGGGAAATGGCGCGTGAACTATGAAGTTATTGGTAACCCGCCTAATGTTGCGGTGCCGACTCACTTCTACAAGGTTATTTATGGAGAGGATGGTACGGGTGGACCGAACAGTAAGGTTGCGCTGGGTGCGTTTGTTTTGCCGAATGCCCGCATTGCCAATCAGAAGAGTTTGTCGGACTTTGAGGTTCCTTTGGATGTTTTGGAGCGTTTCTCTGGACTGGAGTTTGCGGCCAAGTTGGATCTGAGCCGTCGTCGCCGGTTGTGTCAGGAGGTTAAGTGTGAGATTACGGTGCGCGAGTTCAACAACACCAAGAAGAAGCTTTCTTAGATTCATTTCTTTAGCCAGATGGCTCTGTGTATACATATCAAGGACATGGTTATTATTGCATAAATGGCGTTTGGATAGAGCCGAGTTACTTGCAATGCAGGATATAATGTTCACTCAACCTGATCAGTAAAGTTTTATGCTGTGAGTTACCCAACTCAAGGCCATGAGTGTAATGGAAAGGTTAGGCAAGGTTGACATTCAATAATTCTCTTATTTCTGCTCCATGACACCATGGCGTAGGATTTAGGGGTATCTTGAGCCCATCATACAACGGCTTTTTTCTCATCCTTCAAATTTAACATTGGAATGCCACGCCCTTCTTCGTAGCAACATTGCCACCACCACCTGCAAACCCTGTTCCCTCAGAGCTAATCTCCACCAGGCCAGGCGTGATCCCTTCCTTATCCTTCTTCTTAGACTTCTTCTTGCTGTCCTTTTTCTCTAAACTGGAATCTTGTGTAAGATCAGTTTCGCAAACATAACATGATATTCGGCGATGGGCCTCCTGTTCTTCCTTCGAAGCATGGGGATCAGGAGTATCATGTGGAGTCATAAACTTCGTAACACACGGCGAACAGATGACATGGCCGCATGGTTTAGTAACTGGAAAAGTTAGTATAATGCAACAAGCTCCTTGATAGTCCCACACTTACGCATAGCTTTGAGTCCATTGCTAAGATTCTTCTTGCAACTCGGACAAATCCTCGATGTAGATCCATCGGAGCCCTTTTCCTCCGTAAAATGCACCTCAACCAGACCTTTCAACGAATAAGTATGCCGATTGGTCTCCGTAGACCCAGGACAAATAGGCGCCAATTTCACAGTCTTATTCGCAGCAATCTCATCCGCATCCGTATTTGGTGTCAAAGACGGTACCCAAAAAGACGGCAGCGCCGACTTGCTCGACTCAAACTGCAGAAAATCCAATTAGCACCGCAAAGCTCAAGAAAACAAGGACAGAAAAAACAAGGACAGAAAAACAAGGACAGAAAAACAAGGACAAAACAAACCTTCTCCTTCTTCAACTCATTCTTCAATCTCTCCTGCTCCTCTCTAGAAACCCTCTTCATCTCCTCCTCATCCAGCTCAAAGACCTTCTTCCGCTTCCCATCAACAACCACCTCACGCGCCTTAAACGCCTCAACGGCATCACTCTCTTCCGCCTTGCGCTTCTTCCCTTTTTGGCCAGCTTCTAATCCCATAGAAACAAGCTCAAAGTCCGCCAATTCTTTCTTCTTTGCTTCTTCCAGTACGAGCTTGTCGTCCTCGGCAATTCGCTTCTTGGCGTCTTCGCGTTCCCGTTCGAGTCGCTTGATCTCTTGTCTTTGGGCAAGGAGGTCATTGATTGCGCATTCACGGCAGAATAGGTCGCCGTTGCTGGCGCAGCCTACTACCGGAGTTCGGGCGGGTTGGAGACATAGTTTGCAGGATGCGAAGGGGAGGAATGAGTCGCGTCCGATTACGCTGCGTTTTGTACCCCAGCTGTCGCGGAGGAGACTGCGCTCATAAGAGGTGAAATGAGGGAGGGAGGTGTTGCGCTTTGAATGCGCCATTTTGCCTTGCTGAGATGGGGGAATTTAAGATGGAGTTGGAGGATGTCGTAATTACGGGTTTATTTGAATGATTGTTGGCGTTGATTGGTTGATTGTGACCGCCTTGTGGACCGCCTTCCTATCTGAGTCTCATTTACATTAACACTACAGGCCACTGAATTCATGGAAAGCAATGATCAATCAATCGTAAATGAGCTTTTGTCTAAGATGTACCCACGGCCCCGGCTGGACGAACTAGTGTATGACATTCGCGCTCAGAGGGATCCGGGAAATGCAGCAAGTTGTCCCGAAAGACGGAGGAAGACGCTAGAGTCAGATTGAAACAGATAAAAAGACGACACACCAATGAATGCTTCCCACATGAGAATAAAAATTCAAGCCGAAAACCAGCAGAAAACCGACGTCAGCAGGTGGAACCGTCAATGCAAAAAAAAGCCCAATGGGAAACAGGCCGCAATGGTTGAAAGGGGTATAATAGTCGTAAACAAGCAGATGAGAACATGGTGGCTATACATGTGATGAATTGAGAGGAGCAAGGAAATGTAGAAGTGAGAGGAAATGAGCAATTCTTGCTCAGGCGCCTACAGCTTGCTGTCGTAGGTTTTCAGAGGAGGGGGTTTCCACACCTCTTTCATTCAGAGGCGTGGCAGAGGGGGCTATGTCCTCGGGGTCCGGCAGGCGAGGACCAAAGATCGCAGAACCAGAACTTGAAGCAGGACGGGGTGTGCCCTCATTCTCTGCTCGTTGATCTAATTCTTTCTCTTCGGGCGCGACCGAAGGATCCGTATCATTGGCAGGCTTGGGCAGTCTAACCCCAAAGGTTTCGTATGCATCGGTGAAGAAGTCGACGGTAGGCTCATCATCGCTGCACACACTGAGCCTTGTTGTCGTACTCGCACTTCGGATAGAGTGAGGCCGGCCGCCCGGTGTGTGGTGTGAAGTGATCGACTCGTTACTACTAAGTATAGCAGGTTCTGAAGCCCTCGGCTCGTCGTGGGGAGTTGGCTTCCGGAGCTTTAGACGATCCTCAGGAGACATGTTCTGCCACTCGGATCCAAAGGTAACAACGGAAGCCTTTTTGCCATGAACAGTGAAACTGGGTGTCTTGCGAGGCAGTACTTCAGCATCCTTACCGCTTTCATCATCATCGAGTGGCGGAATGCTGGACACTGAGCCTCGGTTCTTCTTACTACGAGATTGATGGCGAGGAATGTGGGCTGAATCCCGAAGTGTGCGGTGGAGACTGCGTCGTACCCGGCTAGACCTGTCATTTTGAAGACCCTCAGAGGACCCATCTGGCTTGCCCTCACCTCCTGACTCGGGAACATTGCTAGATGGTTTCCGAGGCTTAGGCGAGCCACTCAGATCTAACAAGCCGGTTTCTCTGAGCAGGCGTTCCTCGCCTTCATCGAAGCTGACCGGGGAGGTGAGTTTAGATGTCCGAGAGGCGACACTAGCTCCGTCATACCTGCTACCCCGACTGAGAACAGAGGACTCGCGCTCCAGCTGAGTCGTCGATCCGTCGGATAGCTTGTCTGTCAGAACGGCAATGGAAAGCGGGCGGCCAACGCGAGCAGCATCAGATGAGGTAGTCGAAGCCGGGAGGCTTGGGCGACGCATCTCATCTGTGGATGGCTGATAGAGAAAGCCACGGTCAACAGGTTGATCAACGGATGGCCCAGATGGTTCATGCGTATCATTGTTAGAAGTCGTGTGGATGATACTAGGAGCCTGGCAAACACCAGATTCGGATACTACGGAAGGCCCCGAGATGGAAGCAAGTCGCGCTACATCTTCAGATGGCTGATCAGCAACAGATCCGGCTTGTTCCTTGACAAAGCTCTCATCTTCACCCATGTCCCGGAGAAGCACTTCACGATAGCACTTGTTACGCCACAGATCCTGTCTGACCCATTTGAGCTTCGCTGCCATGCGTCCTGCAGCCATGATGACGCTCTCACGAGCCCGAGGATTCACCGGAGTCAGAACTTGAAGATGACGTGCGTTCCGCAAAAGTTCTTCAAGCTCCTTCTGTGTGACGAAAAGCTTTTCATTCGTCTCGCGGATCTTTTGACTCATTAGTTCTCTGCGGGCAGCGACAAACTCGGCAACAATATCCGTGGCGATGCTTGGCGAAGGAGGTTCCTTCTCCGCTGACTGTGAGGTGAGCGAAGCGGAATCGACCCGCTGGCTTGTACGGTACCGCTGACCCTCGTAATTAGTGGCAATCATGCCTTTTGTTCGGACCCCGGTGGTCCTGAATGCAGCAGCATAGTTGACCTTCGCAATCCAATCGTTCATCTCCGGGTCCGACGTCGCAAGAAATATTTCTTCTAGAGCATTGTGGCGGACATAACTGAATGCATGCTTGTGTTTTTTGTAGCTCGTGTCCAACAAAGCAACGGCATCATTTGTGGACATGATGGCATCTGGCTTGAACTCGGCAAGCGGAGGCTGGAACACTAGAGTACCCGGCCGCCCATTCTTCACGTAAATCTCGTGCTGTGCCATCAGTGACCGCACCCATGTGACATTGCGGAAGAAGTAGAGCTGCGAGAAGGTAAGAAGAACACCCCACTCTGCCCAAGGTGACCGAGCCCGCTTCTTTTTCGGATCTTTTCGCCAAAGCAAGCCAACTTTTGCCACTTTGATATCAACCAGGCCAGGATTCGACTCTGCGGGGTTATTGAGACTCGTGTGCATGAAGGCGTCGGGGCGAGAACGCAAAGAAACAATCTGCAAAATTCCAGACTTGGTAAAGGCTTGGTGCAAATCATCCATATCAGGCGGGCCAGCAGTTCCGACGTGATTGTACGAATCATCGAGATCCATCACATCCCCCAGACTTGGGCGTAGTGCCCCAAGCTTGCCATCCATAATCAGGGTGTACGGATCAAGGGGATCTCGTGCGACTCGGGGCAAGTTCTCAGTGCTGGTGCTCTTGAACAACGCGCGGCGAGGCTTGGTAAGATGGCGATCTCGTAAATTGGCATCTTCCACGTGAATAAACGGCGTATAGGCGATATTTTCATAGAAGCATTCAAGAACATCATCAGACACACCCTCACCACGGGTATTTTTGACATAATCGTGTTTCTGCATTTTCCGTTTATTATTCTTATTGAACACATCGGTGTGAAGAATCAATATTGAGAACGCAATAAAGTAAGCTTGATCTGTGGAACTGTCAGTGATAAACATGCATGTCCAATCCGTTATTTCGTACCTGTGGTTGCAAAAATCCCCGGGTTACACTCATGATATCGGTCTGCGAACGCTTGCAGAAACCGGTCTATCTGCTGTGTTTCTTTTGGCAGTTCGACCTCCATCAACAGTTTGCGAATAGCCATGTCAATTGGATCACCGAAGTAGGAGAACGATCTCATGTACTTCCGTAGAGCAACCTTGTAGAACTCGTCACCTGATTGGGAGAGCACACCACCAACCGCACCTCGAGGCATGTGTTCCTCGAGCTTTGTCAGATAGCTAGCTGGTGTATCACCCTCTTCTTTCTGCGGAATGGGTGGTAGGTCCGGCTTCGACGATATCGGGGTGGATGACCCGCCGAGACCAGGGGATCCATTGCGGGGAATCGGGGGCTCCGAGTTCTGTCTCAATCGCTGGGAAATATTAAAAAGATCACCGAAGCTCTTGCGGCCGGTGGTTGATGTGGAGGTGCGTCCCGATGATACCAAGTATGGCGCTGGAGACAAGTCGTCCTGGTTTTCGGCCAGCGATCCCATAGTGGACGATCTGCCTCGACCTTTGTGGGAAGGGTTGGATCGTATGGAGTGAGTGGAATTTGTGGAGTCATTTCGAAAGAGTGTAGGCTGACCACTTGGGCCAGAAAGTCCCACTGAGGAGCGGGACGGCGAGGGGAGGGGGGGAGATTTGGTCGTGGTCTCCAGATCCATCTGATTTCGGTGTGTCCGCCGGTGGGAACTTGGGGCCATTGAGGATTGACTGTCCTGGAGGGGGCTTCGGCGGTAGGGGAAATAGAGGACTACGATTTCGCTTCAGTCGCGGTAGACGGAATCCTCCCCGCTTGGCACTTGACGTTGATCCAAAGCCGTCTCGCGGGGAGCTGCTACGGTATGCAGCCTGGTCTCCATAGCTCTGATCCGAGCGAGATGATTCTGAGAAGCGGGGGTCTGTGACAGAGGAGCGCTGGGAATCGTTCAAGTTCATCTGATCACGGCTTCCATTGCGTAATGACGTTATCGACAGTCGACCCGGTTCCTCCATGCTACCCTGGAATGTCGAGAGGCTTGAATCAACCTGTGAATCGGTCGATCCTTGGTTCTTCCGTACTGGTCTCATCTTCGGCTGGTCTGTTGAATTGCGCGATAGCTCCTCCATGGAATGTTTGCGTGAAGAGGGTCGAAGTTTGTTGAAAAAGGGTAGTTCCTTGGTGGGCTGGTCGAGCTCGTGGCTGGTGGGGGCAGTGGTGATTATTTTAGGGGCTGCAGAGTTGAGACAAAGAATCGTTAGTCGTCTATGCGTTCCTGCACCTCCATCAGTATGATTCCTATCCATCGACTTACGCGGCAAGGAGGGCATCGGTGGAGCTTCCTGCTGACCGGCCTTGGCGTAGCTTTTGGACAGCTGCGGATCAGAGGCATGTCGTAATCTCATGAAACTGAATCGATTCCGTCGCAAGCTGGGTGCATCTCCAGAGGAAGGGTCGGCAAGTTCAGACTGGGCGACCCCATGGTCTGGAATCTCGGTGGGCACTTCGAGTCTCGAATCATCGAATCCATCGATCGGAGAGGGCTCTGGACTGCGGGTAATGGACTCCGAGAGTCTCGGTCCCGACACCGGTGGGCTTGGACGAGGCAGATGTTCACTGCGGCGGGACTGAGATTGGGGTTCAAAGGTACTTTGACGTTTGGAGCTGCCATCGGCGACAAGCCGCAGGCCTTTCCAATGCATGACGAAGAACCGGAGCGATCAGACCCATGCGTGGTCGGTGCCTTGCAGTTTGCAGGTATTTGAAAGTAATGAAAGGGCAAGGATGAAACTAGGGGAGCATGGCGACGTGGAGTGTTCCAGAACGCGGTGGGATTTCGGAGGTGGAGAGGCCCGTCGTCAGCTTTGCAAAAAAGGGGAACGCGGGAAGGTCAAGGGGGGGGGGGAGTTGTTCTGGACTTTTGAACGCCACAGCACTTCAATAGTTCAGCACGGATGTTATTTATTTTTGATCACAGAAGTGGATAACCAAGTCCCTGAAGAAAAACGAAAATAGAATGAGGAGAAAATTGAAGGAAAGGGGGGGGGTAAAAAAAGCAGTCGAACACAAAATGGTTGAAAGAGTCTAGAACATCTGGGGAATGTTTTTCAATTCCCTATAATCGAGCAACAAGTTGGTACAGGGTATATAGGATATTTATAAACTTTGAACAAAAAGGAATATGTATAAAATTTATCATGAAAAATCTTTTGATTTAAGCCTCGATTTATCATGAATCATTGATGTATCAAGTATCTATGTTTCTTATACACGTATCCGTATATGATTAACGTTGTTACCTGATATGGGTACTATGGGGTCATTATGAGCATTGAATCGACTAGTATTCACCTTGATGACTACAGTCTACTATGTAGATTATAATCAAAATAGATATACGGAGTAGTATATGGTGAGACCCAACATTATACGGTGCCTAAAGCTACCTAGTACTAAACATCTAAAGTTGTAATTGTCATGTTCTTCCTAATCCGGTAGTCGCTCCTTATCTCCTTCCAACTCTCCACTATCGCTCACCCCTCTTCTCCGCATACCTACTAGGTATAACAACTTGCTGTCCTCAGCATCTAAGGTATTACCCGTGATGCGCCTCTTACCTCTTTTACTCTATGGGACTTTGATTCCTACTATCTCCGCCATTCCTGCCGCTTCCAGTATCGTGCCACCGCCCCAACCTCAGCCTGCCCTTGTCCATGCCTCTGAGCCGCGCCCGTGGACCCGTCTCCGTGACTGGGTCATCAATTCTGTCTGGGGAACCGGTCGCTGTTCATCCCACAAACATATAGGCCCACCGCTCAATGTACGAGAACGATATGAGACTGATGTGGTCCTCCGCTTTCACTTGCGTCATCCGGAGGAGGCAGAAGCGTTGGCCTCGGCATCACAGGCCCTCATCCTAGATGTCTGGGCTATCACGGCAGAATATGTAGATATCCGTCTGACTGATGATATGGTGCGTTCGTGACGTTTTCAGCACAGCTTCAATGCCTCTAGTCTAACTGGGTACAGATTCCCTCCTTGCTTGACTTGCTCCCTCCCTCGCTCCGCACGGCCCATACCCCCCTCATGGATGATCTAGTAGACATGATCTACAGTACGTATCCGAGACAGCATCCCAAAAGCTGGAAGACCGAACATGGATTTGCGCCGAGTGGTCGAGTATCCACAGTCGACGATGTCTTCTTCCGCGAATACCAGCCGCTCTCGGTTATCGTGCAATGGATGAAATTGATGGCGTCGATGTTTTCGTCGCATGTCCAATTCACGAGCATTGGCCTATCGTATGAAGACCGTGAAATCCCAGCCCTCCGACTAGGTTCCTTGAATTCGAACATCCAATCCACAGGACCGCGGAAGACAATTGTGATTGTCGGTGGTCTACATGCTCGCGAATGGATTAGTACATCAACTGTCACCTATGTCGCATACAGCCTGATCACCCAGTATGGCCAATCACAAGCTGTCACCCATCTCCTGGATGAGTATGACTGGGTGTTAGTTCCAACTCTAAACCCGGATGGATACGCCTACTCATGGGAGTCGGACCGTCTATGGCGTAAGAACAGACAATCAACTGGTCTTCCATTCTGCCCTGGAGTGGATTTGGACCGGGCTTGGGGCTTTGAATGGGATGGAGAATCCACTCGCTCAAACCCATGCAATGAGAATTACGCCGGCTCGGAGCCTTTCGAGGCACTGGAATCGTATCGGCTCGCCCAGTGGGCGAAGAATGAGACGTCTAGCGGTCGGGCGGATATTGTGGGCTTCTTGGATTTACACTCCTACTCACAGCAGATTCTATACCCTTATTCATACACCTGCTCTTCTGTCCCTCCGACACTCGAAAGTCTCGAAGAACTGGCTTTGGGCCTGGCGAAGGCAATCCGTCATGCCTCCGGGGAACTCTATGACGTGACGTCTGCCTGCGAGGGGATCCTAAGTTCGGGCTCAGCTGCTATTGTTACCTCGGGCGGTAGCGCCTTGGACTGGTTCTATCACGACTTGCACGCCCGATACTCGTACCAGATCAAACTGCGAGACCGCGGTAGCTACGGGTTCTTGGTTCCGTCCGAACACATTGTTCCCACCGGCGAAGAGATCTTCCATGCCGTGCTGGCATTCGGCAAATTTATCTGGGATGAGAACGTTATTGCTCCTACTGAATTTGACTCTTCGACGGATCAACAGCCACTGGCTTGAACCAATGAAAACCATTTGTCATGAAATAGCTTGCAGATTTACTATTCTCGATACTGTATATTGCATATTTTGCCAGGGCGTTTGGCGTTTTCCTTATATTGGGGTGTAAGAATACCTGGACTACAAGCACATATTGATTTCAATGCAAGTACGATGGACTTAACTCAATGTCCTACGGGGCTCAAAATGACAAGATGTGATTTGAATGGAATCCGCATATCAGTTAGAGTAACATGATATATATATTTGCACCCTCTACAAATCATCCCCTTCGCTTACCCAAATCGGCAAGCTAGAAAGCGGCTGACAGCGGCATTATATGGGGGGTTGCTAGAAGACGCCCATGCAGAAAATGGGGCGCCATTGACAAGTCATGATATGCCTATGCATCCAGGCCTTTAAGTAGTGCAATTGTGGGGGTGGAGATTCTGGGCGGATGCGATGCATTTTTATGATTCGCTAATACTCGGGTGGAGACTTTTGTGGGTATAACAATGACAGATGTCAAATGAAGATGAAAGTTAATTCGGAAATATTACTATGATGATCGGCTTAACATGGGCAATTTATCTAACTTGGAGACTGTGCCCTTAAAATGCTAGGAAATGCCCCCTCCTCATTCTCCACAGTGCCAAGTACTTCGAATCCAAACCTCGAGTAAAGGAAACACTGACAGGAGAAGCCATGACAAACGCATTAAACCCACATCTATCAGTACCTTGACAGAAAAAGTCCATCAGGAGAGATCCAACCCCTTGTCGTTGATTATTTAGATTAACGGACATGAATACGATGCCTAGAAATTTATCAGAAAGAAACATAAAGTAGTACCTTTTGAACTTTTGGAGAAATAATGACTGACGCCGAATTCCCTGTTGATAAGACCGGAGAACTCTCTGTTGTTCTTCACGTAATCTTCTCGAGATATCGGACCAGGCAACCACATCCAACAAATGTGGATGCATATTTCGCGGTTCAATCGCACCTTTTTGGCGTTTCGTATCGTTAGAACGGTTGGCACTAGTCCATCCGATCAAGCCGACAGGTGATCCGGCTGACTCAAGTGCTATGTGGAGACACTCCTCCTCTCTGTCCAATGACTAACATTCCATCGGCAATCCATTTGATTTCATCCTCACAGTGCTTCTGTGGCTGGGTCTTTGATTTTGGGAACATCAAGCGGGAGAGGGGACAATCTCGATGAGCAGGATACTCGACTTGACGGGAAACCGCTTCCACATCTTCAACCCTCATCCTCCGTATCTGAAAGCTCATGTCGTTAGTTGATGGTTGGGATGGAGAGGAGGGGTGAAGTCGGTGTGGCTATAAATAGGCAGAAAACAATTGTACGTGACGGAGTAGAAATGGAATTATGGATTTACATAAGAAACACATCATATTTATCTTCATGTCCAATAGAAAACCAGAGCTAAAAACACATCTCATCAACACCTGGGCATGATATGTCACAAGCCTCCTCCAACCCAATAGCCGGCTATTGAACCAGGCTAGAGGAAGAAAAGAAAAAAAAAGTAAAAGTAAAAGATACAAAGTTGCCAATCGGCAATGCATAACCGCATCGCAATCAAATGCAACAATATTCAATGCCAGATCGATCATAAGGCCGGGGTCCGGGAGCTCGCCATCTCACCATAACGTCCACGACCTTGGGTGGTGTCGTAGGCATTCAAGACACGCATTTGGCCACCATCATCGGCTTGCGAGAAGGCATAACCGCGTTGCTTGCGCATACGCTGCACCTGGCGGACCTTCCGAATGGCTTTTTGGAACTGTTCCATGCGAGGACGGTAGTCCTGCACATTGTACTTCTGAATCTCCTGGACGTGGTGGTAATGCTGTGGGTAGTACATGCGCTTGGCGTACTTCCAGGCAAAATCACGCAGGAGACAGAGGCAGGGGAGGACGAGGGCCATCAGATAGAAGACAGGGAGTTTGAAAAGGACGGGAATGGTACCGTAGTATTCAAATGAAAATCCTAGGGCGGGCGCAGCATAACCATAGGCTGGAAGGAAAATAAGCCACAGGAGCATAGATCCAGGAATAGCGATGAAGGTATATTTGGTCCAGATGTTGGAAACCAGAGCCGCCTTGCCGAGAACAGTTCCCAGAACGGCAGTATACAATGCCTCGCCCCACACCCAATGGCCAGCGACGTGGCCATTAAACATGGGAAGATCCCAGAGGAAAATCAACTGAGATGCAATGTAGAGAAGCAGCGAATGGAAGAATCCGTTGAGAACCCAGGCCCAGAAGCTGTGCTTCTTGAAGAAGAGACCCTTTTGGCCCATCTGGTACAGTTGAGGGTATCGGTCCAGCAGTCGAGCGGAGATGTACTGGTCGAAGATTCCCATGGCAAATGGGGGCAGAACGGTGAATACCACGTTGTAGTAAGAGAGCGTCCACGACTCGTAGATAACCTCTCCAGAAAAAGCGTTTTGGAAGGAATACTAGAGACACATTAGAATTCGCACTGTAGCGATGAACATTGATCAAAACTTACCCAGAATTGTGTCATGTACAGAGTAATGTTCTTGTAGAAAGAGTATAAAATGACTCGACTAATGCGAGAATAACTCCAGGCGCCGTGAACCAACAGAAGTTTTCGGAGGAAACGGAACTGGGCAATTGCCACATCGGCCGATCGAGCAGCTTGGAGACCTTCCATACCACTTATACCGACGCCAACATGAGCAGCTTGAATCATAGATACGTCGTTTGCACCATCACCAATAGCCAGAAGTAGGGATTTCAAGTTTCTTTTGACGAGTTTGACGACCAGAGCTTTCTGCAAAGGAGACACACGACAGCAGACCACGGCCTTGCACATGATAGCAAGGTCCAGGAACATTTTCTCCATGTCTTTTTCCAAGGCAAATGTCAAAGACTTTCCATCAATCACCAAAGCCAAGGTCTCAATGTCACCGGAGTTCGCTTGAGTCTTCACGGCGTCCAATTTCGATTGTATACTGGCTCGTGTGGCGTCCGCGGACTCCTCATTGATGATGAGCAGAGTCATATCTTCCGAAATAAGTTTACAGGACATGCCAATGTTAATAGCAGTCTCCTGGCGATCACCAGTTAGGACCCAGATCTTGATTCCTGCAGTCTGGAGTGTGTGAATGGTATCGGGCACACCATCCTGCAGTCGATCCTCAATGGCGGTGGCACCAAGAAGGTAAAATTCTTTTTCAATCAGCTCGGCAGCTTTGTCGAGTTCGTCAGCACGATTACCGCTCACAGTGGTGTTAGCCTTGTCAAAAATCTGCCACCATTGCTGGAATTCCTCCTCGGGAACCTCACGCATGGCAAGGCAAAGAGTACGCAGACCCTCGGAGGCATATTCTTCAAGATGCTGGAGAGTTGTCTCCACAGTAGGGTTATCCGGGTGAAGTCGCTCGAGGATTACCGTGTCGGCTCCCTTGCAGTAGATCCGGACCTTGCCATCTGGGCATCGGAAAATGGTGGACATTCTCTTTCGAGTCGAGTTGAACTCACACACCGCCAGTAGCTCGTATTCAAATTCCTGGCCGCCGGTTTCAAAAAGAACGGATCTTGGTTTTCGGTTCGTGAAACGATATCCCAGAGAAGCAGCACCATCTACCAGAGCAGCCTCGTCTGGTGAGGCTGCCTGGTACTTGATCTCATTGGGATCATTCCCTGTGCGTTCGGGAATGACCGTGTGGCAAGTAGCCAAGAGAGTGAGGAACTGTTGGATAGCATGCTGAGAGGGGTGCGATTGGGAGTTCTGTCGAAGAGTCTTGAAATCGTAGATTCCATACTCGGAATCTTCACCCGAAGTAGCCCGTCGGTCTTCCGAAACGTCGTCTCCGTACTGGATTCCGGCGATTGTGCATTGCTTGAACTCCATCTGGTTGCATGTCAATGTTCCAGTCTTGTCAGAGAAGATGTATTCGATCTGGCCAAGCTCTTCGACCAGAGATGATGTACGACATGTTGCAGGGGTATCTGTTTCCACGTGGTAAATGTCCAAATCAGAGTTGATGAGGTACGCCTGGAAGTATTTGACGATTTCAATGGTCACGAAGAGCGAGATAGGAACCAAGTTAGAATAGAGCACCCAGTAGGTGAAAAGATCCAAGAAAAATTGATTGACGGCTTTGGTATCTCCGTAATCCAGGTAGGCAAGACTCTTGCCTCTGGTTTTACGAATGACCAGGTCGCCCACAGAGCTGACAACACTAAGGGCAACGAGAATGCCCACCAGCATCAAAATCTGAACATTAACCGTACGTTCCACAGCAGTGCGCTTAATCGGCGTAGCTGTTGCATTTCGCATCAACTTAGTTTCGTGGCCGGTGAAAACGACAATACCATGGATCCAGGGCGTGTTGCGCAGAGTTGCACCACGAAGAAGCAATTGGTCTGGAGCGAGGGACAGTTCCTTCTCCCCACCACCAGCGTTCATAGTCAAGGTAGCTTCGTAGGTATAAAGACTGCTGTTGGGTTGTTCGGACCGAATTCGGCCTCCCAGCCGACTTAAGTCACTAGGACTGACCAAATGAGCGGTTTCGGGTATAGCCTGCTTGATCTTCAAGTTGGTCTCGCCATCCAAATTGGCCGTCTCGATATAGCATAATCCCTCAGGCTCCGATGACGCCATGAGGACCAAATCTGCGGGGAATGGCCGTTCGGACTCAACTCGAACAATGTCACCAACTACAACATCCACCCATTTTGTTTCGTGGAAAGAAGAGCCACGAAGAACTTGCGTTTTGGAATAATTCAAGCCTCGGTCTGACATTCGTCGTTTGTAATCTTCGACTAGTTCCTTGATGGCAGATACCGCCAGCACGATAGCTAGCGGCACGATAGTGGTGTACCTGCTTGTCGGCGAGACATTGGGGATTTGTTGGAGAACGGCAGTGAGCAAGAAGAAAAGGTTGGCGTATTTTGAGAATTGCTCGAAAAGAAATTTGGGAATAAAGGTGAAGATGTTGTACTTCGCGGTTGACACATGGTTGCTTATGAACCTGTGTGTGGCGTTGGCTGGGGGATTGTTGACCTGAATGATACGAGGACCCAGACTTGCAGGATCGACCTTTCTTCGGCCAAATATGGACGTGAAGCCAGATGCGCCGGACGGCTTTTTGGACTTCACGGCTCCTGGCGCATCACTGCTGTCAACTGTAGCTCGTCTCGCCCCGGCCTCTGTTAATGGCAAATCCATCTCGGAATACTGCGGTCCCATTCCAAACATGTATTTCGCCTTCCCCATGATGCCGCCTCCCAGCCCCATAATGCTGTTCCGTTCATTGGCCTTGCGTACATGAGCCGCGCTCGGTATCCGATCTTCATGCGGGTCAAGGTCGTAGTATCCGGAGTGGGAATCCTCGAGTTCGTCGAACGAGTATCGCTGGTAGTTGTCCAGTCCGGAGGTCTGCGAATAGGTCCGGGTTACCGGTTCGTCGGAGTAAGGATCGCTCTCGTACACGCCTGGATGAGCGACGTGCGCAAGACCGGGAGCTGCATGGTGAGCTCCGGCTTGCTGCGCTCTGCTGCCGACAAAACTATCGTAGGATACGGAAGGACGCGGTTGCGCATGGGGCGTGTCGGAGTCGTCAATGTCGTACTGTTGAAGTAGGTGCTCATCATTCACGGGCGGGGGCTGGCCAGAGTTATAGATTGGACCGGAGTCCAGAAGGAGGTCGTCATCGTGGCCAGCGGCTCGATGCGATCCGGAGGGCCTACCGGCCATGCTGCCGCGGGGGGAGCTGATACCCTCACTGAGAGCAGTAATGATGCCCCTGAGGCATGGATCGGAATGAGGGATCAAGCTATGAGGATCAGGTAGGACCTTACAGTGATAGATCCGGAATAGATGTGTGATAAGAGAAGGTTATTAATAGGACGGTGTGTTTGAAAGAGAAAAAGTACGAGTAAGAAAGAGGTGGCTTAGCGGGCGAAGGCAACAAGCAACTGTTGTGATCGTCCCGCTTTTTTCGGGCGGTAAAACCACGCAACTTTAATGAACGAGTTTCTGATGAAGATTTCTGTCAATTAATTGATCTAAAATGATTATTCTAATTTACTTTGTTAAATTGATTACACTTGAATGCTCCCGAAATAGGAGGATGCTTGGCGTCGCCGCAGTCGGAAATAGGCCCAAAAATCCCCCGAAACAATGGGACCATGACGATCATCATTTATACAGAAACTACTAGTTAAATAGTAGGGTACCAACCCTGGAGGTTTACCATAAATAAAAGCCAAGTTGGACATTATTTGGAATTTTTTATTTCCTATGTTATCTGCTTTTTTTGAGCATGAAAACATGCAAAAGTAATTTCTGTCAAATGCTGCCGTTGGAAAGAAAATGCCATGAACTCCAGCCCATCATGATAAAGTCGCGTAGAAAATTGAAGTCGTAGATTCCAAAGAAAATTAGCGGTCGTTTGTCGCCTGTCCTTCCTCGGCCATGCCCAGCTTAGCCCGCTTTGCGAGATCAATTTGCAACACCTTGTCAATCTGGACATTGAGCTCTTTCACTTTCTCCAGGGCGATGTCGACATTGCGCACTATCGTCATCGGACTTACAGGGTGGCCTGAGAATTTGGACATGAAGCAAACTTCTCCGCCGCTGTTGATGCCGACCACCACATCTCCCTCGGCTGCCTGTTCTTCCTTGCGAGTTGCGTCGACAATGATGTTTTTGCCGTTATTGAAGGAGTTGAAGGTAACCGAAAGAGGCTTGTGGGTGATGTTGAGGGGGACTGGAACTCGATCCTCTACTTTGTATACGATGACCTTGCCGTCGCGTACGACTGCATCCGGCCGGCGGAAGTGCTGCAGTCCAGTCATGACGCCGATGCAGGCCGTATCAGTCAGGTTTCCGTCATAGTCGATCACAAGGATGTCGGCACGGATGCTCCAGCAGCTGACACCCTTTACGATGCAAAGCGATTCGGTGTCGATAGCATTGGAGTGGCGGATGACTCGGTCGAGGATATGGGTGACGGATGTTTCTAGATCGCTGGATCTGTATGCGGGGACAAAAGTCTTAATAAGAGTTCTTTTCCAAGAGTTGATATACCATTGGGGCATACCGTCCACTTTCCCAAGCTGGGCTACCCAAGGAAGTCAATTCCATGGAGATATCAAACAGACCATCGAAGGGCTTATCTTCCCTGGGCTTTACAACGGAAGCCGAAATGCGAACAACAAGTCTAGTAGTCCCAGTTAGCACTTGAAATGTCAAGGGTTGAGTAGTAAAAGGAAACTCACGCGGTCTTGCCCAGATGGACCTTCACGCTGCCATATTCTTCACCGAAGGTGATGCTGAGAGGCCGGTATTGATCAGCTTCACGACCATCAAGGCGCGTACCCTCTTTGATGGCCTTGAGGATGAAATCCTGTTCAACATTGGACAAGGGGGCCTCCTTCGACATAATGTAATCGATGGGGTTGGAGTTTTAATTTCTTTTGGGCGGGGATGCCAGTTTTTTGGTCATTTTGCCTTGACAGGCCGCATCTTGAAGCTCTGGGGATTGCCCAATGATCGTGTGGTTATGGAGGGCGGTGAGCAGTAAAATCACGTGGCAGATTGGACCTTTGGTTCCGCAACAAAGCTTCAGAATCACATAGACACTCCACCCCACCAGTGACTAGATTCTCACTTAAACGGCAATCATTCATTTCTTTCTTCCATCTATCAACTTCATGCATTAAATTTCTGAGATAGTCCTCCTATACCTGTGAAACTGGATTTCTAGGTACTGTGATACCTAGGCTACCTGAGTACCTACCAAAATACCTACTACATGTATCAGGGTACAGTATACCCCAGGTCCCAATTCAGACTTGATATCCCTAGAAAGTTTCTTCCTATGGCTCTGCATCAAAGTAAACATCCTTCGCCTTCCTGCCAAGATAGATAAGTTGCGCTTCTAGCCATCATTTATCAGTAATTAAAGCGAATGTGGCGGAGATCTTGGCACATGGAAGCGGGCCGCCGAGCCACATTTATTTGGGCTTTTCACTGTTTTAACAGCATGACTGACTGGTTAAAAGCCCTGAAGGTGATTGATGCAAGACTGACAGAGTTTGGTTTGCCCCCTCCCATAAAAGGTCGCATGGTGGCTGTATAGGTTAGCAAAATGACTACGCCCTTCAGTTGACAGCAGCTAGAGAGGAGGAGAACCATGAGATCGGCATTAAAGCCCCCAGCTTCGAAAATAATCACATAATAACCCAAAAGGTGATATTTAGAAGACCATATTCCGATGGAAAGCGAGCCGTGTTTCTCCTGGGGATAGGTCGAAATGAAATAGCCTTCGCCGCGAGATCTTGGCGTCTGGGCGCTCCGCCTGAGAGGGGCTGCATTATGCTTCTTATCATCAAAGTTTGACACAGAGAAATATTAGTTCTTGATACTGTATACAGTAATGAGCTATCATCTTGGCATCCTTGAAGGTCACGTAGCACACCGTACATATGGTAGCAAGGATGAGGCTGATATAGTCCTTGCAACTATACAGTTACAGTCACACAGTGACAGCATAGCCCTGGATTATGCAGGTCATTTCAATCAAGTAAATGCCCGGGCAAATTCCGTATTGAAATTTTTCTGAATCTCTTGGCTTGATGCGCTGCAACGCTATCAACGCTACCCATGTTTCCACCTACTCCGCATTCTTGGACATGAAGAGAAAAAGCCGACTTGGCTCTCCAGTCAGCTTATCGCAATTAAGTAAGAATTTAGTGCTTGCTGTTGTTTTTTTTATCATTGCCGTGAGAAATTTATATAAAGCAGGGGTCCGCACTCCCAAAAGAGGCACCCTCGCTTCTTTTTCAACCACCCCCGAGCTTCATTTTGCTCCCACATCCGTGGTTTTTCAAGAACTTTTGATACCGGCTTCTTGTTGACTATATCCATTGCGATGGAAGTCAAACCGGTCATAAGCGAATACAGTGACAATGATCCCACTAATGCAGTGGAACGTGGTTTATCCGACCCTAACCATGTTGATCTCCATCGCGCGCTCAAAGCACGACACATCACCATGATTGGGATGAGAATCCTACGACGAAGCGATCAAGGTTGACTAATGGAATGCAGCAATCGGTGGTGCCATCGGTACAGGACTGATTATTGGTACTGGCGAAGCTCTCGCAAAGTAAGTTCGGCATTCCCATTCAAATGACATAAGCCTTTTCTAACCTTGGTTCTTTCTTTGCAGGGCCGGAGTACGTATCTTATATTATTCAGTCTACATGTACTAAGTTTTACAGCCCGCTGCCATTTTGATTGCTTACGCCTTTGTGGGATTCGTTATTTACCTCGTGATGTGCGCGCTTGGGGAAATGGCTGCTTGGCTTCCACTGCCATCGGGGTTCACGGGTTACGCGGTGCGATTCTGTGACCCGGCGCTTGGTTTTACGCTGGGATGGACGTAAGAATTGTGATCTGTAAGGCTACATCGTGAAGCTTGCTAACATTCATAGATACTGGTTCAAATAAATCATCCTTTCACCTAATCAACTTACAGCCGGTGCCATGGTCATATCATACTGGATTCCTGCACACAAGGTCAATCCAGGAGTGTGGATTACCATCTTCCTGATTCTCATCATCTGCATAAATTACTTCGGAGTCCGCTTCTTTGGCGAGTTCGAATTCTGGTTGTCTTCCTTCAAGGTTATTGTCTTCCTTCAAGGTTATTGTCTTCCTTCAAGGTTATTGTCTTCCTTCAAGGTTATTGTCTTCCTTCAAGGCTATTATCATTCTTCAAGGTTATTGTCATTCTCGGTATCATTCTTCTTTCCTTCATCATCATGCTAGGCGGAGGCCCGGATCACGACCGGAAAGATTTCTGGTACTGGAAGAACCCTGGCGCATTCAACACCTATCTCGAAAAAGGAAATGCAGGAAGATTTCTGGCTTTCTGGTCCACCATGGTATCAGCTACCTTTGCTTATCTCGGAACGGAGTTGGTTGGCGTGACTGTCGGCGAAGCACAAAACCCACGACGGACCATTCCTCGAGCGATCAAGTTGACCTTTTGGCGAATCCTTGTTTTCTACGTTCTTTCGGTCCTCCTAGTTGGTACCTTGGTTCCGTACAACGATAAGAAACTCGCTTTTGCCATAGGCGCCAGTAGTTCGGCTGCTGCGTCGCCATTTGTCGTGGCTATCGAGTTGTCCGGAATCCCTGTTCTCTCCCACATCATCAACGCATGCATCCTACTATTCGTCTTTTCTGCAGCTAACTCCGATTTGTACATCGCCACTCGCACCATATACGGCCTGGCTCGTGAAAACAAAGCTCTCAAGATATTTGCCCGTACCGACCGCCGTGGAGTACCCGTCTTTGCCCTGGGAATTTCCTCAGTATTCGCACTCCTCGCCTACATGAACGTGACAAGTGACTCCAAGGTAGTCTTCAAATATTTTGTCAATTTCGTCACGATCTTCGGTCTCCTCACCTGGATTTCAATCCTGGTAACCCACATCTGTTTCGTGCGCGCTCGAAAAGCACAGAATGTCCCAGTGGAGAGCTTAGCATATGTTGCACCTCTAGGTGTGGCTGGTTCCTATGCAGCCCTGGCTTTCTGCATTCTCATCGCCTTAACCAAGAACTACGATGTTTTCACACATAACAAGAAATGGGGAAACTTCGACTACAAGAACTTCATCACGGCTTACCTTGGCATTCCGCTATACCTGATCTTGACCACCGGGTACAAGCTCGTCACTCGGTGTAAGGGCGTTGACCCTGCGACGGCAGACTTGTGGACTGGAAAAGATGAGATTGACCGCGAGGAGGCTGCTTACCTCGCCAAGAGAGATGCCGAAGCAGAAAAGCATGCACAGTCGCACTGGTTCTACCAGAAGTTTGTTTCATGGCTATTCTAGATGAATTATTCAGTTAGCTAGTTGCTAAACTTGCGCTTGCAGTAATATCTAACGCTACTTATTGCCTCAATCAATGCAATTCATGTTAGCGCAGTGACTTTGCGGTCTCAGTTTCGATTATGTTTTCACATTGAGCCTCTTTCTCATTGAGGGATAGATCGTGATCTATGTACGATGATAAAGACCCCAAATTATAAGTTATCAGAACTTAACCTCATATCTCCGCACTTACGCGCCTTCCCTTCGGCCCCCAACCAGCTCGGGCACCAACTCCACCAAAAGACCGCCACAGTGAGCGAACATATGCAAAACCCTTAGACTATTGGGTTTCCTCGGGAATGATAGAGAAGATTGTGGTCCATGCGGCTCTACATTTCGTATCGTCGTGAGTTGTGCACTAAAGAGCAAGATAGCCCCCAATTTACCAACGCCCAGAGGAATGATTGTCCAATGGGTGTAACGCTGACTTGGCCATGCATCAATGAAATCCTTGATTGTGGAGAGCCACGCGATTAAGCCTTGGGCATAATGTGCTCATGATTCGGGCTTTGGTCTAGAATGATGCGGCTGCCCGGATTTGAAAGAAATTCGATGCCCTGCTTATGGTTTACACCGCTTGATGCTGCTCAAAGGAAGGTTTTGGAGCGCAGAGTGACGTGTTCAAAAGACCCCCTAGTGCTCGTTGCCTTTGTAGTGCTCTTGGCAGTGGAATAGGCCTCACCAAGGTGGTTTATTCTGGCTTTATGCTACAATCTTGGGGCGATTCCTCCACTCATCAAGATATTTCTCTATTCAAGATTGGTGAAGCTCCAAGAGCAGATCGACTGGAATATTAGGTAATAAGAATGTACATGTATTGCTAATGAACATACTGAAGACATAGAGCCTGAACTCTCATGTGGGAAGTTTCATATCTGGATTAGCGTGGAAGAGCCTCTAATTTCTTGTTCGGCATAGTAACGCCACCATTATCCTGTATATCTTCCCTTCAGGATTGAAGACTGAAAGTCTTCAGGTAATAGTAGCCTATCGTTAGGAGCTCATGCTCCGGTATCCTGGTCTGTGGAAATGAGCTTGAGCGGAGGCCGCATCAACAATGAATCCTTCCCGACCAACAGTAGAACCAACAGTAAAAACCACACTAGATACGTGCTATGACCCTGTGTTCAAGTTGATAGTGTGTGATGGCTTGCATAAGTTCAATGTGAATGGGTCGAAGAGTCAATTCTGGTTGGTGGAGAAGTGCCTCGGCGGTTAGCTGAACTCCTAGTTGATTGGTGAGATTTATTCTATAGGGTATTGAGAATTATGATTGGTTGATAAATGTTACAGAATTTACTATGATTAGCAACATTTTAAATCTAAAATTGGAGTTAATTAAGGAACTTTTCAGGGAAAAGGGTGCGGGGGAATTGTTCTTCCCCTGTCTATATCAGGGTCTTGTCCTCCTCAATCTTCCACCTGGGCACCTTAAACCAAAGGCATTTCTCTTCTCTATCTGAACATTCTCATACTCATAATGGGCGTCATGCGTCGTCCAACGGGCATCTATGTCCCCACTTCTCCCATTCGTCTACTCACCACCGAAATGATTTCACCACCACTATCACCAGATTTCACCTTTGATTCCGAAGCCGTTCTCCCAACAATCCTACCAGCTCTAGAATACATCTCATCCAAGCTGCAACAAAGAATGATGCACGTCACACTCCTCGTCGGCCGCGGCAAACCATTCCCAACCGGCCAAGCATCCGACTTGATGGTCATCCCAATCACAAAGCTAGACCTTGCTTCTACCCGTGTCCTAGAACGCGCCATCGCAAAAGGCGCCCGCAAATTCTCCCTCGGCACAAGCTGGAGCGAAGCACTAGACCGCAGCCATCACGAACGACTAGCAAACGAATACCTTGTCCAACAATCCATTCTCCAGAATGAAGTCCTCTTCAGCCAAGAAGGTCTCACCCTCCTGAACATGGACCGCATCTACACATTCAAACGCCGTCTCTGCGTTCTCTCCGCTAAACCGAATCCCCGCCCTGAAGACCAAGCTATGACTTCTGCTGTTACACTTCTCCACCGTCTCATGGGTGACTTTCAAGGCCGTCCATTTAGCAAAGCCTTCTTCCATCGCGTCTATGAGCAACTAGATGTTCGTGATGAGCTTTTAACTGCCATCGCATCTGCATATAAGAACACACACAAGACCGATGCTATTATCATACCTTCCAGATTCACGGCTGCGAATTCTAAGAACTCGCCTATTCGCTTGGTGCGCGTGCGTCGGAACCCACCACCAGCTAAGTCGTCGACTTTCATTTCTAAGCGTGGGCCGAAGACGCCTTTGTCCGCTTCGGATGTTACTCCTATTACGAGGAACGAGTGGAATATGCTGGTCGCTCAGGATATACATGAGATCCAGCCTACTGTTACCAAGTGGACTCCTTCTGCGACTGTCTACGTGGGGGCTTGAATTTATTACGCTTGTCAGGCTCTACAATTACTGTCTTCCATGCACTGGAGACTTCCAATTATGCCGCTCTAATTTGTCCTCCGGTGGAGTGCTTGGTTCGCCGCCATTTTACCCCTCCAGACATTGTGCCTATTGGTCCGAGAAGGCTTTTCAATCCCGGCCGAAATCGCCGAAAGAAGCTCGCGTCAACCTGTACTGGACCCAATGAAGTATTCTTCTTCCAGTGATGCTATGCTACTTGAATGGATTAAGTATGGGCTAATTACTGTATAATAATGTTACGATGATATGAAAATGACCAAAACAAGCGCTTTCTTGCATCTAAATTTGATCTATCCTCTAATTCTAACTCGTAAACCGATAGTACTGCCATTCATTCACGTACCATGCTCATATGCACTCCTAGCCCGGAAAGCAGGTCCATAGCGAGAAAACATCCACGGAATAGGTGCCATGCCCAGCGCCAGGAACCCCAAAAGACTCGTTGCCCAACCCACGCCTAGTGCCTCATACATCTGAGTCACGAAGAGAGGGAAAGCAGCTGAAAGCGTATAACGGGAGAAAGAGGATGCCCCGTTAGCGGAGGCGCCATACTTTGCACCGTATATCTGCACCATGTACGAGCTGCATGCCACGTAGATAAGGTAGGTACAGATGAAAGCCACTCCTTGGGCGAAGATGGGACAGATCCAGTGGACGGAAGGTCTGGCGCTCCAGGCAAACCAGAAGAGGGCAAATGGGAGTAGAAAGCTCCCATACAGCGCGGCATGGAGCTTTCTTTCAACGTTGTGTAAGGCTGATGATTCTGGTTGAGGATGGTGGCTGCGTAGAAAGGATTCAACGGCAACAAATACAAACGGCGCAAAAATACAGCCGCTTATCATTCCGAGAAATGAGAGACTCTGGCTTGTCAATGAGAATCCGTAGACAGTCTCGAAGACCCATGGACTGGCAACGATAAAAGTGTATAATAGCACAAACTGGAATCCGGTGTACATACAAATAAGCCCCACCAAAGGCTCGGTGATGAGCATATGGAGCGGTCTAATGATAGTTGACGTTATGAACGTCTGTATCATCCGCATCGGACTCACAGTCTCTCTATTGCATGTATCGCTCACCTCCGTTACTTTTCCCCTGTTCTTCCGCTGCAAGATCGTCGTCTTAAATGACTCTCGCAAGAACAACACGGGAGGATGAAAAGCCGCCGCCATCATGAGAACAACCCACGAAGTCCAGCGCCATCCCTTTGCCTGCACCACAAATCCACCAATAAGTGGCCCAACCGCACTGCCAAGCCATGGCATAGCATAATACCCCGCGAGGGGAATAACCCGATGTTCAGGTGAAGTGAAATCACATATCACAGCCGCTGACACAGAAACACCAGGTGCGGCAAAGAAGCCCGCTAAAAAGCGACAGATCGTCAACGAAGCAATACCATGTGTAAGTCCTGTGGCAAGCATGAAGATATCAAACAGCGGAAGTGTAACCATGTACACGAACCTTCGGCCGAAGGCTTCGGATAGTGGCGAGGAGATCACAGGCCCAAATGCAAGACCAAGAGTGTATGCAGATAATGGCAAGAGAGAGACGGTGGATGAAACATTGAATTCCTGCTTTACTTCATTGTGTCCGGGAGAGTAGATTGATGCTCCGACTGTGGTTGTAAAGCCGATGGAGCAGACAGTAAAGGCTGTAGCGAACTTTTGTAGTCGGGACCAATTGCGGGGGTTCTCTTTATCTTTCGCCCAGTCCCATTCCGGTGGTATGTCTGGATCCTGATGTGACAATGGCTCCACAGTAGACATGAAGAAGAGGGGAGTGATTCTTGTGAATGGCAACAGATTTATTGATTGTGGTTCCTAGGGTATCTCATACCAGCTGGTGGTGTAAACTGTTTAGTTGATGAATGGTTTTCAAGGAACTAGTCTAGAGAGAAAGAAATCGTTTTATGCGAGACCTGAAAAATCAACATCTAGTGACAATCACTCCGACTCACTCGGTGCATCGTTCTAGTTCCCGAGGGCTCGGCATTCAACGGGAAGAGCCGAAGCCAAGGATGTAGACCTACCAATGATATCCCGGGGATTTTGGGATAGGGCACCTTTATAGGAAACCGACCGAATGGTTATTAGCATCCGGAATGGATCATATAGCCCATTTTCATGTGACCTTGGCATCTAATCCTCCAGGAGCCAACTGTCGGGTAGATTTTGGATGTCCACTGGATATGGATAGCGGTGTGAGACGGCAGGACAAATAATGCCTGAGGCATTACTCTGATATTGATTATCACATGATCAGTCCAGTTGGCTGTCTTATCTTGGAATCCATATCCGCCAAGCTTTCCTACAAAGTTCACTTCTCAACCTCACACCTCAAACCACTCACAATATGACGACCGGTACGTCATTCCGTATATGCTTTGATTGATATCTGGAAAACTGACATTCTTTTAGCTCACAGACCGACGTTCGATCCGGTAGGACAACTCGACTCCACGTCCGAATGATAGACTAACGAAAGCAGGCGCAAGGCAAAGAGGCCCTCCGAGGCCCAGCATACCACCAGCGACTTCTCCCCGCGCATACACACTTAAAATTCCGGTATGTAGAAGTCTTCTTCGCGACCGCACCCGGTTACTAACTTGCCCAGACAAACCGGACAAGGTGGTGATGCCGACAACGAGGTTCGTGACCTGCGCGCCGAGCTCCTGAAGGCCGAGGCCGCGCACTTTGCCAAGAAGAACGGCGTTCCCGTCGACAATACAGCTGCCACTGAGTCAACCCCGAAACGACAGCTCGAGTCCGCCCCCGCGGATGCTGATGGGGAGGGCGATATCGAGGACCCGGAGGCGAAACGGAGACGCATTTTAGAAGAGACACGCGACCTAGATGCGGACTCGGATGGGTCAGAAGATGATAGCAGTGAAGAGGAGGACAGTGATGACGATGATGACGAGGCTGCGTTGATGCGCGAGTTGGAGCAGATCAAGAAGGAACGATTGGCGCAGAAAGAGAAAGAGGTTCGTGGCATCTCAGCAACGGTGACTTTGGATTTCATTCTAATCCTTTACAGGAACAAGAACGGGCAGCCGAAGAGGAGGAGAAACGAGAAGTCGACATTGCGCGAGGAAACCCACTTCTCAACGGACAGGATTTCAACATGAAGCGTCGCTGGGATGATGATGTGGTTTTCAAGAACCAAGCTCGAGGCACCGAGAAGCAAGATGGAAAAGAGTTTGTCAACGTAAGTCTACCCGTCCCCAGCTGTCTTCTTGCATACTAATATGTACTCTAGGATTTGCTGCGTTCCGATTTCCACAAGAGGTTTATGGTATGTACCCTGCTATAGAAAGTGCAAGTTGCATTTGCTGACTTTGGCCTAGTCCAAATACGTTCGATAGATTATAGAACCTTCATTTGAATTTGGAGCTTGTTGGAACGACTGTTCTACCCCCATGCGTGCCGATATGTGGAATCGCCAACAACTACACTTACTGCAATGGTGAACAAACGAGATTCAAGTCTCTAGATGAGCACTGCTTATTGTATCATAGATCTTCTCAGCTTCGCGATACCGGCCAACCCATGAAAATAATTACCTATGAGCAATTGAATAAATAGTCAAATCAGTGATGCCAATTCCATTTAGACCAGGATCAATGTGAGAATAGAGCCGACGATGGCTTGCTGTATTTTGTGTCCAAATATTATTCTTTCACGTATAAAAGTTCCATCTTCGTCTGTGTCTGTGTCTTGTCTTTGTCTGTGTCCTGTCGTACTTTGACCGGCCCCACTCTAATTACTCACCGCCTAAGCTTATCGATGGCCGAAGATCACCTTCCTTCGGTCACTGAAGTTGAAGAAGTTGACAAAATTGATGAACATCAATTTGGTTCACTTGATCAACTTCATGACTTAATTCTCGAACAAGCCAAAATGGAGTCCCAGCCTACCGCCAAGACTCTGCATAGTATGTCACCTTTTTGAGCACCCATTCAGAGATTCCACGAACTAAACCAACCCTCGGCAGATCGCATCAACACCAATATCTCTCAATTGCTGCAGCGATTCGAGAACATCATGGCGACCGCGACGGTAAGACTTCACTCAAGTCACTTACATGACTAAATCTCCCTCAAGTTACTAATCTTTCCCAGGTCAACAACACCAGCCACACAGCCACTGCTGTCGAGACCTACCAGCTGGACGTGGAATCGACCGCACTAGTAAGCCTATCCCGCAATTGAAACAAGACCTGAAAGATACATCTATCTCATTTTCAGGCGTCTGTTCCCCTTTTGTCTTTGTTCCAACGTACTAATTCAATTCTACTCTGCAGATCCGCGCTGCCGAGGATATTCTCTCATTGACCCGAACCATGAAGGAAATGTGGCTATTCGGCAAACTCGACGAAGTTGGTGAAGATGATCGGGATGTGGAACGCCGCGAGAAGCTGGAAGAAGATGTACTTGCTGTGCAAAAGGCAGTGGAAGCAGGTCAACTTTCGAAGCTGTCTCCCGAATAATAGGGCATTCGAGGCATATTGCATTGGGATTTATGATCTACAGGCGTTATGGGCATTTGAGGGATTCAGGGCGTTAGAAATTTACCTGTCATTAGGAAAGAAATTAATTCGTTGATTCATTGTTGCTCTTATGTACACGATACTTAGCAATCTTTTATTGCGTACGCACTCGAGTTTGATGCTTCCTACAAACCGGCATTAAATAGTAGCATTACCCAAGATACGCGTAGAAAATTGATGTGTATAGCATACTAGTAGTTGATGCATGACTCTTCCAACATCAACCCCACGCGGGGCCGATAAGCAATGAGATAAACAACTTTTCTCTCTTCCCCATCTCTACAAGCATTCTACTAAAGCAAACCAACTACGCAAAAGGCCAAAGACCAAAGACCAAGGCACGAAATTAAAATCAGGCCCTCAATCCCAAAATGCTACCACCAAAAACCCACTCAATCTCCTCCTCCCTCCCTCTCACCCTAATCGTCGCGACAACCCCAATCCGCATCGCGTCCACACCCACAGATGAAACGCGTCTTGGAATCGGCCTGAAAGGCACCCTCCCCTGGCCCCGCATCAAAGCCGACATGAGCTTCTTCGCACGCGTAACATCACGCGCACCCCGGGGAACCACAAATGCCATAATAATGGGGCGGAAAACCTACGACTCGGTCCCGAAACACCTTCGCCCGCTTGCGAAGCGGATTAGCGTGGTTATCACGCGTGATACATCTGGCTCTGTGCGTGAGGGGGTTTTGCGGGAATTGGAGGCGAGGAAGGCGAAGATGGCTGCCAATGCTAAGGCTGTGGAGGTTGCTGCTGGTGCGGCGGAGGAGCCTGAACCTATTACGGATGCGATTGTGACGCCGAGCTTGGACGCTGCGCTTTCTGAGTTGGATTCTGTCTATGGGGCTGGGTTGGGGAAGATCTTTGTCATTGGTGGTGCGGAGATTTATGGGGCTGCGTTGAGGATGCAGTTTGCTTCTCCGAGGCCCGTTAGGGTTGTTATGACTAATGTTGTAAGGAAGGGGGAGGATGGGGTTGAGGTGCCGTTTGAGTGTGATACGTTTTGGCCATTGGATGGGATGGATGAGCGGAATGGGTGGAGGAGTGCCAGCCCTGAGGAGTTGACGGAGTGGGTTGGGGAAGAGGTTTCTGGGGAATGGAAGAGGGAGGGGGAGGTTGAGGTTCAGATGGTTGGGTTTGAGAGGTTGGATCGATAGAGTAGGATCTGATTATTTGCATACAAGTATGGTGTATATCATTGAATAATATTTCGTTCTCAATAAAAGAGCCAGAAGGAAAAGATGCAATGCCCTGAACTTGATCAATAAATTCAAATCAGAATGACAAATGGCTATGCGCGATGAATCTATAGACATTGCCTACAATCTAAGGCAAATACAAAATGAGGGAATGTGCAATGCTATGCAAAATGTCAAATAAAAAAGAAAACCCCGCCAATCAAAGAACGCCAGGCTCAAATAGAAAATCTCATGCAATCAACCACTAGGGCAGATCGTATCTACTCGTTCTGCTTCATAAATTTGACAAATGCCTTTTTGTGTACCAGGCCGGCATATTGGCCATTCTGAAGCACACAAAGATATCGTAAGCCCAACTTGGCAAAGCACTGGTAAACTAAATCAATAGGAGAATGCACGTCCAGGGCAATCGGAGCCTGGTTTACATATTAGCATAGGGAAACAACAGCAAAGGATCATCCACTTACAGGATCAATGTAACGCGTGAAGTCTTCCTGCAGGGTATCTTCGTTGTCACTGTCATAGACTGCAATAGAAGCATCCATCGCCATCAGACAAAGAGTGTTTGCCTCATCTTCAAGAGTGTCAAGTGCAAACTCCAGATCTGGAGCCGGAATCAGTCCCGCCAACACACCTTCCCGCAGAATTGGCAGACCGCTATCAATTTCACCAGCCATCAACAGATGTTCCAGTTTCAAGCGGAGTTCCGTTGCGGCGACAAATGGTGAGTTGGAGATATCGATAATGCGATTTTCACGCACAGGTCGGACGATATCACCCAGCTCGGCATCGCTCAGTGGTTGAAGTTTGCTGTCAAGGAATGGATAGGCGTTCATATCGGTAAGGAAATCCTGTCCACGGTTAGATATGTTGTTTTTAGATGCAAAGAAGATCAGGCGATATCTTACATAGATACTATTAGGCTCTATCGCGTCTGCCGTCCATTTTGCGCAAAGGACCGCCAGTGAAAATGGAAGCACATGGTCCAAACTTCCTGTCAATTCGAAAAGAATCACAGCCAACGTCACTGACAGTCGAGTCACTCCGCACATAACGGCGCCTGCGGCGACTAGTGCATAGACGCCCGGAGTCACACATGACTCCATGCCAGGAACAGCAGGACAGGAGTTGAACAAGAAAAATGTTGGGTTCTTCGCTACCCAGTATTGAACGACGTGGCCAACAATTCGACCCATCAGGCCACCGACCACCATAGATGGAACGTAAATACCTGCTGGTACCTTGATTCCAAATGTAACAACGGTTAAAAAGCTCTTAATGATGAATGCAGCCAGGAGATACTGGATAGTTTCCAGTATACCCTCCTCAGGAGGACATAGTCCCGTACCATCCTTAGAAACGTGCTCACAGGGACTGGTCAGCTCTAGCAAAAGCTCGGTAACAGGCAATTTGGTATACCGGTTCCAAAAGCTGACCATGCCGGTTAAAAGTGCCACAAGGAACACTTCTAGCATCGGCCAGTGTTTGATCGCGGGGATTCGACGAAACGAACGTGCCCATAAGCTGGAAGCTTTGATGAATAGTGCACCAGCTGCACCGCCCAGTATACCAAGGAAAATGAAGATGAAGAGTTCAAAAAATTCCCAATCCGTGAGATACCTCACTTGGAACAGAACGACCTTTCCCGTGCCGTAAGGGTTGAGGAATTTCAGGGATAGAGTAGCAGCAATACAACAGAAGAAGGTTCTGAAGAGAGTCTTTGGCGGGAAGTAGTAGCTGACTTCTTCCAGGCTGAAAAGGACACCACCAATGGGTGCACCAAAGGCAACGGCCACACCACTCGCCGCACTAGCACTCAGCACCTCTCGTCGTTTGCCATCATTTTGGTTGTACTTGGCAAACAGTCGACAAGCAATGTTACCTACACAGGTGGCAATGTGGACGTAAGGGCCTTCCTTTCCAAGACTCAGTCCAGATGAAACACTAAAGATCAAAGCAATAGTCTTGATAACTAAAGTTTTCAATCCCAGATATCCATGGAGGACAAAACCACTGTTGATCACCTTAACCTCGGCGACTCCACTACCAGCAGCCGAATAGTAAACCATTGCCGGGCGTGGGGGAGCGTTGGGGAATGATCCATGAGCGTCAGTCAGCGAGTGGGGCGAGCCCAAACCAGCAACATCGCTATAGGTCCCGCGCGCATCGGCCCCAAGATTTTCATCGAGAGTGGACAAAGAAATAGAAGATGGAACGACCGTCTTCGTGAGAAGGGTAAGAGCACATGAGATCATCGCGAGGACAACAACCCAGACCACAAACATGAGAAAGTCCACCCAGCGATCATCCGTTCCAGAAGACCTGAAGATCTGTGCCCACGTTCGCCATGTGTCACACTCCGATGCTCCATTGCAGCATGTGGTGCGACTGTCAAACCAGCGAGAAGTACAAAATCCGATCTTCGCATCAAACATTCTATCCTCCGACACATCCACGAAATAGGCAATCGCAGCCGTGATGCAGCCAGTCAAGGCCACGAGAATCCACCCCTGCGCGCCATCGAACCATGACAGCAGCCTACCCCGGAGATCCTTGCGGCGCCGCAGTAGACGCAGGCGAGCTCCATCGGCAATGCTATCATGTACCCAATCCGTTGAGGTGAACTGATCATACCAGGTACGTTCGTCCAGGAACGATGACGCTGTCAGACCGTTCTTCGTTGATGGCGGTAAGCTTGCTGGGCGATCTGCGTCCTCAATTTCCTCCTCTCCAAAGCTACTCCGTCGACTGAATCGTCTCTTTGTGGAATTCGCCCGGCTGTGGTTTCCTTTGCGACGAAGGTTCCCCGCACCTAGGAGATACCGCAGTGATTCCGGACCCGAGGTCCCGGAGATACTCGTATATGAGCGTCGCGGTACTTGACGCTGTGGGTCTTCTGGGAGACCTAGGAGACTGGTGACTTCGGTGATTTCAAGATGCGAGTCCAGTGATTGGTAACCCGTGTGTTCTTCGGAGAGGTAGCTTCGGCGGCGGTGAGCGGTTGGTGATGGGGGAGCTGTGCGGGAGGACGGGGTGTTGATTTGGGCCTCGTCCGGTTCACCCTGTGAGGATGAACATTGTGGGACAGAACGAGGCATTGTGTGATTCAGAAGCGTCTATGCTTCGTATTGTCGGCGCCTGAAGATAAGGAGTTAGATGCCGTTAAGACCCGAGTGCGACTCCCGATATTCAGGGGCAAGGGGTCACATTTGATGAATAGAATATGATGTACAAGAAAGAATTCAACTTACCAGAAGTCATGGCCCTCAGAGATGACCTGGGCAGTTGTTAACAGCTCTAAAAAGAGCAAGTTCAGTGCGGGCAGATGATGGGACGCGTCAGGTGAGGCAGACCCACCGCATATCAAATCCCTTACTCCACATCATTCGCTAGTTAATATATTTCATTGTTTATTTCGCGGTCATGGATGCATATTCAATTCGATTTGATTTGATCTATGACATGTTTAGCTTTCTCTCATGTCTGCTACGTCTTCGGAACTCCTCTCCCTTGGTCGGGATACCATTCTACGGAAAGCCGTTCCTCCGGAGTAGATCACATCATCTTATTGGAGTAACAAAAGGAGGCGCGAAGGTTTAATGCGGGGATCTTCCCCGTGATGCTGGATGTACTCAATATGTCACAGTACTGTCAGCCTGAGCGGTTTATATTAGAATCTTACTAATGCTTCTAGGCAACAAGTTCGGACGAGTGACTCTTACAGAAGCAGCTACTACACAAATCCACAAGGACCTTAACACTCCACTGAGACATTTTGCAGCGTGATATCCGCCACCTGGTCCAACATGCTGATCACCGCCAAGTCGATCACTTGGCGGTGGGTCTCAAGGTCCTCAAAGAGGCGGTGGCTTGTGCAAATGTGCAAAGACATGACTTGGGCAGACATTGCTTGTGGATCTATACTAATCTTGGTGATATATAATTGATACCCGATCGCTTATAAGCTTTGGGCCGTAGCCATGACAGCCCTCGGCAGATTGAGGATTAAACGTGCATTAGATCTATCACGCAGTCGTTACGTGATCAACGAAATCAGGATTCTGATTGGTCTGGTTTATAGCTACTTTCTTAGTTCTTTCAACTGTGTCTACAATTTCTACTTTCGCTTTGAGTTTAAGAGATCTAGATAGAATTATGAAGATTATGTAAAAACAGTGCAAGTGTGGGAGATTCAAGCCATTCTGCATGTCAATTGGTGGAGAAACCAAGCTAAAAAGATTGAACAGATAACACCATTTTGTCCACGGAGCATAACCCCACCTCCGTTCCTTTTAAAAGGCCTATATCCTCTCAACAGCTTCGCATTCTCTTTGTTTGCTCTCTATATAGAAGATTATATATCCTCATCATGACTGTGTCTGAGGATTTTGCTAAGCCATATGATCAGTTTCTTCTTTTTGGGGACTCGATCACCCAGATGTCCTGTAGCCAGGACCTGGGGTTTGGCTTCCAGCCAGCATTGCAAGATGGTATGTTCTATATATACATAAAATATGCTGTTTGAGACGAAATTGAGACAAGATTGATTTGCTAACATTGAACTCTTTTTATAGTATACTGCCGCAAGTTGGATGTGCTTAATCGTGGATTCTCGTGAGCATTCAATAGTCTAAAGTTGGAATCGCCTAACAACCCACAGGGGATACTCTACCGCCCATGCCATCAAGGTCTTTCCGAAGTTCTTCCCGTCACCTGAAACTGCTACTGTGCGATTTATAGTAAGTCCCATTTCAGTCAGTCATACAGTATTCTAAGGTTAACTAATGCAATTGACAGGCCATTTTCTTCGGCGCCAATGACGCGGCAGTCCCTGGGCACAATCAGCATGTCCCTCTGGAGCAGTACAAGGAGAACCTGAGACAAATAATTCAGCACCCGGCAATGCTTGCTCAGAGCCCTCACATCATTCTCATTACTCCACCTCCAGTTAATGAGTATCAACTGGAGGGATTTGACAACGAGAAGAACACTGTTCACCCTAGCCGCACTGCTGCTATCACCAAGACCTACGCCGAGGCAATGAAGGAGGTTGGTGCTTCGCTGAACATCCCAGTCGTGGATATATGGTCTGCATTCACGGCCTCGGTTGGCTGGAAAAATGGACAACCTCTCATTGGATCCCGAGACGCGCCCAATAGCGAGGCGTTCAGTGCTCTTTTCACCGACGGTGCGTTTCTCCGATTTTGTATGAGTTGCGGTTCATACTGACTGATATTTAGGACTGCATTTGACGCCTTCTGGATACCGTATTGTTAGTTCTGAACTGATGAACACTCTCCGTACTAATTGGCCTGATCAAAGTCCGGATGCTCTGCCCATGGTTTATCCTGCGTGGCCCGATGCCCCTAAGTGAGCTGTATACATATATATTTACCAGCAAAACTAGAGAATTACAGAATTGTAAAATTCCAGCTGTAAATTTATAGAATCCTTGAATTTCCCTGACAAAAACGTAAATCAAAATCAAAATGGTGAAGCCGTTAGTGGAGAAGAACGGGAGCGGTCTAGATCAACTTCCTTCCCCTCGTGCATATGACGATGTTCCTCTCCACTGCGTTTCCCCCAGATCTGAAGTCTTCCTGCATTAAATCTGTCATTCTGATCTCGACCTAGAGAATTTCTCTACGCTCACGCTCACGCTCACGTCCTTCTCTCTATCGATCATCACTCCTAATACTTGCTGTTCCAAACCTTAACACCTCCATCCTTGCCATTAACCTTACCTACTCCAACGTTACCTATTCCAACTACCTTCCACCACACGTGCCGTGACTATCGAAACTTTACCTCTATCCAATCTTCAAGCTTAGACCCCGGCCACTGCATGCCATCAGCGAAACCACCCGCCCCTGCAATTCACAGCTCGGTGGACGGCCCCGTGGGCCGTCACGCAACCTGAAAGTGGGAGGAGGTTAAAGGAGGCCACAAGCGATCTGTCGAGGCCGGTGTTGAAGGTAGACGAAGTGGCCAGTTTGAAAGCAATCATCTTAAGGCCCAAGGGGTTTGATTGATCTCCGGGCGGTTGACAAATACCAGCCCACCAGCCCGGTGGCAATGGATGCGCAGTACAATTCTGCCCCGCGGGAAATCTGGCAAATCTATGAAGATCTCAAAGAGATCCATGTGGTACAGTTTGAACAGGCCGAGCGGATCGCACGACTCGAGCGCCGCCGCGACGAGGATGCGAGACTGAAAAACGTTTGGGGACCATCATCGCCTTTTCCTAGCTCCTTGGGGGGTTCTTTTCTCACCGGTACGCGTTTCTTTCGATCGGTTTTTGGTCGCGTTGCTAATGGTGTTGCATTTAGAACCTGCTTACAATTCTCCGCCCGAGCCCTTTAAAGGTTTCGATCAGGGGCATCATCCCGGGATGCACAGCTCGGCTATGGGCTTGGATGGCGACGAGGAACCGCGAAGAGGTGCCTCGCGAGCGAATAGTGTGCGCTTTGATGAGAGTGCCATTCATGGGTATGGACAGGCTAGTCGGTCGAACACTGAGCTGCCACTTCGCACTGGTAGTGGGATGGGAAGCTTCCCCATGACCGAGCGATCTTTGTCTCATCGATCGGATGGCCGACTTAGCTCTTCTGGGAACTCGCATCATTCGGCTCGAACCAATAGTCTGGGTCTGGACACGAGTCGGTATTTGGGCTCGTCGTACGGATCGTCACCGATTACACCTCCTCCCGGATGGGCTATCTTAGGGCCAGTGCCATCTATTATTCGATGCTGGCTGACCACTACATTCTCAAATGAGACACTACTGTATGCGGTAGTGTGCTCGGGCTCCTACATGTCTACATTGGGCACATCGATCATCCGCAAGCTTGGATTAGAGGAATCGGTGGTGCATGAAGATGGCAAGAGATACGTGAAGGTCCCTGTCCACCTCACCGAAGCTAGTATTCACCAAGCTTCCAGTCGCTCCGGAAGCCCCGATCCCCAGGTACCCACGTTGACAGTCAAATTTCTTGTGTGCGATACAGATACCGCAGACGGTTCAATTGAAGTGATCATCGGAAGTGATGTGCTTCGCAATCACAGCGCCGATATTCTGCTTTCCAAGGACAAGATTGTCATGTTTGACGATGAGAGAAATCTTGTTTCCATTCCCCTCGTTCGACCTGAAAAGGAGGCTGCCTTCAAAACTCTTCTAACAGCTCCACGTCAGATCCAGATCAATCATGATTCTGTCGAATCACATGAATCTGCGGTGAATGGGAAGGAGACCGTTGGGGTCATTGGCCAGCCTAATGTTCCCTGCCAATCAACCTCGGCGCCTACCTCAACTCACGTCTCTGTTAGCGAGGCAGATGAGGAGAAGAAGCCCCGTCTGCAGGAATCAACTCCAACGCATACTGAACCGCATCCCACCGCCGCGACCCATGATACGGCCGCTACCACCAAGTCCGAGGCGGCTGGTGTTTGGAATTCTTGGCGTCGCCCAAAGCCTGAACCCATTGCCACAGATAAGACCGCATCGGGCCGCCCTATGAAAATCCTTCGTCCTATGAAGCTCTCTACCCGCGCAGCATCCTACACACCCGCACCTGTTGTCCCTACAGAGCACGCTGAGAACACAGCGCCCCACTCTGCTTCCCGTACGTCCTTTGACGGTAGCACTACATCCCTAACCGCTACCAATCCTGTTGGCGGTGCCTCGGCGTTTGGATGGCTGAACTCATCCGGACGGTCCAAGTGAAACCCACAATCCACCATGTTTGCATCTTAGCGTCAGGTCTGGGTTTCATGAAGCGCAAGATATTGCAGATGTCATTTCGGTGGTCTTTACATGTTTACCCATCTACCTTTTTAGTTAATCTTCCTAGTTAGCGACGACAGCTCGGATTGTCAATGAACGATAGCAACTCAAAATGACTTCACTATTGATTAAACCTTCATACCGTACACTCCATATCAAAAATCTAAATTTTTGCAAAAACCTCCAAAGCCCCCTTTGTCTCCTCCATCGTCTCCTTAACCAACCCACTAACAGCCCGAAAAGCCTCATGATTCGCATCTCCCAGAATCTCAAAAAGCAAACTCTCACTACTAGTCACAATAGCTCCCGCATCCCTCAACCTCTCAAGTGCAATCTTCCTCTCCCCAGGATTAACACTACTAACCCCATCAACAACCACATAAACCCTATATCCGCGCGCCAGCAGATCAAGCGTCGTCTGCGTAACACAAATATGCGTCTCAATACCCACAATGATAGCATCCATCTCAGTCGGCTCAACAGGTAACTTGGCGCTTAATTCGGGGGTTATCATCGAGAAGCGCGTTTTATCGACATCGGCTTTGACATTGGGGCCTTGGAGGTGGGTGGATAGCTCGCTGACGGTTTCTCCAAGTTTAGTGCGCGATTGAGTAGTTATATAGATTGGGAAGTTGAGGGTATTCGCTGCGCGGACTAGTTTGTTGGTTGTTGAGACTCTTTTCAAATGTCAGTTTCGGTATATTTGACGGCATTGTGTGGTTCCAAGATTGGTGATACTGACAATTTGGAGAACTCGTAGATCTTCGTGCGGAATTTCTCTTGGATGTCACATATACTATATGATATGGGTTAATTCGTGGTATGTATAGGCGTTGGGATTGAGACACACAATAGTGCGGGGTTCCCTGTGTATTGTGTTAGTCGAGATTGTTTAATTCCTGGGTGTTTTGATGGTACTTGCGAATTCGAGTTGCGCGCGATAATGTGGCCATGATGGATTAGTGCTAGCTGCTGAGCAGGATGGATATTCTGAGATACTGAAGTCAGAAGGGAAGGAGAGGAAATAGGGTTGAAGTCGGGAAATCGGAGATTGCGGGGAAAGTAACTTTGGAGGCCGAGGGGAACTATGAATGTGCCCGATCCGAGGGAATGCGATATGTATTATTTGGTCTTTTACCTTTTTTCTTTTATTTCAAAATATAAATGGCGGTGTATTCATATTAACTCTATAGCATTACTTTTATCTAGATTTTCACTTCATGCACCTTGGCCCGGCCAACGAACCAGCTATCGTCACCCTTGGCCGCCGCCGTGCGAATAGCGTAAAGTTCATCCAGGAACGCTGGCACAAAACTGCCAGGACCGCGAACATACTCTTTGGCTGCTGCGTTCTCAGCTGCAATCTCGAACATCAGAATTCCCGATAGCACAGCGAGAAGTCTGTCAGAGCGGTGGGCTGTCAAGAAACACCCCGAGATGCTACCAATGGCACATCCGGTCTGGTTGAGTAGATTAGTATTAAGACATCGTAAGAGGGAATGCTACATACTCCTGTCACCTGACCCAGATACGGGTGGCCATTTTCCACGGCGATTACACGCTCTCCATCGCTGAGGTAGTCGATGGGTCCGGTCATCAGCACAACATTTTCTAGAATCTCATCAGTATGGCTCATAGCACCAGGACTAGGTGACTAACTCTCTCGTCGGGCCAGGTCTCGTGCAAGAGCTGCCTTTTGCTGGCCATCGAGGCTACTGGGTCCGCTGTCAACGCCACGCTGCTGCACCGTATTACTGCCCCAAACCTGGCGTATCTCGCCCTCGTTCCCCTTGATCAGATCGAAGTAGCCTCCTGACATAAGTTGAGAGACTGCATTTCGGCGAATCTCTGTCGCGGCAGCACCCACGGGATCATAAACCACCGGATTACCCCGTGTGTTGTATGCCTTGATGGCCTTTTGGTAGTTGGAGACACTCTCGCTGGTCAATGTACCCATGTTGATGAGGAGAGCGCCATCAAACTTGCACAAGTCTTTAGCCTCATCGCCATAGGGGGACATGATAGGTGAGGCACCACTATGGTAGTTGTTAACAATGGTCTAACAAAACTTCCCGCCAACCGAAACTTACATGGACAATGCAACGTTCGCGACAAAGTTAGCCACTACGAAATTAATCATGTTGTGGACCAGCGGGTGCACCTCCACCATTTTGCGGACGATTTGAGGCACCTCGGCCAACAAGCCTTCGGCCTCGTTGGCCCGGGGCGCCTTGGAAGCCAAGGCAAATGCAGGAGGTGACTTGATGAGCTTGGCGAACTCCTCAGCCGAAGCCTTGGGATCATCAGCAGCCACAATCGCGCTCACAATAGCCACTCCATCCAGACCCTTCTTTGGAGACGCGGACTGGTAAAGCACCCGCTGGACATTTGCGTGGTTGATGCCTCCAATAGACACAGTGCCCACGGAAGAATCACTGATCGCATCCAAAATCGCCTGAGTTCCTGCTGTTCCAATGACAGACTTAGTATTGGTTTTTCTAGCTCGGTCTTTTGATTAGTCCTTGTGCTTATTCTGCATGGGGCCAGGACCTACGTTGGAGTGGCAAACATCGTCCCAATTCCAAGGTAATCAGCCCCATCGGCGACAGCCTTGCGGGCCTCTTCTATACTCGAGGTACTAATTCCAATAATGGCATCTTTAGGAAGAAGCTCCTTCGCCAGTTCGAACACTTAGCTGATATCAGTTTCTGCAGACTGGCAATGCTGGATATTGAAGAGACTTACTCATATCATCTTGACCCAAATGGACACCCTCAGCTCCAACAGCGAGTGCAACATCCACTCGATCATTGATCAGTAGTGGGACTCCATAGCGCTGGGTTATCTGGTGCAGTCTTTTGGCAGTTTGAACCAAATCTCCGGTATCGCTCTTCTTGTCCCGGTATTGCACCACCGTAACACCTGTAAGCGGTTAGACTTGCGTTCATTCTTCGGAGTATCTTTGTCTTACCTCCTTTCAGGGCATCCTCGACGACCGTGCATAGGTCTCGCCCTTTCAGGATGGCTGGGGTTGAATCCGTAACAAGGTATAGAGATAGATCTACAGGCATTGTGTAGATACAAAGGAGTGGATCTTTGTCTAGCAGCAATGTACAGTTATGCGAGGTTTCACGCACAATCTGCAAAAACAGGGACCGGAATTGGCGATCTTGAACCGGATTGATGCCGTTGGGGGGGGGGGGGGTTCGGTGGGGCTCGGAGGGGTTGACATCAATTGCCAGATTTTCATTCTCAAGTTTGGTTATGCATATAAGCTTCACATCTATTGAGCCAAGTTGAAAATTTCATAACATTTAATGAATTTGCTCTATTTGATATTCTTCAATTTCTTGTTATTCTTTGTTTACATTATTAATCAATACTAAAGAATTCCCTGTTACGTTGTATACTAAAAGTGAACTCCGAATCCTCCGCATTAAGTCCGAAGCGGCTAACGCGACGCGTCAGAGCTACTAAACACACGCACTTTAAAACCTTGTGGCTTACAATATTGTAAGTATAATGCTTCATTTATAATGTGAACTTGCCTAGCTACTAGATGGAAGATCTACTGCTTGTGACAGGAGATAGCAATAGTGTGAATGATTTCGGGCAACTCTCCGTTATGATCAGACATTGCATACCGTGCGTGTGCATATCTCCTTCAACCGGCCCCCCCCCCCCCAACCACGTGCATGCTTATATCAGCAGACCCGCCGTGAAAACGCTTTCTCTTTTCGTTTTCGCCCTCAATTTCTGTTTTAACCCACACATCTTTCAGGCCTCGACATCTTACTGCGAAGCGTCTGTTCCCTGCGTCAGCTGTACATACAGTTTACGCTTTCACTTGCAATCAACGCGTTTACTTCGGTTTCGCCATCATCACTTTCATCCTCAAGCTTTCCCAGGGTCTCCGGCCTCTGAATCGGTTTCCCAGAACAACCTCGGTCGTTCTCGCTCCCAAGAGACACCCAACCAAGATTTCGACTGCGAAATTGTCTATGTATTCGTCCTCCGTGCAAAATTTCGAACACCATCTGCCGCTCAAGCTGCAAACGCTTCGCGCGTCGAGACCTTGTAGCATACACCTTCGCTCTTGTGGCTGAATCCCCTCGGCCTACTTGATCTCCTCTGTGACCTGCGTGAGAAATCACCTTGTTTTGTCAAACAGAGTCCCACCTCGAATTTTTTTTAATTAAAAAAAACAACATCGTCAAAAACTCTCCAACACGCATGTCTTGTTCCGTCGACAAGATTCCGTTCAAGATTTCCTCCCGCTACATATTTCGCAAGCCATTCACACCCTCGTGATTCAATATTAAATCAATCCAACCGCCAACATGGCTACCGTCAACATTCGCCGGGATATCTCCGATCCCTTCTACCGCTACAAGATGGAGAAGCTGCAGTCCAAGATTGAGGGCAAGGGCAACGGTATCAAGACCGTCATTGTCAACCTCAACTCGGTCGCCCAGTCACTCAGCCGTCCTCCTGCCTATGTGATCAAGTACTTCGGTTTTGAACTCGGTGCCCAGGCCAACGCCAAGCCGACTGACGACCGTTGGATCATCAACGGTGCCCACGATGCCAACAAGCTCCAGGACTACCTGGATGGATTCATCACCAAGTTCGTGCTCTGCAAGAAGTGCAAGAACCCCGAGACCGATGTTATCATCAAGGATGAGCGGATCACTCTCGACTGCAAGGCCTGTGGCCAGCGTTGCGACGCCGACCCCCGCCTGAAGCTGAGCACCTTCATTGTCCGCAACAACCCCAAGGGCGGCAAGAAGGAAAAGAAGGACAAGAAGGCCCGCCGCGAGGCCAAGAAGGAGAAGCAGAACAACGGCGAGGATGTCAGCCCCGGTGATAGCAACAACTCCGAGGACGGCGAAGATAATGGCGATGAGGCCCTTGAGGCCGGTAGTGACGATGAGCTCGTCCGCCAGGCCAAGAACCTCCAGCTGGAGCAGGAAATCAAGGATGATGACTGGGCTGTTGACGTGTCTGAGGAGGCCGTCAAGGCTCGCGCCAAGGATCTCCCCGATGACCTTAAGCGCGCTGTCGTCATTGAGGACGCTGACGGTGATGAAGCCGATGGCCCTTCATCCTACGAGCAACTAGGTAGCTGGATCATCGAGACCGCCGAACAGAAGGGTAGCGTTACCGAGGTCGAAGACATTGAGATTTACAAGAAGGCCAAGGAGTTTGGCATCGAGTCCAAGCACAAGACTCTCACTGTTCTGGCCCAGAGCATCTTCGACGAGAAGATCGTCAAGCAGATTGAGGCCCGTGCTCCCCTTCTCAAGAAGATGATCACTTCGGACCGCCACGAGAAGGCCTTCCTGGGCGGTACTGAGCGCTTTGTCGGCCAGGATCACCCGGCCCTGATCCCCCAGATTCCCGCCATCCTTCTTGGCTACTACCAGAACGACCTTGTGTCTGAGGAAGCCCTCAAGGCCTGGGGCGCCAAGGCTAGCAAGAAGTTTGTTGACATCTCTGTCAGCAAGAAGATTCGCAAGGCTGCCCAGCCCTTCCTGGAGTGGCTCGAGAATGCGGAGAGCGAGGACGAGAGCGAGGAAGACAGCGAGTAGTTTGGCTTTTTTGCTATTCTTATCACTCCCTCTGGACTTTTGTTTCTCTTTGTTACCAGTGTTTTACTGTTTGTGACACGCGCTTAATGTCTTTCTGATTCTTGCTCATTTCCATGGGCTCTATCCGTTTCAATAGTTACGATTTATTTTAGCTCACCAATCGTCACTCTTTTACTATCAACTATCTACTCCATCTCAATCCTCTAGACACGTAGGTAGTAGCTCTATTAATTCCAAACAACAGTTATTGGGGTAATGTCACTAAAGTATGTGTTTGTTCATTGATGTGATCCTGATATGCAACTTAATACTCGAAATCATCATCAACGCCCCGTTTGCCCGAGGTTTCCTTGGCCACAGCCTCTTGTTTCCGGTACATCTCAGCCACGGCACGAGTTGTTGTTGCTTGCTCAGGTTTCTTGTCATCACGAGACTTGATGAACCGAGGGAAACGCAACGAAACACCCTTGCCACCACCAGTCGTCCCCTCAAACTCATCCGCAGCGGCTTGGTATCGAGGACTGAGAGTTAAATCGGCAGTCTTGACTTCCCATACCAGACGAGGCTCAAACCACACATCCGGTTGGTCCTTGGGTACACTGGAGTGGGCGTAGAAGGGCTTTGGTCGATCGATGACCATGGGCTTTAACTCCTTGTGGAATTCCTCCAACGCTGCCTCCGAGAATCCAGTGCCGATGTTACAGATTGTTTCGTACTTGTCGTTATTCGGGTTGTAGGCGGCGAGAAGGAAAGCACCGTACACAGAAGTCCGTTTTCCACGACCATAGTAAGCACCAAGGACGACGAGATCAAGTGAATCCCCCACACCGGCCAGGTAGTCTTTCTTGACCTGTTTCACGAGTTAGAGGGAAGATCAAACGGAAGATAATACTGGAAAACGTACCTTAAGCCAGTTCCGACTACGCTTACTAGGCTCGTACCCACTCTCATCGGTGTCCAGCATCTTGACCATCAGTCCCTCACAGGATGCCTTGACACTTTCTTCAAGCAAATCTTGAATCTCATCGAGGACATTGGTATCTCCGAATTGCGCAAACTGGAACTCGCCTTCGACTGGCTGGAAGCACTGGTGCATTAACTCTCGGCGCTCTCGAAGAGACTTCTTCACACAAGGCTGTCGAATATATTAGCAAAGCAAGAGAAAGTTCAGACGAAAGATACTCACCTCTCCATTGAAAAATAGAAGATCAAAGGCAAAAACGCAGACCTTGACCTTTACATCCTCTGCCTTGACGTCCTTTCGCTTACGAGTCATCAGTTGCTGAAAAGGCAGAACCTTCTTGTTGAGTGTGTCCCAAGCAACAGTCTCACAGTCCAGAACGAAGCTGGTTACATCGTCCTTGACCCAAGTGTCAAGCTTGCCCAAGACGTCTGGGTATTTCTTTGACAAATCCTCAGAGTTTCGGGAGAAGATCGCGGAGTGACCCTTGTGGTCCCTTTGAAGCGTAGCAGTAGAGGCAGGAAACTGCTCAATGGCACTCGGTGCTACGAAATGAATCTGGGCTCGTTCTCCATCATACTTGTACTCGCATGTAAACTCCTTTCCTTCAAAGCGGTCCAAAACTTCGGTGATTGATTTGGTCGGCTTGGCAAGCATCGGCTTAAGAGGAACGCCCGGTTGCAGCTTACAGACATTCGGAAGATGGAATAGGCCGTGTTCCAGCATAGCGGGAATAATGACTTCGTAGGAGGGAAGCTCGCTGTACACAGTCTTGAGAATGGCTTCGCCTTCGGCCATTTTCTCCGGAGTCGCCTTCTTGCCCTCCACTGCAGCCTCGTGAGACACAATTGCCTGAGCCAAGGACACTAGCACTGTCCTCTCAGCAAGGCCCAGTCGCAGCTTACCCTCAAGGAAGCGAACGATGAACTTGGCCTCACTGGGGCCACCCTTGTTCTGGGTGATGTCAACACCTTTGTTGCCTTTACCTGCAGTCGCAGAATCTGCTGCAGATAGAAGCTTCTTGATCCCAGAGATTTTCTTGTCCTGAGATCCGTGTCCGCTGACTTTGGCTATACCGAGCAGGCCTTCATGCACTCCTCGAACGGTGAGAGCCTTAGGCTTGAACATGGTAGGTTGGTTGGATCGACTCTTAGCAGCCACAAGGCCCAGGTCACCAATCTCATGCTGATCGGTCTTGATAACAGCCAGACTGCGGCCAGTACACTCGCCAATGGCCTTCATGATCAAAGACTCTCCAATTCCCAGTTCGATTCCAGCATAATCCGCAGCCAGTTTGTTAATCATCAACTGAACTGTTGGGAGTAAGTCACCTGGAGTGAGGCGTAAGACTTGTTGGAGAAATTGAGAGCAGTAGGCCATAATGATCAACCGTTTCGTAGTCATCTCGACTAGGGAAAAAGTGGTACAGAGCGCCGCATAAGGAACCGGATCTCCGGCCTTCCAGTCTGGGTATGGATCGGTACCGCTTGACTTTAGGGTTGCCTGCACTTTCGCCATTGTCTTTTTCTTGACCTCAGGCTTGGCGTCCCCGTCGCTTTCTGATTCCTCCTCATCTTTGTCCGATTGGCTGTTTTCTTCAACAACCTCTTCTTCAGATGACTTTTTCAGTATTGGTTTGGGGGAAGACTTGGTAGGCTTGGGTGACTTGGAATGTTTCGTAGGTGATGGAGTCTTCGGGCTTTTCTTAGGACTTTGTTTGGGTGGTGGAGAGCTTTCCTTTGTTGCCTTACGCCGGCGTTTTGAGACAGGCTGGACGTCGGAATCGTCGCTCTCCTCTCCTTCATCAACCTTTTCTCGTTTCAAGCCTCTAGAGGAATCGGTTTCATTTGCCGCATCGGCCGCAGCTTTCGGTGCATCTTCAAGCTTCACATCCACATCATCTTTGTTCTCCAAAACTAAAGGCTCTTTGGAATCTTCCGTAGCATCACTCTCTTTTTGTTGCCTCTTTCCACCGAATGCTAGTGTTGTTTGTTTCTTTGGGGCTTGATTCCCATTCGCATTAGAGCCAAAAAACCGCCTGGCGAAAACAGCACATTAGTAAGTAACAAAGTAAAACAGAAGGTGATGCGCCATGCAGGCGGACGCACCCGATGGTTAATTGGGAATCCCGCACATACCCCAGTGTAGCCTGCTTGCCACTCTTGTCATCCGCCATGATGATTCGTGGAGTTAAAACCGAGGAAGATAAAGTGAATTCGCGACGTTCGCGACCTAGGAAGAGAGGGTTTCGAAATTGGTGGAGTTGTTGACAAAGCTGTGCTGCGGGCTTGTAGAAATTCCAAGGCACTCCTGCTTTGTGGAGATAGGGTCGGTAGCACAAGAGCGATGTAGACGCCAATGCGGATTGGAGAGGGGGCATAGGAGGGTCAAATCATAAAAGCTCGCTCAAAGGTGACCGCAGTTTATTTAAATACAATAATTTGAACAGGAAATTGGCCAGGCAGCAGAAGCCTGAAACTGGATGGACTTCAGGCAACATCGACCGTTTGTCCTCTTTGTTCTCCACGCGACGTGACGCGACACAGTCACCTGATCGTTATCTTACCCGATTGGGTAGTATTTATCCTCACCGCTCTCATAGAATGGCAGAATTATAAAGGCGGCAACTTATCCCACGCCGATGGGCTTCAATCAATTCAACATGGCTTCACTTTTGCTCGACTGATCCTTATTTTGATGATACATGTAAGACTTCTGTGGTAACTAGAAACCACAGTAGTATCCCGCACAATGGAAAATCAGCGGCAGGAATCATTCAAGCGAGTATGTCATTAGACTCATTACTAATGCCCGCTTCGCCGTGGAAGTCATACTAACAAATCTGACAGCTGCGTACACCATGTGTGGAATTGAGCTCTATTGGTCTGGGATTTCGAGGCAATCACAACTCCGCTTCGGATCTGATCCGAGCTCTTGAACCAGTTCACTACGTCTTGGAAGAGCTTGCAGGAAAGAATGCATTGGATGAGAAGCTGGCTGAGTATGCCTTCTTCCCTCTGTCACATATTTTCAATGAAACGCAACGACTACCGGCACGCTGCCTTGAGCTCGCAGTGAAATGCCTACGGATATTAATTGCGGATGGGTGGCGTCAAAAGCTATCACCGGCAATGGGCAAGCAATTGATCATATTGCTGACATTGATCGTGGGTGGATCCCCGAACAAAGTCGATGGCAAAGAACCCCTGAAGAATCAGGTGACAGAGGAGCTCTCCATAGCGGGATTTGAGTGTCTTCGGGCGATTTTCGACATGTTGGAGGGCCCAGTGGCGGAAAAGACGATCTTTCATGAGATTGGCACTGCAACGGTAGTCGATCAAACGGTCTATCTATTGTTAGAAGGAATCGTGGATGATAGATCAGATGATCTCTGTGTTGCAGCTGCGAAGGCATTAAATGCTCTGTATGCTCGAATCTCAGACCGTGTCGTCCTGGCGAGCATCATGCCAAGAACAGTCTCTGCCCTAGCCAAGGTGGTGAAACCAACAACGCAGACTCGAAGGTCATACAAGTTGCTGGAAATATGTCTACAGATATTAAAGAATCTTCTGCAGTCGGTGCTTAATGATCGTGTGACTGCCAATACAGAGAAGCCCAAGGCTGCCCATCTCAAAACCGATACGTTGGCGCTGGACAAGTCTTGGCTGAAAGCTACAACTACACAAATCAAGCTCGCCTTGGTCAATGTGATTCAGGTCCGACGCCATCAGCGACCAGAAGTTCAGTCTGAAATGCTGAAGCTCTGTGTCATGGTGATAGAGGACTGCCAAGTCAGCCTTAAAGACGCCGTTCCTCTGATGGTTGATACGATCGTGGTTCTGGCCGACAAAGAAGAAGAGGTGCAGAATGAAGCATATAAGACACTCATTCACCTTACCACCACATATACAATCGTGCTGGATTCTCTGAAGGAATCGCTTCATAACTGGCTCATGTCCTTTCCACGAATCATGCAAAGCAGCGACGAGACGGCTAAACAATGGGGGATCCGGCAGATTTCGACGGCCTTCCAAGTCTTATCTCAGGTTCAGTCTGGATCAGACATACTAACAAATAGCTTGGCATCGGGTCTATGTGACAGTATTAGTGCTGTCGTCAAACTCAGCACAAACGGGCCCCAAATTCTGGCCTCTACTACCCCGGAGAACTTGAACCTTGATATTATTACTTCCGGTTCCCTATCGTTGGAGTTCCCTCCGGTCCTGCTGGAGCACCAAAGCCAGCAGCAAACCTTGAAGGACCTGCGGTCTATGATCACCAGGCTAAACTCATCCGAATCTGGAAATGCGATAACTCGCTTGATTGTCAATCGATTGCAGGCTAGGCCAGATGAAACTGTCGTTGGTCCGTTTTGGTTAGCCTTGACATCTCTTCGCTCGCAGTCGCGATCTATGGCTGTCTTTGATGACTTCCTTGCGGATGACCACATGGACCAGTTGTCTCTATCCAAACGCGCGACAATGATCGAGGAACTGTATTGTAACTCATTGATTATTTTGACTGAATTACCAGCTGATGGATCTGGTGACTGGCGAACATTGGCTCTTGCCTTGGAGGCTGTTGCTCTTCAGGCTCAACAACTCGGCGAGGCATTCCGACCTGAGCTCATGGACGCCTTGTATCCCACACTACAGCTTCTAGCTTCCAGCAACCCGGTACTTCAACACCATTCCATGACTTGTTTGAATATTTTGACCAAGTCATGCAACTACCCTGACACTGGCACTATGATTATCGAGAACGTGGACTACCTGGTCAACTCGGTTGCCCTGAAGCTCAACACATTTGATGTTTCACCCTATCCACCTCAGGTTCTTTTCATGATGGTGAAACTCTGTGGGCCGCGGCTCATTCCATATTTGGATGATGTGATCGACTCCATTTTTGGAATCATAGACTTGTATCACGGTTACCCAAAGTTGGTAGAAATGCTGTTCAAATCTTTGGCGGCGATTGTTGAAGAAGGCGCAAGAAAACCATCACTATTGACAATTGACGATGGCCGAGAGAGTGGACCTCACGACCACCGCAAGAGGCAATACCAGCACCTTCCGATCTCCACCATTGCTACCAATATTTCGAACAGGAAAGCCAAGATTGCCAAACATGACGAAGAAGAAATGGATGCCGAAGGAAGAATCCCGCATCCCAAGAAGCCTTGGTCAGAGACCTACGACAAGCCACCACCAGAACCCGAAACGATCGAAGAACTACTGGACAAAGCTGAATCCGATGAGCCACTTCCACCACCCAAGGAACCAGAGGACAGCGAGAAGCCACTGAGCAAGACCCATTCCCTTCTACTGCACATCGTCAAATCTATCCCATCCCACCTCTCTTCACCATCGCCCTATCTCCGACGCTCCCTTCTCACCATTCTCATCGATGTGCTCCCAGCCCTATCCCAAAACGAAAACAGCTTCCTTCCTCTCATCAACGATCTCTGGCCCTCGGTAGCATCAAGAATTATCTTCCCTTCTTCCATGGGATCTGAATCCTCTTCAAACAGCCTAATCACTCAATCCACCTCTAATTCTACCCGCTCCACCAGCCAGCCCGATACCCACACATTCCAAGAAGAAACCTTCGTCATCACAACAGCCTGTCAAGCCATTGAAGCCATGTGCAAGGGTGCAGGTGACTTCATGGCCTCCCGAATCGAGCCTGACTTTTCCCGCTGGGAACGCCTGTACCAACGTGTCTGGACAAGGGTCCGCCAAGATGCCGAAGCAGCAAACGAGCGCCGTGCCCGCCAACAGCGCCTAGACAACCAGAAAACAGCGCGCTCAGATGCTCCGAAGACACTCATCCAGGCTGTCGAGACCTCACCCTCAACGCCAGAGTCCAATCTCATGCTTACTTCTTCTCTCGCCCTATCACCTCCTACCTCCGGGTCCCGAGCCTTCACACCACACCACGCTCTGTGGCGAGCATTGATTTCCCTGTTTCTCACTGTCCTCACTCGCGTCCGTCTCCCTCTCGAAGTAGGAGATCGTATCTGCGAGATCTTGGGTGCGTGGATTGCACTTTTTGCCGGACCAGCATACTACTTCCATTCTTCTAGAAATTTGGATGGAGATTCCGGGCTCGATGATGCGCAGAGAAGTATGATTGGATCGATTAATGATGCTATCCAAGCCATGGAGACGTGGAATGCGGATTTGACTTGGTTCATCTTTGAGCGCCAGCGAAATCAGCCGCAAGGTTCTTCCGGAACCGTGAAAGTAAATGAAGGTATCGCGCCTTTGCCTTCGTCTTTGACGGTTGATGGGATGGTGTTCCAGTTTGCAAATGTTGCATTTTAGATAAGATTTATCCTAATACTCTATGACCACCTTATTCCTCTACAGTCTATGGCTAATTCAATGGCGTAACAAAGTAGCATCTTGAGCCAACAGTTGAATTCTTGCATCACTGCTCGTCAGTAAAATAGGAAGAATGGCAGTAAGTGTATTGTTTCACGCTCTTTGTGTACTCATTCTCTTGCTTTGAGACAAACTGTTTGAGGTGGACATGTGTCAAGATAAATCTGGGTTGAAGATGAATAAAGGCAATGGAGAGACTGTGTATTGAAACTGTTTTGGATTCTCTAGGGTCGTCTTGTATGAAGTACTGCCCTTTTGTGTTTTTGTTGTATTTCTGAGGCATAAAAGCCCACGATCTCTGACTTCTCACTTCTCCATCCTCCCTCCATCAACCACCAACCATCACCCCCCAGATCATTCCTCCTGATCATCATCTGTTCCTCATCTGCTCTGTGTCCAGTACCATCTCACTCTACCTATCAAGTCAAAAAGAAAAACAAGGTTAGATCCAGTCCGTCCACTTCTCTCACATGAGATTCAGAAACAGATACTGATGATGACACAAATAACAGCTTCCAGCAAAATGACCAACCCATCGCCCAGCCTGAAAACCCCCAAGGCTTCTCAGCCAAATTTTTCCTCCACCGACAATCCACGTCCAGAGTCTGCCTCATCTGCAGAAGATCCCCAACTCCAGGACTCTGTCCCAACCTCAGTCAATAATGAGGACGAGGACATGCCCTCAGACGACGATGATGATGAAGACTACATTGAAAATGAACGAGATCGAACACGTCAGTGTGTTCGAGAATTCCTGACAATGACAGACAAGCACTTTGTGAATATGGAAATCCGCCCCCTTGTGGGCAAACGAAACTGGCTGTCGTGGCTTTCTACCATCCATATGCAACTCAGAATGCATCAAGTTTGGGAGGTCGTGGGAGAAAATCTAATTCCATTAGACGAGGGCGACGAATTGTTTTATGGCTATGAGCGGATGAAGGATGTTGGTTGCGCCGTCATCTATGCGAATCTGTCCACCGCTCTCAAGGATATTCCATGTTTCTGGTCTACTCTCCAGCACCGGGATCCGGCACTGCTAATGAGTAGATTGGAAGGCCACTTTTCCAAGGGTGGTAGTGATGACCATGTTCATTGATGGTGTTGCTTACTTGACTGGGCTTGCGTCTCGGCCTCCAAGTTTCATTTCTGTTTCTGATTTTGATCTATCACTTATTTCTTGTTCTGTTGCGAGAAGGTATTCGTCGTCGATGTTTGGGGAAACAACTGATGTATTTCTTACCGACAAATATTTTCTGGATATCAACAATGGGGTCCAGCTACAGTCACCAGGATTGATCTTCTTCATCAATGTTATGAAGCTGAGGGTTTCTATTCTGCACTTTTCCAAGAATAATTGATCATATTCCATTCTTCATATCCTTCCCTTATATTTGACATCGACTAGGCGAAATCATCCCCAACCTTCACGATATAATTCCCCCAGCCTAGAATAACCAAATTCATTTATCATCCATCATTCAACAACTCATCCGTCAAAGTAATATGAGTAGAATCCTTAGGCGCTCCCCAAGCCCGACAGGCTGGGGACTATCATCAAGTTGTCAGCTGACAACAACTCGACAGAACCGTTTCACGTTCACGAACTAACCGCATCATATGCGGGATCTTGCCCCTGCCCCTCAGGATGTGGATCAATACCATGGCGCTCGTCAAAGGTACTAATTGGTCTCGGATTCGGCGAATTACGTCGCGAGGATAGATAGAAAGCAGCCGGGACACCGATAGCGGCGAGGATCAAATACCTTCATCTATGTCAGTATGGTCCCGGGATCCTCGTGTTCTTGTTTCTGGGGAGACTGTAGGATTAGACTGACAACCTGGAGTGGCCTTGAGGACCCCCGTGAGTCGGTGGCGATGGCATACTCGTTGCATAGGTCCTGTTGTTGGATCTGGAGAGGAGAGATTTGGAGATCTGTGTTGTAAGTGGCACTGTGCCAGTGCGAGCGTATAGACGCGTGATATTCATGATGAAGATTAATTGTAGGCGAGACTATAGTCAAAAACGTTTTAAAGATGAGGTTCGTGGTTAGTGGAGTATATGTAGCTTCAAATGGTTCTATACCTGCCAGTTACATCACCATTCTTGCCTCCCAACTCGTGTTGGGCGGTCGCGAGGCTTCGAACTGCATTTGGAAATTTGGAAATGAAACTTGATTTGCCCCCGTTAATTATGACGTATCCATCAATACGAGTTTCCAACGACGACGAAACGATGGATACTTTATTGTCTCGCAGACTTTGGGATATGAATTATAATGATGCTCAGAATGAAGCTATTCGGGGCTGGACTCGGATAAGCTTGACCCACATGCGCCATGCGCCATGTGGTCCACTATACTTGGAGTGGGGCCAGGTGATCCTCTAGCGCCTGCTGTCTACATGTACCTGGAGTCTAGCGACTCCCACTGGGCCTACACCAGGAACGCCAAGTCAAAGGATCCTAGTCGTACATTCTGGAGCACTCACTGCCAACTAGCATCAACCAAGGACCTTTTGTCTATCTTTACTATGATTACTATAAGTGTAATATTGTTGGTCTTCCGATCAAGTAAACAAGTGTAAAAAAGTGAGTTTATGCAGGGTAAATATCAAATTATCAATTACATGCACCGCTCGATCCTCTTGTTTTTGAGGGTATTTAGGGATCAAAAGCCCGAAAGCGACTGATGGTGGCTCCCGTCACCCCCGCTCCTTCATGCTCATCTCATTTTCCCTCATCGCATTTAGCAGAAGATGGCACAAAGCATCCCGAACTGGCTGAGAATGTGCGGTACTAAAATCCTATCCCAAGATCCGAGCCAAGAGTTTGAATACTATTTAGAATTCTCTTCCTGCTCAGCGGGGCTTCTTACCTGCCCCAGCTGCACCGCATCTGGGTGCACGGGGACTGCCAGGGTATCTCGCTCGGCTATCTACTGCTGAACCTCATCAGCGCGACTGAGCAGTTCACAATAGGGCTCTTCGTATTAGTAAATCATAAGAGAGGGACAGACCTCTTCGTCGAAATTCCCATAACGACCGGTGACTGGCTGAAGCTGACCCAGCTCACCCTCATTTCGATTATGCCACTCTTCATCGACGCTGTCAATCGTAATTTCTTCGGGCCCCCGGAATGGCGCCGGTGGGGTGAAGCCTTCTTCAGCGGTTACCACGCGATGTTCATGAACCCGATCGTCACGATTCTGGTTCTTGTTGCGCTCCCTTGCCAGGCGCGGGCTATGCATGCCCAACCCGTAAGGGATCTGAAATCCCTCAGTCTCCTGGGGCTTCTAGCCCAGGGCGTCATATTTGGCGTTGTGGCAGTCTCGTGGACGATGCGGGTAAGGTCCATGGACCTGTCTTCTAGGGATGTAGTTGCGTATAGGCTCTTAACGTTCGTGAGCTGGTACCAGATGGTCGGATGGGCGGCGGTGAATAATGCGGTATTTGCGCTAGTGCAGATATTGTTGCTCTGTTTGGCGAGGAACTGGAGAGGAGAGAAGATGGCTATGGCTGATGGGGAAAGAGAGCCTCTACTAGGGGCGCTCGAGTAAGTATTACTGTTTACTGCTCTACTAGGGACTACAACTATAAAGTATCCTTCGTAAAAACGAAGATAAAGATAATGATATCGCATCCAGCAGGCCATCAACGACGCGAGTTCCCATACAGGCTATCGACTTTCATTCAAATAGCGTCGTGAGTCTCTTTGTCTTCCTTGTTCTGTCTCAATCATCCAACTTTTAACTTCTCTGATATCATCATACCATTATTCGGTGCATGCCGTTCGCAGGCTACTATACAATAAGCTAATATTCTGTGTGATACGTACTTCAGTCTGTGACCAACGAGCACTTAGCATGTAAGTTGGAGATCACGAAAAGCATTCTCTTATGATCTTACTCTTACCCTCACTCTTAATTTACTCCAGTATAGTCAAATAAGCTACACTATAAAGACTGCTACGAAGGCTTCAAATCAATTAAAGCTCACTTTCTTTGCATTTAGTGAACGTGAAGTAAAGCTTGCTACTAGTAATAGTAGCTACCGTATCCATGAAAGACAGGCATCTCAACATCAGGAAGCCGGGCTTCCAGCCCCCGCCGCATAGTAAAGTTCTTGCGCTTCTCCTCCTGGTACAATCTGTTGACATGGTAGTACTCGAGGCTCACCGCTTGAAGCCTATTATGCTGTTAGAAAGGTAAATGGTGAGATACAGTACTGGATTACTGAAAACATACTTCAGAATGAGGTCCTCCATATTACATTCACGACAGTTCATCTCATGGATCCCAAGATTTTTCGCGTTCTTGTATCCGTCGTAATGCTCATCGTACTCGCTGGTAAAAGCGGTAGGATTATTGGCTACGTCAAGATTCAAGTTCCGGTAGGTGGTGTTGGGGTTGGCGCTAGCGTTGCCCACAGGAGTGTTCACCACGGGGATGCCCGTCTGGGGGGGTTCCTCAGTAGGTGTGGTCGACCGGCCTTCATTGTTGACTTCGGCATCGGCAGTGGGGGTAGGGATCGGGGGCGCGTCGGTGTTGCTTGGAGCTTGCGCGTTGCTCGAAGGACCCGGGGGTCTGCGCAAACGGTGTCGGGCGCGTCCTGCTTTACGAGGCATTTTGATATTTGCTTTCGTTAAGACTTGGTTGAGCTCGGGATGAGGTCGGGGGCGGGATACCGAAGATCGGTTGTGATGGACGGGGGTGGATGGGTGCGGACGGGGAAAGGAAACAAGAAAGTTGTTGATAGGATCGGGTATCGCGGGGTCATATTTGAGAACAATTGAATTGGAACGTCGATGTTGACTGGGAATTGCCGGTTGCCTCATGCTATATAACAAAGAATCAATCCATACCCCCTGCCTAGTGCCTGCATGAACTGCATGTTCATTCCATCTACTCTTGACCCATAGTTACATGCTGTTCATGGAAGAAAGGAGCACTTGAATAGTGAGGAATATATTCATTGTCGGTATCTTAGGTTCAACTATACATATCAATGTTCCAACGCCATGGGCTATCCTAAACAAACGCCTTAGATGCAATCACACAACTTACAGCTCACCGTGACGAGGCTTCTGGTCGCCAGCACCAGCCATAAATCCACCGGCACGAATGCGGAATGCAAAGTTGGTTAGGACAATGGCAACTAGACCGATACTGAGGACAGTCGGGCCCCATTTTTCATAGTACACTCGCTTGACGTCACGGCGCTTGCGAATTTTGTCCACACGCCACAAGTAAAGGACCAGGCTGTAAACCAGGGCAGCAGCAGCCAAGATAGTAAAGGCCCATGATGAGGCAAGAGAGATATAATCAACTCCAAAGTTGAGGAGGGTGGCAGCAATACCACCAAGGATGATGGAGAACTCCAACCAGGACAAAAAGGTACGCTCGGCAGCAAAGTATACCTTGGGTTCAACACGAACGGGGACGAAGATGCCTGAGAAAGATTAGTATCAGAAAATATTAAATGACTCGGGGGAGGCTTACGTTTGCCAGGGGGTGCCTTGAATCGCTGCAAGGTCCGGCGGGTGCCCTGTAGAACGGCAATTCCACGCTGCTCTTGAGGAGGCATAGAAGTCGGTCGTGGGCGAGGAATGATAGCCATCAAGCCTAACCATGCATAGTGCCCAGTCTGACGAATGTAATGTAAAATCAGCTGCTCGGCATAATAAGCACCTCCGATGCGGCGGGCCTCTTCGAGCTCACTTGATTCCCATGCCTCATCGTCTGAATCATACAGCGGGTAATCTTCTTCCCCTGCCAAAGGCTGAGCAGCAATGCGCTCCTCAATATCCAATTCGTTGCCGTTGGTCTCGACGAACAGCAGACGGTCATCGTCTGCCCGCGAGAAACCATTGGCTGGGGGTTGAGGGGTGTCCGGTGACTCGTCGTCGGAATCTTCGTCATTCGCAGACATGGATGTGCTGGCCAACGGTCGCTGGATACCATAGCGTTGGTTGACCGGCTTGCGGATGTCGACATCCATTTGCGGGTACCAGAAGGGCAGGAGGTTGATGCGGGTGGGGAAAAGGGTAGCGGTGCCGTGAATGAACTTGGAGAACTTGGGAACAGCTTCTACCAGGTGACTAGCTGTCAAGTCCCGGATCCACTGAGGCGGCTCCTGGCCAGCCTGAGTCTGCAACTTCACCTCTAGCACAGCATATGGGAAGCGATCAATATCCTCGGGGGGCAGCTGAGAGAAGGGAAAGTCCACTCCAATATCCATGCGACGCCAGTTGCTACCCGCCCGCGGCCGGCCATCCAGGTTGTCCTCACGAATCATGGTCAGCTCAGTGTCCAGCGAGATACGCACACGGGCATCGCCAGGAAGCTGGAATGCAGTGCGGTGGTAGAAGGTGCGGGTGACGGGGACCAGGCGACGGGTGATAACACGATATTGGATCTCTCGAGCCAACTGCTCGAGGTCGTCGATCTCTGCTTGGCTCTTCTTGCCCTCTTTGCGCATCTTATCGAAGACCTGTTCCACAGTCATGCGGCCGTCCAGGAACGCATTGACATTCTTTTCCTTCAGCGAGAATCGAGCTTTGACCGACTTCTCGCCAGTCCAATCCTCACGATGGGTCTTCCGCTCCACGAAGATCTGATCGCTCTCCATGCCTCCGTACCAACGAAGACGGATAGCCTCGGCACCTTCCGTCTTCTTCAATCGCCCTTGGTAAAGCTCCCAGGTGTCAGGATTGTCATAGTAGATGGAGGAGATGGCGGTATCCTTCTCCTCGAACTCCTTGGAGGCATTGAAGACCAAGACCGGCAAGTGCTTCAAAACGACAAGCTTCAGTTCGGTGATGTTGTCGCGATGAACCCAGTATTTTGTAGTTTGTCGCACAAAGTTCTGTTGAGTACCACCGGCAGCCGAGTCACCCTTGACGGGATTACCCTTGGTACGGACCAAATCATAAAGCTTCGACAGTTTCACAACAAACGCATCATAGTTGTCCTTGAAGAACGGCTTGGCATTCAATCGGGCCGCAAAAACTGGCCGCAAGCACCATTTGGTTTCTTTCTATTCGCAGATCAGTATCAGTATCAAGAATCATCCCCTGGAGATTTTGGCGCACATACGTCATGCTTTTTGATGATCTTCTGGAAGCCAGTGTAATTGAGCTGAGTGAACTTGGCAAGATCATGAACGTCGGCAATGATATCACTGAGGATCTGCTCCATCAACAAGAAGTCTTCGTCCGTGGGCGGCGGTCGCGGCGGGCGAACGACACTCGGGCGGCGAGTACCCGAGTTGTCAAGTCGCTCGACAACATCGGTGACCTCGACCTCGCTCTCCTGGATGCGCAAGACAATTTCCTCACTCTTGCGCTTTTGGAAGAGGAAAACCTTCTCCAGCTCACTCTCCAGCAGCGTGACAAAGGCTCTCTCGTCGTCTTCGGTCCATTCCCGGCGAGGCGGTTTGGCAATATCGGGCGTGGGCTGGGTGACAAAGTCGGTCTTGAGAGCCTCCTTGAGCGCGTCGTATGCAATGTAGTAGGGATGATATTCCCTAATCATGGACGATTGGAGGTGTTCGCCGAACCTGGGTATCCGGTCAGTTTGCGGGGAAGCATTCTTAGGAAGATATCCGCGAACGAGGCAAGGGATGGATCAGGGAGAGATATATGTGCAGCGGTCAGAGCCATTGGAATTGAATTGAACCTACCTCATGATGAATAAAGACCACTGGTGGCACAGGAAGAACAGTTGTAGGAGGGAAAAGAGGGAATGAGTTGAGGAAAGCCAATGGACTTTATCGCCCCGAGAACGGTCTAGCTTAGTCTGGCCGCACGGGGGAAAAACGAGATACCAGAGTGTATCGTATGCACGAACACAGTGATTCTTGGGGGGTTTTTTTCCTTTGGCCACGGGTAAATTGGTACCAAATGGAGTTCAGAATCGACAATAACTTTTCAACGAACTTGCAGCCACTTGGAAACGTGCAGGGTTGAAGCTGTGCAGATCCTCCAGTTTCATTGGTTCAAGCTGATGCACGATGACTGAGTCAGCACATGCCCCACTGACGTTGTGGCCAGTCACTGACGCACGTGCGCAACGATCGGTTTGACGCTAATTTGTTAGTCAAAATCTCAAGTCAGATTCTGGATTTCTATTACGCGAATATTCTCATGAACAGTCGATATTTCGCCTATAAATTTTCTTCACATGCCTTCTCCATCTCAGGATAATTCTGAATTCAAAGGTTTGGAGTTTGGTGATATTATCAGGTAATGCCGAAAAGCATCAAAACTAAGTAATCTTCATTACCTCAAGTATGAAATGACAAGTGGAGCTATCAAGCCTCAAAAACGGCAATCCATATTTTCTTGCCATTTAGGTGAGCACGCGACACATTGCTTTTCTCGGGGGCATAGACCTCTTTCCGAGTATACACCAAAACCGCAAAAACTCGAAAACATAGAATGCCGAAGCTTGTGCTCCATTCGACCAAGTGCATGAGCTAACCGAACCGGAATGAAGTGACTCGCGAGTCGGAACTCGCCGTATTGAATACGGAGTACATTTTACGAAGCCGAAGTCCCACAGATGTACTCCGTAAGTGGGTCGAAAGCTCGGGGAACAAAGGGAATTCAGTCAAAAATAAAAGCCAAAAAAATATCGTAATATATCGTAATAAGTTCGAACGTGTTCTAGTTCAACGGTCATCCTTGCAGATTACAGCATGCATATTGGCATGGATACAGGTGGGGGCCGATCATCGGCCAAAAAGGAAGGTTCTCACACGACAGTCGTAGATATAAGATAGAAGATAAAATTACACCCAACGCCTCGAAAAGATGAAAATGATTAAAATGAACACATATGCATGCTAACCCTGGTCAATCATTGCATCGTAGGATATCATCGTCCTCTTTTACATTCCCATGGCCGCCCGACGGATACTCCGCCGGGGTCCTTCACCCAACACGTTCACGGCCCCCTCGGCCTCAAGCGATCGGACCGCATCGGAAAACTGTTGGTGCTCGATCTGCAGGTCACTGTGCTCGTTCATATCACGGTAAAGATCTGTCCAGCGGACGGGGGCATGGTTGACACCTCCGCGATCTTCTAGACGAGCCAGCACAGCCTTCTTCAGATCATCCCGAAGGCGACGCTCGCTGGCACTGGTGCCTTCCGTGAGCAAACCCATGTCAATCAGACCGGTTCTAGCATCGGTGGCGGCCTGCTTGATGGCAGAGCGAATCAGACGCACCGCTTCCTCGACATCGGAGACAGTCACCTCCGACGACAGGCGCATACGGGCGTGTGCCTCTGACAAGCGGATCATCGACTCTAATTGACGGGTAGTCGCCGTGATGCGGCGCTCAGTGGCCCGGATGTCATCTCCCAACTGGCGCATGGCGACGTAGGCGTCAGTCAGGGCAGCACCGGCGGCCGGGGTCAGAGCAGGCTGGATCTGGGTTTTGGCGTAGGTGATGTAGGCTGTGAGGAATTCAATCGGCAGGATTTCCTCCGTGTTTGCATTCTCAGGGGCGTCCTCCAGGTACATGCCAACCAAGTGCTTCGCCAATCGGCGATCCTCGGTCTCATCCACATGATCCAGAACCAGATACACCAGATCGAAACGAGAGAGCAGAGTGGGGGGTAGGTCGATATTTTGCGGGACGGGCAATTTGGGGTTGTAGCGACTGCCGATAGGGTTGGCGGAGGCCAGAATTGACGTGCGGGCGTTCAAGGTGGTGATGATACCGGCCTTGGCAATGGAAACAGTCTGCTGTTCCATGACCTCGTGGAGGACGGATCGAGTAGCTTCGTTCATCTTGTCGAACTCGTCAATGCAGCAGGTACCGCCATCAGAGAGGACCAGGGCACCGGACTCCAGCACCATCTGGCGAGTCTCAGGATCACGGGTCACGTAGGCTGTAAGACCAACAGCCGAAGAACCCTTACCGCTGGTGTAGACACCACGAGGGGCAATCTTGTGGACATAACGCAGGAGCTGGGACTTGGCGGTCGAAGGGTCACCGCAGAGAAGAATGTTAATGTCACCACGGTAGCGTGGGTTACCACCCTTCTGGAAGGTCTTGTTCGTGCCGCCAAACATTTGCAGCAAGATACCTTTCTTAATGTCGTCCATCTCGTAGAGACTAGGGGCCACCGATCGGGCGAGTAGCTCGTAGACATCCGGTCGAGTAGCTGTCAACTTGATCTTCTCTTCCTCCTCCGCAGAAATCTTACGGGCCTGATCCGCCTCGGCTGCCTGCTCGGACATCTCTTGCTCGACAGTCGACGCGTCAATGCCCAACTTCTTGCGATCGACCTTTTGAACGTGAAGCACATCGATGTAGGTCTTGAAGAGAGCCTTCTGAGAGCGCTGTCGAGCACTCACACGCATAGGATTGCAACGGAATATACCCGTCACCTCGACACGGTCACCGGCCTTGCAAACGTCGACCAGCTCGTCATACACACAGAGAGAAACGGAGTGAGGGGTCTGACCATCAGGAATGCTGTCGGGGGTTTCCTGGAGCTTGATGACCTGCTTATCCGAGAAAGAGCAGCGGTTGTGGAGGAGCTGCATAGAGTTCTTCGACTTGCATGAGTCTCGGGGGCAAATAGTCGGTTCCTGGATACGGCCTCGGTCAATGTCAACCTGGACACCGTAACTGCAGACATTACAGCGGAAGAAAGCTATAATTAAATTAGCCAAGAACTCATAGTACATCAGGACAGTTTGGCTTACCTTCTTTCATGTCGGGAATAATGGGGGTTGCCCGAATAACCAATCCCTTGATGCTGACCAGCTTGTCCATGTCTAAATGACCTGTTAATATCAATTGCTTGGCGGGATCATTTGATTCAACATACCAGCTGGGTCAAGATCTCTCATGTTCACAGTCGCATCCAAGCCAAATGGAAGCACTTTGTATGTCATGTTTTCGACTTCACCCACGAGGTCAGGCACATCACCTTGGGGAAGCACTCCATCGGAGGTGAGGATAGATTGGCCACGGCGGTGCTGGCCTGCGGCTCCGCGCTGGCTCTCGGAACGCAACATATCCATTTCTTTTAGGGCCAGGTCAACCATGACATCTTTCATGGTCTGATCCATCAAGGGGATAATTTCTTGCGGGTATGCGAGAAGCTGATGCCACAGCTTCTGTGTCAGAGGATATGACTTCAAGTTCCTGGCGTCGAGATTCAAAGTCGTCACACCGAGTCGTCGCATGTCATTCAGCATGGTGATATATTCACGCTTCTCTGCAGCACTACCCAAAATGCGAGTCTCGTCCTCTGTAGCACCGTCTGCCCACAGGCGGTATTTTGTGGCGAAGTTATACAGGAAGTTCTTGAAAGCGGACATGGAATCTGAAACCGAGACATTGGTACCCCAGATCACACGCGTGGAGTTACCAGCCATGGCCTCTGCCTCGGAGGTGCCAGGGTTGATGTTCGAAAAAGTGGCATCGGAGCGAGGGAAATTGTCACCCGAGGGCATTCCATTGGAGTCAACGATAATTCGGTTTCTGCGAGAGGGGGTTGCTCCAAAGCCACCTGAAAGATCACTGCGACGAGGGGCAGTGCGACGGCTCTGACCACCTGGTGATACGAATAACCCACTGCTTATGCTATTGGCATCCGATCGAATGTCGGATCGAATGTCTGATCGACCGAAGCCGCGCGTGGGACTAGAACTGGGGATGTAGTTGATTGGGGATGAGTCTATCGCATAGTGAGTTTTTTTTTATCACTGGTACACAGGAAATTAGATAAAACGGTTCAATAGCATACCTCGAATTCCTGCACCAGCGCGGGGAGTCCGTTCGCCGTCGTCCACAGTCGAACTCGCTTCAGCCATACGAACATCTGGTGTCTCTGCACCATGGTTGCTTCTGGTTGGGGAAGATTGGAAAAACATAGGAGAGGATGAAGGGACATTTCGCTCGGCTGCCAAGCGTCTGGCAGCGCGGGGGGTGGCCTGTTGAGTTGGGCTGCTAGGAGGCTCACGAGATGGCGCTGGCGATGCAGTTGTTTGTTTAGAGGAACGACCCCTCCGATTGGCCGGTGAAGACATTATTGTAGAGGGAATTGGTGTTGAAGAATGGGGGGGGGGGGGGGGAGATGAGGTTGTTGACGGATAGGATTTGGAGTGGAAAGGGAGAGCAAAATTATCTAAGTTGGAATTGAGTGGGACGCGGCAGGAACGCGTCTCAGCGCGTTAAGTGGTTTTCCTGGTTTGGGTGTTCGTGTGTATTATGTAAGTCAGCCACAGTCACAGTCCCAGTCCCAGTCACATGATATTGTTACCTTAAAAACCAGGCCTAAAAATGACGAAATCAGGAATTGATCGAAGAAAACTGAATAAAATTGAACAAATTCACCGAAATCACTAAATCCACTAATACATTCTCCACTATTTCTCTTTTCAGGATAGATTCAGCCCTAAGCGCCTCCATCATAGGTAACCAGGTTTTTTAAGTGGTGGTACTACATCAATATCTTCCGTTCTTGGTCCTGGTCGCACCGCCACAGCCCGATCGCACCAATCAGCATCACAACCCCTTTTCTGCGTGTTTACTATGGAGTAACAGTGTGGAGAGTTGGATTGGGAACTAAAAGTCGCTTGCCAAGATTTCCCTTGTTCGTCATTTCCTTCAAATGAAACTCTTGGCTTCTTCTCCTGAACAAGTTAAAGAAACTTGAAATAGCAAACAAAATATCGAACAAAGCGAACAGTGAAAAGGCTTGCGCAATCTCTCTGCGGCCGCTGGAATCTGCTTGGCTGTTTCACCAGGCGCTTGATGTCATTATACAGCCGATCGGCATAACTCACGGCCCTTCCAATCATCGCCCTTGAACCTGGCGGGGAGCTGTCACTTTCCCTGGCGCCAGGCCAAACACCAAGTAGCCACTGCGGTCATTGTGTGGCCATCCACGATAACAGGTCTAGGGGTCCTCTGCTCCACCTCGGTTCAACCTAGCGCCTTTGTTGTCGCTTTTGTTCGCGCCGCCATTGTTTCTTATCAGAGACATACCTCTGGGTCGTTGCCCGACCATGTTCATCTCGTCGATTCATCCTCCCATTTCCTGAAGGTACCCTCCCGGAAATCTTGAACACAGTTAGAAAGGCAGTCATACACCCAACGGAGAATCCGCCCGTCTTTTTCGGGGCTTGGGAGCCTCGTTCAATACCCCACATACTGCAAGCCTTCTTTTCTAGCTTGGTTTACCCGCATATCGCTCTGGTCACTTATCAACCATGACGAGCGCCCTGGAAGAGGCCCTGGAGCATGCGGGCAAAAATGGTAAGGCAGACGAGGGGGAGTCGGTTTCAACCTTCGTGGCCTCGCTGGCGACGGCTTTTGTCGTCTTTGCAGTCGAATTCTGCCTTTTCTTGGTCCTCAAAGGCAAACTGACTCGCATTTAGTAAGTCGGAGCTTGCTTCAACTATAAGAACACCCCAGCTAACCATGGAAGTCAACCACGCACATACCTTGTTCCCGATCGAGAACGTACTACACCATCGCCTCCCGGTCTTTTTCGTTGGGTTGTCCCTGTCTTCCGAACTTCTAGTGCCGAGCTCATCCAGAAAAGCGGCCTGGATGCATACTTTTTTCTGCGTTATCTACGCATGCTGTTGAAGATATTCCTCCCTCTTGCATTCGTCCTTTTGCCAGTCCTCATTCCTATCAACCGTGTGGGTGGCAAGGGTACAACATATGAGAATGGCACCAGCGGAGAGCGCTGGGATGTTACTGGCCTTGATCAACTGGCTTGGGGAAATATTAAACCTCAGCACACACACCGTTATTGGGCCCATCTGGTCATGGCGATCCTTGCAATAGTGTACATCTGCGCCATCTTCTTTGATGAACTACGAGGGTATATTCGCATGCGACAGGCCTACTTGACTTCTCCACAACACCGACTACGTGCGTCCGCAACCACCGTGTTGGTCACGGCTATCCCACCCGAGTGGCTCAGCGTTGAAGCCCTGGACAATCTATTTGATGTCTTCCCAGGCGGAATTCGCAACATCTGGATCAACCGCAATTTTGATGAACTTCTTCACAAAGTCCAAAGGCGAAACAAGGTTGCCCTTAAGCTTGAGGCAGCTGAAACTTCCTTGATTCGAAAGTGTAAGGAGGCTCATCTCAAGCAACTCAAGGCAGAGGCCAAGAAGAACAAAAAGAACAAGATCAAGGTTGAGGATGGAGAAAAGATGGCTATCGATAAACATGCATCTCAAATGGCTATGGGACCTGGTGTAAGCTCCGGTAACCCACATCAGGCCCATACGTTGGAGGAAGAACTACATCGCGAGCCAGAGGAACATGAGCTCCATGCCTCGGGTGTTTCCCGGAATGGCATATTTGATCCGGCGAAAGCAGCGGCTGGGGCGGTTGGTCTAGGTGTTGGGAAGTTGGGCAGAGGCCTATTGGGTAGTCTCAAGAAGGTGGAAGGTGGCATTGATCACACACTGACTAGAAACGGAGGATTTGTCGAAACCATCGATGATGGATTACCGCCTCGCCAACAAAAACCCGCGGGGGGCAATGCTTACTCTCCAGCCGACACGCTTGGCTCCGAACTCATGCCACCCACCCCCATGTCAGAAACACCCGAGCCTGCACAGGGGAGCAGCGCCATGAATGGAGATGGAAAATCCCCACCCAAACGACCATTTTGGAAATCTCGCAGTTCATCTCACTCCAAGCATTCTAAGCATGATACAGAGCAGGATGAGCACCCTCTCACTGCACCCGATACCCCTGTTCACGCCAAACGCTGTGAATCCCAAAGTCGAAATGAGAAGGCTAGCCAGAACAAAGACCACAAAGAAGAGGCGCGTGGAGAGCGGTACCCGATCGCATACGACGAGAATTTCAATGAAGAGGAATATGGTGAGCCTTTGTGGAAGAAGTACATTCGACACAAGGATCGAAAAACATGGCGTCTCCCTTGGTTTAAGTGGAGAAAATGGCCAACAATTTGGCTTATCGGCAAAAAGGTTGATACGATTGACTACTGTCGGAAAGAGCTTGCCCGTTTGAACTTGGAGATTGAAATTGATCAGCAGAACCCTGAGCGTTTTCCATTAATGAACTCGGCGTTCATCCAGTTTAATCATCAAGTCGCCGCGCACATGGCTTGTCAGTCAGTCAGTCATCATTTGCCTAAGCAGATGGCCCCACGAATTGTGGAAATCTCCCCCGACGATGTGGTTTGGAGTAATATGTCTATAAAGTGGTGGGAGCGTTACCTGCGTACTTTTGGTATCATCACAATTGTCTGTGCGATGGTTGTTGGGTGGGCTTTCCCTGTTGCGTTTACCGGGTTGCTGTCGCAGCTATCCTACCTGGAAGACGCTTTCTCATGGCTAGCCTGGCTTCGCAAGCTACCAACTTGGCTCATTTCAGCTATCCAAGGTATTTTGCCTGCGACTTTCCTGGCTATATTGATGGCACTGCTCCCTGTTATCCTTCGGTTCTTGAGCAAGAAACAAGGTGTGCACACGGGTATGGCCATCGAATTGACTGTCCAAAACTACTATTTCGCCTTCTTGTTCGTGCAGCTGTTCTTGGTCGTCACAGTAGCGTCCAGTTTCTCGACCATTATTGAGAACGCTACCGATGTTGCCAGCTGGCCGACACTTCTGGCCTCGAACATCCCCAAATCCAGTAACTACTTCTTCTCCTATATGATTCTGCAAGCAATGTCCGTCAGTGCAGGTGCCCTCATGCAAATCGTTAACCTCATTGGCTGGTTTATCCTTGGTCCGATCTTGGATAAAACCGCCAGGAAGAAGTGGGCTCGCACAACCAACTTAAATCAAATGCAATGGGGCACCTTCTTCCCCGTGTATACAACCCTGGCTTCAATTGGTATGTATAATTTGAAACATCTACTTGGCGCAAAATTTGTGCTAACCTTCTGTCTAGGGTTGATCTATAGTGTGGTTGCACCTCTCATTCTTGTGTTCAACGTCATCACTTTCGGCCTCTTCTGGTTCGTTTATCGCTATAATACGCTTTATGTCACCAAGTTCCGCTTCGACACTGGGGGTCTTCTTTTCCCTCGTGCCATCCATCAACTTTTCACTGGACTCTATGTCATGGAGATCTGTTTGATCGGATTGTTTTTCCTGGTTCAGAATGAAGAGGGGAATGCGGCTTGCAAAGCCCAAGGCATCGTCATGTGTTTTGTTCTTGTGCTTACCATTGGATACCAAATACTCCTTAGCGACGCATTTGGGCCGCTGGTCCGGTATCTGCCAATCACCTTGGAAGACGATGCTATTCGCCGAGATGAGGAGTTCAAGCGCGCCCAGCATGCTCGCCTTGGACTTCCCATGGATGATGAAGAAGATGAGCATGAGCCTGTTGATCATGGCATTCCGCAACCTGAGGATAACCAGGGGCGAGACATTGAGCTCAAGCCTTTCGACACAGACCAAGGGGGTCTTAATCATAACCATTCCAGCGATTTTCTCTCGACGCCCAAGCTGGGTAGCAAAAGACCGTCTTGGGCTTCTCGGTCATCGGGCCGGCGGTCCAAATTCTTCGGGGCTAACTCTGCAACCTCTACTCCCACAATCAAGGCCCTACGAGAAAAGATGGCACATGATGCTGAAAATCAAGGGCCAGCCCCCACCAACCTTGGACAGTCTCTCTTTGCTGGCGTTCATGATGAATTGGAGGATCTGACGCCTGATGAGCGCGATCAACTGGTGCAACGCGCATTCCAACATGAGGCCCTCCGCGCTAAACGGCCGGTGATCTGGATTCCTCGTGATGATCTTGGAGTAAGCGATGATGAAGTGTATCGGACACAACGATTCAGCAAGCATATTTGGATTAGTAACGAGTACCAAGCCCTGGATGGCAAGGCTCGGACTATCTACAGTCGCAGTCCACCGGATTTCTCAGAGGTTGATCTCATTCAACTATGAAAGATTGCGCCTTTTCTCTTTCTGTAGTCTATCTTTTTTCTTGTCTAGCGTTTTCAAGCGTCGCATATATTTTTGTTCATAGACCATTCAAGGATTGTACATCTCGGTCTTTTCTAATAATCTACTCCTTTTATCTGTAGTCCCGGGATGTTTAATCCATAAACCGGCACAATGGGAGCCGGTAATTATCCACAACCCAATAAGCCCTTCTTACGCCCTCCCACTCGTTATCCAACTTGGGTACCGGGACATCTTCCCACTCAATATCAAAGCCAGCTTCAAAGAGATCCATCTCTGCGACTTTCTGATACACATCGTAAGAAATTTGTCGATCAGCCCCCATACCATTGAAGAATCCCCACTTGCCCTCCTGCTCCAACAGCCCAATGACCTGCTCCGAGAAAAATTCCCGGAAATCATTGTAAGACTCCGCAAACGTATCGTAGTAAATAGCGTCAAAAGTCTCGCCCGCACCAACAAGGTCAGGCAAGATATCCTGCCATCGACCCTCGTGGATCACGACACCAGGTTTGGAGTCCCACCCGCGCCGCTTCATCTCCGCAACAACATCCGGGTGTGCCTCAATAATATGGTGCGAAGCAGGGCTTTGCTCCTGGAAGAACCCATCCACAATACCCATACCGTGTCCGACGTTGAGAACCTTCATACCCGGTCGCGGGAGCAGCTTCTGCGCAGAACTCTTCATGATAGAGCTCTCCCAACTCATCATGACACCATTCTGATCTGCGTCGAGGATCCGGTCGTTGGTGATGTGTAGGGAAGAGTCAAGATAACCCGGGTTCGACACCGCGGGGTTCTCAAGCTCTCCAGATGTAGCTGCAGCATTTGTCGCGGACGCATCGACGAGTTCCGGAGCGGTCTCGTCTTCGACTTCGTCCTTGGCGTCTGTCTCGACACCCTCTTCCTCCTCGTTCTCGTCCTCGTCATCCCCGTCGAATAACTCCTCATACCCTTCCAATCGACTCAGAAGCATCTCGGCCCTGACACCCGCATCAAGGATAAGCTCATACAGCTCCGGCGCCCTAATTCGTCGTGCAAGACACCCTGGTGTCTCATCGTTGTTATCGAGATCATTCCAGATCGCGCCCTCCTGCAAAAGAAACTTCACGGTCTCAACACCGGACTTTAACAGCTCGGCATTCTCATCTGACTTGCTATCCGCGTGTGCGCCATTCGCGCCGTTCGCCTCTTCCTCTTCGGGCTCGCAGGCTGCGATGGCGGCGTGGAGGGGCGAGTAGCCGGTCTCTGGGTCTTTAACGTTTGCGGCGTTCGGGAGAACGGATTGTGTGCGTAGGAGGCGACGGAGCTTGGAAATATCATGTTGAGAAGCGGCGAGGAGAATCTCCTGGATGTCAAGGTCGACGTCAATTTGGGTGAAGGAGACTTCGGGGTCGTTGGTGGGGTCGGCCATTTTGACGATTCCTAAGAATTGGAGCGTTAAATTCTGCGATTATGGATTTCAAGATCGTAAGGTTTGAATGGATGTTCAAATGTATTTGTACAGTACTTACCAAGAGATATGATGCTCTTGAATATGTGAAGTTGACAACCTTGGGTACGGAGTATATTGGACTCGATAAAAAAAAGTTGGTGGAGCCTCCGCTCGCCGCCTTAGGCTTGTCCCCGCGTTCACTTAGAAAATATATCTTTGCGACAACCTTCACAAGGAACCTTGGAATTGAAGTCTAGCTCATACGTCTTCGAACTCCAAAATGGAAATCTCAGAATATTGAAACAGATTTAAAGAGAAGAGACCACGTTCTGTTACTCCTAAGTAAGCTATTTGTACAAATATTTGAATGTTCACGGCGCCAAATTAAGTTAGATTATTTGCCCTCCTCGCCGCCTGCGTTGACGTTCAGACCAAGACCCTGGCTATCCAAGTACATCTTGTTCTGTCCACCGCTCTCCTGCAGAATTTGGGCGATGGCACGAGCATTCTCGATCTTCCGCAGCTCGATGTAGCTCTTGCTCTTCTTGATCGCGTCTCCGATCAGCTCCGCAGAACGGGCCTCACCCTGAGCGCGGACAATGAAAGCCTGCTTCTCCTGGCGAGCCTTGTCAACCATGAAAGCCGCACGTTGGGCGTCTTGCTGTGCCACCTGCTTGGCCTCGACGGCAGCAGTGAATTCGGGAGAGAAGGTTAGGTGCTATGAAGAGATGAGTGTTAGCTAAGATGTGGAAGCAGAGTATATATGGTTGATGCTTACAGTCAAGGAGACATCGTCGAGAGCAATGTTGAAGCGTGCAGCACGGCGGGCCAGGTTCTCGCGGACCAGACGGGCGACATTCTCACGCTGGGTGATCAGCTGACTGGCGTTGAACTGAGCCACAACGCTCTTCAGGACCTCGTTGACAATAGAGGGCAGCACACGCTCGTCGAAATCTTGACCCAGGGTTCGGTAGATCTGGGGCAGAGCATCCACGCGGGGCCGGGACAGCACACGGCAAGTAATGTTGACCATCTGCAAGTCCTTGGTACCGGTCAAGGAGGCAATGTTGCGCGGTTTGGCGCGGACATCGTAGATAATAGGAGTCTCGACCCATGGAATACGAAGGTGGGTTCCTACAGGCGAATGCAGAGGTTAGTTCCTAGCTCTGTTCCTGGTCGTAGTTGATGTCACATCATACCTTCATTGTAGATCTCCTTCCGCACACCACTAAACCTCGAGTACTTGATGGCACGGTGACCACCATCAACTAAATAAAAGCATGTTAGTTATCACTCCTACTCGGTGCATTGAATTTCCCATACCGTTGAAGAGCGAATTCGAGACTGCCCAGGTGCCGGCTCCGATCAGGATAAGACCGACCAAGCCCATACCACCACGGCCGCCGCCACCACCGCCAACGCTACCCTTGCGCTTCTGCAGCATGAGCTGCAATCGCTCCCAAGCCTCTCGTTGGTTCTGAGACATAATGTGAAGGTTTAGAAGAGGTGGGTTAGTTGGTGTGGATGAAGACGGGACGTTCGAAGAAGATGCCCGTCAGGCGGTCAGTGTAAAGTCCGGCAAAATATCTTCCTTCTTTCACTCGTTCAACCTTAAACCTGCGCTTGCATTGACACATCACAACCATGGCGCCTGATCGAACCGGAAAAAGCGTGTTCTTGGGGAACATCCCCTACAGTAAGTACCCAACCACCTCGAAAACCTCACTTCTCATTGTGGATCACTGACAATCCCCGCAGACCTCACCGAGGAACAGGTGAAAGACATCCTGAGCACAGCTGGCACTGTCACCAAGTTCCGGCTTATGATGAACCCAGAGACCGGCAAACCGAAGGGATACGGATTCGCAGACTTCGCCGACGCGGATGCTGCAGCTTCCGCTGTTCGAAACCTCAACGATTACGAAATTATGGGCCGCAAGATTCGCGTCGACTGGCCTCACAATAATGAGAAGGATTCCATTCCTACAGACTACCCGGAAGACTCGCAACCTGCAGCTCAAGATCCTACACAACAAATGCAGCAAATTCCCGGTGCTGCGCCATTGCCTCCTCTTCCACCAGGCGTTGAAGTCCCCCCTCACCTCGACTGCCCTAATGCTATCTCCCACACTCTCGCCTCGCTCTCCCCAAACCAGCTCCTCGACGTCCTCACCCAGATGAAATCTCTTGCGGTGGCTGATCCCGCCCGTGCCACTGAACTTCTACGACAAGCACCCCAGCTTGCCTATGCGATTTTCCAAGCGCTGTTGTTGATGAATCTGGTCGAATATCAGCTTCTCGGATCCATTGTTGAACAGGCATCCCAGCCCCAGCCTGTGGCACATCAAGCCTATCAATCCTACGGTGCTCCTGCTCAGATTTCAACTCCGCCTGTGGCGGGTACACCATTTGCGCCGCCTCCGCAAGCCGCACCACCCCAACCTGTGGCTAGTCAAGATGAACTGCTGCAGCAGGTTCTTGCTATGCCGCAGGCGGCAATTGATGCCCTGCCCCCAATGGAACGCAATCAAATTATGATGCTTCGCCAGCAGTTGATGCAAGGAGGTTTGCGGTAGATGATATGATGACTTCAACCTTACCAAATGATCCAACCCTTTGTTCTTCGGGAGGCTGAGTTTCAATTCTTTGGGATTATAATCTTTGATCTGGCGATGGATGGCGCATGGAGTCAATATTCTTTATCAGCTTTTCTTGCATTTCAGCTTCTCTCTAGTTGTTCCTTTTAGAATGACCAGGGAATCAAACATCGCGATGTGAATATGAATGTGACTCTAGCTTGCCATTGTCCACCCTAGTAGAAACCTATCCTTGCAGCATTCTCATATCAATAAAGATTTGAATCTGCAAATACATACCTTTCTCAGCTCTACACTACTTAGCTACTAGGCCAAAAGTTTAGTACCAGCTAGTATATAATGGGAGTTTACATTCGGGCGCGGTTACCCATGTATGCGCCGGATCAGGTATGCTGTGTTAAATGGATCGCTTCAAGTTATGCACAGCATTTTCAACCATTTCTCTAGTCAGTTATACTCCCATTTGCTCGGAAGATAAGACGTTAAGAGTATCATTCCTATTTAGTAGCGATTTTTCTTCTGTAGTAACGATTACCTCGTTTTGCGGCTGACTGGAATTGGCGCAGGCGCTGGGTGCCCAATTAGCGGCTCATCAGGAGACCCACCAACCGGACCCGCCCACCATTATAAAAAAAAGTCCACGGGTCGGAAAATCTTTCCTCCTTCGCCGAATCCATTACTCTGAACATTTTCCTGATCACGTGATCATTCACGTCATCGGAGATCTGCGTACCAGCGCTATCGATAATAGCACCCCGTAAGTACTTGATAAGCATTCTTGAAACTTTATGCATGTTAGCTAATATGGCGTCAGCTCCTCCCTCACCATGGTGCCTCGCGTTGGACGCGGCCATGGTAGGAAAAACCTCACCTCCCCTCTCCAGCAATCCACTGAAGAGGATTCTCAGCAGCCAGACCCAGCTGCTTCTTCAACTACGACTGGCACTCAGCCAAAGCCAGGCGCACCGGAGTTTGTCCATGGTACCTTAACGAAAACCAAACGTCACTACATCGCGGGGAATCTGCCTCCGATGTCCAATATCGAGGATATCTTTACTGATCTTGCCCAGAAGGCTTTAAGCCTGGGACTTGATATGGTAATTCAGTCACTGAATGGTAGACTACTCCGTGTTGCGACCATGTGCTCAGGGACGGAGAGTCCCTTATTTGCCCTTCAAATGATCCAGCAAGGTAAGTTGGCGTTGTCTATTGTTGTTATTTAAGGTTGTGGACCCACGTGATCCGCATGACCCGCATGACCCGCTCTACCGCCCGCTACTGTACTGCGGTTAACATGAACACCCGTTCGTCAATTTGCCCAATCATATTTACTTACGCTGGTCCATCACTTTCCCCTGCACTGGAAGCTTAGCTGTTACCACTCTATTTCCTTCACCTCATTCCCCTTCTTGTGCTTATGAACTTCTACCATCATCGCTCTTCTTACTGCTCTCATATTCTCACTTGTCACTTCACCACCTTCCCATCCTGAGTTTGAATTGAGCAGACATACTAATATTTTTATAGCTCTTGATGGGCTTAGCACTGACGGCAAGCGATTCCGGGTCGAGCATGCTTTTAGCTGCGAGATCGTTCCGTTCAAACAAGCATATATTGAGCGGAACTTTGAGCCACCACTCCTCTTTCGAGACATCTGCCAAATGGGTGGCGACGAGGCTCAAACGGCATATGGCACCCTGGCGAAAATTCCCGGGGATGTCGATATCCTAGTCGCTGGAACCGCATGCGTCGACTTCTCTCGACTGAATGTCAACATGGACGCCAACAACGAAAGCGGAGAATCCATCTCCACTTTCAATGGCATGTTGATGTACTGTTCGAAGTACCGACCCCGACTGGTCATTTGTGAGAACGTGATAGCAGCCCCCTGGGAAAAATTCGAAAACGCTTGGTCAGGAATTGGCTATTCCGCAAAACACGCCACGCTCGACTCCAAGCACCACTACATGCCACAAACCCGGCAACGTGGATACTTGGTCGCAGTCGATGAGGGCCGTATGAATACGCCAGCCACTGATCGCCTCGCTATCCCACTGGACGCACTGAACCTGATAACCAAGTTTCGCCGCCCGTGCAGCTCACCCACAAGTTCATTCTTGTTGGGCGCAGATGACCGGAAGTTGGAGCAGATCGAAAAGGATCTCTCTAACCGCTTGGAAGCCAGTTCTTGCCGTGCCGAGGTGGCCTGGGACTCGTACAAGATGCGTCACCAAAAGTGTCGCGACGAGTTACCAGCGAACGATCAGCGACCTATCAGTCGTTCGAATCCAGGAGGAAAAAGCTGCCAGGGACCAGATTATTTCTGGTGCCCTTGGTTCAAGCTACAGGTGGAGAGAGTCACGGAAACGCTCGACATCAAATTCTTGACATCGCTAAGCCTCGGATTTGATTTCCAGTACAAGGAGCGTTACATCGACTTGTCACAAGGTGTTGGCCGCAGCGCCGAGAATACCACTGCGTTCGGGACAATCGGTTGCTTGACTCCGTCGGGTATGCCGTTTTCGACTCTTCGTGGTGGCCCTCTGACAGGACTTGAAGCTTTGGCACTCCAAGGTCTCCCCATTGACCGAATGATTCTGTCCCATGAATCATCCAGGGAGCTTCAAGACCTCGCTGGCAACGCCATGACCTCGACTGTCGTTGGGACAGTCATGCTCTCCGCTCTGATTGCGGCTAGAAGCGTGTTAGAAGGAGGCGCAGAAAACCCCACCCTGCAAGCCGATGCTGGTCCGAAGACAGCGTCGCCTATGCCCACAATCGAGGTAGGACACAAACTCGCGGCTACTGAAGAGAACCACAATTGCACCGTCGATGGATCGGGTTTCGGGCCCATTCTCGTGGCGCAATCGGTGTTAGCCGCCCGTTACTGTGCTTGCGAAAGGCAGTCTCGGGTCGCTCCCGCTATCGTCGAGTGCCAATTATGTGGACATACTGCTTGCAGTTCCTGTGCCGGCAATCCTCCACACGCCTATGAACCAAAGGTTTTTGACGGACAACGGATCCAGCCACTTGAATTCGATAAGAAGCTGAGGGAAATCCTCCCTATGCGGCTTCGCTTCGGCGGGGTCGGGGCAAAGGACCTCAAGCGTTTCGAACATCTCAAGCGCCAATTCCTCGGCAACGCTCCAGACGACACCTGGGAGCAGTATATCTCCTCTGTCCAGAGCGCCCTCCTCGAGGAGGTGCGTTTCACTGACATCAAACGAACAGAGGTTTGGACTGTCTTCTTCGAAAGTGAATTTGCGAGCCTGCGCCTTGAAATTAATGGCGAAGGTCCCCAGTGGCTGTTGTTCGCCAAGACCCCTAAACGTTCTCCGGCACAGTGCGTGCTGAGAGAGATTCTCGCAAAGCCGATCGCGATAATGCGACCCGAAACATCCGAATTGTTTGGTGGTGTATGGGAAGTGCTTGAACCAATTAGCACCGAGTTCGCTCTCCGAGTAAGCGGTTCAGGAAGCCAGGTGCGATCATACCTAGCTGAATGTGGCCTGCTCGGATCCAAGCATACCGAACCTCGGGTGTGGTCACAACTTGAGATCGATTGCGACCAAGCGGATGTTGATCATCTTGATCATGATCTCCGTGGCACATACGACCTTCTTGCCGATTGTGGAACTGCTGAAGGATCTTTGCACAAGAAGCAGTGCCAGGAGGGTATGCCTCCCGTCTACTTGTTCTTAGATCCTAGAAAGGCTGGTCCAATCATGAATGATTCGTTTGTGTTCTCCGTCGAACACCGAAGGAACCCTGGTTACGAAGTACGAAGAACCGTTGCTGAGCTTCCGCCTACCTGGCGGCCAGTGTCTGTGAAGACACACGACAAGACCTCGGCTTACGCACGGCGATGCCACAAAGTCCCCAAAATGGTCTTGGGCCCTAGTGATGGCGAACCAATCTTTTACCGTCACTTGGATCTCAAGACTGACCTTTTCCTTCGCGGTGGAGACTGCCACAATTCATACATCCCCTTGGCTTCTCTTTCAGCAGATGACGCTGTGACCTTGGGCCTGACCGAGCGCCAGAATACGCCGATCAACCCGGAAAGACACCCGAATGCATTCCAAGGAATTACCTGGGCCCTTCTACGAGTTGGGCATGCGTCGTCTTTCCACAAGTGGAGAGACCTAGGGTTTGCTGCTCTTGCTACTAGTTGCCAGACCTGCAAGCCTGCTTGGCCTAAAATCCTTTGGAGACGTGACCGGAAAGGAAAGGCCAAGCCCCATGAAGATCCTCAGGAGGCAGCGGCTTACGAGCGTGCCGTAAAATCCAAACCGCCGCCCTTCATGATCTTCACGAATGTTGAGCACCTCCAAGGCCGCATAATCTCACCCGGTGAGCTGCAGGTCGCAGTCAATCTGCAGTCGATGGCGCATTCCGCACTTGGAAAGCTCGTCGACTTTGAAAGTCTCGACGGTGTCCACTTCTCCTGGCGACTGGTTTCAAATGCATATGATATGGGCCGACAACGACTCCCTGCATTCGTACTCCCGCACAACCAGGCCGATGACCCCCATGCGCAGCCACCGAATTTCAAACGTCAGCTACGCACTGAACAGCTGCGGTCATTGCGCTGGATGATCGCGCAAGAACCCGATGACATCAGGCCTTTCATTGAAGAGGAAACTGAAGAAGCCTTCTGCAGAATGATGGCCTGGCGAGCTGATGTAAAGGTCTTAATCCCTCGACTTATTCGTGGAGGATTGGTTGCCGACGAAGTCGGATTTGGGAAAACCGCGACAGTCCTAGGCTTAATTGACTCCCAACACAAGGACGACAAGGAGAGACTGAGAAATTCGGTGAAGAGTCCGGTGAAGAGTCCAATTGGGTTTTTAGCCACAAACGCAACTTTGATCGTTGTGCCCCCGCATCTGCGCCGCCAATGGGGTACAGAAATCGACAAGTTCCTCGGCACTAAGTACCGAGTCGTGGAAATCCCCACTATGAGTGCCCTGTGGAAAGTCACTATCGAAGACATCCAGGACGCTGATATTGTTCTCGTTTCTTCGGGAGTTCTGACAAGCGCCGCTTATTTTGACCGTCTACGGAGTGTGTCCGGCGTTGCACGGGTTCCAATGGAGAACAAGGGCGCTCGCGTCCGCGATCTTTGGTTCCGGGGTGCACTGAACACTCTGAGGGATTTGATTGTGACTCTAAACGCTTCTGATCCCGAGCACTATCTCGAAGAACTGGTGACACGACATCGGAGGTGGAAGGATAATCAGGAAGCCTCGACGTACGAGCCATCTCGTCGATACAAGGGCAAGGCCTTTATAGCCAATGAGAAAAAGTTGCGTGAGGAAAAAGAACGACAGGATGCATCTTCTGTCCCTGACCCTCAGGACTTAAAGTCGGACCTGAAACCCGCGGTGGGTTCCAAGGTTGAAGAAGCAGAAAGGGAGGCCATCACCAAGGAGTTGCGGACGCTTCTTAGCACTACCGCCAACAAACTCTCGAAGATGAAAGCCCCAACCCTCCACGCTTTCGACTTCAACAGACTTGTTATTGATGAGTTCACTAGCTCGGACGAAGATAAACAGCTTCCTATTATGGAATTATCTGCTCGTTCCAAGTGGATTCTCTCTGCCACCCCTGACCTTGATGATTTCGCGGACGTAAAGAGCATTGCACGCCACCTGGGCGTTCACCTCGGAATTGACGACGACGCAGATGTTTCGTCTCATAACAAGAGACTGAAAGCAAAGAAAAACCAATTGAGCAATGTCGAGAAGTTTCTGACTTATTCAGTGCCTCACAGCAATGACTGGTACCAGAATCGAAGTCTCCATGCTCAGCGCTTTCTCGACCAATTTTCCCGCCAGAACATCGCCGAAATTGATCAGATTCCCATCGAGCTCCACATGATTTTGTCTGAACAATCTGATACGGAGCGGTACCGTTATGAAGCCCTTTTTAACCGAATTCGGTCGGAGAAAGGGCGACTTCGAAGGATTCACAACTCTGACAATGACATCTCACTCAGTCGCTTGAACGATCTCATTCTCTCAAGCAAATCTCCCGTGGAGAGTTTATTAAAAGCCTCCATCACCAGCAAGCTGAAGGACCACCCATGGAGCATCTCGGCCTGCAATTCCCAGCTCAATACACTAGCGAAGGGTTATGCAACTCGGTACGAAAAGCTGCAGACTTTGCTCCGCCAATACTACTACTTCAGGTCCCGACTAAACCCCTCTCTCCCTGTCTGGAATGTCATCATGGATGAGATTCTAGGCAATGACTACGGTGACGAACTGGTCCAGACACAGACCGCCAACCTCATATCTGAACTCCATGCAGCTCACAACGTGTGGATGAACGTCCAAGAGACGACTCCACCCGCTGTGCCGTCGAAGACTGGTCACGAATTCCAGTCCCAATGTGAAGAAATAATTGCCAAACACCGCAAGAAGACAAAAGAAGTTAAACCTAGAAAGAGGACTACTGCTCCCACTACTGCTCCCACTACAACCGCTGATACGAACCTCGATGATACCCTTAATGAGGACTTTAATGAGATCGATGATAAATTCTATGATGAGACTTTTGATGACGATACGCATAATGACGACAATGCCGATGAAGCTCTACCAAAACCCAAGAAGCGAGCCCGAACTTCAGTGACCGTCCCGGTTCTAGATGCAACCATACAGTCTAAAATCGCGAGCAACTTGAGAAAGCCGCTAACCACCGATTCCCTTGATACCATTCGACTTATCGTCAAGAATAGACGCAACCATCGATTCCACGGCGCAATGCTAGCTTTGCAAGATAATGATGTCCCACCTTGCTCAAACTGCCATACAACACCTAACAGCATCCACGATCTCACTGTGCTAAGATCCTGCGGTCATATCCTCTGCGAAGAATGTCTTGAAGGTACTGCCACATCAGAAGTATGCAATATCAACAACTGCACAGGATCAGCTACCAAAGACAAGCATGTCAAAGGCAGCGAACTTAACAGCCAAGACATAATCGTCCGAAGCAGCAAACTCACCAGCTTCATTGAATTGATCCATTCGATCCCAGACGACGAAAAAGTCATCGTCTTCGAACAAAAGGAAGACATCCTCAAACTTCTGGTCCGAGCCCTTGAGTTGGAAGGAGTCCCCTACATCACTCCCAAAACCGGACAAGCCGAAAAATCAATCGAAGAATACATAAAAGACGCCTCACCCTTCAAGGTGCTGGTTCTTCCTCTCGGAGGCGCAATGGCTGCAGGCCTGTAAGTCAATTTCCCCCCGATTCCCCAATCCCCAAATCTTCCATTTCAATCTCCAATTCCATTTCAAGGACACACTAACCCTGTGACAACGTCACTCTTCATTCCACAGAAATCTGCAATGCGCAAACCATGTTGTTTTCGTCTCGCCATTACACACCACGACACAACACGACTACGAAGCCGGCATGAAGCAAGCCATCGGGCGAGCACGTCGCTATGGCCAGAAAAAGACCGTGCATGTGTACCACATGCTTGTGAAGTTTACCGCGGAAGTCAACGTCTTCGAAGAACGGCAGGGGAAACGTGTGATTGAGAGAGATGGATATGGGATTCTTTTGGAGGATGATGACGAACTTAAGGAATTTGATATTGAGTGCACTGGAGATCCCTTTGATTGGGAAGCCACAGATCCCCAGTGGGAAGAACCAGGCATGACATAGTGGGAGAAAAATGACAGAAAATACTGAACTAAACTCTTCTCGATTGTTCGTGGCATTCAGGTACAAGCTAAAAGCAAGTAAAGCTTAAGCTTCAAGCTCTTAGAGTAGGAGGATCGTGGAAAACTAAAGAAATTTGTATTGATGCCGACTTAATCTGCATCCGGCTCCCATTCCAAAAAAAGAAAAAAAACTTCGGGGCCACGTATACTGTACATGGTAGACAAACAAAAAGAACAAAGACGCCCTGGAAAGACGATGCAGCGGTATGTTTCTAAACTTTTCCCGTTCTTGCATCTGCAAAGTATCGGGGCGGGGTCTCATCTCCAGACCCTCAATTATAATTCCCTTCACTTTCCATACCAAATCATAAATGCAAGCTTAACACAGTTTCAGTGAAATCTGTCTATTGCTGCGGCTGCGCATCCAGCGCACCATCAGTGCGCATCATGGTCTCGGGGTTCCACACAACCTCCTTCAGGTTGGTCAGACCAGCGCTGTTCTCACAGGTGTCACGCCCGCTCAGCGGACCAGGAGCAGGAACCTTGGTGGAGGCGGCGGCGCCGGTAGCAGTGGCGCTTTCCTTGAGGGCAGTGAGGAGGGACTTGATAGACTCGGGGGTCAGATCCTCGTAGTAGTCGTCGTTGATCTGGACCATGGGGGCGTTAACGCAGGCACCCAGGCACTCAACCTCGATGTAGGTGAAAAGGCCGTCCTCGGTGGTGTGGCCGGGAGTGATGCCGAGGTGCTCATTGATAGCCTTGACGATGGCGTCAGAACCGCAGCCACCAAGCTGGCAGGGGGTCTAAAACCCAAAATGTAAGCCATTGACTCGGAATTGACATGCCAACCATATGGAATATGGGGGATCATACCGTAGTGCAGATCTGCAGGAAGTACTTGCCAACCGGCTCGCGGTTGTACATGGTGTAGAAGGTCGCGACCTCGTAGACACGCATGGGGGGCATCTCGAGCATGCGAGCGACCTCGTTCATGACGCTGATGCTGGTGAAGCCGGCCTGGCGCTGGCCGAGATCAAGCAGGGGCATAACAGCCGCCTTCTTGTACTGGGGAGGGTAGCGCTTGAGAATCTCATCGACGAGGGTGAGGTTCTGCTTGGAGAACTCGAAGGGAATGCTGGGGTTGTTGTGGGGGGAGTTGCGGTGCTAGAAAAAACCATTGTCAGTTCATTCCACTAGCTCGCGATTTCTTGCATGCTTGTATGCACCGGGCAATGCCGAGGGGCCTAGGAACAGGGCTTCACGTACGACATTCAGGGCGTCGCTGCATCGCTGGGGAGCGGCGGAAAAGGACCGGAATGAGGTGAAGGGAGTCTGGCGCAGCACCCGGCTGGCCCGCGAAACGGGGAAGAGTTTCGACGCCATGAGGGGAGAATTGAGGTGGATTGGGGGGGAAGTTGGTGATGGAGGAGAATGACGGATCGAGTTGGCAAGACGTTTTGCGGGCGGTCAGCCAATCAGCGTCGACAGATTACTCTCTAGCACAAACAGTCACAACCTCCATGTTCATTCTTCAGATTCATTTAGAATTATGTAAAATCTCCAGGTACTGAATATCTCCATATGATCCACTATACATTCTCCATCCGATAAACTTCATATGCAACTACCTCATAGGGATGCGCCTTGACCAGAGCCTCCACCGCGTTCACCATCACCTCTCGTCCAAGACACATAATTTCCACCTTCACCTCCTCTAGCTTCTCCAGCACTCCAACGGCCCCAATCGCTGGAGTTGCGCCTTTATTCGGACGAAATTGGCCCTGTCCAGTGGTCTGGAAACAGACGTGGCTGTATGTGCCGCCCGGGAAGGTGCCTGCGCCAGTTGCAAAGATGGCTTCTTTACAGGCTTCTAGGTCTGAGGGTGGAACAGTGAAGACCAGCTTATAACGATCTGGTATCGACATTTTTTGATGTAGCAGAGGTTGTAGAACAAGGGCTTATGTAGTAGTGAAGATATCAATTTGTGCTTATGTGGTTTCATCGCATTCATGGGCCGGCTCGGGTGGATTATAATTCCGGTACAGACTATAGCTTCAAGCTATGCGATAAATTCTGGGCTTGGTACAAATTATACATGTTATGATATAGTGGTATGAAGAAGAACAAAAGGATCTCAGAGAGAGGAGTGGGTAAATATGCCCACCGCCAGCGTGAAAACGTCACTGGAGTACACACACACTCCGCTTCTCAATCGTCAACGTTCGTAGCATGTTCTTAACACGTATGAATGGAACATGGAAGTCCAGGAAAATTCAATAGCGAACACTAAACCACACAAAGCGAATACACAACCGGAAGATAACAGAATAATTTAACATACTAGCCATTCCACCATTGGTTACAGTTAGGAGGGACTACAGTAGTATCAATGGAACTGTGTTGATCCACAAGCTTCTGGATAATGACCAATCATTCCAAGGATGACAAAGAGCAGGTTGTATCGATGACAGTTAGCATTCTGATGAAGAGATTAGTAAATATGCCCAAGCATATATAATTATAATAAAATGACAAATCTCTTCAGTAAAATGGATGGAAAGTAGAGTGAGAGATGGAAGGACAAAAAGTTGGGTTTCCCGTCAAGGCAAATTCCAAACATTTGCCCTAACTTTGGAATTGATAAAGTTGAAATTATCATATATACATGTTGAAACGTCGGGTATCGTAACATCTACAGGAAATTCTTCACATGAGCCTCAATACGCTCCAACAACTCCGCCTTCCTTTCATTCGAAATCCAACTCTCCTGCACCGAATTCTCCGCCACAATCCTCCACTCCAAAATAGAAAGATTATGGGCCTCCTGCACAGCACAGTAATTATCCAAAATATAAGCCCCAAAATAAGCCGGATCATCACTGTTAATGGAAAACTTCACCCCAGCCTCCAAGAACTTCCGAATCGGCACCTCCGCCACAGACTTCACACACTGGAGCTTCACATTCGAAACCGGGCAGACAGTCATAAGAACATTCTCACGCGCACACCGCGCCATCAACTCCGGATCCTGAATCAAGTTGATCCCATGATCAATTCGCGTCGCTCCAAGCTCCATCGCCGTACTGATATACGTCGAATCACCCTCCTCACCAGCATGAGCCGTAAGTGGGATTCCCTGGTCCCGCGCAGAAGCATAAATCTCTCGGAACATATCCTTCGGTGGCCCAACTTCAGAGGAAGACCATCCCAGTCCGTGGATGGTTCCTTTCTCATAATCTCCTGAGGCAAGGAAGGTCTTGTACAGCTCATTAGCCGATTCAACGGGTAAATGGCGCAAGAAGCAAAGGATAAGTCGGGTGCTCAGGCCCAGTTCGCGTTCAGCACGCTTGCAGCCCTCAGAGAAGCCTGTAACGATAGTCTCGTAGGGGATACCACGGTCCTGGTGGACTTGAGGGTCGAAGAAGACTTCGGCATGGTGGACGCCGTCGGAATGGGCCTTTTGGAAATAGGCCCAAGCGAGATCGGCGAAATCGCTTTCCTTTTGCAGGACGGCCATGCCGGCGAAGTAGTAGTGTAAGAAATCATCTAGTGAAGTGAAGCGGTCGTAGCGCTCTGCCAAGGTTGAGATGGAGGTGAAGGCTGGGTCATCCTTTGGGAGGGTCACTCCGTTACGTGCAGCAAGTTGAAAGATTAACTCGGGAGTTAGACAGCCCTCTAGGTGGACGTGGTGTTCACATTTTGGGAGTCCTGCAATGAAACCATGGAGAGGGTGTTGACACATGATTGATATTGGATTTTAAAGGAGAATGAGAAGTGAGAAGTGGGAAGAATTTCCAGGTTTTTTTTTCTTTTTTTTTCACGCGGAGGTAGGACTATATATGGAAAGAAGTGGAAAGCGGAAGAGAAAGTTCAACTCAACCGCCTTGTCTCAAGTGACTCAGTTGATCGGTGATTGAAGCGGGGCTAAAGGTGGAGTTTCTTTATTTTCTTATCTCAATTAAACTCATTGGAATTCTTATTACTCATCTTATACTACTTAAGTCATTTTTCCACTAGGTCGGAGATCTCCGCTTAAGCTAGAACCACAGAGGAAAGTCCAAGAGATGCATTTTCAAAAGCAATGGTATAAACTCCTATGTGCAGATCAACCTCTATCGTCCCCGTAAACCAGATGGCAAGGACATACGTAACATTATCTACACCTTCATCTCCGTTCCAGCGGCCTTCCGAAGTCGGTTCATCACTGCCGCCGCCAAGTCACCATCACTATCAGATATCCCCTCCACGTAAATCACATCCACATCGAGTTCATCAAGAGCCCGTAGCGCCGCGAAAAGCCCATGTGCAATAGAACCCGTATCCGTTCCCAGATGATAGTCGTACGCCATTTTGGTCCGGCTACTTGAGCTGCCAGTCTGCTGCACGGGGATAGGGAAGCTGACCACATTATCGATGGGCGCAGCGATGGGCTGAATAGTACTCGCTAGCACATCATCTGTGGAAAGGTCTAAGCCCTGCTTCCACTCTCTGGTTCGCACGATGCCGATGTTGTGGGCACCAATAGCGGTATCTTGCAGATCTTTTAGTACGTGGCGTGTGACGCCGGCCAAATTCGATCCCGCTTTGAAGAGGACGACACGCGCTTTCGGTGAATAGTGTCTATATTTCATACCCGGCGCTCGGGGGACCTCCTTGACATCCAGCGTTCCGTCGCGGTAGGCAACTGCGACGTTCTCCCAGCCGGGAACTTCGCGCAGTTCTTCAATGCCGATACCACCTGGTCGCAGGATGGCCGGTGGGTCACAGAGACCGTCCACGACGGTACTTTCAACGCCAACTCCGGATGGACCACCATCAAGAATCAAATCGATGCGTCCTTTGAGATCGTGGTGAACGTGTTGCGCCGTGGTCGGGGAAGGCTTGGTAGACGCATTTGCGGACGGCGCGGCGAGTGGACGGTCGGTAGCATGGATGAGTAGACGAGCTAGCGGTGAGGACGGCATGCGGACACCAAAGGTTGTCAAATTCGATGTGACCTCTGGGGCTAGGTGCGAGCCAGACGGATTTGTCAGGATGATTGTGAGTGGGCCGGGCCAGAAGCGTTCGATAAGAGGCGTATAGATCGAGGGAATAGGAACGCGCGGTAGCTTGGTTGCGCTAGGACTGCCTTCTGAGGGATTCAGCAGCCGGTCGAGCATATTAAGAGAGTCAATGTGAACGATCAGAGGGTTATCTGAGGGTCGCTGCTTCGCGCGGTAGATTCCCTGAACGGCGGCGCTGCGTGTGGCATCGGCACCCAAGCCGTAGACCGTTTCTGTAGGGAAAGCAACGGGGATATCATTTGTGCGGAGAAGATTTGCGGCTTCCTCGATGGCCTTGGACTCCGGTGTTTGACTCTTGCGCTCGTCTGCCCACCACTCCGCCAGGGACCGGGATCCAGGGCCTTCGCTAAGGCGTTGGACGGAGACAACCCGTGTCTCAGCATCCGCCATTGTGTTGATAAATCTGGCAAGTATGCGCTGACTGCCAGCGAAAGCACGGGGGAACAGCAGTTTGATATAAGGATCGAATCAATGACGCACTATCGCGACGTAATGAGGGGCGCAAATGGATGTGCACGAGGTCTGAGAGTTCTGTAGACGGAATTGGTCTTTGCTCTCTGTTCTGGGATGTATTGGTTGTATCTATTTTGCTCGGCCTGATCTAGGGCATAGAATTGACGATCATCCCGCGCAATCTCCTGGTTCGCTGCTGTGGCTCTATCGACGAGCAAAAAAAAGAGTAGCCGCTTTTCCATGACGTCGGATGACTCATCAGGTCAGGCTGCACGATGAGATCAATGTCGGCCCAATTAGGGAAAGCAAATGATCAGAGAGAATACTAGAAAGATCAGATCATATGCCTAGTAGGTACATATTAGTAAATTCCAAGGTCATCGTTGGAGTTCCAAGCTTGTTGTAACACCTGATGCCAAGCCACAATCTACAGGGTCTGCATACCCATGTAAAAACCTCGTATCATAAATGTTTAGTCTGCAAAATGGACATTTCTAGACGTAGCTTACGTATTAGCTTGTACTAGAGCTGAATTAAATATGCACAGGTATCTTGGAACGCTCTATGTATGTACACTGTACCCCGCATTGCGCATGATTTAACCCTAACCCAGGACGGCTGCAGACAAAGCCCATGAAAATGTAGATGTATTTATATGTACGTACCAAGTTCACTGGGATAAATCTAGCTCGAGCCTCTCTAGCCATCCATGTATGTTATTTATTTCTTCTTCCCACCTTTGCCGCCCTTTCCACCACCTTTACCACCACCTCCTTTGCCCTTACCCTTATCACCACCGCCAGCACCAGCACTGCCAGCAGTCATGATGCGCACCTTGCCCACAGGCATGGTGTTAATGACCTCAGTATCCTTCCACCCCTTAATCAATTCTCCCTCTCGCGAGCGAAGGCGCTCTGCATCAACACGAGGAATCCCCACATCCTCGGCATGATCCTTCTTAACTTTGCCCGTAGTAGTTTCAGAGATCCAGCGACCGATGATCTCCTTGACAGCCTTGCCCTTTTTTACAGAACCAGGCTGCAGCTTGATCTTGTATTTGTGCTTTCCTAGAGCGCTCCAGGGTGCGCAAACCGGGATAGCAGCCAGAATCTCATCATGTGGAGTTGGGGTGCCGACTAGGGCTGGGATCCAGCTCAGATCCGCCGCCTCAGCAGCAGCAGTGTCTTCATTGTAATCATCGCCACCCTCGGTGAACTGGGCTTGTCGCTTTTGCTCGGCGGCGGCGGCTCGTTCGTGCTGTGCGCGTCTTCGCTGTAAGTGTGCTTCGGATTCCCGTTCGCGCTGGGCTTTGGCTTCTGCCGCTTGGGCTGCCTTAGCAGTTTTGCCCTTTCCGGCACCGAGAAGACGGAGAGCGAGTTCACGTTCATCATCATCTTGGTGGGCATATTTCGCTGCTGCTCGCTTCTCCTTTGCTCGCTTTCCACGAGTTGGCGCAATCCGGGTTGGCGCGGGTTCAGCTTGGCCTGGTCGATCGATGGGCTTGCCCTGTCGCAAGGTACGTCGCTCACGGATTGTAAGCTTCTCGTCTTCCTCTGCAGGAGCCTCCTCGTGGGCGTTAGAGGCGGTCTGTTCTTCTGGTTCTTCTAACTCTTCTGCTTCCTCGGCAATTTGATCCTGGTCAACCTCGGTCTTGACCTCAGACTCTGGCTCCTCATCCTTTGTACTCTCATCTTCAGAGTCCGACTCACTCTCGGGTTCGGCAGGTTCTTCTGCTTTGGCGACAGAAAGTTCAGAGTCACCTCGTTGGAGAGGGTTTCTGGTGGCTCCATTGGCATCGTTGTCATCTTCCTCTTCGTCTGACACGTTTTCTTCTTTCTCTGCATCATCCACAGTCTCCGTTTGATCGTCCTTCTCGGGAGACTCTGGGGTGTTAGAGGGCTGATCTTCCGATTCTTGAGGCTCTGTGGTCTGAATCTCGGTCGCCTCAAAATTTATCTTGTGGTTTTTCAGACTCTCTTTGCTTATCTGGAACAAGATGGCAAACCCAAGCACCAGCTGTGATGGTGCCAAGAAGTTCTTCTCACCCTTGATGTCGAAAACACCCGTAGCCAACATTCCAGCACCGGACTGAGACATCTTCGAAACCTGGCTCGCGTGCGCCCAATACGCAGACATGATAGCCTTGGATTCCCATGATGACGAAGTTGCAACGCAAAGATTGCCTGCTTGGGAAAGTGTACTTGGAGGAATAGGAGCATTTGGATTTCCGAGGCGGTTCTTAACCACGAATGGTAATGCGCCATCCAAGTCGGCGTGGATGAAGATATCGCCCTTGCTCAAATACCGCCGGTAAAGCAATTCACTCTGCATAATATCCCGGGCGCTATCCAGTTCATTAGCAAAAACCACAAACAAAAAAGGTATAAAACATACCCAAGAACGAGGTAGCCTTCGGAAGAAATGAAGAAAACAAACTTCTCGAACCAGAATGGCTCTCGAGCCTGTCGCAGAACCTGCTTCTCCTGCTTCAGATTCTTCTTGAGGTCGGCTGTCACTTTCTTCTCGTGACTCTTGAGGGCTTTGGTAGAAGACTGGACGGTTCTCTGTTGCTTCTCCGATGCTTGCTTCTTCTGATCATAGTATTGCGAAGCATTTGCCCAAGGGGTAAGACCTAGATCAATATCGATCGACAGCATTTTCGAAGCAACATCCTTCCGCTTTTGGTTCTCTCGTTCTTCGGCATCCGATTCAGAATCAGAATCGTTGCTCGATTCAGGATCCTCTTCTTCCTCTTCTTCGTCACCTTCGCCCAACAATAAAGTGACGGTGTTCTCGTACAGCTTGAGAGGTAACTTAATAGTCTTAGCAACAGGGTTTCCTCGGCCTTGTTCCATCTCAATTAGCCGCGCAATCTCACCCCAATCCATTCCCTGGGCCACCAAGCCATTTACAGCGTCCATTGCTTCTTGGACGCGATACACGTTGTCTTCAATGGCAGCAGCCTTGCGGATATGGAGCTCCTGCGCATCCTTCAAAGCATCGATACGCTTTCGATGCTCATCTCGTACGGCATCCAGCTTCCGCTTGGCCGTCTGCTCTCGCTCAGTGAGTCGGGATTCGAGTCGCTGCGATTCCAGAGACGAGAAATACTCATCAACAGTCGCATTGAAACGTTCGAATTGCAAGATCTTCACTCCCGGCTTATCTGCGAATTGCTGTGGCTTGAACGGGTGGAAGTCTTCATACAAAAGACCCGGGGTCTTCGATCCATTTTCGCCATCCGTTTGTGCCGATAGTCGCTCGTCCTCCTTGGCAATAATATAGCCTGCGTGACTCTCGCCAATATCAAAGCTCTTCGAGACCCTCTCAGCTTCATCCAGAACCTCCCGCACTTGCTGGAGTATATCCGGACTGGCTAGAGCCTGGTCAAGCGGGGTCGCAGCATCAAGCCCCACCACCGCAAAGGCATGATCCAGCAGCAACGGTGGGAACTCGGGGAACCCGTTGGAAAGAGATTTGCGCAGCATGTCTGCATTCTTCTTTTTTGTCTTCTTGGGTGCATTGCCCTCTTGGGCAAACAAAGCCTGCGCCTTCTCTATCGTCTCCGTGATCCGGCTCGACGTGATCTCCGGAACTCCAGCATAATTCTGCTTATTGGTGACATTATACTTGATACCAAGCTTTGCCTCTTCTCCCTCAGTCGCATTGACCTGTCGAAATAGCGAGATGATGGTGTGCTCGCGATCAGTTACGATGATGTTGCCGCCCGCGAAGAATTCGAAGAACATGTGGTATGCGCCATCGCTGAAGGAGATGTCAATGACTCGGTCCGTACCAATCTGAGTGACACTTGTAACGCGACGTGATTTGAGGAACTTTCGCAGTCGTGTTACGAAGGGCGAGGGGGTGGTGGCTGCTGTGCGGGAGTAATGTGTGATATGAGTGCGGAAGCCAGAGTCGACGATGAGTTGACGGCGGTGGTCTGGTTTGGCAAATTTGAAAAGAAAGATGCGCTAGTTACCCCAGAGTTCATGTAAGTACTTCGGCCTATTGTCATTCCGTGGTCAGGGATTGAACATACCGAAGACAGGTCGTAAATGTTAGACACCCGGAGGCTGACCAGCTCCGCAGCCAGCTCCTGGGTGATGACCTGAGACTCATCAGTGATTTGTTTATTTCCAAAGACAGATCTGAACAGTTACCTTGACGTCTAGCGACGAGAATCTCTGCTTCATTGCGGCTGTAGGGAGTTGTAGAGAAAGGAATTTTCGACCGTGACGTATGCGGGGCAGGAACCAGAAGCCGGGCTCTAGATTAGGCAAAACCACCCAGTTCTATAGCTTTCTACGGAGATATTGTTATTTCTATAACTCAGCTACGCTACTTCTCAATAGAAGGAGTTATTGTTGGATTTGTCTTTGTCATTGTAGTCATCAGCGCTTTCAGCCATTGGGAATATTAGCTCAAGCCATAACGGCCGAGATCACACGCGACGGAATGAGGCTTGCTTTTGCAGGATGCAGAACGGAAATAAAAGCATGCAAAAGATCTATGGTATCCTACATCCCAACAACAGACGAGTGGCAACAGTAAATAAAAAAAACCGTATCACGCCAGGGCCAGCCAGGGAAAAAAAGGGTAAAGAAGGGGAAGGCCAGGCAGTTCAATACTCTACCTGCACCTTACAACCCTGAAAAAAAAAGGTATTTGAAAAGAAACAAGCGGCGCTCTGCCCTCTACATTTGTCGCAACCCTTCGGCCAGACGCCGTTTTCCAAACTCCCAGGCATTCATCAGACCTTGCTCTGTAAGGTCGATGCTCTTCATATTCGGCGCATCGGCAGCCGGGGCACGGCTAACTCGCGAAGCAACCATGACGGGGTCGGTCTCCAGAATGATACCATCGTCGATAATCTCGTCGATGGCAAGGGAGACAAGGTCGTAGTTCTCAACAATTGTACGCTTGTCAGTGGCACCCCTGTCAAGACTGTATGAGCTCTATAGTCCATTGAACAATCGGCTTCCAAATTTCGGATTAAACTCACTTGAATAAGATTCCGAGAGCATCACGCAGCGACAGAACCACATTGTAAAGCAAAACCTCGTTCTCATCGGCACTTCCCACCACGTAGAGCATCACGTCGCTCTCCATCTTGAACACCACGATGCGGTTGTCGTATAGTATCACGTCACTGGTGGACTTATTGGTCTTCTCAAGGAGACCCTTCTCAAATGCCCGCTGCTCCTTGAGAGTGGGGTAAGGGTTTGCACCAGGGTAATTGGTCGAGTTGGGAGCTGCGCCGGCTGGGGGATGAGGTGCCGAGTAGTATTTGGCGAAAATTCGAGATCCATCGTCAGCGGACATGACGAGAACCGCATTGACGGAAAATAGTGACAAAGGACCAGGCATTTTGTCTGCTTTTTTGTTTCTTGAGAGGTGCAATGTGTGAGTGATGTGCTTGTTGATGCGTGGAGGAGCCAATCTGGCCGCAGGCGGATACGCACTAAAGTTCTTCCGTGGGTAGTCCAGCACAGTACAACTGCAGTTCATCATGACTTCCAAGCTGTTTTAATCTGAATGTTTCACTTCGAGGATATTATCAGGTCTAAGAGCTACACTGAAAACTTGGTACGGTATCAAATTTGTCTCTTTTGGTGTAATCCATTTACCTGTTGGGCGCAATATCCGAACATTTGATCTATGGTACATATACTCTCTTGGGTGCTCCATGTTTAGGAAAGCTTACCGCATCTATTTCCATGTCCTCTTTCTCCTATGTAAAGTCGTTCAAGCATCACTCATACAAAAAAAACTTCAAATTAAGCAAGAGATCACACTTATTATCCTGGCCAGCCGTGACATGGGTCGCATTATGTGCATCACATAAGGGGGTATGATAAATATGGTAGACAGTTCCGATATCACATCAAATCATCGAGTTCCAGCAGAAAAACAAAGACCAGCTAAGGCTGGGTCTGCTCCTCTGGGTTGGCTTTGCCAAACCACGGAATCCAGCTCGCGCGGTTCGCCCTCTTGCGGGCAGCCTCCTCTTCCTCGAGCTTGGCTGCATCGCTCACAAGACGCAGGGGTCGCAGTTTGTTCTGCGTCATAACAGCTCCAGTATAGTTGGTCATGCCGCTGCTAGACCTGGGAGGGCTTGAGGTTGCTGCATCACTGGTAATGCTTGTGGAGCTGCTGCGTCCGGCACGTTCTGGTTGGCTGGACATAGATGGGGCACGGCTCATACTAGATACGTAGCTCGGAGCCCCTGAAAACATGCTCTGGCGCGACCCAGGCCCCATGCTTGTAGGGCTAATTGGGCCGCCGGAGTTTCGTCCACGGTACATCTGACTCACAACGGAAGCAGCACTTGGGTCGACCTGCTCAGAGCGGGCGCGACGATGACCTGCCCTCATTGACTGGGTGCGAATGGGAATGCTGGGCGCGGTTTCTGGGTTCTCGTTTACGTGGGTATTCGGGAAAGAAGGCGGAGGCATCATGCTGGTCGGACGAGATCGGGGTTGGGGCTTTGGGGGAGGAGTTGGGCCCGAAACCACGGACTTGGCCCGCTGCAAGAGCGTCTGACCTGCTTGCTGATCCTTCTCGAGGGGAGTGGGAGGCAGATCCTTTTCACTGCTGCTTGCCTTATCGCTCTTGGGTTCATCGTCATCGTTTCGGTCCAAAACGTGCTCGAAACCGTCATGCTGTAGGACACGGCTAATTATCCGCTCAATGTAAAGGGTTAAGGCTTTGTTCTGGTCCTTGAGGTTCTTGAGCTCTCCGTCAGCCTTGTGGTTCGAGTCTCCTTCGACTGCTTCTTCATCCACGGATTCGAGCTCGTCAGCCAACGAGCCTAACCCGCCACTGGAACTCTTTCCAGGGTGGACATCCCGCATAAAGTCGCCCTTAGTGAAATCTCCGGCGAGCGTCTTTTCACTGAGGAGGAGTTGATAGCTTTCGTTGTCTTCCATAAGACGTGCATTAGCCATGCGAGCATCCAAAAGCTCCTTCTCCAACTCGCGCTGCTGGCCCCCACCTTTATTTTCCATCTCCACAAGCTTAATCTGTGACTCGGCCAATTCCAGGCGCAATGACTCGATTAACTTATCTTTCTGGAGGAGAAGGTTGGAGTTATTGCGGGAGGGGCTGCGCTCGAGTTGAGAGGAGGGGGCAAATTGAGCATCCAGGTCTGGCGAGGCTCGGTTGCGGAAACTTGCTGCAAAAAGTATTAGTCTTACTATGCTGCAAATATCGGCTACATCAGATCTTACAAGATCGTGAGACTTGGTGGCGGTCACCTTCAGCATTGATGCGCATATCTTTCTGCGCCACCGCTTCCTTCAGACGCTGGATGGTGGCCAGCAACTCTTCTTCCCGGCTCGTCTGTTGCTCCTTCTCCTGCAGCATCGCATTCCGCTCCTGTTCATGATTCTGTTCCAGATCCCGGATCTGACGACCTTGATCCCGGATCTCGCTGCTCAGAGTCTCAATCCGAGTATCTCGCTCATGGGCTTGGTCTTCTAGTTTGCTCTGTTCGCTGATCGCTTCATCCAAGCGCATTTGCAGAACACCAAGTTGTTTTTGATACTGTTCGGAGGCCGTCTCGGCTTTCTGCAGTTGCTCTCTCAGGTCCTCGATGAGGGCCGCATTTTGGGCCCGCGCTTCCTCTTCAGATGGGTCGTTGGAAATTCGTGGGACGTTCGACATGCTCAGATTGGATCGACCGGGTTTTCTTGCAGCAGCACGGGCGGAAACGGGGGTCGAGTTTCTTAAGGAGGGGGAACGGTTGTGGCCATTAGTTGTAGCGCTGGGTGAGCGTGCATGTCCTCGTGTGGTGGACCCGTTGGCTGGGTGCGGATCTGCGGGCGATGATTTGCTGGAACTGCCGGGGGTTCCAGGCTTTCGAGGCGTTGCTGACATCGTGCAGGGACCCAAGGCCCAGAATCTAGGCAGTTTATATAAGGGGGGAAATGGTTTTTGCAGCCAAATCAGACAAATAGACGGTCGGTCTGGTCAGAATGAATGTAAAGAGTTGTGTAAGATGTATCAATGGAGAGCGGTCAAAAACGGGTGGATCTGGTGGAGATGAGTTGGTTTGTATGGAACGAGGAATGTAAGACTGTCAAAAGTTGATTGCCTGCCACATGGCTGATGGAAGCCAAAGAAGCACTGAAGACAGCTCTGTCTGAGCGCAGACTGGAATGTTGCCAGTAGAGAATTGGGAGTACCGATTGCAGGAGGCCTTGGAACTTTTTTTGGGGGGTGGTAGGAATGCGGGTGGAGTCCCCTTACTCTGGTATCTAAAAATACCAAATAACAAAGTGGGTGTACTGGAGGCTGGGGTACAATGGCGAAAGAAGATATGTATAACGGAAATCTTAGCTTTGAAGAGATGAAAGAAGCAATAAGGGAAAAATAGATACAGGTTACCCTGAGATATAAACAATAAATCGGGGGGATTTGGGCTGCAAGTATGTATTATTACGGAGATTACAGGATGAAAAGGGTGAAACAGACACCTTGTTGCCTTGGACACCGTCTAATTCCGTTTTAATCTACTGACGTACACCGCCCAAATTTTCTCACCGCCGGGTCGGATTAACTATATATCCGTCTACACCCTAATGGATTGGTTTCGACCCAAACGGGACATGTTCTTCATCAACGATCACGCCGGAGCGCATCCTCAATCCCATTCCTACCTCTCTTTTTGAAAGTCTGTAAAGATCTTCAAGCGCAACGATGGCCCCCAAGTCTAAGAAGGGTTCCGACAATGTGAGTCCTGCTACAATGATTCCGTCCCAGACATGGCGGTGGTCATCAAAAGCCTAACAATCAGTATAGGTCAACTCCAAGCTCGCCTTGGTGATGAAGTCTGGTAAGGTCACTCTGGGTGCTACTTCTTGCATGAAGACTCTGCGCTCTGGTAAGGCCAAGCTGGTCATTATCGCTGCCAACACTCCTCCTCTGCGCAAGAGTGAGCTCGAGTACTACGCCATGCTGGCCAAGACCCCTGTTCACCACTTCTCGGGTAATAACGTAAGTTTGCACAGGCAAATGATTTGCCTTGCCTACAGCAATTCTAACGGCCTGAACAGATTGAGCTCGGTACCGCCTGCGGTAAGCTCTTCCGTTGCTCCACCATGGCTATCCTCGATGCTGGTGACTCGGACATCCTTGCAACCCAGTAAACGGGTTGCCTTGGGGCAATTGGTGATGGTAGATGTTGGGTTGGGAGTATGTGCGGTGACCACTTAATTGGAGGATCCACAGCGCATATGGAAACATGATTATGAATTATGATCCCTAGCACCAAAAGCAAACCAGGCAGCTACTAAGCCAGTTGACGTGATTTCTGATTTCCAACCCGTATAGATAGACCCCATAAACCAGCTATCGTTATCGGGGAATGAATGCCCGTAATGCTCAGTAAGCAGATTGTAGTGAGCCAGGAAAAGTGGATACCTCGGAGGGTTATGTGATTGGTCCGCTACTAGGGCTTAGGGCATTATTGCCACCATCGCTGCTTGGAAATCAAACAATCCCGTGACCCGCCGGCCACTTTCTTCTTTTCCCTTTCGGCCCCTCGACACCAACCGACACCCAACTATCCCCAGTTCGCAGGAAGTGCAGTCCGCCTATTTCCAGCATTCAAGATGGCCCGTCGTCCCGCGAGATGTTACCGCTACTGCAAGAACAAGGTGCGTTGCCGATTTTCGATCTCTTGAATTTTGTGTGCGGAAGCTCGGTTGTGGGGGAATACTTGAGGCACCATGATCGCAACGGAGGACGAACCACGACGTTGAGATTCTGGTGACTGGCTTCAGATTCCTGGGAATTCTACACGTCCAAGGAGAAAGAAAAAAACCTTTTCGCAGATTTGGAGACGAAATTTGAAGATGGGCACATGAAGTCACGGCTCGGCAAGTTCTATCGCTAACATCCTTTTCTTCTCCATACAGCCCTACCCTAAGTCCCGGTTCAACCGTGGTGTTCCCGACCCCAAGATTCGTATCTTCGATCTCGGTCGTAAGAAGGCCAACGTGGACGACTTCCCCACCTGTGTCCACCTGGTCTCCAACGAGTACGAGCAGCTGTCCTCCGAGGCTCTCGAGGCCGCCCGTATTTGTGCCAACAAGTACGTTTCTCCCTGCAACGTCCGATCGACGATCCGATTTCCCTCGACCTTCCCAGATTCTAACATTTTCGCCTTTTAGGTACCTCGTCAAGATCGCCGGTAAGGAAGGCTTCCACCTGCGCGTCCGTGTGCACCCCTTCCACGTCGTCCGTATCAACAAGATGTTGTCTTGCGCTGGTGCCGATCGTCTGCAGACTGGTATGCGTGGTGCCTTCGGTAAGCCCCAGGGTGTTGTTGCCCGTGTGAACATTGGCCAGGTCATCCTGTCCGTCCGCACCCGTGACGCCAACCAGGCTACTGCCATCGAGGCCCTCCGCCGCTCCATGTACAAGTTCCCCGGTCGCCAAAAGATCATTGTCTCCAAGAACTGGGGTTTCACTCCCGTTCGCCGTGAGGACTACGTCCAGATGCGCAACGAGGGCAAGCTCAAGCAGGATGGTGCTTACGTTCAGTTCCTGACTGGCCACGGCCAGATCGCCCAGAACATGCGCCGTTTCCCCACTGCCTACGAGAACCTGTCTCAGGAGGCTTAGATGGTTATGGGTTGATTCAGAATACGAATTTCAAGAACGAAAAAATTATTTCCCGACCTTTTAACCTTCTTCCTGTTCTTCCTGTCACCTAGCTTGATATCTCGTGTCTTGTGCAATCGCAATGGAGTTCTTCCATGGGTCTACTCGATCTTTTCCCTTGTAGTTTCCCGTAGCTTTCATAATGCATGGTTCGGAAATTACGGCACATCCGCTCCTGAACCATGGCGTGATCCCGCAATTATGTCAGTACAGCTGTTACGCCTGTTCTCAGGATTGTTGATCTACCAGGTGTATAGGTCTTTTAGAGCCTCACTTTATCGCAGATGGCCCACTGTGCAAGACTTTCCTTTCTCCTGGTGCGGCCATATGAAATCGCCTCTGGGCAGATCCATTGTATAAGCTTACGGGTGATACTATCAACCCTACAGTAAGAGCCCATCAAATCCCGAAATATGTATTATCATTGAAATTATTACGGCATTAGATAATTTATACAGCTCCCCACTTAGGCATCTGCATCATCTCCACAACGTTCCTGGTGTAATTTTTTCGCCTCTACAAATGACACAACATCAGCTCCACTCTACATGACTCAAAGCTATACGAAACATACCTTCCAAGTCTGCCGGCTCACAGGCATCCTTGATACAAAGAGCAAGCGTATTTTTGAAGGGTACACTGGGGCAGGTACAGACACTATCGAACTGTGACGTGCAACCAGCCACTCCGGCGGCCTCATTAAGGCATCGGTTCTTATAACAGATCCGTCAGTCAGCATATGCATGTTGGACGTTGCTGTTATCTTGGTAGGCTCACAAGGCAAACACTGGGGCTATCATCTACCTTCTCGGCAACGGCGAAGAAGGCAAGGAATGTAGCCAGAGGAACGAAGATAGAGAGCTTCATGTTGGTTTTGGGGGTATTGATGTATTTAAAATATAATGGTAAACGAGGACTTTTTTGATGCAAGATGATCAGGATATTTCAAAGAAGGTTTGTATGGAGGGTTCAGGTTGACCATTATATCTTTGATCTTTGGTGGTGGTTCACATTCCATGCAAGGTTGAGGTGGTATTGGGGAGATAAACGTTGGTACCGGGGTGACGGCCGGCATGAGATCAAATCTTGTATGGAATGCGGGCACTCTGATCGGAGGTATAGGATTGGAGTTAAAGACAATGATCTTCCAGATTGTGGACTTTTTCTCTGCCACCATCGTCATATCATGCAGGGTATGCTGATAGGGCTATTATCTGAACATGTAGGTGGTGACTGTGGGCTCTAGAATCAACGACTGCTCTATCTACTATAGGGCCAGAACATTCTACCCTTGTTTTTGTTATCATTGACTATTGGTTCTGCAGCTGCTATACTTACACTCATCCTATGTAAAAGATCGCATGTTGTCGCAATTTTGAGTCATGCCACAATTGAGCCATATTTAAAGTCACCTATTTTCTATTTGTTCATGAGTAAAATTGCATCGTCTCAGCTTCAGCGAGGAAATGGGCCGGATCGGAGCAGGATTGCTGGCAAGCTACAGCCACTGTAGTTGTTGACGGTTCGGTCTGCTGTGGTTAGGGCAGAATGTCACTAACCCGATTTGGGGGTTCAACCCTCGCATCGAGGTGTCACCAATATCAAACTCTTCAAATGTAACGAAGATCAAACAACTCTACGAGCTCAATAATTCTAACAGAGCAGATCAATCAGTTTCTCAAGTGGAGTGTTCATGGGGGAAAATATGATTCTTCAGAAAAGTTGTAAATTCAATTTCCACATCTACCATACAAAATTTCACGATATATATCTAGTCAAGCAGCATTAGTGTAGATCGGCGCAGCGAAGAACTTCAGCAAGGCTTCTCCAACCTATATGTCGTGATACAGTATTTGAATTATTTTGCACAAACCTAGGCACAGACTTCACAATTAATTAGTTTCAACATCGATTTGACTAAATACATTCACGAAGCATTGTACTCCCGTGCTAACAGGGGCATCTATACATGTAGGTTCTGATGGCCGCTGAGCCAAGTAAGCAACATCAAGCCTCACCCGCCGAGAAGATCGGGACAAAATCTAGCTCAGAACTTCGCGTGTCTCTCGGATACCAGTCTTGGGTTATGATCATCCAATCCAATTGCGCTTCATTGTGGTGTTGTCCTCCTGTTCATCCCCCGAGGTATCAGGCGAGGTATGAGACGAGGCAACAGCCAGACCGGAAGCCCTTTGCCGCTATGGGATATTCAGCGCTGGCCATTGGATCGGTTGGAGTCGATAAAGTTTGTCCGCTGTCAACATGTCCGCTACTTTTCCCACGCAGGCTTCTATTTCAGATCTGATGAGGATCACAGCGCCCTTCATGTTCGGGGTTTCAAACTTCATGGCACCTAGGTCAATAAAATCTGGGCTCATCTGTATTCCGTGTTCAAAGGATGAGTCTCCATCCAGTACCATGGAGTGCGCGAAGGATGCGTCGATGGCATCTTGAGGAGCCGCAACCAATCCGACCAAAACAATGCGTGCCAATCCACGCACATTGATACCGACCTGATATTTTATTGGCATCTATACCCCATGGACTGCCGGAAGCCATGTGATGTCTCGCTACCAGATAACTGACGGTAGACCAATGGGACTTCCCTCGACGTGGCTCAGCGGCAACAAACACCGCCCCACGAGTATGGCAGGCGCGGTGTGTGTGGTCTAGGGATGTTGCTCAGGGCATTATTATCATCCGCAATTAGCCCGTATGGGGCGCGTCGACAGCAAAAATCGATTATTGGGGGGTCGGTGAGTCCGCGGAAGCAAGCATGGCGAGTTGGTATGCCTGAAGGATGTACAGGATGGCTAGCCTGACTTCGACCCATCTCAAGCATCGGCATGCAAAGATTGCCGCTAGCTTAGAAAAAATCCTTCTCTCTCGCTAGATCGCGTAAAATTGGTTGCAGAGACACCGGATGTACAGGTGGAACAAGATGAAATGCATACTGGAGATTTTGATCCTAGTATTAGTCGATGAAAGAGCTGCCTTATCACCAAAAGAAACTATTGTTCCCAAGTCGCTTGAACGAAGAGCTGGAAGCGTTGAGATATGTATGTGTCCAAGTAGGCTGATTGGAGACTCGCAATGCAGCATTGGAGTTAGGATAGCTGGGCCGTAGGTGAGAGCCTCAGGTATCAGGTAACAACATCTGAGTTGAGGGGGCACCAAAAAGTTTTCTGAGCTTCTATTGATGATATAACACTCCTGTCAGACGCCATGAATTCCGAAAGAGTCTCATCTCTTTTGATACACGACGACTTGATATGGCCGGGTCAGGATTATCTAGTAGGCTACCGTTGGACAATCGTTGGTGATCCACGTCGCTGCGAGTGAGACCGGCATGGATTATATTGGCTCAGTGCTTGAGTTGAAAGTAAGATTATAATGATACAACGTTAGAATACAATAGGGTCCGGCATTAAGCATACAATAGCGTTCACCTTTGATGTTAGAAGTAGAAGACTCAATAATCACCTTCACCAGAGATATCCTCTAGACAAGACCAGTTATAGAAGAGGCTGTCATATCAGAAGTGAAAGTAAGGAATACTCATACAAAGAGTTCTACCTGAGGGCATGGTTTAATCAATGGTGCTGTTGATATCTGACAGAAATGACTTCATATGTAACATTCTCTAGACCTCGGAGTACCGCCCACATTAAGATTTAGAACGAAACCATCCTGATATACATCATTTATGTGCATGTAGCACCACTTTCAGACCGACCTTAATGGCATAATCTGCAACGGGTCGTATTGTCACAAAAGCAAATATGCAGAGCGGCATACCCCGGACTTGGGAATGTTGACCTCGGGATCACCAGCCTCGCTGGTAAGATGATATCAATATGATGAATATCCCCGCACCTCGGAATCCCAACCATCAGGCGCTTTGTCCGAGATCGGATTATGCGATTCCATGCAACCCAGATGCCCTACGTGTCAATGGAGAATGTCATGTATGCATATCGATAGTCCGTGGCAACCAAGAATGATGGACGCATTCGGCCTTAAAGAGGGTCATTGCTCGGCCCAACTACATAACGAATACTGATTGGAGGATAAGTATCCAATAGTGTGAATGAAGCGGGCAGAAAATTGATCGAAAAAAGCCAATTTTCCATGTTTTCTTTTGTCTACTAGCAGGTCAGACTAGAATCCGGGGTGACTTTTTTCCAGTTGACTGGTACGATAGGTGAAACGCTATTCATTTCCCATGCCTGGCGCCATTCTCGAGCAGGGTTAGTTCTAAATTGTGGTGGGCACCGTAAATTCAATGTGGAACAAATACGCACTAGTTAATTAGCACTCACCCTGGCACTATGATGGGTGGGAGATAATTGTGATAAGGATTGGAAGGTGATCTCATTATTATCTCAAGTCGCAGATTGTGTACATGACGCCTCCATCAATCTGCAGAGTTTCGGGATTTCCCCCAACCCAGAGGGCTAACAACAGGGCCATGATAGACCAGTACACCAGTGGTTACCCGCACACCAACCTCCCTTTGGAAATCAAACTATGAAGCCGCCCGAAGATGACTTTGGAATGACGATCGTGCGGGGTAAAGATGATACTCAAAATTTAGTGATAACAGTGTCCATGGTCGGATATTCCTAATCTCACGCAAATATCTTATCATAGAGATCCATGGTTCAATTTGAAGACTAAGGGATTTTAAGGTGTAAAGACTACCGGACCTCGGGTGCAGAAGGGAACAAGTTGACCCGCAGATAAGAATTAGTTCTCAATTCTACACTTAACTGTAATCCTTATCCTTACATTCCATCCAATGGCGTTTGATAATCTGATCTGTACATTTGGATACTCGGAAGTACGAAGGTTTTTCTGATTACTCCAAACTCAGTTGATACAGACAGTCGGTCGCATTGCATTTCTCGGCGCATGTTTATTGCTTGTAAGTCAGGGACTGTCCGTGCATAGGTGATACTGGTCCAACGTTACGACACACACTTGCTGCAGACGATGGGAGAAATCAAGAGCTGAGCCGTGCACGACTACATTGTCTATCATATATTATCGGATGTCATCATGCACGCAGCCCCATGTAGCATCTAACCGCTCCCGTCGATGGACGCATGGACGCATATGATTTGCCCGAAAACAATAACTCCAAGCGATCCTAAAGTCAAAAAAAAAATATCTGATGGCGTTTGGGGAAAGTATCGCGTGATGTAAAAACACGTCATGCGCAATTCCAGTCGTGCCACTTGGACTCGATGGGCTGCAAGGTTTTGTCCTTGCAGCGAAGCGGTCAGTTTAAGTGCCTACACCGCTGTCGGGATCAAGACCCGTGGTAGATGTAGCTTGGTGTGTGTCTGAGACCAGCATATTGTGTGTAGTGTACTCATTTTTCTGTGTACTGTGTACATGCGGTCTACTTTTTTCTTTCTTGTATTTTGCACCATTCGGATCGTTCCCCCTCCCTCCCGATTATACATTACGTGTCTGTGTTTTGGAAGCTCCACCTAAATCGAGATCAGCATGACCTCCCCTGATTGACCCTCCCCGCAATACACCCACCCAAGTTATCTGCCACATCTCTTGTCTCAAAAATCCCGCGCGCCAAAGTCTCAACGTGGTGTCCCAGAATAGGAAGTCCGGGTGGGGACCCTGGGTGCACGCGGAAATGTCCATGTTTGAACACGTATGGATATACGGAGTACCAGACACAAGGAATAGGACCAAGGACCTTGCCAGGATTATGGGCGCGTAGTTACAGAGTAGCAGTTTTAGAACATGCATGAGCACGGTTATGGGGGCCGGCGAGAAAAGAATTACCTAAAGAGGAACTGATGCATGGCTAAATTCAGCCCCCCCTTTGGTCAATTCCCCCTTGACTTTTTGTACTCCGTACCTGCGGAAGTAGTAACCAGGTCCAACCTAACCTTCAAGGCCCAACAGGCCCCGGCAAAGAGACTCCGGGGCCTGCAGTAGGGAGTGGGTGGGTCGCCAATGAAAGCCCATCACGCCATCACTTATCCATGGCGTCATGCACACTGGAAATAGTGCATGTTTGGGCGGTCCATGATTGGCGGTTGCCCCAGACTCCGCTGCGGATTGCGACACATGCAGTTTAGTGCGCCACCTTGATCCGCCCTCGGCCGCGAATAGTGTAGCCTGCCCAGGTGGCTCGGCCTTTCTGACCCTCCCTCCGGGGCTGCCTCAGTCTTTCTCGCCCTGCCTCCTAACGCTGAGGAAAACACAACGACCATTCTGGACTGCAGGTCCCAATTCATGGGAATGAGAGTTTGGAACCTTGGGTCGACTTTGTATCTCGGGTCCGTTTGAGTTGTGTCTGTCGATCACGTATGGGGAATTGGAGTGGATTACTGTAGATTCATTAGTTGAAGATAAGGGGGAAGGAAATTGACTCCGTCCCGATAGATAATGGCAATCTTCGTTGACAATGAAGCTCGTCATTTTGTGTAATTCCAGGGTCTGCCATTTCTCCCAAGGGTGGGAATGTCTAGAAGGTTCATGAACATGGACGATTCTGGATTGCGTGGCGTTTGAGTGATACCGGGTCCCGTAAATAACAAGGAATAGTTTCAACGAAAGCGGGAGATGACTATGGGGGAAGAAAGAAAGGGAAGGGGCGGTGCAGATCACACGAGGGAAACCCGTTATTACAGTAATAGTACGGTCATAGAGGGTACCCCGTGATGACTAGTTATCCCCATAGTACCCGAAAGTACCGCGTGTATGAGGAACTGACTTTTGACCCACTTTTTGTGACTAACTACCAAATGACTCCTTCTCCTCCTTAGTTCTCCTTCAGTACTTTCCCCTACTTGTCTTCATCTTCGTTCTTTCTCTTCTCTTACGTTTCTCCATCAACACCTTCCCGCTCCTATCTTCTCTCATCCCCCATCCTCTTTCGGGCCTGCACTCGATCTTCGGCGATACCCTACTGTACCTCAATTCGCTGTAAGCCATCACGACAAGGAGTGCTACCCTATCTACCTTCCTATCTACCTTCCATCGGTCCCATCCTATTTGACCGAACTATAACCCGAGTCTTCTACGTGACTCAAACTTGCAACAGTTGTGCCTGGTGATCGTCCAAGTCAACCGTTACATACCATACCGACTTCCATTCGCCCCCCCGTCTTCGTCCTTGTTCAACGACCACGAAGACGTCCTTGCGCGAATTTCTTTTCATACCTGCCTTGTGTGAACAGAGCTTACTGAGCGACTGAGAGTTCCTATTATTTCGGGAACCTGGCATTGAGCACTCCGTCTCTTCCGGACCCCCTGGATTTGAAGGCTGCTCCGTTACCCAGGATCCCAAATACCTCACTTCGGACCCTTGGATTCACATTCTAGCTTCCTTCAGCTGGGACTTGAATTCGAAGACCGACTTGGATTTCTTGGTTTCGATCAATCTATCCTCAATCGCCCATCTTTGCCCAACCGGTCCACTCATGACTCATTAATCTCAACTTCAATCATCAAAGTCCCGGCCGCTCCCGACCTTGAACCCGGTGTTCACAGGCTTCTTTTGCTTTACGTCTTTTTTTCAATCACGATATTACGCAGCGTTATCTCAAATCTTTCAAACCGATTTCCCTAGGACCTCTCGGACTTAGGCCTCATCGACTTCAAACAACTCAACTTAAACACACTCTTTGCACCGTTTCACCTCCTTCGCCACCTTTAACAACGAAAACGAACTACAAATGAGCACATAACGGTCTCTACACCATTTCCTTAATCGTCCATACTCCATTGTTTGGGTTCATTCAGCTGCGCCTTGCGCCATACTATCATTTTGCTTTCCTTGTCATCAATCTTGTTTCATCGGTATATCATTACGACCCTTTAACCGATTCGGAACATCCCTCATCAACCTTGTTCTTTGCTCCGTCTCGTTGGTCTTGTCCATTCAGATCACCGGCTTGATTCTTTCTTCTCTTCTTGAAACTTAAACATTTCAATAGCCTGGTTGCTGTTCCCTGTCACGTTCGGACCCGCCTTTCCACACGTGCACTTCTTCCGAGTGATTCATAGACTGTTATTGTCGTTGAAGCCTACGTCACTTGTGTTTTGCATCTTTCATCTCATCTCACTACCTTTCCCCTTTTTTCTCATTTCACATCACCATGCTCACAGAAATGGATTCCTTCAAGAGCAAGTTCGTGAAGGGCCAAATCTTGGATGGTCGCTTCCGAACAGTTGCTCCACTGAACCACGGGTCGTTCGGGTTTGTTTACCTTTGCAAAGACACTCAAACTGACCAGGATGTTGCCATCAAGTGTCTGGCAAAGAGTGCCTCTTCTGATTCTTCGGAACCTTTCCCCATGGACGATCGCTTTGAGGAGCTGGAGTGTCATCGTCTCTTTGGCTACCACCCCAACTTGGTCAACTTGGTCCATTCCTTCGAAACTGAATCGCACATGTACTTGGTCTTGGAGTACTGCCCCAATGGTGACCTTTACGAAGCCATTCGTGTAGGCCGTGGTCCCTTGGAGACTGAGCATGTGCGTGACTTCATGCTGCAGTTTGTCGATGCGATTGCCTTTATGCACAGCAAGGGTCTCTACCATCGAGATATCAAGCCTGAGAACATCTTCCTCATGGCTGATGGATCCATGAAGCTTGGTGACTTTGGTCTTGCGACCCGAGACTCCTGGTCTTATGAGTCCTCTGTGGGTAGCGACCGCTATATGGCCCCTGAGCAGTACGATCCGTCCAGCTCGGGCTACTCTCCTGCTCAGGCTGACATCTGGTCTGTGGGAATTTGTCTGTTGAATATTTTGTTCCAGCGCAACCCCTTCTCGACCCCTACGGTTACCGACGTGCTATTCTTGGACTATGTTCGCGACCATCAGTCATTGTTCGACGTCTTTCCCAACATGTCTCAGGACACCTACGAGATCCTGGTCCACTCGTTAGCCTTGGATCCGGAGAAGCGCTCTTTGTCAAAGCTGCGAGAGGCCATCGTCCGTGCGGTTTCGTTCACCACCGACGATGAGACTTTGGATGAGTTCTGCACCGAGGATCGTTATGAGATTGTCACCGCCAGTGCCAACCGCGAGCCCCTGCGCACTCCGTCCATCCAGACCCCTCATGTCAACCATAGTGACTCATTCCCCTGGGCCAAGCTTTTGCACTCGAGTCCCCAGCAAGCTACTCGTCAGCTCTCTGCCATTCCCGACAACGAGAGCTACACTGAGGATCTTTTCCCTGCATCCGAGGCCGCGGGCACTTCATGGTTCTCTACCCGTGATACAACATCGCTGGCCTCTGTCATCGGCTCTGCTATGAGCGAGTCATTTAGCTCGCTTCACATTCCCCAGCAGAAGCGCCCTACTCTTGCTCGTTCTGACCCAGTTCCCATCACCGGATCCCTCCCCAGCCATGTGACCAAGCCTTTGCCGTCTTTGGCCATGGTCTTTGGCAAGAAGAATTCCGAAGATCAGATCTCCAAGAGCTGGAGTGATCTTTGGGATGAGGAGGAGTCAGAGAACGAAGATCATGTCTTCCAGCAGCGCCGTGAGCAGAACTCTCGCAGCTGGAGCCATGAAAGCCAGGATACCCGCCAGCCGGATAACCTGTCAGGACTGCGCGAGCTGGACTCCGCCGTTCCCATTGACCAACCCCACACCCCACTCCCTCCATCGAGTGCCCCCCACGCTATCCGAGCCAACTCCCTTGAGGTCGGCAGCGATGCTGGCACTTCGAGCAGCACACCTCGTCCCATCCCCCGCCAATTGTCGCCTAAGAAGTCCAATCTCGACAAGTGGTCTGAGTTGGGTGACAAGCGCCGCAACTGCAAGACTCGTGAGCCTTTCGATCCTCAGCGTGCCACAAATAATTGGCGACGTGACTGGGGCCTTGGTTCTTCTGGTTTTGACCATGCTGCCAGACCTAAGCGTGAGTCACCTCAGCCCGATCGCCGTCGCCAACTTTTCCTCGCAAAGGACTGGCGCCGTGACGATGCGCATGCTCCCAAGGGATCGCCCCGCAAGATCACCTCTTACGATGGCAGCCTCGATGAAGACCTTGATCTAGTGGGCGGGTGGCATGACCTACATCTGTAGCATATTTCATTGCTCGCCACTTTGGTTCCTTTGTGTCTATTTTTTTCTTTTCCGCCGTCCTTGCGTCCTGTTTGCCCGTTTGATTCAGTTGGAAAAAAAGTTCGAAAAAACCCTTACCAACTATACATTAATGTTGTTTTCTGTTTCTTGTTCTGCACGTCTTGCTTGATTTGAGGTTTTGTTTGCTGATGATCGTCACCTGTCCCTCAATTTGCTAAAGTATATGCTCGCCCAGGCGCATACTTCGGCACTGCTCTCAACCATCATCCTTGTTCTTTTTTTCTTACCTATGTACTATATGGAGTTGGAGCAGCAGAAGGCAGGTGGCGGCATCACGCACCAAAAAGACTAGAAGGCGGGGTTGGAATTCATTTGGGGTAGGATTTTTTTGCGCATTCGGACAAAAGCGACTCGGAAACTAAAAGGACAGAATTGTGGAGGATCTCAATGGCAGCAAGGGAGACCAACTACCTATCTTGGCTCTCACTGCAGGTTCAAACACGACCGTTTTCTCTTTTGACAGATATATCGTACGAGCTATAGGTCATAGGAAAAATTGATCACCATCCGTGAAGACATCTTTCCACAGTAGACATTAATTTTTAGTTATTACCTGGCTTGTAGCTATTACACAGCGCATGAGTGCAGGGATATCCCGGCTGCAGTAGAAACGTCGGTGTAGCTGCAGTTCAAGCTTTTTCTTGGCAAGGTTGAGCCTGATATGCCTGGTGTGCCTGATTTAGACCATCCCTGACCTTGGCAGTGGATCACGAAGTGGAGTAGGTCAATGCGGTATCTCATGCCTGATGCATTTGCAGTTTGCAGTCTGCATTTCGTGATGCCCAAAGCATATGTGAGCTTAATTTAATTTTTATCTGATGTGAATTGGTTTTTATGTGAAGTAATCATAGCAATCCTATATGTGTATATCCCGTCATAATGAACATCATATCTACCATTGAGGATCTCGAGGACCCTTTCCAACTCAGTGGAGCATAACCATATAGACTGCGTTTAATGGATCCTAACTAAACATTCTAGTCCTTTATTGTCATCTGTGTGAAGTAGATGTCCATTGACCGTAGGAGGGGCCCACCCCCGCTACCGAGAGGGTCATATATCAACGCAACACAATACTCATCCTGTCACAATTACCAACAGAGTAAAGAAAGGTGAGATGTTGTAAAATCTCGGTAAATCGGCAATCAATCGCGTAGTGGTCAGCACTAGACTCAGCCTTCCACGTCTCAACAATCAGCGGTGAAAAGGGCGGTGACCCCAGCTTCAGACCGAGATGACACGATCCACTTTTTCTTGTCGCGATAGCTTCCCACCAGCCTTTCACCTCGCTTCTTTTGATCTGAAAAATTATAGCGCGCACTAACTCTAACCGATCACGCCATTCTCCAAATCAACCCCTCTTCGCCGTAATTTCAACCAAGCGATCAAATCTCCTCCCTGCCTAGACCTCGGATCGCAAATACCACAGATAAAGCCCGAGCTCGCGATTGGTCTCGCCACCACCACACCATGCGCATATCATAACTGTCAACCTTGGAGAGAAACCATATTCGGGATTGGATCTACACTGCATCTGCAAGCTATCCTAATATTTCCCTTGGCGGTCCGAGTGGCTGGAATAAGCCAGGGAGTCATCGCACATCCCACTGCAGACAGCCACTGGGTGCCTTATGACCAGGATGCCGAGTGCTGGATGGACAGGGAGAGCATTTTCCTACTGTGTGATACTGCTCGCATGGTCTGGTAGTGGACTTGGAGACCGAACGCAGGACTCTGTGCCCACTCAGAATACACCATCCGACCGCACTTCAGAAACGATATGTCCGGCGGAAAATGTTTGGGAGGCGGAGGCGAAAGTCTTCCGGCATCCTGTCTGCCTTGAGACGCGTTGGGGACTTGGACAGAGATCCCACCTTGCCGCGGCATCTGGTACTACCGCTGGAGATAGCACGGTGGTGGATTCGGCTACGACAGAGGTAACTGGTAGCGGAGTTGCAGAATCGGAATCGACGACACAACAAGATCAGCAGGATGCTGATACGGATTCATTACTCGACAGCGCGAGCTTTCTTTCATTCGAAGACTGGAAAAAGCAGAACCTGGCTAAGGCTGGACAGTCTGCTGAGAATGTCGGAGGTAGCAGACGGGTCGTGGCAGCTGGGAAAGAAGGTCGACGACCACCGGGGATCAACAATGCGTTGGACGCACTAGGAGACGACTCAGAGATTGAATTGGACTTCGGCGGTTTTGGAGCTGAGACGCCCGAGGCTAGTCCCACGGCGTGGGGTACACCGATTCCATCGTCTCACACCGACCACCATGAGGGAGAACATATAAATGATCTTGACACCCAACGGTTGCAGAAAGCAGATGTCTTGCGTCGTAAGGATGCCGGGACAACGTGTAAGGAGCGGTTCAACTATGCCTCTTTTGATTGTGCAGCTACGGTGCTCAAGACCAATCCAGAGAGCAAGGGATCGTCGGCTGTCCTGGTTGAGAACAAGGATAGTTACATGTTAAACGAATGTCGTGCTCAGAACAAGTTCTTAATCTTGGAATTGTGCGACGATATCCTTGTGGATACTGTTGTCCTGGGTAACTATGAGTTCTTCAGCTCCATCTTCCACACTTTCCGCGTTAGCGTGTCGGATCGATACCCGGCGAAGCCAGATCAGTGGAAAGAGTTGGGTGTTTATGAAGCGCGGAATACCCGTGAGGTGCAGGCATTTGCGGTTGAGAACTCCCTTATCTGGGCTCGATACCTTCGCATCGAGTTCTTGACGCATTATGGCCATGAGTTCTACTGTCCAGTTAGTCTTATCCGAATTCATGGAACGACTATGATGGAGGAGTACAAGCATGATGAGAGCGTTGGTCACATCGAGGCTGAAGATGAGCAAGTTATGGAACCGATTAAGACCGTGGAAAGCCCTAGTAATGCGCAGACTGAGCCATCACCTCCAGTGGAGGAGATTATTCAAGAGGAACTGACTACCGACGAAATCCCTGAATATTGTCCCGCTTCCCTTACAGGAGTGGAATTGCTTCTCATGGGGCTCGTTTCTCAGACCGAGGTTTGCGATATCAGTGAACGGCCACCAATGGAGTTCATTCCTAACAGAACTGCTACGACGGATCCAAAGCCACCGCGTGGGGATTCGACGGCCTCTACGGGAGAAGTTACTGTCCAACCTGGCTCATTTCAACCCAAGGCAGAAGATACTCGGAAATCGGGTGAGTCTGTCAAGGCTATGATGACGCCTGATGTCTCTGTGGTAGCGGATCCAGCTGTACAGAACACAACTGTCGAGAGCACCGGGAAATCGACGCCAAACCCCAAGGAGGAGAGCGTCCCGCCTCCCGAGTCTACGAGACCTACATCCACGCAACCTCCCTCTTCTAACCCGACCACCCAAGAATCCTTCTTCAAATCCGTACACAAACGGCTCCAAATGCTTGAGTCGAACTCTACCCTCTCCCTCCTCTATATCGAAGAACAGTCCCGGATTCTTCGCGACGCTTTCAACAAAGTCGAGAAACGTCAACTCTCGAAGACTTCCAATTTCCTCGAAAACCTCAATGTGACCGTTCTCAATGAGCTAAAAGAGTTCCGAGAACAATATGACCATGTTTGGAAATCTGTTGCCTTCGAATTTGAGCACCAACGGTTGAAGTATCATCAGGAAGTGCACTCCCTCAGCTCCCAACTAGGTGTTCTGGCCGATGAACTTGTCTTCCAGAAACGGGTCAGTGTGATCCAGAGTATCATGGTCCTCTTCTGCTTCGCACTGGTCCTTTTCTCTCGGGGCTCAGTCAGCAACTACATGGAGTTTCCTCGCGTTCAAAGAATGGTCGCTCGCTCCTATAGTCTACGGTCATCATCACCCTTATCACCACTCTACGCCTCCCCTTCTGCCAGCCCCAGTTCCACTCGGCCCACCTCTTCCTATCATGAGAATGTCGACCACCGACGAAATCTATCAGATAGTTCCTCTTCACAGGAGAGTCCTGCCAGCCCAACAGCCCCCTACGTCCCACAGACTCCGATTTCTCCTATCTCCCACGAGATAGAGGATGAGAAGGTGGACACGCCGCATTCTCCAGACTCGATATCCTTGCCTACTCTCGGGACCCCACACTTCCGGTCGCACAGCACTCCACCCGTGCTGAGTGTCCATACTCCGGGCCTGGACCGCGACGGAGATGATTTTGCGTTGGCATCTGAACTCTCTGAAGTATCTGACGAGGCGTCTTTAGCCCCATGAGGACTAATTGCATTCTGATTTTATACGGGTGGGCTGGTCCCAGCTGAAACCTGTCATACCAAATCGTTTTTGCCACCCAAAGGTGGATTCACAAGCATTGTTTTCATTTCATTTTTTGTTTATATCTGGCGTTATGGGCATTTACCATGATCTGGCGAGTGTACGTTTGGATGATGCACGATAAAGATTCCCACTGTTGTTATAGACCTTGTACTATTTTGTCATGCATGCTAGGTCAAATTCAAATTCTAAGTTCAAAGTTAAAAGAGTAAACATCCTTGAATATTCCTGTATATGATATAATGACACAAGAATGTCATGGAGGGTGTCGTCATGTCATGGTTGCCGGGCCAACAATCGAAGAGCATTTTTCGTTAATCAAGTGCAACAACACGTTTTTCTTCTTTATCCGATCCGCTTTTGATCCTGAACCTTGCAGTCACTGTTTGCTTTGATTGATCCTGCTACAAAACCCGAACCTCTCGCCCATTTCTCTTCATCTCATCCACCACATCCACACATCCAACATGGACGCTACCACACAAATGCAGCCTCTGGCTGACCGCTCAACCAACACCCACCTTGCCAATGCCAACGTTGACAAGACAGACATGAAGTCTGCTGATCTGTCTTCAATGGAGTACCACAGACAGATGCTGCAAGGCAAGCAGGACAGTGGCGAGAAGTAAGTGCACCCCGACAGGCTGTTCATAGCCTGCAGACTAGGCTCATCGCGACCCCTTCCACTCCCTCCAGAACCAACGCTAACCAAGTTTCTTTCCTGCTTAGGCAACCAGCTGCCTACGTCTCTCCTTCTGACGATATTATGAGCCCCTGCACAAAGAAGCTGAGCGACATCAAGGGCAAGCGGTTCAAGAAGTACGTCTTCATCCGATCCCGATCCCACCAAGTCCAATCCATCGATGGATCGATCGACTTCAAGAAAAATCACGAATTCGTCGCTAACATATTGCGCAGTGCCGGCAAGCCCCAGTCCCTCTTTGCCAAGCTAGGCAAGAAGAACTACGAACAATCCGCATCAGCCGAGCAGGGTCGGAACACAGAATAAATGCAGTACCTCAAGCTCGAGTCTGCTGCATTTATAATATCTATGTATTGATTTCCTTTTCCTTCATTCTCCCGCATTGCAGACTAGTGTCTGGCTTTACATTTACAAGACCCTTGGTCCATCCGAATACCCTCGGCTGGCTTATTTGAAGATTCTACGGGCGCTGGACGTCTTGTTTAGTTCAACAAGTTGGTTCTATACAGTCACTAATTGACTGTTGATTTGGACCTGGGCTTTGTTTTGCTGCAATGTTGTTTCTTTTCTTTTGGATCCGATTTCGGTCCATATTTTTCTTTATGACCCGCAATGCCTTTTCTTGTGTTTGTTATCTTTTCATTGGTCTGTTATCATGGGGTTACAATGTCCTGGACTCTTTTATATGGTAATACGTTAGGGACAGGAATAGGAGCAATGGATGGTGTGTCTCTTGATGGTTATATCACTGTAGTTGATTCGGACAACTAGCCGAGGCTTAGGAACGCCGTATTTGACTATAGCCGGAACACGATCTGTTCTACCTGGAAAACTTGTGGTAGAGAATACAATTAAGCACAGCTTTGCTTCCAAGCGCCTTGGAATAGGAATCTACCTACCTAGGAATAGTAGCAGCACTTGAGCGTCAAGATATGCGGGGCCCACAATACATTGGGAGTTCGCGACAACCCACCTGTACTTCTACATATGTGCCCAGGTACTCTCAGTAGGTTTTGTTTCGAGTTCAACTATCGTTATAAGCATTGAATCGATTTTAAAATGATAGTTTTGATTCCCTATTCTATCATCTATGTAATAGTCAAGTTGGTTACATTAGAACTGGGCCGAGGCAAGAAACCCGCTCTGCTCGGCTTCTCCACTACTCCGCAATTGTTACCCCCAACCTTTGGAACTTATATTTGATTACGATCCTCTCTTCTCAACCCCAGATATTACCATTCCCCCGGTTTTATTTGATTTCACACCATCATGTCTGCATCTGCACGAATCCCTCCCATCGCTTTGCCCTTCGTTAGTGAGCGGGCTAGGAAGACTCTTGACCTGGTATGATCCCATTGCTTGCCTTGCTACTATACCGCCGTGGGATTACTATGGGTCGACCCAGACCTAGCCCATCTATCATCAGTACAATAGCTAATTACCGAGCTTTAGGTCGAAGAATTCGTCGAGAAAGAGTGCATCCCCGCCGAAGGTGTCTTCTCCGCCCAGCTCGGCGAAGGCGAGCAGCGATGGACCACCGTACCACCCGTTATGGAGCAGCTGAAGGAAAAGGCCAAGAAGCTGGGCTTGTGGAACATGTTCCTGGCCAAGAGTCACTTCAAACAAGGGGCTGGATACAGTAACCTGGAGTATGGATTGATGGCCGAGTTACTGGGAAAGAGCAAAATTGCCTCAGAGGTAAGCTATGGCGTACCCTCGGATGTATGTGTATGCGTTAGAATACATTGCTGATTTGATCTGCTCTAGGCTACCAACAATGCTGCTCCTGATACCGGTAACATGGAGGTGATTGCCAAGTACGGCAATGAAGCCCAAAAGCAGCAGTGGCTGGCTCCCCTGCTGGAGGGTAAGATCCGCTCTGCGTTCCTAATGACAGAGCCGGATGTCGCATCCAGTGACGCGACAAACATCGAGCTCAGCATTCGTCGTGAGGGTAACGAATATGTACTAAATGGTTCCGTGAGTCTCCCGCACCCACCCATCAAAGCCGAGACTAACCTTACACTGAATAGAAATGGTGGTCCTCTGGCGCCGGTGACCCCCGCTGCAAGATCTACCTTGTAATGGGCAAATCCGACCCCTCAAACCCTGACACCTACAAACAGCAATCCGTTGTCCTGGTGCCAGCCGGTCTCCCCGGTATCTCCGTCAACAGGATGCTACACGTCTACGGCTACGACGACGCACCCCACGGCCACGGTCACATCACTTTCACCAACGTCCGCGTCCCTGTATCCAACATCGTCCTCGGTGAAGGCCGTGGTTTCGAAATTATCCAGGGTCGTCTCGGCCCCGGCCGAATCCACCACTGCATGCGAACCATCGGCGCCGCCGAAAAGGCCCTCGAGTGGCTCATCGCCCGTGTCAACGACGAGCGCAAGAAAACCTTCGGCCAGGCTCTATCTGCACACGGTGTGATTCTGGAGTGGATTGCCAAGTCCCGGATTGAGGTTGATGCCGCGCGACTCGTGGTTCTGAATGCTGCTATTAAGATCGACCAGGGTGATGCTAAGGCTGCGCTGAAGGAGATTGCCGAGGCGAAGGTTCTAGTGCCGCAGACTGCTTTAACCATCATTGATCGGGCTGTTCAGGCTTATGGTGCTGCGGGTGTTTGTCAGGATACTCCGCTTGCGTATTTGTGGGCGGGTATTCGGACTCTGCGGATTGCTGATGGTCCGGATGAGGTGCATTTGCAGCAGCTTGGAAAGAGAGAGAATAAGACGCGGAAGGATGCTGTTTCTGCTAAGTTGAAGTGGCAGCAGCAGGAATCGGATCGCTTGCTTATTGCTTCTGGCTTTAAGGCGAAGAGTCATCTTTAGGGCTTTAGGTAGCATTGAAATACATTTTCAGGGTTTATTTACTTTCAATTGACAGGGTTCACGGGTACCACGTACTAAGTGATTGATCTTTGGTATAATTGATTGAATTCATAAAATATCCAACGCCTGCAAATGTCTAGATCCAAGTCAGAGTGACATGCAAAGCCCATATGTAAAGCCGGTAATCGTCATCTCCAATCTGTCCCCTCATCGATGCCGTGCATACATGGACAAATGTAAAAAAAAGGGAAAACATAGGCACATAAAAAGAGGGAATCTCAATCCATCCGCAAAAAAACACTTTTAGTAATGGTCGTCATCAACAGGGTTGTTACGCTTGGCCTTAGCCCGCTTCTTGTTGCCCTTGAAGTGCTTCTTGCCGTTGCCGTTTCGCACTTCGGCTACGTCAACGCCACGCTCCAAAGCGATCATCATACGTTCCTTACGGCCAGTGAGATTTTGGCGCATCTCCTGCCCTTGAGCGGTGTTCTTGGCGTTGAATGGCAGAGTCAAACGACCGGCGGAAGGACCAGTGGCGGTACCAAAGAAGCCACTGTCGAGGTTGCGGGATCGAGGACCCGGTCTCTCGTCATCTAGGTTCTTAGCCAAAGAGGAGATATCGGTATCCAGGTCGTCGTGGTCGATTCCGTGTCGCGCCAACACGGCTTGACGCCGCTCGGGGAGATGTGCGAGATCATATAGCTCTTTGTTGAACTCGTTCGGATCGATAGGCTCCTCACCCTCCGCAACCGGAGGTGGGTGGACGTAGAGGATCTTTCCGTTCACGTAGTCCTTAAGAACGTAACGAGCAGCGCGCGACTCATCGGGCTGACCCATACCTTGAGTGGAGAAGCCACGAGCGCGGGCGTAAGCGCGCAGCACCTCGCTGGCAGTTGGGATTCCAGTACCGCCCTCCTCGATGGGACGGGTGTGGATCTTCACACCGTAGATATTCTCCAAGAAGTGCTTGGGGACACGGTGCGCAACGATACCGGCAGGACCGGTGAACTCGCGCTGCTGGTCGATGGGCAAGACACCGTTCACAACCAAATCCGCCTTCGTACTGGCGAAGTTGGGGAACACCAGACCGGGACAATCGCACAGCATGATCTCCGGAGAGAGGTACAGGGTCTGGAAGTGCTTTGTCTTACCGGGAGTGGCAGAGACGGACACCTTCTTGGCACCCAGAAGGGCGTTGATTGTGCTGGACTTACCCACGTTGGGGTAACCAACCAAACCAATGGTAGTCTTCTTGATGCCGTCGGCATTTGCGTCCTGCTCTGGCGCGTTGGCCAAGAAAAGTGCTTCTAACTCTTCCACGTCAAGGATGTGAGCTCCCAGTGATTGTTCGGGATCGACAAGCTGAGCACGAGCCGCTTTGTCCTCAGCACTCATTTCCTTAGATTCAGCTTCGTCTTGCACATCCAGGTTCTTGGTCGACTCAGCAAGGTCATCATCATCATCATCATCATCTTCACTGTCCGACTGCTGCGCCTGCTCCTCCTTAAGCAACTCAGCCTCAATCTTCTCTTTGGCGAGGTGAGCCGAGAAGAAACGGAAGTTAATCTTGTTCTTCTCAAAGTATTCAGCCCAAGCCTCTCTTTGCTTGAGGGTCAACATATCAGCCTTGTTGACCAACAGCAAGTTCGTCTTGCGAGGATCGATCTCCTTGACGTAATTTTCCAGATCCTCGGAGCGGAACTGGAGCGGGTTTCGTGCGTCGACGATCTGAACCACGAGATGCGAGCGTTCAATAACACGCCACAGCTGACGCCAAACCTCCAAGTTACGCTCGAACGGAGTCATCAACAGATCATTGAACTCCTGCAGCTCAGCCAGACCACGTCGCCAGTCCAACAGACTCTCGCGCTCCATCATCTCCAGCTGCTGCGGTGTAGTTGTGGAATCCCACTTGGGACGACGCGGCACAGTCAACCGACTCTTGTTCTTTTGTTGCTTCTTTTGGGCGTTTCGCTCCTCGGATGCGGACAGGAGGTAGGGGTTTTTTTGGTCGGCGTGAATAATCTTGACGTTGTTGACCTTCTCGGCGGTAAAGTCGGTACCGGCCAGCTCGGCTGTGCTGAGGAACTCGTCGAGGGCGGCTTGCTCGGTGATAGAGCGCATCTTGACCCATGATGCTTCGGTAGCTTCATTGGTGATGTAGGTCTCACCCATCATGTTCTTGCGCGCAATGGCATTATTGTGCGAACCCTTCTTTTCCTTCGAGGCTTTACCCTTGCCAAAACGGTCGTTCATGAGGCTGTTACCCAGCCCCACGGAGTTTTTGGATTTAGCCAACACCATGATGAATGTGGGTTTGTGGTTGGTGTTGGGAGAATAGTGTGAAGGAATCAAATCAACCCCGCTTGAAAATAGGAAATATTTCAGATTCAGACGGATAAGATAGATGACTCAGCATTAGATTTTGACATTGACAATATTAGTATCTAGTTATATCTATATCTAGCTCTGGTGATAGAAAAAGAATACATGATGAAAAAACTCTTAACATTAATCTATCATATTCTACATAATCCACGTTGCATTCTTCATTCAAACTTCATTGATGCTAGGAAAAGTCTCTATCGCCACCCTGAGGACCCGAGGGGTTCGGGCATCGATAAGCCCCACGTGACCCTAATCTATCCCACTTTTTTCGCTTTTTTTGATTGATGCGAGTTGGGACATTTACCATCGCATCTTGCTAAAGTCGTCATCATGCCGCCCCGTCAGTGGATGTAAGTTATCTTTATTGCAGCCATGCTCGATGCTCAGAACTGACCCCCTTATAGTGATAAGAAGAATGCGAGCACATTCCAGCTCTTCCACCGGCCTCAGAATGACCCGCGCATCAACGATCCTGAAGCCGACGACCGCGTCCTACACCAGGTCAGTGGTCCAGCTCCAGTTTCCTCTGGAGCATCAACTACTTCATCTAAGCCCCTTCGAAACCTCGCCGATCTCCAGACCGAATTCAAGAACAATAAAATCCGTCAGAATGAGGGCGAGGCCGCCAACCATGGTATCTACTATGACGATTCTCGGTACGACTACATGCAGCATTTGCGTGAACTAGGTACTGGTGGTGGCGATGCCTACTTCGTGGAGGCCAAGGTAGAGAAGCCGAAGGGCAAGAGCATGAAGCTGGAGGATGCATTGCGCCAGGTCTCCCTGAATGATGATTCGCAAAGCGCATACGGTGCCAGCGAATATGGCGATATGCGCTCGAACTTTACAACATACTCTCGCAAGCCCACATACCAGGACCAGCAGAATATTCCTGATGCGATTGCCGGATTCCAGCCTGATATGGACCCGCGACTTCGCGAGGCCCTCGAGGCCCTGGATGACGAGGAATACGTGGATGACGATGATGATGACTTTTTCGGCGATCTAACAGCCAATGCGGAGGAATTGGAGCAGGGAGATTGGGAGGATACATTGTTTGATCACGAGGAGGAAGACGAGGGTTGGGAGTCGGATGCGACTGAGAAGGCGCCTGTGCAAAGAGACAGTACCGATGTTGAAGACCGGGATGTACCAGCACTGAACAAGGATGTTCCGCCTGGTGAACTACCCGAGCACGATGCACCTGCTCCGGATATGCACCCAGCGGATCAAGACTGGATGCAGGAGTTCTCCAGGTTCAAGAAAGATGCCAAGGCTGGCAAGGCTCCTGCACCCGCTGCTCCCACTATTGCGCCCTCTGAGCAGCAGACCACTGCTTCAACTGCTTTCACAATCGGAGGCACACCTATTCGCCGGAAGAAGCGCAAGGGCGCCCTGACCAACCCCTCCGCCTACTCCATGACATCGTCCGCTTTGGCACGTACCGAGGGACACCGACTCCTGGATGACCGGTTTGACAAGGTCGAGCAAATGTACGCCCTGGATGAAGAAGACGAGTATGATGACAGCATGTCTATGATTAGTGGTATGACCGGTGCCACTGGAATGACCGGCCTGTCTATGGCATCGTCCCAAGCACCCAGCCTCGTTGACGGCAACGGAGCAGCTGTCTCGCGCAGTGACTTCCACAACGTCATGGATGACTTCTTGGCCGGCTGGGACGACAACACTGGCCCTCAGGCGAAGCGAAAGGGAGTGAAGTACAAGCGTGGTAAGCACGGAAATGAGGCTATTGGCATTCGTATGCTCGATGAAGTCCGCTCCGGTCTTGGTCCAGCTCGGTTTTCCAGCAAACCACGCGCTTAGAGCATTGCATTGCAACATTATACGACACTGAATGGAAACCCCAATCATGGTACGGCGTTCGGTATTTTATGCTATTTTTTTTGTTACAATATCCTACCCATGCGTGTGCGTTAGGGTCGATATACCTACGCTAAGACCAAAAGTGATATTTTCAAACTCTTTTATTCTGTTCAATCACCCAGTATACAGTATACCTCGCAAGACTTTCCAGGAATCAATCCTCAGGTCAACCAGATTATGCGGTACTCTATCTATCTCCTCATCATAGAGAATCGCTAAGATCCCACTCTCCCTTGCAGCGCATATATCTCGCACCGGATTATCCCCAAAATAAACAATATCTCCTGCATCAATCCTATACTTCTCCAACACAATGTCAAACAACCCCTCAACCTTTGATTTTCCCACCTCATTCGTGGTAACCAGAATATCAACATATGACGATAATCCAAGCTCCTCAATAGTCCACTGCTGTGCATCAGCAGGCCCTTCCGTGACAATAATAATTTTCTTTTCGAGCTGTCTAAGAGTCCGGAATAATTCCATGATTCCAGGTTTCAGGGCTATATTTGACCGTAACGATGATATGTAGATGTTGAGTAACGGTTCCACCTTGTCGGTAATGTCGCCATCTACCCCGTGGGCTTGCAGGAGCCGGGTAAATCGTTCACGACGGTACTCAGTCGAGGTTCGTCCATCTGTGAACGCATTGGCCGTGGCTGTGCGTAGTAAATTTTGGTATGTGGTTCTCAACACGTCAATTTGGATTCCTTCACTTGTGTGTATGGCTTCAAATATGGACTGTGAGGCTTGTGAGGAAGCTTTGCGGAATTCATGGAGTGTGTCGTCGAGGTCGAAGCCGAACCATGTTTTGCAGAGAAGGGTTGATTTGAGATTGGACATGCTGCAAAAGGTTGAAATACTTAGCTCATAGTTTGGGAGTAGTGATTTGATATATGCATTGATGGTTCATGACTCAGAGTATGTCGATGGCGTGATAGCCAAGACAACTGATGCGATGTCTATAGGTACAATTAGGGGAAATACAATATATACAACAGTGAAATCTGCAAGATAGGACATCTACAGAGCTCCGCCAACTTTCTCAACGATCCACATAGCCAATCGCACATTCCAGCCCACGCGACGCTCCGTGCGCATAAGATCCTCGCGCGAGATGGGCTTGGAATCCTTCTGGAGCACCTCGGTCTCCTCACCGAGCTTGCGCTTCAACTCTTGATCATTTGTGATCATCAACGCGCCGACCTCGATATCGAGACTGTAACTCCGTTTTGTGTAGTTACTGCTACCCACAAAGGTGAGGCTGGGATGCTCTTCGTTCGGCAATGTAATCCAAAGACCCTTAGCATGATAGGTCCATCCTTCTGGTGTGCCGACAGTACCGCGGCGCCATTCCCTCAGCTGGATGGAATTGGTCGCTTGAGCGGCAGCGACACGATCGAGAAAGCGCGCAGAGAGGTGAGTGTAGGCTGCAGGTAACATGCCTGATATACCCGGCGAACCGTAGAATCCATTGGCCCATGGCGAGGCAGTCAGAACTGTGCCTTGTGTGGTGGATGGGGCTTTGGCATTGGTTGATGTGCTGGCGATCAATAGTGAGGAAAGGACTGGGTGGATGTTGAAGTAGCCTGCCGTGAAAAGCCAACGGGCTCCGGCGAATGCGGATGATTCGGACAAGAGGCGAAGAATACTGGTGACAGCTGGAAACTCGGTAGAAGTGTCAGGCTTGAGAATTGGGGTGAACTGTGCAACAGGATATACAAAGGTTTGGCTAGAGGTAGAGGGGAGAACGGGTTTATTGTCGGATGGTTGGATAAGGGGGCCGAGAGTTGTTGATGCGTATCCAATGAAGTCTTCGGGACTGTCTAGAGGTGATGGAGCTCCATTGGTTGTGGGCCATTCCAGGAGATATGCGGAGGTGTTGTTAGGGTCTGGCAAGACCTGGAAGCTCAGACTGCAGACGCCATGGTGGATACGAGCGTAATAGTCTGCCAATGCCTTAGAACTGTACACATGGTACCGGTCCAGACGGTTGGTAAAGTAGTCATCGGACAGATTTGCTCTATATAGGCATTAGCATGATTTTCAAGAACAGCTCGATGGCAACTCTTACCCCGAAATGATAATCTCGTCATCAATTCCATACAGCTTCATGTGCTGCAAGCCCCAACCCTCGTTGATTCGACGAGGAATATGTTTCTTCTTCAGACCCGTCAGATTGGGCGTATGGTACATCCGAATGTCCACCCGTTCAGGTCCAAACTCCTCCACCAACGAACAAAGCAACGAAGCGCATGACGGGTTGGGAGTTTCTCGAGTGCCGCGTAGCGCATCGGCAAGAACAGAGACTTGAAGTTCCGGATTATCGCGCAGAGCATCTGCAATGGTATCGATCAATTCGTATTCGGTCTTGCCAATGTAGAGTGTCGAGAGGTAAACGCGCCTCCGGGCATTGCGGATTTTATGCTGCCGAGACCGGATCAGTAGACGATCTTTAGGTATAAAGCTCCCGCACGATTACGGACCTTGAGGGTGGAATAGAACTGAGCCGGCGAGTTCAAAATCGTGACTTGAGACGCTGAAATCTCGAACCGGGGGGCAATGCGATCTAATTCAACTGTGATTCCCCCGAGTGGTGACGGTGCTGGAGCAGCGGAAGCGTTAGCCGCAGTATGGGAGAACTTGCGACCACAGAGATTGCGGCGCGCAACTGGACGACGAGTGGCACAGCGAAGCGCCTGGCCTCCAATGCGACCGAACATGTCGTGATACCAGAAGCCAAATACAAATCAATTTAAGGGAAACCGCGGGTTTTGAAAGATTTCTGGATCGGGAAGGGACTATCACGCATGAATGCAAACAGTGCAAACAGCCGGACTTCAACGCTTTCAACCTCGCGGCGACTCACGACACAGGGATTACACATTGTTCCTCCCACCATTGCACCGTCACCATGTCCACCGTTCTACGGACGCTGCGCAATTTGCGCCGCATTGGCTTCAAGGTTCGTGAATCATCTGGATTTTTCTCATTCCAAGCTTAAATTGCTAACTCTTCGCAGGAATTTGGTCATCAGATGCAGGTATGAACTTCGCCCGCGGATACCTGGGGTACAAAGATTGGAAGGCAGAGAGACTAACCGTGGCTTTCCTCCTGTTTTATTTTAACAGAACATCGGTATGGTACACATTGCGGGGTGGAGAGGGGGCCCATAGCTAACTGGAATCGATCTTAGGTGATACCAAGGCCGGAACTCTGGTCGGAACCGACCGCTGGGGAAACAAGTTCTACGAGAATATGACCGAGGAGCTGCCCCGTAAGACACTAAAAGCTCCAGAAGCGGAAAGAACATGGAAATAGGACCTGAAGTGCTGATTAACATGCAGTCCGTACACGATGGGTCGACTACAAGACTAACTGGCCTGAGTTCAACCCCGATCAGATTGAGCCTGGCTGGTAAGTTTGCGCCATGAGATCCTTTAAACCCCAATAAGGGGGCTCTTCCCCTGTGTAAAGCTGATCACAATACAGGCACGCCTGGATCTCCTACATGGTTGATACTCCTCCAACCGCCGACAAGCTCCTTCAGCCCGGCCTCCGCCACTACGAGAGCTCCGAGCACCGTCCCAACCTTACCCTGACTCGTGGTGCTTTCAAAACCTACTCTACGTATGTTCTTGGATAATTTTGCTCATAGTGTGGAAGTACTAACCTTTTTCAAAGCACCGTCCCCAAGTACTCTGCCTGGACTCCTGTTGCCGCTCCTCGGTAAATCCAATTGGCTAGGGGCTAGCAAAATGAACTGAACCTTGGCAATCTACGCTATTTTTCTTTTTGCTCTTTGATATCCTACAAGCGCCGAATGTGCTTGAGGGGAATGTACATAAAGTTGTGCTACTTCTGCTTTTCATGAAATTTTCATTATAGAAACTATTGAAGTCTTTAAAACAGGATAAACTGACCGAAGAGGCGGTGTAATAGGTATGAGAGACTATTATATTGCATTACCTCAATATCCAGTATACTCACAACAGAGCACTGAATGACACTGTGTACTTACATCCAGAGCTCTCATAGTCTGACGGGAGAAAACGATTTTCCATTTTCAATAAATTTGAAGATCAAATAAAGGAAACGCTTGACCAAACATATCCAGTCCTGCTTTCAGCTTCCGATTCGCAGTAAGGACATGGTATTCTAGATGTTGAAGATGAAAACAAGGGGAATCAAGCGTGACCAGTCCAAGGGGAATCAACTAGATACAAGAAAGATATTAATTAAACATGGTAGCTCGTTTAAGTCCATCAAAGCACATAAAGTCCAGAGCCAATGTTAGACCAGTGTCGGATTGGCCGACGGTCCTCAAGCTCAATACACCACCATAAAACTTCTTTCAGCTTCTCGGTCTGTTCTCCAGCCTCGTATGCGCGAGATAGCGCATACCATGCCTCGGAGTTATCCCAGGAGCTGCCAAGCTTAGTGAGTATAGAAAGAAGGCCATACGCACGATCGCGAGCTGCAAGGCGATGGAGATGCTTCGGGTCAACTTCATGTGGATTATTAGCCACCGACACTGGTCGTGGAACCTCTGCCGCCTCAGGTGCCTTGAGCTCATCAGCCGAGATAGCCCGAACTGACTTGAGCTTAGCACTGGAAGACAATAAGGACAGACGGGAGACGTTGAGATCTACGTCCGTCTTAGTGGATTCGGGTAGAAGCTTCTCGTCCCAAATGTCCAACAGCAGGTTTGCAAGGGCAATGGTAGCAATTGGGTGCTCGGGACAGCGCAGAAGAGCTTCCTCATAGTACTTCATGGCCTGGTGAGGTCTGTCCTGGGCTTGAGCCAGAAGACCCTCTTCTGCGTGGACATCTGCCCAGAGTTCCTCGGAGCTTTTTGCAGCAGTCCAGCCACGCTTGCTGAGATGACGAGCAGAAGACTCTTCGGCGGCAACCAAGGCTTCCATTTGTGCAGTCTGTTTCGAGGCTTCTTCACAGGCTTCGCGGGCATCATCGAAAAGCGATGCTCGGCGATAGAGACCGGCGATAACCAGCCAAATCTTGACTAGGAGAGCAAGGGCGTGCTTCTTGGATTGTGTGATAGAAAAATTGGTCGTAACGCTGGTAGGAGAATCGAATCTTTGAGCAGCGGGACGCTTGTTGTGACGAGTGGGTCGATCCTCGTGGCCAGCTGGGTAAGATGGTAGCTTGTAGTTCGGGTTGGGGGTGATTGGTTGTCTGACGTGGGGAGACTGCGAATGCTCTCGTGGCACGGGGGTCGAATTCCCAGACACTGCAATGCCAACCTCATTTTCGTGAGGAGGAGGCGCTGGGGGTTGTTCGGACCTAAAGGAACTGCCGCTACGTTCTCTCAGCTTCTTGGAGTCCGATCTTCCAAGCCTGGGGTTTGACTCGTGATCTTCGTCGGTAACTTGAATTTCTGGCGCGTCGTAGCCAAAGTGGCCATTTGGAAGCGCTGGAACAGAAGGGGTGGCAGAATGGGAGCTCGTAGATCGCTCTGCACCACGATCTGGCAGCTGAGACATTCTGTTACGGTGGAAAATACTGCTGCGGAAGCTCTTTGTTGTTTGCCCAGCTGAGCTTTTGGGTGGTACCAAATGATCCGACTTCAGCTTATTTCCATCGTCAAGATCCAGCTCTTGGAACAGTTTGCCAAAAAGACTGAGCAGCTGCCCAGTCTGGTTAACGGCAGCCTCTGGGCCTTCGAGAACCTCGGTGAATGCAAGCTGCGTGATGCGGGTCTCAATGATACGCTCCTTCTCCCGACCCTGCAACCGACTAACCAGCGAGCGCTTGGGAGCACCCAAGCCATTCTGTGACTGTCTTGAAGAACGTCGGTCACGATGGCCCTTGGAGAAAATTTCCAAGGGGAAATGTTCAAATGCTGCCTCGCACGAGCGTTCAGCAATGTCAAACTCTTGTTTTGCACTCAGCAAAAGTGCAAGCAGATGCCATAGTGATACAAGATCTCTTTGTTTTGAGAGATCCTCAGTGACAGGGGTCGAGTTGTGCGAAGTCAGAGCGGACTTGGCATAGTCGATTGCGGCATCGAGATCACGATTTTCCGCTAGAGTCAAGGAAAGGGTGTACAGAGCGGCGAAATCTGTGTCTTGTCCGAACTCAGGGTTGATGCTCTTTTCCAGATAGTCAATCGCGTCCCCACGGATTTCGTCCCGTGCCTCGTTCAATGGGGTGTAGCTAGCCCAGTTGGCGAGACCAACTCCGACTGCTCGGTATGATGCGGCCAATATCGGGATAGGGATATCTGGAGAATTGGCACAGTTAGGACCATGTGAAAGTAGGAGCTTGCCGTTGCTCTGACCCTCTGTTTGACTTGTCGCCTGCTTGTCGATATACTCTTTAATGAGCTCGGTCAAGTCCTTGGCCTTCTCCGCCTCTTCAAAGGACCCAAGGCAGCTCAAAAGAGTGACAGCCTCGGAAAGAGTTTGCAACAAAATCTCATCCTTTTCCAGCTCTCCATACTCGGCTGACTTTTCAGCCCGTTTCTTCGCGGCGGTGACAATCTCAATGTAAGAATCAAGAGCCTTGAAAGCGAGGTCAAAGTCTGCCAGTGCAGCATGTACATGGAATAGACGTTTGAGGATCAAGTGCGAGTGATAGGTTTTAGTTGCCGCACGATACAGAATCTGTGGTCTTGAGTAAGCATCGAGAAAGATTAGCCATCATGTCATGTATATCACTTACGTCCAGGACATTGCGGCCCACGGCATTTTGTCCTCCCTCACCAAGGTCCTGGTCCTGCCAGTCGGGGCCACAAAGAACCTCCCAGTTGCTGATCACCTGCTCCACCCATTCTTCAACCTGGGAATTGTCGGAACTAGCAGTCGGGAATTTGACCTCCCGCAGCAGGTTACTCTCACAAATGGCCTCAACGCGACGGATTTCACTGGCAAGCTGTGGGCGTTCTGGGGTGTTATGCGCAGGTGGGTAGGGCAAACCATCCTGGAGGACGATTGTGAGGAACAAGTAGTATGATTTCCAGATTGACGTGCGCGACGGTTGACCTGGGGCACCTGCATATGCGGCCTTGGGAGAGCCCTGTCCTTGCTTGACTGCGGGATGCACAGCCCATAGTCGAAACAACCGAAGGGCGATCTCCACATGCCGGGGATCTGAGTATGGAGTGGCCGTGCCAGCTTCTTCACTGGCCATCACGGCCCCCTTGCCAAGTAGGGTCTCGGACCAGCTGAGGAATTGGGAATTGGCATTGTTGATAAGTTTGCCGTTGCCGAGCCATTGAATCAAGGCTGCAAAGGTTTCCAGAGTTTCATCGATGCTGGCAACTGTAGACTGTGCAGATCCTACAGAGAAGTTCGTCAGTTTCATCAAAAAAATATAGATAGATGCGTCGAAATCGATGGGAACTGGCATACCCTTAATATAGCATCCCTTGACTAAACAGACTTCGGTCCAATCGGACAAGTCCTGACCTTCACTCAACAGAGCATCTACGGTGGCCGCAAAGTCTTTGGGCAGGCGAGCTGCCGCCAGTCCGGGCTCATTCAATGTCCAATGAACCCATCCCAAGCATACCTGAGCTTGCAAAATCTCCTGCGGGGTGCCATCGTTATTCTCGATTGTTGTCAACAAAGCGGGGATCAACTCGGGTAGATTCGGTGTGGCTGTCGATTCCGTGGTATTCTTTTGGTGAATGAATGAAACCACTCGCGATTCGGCAGTTGCGGTCTGAATGACACCTGTTGATTGGGAAGGAGATCTCCGGATTAGCGCAAGCCACGCGGGGGAGTAGCTTTCGTCAGTGTAGTAACCTACATGTCTTTTGCGGAGCGTGCTTGGTAACCTTTCGGATCAATTCAGGAACCTCTTCCCATTTGCCCTGAGCGCGCGCCTGGTCTAGAGCTGCGATATAACGTTGTCCCTTCTCGACATTACCTCCCTAGCACCGTTACTGCGCGTCAGTATATTGGGAGGTGGGTTCCGGGTTCTCGGGGAGTTAATTAGGTGTCAACAGAGACATCCTGAAAGATTCGCGACACTCACCGCCATGATGTCCGTTATTGGGAATAAAGCGCAGAGGAGATGCTGAAAGGACAGTACATGCAGGCTGAGGGAAACAAGTTTCTGGGGGTAAGAATGATCGCCCAGGGGTGGAGAGGTGTGTATTGCTTTGGTATGTAATTTTACCCGAGGCTTTACATTCTTGTAATCATGTGGGTCCGAGCTTTTTTGGCAAAAAAAAATTACCGATAAGACAGCTATGTATTACTGAACATTCTCTTGCTTCCCAGGAAAAAAGAACCGACTTGTATTCTAGATCTAGAAAGATCAAGGAAGTCGTCATGACTACAACTACGCTACGTGCAGTCACCCATCGTTTGGCAACTACTCCAGTTGAACAATTGCCTTCGGTAGCTGCATTCCTTGCGACTTCGTTGACCGATTGCGCCGAGCTTCTCTCTGCGCCTCAAGCAGGAAAATCAGGCAAATCAGACTCGGATCATACTGTCCAGATTCATAAGCTGAAAACTCGCTTGGCAGCTTTGCTGCAGGACCGCAGCATTGAGGGACGATGGACCGCTGTGGTGCTTGTCAAAGCCACCGTCGAGGCGGGACAATGGGAGATCTTGCGTGGCTACGAGCCAATTGTTCGTGGCTTGATCGGCATTCTGGCGGTATGAACATTCTTCATGACTTGTAGATTGAGATCTTTCGTTTCGATTGACTGACATGTGGCATCCTATAGAAACCGGATCCAATCTCCACCAGAAAGATGGCTTTGATCACCTTGACGCGTATCTTCCACCTCACCTACCAGTACCCGACTCTTGTCCGGGAGATCACGACTCCTCATCTGCCTGCATTTATTACCGCTGCTCTTAATCTGGTCTCGGTCCTCACCAAGCTTCCCTCTGGATCGACTCGTAAAGCCAAGCCCAACACTCCGTTTATGGAGACCGTTCTTCAAGTCTGCTTGGAATTGGTTCCTCGGCACCCTACCATTTTCCGACCATTTGGTACTCAGCTTCGATCATTGCTGACGGAGATACTGGGCTCGTCAATTTACTTCCCCGACCCGGTGATGGATATCGCCGAGCAACTCTTCGCCTCTCTGCACAAATGCGCACCAAAGGACAAGGCCGGGTCTGGCTGGACCGACGACTGTAGGGCAACGGTCCTTTCTATCCACCGAGCGGCTGACTATGTTTTCCGTGCTGTGGTCGAGCAGTGGGAGTCGGTTGATGGAGGTTTGGTTTCGGCACGACAGAACTATCGCGATGAATTAGGTGATGATAGCACTGATGCACTGGGACTTCATAACTGGGTGGGCATGCATGCGGGATCTGATAGATTGATCACACTTTTGCGACTACTGTCGAACTTCGTTGCAATGCCATCTGCAGCTACTGTTGCCCTCCCTCTGGGATCTATTCTCGATGTGACATCGCGTCTCACATCTGTGACCGCTCCTACAGATGAGGGGTCCCGGGGCGTGCAAAGCAATCCTCAAATTGGCCGCGACGAGCGGGAGTTGCTGTGGGCCGAATTGCCTCGCATTCACATTGCCTGTATGGACTTGCTTGCGCAGGTTACCAGTGTGCTGGAGACTAGTGCCACGCCTATTGCACAGAACATCCTGGAACAAATCACCTGGGTGTTCCGCAACGAACATACTAGTCGCAATGTGCGCTTCGCTTCGTATGAGCTACTGCGCACCGTGGTGTCGCTGAGTGGCCCCGCTATGTCGAAGGAGAGCGTGGCCTCTATCGCCAATATTCTGCGCGCCTGTTGCCAGGACCTCCTGCCTTCTTCCGATGACTCCAGCTCTCAAGCCAAGCCGCAATCCGATAGCAAGGCGAAGACAAAGAATGGCCAGGCCACCGCGAATGCAGACTCATTCCTGAACCCGGACCTGCAAAAGAACCGCAAATCACAAACATCCCAATTCGCTGAGCTAGAACGGGCCGCGTCCGGTCTCTTACAGGCTGTTTTGACATATGTTCCCCCACAACTCCTTGCGGGATCGCTTCGCGCTGAAATCGACCGCACGATCATTCTGGTTTCTGACAAGGATGCCATGCTTGCAAGTGTTCTGAACCCCGTGCCCGCTATCCAGGGCCGCGCCGCAAGTGCCAGTATCATGCCCTTCTTAGTTCGGGCTTACGCCGATAACGTGGAAGTTGAGGCTTTGGTCCGCCCTAGAATGCCAGTCCTGATGACTGCTCCGGAGCTCAACGCTTTTGCCGATATGGAAGACGAGCAAGATGCAGACGATATGGTTGATGAAGCGTACAATGATGCTCCCGAAACTTCCGACTTCTTGGTTTCGGCTCCTGCACCTGTAGAATCGAAGCCCGCAACCCAGGTTCCAATGCACAAACGGACGTATGTTGAGGAGTCCAACATCCACGCGCCTAGCTTGTCAGACTCTGTGAACGAGGCTAAGAAGGCCCGTTTTGAAGAGAGTGCTACACAGTTTCCTGTCGTCGCTCGGGCTGAGACGTCTGCGTCTCAGCTAGCTGAAGCTGACGCACCCGTGCAGCAGCAACCCCAAGTCACGCCTCAGGCTCCGGCTGCCCCGGCTGCTTCAGTGCCGGAGGATGAAAGTGATGATGAAATGCCCACTCTAAACATGGATTCGGACACTGATGATGAAGACGACGAGGATGTCACGATGGACGGTTAATTGTATAATCTGATCGAAAGTCCAGCATATATCAAAAGTCTTTGTATGTTCCGAGGTCTATCTAGCCCTTCTAGGCCGGCCCGATTTTCTATAAAATTTGAAATATATCCAAATGCGTATACATATATACAGCCTCTTCCCATGATCTACCATGATTCAAATTACTCGTATCCCGCTACCCCAATAAGTTCCATCACTCCAATACTTAAACCATTCCCCTTCCCAGCACCACCATCCCTGCCCATTCGCTAATCCGAGGCCGCGGAGGGGACTAATTGGCACAGGCTCCATCAACCACAGCCCGCCTCTGGCAAAGTCATCAGCGATGAGAGGCCCAGAGAATAGTAACCAAATAAACACCATAAGACCATTTGCGGTACGCCGCAACCAACGTGGGGTTTGACCCAGAGGAAGCTTTGGGAAGACCACGGTCTTAAAGATATATTCTGCAATGATAGCCATGCTTTGTGAGAGGAAGAACAAAAATGGCCCAGTAAGCGGTCGAGTCTCTGTGAACTGTGTATAGCTGCCACAAGCATGCACGAGGCCACTCAACGAAAAAGCAACCACGATGTAGGTTACTCGTTTTAGTCGCGGGTTTGTACCCCATGAAACCGGGAGCAATGATAGAAGCCACCGGGCTGTAGAGGTGAACCCGTGTCTGAAGAGCTGATGCCACCAGCTTCCCCAAACGCTCGCTAGGCCGTCGTCCAAGACCGATGAAATAAATGGCCCGAAGGTATCGGCGTACAGCCATGGCGCGTCTAGGGGAGCAGCCGTTAGCTTGCGAGACGCATTGGGAAATGCGAGGGATAGCCCAAGGAAGCATATGGGATTGAGCGAGGTCACATATTGAAGGGCGGTATAGACCCCAAGACAACTCAGGAAGCAGTGGTAGAAGCGAATACCACAAGGTATGAATACGAGGAAACTTAATGGAAACGGAGGAGCAATATTGTCTGTGGCCGTGTTCCTGAAGTAGGGATCCCTAATCATGACCACTTTCAAAGCATCAAGTGTCAGATATGAGATGGCAAACACGCGAAATGCTTTCGAAACACATTTTCTTGCAGAAATCTGGACACCAGTATCTTCTGCGGGGATACTGTTTGCCAGGAAGCCAGAATGCAGGTCTGCGTGTACTGTTTGAGGTAGTCGACCAAGACGAGGAGTACGCCAGTTCCACTCCGGGCCACGGAGGTTGAAAAGTAGTCCGGCGCACCACTCAATGCGATGCGACAACTTCGAGGGATATGACTGCCAGCGAAACCGTGCTTTGTCTGCAATGACATTCTCTGATACTGTGCCGTTGTTGCTCGATTGTGCATCCAAGCTGTCCCCAATTGAACGGGGTTTCTCAGATGCAGTCACGCGCTCAATGCGTTGGAAGTCGCGCTCAACGTCTGAGAAGATGAATAATGTGCCACTCCACACTAGCAACCAGGCCGCCATCATACCAATCATGTATCCATTTCCGCCGAGAAGAGCTCGCTGGTTCCTAATGACCTCAATTGCAAATGCCAAGCTCAGTGCAAAGACCAACGGTCGAATATATTGCCCACCTCTGCTCTTAGGAATGACCAGGACAATCCAGGGGAGACAGTTGAAGACAATCACATGGTAGAGGAGAAGCGGCCGGAAGGTGCCTTTTTTGAGCAGATACTCTAGCTCATTTTCGTTTTGCTGAGCAAGATATCTGGACCAGCTAATGCGGGGATCAGCCATGCGGAGGGGGCGCCACTATGCTCGGGAGCTTGTCTGTAAGCGTCGATCTTGGATCCGTGCGTGTCGTGACCCCCGCAAATGAGAAATGAGAGAAACAAAGGATTCCACAGGAAGATGTGCAGGCCAATGTATAGGGTAAATATAGAAAAAAGCAGAGGGTAAGCAACAGCAAAGTTGGAAGGAGATGTATCATATCACGTGATAGGAATTGCTACACGGTGACTTTTTTAAACAATTGTCACATGACCCATACCTCCGTATAAAGATCTATAAAGATGTTATTCATACGGAGTACATAGTACATAACACAGAAGTGGGTAGTATGCCGTAACTAGGAGTAAGGAGTTAGGCATCGGGGTAATCTCCCATGTGATAACGCGTTTCGCGACCGCGCGATTTCCTAATTCGGACTAGCGAATGCCGTCATTCGTCAGGATACAGCGATCTATCACTTTCTCCTATTTTGACTTCAACGGCACTCAATTGACTTTAATTCTGCGCAGAAATTAGCCAACATTTGATATTCACATCTCAGAATTGACTCTGGTGGGGCTGCAATTCATACTATGTCGTCCAGAAAGCGCAAATCCGATCTTCTCGGCGTGATCGAAGACAACGATGCTCCTGCGTCAAAAGTCAGTCGAGCATTAGGCCCAGAAAGCATCAGCAATGGCGAGAGGTTTGGCCAAAGTGCCGATTATATTCCATTGAATGAGCTCTCTCAGATTATTGGCGATGAAGACGATGACCAGGCCGCCGGCCTTGTCCAGGGAACTCAGGACGCGGACTCTGCGTTGTCTACAAACATGCTTTATGGTAGATTTACCCTTTTCAATTTTTGCCCTCAAAATTTATGAAACAAGCTCTGAACACTTTCACTCAGGTAAACTGCAGACCGTGATCGTGGGAGTTCGTTTCTACAAAGGTATTGCCACCCCAGGCGAGCATGTAATCCTGAAACGAGAGCCTCAGAATCAATATGATCGCAATGCAATCCGAGTTGATAATATCATGGGCATTCAGATTGGCCACATTGGGAGGGGAATCGCTGCCAAGCTCGCCCCCTATATGGTTTGTTCAAGATTCCATCCGTCCGATTCTGGAAATTGGCTTACGGCTTCTTTAGGACTCCGGAGACCTCCATGTAGAGGGAATTTTGACAGGCATCAAGGGACCTTATGACTGCCCTGTAGTGCTGCCGCTATACGGCACAACCGACCTAGAGAAGAAGACAGCTCTAAAGCAGCGTATGCGTCAGGATAGGCTTCCTGTGGGTGACGCCACGGAGGCTGAGCGCAAGGAGGCGCAACGCAAGAAACAGCAAGCTGCGGAACGCAAGATGGCTGAAAAGGCGGCTCGTGCAATGGCTCTCAAAAAAGCTGCGGCGGGATGGCAAGGCAATGATGAAACAATGTTTGCCAACCTCTCGACACCAACAGGGCTGGGCGGGGACACCGAAACCCTGGAGGATCTTATCAACCAAAGCAGCTCCTTCAATCCCAGGGATATCGGCCAGGTGGTGGAGAGCTTCGGACTGAAAGAGTCCGACATGGCCAAGATGCCGATGGCCGACACCCCAGCTGGTCTTTCTACAGAATTACTTCCTTATCAAAAGCAAGGTTTAGCGTGGATGATCGATCATGAATCTCCGACTCTTCCCCCGCCTGGCTCTGATGCCGTGGTTCAGCTGTGGAAGCGCAGTGGAAAAACCTTTACCAATATAGCAACCAATTATTCTACTTCTACTGAGCCGACACTCGCAAGCGGTGGAATTCTCGCTGATGATATGGGTCTTGGGAAGACCATCCAGGTCATCTCCCTGATTCTGGCCAACTCTGCTCCAAAGTCTTCGGGGTCCAGTAAGACCACGTTGATTCTTGCCCCGGTGGGTGTGATGAGTAACTGGAAGTACCAGATGCAAGATCATTGTCGAAGTGAAAGCATGCCGCGTGTTCTAATTTACCACGGATCTGGTAAAAAGGAGGCTGCGAGTCTGTCGCAGTACGATGTTGTGATCTCGAGCTACGGCGCCCTTTCCAAAGACTATCAACCGGGAGCCAAAAATACACCTAAGAAGGGGATCTTCTCTGTCCACTGGCGGCGCGTTGTGCTCGATGAGGGTCACTGCATTCGAAACCCTCGGACGCAAGGTTCTCTGGCAGCTTGCGCCTTGCGTGCAGACTCTCGCTGGACGCTTACTGGAACGCCAATCATCAACACCCTCAAGGATCTATACTCGCAAGTACGATTCTTGAAGCTTTCTGGAGGCTTGGAAGATATGGGTGTTTTCAATAGCGTACTAATCCGCCCTCTCACATCTGGTGACCCCGAGGCTCGCTTGCTTCTTGAGGCTTTGATGGGAACTATTTGTCTCAGACGGCGAAAGGACATGGAGTTCATAAACCTGCGACTCCCCAAGCTCACTTCTCGAGTCCTTCGTATCAAGTTTCACCCTCATGAACTCGCGAAATACAATGCATTTCAGTCCGAGGCAAAAGGAGCTTTGTTGGAGTTCAAGGATAAGCAAGGAACATACTCTCATCTGCTGGAGGTCATTCTGCGCCTCCGTCAAGTTTGCAATCACTGGGCCCTATGTGGAAATCGCGTCGCCAAACTCATGGAGACCTTGGGAGAGAATAAAGTCTTGGAACTTAACTCTGAGAACATGAAGGCTTTGCAAGAGATGCTGCAGGTTCAAATTGAAAGCCAGGAAGTGTGTGCGATCTGTCTTGACAACTTTGATCAACCTGTCATCACGGCATGTGCCCATTCTTTCTGCAAGGGCTGTATCGAGGAGGTTATTGAGCGACAGCACAAGTGTCCACTCTGCCGTGCCGATATCAAGGACAACAAGACCTTGGTCGCCCCCGCCGAGGGATTGGGTGAAGATTCCGCAATCGTTGACGCAGATCCCAGCAACCCTAGCAGCAAGATCGAGGCCCTAATGAAGGTTCTCACCGCGCCAGGCCAAGCGCCTGGAACTAAAACGGTGGTATTCAGTCAGTGGACGTCCTTCCTCGACCACGTGGAACCTCATCTTGCCCAACGAGGAATCAAATTTGCTCGGGTGGACGGCAAGATGAATGTCGACAAACGCGATAAATCCATCAGCGTATTTTCTACAGATCCTGACTGCACTGTTCTTCTTGCAAGTCTCAGTGTTTGCAGCGTGGGTCTCAATCTCGTTGCTGCCAATCAAGCTATCCTTGCCGACAGTTGGTGGGCCCCTGCCATTGAAGACCAAGCACTGGATCGTGTGTACCGATTAGGGCAGAAACGAGAGACCACTATGTGGCGACTCGTTATGGAGGACAGTATTGAAGAGCGTGTGCTTGATATCCAGAGTCGGAAACGTGAGCTGATGCTTGCAGCGTTCCGCGAGACGGGCAAGAAGAAGGCTGAGGATAGAGCGACTCGTGTGGCGGATCTTGAGAATCTTCTTCATTGATCTAGTAGATGTATGTACTACTACATAAATTGCCGTGTTCCTTTACTCTACCGAGGTCCGATACCGCCTTCGCATACAATTTCCTTCACATTCCGCGATAAACCTTAATGTTCCCTGACCCATGGATACGTCACATTCCCCCATCCGACCCCGGACTCCACGACAATTTCAATTTCAACACATGGACTAGACCACAAATGCATGACCTTGGGCTCGACTGAGGCTCTACAAACCAGATTCAACTCCTAGTATGCAAACGCAGAATGGGCACTTGCGATGCCCCCGTCGAAGGAATCGTCGGTGCATACACAGGCAACAACTTCGCCGTCCAAGCCTCAATTGCCAGCCTCCTCGGCTGTGCCATCTACAGCGCCTTAGAGCTCGTAGTGCTGGTCTTCTCTATCTTCCACATCTACGGAGGTCTGTACTTCTGGAGCCTCTTGATGTCCGCCTCACTAGGCGTGATTCCCGATGCACTGGGCCTGATCCTGAAATACTTTGAGCTCGCCCCGATATGGATCCCCGTGACGTTGTCAACTGCCGGCTGGGCCGTTATGGTGACAGGACAATCGCTTGTGCTGTATTCGCGACTACATCTAGTTATGCTGAATCAGACGGTACTGCACTGCGTGCTGGGGATGATTATTTTCGATGCGATTGCGATGCAGACGCCGCAGATTGTTGCTTCTTATGGGGCTGTTTATGCGTGTCATTCGGGGTTTGGGACATTTTTTAATGTCTGGGAGAAGGTTCAGTTGACTGTGTTTTTTGTGCAGGAGATTGTTATCTCATCATTGTTTATTGTGCAGACTATCAAGTTGTTGATGTCTTATCCCTCGCGTTCGAAACGGAGGACCAATATCATGTATCAGTTGATTACCATAAACACGGTGATCATATTGATGGATATTGCGCTTATTACTATGGAGTTTAGGGGGTTGTTTATTACGCAGACGGTGGCGAAGTGTTTCTTCTATACTGTGAAGCTCAAGTTGGAGATTGCCGTTTTGTCGAGATTGGCATCGTTTGTGAAGTCAAATTCTGATCAAGGTTCATCAGGGTTAAGTCGTTTGCAAAACCACTCTTGATGTGCCCTGTTCTCGTCTTCCAATGTCATTTAGTCAATCATCGTCATCAAATATACTAGCCAAGGCTTTCAGTGGTATAAATCGTCTCCACCAGGTGAATCTTCTCAGATCTACGTACGCTATAACTACAGTAACATGCCAACCTTGGAAATTTTAGGCTTTACAATGGCGATTTTGCATCTTACTTGCTTTGTGGAGCCAGGTTTTTAATAAGGCATTCATCTTCTTACTTCCCTATCTAGTAAAAAATACATGGGATTCATGGCCTGGACCCATCCGCCACCAAGGTCCAGCTAGAACAGATGATGCAATCAACTAGCAAAACACTAAAAGACCTTCGGGGTATCATCGCAATAAACGAAGTAAAGCATGGTGAAACGCCAAGGCAAATTCAAAGTGTTCTCATAATGCATGACCAGTGCTAGAGTCAAGAAATTAATTTCCTGGCTCGGTCTGGGTGGGAGGCTGGTCATCTTTGAGTACGGAAGACTCAAGTGGCACAGAGGCCACAGCTTCGATATTACCCTCCGCTGATTTGGCCCTCGATGGACCGGAGAAAATAGATGGTCGAGGTAGAGCGTATTGGTGAGGAGAAAAGGAGTCGGCTCTGGTGGAAGGGGAAGGGGCATCATACATGGGAAAGCTTTGCTCGCCGCGTGAAGGTACTGGCCCCGTCCATGGTATCGGTCGCGGTCGCGAATAGGTTGAACTTTGAGTAGAACTTGGGGGCGCCGCGGAAGGGAATAAAGCACCTGGGAGTGGTGATACACCCATCTGTGGTCCAGAAGTCGATAGCATCGAGTATCCGACATGCGCGGCAGTAGTTGGTGGTTTGTGTGTCGTAGATTCAGATGGATTTCCTGGCATAGAGGGCCGGTTTGACGGGCCGGAAACCTGTGGTCTGTGGATATTCGCTAAGCTTTCCTGTGTCATATCCTCTCCATCGGGTTGTTTTTGGCGGTTATCCTGACGTGGGAAAGAATTCAACGGATTCGGCGGCTGTTGGGGAATTGGCCAGTATGATTTTTCACAGTCGTCCTGAGGCCCGACAGAATTCAATGGAACATGCTGCTGGGGAGGTTGCTGGCGATTAGTCCGAGGTACGGTTGGTTTTGAAGGAAATCGGTTCTGCTGGTCCTTTTGCTGGTAGATCCGTAACCGATGCCGAGCTGCTTCGTCTGCAGCTTGCCGGGCTATGGTACGCTTGAGTACTTCCTTCTCCCATGCCTCTAGATCGCTGCGTTTGAGCTGTTCTAGACTCAACTCATCTTGAACACGTTTGCGTTCCTCTGTCGACAATTTGTCATTCTCATCGTCTTGGGCTTTGGAAAGGGTCACATCCAGAATGGTGTCAGCGAAACCGCCGTCAGCAATGATCTTGTCAAGCACACCAGGGTCCTTGCCGAAAAGATGATCCAATGGTTTCTTCACTGCATGTTTGACAGGAAACAGATAGTCTTTAGACTCCTGCTTGAAGCCCTCACGGACCGTGTTTTTCTTGTCAACCACGCGGACTGTGAGCTGCGACTTGAAAACAGTCTTATTGAAAATGATTTCCTCGAAGGTTCCTGATGCAATAAAGCGGTAGACATAGACGGGTTTGGTCTGGCCAATGCGATATGCACGCCCGATAGCTTGGTCCTCCCAGGCTGGATTGAACAAAAAGTCGAAGATGACTACACGGTTTGCTCCATGAATGTTCAAGCCTAGTCCACCAGCCCGAGTAGAAATGAGCAAAATATCTACATTGTCGGCATCATTGAATAAATTCACAATATCTTGGCGTTGTTGGGGCATAACCTTTCCGTCGATACGCTTGTAGTTTCGGCCCCCTCGTTTGAATAAGCTGTCGAGGTAGTTTAGTGTTGGGATACTCTGAGAGAAAACCAGGACCTTGTCGCCAATTCTGTTTGACATGTCCAGAATCTTGTCGAGCAGCAAAGCTCGGTTAGACAAGCAGGGGTCCAAGATATCGGTGACCCTTTCAAACAGTGCCTCGATTCTTGAAAGCAGGTTGGAGGGGAGATGAGCGTCACCATCTAAGATGGATGGGTCGGGCGATTCTGTCTGCTTCAAATTCGATCGATCTTGAAGTTTCTCCAGAAATGGTTTTGGATGGTTGCAGCAGAGCTGCATGATGGCCAGCCATTGCCAAATTCTGGAAAAATTGCCCGTCTTATTGATTTCGTCAATGAAAATATTGTATGCGACTCGTTGTGTTTCCGAGAGAGTGATGCGTACAACAAGCTCTGTTTTGGAGGGCAAATCGGCTGCAATCAGTGAATGATCTGCACGCTGAATTTTGGGCTCTAAGATTCCATTGAGCACTTGCAGCGCGACAAGGCTTGCTCTCCGCTGTGCCTGAGTGCTATCGATATACAGACCTTCCTGGATAGGTTCCATGTACTTTTCCTTGAAGACCTGCATTGACTCCAAATACCCCGGTGCGACCCATTCAATCATTTGGTAATATTCGGATAGATTGTTTGCAAGAGGCGATCCCGTCATGGCGATTCGACTCATAGTTGTGAAACGAGAACTCGCTTGGCTGATGGAGGATTTTTCTGACTTCAACTTGTGCGCTTCATCAGCAACAACGATATTAGGCTTGCATAACAGAGCATCTTGGACAGTCTTATGCTGCTCATCACTAAGGCGGTTCTTATCATTTTTGATGAACGAGCGAAACATTTCGTAACTCATGATAATGATGCCTCCCTTCTCTTCCCAAGTTTGAATGGTGGCCATTCTCTCCGCCGTTCTTTCCTCGCGATCTTGTGGGCTGGTACTGGCCGCGATCTGAAAAATATTTCCAAGGTGATGATGTTGTGGCACCCAGCAATGAAATTCTTTTATCCAGTTTGGAACCAGGAATGATGGGCAAAGAATTAGAGTCTGAGATCGGTGGAATCTTTCGGGAACTTGAGCTCTAATTTCGGGGGTTTCTGAAGCAGCGGCTTCGGCAATCGTCACTAAAAGAGATATTCTATAAAATAGTGAGATGTGAGTGGGGAATCCGACGGTTTATGATTCTAAACAGGGGCGCACTTACACCTGCAGGGTCTTGCCTAGTCCCATAATATGTGCAAGCAAGCATCCTTGTGGTTTTTCGCTGTCACAGAGTTCTCGCCACATGAATTGAATTCCATTCAGTTGGTGTGGTTTGATGAATTCACCAAGCGCCGGATTGAGATAGACAACAGGGTCCTTGAAGGTGACCGCATGTCCAGCCGGATCACTGTTGCCCAAGCCTTTGTTTTCTCTCTCTTGCCTGAAAGCCTCTCTAGCTCGGTCCTGCGTTTCCTTTCGTTCCTGTGCACGCTTTTGCACACCGATGGGTGCGTTCGGCACATAGGGCTTTTTACTTTTCAGATTCTGTTTAGAATGCTGCTCCGTGGGTGGGCTCGTAGTATTCACCATCGAGGTGCTTGATGACTTATTTCGCGACTTCTCGGGATGCAAACGGTTGTATGTATTGATAAGTGATTCAAACTTGTCAAGAAAGACTTGCAATGATCCCTTGTCATCTTCATCCTCGATCACACTGAGCGCCTGCTCGAGTCGCATTGGCTCGAGTCCATCTGAATTGACGCTGATACAGTGGTACCAGGACACAAACAAAGCGCTAAGGCGCATCGAAAGCTTACTCTCATCATGATCGACTCCAGGAATATTTCGTTCGTTGTCCATCATCGTTCTGATAGCTTCCTGTATTTTCTCTCGATAGAGTGAGCGTAACCACGTGTCCAAATAGGCCGGAAATCCTTGGTATTCGGCTGATGTCAATTGCATGACAATCTTTGCCAACAATTGAATACGATCCTTTTTGGCCTCGATGGATGACATGCTCATTCCCTTGACCATTTCAAAAAGATAGGCATCATCAGTATCAACTGATATCTTGTCGTCTGGTAGCGGAGTCGATGGTGGAAGTAGTTGGGTTGGGTCGCTTTCGTCGTCAAACGACACAGGGAAGGAGTCCCCACTGGAAGTCTTCAAGGGCAGGGCAGTGCCAACATTGGGAGGCCGTGGCCTCGAGAAGTTGGGGTCATCTTGGCTCTGGAGCAGATGCTTGTCATCCAATTCAGCAATATCAAGATCATTTGGGTTGAGAGGGAGAGTCTTGATTACACTCTGTGTGGCAAGATCCTGTCGCGACGAAGTTGGATTGAGGGAAGGAGTCTTGATTATGCTGTCTATGGAATGATCGGTTTGATCGGCAACGTTGGTTAGATCAACTAACTCAATGTCTTCGTCGTCATCTTCATAAAAAGAACCACGAGTATCCAGTCTGTCATTGCCCTTCCACGTTCTGGGCATGTCTTGAACACGGCGTCGCTTACTAGGGGGTTTAGGCGGGCTGTCATCAGAAGAGGGAGAAGATTCTAAGCTGAGAGGCATCCCTTGGGCGCGAGGTGTCTTTGACGGAACTCCAGTGTCTAAATCATCCACTTTAACAGACAAAGGGCTTTCCAAGTCCAGTTCGTCTTCATCGGTGGATTGTTCAAGATCGACTTTTTCCTCGATTGACTCTCCAGAATGTGATTCCGCATCAGAAGTAAGTGTGTTATCTTCTCCCTCTTTTGCTGATACCGACTCCACATCACGTTCCTTGCGAGGTTTGGAAATCTTTGTTGGGCGTGGGGCAGGTGGAGGGCAAATATCCAGGTCAAGGGTATTCAACCACCAATTTTCGGAACATTTATCCCAGATCGTCAAATCTATGGCTCGACATGCCCGTCGTAAAGTCGACGTTGACCTGTAGGACACATCCATGATTGCCTGTTTAACGCTTCTCAGGCGGCTCTCAAGATGCTCAATGCGGCTGGAAAGGCTGAGTTTCTTTTCTTGAAGCTTGCCGCAATCTCGAAAGTAATGCCACATTGGTTCTGCTTCTGGCAGCAACTTTGGAAGCTCTTCTTTAACCCACAATTCTTCTTGTTCCGCGATATACTGCGCCAAAATGGCCTCACACTTTTCTCGAGGAAGTCCGGGGGCCGCTATGAGATCCGGATTTTCTTCAAGTATCTCTTTCCAAGTGTCCTGGTCAAACTCCGCTTCTGAATTCGAGTCTCCGTATTTAGGAAGTATGTCGTCATCATCTTTCGCGTATTTCTCCTGCAAGTAGGAGAGAAAATTCTCCTCTTTTTCAGTCCGTGACAGACCCTCATGATTGTTTCCGGCTAAGCCACCAATAGAGATCTGGTTTGATTGTATGTTTGCAATATTCGTACAGATCTCCTGCTGGGGTGGAAAAGCTGCTTGTGATGGGGTCAAGGCGCCATCTGTTGGCTTTTGACTTGCCAAGGCTTGAGAGGTTTGGTCTTGCACAAGTATCGGCGCAATCCTCCGTTTTGGTTTCGAGACTGCTTGGATAGCAGGACCTCCTTGGGAGGTCACGCTTGCAGGGTTGGGGTTCATCACAGCAGAAACGGGGGTAGCATCATGTGGGTATGGAGAAGAAGGTCTCGACATAACTAGCTCATTGGAAGTGATCCTACGAGTTGAGCTATACTTGAACGACTTTTCCTGCAGCCATTGAATTGCTTTCATCAGCATGATACGATGGCCATATGCTTTCACGCCAATCTCCTTCAGACCATCGTTATCAACATGCATAAGCACTTCTCCGCATATTTCATTATCGCGAAGAGCAGCTTCAAGAGTAGTTGGATCGGGTCGTGGGGCACTTGATGATTGCGCCCATGGTGCAGGTCTTGGGCCACAAAGAAAGCTCACAACCTCATTCACTGACCAGTCAACTGGGTCAGAAATATCTGGCTCCATATTGCTTTTGGAGGGGGGCTGAAGAATTCATATGTAAGTCAAGCTCCTGTGTCAAGACATGGGAAACTCACCAGTTACTGCCCCCCAGAGTGAAACCAGTTGAACGGAATATGGGCTTGCTGGTAGATTTAGTTTTTGTGACTTCAGGCTTTGACAAAAGTGGATATCAAAAAATGGAAGATTTCGTAAGTGACGCGTCCGTCTTAAGAAACAGGTGGTAAATGAATTAAAAAGCACGTGGCGTAGTGGGGGAAGAGAAGAAGGATAACATCAAGTAAAGAGTTCCTAAATAGGCAAACAAACTGGTTGTTATTCTACCGGCAGAATATGCTTTAATGAAAAGGCGGTGTTTTTAGCGGTCAGGTCATACTTTCTGATTGTAAATCATACTGCGGGGAGTGTCCCGCTTGGGTTTCTGCTTAGCAATTATTCTCCGATTTTGCCTACAGAGTACAATTAAAGCCATGGAGGAGTCAATCTATAACAACTACCCTCCTCAGCTGTCTCAGGAACAGCAGAACCATCTCGTTACAACTACTAAAGACTGGGCAATTCAAAATGGCCTAGCTGTTCGACCCTCGCCGGCAATCCTTCCCAAAAATGCAGACCCAAATGGAGTGCTGGCCACAAATGCTCCGGTGTCACTGTTCCCCAGTCCATTCCCAAAGGCCTGTTTTGAGGAAGCACAGGCCTTACAGACAGTCTATAATCAGCTCTATGCGGCAATTACGTGCAACGAAGACTGGTTAGGGAAGATCATCGAAGAGTAGGACTCCAAGAATACCAGGCTGGCTAGACCTTATTACTAAACTCATGCATCTATAGTCTAACCGATGTCGACGATTTTGTTGCAAATCTATGGAAAACCCATCTCGCTGTAAAGAAGGAGGGCTACGTCCAAAACCTGTCATTGGGTCTCTACCGATCTGACTACATGGCTCACGTCACCGCGAACCAGGCTCCAGCTTTGAAGCAGGTGGAATTCAACACAATTTCTTCATCCTTTGGTGGCCTGTCAGCTCTCGTGAGAGCGTTGCATACGGAGCTCTTGGCCTCGCCGCTAGTCTATCCGCCTCATCCTCTCCTCGAATCTGGAATACCACCTGAGAACACTGCTGTGGAGACTCTCTCCGGAGGTCTTGCGGCAGCACATGAGGCATATGGCTCCTCAAAGTCTTCCCCGCAGCTTCCGTTGTGTGTTCTTTTTATAGTACAAGATGGAGAGCGGAACGTCTTCGATCAATTGGCTCTCTCGAAGCGACTTACAGGCTTTCACAAAGTCCCGACCTTCCGTGTGAAAAGCAAGGAAATCCTAGACCAAACATCTATCGCTGCTGCGAACTCCTCTCGGCCATTAATCTACCACCCCCCACACTCTCCAGGATCTGCCTTTGAAGTAACGACTGTCTATCTTCGGGCATACTATTCTCCCGACGAATACACCTCTAGCCGCGATTGGGAGGCCCGGACACACTTGGAACGCTCGGCCGCTATCAAGTGTCCTACTGTGTTAAACCAATTGGCCGGCTGCAAGAAGATTCAACAAGTCTTGGCGGAGCCGACAGGGCCCGATCACCTATCCAGCTTTCTTAAGGACGTTGACCCTGCCATGATCACAAGATTACGTGAGACATTTGCCCCGCAATACGATCTTTCTGAAAAGGGCCAAGGGAGGGACTTGGCTCTCAATCCTGAAACTGCCATGAAGCATGTCTTGAAACCACAGCGTGAGGGCGGAGGCAACAACATCTACAAAGCAGAGATTCCGGGTTTCCTGCGATCTCTTCCCGAGTCCGATTGGAAGGGCTGGGTCTTGATGGAGTTGATCAACCCTGCAGCCAATGCTGAGAATGTCGCCCTGCGGAACGACGGTGAAGTTCTCCGTGGAAATGTCATCTCCGAGCTAGGAGTGTATGGTACTATTCTGTGGGAGAACACTGGAAAGATTATTCGCAACGATGAAGGTGGATGGCTATTGCGAACCAAGGGCAAGGAGGTTAATGAAGGTGGAGTAGCCGCTGGTTTCTCTAGCCTGGATAGTGTCCTTCTTTACTAGGATTGTAGATAGACCGATAGAACATTTGGACAGCGAGAAGTTTAAATACATTCAAACATATTTCTTCATCGACACGAGTCCCGAATCGATTACTTCAAATTTTTCTTATGGCGAGCTCCCGCTTGCCATATTCTTGGTATCTGGGATGCCATTACTAAGTAAAGATAAACATGTATATGAGATCTGTTATAATCATACTGAAAGTCCTGCAAATGTGGGCTAAAAACGATGCAGTCCATGTGTAAATCTCTAAAGTTCTGCTTGAATCGGCAACTGCTACTACGAAATCAAGGTTCAATCTAGGCCAGCCACGGCTGCACGACCCTTGTCTTGGCAATAATTCTACAACTGTAATCATATTCCGATTGGATGATCGTCCTGACCTCATATCTGCCACGAGGCATTAGACACCTGCATAGGGTTCCGTGCAATAACTCACCTAGGCAATTTTCCAAACTAGTAAAAACCAATGATGTATGACTAGAAGATCTAAGATGCATTCGTGTCAGTTCGTTGGTTGTTTTATGTACTGATTTACGTAGATTTTAGGTCCGACACTAGCCCCGCTTGGTGATCCACTGCGGGGTAAAAGTTCTCAACAAGCCGGGGTATGAAGTATATGAAAAGATGGGTGTATTCTCCATTTGGTGCAACTCTAGCTTATATATGACTGTATCAGCGGGGTATTCATGTCTTCCTATATAATTATCAAGATGTACTAGTAAGCATCTGATGTATGGTTATGTGCACTGCATGATATGTCCATCAATGGCGCATGCACGCATGCCACTGTAGATTTATAGAGATCAAAATGGAAAGAGAACGGGGTGTCAACACCAACACGCTTCTCTCTTTTGGGATCGGCCCAGGGACGTTCTTGCCAAATTTAATGATCCTTTTGATCTTGTGATCCCGGAGTTTTCCCCAAGGTTCAACACATCCACTAATTCACGTCTTGTTCCTCCATTTCACTCTCATTACCCACACACTTCCTAGTATCATCACTTTTGGTTTTTGACTTACTGAACCCTCTTTATCCAAGGCTAGCAGAGAGCACATCTCCATTGATTTGATCCAACAAAATACAAGATGGCTCCAAAATTTCAGTCTGAGGGGTATGTATTGAAACACCATACAATATTCTGAGCAATACTGATGCGACCGTGTATCAAGGATGACCCAAAATGTCACGGCTGAGTAAGTATAAAGGTCTCATTCTTTCTTTCCACTCGTCTTACTGCATCTAGAATTCGAAACCCGCTTGAAGGTATTCCGCACGAGCAGTTGATGTCCAATGTCGAAGCTTATGCCATTGAACACGGGCTGCAGGACATCTTGCCTACTCTTCGCAAGGGTGCTTTGGCTGGCCAGGATCCTATTGCAGCTAGCACTTCAGCCATGCTGAGTGGTCAGGATCTTGATGTTTTACATGTGGAGGCTACTCGCCGCTGGCATCAGCCTTGGGCATTGTACTACACCATTATCCTGAACTCGATCGCTGCAGCCATTCAGGGCTGGGATCAGACTGGTAAGCATACTACAGTTTTCTCGTTGACTTCTATACCTAACAGCTCACTCTTATAGGGTCCAATGGTGCCAATCTTACATTCGATGTTGTCTTTGGTATCCCGAACAATCCCCCTGCATGCCCGGACCATGCTACATGCACCCGCAACCAGTGGATTGTCGGGTTCATCAATGCGACACCCTACATTACCATCTGCCTTTTGTAAGCGTTCCCTTGATTCTTCCTCTTTCTGAGTGCTAACTGGACTTTCCGTTAGCGCTGGCTGGCTCTCCGATCCGCTCAACAATATCCTTGGCCGCAAGGGTACCATTTTCTTGGCTGCAATCTTTAGTCTTCTTGCACCTATCGGATCTGCCTTCACTCAGCGCTGGCCCCAGCTAGTGGTCTGTCGTATTCTTTTGGGGATTGGAATGGGTCTGAAAGAAGTTACTGTTCCTGTCTACTCCGCCGAAAACGCACCCACCAACATCCGTGGAGGCCTTGTCATGAGTTGGCAAGTGTGGACAGCCTTTGGTATCTTTCTCGGGACCTGTGCAAATCTGGCTGTTGCCGACACAGGCAAACTTTCTTGGCGTTTGCAGCTTGGATCAGCCTTTATTCCTGCAGTTCCCCTGGTTATCGGTGTTTGGTTCTGTCCTGAATCACCTCGCTGGCTGATCATCAAAGGAAGACACCGTGCTGCATATGAAGCACTTCTTCGTCTCCGAAACAGTCCTTTACAAGCTGCCCGAGATCTTTACATGATCCATTCTCAGCTTGTCATGGAGAGAGGTATGCTTGAGGGATCCGGTTATGCAAAGACCGACAACATGTTGGTTCGCTTCAAGGAAATATTTACTGTGCCCCGCTTGCGCCGTGCAACCCAGGCCTCGGGTATCGTCATGATAGCACAGCAGATGTGTGGTAGTAAGTTCCCCTTAGCTCCCCCCGGCGTCATTCATTAACGATGTATGCCATTAACAGTCAACATTATTGCATTCTACTCTTCGACCATCTTCCAGGTAACTATCAGAAACAGTCTTCAATTTTTCTATGCTGATCAACCTCTTAGCTTGCCGGTGCAAATAATATCGAGGCTTTGCTTGCGTCCTTTGGATTCGGCCTGATCAATTTCCTTTTTGCCTGGCCTGCCGTTTGGAGTATTGACAGATTTGGCCGTCGCGGTCTCCTGCTTTTCACATTTCCCAACATGTGCTGGACTCTACTTGCAGCTGGGTGTTGTTTCTGGATTCCCCAAAAGCAACAAGGCACATATCGGCCTCGTTGCCTTCTTTATCTACCTCTTTGATGTGTTTTATTCCCCTGGAGAAGGCCCTGTTCCATTTGCCTACTCTGCAGAGGTCTTTCCACAGTCTCATCGTGAGATCGGCATGGCGTGGGCTGTTGCAACCAACAACTTCTGGGCATCAGTCCTCTCGCTGACTTTCCCTTACATGCTGCGTTCTTTAACCGCCCAGGGTGCCTTTGGGTTCTATGCTTGTCTCAACCTTGTTGCTTTCGTTCTGATTTTCCTTTTCTTGCCTGAGACGATGCAGCGGTCTCTCGAGGAGCTGGATTATGTCTTTGGCGTACCTACCCGGACCCATGCGAAGTACCAGCTGACTGTGGTACTTCCGTGGTGGATCAGACGCTACATTCTCATGCGCAAGGGTTTTGAGTGCCCCCCACTGTACCGGAACTACGGCCATCGCACTGAGACTGATTTGCTCCCCACTGAGTCTCATACCATGGCCGATGTTATCACCGGACAGAAGGCCGAGGGGATTCCTGAGCAGGTTGAAGTGGCTTAGATCTTCTAAGATCCTGCACTCTCAGTTTCCGCTGATACCCATTTCGATTGCTTGCAAGTTCAATATTGCTTTTTCTGTCCCGCGAGACCAGGCCCAGTTTATGATGCGAGCTGTTTGACCTTTCCTGTATTTTATCTTTCAATATGGAATAAAATTTAGGGATTATTTTATTTTTGTGTTGGTTTTCATTTCTGTGACAGCAATAATCCAGTAAATTTTGTAAATCGTGATGGTCTCCAAATCAGACACTTTGACACTCCTACATCTCGCCAAATGAGCCGTACATTCCCTTTACTTCATTTAATAAAGTGCCCCCGTACCCGAGGCAACTATAACCTCCATCTCTTCTGTTATGTAAAGCCCAACTCCTCCGCCAACCGAGTGACTGCTATGAGCACAAACAGAGTGGAAGTCTCGGTCGCTGCGGCCCCTCGCGACGGAGCAGCAAATTTTGCTGTGTCGCAAATCATTGCCGATGTATGTTTATTCCAGCGTATTACAATATCAATATCGCTGAAGCTTACTCGATGACATTGGCTTAGGTGTTTAAAGTCCCTAAATCTACAGTTGAAGTGATCCGCGGCGTCAAGGCGCGTGAGAAAACAGTATGCATTTCTGATTTGATCATTGACAACCAAGAGACCTTCCTACAACAAGCAACACAAACCCTGATTGACGCGACCGAGAAAAAGCGCCCCAGATCTTGATCAAAGTGTTGTTTTGCTATAGCGGAATCCCGTGACGTAAAATTCCGTTTTTCTGCAACTGCACTTCCAACGATCTTCCCAAGTCAATTGCACATTGTCTCAACCACACGGAATGTACACGACACAGGATAAGGGGGATACTGTCCCATCTTCCATGAAACGGAAAGCAGCAGAAGCCGCCAATACCATTACCTTCACGTCACGCAATCCACCATGGACCTATCTCAAGCTACAGCTGTGAGCAATCCAATGCCCAAGTCTCAGTAGCTTAAACTGACAATGGAAACTCTAGGATCCCTCAACCCGGTTCCTCATCCCTACAACCCCTTGACGACCTCTCCGCCCGCACCTATCTCTCCGCCGCTCTATCCCAATTCCTCGGCCTAACGGGCACAGCCATCCCAATTGATATCCTAAAAATAGAGCTCGCGTCCTCTACAGCTCAAAAATACGACACTGCCTGGATTCGTGTTCCAAGGGATGATGGAGCGCCCGTCGTCGGCGCACTAAGCTCTTGGGTTGGCAGTGGGAGCGTGAATGTTGCATGGCGGGTATGCGCCAAGGGGAATTACCTGGGTGCGCTGGTTGCTGGCTCCGGGCGGGACTTATTCGTTCCTTAGTGGGACATGGTAGCCTTGTTTTTCGATTTAGTTTGGAGCATCGTTATGAGCTTGACTCTGGTGCTTCTATTATGGCAACTATTGCCAAGCTAAGACGTGCGATGCAAGTCTGCGTTCCAGCGCCTGGCGCCTAGCGCCCTTGCTGTCCAGCGTTATCTGAAGCTGGTTGGATGTGAATGACCTGTTCAGATATCTACGACAAGAAAGTCTTCTGGACAGCTGCGCGGGCGCAGAGCAATCCCGTCGAGATACCCACAACTTACGGCCCAGTCAGCTTCTACTGTCAGTGACACGGTTGGGTACAATATTTCAAAGCTGATGCAATATAACCAGAGATCAGTTGGAACAATCTCATCTAATTTTCTCACAAAACGCCGTAACTCTCACGCTGTCAAGCCAGAAACAATCTGGCCGAAACAAAATGCACTGATATCTTCAACAAAACTTTTCAACTTCAAGACCTCCTCTCGCATATCTAAACAGACTGCTTGGCACTAATCAACGACGCATTTCTAGTAATAGTAGAAGAGTCTGAAGGAGCTGGCGACGAGTTCACGTTTGCAACCACCTTGGCAGCCAATGCAGCGCGGATATCTTCCACGCTCCGCTCCTGCCACTCGGAGAATCCGCTCTGGCTGAGTGGGAACATGACAAGGTTATCTTCGCGCTCCATGAAATCATCCACTCTAGGCGGGGGCGTAGCAGTGATGATATCAAGCTCCAGAGCGATCTGGCGACAGTACGTGTCTAGTGGGAGATCGTTGACGTCCTGACCGAAGGGGTTCTCGATTTCACTGCCGATAGTTGCGAGACCGATGATAATGTATGCGGCCACTAAAAGTCATCAGTATTGATTTTGTAGGGGTTCATTTGTTCAGTCCTTACCAACGGAGGCAGGGATGGTAATCCATTGCAAGAAGTTGTACAGCTGGAACGGAAGGACAAGGACATAAATCCATGAGATCTGGTTAATGGCAATGGCGTACGCAGAGGGGAGAGGAGTGTCCAGCACCCGCTCAGTACCAGTGACGACCTCATTCAGCTGGGTCATCATAGTAACTATAATTTCGTTTCGTTAGCGCAACCGATCACATCACATAGAATAGGCAGTAAACTTACTAGCCTGACCCTGGTGCAATGTAGACCGCATAGTGCCGTTATCAACGATGGAATCAATGTAAACAGACAAATGATGCAGAATCTCCAACGGCAAATGACCGAGCGGCTTCTTGGATCGCTTGATCAACTTCCGCGGGTTAGACTCCGCCCAGGAGACACCCAGATACTCGCCCGCAGCCTTCCAAGTCGACTTCGGCTTCGGCGCAACAACATTATGGTCGTGCGCGTCACGGGCGAATGTATCGAGGTATCCGACCAGACCAACAAGATCCTCGTAGGCAATATCAGGCTCGAAGCGGAGCTTATGCTTGAGAGAGATGGCGAAAGCAAGAAGGAGGTTCATAGCCGATCTATGGAAATAAGAGGTTAGTATGCGATTCCCGTCACGATTCGATCCGTGTCGATTCTATAGGCGCACATACAGCTTGCGCAGAAGATCCTTCTTTCCTAGCTCGCCTTCCCGCTCGCCGGTGTTAATCCAGATGGTGCGAGCCAGATTGCGAGATGTCTGAATAAGTTGGGACCAGTATTTGCGACCATCGATCCAGCGCTCGTAGGCAGTCGAACTGCGGAATGACAATGACAAACCCACCACGAAACCCAGCACGGTAAGTAGGATGTCATTGATACCGACTAAGGAGGCAAGTCAGCAAAGCCGTCTTTATTCGAAAGATCATGATACCATACGGTCGTGAACAAATTTCGAAATGCAAGTAATGAGAGTCGCCCAAAGGGCGACGAGTACCATGGGTAGAATCATCTTTGGCATGACACTTCCATGCATACGTAAGATAATGGGCCACTTAGAGTGCTTATCCATGTCGCGGGGTCCGTGCTATAAAGCCAAGATATCAGTCTTTGTCGCTCCATTCATCGTTCATGTTCGAATCCACGTACAAAGTACCGATCCAGTTCACTCGAGTCCTGTCGGTCTAGGTGAAACTGCATATCGCGAGAGCTGGCGAGGTGCTCCATAAAGGTAGGTCGAGGAGTAATCGGTTTCATGCGGGGCAGAGCCTGCTCGTCTTTTGTGTGAACAGGGACATTTTGGTGGTGATCCGTGTGGCTGTGGACGTCGGCTGGGACAGGTGCAGGGGCGTTATTGTCGGAGAAGCCTGTTGAGTTATCGCTCGGCGATTGAGGAGCAGCGTCCCCCATGGTTAGATTTGACAGAGACAGACAAAGAAAAAGAAAAGAAAGTGTGGATGGAATGTGGGGAATTGAAAGGATTTAACGAAAGAGTGGATCACGATCAAGAGATCAGATCATACAAGAAATGAATGTAAAAAAGAATGAACAAGAAGAGAATAAGGAGAAGAAGAGAATTTGGAAACTGAAGATGGAGAAAACATGGGCATGAAACATGGCGTTTCTGGCGTTCCAGGGCGTTCCAGGGGCTTGTTTCATGCTGATCTAGACTTTTCTGACGCGTATTAAAGGTGGAGAAAAAGTCAATTTTAGATCAGGGGAAAGGGGAACTTTGCCACTACCGAGTCCCTTTCAGTCTTCGATTTTTGTGAATACAAGAATAATATGTTGTACAAAATACTCCGTACTCCCATACACGATATCTCGTTCCATCTTCACCCAGCACTTTTGACTCGTTGGTAGTACTGGGTACAACTGGGTACGTCCCGTCCCGAAGTGATCGTCGCTGTCAGGTACCAGTCTAGAGTCTACAGTCTAGAGTCTAGATCCCAATCTAATTTCCTGCTTGACTTCATCTCAAATGGACAAACTTCTCGGACCCGTCCATATTGAGAGAAAATTATCGGAATAGGAACGAATGCAAGTGCGATGGATCCTAGCAGCGAATTGCCCAAGCCAATGCCAAGCGAATCGAAACTATTTCGGTCCCGCCAAGAGAACACCCGCCAAGGATCGCACAGTGGTTAAGGTTGCGTTTGCAGCAGCTGCGTACTCGGGGTGGCTGTCAATAACATAAGTCTGCGATGGCATATACAGGTCCATGAGACCAAGGCCGAATGGTACCATGCCCATGATGGGCACGAGCCCAGAAAACGGCTCTGTCGGTCCAACTGTACCAGAAGAAACTGATTGGTACGAATCAGGCGAAGAAGATCATCGTTGGGAGATACATGACGGGCTCGTATTTTCTGTTGTTTCGCGCTGTCATCTTCATCACAATCCGGTAGCTATAAACCAAATTCCGATATCAAGGCACGCAAGACCTGAGATGTCGCTTGTCCAGTCGTATTTCTCCATGAACACGGTGGTCATTTTAGCCCCTTATTGGGACGCTCTGTCTTGCGGTGGATTAGGACAGCGGCGTAGGTCTCTTTGCTGAGGAACTCGATGTCTAGTATGACGGCGCCACTCACTATCAATTACACCCAGAAGACCCAGCGCCAGCAGATGTTTATACCGATAAATTGCCCGGCGAGGGGTCCAACGGTTGATCTGACCAAGGATCCCAGACTCCATATAGCTGTTATCATGCCATGTGTTTTTCCACGGGAAAGAGGTCAGCGATCACTCCAGCTCTGAGTGTCAGGACACCAGATCTTCCAATGTCAATAGAAGAGGTGACTTATCGCCAGGGTAAGTATTTATTCATTCAGGCTCAAATCCAACTGGTCATTCCGGGGTAGGGATCCATTTTGTATCATAGTAACAAGATAGATTCATTGTAAGCGCGAATTCAATGTCTCACTCTTCAAGGTGATCCAATGTATTGTTCTATTTTGTGAGCCAGTCCAGGCATCGATGCCTTTCGCACTATATACCCTAGGAGCGTATAGCGCAAGGCTCATTTCTTGGCATTATGAACGGACACGATGATCTCAGTGGATATGCATCTCTAAACCTTCGGGAGAACACCCCGGCCTCTCTGTCGTGGCATTTCGTCTCCGATGTCAGCAAAAACAGGAATTGAACTCAGAAGCAATTATTGGCCTTCTTGTGCAAGACTGTTGACTGATCTTCGAGCTCTGAAGTGGACTTTTGAGTTTGAAACGCAAATCTGTGTCAGCGACCCCCTGAAACGAAGAGGCTGCATCTGATGAGTCAATTCATTCTATGGTGAAACACCTGGTTGTCAGGAGATGAGGGTAAGTGAGAAAGGAAGAATGAGTTGTTGACTTGAAGTTTATATCCTATCACATGTACCGAGGACCTCATAACGGGCGCACGACCGTGTCCTTCCGTTCCGAAACCCAATTTCCTTTCTCAATTTTGGCGTTCGGTGATACGGAGAGTCTATTCAGTGGCTAGAACAACGGGATAAATGATTCGACTGAGGAATTATGCTAAGAAAAATTAGGTTGTATAGATTATGTACAGATTCTGCGATTCCTAGAAGCAAAGCCATATGACCAAATGAGGCAGTATGTAAACGACCAAGTACTTTAATCCTAACTTACTTAGGTCATTCTCCGAGCTGACAATACCATACAAATGACCCATGGACAATAAGAAAGAGGCCAGGTCTCAAAGATCCGATTATATGTGTCTTATATTTGGGATAAATAATGATGAACGCAGATCGCCCGATCTTGTTTTCAAGCTTCAATTGATCGTCATTTGCTGTGCACGTGTCCATATGTCCACAATGCTGTACTCGGCCGAAATTGCCGTTCCTTGGCAGAGGAATAGATACAGATCAGATCATAATTGCTGCGGCCTCAACTAGAGGTGTGGGCGTTATGTCAGGCATGAAAATGCTGTCTCAAATTCGAATTGAAAAATCGATTTGAAATTTGAAGATAGAGGATGAGTTCCCACTTGAATCTCATAGTCTCGGAATAAAGAGGGTCTTGATTCATAGCAGGGCAAGGCTGAGTGCGGGCAAGTCCCGTGCTTTCAGGCTCCGCTTTGTGCTTTAATCCATCCGGTGTAGATCTGAAGTGGGGGAAGATCAGGATGAGATGTTACATGCAGTTTAGATTTGACGTTGAACGGGTTAAACAGGCGATGGATTCAGGATTTCTTACGAGATCCTGAGCCATGGTGTTTTATTTTCATTTTAAAGTGAATAGATTCGCATTTATAGTAAAAGAAATACTGAATCGAGACTCGGAGGGGTATTCCAACCCGGAGTGGAGTTTCATAGGGCCCGTGGAGACAGACGCCTTTTTTACGAAAATCTGGTCACACCCCGCATCTTATGGTGGCGTTGTCTCGGCTAGAACCTTTCTGCCTCGTGCTAGCCGAAATTTATGTAATATCACCTCTCTACGCACTCAGTGATCAGGTGAAATCGCGTGCCTGAGTGATCACATACACCATCTGAACTCACCTTTGTATCAGTCACTCCGAGTGGATCGAGACTGCTGAACTAAGGGTACATGGATCTACAATATGTGCCTATCGCCAGTCACGTATTCGCCTCTTGACCCACTTGCCCTCGGAGATTATTCCATTTGTGTGATCGCGTCCATCGGATCTGGACTTTCTTGGTCAAGACCCAGGGCTCATCGTACTCGGGAGAATGGAAACTACTGTGATGTGCAGATTGAGTCGCCTGATTCATTGCCCTGGATCGTCAAATGTCTCGACGCGGAAACCCTAAACCACGAATCATAGTACATTATGTTAATTGAGTTTGACTGGAGTGTTTTTAATTTATTTCCCCTTGCCTTCCATGGGTCTTTGGTCTCGGCTGCATTAATTCATATCTGTTCCCCAGATCCCAATACTTGGGAATCCAAGCATTTCTCCCATTTCTCCTACAATGAGCCTCTAGAACATCGGACCAACATTCTTTTTCGATATCTAGCAGAATATGGCGTTTAACTTTCACTAACATTCCCACATCGATCGCTATTCATTAATACCCGGTCATTATGCAACTTCCTCCGCTCGCCGTCATGGCGAGTTGGCCCACACCCAACTATGTTGATCCAGTGACTCGCGGACATGGTGTCCTAATCGTGAATATTGTTTGCATTAGTCTGGCATTCCTCGTGACAATACTCCGTCTATATACTCGACTCCGCATTACTTCAACCGCTGGTATCGACGATGTTTTAATAATAATCGGTCTGGTATTTGCTATTGCAATGGTGGCCGTCACTTCACTCGCTACTGAGACCTGGGGTTTCAACAGACACATTTGGGATATTCCCACAGCTTGGTTTCCCACCATCGAGAAGCTGAATCTGTCCTTCCAGATCATGTTCTCATGGTCATCAGGATTTACCAAGATTTCGCTACTATGGTTCTGTCGGCGACTTCTTGGTACGGGGAAGGGCAGTTTTGTGACATACAACTGGGCCTTCATCGGATCCATGATCTTTGTTGGACTCTCCGTCTTCATGTTCACTTTCTTCAGCATCTTTCAATGCTCGTGAGTTTATCGTCTACCTGGACACTCTTGATATCAAGGCATAATTAATATATATGCAGACCCATCAAGGCATACTGGGAAGTTGCGCCTACATACCCACACAAATGCATGAACGACGGAGATATCGTCTTTTCAGCCAGTGTGATCAACATCTTCACCGATTTCCTAGTCACCACGCTTCCAATGCCACTCATCTGGAGACTCAAGCTCCCCGCTCGCCAACGCCTAGCCGTAATCTCAATCTTCGGCCTAGGAGTCGTCGTCAACGTCGCCGGCTCCGTCCGCACAGTATACGTCTGGAAAAGCCAAAAGGCAAGCTACGACCAGACCTGGCAAGGATGGCCAATTCTAGTAGCCGCCGTCGTGGAGATCAGTCTAGGCCTGGTAAGTGACACTATCTCCGCCTCAAAACCATAACTAATGAAAGTAAAAGATCTGTTCTTCAGCCCCAGCTCTTCGCCCTCTCATAGCAACCTTCCTCCCCCGCCTCCTCCAATCAACCCGTAACATCAACTACGGTTACCACCGTCAAAGCCGCTCCAATAAACTCTGGTCCTCCCGAAATTCGCACTTAGTCGCCTCGGACTCTCGAGCGGACTACGAAAGCGATCGCTTCGAGATCATGCGCACCGTCGAGATGGAGATTTGGTCTGAGTCGCGACTTGCGCATCATAATAAAATGATGGGGATTGATAATCGTGCTATGTCACCCGAGGACATCGAGCGGAAGCAAGACCCTATAGTTTTTACTTCTGCTGCGAGTGAGAAATCCTTTACTTCAATTGGGCGTGTAGAGTCACCGATTGGTACTGGACGGCCTGTTTGAGTTTTTTTTTATTCTATTTTCCTTTGTATAAATTTTGTAGTCTTGGTCGTGGCGGGTGGCTTATTGTTTTGACGTATAAAAAGCTTATGTACATTCCATTGCTGTCCATACTTTATGATCAACCTATTCTGGCTTATAATGAATTGAACATGTGATACCTTGCGCATGTTTCTGCTGTCATTCTGTACAAACTATAAACTTTATTCCAGCCATAGGATTCGATCGATCGAGTTTCAATTCCGATTTTGTGGGAATTAGGCCGGTGATCGACAACAGTTCCGGGCTCCACTTTCAACTGGAGGTCATCAGCCATGATGCGATTAGACACGGGTGAATCGTGCGGTTGATTAGACTTGGATGTGCTGATAACATGATTCACGTGACTTTGCGTGACTTTACATGCAGGTCGAAGCCAACTGGGCTATTTTTTGAGTTTTATAGTTGTTGTAATCTTCACTGTCGATGTATGACCGAGATTATTTGTATTTCGTCTTGCTTCTTACTGAACATAAAAATGACTCGCTTTCCACTTATTATTTAACACAAAATTGACTCGCTTATCCCTGTAATTGCCCAATTCAACCTTTTCGTCGACCCTTTCCTTTTCCTTTTCCTTTTCCTTTTCGTCTTGCTTTGCTTGTGCCTTTTCCTTTCTCTCTGTCTTTTTCTTTGTCTTTGTCTATTTCTTTCTCTTTTTCTCTCTCTCTTTCTGCTTCTTCTTCTTCATCTGATGTATCGCCTTCATCCAATTGCCTAGTAACTTCTTTATATTCGTCAAGGACCCGTTGCTTGGCACCAGCGTAAAGGGGTGTCCCCCGCAACAGTTCCATCTCCTCTAGAAGCTGTAACCACCACCGTACAAACGGGTATGGAACCTATATAAGGTTTAGCAAGTGTCCTTGGTGGCTCTCTTCGTATAACTTACTGGTACACACCGCTCACGATCATAACAGTTTTGACACTTCTCCCCCCACTCCCTCGGGACGTCGCAAAAATCTGGCGGAATGGGATCATCTTCGTCGACATAGTTGACTTTCATCACGACGAAGCATCGGATACAGACCCCCCTGCTCAGCACAGCAATCAATCGGTCTGTATCATGCATAAACATGCCAGTCGCGCCAGGCGCCCAACCGGTAAGAGGCACCATCCCCTGGACTTACGTCCAATTATTGGAAAGGAAATCAATGTGTTTATTGGTGTGTAGATGGGTGCTCGGGGAGAACTAGATATTCAGACATTGAAAGTAGAGGCATTCGTTGATGGGCTGTCTGGCCTGCTAAGAACAGAGATCACAAAAAGAATCGGTCGGATCAACTCGAATCAGATGAGGCGGGATCAGCAAAAAAAAGAATGAAACAAAAACAAGTGGTTCCAGAGGGGGTCGAACCCTCGACTTTGGCGTTATTAGCACCACACTCTAACCAACTGAGTTATGGAACCGCTTATTGAAAAAGCTATCATACTTTGACTAATACACCTAAAATTTGTTTTCTTCCGAAGAATCATCAAAAAAAAATTACCCGTCCATCCAACATTCACTATTCTTCAACACTTGAAGGATGCGTAAGGGGCAAAAAAGATGGACTCGCGGGGAATCGAACCCCGGACCACTCCCATGCTAAGGGAGTATTATACCACTAAACCACAAGCCCATTTGATGAAGGACAACTGGATTTGAGGCTATCTGAATGGCAGACAATCAATTTGTGGATAGAGGGCTAAACGGGACCCACTATGAGCCAATTGGGAGAGATCCGAATTAGGAATGGGGTTCCGAGAGGCAACGGGTCTTTTGTGGTCATGGGACCTGTTGCGCAGGGGATACTGTGGAGTTTCGACCATCTTGTTCAAGATTACAAGCTGAGGCCGAGACTGCATGGCGGTATACGGAGTACACCGCTAGTTATTTGCTTATCAGTTATGAGAGTGGTCCCTTTAATTCAGAATATTGGTATTTGTGGGAGTCATGAATATACGTGGTATTATTATCTAGGGAGGCATTCATTCTAATTGATAATTTTCTAGTTGTATCTAGATAGTCCTGGTTATATATGTATGTGTCGATGCTGTTGTTAAGGTGAGCTCAACTGGTGTTGGACACACCAGTCTAAGAAATAAGGTAATGTATTTGCATCTATATATATCCCAAGGGTTGACATGTGGGGAGCCCTAGTTCTGGAAGATCTTTCCACATGTTCAATTTTATCACGAACAAAACTATTGAGACAGCCAGAGATGACTACTAGTCACGAGTGAACAGATCATAAAAAACCTAAATTTGAAATGGACATATTACGGAGTGCATATATCTATGCAATCAATTGAGCCTTTGCCGCCGATAAGCTTATTCTTATCGTGATAAGGTCGGATCAGCGTCATTGAATTTTGTACATCATTGCATGCCCGAGTGTGTACTCCGTACGGAGTAATTTCTCGTGGCAATTCGGCGCCGAAAAATATGGAGCAACAAAGACAAATATTACCTGGAATAGCCGGAGAACAATCCACCTGCGTAGACTTTCTCAATTCGTCGAAATATGGCATTACACAGTTCGGCGTTTCATCAGATTATACAGCTTCTGATTGGTTCACGCCACCGAGATCCAATCGTATCTACGCGGGGAACCAGCAGCTCCAACAGCTCCAAGTCCTTGACCGATAACACTTTCTTTTGATATAAATCCGCTTGCCCCGCGTGACTGTAGCCTTCCTCATATCTCTTTACACCGTCTCACTTGTGTTTCGAGCCTCATCGGGATTGACTTGATCTTGCATTGGTTAGAGATTGTCCCATTCGCCCTTCCCCGCACGAGAGTCAATTGACCTCATCTTGCTCTCGGAATTTCTTTGAAAACTAAAAATTTCACAATGGCCTCCGCTCTCCGCTACAGCGCCAAGATGCGCATGGTGGCTCGTGTCCCTGCTGCTCGTGCTCTTTCAACCACCGCTCGCCTTGGTGCGGCCGAGAAGCCCTTCTTCCCCAATGAGCCCGCAGGCCCCACGCTCGCGACCGCCATTCCCGGCCCCAAGAACAAGGCTGCTGCCGCCGAGCTCGATGAAGTGTTTGATGTGCGCAGCATGAACATGCTGACTGACTACAACAAGTCCGTTGGTAACTACATTGCCGATCTTGATGGCAACATGCTGCTTGACGTGTAAGTGCCTCCATGGCTGGCTGATAAGGAAGAAAATTGCTGATATCCAAACCAGCTACGCCCAGATTGCTTCTATCCCCGTTGGATACAACAACCCCCACTTGAAGGAGGTTACCAAGTCCCCCGAGATGGTCAATGCCCTGATCAACCGTCCGGCTCTGGGCAACTTCCCCTCTGCCGACTGGGCTCACATCCTGAAGACCGGTGCCCTCAAGGCTGCCCCCAAGGGCCTGAACCAGGTCTTTACCGCCATGGCTGGCTCCGATGCCAACGAGACTGCGTACAAGGCCGCTTTCATGTACTACCGCCAGCTGCAGCGTGGTGGCCCCGAGGTTGAGTTCACCGAGGAGGAGCTCCAGTCCACCATGAACAACCAGGGCCCCGGTTCTCCCCAGCTCTCCATCTTGTCCTTCAAGCATGCCTTCCACGGCCGTCTCTTCGGCTCCCTGTCCACCACCCGCAGCAAGCCTATTCACAAGCTGGATATCCCTGCCTTTGACTGGCCCCAGGCTACCTTCCCCATGCTCAAGTACCCACTGGAGGACCACGTCCAGGAGAACGCCCAGGAGGAGCAGCGCTGCCTGCAGGAGGTTGAGCGCCTGATCAAGGAGTATCACAACCCTGTGGCCGCCGTCATGGTTGAGCCCATCCAGTCCGAGGGTGGTGACAACCACGCCTCGCCCGCTTTCTTCCGTGGCCTGCGTGAGATCACCAAGCGCAACAAGGTGCTCTTCATCGTCGACGAGGTGCAGACCGGTGTTGGTGCCACCGGTAAGTTCTGGGCCCACGACCACTGGAACCTGGAGTCTCCTCCCGACATGGTGACCTTCTCCAAGAAGGCCCAGACTGCCGGTTACTACTTCGGCAACCCTGCCCTGCGCCCCAACAAGCCTTACCGCCAGTTCAACACCTGGATGGGTGACCCAGCCCGTGCCCTGATCTACCGCGGTATCATTGACGAGGTTGAGCGTCTCGGCCTGGTCGAGAACACCCGCATTACCGGTGAATACCTGTACTCTGGCCTTGAGCGCCTTGCCCAGAAATACCCCGAGCACTTCCAGAACCTGCGTGGTAAGGGTCAGGGTACCTTCATTGCCTGGGACACTCCCAAGCGTGACGAGTTCCTGGTGAAGGCCAAGAGCGTTGGTGTCAACATTGGTGGCAGCGGTGCTCAGGCTGTCCGTCTGCGTCCTATGCTGGTCTTCCAGAAGCACCACGCTGACATTCTCCTGGAGAGCCTTGAGAAGATCATCAAGCTCCTCTAAGCTCGGACAATCTGATAAGATTGGACCAGGTTGTTTCCCTTTTTTATTTGGATTTTTTTTTTAGCGATTTCTCTTTTCTTTTCTGTCTTTGTTCTGCCTTTCTTATTACGAGTGATGCCATCTTGGAATGGGCCATGTACATTTTTCATAGACATTTACATGTCATCATCAAAATCGAATGATTTAACGGTGATTCAAAATCTTCATATAGCTCATCTTGAAACTCCTGCTAGCATGTGTAACCAACCCAGAAAGATAAAAACAGCGCAATGCTTCCAAACCTAACTCCGAGAAAGAAAAAAAATGTACAAGTCCCCCATTCAATGCGAGACCTGAGCCTAATGTGCAAGGGTATCCGAACCCAAGGCTTCACCGATCAACAAGCAGCATTTATATAGAGCAGTCCTAGGTATTGTGTCGGAGCTTCAAGTGGCCTCCTCGGCGGTCGTTCCATCGCGACTGTAAAATGAATCAGTCAGTATCTGTGCCAAAAAAAGCAAATAGTCACAAGTCACAGCGACAGGTCACATACGGAACGTATTTGACACCCTGATCCTCCAAGCTGCCAATGATGTAATCCGGAAGCTGCAAAGGTGATCTCCATTAGCCAAGCTCGATCATCTCTGAGAATTGTTCACGGATGCCCAGATGCAACTCACAGTTCCTGTCACCTTGGTCGCATATGTTCCCGGCACATAGTTATCCAGCCGCTGCCAGCGGGCCACCCAACTCACGGTCGGATCTCGGACAGCGATCAATCCCTCGAAGACCTGAGATGTGCATTCTTGAATCGCCTCAGAGTTTCCACGGAGTTGGAGAGAGGTTTCGCAGTTCGGACAGCCGTCGCGCTGGAATTTCTGGGATTGGTTCACCAGGTTAGCTAGCTATTGGAGGCTGGGATGAGACACATGACACTCACCGTTTGTGACTGAACGATAGAGCAGACCATACAAGCGCGCAGATGGCGCTGTTGGTTTGGAGCGGCGTAGAATGACATGGTGGTATGAGTGTGAAGTTGAGAGAGAAGTGGAAGTTCAGTTCGGAGATGGCTCAGTGACAATGCCAAGCCTCCCCATTACCGGAGGAAAAAAGAGACGGAGAGAAGCGCCAGGAACCAGATTAATTCTGGACCTGTTTTCCTTCACTTTTTTTTTCACTTTTCTCCTCTTCACTCTGACGTACTTTTTCTTTGGTTTACTTTCTTTTAGACATCACGGGAATATCTTCTTAGAAAGAAGTATCTTTCTACTATCACCTTCTCTCCGCACTAAAACCCCGATCGTCGGTCTCGTGCCCCTCTACAAACTTGTCCCATGGCTTCGAACCAAGAGGCTGCCAACGCGCTCAAGGCGCAGGGCAACAAGGCTTTTGCTCAGCATGAGTGGGCAGTGGCTATCGACTTTTATACCCAGGCAATCGAAAAATACGACAAGGAGCCGTCCTTCTTCTGCAACCGTGCTCAGGTGCGTCAGCGCGGTCCTTTGCCCTTGCTACGGTCGTTGTTCAGATCAGTCACTAACAGTCGGGTTTTGGTTTTGCACAGGCTCAGTTCAAACTCGAGGCATTTGGATATGCTGTCGCTGACGCCACCTCGGCTTTGGAATTGGACCCGAACTACGTCAAGGTTAGTCGCTACTTGAGCCGCCGCCGCCCATTTCGGACAGGACACACTACGCACACATGAACGAAATGAATGAGAGCTAGGCTGACTGGCTTTTTGATTAGGCCTACTGGAGACGTGCCCTTGCCAACACTGCCATCTTGAGCTACAAGGAGGCCCTGAAGGATTATAAGGCGGTCGTGAAGCGTGAACCCGGCAACCAGACTGCGAAGTTGAAGCTGGCGGAGTGTGAGAAGCTGGTTCGCCGCATAGAATTTGAGAAAGCTATTGAGGTTGCGGATCCCCCGTCTGCGTTTGAGGGCTTGGATATCGATGCGATTAAGGTGGAGGATGAATACGATGGAGTGCGCCTTGGCCAGGAGATGACCCAGGAATTTATCGACGACATGATTGAAAGATTTAAGAACGGCAAGAATATTCACCGCAAGTATGTCCTGCAGATTATCAAGGCTACAAAGGAACTTGTCTACAACGAACCGACAATGGTTGAGATTGGTGTGGAAGAGGGCAAGAAATTGACCGTCTGCGGTGATACTCACGGTATGCATGGATTGATTGATACAGAGTGGACGAAAGGTAGACTGACATCACAACAGGCCAATTCTTTGATCTTCTAGAGATCTTCCGTCGCAACGGTTCGCCTTCCGATACCCATGCCTATCTTTTCAACGGTGACTTTGTCGATCGCGGATCATGGTCGTGCGAGATTGCCTTGCTTCTTTACTCATACAAGTGGCTCCGACCGAACGGACTGTTCTTGAACCGCGGAAACCACGAAACAGACGACATGAACAAGGTCTACGGATTCGAGGGCGAGTGCAAGGCGAAGTACAACGAGCGGGTCTTCAAGGTCTTCTCTGAATCATTCTCGGCCCTTCCTCTGGCCACCTTGATTGGTGGCAAGTACCTTGTCCTGCACGGTGGTCTCTTCTCCGATGACAAGATCACCTTGAACGACATCCGGAAACTGAACCGTCACAACCAACGGCAACCCGGCCAGCAGGGTCTGATGATGGAGATGCTCTGGACTGACCCCCAGACTCAGCCCGGTCGTGGACCTAGTAAGCGTGGTGTTGGTATGCAGTTTGGTCCCGATGTCACCAAGCGCTTCTGTGAGAACAACGGCCTGGATGCCATCATCCGGTCACACGAGGTCCGTATGGGCGGTTACGAGGTCGAGCACGATGGACGTTGTATCACTGTCTTCTCTGCCCCCCGTTACTGTGACTCAACCGAGAACAAGGGCGCGTATATTAATATTGGACCAGAGCTCAAGCTCTCTTATGAGGTGTTTGAGGCTGTTCCTCACCCTGATATTAAGCCTATGGTAAGCGCAAATCAGATCAGACCAAAAGACTGAGCTAACTTCTGGTACAGGCATACGCACAGAACTCCATTATGTCACAAATGATGTGATGAAACCTGGTTGATTTGCAAGCGGTGGCGTTCTTATTTTGAAAAGAAGTTAGATTCACGTAAATGTAACTATTGGACGTCTTCATGAATTTTTGGAATGTGATTGGTGGCTACCAATATGAATATTAGCAGTACTTTATGTATTGATTAACATTGATCCATGGAATAGACATTGGTACCTGGATGTCTACTTTGTATTCCTATAGGTTGTAGCTTTGGCCTCCCCTCATCCTCACCGCCCACAGCCCCGCGATTCCCCTCCTGTGACGCAGCTAAACTTCCACCCCACTTCAATCCTAACTCCACTATTCAAAATGGAATTCGATCCAGAGACTCGTGAGCTTTCATTATACATTGAGTCTGAACTATAACTCACAATCGCAGCTCAATACCTCACCTCTGATCCGTCGAGTTTTGCTTCGACCTCGGCCAACGAGCGATGGCCCGTTATCATTGTTCGTTGCACCAAAAAAGGAGAACAAAGTCAATTGCTGACTTGCTAAGACTAGTGCTATCGACGACCTACACCGAACAGTGATAGCTGTCAATGACGAGGAGAAGGAGAAAGAGGGCAAGAGCATCATTGAGAACCTTGCCAAGTTGAAGTATGAGCTGCAGCACAATCGCCAACTGACGTGAGTACCTCTGATATTCCTAAATAGCATGACTAGCTTTCTAATGTAACAAAATAAATAGGCCCATTGAGGATGATGGTCACCCGGATATTGCTTCTTACAACAAAGAGCTGGAGCAGCGTGGAAACCCGGTCTGGCACGATGTGCCCTGGCTATACTCCGAGTGCTACCTTTGTAAGTGCCACACAATACAACGTCTCGACAACTCTGCTCTTACGCTGACCTGATCTGACAATAGACCGTCGCATGGAAAGTTTCTTCGCGCTGTCTAAGCACTGGAAGGGATATGATGTGTTCGCCCGTCAAAAGATGTCGACCTTCAAGTCCTCTCGCCCTGCGGTTCTCGAACTCGCTGCCCGATACCGTGAACTAGCTCAAGAGGCCGAGAGTGGAAAAGGATCAGAGGGCAAATCTCCGGAGGAGGTTGAACAGGCCGAGAAACTTCTTTTCTCGGAGATGTGCGAGATCTGCTTGTGGGGCAATGCTACTGACCTGTCCCTCTTGACATCTTTGACATATGAGGATATCCAGAAATTGCAGGGCTCAGAGGCTCGCAAAGCCTCACAGAGTAATATCCTCGTCAATGACATTGATGCAGCTTTCGCAGTCATGCAGAAAGCGCGCAGAGAAAACAAGAACGGGGATCGCCGCGTCGACATCGTCCTTGACAACTCCGGCTTCGAGCTATTTGTTGACCTGATCCTGGCAGGATATCTGCTGTCCACCGGACTGGCGACTAGCATCGTCCTCCACCCCAAGCGCCTTCCCTGGTTCGTGTCTGATGTCACACCGAGGGATTTCTCTGATCTCCTCAACTGCATGGTCGATCCCCAAGCTTTCTACACTGCCCCTGATGACTCGGGCAAGACACACCCCCCACTCTCAGAAAAGGAGGTCTCCGATGTTCGCTTCCTATTCGAACAATGGAGCGACTTCCACCAGGAAGGCAAATTGATCGTGCGCCCTCACGCATTCTGGACTACCCAGGGAGGCTACTGGCGCCTGCCCCACGTGGCCCCAGATCTGTTCGAGGATCTGAAGGAGAGCGAGCTGGTTCTTTTCAAGGGTGACCTGAACTACCGTAAACTGGTCAACGATGTAAGTTTATATCATTCCCTGCCAAATCACTTACTAACCATACCAGGCTCAATGGGACCCAACCACCCCCTTCACAACAGCCATCGGCCCCATGGGCCCCAAATCTGGTATCCGTGTACTTGCTTTCCGCACCTGCAAAGCTGATACAGTAGTTAGCCTCCCTGCCGGTGTAGACGAGAAGCTCCGCCAGCAGCCCGGTGGAGGTGATGAAAAGGTCCGCAAGTGGGCCTGGAGCGGTAAATGGGCCGTTGTGTCGTTCTCTGACGGCAAGGCCTAAGCTTGGTCATTGAGTCCACGCTAGATGAAATAGGGGGGCTTTTTAAGGGTGATGATGTGAGATTTGAGGTTTGTTCCTGAGGATGGATGAGCTCATAGATGATACATGGTCCTCATCTAGACTGGCAGAATGGTGCCTATAGAAGCCGTTCATAGAGACAGCTTAGACTACGGGAATCTAGATTTTTGAATACCTAGGTATATTCATTCCTCGAACATTCTAAAGTGGTTCGTCGGCAATCTATCGTGATCGTGGCCGTCGGACATTATGTGACCAATCACGTGCGCAGTTTTACCAACCTAGGTATGTCACGCCTTACACGTGGAGTCATCTCAAGGGTGGTATTTCAGCTGGCCATCTTGGTTCTGGGTCACCAATCGGAATATAACCTTTGAGTGATCAAGGCGCTCTGGCATGGCATGGCATGGCATGCAGGGCAAAGTGTAAACCTCTGAATGGAAGAGATAGCGAGGCGCATGACCTTCGAAAGGAAGAAATTGGGTTTAACCCCCCTGTCAAGCTGACTGCCGAGCTATCCCGGCCTTGGAAGTTGGTGGCGGGCGGCCCAGCTGATATTAACTTGTTGCTAGGTCAATGTCACCTCACCCGCCACCTGCATTCAGCCAAGAAAACTTATTGGCCACACGGCGTATGTACGTACCCTTGGCGGGGTCGGATCGCGAGGCGAAACGGTCTCGGGTAGGGTGATTTAGGGCGGACAATGCAAGCCCTTTGGCTGATTAGGTTCTCCAGATTCCTCTCATCTAGGCTTCATTGGGCCTAGTTGAGTATATAGCCGAGATAATGCCGTGTGATAGGGATCGTTGATACGCTACTTGGGTCAGATAGGGCCAATCATGCGAGTAAGGCTGACGTGTCGGACTTGGCAAATTTAGCCACTAAACAAGAGTTACTTGGCTCTAGAGCTGTTTTGCTTATCTCTTACCCTTCAGCCTCGGGTAAGCCGAATGTTGAATTTCGAACTTTTCAAGTTGGCATTAGTTCTTTTACTCTGTCACATTTGAGATGTGGTTAGGATTTGCTTTAGAATTTACACAATTTTGAGTAAGACGGGTCGGCCAATCGACCCGGCGTCCTGTTAAATTGTGTTTGGAAATGATTTATACGGATAGTCTAATGCAGCGCTAGGCTGGATTTGGTATATCAACCGGGGTCTTAGTGTAGCATGCGGAGACGATAAGATTAGGCGACGACTTGTGACCAGTCAAGGTTTGGGACGTACGAGCTAGATCAATGTTCACTTCTCCCCGTTATCTAAAGAAATTAGAATACTCTAGTCTAGTGTTAGAAGTACTCCAATCGGACTCCGAAATTGGAGATAAATCATAAACCCCACTGGAACTAAACAAACACCTACGAAGCTTCAATCACGAGAGCCAAGACCTGGAGTTGTTTATAGTATTTAACCATTTAGACGGAGTACTCCGTTTGGTCCCGCTCTGGGGTGTTATGGGGCGAATCGTCTCTCTCTCCCCATGGGGGGCAAGAACAGACCCTGATAAGCGAACATTTGAAATATTAGTGGGAGTTAGCGGTGGCCAAACTGGAGGAACCCGTGCTTTCGCCGCCGGACGACAGTCGGAGCTCCGGTTTGGGATAAGACCATATGCATTATGCAACTCGATCCGATAATAAACATTTACTATCTTGAGACCCACGCGATCGCATGGTTCTTATATCTACCGATGTCGCGACTCTGTGAGATCTTCATCTGATTCTGTTCCACCCTTCAGTTCAATCTTGACTTTCGCCATCATGTCGGGCAAGTCTACCGGTATCGCGGTGGCTGAGATGCCTCCTGCTACCATGCAAGACTTGCAGGAGCTCAAAGTGGAACACGAATACGATCTTAACCTCCCTAGTGAGATCGAGAAGGAATTGGATGAGGCTATCGCTACTGGCGATATCGAAATCAAGGCCCATGCTGTCGGGGACTTGATGGATGACTCTCCCTACCCTGAGGTTCGTGCTGCTGTCCTCAACTACGATGAAGGAGGCACTGGCAACACCATCCGCGCCTGGGTCCTGGGTCTCATCTTCGCTACTATCGGCTCGGGTCTCAATGCCCTATTCTCCCTCCACAGCCCTACCATCTCCATTACTTCCTATATCGCCGAGGTCGTCGCTTTCCCCTTTGGTATTGCATGGGCTCGCTTCCTTCCAAACTGGAAATTCACCATGTTCGGCAACAAGCTCGAGCTGAACCCCGGTCCATTCACCAAGAAGGAACATGCTCTCATCACCATCATGGCCAACGCAACCTTTGCTGGTGGGTTTGCGTACACCCTTGATATCATCACTGCCCAGCGAGGTTTCTATGGAGATCGCTACGGATGGCCCTTCGAGATCTTCACCACCATCTCCACCCAGACTTTGGGATTCGGCTTGGGTGGTGTGCTGCACCGCTTCCTGGTCGAGCCCGCTGCCATGATCTGGCCCTCCAACCTAGTCAACACCACTCTGTTCACAGCCATGCATGAGCGTGGGATGCGGGCACCAGACCCAGCCAAGACTGCTGGTTGGACCATCAACCGATACCGCTTGTTCATGTACATCATGACTGGTGCTTTCTGTTGGTACTGGTTCCCGGGTCTCATCGCCCCCTTCCTGAGTGTCTTTGCTTTTGTCACTTGGATCAAGCCCAACAACGTTATCATCAACCAGCTCTTCGGTGGTGCTACCGGTATCTCCCTGATTCCTATCTCTTTCGATTGGTCCATCATTTCCGGCTACGTTTCCAGTCCTATGATCTCGCCCTGGTTCGCCATTGCCAACACTCTTATTGGTATGGTTGCCTGGTTCTGGGTCCTCACCCCGGCGCTGCACTACACCAATACCTATTACGGAAAGTTCCTGCCCATGTCGGACTCCGACAGTTACGATAACACCGGCAGTGTTTACAATGTCACCAAAATTCTGACTCCCGAATATACATTCGACCTGACAAAGTATGAGAGCTATTCCCCGCTTTTCCTCTCTACCACTTTTGCTCTCTGCTACGGTCTGTCCTTTGCTGGTCTTGCCGCTGTCATTGTCCACGTTGCCTTGTTCCACTCAAAGGAAATCTGGCACCGCTTCCGCGCCGTCAACCAGAAGCACGAAGATATTCACTCTCGCCTTATGGCCAAGTACGAGACTGTGCCCATCTGGTGGTATGCTATCGTTCTTGTCATCATGACCGCTATCGGTCTGGCAACAGTGCTTTCCTACCCCACCCACATGTCCTGGTGGGCGTACTTTGTCTCTCTCATCATTGCATTGGTCTGGACCCTGCCTATCGGCATGATCCAGGCTACCACCAACATTCAGCTGGGTCTGAACGTTATCACTGAGTTTATTGTCGGTTACATCCAACCTGGCAAGCCCATGGCCATGATGCTCTTCAAGACATACGGTTACATTACCATGTCCCAGGCATTGTACTTCTGTCAAGATATGAAGCTTGGTAAGACCCCTTGCAGCCTCATTCCCCTTTCAACCCTAACAAGTCTATAGGCCACTACATGAAGATCCCCCCTCGCGTCACCTTCTGGGCCCAGATGGTCTCCTGCATCTGGTCCTCAGTCGTGCAAGTTGCAGTCCTGAACTGGGCCTTCGGCAGCATCAGCGACATCTGCTCCTCAACCCAGCCCAATAAATATACCTGCCCTAACGGCCGCGTCTTCTTCAATGCCTCTGTCATCTGGGGTGTCATCGGCCCGAAGCGCATGTTCTCCATCGGCCAGATGTACGCCTCCCTCCAATGGTTCTGGCTCGCCGGTGTTGCCCTCCCCATTCTCATCTGGCTCGCCGCCAAGAAGTGGCCCCACAGCAAAGCCAAGTACCTCAACGCCCCTGTCATTTTCAGCGGTACCGGCATGATCCCTCCTGCCACCCCCCTGACTTACCTGGTGTGGGGTACCGTTGGATTCATCTTCAACAAGTTCATCCGTAACCGCTGGCGTGGCTGGTGGATGGAGTACAACTATGTTGTTTCCGCCGGACTGGATGTTGGTACTGCATTATGCTTGATTGTTATGCTTTTCGCTATCAGTCTGAGCAACTCCTCTTTCCCTACCTGGTGGGGCAATGGCAAGGCTCTTGAGACTATGGATTATATGGATACTGCCATTAATGTTGTCTTGCCTGCGGGTGAGAAGTTCGGACCTACCAAGTGGTAAGGTCGAGGAAATGTTTATAATAGTTACGCAGATCAAGGTCCGATGATGACTCAATAACATGATTAGTTTATAGTTCTGATATGGCGAAATGAATACCGCTTTTTGTATATTTGAGGAAATTCAGAACCATGCTCCACTCAAGTGCTTTACTTAGTCAATACCTTAATTTCTTCCAAGGTTTGATCGACATGACTTTATTTTTGAAAACCCTTTCAAGCCTGATAGTTCTGCCATGCGTTCCTTAAGGTTCGCTTTTAATTTCGTGGAGGCTTCGGCTGATGTCCCACTCTTTGAGACGATCAACACTCGTGGTAACACCCTGGTTCTGTAGGGTTGAATAAATTCGATTAATTCGCCGACCTTATAGAGAGTAATGATCACATATTTGTAAGGGTCTAAGTTAAACCACTGTTGTGGCATGATACTGATCTCATTCATGTGTATCTCAGCCTTGGTGAAATCGATTGCTTACTTGGTGTAGAATATTATAGGCGGTGAGAAAGATGATTAATACACTGAACTTTCATTGGGAGGCCGCTATTTCCGCCCCTATTTCTGCCCAATTTCGAGATAACAACATTGAAGCGTATCGGAGCATGCTCCAGTGACCAGCGCTCTGGAGGCCTATCCTCCTTTGCACCCCTCTATTCGATACTTTCTGCTCCCATTTCACTCCAAACCATCGATTTCATGCTTCTCTTAGACTACGCCTAGCTGTACCCTCAAAAAAGCGAACCAAGCGATCAAGAGCTTATTCTGACTCTCAAGGCTTAATACAAAACACACGGAGCATGAAGAACCAAGCGCCTGGCTCTTCACCCAGACTTTTAATGTCCAAAACGAAGGACACGACTGCAATTCTGGGTCTCATTGAAGAGTGAGATATCGATAATAAATCCCAACCCCGCAGACTGCCACTGACTGGCCAATTTAGTCTGCATCTCAAATCGGAATACAGCGATATGACTATCATCTGTGGGGACAAGACATTCCCAGCACACAAGCTTGTGGTCTGCCCTAGGTCAAAATACTTTCACCGAGCTTGTTTTGGTGGATTCAGGGTTAGATCCCCAGGCTTCAGGACCACACAGGACCCTTGGAATCAAGACTCAAAGCTGATATGCTATCTAGGAAGCGGAAAGTCCGATTCATCTGGATGATCAAGACCCCATTATCATCGAAAAAATGCTCGAGTATCTTTACAAGGGAGATTATACCTGTCAGATCGCTTCGGCCTCTGGTTCTTCTGTCAATTCTGATTCGGTATCCGGCCATGGTTCTAGCTACTTCCATGCGCTTATGTACGCTGCTGCTGATTATTTAATGATCGAGGATCTCAAACGGAAATCAATGGAGTATTTCAGCTCAAAGTTCATGCCTTCCACTTCCTTGAACTTGGCCGGATCAAGCGTGGTCTCTTTGCCAAGAATCAAAAAAGAGTTTGCAGAGACTATTGAGGAGATTTATTCAACAAGAGCCGACTATCAAGAGTTGAGAAAGCTGGCCATCGAAAAAATCAAGGACGATCTGTTTCTGCTTCGAAAAGGGAATAAGCCGATCATCAATTCGGAGTTAATGAAGTCAAACCCAGATTTCACCTACGATTTATGCGAAGCAACTTTGACGAAGTATGTGGCTTAGCCGAAGCCGGTTGAGATGAAAGATACAGCAATCACTCCGCCGCGATTTGGAGCATCTACTCGGTCGCTATTTGGATCACCCCCTCCCAAGTCGTTCCCCACGCGAACAGATTTTTCGCCATTCTAGCGGCGGCACCAGGTCAGAATCTCAGTTGAATCTTGACCAAATAATCATTTCACAAATTAACAAGGATCTCAACATAGCAGCGTATAAGATAGTAACGATAGAAATCACGTACTAGTCCGTTCGAAACTTTATAAAGGATGACATTCAGGCTATAGGTGACATCCCTGAAATCTCTGATTATTGTCATCGCTAGAGTTAATCATTAGATCGAAAGAGACTACCAACACTGAAGCTTTAGTATATACAAAAAACACAAAGACACTAGTACTACCTTATGAGGTCAATGCTTTATATAAACCACTTCACTACTCTGCTAGGTAGTCCCGGTTGAGAGAATTGTGAGAACCGGTCGTATTTTTGTCATCGGATCTAGTCAATTTCTAGATTCTTTGGTTCCTGTCATGGACCTGGACGACATGGCTCATATTGACTCTTTATTAGTGTTCTGTATTATATTGTGCTCCAAATCCACAATATCCAGCCCATGGTACCCATATGTCCACTCCAATTAACCTTAAACCGTGGCCCTTTTTGCAGAGCTTTGCTACCCACAGAGCTATTCAAAGCGAGTTCTGCTATTCAGCCACGATAAGTTATTTTTAAAAGGAGAACCCCTGAGAGGTTTTGTGTGTGCGACTATAGTTACTAAGCCGAGTAATTCGACTACGCTGTATGGCTATAATGGTCATATGGTGTTAACAGCTGGTCTGTTATACAGGGAAAGAAAAGGCTACATGATAGCGTGAAAACGGACGAAATGGTTAAGGTTTGCATTCTGAGAAGGAATAAGAAGGAAGAGAGAGGAAGAGAGAGGAGAGGGAGAGAGAGAGAGAGAGAGAGAGAGAGAGAGAGAGAGAGAGAGAGAGAGAGAGAGAGAGAGAGAGGTCCATGGCGATAGGCATTGCCCTATGAGCAGATGCTCTTAGCGCCTTGGGCCGCCAAGAGGGGGAGATGACTAGAATACTGTAGGAAAGCTCACATATTGGTGTGTGTATTGGGGATATGGAGAAAAGAAAGAGAAAGCAGAAGGTCTGGGGGGATATGCCATACAGACCACAACTAAGCTAGTTCTTACAAGATTAGCGTGCTATGTCGGCTCACGTAAACGGACGTATTTTATCGACCAATAGGGTCCGTACTCGATCGTGTAATTGTCTGAATTATTACCCGCCCTCGAACCATGGTTCTTAAGTGCGGATTCTGACTAACGTGATCCACGGTCGCCCGAGCGACCCCATCGAAAATCCACTTCAATAATAATACATACTTTTTAACCACAACAAAAATGCCACCCCAACGCTCTGAGAAATAAACAAAGTTGATAGAGCAAGAAGGTCGCCTTTTATTAGCTATAAAAGCTATAAAAGATGGTAAATCTCCCTCTGCTGCAGCTACTGCACGATCTTTTAAGATACCTATCTCAACTTTAAAGAATCTGATGCTGAAAAGAGGGCATCTGGTCATATATTCACCCAAATCGAGGAGCAATCGATAGAGAATTAGCTACTTAATATAGATACAAGAGGTATAGCTCTTACTTTGCCTATATTGCGAGATATAGCCAATCTTTTACTTAGTATAAAGAAAAACACACTATCTACCACTGGTATCAATTAGCCTTCTTAATTTATCAAACAACACCTAAATCTCTCTACGCGACTCTCTCGTAAATAAGACTATCAGAGAGCACTCTCAGAAGACCCCCGGATCATTAAGCCATGGTTTGATTTAGTTCAAAAGACCATTAAAAAGTGGGGTATTGTTTCAGACGATATCTTTAACTTTAATAAGAGTGGTTTTACTATAGGTAGCGGCGTAATATAAAAGATTATTACTTCTACAGAATACTACGGGAAAAGAGCTCTTTTATAAGCCGGAAATCGCGAGTAGATAACTATAATAGAGTATATTTGTCAGGGTGCAGGCTGGCAGGGTTATAATAGGAGAAGACCGGCGGGATCGGGTCGGGTTCAGAGGGTTTCTAATTGATCCGGCAGCAGGTCGGCGGACGGTCTAGCGTAAGCTATTATACAAGACGTAGCTCGAAGAGCTATAACAGGATCCAGATCGGAAGTGCAGATAAATAAGATATAGATCACGTGCCCGTGATCTCCCTTATCGGTCTTAGCGGGTCCCTACGGACCCTATCAGGACACACCGTGACAATATTCGAGCTTCTAGAAGTATTATGCCTCCACTCTTCATTTTTAAGGGAAAAAAATTTCTAGAGCATCTACGCCCTTATCTTCTTTTAAATCAAGAAGGAGCATATCTCACTATAAGTGAAAATAGCTAGACTACTAATATAATTAGTTTATGGTGGTTAAAACATCTTTTTATCCTAAATATTAGGTAAGAGTGGGAAAATATTATCTACTAGTCCTCGATGGTCATAGGAGTTATTTAACCCCCAAATTTGACCAACTTTATAAAGAAAACCAAATTATCGTAATCTATATACCTCCTTATGCTTCCTACCTTTTATAACCTTTAGATATAGGCTATTTTTCGGTTTTGAAGAGGCTTTATAGAGGAGCGGTTTTAACCTTAATGCGGAATAGAGTGAACTGTGAAGGGCTGAAGCAGAATTTATGTTCAATTGAGCTAGGCCACGAACTGTGTACAAAAAGCTTAAAGAGAGAATTATTAAGTAGGTGTTCTGTGTGTTAGGTTGTTATGGTCACGTGGTGCACGTGACCTTATACCGGGCACTGGCCCGTGACAGTACCCCCCCTTTAGGGTGGTCCTCCTCATGTGTGTCGTAGTCGTATTCGGTTGTTTGCGGGCCTGTAATAGGGTCGAAACGGGGCCGAATCGTCTTTCAAAGGCATCTAATGCGGAGCAATCTCGTACGTCGTCGAGCCTCTGCCAGGTTTGTTCTGCCCAACCTGTCCATTTCACTAGGGCTTCATCACGGTATCCTCGACCGATTTTCTGACGTCTCACGTTTATTATCTCTTCCACTTCGTATTCAAGTTCTCCGTCAACCAGCATTGGTGGGGGATGTGAATCGTCCACAATCTGTGATGGAAACGGGTCTGAAGCGGCCGGCCTAACTAGCTCCACATGGAATACTGGGTGGACGCCGGTGGGCACCTCTAATCGTACTGTATGAGGAGTGGGGACGTCTAAGACTCGATATTGGGCATGCAGCCAATCAAGCTTCTTCGATTGTCGCTGTGTGCGTATATTCCGTAAATTTAGCCATACCCAGTCGCCTTTCTTATAGACTGGTGCGGCCTGTCGTCGCTTATTCGATTGCTCTTCCTGTAGAGCTTGTGCAGAAGCGATCGCGGCTTGGGCCCAGTCGGTGGCTTCTCGTAGTCGATTCACAAACATTTCGCCCGCGATTCCTGGTCGTGTACGGGTTTCGCGGGGTTCTTCTATCTCTTCTACCTCGATGGGGTCAACATGGTAACCATGTGTGAAGAAGAACGGGGATAGTCCTGTTGCGCTAGCGTTGCGGTTATTAATCGCTGTGGCAACGATAGGGAGTAGTGTATCCCAATTATCCTGCGTGTAGGTCGTGAATGCACGTAGGATCCGTTCGACTTCTTGGTTCGCGCGCTCTGTCGCGCCATCGGATTGCGGATGGAAAGCGGTCGATAGTCGACGTTGAATCGACAGCTTCTCACATACTATTCGCCAGAATGCACCCACAAACTGGGACCCACGGTCACTTGTGATCGCTCGTGGTAGCCCGTGGTGCATATAAAAGTGGGTAAAGAACGCATCCGCCACTCTCTCAGCGGTTATCTCTACCATACTTATAAGGATCACGCTCTTTGTAAGCCGGTCCGTGATTACCATCAGATTCGTTGCACCTGTGTGTGCTGTTGGGGGTAGTTCCACGATAAAATCCATGGATAATTCTGCCCATATTCGCTGCGGAATCGGTAGCGGTTTCAATAGCCCATGCTTTGTGTCGCGCCATACAGTGCTACGGCCGCAAATTGTGCAGTTTCGTAGGAAGCGTCGTACATCTCTCGCTGCTCCTGGCCAGAAGAACCTCCGTGATAGTATCGCGTAGGTAGCGTCTCGGCCAGGGTGTGCTGTGACGTGAGAGTCGTGGATCTTCTGTATAATCCCTGTGCGTAGCGTCTCATTGTCTGGGATCCATATCCGTTGCCTAAAGTGGAATAGCCCTCGTTCGTCTAGGTGGCACTCCGATAGGGTCGTTTTCACGTTTGTTTCGGCGGTGATTCGCCGGTCTCCCTTTACCAGGGCTTCGCATATCTTCTGATACTCCAGATCAGTAGATCTCGCGTTCTTCCATTCTTGTTGTAGCGTAGGCTCTTCGAATAGGGGTATTTCCTTCTCAAAGTCATTCCCCTCTACTGCCAGTAAGTCAGGTCGTCCTGTCTTGATTTGCACCTTTTTCAGTAGGGTTCGGAACCGATTCGATAGTCTTTCGTCCGTAATGTGCTGTGGGGTGTCTTGGCTTCGCCGTGATAGTGCGTCAGGTCTCGCGGCGAGCTTCCCGGGGCGATACTTTAGTTCGTAGTTGAACTCCGCAAGGATATCCGCCCATCTCATTTGTCGTTCGTTTAGGTGCTGTGCTTTGCCAAAGTATCGTAGGTTTTTATGGTCCGTTACGATAGTGAATCGGGGCACCATCTTTAACTCTGGTCTCCACTCTCGGAGGGCACGTATAATCGCTAGCAGCTCTTTGTCATGAATCTCGTAATTTGACTCTGCTGGCGATAGCTTCTGGGAGAGGTAGGCGCACGGGCGTAGCTGTCCGTCTGGCCCGTATTGCGATAGGACGGCTCCTGTGGCCCATCCTGATGCGTCTGCCTCGATAACTGTTTCCTTATCCTCTTCGAAATGTGCTAGAATCGGAGCGTTAATGAAGAGGCCCTTCAATTCTTCAAATGCTCGTTGGCAGTCGTTATCCCACGTGAATTGGGCGTCTTTTCTCGTCAATTTCGTTAGGGGTGCCGAAAGGTCGGCGAATCGGGGTATAAACGGGCGGTAGAAGTTAGCGAATCCAAGGAAGCTCCGTATATCTCGTACTGATTTCGGTGCTTCCCATTCTCGGATAGCTATGACCTTCTTCGGGTCAACATGGATTCCCCTACCCGCTTGTACGATGAACCCTAAGTATTTCACAGAATCCTGCTCAAACTCCGATTTTCCAATATCACACTGTAGGCCTGCTGCCTGCAGTTTCTGTAGCACTTGTCCTACTTTTCGCCGGTGATCCTCTAGCGTTCCGCTGCTGTAGATGATGATATCATCTACGTAGGCTGACACAAAATCATCAAGATACTCCTGTAGGATCTTATTGATATACCTCTGAAAAGTCGCTGGTGCGCCAGTCAGCCCAAATGGGGTAACGTTCCACTCGTATAGGCCGTATCGTGTCCGAAACGCCGTCTTCCATTCTTCTCCTGGTTGGACGCGGATCTTATGGAAAGCAGCGATAATATCCAGCTTAGAAAACCATCTGGCCTGCCCCATATTCCTTAGCGTCTCTCTTATCAGTGGTAACGGGTAACGATCCTTCACGGTGAGTTCGTTTAACCCGCGGTAATCGACACAGAATCGTATACCTCCGCCTGGCTTCCTCACTAGTAGGACTGGGGCCGCGGCGGGCGATTTGCTTACTCGTATGAAGTTCTTTCCAAGAAGGTCCGTTAGCGTCTTTCGTAGATATAGGAGTTCTTCCTTGTTCATGCCGTAGAGAGGACCATATGGGGGTGGTTCCTCAATACCGTTCTGGTCTCGTTTTAGGGTGATTTTATGGTCGATTCCTGGTCGATTCGGTGGTAATTCGTCAGCCAACTGCTGGCTAAAGACATTCAACCACCGCCAATAGTGCTTTGGCAGCTTATCCTTAGGGTCATCCTGTTTCTTTGGACGAAGCGCCTTCTCAATGTCGTCTATTGTGACTTTGCCGATTCGAAGTCGATTCGGCTGCTTCTCGTTGTGCATAAAGTCGTACAACCCCTGAGCTGTCGACTTCTTGACTTGTATTTTCTTTACGTTGGTTGGTCCGATCGTGCGGTCTGCGCGATTCCAGCACCTTGTTCGTTCTCCGTTTCTCGCAAATATATCGATATACCCTTTCTTTGCTGAGTATCGACCTTTAACGTCTTGTAGCCAAGGATCTCCTAATATTATACTATCCTCCTGCTGGGGAATAATATACGCGAATACTCGTCCTTGCTGGTGGCCGTGGATATCCAGGTTAAAGTGCGTAACTTGGGTGATTCGGCTTTGATTCGGGACTATTCCATCTAGGATCCGCGTAGGTATCCTAATGCGCGGGAGGTGGAGCGACTGAACTAACGCTTCATTTACGGTTGCGTAACAACGGCATCCGTTGTCGACTAGGGCTTGTGTAAATTGGATTTCATTCACCCTAGCGTCGACTAAAAATGGTAGTGTTTCTCGTTTCAGCAGCCTTTCGACCCCCTTTCGCTCCTGTTCGCGACTCAGAACAGGAGTTACTCTTTTCCCGAATCCTCGCTTAAGGAGACTTCGTCCTCGGAAAATGACACATTTGATCCACGATCATTTGTGTATCTGGCTTTCTTGCTTTGGACCCTGCGGAGATGCTTCTCTCTTGGTCCTTGGTGTTGTGTGGCTGGTAGGGGGCACTTTGCGATAAAGTGGCCCAGCTTACCGCAACGAAGGCATCTTCCTTCGTCTCGTCGCCTCTCTACTTCTTCGTGGTCGACCCACTTCGCCTGCCTACTCGTCTCGGGCCCTGATCGGTGGTGTTTCGTGCGGAATTCGGCTTGGTTGACTGTGGTGGTTGGAGTCCAATCCATTGAGTCCTGGTGCTTCTGGGCGTATACACGGTGCGATCTTTCTGGGGTATTGATGCTAAGGGCGTCCATATCGGTGCTGATTTCATGGAGCCGAGCAATAAGGTCCGAAAACGTAGCGGGAATACCACGATTCATCAACGAATTCGTCATGCTTTTATTCAGGGATCCCAATAGGATCTGCCTCTTCGCTTCGTCGTGCCATTCGAGGGCACCTGCGTCTGCAAACTCCTTCTCTAACCTAGGTAGAAATTTCGCAAAAGGCATGCTATCCGACTGGCGTATCTGGTGGAGACGTCTCGCAGCACGTGCTTTGATATTTGGGTCTCCGTAAATACCCTCAAGGTAATCCAGAATCGTCTGCGGATCTCCATCGTTTCGTCGCAGTTTCACAAAGGTTCCGGTATTCTTCCAAGCGAGCTTCTCAAGCCTAGAGAACACGTACATAAACTGATCTTGGGGCGAGCCAATTGCTACGCCATCCACATGCAGTTTATTCTCTATTGTCACACGCCACGTTGGCCAGTCGGCTGTGTTTCCTCCAAACGGGGTCGGGTCTGGCAGTCGTGCCTTCGGGCGGTATACGGGTTCTAATCGTGGGGGTTCCGGGGTCGATCCAACGGTGGTTCGTGCCGGAGTTGGTTCCCCTGTCGTCGTTGTTGGCCGTAGGGCTAATTGCTCTATTATGGTCTCTAGGCGACGGATTCGTTCGTCTTGGGCAACGCGCTCTTGGTCGTAACGTCGTATTAATTCTTCCTGCGCTGCGCGTTCTATGTCGATTCGCTCGTTCTGTTCGCTCTGTATGGCCTGTGACTGTGCCATTTGCTGCAGCAGCGTCTGCGCCCATGATGGTGGGCTCGTAGACTCCTGCATCTTCACTTAGGGGTCACGTCGCCGAATCACTCTTGATTCAGGGACGATTCGTCTATGATTTTAGATTTTTACAATATCCAATTGGAAGCTTTTTGTATGTGAAGGGCTGAAGCAGAATTTATGTTCAATTGAGCTAGGCCACGAACTGTGTACAAAAAGCTTAAAGAGAGAATTATTAAGTAGGTGTTCTGTGTGTTAGGTTGTTATGGTCACGTGGTGCACGTGACCTTATACCGGGCACTGGCCCGTGACAGAACTCTATTAATAAGGAAGATTTTCTTAAACTTATCGCTAATACGAGAATTAGTACTTTTAAGACTTCTACTATATATTAAATAGCTTTTCAGCTACTAGATTAGCACTATTTAATACTAATAAAGTCTTAGAAAAGCTAAATATACGCCTAGATTCCCTTCCTCCTCTCGATATTATCTTACAGCGACTACTCTCTTCCGGTAATGATAGTGATCTAAATACTCTCTAGACTCTCTCAAAATTCATAAAATCACAATCTCGGATTAAAAAAGGTCTAGAATCTTCTTCTTTAATCCTCTCTTTACTAACAAAAAGAGAGCTTTAGAAGACCTATAATATGACTATCAAAGTAGTCCACTACTATATTTTTCTCTAGAATCGCTATACCCAATTAGAGGCTACTAACAAGAAATAGATAAAAAAAGAGAGACTATACATAAGTTTACTGCCCAGATAGGTATCTTTAGGGGTCTAGAGAGTGGTAAAGATAATATGGTTTATGAGGATGAAGATAATGGTAAAGATATATATTTACCAGAGGTATCTATAGAGCGGTTGTTAAGCCTACTTTACCTTCTATGCCTTCGGTTCGGCGGCATGTGATATGTTCTAGCTGTGGGATAAAAGGTCATATATATCCTGGATGCCCTTCACGTGTTTAGTAGCAAAATTTTGAGTTACTTAATGGTTATAGTGGTAGTTCAATGGTTATAGTGGTAGTTCAAAATTAATGATTTTTCGAAGTTTGGTAGGGTCGCTCGCTCAACCGGACTTCACGTTAGCGACAGCTGCTCGGGGTCATGTGACTATGAAACCCACTCCACTAAGTGTCATAGCGCGTATTTGGAAGTCTTTTGACGTGTCCAAACGGCCAATGTGCAGATTTGAGAGCATGGCAATGCTTTTCAAGCCGCATCCTTCCAAGACCACAGAGGTGTGGTCCAAATGTTGCTGGACCATGGTGCAGACGCACGTGAACGCCCAGGGTGGATATCATAGCAATGCACTTTACGCCGCAGCAAATGAGGGCCAGAAAGAGGTGGCTGGAACCTATACTGATTAGGGGCAAACCAAAAGGTTACCGATTGCTTGTATGAAGGGACAAAAATCCGACTGGGCAAAATGCTATCTACACGTCTGCAGCAAGGACACAAATCACAAAATAAATTGCGAATGACCACAAATTTATGCTTCCAGTGGCGATCAATGTTTCTCACAACCAATTCTGCCCAACAGTTCTTTTCGATCCCAAGACCCTGTTAAGCCCACTGAAGACGAATGCGCAGTCCCACGAGCGTCAATCCCTCGCTTCCATGTTATTGGGTTGACCGCCTGAACACTTGGATCTAGCGATCGGTCTCCTTGAATTTTCTTCCCTCTCTCTTCCAACTCGCCCTCGTCCTCATCTTCACTCCGAATATCATCAGCGCCGATGCCTTTGATGACACGGACTGCCACCTGAAGGATCAAAACAAACCAAAGTAAGGTCAGAACCTGAAGGAAGCCCAGGGCACCAAGGAAACCCCACCTTATCCCATCGCTGTAGCAAATAGTACCAGAGGGGTTAAGAAACGCTTCCAGCATATGCCACCAGCCCTGTTTAGGCAGTGGGGTCGGGCCGATCATCAGACCGTCCTGTGACTTGTAATAACAGCCGGGGTTGATAGTTTCAGGCATGTAGATCCAGATATGATACATGTTCATAATGTAAAAGACGTGACGTGCAAGGAACCATGAAAGCATGAAGAAGCCGAACATAACATCTCGCATAGTACCAAACCCGAGGTACTTCAAACATTTGGCGAGCTTAATTGGATATCAGTGCGTTGTCACCAAAGCGTAAATCAAAGTTGATCAACTTACAGGGAAAAATATATCAACCACATCCATCAAGACCAGGACCAAGTTAGCCACACGAGTCAAGTGCAATGCGTATGAAGTGTAAACTAGCAGAATTGTTATAATATGGTGGGCTAACATTTGCCAATGGTCCTTGCGACGCTCCTCAATATTTATAACGATGAGTTGCTGTAGCCAGAAGGCCCACTGGCCCAGAATGTACGCCTTCGTGATCCCAGGGAGCTCCCGTGTTGGCCAATTGGTGAACATCTCTCTTGGGGCTAGAAAGTAGTCCGAGTTGTAATATATATACTAAGAAGAGTTAAATAATGCGCCACGACAATAATAGCACTGGGCAAAAAAGCGAAACGTTTCTTACCACTCCAAGTGTCCAAAATACTGAGTAGTAACACAGTAGCCATGCCTGTTCCGAGAATCGAGTAACGTCTTTCTTCTTTGAAACACCCAACTGTCTAGCTAGGGGCTCGAGGAGATATTCCATGCAGCTAGCACGGAGACCAGTGAAAAGTATGATACAAAATCCAAGAAAGAAGATATCACCACTACCGACGCCATATTTTCCCGTGCTTGTATTGTAATGTGACAATAAGAAAAACTTTGACGTGTACGGTCGGGCTTTGGGCAGGCACGAGTGTATGGAAAAGAGGACGGAGATGAAGTTGAACGATAAATCTATTTAAGAATTCAGGTGTGAGTTCGGAGGTTCATCAATAATCGCAAGTCTGCAACTGGGGACTTTGCCATCGATATAACGGATGATGCCTCTTGTTATTGAGATCCACAGGGCGCCAGGGTTTCTGAGACGAGTGTCGGTAATGAGAGGAACGCACATATTTGGTTATGAAGTAGCCAGCGGGTCAAGTTTTGGAAGCAACCATCGCGATTCTGCTCGGTACTTGAAGGCTTAAATCTGTATTTGAGCAGCTGCATAAAAGATCTCGAAGAAGTGTCTTGCTTCGTGCCTTGTGCTTTGTTGTAGTTGTTCAATGTGGTCTCCATGGTCATCGTAGGCTCGATATCGCTTTCGCTAATGAAGGACTTTGTAGATGCAATTGAGAAGAAGCAGGACAAGGAAAGATTTGCCCGAAGCAATAAAACATCGACTATTCTCTGACAGGCTTTAGGGCGATGACGTTTCAGAACTTGGCTACGCTTCTTTACTTTAGTCTGAAGGGGATTTTGAATGTGGATGCGGGTCCAAGGAGAAACTTTCACCCGATCCAAGGTAACACGCCAATCAATGTATCTAACCCCCCAACAAACTGGCTCCGGCTACCCATAGGTTCAATTAGCGTAGCGGTGTGAATGTAAGGAGGCTAGACTAGCATATAATATCCTGAGTATTCTGGTTCAAAAGAAACTCGATACTTTCGTATCTCCATGTGATAAGTCGTAGAGGTCCAATACCGAGGCCCGTGCGAAACAACAAGAGTCTTTATTTTTCAATTATTAGTTATCATTTTATTAATTAGATAATAAAGATGATTTAGTAGTAAATAATACGTGGTGCAAAACGATTGGGTTTTCTTACCTTGGTCCACATTTTCACACCGCTTCCTTGATCTTCATTTCCACCTCAATTGCCTAACAAATGAGCTTCACCTTCTCCACTATTTTGCAAAGCCATGTCGTTTTCCACATCAACCCCCTCACACCTATCAGTCAAAGAATTCTACCACATAGGGACAGGAGTACTATTAGGATTGGTTCTATTTGTCTCCATTTTCAACCAGAAGGTCGGGGCCATAATGGCAATGTCTCTAGCCTTCATTTACATGACATTTTATCTGACTCGAACGCCTACAAAAGAGCAGACTTATTGTAAGTAGAGACTTTCTTCTCTGTACGGTTGACTTTGAGACTACACTTCTATTATTTTCAGCGATCCCGATGGCGAAGCTCAGTGCTTAAATATCATTTATCTTTGCCCATAGTAATGCCATCGATTAAGGCATCTGGCATCACACGTTCTTTATCAAGTCAAGGTGGACCATTTTGGCTAATACTGTTCATCATAGTTTCCCCGCAACAGTCTCCGCCAAACCCTCCAAACAGGCCAACAAGAGCCCAAAAGGCGTCTATACTTGATTTGGAAGTTCGATAAATACTTTGATGTCTGTACAAAAGCTCTGTTGGGATTGTAAAGAAAGAATCAACACTTGACTAGGTGAAGAAGAAAGCGAGGTCCACGCCCGCAATGAGGAAATTTCATAGAGCAAACTTAATGGAGAGATGATTATAAACTCAGATTTGTATGTAAATTTCTTCCTTTATTCTCAGTGGGTGTAGAAACATAGAAGGAGAAGCTAGAGAGATATCTCGTAATATAAAAAAGGCGCGGGGAGGAGGATATTTGTACAGATGGACATATACTGGCTAGCAAAACCATAGGACCCCAACCGAACGGATGCAAATACAGCTCTGACACAGTAATGATTTTTAAACGCCAATTCGTAATTTCAAAATAATCCGTGGCAAAGCTGTAGGAAAAGAGCTATATCAATGATATGACCTCGCCAAGGGAATGAAACATCCCTTCTCTTTTCGGATCCTTTACGTCAGTTACACCAGTTTCCTCATGCAATTAATTCCAGCTAGATTCATTATCCCAGTTCTGGAATACGCAGCGAGCACATCTAGCTACAGTATATAGTTATATAGTACAAGATAGGGTGAGCGATGTTGAAGCTGTTGTGATATATAGCTGCTGCAGATCAGGTACAGTGCCGCACCATAAATGCTATGGTGTCCGTACGAAGAACCAAATCCATGACCTTCCCATGTTATGTATTGCCTCATATATTCCCTCTCAAATAGCATCCATCAGTCTTCTTCTGAGCTACAACAGAAGCAGCATTGAGATATCTACGGTGCTTATAAGTCAAGCTCACGCCGAGAGCATGACTAAATCCTTCCTACAGCTTCAATGTTTAAGAAACTAAAACCTTTCACAACTTTCTTGGGTAGTATTGCTAATGGAAGATACTTCCGCTTGTGCTCCAATCAAAGGCATTGACCATCACTGGCACTGCTTGTCTTGTTCTGCTTTTCCAGATTTGGTAATTCTGTATTATTTTCCTCGCAATATTGCCAGAACATGTGTTTCTGCCCTAGTCACCAGCCACCAAACCCTTTGACAATATCATTTACCGTATCACACGTTTTCAGGGCGTCATCGAAGTTCCCTTATCCTCGAGGCACAGAGATCGGAACCACATTGCTTGGACTATAAGGAAGAGATTGATCAGCATCCCATTCCAAAGAGTATAGACTATGAGATGTTGTTTAACAAGAGTAATACTTACGTCGATATATATGCTCTTGATCTCCACGTTTCCTGTTTTCGATTCGGGATTCGCTGTAACCGCTTCCCATATATAGCTAGCGCTTCCGAGTCTCGTCCTTGGCGCCAGCGGAGATGTCCAAACAATGACTCAGCGGTTGGAGTCCAATTGTGGTTGACACCGAGGTTTCTTTCAGCTACAGGCAAACCTTTCAGGGAGTATTGCTAGGCCTCATCAAATCGATTCAGGACAGTCTTGATCTTCACCAAGTTCAACTTAGACTTCAGGTTAAGGTGTGTTCGCGACTCAGTGTTTTAATGCATGTTTTCTTCGCATAGTTAAAGGGCCAATGGCAGATGCGATCGCTGATAAAACGTAAATAGCCACGAATTCATCTTTGGCCTACAAAGTTCTCTAATGCGTTCAACCCAGAATTCTCTGCATCTCTTCAAAGGCTTACTAAATTATTTCTTAGCGGACTGAAGGACTTGCAACTGTATTATCTTATTCTTTACACAGTGTCTGCAAAACATAGTCCCGGGACAATAATAGAGTCATTGTCTCCCCAGTGTTCGGGTACCCAAACCTCGATATGACTAGAGTAGCAGCAGTCGGTTCCGCAGCCAATACTTGCATGGCAAAACTCGAGAAAATATATAGAATAGCTAGTCCTATTACAGTTAGACGTGAATATGATTGGACAATGACTCGTTGGAAAAATCTTGTTCTAGTACCGTGGAGATGGACTACCATATCGACAGAGAGTGATATAAAAAAGAGAGAGGAGCTCTTTCTTCATAGTTGAATGATCACATTCAAATCAACGTAAGAGAACTTTACATCCTTCAGCACTCGAAACAACAATAGTGAGATTCTGTTTTTCTTTTCCAGGTGTCAATGTTGGGGTATCTGGCGCTTTACTGAGACCTGGGAATGTCTGGATGAGGCGGACCAATCCATATGATGCCTCTGTAAGTGCAAAGTCCTCTATAGTCGAGTATTAGAATAGCTTCAAAAATTCCACGAAACTCTGTAACTTACTCCCGAGGCATAACCTTGGTCCACCGTGGAAAGGCATGAAAGCAAACCCAATGTTCTTTAACTCGGGCCCTTCCCACCTTTCTGGACGGAATTCATTTGCATCTTCGCCGTATAATTCTTTATCGCGATGCATATGATAGGCCGAGAACCCAACTCCAGTCCCCTTTGGAATGAGGACACGGGATTCGCCATCTGTTCCACCACCCTTCGGCAAATAAGTGGTATTTCGAGCAATTCGGACGTTTACCGGGATTTGGCTGTATAATCGATTTGCTTTCAAACATCAGCCAGACATAATTTTGATATCTGATCAGTTTTTGCATGCTCACTCTCATTCAGAACACATTTGAGGTAGTTCATCTTGGCGATTTGGGCTCTTGTCACCTTGACACCGTCTTTGGTGAAAGATAGCACTTCTCCACGAAGCCGCTCCAGCGCAGCTGGGTGACGAACCAATTGATAACTGCAGCGCATGAGCGATTTTCATTGGAAACGATATTATGCATAAATTACCATGCCCACGACATCAAACAGGCGGTAGTATCTCTCCCCGCTATTAATACGTTCATAAGTTGGTCACGAACAAGTTTGGGATCCTGTAATTCTTTAAAAAGATCAAGGATAAATGGGTGGCGTTGGGTAGCAGCCTCTTCTCCATTTTTCTTCTTATCAGCCAGAGCATAAGTGACGTAATGACTAGCATAATTTTTGACCAAGGTACAGGCTCGAAGGTATGCAGGGGGTGTATAGATCCAACACCAGTCAGCCAGTCTCATGCGCATCGCTGAAATCAATGATGTATAGTCAAATGTACTGGCGAAAGCATCGTGATCACTTTGTTTGAGGCTTGTAGAAGGCTCCCCAAAAATCAGGGAGATGGTGGTAGCTAGTGTGAAGCGGAAGAAAGCGGGCTGAAGATCGACAACACCCGTAGAAGAGTGCAGACTATTCAAGAAGTCATCGACGGGACCTTCAAAAACCGATGTGTCTTGATACTGCATTCGCACGAACTGTCGACGAAGAGTCTCTCGCGAATGCTTCCAGGCTGGGCCATCCTGGGTGAATATGCCATGGCCAATCATAGGTGAAAGCGCATTCCGACTGCTCCCAAGTTCCCAATCTATTGTAAACCATATGAAAACAAACCCCGAGGCTAAATTTGATTAGAGGCGCTTACCATCAAAATGCGTCTGGAGCATGGCCTCTAAATTCCTGGGGTCCGTAGTGAAGTAGCCGACCTGACCTAATAATTTGACTTGAAAGGTTGGGCCAATTTTGTGCCTTTGGAAATACTCTGCTTGAAAATCCAGCAGGTTCCCATTCACCAGAGCTTCGTATTGGCTCTTGAAAACGTCGATAGCCAACGGCCATTTGTACGGTAGTGTTTTCAGGATGGGCTGGCAGCCATGCTTTTGACCGAAGAGCTTGTTGATCTAAACATCATGTGAGTATTAATATCTGAAGACATTTGTGGGCGTCTGACTTCATTTTGACGACGCTTTTGGATAAGAAAGTAGGCCCCCCACGAAAACACTAGGACCAAAAGACCAGCGCGCCAAGGAACCAGGAAAAAGGCCGAATCATCCATATCAGGTGAAAAGTATCAAGGACCTGAGTTGGAGTTGTATTTGGGTGAAAATGGAAAAGAGAATCGAGAAGCAATAGAGCCTGAGACAAGGGTCATTGTTAGGACAAAGAGATATTATTCGGCACCAAAAGTTCCAGCTTTACAGATAGCCAGGTATCCACCTCCGTATTTGTAATTCAATGCACGATTGTGCGCCAATACCGCCCCACTCAGCTGAGAATGGGGCACGCACCGTAAGTGCCGTATTAGCGTTGCGTTACAGATTCTTGAGTGATTTATCTCCCAGTGTGGACTTCAAGAGTGAGTGGGTGAATTCCATTATTCCATTGTCACCAGAAATCCCTTTTGCTCACTGGAGTGGCATGCAGCTCTTGAGACTCCTACTGGGCTGAATAGTACTGTAGGTGGTGGCGTGCTTCGGGATGGACAAGTTTTCTTCGAAACCCGTTACCCATATCAGCGGAATGTGACGAGGCGTGCATTAGCGCTATCTTCGGGACCACATAGTATAGCGTTTGGGCCGCGTCACGGGGGGAAACTCATCCAGGGGGTGGCTGAAATGGATTTACACTGTCTGGCCACATCCGCGGATCCTGGGCCTGCCAGATCACAATTCTCTCCTAGTATTGCCAGTACAGCCCAGATCACAATCTTCTCTTTGAAAGGAAACAATGCTAGTATTAGATAATATGTTTTACACAAAAAATGTTGTAAGTTTTAGTATGGTTCACCATCGTTGCTCTAATGCAAAATACCGTGGATCCGCGGATGTGGCCAGACAGTGTAGTGACTTAGCAACGCCCATCGGCCTACTGTTATGCGCCCTGTCTCCGCTTCATGCCGCGCTATCCTATTTCGGTGAAACAGATACAGTGATCGCATTAGTACAAGTTACTAAGGGCTGACATGTGCAGCCAGATAATGAAATGGTCGTTTTGAATAGTGCAAATGGGTGAGCACTAATTTAAACCACCTTATGGTGTGGCCCCAACCTTTTATTTGTTGAGAAGCCGCCAGTACTTGTCAGTTGCGAATCAGAAGATAACCTTAGTTTCGACATTCTACTGATTTTACCGAATCACCTGCTATTTGTATAATTTCACTCTAGATCACGCAGATCTCTTGGGCCCCTTCATCATCCACCGCCACCCGATGGCTCGTGCGCGATGAATACCGAAGCGCCTTGATCTCAGCCTCGCCTTGCTATTGTGCATTATTGGTCGCAATTAGTGTTTACGGGACAGCTGCTCCACCCGGGGGGAGACGGCACGGGGCGGCCTCCATGGTACTTTAGCGCCCTCTGTTCTTGATCAACATTGTTAACTGAACGAACCCCCCCCTTTGAGATGAAACTTTCATTTGCCCGTTGCCAGTCTGTGGTAATCTGCGATTACTGGCTGTCATTCTTCCCAGAGAAGATTTCACTTGTGATTACGAGCTGGTATGGATCCTTTCTCTATCGTGGTAGGAGCTGCAGGCTTGGCAGAGATCTCTGTCAGTGTGATATCCTATCTTAATGATATCCGAAAAGGCTCCGCTAGAATCAATGATGAGATTGCCATATTGACTCATGAGGTCAAATCGCTCAGTGATGCCAATGATGCTGTCCTGAATTTCTGGTATTCCAGACCTGACTCGACTAGCTTTGATGCGTCGCTCAATAGCACAAGTCAAGACGATATCTCGAAATCTCGAATTAACGAAAATTGGAAAAAGCTACGCGGTCTTTTGGAACAGAGTGAACACACCATTAAGAGCCTACGCGCCTTGCTCGAGGAAATCATTGGAAAGACAGGCCGTTCTGGAGGGACAAAGCTCGACGATCTGAGAAAAACAATTCGGAAACAGGATCGGGATGGCGAATATATGCAAATACGCGCGCGTCTCACGAACAACCAGCAGAGCATTTCAATGTTTCTGTCTATGCTTACTCTGTATGTTCAACCACATTTAGTAGCTAGGGGCTAGGGCTGGGACATCATGCTAATATTATTTAACTGGCCAGTTCATACACGCTTAGTCGACACGCAGCAGATGACATTGTTGTGGGAAAGATATCAGAGGATTTGCAGTACCAAACGAATAGACTAGAGGGCAAGATCAGCAGTCTCCGCTCTGCGCTCAAGGGTTCCGTTGACTCAAACGATGTGGGTCTTTTCAAAGCTCAGATGACTATATATGAACTAATTTTTGGAAGTTCGATGAATATATCAAATCAGCAAATCAAGTGGCCGGGCTCACTAAGTTCAACAAGCATTTTTACATACCACACAGTGTAAGCAGCTATTATACTGGTCGACAGAAGCAATTGGAAGAATTGAAAGCTACTCTCAATGTTTTGGAATCTCGCAAACGCCAAGACCACCAAAAGCGCTTCGTCATCTACGGGCTTGGGGGCTCTGGAAAGACAGAGTTCTGTTGCAAATTTGCTCAGGATAACAGAGAACAGTAAGATTTAATGATCCGACTGCCTTGAACATCATTAAAGATAAAATCTAGTTTCTGGGGAATCTTTTGGATCGATGGAAGTTCCTACGAAAATGCCAAACACTCTTATGCTGAGATTGCTAAGAATGGTGGTGTTGAGCCTAACGAAAACGCGGCAAAGGCCTGGTTATCGAGTCTAGAGTACCCTTGGCTTCTTCTGATTGACAATGCCGATGACGACGAAATTGATGTCACGCGTTACTTTCCAGGAGGAGAAAGAGGCATGATTCTCATTACCACTCGCAATCCCTTCAACAGAACACATGGAACTGAAGGCGCTGGATCTTTTCATTTCGAAAAGCTTGAGGCTGAGGAAGCAAGCGACCTACTTCTCGCAGCTGCGGTGATCCACCGTCCTTGGGAGGCAGCGACACGAGAGTATGCCCACAGAGCCGCTCGGATTCTTGGATACCTGCCTCTTGCACTCATCCATGCTGGAAAGGCTATTTTACAAAAGCTGTGCCCTCTCAGTGAATATCCAGAGTACTACCGACGAACGTGGGACACCGTCCGCACGACTCGAAGCAGAAGTCCATCTCATGGCAATGAAAACGAGCACATGTCAAAAATAAGTGTATGGTCTACATATGAGATCATATACGTCGGCCTTGAGCGAAAAGACAGCCCCCAATCAAGAGATGCTTTAGAGCTTTTGAAGACTTTTTCGTTCTTCCACTGGGAAAATATTGAATTTGAATTTATCACAAGCGCAGCACTGAATCCTCGACGGGAAAGAGAGGACGCTCGGGCCAGGCAGCGTGCCACCATACCAGCGCTTATGCAAGCGAAACCGAAGACATGGACGAAAAAATTTCGCGGATGGGCTGCAGCTATCGTGGAGAAGCTGACGAGACCGGGCGTCACTTTGCCTGCTCTCCTAAGGGATGATGATGATAATCCGTTTTCTGTCGACCGGCTGCGCGATGCTCTGTCTCTTCTGGAGCGGCTTGGGTTGTTGACACAGCATGAAGAGAATAACAGTTACTGGTTACATCCACTGGTGCATGACTGGGTACGACAGAGACCAGAGACAAGCACAGCTGAACAAGCCATTTGGTGTCAAGCAGCAGCCACGATGTTAGCTCAGTCTATTTTTTTTCAGCCTCCGAATGGACATGCGATTCTAAATGAACGACTTATGAAGCAGATCTATCCTCACGTGGAAACAGTACGGAAGTTCCAAGCGGATCTTCAGGCGGATCTCAAAAAAAACTTTGAAGAGGCAAAAGGCGGTCCACCTAGCCGTTGTTGGCCTTTGTCAATGCCGTGGTTCATCCCTCGCCCGGGGTTTGGGAGGCTTCAGGCCATTGAATATGCAAAGTTTAGCTTGGTTTATCTCCATTGCGGATACTGGGCTAAAGCGGAAGAGCTACAAGTTCAAGTGAAAGACTTCGTATTTTCACGCCTAGGGGCGGATTCGGAACCTGGGATCAGAATTGCTCTTTTGTTGTCTACCGTATATGCCATACAGACACGGAACAATGAAGCAAGAATACTACAGTACGAAGTTCTCGAGTCAGCTAAGAGCTTATTTGGACCGAAACATCCCACAACTTTGCAGATTATGGATACGCTCGGAGCCACTTGTCTATTATGCACCCGACTTCACGAAGCCCACCTATTGCACCAAGAGGCTTTCGAAAATTTGGCACAGTTGGAAGGCATTGGCCCTGACCACGAGCTTACTTGGACTGCTTTGGCAAATCTTGCCAAAGTCAAGCTACGCTATTTTGATAATGAAGGGGCAATCAAGCTGCAATCACAAGTATACGAAGGATTCTTGAAGCTATTAGGTCCGAAGCATTCAAAGACTCTACAGGCCCAGATTGATCTTGCTGATATCGCTGGATTTATGGGCGAGGAACACCTTGAGCCTTCGCTGAAGATGAGCGAAGAAGTCGTGGAGATTCGGATGAATACACTAGGACGTGAACACCCGCTCACACTTCAAGCCAAATTGACAATGGCGAAAATCAACATTGCTATGAATAACTTCAAGGCGGCGGAAGAACTGTTTCGAGAAGGGTTGCCCGCCGCTGAACGAAATTTGGGCGAAAATCACTTGGGAACCCTAGCAGGTCGCACTTGGCATGGGCATCTTTACTGGCGTCAAGGCCGGTACTCGGAGGCGCAAGCTATATGGGAAGATGTGATGAATAAACAAAGATATGAAAATGTCAAGCGTGCAGACGGGGAGCATTCGGATCGAGGTAAGAGTCATTTGCCAATCGTCGATCAATTTCCTCTTTCTATGAATTCAATAACTAACTTCGATGTCTCCTAATCAGTTCAAGCAATGTGGTTCTTGGTCCACTGCTACGAGGACCAGGGCAGAATTGACGATGCTCTCAAGATGTGTGAAGAAGTACTTCATCTTGTTCATGACTTTGGAGGGCAAGGCCTAGGACGAAAGCATAAAATGTGGCAGAATCTGATGGAAAAGAAGGAAGAGCTACTTACACTGAAGGAGTGTATAAGCTACAGTGCCGCAGATGATGAGTCACATACATTATGGCCCCACCAGCAAACGCATTCTTCTTCAGGAATCCCACCAAAGAAAGTCGTTAAAGACTTTACTTTCTAAGTATTTGGCTGTCTTTCGTTGAGATGTCTTTGGTCGAAATATCTTACTATGTCAATATTGGTTGCAGAGTATTGGATTCATTGTTAACGTTGGCTTCTTGGTTTTTTTTGTTAGTTCCAATCGAGTGATAGAAATTAAATGTGGAACAGAATTTTACTGTAAGAGGAAAGATTTACGCAAGTTCGGAGTGGTACAATGGCAGATCAAAAGTTCTAAACGTTAGTTACTTAACTTGACACCTCATATGATTATGCAATATCATGTCAAAAAAACCTTTTCCATCGAGCCGAGTTGGTATACACCACTGCATAGTAAGGCTTATCCAAATCACTAAATCGATTTATTGCTTGCATTCGGGGCTCTCAGATATATTTGAAATGTTTTGGCAGGATTTTTATACGCGATATGAATAGGCATTGTAGGTGGTGGGTCTCTAGGGGGTGGTTAACACTTTTGTCTTATCACTTTAACTTACATCAAGCCGTATATCTTTACCCTCTACTCTTTTATGAAGTCTAGTAAGATAGTTCTTTCCTTTTTGTATATTTTCTTTCTAGGGTAAGCCAAATAATTCTTATTTACTTACTGGAAGTGTTTCCATCCCTACCCTAAGTTAGTATTATCTATTTACTTGACCTTTGTAGGTCTCCAGTTTCTTTAATAGTCGGTAGTTCTACAGGGGTGATTCGATTCTAGGTATTAACTATAGCCCAGCCTATTAGGCTCACCTCTTCTCTAGGCCTAATCTGATAGGCCGACCTCTATCCACAGCCTATCATAGGCTGGCCTAATAAGATGCCTAATAAGATGCCTAATAAGATGCCTAATAAGATGCCTAATAAGATCACAATCACAACCACAATGCCAAACCAGCAGCTTCTACAAACCTGGAGCTTATGCAAATTACATTGCAGGAAAACTATGATAGACAAAATTTAGAAGAGTATATTGAAAGCTAGGCTGTCGTATAGGGAAAGAAAGAGCTACATTATAGCGTGAAAACAAATTCTCTCCGGAGCTGATGAAGTCAATCCCGGAGTTCACCAATGACCTACGCCAAGCGATTCGGAATCCGCTTGGTGAGAGGGCATCGATCGTGAGATATGGACATGTCCCGAAGCGTAAGAGAAAGCGAATATCCAAACCCCCTACTGCTCGAGGACTCGTGTGCTATGCAATGGAGTGGCATGAGGACTCTGCCATGGATATAGGGCCCGGCGGGAACCTGACCATCTGGTACTTATCTGAATATTATCGAAAAACAAATGAACGATCTTGTACCAAACAAGTATCGTTTATCTCTATATCTATACGGAATCTTACAAATACACATATTCATTGGAATCCAAGCACCCGAGCCGCCAAATGTGCCCGGCCTCAGGTTTACTTTTTATCACTTCATAAAGTACATAAATCTTATTTATTTATTGGTATTCTGATTCTCAAGGTATTCAATTCACCGCTAAAAGAATAAAATTAAAACAACCTTTACACCGCCACTGACATGCTAACGTATCATCAGTCTCAATATGCATTCACGCCGACAGCCATAGACCTCAGAGATTTTCCTTCCCCAAAGCTCTCGCTCTTTCACTTTTCTGGCTCAGCCGCGACTTCGCCGCATAAACTCGCTCAGAGGGTAGGTCTTTGGTGGTCATACCAGCCAATACGTGCCCTCTTCCAAGTCGCTCTCCACTGGAGATGGTATTTCCAGCATAAAGACCCGCCCGTGAGGTAGTCGGGCCCGAGATCGTATCCAAAGTAGATCTGATATGTGTCCGTGGGCGATGTGAGTTGGTATACGCTTGTGTGTTTGAATTTGTGGTGTCGGGATCGCGAGGGTCACGGTAGAGAGAACGGTATGAGCGCTGGTTTTCACCAGTTTTGTACTTAGAGTAACCGCGGCTGAGTGATTTTAGAGTGCTGATATCAGGGGGCGAGGAAGGAAAGTTGATCTCAGGCTCTGTATGGCGGGAACGGAGATTGGGCCGGGGTAGAATCTCGTTGAGGTAATGGGTGACCGCGTCATCATCAGCGGTATCTCGCATATCTCGAGATGTGCGTTTGAGCTCGAGAGCGCCGGTGGAATTGCGTGACTGTCGCGCTTCGCGGGACTTGGAACGCGGACTGGGACTGGGTGGTGCTTCGATATCTTCGGTGGCCTCTTCTTCTACCTCAGGGTGATCGGGGATTTGGCTTTGGCCTGCAAAGTCGTATGCCTGCACGCCTGTATACTCTTTTCGTGGGCTCATAGAGCGCCGGTAATGAGACCGGAGAGTAGGTGCACGTTCTACAGCAGAGACCCTTATCCTGAGCTGGTCAATCTGGGTCTGCATGCGGCGGCGTTCGTCATCAAAGCTCTTTCGTAATGCGTCCTCGGACTGTCGGTGCTCCTGAGTGGTGGTTTTCAAGCGGTCGCGATACTCCTGGATGCGTGCCTCCAGCTTGGCTTCTCTTTGCTTTAACTTGTTCTCTTTCTCCTTGCGTCGGCCTTCGTATCGCGACATTTCTTGCTTGACGCGAGCGAGGGTCTGTTTGAGGCTCTTATTCTCCCGTTCGAGTTCTTGCGCCTTCTTCTCCGAGCTTTGCGCGAGTGTTTCAAGCGCGCTCAGGTCTGGGTTTTGCTGCCTCATCTCCTCAATTTTGGCATTTGCTTGCTTAAGCTGCAGCTGTGTTTCCCGGAGCTCATCCGATGATGTGACCGACTCCTTTCCCTTTGCTGGCTCACTGACCTGCACCACGCCATCTTTCAAAACTCCTTGTTTTTCCAGGAGGGTGCGTAGAGAAGTGACCTGCTGCTTGTATTGTAAGGCTAGGGTGGTTTGTTTTGTCAGATCCTGGATCAATTGCTCATTATCGGCCTGGGAGCCCTGTCCTGTGATCGAAGAAGCCAGACGGGTTACTTGACGTTCCATCTCCGAGACCTTTTCCTCCTCCTCCTTTAGCTTATCGGCCAGTCGAACAGCCTCCGAGTCCTTCTTTCGGGCGTAGGACTTCGCGATGGTTCGATAGTGAATTAATTTCTTGATTTCGCGATTGGTGCGTACGCGATAGTTGTCGAATTCGGTCTTCCAGTATTTGCCCGATTCCGACCGGGGTTCATCCAGGTTGAGAGTGATATCCTCTGCATCGCTTTCATCTTTGGACTGGGAGCGCGTGGCGATATCGGCATTTGAAGCATCAGTGGACTTGCTCGAGTCCGCATTTTTTGTCGCATTATCGCGAGCATCCAATAACGTTTGAGTTAATTTGCTACGCGGCTTGCCGTCTGCCGACCCGGACATCCACTGAATGCTCAGATTGCCCGACGGATTCGGGGGCGTCTTGACGACCTTAGTCGAGTGGCTGTCACGTTTCCCTTCATTGTCCACCACACTTTCACCAAAGGATACGGTTTTGCGTCGGTTCGAGATTGTGCCTGGAGTGACGAGGATGCTCTTTGTTGGGGAGCCGGAGGGGTTGGCAATCGCGTCGAGGTCGGTTTTGTTTGGCTCCAATATCTTGGGGACGGGGATAGGTACGGGCTTAGTGGTGTCGCTTTTACTGCGCTGATGACCTTGCACTGTCTGCTTTGGCTGCGCTGGATGAGGGGTCTTCTCGTCCTCTGCGCCTGGAGTACCAAACAAAGCGCTCTTGAAGGCGCGGATCGCGAACACGGGAGCTGGTGTTTCGGGGGGCTCTAGGACCTTCGAGGTGTCTGCAATTATTAGATTTTGCCTTTTGTCTTAATGAATAGACTCACCTGCAGCCTCTGGCTCAGTTCCCTTCATCCAGTCCAGCATTTTGCCGTGATGCGGAGAGGCAAGCGGGAGAAATTGTGACGAGTAAACAATCAACGCGTCGGCGGCTTATCGATAGTCCAACGAACACAATTGCAAATGCAATTCTATCGGGCCGCCACTTTCAAATTGCAACTACTATCATAAAGTCCACCAAGTATTGAGTACACGAGCTTAGGCAGAAGTGATATGTCAGACCGAGAGGACCTCGTGTGATATAGCCCCCTTGTCTGTTGATGTGACCCCATGCTCATTGTCATGCTCCTCGCATCACGCACACCGCCAACTTCATAACACAACCAATATACCCCGTACACTATTCATTCCTTGGCAACATCTCCTTTTCTAAAACATCTCTCTTGATCTAACTCCTACAGCTTTTGCAAATATTCTTGTGGAATTCGGTATCAATCCCCTCGTGCTCCCAGCCTATGCGCTGTCGTTCTTTCCGCTGGTGCCGCGGATCGGAAGATGTTCGACGGCCTGATGGCGGTTTATGGAGTTTGCGACATCTTTATGAGACTAGCCATCTATATTTCTTTTTCTTCGGTACCTCCAAGTCTCTGGCTTGGTCTTTGATTCTTGCTAATGCATTTGCATTTGCCGATGGCGCGATTTGCTGGTTTCACGGCCAATGCCAGTGGAGTCACTGCGAATATGCACCGATGATCTTCGTGGTTGGAGGCTTGGTCCTTCGAAGTGATCGCCCATGAGTTGGATGAGCGATGCCGTGTTTCCAGGTATTACCAATTCACGGTGGTTAGTCAGATCGTTTAGGACAAGGCTACCTAAGCATGGTAGGACTTAAAGATCAAAATTCTGGTCATGAGTTCGACCATCAGATGGTAGAATAAGTATATACTAAGATGGCTATGAGTAAACAGTTGGACATAGTTGTAGAATAAATTATGATGTAGTTGCTACAGCATGGCTGGGCCTCGGACAACCCATACCTATACATTTTGAGCAACAATTGTATAGAGTAGTCTGCCAGCCATCTGATTCCAAGGTCATCATCATACATTTTCCGTACACCGACTACTCCGTATATGTACTCTGGGCTAACTATTTTGACCCACAATGATGACAAGTGGATCATACGGAGGCAAAAGCTATGTGAGAGTAAGAGCCCCATTCATCACAATAATAGTGTCTTCCATCTTCTCCAAGAAACTTGCTATCTAGACATTTCTAAATAACTCACAGATTACTAAACAATCTCGGTGTATAGATGATATATTCCTATGTATTTGAAATGACAGGAACACGCATATGTGGGTCATTTGGAGCATAAGGTAAAACCATTTGATGGTGGCAATCGACTACTGCAGTGCCAATTGTATAGGTGTTTAACCAACGCAGACAATATCCACACTTGGGCAGGGATTGTGTACCTGATAGATCTGAAGCTCTTATGAATTAAATCATCCAACTACAATTTCAACATAGCAGTCTACTATATACTTCTAGACTCCATTGTCAACTTCCAGGGCTATTAACCAACGGGACGTCATCCAATACTAAGCGGTGAACAAGTTCACTATCGATAAAGTATTTGCTCGTTCTATCTGACCGCCTGTTTTTTCCCCCTCGTGAAAAGAAAAAAGGCATTCTCACGTCCTCATCCATTGTACTTATTTATTTTGTTCCTTATGCAATTCACCAAAAGCTGGATGTAGGGCGATTTCGCGCCACGCCCCGCGATGTCTCCCAAACATAGGAAGAAAGCTCCCCGCCAGAAAAAGCAAACATCTTCGGACTCTACCTTAACATCCCCGATACAAACTACCAACTACCGTGAAATCCACCTCAATGAGGTAGAAGCCCTTCGCTCAATCTATGACGATGATTTTGAAGTTGTCGAGAACAGACCATCAGCGTGGCAGGTGTGTGTCTCAGCCTCTCTATTCTAGACAGTACTGACTGTTGCGACACTATATAGCAATCTTCCAACGTGACATTTAAGCTTCACCTCCGCGCCTCCTCCAATCCAGATATCTGCCTCGTGCTCTTAGTTGAACTGCCTGCCACCTATCCCAAAAGCGTTCCCATTCTTTCACTGGAAAACCTGGATGATTTCCGCGATGGGGCCCGCTCCCGCATCCAAGAAATTATTCGCGAGAGGCCAGCAACCCTTCTGGGAAGTGAGATGATTTATGAACTGGCAGTATCAATCCAGGATATTTTGGAGGATGTAGCGCAGGCGCTTGAGCAGAATAAAGATCTTCCCAGTCTTGAAGAGGAACGGATGGAACAAAAGGCAGCCGCCATTCAGCGTGCAGAGCTTGAAAAGCAAGAAGAATTGCGTCAACAGGAAGCTGCTTCTGCAGCAGAGGAGAATGCTTTGCAGGCAATGCTTCAGGATAAGATTCGGCAACGAGACAGAGAACGTGTTCTGAGACGCAAGAGCCGGACTACTGGGGCGGATTCAAACAAAGTGGATGATCTTATGGAGAATGCTCCAGGTGCTATCTTCTTTGATCCGCCATTGGTAGTAAATGATACCGATGATAAACCACTGTTGTTCCGTGCCGTGCATGGAAAAACACTTTTGCAGTCCCAACACGCTAAGAAAACGTTCACTGTGCGACCAGTTGTCTCGGAAGGTCGGTGCCATGTCCCACTGATAGTACTCAAGGAGATATTCCTGGATGAGAAAAGCTCTCATGCGAGCTCATTTCGGGAACGCATGCGGACCAGCGAGGATAAATTGGAGAGTCTGAAACGACTTCGGCATCCTAATGTAGTTGATTTTGTAGGGTTCAAAATCACTCGTCCCATTAGCGATTTCAGTTCGCCAGATGACTCCTGGACTGTTTATACTCTTTTTGAGTATGCCAACAAGGGCTCACTCTCTGAACTTCTTGATATTGTCGGCACCGTTGCAGTTGACACACTTCGTGGCTGGATGATTCAACTGCTTGAAGCCTTGGAATTTTATCGCCGGAGTGGATTTGTCCATGGAACTATCCACTGTGGCCGAGTCATGATCTTCAGGAAAGGACCTGGTGATACCACCGTGAAGCTCCAGTCTAGCGTGGAAGAGGCTTTACCAGACTCTTCCGTCACAAAGCGAACTCTAAATGCATCCAAGTCGCCATTGTGGATTCCTCCTGAGCTGACACAGGAGGGCGCACTGCCGACCATGAAGACTGATGTTTGGGACCTGGGTATTGTTTTGCTCCAGATGGCATTCGGAAAAGATGTCTTGTTGAGATATACCTCGGCCAATCAATTAATGACTTCTTTGGGTCTCTCCCCTCCCCTTCAGGACCTACTTCGAGAGTTCTTCCGACCAGACCCCAAGAAACGTGCGACAGCTTTCCAACTGCTGCCGTCGGAGTTTTTCCGTGTCGACGCGCCTTTAACAATGCGTGATAGTGACTCCAGCTCTGTATCCCTGCAGAGGAGGCCACGACTGGACTCTTTTGGTACCCTCCCAACATTCTCACGATATCACCACGACTTTGACGAGGCGGGCCAACTTGGCCGAGGCGGATTCGGTCAAGTCGTCAAAGCAAGGAACAAACTCGACGGTCGATTCTACGCAGTCAAAAAGATTACAGAGTCCTCTGCCCCAGCGTTGAAGGATACGCTGTCTGAAATTATGCTTCTTTCACGACTAAACAACCCCTATGTCGTTCGGTATTATACTGCGTGGCTGGAGGAAGATTTTTATCACATTTACGAAGAGGCCATCTCATCCACCGAAGGTGATTCCTTTGCCAGTCGTGAACACCATGAATTGAGTCCTGGTGGCCTTGATTTCATTAGCTCCAGCGGATATCCGAAAATTGAATTCGCTGCCAATGACAGTGACGAGGAAAACGAGGGAACAATTTCGGATCATCGTCCCCATGATTCCCAGGGATGGTATGGAACAGACAGCATAGACGGTACTGAGCTTAGCCAGACTAGATCTGGCTCATATGGCCGTCCCGTGATGAACACGCTCTATATCCAAATGGAGTATTGTGAGAAGCACACACTGCGAGATCTGATCAAGAACGGCCTCTGCGACGACACTGATCGGTCATGGCGCCTGTTCAGACAGATTCTCGATGGGTTGAGCCATATTCACAGCCACGGTATTATCCATCGCGATCTGAAACCGGATAATATCTTCATTGATGTTGCCAACAACCCCCGTATCGGTGATTTTGGTCTTGCTACCAGTGGCCAATTCACGACTGCAGTGCGTTCATCTGCCGCTGCTGACTTCGAAGGCAACTTCACCCGTAGCCTGGGTACGACGTATTACGTCGCACCAGAAATGAAATCAGAGATTTCGGGACACTACAACGAGAAAGTCGATGTGAGTGTTGCTAAAGAAGATTTGATATATTGTTACTAATCCATAACAGATGTTCTCCCTTGGTATCATCTTCTTTGAGATGTGCCACCCGCTGCCGACGAATATGGAGCGTGATCAAACACTTCGAGCGATAAGAGAACCCAACCATAAACTCCCATCTACTTTTGAGCAATCCGAGAAGCTCGTTCAAGGCCAGATCATTGACTCTCTTCTCAATCACACGCCTAACGAACGGCCGACAGCTGCCGAACTCCTGTCCAGTGGAAGAATACCTCTCCAAGTTGAAGAAGAGACTTTCCGACGAGCCATTGTGCATTTGCTCTCCGATCCAAATTCCCCCGATTACAAGAAAATCCTCTCTGCGATCTTCTCCCAATCACCGAAGAAATTCGAGGACATCGCTTGGGACATGGATTCGCACGGGGCGCCAGCTACGAATGAGCTACTCCTAAGTGGTCTTGTGAAAAAGAAATTGACTTCGATTTTCCGAAGACATGGCGCGGTGGAAACATCGAGACAGATGCTATTCCCACGATCGCACCATTATTCAAGCGGGGCCGTACGCTTATTAGATGTCTCAGGCAATCTTCTACAGCTACCCTTTGACTTCACAGTCCCAAATGCACGTGCGATTCCCCGGCAACATCGCTCGCTGGAGAAGACATTTGCCTTTGGGACGGTTTACAGAGATTCTACTCATGGGAGCGAGCCCCGAACCCACCGTGAGGTGGACTTTGACATTGTTTCCTACAACACTTTGGACCTAGCGCTGAAAGAGGCGGAGGTTATTAAAGTGTTAGACGAGATCATCGAGGAGTTCCCACCTCTGCGGCTTGCTTCGATGTGCTTCCTTGTCAACCACTCTGATCTTCTGCAGCTTATCATGGAGTTCTGCCGCATTACTTCTTCTCAAATTCCTTTGGTGAAGGAGGTACTCAGCAAGCTCAATGTCGGGAAATGGACGATGCAGAAAATTCGGAGTGAACTTCGATCCCCAACGATTGGTGTGGCATCAACTTCACTAGACGATCTGGCGCGATTTGATTTCAGAGGTATGGCAATTCTTCCGCGATGATTAAACAATATTAAAATTTTAGTACAGATACGCCGAAAGAAACGCAGCGTAAAATACAAGCCATCATGGAAGGCACCGAATATGCAGACAGAGTTCCTGCAATCTTTGCTCGCTTGAATGTGCTCATGACCTACCTGCAAAGCTTCGGTGTTAAACGCAGGATCTACATCAATCCACTGAGCAGCTTAAATGACAAGTTCTATCGAGGAAGCATACTCTTTCAGTGTGTATTCGATAGCAAACGCCGCGATGTCTTTGCCGCAGGTGGCCGATATGATCGTTTAATTCAAGAGTTCTCACCAAAGGCACTGTCCAACCGGCCACAAGCACACGCTGTCGGATTCAATCTCAGTTCTGATCGACTCAAAAGCGTCATGACCGAATACCTGGAAGGCAAGGCGCCGCCAAAAGAAACAGACTCCGGCGCCGAGCTCTACTGGGCAACTCGCAGGTGCGATGTCCTCGTCGCCAGCTTCGATGCGACCGTCCTCCGCACAACCGGCATAAAGATAGTCGAAGACCTCTGGGCAAACAACATCAGCGCCGAACTTGCCGTGGACGCTTCATCCCTCGAAGAACTAACCGCCAAGTACAGGGAGCACAACCACCGCTGGATCGTAATCGCAAAGCAAGACAGCAAAGAAAGAGGCTACAAAGTACGCAACCTTGTCCGCCGCGAAGAACAAGACATCCGGAGCGCAGACCTGGTCTCATGGCTTCGATCCGAAACCCAAGTCCGTTATGCCCGCGAAGGAACAGCCGATTCACGCCAATCCCGCCAGCCGAACCAGCAAGATGCAAACCAATCCAACGAAAAGACGAACGACGTTCGCATTCTTATCCCCCAGCATCGGAGCAAGAAAACCAACCGAAGAAATATTGTTGAGTCCGCTTTGCTTCGCTCCCGTGAAGTCGCCGACAATGCCCGTAATGGACCCGTCGCTGCCATTGATACTCGTGACGATGTACTCGCTGCTATTCGCGATACTCGGCTTTCGGACCCGGATAGCTGGCGGACAGTTATTCAGAGTGCTCCGCTGACAGAGCGTAAATACCTTGGTCAGGTGTACGAGTTGCTCAGTGATCTAGCCTCTGAATCGCGCACGAGCGAGAGCGCAGAGAGCTACACAAATGCCTTCATTTACAACTATCGGACCGGTTCGTGTGTGTACTATGATCTCGGCCGCAGCGACAGATGATTATGAATGAAGAATGGAGAATGGGGAGGAAGGGGAGTTAGTGATTGTTTGAATCTTTGTCTTATTTTATTCATGTTGCATGATTATCTATGGATTATCTGCGCCTCTGCATATGGGCGGTTATTTGTGCTTTATTGTTTGGCTGCCCTATGGGCATCCTCCCCTCATTGTCATATCATGTTTTTAGCGAGAACTGGGGATACCCCGTTATGAATAACGTCAATGTTAACGAAGACCGCGCATAGAGGGCAAGAATCATCTTTTCTTTGGAATTTTGAAGAGGTATCGCTATAGTACACGGTAGAAAAGAATCACAAACATTATAGATTGTAGTCATGCCTTTGCCAACGCAGAGCATAATACGCCTAGTCGCTTTCATCATCGCTTCCGTAAGCGACTAACGGCCCTCCCGATGGCTTGGATGCAGCCTTTGTCGTAATATTACCACCAGCAAGTCCGCGCAGCGCAGCCATAGTCGCACTGGAGAAAATGCCACTTTGTGCCTCGGGCTCGGGTTGTGCGTATGTTGGCTCAATCATCAACGGCTGTTCCGGTGCCTCGAGCTGAGCAGTCTCCGGTGCTGACTCTAGCTGTCGTGTGCGAGCGTGCCACACATCATCTGGGACATCATACCCATCCAACCCGAAACTGCCTTCGATCTTTTTCCGCTTCTTGGCTTCGGGGTCTCGGCCTTCGATCTCGGCCACGAATGCGGCTGGTAGTGCCCGGCGCACTGCTTCGGCGGCTTGCTCTTCCAATTGACGTGCCTCACGCTTCTGTGCCATCGGATTGGGGTCAACTGTTGCCCATCGCACGTTGATGATCTCATCTGGTTGGGTTAGCTAAGATGTCTACTATAGAATGGCGACGAAGTAAGACTCACTGTCATCTAAGGCTTGATGGCTCATAGCTTCCTTGGCCTTTATATCAAATATTAGTCAAGCACTTGCCGCGCGTTTTGCGAATTCACTTACAAATTGGGCATTGGCCTCGTTGGCATCTAGTATGAGTGTTAGCTTGCGGACTCAATATATGCTTCCAGGTTCGTTACTCACATGTCACGAAAGCAACTCCACGGCCAGTTAAAACTCTTGTTCGGGCAATTTCTCCCCAAGGCGCAAAATGACGTGCCACAATTTCTTCAATTGCGTCCTGTGAGTACGGATATGTTAATTTTACGCGTTGTAACAGACAAGCATTGAAACCATACCGAAACATGAATTCGTCCGACGTAGAGAGTGCGATTTTGCCGTTGAACTGTGAAAAGGGGTCAGCAAGGAATAAGAAGAGGTTCAGGTCATGATTTACAAGATCCAACACCACCCATATCCTATTTAGTTGTCAGCATTGCAATTCCAATATAGCCAGTGGGCGTAATTAAAGGAACGAAACATACATCTCTGTAATCTGAATGCTTATCCCGGCCTATTCCATCCCAATGCCGTCAGTATGTGAAGCCAGTCATCGCTCAAGGTTTAGATACATACCGAAACAATCCACGTTTGGATTGAAAAGGTCATGAATAGTCGGTAGCCGATGAAGGTATTCACAATCCGCTCCTTTGCAGCACGTTCCCTTTGCGAAATAAAGCTAATAAATCAAATATCAGCACGCCAGGTCTTGAGCAGAAGTCGAGCTCGCACGTACACAGAAGAATGAACCTGGAACGCGGTCCGCCTTGGTGTATCCCGAATCTCTAATAGGGTCGCATCTCGTCGGTGCAGGTGTGTTCAATCCAAATCTGTCTTCGCGATCACCGCCGGACCTGTTGAGTCGAGTACAAGTCAGTGGTCAGGCGCGAATAGCATAGACAGGTCACTGCCGCGCACGGCCAGGGGAACACTTACCATTTGCTATACCAGATATTGAACAAATCTCCAGTCTGCGGAGGTTGTTCGGACTTGATTTCTGAAGGATCGACCTGCACGCGAGCTGGGCGGCGTTTCTTTCGAATGATCTTCTTGGTTTTCTTCACGGGTTCGGGCTGTTGTTGCTGCTCCGATTGCTCCTCTGACACAAGAGCAGTTTCTTGAACCGCTAGAGGTTCGGCGATGGGAGATTCGGCCATGTCTGGGTGCAAATGTGAGGTTGAATGAAAGTTAAGAGGTCGCAGTATCGCGAAGCTTGAACTTCGGTGGAAAATCCGCTTACGTAAGGGGCTTGGCGGTGGTTTTCGCGACGAACAAAAACGCTGAATTTCGAATTGATATTTTTCTGGATTGAGCAAGTTTGGACAGAAACAACCGGCACGATGGTGAACATTACAGAAAAGATCAAGGAGTAAGATTCCTGTCCGCTGGAGAATTTACATGGCTACGTGCTGATACTCATCTTTGCAGGATTGAGGATGAGATGCGCCGGACGCAGAGTAAGTTGACCCGATATCCAAATCGCTTATCACCCCGCTAACATGCCCCGCAGAGAATAAGGCGACAGGTAAGATGCTATAAGCCTGGTTTGATTTATCATGTGGTGATGCATGTATTGATTCTACGAAATCAGAATATCACCTGGGTCTATTGAAAGGGTATGCCACCCCATCTTCAATTGTGGCTGTATCAAGATACCCAAATTAACTCTTTCACAGAAAGCTCGCTCGTCTACGAGCCCAACTTCTCGAGCCAGTAGGTGGTGCTGGCTCTGGTGGTGGTGCTGGTTTCGACGTCAGTAAGAGTGGTGATGCCCGTGTAGCACTGGTCGGATTTCCATCCGTCGGAAAGTCGACTTTCTTGTCCAAGATCACCAAAACTAAGAGTGAGGCTGCAGCCTACTCTTTCACTACCTTGACCGCCATTCCCGGTGTCCTGGAGTATGGAGGCGCTGAAATTCAGATCCTGGATTTGCCAGGTATCATTGAGGGTGCCTCCGAGGGCAAGGGTCGTGGTCGTCAGGTTATCTCGGCTGCGAAGACGAGTGATTTGATTCTTATGATTCTGGATGCGACTAAGAAGGCAGAGCAGCGGGCCTTGCTGGAGGCGGAGTTGGATGCTGTGGGCATTCGATTGAATAAGGAGCCCCCGTATGTATTGGATCGGCCATGGACTTCCGATTGTGACTAATTGGTACCTAGAAATATCTATCTGAAGATGAAGAAGGCTGGCGGTGTGAAGATTACATTCCAAACACCACCGAAAAGCCTGGACGAGAAGATGATCTACAATGTTTTGCGTGACTACAAGATTCTCAATGCCGAGGTGCTGGTGCGAGATGAGGATGGTAAGTTTGATATTCCACTTCGGACGTTGATTGAAATCTGGCTTACTAATTATGAATAGCCACAATTGACGACTTCATCGATGTCATCATGAAGGACCATCGCAAGTACATTCGCTGGTAAGCAGATCATGAACCGGAAGTTCATAATCGCAATGGGAATTCCTAACACACGTACTAGCCTCTATGTCTACAACAAGATCGACAGCGTCAGTCTTGAATTCCTGGACCAGCTTGCCCGTGAGCCCTACACAGCCGTGATGAGTTGTGAGCTCGACCTAGGAGTGCAAGAGGTTGTTGAGCGCATCTGGAAGGAATTGCGGTTGATGCGGCTATACACCAAGCGGTAAGAGAACCTTTCCTCTTTCCAGAGATATGGCCCTCGCATCGGTTCAAGTACTAACTCAGATTGTCATCTACAGAAAGGGAGAGGACCCCAGTTTCGAGGAAGCGCTTATCGTACGACAGGAGTCGACTATCGAAGACGTGTGCGATCAGATTCACCGCACTCTCAAGGATACGTTCAAATATGCCTTGGTATGGGGTGCTAGTGCGAGGCACGTGCCACAACGCGTGGGCTTGTCGCATCCGGTAGCGGACGAGGATGTGGTTTCTATTGTGGCTAAATAGATTTTGCAGTAATGCTTTCTATACGAACTGATAACGAAGAAAAAAGCCATGACGCAGAGAAAAAACAACATTGGATTTATGCTCTATGATAATATTTTCTATTCATTCTACAGCCAGGTAGATGTTACGAGATAGCAGCTACAGTCCAATGGAAAATTATGATGATATAGACTTCATATTTCAAGTGACATTTAAACAGTCAGGAGTATTAACAAAGAAAACAGATGATATGAACCGATATTTGCCCTTCCAACCAAGAACCAACTCCAGTAAAACACAAGAACATTTAAGCCGAAGCAGCAGCGGCAGCGGCAGCAATGTTCTGCATGCCGATGGTGGGCTGGACACCCACACGCTCCTTAGCCAAAAGGTCCACCAACAGAGGGTTGGGGGTGCTGTCACGCGTGGGGTAAAGACCAGCCTGGCTGTTCTTGTACTTGAGCACACTGTCGAGGTAAATGTCGAAGAGGTAAGAAGAGTCAAGAGGACCGCCCTTGGCCTCAGGGTGGAATTGGGTGCTGAAGATGGGACGAGACTTGTGGATCATACCCTCGTTGCTCTGGTCGTTCAAGTTAATGAAGTAAGGCTTCCACTCGGAGGGAAGGCTGGAGGCGTCAACGGCATAACCGTGGTTCTGGCTGGTGATGTGGCAGCGACCAGTGCTCAGGTCCAGAGCCGGGATGTTGTGAGCCCGGTTTCCGTACTTGAGCTTGATGGTGCGAGCACCGCTAGCCAGAGCCAAAAGCTGGTGACCGAGACAGATACCGAAGATGGGGATCTGGGAAGTCTCCATCAGACGCTTTAGGTGGTAGACAGTGTCCTGGCAGTGGGTGGGGTCACCGGGGCCGTTGGAGATGAAGACACCGTCGAAGTGGTGAGCAACCTTGTGGATGGGGTAGTCGAAGGGGAAGACTGTGACGCTAGAGCCACGGCCAACCAGGCTCCGCAGGATGTTCTCCTTCACACCGCAATCGATGACGGCAACGTGGGAGTTGGGGTTAGCAGCGCTCACGTGGAATGGCTGCTTGGTGCTGACCTGGCGAACCAGGTGAATCTGCTCGGGGTCGGTGAAGGCCTCGTCCTCGTTGGCATCGTACTCCTCACCAACAGTGATGCGAGCCAGGGAGGAACCCTGCTCACGCAGGTAAGTGACAATGGCACGGGTGTCAACGCCAGAGATGGCGGGCACACCCTCACGAGCACACCACTCACCCAGACTCTCGACGGCAGTCCAGTGGCTGTACTGCTCGGCGACATCGGCGACGACGACACCGGCAGCCTGCAGGTTGGGGGACTCGAAGTACTTTAGGAGTCCATTGCTGTCCTTCTCCGCCGAGGGGACACCGTAGTTGCCAATCAAAGGCTGGGTGAAGACCAGGATCTGACCGCGGTAGGAAGGATCGGTAAGGGACTCGGGGTACCCAACCAAGGAGGTAGTGAAGACGGCCTCGCCGGAGATGTTGGAGCGAGCACCGAAAGACTTGCCGGTGAACATGGGACCGTCACGAATGGTGAAGGTAGCAGGTTCCATAGCAGCACGCTGACGGACAGTGGCCATAGAGCGGGCCAGAGCAAGGCTCTTCAGGGTAGTGAAGGCCGCAGCCCGGGTGGGCATAGCCTTGAAGACGTTCATGAACATTTTGAGATGTATCAAGATGCGAGAATTTACTGAATGATAAACGAGAAGCTCAATTCAGTTGATGGAAGACTTCCAAAGGTGATCTAAGGAAAAGCCAATGTTAGTATCGAATAACCATGGCGAGGCAAAGAGTGCTGATCGAGGGACATACCCGAGATATAGTCCTGGGAGGTGAAAGTTGAGGGTGCCAAACACATAAGCGCGACTCTAGGTGTAGCAGTCAAGAGAGGAAGAGGGAAATTAAATTCCTTAGTGCGACATGAGGCGTATTGAGTGGGAAGTGGAGTGTTGGTATGAACTGGGGAAGAGAGAGGAAGAGAAAGCGGAAGCCGGAAGAGGTTTTTCGTTTGAGTCAGTGGGAGTGGGCACGTGTCTCCGACTACGGGCCAATCATAAGTCCGGGCCGACATCGGCTTGGCCACCGATTGCTGGCTAGTGCAATCTTAGGCCTTATCAGACCAGATAATAAGGTAATTGTAGAGTCTCACACACCGCTAATTAACAAATCGTAGCTAATCGATTTGACTAGTCGAGTCCACATATCTACTTATACGGATAGACCCGGGTGAGGCAAATTGTACCACGAATTACTCTACAAGAGCCTGACAGATTAAATTCCAAGCCCCAAAAAAACAGAGGGGGAAAAGAAAGGACTTGAGTACGGAGTACAATTGATCCGTCATGATCATCCCAAATTACCCAATCGTAACCCAATTGAACCGTGATCCTGGCGATCGGCCTCCACTCCCAGCCACTTGCCACCAAACATGTTCACCGCCGTGCGAACCCTAATCCCGCAATAATATGGACCATGCACAAGTGGATGAATGCTAAGTCTCATTGGCATCATATGCGGCCCGGTCCCGAAGGTCAATTAAGAACCCCAAGTGCGGCGTCTCGAAACCATTTAGATTTCAAGTGGGGTTAGTTAAGGAGCCGGTGTAAAATTGCAGATATGGATGTTCCAATTGCATGATTCTTTTGCCTAATAGGATGTACAAAGGTACCGTCGGCCAGCCGAGCTGCGGACCCCTCGCAAATGTACCTAAAAGTTGATTGTCAACCCCCTATCACCAGGCGAGCTTGATGGTTGTTCAAGTTGACTATGAAAGCGTGAGTTAATGCAGGCTAAAACAACTATGTATTAAGTTAACGATTGACTCAGAATCATCTATTTACAGCTTCATGTTCTGACTGTCAATTAATTCTATACCTAGGTATCGATTAGACACCTTGCTGCTCTGTTGACTTCGACTGGATAGAGCCCAGGAAAAACAGAGCGACAAATCCAGCTATCAAGGATATCACTCCTAGTAAAGATCAGAAATGACCTCAAAACTTACGTTAACAGAGAAAACTCACCAAGACAAAGTTGCAGTTCAAAGTATCCGAAATGTCCCATGACAAACTCCGCTAAAAGAGGACCTGTCATAAGTCCAGCCATCCAAGTCATACTAGTCACGGCTATAGCGCGAGAGTAACCTCCGTTAGGACCAAATTTACCAGGCTCGCGCGCTTCGACGGCGTCAATGGTTTCTAGATTGACATTAGTTTATAAAATGTTTCCGATCTCAGGTTCACTTACCAGTTGCCGCCATTGAGCCTGTCCCGCCTAGAAGTGAGAATAGAAATCCAATCGTGGCCATGGAACCCACGTAGATGTACTTTCCCCAGGCTTCCGCCCAGGGAAATGAGCTGTCGCCGGGAACTCCCAAGAGCACGATGAAAGGTACCAAAGCAAAAAATCCCGCTGCAGTCGGAGCCCGCGACCCTATCCGATCTTTCATCCAGCCTACCGGACCTGCCAATATCATTCCAGGGCTCTGGATAACTGCTAACAATAGTCCGACATGAAGAGCTCTCCATCCAAACGCGGCTCTCACGTGTACAGCCAGAGTACTTTCGAAGGAGCCAATTAGTAAAGCATAGACGTAGTCAGAGAAAATTCCCGCAGAGAATCTCGTCTCGCCGAAAACGCAAACATGGAAGCCCCATCCTCGCACCTCTATTGAAACTGGCCGATCAGACTGTTCACCATCAACTGCAGGCGCAGCATCTTGCAGGAGAGGCTCTCGTTCCCGGTCTTCTGTTACCCGCCCAGGCTTGACAGGCTTTTCGATCATGATGAGGCGCATGAAGATGTCCACCAATAGAAAAACGGCCACGCCCGCCCACGCGCACCAGTACCCTCCCAATTCAAACAATAGTCCTCCAAGAACCGGCCCGGCGGTGGTGCCCGCAGATGTAAGCGTAGAGGTCAAGCCTGCAATCTTGCCCATATGCTCTGTTCCAAGATTCTCGGCCATGGTTGCCATTCCCACAACCCACAAGGCATTGCTAGTGATACATTGGAAGAATCGACCAACAAATAGCCATATCACTGCAGATCCAGTCAGCTTAGGTTCGAAACATACTCAATCAGTAAAGAATGGAATATACATACATTGGGTTGTGAGTGACAAGCAGATAGTACTGATCAAGGCCAATACAAGAAGGGTCAATAAAAGCGCCTTTTTGCTAGATGTTGCGTCGGCTATCGACCCAATGAATGGACTTGATACCACAGACACGAAGGCTCCTTCTATAAGAAAGATAGATGTGTATTTCTGAGTCAGAGATGGATCCAAGCCGATTCGATGCTCTAGAACAGTAGGTAGTAAAGGCAGCATGAAGGCAAAAAGTAGTTCATCTGTAAGTGGCCGCAAGTGTTAGACAATATCAGATTAGATAAGATGTGTAGCACATCGCTGTTGCATATAATGTCACGCACCAGTAAACAACGCCAGACTCATCGTACTGACGATGAAAGTATCAGATGATCGCCACCCATGACCCCAGGGAGCACCATGCTTTTTGGCGTGACCTTGAAACATAGTACCTGATACCCGAAATTCGAAGCCTTATATATAAAGGATATCAATCGATGTTCAGTGGGAAATTTCCAAATTGGAAGGAGATTTAGAAGCTGCATGCGTCCGCAAGGGGTGCGCGTTACTCGGAGGGTTTGGTTATGACATGCGCTTAGTCATCTGTGATGAGTCTACATGAAGGCGTACTTAACCAACAAATCACATCATGCAGACGATCTTAGCCGACAAAATGTGCAGCTGAACGAACTGTACAGGGAAGTTTCCGGTCTTGCATTACAGATATCCACTTTGTTTAGTCTTGGGCTGTTCAGCTCGTCCAGATGGGGTGAAAATCACCGACCGGGATCGAGAGAATCGAGCAATTAAAGCGGATGATCGACGCCACCTCCACCTGTCTTTCTAGCCAAGTGTATGTAATTTTCTCCTACATCCATCCACGTCATGATCTGTGAGTGTCATCATAAAGTCGAGCTCCAATGATCAACAACTTTGGTAAAACGAAAGAGATACGCCAAGAACTTGCGGGCGAACCGCCCAAACCATATTAAGGGTAGTACGAAGGTCGATCTGCTTTGCGAACATTCTATCTCAATTGGTATGGCGTAACTTGTCAGACTTTTAGGATATGATTTGCAAGTGTCATGCATTGGAGCCTAACGCAAGACTGCCCTCAATACCTGAGGGCTCTGATATACACTCGAGAAGAGAACAAAGGAGGCAACGGGAGTGGCAAGTACCAAGCCTGGTGGATGAGAAGTCTATTTAATCCAAGTATTGTCACCTCTGCCTGACGTAATTGCTTAAGGTACTTCCAAGGTTTTTTGATCATATAACTAAGTTAGTCAAACTAACATGTATGAACAATTGCGGGCAGGAATTGTAATAAATATTACAGAGTATTATACAATTACCTGAAATAGTTAGGAGAATTGCAGAGTTCGCTTTTCTCATTACCATAGGAATAGACAGAGGGAATAGACAGACGGTATTCTGATTAAGACAAGCCTCAGCGAGGCTCCAAGTCTTGGTTTAAAAATTGTACATTCTACCTTTGCATACATGATGAAGCACTTGGTTAAAGTTTGCTATAACAATATGACATTTCAGCAGTGACCTGCAAAAAAGAACCCTCTGAGTGGTTTTCATTGACACTTTCCAAAAATAGAAGACTCCCATTTAAACGTTGTTTATCGGAATCCATGATTTTGGATATTATTCTGAAACAAGAAGTCAGAATACAAAATCATGGAGGAAGAAGCTGCGTATTTCCAAGATCGGATGAGGGGCTGCTCCGTGCTTCACGCTCCCGAGCATAAAAGGCTTGTGAAACCAGCCGAATCATCCTGCGATCGGTCTTTTTTGAAGGCGTACGCGGTACTCGCGTAGCCAGCAAGAACAACGTCGGAATCATATAGGGCGGGAGGGAAATGGCAAGGACCTTCTTGATTTCAGCCACTTTCTGAAATGCCTTTTGATCTTGACTTGCATCTTCCAAAACGAGCTCTTCCGTTTCGGAGTTTTTGGGGTGGTCACTGAGGTATAAGAATGCAGCTAGACAGGGATCTTCTTTGCCATCAATGATGCCAAGAAGGTCCACCACAATGGCGTCTTTGGATCCAAGTGATTTTCTTGCAAGGTGCTCGACCTCGATCACGTCGATTCGGCACCCGTCAAGTTTTACAATTGTGTCTTTTCGCCCAATATACTCGATCCGTCCATCATGGGTCCATCGTGCCAGGTCTCCCGATTTATATAAGCGGGTAGATAGTCGATCTGGGTGAAGCTCATTTAACCAGCAGGGAATATCCTGGAGAAAACCAGCTGGCTTCGTCCGGTCTGATGCTTGATGATCCTGATCAAGGTAGCCCCTTGAAAGATGAGGTCCTTCAATCACGATTTCACCGACGGCGCCAATTGGCATCAGCTTATCTGGGCATATCGGGTCAACAATCCAGATTGCACCACTAGAGGGCCTCCCAATAGTAGCAGGCGAGCTACTAGGATCATGTACATTGTCGTTGTATGCGCAGCAGACCGCAGCTTCGCCCATGCCAAATTGGTTGATCAACGTTGTCGAGCTGTTGGCCCACTTGTTTAGAAGATCTTTCGGAAGAGGCTCTCCACCGACGCATAGAATTTTGAGACTGCTCATTTCTTCCGGGTTTGCTTTTATGGCCACAGTGGGTGTCAGGAAAGCAATGTTGGCGTTGAGCATTTGAATGTTGCAGGCGAGATCCTGAACAGTCTTCATTGGCCCCGGCACACAGCAGCAACCTCCTACAATGAGGGGAACTAAGAACTCCAAATTACTGATGTCAAATGCGTAATCATCAAAATGCAAAAACCTGGTGTCTCCATCTAGGCCAAGATTCCGCGCATAGTCCCGAATAGCAGAGGCATAAGACTGATGCTCTTGCACAATGGCCTTGGGTCTACCAGTGCTCCCAGAGGTGAACAGGACCGTGCAGGCATTCGATGGCTGAACCACTGGTAATGAGGCCGGCGTTTCTAATGGAAGCGTCTGTAGCCATTCACGGCTGACGACAATAACCGTTTCGATTGTATTACGGAATTGATCTGCAAAGCCCGGATCACTCAGCATAATCTTGGTTCCAGTGCGCTGTATGACCGAGTTGAGATAGGCTGGTGGATTGCTCGAGTGGATCGAGATATAGGCACCTCCTGCCCGCAGAATGGCCAATCGAGCTACGATTGCCCAAGTTGACTTCTGGAAGCTACTCAGAACAAAAGTTTCGGGTTGTACACCCAATTGAATAAGATGGCGTGCCAATCGGAGAGACAGAATATCCAATTCCTGATAAGTCAAGTCGCCATCAAATGAGCGAACTGCAAGCCTTGTTGGATGTCTTTGGCAATTTTGTATGATTAAATCGTGCAAGCAGTTGAAGCTAGTGGCTGATTTGATGTGCGTCAGGCTTCTGATTGCCTTTCGGTGGAATTCTGGGCAGTAGTCGATCGCTTCTAGCTTGAGGGTCACAGGATGAACGATAATTTGACGAAGGACGTGTTGAAATGTCCTTAACATGCTCTCAACCAAGTAATTTGCGACAGTTTCCGACTTATTGATGCTCGCACTCATCCGGTTATCGCTCTTAATAATGACAAGCTGGATGATAATGTAAGAAGATGAGAATCAAAACTCCATGAACGATGAGCTTACCTCTAAGATTCCATTGAATGAGGTTGTTGGGGCCAAAGGTGGGCCTGGAATAGTTACGTATCTGAGTGCTGAGTTACAAACCGCCCCATAATTGTGGGAGTCCGGCACTCTATCGGATTTGTTCATCTCCAGTGTCTCAAGAAGCGATCGTACATCCCAATCTGGCTTCACTCGCACCGAGAAAGTGACAGGCGAACCAGATGATCCAGATCTCGGAATTACTTCTTCTTCGTAGCTCATGTTTATCACCTCCTCTGGCTGGAAGCAACGAAGGGTCAGAATCCATGCGGCTTTCAAAAATGTCGATTCTTTGATCGGCGCCGACAGACTGTCTACACTGGACCAGTACTGGACCAGGTAAATTTGGATAGAATCATGTTTAGAGAAGTGCGACTGGAATGTTCGAGTATTTTGATGGCTGAGACTGTCAGGCCTATTCGAATGCAACAGACTAGGAGCCATTTTTCACAATATGGATCGATCAATTGGTACAAGCAAAAGAATTTTGGAAGGAGGAGATTCCCTGTCAAACGTAAGGTTCATAGTAACGCTCAGTATTGCGTATACAGGTATTACCCGTAATTTTGGAACTTCCAAGAGTTGAGACCTTGGAAACAGGGACGGCCCGGGCGTCCGAGCCTGCGAATCATGGCATGACATCGTGGTTCGTGCGGTATTAATCCACCCCTAGACCCCCCTGCAGATGTCGGCATGAGATCTTAATGGAGTCTAGCGCTCTGTCGATCTCGAGATTGGAACCTGAACCCCGTCGATAGATGAGCTGAAAACGGTCCTAAATGCTCCGCATCGTGGCTGTAACAGAAGCGTTGGGGCTTACTGTCAGACCTACTGCAGAGTGAAGCGAGCGCGTGCGTATGGAAGTGGTATGGAAGTGGTATGAAGGAAAGACTGTTTGCAGCAAGAAATGTGGGGAAACTGGATTCGGGGAAATGCCCCACAGTTCGTAAACACAACGAACGCATGAGATTCTACGAATCATGGCCTGGCGTTACGGATCGTGCAATCTATCGACATCCCTGAATTCTAGACCGCACTTGGTGCTCTTAATCCTCCGCCGTGGCGTGGTGAACGAGAAAACCCGAATGCGTTCGGATTTTTGATTACTGTATCCGCTTTCGGAATTCTTGGACCGTTCAGTTGATTTAGAAGGGGTGAAGATCATGAAGTAGCATTTAAGACGGTCAAGCAATGAAATGGGTGACTGATGTAATAACTTGCTCTCTTTATTGCTAATGTAATTGCTTCTTTTGCTTTACATTCATCAGCATCATGACCATCACCAGTAAGGCGAACTCTAATGGCCCCACCTCGGAGGAGCCCCCTCTAGATCACGATTTCCACAATGCCTGGGGAACTATTTACTCAAACAGTGGATTCATCAACGATGAACGCACTCGCCGAGTATGGGAGGACTATACCGTGAACCCTGCCAGAGTCGAACACCAGTACCATGTTCTTCTGAACGAATATACTGAGCGTTTTCAGTCCTTTTTCAAGGGACACTGGCCAATCACGTTCCATGCGCATGTTAGCGATGTGCTTATACCGACAACTATAGCGAGTCTCATCCTGAACACGGCATCGACTTGTCCATTGGTGGTTGAGGATCCATTGTTATCGCCGTTGCTCAAGGATGATCCCGAGCCAGAAAAGGTGCATCAATTTGTTCGGGAGCTCTTGGGCTGGACAGATGCTCATATTAATACGCCGAAGTTGGCCATCGTCGACGGAATTTATGGTGGCGCCTATGGGCCCTTGGTAAGTCTTTAAATGTCCAATATTGAATCACTGAAATTAACAAGCCTATCAGGCCCATTCATCCGAGGAATGGGAGTATAGGATCATCGGATCGGGTCCTTCATCAATCTTTATCAGTCTGAGTGACTTCTCGTCAGAGGCTACATTGTTGAACAAGCTCATTGCCGCTAAGAAGGAAGGCTGTGTCGCCGTTGTATGCGATCTAGTCAATGCCTCGAATGGATCAGTCTTTCCTCCCGACCTCTTTCGTCTCCTGCGATCCTGCTGCAACCAAGCGCGCATTTGTCTCCTTGTGGACGAGGCCATGTCCGCGATACGTTGTGGAGCGCCATTGGCCTGTCAAAGACCAGAGTATCTTGAAGGAGACCTCCGGCCTGACATGATCGCCTTCGGCAAAGGAGTGGGAGTAAGCGGCGTTGCAATCAACTTCGATGGCCTGATGATGCGACACCTCGCCTTCCACAAGAGGGAACAAATTCTTCAGTCGATTAGATTTTGGCGCTCTATGGTCACCAGGCCCATTGCAACCCCACTCTTAATCGAAGTCTTGGGGATTTTGAACGTGGCCGAGGCGGAGGATTGGCCAGCAAGGAGTGAGCAGATTGGAATTGCTTTCCGAGAGTTCATCCATCGCTATGTTGGGAATGATGGCCATGGAAGAGAGATTGTACGCGGATTAGGCGCTTTCATTGCCGTCGACCGTGAGATCTCTAAAAGATTCAACGTCATGGCAGCGTTTCGAAGGAGAAGTTCTTGGGCGCGTTGGATTCCTAAGCTCAACAGCACTGCTTTTGTTGATTCTCACGCTATTGAGAAATACTTGGTCGGTTCTGGTGCTAAGCCCCTTCGACATGCATTGTCCAAGGAAGCACAGAAGCAAGGGACAAAACCGCTGTGGTGTTACGTTTGCGGAATTGACGCAATTGTGGAGGATTGGTGCCGAACCTGCTTTTTAGGATACTGCGGCACTGAGGACTGTGCAAAGGGTTTCCATGCCCATGAATGTCTATAGGATGTGAGACAAAGAGCAGCAGGTTGATATACAAAAACTAATTTTACACGTTGTTCCTACTTTACTTGGTATATACGTAAGTTTCAAGCTCTGTCTGCTAATCAAAGGTTTACTCCGAGTAAACAAATCGTATGAACTGGCATGATAGTAGTCTTTACTAGTACCTAATAGGTATTTAGTACGTACTGGCCTCAAATCAAGTTACATGAAAGCGTAAACTGGCCATTAATCAGCAGCATATTTTCCCACGTGTGCAGGATCAATCATTTTTGCCCACGTATGCACAACCTCGCTTCACCCACGATGAAGCGAATCCTATTCTTAACAACCGTTCCAACAAACATAGTCGAACAGTATGTTTCAGACAATGATTGGTCGAATGAGATGTTACCGGCGTATCTCTCCAGCAGGGGTGCCTCGGTAATCATCAAACGCTGGATGGACGAGGACATAATCCCCGCCATCCTTGACAGTGACCTAGTGACATTTCTCTGGGCCGAAGACTACATCCAGCATCCTATTGAATTTGAAAATTTTCTGGAAATGACCAAAAAAGCAATCGAATCCAATGAAAGCGCAACCCCTTGCGTAATGAACCATATCGACTTTGTCCAATGGAACATGGACAAGAAATATCTCCTCGACATGAAACAAGCTGGTTTCGACATCCCCACGACTGAAATTATTGATGCAGCGAGACTTATATCTATATCTGTGTCTGCGCTGCATCTACAACTTCAGGCATTTCAATCATCCGGTCCCATCGTTCTGAAACCATCTGTATCTGCGTCCTCCAGCAATACCCAACTCATTTCAGATATCTCGGTATTGTCAGATGATGATCTCGCCTACCTAGAGCTCTGTACTAAGGGAGATCTACGAAGCTCGTTGGTCATCCAGCGATTTGAACCAGCCATCGCCACAGGCGAATATTCATTCATTTTTATTGGGAAACGGCTATCACACGTTGCATTGAAAGCGCCCCAAATCGGCGAATTCCGCTGTCAGCCTCAATTTGGGGGGCGGCTTAGTTGCAAACCTATCGATGAAATTGAGGAGAGAACGTTATTGGTGGTAAATGCTATCTTCGAGACCCTCAGGAGGTGGTTCGGAAAGGGTTCAACAGGGGAGATGGGATATGTGCGTATCGATGGTTTGGTGACCGAGGATCGTGCATTTATCTTGATGGAGATTGAGGCTATCGAGCCTGATCTTTATCTTGAAATGGGAGGACTTCAAGAAATGCTGTCGCTCATGTTGAAGTGAATTCACTATATTCTAATGTATGGGCACCTATCCTGGCGGCGGAATTCAGGAACTTCCAACCATTTTAGTTTTAATCAGCCTAAGGATATATACCAGATCTGACGTTTAGGTGCTATTCATATTCCGTACGATGATCAATTTCCCATTACATATCCAGCCAGAAAAGGAGCCTTGACGCTTCTGCCTTACGTAATTGTTTCGGTACTTTTTTATGTCAAAAGCCAACTTATCCAAGTGGGAGGGGCGAATCTGCTGTTTCCCTGTTCCCTTTTCCCCGTTCCCGCTGTCGTTGTTCTGTGTCTATCCCCTACTGCAACTACAATGGCCTCTGGCCTCATTTTTGACCGTACACTCCTACGCACTGCCCCACTTATTACCTCAACCTGCACGCTCTGGTACTCTTTCGACCAGGACTTTTTCCTAAATATCTTCCTCCACTCCGACCACCGCACCCGCAGCAATGTATATTTACCATCTTATTTCCGTGTCTTCTTCGTGCCTGGTACTTTGCGCGTTTTGGGCCTTCTCGCGCTTACCTTGACGGGGGGCGGATATAATATCTTGACAGGCCGGTCTGGACTAGGTAGCTTGGCATTCGTGCCTTGGTATGCTGCTGGTACGGTGCTTGCTGCGAGTCACCTTCTCTTTGTACCTGCCGTTGCACCTAAGATCCAGGCAGTGATTGAGGATACTTCGCAAGGCTCGTCGACAGAGGACCTTAAGGGCTGGCTGAATATTCATCGATTACGCACGTGGACAGTTGATCTGGCATCGTGGGCCTGTTTTGCGGTTGCAGTTTCAATTGTTGAGTGATGCAAGTGGCTTGATGGATCAAGAAAATATCGGAGCAATACATTGTGCAGATCTCTTGTGTTACTTTGTATGAGAACAGATAATTTTAGCTCTACAGATTATATAACTACATACTGGTTACCTTCTGGAATTACGACTTCCAATTGCATCATCTTAGGGAATTGCTACATTCACTCTTTCCATGGTTAAGCGTCTTCAGTGTAGCAAGTTGCTCACTCGTCCTCTGACACACCTAGTACTATTCTCCTTCCATTGGAATTTCCCCTTTCTCAATTAATAGCATTTATATCTGAAATAATTTGACAAGTTATCCGTCGATTTTCGGCCAATTGTGTGCTTGCGTTGATGGACATGAACTACATTGACTGGTGTGCAGAATATGGGGCATGGCTTCAGATCTTCCTTCAAGCAATGGTGAATTGCGAAGAAAGCGCATTTTGAACTCGGAACGAACGACCCAATGGAGTCCGCGACTCTCTACTCGGATGCCACGAAGCTGGAACAAAGGAGACCTTGGGATCATGTATGCTACAAGGAGCAATTGGAATGCATATTAATCCAGTCTTTTTGCCACATGCATGGCATCAGTTTAATTAAGATCCAGTGCACCTAATTCAGCCCAGATACCAGCAGTCTAAGTCAATATCTCATTATATGCCCATCTCGGGCAACGGCCACGGCACATCAGTCATAAGGAACTGATCCAAATCAAAATTCTGCAAACTAGGCATATCGATAACCAAATCCCCCAACCACGAAAACTCGACATCCGAAGCCGGCGCTGTCCCCTGCACCTCCAAATGCTCCGGTTCCCTCTCCCTCTCCCTAACATCCTGAGGCTGCTGCCCCACAACAGCGGCCGCCGCAGAATTAGCCCTTAGTACATCCGTCAACGCGCGCGTGTCATCCTCTTTCCGTCTTTGATGCATCGCAACAAGTAAGTAGGCCGTTGAATATGCCTCGCGCATTGCATCTGTGTCGTATACCGTAGCCACTTCTCGAAGAGTTTGCATTGCTTCTGGGAGTAGGGCTAAGGCTGCGCGATTGTCGATTGCGAGAAGCGTACAGACGACTTGGAAGGGGACGTTGGCTACTTGGTGCCAGGGACAAGTAGAGGATGCCATGTTGCGCGCGGCACGGAGACCTCGTCTTGCAATGCCAAGGATGCGGTCTAGACGGGCTGAGAGCGGGGCGTGAGCGTTCAGAGCACGGACACGGCGGTAGATGCAGAGCATTAGGTTACACTGGACAAGAATTAGGGAGGGTTCTGTGTAGACTAGGTCCAGGACGGAGGTTAGGGCTGTTTCGAGGTCGGGAAGGTCTTGGAGTGCGGAAGTCGTTGGGTCGAGGCTTTCGGTGAGCGGGAGGAGGTGAAGTAGGTCTGGATTGGGATGCTCTGGGATGTTTTGAGCTGCGCCGTGGAGGACGACGCGGGAGCGGCCTAGATCGAATGATATCCAGGTGTTCAGGTGGCGGGCCATGCCGAAGAGACGACGACGGGTATCTTGGGTGTTGGGTATTTCCCCCTTGGGCTTGTTTTGTGCCGATTGGGATGGTCCTTGGAGAAGACTTGATCTCTGGTCGGTTGATTCGAGGTGCAGGCCTGCTGCCTCAATCAAGTGCATCAAAGTACAACTAGCCATCCAGCCGGCGTGTGGCGAAGCCGTCATGCGTAAGTAGGCTGTACGAAGAACCCAGCCGGCGATTATATCCACTGAGGGCGTTTCTGGGCCCATTGTGCTTTTTTCCAGAATCCTACGCGCTAAAGAGACAGCAGTGTACTCTTTAAGTTTTCTCTCGCGGTGTGAAAACAAGTACCCAAATGCCATGACACCATATAAAACGGCATCAAATGATAGGGCATCTTCAACTTCCATCTGCCAACGCCGAGTGATGCCAGAAAAAAGAGATTGGCGATCCAAAAACGAATAACACGGATCAACCTTCTCAAAATAGATCCCGGCCACGCGCCGGATCTCCTCCAGTGAGAAAACCCCGGAAATATGCATATCAGACTTCGCGAGATACTCCATATGGCCGAACGGAAGTGGCTCGCCTGATCTTTTGCCTACATTCCACGCAAAAAGATGTAATCTCGGCGCACGAGCTGGATCAATACGAAGCCCAAGCTTGCGAACAAACGCGGCGCCAGAATTCGCCTCAAGGGAATGACCCACTCCTGAATGGCCTCCGCGATTGAACGAAGCAGGGGAGCTCGCACTGCCAGCAGTGCTCACGGCCCTTGGAATTGGATATGCCAAACCATCTGGAGGTCGTTGGGACTCATCAGAGGGCAGACTGGCGCGATGCGCGGTAGTGGGTCCGATGCGTTTCTTGCGCGGGGCTGCACTGTACTGGCAGTCCACACCGGCCTGGACACAAGTTGTGCAGGGCTGTTCGCCCGAACATTTTCGCTTGCGTGATTGGCAGGATAGACAGGCAGCGCGAGAGCGCTTGCGGGGATTGGAGTCGGCCATTATTGTTGGTGTATGGAGAGCATTGCGTGGATTGGATTGGTTGGGACTACAGGTCGGGGCCGCCCGCCTATCATTTGTGTATCAAATTGATGACTACTTAGTTACTTAGAAATTTGATCATGGCTGAGAACAAATTAGCAACTGGAATGATTAATTCTTAATCCAAATTAGCTCACATATGACAAATGTCAACTTCGTGGAAGATAGGATGGAGGTCGGAGATGCCCGGCGATATCCGTTATACTGTGGCGCGCGGCTGAAAGCGCGATATCAGATAAGAACTAAAACACTGCATAATTGATAATCCATGTCATACTATGTTATACCATAATTTGTGATTCTATAGATAATTGAGTTGATAAATCTAGTCCCGTAACGCCCATATCAATGCATGCGGGTGATATGATCCCAATCGCCAAAAAGTAAAAGTAATGAGAAAGATTGCAGATTCTATTCCTTCTTATCGTGTTCATCAGACCCATTGGGTTTGCCATTGGATCCGAGACCAGATGACCAAGCCACTCGAACAAGTCGCCAGAGAATCCACAAGAAACCGAGTGAAATGACAGCACATGTCGTCAACTCGATGTTCCGAGCCTGGAAAAGGCCTTCGCCGTCTTTGAGGTGAAGAACGGGGACGTCTAGCACCTCTACGAGGCGATCGGACTTTGGATGAAGCTGGTAGAAGAATGTATGGGGAGAAAAGAGGCTGTCGTAGCCCAGGTGCCTGCGGTCGAATGGGTTGATCCCCATACCGGTCGCGTCATCTGCGCCGCAAGCCCAGAAGACCACTGGCCAGGGTACATGCGCAGATCTGTATCCCGTTTCGGATGGATGAAGGTATCGTAGATGAAGAGGAATGGTGGCGGTCCAGTTGGATTGCACATCACCGTCGAGATCATCGACGGGTGTGGCCAGTTCGAAAAGCCAGTTCGAGCCCCAGCCTTTGACGACCCAATCTGGAGCCTCCAGGTCTGTTTCACCCGAGTGGGCACGTAGACCTTCTAGATTATGAGATTCGAGGAAAAGAGGGTCGGTCGTCCCAAGCTGGTATTGATCACCGAAGACAGATGACGGAAGTGTCAGGTAGGTGTACAGGGCGCATGTTGTGTCGTCGGGTGCAGATGGCAGTTCTAATGAAGAGCGGGGGATAGATATAGACATTGTCGGGTGGAGGCCGGTAGGCTCTGCGAATGAGACAGTGTAGCTGGCGGACCTGGGGAGAACGTGGTGCCGCGAAGGGAAGGAGAACATTGTAGGTTCTATACCAAGTCAGTTATGATAATTCCATGGCCACACGCAAAGTAGAAGGGTCCAGCATACTCAATTTCTTGTCCTCTCCTACGACTGCCAATAGTCCCCCGACCTTGATTTCATCCGCGGAAATTCCCTTCTCTGTTCCCAACAATCCAAACTCAACCTTGTCAGAGCTTGAAGCCGACTTATGTACCTCCTCCACCCAGCCACCCTCTGGAGCACTGGTCCAGATCCCTGACATGGTCAATGTGTTAGAAGAGGCATCAAAGTCCAAATCAACCACGTCGGCCGTAAGCAGGGAATTAGCGCGAGTAATACATTCCGCACCTCCAGCGCAGACATTGTTCTGGAAAAACGTAACTAGCGACTTCAAGGATGGTAGCTGTGTATGGTATTGGAGAGAGGCGGCAGCACCGGATTCGGTAGCTCGGAGCGGGGGCGCGATAAAATTATCCTGTAGATCACAGCGCATTAGACCAATTCAGCAGAGCAAAATATATCCAATGGCTATAATTATTGGAAATTTGACGCAATAGCTCAAGGGCCGACTTACCTCTGGGTTTGTGCAGTCCACCCCATATTGATCACCTTCGGTTACCCCGAATACAGTACGGAGCACCGAGCATAGAGCCTCCCTGCGCCACCCCTGTCAGTATTCCATCGAAAGCACAAAATTTATGTAAAAATATTCACATACGACGACTGGCCCGCAGCTAAGGGGGTATAATGCACATGAAGACCAGGTGAGACCCTGCTCACAAAGGGCGCAACAGCGTCGAACGGCCGCTCAGTAGCCCAGCGGAGGTGGAGCTCTTGTAATTGGTGACAGACTTTATGAAGCTATGGAGATAATATCAGTCAGTTATTGCTTCCATTGCTGCGACGATGGGGTTCTCTCCTACCTCTTCGGGGAGGTCATCCAGATCAAAGGTAAGGCGGTCTTCGCGGGTGGCATCCAGGCCGCGAACCGTCACAGATTTGGTGGATACGACGACTTCCTCGGGTACAAAAGGCGCCTCAGGGCGCTGGATATAGGTGATACGTCGCTTCATCGTAGAGCTATGCAGGTTGAGTAGATAAAGCGGGAGTTGAACTGCGGCGGAGGTGCTTTCTCCGCATTCCCCGATTAGGTTTAGGGCGGTTGACTATCTACAGAATGAAAGAAAGATAAATCATCATTTGTATTGAAACAGCAAGGTATTATTTAACGCCTGAAACTCTCAAGATATTTTTAAAAGTCGCATCTTGTCAAAATCCTTCCAGAACCCAAAATCATTGCTGTCATAAAACCGCCCCAAGTTGAGTATCGCTATAACGCCAGTATGCATGCTAAAGAAATCAAGTTCACAGGATATCGCCCAGGATCGTTTTTTGTTCGGCTGTCAAGCTGGTAGGGAACTTGACATTGACGTGTACGACGAGATCGCCGCGGTCGCTGGGCTTCTTGGAGATGACCATACCCAAGTTGGGGAAGCGTTCCTCATGGCCGGGTTGTGTGGGACCGGGCTTGGAGACACGGATTGATTTGCCGTCGATAGTGCGAACGATACGTTCCCAACCTGTCAAGGCTTCCTTCAGAGTGAGGGTCACGTTCGTGACAAGGTTGTCGCCAACACGCTTGAAATCGGGATGTGGTAACTATTGAAGTTAGCAAAGCCTCATAATTAAAGAGATGAAGGTGTAGATATAACTTACCTCTTTCACAATAAGATGCACGTCTTGTCGACCGCCTTCTTCCTGATCGCCGACATTCTTGTACTTGATCTTCGATCCAGCGCGCAGACCAGGCTTGATAGTTGCTTCCAGCGTAACTTCATCGACAGTCCGCTTCCCACTAGAGTCAAAGGCCTTGCTCTTCGTCTTCACCTTCTTCGTAGTCCCCTTGAAGATCTCCTCCAGGGTGAGATTCAGGTCCATCTCAACAACAGTAGGTTCGGGCGTCGGGGCACGGCGTGCTTTTTGCCCAAATCCTGCTCCGGTGGTACGTCCCCGCGGGAATCCTCCTGGCATTCCACCTCCCCTACCCCCTCCCATACCGTTAAGCATAGAGAAGAGATCATCATCCATACCGCCCATCCCACCACCACCACCCGATTTAGCAAAGTCACTGAAGATGTCGTCCGCGTTGCGGAATCGGAAACCTCCACTGCCTCCGGGACCGGTTGAGAAGTGGAAAGTGCGTGCTCCTCCCCCACCAGGCATGCCACCGAAATCAAAGCCGCCGGGCATACCACCAGCGCCTGCGCTTGCACCTCCGGCTCCCCCGGGAGAGGGTGGTGGGCCACCACGGAGCAAGTATTCAAGGCCGAATTGATCGTAGACCTTGCGTTTCTCGGGATCAGATAGGACTTCGTATGCTTGAGAAACCTCTGTGGCAATATTAATTCTCGTGATCGGGATTGCGGGCGGGGGAAGCGGGGTCCAGATGTAGGTGACACATACCTTTAAATTTTTCAGAAGCCTGAGGATTATTCTTGTTCTTGTCTGGGTGAAATTTCAAGGCTGCCTTGCGATAGGCCTTTTTGATTTCATCTTGAGTTGCGGTTGGTTTGACGCTCAAGGCGTCATATAGCTTCGTCTCGGCTACCATTGTGTGAATTATGAATTGAGTTTTTGGAGTGAATGTCAAAGATTCACGGGTGGAAGGGAGTTGTACTAAAGGCCAGCGATCGGCTTGGACAAGGCAACGAGATATTCCAGAAGAGAGATGTGTAGTTCCAGAATGACGTAGAAGGTTCAAGGAGTAACGAGGCGGTCTAGGAGTGTTGGAGATTTGAGCGTAAAGTTGGAAGTTTTGGAGTAAAAGATAAGGCAAAAGGTCGTGGAATAGTGAAAAAGGATCTGTAGTGGGGAATGCACTTCATAAAGGGCCTCTGACAAGAGAAACAGGAACTTTGTTAACCTCATACGTTATCCAGTTATCGAACGCGGAGTGTGTGACGTGTGACGTCGTGGGACCGAAACTTCGAGAATCTTCCATGCTTTTTGTTATTGAGGATTCACCCATTTAATTGATTAAATTAATCAAATTACATGAAAGAGCTCCTATGAACTCTCCACACAAGGAATATTCCTTTGTCTGATCGACTTTTGCATCGGACTATTGGCTACATTCATAGTCCATAACATCATCGGCAAGCCCCACATGAAGTCATTAGCATCCGTGAACCAAACACTTTAAATTTGCTCGGCTAATTTCAATATTCCAATAATTTGACTCAACCGAAAATGAAGATGCCATTGTAGCTCCGATAATATGCTGAAATCGCTCTAGACTGGGATATGCAAGATGTCTCATGCAGGGTCCAAACACAACCGGAGGATTATCTACCCTTACCAATTCTATTGAACTGTCCCTCTGCAGCAATGCAGTGTTTGCTTCTGTTCTCATGATATCTATTTACCAACTTCTCCCATTCCTTCCACTTCTCCTACAACAACCCAGTCTTTGATAACTGCAGTATTGTTGAGGACACTGTCAAGTTGATCTTGAGTGCACGTCGACGTGAGGGACAGGATGTAGCACACTGGCTCGGGGCTTTCGGGAACGTCGTTCTTGATATGCCAGGTGGATGAAGGGCCCTCCGTGGAGTAAGAGTCGTTCTTAGCAGTATCAATCTTGCCTGTCGCCAGATCGCGGTTGAACAGGGCACGATGGAAGATCTCGTACGCAGTCTCAGGCTGGTAAGCAGGCACCTCATGGCCAGCCTGGTAAACGCGAGTGAAAGAGAAGTTGCCGTGCTGGCGGACCTGTCCTCCGGTGTACGAGGAGTTGGTCTTTAGAGGCGTGTACCCAGCCTCACGGAAAGAAGAGGCCTTGGCGTAGTTGATCCCCAGACTCACATCCTCGCCGCCGATCCATTCGCAGGCATAATCCCGGTCACCGTAGACGAGCGCAACTTTGATGCCAGAGTCCAAGACATAAGCGAGATCATCGAGATAGCCGTGCACGTCACCGCGAGGATAATCACCGGTCGAACCGAAGCCATTGTAGACACTATCGATAGACTCGGTGAAGTTGATGGGCACACCCAATGCTTCTTGCACCCAAGGTTGTTGCAAAAACCCAAAGTACCACGGTGGCGGGAACGGATCCTTGCTATTGTGGGTGATGTCGTAGTATCCTCGGTCGGAAAAGGTAGAGTAAGGCCCCTCGACATTATTGCTGCAGAATTCGTGCGCGGTCATACATGCCTTGTTCACGGTTTCATTGTTGCCATACATCTGTGGGTCACCTTCAGCTGCAAGGGCCCGGCATTGTATGATGAGGTCCTTGCACCCATTTGGACGACTCCAGGCATCCATGGCCTGGTCGTACACAGTCTTGTTAATAGTTTCGAGCCCGTAGGTATTGTTGTACGCCATCATTGGATACGATGGTGCCTGGACAAGGAGATCGACACAACCATTGATAATTCCCAGTGTATCCAAGTGAATGTAATGCGATTCCGCAGGGGCAGTGATTGATCCATTCTTGATCTTCTCATTTTGCTCTTGGAAGAACGCTGTGAACGACGGCCCATAGCGACCGCCGTATGACTCGGTCCAGATGCTGACGCGATCATCGCGTGGTTTGTACTCCGGAAACTCGGAAAACCAGGTCTGGGCGAGGTGCCATAGCGACCGAGCCGCATTTTCGGTGCTATTAGCCGACGAGGCTGACTTCTGGCTCGTAGTCGTGCCGACATAGTAGGTGTTGTTCTGCTCTGGAATCCCATCGGTCCACTCAGACACGTCCCAAGAAGAAGCAGTCTGGTCGAAAGTACCATTGGTGGGAACGTCATAGCTGAAACCGACCTGATTAGGCTGATCAATGTACAGCATGTTGACGTAGTTATTCCAAGACCAGGGGTTGAGCTCGGTCGAATTGGAATCCGCATTGACGCGGCAAGGGCCATTTTCCTGCAGGAGACCGATCATAGACGAGCTACCAGGCCCACCATTCATCCAAATGGACAACGGGGCGTTTCTCGGATCATGACGGGATTCAAAGAACCAGAAAAATGTGTTGATGGGGTACTGTTGGTCCACATGGACATCATCCAAGGTCCCTGGAGGCAAATGAATGTAGCCAGAGTAGGATTTGACACCGGGGGTGGTTTCACAGATTCCCGGCTGTGCAACGTTAGTGAACGGCTAGTAAAGCTCTAGTAAATAAACTGCAGTACCTCTTTGTATGAGATCTTCACCCCTTCTTCGTGCTTCGAGTACACGACTTTCAGACCTTCGGGTCTTGGTGGGAAGTATTGGGCCAACGTGTGGCCCAGTAGAAAAGTGGCCACAAGGAACTTCATGGCTGAGGAAAGAGGATACAAAAACGAGAAAGACTGGGGAAGCAGCCACTTTATGAATCACAACGATCGGTGGGTCTTGGGTCTAAGGAACGCGATAAGAAGATAAGGATAAGCGGGGAAAAGGGGAAAAGGCGGAACTACAAGTTACTTCCACTTCTTACTTCTTTATCTACTTGCATGATGCATCCAACTATTCATTTTCCAATCTAATGTTAACACTGGTTCAAGTCAAACTCTGCAAGCTCTGCACAAACTCATCACCCTATAGCATCCAGAACACTCTAACCCTTGGCGTTTTGAATCTCAAACTCAAACAAGTATCGCATCCGAATTCCATCCGGCTTGCTAAAACTATACTCACGTTGCACTGCCCATGCCCGACTTCTACTATAACTTTCCCCCGATGCAATCTTCAGCATCTTGATTCCTTGAAGATCAGGGTGGATACACTTCGCATCGCACATCCCCCCTTGCGGGATATGTTTAGCGTGATGTATGCTAACCTCGCAAAGAAGCATGAGGGCAGTCTGTCCTGGTATTATACCGCTCCTCTTAAAGCAGTAAGAAGCCGAGTAGCCTGCAAAACCAGAAAGAAAGATCCTGGGTTCTCCATATCCCCCAAGCAGTCCCTTTGCCAAAATTCCCTGAAAGCTGGCGTTTCCCGAGCCATGCCACATGAGTAGTCGACATTGATCATTACATTTCTGCTTTGTCCACGCGATAAATCGGTCAGATTCGGTCAGGCGCTCGATGCGGAAAATGTTTTTTAGCTGAGTGGGCTGCGGTTCAATTGTTTAGTCATAGGTGCAGTAATCAGGACATGCTATACTGACCCCATAGGACCCATATCCATACACGGAACTGTAGTCTGAGAAGTTAAAATAATTCTTCAGAGCCTGGTATTCCTTGGTGCATTTATCCACTAGTAGAAGTGAGCTTTGATCTCGATAAAGTCCTTCATGAAATTTTTGAGACATAGTCACCTAGCGTCATGTGTTTGAGACCCAGAAGTCGATGCAAATGTGGTGAGAGTCGACTTTCAGCCCATCCAGAAGGCAGACCCGGGTGGGAGGCCATTGCAAGAATGCGGAGGTATGACAAAAAGTCTTGCTCGCGCTGAATCCATTCTAAAGAAGCTGGACTTTTACTTTCCACAGAGCCGATGAGGCATTGATAGATTTTAAGCACACTCGATGCAGGCCCCGTCCCAGTCACGATTTCATTCGCAAGTTTTGGACGTTTCAGCAGCTGCTTCAAGAGACATATACCAACACGTAGCTGATGAATACTCATTGTCGACTTACCAAGCATCACAGGGCCACCAGCGTTCTTTTTCAGGCATTGTTTAATTAGCTGATTTTCCGAGCCGGGTTCAATGATGAGGTTGAGGACGGCTTTAATAGCGGGTGGATGTGGTTTATGGGTTTTGGTACCCAAGACAGACAGACTGGCCTCCTCGTCGCTAAAATTGCACTCGGCGTAAATGAATTTGTTTTTCTTTGGGTCGTCGTGACGATACTCCCAATGAAGACCGGTAGCATCGTAGAATATCCCTTGAAAGAGGTCTTTGGCTTGTTCCAGCTTACCTTGACCTACAAGGCTGGATTGAGAAACCTTTTCCCCCGTCTTCTCAACCATGAATGTGTAATATTTATTTGCCTTTGGATCATGAAGTAGCTGACTGCGACGGACGACAAGTTGAGATTTGGTTTCTCCGAGATTTTGAGCCACGAGTCTAACCAGGGTTGCATCCCAGAAGACTTCTTTGTGGACCCAGACAGTAAATCCTATTTGGTGTTGGTCAGTATGTATAAAGCTCACACACCTGATTACCCAAGATATAGCCCCAAAGTACACTCACCCTCTGAATAACCGGGGAATGTCTCATCCACAATGAGCTTCCGAAATTCCTTTGGGACTTTGACTGTCGTCGCTTGCAGTCTGAGTCTAGCTGTTTTGGTCGTCTCTAGCTTGAAGTCTTTGGTGTCGATGATATATCCTTTTTGGATAGACCGGAGCAACCATTCCAGGGTGACAATTTCGCAGCCCTTGGAGGCTGCGTCTCGAACTGTGCAAGCAATCTTGTTAGCGTATTTCATTCCAATGATATAAGGCGAATTATTTACTCTTTGAAGGCAGACTTTTCTTCTTGAGATATGCCTCTGTCGTAATGAGATGGGTGCATTTATCAACCCTCATCTCGTGCTCTTCGAGAAGGGCACCACATGCTTCAACCATGACTTTAATCGCTTCTGTATCGAAAATTCAGCCATTTCATTCGGAAGTATTATCTAGCTTCAGCTGGTATAGAGCGAACCATGCTTTTGGCCCAAATTTCCATGGAGCGAAATAATCAATGCCTCCAAAGGGTCCCTTTCGTTGCCTTTCTTTGAGGTAGATGCTCTGCTTGTCGCCATAGTGAGCCCGAGAAGGAAGTAGAATTGATGATGGATATGAATTGGATTTGGAAAGGTAAGTCAGGGTAGGAAGAGTACCCATGATTGGCAAAGTTTTTGGATTTTATACCATGGAGAGAGTTTGCTGGTAGGCGATTGCCAGTAATTGCATTGTGACTGAGGCTTCAAAGAATGAATATGCACAAACGCCGGGAAGAGCCAAAGGATTCATGGGTTTGTCAAGGGAGTCAGCTTTCCGAGGAAGTGGGGACACTTGACCTCGGTCGGACTATCCCTAGTAATATGATCCAGTATTGTAGAAACAAAGGAGCCAAGACAAAGTGCAGCATAACATAACAGAAATGGAGAACCGATGGAGTAGGTGCTGAGATGGTAGTTGGTGGGTGAACTGATCAAAGGATGTAAGGCAGTAAATGAAGTTTTATCAAGGAAATGGAAGCGAGTGAATGGAATGAACATTGTAGGGAAAGCACGAGCGATCCCGGGAGTACCTTAGGTACAGCAGAGTGGGAGTATTATGGGGGAAAATTTAATGCTGCTGAATTTTAACAACCTCATACTTGTAGACATTAATAACCTCACACTAGTAGATATGGACAGAATCTAGTTACTGGTAAAATAGTTGAACGCCAGAACAGGACCCAAATTGATCTCCTTTGCCCAAGCATCAAGGTCATATCGAATTCGAGACCAGTTTCCCAATTTCTGACCATTGGCCGGAGCGTACTTTGCAATATCAAACCCAGCTGGCTCTTCATAAAGGTAGAAAGTATAGCGGTGGGGACTGCTACCCGGTGGAGGCGCAGGACCAATATAATTAGCAACAAAGGGTCCACTCAGATCTAGCTCTCCTGACTCCGTAACCTTGACTCCAGGCTGGATCCAGTGTAGGATGGGGCCAAGGACTCCAAAGGATGGGAAAGGTGCGTCGATATCCAAAGATACGACGAAGTAGGTCTTGTCAGTTGAAAGGCCGGGAAAAGAGAGCTTTGGGGGTGATTGGGCATCTGTATTTTGTCAACTATTGCTGTGATTACCTGGATTGAAGGAATCTGACCAGCGCGGGGTATGTACACCCCTGGCTCGATGGTTTCGTGGCTTCCGATGGTCAAGCTAAGGATCTTGGACTTGTCGTTCTGAATGAGCGACAGTCCCGCCTGAATACTTTTCTGCGAAGGCATTTTGTTCTTGATGTGCAAGATGGAGATGTGACTGGAATTTGCGAATGTGGTTCCTTGTAAGCTTTTGATATCGTCATGCGTAATACCCGGAGATAACCGGACTTTAGGTGCGTATCTCCAGATAAATGATATCAATCACGGCCAATGATAATTTATACGTCTATCCTATTTGCACTTTGCATTCTGCGTATATCTGTGCATCGAAAATTCGTGAAACTGCTCTCGAGGTACCTCGGAAACCCACACATGTGCATGACCTCATTCCTGAACCAGCCCTTTCACCAGAACTTTGAGACTATAGTTTCCTTCATCGGGATAAGGTGTTCCAAAATCACGAACAAAAGCAAGATTCCTCTCAGTCGTATCATATAACTCAAACTCAAATTGGCGAATAAGCGTGGCAAGGGTCAGATACAGCTCAGCGTAGGCCAGACTACAAATAAAGTCAGTAAAGGTTTAATGCTTGAACGAAATTGTCATACTTCATTCCAAGGCAGATTCGCGTTCCTTTCCCAAAGTTCACTAGATAGCGGTGTAGTGACTCGCCCTTGGCAGCAGCGCGCATCCATCTCTCTGGATCGAAGGCGTGGGGGTTAGGGAAAATTACTGGATCCATAAGGACAAAGTAGTTTGTTTGGCCAATGAGAGTCTGATAATGTGTTAGCTGAGATTTCAGGAAAATCGAGAGAATATCACCCACTCCTGGCGGGATGGTATGACCCTTGTAGACCAATGTTTCTGTGGGCGCAACACGAGATGACCGAGTGGCAATCCCAGTGGACAGGCGCAGGGTTTCCAAAACAATGCCAGACTACACGTTTCTCAGTTAAAGCCTTATATTAAGGATAAATGAATTATAGAAGACAAACCAGATAAGGAAGTTGTTCCAGTTGGGTCCACGTCGGGCGGGTCTGAGGTGTTGGCATGACGGATCGCAGTTCCTCTCGCATTTTGGCTTTGACAGTGTTGTCACTGAGAATATGATAAAAGCCAAGTGCAAGAGATCTGGCAGTTGTCTCTGTGCCTCCGATTAAAATAGCGAAGGCGTCATTCGCAAGTCTTTGAGAGCCTCGTAAATGCTCAGGTAATCCACTGTCAGCCAGAGACTGCATAATCGATCCATGTTCCGAACGTTTTCCTGCAAAGATATTTGATACTCGGTTATGGATATCGATCTTTTGGTCCGCCAGAGCGAAGGCGCTGGGGCTTATCACTTTGAGAGCTGATAACGGAAGACAGTCGAAGACGGTCTTCAGGATCGGGAAGAAGAACATAATATGGGCTGATTGGAACAGAGCGTTGATTCCATCCCGTACATGCTCATTGAAATCTTCTTGGTCGAGGTTGCCGCTGTGGTATCCAAGGCTGTATTCATTAATGATGTCTGCAGCCAGACTCGCAAAGCCAGCGTCCAAGTTGACAACTTTGTAAGACCGGCAGGCACTTGTAAGGTGCTCACGTAGCTGATCCAGGGTCTTGTGGATTGTATTCTCCATTTTTATGATGGCTGACTTTGAAAAGAATTTCTCCAAGGGCGCACGACGTTCACGATGGTCCTCGGCGGAGATACTAGAGAATGCGGATCCCTCAAGATCAAATTGGCGGATACTGGCGAAGTCCTTCTCTCGAACTCGCAAGCGGGAAGCATAGACATCCTCGTAGTAGCTCGAATCTTTTATGTGGACCTCTCTCGGCGAAACCCGAACAATAGGTCCTGTATCCGATTAAGTTAAGGTTCGGGGATAGCCGTGGATACTAACCATAGACTTCGTGTAGTCGTTCAAGCTCCCAAATAAATACACCTCGCTTGATGACGTTGAAATAAAAGATGTATGCACTCGAGGCAGCGGCGAGCTTGGGCCCAGGGATTTTACTGAGGGGGTGGAAATATAGTCGATAGATGGTTTTGATGAACGAGGAAATTAGAAATCCACCAATACCCACAGTGGCTAGATTAGCCATTGTGGCGTTTTGGTAGAGTGTGTGGAAGGATAAGAGCATCTTGTGATTTTAATACTAGATGATAGAAAAATGAAGAAAGAGAAAAAAGGCGAAACCGCGAGATACAATAACAAGGCATGAGCGAGCGGGGGGCTACGACAGACCCATATCGGTGTCATTGCTGGCCAATGTGAACACAATACGAGTGCCAAGAATAAAGCAGAATAGACATGATTGGTCTTACTCGGTCCATGCCAAATATAGTCTGCATCTCGCTTAGTGGTTCTGAAGCCTTGGTGGAGTGTACTTATTTCAGACTAGATAGCATTGGTGTCTGACCACCACGCCTACTACCAAATTAGTGGGGAAAAGAGGGGCTCACACATGCAACATACTCAGCGCCATAATTAAACGTAAATGATATTAGGCTTTAAACTATTATAGCATATTATTGAACGTACCAAATTTAGACCAGAGTAAGCTATTGAAGGTAACCTGATTTTTTGAAATATTTCTGTCCTCCCGATCATGCATCTGCCTGCTCGAAATGCTTTGCATTCTACATTCAGATCACCCCTTTATATTGCAAAACAGCCTATAAGCCACTCTTCACTAGTCTGATAGTTGCGAGTTTTCGTTGCTATATTAGAAACACCGGTCATTTCACCAAAGGCCATTCTGAGTTGCATGATATACGATAATAACAGGAGTCGATAACGTGAGTACCAACCTCTGGATTTTTCTAACTAAAATAGCTGAATTCCTACTAGTCACTATTACCTAGTAGGCCATGGTGAGCCCAGCACCGGAGCGTAAAAGATAGGTAGTGGGGCTTTACCCCCCGCGCGGGGGTAATCCACCACAAGAATTGAACAGCATCATCTGGGCACAGAACAAACTCCATAACATTACCAGCAACATTTGAACTCAAAATGATACCAAAAGAATGGCCCACTTTTGACGCTCTGCCCCTAGACAAAAACGGCCCACCAGGTAACGCGTGGGGTCTCTTCGGACCAGACGACCAACTAGGCATGCTGAACCTCCTCACGCCGGACGTGGTAGCAGCCGCAGCAAAAGAGATTCAGAAAGGAGTCCGGATATCACTAGATTGGCCACTTGATAAGCCATCTTTCCCGACAGATGAGCGAAAGGTGTTCGAACATCGGATTGTGCATCATCCCTCCGTGCCTATGAATGATGATGAAGTGCATATGAATACGCAGAGTAGCACGCAGTGGGATGGATTTCGGCATTTCGGTAAGATATGACTATTTTGGAGATTTGTACGGATTCCAATGACTGAATAACTGATAGCGTATCGATCTGGGCGATTCTACAACGGACATCAACAATCTGATTTCGATACGAATGTCCTTGGGATTGATCGTTAGTTTTGTTGTACCGCTATCTAGAAGAATGTAGACTTATACGAATTCTCATCACAGATTGGACAGAAAAAGGAGGAATCATCGGTCGCGGAATTCTAATTGACTACGCGGACTGGGCTATGCGCAATGGCAAAGATCTCAACCCCCTTGAATCAGGAAGTGTTACGATTCAAGAAATCCTAACCATTATCAAAGAGCAGCATATTCAAATTCGAGCTGGTGATATACTTTTTCTTCGAGTTGGGTTTACGGCTGTTTATAACTTTCTCTCGGTATCGGAGCAACAAGGGTATCCTTCGCGCCAGCCGGGAGGGTTACTAGGGCTAGAAGCGACGAAAGAATCCTTGCGGTGGCTGTGGGAGTCTAGATTTGCTGCTGTTGCTGGGGATTCGCCTAGTTTTGAGCGAGCACCTGTTAATGGTCCGTATAATGATCCCAACGTGTCGATTCATCAGTGGGCTTTAGCGGGGTGGGGACTTCCTTTGGGAGAGATGTTTGATTTGGAGGAGTTGGCCAGGACGGCGAAGGAGTTGGGAAGGTATTCTTTTTTTTTGACGAGTGTTCCTCTTAAGGTATGTGATGAGCTTCCATGGATGGATGCATTTTGACTAATGGAATGAATTTGTAGGTTCCTGGTGGAGTTGCAAGTCCCCCGAATGCAGTAGCGATATTCTGAAAGTAAAATTTGGATGATGCGTGTTAAACAACTCTATCAACAAAGAGGGAATGGCATCATTAATGAAGTTTAAACCAAATAGACGCCAAATGATCGGTTGAAATGCAGAACACGCTAGAAATGCAACAGATGAACCTGAGTCCGTTTTGATCGGGAAGCAAGTGCCCGCATCGATGTGATGGGAGAAAGAAGACAAGGATTATAGCGAGAATAAAAGAAGAAACCAGGGTATCATATCCAACTCCTGCCCAACCGGTATTGTGATGTACAGAAGAAAATCGAAGTAGAGGATGAGTAAGCTGTTCAAGCTGCCTGGGCATTCAAAGAGTGGATGTTGACAACACCATTGCTCTGGTCTTCAGAGTTGACCTTGTCGGCATCAAACTCCTCAGTCTTGGGTTGCACATTGGACTTCTCTGCTGCAGCTTCCAAAGCATCGAGGTGAAGGTCTTCACCAGAGGCGTTGGTTTCAGTTGCCGGGACGTCAGACTTTAGAGAGACATCGGATTTGGGAGAGGTAGTCTCCGGCTCATCTTTCTCGATCTTCTCGGTTTCCAAAGCTGGAACATCACCAATCGGAGTCTGGAAGACATTTTCCTCCGCGGGCTCAGACTCCTCGACGTCTCCATTGACTGAGTGGAATTCATCTTTCTCGGCTGGCGTCTCAGGCTCAGACTTGAGGTCCTCCTCGTCAAAATCATCCTCGTCAACGACAACTGGCAGAGCAGTGTTCGTCTGGAGCATGGTCACATTCGAGGGCAAGGCCGCAAATCCGCTAGCCGGCTCAGTCAGGTCACCCGAATCACCGGTAGTTTCGGTGGGCTCGGTGCTGCGACTAGAATGCGAGAGGCCAGTGGGAGAGGTAGATTCGCGACTAGAACCCGATCCCCAGGTGTGACGGGGGTGACGGGGAGGTAAGGCCGGTGGGGTAGGTCGTTTATTTTTATTGATAGTGACGAGACGAGCGCGAGTGAAATTGGGTGAGCTGCGCGAAGAGTCCGCAGTAGCCGGACGTTCTTCAACAGGTGACTCGACAGCTCGCTCCTGCTTGGTGATAGTCGCGTTGGTAACTTCATGGACCTCAAAGTCGTCGTCATAGTCAATTGGCTGGTCTTCTTCGTTTTCATTTTCAATCTCCGCTCGTGCAATCAGTCTCTTCGCATCCAACAAATCCTTGTCCTCTTCCTCGCCACCGATCGGCACTGCCTCCCATCTCTCCTCGGGATTCTCAGAAACACCCGTCGATTCCTTCGCACTCCGCGAAGACGCTCGGCTCACTGAAGTGGGCGTTGTTAGCGGGAAATCCGTCTGGGTACTGCTATCCGTCTGAGTCCCGCGATTCACGCTGGAATAACTCTGCATACTGGTCCGCCAGCTGTTCCGCGGCGAGCTGTCAAGGCTGCGCCGCGAAAAAGTCGCATAGACCGGGCTGCTCGGATTGGGCCGGAACTCAAAGGTCTCGGGGCTTGGCCTCACCTTGGTGCTGGCCTCCCGAATAAACAACCCCTCAGCCTCCAACGCTTTCACTCCATACGGATCGGGGTCTTCGGCCGAGGGGACACCGAAGGCGTGGCCGTCGTCGAGTTCAATGTCGCCAGGGGTCTCGCCAGGAGCCGGAATCAGGCTTTCATCCACGTCGCGGTCTCCCTGAGCGGCTTTGAGGGTTTGCAGAAGGGTATTGATCGACGCAGGTGGGTGGCGGACTTTGCCGGCGAGGATATCGGTAACGGAGATTCGCTCGCCGTAGAAGCGTTCGTTCTCGTCGCTTCGCTCGATAATGATAGTGCCGTCGACGGCCACACCCGCATAAAGACCCTTACTCTTCATGTAGGTCCAGATCGGGGACTGACGCTTGTGAACCTCGGAATCGAGCACGCCACCCATTCCAACGGGACCAGCCGCCACACTAACCTCGCCACCGAGTGTGCAGCGCAGCTTCTTGAACGCCTCTAGAGCTTGCTGAGTATTAATGATGACGACACAGTCGTAGATGTCGACACCAGCGAGGAAACCAATGCCAGCAGTGTGCAGCATGATACCAGATGGCGGGCTCCATTCGCCTGTCTCGGGGATCCGAGCGAGCAACACACCACTTCCACCCGAACCACTCACCCAAAGGCCGGTTCGCATGGTGGTGAAGACAGCGATACCTTTGGCATTTTTGATGACTTGCGACGGAATCTTCTTGATGACCTTTTGCTTGCCCTTGGGGCGATTGATTTTGCCATTCTCGTCATATCCGTCCTCGGTATCGGCGGCATAGAAACCATCTTTGCAGAAACTGCGCAAAATGCGCGCGGCTTTGTCGCTTTCTTTGTCGATGGCCATAGGCCAAAAGGCCTCGGCGCCAAGCTTATTGGAGAGGCGATTAACCGGGGCGCCAAGTTTGTCGACGGTCGCCCATGTTTTGTCGAAGCCCTTTTTGGAGAATCGCTTTGTCTTTTCCCAGGTAGATTCGGACATGATTACACCAATATGGGAGAAGCAAAGAGAAAAAGTTTCGCGGGAAGGCGCCCTCTTTTCGGTAGGTTCTACTATCTGAAACGCGACAGGTGCGCAAACGGGACCATGGGAATCGTGGAATGCTTCTTAAATGGATCCGGAATGCAGATCGAGAGATTTGAAAGAATCCGGAGAGATCGTCACTGGAGAATGCGGGGAGGAATGTTCGGATCCGAAGGGTTTTGTCCAACAGTAAAAGTCTGGGGGTTTATCGAGATCGTTAATATAGTTCCTACCAGTTGACATTGTTCCACAGGGCTGATGAGGTTCATGTTGCGCAAGTTGGGAGCTTGTCTATGTGGTGCTGCGACATATGTGGAATGTATACCCAAAACAGCATTGGAAAGAAGACTTTGACTTACCGGCACTTGAGTGAGATCGAAAGAATCTCTAGCAGAAGGTGTGGGAAAATACGCAGAAAAGAACAAATGATTTATATAGCGGGGCCGTATGGAATAATATAAAGCATTTAAATCCGAAAAAACCTTGGAAGTATCGGCATCGGGTCAGACGGAAAGTGAGTGTGGCGCCTGTGGCCAAAAAGCTGGAATCACGAGTCAAGTTCACTGGGAACGCGCGGAAAGACGTCATCGACTCTATAACTTATCCTGCACGTTGCCCTTTGGTGCTATATGATATGATCATCTAACTTCGTGAATGGATTCATCAAACGTTAAGGACAATACAGATGGTTTCGAATTTTAATTATAATTTATAATTTACCTTCCCAGCTGAATCCGCGTATATTGTCTACAATAGATCATAAGCCCCCACTTCGAACCCTTCGGCAATCAAAGCTTTCCATAGATCCAAGGGTTCCAGACCAGTCCCGACCTAGGTACGCCCAGGTACGATTCGTCAGATTCGAATTTTCACATCGCTATTATTCGCCAGATTACCACATGTTTTGCTATCAATCCGATGTTTGTACATCATGTTCGCCTGATAATCCCCAGCTGTAGTACTGCAGGGCTGCTTGGTGGGGCATTTACCTCGACGCCACTTTTGGGGATCCTCAGGTAGTCACGTGTCATTACCCAATTACACCATTTGAATTGCATCTTACTAATGTCGATGCCTGCTTGCTTATGTGAGACACGCTCAACATTTGAAGGCTGCCATTTATCAAATAGCGTGGATTATCGCGTTGTCTTTTCCAATCAAAAGTACTGACTTGGAGTTTCAGGTTTCTCCCCAGTTCAGACCACTCCGGAAAATATATACCATTTGGGCAGTTGCCTTAGGTATGAGGTGTACATAGCAAAATACATAGAAGAAGGAATGCAGAGTGCATGACATACATGCAAAGAGAGTACTAAACTATCTTTGATGTGCATTTTAACAAATTGAATCCAGGTCCAGCCTGAGATCACGGCTCATTTGTTCTGGTGTGACATGTCGAGTAGGGATTGACATATTGAGAAAATGGAAGGGTGGATATAATCACATGATATGAAACATCGTCATACAAACGCATGTTTGGCCGAGTGGTTAAGGCGCTGGAGTATGTATAACTTACTGAACACCAGTTCGAATCTCAATACTAACAAATTATTACAGTTCAAGCAAAGCTTAGCTTCGTACAAACGGAGTTGGAAATCCCAGTAACGAAAGTTGCGCAGGTTCGAGTCCTGCAGCATGCATTATCTTTTTTTTTTATTTATTTTATGCAATTTTTTTTGAATTTTTTTAATCAGAACTTGTTCTTTCGTTTGAATAATTGCGTCATTACAAAGTGAGGTTTCATCTCTACATGTATCATATCTGTGTAAAGTACAGAAACACCAATAAATCCACATACTTTGCTCATCAATGCAAGGGGGCTGTATACAGCGATAATCCGAAGGGAAGTGGAACCACAAGAAGTAGAGACCAGGTGAGGAGAGCTGGGTAAAGTTATTACTTAGATTTAAAAAAGCTGGCACTCTTCAACACAACTGCGTGTTTGGCCGAGCGGTTAAGGCGCTGGAGTATGTACCACTTACCGAACATCAGTTCGATTCTCAATACTAACAAAATATCGCAGTTCAAGCAAAGCTTAGCTTCGTACAAACGGAGTTGGAAATCCCAGTAACGAAAGTTGCGCAGGTTCGAGTCCTGCAGCACGCATCATCTTTTTTTAAATTCTTTTTCTTTTCAAATTCTTTTTCTTTTCAAAAAATTCCTTTCATCTTTTGAATGTTATCAACTATCATGAAAACAAAGTACGAAAGTCAGATGTTTCACATAAACGAAACGAACTGACATCCTGACTGGATTGGGCCAGCGTTAGCCATGACGCCATTAAAGTGAGGCTAACCAGCAGTAGAGATGTAGTCTGCCGGGCAAAAGTGATGTAGAAAAAAGCCGAGCAAACCTTCTGAGGGAGCGCTGGTGTATTTATCATAAACTGCCGATACCACGACAGCCTTGGACGCGTATTCAGGATGACTATTGCTAAACCATGATTGAAAGATCCCAATATCTGGAGGTGAATACAATGCAACAGTAATACTAACAATAATCTCAGCCTTGGAAGCATGTAATTGGCAGTCAACTGTGCGAAATCATTAGCTTTGGAAATATGATATAACGAGCAAGTCCGAATATAGCTGCATAGATTAGTCTCAAGCTCCTTTCCCCCGCTTAATTGCGTGTCCCCTTAAGTGTTTATCGCTCAAACTGCTGTAGCACAGAATCCATCAGGCAAGTAGATGAACAAGTTATTTATTATCAAAAAAACACCAGTATGACTGTGACAATTATACATAAACTATCAACTCTGTCTCGGTGAATCCGCGTGCCACCTTCAAATGTTGTGTCCTGCGAGACATCTCCTGGGTGACTTTGATGTGCCCGAGTAATCTTAAATCGGGTAAAAGTGAGCTTCTTTAAGAGTCTACTTATTATTCTGCAAATTCGAACAAATTGGTGTCATCCAGTGCAACCTGGTCTGCCATAACTTTTTTTCTTATAAATCGGAATCATCTTCGAAACACTCTGGTGGCATTTTGCCGAAGCGAGGAAAAGGAGACCCTGGTACGTAATTCTCCGATACAAAGTTCTCCGAAATATAGTGAATCACCTCCAAGAATGAAACATGTATAGATTCGTGTCCGATCATCCCAAGATCCTCCAACTGGCCAAAGAAATCCCCCATGGCGTCCGGGACCAGCCTCCCGCGTGCATTATACTTCTTCAACTTTTCTTTGAAGATCCGTTCTCCTTCCATGTTATAAAACTTGATGAACCAAATAAATAGCTTCGCAGTGATCCCTTGATACTCACAGGTCCCCTCTTTCCACATTACAGGAAAGTTGGCCACGAGCGCTCCCCAAGGGTTTTCAGGTAGGGATTCAGGCTCAAAGTTAAAGCAAGGTAACCCTCTAAACTTTTCAATAGAGAAGATACTTTTCTGGTCTAAGTCGGCAGGGAAATAGACTGTTAGGACCTCATAAATCATCTGTAGAAGGGAAATCGGGTTGGCGACTATGATATGTCTAGTAGGGTGTAGCAGCGCGGCAACTTCTTGGGTCCATGGGCGAGATGCAAGAGCTTCGTTGAGTCTGAGTGAAAGTTTGGACCCAAGGAATTCTTCCATATCTTTGTTGCTGCTCCACTCTAGCAGTTCGTTAATGTCCGGATATTCAGAAGACAGTATAGCATTGTTTCACGTCAACGGGACAAAATGGCTTATCGATAATCAACCACTCAATATCACTTAGCCCATGTGGACGGCCTCGGGAGATAACGATGCATTCACGGAATTTTTGTATCTCTTGGAGGATGGCAAAGATTTCGTCGCTATCAGGGATGACACCATTGGATGGATCTTGGAGCGATATCCATTGTCGGTGGCATTTTCTCTGGAGATGAATTATTGCCGTTTGTTTTCGCGACAGTGTTGTTGACGGCGGGCAAGTGTTATTGTTTCTTTAGTGCGCGTTTCCTTGTGGTCTTCTTGGGCTTCACTGCACTGGCACGCGTGGCCGATCGGGTAGTAACAGCCATTGTGTGGCAAGCTAAAAAGGCGATGCCAAACAAAAATTGAAGGCTGAGGAATATTGAGGGGGAAGGGACTCAGGGATATCGCTGAAATGTCACTTTGCCCCTCGTGATGATGCCAAGATGTTGACGGCTGAGGCACAAGCCTCATGGAGAGATCACACTAGTAAGGCTGGAATCTCTTCCACAAGAGATACCGCTGCTGGCTAGCTGGTTTCTATAGATCATTGCTTCCATATACTTAAACAAGCCTCTGATGTGCCAGGGTGACACGACGGTCCTCACTATGATGTGGGCGGACTATCGCCTCCGCCCAATTGGCAATTTGACTGCTCCTCGCGAATGCGTTGATTGGGATCTCCTGATGGAGTAGGTTAAGCCAAACTCGAGGGACTTGACTCGAGACGAGTGATTTTATTCATTCTGAATTGAGTATATCTTTATTTACTTACTTGCTTTCACGACTTACTAACGTGCAGTTCGTCTGCGACGCAGATCCAGTGGTGATTGATGGCCATTTTGATAATGACCTGGTCGATCAAGTAACATTAAGGTAACTAGATCTTAAGGTCGTAAAGCGGCAAAGCGAAGACTTGCGAGGTATGAAATAGCGGGGAAGCTAGATAGATTCATAGTTCTGGCCTATTATTCCTTTTTTTACTAGTTTTATTGGCAGATGAAATACTAGCAGAAGATTGGAATGACGAAAAGGCGCTCTTTTCATTCATGAATCCCATTCCAGACGTAGTGGAAATAAAGGGACGTTAAAGGACAACGGATGGTATAGAGACAGTACAAAATTTAGAGCGCACCCAGCTCCTTCAGCTTAGAAACAAGACCATCAACGTCCTCAACCTTGCCACCACCCTGGCGTGGCGGAGGCTCTGTAAAGAAGAAAAAAATTAGCAAAAGACCAATCCAATCCAATCGTACGAAACATACCGGTAACGTTAAGAGTCTTCAACCGCCGAGTATCCTCAACACCAAAATCGGCCAAAGTCTTCTTCTCCAACGGCTTCTTCTTCGCCTTCATAATATTCGGCAAGCTAGCGTACCGAGGCTCATTCAACCGCAAATCAGTAGTAATGACCATGGGTAACTTCGCCCGCAGAGTCTCCACACCACCATCAACCTCATGTGTCACCTCAATTGTACCACTCTCATCCTTAATCTCGATCTTGCTGGCCTGGTTCGCCTGCGGCCACCCGAGCAGTCCAGCGAGCATCTGTCCCGTCTGGCCCTGGTCTCCGTCAATCGCCTGCTTACCCAGTAGCACGAGGTTGATGTTCTCCTTCTCGACGACGCTGCGCAGAAGCTTAGCGATTGTGAGTGGCTCGGGGCCGCCGTCGCCGGATTCTGGGACGTCGATGTGGAATGCGCGGTCGGCGCCCATGGCCATTGCTGTGCGGAGAACGTCGGGGGTCTTGGGACCGCCGGCGGAGAGGGCGAGAATGTTCTCGACATTTAGAGGGCCTTTGCGTTCGCGGAGGCGGACGGCTTCTTCGATTGAGAGCTCATCGAATGGGTTCAAGGAGTGCTTGACGCCGTTGGTTTCGACGCCTGTTTGGGCTTTGTTGATGCGGGGCTTGATCTGTATTGATTCAAGGGATCGCGTTAGTTGCGTTTTTCTTCAGCTGGGTTCCTTCTTGTGGATTGTACACAGTTCGAGGTGAACGGGGCCAGGTGCGGGCAAATCGCGGATTTAGGGCGTGTGGTGCGCACTGCCGAGCCTGGTTTTGGGGAGGTTTTTGGGGAGCTTTACCGCGTAGTCGATCACCCGCTTGACGGGTACTAATATGCGTAGGCCGGTAGACATGGTGAAATTGCTTTGTGTTGAGCAATTCAGGTAGAGATCTAGAAAAGTTGGAGGAAGAGCGAGAGGAGAAAGGACTGCGGTGACGGAGTGCCAAGACTGTGGAAAACGCCGACGCGGCCCGAGTATAGCCCTGATCGACTGATCGTCTCATTCTTGTCAGCCGAGGTTATGCATATACAGCCTACAGGAAATCATATTCCACTGTATTTGCTAAGCGAAATGATGTTGTCGGTCATATAACTTTACTCAACTGTGTCATCTCGGAGCTTGTTCTCATATAATACACTTTAGAGGCGTTTCGCCGACTTATAGATCTAAATCTCCGAGAGCACATGCGAATCCCGCGATTACCATGTAAGCCGAATAATCATTTTCTTCTATCCTCTATGAATTACCATGTCTCTTGCTTATATCTCCCACTCTTTTCCATTCCAATTAAGTACTCCTCCGCTTGCGACCGAGTGTATGGGTGCCCTGGTACTGGTGCACCTCCGTTCTGGAAGGACTCAATCAATGCCTCCCGTACAGCTTGAGGCATACGTCCAGATGAACCACAAATATAAACAGATCCATGCAGTTCGTGAAGAAGTCGGAAGAAGAGCGAGAAGTTTTGCCGGATCGTATCTTGCACGTAGATCTTCTGCTGCTGATCACGGGAGAATGCAGTGAGAACCTGCAGAGGAATAAGTTGACTCAGTTGGTCCCATTCCTCCGAGAAGAAGAAATCCGAAGTTCGATTGCGACCGCCATAGAGCAAGACTGTAGGTCCAATAGGAGGCTCAACGCCGGGGTATTGTTCGCGGTAGGCTTGGACCAGGGCTGCCTTCTCCCACAGCATAGACCGAAGAGGTGCAATGCCCGTACCCGGCCCAATGAGGATAGTGGGTCCAGTCAGTTGCTGAATAGAGGATTTAAGTCCACCGGGTTGGAGCTGGACTCGAAGGGTGCTTCCTGGTTGGAGTGTAGAGAGATATCTGGTGCAGACACCTTCGCGGATCCTTTTGATGACGGTCTGATATTTGACAATGGCGATGAGAAGCTCAAACTGTGTCTTTCCGTCTGCTGTTCGCTTCCGCGCGCCACCACTGGCGATGCTGAACTGACGTGCCCGCATGACGGGAAGGACGGATACCGCATGCTGCCAGGGGATTTTCACCGTGTCGAATTCGTGCAGCACTTCGAGAATGCTCCGCCGGGGTCGGGAGGTGTAATCCCAGAGCTCATCGAGATATTCTGGATTTGTGAACTCCATTAGACGTTCTTTTTGCATTTCATCATTCGTGTAGTGGGTAATAGTGGAAAAGAAGGATCTGCGGGGTATAGCTTTGAGATCCAGATAGTCTATGAGAAGCGCGCGCAGGGTCAAATTAGGATATGAATCGAGACCGGGTATTGGTGATGGTGACGGTGTGCTCTGAGTGGGAACCAGAGCAATTGGTTTATCTGCGATATCATTCCATCCTGTGATGTCGAGAAGAGTTTGTACATCGGTAGGTGAGCTTTTGGGGGTGATGGCGATCATGTCACCAGGAGCGTATGAGACGGACTCGGGAACCGTGAGCGATATACGACGAACATCCTGCCAATGATTCTGAGGAGTGACTCGTCGATTCTCGTCAAGAGACGCGGTGAGAGTATCTGGGAGTGGCCGAATATCATAGTCTAGATTCTTTAAGCCGGGGTATTCGTCTGTTTGGACAATTTGGTCTTCAGTCGGAAGATTGGTTTCTACCACTGAAGTGTCTCCTTTCAGCTGTAAGATCCATTTTGGTGGTAGTTGAACATCATCTGGGATAGGATGTTGCCCAGGGGGAAGAGGATGTCGGTCCAGTAGATTCTTGCGGAAATCGGCTACCCACGGTAGAAATGTACCTTCAAGCCTGTCAAGGTATTAGTGTCGGGCCATGACCATAGTCGAATTACACTAACCCCTCTGGATGCTGTTGATCTGCCTCTCCTGTGGGATAAACGTCATTTGCACCTAACTGCAACAGCCGCTTGTAGAGCTTCCGCACAGCCCAGTTGAACCTGTAGACATAAGCATTCGCGCCATGTGGGTGTCGATTATCCACTCAGAACATACTTGGGATAAGAGCTATCACCCAATCCAAATGATGCAAAGTTCACACCATTCAGAAAGGTAGGTGGGAGTTTCTTAAGCAGCAACGATTTCCAAAATGTCCTTGCATTCGCCGGTAGATCGCCTTGACCGGTAGTCGAGACAACAAAAATAGTAATGGTATATGAGGATAGCGTTTCCTGTTTACAAGGAGACATTAGCAAGTAAATTCCATAGAATTGCACAAGGTAGTTCAATTGACTCACCGGCTTCACCTGGTTCAATTCGGAAACATGCGTCACAAAACGCAGTCGCTCGGTCACTGCGCCCAATTCCTCGGCCACTTCTTGCGCATTCCCTGTCTCTGACCCGTAGAGAATAAGGACCGACCTTAGATGGCCAGGTCTTTGGGAGTCCTCCATACTGGTGATGTTTGTAGTTTGTCTGCCCCTCCAAACCCCCAAACCCCAAAATCCCATCGCGGGGCCGATATGGCTGACGTCATCAACGCCGAAATCGCATCTCTATCTTACGTTAATGATCTATGAAATCACCAGCTGAACTCAAGACCCGAAAAATGCTAATCTTAATTTGAAGATCATTTCCAAAAGGCTGTGGAAAATATGCCAGAGACACTTGGACTTGGACAATGGGAGTCTCCCGCCCATTGTCAAAGACTCGGAAAGTCCACAAATTTCTCAAATATTTGTTTTGATTCTTTTAAGCTTTTCAAGCTTTGCAATATATGGCAAAGCTCACTGTCTTGCAAAGACAGCAGTGCAGAATATGGGTGAAGAGCTTTTTACTTGCATTCGTGACTCACTTCATTCTTGTTGAGGATTTCTTGCGTAGCTTGACCACTAAACAGTAGATATGTAAATTTTGGAAGAAGTTGAGTTGAAAACCTTTTGAATCGTTCCAGTCCTTTTATTCAAAGTAAATGGATGGACTGAATATCCACTGTACCGACGCTCAAATGCAATAGCCCCAGAAATATGGACGCCCAATTTCGAACCAAACATCAAAAAAGCAAGCAAAGGGTATATCAGATCAACGGTTCAGAGTACATCCTCACCACCGCCATCTCCACCATCTTCGTCTCCATAGTCATCATCACCACCATCAAAGTACTGCTCCGCATTGTAATCACCACCCATTTCATCCTCATCATCCTCGAAGTCATTCTCCTCTTCCCATTCCTCTTGTCCTTCTTCCTCGTCAAGTAGATCCCCTTCCTCGGCATCTGCATCGCCCTCCTCATCTCCCTCAGCACGCTTCTTTTTCGCATCATCCTCTCCATCATCTTCATCGTCCTCAAATCCGCGCTTCGCAGGACCAGAACCCATAGGCTTATATCCATCCAAGTCGGCATCTGGTCGGAAGCTGGGTTGAATAGTCTGCCAAAGTTCACGAGGAAAATATTTCATAACTGTAAATGATCATTAGATACTGCAGTCCATGCATTCCCAAGAATGAAGTCCAAATCATTTCCACATACTGAATTCGTAAGGTCGTCCACTGGGATCAATGTGTGGCAGTGTTCGTCGCTTCTTCTGGTATCGTCCGGAGTAAGACGGCATGCCGGTGAAAGGATCGAAATTGACGCGCGCAGCACTACCCTTCTTGGCTGATGAGGAGGAAGAGTCTAGGACCGAGTAGTGAGGGCCCTCTTGATCGCGTTCGCGATGGTGTCGGTAGTGATCGACCTCATTTTGTTCTTTGGGAGAGAGCTTGCGGGCCCACGGGACAGTATATGCCTTTGCGGAGTATTTGGTCAGATTTCGATCCATAATTATCAAAGGGAGAAAGAAATAGCTAGAAAGAAGCTCAAAGATGTGAATGGGGAGGTCATACTGGGTAGAGGGGAGTAGGAGCTGTGTCAGGCACACCACCTGGGTCTGCATCCCAAGTGAATTCGGCGCCAGGTAAGCGCTTGCCTTTATTGAAACGTGACATGATCACACAGCACCACTATTATAATTATTGGATCGTAGTGAGAGTCCCAAGTCTCACTCACGGCGCCATTAGAGGTGTTGGAGAAAGTTACGACTCCAAAGAAAATAGCGTTTGCGGGCTTCACCGCCCGCATCTCCGAAACGTGACTCGGCCGGAACTGGAATTAGGGCTTCACTAGTGTAAACTTCCCCGCGCTAAATCATGTCGATCAATTTGATGCATTAGAGATATCTAGATACAGGGAAATCTCATGGTTACTATCTTTTCGCGCAATCTATTCTGATACTTATTATCGACCAGCTGTCTCCACCTGGGCAAAGGTCTGCTGAACCGGCCCTGAGGGACCCTCGTTCACTCGCTGTCGCAGTGTTCGCAGAATATCCTCGAATCCTTCCATTTGTCCTCCGCTTTCCTGAAGTGCGCGGTAGAGTGCGACCAGAACATCATGCTTGGCAGTGGCCACTTTCCAGACGGCATTTTGGGAATCACCAGCACCACCGCCCACGAATTCACCATAGGACCGCGGTGGTTTAAAGAGATACGGAAGGAGAGTGGTGAGTGCAGGCGGAGTAAGAATAGCCCATGGCCCAGACAAAGGAAGCAGACCACTAGAGCCTGGAGACAATTGTCCCAGTCCCTCTTCAGATGGCAGTTGGAATCGAGATGAGTGGCCAGAAACATGGGAGGCCGGGAGCAATGGCTGCCAGTTAGCCGACACAATGGCTCTCATAAAAGAGATGGCAGACAACGCAACATCCTTCATCACGAGAATATCGGCCGCGGCAACAATGTCGTTCCAGAAATTGGGATGTTCATTGAGATAAAGAAAGTAGAGCATGCGTGCCGCAGCGGCTTCGTGGTCCCAGTCCGTGGGTGTCTGGCCAGACGTATTGAGATCCATAGAATCAGACACCGCTGTATGTACTGGCCCACGGAAGATCTTCCCCAGAGTATCAAGAGCCTCTCCATTCGTTGGGCTAGTAGGGATAGCCAACATAGGGTTTGCACCGTGCTTGCCGGCTTCAACAAGTAACACTCGAGGAAGCGAAGCAAGGATGGCTAAATGTCCCGTGGGTACTTCCCCGTGTGCCCACTGAACAGAGGGAATGGCCAGTGCCCGGCCAATGCGCGAAATTATGCCATCAAGGACAGTCCAAGGGTTTCCTAGGAGATGATTGGGGTAAGACTCAGCATATCTTGTGACATAAGCCATAATAGGACCCGGCAGGTAGATAAGGTCGACGGGATCAAGCTTAGAATCATCCAAATAATATTCCAGTACCTTGGGGTGAAGCTTCTCCGCGATCAAAAAGTCCAATGCTGGGGACGAAAAAGTCGATGCGGACTGAACACAGCTCCGAGCAGCAAGACCAGGGGCATCAATTTCTAGAAGTTCCCGGTAAAAGCTCAAGAGTGTCATATGCATCAAGACATCGCCCACGTCCACCATTTGACACGCCGCAAAATGAAGAAGACTGCTGCTTTGGTACTGGTTCTCTACCTCTGGAACCTGAGGCTTTGAGATGATGTCCCAGCGTAAGCGGCCAGCCTTGACCAAGAACCCCATCAATCTGCCCTGGGCTATAGTTCGCTCGCGCTTGGACAGTTCTCCTGGCGCACCGACTTGAAGGCTGCACAAGCCAAAGAAAAGACCATAAACATCCTTATCCGTGAAAACCCTTCTCCACATGAGGCCCTGGCCCGTATGTCCTTCATCACTAGCAAGGTCTTCTTCATTCTCAAGGTGGCTAGCTAAGTCAACCTCCAAGAGAGCCCACAGGGTGTCGAGCGCTGCCTGTGCGACTCCAGTAGACGAAGTTGACAACCATAGTTCCACAAGGGATGCGATCAAGCCAGAGTCTCCTGCTACTATGGCAGCATCACCAGGTGCCTGCCCTGCTTTGGCCAGCAAAGAGAGAGCGAGAAGGTTGATGGGAGGAGATGGGGCCTTAAAACCAGCGACGATATCGATGGGAGGGTCGATCGAGCGGATTTCAGTAAAACTAAAATAGCTAGTTGCTTTGGTTGCAAGTGTAGTGAGTGGAGTGGGATCTTCCTGGAGGATAGGCAAGAGGGCTGATATCTGCGATAAGAGTGTCGCGGGGACAGTCGGAGCGGTGTTTTCAACTAGTTGCAGTTTGAGTCGTTCGATAAGGGAGATGTCAAGTGATGTAGAGGGATCTGTCTGAACATCGGCAAGATGTGCCTTTACGGCATCAAAGGTAGACGGAATCGCCATGACAAGGAAGCATAGGAAGCTTGAATGATTTTAAGATTAATACTCCGGAGATGAGGCGGGGAGAGCTGTTTGGATCTTGCCTTAGGCAGAAATATGCTATATTCTGCCAAACCCGACCGCCATCACCTTCACAGCTACGATCACATCAAACTACAAGCAGCCAGTCGCTTTTCACATCTCACCTTCCACGACCTTAATGGTGACTCCAAGCATGGATACACCTTCTCTTGTTTCACAGAGGCGATCTGAATCTGGCCTCTCCATCCAGCTTCACCCCCTTGTTCTTCTCAGCATCTCTGACCACCTCACTCGCCATAAAGCACGTCAGAGAAAAGGTCTAGTAGTGGGTGGCCTCTTAGGCCAGCAAAATGGACAAGAAATTACATTGGAACATGTCTTTGAATGTCCAACCCAACTTGGATCTGATGGTGATTTCCGAATCTTGAAGGAATGGTTCGACACACGTCTACAACAATGTCAGTATATCATTCCCCGCACTAGCTTATTGAACTATCTCTCACCATACCCAGTCAAGGATGTTCATCCACACCTTGAGCTTGTAGGATGGTGGTCCACCGCTTCACCGAATGGCCCTAATGAGGCATACCTACCTATCCACCGTCAGATCCTCCAGTACTATAATGAATCCGCCGTCTTCCTAGCTTTCCACCCTTCAGAACTCCAAACATACGAAACACACAACGCCAAGCTCCCATTGACTATCTACGAAAGTGCTCTAGAGAATGACAATGACAATGACAATGATGCTGCTAAGGATATGGAGATTGATGGCCAGGATGTGCCTAACTTGAGGTTCCGCGAACTACCTTATTCGATGGAGACAGGCGAAGCTGAGATGATCGGCGTCAACACCATTGTCCAAGACTCCGCAACTGCGGCAGTCACATCTCACAATTCACACACTTCTTCTGCACACCCGCGTAAAGTGGATGAAAACGAAAATGAATTCACACCTACAAAAATTACCGACAAAATCGAGGACGAGTCAGCCGTTGGCAAGCTAAATCATCACGAGGAGCAGTGTAAGCGTCGCACCAAAATCCCTACTCTCCAAACATTCCATCTATTCATCAATTTTGTATACAATTCTAACATGGGGATAATTTGGACAGTAATCGCAAGCCTGACTTCCCGCCTCAACGCAGTCCGTATCCTGGAATCCCGCGTCACTCTCGTCAAGTCTTATGTCAATAGCATCTCTGCCAATTGTTCCGCAAATCCCTCTGAATCACCAGCATACTCCCACCCAATCATTCGCAATGTCAATGGCCTCCTTTCGGAACTTAGTCTCCTCAACCCGTCTGATGAAAATGGCTTGGCCAAAGAACTCGTTTGCCAAAATAACGACGTTCTCATGGTTTCTCTGCTTGGAGAAGTAGCCAAGATCGCTAGGACTGCGAGAGAGCTTGGCCAGAAGAATGCGGCTGTGCAAACAGGACGACAGACGGGTTCCGCCCGGAAGGCTGCCATAGGAAATTTCGAGGATGTGCGTTATATGGCAAAGTTTGAGGAGATAGACCATCAGTATGGGCCTTTCTCCCATTAGACAATCTCGGGAATTTGAGCGGTTATGAGATTTTGAATGACTTTTATGGATTTCCACCTCGGAGATGATAACATTTATGACCGGGCCTGTCATACTACTTTTTTGCTTTTCTTTGCTTATGGCGTTTGAGCACATTCTTATTTTACTATGCTATAGACGAGACAATGACAATCCATAGTTTTTTTTTTTTTCCATTTTCAACACATGCAATTCAATGCGAAAAATAGATAGAGTTCTTTCATTGATATAGGTTTAATGTACAAGTATCGTCGACTGCGTCGAGTAAAATAAATGAGATGCAAGCCATGACCATGCATGAATGCAGAAGAAAAGAAATTTGCGGAAAGAGAACATGCCAACATTGGCGGGTATTCATATCCATATCCAAAGAAGAAGAAAGAAGAAGAAGAAGAAGAAGAGGAAGGAGGAGGAAAATATCAAACAGAAAATCAAGAGCTGCTCATGGGTAGCGTAGAGATAAATGCGCAAGGTCTTTCTTGTGCCCGAATCACGAGATGCAGAACCAACAAAACCAAGCAAGACATGGAGTAATCATGAATCCGTAGATCATCGTTCATGATGACTTTCCGGGTATGGTGGTGGAGGTCGATATGGATCCGGGATAGGCATGGGAACCTGCTCACGAAGTGGGCCATCGACTGGATAAGGATGTGGGGCGGCGTAAGGATTGGGGGTTGCATAAGGGTTGGACATTGCGGGATTGGGGTCATAAGGGGAGCTGTGATAAGCAGTGTCGGGGATCTCAGGAGGGAAATATGGCGAAGGGGAGCTCCCTTGGCCATAGTAACGGCTTCCTGAGTGTCCCGCTAGGTACTCCTCGGCGTCTGACGCATAGGGAGAAGTACCCAGAGGGGCGACCTCTGGATTTGCTTGGGCGTGAGCGAGAAGCACGGCTCCTTCCTCGTCTGGCGAACTACCGTAGTGGCCTGCCCGGCCAGTCATGGCTGTGGAGCCCTGATAGGCTGTTCCTTGTTGGGCGATCCCTGATTCCGAGGGCTGCAAACCGATGGCGTCGTTCGAGGTCGAGGATTGGTGGTAACTTGGGTCCAGTGTGCGAGTTTTGCGCCCAACGAACAGCCAGCGTGCACTGCGTCCGACGGCTTTCACTAGGTCCAATGGATTCATTGCGTCGGCCAGGGCCTTGAAACCCCATCGTCCTCCTTCATAGGATCCCTTGCCAGCGCCGTAGAAATCGGTCACCTCGGCTCCCTGATTGGTGATGACATAGGGTTTCTTGGGGAAAGCCCACAAGTGCAAGATGGAGAAGATGAACATTTCAATGTTAATCAACAGCTCTGGTAGACTGTACTTCAGATCTATGTAGCTCATCGTCTTCGACGCCTTTACGGCGCCACTGGACATGAGTAAACTGATAGCTGACTACAGATAAAGAAAATCAGACGAATGTCAAAAGTTCAGGGGTTGGATACACATACCGATTGCCAGAAAGAAAGGAAGATGACCAACTTGATCGAGACGATTTTTAAGAAGGGGTTGTGCTGCTTGATATCATCTTTGATTTGAATGTAGAATTGGATCAGGCAGTACATCGCAATACTGACACTAACGGATTCAATGACGAGAACCCAGATATATGCGAAAGCAGGACTGAGGCTCTCTTCACAATATCTGCCAGTAGCTTGAGTCGCGACTGCGACAATGGTCATCAATACGCGCATCAGGCAGTACTGAAAGACACCAGCCCAAATAACCTAAGCAATTTCCCCATTAGTATCAGATCCAGCACCGAACCAGTCTCCAATATCGCAAAACTTACATTGAACCATGTCAACCCGCTGCGCGGATTCCGCCAAGCCCCACGCTTTGCGCCGCAGAATGCCCACTTCTGAAACCAATTCAACGGCCATACCCACGGCTTCGGTTGGATACCCCGGAAATAATCCTTCTGGCTGTGTAGGTCGGGCGCGATGTAGGAACACATGAGAGAGAAGAAAGAGGCAATGGCGAAGGCTTCGTAACAATCACCCATGACCTCAAAATAAACGGAATCGTTATAGAAGAGAATGCTGAGCCACGCGACGATGGAGTATATAGGAACCATCCATAGGATTCGGATAATACTGTACAACAGAGAAAGCGCGTCAGTAAAGACATACCATCGCGCCCGGACAGGGTTCCAAGTGACTTACTGGCGCTGCTCAATAGCTTTACTGTAATGTCTGGCATGTGTCATGATGAGGAAGATGGATATGATGCATGCAAAAAAGGCACATACACCTCCGACGATCAAGCTCAGGTCGTGAAATGTAAGGCCGCCATCCCAGAGGTCGGTTTCGGAGACTGTTCGGGCGCGAATCAGGTCAGTGCTATTCGGTTTCCTTTCGCAGTGGGGTCAAGTTAATACTTTTCTCATGCTCCTCGGTGGCATTACACACAGTCCAGCCCATTCTGGCTGGTGTGTGTCGGGTTGCGACAGTGACAGGGTTAATTGTTTGAAAAGGGGATTATGGCGGAGGACAGCGGAGTTGTGTGTTTTGCCCTTTTTCCCTTGGGTGGGAGATCAAGGGGGGAAACGACCAGAAAAGACAGAAAGACAAAAAGTCCAGAAAAATAAGATTGCAGGAGAAGAATTGTGGCTTAAACCCCAGAATCCCAAAAAACATAAAACGTGCGAGATTTTGCCGATCGGATTGAATGATGCCTGATGATCTCTTGGCTATTTTTGGTTTTCGGCTGGTTTTGGCTCCGAACAAGTATAAAAAGTATAAAGACATACCAGGTCCTGGACTTAGCATGGGAGATAATTTGAAACTGGAGTCATTCACTAATACATGAGATATCATACAACTGCAGATCATCTGCTTTTGATTTTGGGGTTTGCTGCCTTAATTACGTCGTCGACCTCCTCCTCCACCTCCACCTCCTGGCCGTCCTCCCCGTCCTTGTCGGCGTTGCATAGCTTTGGGTCCATATTCCGGTCCAATATCCACAAAGTAATCATCATCTTCAAAAGTGATGCGTCGCATCTCGTCACCCCCACGGCGCGGGAATGAACCCTTGCTCAACAAATCATCAAATTGATCTAAGCGCTTGTCGGCAACCTTGCGAGGAACGCGTTGGTAATATAGCTTAGGCTTCGTAGTTGTGGATTCAAAAAGCTCATCCAGAGGCTTGAAGCCTTGCCCGGGTCGCGATGATGGCGGAGGTGGGGCATTTGACAGCCGGCGATCCGGTTGCGCAACACTGCCGCGTGGACCCAGAGGCGGAGTCCTATTGAAACCAGCCTCTCGTGTTCGTGGCGGTGCTGCGCGTGGGTGTGCCGCCTCGGCTTCCGCAAGGATAGCACGCATCCCCTCATCACTAGGCTCGTATCGCACTTCCCAACGAACAGGCGGGCCAGCACGGGTGTGGGATGCCTCCTCGGTACGAATCCATTCAGGGACCTGGTCTTCAGGGATGAAGTCGGCTCGAAGAATCTTGCGGTTGCGCTCTTTAGGCCATATAGTGTTGTGCAGGGCAGCGCGGACTCGCGATGCGGCGGCAACGTCGGAGAAACTGACGAAGCAGTGGGTCTTGATGGCATCGAGGAAGAAGTCCTTGATGACGCTGGGGTTGGGTTCGGAGCCAGGTGCGGTAGCGAGACTAACCAAGTGTGTGCGGAGTACCGGCGGTAGCATTGGGCGCATCAATCCATCAATGTAGATAGCAGCAGTAGCGGGGTGTAAGGCTGGTTCGACTTCCGCATCTTCCATTGCAACGTCCTCGGTCGGAGGAGAAATTTGAGCGGGCGCTGGTCGGGTGGGAGCAAAGAGACCCCGGAAACGCGCATCCTTTGGCGGCGCAGACGGAGGTCCCTTGGGTGCAGGCGCACTCTGGTCTGCGGTCGGCTCCACGGTCTCTCGGTCTTGAGTAGAGGGCTCTTGACCATCTTCCATCAAAACGCGGGGGCTAGCTTCCTCGGCTCGGGCTTTCTTGTTCGCGATCGTTTCCGGTGTAGGCACGGGGCTCTGGCTGCGACGTTTGCGCTTGCGTTTGTCCTCTAGCGCTTCTTCAATGGGGAGAGGGGTAGATAATCCAGTATTCGTTTCGGATGTCTGGGGAAGGGAAGGGACTGAAGGCTCGACAGCTTTGGGCTCGGAATCTTCGGGAGCTTGCTCAGCTGGTTGCGATACGACCTTTTCCTCAGGCGCCGCAGCTTCTGTCATTTCCACATCTTCAGGTGGCTTATCATCATTGACTGACTCTTCGGTTGGCTCCTCTTTCTTGAGTGGCTCTTCAGTGGGCGCTTGGGAATCCGCAGTTGCGTTGTCCTCTAGCTTTTCTTGGTCGCGTGTAGGAGTAGGTTGCGCGGGTTCTTGGCTTGAGGGTTCTTCTTGCTTGGGTTCTTCGGGTGATTGTTCAGGTTGCGATTCTTGCGCTGGAGGAGCAGTCACTGGGACAGGTGCTTGCTGAGCTTCAGGCTCTACCTCAGGTTCAGCTTGAAGCTCCGGCTCAGGTTCAGTTGGAGTGACAGCATCTCCCTCTGATTGCGGCTTGCCGTCCTCTTCGACAAGCTTGTCGATGATCTGTTGCTTGAGGCGCAGGCCAGTTTGAGGGATACCACGATTCTTCAGCTCGGTCTTCAGGTCAGCGACCTTCCATGAGGAGTAATCAGTCATTTTGAGGTGACATGAGAGGAATTGGATGTGGTGAAAAAGTAAGTTAAGGGATTTGAATCCGGGGACGCGCGCGGCGTTTTAGTCTTGGCACTCCGTCATACCGAAAAGGTTCAAAGGGCAGTTCACCCCACTATAACTATAGAGATATTTCAGGTTCACTTTCAAGCTATCGTGCGTGCCCGAGGTGAATCAGGTCCGATACGTAATTCAATTTTCAAAATTTATTGTTCTCTCACGGTTAGCTGGCTGGGAATATACTCAGTTATGATGCAATTAACGCTCAAATGAATCTCAAAAGATTGTCAGTACAAGTTTTATAAGAAGTACGAGAACCACGAATTTCTATTGAAAAGCAACCGCTAATTTTCAAGTCCTCAGAAGGGTTTTTGTCACCAAGTCAGACTTGTTCTCACTATTCAAGTTGCTGGTGATTAATCCACAACTCCCTGCGGAAGCACCGAAATATAGTCCAATGGCGCTGGTTCAATCCCATTGGGTGATCCAACAATCTTCAGTATATCTCCCTTTTCAATTTTCACTCCTCGAAATTTAATCCGTGTTGCAGAATGTCCATCTAAATAGATAGATGGTGTGTGGCTCAGATGATCCTCCGCATCACCCACCCACTGACCAACCTCCCTATCATTAAGACAGATCTGCCAACTTGATTGACCTCCAGACAGGTCATAATAGTTGATAGCAAGATCATACTTCCCCGAGGGAAAGTCAAGGGTTGTCAGGGCCGTACCAACTGTATCATTGGACGACGTGACAATCGCCACAGAACCCGAGGCAGTTTCAAATGGACTAACTTTATAGGTCTCGTAGCCAGTCAGCTCCATATCTTCGGCTTCAATCCGCCAGGGATGGTGACCGACACGTCCAACAGTATCTGGTATCCCAGAGAGATTGTAGTAGAAGTCATTGATCGCGTCTCTCCACACAATAGAATGGCCTGTCTGATAGTCAAGACGACGTCGAATATGATTGTAGCGCTCATCATCTATCTTTCCATTTAGTGATTCCCACTGATAGAGAAAGCCTTGAGTTGACTCTGCACCACTATAGTGAGCGTCGTAGAAATGCTGAATCACCGTCTTGCCCGAGTGCAATCGGTGGGTATAGTTCACATGGTGGAACCATAGCAGAAGATCATCAGGCGTGCTCTGGATCCTCTCGTAGCTCGCTGCAACTTCTGCAGAATATTGTCCAGCATACCCTGTTCCATTTTGTACCGTTCGGTCCATACCGATACTCGTAGAGTCTGCACGAGTCCATTGGCCCCAGCCGTTATTGTCTTGTGAGGCAGGGTTAGGTCCATAGTGGGTGTATAATATGTCCGTCAGCGTCTGGATGCCTAGGTTACCACTGTAATTCTCATAGGCCGGCCAAGATTGCATGGAAATGTTGGTAATGGTATCGAGCACGGCACGATCTAAACCAAATGTGAGACGAATCCAATCTTGCAGAACATCCTGTGCATCTACGGCAGGATTCCATGCCAGACGACCATAGGCATATAAATTCGACATAGAAAAATGACTACCAAGCCATGTATTGTTGGTACCGACATTGACAACAGCTGCCGATCCGCCGAGGGTACGATTGAAGCGCTTGCCAGTCACAATGTCACGGACTAGAGATTGCTCGTGATCGACTCGAAGATCAAAGTCTAAGACAGTCTTCCAGAGCGGAGGGAGGTAGACGAGATGTGATTGCTGTCCAAGGTATTCCTGAGTAACCTCCAATTCAATAGCAATATTTGTCTTGAAAAGATTGGCGAATAAAGGCGATGTCGGCTCACGGACTTGAAAATCAATAGGTCCATACTTGATCTGGATCACCACGTTATCTTCAAACTTGCCGTCGAGAGGTTTGAAAAACTCGACTGCAGCTTTAGCGCGGTCTGCCTTCCAGTTGGATTCGTTGAGCTGGTTGTAGACAAAGGCGCGAAACATGACGATACCCCCGAAGGGCTGTATTGCCTTGGCGAACAGATTGGCACCCTCTGCCAGTGTCCGATTATATGTCTGGGGCCCTGGCTCGCCTTCCGAGTCTGCTTTAACGAGGTATCCAGCCATATCAGGCACTCGTGTATAAATTTGGTCCGTGATGTTGGACCACCACCCGATGACAGTTGGATCCTGGGGATCGTAAGATCCGAGGCCACCCAAAGTTTGCGGAGCCGCAAAGCTCAACGATATACCGATTTTGACACCGTATGGCCGAAAAACTTCGGCTATTCTTCCCAGTCCATCGATGTTTTGAGGAGTGAGAAGGGTGGCATTGGCATTCACATTGTTGACCACGACCGCATTTATACGGATCGATGCCAAAAGACGAGCATACTGGTGAACTCGGGTCAAGTCGTCGACAATGGTTCCGTTTTCGAAAAAGATTGATTCGCCTCCGTATCCTCGTTCAATACTTCCGTCCATATTATCCCATTGATTCACCCAGCGGAGTGGGCCAGCGGGGTTGGTGGAGTAGGCCACTTGTGAGAAGTTTCCCTGAGCAAGCATCGACAGGTACTCAAATGCGCCATATAGTGCGCCGCGCTCATTTTGACCGAGGATTTGAATCTCTTTACCACGAGTGCTCAGCCAGAATCCATCTTCAGCCAGCTCAGGGATCCCAACTAGTGAGCCACAGGCCCGGCGATACTGTTCAACTGTGCCAACGATGACAGACGAAGACGAGTTGCATTGGTTGTGAGTGACTGAAGCGTCGGCATTATAAATACTCTTCAGTCCACTCTGTATTTCAGACCCTGCAACGTATACAGGGCTTGTCTTAGTTGAGTTCAAGGTAACAATACCCACTGGTAGTCTTGAATGACACTGCGTGGAGCAAGGTAGGGAAGCGTATCGCAGCCAGCCATCTAGACCCGTCTCTGCGGCAACAAAGCTCAACCCCAAGTAAACAAGCAACCAGATGTTTTGCATGGTGGCGCTTGGAATTATTGACCGGACCTTGTAGCTCCCTTTATATAAACCCTTGCAAGGACATCTGCAGTCAAACCGGATGATTTTCGGTTATACTCGAATTCTGCCTTGCGTCATGCATTATGCTGGAGCAAGATTATTCAGGCTAAAATTTGCCCGAAACTAAGGATTTTAGGCTATAGTCTGAATAGTCTTAAACCACACAATGCAAATAGTTAACGTGATGCAGATCACTTCCCCGCAAACTGTGGGGGTGACACATAGTTATACTCACTGGAAAGTCTACCTAGTGAAGAGGGGAACCCTCGATGGCAAAGACGAGATGTGACCCAGGGACTGAGTCTCCCCACTACACCAGGTATATTTACTTGTCCCGACATTACTGGATCTTCATTTACAAGATGGACGTTTGAATTGATGTGAACCTGTTCCTGTTCTGAGGCTTGACTACCTGTATAAGGCCTAGCCCCACGCCACAGGATACCCGCCACAATTACAATACCGCACTAGGTGATCACCCCGCTTACAACTTCACATCTGTTGGGTCGAATAAATCTCTCTTTACGGCTCACTATTTTATCGAATTAATGGCTTCCTACATCCTAGAAGGGGCTCCGTGGCCTCCATATTCCATCGATGGGCTTGCATCAATTCCCTGCCAATATATTCGGCTTGGAGACTTGGTGACACTCAACGGTGCGAGGTGTCATATAATGCAAATATCTATCAATCCCAGGACAGGCCAGTATAAATATCTCGGTGTAGATCTATTCACTCGAACATTGCGTGAGCAAAATTCGATCGTACAGAAGCCATCGCCAGGCGCTATCTTTCAGACCATGATTGGTCCAGTGCTTCGTATATCCGTCTTATGGATGTCTTAACAGATGATACAGGTAAGACTGATTATTTGAATTTTCTTCTCTTCCATGGGCCTGAGAGACGAGCTAAGTTCTACTTTGAACAGTCACTATACTGACAGAAACTGGGGACATCAAGAGCAGCGTTCCTGTTCTCGATACAGCGTCGCTTCTCACCAACATCACTAATTCCTTCAAGGAGAGGAAAGGTAGCGTCCGTGTGGTGGTGGTTCCGGGTTCAAACGCTTCCGATGAATTGGTCGTCGATTTCAAAGTCGATCCTGTCACGCAATTGGAAATCCCGCAAACTCCTGAAGTTGATCAAGATCAACAAGATGACATTATCGTTGATGTTTACAGATTCAGCCATTTTCCGTAACTGATGCCTGCTGAGCCTGCTCATGCGGATCCAAATGAAGTTCAGAACGTGACGCTCGAAGTTATTTATTCTTTCCCACCAGATTCAACTGTCTATCACGTTCATAAGTCTGTATCTTGGGGAAGACTTGAAGCAAGTTTGAAGATCACAACACAGCCGACTGGTGACATTCTACCGGTATTTCGATGGATGTAAGATATATTCCTACAAGAGAAGGCGAGTCTCTGTTAACCTCATTAGACATATAGAAAGATCAAATATGAAGTTCAGCGACTTGAAAGTATGGCGATGCTAATCTGGAAGAAAACCATACACACTCACTGAAATACCCTACAGTTAATTGCAACCACGCTACCCAATCTGACACAAAGAGAACGGAAGGCACTCAAAGTCATTCTTGGGAGGGTGGAGAATGATTTTGAAGAGTCCCATCCTGGTACAGCGACACGAAGCATGAAACCTGGTCATCTAACCGGAACTTTCTTACGTCAAACAACTGGTTACGGCACCGTATCATGGCTTTCTGTTCCATGCTTCTGTCGTGATCCTTTATCCAATGCTCCATCCATCGAAGCAGATTTGCATCCCATGTCAACATTACTACAATACCACGGCTTGTCATCCACGACAGAGCGAGAAATGGAACAAGTTATATTTCGCACCCAAGAAAACCCTTCACAGTACTTGCATGTTCCACAGATGTGGTCAGTTGAAAATAGCAGCTGTTTGTTTTGTCATTCATTCCCACGGTGCATCAAACTAATTCTACAGCTCTTCTGATCACATATGGAAATGCGAAGTCATCTGATCCATCTAATTTCAGTGACATAAACTTACTACGTTACCACAACCTCATATTACCCAGCCACCTGCAGATTGTCCTCGCAAAATACTCGGCAGGGAGACCATGTGGTCTTTGCCTTTCGAGGAATGTGAAATATGGCCTGTACGTGTGCCCACTCTAAATGGTGGTACTATACTCGCGACTTCATCTGGTGTCGAGTCACTTTGAATATTTTCGCTACGTGCTGTACATGATTATCTTCAATGCTTGTGCTTTGCATATTCCCACGACAATTCTATTTCTCGGAGGCAACCATGGTGTTGAGAGTTTTGTTACGCCGTTCAATATTTACGAACGTATTCAATTGACAGGATTCTCGCTGCAGGAGACTCTCATCAGTGCTATATATATCTGGGAGACTGTAACAGGACTTCGACCTGTTTTGACTCTCAAAGGACCGCGAGGCAAGAGAGTGATTTTGAACCTTGTTCTGATCAACGCTGTTGCTATCTTGCTCGATGCGTCGCTTTTGGCGCTTGAGTATGCTGACTACTTTGATATTCAGACTTCTTATAAACCTCTAGTTTATAGCATCAAGCTGAAAATGGAGTTTACGGTGCTGAACAATCTTGTTGCTGTTATCAACTCGAGTCCTGCCACTATTGAGGAGATCCAAAGGTCTCACTATGAAGATCTTCATATACAGCCAAGGTGGAGTGGTGATCACACTCCTGGTACTCTCGACATCCATACCGAGATATTGGGCTATGATGGAACAGATTGCTCGAAACATGTGGCCAGGTCTCCAAATTCCCGGACCTCCAATTATCCCATGTTGTCTGTCAAATCGAATGTATCGTGAGATCGATAGACTACTTTCTGTTCAGAAAGACTGCATACTTGTAAGACCATCGTACAGCTAGTTTATTCAAGATTGTAGGACCCGGATTGGCCATCATGGATTACGGAGAGCGGATACAAGTAAACTTGATAGATTGAGGGTATGACTATGGTACACAACGCCTATTCCCACTTTTGACCCAAATACACCGACCCAATTACTGGGTGCTAGCAGCATTCTGGGAGGGGCTGGAACATCCAGACCCAGATGTCGTCAATCATTCAATGTTCAGTTTTTTGTACTTTTGACAAATGCTGCTGCATTTAAACCTCACGGGTAAGGATGTCGGAGTCACCAGCATCCAGGATGGTCATGGTGGAGCAACGGAAGAGCTTACCGCAGGCGGTACCGAGCTCAATCTATTTAGAGGGTTAGTCAATGCGCTCTCCGGGTCTCATAGAGATCCCATCGCTGAGCAACTTCACTCTCCGAAGTGGCATTCCCGACTTCTTCTCAGAGTAGTAAAGCTGCTGGGCAGCTGCGGCGAGAGCCGACTTGGGTAGGGTAAACGTACGTTGTTGCCGTTGAAGTGGTGGACGGGGACCTTGGCGAGCATGGCGTAGTACTCGAGCTCGGACTTGCGCAGGGGAGGGCAGTTACCAGCGATCAGGATCAGCTTGGCCTTTCCAGAGCGGAGGGTCTTCATGGAGGACTTGGCACCCATGGTGACTGGAAAATCGTTAGCGACCGTAGGCAACCCTGGAGAACGATAGAAACTCACCCTTGCCGGACTTCATGACGAGGGCAAGGCGGGAGGAGAGGGTCTCTCCGGACTTCTTGTTCTTGACCATTTTGAGGGTTTGGGGTGGTGTTGGGTTGGTGGTGAGTGTTGTGTATGAAAGAGAAGAATTGAATTTTGAATTTTTGGAAATTCGACCGCACTGTGGGAACTCTCACCGCCTTTATTGTGATTGGGTGGATGCGAGCGCGGGGTTCCTGACTCATTCAGGCGGGACCAAATGGAACTTTTCTACGGCAAAGTCGGGAAACCCTCCCCTTTCTTCTTCTCAATTCTTCATACATCTGTTGCTATTGATTGTTATTTTCAATATGGCCTCTGCAACAAACACTGCTCCTGTGGAGCGACTCCGTCAGTCTATTCCTATCCCTTATTGACTAAACGGCTACTAAATCCCGTAGAGAGAGTCGATGCGCAGCCGGAGAACCCCTACGCCTCCTTGATTGATGAGCAAAACATTGCCATCATCCCATCTTTCACACTCGAGTCTGGTGTTACCCTGTACAATGTCCCTGTTGCATACACTACACGCGGTGTTTTGAACTCCAAGGGTGACAATGCTCTGGTCATCTGTCACGCATTGAGCGGCAGTGCCGATGTCGCCGATTGGTGGGGCCCTCTTCTGGGTGGCCCTGGTCAAGCATTCGATGTGTCACGGTTCTTTGTCATCTGTCTGAACAGCTTGGGCAGTCCATATGGAAGCGCCAGCGCTGTCACATATAAGGATGGTAAGCCTGAGAATGGTTACTATGGACCAGAGTTCCCCTTGACCACTGTTCGCGATGACGTGAAGTAAGTTGTATTCCTGCACGTGATATGAAAAATTCTAACAGGCGTGGTCAGTATTCACAAGATCGTCCTGGACGACTTGGGTATCAAGCAGATTGCCGCCGTTGTCGGAGGTTCCATGGGTGGTATGCTCACCCTGGAATATGCCTTCTTTGGCAAGGATTATGTCCGGGCTATTGTGCCAATTGCGACTTCCGCACGCCATTCGGCGTGGTGCATTAGCTGGGGTGAAGCCCAAAGACAGAGTATCTACTCTGACCCCAAGTATGATGATGGATATTATACCTTTGAGGATCCCCCTGCCACCGGCCTTGGAGCAGCCCGCATGTCGGCACTCCTCACATACCGTAGCCGTGACTCTTTCGAGTCGCGCTTTGGTCGTAACGTGCCGGACCCATCCAAGCGGGTGAACATTAACGGCGGTGAAAAGCTACCCACCCCTCCTAACGAGCACTGGGCCATCCACAATGATGGACACCGGACCGGTCCGACATCCCGTTCTAACAGCCGGCAGAACTCGCCAGTCCCACAGACCCAGACGGAGGTTCAGTTCATGGACCCTCAGTTCTCGGGCACTAAAACTTTCTCCCCGGAGACTCCGGTCAAGACCGATGCTACTGGTCGCCCACGCCCACCCACTTACTTCTCCGCGCAGTCTTACTTGCGCTACCAGGGAGATAAGTTTGTCAAGCGGTTTGATGCCAATTGCTACATTGCTATGACTCGAAAACTCGACACTCACGATGTGTCCCGCCACCGTGCCAGCGCAGAGTCAGAGAACCGTGTTCTTGAGGCACTGTCGCAGATTGAGCAGCCTGCTTTGGTACTGGGTATTGAATCTGACGGCCTGTTCACATTTGCTGAGCAACAGGAGGTTGCGGCGGGAATTCCGGATTCTCGCCTCAAACGCATCGACAGCCCGGAGGGCCACGATGCCTTCCTCTTGCAGTTCGAGCAGGTCAACCGTCATATCGTGGAGTTCTTCCATGAGGTTCTGCCCGATATCATGGCCCACACCAGTGCGGAGGGTGCGGCTGCCGTCGCGAGCGTCACCAAGCTCACCAAGAGCAGCAAATTCGGTGAGGCTGAGGTGGAGGACATTACCGCATGGTAATCTCTCTCCAGCTGAAGACCGTACCGGCGCAGTATATTCTGCAGCCACCCCATGCTCCTGTCCACGGATTCCCGCCCGGTCTCAGTTGACAGTACTCGAGGCATCGAGTGAAGTCGTTGGACAGCAGTCATGGTGCACTAGGGGAAGTAGAGGTTGCCGTTCTTTTATCCGTTTCGCTAGTCAGGGAGATGAGCATCCAACTGCCTCTCTCGAATCTCACTTGGCCAGAACCATGTAGAGAAGACTGCACAAGAAGCATCCAACTGCTCTCCATCAGATCCATCCTTAGGGTCACTTCGAAAGTTCCTTCCCGAGGTTGATGGGTCACTTAAAATTTCAGAACCGATTAGTGGTTCGCGACCAAGTCGCCTTTAGATAATGGAAAAATAGATTCCTTGTATAGAAGCCCCTTTTTCGGGAGGTTTTATTTTATTTTCTATTTTTTTTTTTTTCATTTTCTTCGTAAGATCAGTGTATGGTTGCAAGACTCTTTACTGTATTTGGTCACGATAAGCAATCCCTGACGGTTTCTCAGGGTCTGAAGGGTTCTGTGCGATAAGCCCACGCCACCATATCTCTCACCCAAAACCTAACCAATCCTTGCTCTAGATAACCAAAACCAATACAACCCTGAGACCACTCGAGCCACCAGCGCGAGCGTCCCATGCAGGATGGCGTCCTATATGCTGAGCTAGTGAGTCAGGACAATGGACCTGTTCCAAGATTACGGAATTCGTTGGTACGCGAATCACAATCACACAAAACATCGAGGAAATTCAGGCCGATGGGGCGGCGATACCGAGAGGGTGGACACCCCGCGGCTGAAAAGTGGCTCAACCAAGGAAATCGTTTGTTTAAATGGAGAACATGAAAATTTTTATAGCGCCAGTTGTGACACTATTCAGGTTAATTACTTCGACGATGTCATTAGAGCTATGATAATTTCCTTGAATCGTAATTGAATCCACTTTCATTTCTGACTCAAACGTCAGTGGATCCCGGACCCTGTAATATAAATTCACAGTAGTACTCTGTAGTAACCTCAAGTCACGGGGAAAAGGCTTGGATTTCGGATTACTCCGTATTCAGGTTGGAAAGTCTTTATCGCTTTCATATGTAGTACGTACATAATCAATTTTCTTCGCTATCTCTTTCTAAAAGGGTTTGACAATCAACGCCAAGACGGACGCCCTTCACTAGTGTCTGGTCTGGACTGAACCCAATGCTTTTCTTCCCCGTTGATCGTACCGCATTGGGGATGGTTATCAGACAATCTAATTCGGTACGGTATCCAGCCTTAGCCGTTTCCGACTCCACTTTAATGTACTGCGTACTCCGTACGAATCCTATGAATCACATTTTAAGAGCGCTAAGCTAATGCTCCACTTTGAAATGAAGAAAATGAAATATAGTACTCCGTAAAGCTTCCCTGTATCATAAAGTATAATAAAGAAGTTTCCCCCAAAAAAGCTCGTGCTCTGAGACTGTTTTACCCAAGTTACTTTATCCGGCATCCCTGGAATCTCCCCAGCATACCAAGCCTCGTTGTACCGCCAACACTAATTCTGTCTCCGATTCAATCCAATCGAATTTGTCCGGATCTGACTTCGGATCCGGTTCCCCTTTGCCACGCAGTCGATTGTTTTCCTTTCCAACCTTTCCCTCAGCCCAACCCAACGCTTCCTACAAAAACAACAATACAATGGAGCGCAAGCTCTCTCATAAAGCTTCGCAAATGCGCCAATTATTCACCCGGAACCAACGAGGCCGTGCAGCAACAATGAACTCCCCCACACCAACACCTAGCACCTCCAGCAGCCGCTCCCGCTCAGCCACCACCCCAGTCTCGTCTCACCCTGAACTTCTGTCAGACACAGACCCAACCCGATATTACCATTTCACAGACGAACCGGGCTATTTCACTCCCGCGGAACTATTAATCGACCGACAACTTATCGCAGAGGATCTGGAGGACGACATGAAGCATGCGTGTAGTCTACTAGTCGAAAGCATCGAACGCGGACTCCCAATCTGGCCAGCCCAACAAGATAGCCTGGTCCAAGCTTCACATGAAACACCAATGATCCAAGACATGACCCAGCTCTCACTATCCCCCGTCGCAATCGACAACAACGTCCCAAACCCAGAATGCGATTTCCGATTCAGTGATACAACCAAATCCGCCAAGACATACCACAACAGCTTCTCCGCCATAAGCGCTTCAGGAGGAAGTCGTTTCTACGGCCGACGATTGTCAAGCCCACCGCCAGAAGAAGAGGAATTCGAAAGAGGTCGTCCCCGTGGCCGTAGCATCTTAACCTACACTACATCCCCTCGCTCCAGATCTCGATCTCGCTCTTCAAGCCCAGGCTTCTTCCCATACAGCCCACCACAATTCGAAACACATTGGGAACGTGATACTACGCAGATCGTCGAATCCTCCGACTTCCCCGAATCAGATGCCTTCTTAGGCGCAGAAGGCATTAACTGGCTACGCGCAAGTCTGGATCTCCACAACTGGAACACCACAGCGCAACCGACACGCAACTTTTTGACATCCGCTCCCAACACGGCCGTTGATTCCGGTCCCGCGCCCCGTCGCTTCTACAGTACTCGACAGAAACCAGCTGCTAAAGCAAAATGGGACGGGCTCGACGCTCATGAAAGTCGGGAATCGGGTATTTATCGTGGTCTCTCCATGAACAATCTCTCCATTGATCCTGAGAAACATGCGAGCGATTTCTCCTACCCCGTTTGGACCGAGAGTGGTCATTCGCCTGATGCTGTTGGGAATACTTTGACTTTTTACGATATTATGCCTGATGCTCCTGCGAGACATCGGCGGAAACGGGCGTCGGAGTTACTGAAGAAGTTAACTGGGTTGGGGACTAGGAGGAAGGAGTCTGGGATGGCGGAGAGTCGGAAGGCTGTGCCAGAAATGGCGTGAGCATGCTTCTGGCCATCTTTCTTCTCTTTTAGCGAGTTCTTGTTTGACTTTCGATTGGTTTGTTACTTTATTCTTGTCACATATGTGCAATCATTTGTAGATACCCCGAGCCAAAGTTCGATTTCATTTGTTTCCCTGAACTATTCCCCAAATTACTCTTGTAAAAGTAACGCGCATGCGGGAACTTGTATATGGCTCCGAATTCAGTGCCTACAATATCAATTTTCAAATGTTTGTAGATGTCACCAGTAATGGCTTGTTCATTAGAGGCTTTCAGCGCATAGAACAACCAATGGTTCTACCTATAGTCGCTTATACTGTTTACTTGACTCGTTTACGACTCAGATTCTTATCTTATCTTCTATATCCATCCCATGTGGTCTAGTGGTTAGGATTGCCCGCTTTCACCGGGCCGGCCCGGGTTCAATTCCCGGCGTGGGAGCATATTTCATTTCTTTTTGTCTTTTTCTTATATTTATTTACATTTCACTTGTCTATGGACTTGACTTCTTTTTATTCTTTTTACCGTCTGCCCCCTAGGCTGAAGAATCAATTTGCATGATTCATAGAACATTCCGGGCAGCCAATCGTATATTTCTCTATCCTTGCTACCAATTGACCCTCTGCTTCTAGGATACCTGCACCGATCCTTTCTACAAAGCCGCAGAAATCAGTCGTTTATACCCCTGCACAGCTTGTTCCAGCTCACGGACAGTAATAGCCTCATCATCCCCATGAGCAACATGAATAGTTCCAGGTCCATACAAATACCTCTTCACCTTGGTAGCCCCATTATGAATCTTCAAAGACGGAACATCAGTCCCATAGTTCACAGTAATAACATCAAACCCATCAACGTCAGCATCAAGATACTGAGGCGGTGCACCCACCGCCCTATCTCCAAAGTCAACAACAACACCACCATCGCCTCCACTTACCGAATCCACAGCTCTCTGAATAATCTCCCGAGTATCATCCGGCGTCCCAGCCGCAAGCCGAACAGAAACGGCCGCCTCAGCATACGCCGGAACCACATTCGCCGCCTGCCCGCCACTAACGACACCAATATTCAACGTCGAACGATTAAACATCTCACTCCGAAGAAGCCCGCCCTCGTCAGGTTCCAGATCTTGCAAACCGTCAAGATACTGCAGCACAGGCAAAATCGCCGAAATAGCACTCTTGCCCAGCTCAGGATACCCAGAGTGCGCAGCCTTGCCTCTAGACACAATCTTAAAGCCAAGAGTCCCCTTATGTCCAGCAACGAGGCTCAACTCCGTCGGCTCTCCGAAGATGATCGCCCGATAGGTTGCTGGATCGGGATTAAGCTCTGAATCCGAGAAATGTTTCATTCCTACGCCGGACTTCTCTTCGCCGACATCGAATAAGAGCCCGAGCGATGCAGTGCGATTTTCTTGGAGCGTTTCTAGTGCTGCAAACACTATTGATGCCACGCTTGCTTTTGCGTCTACCGTGCCGCGTCCGGCGATGGTGAGGTCCTCTCGCGTAAAGGCTGACGCAGGCGCGTGAAGAGAGTACTCGATGAATGGGGGGACTGTGTCGATGTGGCTGGTCAATAGGACATCTGGCAAGCGGTTGCCCCCCACGTAGGCGTAGATATTGAATCTTTCATTTTCTGTTTCGGTTCCGGGAGTGACGATTTGTTTTTCGACTGTTAGGTTGTGTGCGGTTAGGAAGTTGATGATGAATTCTCCGACGGCTTTTTCGTTTCCGCTGATAGATGGGATTTGTACGATGTCTCTGTGGAATGAGAGGAGTGGCGAGGAGGTTATTATCTGGTCGAGCTTGGTTGTTGGTTGCTCTCCCAGGGGTTGTTGGGATTCCAAGGCATTGGTCACGCCGGCTAGGAGAGCGAGGCTCCGTAAATACGAACTCTTCATTATCGTCGGGTTTCTGTTTCTGCCAGGGGCTGAGATGGGGAAAAAGGCTTTTTTTATGCAAGGGGAGGTGAGGGGGCTGATTGATTTATCAGGTTATCTTCCCCCGCAATGGCGTCTTGTCCTACTATGTGGACTGGGCATTGATAACATCCATATCCACTTTCCTAGCCTCACTGGCGGGAGGAGACATCCCAAACGTGTCAATTCTGATCACTTCATACTAATCTACTCTTAGTTCCCCTTCTCATCCCGATGAATATCAACATCATCCAACACCGCTTGATTCTCCTTCGCCGCCGCAATACGAGTCCTCTTTATCCTCCGCGTATCAACATCAACCTTCCAAGTAAATCCCCAGGTGATGACATTCATAATTATAGCCATCCCAACAAAGCCCATCGCAATTCCAAAAGAGGTGGTATAATGTGGCGCATACCGCGAATTGAACAGCTGGGAGCCTACCGCCCCTCCGATCTGACCATAGCTATTCGCAAATGCGATTGCAAACGCCGAGCCCGTTGCGCCTTCGGTGGTCTGCACACGCCAAGGCCACATCATCGTGTACCTTTGTTTGTTAGTGTATACCACGAGAAAGAATATTTGAGACTAACCATGCAGTTGAAAAACCCCCCGCTATGATTGTTGCTGCATACACCCCGCCGTTATTGGGAAATGCATAGAGCACACCATAGCACGCTTCGATGACGATCATGAATCCCAGTGGGATTGCGGGTTGGGGGATCCGGCCGGTATCGGCGAAAATACCAAATCCGACCGTTAGCATGCATGCGAATACGGCTGATGGGATGTTCAGTAGGAGTGCTTCACCCCTGGATCTGTAAATCTGTAAGTATGCTTGCCTTTTTTGTGTTTGAGAGGACTCGACGTACGTGAAGCCAAGATTTGATATAACGGTTGGCTGGTAGAAGGTAAGTCCCGTAGTTCCAATTGTGAAGAAGGCCCAGCAGAGTAGAAACAGCCAGACTCTCTTGTTTTTCAATGTTGTGATGAGCTCTTGCATGTCAAAGTTTGCTTCAGATGCCCGAGGGGAGTTTCGAGGTAGACGAGCTTGTATAAAGGCTTGTTCCTTTTCTGAAAGCCATTTTGCAGATGAAGGGACTATTTACCGTTCAGCAGAGATCAACGGAGAGATGGGCATGTGACTTACAATCTGGTAAAAAGAAATACGTGAGGAAGCCCAATACAACCGTGATAATGCCTTCTGTCAGAATGAGCCTTCAAGACATCAGCATAGGCTTTTTGTTCAAGTATAAAGATCTGACATACCATTTCCATCCTGACAAGCCAGCCGTGGTGACTCCATTGTAGGCGAATGCGAGTAAACCACTAATAACAGTACTGAAGCACCCAAGAAGTGTCACAAGAACAACTCGAGGGGCAATCTCATCCGGTCGGTACCAGTAACATAGGTGCACAAGCATGCCCGGCCATAAGCCTGCCTCGAAAAGACCGAGGAAGAACCGAACGGTGTATAGACCTTGTCTGTTCACCACAGCTGCATGGCAGCAGAGGACGATACCCCAAGAGACTTGAATTCGAGCCTGCCATACAGAGGGGCGTACACCCTTTAGTAGAAGGTTTGACGGGGCCTCAGCAAGAATGTATGGGATCTACGCAACGTCAGTGTCAATATGTGGACCTGCGCGGAATAGAACTCACATAGTACATGGCGGTCACCAGGTTGTATTGATTACTAGTCATTCCAAGTTCAGTCAAAATATTGTTGGGCGTCCCCTTGTCCATTGTCAAGGCATAAGAAAGCTATTTACTATCAGCACTGATCAATCACAATAAACGTCGTCTGAGTGCTTACATTTGAAAAGTCCACACTTTTCAGCATATACATGAATGCCAACAGTGGAATTAGATGCCAATCAATTCGTCTCAGAAGTTTCTTTTCCTCCTCAGAGCTCAGTGCAGCACGCGCTCGCATGAGGTCCGCATCATAGCCAGGGATATAATCTCCAGATTCGGGAAGAGGATCGGCATTGCGATTTACGCGATGAACATCGGATTTTCCAGGGACGGGCGATTCATCAACAATGAAGTGGTTGATTTTCTCATCCCTGGGGGTTGGGGAAGAGGTATTCTGTTCAAGCTCAGACATTTGGACGTTGGATCCGAGAACAGGAAGTAACATTAAAATGTTCCTGATATTATCGAATTTGCAGCAAACAGACAACCAATGTCATTTGAGAGGGGAGGCCATGGCTTATCTGTAATAGAATGGTGGTGCTCATTGGGTGCGGGGGTAGACATTTGTTATCTCTAGTGTTGATGGCGCGAGATAGAAGATGCATTCCTCGGCATGGCGAGCGCGCTAATAGCACTCAAAGCGATTTGACTGGATCCTTTCCCCCGCTGTCAAATGAATTTGTCGAGAAAGTATCTTGGCACTGAACCCATTTTAAGAAACATTCATACGTACATGGATCAACTCGATTCCACATCATTTTGTACGGTCTGAACTAGATCAGTGATATAGTTGATCCAATGGATTGTTTATTTATGCTAGTCCGTATCAGGAATAGTATAGAACTAAGTGGATCCCTACAATATACAGTAGCTATAGAGTAGCACTAGTACTTTCAAAGGGTAGACACTTGACTCGAAGCTGTAACACAGCAACTTCCCCGCCATTTTCCGGCCACACTGCTAATTGCATAATTTGTAGATTGAAATGTTTTCGCTATAAGCGAGGGCTCAGTAGGCATGCTGAAGATGTTTAAGGTCATAGTGAAGTAATCGGCAATTGCAACCCTAATTAAAGTCACTAAGAATTAAATACCTGAAAATATAGCTTAAAATCGTATATTTTATATGAAAATAGGTCTCTCAAAGTATTTATAGTATTTATTATGTTTGTTAGCCCTCTAATAATCCGCGGGCAACCCTCTAAGGGCCGCTCGCGGGTTACTTTGAGGTCTATATTGGAAGTGTGAATAACTATATAGCTATGGGTTCTTTTGGCACATACAAGGTTAAGATTTTTACCTGATTTAATACATCTATAGCTCTGAATACGTACATGTTGTGAATCGTACGAATAATGCCCTTCTATGTGCTAAGCCAATGGACGAGCGGTCACGGTTTTTGAGGTTATGGCTGGCAGCACGAGCGGAGCCACTAATCGAATACTAGACATTTGTTCGCGAAACTGTTCGAAGTTCGCGAATTTTGACGAATCGAATCGCCCATAAACATGACTCCAAGGCTTCTAACTTCAAAGCTTGATTTCATTCGTGACATGATAGAGAGTGAGTCTTTTACCACGTCTAAGAGGGCTACTGAAGCTGAATGCAACAATGGCACAATCATTATTCTTCGCAGAAACGTACATCAATTCGGAAGTATATGCGCCCCGAAATTGAATTGGCCGAGAACACACACTGTTTAACGCCAATATTGGGAGCGGCCTGTGTTAAGATAGTGGATACCAGATTTATCTTGAATGATGGTGGAGCAGAAGTGCAGGCCTGTCTTTAAAGATACGATATATGACTACTTACCAAGCCATGAATGTATTGGCCGCGCGGCAGAAGCCTCTGGGCATCATTCAAGCCCGGGCTATTAAAGCCCCTGTCCCGCAGTGCCGCTTCGCAGGTCGGCTGTTTTGCAGCGCTGCATCCAGCTTACATTTTGGCATGGAACCCAAAAATGGAGAGGATGTCATGAGGATTTTTTAAGTGATCCTTTCCTAAACCTTCTTGCAGAAGTCTGTGTCGGTTCAATTATTTACCTGGAAAGCTCAATGATAAAGAGATCCAACGGTACTTGCGCAGGCTCTCTAGCCTTGACTGTGTTTTCCTCTGGACTTGATTGCCCAGAAAGCTTGAACCTACGCGCGGGATTTCACTGGGGTGGAGATCAAGGCGAAAGTGAGGGTTCTCACGTTTTGACCCAAGGGATCTCCCCCCAAACCTTGGAAGGTCGTGGTGAATTTTGAATGTTGGGAACAGTTAAGCGTCAAGAGATTCGTCGATAGCAGAAGGGCGTTGACTTGCACAGATGTTTCACGAGGTCCACATCAATTGAAAGATGGGAGCTCACTTTGATTTCAAGTTTCTTGAGTTCTCCTAGATGCCAGATGAGCTCGACTCATTTAGGCTGGTTTGACGAGAATCCAGCAAAAGGAAACATACAGCATCAAATTGTCATAGGTAATGATTCCTTAAGGGGTCAGAGAAGATAGAAGATATATATGTCGAAAAGGGAATGTCAGGAAAAGAAGAAAGGAAAGAAAGCAAGGGAAACGCTTTTATAGTGCAGAATAATGCTGCCTAATAAAGGACAGTTGCTTATTTGAAGATGTCTTATATGAAATGATATAAATCCTAGTGTTGACGCTTTGAGGCTCATGGTGCTGTAATCGATGAAGATATTTAATAGTTTGCCTTTAATTGGCTTACTTGTAATGTCGTAATCTGTCACATTATCAAACGAACACCCATATGAGCGCATCTGCATGCAAATTCAGTGTGTCGATAAGGTGTCACATGTGCAATATTCCTATCTAGATCCAATGTCTCACTTATCGAGGTGTTCCACATGGGTAGCCGTCTCAAACTATTCAAATCTTATGATATCAAGTTTCTAGATATCCCCATTGCACAAAATAGAATCCTTGGAACTGGTACGTATTTTGTTGCATTTTAAAGCAGAGTAGGTGTAGATACCCGCCGAGAGAAGAAAGTCAAGGGATGATTTAGGAATTTCGTTGCCTAGGTACGACCCGACTACATTGAAAGATTGGGTAGAATCATATTGATTATCGGAAAATATCTTCATTTGATTTTGATATTGGGTCACATAGAAAAAAAGTACAGAGTGGATGTGGTTCCTAAACACCGGCCAAGATGCAACTTGTAGAGCAAGAGTAAAGAGAAAACGAGCAAAGGAGAAAAAAGGGGAATCGTAGAAAAGAGCTATTGTAGAACCTGCAAGTATCACATCGCCTTTCATGTGAACTTCACTAGATGACACTCACTGTCCACGACGGGGACGCTTATTGTCATTCCCTGAGCGTGGGCCACGCTGACCTCCATCAGCACCACCCGCATTTGCATTCTCGTCAGGATTCCGACGCTTGCGATGGCTTGAACCGGTGCCACTCTCCCGGCGGTCACGGTCCCGGCCGCGGTCACCTCGGCGCTCTCGTTCCCGATCACGATTCTCAGATCGATTACCGCGGTCTCCGCCAGAGCCCCAGCGACGTTGATTATCATCCACAGGTAACGGAGGCGGGGGAGGTGGAGGCGGCGGTGGCGGTGGTGCGCCCATTGCCGAAGAAGGACGAACACGGCCCTCATTTTCGTTGTTGGCGTTGGCGTTGGCACTAGATGTAGGGGCAGGGCCAGTCTCTGATGGGCCATCATCCCGCTCACGGCGGTCTCGACGTCGGGCCTCTTCGCGTGAGCTAGGATTGCGACGCATGGACTCGCGAGATTCGGTATGACGGTCACGCTCACGGTCCTTCTCTTCTCGACCAGTACCAGTACCAGCATCAGCATCATTGCGTCGGTTGCGGTCACGGTCACGGCGTTCTTCACGGCGGCTGTTACCACTGTTTGTTGAATCTTCACCGCGACGATCGCGACCTTCACGGTGACTCTCACGATCACGATCACGTCCCGAACGGCGAGCTTCAGTCGCAGGGGCGTCATCAATCAGGTCACCACCTCGGCCACCGCCGCCGCGGGAGATATTGTCATCCCCAGATGCAGCTGGGCCAGTGGGAGGACGGTTCGAAGTCTGAGGAGACGGGTTTGTTACATTCGATTGTCTGTTCGAGCCACGGGCACGAGCAGGTGGGGTAGCAGCCGGGATATCAGCCGGGGCAGTAGACTGCTGCTGCTGCGCAAGCATGCTACTGATGCCAGCAAATCGTTTGTCGCCTCGTCCGCGGTCGTTGCCAGACCCGCGAGGGCCAGATTGTCCACCGATCCCGCTACGAGGACCCGAGGGGGGTGTCATAGCTGAATTGAGTGCCGGTTGGGGAGGCCCTGCGAAAAGATTAAGTCGATCAGGGTGAATTCCGGCAACCTCGCCTCGGTCAGAAGATGGTGGTTGTGTGACAGGAGTCTGAGGATGGCCTGTACGACCGCCTTGTCGGCCAGGGCCTGTCGGCGGTTGGTTGTCGGGGATAGGCATTTTAGCATTACTGGAGGTTTGAGGAGGCTGTGCACCAGAGGCATTGCGGCCACCTCGTCTGCCACGACTCGGTCCAGAAGGAATATCATTCGGAGGTTGCAATCGACCGTGGTCCATATCGGGACCGGCTGTCTGGTCTCTTGATTCACCAGCAATACGATCGCTGCGTGGCCCTCGTGGAAGATCGTCATGGCGGGGAGGAGGAGGTTGCTGGTTAAAGCTTCCAGAGCGACGATCATTGGGGAATCGCTCAGGCCGGTTGGGCAGGTCGGTTCGTGGAGGTGACGGACCGCGTGGTGGATAGGGCCGTCGGTCATCCTTGTCTGATCGAGCTGGCTCGCCACGACGGGGACCGTTGGCAGGCCGGTCGGGGTAATCTGGCATGAGCTCAGGACGAACAGGTGGTTCGGGGCCATGGAATGAATCGGACGAACGCATGCGTCCTTGGCGATCCATGGGCCATTCTGACTCTCGCGGCAAACGACCGTCGCGGTACGGTGGGCCTCGGGGATCGTCTGGTGGGGGTCTCATTGGGAACTCGCGATCACGATCTGAGGGACGTCCGTGGCCTCTGAGATCTCCTGGCCCGTCGAACGAACGGGCCGGCTCGGGGCCATGACGAGTACGTGGATTGAAGTCAGAATGTCTGTCTTGTCGACCGTCGGCGGGTTCAGGACGTGCGGGCAATCTGACATCGGTAAGCCGCGGACGATGGGCTTGCTGGCGTGGATTGATGCGCTCGGGCTCTGGGCGTTTCGGAGCATCCGCCATGCGTCCTGAATCTGGAGCTCGAGAGCTTGGCCGAGGCCGGGATGGTGGTTCCTGGCCGCGTTTGTCCGACGATGAATGATCAATCGCAGTCGAATCCCCGCTTATATCCATGGCTCCAGAGCTGGTGGTTGAGTCATGAGTACTCTCAGCTTTGAATGCCTCTTCGCGTTTCCGCGTGATATCGGCCCGACTAATCGAAGCAGACTCCGCCATCTTCGCATCCTCAATCTCGCCATCCTCAACCTCAGTCTTACCAGATGGATCTTGCTTTAGATCAGTTGAACTAGTGTTTGCGTCAGTTGCTGGGCCGTGGGTCGGATTAATGGCATGACTTACTCTTGGGCCATTGGCTGGAATTCAGGAGCCGAGGCATTCAGATGAGTTGGGGTAGAGGATTGTGACGGGCCTCCAGGCGGCTGAGAACCAGACTTCGGTTGTCCAGGATCACCCGGCTGGGTCTTCACAAGGTTAAATTCCTGTGGGAGCATCCACTTCTTCTCCCGTCGATTGAGATCACCAATCAGTGAGGCGGCAGGGATCTTGACATCATCTCTTTCGTCGTTCTTGCTCAGGGTGTTCACGCAATTCAACATGTCGCGGCCAATCCAGTTGACAGCCGGGAAATGGAGGACAACAGCCTTGAGAACGCTAATCGCATTGCGAATGTGCATGTATTCCCCTCCATTGAGACAAGTCTTTAGCGCGTTGGAAAACAGACGATGCCACTTGTACAACAAACGTCGGAAGTCCTCAAACTCCAAGAACATTGTGGGAACGCCTTCGGGATCCACGTTTTTGGCAAAGCCAGGAAGGTCCCGCTTGGCACCGAATGCCTCCTTCTCGTATACAGCCTTGTCGGCGTGCCAACGACCCAGATCACGCAGTATCTCGTTCAGGAATCGTCCCAGGTTGTCGGCCTCATTTGAAGTACAGAGGAAGATGAGCGCTGTCAAACGTTGTTCACGGAAAAGCTGGTCAATCAGACCGACAGTTCGGAAATTGGGAGTCCCAGAGCCGTGAAGGAACTTCAGCATTTTGAAAGAGAAGAAGGCGTCAAGTGGCGACAGGAGCAAGCGGGGAATAAAGCATTGCTCTAGAAGAGCGACGTTCAGTGCATCATGCTTCAAACGCATACCAGCGAACCAGCGGTCTTTCTCTTTCTGCAGTCTTCTCCTAGTCTGATCATACGCCTTCAGATGTTTCTTGTTCTCGTCAAGTATCCGATCTTGAAGTTGGGTGATCTGCTTCTTTTCTTGCTCCTTTCGCCTTGTGCCAGCCATGCTGATATCAGAGCGATCATTGTTGATCATCACCACTCGGCGCTTCAGTCGATCAATCTCATCCTCGTAAGATCTTCCAGGGATATGGACGTCGTAGAGAGAAAGTTGCCAGAAAGTTGCGTAGAAATGCGGTCCCACAATTTCCCATGTCTCGGCAGGCATGACAGACTTGACATTTTCGATCAAATCTTGCATCACAGGGTTTGCAGACAACGGGCCCGGGGCAACCGAGAGAGACGTATCTTTGTCAACATCCATGCCAGATTCCGCAGAAGCTTCATCTGATGTAGCTGCCGCCTCTCCGTCATCGACATTGTCCATCTTCACGTCTTCAGTAGAATCTTTAATGGAAGGCTCCGCCTCCTGTTTCGAGTGTTCGAAATCAGCAATCTTCTTGGAGACACTGACCCGTCGAATCCAAAAGGCAATTTCGGGTTGAATGCCGAACTCTTTGACAAGCGAGGCGAGGTCGGGAACAAACGAGTCAAACTCATCTATCGACAAGTTGCTGCGCAGAAGATCCAGGTACTGTGTAAGGATACGATGGATCTCGTCGAAAATATTTCCAAGTAACTTGAGCTCGGATGATGTTTCTTTGTATACACATGTGAGACGTTCCTGGGCGATTGCGACCAAGAGTTGGCCGGCAAGGCGGGTATGGGTCAATGAATGAATCAGACGCTTGGAGGTAGTCTTCGATTCGTGCCGCTTATCGAGCAGCTGCAGAATTGTCTGCGATTGGAGTAGTTCACCACCTGCCATAGCTTGGATTTGGTTGTCATTGAAGTTGGTGTCGGAGATGATACCAGCCATCGAACTGATCAACTGTTCCAGAACAATGAGGTCCGTGGAGTTGTTTTGGCGCAGCTGCTCCACGACATACTGAAGAAGCGGGCTCGGTTCCATTACTGAATATCGCTTATAGGTTCGGCCAGCAAAGGTAGCCAGGGCATTCAGCCAGCGGCTCGTGAGCAAACCACCATCTTGAACACGACTTCTTCCCTTTTGACCAAGAGAGTTGATCAGTGACCAGGTCAGGATGTCGTAGCCCAGATTGGTGAAATAACGAGCGCACTCGACCACAACCTCAATAAGGTTCTCATAGGACTCAATCTGGCTAATGGCCACATTAATGACAATGCCCGGGTTGGCATAGGCGATCTTGGCAAGTGCACGGGCCATAGGCTTGACGTTAGTTTTGCTCAATCGTTTGAGAACGTCCTTGGTCTCAGCCCTTGCTTGATCAAAGGCAGATTTGATATCAGGCAGTCTGGACGTCTGGCCTGAATACCACTCGGCGTACATATTGTACCGAACATCGCGGGGGAAGAGACTGATGAGATCAAACACCTCGTTCACGACGCCAGGGTTCTGCTTGGTCAAACTGACAGAAGGCAGCAGGAGGCGCTTGCACAGGTCTCGCCAGCGAGTTTTGTTCTCTTCTGAGCTATCAGTTTTCAGACTGTGTCTACCGATGCGAGCGAACTTCGCCAACAAGGCTGTATCTTGTCCAATCTTGTGGCCGGATATATTAAGGAATGAGGAACAAAGAGCAAACACGTCGTCAACTGATTGACAGATTGGAATATTATCTGCCCAGTCATCCCAGTAAAAGCGGTAGTCGGTGCCATCGGCGGTATCTGCCTCATCTAACTGAGCCCATCGGAGAGTTCGTCGTGGTGGAGGTTTCACAAGTCGAAGGTTGCCCTTGGCAACACCGGACTGGTCGGTGCTCAAAATCTGTTGTGATCCAGGGAAATCGTCCGAAGTTTTCATAGGACGAAGAGGAGCGTAGACCTTGCTGATGCTATGGTGGAGAATGCGATGGATGAATTTTGGAAGTTCGGTGAAGCCGTCCATCAGCCATGGAAATTTGCTCATGATGAATAGGGCCTCGGGAATGGCGCCAATGGCCAAAAGACTCTTCAAGAGTAATATTTTTTGGTCCGATGGCTCTGGAAGGTCGGTTTCAGTTTTGGTGGATTGCTTGTCGTCTTGATCCTTAGACGGGGTGGCCACTCGCGTTTCCGAGTCACGAATACGGGGTGGGGGAAGTGTGTCGTCTGATAAAGCGCCAGCCATCATGAGAGCATTGACTCCACCTCCAGGTCGTGCGGCTTTCTCCCGCTCCGCCTTCTCCGCCATTTTCTCTGTCTGTAGGGCACCCATAGATTCATCGGGTCTCCAGAGATGAGCATATAGATCGCGAAGCGAGATGAATCCTACTTTGATCAGCAGCGCAGCCAGAAAGATGAGATTGTTAGGCAAGACATCGAGCTTCGTCCGAGCTGTAGAAGAGTAGAATCGCAGCTTAAATCCAAGAAGGGAGGCAGCGACTCGATTACCCTTCGGCGGTAGTGTTCCCGTCTCCTGGATCCAGGCCTTTGTTGCTTCTTCCTCTTCAGGGAGGCAGTTGACGTCCAGAAGTATCGTCTCTTTCTCCTCCTCAGTAAGCGGCTTGCGACCAAGCTCAAAGAAAGCTTGGATTCCGACCTGGCGCACGCGATCCCAAAAGGCTCGATCACGCTGCTCGTTCGCTCGCAAGGTTTCAATCCGCTCTTCTTCAGTGGTGACCCACCCAGACGATCCGGGGAGAGCCCAAGTCGGTAGTCCCGAGGCACGTTGGCTTCCTTCCACTGAGTAAAGTGGGTCCTCTTTTGGCCACCAGGAACTGGCGCGGAGCAACTTGACAAAGAAGCGGTACTGTTTGACAAGAACGGCAGCAAAGACATCCAAAGTCACATCCAGAACTCGACCGACATCCATATCAAAGGCTCCGATCATAGCCTTCACCCTTTCGAAGGTATCTTCAACCACTTCGCTGGATGGGGGCTCATTTTCGCTTGTTGTAAAAAGCTCAGTGAGAAGCTTCGAATAACCCTCAGACTCTTCACGCAGGAGGTTGTAGTTCGACTGTCGGTAAAGCAAGTTGGTCTGCTTGCGAATACCCATGCGCGCAAAGGTCTCGCGAACCAATCCCAAGGACTGCAACAGTGGTGTTTCAAGCTGAAGGCGCATGAGATCTGGAGATATTGAGGTCGCGAAAACGAGAGGCTTGAGGGCAGGGTTAGAGGTGTCGGCATCTGTAACGATAGAAAGTGTGTCGAGGAATAGAGAGCTCGAGTCAAACTGAGACGATTCGTAGCCCTCGGCTTCCATGTCCACATCCTGCGATGCAGCTTTCTCTCCGATGATAGTCCTGACTGTGGAACCGGCTTCCAACGGGGAGAGGCGGCCGTAAATCGCAGATCGGATAAGCTCCTGGTAGATCGATGCTAGGGTCGACAAATCCTGCTGCGTTCGCGCCGCGATTCCTTCGTCCACCACTTTTTGCTTCCCTCCTGAAGACCACTCTTGGACAGCGCTATCTGTGACGTACTCGTAATCGTAGGGAGGAGGCGGGCCGGTGGGGCGGCTGACGGTGGCCTCGGAGCCCGATCGGGATGTAGGTCGTGGTTGTGACTGCAAAATGGGGGTATTGGGAGCAGGCGATGGCGTGTGCTGAGAGCCTGTAGGCTCGCCATTGGCCTGTGGAGTCTCTAAGGTATCCTTGGGTTGAGCTGGCGGGGGAGGAGACATTGCGCTGGGCTCCCTCTGTTGCGAATTCGAAAAATTCTGACTGTCGTAGGACTGGCGGTGGGAATTGTTTCGACCACCAGGTCCACGGTTAGATTGTCGTCGAGACCGGTCGCGCCCGTCTTGCTGGTCCCGGAATGGACTCGACTGATTCTGTCCTGCCATGTTGAGCGCACCGGGTCGATGAGGTGAGGGACGCGGGCCTTCGTTATTGGGAGAGTCACTTGACCAAGTTCTTTCACTGCGCTTTCTCTTGCCTCCCTGCCCAGGTGCCATGGTGAGTGGATGGCAGGGTTAGACGCAGAGGGCAGAGGCGGTCGGTTGAGATGTCGAGAGGTTGCAGCTCATTAGGTAGAATCTTTAAGAGCGTCACAGAATGATCAGCAATTGAGGGAGAAAAAGGATAGCAGGGAGATGTAGAAAAGTAATTAGAATATCATACCGGTAAAAAGTCTGATCTAGGAGCTGTTAGATGGGGTGCGCGACGCGGAGGGCGATGAAGATGAAAGTCGATAAAGCTCGGAGCAAAGAAGGAGTGGATTCCATGCCTGAGGTGTCCATATTTACTTGGAGCATTCACTGCACAGAACATTGATGTTGGACTCTCCTACAAAGGAAGTCTTTTTACTTTAATAATTATATATATAAAGTTTCTATGAATACACAGGAAGCCCCGTCGAACTGACTATTTTCAAAAACAGGCAATAACCTTGATTAACTAATATTCATCACTTAAACACCCTGGCCTACGGAAATCATGTTCATATTATATACTTCCATAACCAACACGTGCACATCAATCTTATCAGTCAAAATCAAGATTCAGGCAACACTGAAACCTTCCATAGCCCTGGAGATAGTGAGATCATAGATCATTCATAGGATACTTCGCATAGGATACTTCGTTACCCAGGTAATTGCATGTGCTAATTAGGTACATAAACACACCGAGTTTTGATTGCTCAGAAGCCTTAACATTCTCAAATTTTATCACTAATAATAGTGCTCGTATCATATTAAAGACCCTCACAGTCCAAGTTCTTTGGCTTCAACTGTAACAATCTCCGGAATCAAGTCAATCAGCTTCGGCTGCTTGGGCTCCCACCCAAACAGCTTTCTCGCCCGAATAGCATGACCACGAGAATTCGAACCCCAAGCATAAACACCCCACTGCAAGATCTCCGTAGTCTGTTCACCATCCACAGAGTCAACCTCAGGAGATTGAATATACTTCAGATCAAAAGCAGCCTTCGCCACCGCCCGCTGGATATCACCCCAGACAAACGACCCATTCTCAGCGAAGTAATATCCCTCTTCATTCCAGGTAGCCTTACCGCCACCCTCTGAAGCCGCATCGCCCAGAGCGAGGTAGACATTGCTCAAATCCTGAATATGGACCTGGTGCCAAACGTTCTCACCCTTGCCCACCAAGAATCCCTTTCCGCGCTTGAGAACAGCTGCGCTTAGCATGTAAGCTTGGAGACTCTTTGTGTTTACGGGACCGCGGCCTTGGCCATAGATTGTTGGTGGGCAGACGACTGCGGTGTGGACGCTGGGGTTTTCCTTGCCGATGTTGATGATGATTGTGTCCACGTTGCGGTGAAATGCGTCTTCGGGGAGATTGACGAGCTCGCTGACACCTTCCCAGTCATTGTATTCCTTGGGACGCTCGATACCATATGTCTTTGCACGCTGGTCTTCTACTGTTAGGATACCTGTTCCGGACGTGTGGATTATCCAGAGTGGATGTTCGGGGGTGTGGTGCTTGGCGCCTTTGGCAATTGCCTCAGCAGCAGCGACATGGTCGCAATCGGCGAAGTCTATAGTAAAGTCAATGACCTATGAAACTAATAACCTATAAAACTAAGCCACGTTGTAAAATGAGACTCACGGAAAAGAATGTCAGCCTTCTTAACCTCTTCCTCGATGATATCAGAGGAGTCCAGATCCCCGTGAACAACACGGATCTTGGGGTACTTGCTGGACAGCACAGCGGCCTTCTCCTTGCTTCGGACCAAGGCCGAAAGCTCCCAGTCGGGGTGAGCGTTGCTGATGGCGTAGAGGCCATCACCGCCAATGTAGCCGGTGGTACCAGTACTAGATTTGATCAGATAAAAAGCTAGGGCTCCCGAGTTGGATTGACCTACATGAAGACCTGAGGAGCCATGTTGTGTGCTAATGTGGTATTTGTAGATAGGAGGATGTGAAATTCAACTAGGATGTAGAAGAAGAGAAGAACCAAATGGTAAACTGAATAGAGAATTCGATTGTAACCCGATGCTTTGAAATCAACTTAGTACTCTGAATATAGAAACTTGGGTCCGAGCCGGATCTTAAGACCGGGCAGAAGTGGGCAAAAGTGGGCGAAAGTGGGGGTATACCATGAAGGTATATCCAATAAAAGGTTTAAAGGAATGTTCATGCTGATAAATCATGCGGGTACTTGTCTGACTCTACATGTACATACTGACCTCCATTTAGCTCCAACGTTAGCTACTTGAGCTTCGGTACTTAGTATATAACATCAGCTTGACCCCGCATGATGTCAACCTCAACCCCGCCCAACAAGTAAACCCCGTCGGGACATTCATGAGAATTTAAATACACCATAACCTACTTGCATGCCCCACTTTTCAAAAATGATATCAGGAAGCTGTGCATGCCGTTACATTCGTTACACAGCCAATGTCGCCCCAGCAGGAGTGGTGAATTGCCACTGTACAACATGCCGCAAACAAGCTGGTGCACCCTACCAAGCTTTCGTGCATTTCCCCATTAGCTCTTTCAAATGGGAAGTCGAACCTACAAAATGGCAATCAAGTGAAATCGCTTTCCGAACATTCTGTCCTCACTGTGGCTCGAACTTGAGCATGTCTTACGATTCGGACCCGAACGAGATAGCGATAGTCGCAGGGACGCTTGATGACGGAACCATTGTGCCGCCGCCGTCTAAACATATATTTCTCAAGGACAAGGCACCGTGGTATGAACTTCCGGAAGATGGAGCTGCAAGATATCAAGGATGGACCGGATAGGTTGGAGGACATGGCCTGCTAGAGTTTGGGATGTATTGGCTGGATATGAAGTGAACGAGGTACATGATCATAGATACGTTTGAAAGTTTGACAGGAAAAATTGAGATTGGGAAGAGTTTGGAGTATCTGATAATCATAAATTTAGGTCGAAGACCTGTCAGGAAAGACATAATAGGAGACTCAAGTTATAAAATGGCAAAGGGGAATCACGAAGTCGTGTTCAGGCTACATGTACAGAATCAACGTAACTGGGAAACCTGATCAGAATGTGCTGGTGGCCAGCCGGCTGGCGGCGTTACGAGCATCCAGTCGATCATCGTCGTCCTCTGCAATGGAACCGACCTTGCTCGTAGAACGCACACGTCCCTGACTGGACTCAGTGTTTTCGTCCCCTTCCTCCTCGCCGGTAGGAGCCGTGAAACTACCGCTCATACTACGACCGGCGCCATCAATGCGGCGGGGAACACCGCTCCAGGCATCACCCTTAGGACCCTGGCTGGAGGAAATGTTAGGTCTGCGTTGTGCGGGGTGTGATTCACGACCCAACCGACTCAAACCGCCGGACGAATCAATGGCTCGGACATCGGGTCGAACACTTTCAAGAGTTGCCAAGGTCCGGCGCTCTGCTTCGATCTGGCGCAAAGTGTATTCTCGCAGGCTAAACAAAAGATCATTGGTGGTGCGGTCGAACCAGCGGCGCTTTTCTTGGAGCAGATTTCCAGTGACGCGCTGGGTGCGCTTAGTCAAGTATTCCTCGTGGTTCTGTGCCTCCTCGAGAGCATTGATTGCTTCATCAACCTTATCCGGACGCACTGATGAGCTGACCTTCAATCGGTCTGCGGCGGCGCGCTTGCTCTGGGCAGTCTGTCTAGCCTGGAGAAGTTCGCGTAGCAAAATGTGACGGTTGGTCAGGGTCTCCTTCACAATGAAAGCGTCTTGGGAGTGGTAGCTCAAAGGCTCCCCGAGAGTCGTGGCCTCCGCAGTGGCCTGCACGGCATGGAAGTCACCCACGGTCTGAATAACCTTGCCCAGCTTACGGTAAGCAGCGGCTAAACCAGGATGCGTCTCTTGCACGCTCATTTGACCAATTTTCACTCCAAAATCGGATTCGGCCAAACCAACACCTAGGATTGTTAGCTTGCGCCCAAAATGAAGAATAGAGTCAATAGCATACCGCGACGGCCCTTCACAACTCGGTCTACCTTATGGCTGGTGTCCATTGAAGCCAAGTAAAACATCTTCACGATTGGACGAGCGGATTGGAGCTCAGGGGTATCATCTGGTGGAGGCGCAAACTGCTTCAACATCTTACGGCGCACGCCAGTAGCCGGTTGCTTCATCCGAACCACAGGACTGTAGCCAAAATCGCTCTCCACGAACAGCACGACCTCGTCATCCTGAATAAGGATATCATTGCTCAGAACGGTGTTGAGCCATCTTTGCATTGACGCCTTAACTCGAGATTCATCCTCGTCAGTACCTGCTCCGGCTGGGGTTACTGGTGGTGGCACAGCGGGGACTAGAGCTTCCGGGTTGGCTGAGATCAAGTGGTCTGCAAGTTTACCGAACTCAGCGTGCGTACGGCGCACATCACGGTACTGGGTGGTGCGGAACTTGGGAATATTGGTCTGTAAAGAACAATGAACGACAATTAGACCTCCAGCTATGTTTAGTGCATCTGTGTATTTGAGAGTCGACCTACGTGGACATCGAAGCGGAGAATAGGATCTTTCTTGCCTGTCCGCTCCAGGCTAGTAATCTTGGCTTGAATCTTATATGTCGGCGCCGGAGCGTGGGAGTTTTGACGCAGTCCCAGTCCAGTCTGATGACGTGTGGGGAGGGCCTGATGCTGCTGAGAGCTCTCTAAGGGAGGTTGGCCCTCGGCATAGTCCGGGTCCCCCAATTGAGGACTCTGAAGTTGCGCCGAAAGGTCTGGAGATTGTGGTACTCCTACTTGGCTTCCGTCTGTATCCTCCGAATATCGCTCCTGGCCAGGTAAAGGAGACGACGGGACGTCGCTGTTGTTGGAAGCGGGGAATGTGTTGCGGTCAGCGCGCGGAGAGCCCCAGGGCGAGGGGCCGACAGGGTCGGGATCGGTAGAGACAGCCGAGTAGTCCATCTTGGTTGTAAAAGGATGTAAGGAGTGCCTTCAAAGGGATTGAAGGGGCGGGAGCTGCTAGTGGGTAGGCGTCAGTATTAATGGCTGGGGATCCCCCCACAGTGATCCGGCTAGCTTCAAGTAACTTACCTTTGACAGCTTAAGTAGACGAGCAGTTGCACGTGCAAAAGTTCATGACAATTGAAAACGATAATGAAAACAAAGCAAAGATGGGCGAGTCAGTGACCAGAGTTTGTACAATGGAGGCCGAGGAAAGAAAGAGGTTGGAGCGAGTTACGTATGGACGATCGGGAACGCCAAGCCCGCCTTTAGCTCCGTCGTTTTTCCCTTTAGCTTCATCCAACCATTGGCCATTTCCACGATTTCTACATAATATACCCATATTTCTCCCACTATTGAGAGCGAATATCCTGGGTTATGGTTGTAGCTCCTTTACTACGCCTTCCTCAATCAGGGGTGCGTTGTATGGGCTTTTTTAGGCCACACTTCAACCCTGTGAAGAGCCACATTTGTCCCCAGAGTCTACAGCTGAATATCCCAAAAGTGCAACGTTTCTCAACCTCATATTCAAAATGGCAGGACGAGTCTTTTTTGGACCGAACACGCAATATCGGGATCATTGCCCATATTGATGCTGGCAAGACCACAACCACCGAGCGCATGCTGTTCTACAGCGGCTTCACTCGACGCATTGGTGATGTGGACGAGGGTTCAACTGTCACGGATTTCCTGCCTGCGGAGCGTGCTCGTGGAATCACGATCCAATCTGCTGCTATTACCTTCCATTGGCCTCCTGGGGATGGCGCTGAAAGCCAAGCCGGGACTCAAGATGCATCCATGCCTCGCTCAGCAAACTCGCATACTATTAATCTCATTGATACGCCGGGGCATGCAGACTTCACCTTTGAGGTCATGCGGTCCCTGCGCATCCTAGATGGCGCTGTTTGTATCTTGGACGGGGTTGCTGGCGTTGAGGCACAGACAGAGCAGGTCTGGAACCAGGCCAGCACATATAAAATCCCTCGAGTGATTTATGTGAATAAGCTGGATCGGGATGGTGCAGCATTTGGTAGAACAGTGCGAGAAGTAAGCTCTCGTTTGTCTGTTTATCCAGCAGTATGTCATATTCCTTGGTTCCAAGGAGGAAATGGGCCTTTTGTTGGTGTGGCAGACGCTATCAATCTTCAGGGATTGCAGTGGAAAGAAGGCGGAGATGGTCGCTCGGTAAAAATGCTAAACCTAGAGCAATTGGATGCAGAAGAACCGGCTCTGGCAGAGGAGCTCCGACGGGCTCGCATTGCTCTCATTGAACTATTGAGTGAGCAGGATGAGATCATGGTGGAGAAGTTTTTTGAGTACGAGGACCATTTGGCAGTGCCCTCAATGGACATAATCGATAGTCTCCGCCGCTGTGTGCTGGACCCCACAAGTCGAATCGTGCCCCTCTTTGCAGGGGCCAGCTTCCGCAACATGGGTGTGCAGCCCCTGCTTGATGCTGTGGTCAATCTTCTCCCCAGCCCTCCAGAGGCACCAGATCCGGAAGTGAGCATTGGAGGTGTTAAGGGAGGCCTACGACGACTGCTTTCAGGTGATCTGATCGTGGAGCAGAGCGAGCAAGCGCTCACTTCTTCCAAGGGCAAGAAAAAGAAGAAGAATGCTCTTCTTATGAATCCCAAAGACGCCATTTCTAAACTCCAAAGTTGTGCCTTGGCTTTCAAAATGGTCAATGACCCCAAGCGCGGTGTCTTGGTCTACGTCCGGGTATATTCTGGATCCCTTGACCGCAACAGCTTGCTCTTCAACACAAACCTGCACCTCTCTGAACGTGCTCCTCGTCTCCTGAAGATGTACGCCAACGATGCGGTAGAGGTGGACTCCATCCCTGCCGGTCACATCGGTGTCGTGGTCGGCCTGAAGCACGCTCGAACCGGTGACACCCTGCTGTCATATGCAGGAAACAAACCTACGCCCCCTGAACCACTGACGACCCTTCAACTACGCCCAATCGACGTACCTCCACCTGTCTTCTTTACTAGCGTGGAACCGCACAGTCTAAGCGAAGAAAAGCGAATGCAAGAATCCCTTTCGCTTCTGCTGCGAGAAGACCCCAGCTTGCATGTCAGTGTAGACGAAGAGTCTGGCCAGACCCTGCTCAGCGGAATGGGCGAATTGCACCTTGAGATCGCCCGTGATCGCCTAATCGATGATCTCAAGGCCAAGGCATCCATGGGCCGCATTGAAATCGGATACCGAGAATCCACTCTCGGCGCCTCGAGCCCCATCACTAAGATCTTTGAGAAAGATATTGCCGGCCGTAAAGGCAAAGCAGGCTGCACGGCAATTGTGGAACCTTGCAATGAAGAAAGTGTCTCCGAGGCCGCTGACGAAGATACCATCCTCGCCGAGACCATCGAAGGAAACCAGATTATCATCCGCGCCCCAGGGCTACAAATAGAGACCGTCAGGAACGAAGAAGAGACCAGCCCATTCCTTCCACCAGGCATGGATCTAAATACTCTTCGTATAGCGATGCAGAACGGTGCTCTGGCAGCGCTTGCACGTGGTCCCCAGTTTACATTCCCCATGCACAACACACGAGTCACACTCAACCTTGACCCAGCGGAGCATCTTTTCGGTGGCGACACCACCACATCCGCACTCTCTGCTGCCGCTCGCCAGGCCACTTCTGCTGCTCTGCGAGACCTCCTGACTGGCGCCGGGACTGTCATGATGGAACCGGTCATGAATGTCATTATAAGCGTCGACGAGGCCAGCCTGGGCTCTGTTGTTCACGATATTTCCTCTTCACGGGGTGGGCACATCCTTTCGCTGGACGAGGATGTCTCGGCTTCCGCTACAGATGATTCTGACTCTCTTCCTCCTATTGACCCGAAACGTGTGTATGCCCCTGCCGATCCATTCGAGACAACTTCTGTTGGTATTCAAGTACACGCGCCTACTTCAAGACAGCGCAATATTACTGCGAAGGTTCCCCTTAAGGAGATGGTTGGGTATTTGAAGCACCTCCGCAGTCTGACTGCTGGTCGTGGTACATTTGTGATGAGTGTTGACCGATTTGAGAACATGTCTTCTCAGAGACAAAAGGCTGTCTTGACCGAGCTGAGAGGTGGTTTCTAGTGAGGCATACACATCATGTATCAGGCAGAGTGTGTGTTATTATTGGATCTGTATATTAAATTATCCTTGGAGCTCCCAAATGTATTATTATCTCATACGAGATCTTTTCTTGTGCATCTAATTAGGTTTCGAGAAAAGCTATAAAATCCCTGGTATGGCGTCCGAGTACGTTGGTCCCAGATTTCGATAAAATATGATATTGTTGGATGCTCTTGATAATGTCCACACCTAGTTATTCGACAGCATTTAAAATATTATTCATTTTAATTTATGAATAACAGAAATAAATCCGAAACTCGGTCAATTTACATATTGAAGTCTTAGACGTCCAATTAGACCATGCAGATGGCGCTCGTTCCATCTAGTCTTTAGATCAGTTTCATGAAATAATATAAATCTCTTAAAACCGACAGATAAGTAGCGCGATAGTCTGCATATCGGTATCAATAGATCAAAGTACATGATATCATACGCCCATCAATCCCTTTACCCAGTATATTGTCATGAAGTATAGTCTGTGTCCACGAATCTCAGCTGAAAGCCGCCCGAGATGGTGACCCAGAAATCGACTCAATGAACTGTACTTCCATCCCAACTTGGCAGACAATACCACATTAAACCTCCGGCAAAACCTCACGATAAGGAGCCTTGGGGTTAGGCCGACGACGTCTGCGGTGAACATCTATACAAGCCAGCACAAACAACGTGAAATGGGCGACACTATCAGGTAAAAGTTAACAGACGCCACAAACTTCGCATCGGGGATGACATACAAGACAAATAGCGCGAAGATAAGACAAGCAATATTACGACCTAGCCCGTAATCGTCGAAGTAGAGATCGATAGCCGAAACAACGACAACGAAAGCTGCGAGAGCGGCAGCAATCAAATCGAAAGCAATACAACAGCCAGGGTGGGGTGCACACTTGAAACAAAGAATTCCGAGGACAATAAGGGACCAGAGTCCACAAAGACTCAGCTGTTGGCCTGGTTAGATCGGGATTGATGAACGCTTTCTCTTTAGACTTACGAATAGCCAATAGAAGAACGAGTTAACGGGGTATACGGTGCCTGCGGTTGAGGCGATGATTCCGAAGACGGCGCTGAAAAGAGCGATCAGACGCAGGACAAATCGCCAGAGGCCGGTCTCTGGACCGGGGAAATCCTTTCCCATAACGAGAGTGGTGATAGTTTATAACGAGTGTGATGCTGTTGGGAACTGTAAATCAAAGGACCGAATCAATGACAGTGAATTCAATGTTGTGATTTCCCCCCTGGAAATGGGATTGGGCGCCATTTGCACAAGTTTTCCAGGGTTTAACTTAGTCTTAGTCTAGTAGCCTTGGCTAATGGCTGGATCAGGGTCCAATCTCCGGCTAGTCCCGTTTGGGATGTTGTGCTCTACCGTGTGGACTTATTTACATTTGACTCGATTACTGGGATTTTGTAATAACTTTGTATGGAGATGTTCAGATCGTGCTATGAGCCATATTCTCAATCCAAAATTTCAGCCAACTTCCAATGTTCGCCTCGCAAGGTGTGAAGTCTCTAAAATTAGAAAGCGGGTAGGTCTTCGGCTGTTTTGACCAGAACTTAATCTACATCTACAGTACGTGCACTCTTAGCAATGAGCATTACAGTAGAGAGACAAACACCGGAAACCACCGAGAAATTATCTTCACTTTGCATATGGATTTTTCAGCCGATCACAAAGCCCTAAGATTCCTCCTCTGGATCGCAGAGGTACATTGTAAACATTCTCCTCCTAATTAGAAACTGATCAAAGCCCAGGATACACAGGCTCACAAACATACCGGCTAATGTAGACCTTACATCAGGCCAACCACAGCATCACAATAGATCTGAGCATCAAGATCGAGACGAACCTTCTGAATGTTGAGGTGAATCTTGATCTTCAAAGCACTCTTATCGTCCTCATTGAGGAGCTGGCCAGGGATCTGCAGGCCGGCGTTGGGGATATCACCGGTGAATTTGTTACCAGAAACCAGCTCACCACCCTTTGTGTTGGGGTTCGCATCGTTTAGTGCTTCTCTAGCCTCGATCTAGACTCATTCGAAATGACGTAACACGAGGCTCTGCACTACCTGCACTTCATATAGACACAAACTTCTATCTTCACGGGTGGAGCCAGAAACGAAACACAACAGTTTCTGTGATCCTGACTGATCTTATGCTAGCCATGTGCAACCCTGATTTCTCCGAGTTGGTTCCGAGAATGGAGCTTCGAAACATGCATGTGTATACACTATGCAAGTCGGATCCGATGGGAGCTACAGGACTCGAAATGCTCTAGAATCAAATCATCGTTTCCCATGCGAAAAAATTCTCGACATTAATGGCGAACACGTTGTGTGGCCGGTTCTATCCATTTTCACCTGCGTCACTATGAAGGTTGGATTAATCGACAACCTTGGCGCAGTGCAGCAGAGTGTCTATGGTGGCAAGAAGCTTACAGCGGGGATATGAGAGCGCTCGAATAAGGCTATCTGGCAAACCAATCTGGCTTGATGGAACTTTTCTCATGTTGCTCGATTCAAGTGTTCCAATGTTGATCCTGTTGGACTAATCACATATGTGCATTCAAAGCCTACATAATGAACCCGAGGACAAGTCTGGACTCAAGTCCATGGATGTTTCAGCTACTTCAAATGTTAGAAAAGGGAAATTCTGAAGCTTAACGTCGGAACCGGGACACTTTCAATGGTATCATGAGGTTCATTCCTTAGGTAGCGACAACGTAGACCTCGGGACAAGGCTATAAGTTTGAAGGGCATCTCTCCTATACAAGAGAGAAGCATTTCATTCAAATGTTCGACGAGCGAGGTATATAAATCAAGAACGGGCAAACACATCATGGCATCTGAAACCGTCTACACACATGTGCACGTAAACAAAACCCAACATGCAGATTGAAACAAAAGACAAACACGCCAATGTATATATAGGATCTACCAGTTATCATCCCAGTCATCCTTCCCCTTGGTTGATGCTGCTCCACTCTCCTTCCCTTCTAACCCGGACGGGGTAGTGGTAGTCTCAGCAGTAGATGTAGATGAGTTCGCCAATGACGAACCAGTAGCAGGAGTCTTGCGCATAGCTGCTGTACCGACAACATCGGACCGTGAGGCACCGCGGCGATGGCCAGCCTGTGCAGCTTGCTGCTCCTGTGAAGCCAAAGATGAGAAGTCGTCCCAGAAGTCCCGACGCTCAGGCTCTACACGAGATCGCTGGCCAGAATGACCTTCATCGCCCTCAACAAACCGGTTGAATTGATCAGCCGCGCCCCGGGCACCAGTCTGTAAGTTCTGACCCCAGTTAGCAGCTTGGGCACGAGCCTGGGCTGCAAATTCGGACTCGGCGAGCTGGGATTGTCAGTCTCTGCCACACACATACAAGAGGTTCCATGGAGATTATTACATACCTGCTTCGCAGTAGGTTGAAGATATGAATCATTCACTGTCTTCGCACCCTTCCCAACGGCCGACGCAAACCATCCAAATCCCTTGGTAATCGAAGCCACGGGATCTTTCTGGAACTCATCTAAGACTTGATTTCCACCACCACCACCACCAAAGCCTCCGAATCCACCGAATCCTCCAAATGGCGAAGAGCGACGCTCTCCACCCGTAGACGGAGGCAAACCACCTCCAAACCCAGTAAACTTCCCACCCTGCGAAGGAGGCAGATTATCCGAGCGTGTAGCATTCTCCGAGCCCATCTTCGCGAAATAAGCTTCATTCTGTTCCTTCTTGCTCGCCGGTCCCGGCCCTGTAGATCTCAAACTACTCGTCCGCTGCATTCCCGCAGGTGAGCCAGTCCTAGCACCAACACCACCAGTCCCCACACTCATCGGCGTACTAGATCTCGACACTGGAGTGTTAATGTTATTGCTCTTTTTTTTCTCCTGACCGAGGACGTATTCCTTCCCCTCAACCTTACACGACAGGCGCTCTTTCCACTCCTCGCCCGCCTCGCCTTCGTAGCGCTCTTTGATGGTTGAGTCCTCGAATGTCCGGCCCTCGGAGACGGTAACCTCGTGCTCATCGTAGAATGCTTTCCACGGATCATTGCCGCCTAATTCCATGCGCTGGATCTCGGCGTGCTTGAAGGCGTCCATGGTGATTGAGCGGACGAAAGAGATGTGGACGCCTAGGCCGCGGTGTGTGCCTGCGCAGTTGAGACATATAAATGTGCCAAATTTTGGAGATGCCTGATGGGAAGGAGCTGTTAGCTAGATGTTTGTGCTGGTCACCTCCGGTTGAGGGGGGGATGGTGCCGTGGGTTGTTTCGTTCGTTTGCGGGGGTAAATAGAGGGGATCGATTGGGGAGCAAGGGAGACACACCCATTGAGGTGAAGGGGCGCCACAATCACAGCATCGGTCATTGCCGTTGGTTTTGGAGATCTGGAGGAGCTGTTGGTTCGGTGTGGTGGTTAGTTACAATTATCTTGGCTTGGGGTTGCTGGCGCGGTGGGTGAGGCGATAAAGGAATTCGGACATACCTTCGTCCTTGTCTCTGGATCGACCTCCCACATGCGAGACATGATGGGTATTTGGCGCTATACAATGGTACTCAGGACAATTGGGAAGAGTGAAGGTGTGGGTAGAAGGCGGAGTCGTCGCCGCAGGTCGATCGGAGCGTTTTCTGTTTTTGGGTACCTAGGTTGCCCCTGATTTTGATTTTGCGCTCCACCGAGTTGGCGCTATAAATAATAGTGCAGATAAAGGAAGAAAAAAAGGTTGACCAACGGAAAGGAAGCAGTGAGACGATAGGATTCGTTGAAACTTGCAAGTGTTGAAGGGTGATGTTTGCCGCCAGAATGATCGGCAAGGGTCACCCCAACTTAAGCGTCATCGCCAAGGGTCGCGCTAGAGTTGCGCTAGAGGTTGAGAAAAATCTACGGATTGAAGTTTACTTTACATTCCAAGCAGGTCGTCATCAGTTAGTTAAATGGGTGCTAAGATACAATACAGAAGGCAAAAAGTCGTTAAGGATGGAGGCATCAGCAAGGATTGCTCTCCAGCATGGACGTATGTTCCATGTCGTCCATAAAAAAGGTCATCATCACACCCTCATTTGTTCGTCTCCCCACGAACAATTAAGATAATCCAGAGACCAGAGCCTGGGGAATTGCGAAATGAAAAACCACGGGAAATATGCAGACATAATGCCCAAACAGTCTCATTCTCGCCTTCACATATTCTCCAAGCTGGTCAGCAAGCCATCTGCACTCAAAAAAGATTCATTGTTTGCATTTAAGCCTCGGCGGGGGTCTCGGCGGGAGTGGCATTCTCCTCAGTCGGGGCGGGGGTCTCCTCGGTGACATCCTCGGTGACATCGTCGTCCTCCTTTCCGGGGCTATCGATGGCGACCTTGACGGCAATGGTGCGACCGTCAATCTCCTTGCCGTTCATCTCGCTGACGGCCTTGGCCTGGAGTTCCTCAGTAGCAAGGCTGACGAAACCGAAGCCGCGGGTCTTGCGACGCTCGTTGCGGGCCTGGAGCTTCTTGATCATGAAGCGGGGGATGGGGCGCAAGGCAACCTTGGCACCAACGGGCTCGTAGGCGGAGAAGATCTCCTTGAGCTGTGGAATAGTTAGTTACCTGCTTGAATTAGGAAACGGTCACAAGTTCACGTACCTTGTCTTCAGTCAGGTCGTAAGGCAGGTTAGCGACCATGACCTTAGTCTTGGAGGGAATACCGTCCTCGGGGGGACCACGCTGCTTCTGGGTACGCGCGCCGCGGGGCTTGCCCTGCTGCTTGGCTCCCTCATCACCAGCAGTCTCGGTCTCATTGGTAGTCTCAGCCAGAGGAGCCTGCTCGGTAGCAGTGGCATCGGCGGTTTCCTGGCCCTCCTGAGCCTGATAGTACTCGAGTTAGCACTTGAAAATCGCAATTGAATATCAGGGAAAGGAAAGACATACACCACGACCGCGAGCAGCGCGACCACCACGGCCACGAGCGCGACCACGGCCCCGACCCCGGCCACCAGTGCGCTTGCGACCCTCAGTGCCGCTGGCACCCTCGCCGCCACTGGCAGCACCCTCCTTGGCCTCAGCAGCCTCAGGCTTGCGGGCCAGCTGGACAGACACCTTGCGCGCCAGGATCTCCTTGCCGGACAGGCTCTCAATAGCTGCGGTGGCGTCGCTGGCAGTGGCGAGGTCTACGAATGCGTATCCAACGGGGCGGTTGGTACGGGGGTTCACCGGGATCGAGGTGCTCTCGCTGTGACTCGAATTAGCACTGTGCGGGGATGAAAGTAGCTTCGAGAGCTACCACATGATATCGGCCGCCTGACGACGAGAATCCGTGTCAAGTGCAATTTCTACTTACATGGTGTATGCCTTGAAGAAATCCTTCAACTCGTCCTCGGTGGTGGCATAGGCGAGGTTTCCAATGTAAAGACGACGGCCCTCATCGGCACTGGCAACTGCAGCGTCAGTGGCCGGGGCGGCAGGCGCGGTGCCGTTGGTGGCGGGAGTCTCAGCGATGGCGGTAGCAGCCATGCTGTCAGTCAGGGCGTCGACGGCAGACATCTTAACGGTAGTTGACACAAAAAGGATTCGGGAGAAAAAAAGCTTGAAGCTGTGTCAAACAAACAAGAGGGGTGGGTTGTTTGTTGATTTGCCGGGAATGGGGAACTTGTCGAGAGGATGGAGAGAAGGAGCAGGGTAGCTTGGTGCCCTAGATACCGATTGAAGGAAAGAAGAGATGGATGGGGATTCGAATGCAGTAAAGTTGACTCTTGGAAGAAAGGAAGGAAGAGAAGGGGAGAGAGTTGGTTGTTTGGAGGAAAGGAGGAGGCGGTGTGCGCTAGCCGCGTTGGGGGGAGACAAAGGTCTGGTCTTTCTTAGGCGTCGTGAAGCCTAAAGTTAGGCGTGCATTGGCGTGCATCAGGGGAAGTTCGGGGGCTTCCGGGGGGTTGCGGGTAATCCTTCTTACAAATTCTGCCCACTTAACCAAGGCAACCAACAATGCCTTGATGTCATGCTGGAGAACACTTGACTTAATTCGGTGAGTTGCTATTGTCTTCGATCCACTTGCCTTGCTCAACCCTTCAAGTTTCTACCCATTCCTAGTATATACTTGATATACTCGGTCTTTTACAAATTCCATGATCCTACGTATTGATTATTTTTCCAATTTATTTCCATACTCCCTAGAGTCTCAGTCTCTTACAGTATTGAACTGAACGATCACCAAGGGATCGGATCTTCCAACCTCAGCCGGCTCCACTTTGCCTCCATGGTATCCACGCTCCCGGCTAAAAAACACATCATTGACACGCGGTGTACGAAATACAATGACCATGAAAGACCTATTCATTGGAATTGGTCTTTACGTGCGCATCCGATATACTGTCTAACTCCACCAAAAAAGCAATAGAATTCCCGAACTGCATGAATGTCTTGCAGGCTGCACACAGATATGTGTCAGAAAAAAAGGGAAAAAAAGAAGAAAATCCCCCGCTAGTTACCCCTCCTAAGCACTACACCGCCATGGAGTCTAGGTCCAATGCAAACCTAGTCAGGCCTGGAACTGTAAAGAAGCTGTGACGCTAATTACCCTTTCCTAAGAATATATCTTTCCATGGAGATTCACCATAAACCTGAAGATGAGTATTGATTCCATATTGGTCGAGTATTCTACCGCGCTGAACAATCTCTTTGGATCCTGTTGTGTTCATTTTTTGTGTCATTCTCTTCTTCTGTACTTAAAGCCTACTTGAGGGTCTAAGGGCCTACACTGATAACGCTCAATTTGATGGGGAAATACATGAAGTACAATCTTATCTTTGACAGACCTATGGGAACCATCCTTCAGCCAACAATTGCTGTAGCTCCTCGTCACTGACCTCTGAAGCTGCGACAGGGGGCTTTTGGAACCCATCGATCCATTTATCTGCTCGGATTTTCGACACATAAATATCATGACGAACCTCCACTCGATCAGTCGGGATGATTCGTGGCACAGTAGGTGATTTCTTGGTAACAGATTGGCCTTGCTTCGGCTGCCAGTGTGTCTCCTGCTGATTAGGCCATTTCTTCTCCAAGACTTTGTCCATGCTGGGGTTTGACAAGTCAATCGCACTATCCGTGTCTGACGTGTTTTCTCTCCATTCATCGATCAAGGTTTTCGCATATTCGGAGACTGAATTGGCACCGTGCCAGACTTGTGTCTTCAACAGTGGCGCAAGAACAACGGCGCTCAAGGCCTCGATGATCTTGTCGGGGCTGCACTCTTTCTCTTGTGCAAAAGCATCGACCGGAAATGTCTTGCAGATGGTGTTTGCCATGGACTTGAAGAATATATCTGTGAATGGATCCTTGTTCACTTGTTTCACGCTGGTTTTCAGTCGTTTTGCTGGCTCGGAGATGGAGGGATCTGGAGATCCTGTTCGCTTCCGGCTTTCTGACTTGGTTGGTATTGGAAACTGATACTCTGGTATCGCGGATGGGCCGCTCCAGGTATGAGAAGGTGTTTGGACCACTGTAATTAGTACTTGATTAGCTTGGTCAATTGCCACAATGATTATTTTGTCCTTGACATAGTCAGGGGGAGTCACAAACTTTTACCTGAAAAGGTCTTGGGCTAATGATCAAAAGTGATAGTGTTACAATGACTACCTAATCTTTTAATTAGAATAGAATGAGGGAAATGAGGAGTAAGATGGATGTAACCCGCAAAACGGAGTGGGTAGAGAAAATTCCGCTTTCTTTGCATGAAGGCCACCTTAATAAGTATAAAAATATGGAAGTTATCGATCACTAAGTACAGACACCAGAAGCAATTAAAGCAGTTGCTCCTTGTTGTGTTGTTGCTCTTTGAAGATGTACAGTATAAGCGTCTTCAACAATTATGCATTGTACGAAGGTGAACATGTGACTTGCCTCTCTGCATTAGTCCCTGCATGTTCATGGGAATTGGCATGGTTGCGCATATAGGTATATGTAGTTATCAATTCTCTTTCTATATAATTCATTGATATCAAGCTATGGGTTGTCAAATGCCCAGGCAAGTATTATTGAAATTGATGTTGCTTATTGTACATAGTCTAGAACGTTAGTAAGGGTCCAGGAATTCCGCTCCACCACAATTAGATCTCTTATCATCAAATGTCATGATTGTATAAGCCGTTGCCACCCAATGATTGCCAAGCCTTTTTTCCCTTTCACTCTCTGACGACTTTATCAATGACTTTAAGATCGCCATTTGATCGTCTCCAGTTAACAGGATTTATTTATGTTCTTGGCTGTGATCGACAATTCAGCTTTCCTATCAAAGTGCACAGACAATTCCCTTACTCCACATCCCTCGTCACTATGAAAACAAGATTTGGATTGCTGACTCATCCCCCCAGCCATTGCCTCTCCGTTCCGGTACAGCCTGGGAAAACTTTCATTTGTCCATAAAGACATTCTCGGTGTTTACTTTTTTCAAATCAGGGGGTGATTCGGGCTGCTTACTTTCGTTTCGTTGCATGGTTGTATATCTATCACCATCGCCCCAGTTTCCCCAGGCCCTCCTGCGGAGCCCTCCCCAACTAAGCCCCTATGGATCACATCGGACCAGCCGATGCGAATTCCCGCGGAAGCGCTTCGGAGGACCAGGCTGGCCAAGCATCCCCAGAAAGGCCAGCATTGGCAACTGTGCAGCCATCTGGGCGACCCCGGGCTCCTTCCGCAAGATCGCGTCGACCGAGTATTCGTATTTCGCGTTTGCCATCCCTCCCATCCTTAGGTATCGATACTCAGCAGTCCCAACCGGACCCACTGTCGGGTCCCTCCCTTCAGCGACAAGTATCCATCCGATCCCCAGTTGCTGAAGAAGATGAAGCTCAGTCCGGGCGACGCCGCAGTAACTCGGAGCCACGGCCAGGGCGCTACTCGGGGCCTCCCTCGGATGTTTTATCCAAGGTGGCGACACCCATGCGCATGGCGGCTCTTAGTGAAGAAACCTCCCGGAGCCCATTACCAACTCCACAGGCAGTAGCTGGTGTCCAGGAGCTTGGGCCTGCTGTGCCTGCCTTGGAGGTGGCCAGAGAGTCCCCCGAGCCGCGCCCGGTTCCTCGGAGTATGCTGCGACGGACGAGCCAGGCGGCACTGAGGCCATTCACTCGAAACCGGGCTTCTACTGTGACTGGAGCCGCGCAGAACCCCATTGTGAATCAAGAGCCGGGGATCAACGAGTATGGTCCTCATGTTGTTGATGTGCTGGATGTAATTGGTAGGTCACCGGTACAAGCATGCTGCACTTGAGCTGCAACAAGTGACTAACCCATTTTTTATAGACCCGGAAGTCTCGGCGCTCTCAACTCTAACCAATGTTCAAAATTCGCTCTTCGTGCCCAACTTGGGTGGTTGGATTAACCGTATGCCTACCTACACTCTTACCCGACCACCGCCGTCGGATGAGGAGCAGGCCACCAGCACCGATGAAGGAGAGGGATCGGATGATACGAGGCTCCAGGAACGCCCTACTCTGGAACAACTCCGACCTTTTTCGAGCATGTCGTCCGTGCTGGCGGGGCCACGTTATGCTGTTCTGCCAGAAGGCCACGAGCTGGCAGGATGGACTAAGGAGGACTTTGCGGAGTTGAACGATCATGTTCGGCATATGCTACACTCCCGCCGATCCAGGTTTAAGCGAACCATGAAGGGATTTGGACAATACGTTCGCAAACGTGAGTTGTCCCAGTCGGCAGAGGCCCTTGAAAGATGAACTAACACCGGCTAGCCCTTGGATTCCTCGTGACCCTATATGCAACCTTGATCACTCTGTTTGGTCTGGCTTGGGTGCTTTTCTTGATTGGTATGTTCTCATCTCCATTTTGGAATACCATTACGCCGAACTTTGGACTAATAATCTCTATAGGTTGGATCAATGTTGCTGGCAAGCAATCCTACCTTATTAACATTATTGACAACGTCTTAGTTGGTCTCTTCGCCATCATGGGTGATGGACTTGCTCCTTTCCGTGCCGTTGATACATACCACATGATTTTCATTGCGCATTATACTCACAAAACCTGGGAGATCCGTGAGAAGCGAAAGCTGCCCGACCTCAAGGACAAGAATGATCTACCTGCTCGACCCGAGAAGGACGTCGACGTGGAATTCGGTGACACGCCGCCAGACGAGGAACACGAGTTTACTGTTCTTGAAAGGCAACAGCAACTCAAGTTAATGCACCACCAGAACAAGTTCGCCAAGTCACACACCTTTTATAAGCCCCATGAGACCATGACCCACCACGCTTTTCCCATGCGTATGCTCGTCGCAATCGTGGTCATCCTCGATTGCCACTCCCTTCTCCAGATGGCTCTTGGTGCTTGTACTTGGAGTATGGAACCCCCGAAACATCGGCCATTCGCTTTGACTACTGTCATCCTTTGTTGCTCTATCACCTGTAACATCACAGGTGGTATCATGATCATGATTGGTGATCGGATGACACGAAAGAAGGATATTGTGGAGCGTCTCTTCCGGCAACAATTGACCGAAGAAGCTATGAAGAAGATGGAGAGGCGCAAGATCAAGGAAGAGCGTCGCAGCATGCAAATCGATCAAGAGCGTCGCAGCATGCAGATCGATCAAGAGCGTCGCAGCATGCAGATCGATCAAGAGCGACGTAGCATGCAGGCTGACCAAGAGCGTTCCAAAATGAACGCCGTCCCAGTATGAACGCCAATCGTCCTAAGCCCGACGACAGTACTTGAATACTTCTCCCATCATCTAATTCTTCACGACCGATATGAAATGATATTTAAAGCATTGACTCTTGGTATACGTGAACTCAGATCTCGTTTCTTTGTACAGTATACCGCGATCTGCTCATAAAGAAGCCGGGCGTTTTTTGGATTTGAGCAGATTTCCCTTTCATTATGTTGTTTACATTGCGATCTATTAGCTGTCTTGTTCCATTTTCTATGATTCCCCTTTTGGTCGTCGTCTCACGTCAAAGACCGAACCCATTTGTTTTTATTACATTACCATCTGTTCTATACTGCCTCAATGCTTTCACAATTGAACTCCCAAACTCCCAGGTATAATAACATGAAACAGCCTTGAGCACTTCAAGCCGTCAGAATCACTCCCTCTCCAACCCACATGTCCCCGCCAGATTTGACAACCTCATCAAAAACCCACCGCCCAATCCAAGCCCTCGGAACCGTATACCCAACAGCCGGTTTCTTCTCCGTCCCCACTCTCAATTTCTCATACCGATCATCCACTCCTGGAACAGCAATCTTATGATCCCCCACCAAAAGACTTGGCCGCACATAAATCAGCCCCTTAGCAAGCAAACTCTCCTTCTGAACTCTTTCTCTTTCTAGAAGCTTCTCCATCTGCTTCTTATCGTCATGTGGAATTGGTAAAAGCACATCATACATCATCTTGAACCAGAATGGAACATCATTCACCCCCTCCTTGATTCCCGTTGTAGAGATCACCAGCAGCCGTGGTGCGACAGCCGCATAATCCGTGTAACTACCAAATCTCTCCGCGATCCGTCGCAGGGCAGCAAGCAGTATGGCCGCAAATTGCTCCGTGATATGTGGGTTTGTGAGGCTGACGTGTGGGATAGTTGGGACGCGCATACCTATCCTGTCACACGGCTTCGTAAATACTATTGTGCCCGTTCCGCCCATCCCGGAGACAATCATGTTAACCAGCGTGGGCTGACTTGTGCCGACTGGCTTGTCCTGCTCCATGGATCCAGACTCCAAGACAATTAATGTCTTCATGACAGCTTCCACGTCCAATCCGTCACCTTGTACTATTCGAAGCTGTTTATCCAGTATGTCAGTTGTCAACCCTGGTTGTTCGAGGAGTTGCGCTGTAAGTTTTGCCGGTGTGCGAGCCAGTGCGATAGCTTTGTAACCGTTTATCAAAGTATGTGCAAGACAAGCGTTGGCACATCCACCAGTGGGACCGAAGAAAGCGATTGTCGACATGTTTGTGATGAAGTATATCGAAGGTTTAGACTGAACTTTGTAGACTGAACATTGGAAGTCAAAATGTGACTGACTGGATTGTATTGGAGGTGAAATATATTATTACTCGATTCCAAGCCAGACCTTTAAATTACATTTCGTCAGATTAGACTTTCCATTGCATCACGGACTCGGATAGTTTACTTGCTATGTTCATCCGTGGACCCACTTGCACGGTACAATGCAAAAATCCGGGTGTCCCCGAGCCGCCCCTAGATAAATGTCATGTTTTGGGGCTAGTTCTTCAATTTTTCCCTAATTTACTTTTTTTTAATCTTATCAATCAGGGAGCTCAAGACCATCCTAACTAGTATATACGTCTTTAAATGAAATACATGCAGGGTCAATTGATCATACTGTTGTATCCGACTACCTAGGTATTATGGTTGGTTCTCATGATATCCATCGCTAGAGTAGGACATTTGAACTATAGTTGAAATTTGCAACTAGGCGGATTCCTTTGCCACAAGCTCCTCCCATAGAATCCTCTGCACATTCTTCAAATAGGTCTGGATGTAGGATGCAAACCTTATAGGATCCATTGAAGCTAAACACCACCCGCATCCGGCTGCGAAATGTATATGCTAACGCTCATGTCCGAATGGAAAGCACAATATGCCGCGAGCGTCAATCATCCACTGGGACTTCGGATGGATATGTTTGTAGCTTCTTCTAAGTTGTGGAAGTGAGTTCAACGATTGATGCATGACTGGGAAGACATGAGATCACGCTACCCCAAATGAGGTTTAGATTCGGGACAATCGAGGTCCGATCGGAGCAACTTGCACACGAGCTGCAGCCTCAAGTGCTGCTTGGAAATAGAGTCATAATGCCTGGATAATGGGGCTGTATTTGCGATTGTGCAATATTTTAATAGTTCTCATGAATATCAAATTATTTAAACATAAATGGGGCCTTTTCTGTACTACATGTAACACTGGACTGGTTCAGGTGGTTCCCGAACATTGTGGAGGTGGAACTATATATCTCGGGTGAACACTCAACTCATATTTCAAGTACTGTGAACCCATGTGCACCAATACTTTAACACTCCAGGTGTTCCTATATTGAGGATTTCCCTTGAAAGTTCCGATAATCATCAAACATGATTTCCAGATGTGTACATAGAGCTATTATGAACCGTGGCTTCCAAGATCAAGTCCAAATAATTTTCGACGGCCTCAACAACGTACATAAAGAACTTCAGAGTGGACATCGTTGCTTAACATTTACTAGTAACATTTCAAGCTAAAAAATCTATTCAAGCATTGTGTACAAATTTTCAGTCTTGCAATCTAGTGCAGCTGAGTTGATACTTTTGTTGAGGCGGTATCTAGTCATAACGGCAACTGACCACACCAAGGCTCCCATAGAACCAGGGACAAGGAGATGTCGGATATTCCAACAGCATAATCCTAAAATATTGACAAATACTTTGGCATATCTCACAATCCACTCAGCTTATCGTTAAAGTAAACATGAAGTGAGTACTCCGTAGATAAACAGACATTATGTGAGCATGCGCCAGAATAGGGATAGATCGGCGTATCAAGGATAGCGACAATCCATTCCTTCCCTGTAATCAGGAAATACAGTACTCCCTTAGCACTGTAGATCCCATCGGTCGCCCATCGTAACGTAGAATGGACACAGTTCGATCGATCGGAAATTGGGATGAGTGGAGGTAGACAGGGCTGAATAGCATCTCAGCCCTGGTCTATGTTGTTCCTACGATGGGGCTTGATTCCGATTAAGATGAGATTGAGTCAATTAATCCACAAGTGCTGGGATGAATGTGACTCAGAGTCTTATCCCAGCTATGCTGTTCCATATTTATTCAATGTTATAGGTTGAATATGAGGTCTCTATCTTGCTAGCGATAGAACTACACAAGCAAAATAGTCGAGCGCTGAGGACTGGCTAATCTTGGAGATGCAAGTGACTAATCATAAGCTAAAGCTAAGGTTTACATGGCATATAATTCTAAGAAAAAAAGGTTACGTAGAGTGCGTAGAACATGCTCCAATCATAGTAAGCACGGCGTTGGAAATTAGCTAGACTTACAGGGTGGCTTTCATGGATACCACCATGCCTTGGAATGCAGGGCTCGTGCAATTTAATAGTACAAGGAGTTCATTCTAGTCGATGACCGAATTCCAAAGGGGATAGCGAGCCAATTGAGGGGCTTCGGGCCCTGCCAAGTCAGGGTCTTCGGGCCACCCTTGCGTAAGGCATTCCCACCACCCAAATTGGACGATTGTTTTTGATATCAACGTGAAAAATGGCTAACATGAACCCAGGTAAGCAAGCAGCTGCTCGAAGATAAAAGGCAGCTTTTCGATGGTCAATCTACTTTCTTCATCACACACACTTCCCTTCCAATTCCATTCTCTACTTCAATCATCTCCAAAAAACCCCATCTATCTTCTTAAGATTATAATCTTTAATCTCTCTACCTTCAAAATGCAGTTCTCTATCGCCGCTATTGCTCTTGCCTTCGCCACCATGGCCACTGCCTTGCCCGCCGTTGACGGTCTCAACTCCATGGACAGCCAGCACGGTGGCGTCCGATTCCCCGTCCCCAAGAGCCTGACCGTCAAGGAGGCCCAGGCCAAGTGTGGTGACCAGGCTCAGCTCTCTTGCTGCAACAAGGCCACCTACGCCGGTGACACCACCGATGTCAACTCCGGCCTCGGTGGTGGCCTCCTCGGCAACCTGATCGCTGGTGGCTCCGGCTCAGAGGGCCTTGGTCTCTTCGAGCAATGCTCCAAGCTGGATGCCCAGGTCCCCCTCCTCGTTGCCATTCCCCTCCAGGACTTGGTCAACCAGAAGTGCAAGCAGAACATTGCCTGCTGCCAGAACTCCCCCTCCACCGCCGTAAGTTCCCATATCATCTTCTATTCTGAAGACAATGCTAACCTTGCTCACAGAGCAACGACCTGGTCGGCGCTGCCCTTCCTTGCATTGCCCTTGGCTCTATCCTCTAAGCGCATCGCTTCAAGATTCTGGTTACAATGGGGTTGGCCGTTGGAGGATTCCTGGGATATACCTTCACTTGTTATTTCTTTTTGTGTGTCTGAGACCTAATTATTCTTCTATGCATCATAGAGGAGATTTTTCTCCTCTTAATACATAATTTCCTTACACTTCTTCCAAACAGTAATTCAGCTCCTAACTCAGAACCTTACCATCTAAAATACCCAAGGATAAGAAAGAATCGTAAGAACTTCATTGTTCAACTTAGACTAAGCAAATCACCTATTTCAGAATATAACTGCTAGCAACCCAAACATCTACGCAGAAATAGCTTGAATACCAGCCTCCAACGCACGGATATCAGCACCGCGAACCCGCTTCTCAACAACCTCCTTGCCATCCTTCAAGAACACAAAGGTCGGCATGGCAGTGACATTATACTGCTGAGCAACGGCGCGCATCTTGTCAACATCAACCTGAATGAAGCGCACATTCTGGTACTTCTCGCTCAGCTCGCCGACCTTAGGCGCAACGGCCTTGCAGGGACCGCACCAGGTCGCATAGAAGTCGATAACAGCGGGGCCGGAGGAGGTAAGGGCCTTGAAGATGACATCGCTGGTAGAAAAGTATGTTAGCCGGGCTGGGATCTCGCGGGGTTCGGTTCTGCTTACTTGTCGATGTTGACGACCTTTCCGTGGGACATGATGGGCTCGGAGGATGCGCGGCGCGACTGATAGAGGCGGATACCTAGTGATTCGTTAGGGATTGGGATTCGTTGAGGTCAGTTTGTTTTGGATTATCGCCAGGTCTGGGGACGGGAATAGTAGGAGTCATGTATTTGAACTTACCGACGTAGAGTACGAGGAAGAAGATGATCGTTCGGAGCTCCATTGTGGGTTGCTGGATGAATGCGGGTGTCTGTGGAGTCGGATTATGGTTGGCCCCACGTGATCTGGAACTATACAATAGGATCGATCCATTTTGTTATTACTTTTTGAGTAATGAGATACATGAGTAATACATGGAGAGTAGTTCAATCTACTCAAACCTTACCAGTTTGCATGAAAACCAGATAAAGGTTCAAAGCATTTGATAACATTCCTATTCGTAAACTTTGAAGCCCTGCTTAGTGCTTGACTTAGCTTAAATCTGACCCATGATTCAAAGTTCGAAGACCATCCAATCGCAATACATAAATCTAACTAAATAGGAAAGGATTCATGCAAGGATCTTATCCATCACCAGGCCATGACAAAAACCATTGGCTACCTCAGAGGGCTGACATTCTTGATGATGTAGTCAAATACCAAGGTAGGGATGGTATGCAGGTATCCATAGAGTTGAACTAGAGGACGATAAAACTGCCATCTAAGCTCCAGAAATCCCACAAGTTAGAACAACCACTAATCCCACAACTTACCTTCCAACAAGATGCGGAGCTCTAGCGATGACTCCGAAAAAGATAGAGCGACCTTTTCCTCAACGCATTCATCCCCCAACAGATCCCTCGGATCAACAAGGGCAATGCTCCGCGTCGCATTGATGGTATCATTCGCCGCCTGGATCGTCAACTTCGACAACGGCTACACAGGGACTGTGTTAATCATGCCCTCCTATAAAAAAGCCTTCGGAACATGCACACAATTAATGGACCAAACCGGCAAAATCACCGAAGAATGCTCCATAAACCCCCTCCAACAATCTCTCATCAGTCTTAACTACATGTTCATCGGCATCGGAGGCGGAATATCAGGACTCACAGGCCGCTTCTACGGCCGCCGCGGCACGTTCCAGATAGGCTGCGCGCTCGCCATCATTGGCGCAGCCGGAATGCTAGGCACAGGCAACGGCGAGGGAAGTTTCCTGCACTACATGATCTGTCGGTGTATTAGCGCGATGGGACTCGGGCATGTGATCACCGCGAGCACGACATACGGGTCCGAGTGTATTGTAGCGCAGAAGCGTGGGTTTGCCCTGGGAATTTATAATGTTGGACTTGCCTTGGGGAATGTTGCGTCAAGTGCTGTGTGTGCGGGATCGGCGCAGCTGGAACGGGATAATAATTGGCAGTGGAAGACACCTATTCTGTGTCAGATTCCTTTGGGGATCATTCTGGGTGCGGGGATCTTGATGTTTCCTGAGTCGCCGAGGTGGATCCTCAATCATGATCACGATGAGGAGGGGGCTAGGAAGGCTTTTGGGATGCTATATCAGATGGATCCGTTTGCGCCGGAGATCACGGCGCAGATTGAGGATATCAAGGCTCATATCAAAGCTGAAAAGGCGATTTCGAAGTCGACTTCATGGTATGAGATTTATCAGGCGAAGCATATTCGGAGGACTACTGCGTCGGCCGTTATTCAGATTGGATTGTCGATTACGGGGATTCAATTTGTGCAGCCTTATGCGACTACCTTTCTCAGGGGTGTTGGGGTCAGCAACCCATACCTGATTAATGTTATCATTGGTGTTTGTATCTTGGGAGGCGCGGTGCTAGGCCCATGGGTTGTTGAATATGGAGGACGCCGACTCACCATGTTGGTCGGATACACGATGATGGCAGCCTGCATGTTGATTCTATCCAGTGTTAGCACGGCACTGGGCCAGGATAGTATCTCGAAAATTGTTGTTGTTGTACTTCTCTGTTTCTGGTCGTTCATATTTGGTGGAACTATTGCCCCTACTAACAATCTAGCAGCTGTGGAGATGCACAGCGTGTCATTGCGCACATACGGACAAGCGAACACGACCATCGTCTATGGAATCTTTTCCTTTGGTGCAACATTCTGGACACCATATATGCTTGATGCCCAATATGGCAACATGGGTGCGAATGTTGGATATTTTTACGCCGGTGTGACAGTTGTGATTGCGGTATTGATATTCCTACTTGTTCCTGAGACTGCCAGCCTCACTCTTGAAGAGATTGATAACGTTTTCGACTCCAAAATTCCCCCTTGGAAGACTTCTGTGGCAGGAAACAAGAAGATTGCCCAGAGGCGAGGAGAGGAATTGCAAACTGTCGATTAGCTTTGTACAAGTGTTTATTGAACTGGGTGTTAATTATACGGCTAATCTGTGTATACATATGGACAGGTATGGGTTGAATTTCAATGATACATTCTCAGCAATGAACATGGTTTTTAGCGCCAAATAATACCAATGAATTTAGCATAGAGTGACCAGAGTAAGAGCACAAAATTCTGATTATGAGACAGAAGCATGAAAAGTATACAGCCAAGCCTACGCAGTAGGATGAAAAAAACTCGCTCAGGTAAAACATACATAGAAAGTAAAAGGGACTGGCTGTAATAGGTACAGCGGTATAGACAAAGCAGTTGGCGCTCATTTACATAAAGGAAAAGTTCACTGGTTCCAAAGCCCACAAGAGCAAAGAGGAAGGGGAGGGGAAGGATTGACATTGGGTGGGATTTTATAAGGGAAAGGGGACTTGGTTGAGTCCCATACTGTGAGCCCAGGAAGGTACCGGGAAAAATGAAAGAGGTGGTGAAGGAGTGAGGGACCGAGGAGAGGATGAATCGTAGACAGGATAGGGGATATCTCTTAGGTAGGACGAGAGAAGCAGGATATGGGTTTGAGGTAATGATGCAGGGCACGTGCAGAGTGCAGGTGCATATCAGAAAACTCACAATTCAGATCGACGGGGCTCTTGTGGAACCCGGTCTGCTCTGCGATTGTTCATCATCTCCTCCAGGATGTCAAGCCTCTGTCGTGTAGTCCGGATAGCATGGTCCATCTCTCGATCTGAAACCTTCTCCTCACGTAGTCGATCAATGAGAATACCTTCGTCTGCCACATTCACGCGAGGGGCCTTGTGGGCGGGCTCGGGCATTCGGTGGTGGAGGGCGGGGAAAACCATTCCATCCATGCCTACTCGATCCTCAAGCCAATTCCAAAGCTCGCTTTCTTCCCGTCGCCACATTTCATCGTATGCAGCAAGTCTTTGAGGAAGGCTATGCCCTGAAAAAGCGCCGTGGTGCCCGAGCATGGATGGGTTGGATGGTGCTCGGAAGAATGCCAGGTAGAGCAGGAGGCCGACAAGGAAGATTGCAATGTTGCCACTCCATAGTGGCTTTAACATGCTGGTAAAAGGTTCTAAGATTGGGCGAATTGGCTCAAGGAGACCCCAAGACTCGGATTGGCTTGCACTGGAATCTCCTCCCAGCTTGTGTGATGCTGCTGCGGATGCCTCGCGAGCTCCAGCATCGCCCTTCTTGCGACGACCCTTTGTCCGTCCACCGGCGGTCCGTCCGCGAGGGACAACACCGACCTTCAAAGCCTTAACAAGCTCATTGCCAAAGGTGGTTTGACCATCAATGGCGCCTTTTTCGATGGGACCTGGGCGGAATTAGCATCTATCGCTGAATGTATGTAAAAATTGCTTACCTTTCAACCAACTCTTGCCCGTCCACTCAATAGTACATGTCATCAGGAACCGGGTTTGGTTACCTGGGGCCCACGTGAATAGATATTTTGTCTTGCAAGCAAAAACGTTTCCGCTGGGAACATCAGGAGTTTGAGTGCTTAGCGTGACCAGGACTGCTTTTTCCAAATCCAAGAAGTCCAGGTTCTCGGTACTGATACACTTCGTTTGCTTCGGACCGATGGGCGCATTGAGAGGCTTGATGTATGAATACTTTCGGACTGGGCTTTCATTGGTAAGACCCTTCGCGGTTCCTTCGAACTGTAGTTCTCCAGATTTCTGATTGTCCACAAGGAACTTGGTCATGAACTCCCCTGAAGATGGACCAAAGACCAGCGAGTAAACTTTTCCAAGGGGCGCGGGAATGAGCTCGTCTTTGATAACCTTTTCGTATTGTCCATCGGGATTCGTGTATTCGGTGGGGGCATGTGTAGATGGGCCGGGGAAGTCGGCTTCTTTGGAGGCCGCCTTATCCCCGTTCTTGGCGTCGCTGCCGGAGTTTCCTCCAGCTAGGGGTGCTCCATTTCCAGACAAGCCCGAAGGCTGGCGACTTAAGCCAGTCCTCAATGGCAATGACCTTTCACTGGCATTGGCACTGGCCCCTGCCTCAAAGAAGCTCTCGCCATGGTCGCCTTCTTCATCCTCATCGTACACTTCATCTTCGTCTGAGACATCGCTCTCAGACCCGCTGTCGGCTTCACCTTCACCAACCTTCTCGGTCTTGTCACCGGTCCCGTTTGTCACTCGGGTCCCGTTCACAGAGCTTTTGATTGAAGGGTGATTTATCTTCCAGATATTGACCATCAGGTCATAGGTAGATTCACGACTAAGCAGACTCCTAAACGTATGGCGAGCATGAAGTGTCTGAATAGCAATGGCATTTGGGAACACCATAGCGGTGCTTTCTTTTTCGACAGCCACCACTTCATCAAAGCTGATGACAAGTGTGGTCACCCAACCAAGAATGTTGCTGGAGAAGCAGACATGACCCTCCGAGATGTAGATGCGGCCGGCCAGAATGATCTCCCGCTGCAATGCACAGCTGTAGTCTTCAATCAAATAATCATCTTCAGGAACGGTGCGGAACAATTGGTGAAAGTCTCTGTTGCGCTTTTTGCTCGCAACCGCGAAGCCGGTCAGTCGAGGCACGCTTGAGTTGACACCAGGTACGCCAAGGTTAACAGCACTAGCTCCAATGGCTCCAATTGTAGATGCGGTAGCTCCAGAAGAACCTCGATGGCGGCGTGCAAGTCGACTACGCACGCTGCCAGTGCGTCTAATACCACCGCTGCCAATGTCACCATCAATGATACTTCCAGTTGGAGGGGTTTGATCTCCAGCCACCATGCCATCCCTTGGGAGGGAGAAGGTAGATTGTGACTCAATAACATCCTCACCAGGCGATCCCAATGCCGATGAATCTGAAGGCTTTTCATATGCCATATGAACGGCCCGTGCCGCACGCTGGTCTTCAAGCTTCGAGGACGCCTCATCTCGCTGATTGACAGCAGTGTTCTTGCGCCTATCAAGTGGACTTCCTGGCTTCGTGAGAACAACACCATCGGCAGTGGATACCTCTTCGCCTGATTGATCGATATCCAAATGGCTGAAGTTGAGGTTTCCAGTCCCAAGAGTTTCTACAGTGCTTGGTTTCCCATCTTCACTGCCATTGGCTTTCTCTCGATCTTCCCCGTCTCCTGCATTCCCAATTTCCTTCGACGTACTGTCAATCCCAGTAGACGACGGCTGGGAAAGGGTACGGCTTTTCTGCGGGGCATTGAGAGTATTAGTGAAGGAGGTGGCAGCATTTTGGGCGGCAGAAAACATTGATGAGAAAAATCCACTCTGTTGACTCGACGAGCTCTTCGGCGTTTTACCCTCTTCTAAAGGAGTTAGGGCTGACACAGAAGTGGACAGCTTGCTCGGACCGTGAGCTGCAGATGCTGAGCGCACTCGGCGATGTGAAATCATGTTTCCGGAAGGGCTCACAGTGACATCGGCCGAGGACATTGAATTCCTGGAAGGTATAGACTCAGGCGAGTCTGTGATACCCTCAGTCATAATTTGAGGACCGAGTGGGCGGTGTTCGGTTGGGGTAGGAGGTGTTACAGTAGTAGCTGGGGCTGAGATAGGAATGGCTGTATGTGGAGGAGTATTAGGCATCGGACTCGCTTGTAAAGAGCGTGGCTTCTCTTCCTTCATATCTGAATTCCAAACATCGGTCCGAATAGGACTGGGAACAGGCGGGGGAGTCTCTTGGGAGGCCTGAGCTTGCGCCCGTCTGGATGACAGACTGCTCCGTCGGCCCCCGAAAATACCCTTCCCACTCTTGCTACTTCCAGATTTGGATGACGATGCATCCATGTCTTCAGTCGTGTTCTTTTTATCTGTAGCGCTGAAGGCATCCTTCAGTCGCCGCCCGGGTGAAACACTGCCACTGCGCCGCTTGCCGCTGGAATCTGCTGGAACGTCCAGTGTCATACTCGATCGGGTGGGTGGTCTCGAGATATTTTCACTGGGATTTGACTCCAGATCGGTTGGATTCGAGTCGCTGACCGCAGATTGAACATCTTCGCGCGTACTCTCGGTATCCGCAGCAGACTTTACTGATGTGGTGTTGATGAGCGGGGAAGAGGAGGTATAAAAACCGGTGTGTGAATTATGTGAAGTCAATGGTGGGGTCCTATAAGATGATAGGAGTTAGTTTCAGATAGTGAGACAGTTAATCAGGGAGTATGGCTGACGTACCTCTCAGGTTCGGAATCATCGGTCAACAGCTGGAGGGCCTCGCTTTCCTGCGGACCGGAGCTGTTGTTGGACGAAGTGACCACCGATGGGACTGCAGAGCCACTACCGTTGGACATACTAGTGTTCGAAGGGATTTCTCGTAGCTGTTGCTCTGTAATTATCGTAGGTACCGGGGGCTCATCTTGCTTTTGGTTCTTCTCCTTCCGTCGGCGTCGGGACTTTAGGAGCTTGGAGAAACCGCTGGAGCCAGCCTTTGCGGTATCCGGACCTTCCCCAGCTTGTGTTTTGGGTCTTTCAATAGATTCCATCGATGAGCGGCCATTGCTTCGACTTGAGCTTTCCATCAAATCTGAATCGGCAGCAGACACGGTCCAAGAGCGGCGCGACCTGCTCCCGCTTCCACCTCCGCCTTTTAGACTTGAGGATGACGAGTCGGCCATGGCGAGGGATCAGTGCCGGGGCAGAGTGAAACGAGTGAAAGATTGATACTGGGAACACAGCATGAGGATTGTGCGCTGTGTGTCCCTATTTGAGTTGGTCGGGAGAGATACAGGTGTGAGTTGGGGAATCCCCTGATGCCATTCGCGAGGGGAAAGCAATTGACTTAGTCAGATGCCGAAACAAGGAACAACCAGCACAAGAATATAATAAAAAGATAATTGGATTTTATTTAATTTACTGTGGATATTACCATCAAATCATCTTTACTTAATCTTGGGTCTTTTCTTGATTCTATCCATTTTCTTGCTCTATGTAGCTCTGACACTTCTCCACTCGTTAGAATGCGGCTTGCGGATGTGACAGTTCATGGTCAAGATCGCTGTTTTCAGCCATTATATAGGGGTCTAACATGGGTCATTTCTATGTCAAAGTTACAAAGAGCTTTTTAGGAAAATAGATTATACAAAATAAAGACCAAGTCGAGCTTAGAAGTAAAGAGCTAAACGGATGAGAACAACATGTTACTCATGTCTATACAAACCCTTGAAAGTCCTGTGTACAGTAAGCAACGAAACTTAACTTCCCTCTCAACTCTTGTGCTACTCTCTCAAACTTCTTGAACATTCCAACCAGTCCACACGGTAGGGCCAAGAATGGCCCATGCGCCATTGATTCTTTAACCATGGAGGCCGCTCCGCTCACACTGGTAAGCTGGCCTACTAGTCCATTCCCCCGCACGGTTAACTTATTGTCAGGCCCACACCCACGCACGAAATGCAGTCCTCGAAACTCGCAAGTCGAACCCGGTCGCTGCTAGTGAAGAGCATGATTTAGCTGCGGGCGAGTTTGCAGCTGCTGCTCTTAATAATTCCGATCAGGAAGTGAGTCGCTCTCGAGACCTTGGGTCGGTACCGTTACTGATCAAGCTATGTTCTTAGGCTCTCCGCACTCTGCAGCTACTCGAAAATCATCACAAGAAACTCGCCGAAATTCTGAGATTCCAGCATGAACATCCCGCTAATACCGAAGGACCAACCGCTACGGCATCGCCAGGCCCAAATGAGCTCTCCTCGGATACCGTAAACACAAAGAGTGGCGCTCCAAACAGCCTGGATGCCCAGGGTCAAACCCCAAGGCTTCCAGGGAACCCCAGAATACTCAGTCGAGAGTCCTCGTCGATTGCTAGCAATCTAGCCTCAGCTCGGGGCATCCCGGCTCAACCTCGTCGTGGATCACCTGTGTCGCCAACCATTTCCGCACACCAGGCGGGCGCGAAGATGACAGAAGGACCATCAAAAATCAAAATTGGTGAATCTAGGTTGCGAGAGGTCCCCAATAAAAATCGGTCCAGCCGATCAGCCCCTAGACAGCCCTGGTCACCCCCACAGCCCAACTCCACCGATATCACCGCCCACGAAGTTGTTCCTCAGGTATCCAAGTCTGGGTATTCCAAAGCCAACTCTGCGACGGCGGATGAACCATTCCAGCGCTTTTATTCTACATTCGAAGGCCTCATCTCCAGGATATCTGCCCCTCTGGCATTTGCAGGACTGCCTCTCGGGTCAGATGACCCTAGCAAAACCAATCCAACGCGCAAGTCCTCAGCAGAGACCAAGGTAGACCGTTATCATGCGACCCCCGATAAAGGGAATGCACAAGCTGAGCCAGACGTGAGCCGGATCTTTTCTCGGGCTGCTTTACGTTCAATTCGGGATACTCCAGGATCCAGTCCTGGAAACACCGCCGAGTCCTTCTATGTCGTCCCCACAACTGGTGGAACTATGTCATATGCAGGCATTATGACCCGAGCTGAGAAAGAGGCTCGTCGGAATAGCTTGGAGGAGGGCGATGACGACTTCGTGGACGCACGAGAAACCCCGTCTTCGCCGGAGATGCGCCACAGTGGAAGTTCCAACACACGGACCATACGTCGCGGTGCTGCTGATAAACTTACCAGCTTACAAAACCCAAAAACCCTGGAGGAGTTACAAATGGAGAATCAGGCTTTGAAGCATTTGTCTGACACTCTCTCCAAACGGCTTCACATGTGGGAGGTTAACGCTCAATCATCATCTATGGCACTACAACAATCTTTGAGGGCAATTCATCATCAATCCCCCGAAGCTCTACCACATGATTCCTCCGCCACATCTCCAACGGCTCAGATGTCGGCTGCGAATCCCATGTCAGACTCAACTGACAGAGTCAGAGAACTAGAGGAACTTGTTCGTCGTGGTGAACAGGAGCTAGACCGCGTTGGTAAAGAGAACGAAAAGCTGAAAAATGTCCTTGGTCGGTACCGTGACCGTTGGGAAAAGCTCAAGGAGGGTGCCAAAACACGACGGGCCGAAGGTCGATCCAATGATAATCCGTCTCATCCATCAACACCCACCGCAAGCTCCAGAACCCCAGATATCCCTATATCGCCTCACCCAGACACAGACTCATCTGGAAAATCCAATAATCAGCGAACCGTCGGAAGAGAATTTGAAAGGAAACAGGACTCGGCGAGTCTTTGATCACCATAAATGTTCTTTGAAATACATTCTTTAAGTTACGCCTTTGGAGAAATGCACATGGATTATGATCTGTCCAGGATATGCAAGCGAAAATGCAGGTCTCGCCGTAGCACCAACCGCAGAAATCGAATCTAGAATGTCCATTGTTTCCCTTTGATACATTCAACTCATCGCATAGCGGTAGCCGTTGTACGGGCCGCTAAGCCTAACTTACTATTTAGAGTTTCGGCGTCGGCTGCGAAAGGTTATCTCCACCTTTACTGATATAATCTGGGCGTTTTCTTCAAAGTACTTTACGTCAATATGCTGGGTACAATTGAACAGCACGCCATTTAGATGACTCAAATTCCCGAGATTGTGGATCTGATCAAATCAAAGACTCGATTTGAGGCGGCACAACCTAAGGGAATCCCACCTCAGCGCTATGCAGAATCAGTTGATCGAGCTTTACCGTCATTAGACGCATTCGTTTCTAACCATATCGAGCGTTGTGCAAGTCGTGAGAGATTAGAGATAAACAGCCTGTGACGAAGAGTGCTTAAAAACTTGGAAATCACAAAAGCTCTTGAGCACAGGTGGTTTATTTCTAATTTCTCACGAATCGTACAACCCCTTGCTAGCCTGATGAAAGGCAGTATGTTCCGAGGCCCCAACACTGTATCCACCTATCCACAAAGCACATATTATTCTCCGCAATCTAGTTCTCTCATAACCCAGCGCTTAAAATCCAGTGCGTAGTATGAGGCTACTCACTCTGCCGCAAAGGCAGTACCTGACTCGAGTAGAGCACTGGTTTGCTGCTTAACGACATAAACAAAAACAGGGGGGAAGGTGCGGCTTCAATTTTTGCATGTTGCGAGTGTCAGATAAACTTCTCATCAAATCCCTGCTTTGTGAGTCTTGAGCATCTATGCACCTCACAAAACCTAGCGCAAAAGACGAATACCCCGATTATGGGTGTAGCACTGTTGGAGTACGTTGCCAACAGCTTGGCAATCGACCCATCGAGAGTAGACCCCGCCAAAATACTGTATCTGACGAGTTATAGAAGACCTAACTGATCCACAGTAAATTCACGGGTTGTGCTGGCAGGTGACTTGACTCAGCTAGAGGCGGCGTAGCCTCAGGCCTGGCTCTCTATCTAAGCCATCCCTGTCTGTTTTATGTTCCGAACCCTATCCCTCGGAAGTGGTGATTATGGGTGGCAGCTACGAGGGACAATTTATATGTTAATTAATAATATTAAGACATTGGTGATTCGAGAGGGATCTTTGTGGAGAAGGTACTTCGATCATCATTGAACGCGCGGTGCATGACCCTGAGATGAATCTCTGTCCCCCATTGCCAAAGGGTCAGGACCCCTGGGAGAAAACAGGTGCATTTAGGTATTTGCCAATTGAATTTGTGAAATATGGCGGTTGACAATTAGACATTACAAATAAAAGGAGGCTAGGTAGCTATGCACTAATGACAAGGTCCATTCTTGGAAGGATTCTTCCGTAGTCGACCTCAAATTTCAAGGTTCGCTTTTATCTGGGATAGTGAACTCTACCGGTAGAATGTGAACGAAGCAAAATGTACCGAGGGCTTTCAGGATGTATCAATGAAGTGAAGTCCTCGGCCGGCACCGAGAACGTGCTCCAAGGTGGCGGCAGCCAAGCGACGCCTTGCCGATGGTTACGCGCGGACAGGATTGATTTTCGGGTCTCAACGGCTAAACGGCCTTTCCAATGTCGAGTTGACAGGTGATTTATGCACAGTAGTTCGCTAGGCTTCGCCGGATGAATGGAAACTTTCCGATCTCATCGAGAAGAAAGTATAAGTGATCACAATTTTCAGCTGCACAGACACAGGTTGGGCAGTTGCCGGAATTCCATGGTCATGTTCCCCACATTGCACAAAAATCGGGATTGGTGCTACATCTGCGGATCTGCAGTCTTTGGAACAACATGAGCTACAATTTACAACATTAAAGGTACTTGAAGCGATTGGATACAGGGATATGATCTAGTGCAGGTATTAGGTATAGAGGACTACGAGATGAAAACTGGGGTTAAGAGGGGAAGCTTACTCCTGCACATATGAGCACGTAATCAGGTTCGTATGCTTCCTGGAAATCGACTCTTAGCCGTGGTGGATCCGGTGTACCCGGCTTTGTTTATTTTATTCTCTTATCCTTTACTTGTTTCCATCTTACCGAGGCATTCAGAACCGTTAAATGCTGCCGAAGGTCCGTACCAGAGAATGGAAAAAATGGGACGAAATTCCGCTATTGATCGCTTCATGTACTTCCAAGATCGGCCTTAGGCAGAGCTTAAACAGCCTTGGCAATTCTAATTATATCCAATAAATGAGCTCCCGAAGTAGGAAGTGAGCGTACGTAGAGCATCCACTAAGCTTTCGTGCCTGGAACTCTAATTCAATCCTTCTAGAAGGGTTATATACCTTCCAACATTCCTTTGGGGATGAAAGTCACAAAATATTCAGATCGGAACCTATGGTACGAGGTCGATCGAAAAAATCTGACTAAAGAAATTAGCCCAATTTCAGTATCTTGTTGACCAGTTTATCCATGGTTGGTAGTAGTAGTGGGGCTCGGGTATAAGCAGCTTAGCTGTTGTGGCGCTTTTGTGGAAGGAAATGACGCGGACTCCACTAAGCCCACAACTTTTAAGACTAGCAAGAATTGGTCTCATCAAAACAAGGCATAGTAAATGTCGATCTATTGGCTGGATCGAAAATTTCTCCTTTCCTAAAGTGGACCATGTAAAGAGCGGCTTGTAAGGCTGGCTTGGCCTGGATCAAAAACTCTGCCAGCCGGTACCCGAGATCTTAATCCTATCCTATACAAAACTTAGTTATGCATGGTACATACAAATACGGCGGGGTTTGGAGGCTTTATACCTCTTAATTCAGAGCAGTAGAAATCATTTTGCAGGAAAGGTTGGTTGCATTATCAAAGGTAACTACGGAATGCTTGGGAGGGGAGCATAGGGTATAGGGCTGGTGGGACGATTAGGTACTACGTACTACTACGTACTACTTGACCGCACAAAAACAATGAACCAATAGACTCATGACTCTACGGGATTTTCGTCATTAAGCTAGACTCTCCGATTACGCTAAAATGAAAGTATCCCATCGAAGCCGGCCCCATCGGAGACGTGGATCCAGTAAAACAATTGACTTTTATTCCCTCTCAAAATCGTCCAGATGTTTGGAATATGCAAGTCAAAATACTACTCTATACATTGAAATCATAATGTACATGTATAGTATACTATCTATATAGATTAATTTCTTTTGTTGTCTGCCCGTTCCTTGGGACCGTAAATTGGGGTCTCAGGTCTTCCAAGGATATAGCTTAGACAGCAAGGCAGGGTCAGCCCCATCAAGATCTAGTCCTCCGGCCCGGATCTAGATAGAGAAGGCAGCTACGACATAGTCTCCACAAAGACAAGAGAACTCTTCCGGACAAAATCAACTTTTATAAGTCCGCACGGTGCATTGTTTCTTCCCACCTACCCAATACTGCAATTGCAGAACATTCATTCCCCTATGTGGTGACAGTCTGTTGCCTTCCATTCGTTGAATCGATACTAGTCACTCCTTTTTACAGTCCACTCGTTCCTACAGTCATTCGTTTATATATTCAGATCTACCCCCCATGTCTAACCGGCACCATGCTCGGAAGAATACAATGGTCGAGGACGTTGCTGTGCCGAGACAATTGCTATCCACAGCAAAGTTCAATTCACCATGGGAGTTGAAGAAGTGGGAGAAATCCCTTCCCAAAAATGATCGTGTTGAACTACACCTACCCGGAGAGTCAAGTCAGGGCCGTCTCAGTCGTTCTGCTAGTCTGTCTGCTATCCGGGGTCCAAGACGTCCTGCTGCGATTCGTCCGCGCAGTAATCCTCCTGAATTATATGGTATGTCATGCAATACTATGTGATCAAGGAGATTAGACTAACGTGGATGCTAGTGTGGGAGCAATCTAGAACACCATTTGCAGGGCACTTGACACCTCCTCTAGAGACAGAAAAGGAACCTATAACACCAATCAAAGAGAACCCTGTTCATCTCAGCCCTCCAACCAGTTCAAATGGCTCTATCGATATCAATAGTCGCCGGAGTAGTATGTACGATGTCTACGAAAAAGCCAAAGTGAGAGGCGTTGCTCTTCAAAGAAAGCATTGGGTGCGCATCTTGTTCGAAACGACCGTCTATACTCTCCTCATTTTGTTTGTCTATTTTGTTCTCATTGGCATGCCCCTGTGGCGAGGTGCTGTCTGGTGGCTCTACTGGGTCATTAGCACAAAATTCGTCATCCAGGGAGGATGGGCCATTCTTATCGGTCTCGCTTTTCTGTGAGATTCCTATATCTGACTTATAATGAAAGTGGCTAACCCAATCTAAAACGTCTAGATACGCTTTCTGCCCTCTTCTGATCTTCTTCGAAAAAGATCCTCCTGCAGCAACCGATATCATTGATACAGATCTGGAACAAAACTCATCTAGCGCCAAAAACACCGCCCTCCTCATACCCTGCTATAAATCCGCCCAGATCATCGGTCCGACCCTGGAAGCGGCTTTGAAAATCTTCCCTGCTGAGAACATCTTCGTCATCGCCAATGGAAATTCTCAAACACCTCTCGACGACACAGAAGATGTGTGCCGTCCTTTCGGAGTGAACCACCTCTGGGTCCCCGTTGGATCGAAGATCGTAGCTCAATTCGCCGGTTGCTACGCAGCAAAGGGCTTCGAGAACGTCCTCCTGATCGACGATGACTGTGCACTTCCGCCGAATTTCCCCGTGGTCAGTGATCGACTCAAGGGCTCGGTCAAATGTGTTGGATACACAATCAAAAGTGTTGGCCCCAACTCTTCCAAGGGAACATACTGCCAACAGGCCCAGGATTTGGAATATAAAATGTCTGGTATTCAACGAGCTTTCTTTGGTATGCTCGGAAGTGCCACTTTCCCCCATGGTGCTATCTCTCTTTGGAATACGGAGTTCCTCAAAGAGACGTTCAATGAGCACCCTGGTTTCTCGGTGTCTGAAGACTGGTTTTTCGGCGATGCCTGTCGACGTCTTGGAGGTCGTATCACAATGTGCACATCTGTCTTCGTCGAGACCGAAACCCCGGCATCGGTCTTTTTCGCCGGCGGTGGCAGCCGAGGTGGATTCGGTGAGATGACCATTTTCCAGCAGCGATTCAAACGGTGGAACTTTTTCTTCGTTATTGGAATCTACTATGATCTCAAATATATCCTCACAAGCTGGAAGCTTGGCTGGTGGGAATTCGGAGCGAAGCTCTGCGTTTTCCAAGAGGTATGTCATCCATCATGCTGCAATTATTTCCAGCTCAACTAACCCTTTCCAGGTGTACGAAACTCTTATCTACCTCCTCGCTCCATTCGTCCTTCCCATCTCCTTCTACGTGTGCCCCAGTTTCTCCGGTATTCTCCTAGGCGCCACGATCGGAATGTACATCGTCAACGTGGTGGTTTTCAATGAGATCCATCTCCGACGGAAAAATGAGCGCATCGACTGGAAGGTCTTGCTTATTTATTATACTTTTTACAAGCTCGTCCTGACGGTCGTCAACGTTTTCAGCTGCTACTGGTCGCTGTTCAAGTATGCTCGCTACTTCGCCAAACGTCACCCGAAGATCATCGAGGATCAAGAAGCCATTGGAGTCGTCTTGAGTCTTGAGCGCGACGTCGAAACTCCTACCATTGAGGAGGAAGTTGACAACACGCGAGCACGCGCACCTCAAAGAGCGGATTCGCAACGCACGTATAAACGTCTGACCTTGACTAGAGTGGATGCTCCGATCGGGCTGGGTATTACCATGACTCAGACACATACTACGAACCAGTCGTACAAGAGCGTGATCTAGAGGATTTATGACGTTCAAAAGTTGTATATAATATTTAATGACCAACAAATCAAGTTTTCATTCCCATGGATCAGCATCGGGTACTTCCATGGTTGACAGGTCCTTGAACCATGGAACCGACCTGAAACGCTGTGGCGTTTCCCAGGTTCAATTATAGAACAAGAACATCCTAATTTCAATTACAGCACAGTGAAGGTGGTATTTCCCCTGATATCATCGGAACTGCTTCCGACCAACACGGTGAACTCGCCAGGCTCAACAACGTACTTCATCCGATTATTCCAAAGCCCAATATCCGCAACCTTGATGGGGATTTTAACAGTCGTCGTCTTGCCAGCAGGAATCAAGACCTTATCAAAGCCCTTCAGCTGTCGATTCGGCACAACAACCGACGCAATCTCATCGGAGATGTAAACCTGCACAACCTCCGTCGCATCGCGGGTAGTATCCGTATTTTTCACATCAACACTCACCGTAACAACAGTATCCGTGGAGGAGATCTTGCTGTTATCAACACTGACAGTGCCATACTCAAAGGTTGAATAACTCTTCCCGTAACCAAATGGATACCAGGGCATGGGGGTACCGAGCGCATAGTTATGACCGAAGTCAAGAGTCCCGTTCGCATACTCAGTTCCAGAAGTCCAGACCGAGCGACCTGAGTTCAAGTAATCGTAGTAGACTGGTAGATCTCCGACGAAATGCGGGAAGCTGACGGATAATTTACCGGACGGATTGTAGTCACCGAATAACACCTCTGCGAGTGCGTTGCCTCCTTCTTCCGATGGGTAAAATTGTTGTAGTAGTGCTGAGGTACCGTTGGAGAGCCAGAAATCTGTTATGGGTTTACCACTCGAGATAACGACGATTGTCGACACACCTGTGTCGGCGATGGCTTTGACGAGAGGTCCTTGGGCACCCACGAGCGCGAGGTTGTCTTCATCGACATCTTCACCAGTGCTGTAATTATTTCAGTATAAAGGTGTTTCCCCAGAAATGGGCGGTGACTTACGTTGCGTTGTAGCTTTCCCAAAGCTGGACTTGATCGCGAGACCAGGTTCCTACAACGACAATGGCAACGTCGGACTTCTTTGCAGCTTCAACCGCTTCATCGAAGCCGGATTGATCATTGCTCCAACGTTCGCATCCTTGGGCGTAGTTTATTGTTGCACTATCGCCAACTGCGGCTTTGATACCATCCAATGGAGTTACACCCCGGTACTGGCTTTCGTAGACGACATAATCACCGTACTGAGATATGTCTAAGTATCATACTCGTTGGAATAAAGATATATTGGACTCACATTCATAAACCCATGCGCCATGGGACCAATCACGGCAATGCTACCAGACTTTTTCAGAGGCAATGTCTGGTCGTGATTCTCCAAGAGAACGATTGACTCTTTGTCCAAGTCCTTGGCAATCTGCTTGTGCTCAGCAGTATTGATGAGGGAAGACCATTGGCTCTTATTTGCAGCAGAGTATGGATTTTCGAATAGGCCCATCTCGAACTTCACACGAAGGAGTCTTGTAACGGCGGCATTGACAATAGAAATATCAAGCTTTCCAGAATTGACCAGCGAGGGGATCTTTTGGAAGTTACTGTTCAAGTTAGTCAAATGGCCTCATAGACAGACAGTGCCAGAGACTTACTAGGAGCCACCGCCCATTTCCACGTCAATGCCAGCCTCCATGAGCTGCAGGGTCACAGCGTTCATATCAATTGGACTGCTTTGGCACATCTTGAAATAAGTGCAAAGTCTGTCACTACCACCAGCGTCAGTCATGACGAAGTAATCATATCCCCACTCTTCCTTCAAAATCTCTGTAAGAGCGTGGTAATCCGCGACCATGGGGATTCCATCGTAGCTATGCATAACGTTAGATTTATAAAAGATTGAAAATTTCCATGAGAGTACTTACCATGAGTAGGCAGTCATGACAGCCCATGCACCACTGTCAATAATTGCGCGCTTGTATGATGGCAGCCATCTGGAAAAGAAATTAGCATTCTATGCTACTTTGCCCACATATGGCTTAACTCACGTTGTGCGCAATTCTCTTTCTCCTCCATGAACGGGTCCAGTGTTTAATCCTTGCTCGGGATTACTGTAGGCCGCATAGTGCTTGACCATGCCAGACACATTTTTGCTCTGGATACCTGTGATGTAGCTATAAGCAATCTCGCCCGCCAGGAAAGAATCCTCCGAAAATGTTTCTTCGACCTATGACAAGACTAATTTAGCCCTTCTCTTAGATAAAATCGTCGTGATTCTTACCCGTCCATATCGAAGCTCACGCGCCAGATCGGCCTCGGGCGCGAAAAGCTGATTTGCACCCAAGGCTCGAGCCTCGGTACCAATGACTTCTCCCATTTTTCGAACAAGCTGGCGAATATTAGCTAGGTATGGAACGGGTAGCAAAGATAGCTTACGCTCGGGTTCCATGAGCTTCCAATACCGATTGGGGAATTGAAAATGGTAGCATTGCCAATTAAGAACCCGTGAAGACCTGCCATGGTAGTGTTCAGCTCACGTCTGACTTTGCTAGATTGGATTTATCACCTTCTGATTGAACAAGGGCAGGGATACCCAACGTGGTATTCTGCATCAGATAGTCTTGGCCTCGCTTAATATTCTCTGTCAACCAATCCCAGGAAACCGGGTATCCGACTGAGGACTATTAGATTTCTTCATTGAAGAATTTCTTAACAAGATGAAAGTCGTACCGTAGAACATGCCAGCCTTCTCCTCCATATTAGCCACCAGTCCACTATAGTTGAAAGCACCCGTCGTCTCGTTCATCCAATTAGTGATATCGCCTATAATGAACAGTTAGATGTGATTAAAAAAGAAGCTTCGTGAAAAAGATAATATAAAGACTACCTTGTATCAATTGAGCCATCTTCTCCTCGACAGTCATTCTCCCCAGCAAATCCTCAATCCTTTTCTCTATCGGTGCACTAGCATCCTTATAAAGCGGCGTCGACGATATCGCTTTACCAGATACCAATGCACCCAGTAGTTGCAAAAGCAACAGGCCTTTCGAAAGCCCGTTAGCAATCATCTTGAAAACACTTCCTTGACACAATTGCCCAGCTTCAACACACGAAAATTGGAATTGAATTCAGACAGGCTTGGATTTCCCTTTCTCGCGCAGATCAGATCATCCCGGGGTATCCTTGCATATAAGGGTGAGCAATGCAAATACACAGCTCATTATTGCCATTTCTAGCTGCGGGGAAAAACATCGGTGCTATTAGATCGAAACTTACTCTAAAATTTCAGGAGCCATCGGAGATGAAATGATCACGGGTGTACATAATAGCTCTGCATGAGTGGCTTGAGCGGAGAAGACTGGAGCCGCTAAGACTATAACGAGACGGAGCAACGTCTCCGCGCGGGGCATCGGTTATAGTTTTGTCGGTCAATGTGGGGTAATTTAATGTTATTGCAGGGGTTGAAGACCGACGGGTCCGAGTACTTGCAGTAGGTGCTATCGGCAATATTGCAGTTGGAATCCGGCTAAATTGTAGAGACTTAGTGATGTCAACGGGGGGGGGGGGTTGAACGCTTTGCATTGGATGTACTATAGGGTTGTACTTCTGTGGCCTCTTTTTCCACCTATGACTGTCTTCTATTTCGCATTCCCCGGTGGAGTTGATCATGCAAGATGCGGAGGCGTTTTATCCCATCAGAAAGAATTGGTGAGATTTGAATACTTTCTCAATTCTCAAAACTGAGGTTCAGCTATAGTGGAGAACAATGAATCTACAAATGATGAGAGACGGCAGAGGGCTCGCAAAACCCGCCAGATTGATCCCGGATATGAGACAAAAAGTAAAGAATGAACAAAGAAAGGTATTAAATGTGTAAAGTAAAGAATACCCGCAAAATGCATCGCTTATCACAAACCCCGGTATTATGCCATGGAAAGAAGAGAACAAACAACCCCGCCAGAAGAAAATCCGGAAAAGGTCAAAAAAAGAAAATGAGCCAAGGATGAGGCCGCACGGTGTATGTATAATATGAGTGCCCCCAGCCACTCTGCATGTACCACAGGTGTACTCAGTATGGCGAGGAAATTACTTGCTGTTATGATCGAGATTCGGGGTCGTTGTTGCTGAGGGGATCACTGCTCAGAGCAGCCGGTGTATCGCTCCGGGGTGTCACAGTTCCTTGCGTCACCGCACCGCTGTCTGCGTGCTCTTGATGTGAAGTTCTTCGCAATGCACCACCTAACCATGCAAGCCCACCACTCCACGAGTCACTGAAGCTGCGAAGGCGAGTGACCTCTTCGTCCGTCTTCAGGGTTGGCGGGTTGTGGATTTGGGGGGCAAGGGCAGGAGTTGAACGGCCAGCCTCCGCAGACGGATCGACTAGGTTTGTAGCTGTTTGTAGTCGTGCTGTTGCCAGTGAAAGAGGGGTTTCGAGCCCTTGCGGCTCACCAAGTGGCCCTACATCCCCATCATGATCACGAAATGAAGTGTCTGTGAACATGCCGTCGACTTGTCTCCGGCGTCCGGCTTTACGCCTACCAGAACGGTCCTTGTAAGGGCTGCCTTCACCTCGTCGGAGAGATTCTGCAACCACAGCACTAAAGCCACCCGAGAGTGTGGGAAGAAGGGGACCGGGGGAGAATCGATGCGAGATGGAATTGCGCAAGGTACGTCGCGTAGGAGTTTCGAGAATTGCGTGAGCCCTGTCACCAAGTTGGGGCGAACCACCCACAGCAGGCGTTGAGGCTCTCCGAACATTTGTGGTATTGGCACCAGGTGAACCCTCATCTATGCCTGGGACGGAAGGGAAGCGAAGCAACACCGTTGATGCCATATCAGTGGCTTCGCCATGTGGAGGTGTCGTTGGACGGTGGGGCTCCAGGTCAGATTTCGGGGACCCGACAGCCTGATCCTGGAATTCTGCCCAAGGGTTGGACATACGAGATGGGGGGCGCAATGGTGAAGGATCTTCGAAAGAGGGTCCTGACAGGGCTGAACCCGCAGTTAAGGAGCCTGCCGGCGAAGATGGTGCTGCCGAAAGCGCACCCCGCGGTGTGGGTTCGTCGTCATCCACGCCGTCAATTCCCTGGCTGATTAGGGACCTTGAAGGTGACTCCGCACCATCGTAACCATTCTCAGGCTCGTGCAACGATTTGGCTGCTCTCAGTGGCTGAGAAAGGGGAGATAAATCAACTCTGTCCCGATATCTTTCACCATTCAGCAAGCCAATTGCTTCCTCCTCATCTTCGGTTGAAAATGTAGACTCGCCATCAGAGCGAACCCGACCACTTGTGATGAAGTAGACTCCCAAGAAAGTCATTAGACAGCCTCCGACAAACTTTCCTGCGCGAACAGCAGACATGGAATTGAAATCACGGTAGAGGACCGCACTGCCGATGATCACAGATAGGGTGAAAAGGACGAACTGAGTCGGAATGACTTGGGTAGAATCAAAGCGTTGCAGAGCACGATTGATGTAGCGAATCTGCATCAATGCACTGGAAATCAGGACGAAGACAAGCAGGTATGTGATGGGGTATGTGATGACGTGCCATAGGGTAAATGACAGTAGCGAGGAAACACCCTTAGTAGACAAAGCTGTGTATCCACCTGCGATATACCGTCAGTATTGCAATGTTACATAAATGGAGAAGTAAGTATTTACCAAAAAGTGCCACAAGTCCCACATCAATCAAAATAGAGCGAGGGCCGTATTGGTAACTGCCCCACATGAGAACGGCGATCAGCCCTATGGTCAACCCAAGATAAAGCTCAAACTCCCAAGTGGTAATCCGAGCCCAGATTTCATCAGGACCAAGTTTCTCCTCAGAGGACTTGGCGCTCAGTACAACAACCACAGCACCAGCGATAGAGACTAATACTCCCCAGAAATCTCGGCCTCGGAACTGTTCTTTCAGCAAGCACGGCGCAATGACGCAGTTTGAGATCAAAGCTACCACACCAAGCGGTGACACGATCGATGCCGGTGCAAAGCCATATGCCATGAAATTGCCTGTCTCTCCAAGACACATGAGAATGATACCAGCCCACCAATATGGAGATCGGAGATAAGACTTGCGCCCATCCGAGTCACCCGGGCGAGCAGTGCGATCAGACGCAAAGGAGTCACGCATACGGCTTTCCGACGCCGAATGGCCATTACGGCGGCTTGCAGAAGTCTCATTCTCATCATCATGATACGCCGCGAACTCCCGGTGTTCACTGCTGCGGCGCCGGTTGTGCGGCGGCAATCTCCCCCGGCCACGGACCTGAGTACTATTCTGTCCAACATTCCCATATTGATTCAAATCCCCAGCCTCAGATTGTGACTGCCGCCAATTGTCTTCTTTGTGGAGCTTATCGAGTTCGTATTCACGGGAGATGCGGATGTGTGCGTAGCGCTGGATGTTGAGAGCCAGGGAAATCAGAACATTTCCGATCAAAGCCGTTACGATACCGATCAGCGAAGACCATTTTTTCATATCCCCTTGGTCGTTCGGATTTTCAAAATGCGGTATGGGAGTCGAGGTAGGTGTTGCGAAATGAAGATGCGGCGTATAGGAGGCGAGGGTATATGGGGTAGAAGTGGAGGACGCGATCATCGAAGACGCGAAAGAGGAAAAAGAGCCCATCCCGAGGGGCTGTTGTCGGAAGTCCATCTTGCCTTGTAGAATGAAGCGATCTCCAAGAAAGTGTAGGCACTGATCGGTCCACTGATAGGCAGAATCGGGGTGCCGACCGAAGTCCGGAGTCCTCCTGGAGCCGCCCAAATGACTTCTAGTGATGTCGAAACAAATAAGCTCAGGGATACAAGGCAAGCCTATTAAGTTGCGAAAGACTGCATTTTGACTCGTCCAAATAGAAATCGGACAAATTCCGGCAATGAAAATGTCTCTTGGTTGGGTGCTGGAGGCTGTGGAGTTGGCAAACGGGGGCTAGAGCGGAGAGATTGCTCATGTCAGCACCAACGCCGGCCTGTGCTCCTTACTCCAGGCTAAGGCCAAACTTATCTAATTCTATATTCGAGTGAAACCGCGCTCAAGCCGTAATTTGCGAGGTTATGCGAGGTCAAAGCCCGTGCTCTGATGCTCCTGTTATCAGTGGTCCGGGCAGGCGACCATACTAGCGGTGATCGACAGGCTCTTGGAGGACGTCATGGAACGGATGAAAGAGGGGAAAGTTCCAAGGAGTAGATGCAAGGAGCAGGCATACACAGCTTGTTTCATGAACTCGGTCAGGATCTTGCCTTGTAGTAAACATCAAAGAAATATAGGATGGAGATAATTATAGATGTACTTGCAGCCCATCGAATTTTTTCTATATTGTTAAGTACCCAATGAATGCATCGGAATGTAAACTAATATACACAAATGATCAAGTAATCAACCCTGGGACATATCATCGTCGGGCTTTCTTCTTTTCCGGTCCCTTTTGTTCTTCATCATCGCTGATCTCGGCGTAGATTGCATTGGGTTGCGTCTCCTTGTATGCCCTGGTAAAGATCGGGTCCTTCTCGGCCTTCTCAGCGTATTTCAAGAGAGCCTCCCGCGGATCCTCGTCACGCATGGAACTGAGTGGGAAACTTTCACGAATATGCTTCTCATCAGGTTGAGATTTGCCAAAAGGTGTGACAGCTGGCACATGGGGTCGACGGGGATCGCGTGAACGGCCAGAAGCTGTTAAACCCACGTTTGGATGGCGAGCTGCATAGGTGGCCGAGCTATATTGTGGCACGCCGTTAGAGCCAACCACCACCGAGTCGCCAGCGAGGCCAGTGGATAGATCCGTTGTAAGGGTAGGGTTGTCATCAAAGTGGCGACGCTTGGGTGCTTTGGACATCACCAAGGCCGCACCCTTCGTGGACATAATCGGATTGTACAGGACATGTGTTTCGGCATTTGCGGAACCAGTCAAGATTTGGTTGAGCTTCTCATGCCACAGAACTGAGATGACCGGCGACCCTGGGGTAACAGGTGTAACGAGCTCCGGTCTCAGAGCCGGGTTGAGGATGTGCAGATGGCCAGTCTCGGAGCCCACGATGATATTCGCAGACGACGGAGAGAACTGGATATTTGATGTGGGGTAACGAGAGGATGTCGAGGTATGAGTGATGGCTATGACCGGGCTCTTGAAATTTCTAGTGTCCCAGAGTTTGATTGTATCATCGCCACCTCTGCTGATGACAAGCCGCCCGTCGGAGCTAATATCCAGTCCACTGGTCCATGTATCTCGAACATGAGCATCCCGTACTTCGGCGGTAGGCCGTCTAAATGGACCATTCCCACTCCACATAGTCAAGCTTCCATCAAGAGCGGCAGCAACCAGAACATTTGAGCCGCCTTGTTTGGCGGATCCCCAGGCGAGAGCGGTCATCTTAGTCCGGCCAGCAGACCCAGCGACCTTGGATTTATGCATGATCACCTCCTTTTGCGAGCGACCCACATTGGCATCCCAGATACGCACTGTGCTATCCGATCCAGCCGTAGCACAGAGATTATAATCAAAAGGACACCAAACTCCAGTAGTTGCCTCCGCGATATGTCCTTTGGTATTGTTGAGGTCGCGTAGGTACATGTCACCCTTGGCAAACTCTGTCAAAATTTCGCCATCTCGACTGAGGATTCGGGGTTGCGAAGTCGCGGAGACCACGAGAACGTGGCTCGGTGAGAGTGGGTTGAATGCAGCATAGTGGACGGCGTGGGTGTCCTGTGACGCAGATGTTTTTTTAAATGAGGGATCGACTGATTTGAATGCGCGAATAGTGGACGGGGTCATAGAAGCAAAGTCATGAAGCTTCAGTGTGCAATCGGTCGAACCTGTTATTAGTCGAGCTCCCGCAGGGTCCAGCGTCATAGTAGTCACGGCCCGCTCGTGTGTTTTTAGAACCATTTCGTGTGAAACAGGAAATTCGTCCTCGTCGTCGTCGTCGGAATCGTCAGAAGGATCGTCGGAGTCGGAGTCATCGTTGTCTTTAGGTTCTTGTGGCCTTCTCTCCTCCGCATGGCTAGGCGCATTTAATTCTTGTGCTTCATCGTTGTCCGCTGGGATGGGAACCGCAATCTCAGTCCGTTTGGATCGATTGATCTGCGACTCAACATCAACCTCCTTCTCCTGCTTGCCGAAGCCAGAGGGATAGAACTTTTTGAAAGCTTCCTCGTCAAAGCCGTCCATTGTTGGTGATGTAAGGTGATGAATTAGCGCAAGTTCTGATCGCGCTGATAAGATGAGCTTGTTTGCAGCGTTTGCATCCGCAATGGCGATCACTTACCCCAGTAGATATGGAGCGTAGTGACAGTGCCAGCGATTGTTATACTTGGTGCAGATAGGTATCACATTAATAGCCCAGGCTTATGACTGGAGTTAATCATTTTACTAGGCTAGATTCGCAGCCCTACGGTCATTATTCCATAATATGAGCGTATGCCATTTCTCCATAAAGTCGCATGCGGTCCATTAAAATACACAGATCAATGCTTGTAGGACTCCACCGCATAATTCGACAGTGTATGTCCCGATAGAGCACGGGTCAGCGCTTACAAGTACAATCCTTCCACGGGGCCACCATCCTGCTTTGTCTTCATGATGCGCTCACGGGCCGCGCGGAAGTCATCCATCTGGACTCTCATGCGGCGCTCTCTCAAGGCCATCAGACCAGCCTCGGTACAAATGGCGCGAATATCAGCACCGGAGAGATCATCCTTCTGGTTGATGAACTCATCCAGATCCACGTCATCGCCCAGGGACATCTTGGATGTGTGCAACGTGAAGATCTTCTTCTTGGTGTTTTCTGTAGAGATGGGTGAGTTGAGGACATCTGGAGGATTGGGAGGAAGTAGCACTTACGGTCCGGGTTCTCAAAGAGAATCTTACGGTCAATACGACCAGGTCGAATCAGGGCAGGATCGAGAGTCTCAATCTTGTTGGTCGCCATGATAACCTTCACATCGCCACGGTCATCGAAACCATCCAGCTGGTTAAGCAACTCCAGCATGGTGCGCTGAATTTCTCGCTCACCACCAGATGTTGAATCGTAACGCTTGGTACCAATAGCATCAATTTCATCAATGAAAACAATAGACGGTGAATGTTCAGCGGCAACCTGGAAGATCTGACGGACCAAACGCGGTCCATCACCCAGGTACTTCTGGATCAACTCACTACCGACAATACGAAGGAAGGTAGCACTGGTTTGGTTGGCAACAGCCTTGGCCAACAGGGTCTTCCCGGTACCAGGAGCACCGTAGAGAATTACACCCTTTGGTGGCTTGATACCCATCTCCTCGTAGAGCTCGGGGTGTAGTAACGGCAATTCAACCGACTCGCGAACTTCCTGGATCTGGTTCTCCAAACCACCAATATCCGCGTATGACTCGGTGGGGGCCTTATCCAGCTTCATCACCGAAACGAGCGGGTCCGATTCCTCGGTCAAAACACCAACGACTGATACCGATTTGTGATGCAGAAGAATGCTAGCACCGGGCTCGAGAAGATCCTTGTCGACGAAGGACATGATTGATACGTAGTACTCGGGGCCAGTAGCACTGGAAACGATGGCGTGGTCATCGTCAATCAACTCCTCCAGGTTACCCACACCCATTGGGCTTCCTCGCATGTCATCAACTCGACTTCGCTCATCCGCATTACGGTCCATCACATCCAGGTCCCCCGATCTAGCAGGATCGACGTTTTCTTGGGCCTTAGTCTTGCGCATCCGCTCCATGTTCTCAACGTATTCCTCCTCCAGCAGGAGGTGGTCGTGGACTCGTTGCATTCGAAGATAACGAAGCTTGCATCGGGAAGTCGGGTAGATGTCTGGCAGTTTCGAGGCTGTGCTGGGACCGGCGGCCTTGCGCTTCTTCTTTCCGATGCGAGTGGTCGGTGGTGGAGGGGGCTCGTATCTCGGCTTGTCCTTCTGCGAGATTCGGTCAGAGCTGGTCGAGTCACGGAGTATCATGGCAATTATACCTTCTTATCCTTATCATCACCGCCATTGCCTGAGCCACCGCCCATGTTCGACTGCTGGTTACCCTGTTCGATGATCTGTTAGCAGATGCGACCTGAAAGCTGAGTAGGCAGGGTGACGAACCATGTTTGTAAGCCAGCGAGAGGAACGCTGTCAAAATCTCATGGGAAGTGCTGCAGATGATATAGATGTGTGCTGATATCAAGATTCAGGAAAGATGGAGATGAGATGTGAGAGTTGGGAGAGATAGGAGATGGGCTGTCAATACAGTTGGTGTTGCAGCTTCGGGGGTCCGCGAGAGCTGGCAGCTGTTGCCATGTGCACGTGATACTTGGTGCCTCAGGATATGATCTGCGTCATTGGCGCCTTGTTGCCTGAATTTCAGTTGCCGTAGTCCTCGGCGGTAGCCCGTTGAACAATGCGGGATCAAACAAGACATTCAGCTTTGGACTGGACTTGATAACAACTGATAGGCCCTGCAGGCCAGTATACAACTATTACCATTGGACTATATCTCGAATCCAAGTGGAGCCTTTTCAAAGCTGTGACTGGAGCTAATCGTCCATAGTTCCTCTCTGTTAGCAAGGTAAGGCTGCCAGGATTCCTCGTTATTTCTAGCTGTTTCACCTCAGAAGCAAATAGATTGTCATGTTCCTTAGCGCAGCTCTCTGAACTCTTCCGTTAATCTCTATTGTGCCAGGTTCCAACTTCGACCTGTACCTTCCTCTTTGATCGCTGCTCACACGATCACGCACGCCCGCGAAGCACCACGGTTTACTTTTGTATTGTCCAGATCGATTCTGTTGGAAAAATAAACGACACATCATGGCCAGCAACCGAATGCGTCGAATTGGCAAGGAGTTGGCCGACATCCACTCCGACAAAAAGTCCCAGATTACGGCTACGCCTGTAAACGAACAAGAGGACATTACACACTTGCGAGGCTCTTTTCCAGGCCCCCCAGGCACGCCTTATGAGGGTGGTACATATAACATTGACATCAAAATCCCGACCGACTACCCTTTCCGCCCTCCAGTAATGAAGTTCGAGACCAAAGTCTGGCATCCCAATGTCAGCAGTCAAACAGTAAGCAGTCAGAGTCAATAAGTTACCGTGGCTCAATGTCATTCCATACTCATCATAAACACAGGGTGCTATTTGTCTTGATACTCTCTCCAGTGCTTGGTCGCCTGTGCTGACTATCAAATCCGCACTTCTTTCGTTGCAATCTTTGCTCAGCACACCGGAGCCGAAGGACCCACAAGACGCCGAGGTGGCCAACATGCTGCTGAGAAGGCCGAAGGAATTCGAGCGTGTTGCGCGACAGTGGGCTTCGATATATGCGGGCGCTCCCTCAACTGGCTTTGAGAACGGGGATGGTCTAGATGAGACAGAGGGAGCTGGTCACGATAACCTGGCCCAGTAAGTACTGAAAACTCGTTGACTAGGGGATGCATATGCTGACGTTTCATACTTAGATACGACGGATATAACAAAGACCTGATCGATCGATTCAGCAGCATGGGCTTTGATGTGGCTCGAGTCGTATCAGCATTTCGGGATGTTGGAATCGAACGGAATGGAGGCATGGACGGTGAGCTCTCAGAGGGTCAAATGGGTGATATTACTGCCCGCCTTCTTGGAGAGTAGCTTTGAAGCTGGGCCGTTACGTTGATGATTGTATGAGCGATGAAGATGTACATACTTGGATTGGTAGATAGGGTGGGACTTTTGTCATTTCACTTTGAGTACTGTGATTTACACACATGTGCATGAAATGAAATCAAACATATTAAACAGCAGCAGGTACTATACAGTAGATAATATACGTGAGGATTCCAAGATTCGTCTTGGTCTAGTCTTAGTATAAAGCTTGATTACAGTGGGACATAGTAGGTATCATGGGACAGATCAGCTAAATCACATCACTGGATCTCACCGTCCCCTAGGATTCTGTTTTGTATTGTACTTGCCACATGTGCAGTAGATTTCATAAAACCACCCGACCCTATCCAAAATTATACTAAGGGTAAAGTAGCTGATAGTCTTATTAATTAGAAAGGGAATGCCTGCCGAAGTAGATGCTTGTTTAGAAGAGCAACTCTGATTTACGTTTGTTACTTTTATTTATTTGACAATATGATCATTATAATTAGAGAATCTGGATGAGGACTGGCGCGCTCCCCTTACTGCTTTCCTTTCTTTCTTTCTGCCTTCTCTCTAGCCTTGATTTTCCAATAAATAGACATAGTATGCTGCATATTATCGGATCAGTGGCATAGATGGAAAGATGTCTGATTTGCTAGTCATTATTGGACGCTGACTGACTCTGGACTTCAAGTTTTATCTTAGCTTTGTAAATTTGTAAACTACTGCTGCTGAAATTATGCTATTTGCATATAAGGATTTTAGCTGATCTGTCCGCATGATACATATAACTAACTACATGTGGCCCACCGTAGCTTGACTGCTGGGCTTCCTTATCGATTATCGATAAGCTCACAACCTCAGCGCGCAATGATCTTTGTTTCCTGCGAATGACTGCCCAGCTTTGGATCCTGCAATTATCTCAACTTTCCTCATATCCGGAATTGCTTCCAACATAAGTCAACAGATACCATACACTGCCAGGCTTCGGTCATCGCTCCGTAGCGCGAAGCTCGGCCTTTGGTCAACATGATTGAAGACGACATCTACCGCGCCTCCTCACAGTTCCGCCTATGGTCCTATACTACATCATCTCTGGGTGCTCTCCGTGAAAGAACAAATATAATAGCAAGTGGTCGGGTACGCGCTGCATTGCAGCGAGCGCGTTCCACACAACAATCTGCCACACCTTCTGCAGCTGGGACACCACAGCCAGCCAGCGATGGCGAAGCAAAGGACCCAAATGAGAAGGAGATAGAGTGTCTGACGCCAGAGGAGGAGCTCGTCCTGGTCCGATACTACTGTGAGAAGACGCTGGAGCTCGGAGAGACATACAGGCCACCACTGCCAACCATGGTCCGCGTAAGTCAAGGCCCTAAAAGTACTTAATGCTCCGCTCTAACAGCTTCACTCCAGGCGACTGCGATTCAATATCTCCGCCGTTTCTATCTGACCAATTCCCCAATGACATACCACCCGAAATCAATTATGGCATGTGCGCTCTTCCTGGCGACAAAAACAGACAACTACTACATGTCCCTACGGCAATTCGCAGACGGAATCCCGGGCGACACATCCACAGAAGACGTCATCTCACCTGAGTTCCTACTCATGCAAGGTCTGCGCTTCACATTCGACGTCCGACATCCCTTCCGCGGCCTAGAAGGTGGAGTCATGGAGCTCCAGGCCATCGCACAAGGACAAGGCCAACCCGGTCCTCACCTCCTACACCAAACACCACAGCAACTCCAGCAAGGACTGCTCTCCATTGCTCCTCCTCCCGTCCCATGTTCTTCCATCTCAGATCGCATTGCCCGCGCCCACGGCACAACGCGCGAGACTCTCAAATCCGCGGCCCAAATGACAGACGCCTACTTCCTCTACACACCTTCCCAGATCTGGCTCTCGGCCTTACTCCTCGCTGATAGACCTCTAGCCGAGTTCTATCTTGATACAAAACTCGGTGGACCTCTCACGGCCACCAGCAGTGCAGAGCAATCGGATCTACAGAATCCGCTCTATGAACTCCGTTCCAAGTTGCACAAAATCTTGACCGACTGCTCTGCACTCCTTAACGAGTTTACGACTCTCTCTTCGGACCCGGATCAGATGAAGGACTTGAAGCGTATTGCGAAGAAGCTGTATCACTGTCAGAATCCTGAAAAGGTTAACATAGCGCAGAAGCGTTACTCTGCTCAGCCACAAGCTGTTTCGAGCCAGGTTACTTCTGAGAGTGAGTCTGAACGGCTGGCAAAGAAGCGGAAATTGGAAGAGAAGGCAAGGGGTGGTGCTTCGGATATGTTTGGTCCTGAGTTGGTTGCTGAGCGGACAAAGCAATGATTTTATTCTTTCTCTTGTCAACATGCAAAAGTTTCTGATGAACTATTTAGTACTACGCCAACTTCTATACATAAGGCACAAGGATAGATATTCCCAAACGTTAGATCTCGATCTCAAACCTTATCAACGAAGTCTCCAACCTACAAAGTCACAGCTACAGCTACGGCTACAAATATTGTCCAGAACAAGTGGTAGGAAAGCAAACCATTCCAATTCAAAACCCGAAGAATCCGTAGATACAGCGATTCAGAAGTAGAAACAAGGACCAGCCTCACCCAGATCGCCGTCTAGGTAGAAGAACCAGTCACTCTATCAAAAAAGATGCAAAGAAAATCTCAACACAGGTGGAGATTTCCCCACCAGATATCGAGAAAAGAGCGGTGGTTGGGGGAGTCATCACAACAAACGTCTTAAAAGGCAGAAACAAAAAGAAAATAAACCAAAAAAGACCAAACAGTCACAACCCGCCCTCTGTTGCCCAATTCTAGAAGCGAGGGAGACAATGACCACCGATCTAAGTGAGGTAAGAACAAACGAAAAACAAAAAGGGAATCAAGAACCAGCGACCTATGATGGTGGAGACCACAGGCGCGAGTCTACTGTCTTTGAAGACTCGACCGGATGGGAGCCGGGTCGTGGGTTCCGAACTTTTTAGAGCGCGAAGCATTGTAATTCCTTCGATTCTCGTCTAGCATTTCGTCGTCATCAAGATATAGGAAAATGGAAATTTAAGCGGTAGCAACGCTTAGACGGCACCGGAGGAAACCATCTTGTCACGGAGGTACTTCTTGTAGGCACCAATGCTGCCGTCCCAGCGACGGACAGTCTTGTGCTCGCAGACCATGATGTCCTTGGCGATCTTGTCAAGGAGACGGAAATCGTGAGACACGACGACGACACCACCCTGGTAGGCGTTGATGGCATCAGCCAGAGAGTCGATGGTGGGAATATCGAGACCGTTGGTAGGCTCGTCCAGCAGGATCATGTTGGGGGACTCGATGGCGAGCAGGGCGAAGACGATACGAGACTTCTGACCCTCGGACAGGGTGCCCATGATGGCAGTCTGGGCCTCACCGCTGAGACCGTAACGGCCAAGCTGCTGGCGCCAGTACTGGTAGTCCTGAGACTTCTCGGGGAAACGGTCACGGACGAACTCGAGGGAGGACTTGGTCAGGTCGAGCTGCTCAGCGGAGTGCTGGCTGTACAGACCGAGCTTCAAGTGAGTGTGACGGCTGACACGGCCACCGATGGGGCTGAGCTTGCCGGTCATGAGACGGAGGAGGGTAGACTTGCCAACACCGTTGGGGCCAACGAGGGCGGTACGGGAGTCCATGTCGACACCGAAGTCGAGGTGCTCGTACAGGGTGTCGGCCCAGTCACCAGAGTAGGAGAAGCTGACATCGTCGAAGGACAGGACGGGAGGAGGGAGCTTCTCAACATCGGCGAAGCGGAAAGTGAAGACACGGTCGGGGATGACAGGCTGGATGAAACCATCGGCCTCCATCTTGTCGAGAATCTTCTGGCGGGACTTGGCCTGACGCACCAAGTTGGCGTAGGTACCAGCGGAGGCAATGAACTTCTTGATGTGCTGGATTTCCTCCTGCTGCTTGGTGTAGGCCTTGGCCTGGTTGGTCTCCTGCTCACTGCGGGTCTTGTGGTAAGAGTCGTAGTTACCACCGTAGTACATGAGCTGCTGCATGCGCATGTCAATCATGGTGGTGCAGACACCGTTCAGGAAATCCATAGAGTGAGAAACCAGCACCAAGGTGCGGTCCCACTTCTTCAGGTACTCCTCCAGCCACACACAGGCCTCCAAGTCCAAGTGAGCAGTGGGGTCATCAAGCAACAGCAGGGAGGGCTTGACGAAAAGAGCCTTGGCGAGGGCAACACGCATACGCCAACCACCGGACATGTCCTTTGTCTTCTTGTGGATGGTGGTCTTGTTGAAACCGAGACCAGTCAAAATAAGAGAGGCACGCATCTGGAAGGTGGAGGGGTCCATCTTGTCCATACGCTGTTAAATATGTCAGTTCCAATTCCACTGACGAGATGGTTTTCTTTCCAGGGAAATTACTTACGTCGTACAGATCCTCCAGAATGGGGTCCTCAGGGCCGTTGTTCTCGAGAATCTCCTCAGCCTTCTTCTCCATGCTGGCCAACTGGTTCTCGGCCTCACGAACAACCCACTCAAGGGCACCAAGTTCGCTAGGGGGAGCACCCTCGTTCAAAAGGTAGATATCAACGTGGTCGGGAATGGGGTACTCGCGCTGGGCGATAGACTTGAGGATGGTGGACTTTCCACAACCGTTCTCACCAAGGAGACCGTAACGGCGACCGAAGTTGAGCTCGAGGGTGGAGTCTGTGATGAGGACCTTTCCGTGGAACACAAGAGAGGCAGAGGTAATCTTGACATCGCGAGAGGCAGGGAGAGAGGACAGGACACCGGTGGTGACACGATCGGACAGACCGTGCTTATCCATTTGTTGGGTGAGCTTCTCGACCTCCTTCATCTTCTCATCGGTGGTAGCGGGCTGATCGGAGTCGACAGCCTCCTTCTTGGACTTCTTGTCGCCGGCCTCGGCACGCTTGGCCATACGGGCGGCCTTCGAAGCAGAAACCATTGTGGCGGTTGTGTAAAAGAAAATTAGGGTGGGAGGGGGAGGGGGTAGAAGGAGGGGAAAGTAAAAGAAGACCCGTTGACGAAGAGATTGGCAAAAGAAATGCAAAAAGGCTTAGTGGAGCGTCACTGGCGGGGCGGAGAGTAGAGGGGCGAGAATGGGTGGGGAGTGCCTAAAAGCCCTTATCGATATGAAAATTCTGGGATATCGAATCTTTCGTCCAGTATGAGATTTTAGGTTAATGTTGAAAGAAAAAAGATGAACTTGAATGGCTGTATACTTTTTTACAATTAAGTGCACACGCCCCTTGAAATATTCGACAAAAATCGAACAAAAAAAAATCTCTACAGTGGGCCACAATGACTACTCTGATTGGGAGGTTCGACGTCACCGCACAATCTTAACTTGTTGCCTCAGGTGTCCACATTTTGCCACTGATAACCGTCATCTGTTTACTTTCACCCTAGAGGTGTACAGTATTATATGCGATCTTGGATCCTCTCCAAGATCTTTCGTTCCGTTCCGGTCAGATATACTCCATCTGGAATCAAAATCTCGTCTCTTCCCACCACCAACTGTCGAAGTTCACCCAAGCTGTCCTCGTATCGACTGGGAACATCGGGGGCTTCCTTCCTATGTTTCTCAAGGTCTCGACTTCCCCGTGAAAGGGAACGGGGTGTCCACCAGTATAATGGGAACCGACGATTTATATTGTTGATTAGCAGAGCCGCTGTCTGCATCAGAGTGACGCCTAATATCATCACCGGGAACAGGAACCAGCCCAACCCGGCAGTCTGAGAATTTGTGACGGCCAGTAGCGATGTGGCGCCTGCTGGCGGGTGTACAGTATTCGTGAGAACCATGAGCCAAGTGGTCACACCACAGGACAACGCACCCCCAAGAGACGTATACTTCTCTGCGCTGGGGTTCAAGGCGAAGAGCTTAGAAATGCCCACGCCAACCAAACAGGCAATCATCTGGCTGAAGAATGCGTTCCTTGGCTGTGCAAGAGGCGAGTCGATGACACCGAATTCAAGGACAGCTGCAGCACCCTGGTCACCACAGCTCTTGGTTAGCATGAGGCTCGGTGACTGTTCGTTGCCGTGATAGAAGATTCTATCTACTTACGAAACTGCCAATGACCGCCGGGACATGCCGAGCCTCAAATGACGGCACATGCTGGGAAACCGAAGCCACCAGGGCTACGCCAGAGAATGCACCGATGAGAGACCAAAAGGCAATGACAATATTCCCAAGCGGCTTAGGTCGCTCAGCCCGATAGCCTAGGAAATAGGCCACAGGCTTGGGCACCGCGTTCCATCTCGGCGCCGGAACCAGAGGGTCCAGGTATCGATCGATGTCAAAATGCCATGTATTAGCTCGAGAGAGCACCCGGGATATATGCGATAACTCCATGAAGGTGTATGAAGATCAGACCGATTATACTTGTACGGAGTACACCTTTACGAACGAGGAGACAGAAATTGGGCAAGTTACCAGCACGCAAGGGGCAAGTTCTCCTAAAGACATGGCATTGTGGGTACGGGGTACACTCTAGAGCCATCTACAGGGACAATCATCGGGGTTTCTCCGCGGACTTGCCAGCCTAGGCAGAACCCTAGCCTGTCCTTTGTATGATCCTCGTTTATGCTCCATTATTAACCACCACCACTCATCGGAGTTGCATTTAGTAACAAAAACCCGTTTTGGGTGTTAGTGGCTTGGCATTTTCATTATGTCATCTAAAATGTGCTGATAACCTATCATCTTCGATTGTATAAATTCTAACAAAGACCTGAGATTTCGAAGGTCAAAATACAAAGAGCTAAATTGAACAAGCTGGTATTATTTATTTACCGAAACATAGTATCAGAAAGTCTCAACCCAATCCTACAGTACAATAGCACTGATAGCCACTCCAATAAACATCACCACCACGCAACTTGCAGTTGCAAGCAACTTCCAAAACACTAGGTAGACAGTCTCAAATCCCCCCAACACTCCAATGCACCCCAGCCATTTGAAACGGTAAGCCAACACACCAAGCCCTTGGATACTCCATCCCCCACCTCGCAAGCAGACTCTTCAAATCCCCCTCATCCCCAGGAACAACATTAACAAAGATCCGATCCCCGTTGCTCATCGGCTCCGAATGCACTGCACCCGTGTCCCTCCCAACTCTAAAAAACACATAATCCCCCGATTGCACCTGTACGACCTCATGATCGCCCAATTCAACAGCAAGCCGGGACCGAACGGATTCCGCCGCCGTGGCACAGCCGAGGCAGCGCACAGAAGCGCAGATGTGCGGGTTCTCTGCGCCAACGGAATGCTTGATTCTGCGTTGAATTTCGCGGGCGAGAGGCGTTGTTCCTTCGTTTATGAATAGTGTTCCGGGGCCGAGGAGGGTTGTGGTGAGTTTCCAGTTTGTGGGGTTGGGGGTCTTGGTTGTTATTTGGGCTGAGGGGAAGTCCTCTAGTAAGTGGGTGAGGTCTTCGCTTTTGTTTCTTGGGGCTATTGCTCTTATGCGGGGGAAGAGGGCTGAGGAGCGGCGACGGTGACGGTGTGTTGGGGTGGGTGAGAAGAAAAGATCGTCTGTGTGCCATCTTGGGATGTCGAAATTGTGGGAACCTGTATCGGCTCGGATGGTGATCCAGTAGTGGGATAGATTGTTTGTTGATAGGAAGCTGTGGACGAATTCTAGGAAAGAAAGGAGAGGGTGGAGGATGGATCCGTTGATGGTTGCATCGGCCCAGGGTTTGAAGGATGATGGGAGATGATTGGGATCAAGGCTTAGGAGTGGTCCGCAGTAGGTCCATGAGGATGATGTCTTGAGGCTGATTGATTCTTGTGTTGTCTTTTCATTGTAGTTGTATTCCTCAGAAAGGACCTTGAAATCAGGCAATTGTCCAACATCCATAGTACGGGATGTTGTGTTTTGTGCTTTGCGTTTAAAGAAAATTAATCATAAACAGCATAGTTTCAAGATACTCTACCAATACATATATGTGACTGCATTGTAGCGGTCTGCAAAGCATATGAATATTAAATTCTGTCGCTCGGGCCTTCCTGCATGACAACCATGTGGTCAGCATGGTTGAGCTGCGCGAAAAACGTGGCCCGCCATCTTGCGGAATTCTGTCAGAGCAATAAGAACATTAGATGCCCGAGAGCCTCTGGGACTAACCAATGACGGAGGATCGGTTGGGGCCAATGTGGCGGAATTCGTTCCATGTAGAGAGAATCTGAAACACTAGAGTTGAAACCTTACGCGAAGTTCCGTTTTATCCTCGCAATGGAATCCCAGTTGGGTTATGTTTGCTGCATATGGCCCCCATTCAAACAAACCGTGCAGATCATAGGATCTTACCGAACCATGCGTGGGTTTTCTTCTTCCTCCTCTTTCCTCATTTCCCCATTTCCTTCCGAAGAAAGTGTTTGAGATGTCATTCGAATTCCAGTGAGACCAGGAATTTCACTTCGTTATATATTATCAACACAAGGCTCGGGCTACAAGAGTACACGTTTGCCAAGTTAAGCATGCAGGGAAGGCTGCATTGCGAAGTTGGGTGCCACCAGACTGTGGAACTGACAGAGAAAGAGGGGTCATTTGCTCTTATCAAGTTTGCTGGTGTAGCCTTGGCTATTCTTTCTCAAGTGTTTCTCATTAGTGTTTGACTAGCTTCTCGTTTAACAAGACAGAAAATCGGGAATATGCATTCAAGGATTACGTGGAATCACTTTGGAACAAAAATATGATTCATACTAGTGTCACAGTCTTCTGACACATGCTAGGAAAGGTCCGAGTGGTAAGATCTCAAGTAAAAAAAAAAGTAATACTCTCAGGGCTCGGTCCTACTTAAAGCGAGACATTCGACAGCAGTATAGCCCTGAAATATTTGAATTTCTTCAACTTCCTCCTTTATATAGAGATTCCTTGTTACACGCTTGGAAAAAGCTTATACCATTACCCACTATCTTTGAAAACAGACGTGAATGGACCTCCTGGAAAGAATATTTCATATGCAATTAGTTGAACCTTCTCTATCTACCGCTAATCGTAATCTCGTTGCTTTTCATACATAGATCCAATCTAAACATCCAAAGTCCGGCCAGTAGCAGAGCTCTCCCGAGCCAACTCAATCAACCGAATAACCTGAGCAGCCTCCTCACCACTAGCAGGAAGTTGTCCCTCACCATCAAGAGCGCGGACAAACTTGCGGTAGTACTCAGTGTAAGTAGGAGGCTCAACAGTAGGAACAGTCTCCTTAACAGTCTTTCCATCCTTCACGGTAGTCAAAGTACCATAGCGCTCTTTAGGCTCACGACCATATCCATTATCCTCAGGCTTGATACCAGCCTTGAGCTGATCCTCCTGGATATCGAGGTGGAATTTCTTAAAGCTGCCCTTATCACCACGCACCCAGAAACGCAGTTGCTCTTCCTCGGGGCTGACGACTGTTGCCTTGGCGGTGACTAGGGTGCCGTTGGCGTAGTGCAGGAGCACAGTGAAGGAGTCTTCGAAGCCGTTGCTGTTCACTGCGCGCGCGGAGCCGACGAAGCCGGTTACGCGCTGAGGGAGGCCAAAGAGGTGCACAGCTTGGTCGAGGAGATGGGTGCCGAGATCGTAGATAGCGGATGCACCGGGCACGACCTTGCCCTTCCACTTGGATGCATCGGCGGCGGGTTCCTCGGGGCGGTGGCGGTCAAAGTGAGTTTCGAATTCGGAGATACGGCCGAGAGAGCCGTTCTTGATGAGCTTAGAGAGGGTGACGAAGTCGGCGTCCCAGCGGCGGTCTATTTTATAGGTTAGTTGGTTATGTGTGGGCAGGGTAAGAGTGGGGTATCGGTGACGTACTCTGGTACACGGCCAGTAGCTTGTTCTGCTTGTTCGCAATGGTGACAAGGTCGGCGGCTTCCTTGTAAGTGGGAGTGAAAGGCTTTTCGCAAATGACTGCATGATATTAGCAGGGTTTCAATCAATTGAGTCGGTTAAGGACAAACCGTGCTTGCCCGCTTCCAGCGCCAACTTGCACAGCGCAAAGTGGGAGTCCGGAGCAGTGGTTACAATCACAATGTCAACGGCGGAGTCCTGGACGAGCTCCTCGGTGGTACTGTAGGACTTCACGCCTGGGTGATCCTTCTCCGCATCATCGTCTGCCTTGGGGGTGCGCTGCACGATCGCATAGAGCTTGAGCTCTGGGATCTGGGCCACAAAAGGAATGTGGAAGATCTTGGCACTGAAGCCGTAGCCGATAATACCGACGTTGTAAGTCTTGGAGGCCATAGTGTGAGGAGTTTGAGAGTGTTGTTTGTTAAAAAAAAAATTGGAGTGGGATGGCAGACGACTTATATAATCCCCACGGAATTGCATCACCGATGCGGGGAAGGTCCTGGCGACGGCAACTTTGGGTCAGAGCGGAGCACTTGACAAATGCCGTAATACCGTTCGTCGGCCTCCCGATGTGGCAAAGGTCCTCTATACTATTTCTATTGTTTTGCAGTTATTGTGTGATTGACAACTGGTTTTTTTATTAATTTATTTATTTTCCTTCTCAGTTATCGAAGCTTGTGGCGGTTAGAACCGCTGTAGAGAGAAAAAAATAACCCCCACGTCATTTAGGCTGATTCCAACGCCTATGCTTCCTGCACTCCAACACATCGCGTCACTTCAATTGCATCCTGTTTTCCGGTTAGCCAATGGTCCGCGTTTCATAAACTATATGTGACTCACCCGATGTCCTTCCGGTTGCTTAAGTTCACTCTGGTAAACGAGATTGGGGTTCCCGACCGTCTCGAGGAACGGCACATCACCCTCAGGCATGAAGGAGTTCACCGAACGCTCAAGCATGCCGTCCGTCTTGTATCCCTTTTCAGGACCCTGCTTCGCTGCCTCTCGCTTCTGCTCAACAGTGCTCCGGACATATTCCAAATATGGCGGGTTACCCGGCCAGAGGACATTGTCAGCAGCCAGCACGGAGCCTGGCACGATCATGCCGTGATGTTCGCAAAGCTTGACGTCTGTAAGGTAAGCCGGCTTGTAGTGATCAATGAAGAGCAGTTCGATCTTCTTGACATCGCCTGTCTGGTAGAGTTTGTCGAGAGTCACGTCGCTGCGGCCGACGAGGACCGTGACGAAGCTTCGCAGACCCGCAAGTTCAATGAGCATGTTGGCAACGGCTGCCCATTCTGGGTTCAACTCGAGACTGAGGTATCGCTTTCCACCGTTGCGACGACAAGCGTCACCAAATAGGATGGCAGAGTAGCCCACGAAGCAGCCAAGCTCAATCATGGTTTCTGGCTTCACTTCGTTGATCAGATCTAGAACGTACTTGCCCTTTGCTTGGCCGACGGTCATCATGCGTTCATCCTTGCTAAACTCATCTATGAGCGCTAGGACCCTGTCGGGGTGTCCGCGGATCTCGTCAATGTTCTTTTGGGCGAAAACCCAACGCAGAAGTCTTCTTGTTCGGTGATCTTCGTCCTGTTGATACTGTATCAGTATCCGTTGTATTGCGTCCACCTGGAAGGTGAGTAGAGATGGGCTTACAGAAGTCTGCCCGGGACGGGCGTGAGGAGGGGGTGAGGTCTCTCGTGCGGACATTTTTGGGAGATATGTAATTGTATTAGTATGCTGCGGAATGAGTGAAAGGTGAGAGGTCAAGTGAAGCTGTAAATTCTGGTAGAATATGAACGGTGATTCAGTGAAAGTAATACGAGAAAACAACCGCCTTATATACTGGACAATAATGTGCCGAACGTGGACCCGAATGGACTTTATTTAGAGCGGAAGATAGAAGAATCAACCGATCTCGAATAATGATTGGTGCTTCTTGGAGAATGACGGGGTGTAGAGCCTCGGAGCTAAGGATTTGAGGTAACCAAATCCGAGAATCCGTTTAATGCCGAGTTGATCAGATAAAGTCGGAAATTCAAACCCTTGAGAGTTTTTGATTTGCCGACATTCTACATATTTGCCTGGATCTATTGTTTTCTTGGTACATTAGATAAGCTGTAAAGTGGTCGCTCGATCTGGTGGAATGTGACATCTACGACATCCCCACCGATCGGCCCCTCAATTGGGCTGGACCTCCCAGCCTCACTCGTCACACCTTGCTTCCCATTGCTTCCCATTTTAATTTAAACACACTCTGCTGGTTCTCACTGAAACGGTGTACCTAGCTAGATACTGAACCGAATGCTTCTAATGAAAGTGCTCGGACTGCTGGTAAAAGGCCTTTTTCGTGTCTGCCTTTCTTTCGCTTTCTTGTTCCTGGACAATTCAATTCTCTTAGCTACTATCCTACTCGTTCGTCTCCGATCGAAATCCGGTCGACGCCAGGAGGTTCTCGGAGATGTCCATTTCTATCCGAAGACCGTCTTGATCACTGGGATTGGCACTTCGCAAGGGCTTGCTCTGGCGCGAGCTTGGGATGCGGAGGGCCACCGTGTGGTCGGTGTGGATGTCGTTGATCTGGATCTTCCAGTTCGGTCGGGAGGGGGGATGTCGAAGACCTTGGTTGCATTCTATCGAGTTCCCAAGGATCATTACGTCTCAAGGATACTGGATATTATCCAGCGTGAGAAAGTTGATGTATGGATTCCATGTTCACCCAAGGCATCTGCCATTGAAGATGCTACGGCCCGACAAGTTGTGGAGAGTCGCACGAGCTGTAAATGTATCGCATTTGACACAGAAATGACCGCCTGTTTCAGCAACACGAAGTCATTTCGTCAATATTTGACCGAGAAAAAGCTCCCCGTGCTCGAGTATCACCAGGTTCAGTCGCGCGATTCCATTCATAAGATTTTGCACCGGTCGCCGAGCAAGTCTTATAACATACGACGCCTGAGTTCCATTTCCAGCGATACAGATGTCATTCTGCCCAAACGCACTCTCAGCAAGACATATTCGGAAGTCAGCGAAATCCAAATCTCCAAGGATTATCCCTGGGTTCTTCAGCAGCAAACCCGACTTGGGGAGTTTTTCGCAGACCTGCTGGTCGTGCGGGGATATGTCCACGCCATCAAAGTCCGCCTGGCCGAATCCCGTTCTCCACACTGGGGTGCATCTCCCCTGGACGAAGCTCTTGCTAAAGCTGTGCACCAACTCATGCAAAGCTTTGCCGAGAAGGGTGGTGCACGAATGACCGGCCACCTTTCGGTGCGGCTGTTGGTTGACGAAGAGTTCGACGCATCTTCAGTCCGCCACACCATTCATATCGCCGATTGTGTCCCTGGGGCTGTGGCTTTGGAAAATCTTCTTCGCGATGCACGATGCCCTGTTCGCGGCTATCTTTCCGTGCTATCGCACCAACCAATCGAGCCAGCTTCCTGGGACGTCCCCGCGACACTCTCACCTAGCCCACGCTCCCGGCCAACAATCATGGATCATGAACTTGTGGCTCGCTTTGTCTCGCTGTTGCTTCCGTTCGATATTGCCAAGCGTGTGCTCGCCGTTCTTAGGGCAGAACTCGTACCATTCCTGTTCTGGAGGGATTCCCGGTTCTCTCCCAATGATCCCCTTCCCTGGTGGTGGCATGTGCATGTGTATCAGCCCTTGCGGGAAGCCTGGCAGCTTTTGAAGCAAACGCGGGAAGCGGGATTGAAGGATAATTTCTTTGCAGAGTGAAGATTATGATGTACGATTACTATGAATCACGACTGGATGACTTTTCGGGTATATTTAAGTTCTGCAGCAGTTCAAATTCATCCAATTCACAGTTATGTATAGCTGAACCTCTCCTAGTATATCATTCCAGAGTGCGATCAACTAATCTTGGCTCTTGATCCCCATTCCAGATGTCGTTGTTTCCTAGTCCATGTCGAGTCACGCGGCAGACCCCAGGAGGTCACTAACCCAAGCCCACGAAATGAATCAACCTCTGCACTAGTGTCTTTCATTGATTTTTTATAGCTTTTATGTGCCAAGTAGCCAGTATTCTGATCAGACAATTCGACAAGCGAAACGTCAGAAATACTTTCAAAGATATTCCGAGGACTTGAAACCATATATTCAGGAAGAGATTCTTCATTCGAATGGACCATACAGCGAGGATCACCTGGATCTAGACCAGGGTCGAGATTCATCCACTTCGTGACCACCAGAGCCAGAGTGTTGCTACGGTCACGTATTTCGATCACATAGTCCGTATTGCATTTATCGCAGGTATCGATAGATTCCGAGACCTTTCTGCTCGTCATATAATCCTCAAGAACAGGCCTAGCTAATGCCAATAGACTATAGTTTATAATATATGCAAAGTAGTTAGAACAGTAGGAGTGGTTAAATGCGTTGAGTGGAAGAATCTACCTCGTAGATGGAAGTATACGATGTGGGCAACTAATGCTAATCATTTAGATCCCAAAGAGGCTTAGCACTCGTCATTTCTGGGTCCACCGCTAGTTAGTTAAATAGTCATCTTTATTAATCTTCAAGGATAGTTTTCCAGGCCTGAAACGGACTTGATTCAACAATATTATGTACATATATTTTCGCCTCCAGTGAAGACACAGCCGCACATGACCGCTTTTTTGATAGATTTGTAGTATATAGCACTAAAGAAGACAAACCTTATCCATTCCGCAGTATAGGATAACAGTATACAGTATGTGGAATATTGCTACAAAGTCTTCCTTATAAAATGCGTGTTGAATGGATCGACGGTTTCAACCAATATAGGCAGGGTAGTAGAGACCAAGTAGGTACTATGGTCCACGGGTAAGAAGTTTACGATCTGGGATTTGAAGACTTAGATGTCTATCTATACTGCACTTGGCAACTCGGAATTCTCGATTGATGCCATTCTTGATGACCTGCTACATTACGTGGAAAGACGATGCTTCTGCGGGTGCTGTTGTGATGTTATTTGTTCTGATGTAAGTTTCCTATCTTGGGATGGTTGAGGACAATTCCACGCAATTAGTAGTAATTTGTAGCACGTAAATTGATGTTGATCGCGGCAAATGACGTGGCGGTTGAATTCTAGGCGTCCGCTTCACAAATCTTTGCTCATTGGTATATTGTTCCATTGGTACTGGCTCCACCGTGGCTGAAGCGCCCGAAAATAGAACCGGGCTGTCGCCTGGGCGATCGTCGAGAATCACAAGAACATTATTACTTGCGCTCTCCCCTTTGCACCCATCTTCAATCTTGAATCCATTCTAAGCTTTACGCCTGACGTCTTGGTTATCCTCATCCGAATCGCAGAGCCTCCATCCAAAGTGAGGCTAATACTGCAAAAGCCAAGATACTGCAAAAGCCAAGAAAACACCTGCGCGTCCCCCCCGAAACTCCAAATCTGTCCCCCCATTCCTCGTCTGACAGCCACATTTATCCCGACTCGCTTCCGTTTGGACTTACCTCAGTCGCACATTCCCCGCGATTCGGACTTTTTTGTCGAGGCCCCTTGTCGGGTGATTCTTTGAAAGGGCTGATCCCGCCCTTGCAGTGTTGTTTTCTCCATCACTCAATATGCCACTTCCGAGACCGTCCGGTAATCTGGGGAGGACGAAGAATCTCCTCCATTTCGCACAGGGGTTTATCATCTTCCTCGCCTGGGCCCTAACAATCGCTATTTGGACTAAGGGCGATGGCATCGATGGACGGACAGTCTGGTACTGGATCCTGGTACGTTCTCGACTCCCAAACAATCATGTTACTTCCATTCGATCTAGCTAGGTCTGGAACCTTGAACCCAGCTAATATCTTCCATTAGTGTTGGATTAGTCTCCCCGCATTGATCTACCTAGCCGCAGTGCCCATGTGGCCACGAGCCCGCCGCTTCGGCAATGTTTACGCCTTCGCCACAGTCGATATCCTTTACTCAATTTTCTGGTTTAGCGCATGGGTGTGTCTCGCCTCATATGTCGCGCAGGGAAAGAGTATTGGAAAGTCCTCCAGTGATAGCAAGACCGATAGCAGTTCCAGCTCCAGCAGCAAAAACCGCCGCGCCGACAGCACCAGCTCCTCAACCAAAAGCACGAGTACTACGACTAGCAGTGCATCTGGCTGCGACAACTGGGCTTACGGTAGCGCTGCGAAGTGCAGCTTGAGCGAAGCGACGACCATCATTGGAGTTGTGATATTGTACGTGGACTTTTGTATTTCGCGGTCAACCGACTTCAGCGCTAACTTCTAAATAGCCTACTTTTCGCTGCAACTGCCTGGATGTCTTTCCGTAATGTCATGCACTTCCGCCGCACTGGTACCCTCCCAGACGCCGTCTCAGACCCCACTTTCGCCGCCCAGTCCAAGGCCGCCTTTTCCTCCAACCCCGCCCACGACTTTGAGGATGACGAGGATGACTTCCGATCAAGCCGTGTTGGTGGTATGGGCTCATCAAGAAGCGACCGTGACGAAGATTACGCCCTCCTGAACCAGAGCGAAATAGACGACCTAAGCAACCCTAATGGTCGTTCCGCAATGCACGGAGCCTATGACCCCACCGCGTCCTCTGTCGGAGGCAGCCATCTTTCTGATTATAGCAGCGCACCCTATGGTGGGGCCCACGGACAACATTATCCGCCAGCGGACGCATATACCCCATCTGAGTACGGCTCAACTGTTGGCGGGTTCCAACACCCACGGTAGAGGGATCTTTTGAGACTATTGGATGAGAATTGGAGGCATGGATGTTGGCAATGAATACCCCAAAATCACTGGGCGACTGCTTTTTATTGTGTCCTGGAGATGATCACGGACCGGTGTTTGCGGGCGCATAGTGTTGTGCTTTTTCTCCCTTTTTGTTTTTCTCCATGGATGGGCTACTGCCTTGGCTGTTCCCTTTTCCATATGATTGTACGTTCTGGATTGGATGTAGGCAAATAGATTGCATATGCAAATGATGAATACCCTTGACTTGAGTTGAAGACAGACATGAAATTCCATGCATTATGAACAAAATCACGTGCATATAGCCACTCGTACCTTATTGATTCTGCCACCGCCCTATCGGGCTTCTGGACAACTTGTTCTCCGCAGTAGTCATCGCTCTGTCAATTCTCCGCACATTACCTATTCGTTGATTGACTGCCATTATACCCTATCTATAATATAACAGTCAGTATTCACCTCAATTGTATCCAGATCCCACCTCATCATCACCCCCACCTTCACATCTTCTATTATTCGCTTTCTCGACAACTATACATGACCTCGAACTAACATAGCCTCAGTCAACCAAAACAAGCACGGACTCCAAGTCCACCAAAACCACAAAAATGGCCAGCGAAATTGACCTCTTCACCCAATATACCCTTCACATGGACCCTGCCACCAAAGCAATCAGTCACCCAGCATCCCTCCCGACCGCATCCCAAACAACAGCAATGACTGCTGAACTAAACGAACTAAATGCCCTCCACCGCGCCCTCCAAACTCTCGACCCCCCCAACATCCCCCCACCTCCTCTCCCAGTCAACCCCAAGCGTAGCGCGCAAATCACCAAACTCCGCGACAGTGGCAACACCGCCTACCGCAAAAACAACTACGACGAAGCCATCAAGCTATACACCTACGCAATTGACATGGCACTCTCACGACCAGGCTGGGAGCCCGTCTCCCTTGCGAGAGAAGAATTGGCTGGTCTATTTGGAAACCGAGCACAATCGCATATGGGGAACCAGAACTGGCCGGAGGGGTTGGTGGATGCGAAGGCTAGTGTTGACTCGAAGCCGCTTGGGAATGTCAAGGCTTGGTGGAGGATTGGGAAGTGTCTTGCTGAGATGGGGAGGTATGAGGAGGCGAAGACTTTCTTGGTGAAGGGGCTTGAACTTGAGGGGGGTGCGACTGATGGTGCGAAGGAGTTGGGTGGGCTATTGGTTGATGTCGCTGCGGCTTTGCAGCGATCTTCTTGAGTTGTACCTGGGATTCTGAATGGTACTGTAAGCCGGCTGTTGTTTGCGAAGATTTGGGGAGATGGAAAATGATTAAGACGGAATGCTTGACTGTCTTCTATGGTATTGGTCTTTTGGTTCTTTGATTGTTTGCATATTGGTGAGGGTCTTCCTTTCCATTAGATGATTCCCTATCTATTGTTATGGCGTTGATTGGTGAATGAAATGGTTTGATGGTACGGACTTTATCGATGGACAATACCTTCTAAATAGTCCTGCTTCAAATGTTGCTCCCGCCCTATCATCCACCTGGGTAGATTGATCGAGAGAAACATTTGAACTTCCAAGGTTTGAAGCTTGACTACAATGTATAGTTCATATAATATTAATAATATGCACATGCACAAGGTGATACTTAGGCTGGAGCAGATCCGGAGTGTTTTTATGTTCACGAAGGGGAGGCTCTGAATACATACGATTAGGTTCTTGAATGATCGGTTAGTATTCGGTTCTCTAGAATACCCAATCAGGCGCATTTTATTGATAATCTTACATGTATCCCATCGTTCGTGGGATCTCTTGTGATTTTGCCTATTTTCAAAAGGCTCGAATCTGACAAGCCACTTACTAGGGCTTATAGTGCTTGAATACATCTACTAGGTGGGTAAGGTCCTTCCATGTGCAGCTTTTACCAGAAGCTTCCCGCCGCGCTAAAAGCGCGGCACCTACAGGTAGCTATGTGAAATAACTAATGTTTATACGAATATCCTACGATATCTCCTAATCGGTCTCCCATCCAGTCTCCCACCTAGTCTCCTACTCGGTCTCCTACTTAGGGGCGCCGAAGTTACATACTAGGAACCATGCCAATGAGTAGAACTAGTCTCTATGCAGATAGAATCTATGTAAATAGCAGCAAAATCGATCAACAAGAAACCACTTGTTTGGAATGAAGTTGGAGCCCGAAGGTATCTATCTATTCACACTCCAAGACCCGAAATACGACGGCGGTATGGGTATCATAAGATATAAAGAACCACCCGATTCTATACAAAAAAAGAGTTAATTGCCCCCAGCATCCGGGTTTAATAGTAGGGGAAAGCTCCCCAAAGGAAAATAAGACGTAAGGGATACAAAGTCTATCAAGGAATAAAAAGCACAGGCCGAAAAGAACCAAGAACAGCTCCCCTTCAATGGCTTGGGAGTTTCAGCATTTATGGGACGGCAGCCAAGGTTGGAATTTGTCCTTCGCTGAACAGGATAAGGCCGGGAAAGAAGATGTGACGGCTAATTGGACCTTCTCGCTCGTGTACAGTACAACCCAACGCGGGGTCAATTGGCCCGATCTCAAGTGGCCTGTGTCGACAGCTGATGTGTCATTAAGGGAAAGAAGGGGCCAGAAGCGGAAGAAAGGAACATGATCTGCAGTCCGAGAAGTATAGAGGAGTGAAAGAGAGCGAGAGAGAGATCTCGCTAAGACATACGAGCGCTCTAGCAAACGGAGAGGCGCTCTAATAGCCTGCTTGGTAGCAGCGGCCAACCTGACCTCAACGGCATAGACAAAAACAAAAAAGAAACTCCGATAGGGGGAATCGAACCCCCGGCTGTCGTGTGAGAGACGACGATGTTAGCCACTACACCATATCGGATTTTATATGTTAAGCTTTTGCATTTTCTGCTAGATCAAGTAAGGTTTAGCGCCACCAGCCTAATCGCATCCACCACCAGAACTAATTTCCCGACTTGAAAAACCTGCGCGAAAAATTGTTTGACTACGGCATCGGACTAATTATGCTTACAGCTTGCAATTACAAGCTCACAATTGTCGAAAGAAGTCAGGTGAGTGCAATCCTCTACAATGTAACTTTCATACTGTTTCAGCCCCAACCTTCGCGAAGACGGCAGCATTTCCGCCACAAACCTATTTGTGTCTCTTGACACCTTGTATTTCATCTAGTGAATATGGTTTTCCATCACGGGCCCCTCGTACACTTTCCGTCCCCTCCAGACCCAATAGATCAAACTGAAAATAGCCACAGCCCCAAAGATCAGCGACGCATAATTCATGTTCGCGGCAGTCACAGGATAGTATGGGGGAAAAAGCATGAAGATACATGTGAAACTCAGATAGACCAGGGACAAAATGTTAAGTATCACTCCACAGCCTCCTAGTTTCCATGGTCCATAGGTCAGCAATTTCGGAGTAGATAAACGGCGCCAAAGTATAAGTGCAATGGGTAGTAAATAAGACAAATGAAGACCGAAGACAGCGAGGGAGATAATGGCGTTGAATGCTGTTGTGGAACCAATATTGATCAAGCCCAGAAGCAACAGAAGTACGGTCACCGTGAGCACTGAATAATCGGGAACCTGCCTTTTCTCGCCGATTTTGGAAAGGTATCTCGAGAAAGGGAATGCTGCGTACGAGTCAGGTGAGTAATTAGTGGTGACAGCTCTATTGGGGGTAGCATACCCTTATCTCGAGCCAAGCACCACAACATACGAGACGTCGAAGCCATCAACGGAATAGTGGCTAAAACGGCCATGAGGATGAGTACGCAAGTCATTGCAGTAGCCGCAGCTTTATTGCCCGTTATACTGTAGAATATTTCGATGATAGGATATCCGGTTTCAGTATTGAGCGCGGCTTGCATGTCTCCCATGCAGAAAAGAATCGTTAGCAGGAAGACAAAGCCTAGGAGACCGTTGATTGCCAGAGAGCCTAGCATGCACCAGGGTACAGAGGTCTCAGGTGTCTGCATTTCCTCGCAGAGATGGATTGCTCCATCATACCCTATTTTATTCGCGTGGTCAGCTTATAATTATCTCACACTATCCAGCTTTGTCAGTACGTACCAGCCAAGACATAGCAGCTTGAAAGCATTCCTAGACACCAAGAAAGACCACTGCTTGACCAGCCCGAGTTATTCGCGAAATGTGTGAACACAAAGCTGGCAGAGTGGCGGGCTGGGACATAAACCCACATTACCACAATTATCACAACGAATGCCACGACATGTATGACCAAGGAGACGTGTTCGACCAGCGTCATTAATCGAGTGCCCCATAGATTGATCGCACTCGCGAACAACACAAAGGCCCAATATAGTAGATTTCCATGCCATCGCTCAAAATTATATTGTGCATCGTTGAGGATTATGAGCCCTTGAATCATCGTTGCAGCTAGGAAAGGGGCGCTGGCTGTGAAGGATATCCAGCCAAAGTTCGCTAAAGCACAGAATTAATTTCAAGTATCGCTTTGCCTGAACGAGGAACAAATTTGTATATTGGTCACTTACCGACCCATCCAGTGAACCAGCTTAGGGGGTACTGCCAATGATCTGGAGCGAGCTTTGCAATGAAATGATACTGCCCACCAGCAGTAGGATACCTATTAGATTTAGGTTCTAAGGCGCGGTTTCCATTCGGTAAGTAGTCCTTACATTGATGTCAGTTCACCCAGTGATGCTGCAGTTGATACAGCACCGAGGAAAGCCACTGAATAGTTGATTAGCGTATTACAGACGGAACATACTAAGATAGGAATTCAAGTTTTGCCTGTCTAAAACTCACAAATGAAACCATACAGAAGGGAGACCGGTCCTCCGCTGACCAGCCCAGACACCATGGTGCTGTTCAAAACTTCAGCCAATGCTGTTTCGTACGGGTGTGGGATTGTGTCTTACCTCGATAACGCTTCCCATGTTGCCATGAGCACAGCAGCCATGGCCATAATTGTGAAAGTAGAGAAACTCTGCTGCAGATAGAGATTGCAAAGTTAAAACACCACTAATGTTCAAAGAAAGCGCTTGCTCTGAGGTAAAGCTACCTTATTTCGCAGTTCGCTGAGGCTTCCTTCGTGCACATCCAATGCTGTGGTCATTGTGTCATTTTCATTAGTCTTTTTAATGGAGCAGTCCATTTCGCTGCTATTGTCGCAGGGCCAGGAGGGGGAGAGGGCAGTCGAATAAGAATAGATCCAGGAAAAAGTGAGCTCAATGATAAAGAAAAACCGCCAATATCATGAACAAAAAAACTAGGCTGACGAGGCAACGGAAGCCACTATATAGTTGGTGTCCACTAATGACTCGGCAACAAGCTTTTGAAATTCATGACAGATTGTTGGGCGTCGTGAACAGTACCGAGACACAGGCATACAATTGAATGCGGTCCAATCGGGATGGGATCCCATCAATCTATTCTATTGACCGCGTCAATGACCTAGACATTTTAACTTTTTAATCAAAAAGTGCTGTTCGAATCAATAACTCCGTAATCGGTAGACATCCATGATATTCAGATACGCCGCCGTCTGACGGTCCCCACTCTCGCAAAATGATGCGATTGGTCCAAACATATGTACGTAATGGCTAGGTTAGGTAGTTGACTGCCTATCATGAAGAAAACTTATCAGCGTATCACAAGACCTATGCGAGCAAGTTCGACTTCTCGGGTATTCGTCCATCTGCTGGCTTCTCCGCATTTTGCGTACTTCTTGGGCAGAAACCTTCAGAAGTCATGAGAGTTGGCTTCCGACTTTACCATGGAGAGCTCAAATGTCAATTCTGGTATTGAACCATAGATCACTACCTTTCATGATATTTATCTCACACCCGTGGATAATGTGTGGCAGATCCTTGGAGGTTTAGAGCGATTGTGTATGCTATACTGAGAACGTGCCTACTACACAATGTTTATTTCCACCATACCATTTCTCTATAACTCGCTTCACATTGTACAAGGACCGACTAATGGCCCCCTTCGACTATTCCCAGGAAACAGGGAGTTATAAGAGTCATGATGTAGGGGAGACATAAAACACGAGCTAATTGCATCGGGGAGAATCTTTATAGCAGTTTGCAAATTTCAGTGACCGATGCCCCTCTAAGAAGGAGTTTCTCGTGCCAATATCTTGTGTATGATCGTGATTCTGATGACGACATGGGAAGCATTCTCAAGTTATGATTGGATCCTAGGATGTGGTCCTCCAGTACTAACGGTTTCTTGTAAAGTCCTATGGCCTCTCGGTTGATTAGTGGTGGACCAGTCTCGTTGATATACATATGGATATATATGTTAATTTGATGAAATTGGGGATCGCAACAGCAATCAACACCTGGGGAAGCGGTCTTCTTTCGGTGTTGGAAGGTCATCGTTAATTATCTCTATTCTGGTATGTATTCATTGCAATTCTTGCTGTTATGTGGGCTTGCTCCGAGCGCCCACCAAGCACTCAGCCAACTCCGTTTCCCCCCCCCCCCCCCCCCCCTCCCCTCCCCCGAAAAAATTCTCGGCTGGACTAGTGATGGATAGCGTGGTCCTGCGCATGCTATCAAGCCGCTATGTCCTAACTGGTAAGAACTGCCCCAATTCGGAAATATTCCAAAAAATGACAGCGGAAGATCATTTTGCGACGGAGCGACCCATCTTAGCAACGAATCGATCAACCCTGAGGTTACGGTACCATCTTGTATGCTGGCCTCGTTAGCACTCAACGGCTCAATGGGGCTTGCCTTCTTGCTCACAACTATCACTCGCGCGTGTAGTATGCAGACTACTGTCGACAGCGCGACTGGATGTCCAATTATCGAGGTCATCTGCAGCGTAAAGGGATTCAAAGGGACCAGTAGGGCAATGATTTCTATGCTCATCCCTTGCTGCATGGCTGGGCACCATTGCCCTGTTAGCGTCTACAGCATGAATGGTGTGGTCGCTCACTGTCGACAATGGTAAGACATTTTTAGGATAAACATAATCAGAGCTGACGATGTGCTAGCATTACCCAGCTATGTATATTTTTCCAATCGCATTAATGCTGCGGAGTCGACCGTCTTCTGCGATTCCGTTGCACTACGGCCCCTGGAAATTAGTTTGGATTCGCGATTAACCTGAATCATTATGCTACTTCGTCTAGACGATTTACTTCAAGGTTTTCTCCCCGTATCAGCAGGTTGTGATCTGAGGAAGTGAGGCTGGTGCAGATCAGGAACAAAGCCGCACCATCGGAAATAACTCCTGAGGTGTATATCCAAAAATCAAATTTGATATTCTCGTTGTACATACAATTTCTCTCAATCCCTCTGAAATTAATAAGAAGAAATCTTCCTTGGTTCCACAACAAGCCGAATACTACGCTGAATACAAATTATTTATCGCAGGATTTTAGCGCGATAGAAATTCTCAGCGCGATTTATTGGCTCTAGAGGGAGAGAAGGCAGTACGAAGGTCCGATTTTGCATATCTTACAAGGCATCTAGAGACGTACTTAGTCTTTACTGTATAGCGTGTGTGAATAATCTCATTGGCCCTGAGGGCCTTATCATACTCACGGCGCGCCTTATCTTACCCATAACACCAAATTGCTAGATAAGTGATAAATGCCTTCTCCGCAAACATCTAGCAAGGTATAACTTCATCATCTTCGAAGACAATTTGACTAAGTCCAAAAGTGTCTTATTCTCTATGGAAGCGAGAGAGCGGAATTTACGCTCGCTCCTCTGCCCCCATTAGTGTGGAGAAAGCCATTCCCCGCACTTTCGGACAGTCAAAATTCTCTTGTGGGGAAAGTATCGAAACGACAAAGTGCCCTTCATGTCTAATCAACGACAATTACCGCGAAACAGATTGAAGACGCGCAGTGAGTCTTCTATTCTGAAGCCTGCTTGATATACCACTGACCTCGCTAGCCGGCTGCCTGCGTTGCAAGCAGCGGGTATATGAATTTCCTATATTACATCGTGTTACCGGGCTGACCGACTTCATACAGAGAATTAAATGTGACGAAACATATCCACATTGCAATCAATGTACCCGGCGAGCTTACGAATGCCCTGGTTATAAGCGTCCTTTGAAATGGAGCACGAAATATGAAGACGAGCGTCAGACGTGTCCGGGAAATTTTGGGAAAGTGCCAGATTTGAGCACTGTCAATGGATCCGAACCCACAATTGCGCAATTTGTGACAACATCGAGCGAGACGGCGTCGACTTTATCCGTTACGCGAGATGCGGAGGCCCTGTCTATAGCGAGCCAGCCTGTCGGCTTGCATGGCTTTGAAAATCCTGGAGCAGCTTATACACACGACGGCGGTAATGCAAGGAAACAAGGTCGCTCAGACGACAGCATTGAATCCATTGACTTGCTATCGTCAAATGAGACACTGAAGTCCGGAATAGAAAACCCGAGAGGGGAGCCGATGGATTGGTCTGACTTTTATCTGCCTCTAACGCTGTCCGTTGAAAGTGAGGACTCGGCAATACTGAGACACTACTTCTCGAATGTCTGTCGGATCCAGTCCTGCGTCGATTCAAACAGCAATTTCTTTCGTATGGAAATCGGAAGTATGATAGCCTCTTGCCCGCTTATCTACCATTGTGTTCTCTCCATGTCAGCAGCACATCTTGCAAACACACGAGGCGACTTTGAAGCCGCCGCGTTGGACCACAGGAGCAAAGCGATAAGTTGCCTGAAGCTGCAAATAATGCAGATGAAGAAAGAAAAAGATCTTCAAAGTTTCTCCGCGGTTGATTACTCAACAGAAGCACTACTTGGGAGTATTCTCCTGGGAATGACCGATGTAGGTAATTGCAGGGTGGCGACCTCGTTATAGAGCGCTGACAAATCTTCCTAGGGATGGCTTAACCCATCATGTAACGGATCTACTCACTTACATGGCGCGAGAGTATTGTTCAAAAGGTGGTTATCAGGGATCAATAACGGCCCGGGTACATCACTTGCTGTCGCGTGCCCCTCACGGTTGCGAAGTGCTATGGTGGGTATCATGGCCTATTGGGAGGCAATGTCGTCCTTTCTCACGAGCCAATCCCTAGACGTGATATCCCACTTCGAAGATGTTTTTGACCAGGGTCCGACAACAATAATTCACCCTACACCATGGACGGGCATCAGCACGCCATTATTCTTCTACTTGGCCAAGGTAGGCACTCTGGTTAGGCAAAGGGCATTGGTCAAGAACCTATCTATTGTTGGAAAATCCGAAGGGGCCCAAAATCAGCTGAAGCGTGACCTTATGGAATCGGCTCTGGATACTGAGGCTGCGATTTTAGCATTCCAAGCTCCAAGCAAGGACCGTGTAGAAGATACCGGCGACCTGTCGACTTCCGTCGAGCATTTACAACAATTAGCTCAAGTATACAGACTCTCTGCCTTGATTGAACTCTACAGAAACTTCCCAGCGCTCCTGGATGGTCATACCAGCCCACTTTCGGAAGAATCTGCTCCAGCACTCAAAATACTAGCGCTCACGACTGCGGTACTCACAATAATCGCCACCATTCCGCAAACATCAGGTGTTAACTGCCTACTTACCCTTCCGCTCATCATCGCTGGCAGTACACTGCAATCAAAAACTAAGACATCGCCTAGGCAATGCGAGAACCGAGAGGCGTCCTGGGATATCCTCTCAATTGATATTCTTTCCCTATCGAGTCAGGAGGATGTTCAGTTATACTGGCGGGATTTTGTCAGAAGCCGATTACATGCAATCAAAGCTTACGTTGGTATAGCGACAGTATCCTGGGCAATTGAAATTGTTGAGAAGGTCTGGACCCGATGTGATCTGCAGGCTTTGTCGCTGCCCTCGGACTTTATCCAGTGGATTGATGTTATGGTGGATGAGAAATTAGAAGCAATCTTCGGGTGATTATGTGTATATTATTTGATAATGTAATTCACTACCGAATGGGCCACACTAAGCGAGTGGGCCACCTCCAAACACCATAGTAAATGCGATAGTTGATACTCAAATATCCCAACAACCACGTTCTTCTTCTATTCCATTACTTGCCTATAGATTTTGATAAGCATTTTTAGAAGCATATATCAATTTTGAATATATTCGACTCTTCTAGTATCACGGTACTAAAATATACATTTCTATTATATAATTTCAAGTCACCAAGCTATGAAAATTCACAAAACTCTTCAGAGAGACCAAACATCATATAGAAAGAAGTAAACTTTAAGAAGAAGCCCCTGAAGACCTTTAATGTTGAGTTGATGAGTTGTAATTTATCGCATTTAATATAGTGTTTAGAAATGGCCCACTCGCTAGTGTGGCCCATTCGGTAGTGAATTACGTTAGGCCCGAGAAATACCATGCAACTTGTGCCTGACTAATCGCCATTCATTAACTATGGTCTGTATGGTGCACCCCCTGTGACGTCAGTAGTCAACCCGATTTGGCAATATTGTGCAGCGAGAGAGACGGATGCGACTGGCTGAGATCTAATAGAACATCGGGAGCTTGCATTAAAGATTGAAGGATTCAAATAACAAATTACTTCATGAGAATTCTGATCATAGCCCGTCGACTGACACTCTATACATCCTTTTAAAAAATGCCGTTCCAGATCAAACAAAGCACCGAGCGCTTCAAGATCCCCAACTATGGCGGGATCCCGAATGTATACTTCGGTAAGTACTGCGATTCTAAGGTCTTCTTTCGTCCCAGGCTGTTAAAATACTTACTTCTCGTCAGCGGACCTTTTAGGAACCGAAGGCAACGATACCTCCAATCCTATTGTCGGATCGTGGTTCCGTATAGAGAAGGGTGACGAGGCCACACCCCCGAAATATGAATATGATGAGGTTGGCGTTGTCATTGAGGGTACTCATCATATGACTTGAAAAATCAATTGTCCGGTATTAACGCATTCTGGTAGGGGAAATAAACCTACGAGATGAGACTGGAAGGACGGCGACAGTTCGAGTGGGTGAACTATTCTTTTTTCCACGGGGAAGCACGATTGCCTTTTCGTCCGATAGTTATGGGCTTGCTGTAAAGTGTGGAGGGCGGCATCTTGCGAAGCTGTGATTATATTGAAGTAAATGTCAAAGGCCCATCGAAAGTTGCATGGGGAGCATAAAATGGAAAATCAGATATATTGATGTGATCAGGATGCCTCAGCTGTAGTATCATAAATCTATTACTAGAGATCGTGTGAGATAGATAGTGTATCTGCGGCGGATACGATTTCATTTCTCTCAACTTCGAGGGAGAGAAGCAAGATCACAGGGTGCCATACTAGTCTGTGCATTTAGTAGCTACAGTGGCGGCTACCAATAGAAATAAAAGACTATTTGGCGTCTGCTCCGGTGCGTTTGATGGTATCTTTTCAGGTCACCAAAACTCTTCGGCTCTTATCCGCATCTTATCCAGATCTGTCCCCGCAAGTGGAGACACCGCCCGATTAGGAAAAAAAGTGCGTAGACTTGCAAAACCCCCCTAAACTTCCCCTAGGTCGCCTACCAATCGCAACGAGGCGCCAAGATGCACGACCGAGGAAACGGCGCAGAAAACTCGGAAATGGAGCTTGTGCTTTCTATTATCTACGACAGAAAGGGGTATATTAGTATACCACGGAACGACCATGTAGGCTCCATGAATGAAGTGAGACTAGCCCTCAACCAAGATGTCTCGCTCAAAAGAGGGTTATCTGTGGACCGCGAAACAAGTCACAGAGGGCCTAGTAACCGCCGCTATTCAACAGAGCTCTCCGGCCATCAAAGATTGCTACGATGTCATCGTTATTGGCGCCGGTTTTTCCGGTCTCGTGGCTGCTCGAGACTTGAATCAGAAACACGGCGTCAATGTCCTTCTCCTTGAAGCACGCGATCGTATCGGCGGCCGCACCTGGACGGCTAAAGTCCTAGGCGAAGAGATAGAGATGGGAGGTACATGGGTCCATTGGGCACAGCCGCATCTATACGCCGAACTGCATCGATATGACCTGCATAGAAATTTGAAGACATCAGCAGGAACGATTGCGCCTGAAAAGCAAGAATTTAAAACTGCCTTGGGAGAGACGGAAGAAATGTCGATTGCAGAGGATGGCGCTGCGCTGGAACGAGTGGCAGAGGAGTTCTTCACGATCGACGGACTGAATAGTCGGTCTCTCATGCCTTATCCGCATGATTCGTTGCGGGAGCCTGCACCCTGGAGAAAGTACGATCACCTTAGTGTGCAAGATCGTTTGGATCAGCTCCATGATATCCCACAACGGATGAAGGATCTATTCGGATCAAATATAAACACATTTGGCAGCGCTCCAAGCAAGGACATCGGGTTCGTGGAGGCATTGAGATGGTTCGCATTGGGCGGTCATACTATTGCCGGTGTCTTCGAAATGGCTGGGATATACAAGATTGGTAAAGGAGGCATGACTTCGTTGGCTCATGCTATTCTAAATGAATATACCGGCGACCGGCTCTTTAACACGGTTGTTGCCGAGATTTCTCATATCGCAAGCGGTATTGAGCTCTCAACCACGAGCGGCCTGATCTTACGGGCGAAAAGTATCATTTCAACGATTCCACTGTAAGTTACCAAGTCGGTGAAACCTCACTCTCCCATGCAATGTTGACTGACGGCTCCCTAGGAACTGTCTCGATGACATCAAATTCACTCCTCCTCTATCTCCACTCCGCCAAGAAGCAATTGCGGAGGGTCACATCAACAAAGGTGCCAAAATCCACTACAAGCTCCGCGAGTCACTCCCCGCGTGGTTTTGGACAGGCGATTCCAAGAGCGACACAAGCTTTGTATTCGCCTTCTCAGATCACAACGGAACGCAGCCGTCCGGACCGTCTGGGACCTGGTGCATCGGCTTTGGGTATAACGGAAAGTTGACCGACAAGAAGGACTCTCAGTGTATAATTGAGCAATTTAACAAAAATATTAACCCGAGCGTTACCGTGGAGGCTTATGCTACACATGACTGGATGAATGACCCTTATGCCAAGGGAGTTTGGGCGTGCTGGGGACCTAACGCTACATCGAAATATCTAGCGGAACTTCAACAGCCTCACGGACGAGTTATTTTTGCGAATGCGGACTGGGCCGATGGTTGGAGGGGATTTGTTGATGGTGCTATCGAGCGAGGACAAGTTGCTGTGCGAGATACGCTGAGTCTAGTCAAAGGACAGAAAATTATGGCGAAGTTGTAGAGTTGTTTTTATCTATCTGATGCCTCATTCATCATCTCTCATCCGGATGCGCTTCAGATGGTCAATGAAGCCATGCTCGAAATCGTCGCAGTTGCTCAGTCATGTGGATATGCTGAAGTTGATGCTTTTCTGGTCGAGAAACAGCTAGCCAGAGCGATGGCTCGTACGCCCCCTGGCGTCAAACCAAGCATGATGTTGGACGCGATGGCAAGAAGGGAAATGGAGGTTGATGCAATTCTGGGAAAAATATTAGTTATTCCAGCCAAAAATATCATCCGAAAACCAACACTAAAATGCTTGTTCCTGTTATTGAAGATGCTAAACTTACAGTTCAAGAAATAGCAATTTAAGGAGTTTTTGATTCCAAAAATTTTAAATGGAGTATAAGTATAGACTCTATAGGGGTATTTTTGGAGAGCCCTTTGACCATTTCACTAATCTGGTAAGAAAGGAGGAAGAGTACTGGATAGAATAATAAGTAGGAGGCTGAGTAGGAGACTAATGGGGAGACTGAGTAGGAGATAGAGTAGGAGGTATGGTATAATACCTAAGTAGACGCTACGCTTTTTGCGCGACGGAAAGCCTCTAGCATAATAGTACCCTTACTGTACACATACCCTATAGTTTTTATAGGTGAATACTAGGTGGATGAATATCAGATAATAGTATTTATGAAATGCGTTAAATTTCAAGTATAAGACAGTATAAAAGTGGTAAAAGCGGTGAATACTCCTCGTAGAAAAAAGGGTCCCGTCCTTATGGCAACTACTTGCCCCCGTACACATGGGCAAGACCCGTCAATTGGTAACCATTAAAATTTGTCTACTGTATCTATCAACGGTTGCCTCAATATCTGTCTAATGCTCAGCAAGCTCAGACAAACGCTTCCAGTGCCTAAGCAAAATTTAGAACCAAGATTGGTTTAACAACGCATAAGTCCACGCCGAAAGTAAGAATAATTACTGTTGAGATTGAAAGAAGGACTGATTATTCTTGTACCAGAGGGAACATTTGAGGCCATGTCAACAACGAGAAGAAAAAAGCCGATTTCCATTCAATCTTCGTTCTTCTTATGGGTAGGTATCTGGGAGTTATTTCCGATGTTGCGGTTTGTTTCCTGATCTGCCCCAGCGTTGTATCATGACATTTCTCAATTGGCTCCCCTAATTAGCTGTGTTTAATAGCTAGAAAGCTAAAAATATAACATATTTTCCAGGAATTATGCACAAAAAGTGGCTCCACTCAAATGAGCCTTAATCGGCTTTTCAAATGGGCCAGTCTATGGATAAGCCTGACTAAGTCCATCTGGGCCCATCTGGGCCAGCCCAATAGGCTGTCCAATGGGCCGGCCCATGGGCCTTTCCGAAGTCTAATTTTTATCATCATTATCGATATGAGAATCTGGACGCGTATTCTGAGCCACATAGCAATAATTGTGATTTACAATACCTCACTTATCTTCACAATCCCCATGAAGCTGGTCTTGAATATTCCTTTCAAGACTGTGTGCGCGACTTTGCAAAATAAGTGAACTCCCTTGTAATCTCGATGCTGCGCAATGCTCAATTTCATTTGACATGCTCATCAATGAATGATTCGAATGGGGCCATGAGGAAATGTCTGACGTGTGGAAAATAGCATTCTTTGGGACTTCAGACCTTGGTAAAGCGAGTGATGGTCAATTGAAGTCACATTGAGATCATCAATATCATCTAGTAGGGTCATTGATCCGGACCTTCTGACTTTACGATGATATACCATTTAAGTCATACCCCTCGTAAAACTGACAGTATAAGCATCGAGCTTTGCTGGTGTCGAACTTGTTATGTTTTCTTGTCCTTATATGAAACGTGTCGAATGATACACTTATCTATCCACCCTATTCTTTCTTGATTTTAACCTCAACATGTCAGCCGGACAGAGAAAACCCGAGCCCCTTCGTCGGATTATAACAACCCATGATTCTTCAAACGGCCGAGCTATCTTTAGCGACGTGGTCGGGGAGCAGGTCTCGTTTACCGGATTCCCGGTTCCCCCAGGCAAGCCCACAACCTCAGACTATGCCCTAGCCTATAACACAAGCACATTTCCTGTGCAAGGGCTTTCTCCTCCAACTTCTGCAACTGCAGAGTCCAAAGCAAATCTCGACATAAAACAGTATCGCTCCCAGCTCTCAGATCCCACGCCTTTGAATCCGGAAAACGGCACCTCCTGCACGATTATTGAGGTACCTCCAGGTGCAGCAGTTCCGATGCACCGAACAGCGACCCTCGATTATGGTGTGGTAATGAGTGGCACTACAGAATTAGTTCTTGATTCCGGTGAGAAAAAAGTGCTGAAACAGGGTGATGTATTTGTTCAACGAGGCACGGCTCATTCTTGGCTGAATACGACTGGAAGTAAAGATAACTCTGGTGTTTTACGTATCTTTTTCGTGTTTCAACCTATCGAACCGGTACGACTGGATGGCGGAAAGGTCATCGGTCAGGACTTGACCCTATCTCTGAAGGAGGCTTAAATTACGCGGTAGGCTTGTGTCGTTCGAACCGCATTGGCTGAAACAAGCCAATATTAGGTCCGTGACGCCTTGCCAGTTATTCGATTTTGGATTTTCAAAAAAGTTAGTTATTTGATTTTTGGATTTTCAAAAAGTCAATTATTTAGTTTCGGAATTTCAAAAACATCAATTCTTGGGTTTCGTATTCTTAGAAAGTTATTTGGTTTCGGACTTTACAGACAGCTGAAGGCATTATACATAACATGGCTAATGCATGACTTCAACCACGTCAATTGGCATTGTTGGAAAACATGAAAGGATAAGATAATGTTCATTCTTGAGCTTCACCTAGGAGCTTTTACCTAAAATTCATTCCAAGGTACAGAATAGCGATGTGTACCACGCTCACTTGATCTAAGTGAGCATTTTCAAGAGTATCTCCATTTTTCACTATAACACGTATTTTTTCTTTTTTCTTTTTCCTTTTTCTTTGAGCGCCGAATCCAGAAGGTCACTTCTTCTTCGGAAATCTTCCATTCCACACAGTGGAGTTCTGTCAACGCGAGAGCTCTGTCAACACAGGAGCTCCTGGTGATGGAGGTGCGGAAAACTTTGTCTGGACGAAAACTTTCTGCATACCCGGGTTACGCTTATTGAATAGATCATAGACTGTCTCCATATCTTCGAGCTTGTACCGGTGGGTGACCATATGCAGAGGGTGGATCTTCTCCTGCTGAATGTACTTTAAGAGGTCATGCCAGTATTTTTGCACAGGAGCTTGTCCATTACCAGCAAGATGAACCCCAGTCTCCATCAGGGAACCGATGTTGAAGTGATTACACTATATTGCCTCGTCAGTGAGATTGTTCTGCGATTGAAAAGTTTACACCCACAAAACCGGTATATACGCCCGTGATACCACAACGGCCGAACGCGCGGACAGAGGTAATCATCTCGTTGACAAGTTCAGACGTATCCGTTTCCATGCCCAGTAATCTTTCAAAGTAATGAACCCATCCTTTCGTGTACTCACCAGCGGCGCACTCAATCGCCACGTCCGGTCCGCGGCCGTCGCATAATTTCTTCAGGGTTGACGTAACAGTCTCGCCATGTGGAAGGTTCGTATAGTCAATTGTCTCGAGCTTAGGGAGGATGGTCTTCACAAAGTCTAGCCGCCATTTTCCAAGGCCACCGTCAATAAGGATGACCCTGCTAGCACCATTGAAGAAGCTGAATTCAGCGGCCATTTGTCCAACTGGGCCGGCTCCCCAGATTGCCACAGTGTCACCCACCTCCACCCCTGTGTCAACAACGGCGTTCCAAGATGTTCCCAGCACATCGGAAAGGTAGAGACCTTTTTCATCGGGGACATCGTTAGGCAGATGAAGGAGATTTACGTCACCGTAAGGGACGCGAACATATTCCGCTTGCCCACCGGCAAAGCCCCCTGTAAAGTGGGAGTACCCAAACATACCTGATATGGACCTTAGTATAAAAGTCTCACCAGTATTATTTTAGCCTGTTAGAGAAGAAACATACCGGCTGTTCGACGCCCATATAGCTTAGAGGCAGCATCGCTCGAATTCGTCCGCTCACACACTGATGACAACTTCTTCTTGCAATAATAACACTCCCCACATGCAATTTGGAAGGATGCCACAACGCGCTCACCCACTTGAACCTTCTTCACTGCCGGCCCTACGCTTGCGACAATACCGCAGAACTCGTGTCCAAGGATGTCACCTTTCTGTAGGTCTGGGATGTCCTCTATAAATCGATAACAGACACCGCATGAGCATATCCAGCGACACTTCATTAACTGTCAACAAGTCACAACATACCGTGGTACAGGTGTAAGTCACTCCCACAAATGGTGCTGCCTGTCACCTTAAGTATAACATCGCCTTCATCGATGACCTTAGGTTTAGCGGTCTCCACTGTAACAGATTGTATCAGCAGGAGAATCAAATTATTTTGGGATGCTCGAAATCACTGACCAACTTTGACCGAATTCTTCCCTTGCCAGGTCAAGGCTTTCATCCTATGGCTGAGGTCACCGTATCCCTGAGCCCCATAGTTGCTTACGTCTGTAGTGATCGATGCGGACATTGATAGTTCTGCTTCAGTTGATTTCTCGAATATGATGATTTGTCTCCGTTTTGATTAATTGGTCTTCGACTGGGTGGCTTCGTATCCAAATCATCTGAAGGACGGATATATATCTGTCTATCTGGACAGCGAGGCGGCTTCGGTTTTTCTGACATCATTCTAAGTTCTTCATATTTCCATCACTATGATCGTATTTGAGCCAAATTTGTTGAACGAAGGGATGAGTTAAGACTCGGGAATAGCAGCTTGACGTCACACAAGGCGTTGGCCATTTAGATGTAAGTGATGTTTCGCCTTGACGTGCTTCTAGACCAGGTAGCCAGGGCTTACAAGACCACAATATCGAACGCCGAAAAACATCAAATCACAAATAGGTCATCAAGGGTGCCAGAAAAGAGTCCAATCGTCAGCGGCTGACATCAGCACCCATGAAACTATAGCTAGGCTTTTGCTGCTCCTCTAATAACAAAGTCTCAGTCAGCGCCCGAAATACGAGTAACCTTTCCGTTTCCAGCCGAACCGTCACCATTACGAATCTTGAACGATTAGAACTTTTCACACAAAATTTCTCAAAATATTGAATTTTTAAAAATTGAATTTTTATTCCACAATTAAAACATTTGGCTTTTGCTAAGGAGTAGTGGATTTCGATGTGGCGTAAATTGAGTGCTAGGCTGCTACAATATCCAAAATAAATTAAAATGTTTAAGTGGATTCGAAACATACTACGGCTCAAACTCGTAGAGACCATAGAAAACGAATTTCTCTTAATTTGGTGCACTGTCCTTTTGGTATTCGGTTGAGCGGCCTTTCTAGGCCAGGCTTTTGACAAAAGGGTTTTCCTTACGCTGGCAAATCATTACAAATAGATAACAATTATAGTTGACAGCCTTTTATACAATAGGTCGGTGATAATACACCAAACAAGAGCTTCTATCATTACCGCTGGCCAAAATCTACCCCTCTATTACTTGGGTATACCGCAGACTTTTTGGACAAACATTCGAAACCTTCACCATACTTTTCTCTTTTTAACTCCTTCTCCTTCCATACCAAGATTTCCGTCCTTGAACACGCCGACGGCCTCTGCTCCGCTTACAGTCATTCGGTTGCCAATATCTGCACGGCAGTGAAAGTGATTGTGGACTCAAAAACGGATTACCCGGCTACCTGCAATGCCCTGGAAACATTGTTGGTGCATGAAGATACCTTGGATAGGATACCGAGTAAAAGACCGAGTAGAAGATATAGTAGGAGGTATAGTATTACACCTAAGTGAGCGCCGCGCAGAAAGCGGAGCGCAAAGCCTCTAGTAACTTGTATACCGAGGCTCCAGGCGGGTTCACTAAGAATCAAACCTGGAGAAGCGAATAAATGATCGAAAGTGTATCGCAGAACAGCACACGCAGATCAATTATCAAGGACCTTTCCGTAGGCAATATGTGATGCTAAAAAGAGCTTCTCCTATATCTCCGTCTTCAAGTGTACTCTCCACTTTCTCCCATACCTATATACCACAACACCCATCGCTCCAAATACGGCTGTCAACATCGCATACACTGAAAAGGTCGTCAAGTATCCGCATCGCATTACGAAAGCAGTCGATCCATGCGACATGCCAAAACTCACGTCTCCGCGCAAGATCGATACCACTGTTGCCGCAGCCAGCGAATCGGTCGGATCAGTCGTGGAGATCATATATGTATATGTGACTTCCAGAGTACCCGAAAAAGCCATGAGAATCAAGAACTGCAAAACCACAAGGACGAACCAGTTCGGTTGCCAGGCTCCAGAGGCAGCGCCGAAGTAATGTTGAGCGAGGGCGCCGAAGCCAATATATGCTGCAAAAGCGATAGCAACGGGAACAACAAGCATGATTAGACGGTGTTCGGGAACGCTGAGTCCATTGTTGCGTTTTGCGAGAGCGATGAGAATGCGGTCGTTAAGCCAGCCGAAAAGCACCCAATTTACTAGCAGAGGATTTAGCTCCATGTTTCTCATTCACGGCAGTATGAGGCTTACCCGCTGCCACTGGCACTCCTGCCAAATTGATCAGGCCGATATTTTCACTCTTCCAAGACCACGGTGGAGCAAAAAGAAGGTTAGCAAAATATGTCGTATATGCAACCATGCCTCTATGATGTTTTTAGCGATAGAACTGAGATGACTATATTTCTGAGATAGGTACCCTGTGATGATAGCATTCATGAGACCATTCCACCAAATGGCCGGGTTGCGCAGTAACCGAGCCATACGCTTGTAGATGAGGAAAAAATCACCTTCGGGACCGTTAGAGCGACCGGACCAAAATGTCAAGCCCGAGAGTGAAGATTTGTTCTGCGATGCCAGCCTCTTCTTGAGTTCTTGATGCTGTGCAGCAGTGATCGGCACGTGTGTATCATTTTCTGCATGAACCGAGCGATCAAATCTCACTTCAGGGAGGAAAAAAAAGAAACCCAGCATACAGAGAGCAGTAAGACCAGTGAAAAGCCAATAGGGTCCTTTGTAGCTTGGCGAGGTGCTCATATAAGGAACGACTGTTGAGAGGAGATAGAAGACAGCGTAACCAACGTTGAGCACGATCCCCATTATCTTGCCGCGTTCATGCGTGAATGTGATATCTTGAAGAATTATGTAAACAATAGCATCGGATGGGGCAGTCCCTACTGCCTGCAGAATGCGAGAGCCCAAGAAGGAGCTGTATGAAGTCGCTACTGCAGCCCATATTACGGAGGCGAAGAGGATGATGTTGGAGACTAATAGGGCAAATCGACGGCCGTAAGTAACCACTAGGGGTACAAATATCAAGCTAGAAGGAGCGCAAATGGCGGTGATGATGGTGACGAGTAGGTTGATTTGACTAGCAGAGGCGTTGGCGAAATCAGTCTCAACACCCGGAAGGATGTTAGAGAGAAATGACTGAACGGCCAAGCAAGTGGCAGCCCAGACTGCCAGACAAGCGAGAACAATCCAACGTTGCCAATTCGGCCAGTTGAGTGGATCGGCTGGGTCTGTGGTGGGGATGGGAACAAGGAGAACAGTTCCATCGGCGTCGATTAGCTGGGATGAATGTGGCTCAAACCCCTTGGATCCGCTTTCATCTTCCACTGCCATAATTGTTCAATTTAGATGTACAATTGCACGTTGAGTATGTCGATATTTAACGGGACTGGAAATGCAGGTGCATTTATATATACATATTAGCTTTTCAAATTGGCTTGCTCGTACAATCTCGAGACTCGAAATCAGAGACCCTATCGCAGAAAATCTGTTACGATGATCCTTATCAAACATATCTCCATGTACAATAGTCTCGGCTCATATCATGTCTCGGCTCCACCTAAACCGGGCCGGGAGAAGCGGAGAAGCGGGTCATCAACATCGTTTAGGGCCAATCCTCCATGGGATCTATTTATTGAAAATCTAAAGAAGAAATTCCAAATAATTAATCGCCTTTAAACATATCTCCATGTATGATAGCTTGCGGCTGCATTCTTCTCGGCTCCACATAAACCGGGCCGGTGGAAAGCCGGTCATGAATATCAGTTAATGTGATCCCTGTAAATTTCAACCAATATTGTATCGAAATCATATCTTGAACGTTCAAGGAAGCCACACAGCTTCCCGGTCAATCGATAAAACTAATGATATCCGTGTAAAAACGAATTTCTCTCTTCTCTAAGCAGCCGGTCCTTCCCGGATGGCGAGATTACATTTATATTTAACGGCGCCGACAAAGCGATGCAGATAGTTTGTGATCAGTCACATTATCAAGACAGTACCCTAATATTCAATATGACTTCCGCCGAAAATCCTCAAATTGCCGAGCTACGCGCGAAGAACCAAGCAACTATCGAAAAATATCTCAATTTCCCCGGCATCGGCCGTCTGGAATGCTTCACTGACGACGGAGTCAAAGAACTGACCTTCGCGACTCATCCGTCGATCTTCAACCCCGATTGCGAGTCCCCTATTGCATGGAGTGGCAAAGAAGAACTCAAGGAAACGTTCATATACAACGCCGACAATTTCCGTGGCGAATGGAAAAGCCCTACAATCTACTCAACTCAGGATCCGAACAAGTTCTGGGTGGAAACAGCACTGGATGCCACCTTTCTAATTGACGGAAAGAGGATTCCATACAAACAACCCTACTATGTCATGTCGTTTGATATGGAGAATGGGTTGATTCGGAAATTCAGAGAGATTATGAATCCGTTGCAAGTCATCAAGACGCATGGCTGTGAGAACCACGAGCTTCTTCTAAAGAGGAATGAGCCCGTGGAGTGATGGTATATCATAAGAGGAGAAAAGGCATCGCGCATCCTGAATAACAACTGATGGGGTTATCAATATCTGAGAAACGTAATCTGTACATAGAGCGTTGCATACCAAGGCACGCTATTTGATGTTTCACAGAATATAGAAAGTCGTGATACGTGGGGAAGTGTGATGCAATGATTTTCATATCTCGAGGTCTTTCCACAATCATATTTAGCAATATTGAATAAATAATTACATGCATTCCCAAAGCTTCTGAGAAGAGTATAGTTCCCCGAGCATATGCGTATGTGTGTTTTGCGGCAATGGTTTCGATACTTTCGAACACTCCTATCTACATGGTCATTCCATTGGGTTTGCAGTAAATTTGATTCTACATTCGAGACTCCTAGTCCCCAACTTTCCTTTCGTTTCCAACTCGTTACTTCCCAGATTATAGATTTCTTTGAGACTTTTTCAAGTATTTGACTAATAACGTGAAAGAGGAAGTAGGAGAGATGGTAATAGCTTGGATCACGTAATTATCATAGGTTTGGGCGAATAAAGTAGTACGCTGCCTTCGATCAGTGGATCAGGATATTAGGTATCGCAGATTTCTACTTCTGCATCCCAACTTTCGGTTTTCTCCGACCGGGAGAATATCATAATATCATAACAACATATTGCTCTAACACAGCCACACATCTTCTCCTCATCAACTACTAAAGCTATAGCTCAGCAACAACAACCTTCTTTCTCATTTTACGCTAATCAGTAACGCATCACTACGCAGGAAATTCCTATGGTGACACTAATTCTTTAGGAAATGTTCTCTAGAATACAGGCGACACCGGCACCATTTCGGTATCAGAATCTTCCTGTCTATGCGTTCTTATTCGATTATTACATATCCTAATCGTCGGACGATTCCTATTACCATCAGACCTTCCAATCCTACGGTATTTCCAAATATACGCATTATAGCCACTAACATTGAATCAGCCAACAGTTACCACTGAGTATTCGCCAGCCGCTACTAGGCCTATACCGGCTATGGATCCCGATATATTTACTAAACGTCAAATTCTATTAGACCAAAATTGCATTATAATTGGAAAAGCTTAGAGATTATATCAAGCCATTGGCGTCCTCAATAAGAGATCGAGATTGTGATATTCACTTACGTTAACACTTGAGAGTCGATGTTCGAACCATAATACTACTCTATTATAGTAGGAGATTTCTACAACGCGTTATAAAAAGCCATAAAAGATAGGCGGTCCAGAGTTTCTAGTGATATTAGCTACCCTCTCTATACCCCCAGTACCTTGGCGATAATATGATTTTGTTACCACCTGTCCTAAAGACAATCATATTCATCACAGTAATAAATCCTGGCGTCAGAATAAGTGACAATATAATAAGTGGAATGATAATTTACCATATAGCACGCGTCGTGATAAACGACACTATAAACAAGTAGGTCGCGGGGCATTGATAGACATTAGGATCCGTCTGAATCACTAAGTAATCTGGATAACGAGCGGAATAACCGTCGACCCGATCGTGCGGATCCTTATAAATATCAATATAAAATCAACTATATAGTTATGCAGATCTCTTGTATCGTTTCAGATAATGTGAAGAAGGATACTTCGCACTGATAAGCTCTACAGCATTTATAATGATTCGATAGAAGTAGGAGATCTACTATAATATCTATAGCTTTATTCTTATATTAGTACGCATAGTGGAATAGAATTACGATCCTAATTTAATACATCACAATGTTTATGATTATCTTTTTGGAAGGCTACTGCGTAGTCTATATTTACTATATCTTAGACCGTACGGAATAAACAGTGTAATACAGCAGACACGGAGGGTTATTATGTAGCGCCAATTAAACATTTACGTCTTCAGGTAGCACAAGCTAGAGCGGAATAACGTATTTCACAAGCTGGTGGGCCACACAAGCGGGTGGCAAATATCTTAGTAAATGCGATAAATTACAGCTCAATACCTCAACAAGAGTGGTCTACATGGGCTTCTCCTTGAAGTCTAGTCCTTTCTATATGATATACAGTCCTTCGAACAGTTTTGAGAATTTTCATGGCTTGGTGACTTAATTTTGTATATCTCACCGAGTTGGAAATTTTATTTTCGATACCGCCATGTTAGCAGAGTTTAATATATCCGAAACTGATATATACGTCTAATAGTTCTTAATGAGATCTATTGAAAATTAGTTGAATAGAGTAAGAATATGGTTATTGAGGTATTTGAGTATTGAATACCGCATTTACTATGGTGGTTGGAGGTGGCCTACCCGCTTGTGTGGCCCACCCGCTTGTGAATCACCTTATTATTATTATTCGTAAGAGAATGTTTATAAATCGGCGATGCGAGCCGAGCACCGGAGTCGGGAGACAAATTATACGGCATCGGCCAGTCGGTCTAACAAGGACGCATGGAGAGCTCTAGAATTGCGCCATTATGCATAAAATGGCAATGTGAGGCGAGCAGCGGACTTGGGAGACGGAGTACGGCACGGGCCATAAGTGTACCCAGCATACATGGCGAGCTGTAGGAACGCGCCATTATTTATAAATCGGCAATATGAGCCGAAAAGTGGAGTCGGAAGACGGATTTACGGAATCGGCCATAGTCTAAAAAGAGCACTTATCTACACTTTCTTTTCCTCAGCGGAAGATCGAATGGATAAAGTGATTGCTGAAAGGCCACGATTCGGATACTGTGGAGATCGAGGACGAGATGTCTCGGCCCTCAGCACCTCCGCCGTCAACGTGGCTGGCTGATTGAAAGAGCGCGGTCGAGGGTACTTCAATCGGATAGAAATCTCGGGAGTTTTATTCAAGTGGCTTTCTTACGAAGATATTGCGAGAGAGGTGGTATAAAAGCGCAACTGTTGGCCTTTACTTTTTCGAGCACTCCCAAAATAAGTCCGACCTTCTTGTCAACATGGACCCTATCATGGATATCCAGACGGCTCAGAACCATAATGTGGTCAGGTTTCTCGATCACCAGGAAGGCCGTGTCCGTCTCGAAATCGAGGAATTCCTTGGAGACGACTACATGACCAATTTGTTCCTCCTGGCTTTGGAAGCCATGCATCAGGAAGCAATGGAGCCGGAAGACAAGCAAAACTGGTGGACGGCCTACAGTTTAGGAGGTAAGATAGCGAATCATAAGTTCGGTCCTGCCTAATGGCAAAGAAGGATGGCGAAGAAATATGGCTGACATCACGATAGGAATCCATGGATCTCCCAAAGAAAAATGGAATGGGGTCGAACCCAGCGCGGCAGACCCAGTAGTCTCTCCATATGGGTACTGCACGCATGGCATGCTCATGTTCCCGACCTGGCACCGTGTCTACATTGGAATGTTCGAGGTACGATGGTCTAACTACTCTGTGACTCTATATTGGCGCCAATTGACACATTAATGCAGCAAGCCGTTGCAAACAAGGTCCGGGACATTGCAAAGAGCTTCGGGGACGACGAGGGCCGCCTCTCGTACCTGAGTGCAGCGGATCGATTTCGGTTGCCGTACTGGGATCCTACACTGCCCCGAAACAAGATCAATGATATGAACGAGACATTCAGTGACGAGATTTGGGGGTTTCCCTTGATCTTTCGCCAGCGCAAGGTATGGGTAAAGAGGCCCCAAAGTAAGATGGCCGCGCAGATCCACAACCCGCTGTTCAGCTTTGCACTGCCTGATGCGGATCTTCTCAGCGCGAACGGCCGGCCAATTTTGGAAGCATACGAATACATGGTGAGTGGTATCGAACTTCACATTTATTTTTTCTGGCTCTCGTTAATTGACACGGCGTGAGTAGCCAAAGGATGGCCTCCTCGGAACTATCAGATGTCCCGATGAGCATGGATATCCCAGCTTGCACACTAATGACTACCCTGCGGCTCCCACGGGTGCGAATGAGGTAATCCCCGATGCACCAATCGACAAGAGTGGCCGGATCAACCTCGACCTCAAGGTCCAGCGACAGGCAAGGTCACTGAGCACAAAGCTGTGGAATCTGCTCAGCCCTCATGGGAATTACGGGGGGAACAAGCAGCGGGAATGGTCGGCCTTTGCCTCTCACTTTAAGTACAAAAGCGACGGTACCATTATGACGGAACCGTTCAAAGGCCTGCCGAAGGAGATGGAAGAGTACCTCAAACGTGAGAGGGGTGAGAAAGCGAAGCCAGGAGATAAAGTCCCTATCTTCGAGGACTCCGGTGTCTCCTTGGAAAGTTGGCACGATGCTATTCATCTGCTGGTTGGATGTGGCAATAAGGTGGCTGGCCACATGGGCCTCCCTTCGCATGCTGCCGTGCGTGATTTTTCCCCCCGTGTGTGTGACTTCAGACGTTTATGGCTAACGTGGCTGAGGAGACATAGTTTGATCCCATCTTTTGGCTGCATCATAAGTGAGTCAATTTGCCAATCAATTTTGTGTAGGCGCGTATGCTGACCAAGGGTTTTTGTGCAGTAACATCGATCGTATCTTTGCCATCTATCAAGCCCTGTACCCGGAGAAGTGGTTTCCTTCAAATGGTACCCAGCGGGCCGATGACGCCTTATTTCCATTCCGGAAAACCTTGGGCAATGATAAAGAGAATTTCTGGAATTCTGACCAAGTGCGCAATTGGGAGAGGCTTGGGTTTGCTGTTCCAGGTGATAGCCAGCAACTGAATGAAAATGCCTTGGAGAGTCTCCACCGCTACCTGTTCGACTATTATGGATGGTAAGTGGTACTATGCTCCCAGGCGGTCTAGTTCTGTTATTTTCTGGGTTTCTAATCACGTTGGGCATGTTTCAGGAGCGCCGAAGGCGTTAACCCCCCGAAAGCCGTTTGTGAACTATGGCCCAAGGATCTTAGCTCATCATTTGCCCTGAAGGGTCCGAAAAATGTCAAGAGCGTTGAAAAGCCCATCTTGGTGTATGAGGCCCTTGTGGGAACCAAACTGGTGACCCGCACAATCGACCTAACCACCGCCGTCCATGGCCAGAAGCTGAAGGTGACCGATAAGGATCGCACGATCGCAATTGATTCCAGGCCCGACCACGAGTTGATCGTTGATTACAATAGCGCCATATTGTCGACTCAAGATGGGAAGCGATTCATTTGGAATGCACAGCTTAGCGTGCGCAAGTTTGCCTTTAATGGTTCCTTCAATATTCACCTATTCATCGGAGAGGTCAAGGATCACCAGCCCGAGAGATGGTTGACCAAGAAGAACGAAGTTGGCTTCTCTGCTGTTTTTGCCAGCACCCTCGACGCACCCTGCACGAACTGTCGCAAGCAGGCAGCCAAGGGCGCCGTCTATATCGACGCCATCCCCATCACCCCCGCTTTGGCTGCCTATCACAAGGACAACATCAGCACCCAGGATTGTATCCCAGCTGAGTTGAGAGTCCTTGACAATTTCTCAGTCGACGAGGTCAAGGGCTTCCTAGAGAAGAACCTCTCCTGGCGGCTGACAAGAGCCAACTCCGAGGAGATCACGGACGAGCAGGAGATTCTCGACAGTGAACTGACTATCTGCGTGGGCTACCGCGAATATAAAGTTCCCACGGACAAAAATCCCTTTGGTACTTACGAGCATTTCGTCCCTGTTGTTGATATTACCAAGAAAAAGCTTGGTGGCTGGGGCTATGGAGACAAATAGAAATTGCATTTGGATATTGAAGTTACAGAGTGACGTTTGTGTCAATCAATATCTTCCTTTTTCAACACATGTGATGACGACCATCTTTCAACAGATCTCACCACTAGCCCAACTGTAATCTTGGGTTTATTGACTGGAGAAACTGTAACCAAAGAACTGAGTGTCAGGGGCTATTGCATGCGCAACACCTTCTCGAACTTTATTAAGCTCGCTGAATCCTGGTCTGCTTCGGATTTCCTTCTCGATTTTGCTTCCAATCACGTTCCTCCAGGATATGTATATGCTGCCGCGTTTACTTTGTTCTCCTACCTGTTATATGATTATTCAGCCATGAGAAGAATACCTTTGTAAAAATCAGCAAAAATTCCTGTACGGACAAAATTTTTTGTTGTACGGGGTGCGAAAGGGTCCGCTACGAGCAAGTGTGGTCGCCAAGCCCGCTCGATAACTGTTTCATCTTGCTCGCAGGGCGAACTCCGCTAGCGCGAGTAGACTATCCATTTACTCTTCAGTGAATACGATGTAGAAATAATGATATTGTGTCTCTATATTAACATCTGACGCGTAATGTAATATATTCTATCAGCTAATAGAAGTTGAAGAGAACCAGACCACAAATAAGATTGTGGGCTTCTCAAGTAAGCTAACGATTAGAATAAATATTGGATGGCGGTTTTGGGCGAAATATTGTATATGTGGCTGGACAAGTGGCAAGGCGGAAAATACCAAACAAGCATGATCATCATCGTGATTCGTATGCCTGTGATAGTTATCTTACAGCTCAAGACAAATATCGTATCTAGTTGCCATATTCCCGTGTCCGGATAAACATAATTATTGTTGACGACTTTTCAAGTGATAAAAGTCTATTTGTCATAGACTTCAGATACTCCAGCCAGAATAAAAGCTGCCTAGAATCTTTGTTAATATTTCTGAATACTTTTCAACTCCTTTTCAATATTGTCCTCTATCCTTCTGCCGTCTCGCCCAATAATGGCAGTCAGCGAGAAGCGACGCATCATTATCGTGGGCGTGGGCTCGTTCATGTCAAGATCACTTGCCTTATGGCTTGCAGGCCTAGGATGGAATATCGCTCTAGTTTCACGTACTCAAAAAAGTATATCCGCCATTGCAAGCGAAGTGGTCGCGGCCCAGCGAAACAGAAATGCAAAAGTCGTGTTCCGAACAGCTGATGCCGGTCAGCCCGCCAGCTTAGAGGCGGCTCTGGACTGGTCAGTCCAGCAAATCGGAGGCAAAGTCGATGTCCTCAACTACAATGCCGCGCATGTTGCCCCGTCCGATATTCTTAATCTGACCCCCGAGGTTCTCGAGGCCGATTTTCGGGTTTCTGCTTTGGGAACACTGATTGCCGGTCAGTGGTTTGTAGAGCATGCATAGCTTGATCGCGTCTCCCAAGGGGAGTTTCCATTATTTCTAGTCACTGGAGGCATTTTGGACAAGGGACCACACTTCTCCGTCTCGTCGCTGTGTGTTGCCAAAGCGGCATCGCAAACTGTGAGTCGACTCTTTGCTCAAGTCTTGCCCGAGCGGCAAAATATTCTAGTCGGGATGCCTCTGGTTAGTGCGAGTATCACCAATCCAGAGACAGGAAACTACAACCCGGCTTCGAGCCCGACGACATAATTCAAAAGCTTTTCAAGCCATTCTTCGAAGAAAGAGAAAATCGCGATAGCACAAGGGAATGGACCGTTGAGCGAGTACTTTAATCGCCTCAAAAAGTCTTCGGCAATGTCATTATGTACTGTGAGTTATTTTGGCGTCATCTGGACACCTAGTCCTGCACAACTAGGATTAATGAGACTTTGGTTTATTATTCCTGTTTAAATCCACCCATTCCATCTCGTTTTCCTAATCATTATCTGTACTCAACCCTATACAAGATAGGATCTTTGCCCAATTTTTAGCTGTAATTATTCTGACCCCATGTGCATAAAGCTGACATTCTTTGATTGAAATGACAGGTCACAAATGGTGCTCTATCTGTAGCAACATCTGAACAGTCTTCCTTTTCCGTCTTTCAGTATAATGAGCACAGGGTTCATTGCAAACCGGTAAGATCTCTATGTGTGTTCTTCCTATCGATGACCATATGGATGGGCATATGGGACACATTCCTTTTGTTGCTGCTTGTAGGATTTTCACCATCAACGTCTGTCTACAAATCGACTGGTTTAAACAAAACTAACATCCAGACTAGTTTCAGCCAGGATGTGCAGTTAGTTGACTGGACACTACCCTTGACGTTTCTGAACGCGTTAGAGGGTAATTTTATTTAATACTATATCCACAATTGCAGCAATCGCTGACCATTACAGGTGCTTTGGGTACAATGGCGCAAATCTTGATCATTTCCAGGTATGAACCATTGTGCTGTGAGAGTATCAATATCCACTGGTCTTCTCTATTTAACCGCTAGATATTCTGCCGATGGCCCTGCAGCTCTGCATGACATTTCTCTCACAATCCTACCTGACGCAAAACTTGGCATTTGCGGCCGCACGGGTAGTGGGAAGAGCACACTGTTAGCGACAATATTCAGCATTCTCTCCGTCACACACGGTACCGTGACAATCGCTGAGTTGAACCTTGCTCATCTGCATCCGGATACCCTGCGCGCTGCGCTTATTGGTATCGCCCAGGAAAGCTACATCGTTCCCGGGCTGACCGTGCGTGAAAATCTTCTTCTGGGCTGTCAGCGCCAGCAACAGTATCTGTGCGACGATGACACCAATCTCATTGCTGCCCTGCAGACTGTGCAGTTGTGGGATACGATCAATGCGCGTGGAGGGCTATCCGCCGTGCTTGACAACCAAAGCGAGACGCTGTCAGCGGGACAGAGTTAGCTATTTGCCTGCGCGCGTGCGCTCCTTCGTACCGACTTTGTTGTTGTCCTAGATGAGCCGACTAGCCATCTCACGGTTGAAACCGCGGAGGTGGTCCGACGGGTCATAAAGGACAATTTTCGGGAACGGACGGTAATAGTCGTGATGCATAATACTCAGAACATTTTGGACTTAGATCTTATCATGGTACTGAATGAAGGCTGTGTCGCGCAGGTTGGTATACCATAAGAGTTACGTGAGCAAGATGGCATATTGCGGAGAATGCTGATTACCATTTAAGATTATGAGATGGAAGTTGATATGTTTTTATTTGAAAAAGATGTGTGGCTAATATTTGGTAAATTCCAAGTATAGTCATCTGATTGGCCGGATGGTGTAGTTGGTTATCACGTATCGTTAACACCGATAAGGTCCTGGGATCGAGCCCCAGTCTGGTCATTTTTTTCCTCCTTTTTTGGCATTTCACCAATACCAATTAGTATTCACCGAATGTCATTGTTTTTGAATCAATATATCACCTCCAGACCATAACTTCTAAGTTTAGGTTTTATCATTGAAGTCAGGCAGCGTAAGCCCAGGCTTTGATATCGTAGGATATACAGGAACGATATGAGGATCCTTGTATTCCTAGCAAAAAGTGAGTCCTCCCGCTCGTGGTATCTTCGAGTCATTGAAGACATATATCAGAGAAACAAGGTTGAGTGACGCCAATAAGTATGATAAGCCTATAGAGTGGCGCTTCGTACAAGGGGATTGTGACCCAGCAGAAAGCCCGCGGTATCTTTTAACAGGCAAGAAATAATTCTCAGCGCGTTCTCGACAGGCCCATGTATACAGTGACAGGGCCGTAGTGAGACTAGGACACGCTTTCAAAGAGCTGGTAGATCTGGAAGAACACCCCAAGGAGCCAAAACTGCGGTAGATGAAGAGATCGAGCTGTGGGGGACCTGGTCTATCTGCAAAGCGATATAGAAGTTGACGCTCTACAGCCCAGGTGGATTCTGACGTGTTGCGAAGGGAAAAGCTAGAATTATTTACTTAATTGATGAGTAGCGAAATCTTCCCGCCCGCACACTATAATCTGGTAATCACAGTAGGTATCATGATACAAGTCACAGGATGGGCAAAATAGACGACTCGGATACTGGCTGGCGTTGTAGCCATGAGGTGCTCTGATTCCCTTCTGTAGAGGCTCAACTATTGGTGGAGCTGAGGGTGGTCGAGCAATCCGCACCTCTTTCCATGCACCTGAGAAACAAGGCTAATGGCCAGCATAGGCCAATCTTTACGTGCCACGAAAGACAAATCAAAGCTGTGACCAGTGAGGCGCCGTAATGTTATCCTGAAAGCAAGGCTGCGGTTCCTTGGCAAGTATTCTTGGTGTGCCTCGTGCGGCTCAGCACGGTTTGCTTGACTAATACCCTTACATCAAAATCGGTTCAAAATCATGACCATCGCATGAGTCAAGGTATCCATGTCAGTTCCAAAGCTCTCGGAATTAAATCTAGCAAGCCAAGCGCCGAGGATGTGGCATTGAATTAATTTCGGGAGTAGATCCAGCGGATTTTGGATATCAAGCAGCTTGTATGAGACATGAGTTTAGCCAACGTGAAAAGAATCATGTTGGAACACTCGTACGGTTCTACTCATTTTCGAGGCTATAGAGACTCTTTGGGAGTGCCATTGCGGGGATCTTTGGATCCTAGCAGCCACGTCACTTTACTTTCTTCAATCGGCCGGAACTTGATAAACCAGCCCATGTACTTCTTGAAAAATCAAAAAGATCCGACCAATCTTGATTGCAGGTTACTTAGGTGTAGATAGCCTCATTTCTTTCCTCGTGGTCAGTGCTCTTGGTCCATCCGTGTCCGCTAGTTCTAAGTTTAGCGTTGGTATTGCGTCTTTACCCCGGAGAATCAAGATATACACAAATATGCATTAATTCGGAGGCTGATAATGGTCCCGCGCTTTCCGAGGTATTCCCTGCTAGTAATGGGTCTTATGCAGGCTGTATATGCCATGCTGCATTTGCGAGAGAGAATGCCGCTATGTAATTTGGGTGAGGATAGCTCATTTGCGGAGAAAGCGCTGGTTTCCCCACTTCAGCCTTCCCATGCATGCATTGCTTACGTGTCTGTAAGTAAGCACGTTGAGTTTCGGAAAAGTGACGATCGAGACCTATCTTGCCTGACTAGGGGCTGCAAAATAATGGAGACCTATTATCACGTTCGCTGGACAGTCCGCCACAATCTTTCGTTTCCCCGCTGTGGCGCCCTATAAAAACTGGTTAGAGGTGCGTCTTGCTGGGGTTGGGAACCCGTTCATGCGGGGGGTCAAATTTCTTATCCAGTACAATTTGTATATCATAAATGCAGACATGTGCCTTCTGAAAGCACGGACGCTTCAGTGCGTGATTAATTTGTATACCCATGCATGAGCCCAAGCAGCAGAGAAAAGCCCCATCAAGGCGATAATATCAGGCGTATAGGAAAGGCAGGTAAGATACCTCCCTGTATTTGAACAGCTCATTGAGAGGTGAATCACATTTTGAGGAATTTTGGCCTTTCTATCGATACGCGCATACATAAGGCCATAGCTCTTCCATGTCAAATAGTTGCTCGAAGTGGCCCTGTGAAATCACTCATATCCGCTTCATGTTTCCGCACAAGAAAAACTCTCCTTTAGCACGTTTGACGAAGTCGCTCATCGCTATGAACGGTCATTCTGAGCCGTTGATGGATTCACAAGTAAGTCAGATGCACTCAAATTTGAGGACTGCTCAGCTCCTTACTTGATATGTGAAATAAGCAGAAGGCACGGCAATTACGACGACAAAGAAGACGCCAAGCACGACTTGGGAATACCGAAGTGACTGAGGATAGCAGTGATGAGGTTAGCCACATGGGTACTGACCGGCGACCTCCCCGGGAACCTATTGAACGCCTTGTCTCAATGATCAACTTCCTGGGGTCCTACAATAATGATGTCGAGCAGATCGAGCGCGCTCTGGGACATCTCCTGCAGAAAGACGAAAGAATACAAAGCCTTTCCGCCACAGTCAAGGAACTGCAGCATTTCAAAGATGAAGAGTCTCGTATGGCTGAGGAAGAACAGCATCGGTTGGTGGAGCTGCAAAGCCAGCTCAATGACGAGAAGATTTCTCTCGAAAATCTCCGCCAAAATTTAGACCAAAGAAGCAAACAATTAGAAGAGGAAAAACAACAGTTTAAGGCTGACGTGATGGCTAAATATGAGAAAGCCATAGCAACAGAGAAAAAGAAATTAGAGGATGAGTTGCAGAAACGAATGAAGCTGAATGAGAAGACCACAGCTGCGAAATTTGAACAAGCAAAACAGAAGAATCAAGAGCTGCAGAACCAACTCTCAGCTCAGAAAGTGGTCATTGATGATACGGAAAGCATCTTGGATGATACCAAAAGGATCCTCGCGCTGTTCAAAGACCGTGCAAAAGAGCTGGAATTCCAAAAAGAGGAGCTTGAGTCCAAGTACAAAACTCAAGATTCCCCTTTGTCAGATTTGTAAGCAAGCTCTTTTACGTCTCCTCAATTGGAAATTGCTAACTTTGCTCTTAGTATGGAGGACTTATCCAAAATACATAAAGCCCTCAAGGCAATCGCGCATGCCTATTTCGGAGATCTTCCGCTAGATGATATTGTAAGTTCAATGTTCACCGGCATGATTCAATTGTATCTTACGCTTTACAGGCTATTGATCAGTCCCAACGTCTACGTAATAGTAATCCAGTATTCGAAGTTGTCCCTCTGACTGGTTCAGCTACTTCCAAATACCTTCGAGTCCGAGCAGCCCAGTCGGTCATCGCACAGGCTATATGCCATTCTCTTTGGCAGCCTTTTGATAGGTCGACATTGAGTCTAGCTCCTGATCAAATTTTCGCTTTTGTTCAGATTTCGAAGGCACTTGCTCGCCAGGATCGCAGAAAGGAAAGCTTATGGCGGTATCTCACTTTTCAAGGCCTTGATGTCGCTTCTCTTGAGTCTTCCACAGATACCGAAGCTCACAAGCCGCTCTCGGTTCGGGAAACTCAGCGCCTTTCTGGTGTTCTTGGGGTTCTTATACCCCAGCCGAAAAGAAAGGAATTTGAGCGGGACCTAGGGAATCTTCTCACAGAATGTGTACGTTTTTGGAACAAAGCAAATAGGGACAGTTGTCTCGTTGAAATCGATACAAACCCTCCCGATTTGGGTGGTTCAGGCTGGCTCTCAGAGCCGTGTCCCGATCTTGATCATGTGGAGGGCAGCACCGAGCAAGATCGTAATAGGGTACAAGCTTGGTGCTTATTTCCCCGCGTTACGTTCAAAGATGTCAACGAGAAATCCGATATTTTCGAAGGAAGTGCAGTCTTCAGTGACTGCCCGGCTTTTTATGAAGGTTCGTGTGAAATTGGGTGGCAGAAAGAACAGCTCGCACAGTTGATGCGCCAGTTTACCCGGCAGCCGCCTATCTTAAAGGGACGATAGTAAGATTAGCCTTCATCCCTTTCACCCTTTCCTTCTTTTCCTTTCTTTGGCTTTTTTCTTTTTCTCTTTTTTTTCTTCTGTCTTTTTTATTTACTACTTTACCTGCTGGCTTTTTGATGAGGGAGTATGGATAACGGCTCTGTGATAATTTGACAATTGGGAGAATGGAAAGCAACTTAAGTTAAATTACTCGTATTCAATAGGGCATCATGGTAGAAACTCGGATCGAATATTCGCTGAATACAACTGATTGGAAAGGAGTTGAACATGTGGATCTCGCTATTTCGTAAGCGGACAACAACCTCACGTATTTGTACTAATTGGATATACTACGTAACATGTAGTCTGAGATTTGAATATGCATTCCGAGACCGTGGCGACAGGATAGCAATGGACGAGTGTATCGCTTTGAAAAAAAGGGCTAGACGTGTAGAGGGCGAGTAGCGGCGATAAGGATAGAACCTTTTATTTTATGAGTATTCACCGCTTTTACCACTTTTATACTGTCTTATGCCAGGAATTCAACGTATTCTATATAGACTATCCCTAATATCCACCCACCTAGAATTGACCTATATCTCTAATGGGTAGATATACACAATAAAGGTATTATACTATACCTCCTACTTAGTCTCCTACCAAGCCCCCTATTTAAGTCTCCTATCTGGCATTTCTCCTTCTTTTATACTAAATTAGTAGAATGATTAAAGGGCTCTCTAAGTTCATATATAGCGGAATGGAAAAGAAAGAAAAAAAATAAAAGAGAAAACAGTGAAATAGAAGGAAAAGTTGAAAGGAAGAAAAGTCTAAAGGAGGTTTCAAAGGTACGTCAATAAGTCTGTGGTATACCTAATTAATGAAGGAGTAGAATAGCGTAATAGTTTGTATGATCTCTGCTATTTTTTTTATGATTTTGAAAATTCTGTCCAATATCTTCTTCTTCTTCTTCTTCTTCTTCTTCTTCTTCTTCTTCTTCTTCTTAGCCTTAAATCAATTTACTTTAAAAACCACTCACGAGATAATCTCCTATTAGGAGTACTCAAATGCAAACAATGGCAACCTTCAAGAGAAAAGTCGCTGCCATGAATGAGCCCGTCGATAGTCCCCAAGAATTCATAACTGTTGGCAGCTGATCTGCCGTCCAGGGGAAGAAAGGGCTACATGGTAGTGTGGAAACAGAAGAAAGGGACAAGATCTGTATTCCGAGAGGGATGGAGGAGAGAAAGAGAAAGAGAGAGAGAGAGATCTAGCAAGACATGCACGCGCTAACAAATGGAGGGGGTAGGCTGACCCCATTTTCTAATAACTTTCATCGATCGCCGCATCCTAGTGTCCCGTGGCGAATTGCCTCTTCAAGAGCATCGCTAGTTTCTTAGGTCAAATATCCGTTAAATTTGATGAATTAGTAAAAAGATATTTGCGATACTTTATAGTTTTATATCTTTGAGTCTAATATTCTATTATATTATAATTACCTTCTAATATTCTATCATGTTATAATTACTTTTTACTCAATATAGCTTAACTAGGCGCACTACCTAGCGCTACCTAACAAGAGTCTAGCCTATAGACCTAAGCCCGTGTAAAGCCTTACGACGGTAACGGTACGGTAACGACTAAGACTTAAGGACGAGCCTCAATGTACGTATACAGACCCTACGAGCGATACTCACTATGACTAGTTAGCTATGCGTAACACCTAATTATAGTGAGGCTTATCATAATTACGCCTATAGGATAGGCCTATAAGTAGTTCCCTTAATCTAACCCTCCATTAAACCCTAGATAAGTAAATTATGCTAAAGTTTAATAACTAGGAAATTGAGGTGCTGTAATGTCTGTTAAACTATATCGTGTTTTGCCATATCCTAACCGACCTTCTAGCTAGCCTTCTAAGATTCCTAAGCTCGGGGCCACTGGGCGAGCTGGAATCCAGGTTCGTGGCTTACGGCGATGGGTATGTTTAGAAGCTGTGGCTATATTCTCATGGGGCATTGGTTGCAGCGTGGCAAATGGAGATGTCCGTGTCGGTTTAGGCTGAATTTCATAGCAGGGTTGCTGGGGAATGTTCGCAGAGTGACCAGGACTCGAAGGATCGCAAGCAATAATAGGCGGCGATTGCAAGTCTTGAAAGGAGATATAGGCCGGATGACTGAGATCTATCATCTGTAGAATCTGCGTAAGGTGTCGACTCATGATAGCGTCGAGTTCCTTTCGATCTAGTAATAGTGGGGCCGATGGAGTGTCATCATGAATTGTGTCCGACGGAAATGAGGTGGGTGCTTCTTGCAAAATAAAACCATGCATTTCCACGTCGGCTGTCGAAATTCCGACAGAGAGGCATAGGCGTTGGAGACGGTTAAGCTGGAGAGACAATCTGGTGAGCTATATGATCTCATGGAGATATCATACAGTAAGGGGTTAAATGAGTTACCGACATACCAGTTCCTTACATGAGGCCCAGTAACATTGGAGGTGTTGCAGTAAAAGGAGGCTAGACAAGACTCGTTCCCTCAACAAAGCCAACACGGATGGGCTGGCCTCGGGAAGAATTCCGGTGGGCCCCTGGCATATGTTCAAACAAGCCAGATGGATCGAGGCCGTGAGAAAAGCACAGTATGCAATGAATGGTGGATTGGCTGAGGCGCTGGATGGAGCGAGAGACATAAAGCTAGTCGCGACATCGGCAAAATGATTCAAGTGAGACACCGAGATCTGAGCGCACAAGTGAACATAGTCAGGGGAGGCTGAACCCTTTCGTCGTAGGAAAATAAACATGGCAAGATGAAGTAGGGCCCGACATTGGTGGTAGACTGCTTGAAGCGATAGTAGCAATTCTGGGGCCTCGCCTGAGTCATGGAGGCAACCACCATGTAAATAGCGAAGCGAGGGTGGAAAGGATGAATAACAGGAAGTGACTTTACTGTCCAGCGTAAAGAGAGCTCCCCATCTCACTGCCAGATCCGCTTCTGGTGCAATAATGTAAATAAACCTGAGACTTCGAATAAACGATCTAGCCTCGCGCCTAATGATGTCGTTGAGTATGGTTTTGAAGTTTAATATAGCACCTGAAACAACGTACCAGAGACCTAAGGCCTTGAGTAGGGCTTCTTGCCCAGGTGTTGGCTGTGTCTCTAATGAGACAGACAGTATACTGTCTATGCTACCAATACCCCCAGAGACTAGGCCCTCGGAAGATTGCGTAATATCGGATATATCGATATCCTGGTTCGTGTTGGCGAAGCTATCATCAAGCACAAAACATCGACAGAGCATGTCGGCCCAGATGCAGGACCATCGCAGGTCCCGGGACTGAGGTTTTGGCAGGTGTAAACTTTGCATTTGTAGGTCTCGTGTGGCCTGTATGACCATATCTATCTGTTTTTGAGCTAAAAGGTTCATGTGGAAATTGCCCGAAACCGTGATGGACTTACTTGCACCCGCCTGAGACCTCTCCCTCTGGCCAACGCCAAACCAATAAGTAGTGAGATTGGAGAGGGTTCGAACAGTATCGACAGAAGGCGCATGCAATTGGAGGGACACGATGTGACTGGCATTATTCGCCCAGTCTTGGCCGTGATGACGAGCGATATGGGAGATGCTTGCCATGTCATCGAGTCGACGCCACTTACTAGGCGTCTGTGCGCGGCCCAGGAATAAGGAAGCCAAGGCGAACATGGCATGCAAAACACCGGTGCATAACTGGCCGTGCAAATAGAGGCGTCTGGTGCGCCCTTGCTGGTGAATGATACTGGAGGGAATGAACTGTGAGAAGTACACATCCAGCAAAGTGAGCTCAGTCGTTTGTGAGGCGAGCTGAGTTTCCATCGCAAGTGATGTGAGAAGACTTGATCGGCCTTCTATTGGCCCGGAGTGATATGCATTTATGAGTGCAGTGCTTTGATCGTCCCTGGGTGTGACCATGATACGTTTTTCTCTGGGTTTTCGTCGAGGGTAAGCACACTCGGCGTCTAAGCAGCGACATCGATCGCAAATTGGCAATTCGCGGGAGCATTTGCGCTGACAATCTTAGCGACGAATCTGGTGAGCGAGGCATGCAACTTACCTTGTATCTCCGACAGCGCTGGCAAGATAGACTGGCAAGATCCATACTCAGGGCCTGGAAGTAAAACGTTGCATTGATAAGAACAACTCATGTGGCCATGACCGGGTTCCAGCTCAGCGTACGACTGCATGAGTTGACTAACCTTTGTTGGGAGATGGCTTAATCAGCATTGTCGTGAGATTTTTTACCACCACTAGACTACATTTGGAACGGCTAGGTATATGAGAAAAGCATGGAATAATTAAATCAACTTAGCTAACTTAAATAACTGCCTGGGTTAGCGAAGGTCACCGGTGAAGCACTTGGAAACGGGAACAACGGAATACGTGAAATTGGTTGATGGTTGAATTGGTAATTGCAAATTCAATTTGGGTTAATGCAACCTCTGCTCAGAAATTCAACGCACACGCGCACCGCAAGGGAAAGAGACTGATTGGTAGAACGATCAGAACACGGTCAATTCAAATCAGATAATAACGTAAGTTACCCCTCTGGCAATTTCCACTTTCTAACTAAATGATCTATACATTAGTAATACAGTCCTGAGGCCCTGAATAAGGGTACAATATAGTAGCCGAGACCAAAAGAAAGCACTAATACTAGCTTAACTCCGTGTAGGATATACCAGACTAAATTCATATCTTCACCAAATTAGTAGGATATACCAGACTTAATAGATATCTTCACCAAATTAGTAAGGCCGATAGTAACTTATGCGCATATAGTGTCGAGCGCGAAACAGTCTCACATTCCTTACCTCGGTGTACACAGTGGAATAAATATTATCGCGCACTGACTAAAATCGCGGGACCGAGTCTCATTAGTCTATCGCAGATGCTAGGAGGTAAGCCTAAAACTAGAGGAGATGCATGCGAGCCGAATGTAAGGGCATGGAAACCCGACGTCAAGATTGTCAGGGCTGTCATCGCGTTTGCATTGAAAATAACATCCACAAATCTTCAAAAAGAAAAAGATTAAAAAATTCAAGCTGATAAGCACACGTTCGCGAAGGTACCATATCAGTGCCTCCATCTTCAGCTACCAGAATGATTCAAGCAAGACATTAGGCAATACTGAACTACTCTGAAACCACATCGTGAAACCAATCTAGCAGTCGTTGATTCATAACCACAGCAGCCCCCACATGGCAATGATGGCCTGCCCCATCCGCAGCAGTCAGTGTATTAAGAGTCGCCTTCGCTCCAATATTCTCTTTCACCCAGGCCGGCTGTCCCCGGAAGAAGTGATCATCAGCCGCATCACCAATATAAACCGGACATTGAATCTGGCCCTCGACTCCCTTAAGTGCCATTTTCTTAATCTCATCAAGTAGTCCTTTCACATCTTTCACATTGAAAGACCACAATCCTTGATCAATGATCCAACGAAGTGTAGTAGAGGCATCGGCCCGAGAGTAGAATTCATCGATCTGGGCATTTAATCCCATCGTATCGCCAGCTTCAAAGGATGCTATCCACCCAGCGGGCAGGAGATGATCCGTAAAGGACTTATACACGTCCCAAAGCCCATCGATAGCTATGACAGCCGCAAGACGATGTTCAAATGCCGCTGCTCGGACAGACAGATATCCGCCAAGCGAGTATCCTAGCAAGCCTATACGTACATTGTCAACTTCAGGCTGCTGGAGCAGGTAATCGACGATAGGTGTGACGGCCTTCTCCCAATCATAGATAAACCCTCGGTTCTGCCCTCGGCGGATAGTTGGCTGCCCAGGCCCTTCATAGAGAATGACGTTGTAGCCTCTCTCCAGGCCAGCAAAGCCAGAAACATGAAGCATCTCCTCTTGCGCGCCATCATACCCATTCCCAAGAATTAGAGTCGGTCTGGGCATGGAGCAATTGTCCCCGACGCGGAAGAAAATGCCGTGGACGTTGAACCCGTCAGCTGGGAGGATAATCTGCTCCCCACGAGTGGGTAAGAGCGCGATAGCCCTATCGAATGCGAGTGTCTGTTGGGTCCAGAGACTATTTATTCGGGGGTCATTTGGGTTGCAATGAATACAGAAGTCGGCTGCGCGGAAATACGATGAAGCTCGAAAGTATGCATCTCGTGCGGAAATAGGGTGAGGTTTGGCATTTATTTCCTCGGCTTGGGCTGAGACGCGTGCAGCTAGGTTGGCGAAGACGTCATGGAAGCTTTTCATGTTTCCTGATTCGATGTGTTCGGCTGCTTCTAGGACTTCGCCAATGTCTGCGCCTTTGTAGCGTGCAAGGGCTAGGGTACGGAGCATCTCGAAATGAAATGCACCATCTGGACTAAGGGGAAGCATGGTGATGGTGAAATATGGAATGATTAGTATGACGTAAGTAAATATCGATGGTGAGCATTGATGTAGCGAACCTACAAGCTACTGGAGACAATTTATATATTTCACTGATGCATAAGGTGTTTCAAAATAATTCTGCTCTGTTCGCTTTTTGGGGCGCCGTTTGCGCCGAATCTGCGTATCAAAGTCCGCTCTCTCATAGTAGCGGTCAACAACTCTATGGAGATCCTGATTTCGGGACTCATATGACCCATTGAAGTAGCAATATCTTTGATCGGTGTTCACAAAGAGGGCGCTATCGGAAGCGGAGTACAGTATGTATAAGTTCGATTATCAGGTTACTAATCATCCCTATGGAGATTATCATGCAGGTTCTAAATCTTTGGTATTAGTTATACTCCAATACGATCATCGAACCGGGATAATTTCTTGTATGTCCCATAGTCTAGATGCATGGAGATTCCTCCTTAAGATCACCCGGCAATCTTCCAAACTTTCACGGCTCTTCCTTTTTTCACGAGAGTCTAGGACGCATTTATTTTATTGCGAAGTGCTTCTGTAACAGTTTTTGATGACTGCGAGAACTAATAAGAACCTACCTGGTCTATACGCTAATACATCAACAACAATTCATCCTACAAAACAGTCCACTTGAATCCTCCCTTCACAACACGAGTCAGGACGACCAAAACGGCACCGGCACACATAGTGGCCCCCGCAAAAATCTCCAAATAACCATAATTACCCTTGTCCACAGAAACCAGTGCGCCAGCAATTGGACTGCCTGTAAGCACAGCGATCGACACAAGAAAGTATAAAGCTCCCGTGCGAATGCCTATCTCCTGGATAGGAGACAATTGGGCAATCAGAGCTGGTGTCAAGGAGACATAAGCACCGGAAAAGAAACCGAAGAATGCAGCATATAGGATAACGGCTACGTTTGAGCGGCCGGTAAGCCATAGTGCGAAGGTGAGGATACCCGAAGTTAGGGTTGCCACACACATGACATTGAACCGACCGACTCGGTCGGCAATCAGACCCGGAATAATACGACCAAAGACACTGTAATAATTAGCACAGTCTTCTGAGTTTAAGAGGTTATGTCAAGTTCCTTACCTGGTTGCGTTAAGAATCGCCACAAGATAGTTCGCCAATTTAGAAGACATGCCAAGGGTTTGCGCTTGAGCGGTAATAAAGTTGAAGGGCAGGAATAATCCAAACGAAAAGAGCGATAGCGAGATAACCAGAAGCAGAAACGGAATCTCCGTGAACGGCTTAAGATATTGTCGAATATGGACTGGCTTTTGTTTGTGAATCAGCCGCGACTTCACGGTCAGATTGACTATGATAAGACCCCCCAGAATAAGGAAGGCAACCGCGCGCATAGTCCAGCCGAAGCCAATACGGCTGATGAGACAGTCAACCATTACAGGGAAGATGACACCACCAATAGAAGCACCAGAGGCAGCCAATCCAAAAGAAGTCGCGCGTTTCCTCCGAAACCAGCTAGCAAGTGAGCCCAGGCAGGCATAGTAGATGGCGCTAGCACCTAAAGCACTGCAGACAGCTTGAGACAAGAATATTTGATAATACTCCTTAGAGATGGAGGTCATCATCAAGCCAAACACGTGGGCAAATCCGCCGACAAGCAGCAGCCACCGGGGCCCATAGTGATCAAACACCTTAGCCAAGACAATTCCGCCACCGTACATCATGAAGATTTGGGTGGATGCGATCCAAGCAATTGTAGATGCAGAGTAAGCATGCAATAACTCTTTTTCGTAATAATTCTGAAATACTCCGAGAGAATTTGTCCAGCCGAAAGCTATAAAGAGGGCCCACCAGCTACCAAAGGTAACCAACCATGCATCACGACCCCCATCGGGAGGTTCATTCATGGCAACCTCTACGGCCGGTAGTGAAGTGTGATCATCCTTCTCGATACCTGGGCCTCTGCGGGCCTCAGTTGGGGTCGACTCACTAGTCGAATTTGTTTGATGCATTGACATCGCGTAGAAGACCTTGTTGAGATCGATCTATAAGAGCAACGGATAGACACGAAAAGGATAGACAGGGGGGTTGTAAGAGAAGGAAAAGAAAAACAACTTCAAGAAAAGACATTGAAAGATGATAGCCATGGCTTTTTACACGTTTTTCAAGGGGGTCCGGAGCTCGGTGGCTTGTCAGGGCGAGGGCCGAGTGAATATGCAACTGCGGACTTTCGCTTCGTACTTTAGGGTTAGAAATGTCCGCTTGACGCTGATTAGTGCAAAACAAGATTAATACGCAATGTGGACATTGATGAGATACAAGTCTAACAATCTTGCTCTGCCAAGGTCGAGCGATAAATGGCCGAGGATGAAGAATACTCTTAAGGTACTGTGTAATACTACAAAGGCTGTGTATTGGAATATAGGAGGTCCGTTTGTCCGCCAAGGCGCCCGGAGCAAACGTTAGACATAATACCGCTTTCTCCACCGCCTGAACCAGACGAAGCACGGCCCACATTCGGGCAATACTTTACCTAAGCCATGAAAATGCCCAAGACAATATAAAAGTGGTAAAAGCGGTGAAATACTCGTTAAAGAAAATAAGGTTCTATCCTTGTGGCCGCTACTCGCCTCCGTATACGCGTATTTTGAGTTTTGGCTGAGTGGGTCTGTACCAAGACAAACTGTATTAGCCCTGTTCTGATGATCTTTACTACCCTCAGCGATTTATTTTGATCCACATAGCCAAAAGCCCTCTTTTATACTCCCCTACAGCTCCCGGTCTTTCTGTGGAAATTTTTCTGCCTTACAACCCATTGTTAACCCGCCGATGCGCGAATATGAAGCACAAAGGAACTGGTACAACAGAGCCACCTGAGGATCAGCCTCCACCACCCTATGAGGCAGTACCTCAAGACATACAGGGAATTCGTGTCAACAGTAAGAAGCTTTTTTTTGATTCATCAAAGAATGACTCCAACACTATGTAGATGATGGTCGCATTTCAATCGACGCGAGCTCTCGGCTTTGCAAGACTCTGTCCAAACTAATCCCGAATGTTCCACGCCAAAGCTTGCCTCCACCAAGCTATGAGGACTTGGTCCCGACACCTGGATTCAATCTCAATATCGTTATTCAAATTGTTGGCAGTAGAGGAGACGTTCAACCTTTTATTGCATTAGGTACGGAGCTACAAAGAACCGGCCATCGAGTCCGGATCGCCACACATAATGTTTTCGAGCAGTTTGTGGCTCAAGCGGGGCTCGAATTTTACCCCATCGGTGGCAATCCTGCTGATATGATGGCATACATGGTCAAAAATCCCGGTCTGATCCCCAGTATGAATAGTCTGCGAGGGGGCGACATCCAAAAGAACCGTCTGATGATGGCAGAGATCCTTCATGGGTGCTGGAGTGCATGTCTGATGCCTGATCCAGTTACAAATGCTCCATTTGTTGCAAACGCAATTATTGCTAATCCACCTAGCTTTGCACATGTGCATTGCGCTCAAGCCCTCGGTATACCGCTCCACTTGATGTTTACAATGCCATGGACTGCAACACGAGCTTTTCCGCATCCCTTGGCAAATTTGTTCAATATCCCTCCTGATCAAGACTGGATCAACCGCGTCTCTTATTCAGTGGTGGATTGGCTATCTTGGCAAGGGTAAGTATAGAATGATTCGGTGGCGTGATACAATGCGGATGATTAATTTTCCAACCTTCTGATCTAGTCTAGGAGGCGTTATCAACGATTGGCGCATACATGAATTAGGATTAGAGCCTATATCCCTATCTGATGGTCCCTTTCTCCTCAGAACCCTTCAAATCCCCTATACATACTGCTGGTCTCCTGGCCTTGTTCCCAAGCCAGATGACTGGCCTGAAAATTCAGGTAGGAACTTTCCTTTTCTCCTCCATTCCAAATATGTCTCTTACAGGGGTATTAGATGTTTGCGGTTTTTTCTTCCGTGATCCCCCGGATTATGAGCCTACCTCTGAGGTCGCTGCATTCCTCAACGCCGGACCGCCTCCGATTTACATCGGATTTGGGAGCATTGTTATCGATGAACCAGATAAAATGATAGAGATCCTTCTACAAGCGATCCTCGAGACGGGTGTCCGAGCAATCATTTCACGTGGATGGAGTAATCTGAGTGGGCCAGCCTTACCTCATATACTTTACTTAGATGATTGCCCACATGAATGGTTGTTTCAACATGTCAGCGCAGTTGTACATCATGGTGGTGCTGGCACAACGGCCTGCGGGCTGCGAAATGGCAAACCGACAGTCATCGTGCCTTTCTTCGGCGAGTAAGTAATGTACACCAAGAACTTGTTCTTTCTCTGACCTCTCTAGTCAACCATTCTGGGGAGATATGATTTCAGCAGCTCGGGCTGGGCCAGATCCTATCCCTCATAAGCAGTTGAATATATCGAGACTGGTTCAGGCATTTCGCTATTGTCTGACACCTCAAGCAATTCGCGCAGCGCAAGTTATCGCTAGCGGAATGCAACAAGAGGATGGAGTCAAGGCAGCCGTAGCGTCATTTCACAAACATCTCCCACGTCTTGTTGCATGTGAGCTTCTGCCACAGCTTCCTGCATCTTGGAAATGCAAAAAGGGCAAAAAAAGGTACTACTTATCCAAGGTTGCTGCAGAGATTCTTGTTGAAAACAATCTACTGGACGTGAAGAAATTGAAGCCGTAAGTACAAACGAATGTCTTCTACTCAGAAAAATGACTAACCCTTTTCCAAATAAAGATACCAGCCAAGCCCTATTTATATCGAAAAGAAACGCTGGGACCCGGTTACCGGAGTTTACTCTGCTGGTTTAGGGATGACTTTTGACATGCTCAAAGCAGGAGGTGACATCATCTACAAGCCCTATGAAGTCTACAAGGGAGGTAGCAGCAATCCTTCATCGTCAAGCCACTCGCAGAAGAACTCGCCCCAGCTGCTTTCGCCAGTACCTTCCACTCCTGGAGACAATTTCTCATTACTTCGAAAAGCTCGATCCATGAACGATTTGACAGATACGGATAGGTTGGAGCCCAAAGAGAAAGGCAAAGCTCTTGCGATGGCTTCAGCCTCGGCTCAAGCCTCTCGCAAATTTCTAGGGAGGTTTGTATCTGGCACCTTAGTCGATCTACCATTAGCCGCTGCCGAGGGCTTTCGCGTGCTTCCCGGTCTATATGGAGACAAAGTTCATGAAAATGAGAGAGTCAAGGACTGGAAGTCTGGAGTATTAGCAGGTGCCAAAACATTCGCGGTTGGAATGGCTGAAAGCTTAGTTGATCCGTTGTATCAGCCTTATAAGGGTGCTAGAGATGGGGGCGCTCTGGGCTTTGCCGGTGGAATCTTCAAAGGAACGTTTGGAGTGCTTGCTAAGATGGGTCACGGTAAGATTTATTGGTTCTTTGTTTCTCGATCTTGGCGTCTTAATTGCTCTTTGTTACTGATACATTGTGTTGTGCAGCTGGCGTTGGTCTTGTCGCATACCCTGGGCAGGGTATTAAGCGCAGCATTCAAGCTGCCTTTAATGACAGTACTCGAACGGGCATAGTGACATCTATGCATGAGGAAGGTCAAGACTTGCTTCGGCAATGGAGGGTGAGAGGCTTACAGGATGGCATAATTATTGAGAAATTTCTTCGCATGGGTGATAAGGACGACTCGGGAGATGATAGTGATTATGTATGAATGGAACAGACAAGGGCTTTTGACTGCTATCGTTTTGAGTATCGGCTTTTCATTAAACGGTTACATAGGGCAGTGATCTCGGTGCAGAACTCAAAATGCTTAGTTCAATGACTCACAGTGACAGAAAATGAACGCTTTTCAGTACTTGAAAGGCTATTTAGTAAAAAAGACGTCTATAATGCCATTTCATTGAACAAAAGAAAAAGGAAAAATATACAGCGCATTATTAGAAGCCCAATAAAATGAAATGAATAATGGCTCAGAGAATGAATAGTGGAAGCCCAGCTCCGAAATTGTTAGACTTGCGAGTAGACATGTGCCAGGGGCATGCTCCCTTCAAGATCTGTCTTCGGCGCGATATCACTGGGATACCAAATGTAGAAGATCACCATGACAATTGCCATTGGAACAGAATCAAAAATATAAAGCGTCCACTCATGTTGTAAGGGATAACCATCGTTTCCAAGAACGTATTCAATGATCCGGAAGATCGAGCGAATCATGATCAAGGCACTGACCACATAAAGCATGTACATTGACTTTTTCCAGGGTATTCCAGGAAGAAGAGATTCGTGAGTAGGCGAGCGGCGGATTCTTTTATCAAAAATGATAGCCGTATACCAGAAAAGAGAAAAGGATATAAGCTGAATTGCTAGTCCAGCAACTACCGCGACCTTGCCCCATTGAGCATACCCTAGAACCGAAAGAGCCGAGGAATTGCCTTGGACGACGAAAGACAAAACATCACCCCAGACAAATGTTTTTGTCAGACGAGAGACACGAATAATTGAAAGATGCTCTCCTCCGATGCGACGAATTAAACGGCCCAGGGTCATATATATGGAGGCGGCGTAGAGCGTAGGGCCGAGGAGAATGAACATGCTTGCCACTATGTATGGCCCCATACTTGTGGTATTGCTATGTGCCATGCAACGGCCAATGTAACCAATTATTTGAACTAGGATAGATGGATTAGCTTCTTCCACAGGTGCTTGAGCGAGTGCGGACATACATAAACCACCAAGGGTGAAAGCGATACAAAACCATGTTCTAGTTGTGAACAGTTTCCAAGCATGAAGCCCAGTCAAAACCATGAACATAAGCATGAAGATGACTGCCGCTGGCAGTGATGGAACATAATACCAAAATGTATAGGAACGAGGGACGATTTCTTGCATGTTGGGTATCCGCTTGATACAGACTAAAAGAAGGTGTGTTGATAGCGAGCGAGATAAAAATTAGGAAAAGAGAGATGAAGCAGCGATGTTGAAAGTAGTATGAATGAAAAATAGACGATACTATTTAAGCACTAAGAAAGAGTTTTGGCAATAGCATACTAAAATACATACGCGTAAATAAATACATAATTAAGCGTATTGTATCTTAAAAGCGGGTCGGGCCCACTTCTACGCTACAAGCGCCAACCTAAATTCACTCAGCCCCCTCTACTCCGTAGACCCGATTCGAATACGCGTATAGAATTTTGCTACTAGAAATTGGTGCCTTCAGTGTAGTTTCATAAAATTATTCACCATAGGCAGACCATAAAACTTTGGAGGTCTCTACTCTTTATACCATCAGACATGATATCTGTGTCTTGACCAATCCCTCACGCCATCCTGGTGCCATATCTCTCTGCACTTTCCATATATTGTAGTAGGTGTACTGCTCCTATTACTTGAACATCGATTATGATCCTGCTCACCCTGAAGGCCGTTTACGTTTATATTGTTTTAAAATTAGTATAAGTGCCTAATGGATTCATTTTAGAAAATTGCCAAGCCGGATGTGAGATTCGGAAGATTTAGGTGGATCCTCAGATTTATACGCGTATGCACGGACCTGACCTTGGTCTTTTGGACCCTTATCTTCTTGAATACGCGTAAAGAAGGGAAAACTTCGATAACGAAAATAGCTAAAAATGGAATGCAAACAATATTCTTCTTCGAATTAAGGTTCTAAGATGGGCCATTTGTCTTAAATCTTGCGTGGAGCCATCTCTGGGGAACATTTCTTCAGTCCTTCAGCGAGTCATCTTCTCACTTGAAATATCTCAAACGCGAATCTTCTCATTCATTTGATCCAACTCCATCCTCATCTGTGGCTATAACATGACCAAGCTAGAGCCATTAAAGAGTGGCTACTACGTGTGGCATTATGTCCCCTCAATAGCTGCGGCCGTCATCTTCATTATACTTTTCCTTGCAGTCACCACATACCACTTCTGGAAGCTCTTCAAAACAAAAGTTCGCTTCACAATTCCCTTCGCCATCGGTGGTTTATGTAAGTATTTCCTTCAAGGTCAGTCTTCAGACGCATACGCTGACTCGCCTTGATCATTATAGTTGAAGTCATCGGATATGCCGCCCGGGCAGGCGCCAGCAGTAACACGGGCAAACTGATGCCATATATCATTCAAAGTGTTTTTGTCCTCCTTGCACCCACGCTCTTCGCCGCCGCCGTCTACATGGTCCTTGCTCGCATCATCCGCGCCGTCAATGGGGAGGAATATTCTCCCATCCGCATCGATTTGATCACAAAGATATTCGTTACTTGTGATATCGTGACTTTTTTTGTGCAAGGTGGTGGTGCAGGCTTGATGGCCCAAAGCAGCCTCACCAGTATAGGACAAGACATTGTTCTTGCTGGCCTAGTGTTACAGATCATCACCTTTGTTCTCTTCGTGGTCACCGCAATTACTTTTGCCCGAAGAATGGGTAAGACGCCTACACCTACAGCTATTCGGGATGCTGTACCATGGAAACAGCACCTCCATAGTCTGTACGCTGTTAGCGCTATGATTCTCATTCGATCTATCTTCCGTGTGGTTGAGTATGGTCTGGGTAATGATGGGTATCTTCTGGGCCATGAATGGCCCAACTACATTTTCGATGCTGTTCCTATGTTCATAGCCATGGTTTGCTTTGCTGTGTGGTATCCGAGTGAACTACAGCCGTTTTTGAAAACGAACTCGGAATGTAGCATGCCCTGAATATAATTGAGTGAAATAATTCAAATAGATCGTCAATCAAATTCCGTAACGATGAATGGCAGGAAATATTATTCAGTATTCAGAGTAGGGCCTGTCTCAGCCTCAGGCAGCAACAAAACGGACCATACTGCCCATTCACACCGCCACCTAAAACCAGTAACCACAACATGGAGGAACACCTTTTCCGATCCACTCGTAGCCCATAGGATTCTTAGGAAGCAGATTCTAAACTCCTTCAGATTCGTCGTAAAGTCAGAATGCCCCGCAGAGCCCATAAAAAGTCCAGAAATGGATGCGCTGAGTGCAAGCGACGCCACATAAAGGTATGACCAGCTCCCAATGCAAGGTGGCAAATGAAGCTAAAGGAGCTTACCGATTTGAAGTGTGACGAAAAGCACCCAATTTGCTCCCACTGTATTACTTCCGAGCGTCCATGCTTCTACATTGATGGACCATCGAGAGATCACACGCCAACTCAAAGAGCCTCATCAAAACCCCGAGCAATCCCAAAATCTCCAAATGGAGAATCAATTGACTCGGAAGACGTTAGCCCCGTCAATATGATGCATGTGGAACTTTTGCATCATTTAACCTCAGAGTCTCAATCTATATTCTGCATAGACTCTACATACGCCAACGTGTCATTTACAGAGATACTCAAACATTGCCTATCAGCCCCCTACCTGATGGATGAGGCACTTGCCATATCGTCTCTACATTTAAGCATTACACGACCAGACCAGCAACAAATCTATCGGTACCGGGCTTCTCATATGCAAACGCATGCCTTGTCAATATTCAACACCATGAAGCCAGAGGTCAATATGGATTCTTGCATCGCCGTCTTCATGTTTTCGTCTCTACTCGGTATCTACATGCTCTGCGATACCCTTGTTTTCCGCAGTGGCACGTTCGACGACTTCTTGGACAGCTTCACACAATACATTCGCGTACATCAAGGCGTGCGAGCCGTTATAAATGGATCTTGGGATTATCTTCGTCAAACCGAGCTGGGTCCGTTTCTTAATATCGCCGATTCGCTGCAAGAAGCAAACAATAGCGCTCCTAAGGAATTTGAGAACCTGCTTAGTCTCACAGAATCAGTGGATATGGAGGACTCAACCAGCGAAGCATACCACCACGCCATAATGTCGCTACAGGGGGTGATGGCCGCGGCAAAGACGACTTCAGCATCGCCTAGCGTTATCATTGCTTGGCCTGTGATTGTAAAAGCTGAATATATCGATTTACTTTCACGCCGCCAACCGGAGGCGCTTGTGATACTTGCTCATTATGCGGTTCTCCTGCATTCGCGACGTGACCATTGGATCTTCGGGGATGGAGGTGGATATATCATCGAGTCGATTAATATGTTCCTTGGTCCCGCTTGGGCGACTTGCTTGAGCTGGCCAAATGAAAGTCTACAGCAAGAAGCTACATAAATAAGAACAATGAGCTTTACTTTCTTTCGAGCATCGTCTGTGTCATTTTCAACTCAAATATGATTCAAGCATTCTTGGATCGTGAGCAAATTGGCTCTGGCTTCAGCAATGCTGGTCCGATTAGTGTCAAGAAGCGAATACATGAACGCGGGCCATTATTCAGACTGGCCATCTTTGTGACCTCGCTGGCAAAATCCGCCGTCACAGGAAATTCCATTTTGATGGTAATCCCAAAAGACTTCTTACAACTCTTCACTGCAGTGCCAGCCCATTCAACCAAGCGCAGGCTTGCATGGTTGAGGGCGTCTCGCATGTCAGCAACAGTACCGACGGCAATCTCAGTCTCGGAGCGGAGGTCGAAAGCGGGCTCGGCCAGGTTGCGCGTCAAAGAATTGCACCCATTACGAGATCCTCCTAGGTAGACTAAGTCATTTCCACAGGTAGAGTCGCTATCCAAGGACAGACGGTTAGGCGAACTCTCCTGGACGGCAGACAGGAACATGTACCAGCTCAGGCATATACGACATTTCGTACTTCATCATAGCTAGGTACCACAAGTTTGATACCACAATGGAGAACGAAAAACTTTCCTTCAATGACCTGAATTGTCCTTAACGCCCATGGGCTCGGCAGTTGCAAATCCTCTTTCCACTGGCAAAATTCGTCTGAACCATTCAGCTTCGGGGCCATGTCCTTACGGCTAATATTGAATTTTGATATGGTAGGTGACTTTTGGGGGACAGGGAGATGCTGGACCTGAGATCTGGGTGAGGACAGGTGATACCAGTGCTGCTGTCGTCTTCATCTTTGTGGAGGGCGAGGGGGACTGAGAATAATCTTTTAAGTTCTTTAGCTTCTTTCTCTTCTTCTGCAATTTTGAGCTGCCGGAAGAAACAGATTCCGTAACGGATGAGTCGTCGCCCTTACTGAGAGGTGCAGAAGCCGAATAATTCCTTGGCTGTGATGCAACCGTGGTAATTTATTAGTCAACTCTGGATGGAGGAAAGAAGAGGGAAACGAACATTTGAAGAGACCTCGGATAGAAGGGAAGCACGTGGCTACATAGATTTTTTTCTCCTACGGTATGATCCCTCTTCATTGTTATGTAATCTTCCAGCTCATTGCATACAGCATCTCGCTTCGATTTGTTTCATACTAAACTGGAACGCTTTTGGTTTGCAATACCTCCTAGGCTATTTTCTTGATGCTTGGACCGGAGCAGTGACTGTTACTTAGTCAATTTGCCCCTTCTTTGCTTCCCGATATCCCAAATCATGAATCATTTCTGATTGAAGTGGATCGCATGTTGCTTCTTCAAGTCCAGCCTGATAAGGTTCTATATGCCAATGCTGATCAAGAAGTGTTGAAATTAGATGGTCTATCTGGGCACTTGGTGGACCAAAACAACTGGTGTATACGCTGACTAATGTATAAGTAGACTAACTTGCTGAGCGGTCAATGGGCGACTCGCCGACCCAAATTACTGGAAACTCGGCATCACCTGCATGACACTTGGCAGGTCCTTAGATTACAGTTGATGGACCCATACGAAAATTAGAGAGGCGATGGTAAAAAAATAGACGAGTCACTATCACAGCATGACAAATACATATATACAGGTTGTACGAAGTACGGAGTACTCGTCATCTCATCCAAAATAGTCCGAAGCGAGTCCCAGCCACTACGACAAATTCATACTAGTATAGAAATAGATCCCGCCATTTGATCCCATCACATCACATTTTGTCCGAGCGGGGAAACTTTTTGAGTAAACTGAGCGCTAATGCCGAGGGGAATGAATAGAGGAAAGGATAGAGAGGGGTAAAGGGAAAGAGAAATCTAGATTGCGATGTGATTGATTGATCGGATCCTGAATCATAGTGATGATGAAGATTCATTGGCGCTTGAGGAAAATTCCGGGTTTCTGATCTCAAATTGTGTTGTGATCGTCGGGCGATTGGCGTGGCGCTAGCAGGCAATAGCCTATCCATGGCGCCGGCGCCGGCGCCCGTCATTTGTGTTTGCCCGTCGCAAACCAGTAGATTCTCTCCGGGGAGATATTTTCCAGCCCGTGTATTTGTTTTTTGTTTCTGCTTTGCGCTTTTTTTGAAGGTAGAATGTGCTTTTTGGGCCCTGGGAACTTTGTCGATTGAGATTAATAGGGAGATGTGGTCGCCGGAGAGAAAGATATAAAGTTAGGGTTTTCAAGGCCGTGGGGCTGCGGTGGGTAGTTCAGGAACCGCTTGCATACGTAATTCTGGTTTGCTTTCCAGTAGATCGAGACATTGTCCGAGCACTAATGTCATTTTGATTTTAGTTGGGGTTATTTGGAAGGACGGGGATTGCAACTTACCGCATAGGATCTCCTCTTCCCAAATCCCCATCTGGTAATCCACTAGGCCATGTTGCTCTAGTTGATCACATAGCTGAAGCAAAGTTTTCCCCATCGCCTCCATGCGATCTCGAGGAAGTATACTAACTTGTGCCGATGAGTGACCTGCAATGTAATCCTGGGTAAGATCTTTCTGTTTCTGACACATGGCTAGCCAACAGATATTGAATTCTCTCCACAGTTCTAGGCGGTCAGGGTAAGAAAGATGGTCGTCGCGTAGAATTCCTATGTATCACAAAAGCAAAATTAGTCTCTCCAAACATGTCAGATGATGATTGAATGACGCGTGTCTGCAGGCTCAAATGGTAACAAGAAAAATGATAAAAGATAACAAATAAAAAGTGATTCACAGATGGAAAAAAGGGTCCAGTCCAAAATGCGATGCGGTACGACAAAGCTTATCAATCCCCCAAAAAAAGAAGAAAAATTACAAACATACCAAGATCCCGCGAGTTAGTCACAAGCCACTCGGAAATTTCCAGCAATGATCGACTCGCTTCCACCAATCGCCCCGTCCGAGTATTGTCAAAGGTGCTGCGCAGAGCGCGCTGATACTGGGAATACGCCTCCTCGAGCGAAGAAAGATCCGAAGCAGGCAGCTGAGGAGGATCCGTATGATGCTGTATAGGCGGCGGATCCAATCGGCCCGACCCCGCGGTACCGATCGGAGTGAAATCAGACATAGTAGCGGGAAAAGGCTGAGCGGCACTCGGGCGCGCCATGGGACCGGGGTGATTATATGGGATTTGCTGCGCGCCCAGATAAGTTGAGAGAGAAGGGACCCCCGTAGCGGTAGACTCTTCTGGGTTGAAATACTGTGGAACGGCAAATTGGTTCGACAGGGCCTCAATCGCTGCAGACTGCCGTGGCGAGTACTGTGGAACAACGTCAAAGGGTCCTTGTGCTGGACCCTGCTGACCGAAGCCGTACAGCATTGCCGACTCGTACGGTACGAACGGCGGCGCAGGGTCGTGTGGCGTTCGTCGCCGTGCGTGGGGATGTTGTGGATGCTGTGGCTGTTGCTGTTGGATGACTTGACCCTGGCCCTGGCCCTGGCCCTGGCCCTGGCGTGTTCGCGTGAATTCGGGCGGGTAACCAGGAACCTCGTGGGGCTGTAGTGAACCGCCGTGGAAGGAGCCTGTGTATCCGTAGTCGTAGGATATTTGAGCTCGCTCTGGTGCCTGCGACATCCCCGTTTGTTCTCCACGTGGATGCATTGTCGAGTCGAAATGATCGGTTGCACGGCTCCTGGCCGTACCATTCCCAGATCGCGCCATCAATCGCTCATTCTGCTTCATACGTTGGTCGCCATCCATGAGTATGTCCCACACGGACCTGCGCAGATCTAGATCGGCCCAATGCTTAGGGGACAGAGGCGGACTTGCGTAGGATGCCAGCTTGATGGCCTTGAATTAATGAAGCGCTGGGCTCAAGTGTTGGCGGCGAATTTTTTTTTCCAAGTACAAAGTTGTCTTTTCCCAAGGCTCTCTTCAGTGCTGACTCTATGAGATCTTTATCAATGCTCAAGTTGGTTCTAGATCTGGTTCAGCTGATGCGATGGGTGGTAACAAGTCAAGAGTATATATACCTTAGTCTGGGTCGACATGTACAATATATAGTCGCAGCGCCAACTCCACGGAATCTAGACTTTCCCGGATGGAAAAGGAAATAAGAATAAATCCTCAAATCAATTTGTATAAATTGTCAAGGCGAAAAGTTCGAATATGACGAATCTGATTAATGATCATCAGAAATCAGGACAGGGGAGATCAAAAAATGAAGAATAAGAAAAAGAAAAAAGTAAAAACTTACTAAGGGGAAAGCATGACTTCATCGGGCTCGTGTCATGGTTGGACCGAGTACCTGGGGCTTGGGTAGAGAAGGGGCATAGTATTTGAGACTATCTACTATAAGGGGAACGCTAGTCCGATCGGTGTGATCTACGCCTAAACTCGTTTCGGGCCTGTACGTCTGCGATCGCCCGGGAACCCGGTGCAATGGTTCCTGGTGGAGTTTCTTTCCCCAAGGGATGTGATAGAGCAAAGGGGGTAAAAGGTAGGTAAAATAAATAAAAATTATATGGAGACAAGGGAGGGGGGGGGGGGGGGGGGGGGGAAATAGTTGGATGCAGCGAGAGAAAAGAGGAAAAAAACCAAAAAAAAGGGAAAATCCAAGTCTCAGCTTGGGCGCCCAAAAAGGTCAGGTGGGGGAATTGATGAGAAATGCTCGATTTCAATTCATATTTAATATATTTCTGATTTGTGTTTTGTGTCTTTTTTCTCTTGTTCGATGTGTAACTCTTATGCCTGGGGCTGACGATCCATGAAGCCGTGGCGGTGCCCTATGACCTAATTAGGGTAAATACCAATCTCCTTACCTGGGGGAAAAAAAGCTTGGAAAAAAGCAATTCTGATTGAAGAAAGTGTCAAATCCTGACCCAACAGACTGGAAATAGGAACCTGCATCATATATAGAGCCGAAACAAGCTTGAAATCATAAAATCTAAGAAACATATCTCAAGGCATAATAAAGGTATAAAAAGGGGTGAAGCTTGAGGGGCTTAAGTTTGTACATTCCGTCGATTGCCCGGACAGCTGCTCCAAGCCTGTTGCCCCCTTTTCTCACCGATTGTATTGACGAAAAAAAAACAATTGATGCAGGAAAATACAAATACAAATACCTAATCCGAGACATGCAAGTTCCACTGTCTGCCCGATTGCCGATCTTCCAGTGACTGTCAAAATCCCCCTAAAATCCACTTCAGTGGATCAATGTCATTACGCCCCCAACTAGATCCGACGTTCTGGTTGGGATGGGGACGTGCCGAGGTTAGGGTCAAAAAGGGTTTCACTAGCTTACTTTACTTATTTTATTTATTCCATATTTCTTTCCATTGAATGCCGGAAAGTGAGGCTGGTAAACCTTGGAAATCCTGGAATGACCTGCATTGCATGCAATATACATATACTCTGTAGGGACGTAGAGCGTAGAACGCCATGTTTCTGTCAGAAATGCAAATCAAGTCAGTAGAAGATACTAGTAGATACTTGGTATCTCACGAACCGGTAAGCAAAAGTAACTCAACCAGGTCACACCGAATAATGCCATTCGGGGATCAGTCTGATCGGGTGGATATAGACCAGGAGCCCGGTGGGCGGGCCACTAGTCGCACCGGGGAAGGGCTGAACATCTTCCTTTTCTCCTCGGAAATTTCTCGCCCTACCAGTCATCCTAATTTCCAAGAATTTCAAGATTTTCGTTAGGGACTACCCACTTGGTAATGGTACCTAGCTCGGCGGTACCTAATCCTGGACAGTTATGAAACAGGACTCATATCCCGAGATCATACATGACCCGAATCGCATGTAACAGGAGTAATAATACAATAACAACTATCTATATATATATATATTGGATTCATGCGAACCCTGTCAGCTGACGATTTGCCAATTATAGCCCTCACGGAAAATAAACCCAAAAGAGAAGAAAATGGTCCAGGGAAAGAGAAGGCGAATCGGTGCCACTGTCCTTCCGAGTGGTTTGGCACCAGTGGCAGCATTGAAATTACAGCTGCACTTCCCGGTTGGTATGGGCCACGTTGCAGTCCGGGCGGAAAGAGGTTGGCCCGAAGAGTTCGCGGATGAGGCTGAGGTCTGACTCGGCCTTGGGGGTATCAGATGGCACATGGTTGGTTTCAAGTGTTTCATATATCATAGGGGAGGAGGAATTTATCTCCCCGTCTGTCTCACGAGGCGTTCCCGAATTTGGTTGGCGGGAATCCACTAAACTACATAAATCAAACGTCGCTGGTCATATAGTCATGTCATATCGCGTGCTCCACTTCTCCAAAACATGATCAATGGCGAGGTCAAGGTGGAGCATCGGAAGTTGAACCAAAAGAAGAAGAAAAAGTCAGGAAGCGCAAATAGATAACAAGCTGCAGAGAGAGACGCCCCGGTACTGATAACATGCACTATATTTGGTCTACGTTGATGTCAGCACCCAAATCTGGCGAACCACAGGTTGTGCAAACGGCAAGAAAAAAATGAACTTACTCAGGGTCATACTGAGGTTCACATCGGTACTCTCAACCATTCCAGTGAACTCCTCGAAGCTGATCCGTCCATCACCATCCTTATCGGCCTCCATGATAGTCTTATCCACAATTTGTTGCAGCTGAATATCCTTCAAGTTGTTGCCCACCATCATCTTCAGCACGATGAACAACTCGCCGTTGGAGATGTAACCGTCACGGTCAATGTCATAGACCTTGAATGCAAACCGCAGCTTCTCCGTCTTGTTGCCCTTGGAACTGAATGCCGAAAGTCCAGTCACGAATTCTTGGAAGTCGACATCGCCGCCACCATCTTCGTCGAAGATCGCAATCATTCTAATAGCAAGTCAGGGATGAATAACGGGTTCTTTTGTATTCGTATGGATGGAACGAGATGTACCTCGTGGCAAGTGGGTTGGAGGAAACCTGGGGGAGGGAAAGGAACTCGTCGCGATCGATAGTGCCGGACCCGTCCTAATAAAGAAAGAGTTAGTTCATTTGTGTATGCGCCCGTCGGAAAGAAATGGAAATGATCGCACCTTGTCCAGCTTCATGAAACGCTTCCGTAGTCGGTCCACCTCCTCACGGTCGACTGTTTTACCCCTGTCAGCCGACGGTCGCTTTGTACGCACTCAGGTAGAAGGTTCCGACCGGTGGGTCACGTACAGTTGGAAGTAGAAACGATGTTATCAAAAAGTTGGGTAGTGCCCACGGAGCCTCGTCGGCGTTGCACATTATGCATGGCAGCAGCATTTGGTTGAGCGGGGGAATCCATGGTGAGGAGATACTAAGGTTGAGGGGTAGATGGGGCAAAGAGAAGGCCAAAAAATATCAAGTGTGGAGAAAGGGAAGTAAGGCTAGATGGGATCAGGTGATAAAAAAAGCAAGCTTTAATGTTTAGGTAACTTGAGACCCAGAAAGGAAGTTGGGGAAATAAGGGGAGGAGCGATGGGGAAACATGAATCTGATAATGCCCAGCCCCGCACTAACCCGTTTCGGATCAACAAGCGAGCCCCTGAGCCCGTGCGCGCCCCCAAAACAGGCCATCACCGGGTGACATTGCAACGTCAACCCAACCGCCTGCCCCAGAGCCGCCTGTTATCAGTCGTCAATACCTCCCCCCTCCCATCTGATTTTCATCTCCAAAATACGACCACGACATAGCGCATGATCTAAGCTTTACGTTGAACCCAATTTTACCCCGGGACCTCTCATGGTCGTTGCCCTTTTGCCCTCTCCGACGCTATGACTCGGTACGGGGGCCTGGGCCGGACGCGCCCCAAGAAGCTCACTTCCAAGGCCTCCATTCCCATCGTTCGTGAGGAGGAAATTGATGTCTTAGACGAGGACATCCAAAACCACCAACAGATAGAGACTGGTGTCGAAAAAGCTGAGGAATCGGTGAGTCATCATCTCTCCCCCCCATTAGCCACAGTTTTAGCCTCACCCCTATAAATCACGTGACATCATCACCAAATCGACACGAAATTTTCACGATGCTGACCCGCGTGTGTACCATAGGAATTTCACTTGCAAGTCGCAATCAATCTGACTGCGCAGGGCAAAGTCAACGACGCGCATATTCCTACCCCCGAAACCATCCTCAGTAACCTACGATATGACGAACTCTACCCGCCGCTCTTTTCGCAACCAGCGACATACATCCGCTCCTCGGCTACGGTCGAGGATTGCTGTGGATGCCCGTATAACATGACAGAGGAAGATGATGTTTTCCTCAAAATCTTCAACCAGAAGAATGGCGCGTCAACGCCTTGCTCCGAGGATAATTTCGAAGCCACCATGAACTTTTTTGAGGAGACGGCGCAGGCCAAGCAACCCTTTGCAGCGGTTGATAACCCACCGGTCCTGACCTTCGCGGAGATGGAGGAGTCTATGGACTCTACCGTAGAGGAAGCTGTAAAGCACTTCGCCAAACACATTTATCCCCATTGGAAGTCCCGTCGGACCGCGGCGAACAACAATTCGCTGGAACCCAGCCTCAAGGTGAGTTGCGCATTTTTTCAGCGAAGATTCAATCCAAAGCTGTGCTGACACTGCATATCTTCAGTTCGAAACCGGTCAAGACACCGACGATAGTGATCCATACGTCTGTTTCCGCCGACGTGAAGTGCGCCAGATCCGTAAAACTCGTGGCCGCGATGCCCAGAGTGTTGAGAAGCTGCGCCGATTGCGGAAAGAGCTTGAAGATGCTCGGCAGGTTGTCGCATTGGTGCGTCAACGCGAAGTGGCCCGAAAGGAGATGCTGTCAATGGAGCGGACTCTCTTCTTGCAGCGAGCCGAGGTCAGGGAGATGAAGCGCAAGTTGAACATAAAGGACGACGACGAGGATCTTATCAACCAGAAGGTAAGCAAATCGCTGGTTATGTCGTGGATTGCATGTATTGACCCATCACAGCCAAAGAAGAAGCAACTGGAGATCCCTCCTGGTCAACGTCCAAATATACCTCAACTCCGCTTGCCGCTCAAGGCAGGCATGTCAGGCGCAGAGGACCTGCAATTGCTGGAAGATGTTCAGGCCGAGAAGGAGAACGAAATCTTGCGCGATATCAAGGCGAACATCACCAAGCATATCAAGTGGAACGAGGGTTATGTAGATCATACCCGAGCACCACTTTCTCCACCTCCCGAGAGGACGTTCGATGTTGCTGCATTCCGACCTGCCTTCACCGCACAATTACCCACACCACCATCATCAGAGTCATCTGGCGATATGGACACAATAGATGTCACCAGCCCTCTGTTCTCTCGAGACAAAATTGCTTCGCGGGCCCTCGAAATGCACGAGGAGCCGCATCGAATGCCTTCATTCCGTAGACGTGTCGGACGAGGTGGTCGGCTGATGATCGACCGCCGGAACTTCGCAGCGCGCTGTAAGATTGAAATGGATCCCATCAAAACCGATCGTTTCAAGTTCGACCAAGAAGACTCCGACGAGGAGCCCGTCTATGAGACAGACGGGTATAGCATCCAGATCATGCAGCACCGAGCCATCACCATGGCGAAAGCCCGTGAACAGGCCGCAGTGGCTGCCCAGGCTCATGCGCAGGCGCAAGCTCAGGCAGTCCAGGCCCAGGCCCAACAACGGCGATTGCAAGGCGACCAACCTGGGAACCCGGGAGCACCTCCTGCGCCTAGTGTTGTAGCTGCTTCGTCGGAGGCCTGAACAACCACCACTTTTTTATTTTCTTTTTGCAGCATCTGGCGGGCGTTTCGTGTTGCTTGTTTCCCCCTTCGTCACAATCCCTTTTTCCACCTTCTCACCTCTGTAGTTTTAGTACCCCTTTTCATGTTTGACGATTCCGCTGGCGGCGAAGGGATTTGATGGAGCCTGGCCTTTTGCTTTCTGCGCTTTTCGACTTCTCCGCGCCATCCGCACCCTCCACACCTCTTCCAATTTTCATCCTGATGCAGACTTTGAAGTCGATTCGCGGGTCTCGTCATGATCTCCGACCTGGATCGGCGTGCTCTGCATTTATTAGTGTACATAATATCTTTCTGAAAACCTGAGGAGCGTGCGCGGTTGGTGACCGGCCTTTTGTATGATGGACGACTCGAAGTTATGATGCCTGCATTTCTGGGAAAGGGAGAAAGGCGGAAAAAAAGAGAAAAACAGACATCAAAAATCTAACACAATATAATCATTCGCGAAAATCGCTGTCGCCATTTGCTTTTGTAGGGAGCATCGAGTCGGTGGGATTTCGACAAGATTCTCGTGGAGTAGTAACTAGCTCGCGTCGGCTGATTCACACACGCTGCTTGGTGTTTCGGGAATGACGGCCATCGCCGTTGGCAGACCGTTTCTGGGACGCGCCTGGGGCGAGAGACTCGAGCATTGTCATCACAGAACGCAAGACCTCCTTCTCGCCGATGCGGACCTGCAGAGCCATCTTGTGTCGCCGAGCAGGACCCTCCAGAGCTGGAGGCGCATTGGGTGGCAGAAATCCGGATAGGGAGTCGAGATCCTGTTCGAGGGAAGTGGCATACCGCGCCTGCTTGGATTGCAAAACCTTGTAAAGAAGACCGGCTTGGCTAACATCCATAGACGGCTTGGGCGGCTTGTTCTTTGACCGACGCTGCTCAAACTCTTCTGGTGACTGAGTGAGTGTGGTGAGCAAGACGACCAGCTCAGCAGGAAGGATGTCCTCAAGTTTGGCATTGGGAGCTGGCCTGGGGATCACATAACCATCCTCAATAAGATCATGTTCATCGAGAAGTTGGAGCTATATCAGGAGTTAGTTGAACTGTTTTCAAATTTAATGGAAGTCATGCCACATCTCCATGTGATACATTGCGTGACCTACTCTAGGCTGGGATTCCACGTCGCTATTTGGAAGTCCGGCTGATTGACAGACGTCGCCTAGAGTTAACTCGACAACATCGTACACGGAGTAATTGTCGGTGACATAGCCATAGCGGCGGAGCAGATCTGCGCGGGGAATTTCGCCATAGTCATTGAAGATTTCTTCGCCTTCTTGAATCGGCTTGATAGCTTTCATAACAAATGCTTCCTCTTCTTGATAGAGACGTGCCTTCAAATCAATTAGTACAGATGCGAAGGTTGATCAAGACAAGTCATAATACTCACATTATTCCGATCCGCATCAGCATTGAGAAGATCAGCGAGCGGAACCATACCCTTGGGATATTGTTCATCTTCGTCATCACTCATGAAGCTCTCATCACCACCATCACCTTCTTCCTCATCGTCATCATCTTCACCGTTTTCGATGTCAAACGCATAAGCCATAATCAAGGATCCCATGATATGAGCCAGCTCCAGCAAAGCGGCAGTGCCAGCATCACCCTCATAAGATGCAAGACCATTAACTGGCGGGAACAGAGCCGGGTTAGACCGAACAATAGGCGCAATTGATTGGAGGATAGACTCGTCTGCACTCTGTTTGCCGATCTTGTCCACAATGGCGCTACCTTGCAGCTCCCGCAGCTCAGCCTCCGACCAGAACATCAGTGTATCGAAACGATTGGGCAAGACCCGGAAGTAAGGAGCCCATTTCGACTGTCCTCCGCGAAGATACTCATAAAGCATGACTAGCATTAAAGACAACCATGGGCCGAGCGCCTCAACATCTTGTGGTAGCAGACTCTTCAGGTCTGAGTTTTGGACAGCGAGGATGAGGGACCGCGGAATGGAAAATAGTTCTTCACCTTCGGAGATGCTGGCTCGAGCGACTATGCATATAAAAAAGTGATTTGATTAGTGGGAAATTCCTTTCTTGGAAGTTTTTGGGTGCTCGGGGTGTGATTTTGTGTGATGGGTGGCGGGGGTTTTTGGGATGAGCTTACCGACTCCTCTTCCTGCTCCTGTAGATCTCAAGTCTGCCAGAAGGATCTTTGGGTTGGCCTTCACACCCGGGTTAGATTCAAGCCAAGAGATAAACTCATTGGACTGTTGCTGGAAGCTCGGGGGGTCTGAGAAGTGGGTTGAGGAAGACATTGTTGTAGGAACTGAGTCCTTGAGAAGGGAAAATGGAAAAAAGACAACAAATTCTAGGATGAAAAATATAAAGGAAGATGCAGAAGATGCAGATATGTCTCCCACTTCCGGAGTGAAGTGAAGTAGACTGAACCAAGTAGGAGAAAGACCAAGGAAAAAGAAGAAGTAAATGGGGTTGTAGTTTAGTTTCGGAGAAACGGGAACTTTGGTTTGGTTCAGTTTGCTTACCCGATAACGATAACGAAAATCAACCCACTTGGGCACTCTTGGAGTCTTTTTCACTAAACTTCAGAAGATTTCTCAATTCACCCACAATTAGAGTCAATCGACTCTCTTTCAGTCATCATGATTGCTATCGGAATGGAAGGCTCGGCTAACAAGATTGCCGTCGGCATTATGCTACATCCCGACGATGGCAGCGCGCCGCAAATCCTCGCCAACGTTCGACACACTTATGTTTCCCCGCCAGGCGAGGGTTTCTTACCCAAGGATGTCGCGCGCCACCACCGGGCATGGGTTGTGAAGCTGGTGAAAGATGCCCTGAAAGAGGCACGTATTAAAGTAGCGGATGTCAGCTGCATCTGCTTCACCAAGGGTCCTGGCATGGGTGCCCCACTACAGAGTGTGGTGATGGCGGCACGAATGATGAGTCTGCTTTGGGATAAGCCCTTGGTTGGAGTGAACCATTGTGTTGGACGTATGTCTCGACCTGCTATTCTGGCTTTGATTCCAGGCCATCGCATCATTTTTCAGCCTTTTGATAGCTAACATGAGACCCGGATCCAGATATCGAAATGGGCCGCCTCATTACTGGCGCCGAGAACCCCGTCGTCCTTTACGTTTCCGGCGGTAACACACAGGTTATCGCATACAGTTCCAAAAGATACCGCATCTTCGGCGAGACACTTGATATTGCCGTCGGAAACTGCTTGGACCGTTTCGCGCGCACACTATACATTCCCAATGACCCATTCCCGGGGTACAATATTGAACAGCTAGCCAAGAAAGGAAGCCGATTAGTTGAGCTCCCATACATTGTGAAGGGTATGGACTGTTCGTTCTCGGGAATTCTGGCTGCAGTCGATGCACTCGCTGTGTCTCTAGGATTGAGCGGCGAGGAACAGGCGAGACTGGATGATGAACGAATTGAAAAAGAACAAGGCAATCAAGACCCCGATGCCAAGCCTACTCGCGCGGATTTATGCTTCTCGCTTCAGGAGACGGTATACGCGATGCTCGTCGAAATTACTGAGCGCGCGATGGCCCACGTGGGGTCCAAGCAGGTGCTCATCGTTGGTGGAGTCGGATCCAACGAGCGGTTGCAACAAATGATGGGTATCATGGCGCGAGATCGGGGTGGCTCTGTCTTTGCCACAGACGAACGGTATTGCATTGATAATGGTGTTATGATTGCCCAAGCGGGTATGGAAGCTTACAAGACAGGCTTCCGGACCCCGCTGAAGGAGTCCACTTGCACACAGCGGTTCCGTACAGATGAAGTGTTCGTGGATTGGCGAGACTAAATACCCATCTTCAGCTAGAAAAAATATCATGTGTTACGAATTAAGGAAAGGTATAGATTTAGAGAGATCCCTAGTCCAGCTTCAGGTTTACATATACATATTCAATTCGGATCAAATGATGTATTCAAACTACAGGTAGATTATCGTGAAACAAATGTATTGTAACCACAGAACTAACAGCGCGCCTGCGCGGTTATGAAATAGATCGGGTCTGCGTGAACCGAAATATTTAACTCCAACAAACGTATCGTGAAGCAACGCCTTGGAAGGGAAACCATGCAATATGAGTAAATTCTGTTCTTTGTATCGCTCTCAAGAAGCTTTTAAAATATCCGGTAAATTATTGTGTGCATCCCTGGCACAAGATCATCGTCGCGACCGCAAGGTTTGAAATGCCCCGGCTAGACAATATTTGAATGTGTCGGGATGGAATATGTGGGTATTGTGCTTCCTCGAGGACCCCGGACTGTGTACGCCAAGTAAAGTCGCAGGTGTTTGTAGAGACAAAGTCATTTGACCTGGAACATTGATCACTCTCCGGTAATATCGCCGGTGGGTTTGTACAAAATACTTGTGACATACTGCATAAAGGTTAGAATGAGAATTCCAAATCGGCTGGAGCAATATATTACCTTTCGCTTGTATCTAGTCGTGACACTAGTAGCGAGAACACCATTTTTGATACTACTCGTGGCGAGATGGTTCAGAACAGTGTGGTTGGGGTAATTAAGGACACTGCTATCATCCTTTGTCGGGGTGAGGGTGTTGAGAATCGATTTGCCCAAGAATAGTGGAAGACTGGGCGGAGTCGGGGTGTCCCCGATGACATTGGCAGCTTGCAAGTATGCCGGGCTGTCTTCGTCCTTGTCCAAATCAGCAAGGAATTGAGGAATTGCACTGCCGAAATCGCCTGGAGCAACCTCCTCGGCTTCTCCGTTCTTCGGGGGCTCGTCTTCCGCATCCTCTGATTGTCGGTCCTTGGAACTATCCTGGGGGGTTTGTGATGGCCGGACTCCCGAAGAAACGGATGAGTTGTCATTAGCATCGTCCGCACTAATTTCGATATAGTTCACCAGGTGGTTGGTGAAGTCGACGGCTGTCGGAAGATTATCTGAAGCCCGCATTTCACCATCGATAAGGAACTTCAGATGATGTGTGCCGGGCCTAAGGTTCAACGTTGCGGTCATGACCTCAGGATTGGTCTCACTAATCGATATTAGCCTGTGTCCTCAATCATGGGCTTCCACTTTTATATAAACGGAATAATCCCATACCTTCTGTGTAACTTAAATTTCTTTTCCCAATTGACAAAGGTACCAGTAACATAGACCTTCTCACCAGGCCCATTCCACTCGATAACCGTGGGCACCGCCTTGCCGACACCAAACGGCTGTAGTTCATCCACCATCTCGTCACCATCCAGGGTCGCATTGCTATGATGGGACGCTTTCATCTGTTCATCTAAAAGCCGGTCTGCGGGCATCGATTGGATATGCGAATCCTCGGGTCCGATGATCGGCGATCCAGGAATAGTGGTCGCATCGGCAATGGGCAATGGCATACGCGGGGGTCGTTGCAGATGGGTTGAAGCACTATAGTAGGAGTTGAGCGGCGGAGCCGAAGGTGCCACAGGATCTCGCCCCGCGGCATGGCGTGAGATCGGAACTTGTACTGGGCTTGAGTGGTCTGGCGATGCAATATCTTTACTCTGTGACGGATCGGCCCTCCTTTCTACAGGCTTCTCAGGTCTGGATATAGGTTTGGGAGATCCGGGCGGATTTCGGGATTGAAGCCGTTGTTGAATGGAGCCTTGGTATGCTGCGGAGTGACCGGCGGCGGTCTCTCGGGATGCTGACGGGTCGGCGGCAGTAGCCTTGGTGGTTGGGATTGTATTTTGTGACGTGCGGCGAACTACCTTTCGCTCAGCGGCGGCATTGGGGATATGACCCGATGGCACGTCGCCAACTGGGCCTTTGGAAGGGTTGTTGCCCATCGAAGGCGGGGTAGGGGTAAGAGCGTGATGGGTGAGATAATCGGGTGGGAGAGAGGAAGATTGGCGAGAGAGAAGAGGATTGTAGCGAAGAAATGTATCAGGCCGACAGCATCAGGACGTTCATGCTTTGTTGATAACGGAAGATTGAACTAGACACAGGACATCTCTTCAATGCCCAAGACAATCTGATGACGCCGGAGAAGACGAATCGGGCTAGGGCTTAGGGCTTGCGGCGATAACTCGGCTTCCCCGGATTTTCCCCTTTTAACCTTACAAACCCATAGGTTCGTCGTCCCTGATCTACAATGATTGGATCCATCTTTGGTGGTTTGCTCTTTGTTCTTGGCACAATTTATGGCTTCCTATTCAATCTGTTTTATTGGTTATTCTCTCTTCTCTACCTGCTGGCATCTCCCTTGCTCTTTCTTTTGCATGGCCTCTTCAACCTAGCTTTACTCCCGCTACAACTCCTAGTCAAGTTTGAAGTACGTCCATGCTTATGTTGCTTTCCTGTTCCTTTGTAAAGCTGACATCTAATAGGCATTCCTGTGTTTTGTGACAGGGGCTATCATCGCAGGAGTCACAGTGGGCCTGTTCCTTTTTTATACTGGAGATGCTTTGTCCGAGCTTCTTCGTCTACGATCAAGTCAGCCTTCCTCGCCGAAGGAGGAACCAGATTTAAAAAATGAACCCATTGGTTGGGATTCAAAATGGGACCAACAACTCTTGTCTACTACAATTCCAGAAGAGGAAGAGAATAGCTCGGCGTGAGTACTATCTAAGTCGGGCGGGCTTGTCCAAACAATGTAATAATTGAACTCACATATATGAACAATATATATTATGCAAATGTGGGATGTGATGCAAGTTTGAAACAAGAAGGGCACTGCTCAAAGGTCTATCAATCAAGAGATCAAATTATCAGAATGTCTCTCCCAAAGCATTATTAGCGGATTCCCAGTGAGCTTGCTGGAATTTTCGGCCTGAAGTCACTCCGGTATGTAACTCTATTGAGTCAAATTGTATTCCCAGACCAACTAGATCTTCCTGCTTATCTTCTTCCTTGTCTGTTATCGGGCCCCACTGGTCTGCACCACGGAATCCCATCGCGAAAGGATCAGTCGGATCCAGAGCAACCTGTTTAAAGCCAGTGATCCAGGCTCTGCCTTGGATAGAAGTGTAAATCGCGTTGTATCTTCCGACTCTCAACTCACCACGAACGCGACCAAAGAACTGAGTTCCGAGCAAGCTGTAACTCCGAAAAGTTTCGCTGGCAATTTGGCCACGGCAATGTTGAACAGCAAGCCAAGCACACGTCGAAGTGCCCGACGGACTACGGTCCAGTCTACCAGGAGAAAGAACCGTGGCACTCAACCCTACCTTCTGCGCCCCATCTTTTCCAATCCGCTCAATGAAAACTATGTTGCTGATACCTCGGATGGAATAATCCTTAGGGTGGACAACCTCCAGACCACAATCCGCCAAAGCTCGTCTAATCCGCTCCCCAGCCTCCACCAACTTCTCACCTTGATCACTCTGAATCCTCAATCGAACAGATTTGACATCTACAAACGCGCAGAAAACACCTCCAAAAGCAATATCAACCTTCAAACTTCCAAACCCAGGAACCATAACCTCGTATCCAAGCTCCAGTACAAAGGAAGGCACACAATAAATAGTCACAGAATCACACCGATACCTCAGCTCGAGGGTCTTAGTAAAGCTTGCTTCCGCCATAATCTTCCCAGCCCCAGTCTCAAAAACGTATCTCTGGAATGGTACCCGCGGCATCGGCCCGCCAGCATGCGGAAGCTCAGCTAACACATTGGTAGCACATATGATACTCGACACGGAGAAGGGAACATATGCATCATTCTTCACCATAACCAGACAGCGCTCTGAGCCATGAGCAATTGGCTTAAGGAGAAAGATAGCATTCTTGCCATTCCGGCCGCGTGGCTCGTTCAACAAGAGATTCACGCGCTGGTTGTGCTCGTTGCGGAAATTCATTAGTCTTCCGTACATTGTGCGGCCGCGGGTGCTCTTGAACCCGCCGATTACGACATCACATGCTTCCCCTTCTGCGTGGCTTTCCACAACAGACATTGTGTTCAGACCTAGGACGTGTTCGAAAGTTTTTGGGAGGGAGGGTGAGAAGGGGAGAGATGGTGGCTTGGTGGTCTGGGGGGCTGCTTGAGGACTTGCACAAGGGCATTCGGGTTGATGGGGATGTGCTGGGTGGTCATGAGGTTCTGTAATTATTGCATGGTTGGGATCGTAACTCGATCGTTCTTCATAGTCGCCGTCGAGACTAAGCCCAGGTCTATGGTATTGGTGGTATTGATTCTGAGAGCGGGGCATGAAAGCGGTTAGAATGGGTAAGGGAGCTTAGGGCGACAAATTCATGTACACTACACCAATGGCTTGGGTTTGTGGCTTTATATAACAATTTATTCTGAAATTAGTTGTAATACCTACTTATAAGGCCTTAGTCCATTCAAATGTTGGATTGAGGATAAGTAAAAACCCAGGTGCCATGTATTACATGCCTAGCACATACTCTTTCAATACGTTCAACGGTTGAAAGAATATATATGATAAAGAAGCAATGGTCATTATTTTTCGAGCAAAGAACTACAATTGTATTTTCTAAACACAAAGCCAATGCTGAATGAGCCAGAAAACAAAGGGAATGTACAAAGCCCAAGTTTTGTCAGCAGATCATTTGTAACTAACTTAAGTTATAGAACTTTATCTTCCACAGTTGACATTCGATAAGAAAACCATACGACGAGATTCCCCATTGCATTCCTCCATATAAACTCGATTAGAAATACCAGTTAATACATTAATGCCAAACAGGTGAAGCAAGGGGCATGATTGTTCTCTGAAGTTCAAAATATGAGTATTTCTAAAAGTATCTAAACCAATTTAGTATGAACAAGTACAAATCTATACCTAGTCACATGGTCCGTGCACGTAAGACGCCGGTGTTTCATTAGACCCTGAGAACCCTTAGCAATTTCCCAAGAATGCTCCCTTTGAAAACTTGGCATTTAACGACAGTTGTCAATTTTGATCCATGTCGAGCTGTGGAATTCACCTTTCCCCCCAAACAACCTGAGGTAATTCTCTGCTGTTAAACCGAACTAGCGCCAGACCCGCTCTAATTTTGGCACCAGTGGGGGCTCCAGCATCAGTGGCTGTGGGCACCGCGTCGCAGAACTCACTATGGTCATCCCTCGGTCCTTTTTACGTGCACGAACCCTGGTCGCCGCCCTAGCAATCGCCTCATTTCTCATCTGGACCTTCTCCCAATGGTCCTCTAGCGCCAACGGCTCCACCTTTGATTATAGCCTCGGCTCCACACATACCTCCCCAGACCTGACAGCAGCGCACCAGAGTTTCTGGAGAAGCTTTCACGGATATTTGGAAAAATATGCACCGGACGTGAATGCCTTGGTCGAGGATGTGAAGGCCCCGACCGAGGGCTTCAAAGCGAAGGATGCAGCACCGCGGCCGGATTACATCAGAGTTGCTACGGAGGATATCGCAATGATGAAGGAGGCACATACTGGATTTGTGGGAGCTATTGCAACCTCGCCACCCCAGCTGCAATATATCCCGGGTACCAAGGGCGTCGTATCAACCGCGGGTGGTTCTTATCTACCGGTACTGGTCATATCATTGCGCATGCTTCGCCGGACAGGGTCGACGCTACCAATGGAGATATTCCTAGCAGACGAAGACGAGTACGAGGACTACATCTGCGATACGGTCTTACCATCCCTAAATGCGCGGTGTATTGTCCTCTCTCGCATCCTAGTTGCAGCACCAGCCAAGATCGAAAAGTACCAGTTCAAGCCCTTTGCGATGTTGTTCTCATCATTCGAGGAGATTCTTTTCCTGGACGCAGACGCATTCCCGCTCGAAAAGCCCGAGACCATATTTAGAGGAGAGCCGTTTCGCACGAAGGGAATGATCACCTGGCCTGACTTCTGGGCATCGTCTGTCTCGCCCATCTTCTATGAGATTACCGGTGCGCCAATTCCAGACATGAACCTCCGCCAATCCACAGAGTCGGGCGAGCTTCTTATTTCCAAGAAAACCCATTTGCGCACACTGTTGCTTTCCACGTATTATAACTACTGGGGACCCTCACATTACTACCCGCTCTTGTCACAGGGAGCAGCCGGAGAAGGCGACAAGGAAACATTCGTCGCCGCCGCGACAGCAATGAATGAGCCATTCTACCAAGTCAGCGAATCAATCTGCGCACTCGGGCATCGAAAGGAAGGAGGCATGGCAGGCTCGGCGATGGCGCAGTTCAATCCCATGCAGGATTACAAGCTTACAAGCCAAGGAAAATGGCGTGTCCGTGGCGATGAGGCGCCCGCCCCCAATGTTTTCTTCATTCATGCGAATTTCCCCAAATTCAACCCCGCCACAGTATTTGAAAAACACGAGGTCAACCCTGCGTTCCTTGATGACGGTTCCTATACTCGTGCCTGGACGATTCCTGAAGACGTTGTTGGTCGATTTAGTGCCAAGGTCGATATCGAGAAAGCATTCTGGCGCGAGATTCTTTGGACGGCTTGTGAGCTGGAACACAAATTTGTATCGTGGGATAATTACCAAGGGATTTGTGCTGGTGTTAAAGATTACTGGCATAATGTTTATGAGTCCGGGTCTAAAGGACTCCCGTCGTGAAATATGATTCATTCTGAACAATGTGCTTTACAGGTTCCGTTGCCAATTACACTGTTCCGGCGATCTTGGCAATCTTTCAGCTGGTCTGGAAGCAAGTTATACTAGGAAGTATTTAATTATGATGGCTACTCCAGCTTTAGAATGTTACATGCTGCATGCATGAAAATATTTGCAATGTCTATGGTTTTCGAGTAGGCCAGATTCAAGCTGTTAGAGAGATGTCCCATTTTTGAACAGCCATGCTAGAGCACGCTAATATTGTACAAGTCTTTTTATGATACATAAAATACAGATCCGGACCATTGCATGCGAAGATCCATCTATAGTGCCCCCCTTTACCCGCAGGGATCCAAGTCTATTTCTGCTCCAAAAGCAAACCCTTCAATTCCGCCTTACGGATAGCCTCAGCAAACAATTCCTTGCAAGGAACACGACTACCCAGCCGCGCACAAAGCAAGAAGGCACCGCTCAATTTGCGATGCAGACTATACGTTTCCTCGGGAGGAGGAGCAAGACGTTCACGAATCATAACAGGAATATGCGCACGTATGCGATCAGTGATAGTCTGATTCTGGAAATCATATAGGTCAGGCGATGAGAGCATGAAAGGCTCCGCAATCGTAACAATCGACGAAACATGTGCGTCGACCATAGCCTGAGACTCGTGACCAGTGAGGTAGCCAAGTTTAATAGAGAGATCGTGACACGCGGTTCGGTCGTTACTAGCAGCCGCCACAAGGGTGCGCACATAGGTCGAGATGAATTCCTCGGGATAAGCGCGCGAGGCACCGAAATCCAGAAGTTCAAGACGGTTTGTACGCGCGTTAAAGAGAAAGTTGGTCCAGTTGGGATCCGTCTGCATATAGTGGAATTCGGTGATTTCGCGCAGACACAAACGCATGATCTGGGTACCTATCCAGTCGCGTTGGTCTTGGGTGAAATCTTGGATTTTCGTCACGGCAACACCTTCGAGCATTTCCATGGTTAGAACTTGTTTGCCCGAGGCTTCGGGCATGACTTCTGGTACGACGAAGACGGGGTCTTCGTGAAGGAGGTCGCGGAACCGAGCGCTGCATTCTGCTTCGCGGATGTAGTCGCACTCCCACCCGAGTTCGACGCGGGCGTTGGCAATGGTCTTGTCGAGGTAGAGGCCTCGAGGAAGGAGTCGGGAGGCTGTTAGGAGGATGGAAAGATTGTTTAGATCGGAGTCGATGGAGTCTGCGACGCCAGGGTATTGGACTTTCACTGCGACGGGCTTGCCTGTTCGCTTGAGAACAGCGGAGTGCACTTGGCCGATTGAAGCCGCAGCCATAGGGATCTCGTCGAAGGAGGTGAAGAGATCACGCCAATCGGGACCGAGATTATCGGCCAACACTTTATTGCGCTGAGAGGCGGGCATGTAATCGGCGCGATCCTGAACACGCTGTAACACTTGCTGAATCTGCTCGGGCAACATGTTTGAATCTTGGATGCTCAGCATCTGACCTAGCTTGAGAGCGGCGCCTCGCATTTTTGATAACTTGGCCACAAGGCGTTCCATATTCCCTGCGCTGAACATGATCGAGCCACTGTCTTGGCTTCCAGTCGCTCGGCGAACCGTTTCACTAACGGCACCAAAGGCCATAGACGTTGCCAATCCTCCATACTGCCACAGTCTCCCAAAACGGGATGAAGGAACCCGTGATTCCATCATTTGGTATGGCACGGCCTTCTCTATCACTGCCTCTGCCGTGGGCGCGACCACATCCTCGGCGGCACTTGCGGCCAGCTTCTGGACCTCCTCAGGCTTCAACGGAGCCTGAGGTTCTGGGGCCGTCGCAGTCGGACTTGGCCGAGCATATCTCTCTGCAATCCAGTCTCTTTTCGGCTTAGATTTCCCTGCAAGCAAACGCGACACCCGGGGACTTTGGAAAATATCCTGCATCATCTCCTCCGAGACTTCTTCCGGTTCCTTGGGGGAAAACTTCTGTTCAGGGCCAGTGGCCGCGTGAAACACGTCGGCGTTCAACCCATCACCTCCACCAGCTTGGACATCTCCAGCAGCCTCTGGCAGTGTCACGTGCGGCAGCGCCGATGTGTCTGGGGTGGTCTGGTGCGAGGGCTCGTAGAAGACATCCTGCTGCTTGCTAACATTCAAGTCGGACTTCTCAGGGCCGGTATATTCTGCTGTCACGGAAGGGAGCTGTATATCCACGTGACATTCCTCACGGGCGTCCGATGTGGAGGTGGTTGTCTTTTCCGCAGGTTGACTAGGAGCAGAATCGGCCGGTGGAGGGGAGGTTGGTGGCGATGTATCATTGAATCGGCGCGCCAACGCGGCAGCGGCTTGTGCGGTCAAGATCAGCCCTTCCGTCTGTTCCTTGATGCCCTTTGTGAGGGAGGAGGTCCGAGTGTAAACATCTAGCTGTTGTCGACGAATAGCCAGATGTTTTACAGCCACTGATTTCGATACATTTAGTAATTGAATGATGTCCAGCAAGCGCCGGCCAGACATGATGTCGTCAATTAATTTGAGGTGTGTGGTGGGTTAGTAGGTATGTTCGGGGCGGAGCGGAATGAGTATGTAATAAAAATGAGTAAAAGGGAATTGTCATTGACTTGATAGAGAATCCGCCGGGAACTCGCGGTCTTCTCCGATCTCCACTTTAATTTCTATTATAACAGCATGCGACCTCTTTCTTTCTTCAATTATTCAAATTATCTACCCCGGATTCATATACACCATGCTTACCGATAAACCAACATCCGAGGGCTTGGAGCTTGAGATCTCCCAACTCGAAGCACGTCTCCATGATCTACGCTCACAACTCGATACCACCTACACTTCCCCACACACAGACAAGAAACAATGGTCAATCCCATCAGGTAAAGCCGAGCCAAATACCTAGTTCTTTAATATCCAAATCCTAACAATAAACCAGATCTATATAATAATGAAGTTCAATCGGAGTCCTTCCGAACTGACTCCCTCCACGCACTTCTTCTCCTCTCCGACTCAGCCCTCCCATTGGGCTCATTTGCATACTCCAGCGGGCTGGAGTCCTACCTCGCACACAACAAACCTCTCCGCACAACCCCATCAGTCTCATTCCACCGCTTCCTTAAACTCTCCATCGCCTCAATCGCAAGCACAACTCTCCCATACGTGCTAGCAGGCTACCGCCACCCAGAAACCATAGAAACCCTCGATAACGACCTCGATGCCTCCACCCCCTGCATTGTAGCGCAGCGCGCCAGTGTAGCACAGGGACGCGCCTTGATCGGCGTATGGGAGCGTGCCTTCCGAGGTAGCTTCGCCGCTCCAAGCAGAAGCACCGATACCGGAGCCCAGGTGGCAGTGACGTCGATTGATGAATTCTCCGATGCATTGAAATCGGTTCTCGGCGACGTGGATGAATATGATGTCGGACCTAAGGGTCATTATGCTCCACTTTGGGGTGTTGTTTGTCGCGCTATGGGACTGGATCTTCAGCAGACGGCTTATATCTATATTTTGAATCATGCCAAGTCGGTTCTGAGTGCTGCGGTGCGGGCATCTGTGATGGGACCGTACCAGGCGCAGAATATTCTGGCGAGTCAGAGCTTGCAGGATACCATGATGGCTCGGATTAAGCGGGAGTGGAATACTCAGGTTGAGGAGGCTGGGCAGGTTGTGCCAGCGTTGGATTTATGGGTTGGTAGACATGAGCTCCTATATAGTCGGATCTTTAACTCATAATGGCAATCCAAAATATAATTATACATTCACTGCGTTCGTATGTGGACTCGAGAACTTGTTGATTTGTTATTTTTTCTTTTCATCGAAACTTAGTCCTACATCACAAGAGATAATCTAGAGGCAAAAGCCGAGGAAAAGTCACAAATGCGCCTCGAAACCGGGGTATCCAAGGGTGCATGATCATTTGTTCAGCGCCCCAGCGCCTGGAGAAATTAAGAACAAACACACCGTGACGTTAAGACCGCCGAAAACAAAACTGCCCCGAAGGACGCCACATAAAATCGTCAAACGCCCTACCCTGAATAACCCACCCAACACCGCACCATGGACCTGTCCGAGAGTGAACACTAAAAAATGAATAGGGTGGAAAAGGGCAACAAGAAAAGAAAAAGCTATAGTACAGGAAGAGTATTGAAGGGTGTCACATCAAAGAGTAATGTGCATGTGGTCATTGCTGCCGAAGGATCGGTTGCAGTTAGGACACTTTCGAGAACGAGAGGATACTCGCTCATCGACGCAATCCTTGCAGAACACATGACCACAGGTTTTAATCGCGGTATTCTTGAAGTTGCGACGACAAACCGTGCACAGGGCAAGTGCCTAGGTAAAGGTTAGTGGGACCAAAAAGGTATTGAGTGATTTCAATGAACTTACCCGCAGCATTTCATATTCGGATGAATTATTGCCGAGACTCTTGCCCTTCCAGCCCTCGAGGCTTTTCTTGGTATCCGAAAGACTCTGCTTCAGGCTGACAATCTCGGTCTCTGCTTGGCGCAAAGCAGTGGAGGTGCTCCCCAGGGTCGAGTCCTTCGAGGTCGATAGTGCCTTTAGTTCGGCAATCTGGTGTTTCAATCCCTCCATCACAATATTGCTCTCCGTCAATTGTTGCTGGGTAGATCGGTACTTCTCCTGGACAGTGTTAAGGGCCTCTTTAGTCTCGCTGGTTTGCTTTTCCATGTTAGACAGCAAAGACCGAGTAGTCGCTTCGGAATCTTTGAGCTGCGCGACGATATCGGAGGTTTTGGAGTTTTGCACTCGAAGTGTGCGGACTTCGGTCTCACGAGCTTCCTTGCTCTTCATCGCTGCAAAGTACTTCTGGTCTGCTTTAGACTTCTCTGCAGTCAGCCGTGAAATCTTTTCTTCCAAGGCACTGAAGTCGATGACTTTCTGAGAAGCCAGGGTGGAGAATTTCTTGTATGCCATCTGCATCGAGCTCAACTCGGTGTTAAGCATGGCATACTGACGCTCCAGACCCGTGTACTTGGCGCGAAGTTCTTCAAATGAAATGTCCTCTACACTTTCAGATGCCGGGCAACCCTCAATCTGCAGTCGCAGTCTCTCTGTCTCCGACTCCAAAGCAGTAATCCGAGCCTCACGGGCATCTGCGAGCTCCTGTAGCTTGGCACCGGTGGTTTTTTCTTGATCTTGGCCGGCCTTGCGCATCTGTAGGTCCGCTAAAATCTCATCACGAACGTTGCGTATCCGTGCCAGGTCGGTTTCGGCTCGTACTAATTGATTGTCCTTCTCGGCCATTATGCTGCGCGCCTCGTCCTCAAGTTGTATTTTGTATGCACTTCTTTCTGATCGGTACTTCTCGGCTTCCTCTCGTAATTGAATGTTCGTCGCTTCTAGATGGTTGATCCGTTTCACCACGTCATCATATTGAGAGCGAAGTTGCTTGAAAAGATCGGTTTGCGCATAATCGTCATCGGTCAGCTTCGAGTACTGCATGATCAAAGGTCAGAGGTCCGTTTGCAATGTTGTGGAAATAAGACAAATCACCTTAATCTTAACCTCGGTGATCTGAGAAAGCAAATTGGCATTTTCAGTCTCCAACTTCTGTAACTGTTCCTTTTGCTTCTCAGATACGGCTGCTAGTTGACTATTGGATTCCTCTAGCTCAACATTTCGGTCTCCAGCAGGGGTTCCACCATTGGCGGGAGATGACTCTTCGCGCTTTGATTGCAAACCCTCGGAACCAGGTCGTTGATTGCCCATAATGTATCCCTTTTCGAGTTTGGCCGCAGTTAAACTCCGCGCACGATCCAGTTTCTTTTCAGCCATCATGTATCGTAGTGATGCCGTTTCCAGACTTTCCTCGAGTTGCTGCTTGTCGGCCAAAGTCTTCTCATAGTCGGCGATTAAAGTCTTTTCCTCCGCGAGCTTCTTGGCCAACTGACTCTGAAGATCAGCGACATCTGGAGACACATTGGCTACAGTCGATTGGAATTGAGAGATAATTTGGCGAATGTCTTCCGATCGAGACTTCAAGTGTGTCTCAAAAGTGTCATTATCTTCGAATTGCAACGAGCTTTTGAATGTGTTATCTGCCATGGGTGTCAACGTTGCTTTCTCGGCGTCAAGTAAGGGGTGGGGCGACTGACCCTTGACTGAATCATTCGAAGGTCCAAGGAGCAGTTTAATTTCGTCCAGGAACTATCAATCGGTTAGGTCTCCAGTGTCCAGGAGTGAAGAAAAGACCGCCACTGTGCTTACCTGACGAAACCAGGAATCGATAGTACGGAGGCGATCATTATGGTCTATGGCTGCTTTTGACATTTGGCTGACTCGCGACTCCAGGGAAGCCTTCTCCCGCTTGTATTCTTGCATTTGACGCAGGATCGCATCTTTTTGAAAGCGCTGGAAAATGAGATGTCAGTATCATGGTTTCATTTGCGCGAAACACGTCTCCGAAGATCGCAGCGGGTACTACATACCTCCAAGTCCTCTTTCCAGGGCATATCGGCATCGGGATGGGGCTTGTTCCCGCCATTCACGGAGGTAGCCTGCTTCTTCAATGGCGGGGCGGAATCATTACTGTCCGCAGCGGGTCGCTTCCGGTCGTCCATTTTGACAATACCGGGTTCAGTAGACACAATAGGGGGTTCGGCGGCCGGCATCAGTGGCTAGACGGGCATATGAGGGGGGGGGGGTTTCGATCACCACCGAACCTCACTCGGCCAGAGTCAGACACCGTAACCGAGCCCAGGATCTGACAGTTGTAATACCCAGCGAAACACAGGCCGGATGCAATCAATGGGAGAATAAGGGAAAGGTTGATGAGGTAAGTTTCTGAAGGGGCAGGGGCGTGATGAGATTAAATTGTCGAAAAGCATGCCAGGTGAAGGGATCGGGTCGTGATCCGTGCACCACGGATTTTACCTACCACACCACGTTACATAAGCTACCCTCTTACATAATTAAGAGATATCGGGAATCCTCGGAAGAAAATCACGTGCTATCCAACGTCCGATATCAAATTATAAGTACAGGAGTAAATCAAATTCTCCGCAAAGGGCAACTTCTGATAGTATGCCCTATTTCTCCACACCCTGAGCACTTACTAGGGGCCTTAGGCCTCTTTATCTCCGATATTTCCGTGATTTCCTCTGATCTTTTTCTCTTTTTTTCCTCCTTTTTTGGCTGTAGATAGACCCGAGGTGGTAGAATTGAGAGATATTCAGCTGTGGGTGGTCGAGTAACCCAAAAAGGATCAATTTTGTCGAGTCCTATTGGCTGATTAACCTTCAATAACTCACGGATCATATGCTTACAGGGTAGACCCATTGAATTAGTAAAATAATGGGTGCAAATGCCTATTGGCCCCTTTTCTAGGGCTAATTGCCGTTGATTATTGATTTTCTGCAAAGCATGTGGGGAGAGATGGGACCGAAGGTGGCTAAAAAGCGGAATCATGGTGAATTTCGGTATTTTAGTCTGGATTTCGGCTGTTTCTTTGCGGATTTCATCTAATTGGCCATTAATAACAGCATCAATGGCACTAAAAACAGTAATAAAATCGTTATTTGAGCCATGAAGATGGGACTTAAGCCTTGCATGAATACCCTCAGACCGTGAGCTTGCAGAATTACCAAAATGGGTAATATTCGGAGTATAACAGCGGACGAATTTCTGTTTATAGATTAGCCATATTCTTTCGAGATAAAGGATCAGATTAGGGTAGTTAAACTTAGTTTTAAGGTTATATAACCTTAATTTATATTCCTCTGATATATTAGATGAATAAAGGTCTCTCCATATCTTCATAAACTCTGTGAATTCTGTGTTTTTTGGGTCGTCTTGGGGCTGATTTGCTGTTTTTTGGCAAATAAATTCACGTGCTTTAGTAAAAACAGCTTTTTCAATATGCCAAATACACAGTAAATGGCTAATATTAGGAAAAAGCTCTTCAATTGCCCCAATAAGTGCTAAAGCTCTGTCAGTAATCAATACTGAATTATTAGATAAATGGATAAAATCCGAGAATAAGGTTTGTAGGGCCCACTTATAGCCTTCTTCACTCTCATTTCGCATAAAACAAGTAGCAAATAAGAAGGTCTGGTTAGTCGGAGTTATGCCAATAACCTCTAAAAGAGGCATACCGTACTTATTAGTCTTATAAGTGCAATCAAGGACGAAAACCCTATAGTATTTATTAGCAAGATCAATAGATTTAGGGTTAGCAAGCGCTAAAAACTCGATTTTATCATCAGATGATAAAGATAATCTATACTTATATCCTTTAATTTGCAAATTTTGGAGAAAATACTCCATTTCTCCCTGATATCCATACCTATCTCGGAGTAATTTTGCTTTTTGGTTATATATATCACGTGAGATTATCGGTTGATCTGTAGATAAACGGAGTAATTTGATCATATCTCTAGGGGCAGAATTGATCTGATTCAGGTCTTTAATCTTATCAATTTGAGTAGAATTAAGCTTCCGAGCTTGGTGGAACACTATTGGATCGTCAGCAGGGTGATTATGGGATGAATTACGTACCTGGAGCTCCCATTTGCCTGTTTTATTACTTGCATATAGCCTAAAGGGGCAATTTTGACGTTTTGAGCTTGTTTCCCGAGGATTTAGGCCTGTAATTGGCCTATCAATCGGCCGAAAAGGTATGCCTGATTTGACACATTGGATTGAAAGGTTCGCGTAAGCATATTGACCCTTGCCAGAATTACTGCTTTTTATAGCAGTACAATAGCCCTGAGAGAGGGCATGCTTCCGGACGGATTCGATTAATTCATCTCGAGTAGCATATGAAGCTTCAGGGGGTGGAAGAAGGTCTAAATTAGGTTATTATCAGTTATAAAAGATCAGAGAAAAGGATATAACCTACTTCCGTGAGCAGATAAGGTAGAATTGGTAGCCATTTTTGTGGTATTTTAGGGCAAAGTAGGGCAGATTATGGTAGATAGAGTGATCAGGCCAAGGTAGATGGTAAAAAAAAGGGTAGAATAGAGTAAATTATCGTTTATCTACCCAAATCTGGTTATTATAGTGATGAAAATTTGATATCGGACGTTGGATAGCACGTGATTTTCTTCCGAGGATTCCCGATATCTCTTAATTATGTAAGAGGGTAGCTTATGTAACGTGGTGTGGTAGGTAAAATCCGTGGTGCACGGATCACGACCCGAAGGGATCAAATTGCTTACATAATGGTTCATCTGACCGCCTTCCATTGATCCAATCACCGCTGAATGTTATCTGTAATTCTGGTATTAATACACGGAGATATGTCATCTCAATCGGGTCATTGGACGCCTAGAATCTTGTTACAGTACAGGATTTTACATACCGCCACTCAAGTCTAAAGGAACATCACATGTGTTTGAGATTTCTATATTCAGCTTGCAACTCAACCCAATGTTATTGGCCTACCACTTGAGAGTCGGGTCCGCCAGCACAGGGTGACCCAGCTCTATTCACATCCAGGCCTCATCCTAAGAGGTGACTAACAACTAGCTACATTGGAGCAACAGGGTATCTTTTGGGTCAATGGTGGAGAGGGCCCGCTAGCTAGTCCCTGTTCAACTATCTAGTACTATCCAGTATCGGCCCGCCTCAACAGATTTTTTCCCTACTCTTTGAGCTATGTTACTACTAGGCTAACCTTGGATACAAATGATTCTTCCTATTCTTCACTGTTTATCGTTACCTTCAAAATGAACCATTTTGATATGCACGTCTCCAAACCGCTGAGGATATTGCCCTCTCTCAGTTCTATCACTTATTACGATCCAAGGATTGACCAGCTACCAGTCAATCCAGTCCTCGGTGTTTTACGATTCAATTTCAACCCTGGGATTGATATCTCAGAGCGATGCCGAGCATCTATACTGTGGCATAAGTCCTTGACATATGTCTCGACCATTCCTGGCTTTCAAAGGCTATATTGGGCCCCCGTGGACCATGTTTCGTCGTCTCAACAAATCATCATTCTGGTTCAGTGGGATAGCAGTCGTGGCTGGAAATTGTTCCAGGAATCATTGGGCTTCAGCATGATGCTGGGTTACATTGAAAGCATCTCCAATCGCTGTATCCAGCTTGCCCTTCCTGCCAACCTCTTAAGCCTTGATACTGTTCTTGAGCTCGTCTCCTTCGAATTCCCTGGTAATACCCAAGTCAACATGGGACCAGGCTTCAAATCCAAGTGGGAAACTTTGCTTGACTGATACCGCAGCAATCCTACTGCCAGGTCTAGATTGATGTTTTCTTGTGGGGAGTGGCTCGAACCTGACAACTTTGAAGAAGATCGATCTTTTATTGGCCTTCTCTTCTGGAAGCCAGGCCTACAGGCCAATATACATGGTCTCGAAGATTGCATCGCGGAGCTTGTCAAAGGTGCAGACGTGATCTCGGTATACACGAACCGGCTTCGTCAAGTGTCCTCCGAAAATTGTCTTCTTTCAGACTCTGAGCTGTCTGAACTATTCCATCCTCTTTTCCAGACACCTGTAAAGCCCGCATACACAGTGAGTAATACCCCAGGCCCTGATAAGGTCAATGTGGAATCTGTGAAACAGGCACACAGAAACGAGCGTATTGCCTGTGGACCTGCGGGTTGTTGGTACACGATGGGAAAGATTACTCAATATCATTTATACACGCAGAGGAACTCTGGGTTGAAACATCGTATGGAATGGATCTCGTTTCGCACCGAGCTTAATCCACGGATGGATGCTCTATTTGACAATCTTCGAAGAAAACTCTGGGAAATGGGAGAATGTCCTTACCTTCGTTGGGGCGAATGTCCTTTCCTCCGTTGGGGCAAAGAGAAGGGGAACGAGAAAGTAGGAAACAGCGATAGATTTTCATTATTCATAGGTACGTAGCTATGGTGATTGACCGTCTATCCTGATACTAAAAACCTTATGAAGATTTTGAAGGGTGTAGTGTGGAACCAAATATCCCAGCAGAAAAAAGGGACGCATTTCTAGCAAAACTCCAACAGGTTATTCAAGAATTCTTCGATTGCTGTGGAAATTCTATACAGGACTTCTCATATAGAAGGATTTGCTCTCCAATCTGGTTTGCTGGAGAGAATATTGACATCACCATTTTTGATGTATCAGAGAACGAGTACGACCAACTGTCATTTGAATACGCCATGGCAAATTATGAGCAGTACGTTCAATGTTCACGGCTTCATTTGACAAATATCATACTAATGATTAATGATTACTAGCACTACGATCCAACATCATTGTACAACGATAAACAGCCCTTGGAATGCTGTAATGCCTATAGCTCGAGGGTGGCTGATTGACAAGTCTTCAGTGCAATTTATGTCAATCTTCAAATCAGAGAGGGATGGGGCCATAGAGGAGTGGTACAACGAATTTGCCCAACGAGCTCCAACAGAGTATTGTCGCTTAGGTCACATTGTTGATTGGCTGCAGACTTTATGCACGCGCATCACTCGTCGGCATGTGGTTTTTGAGAAAATAGATCCTTGGATGCCAGAATCAGAACAAACAAAGAATTTGGCGGGGAGGAAGAGGTTTTTCAGACAGCTTAACTCTTAATAATCTAATATATTATATCCAAATATCGAATTACTAGAGGCTTTCCGCCGCGCTTTTTGCGCGGCGCCTACTTAGGTGTTAGACCATACCTCCTACTATATTCTACTCAGTTCCCTACTCAGTCTCCTATCTAGTATTCTGCCTTCTTTCATACCGTATTAATCGAATGGCGAAAGGGCTCTTCAAATGCATAACTAGCGGAATAAGAATGAAAGAGAGAAAAAGAGAAGAGGGGGAAAAATGAAGTGGAAGGAGAAGGGGGAAAAAGTCAAAAGTCTGCAATGTACCCAAGTAATAGAGGGGTAGATATACAGTATCTCCATCTGTTCAAATGGCGAAAATTCCAAGTGAGAATCAAATCCAACCACACTGACAGACTCAGTCGCTGGCATCATCCAATATCACCTCCGCTGCCTTCTCCGAAACCATATAAGTCGAAACTGCTGTGAAAGTTCCAGGAATGCGAGGATAAACAGAAGCATCAACAACACGCAAACCACTCACACCACGAACCCGGAACTTGGAGTCCAAAACAGCCATGGGATCATCATCAGTGCCAATAGGACAAGTACAGGAAGCATGATGTCCCCAGGCAGTATTCATGATATAATCCTGAATCTCCTCAGTAGAAGTAATATCCTTCCCAGGCAAAATCTCCTCAACATCAACCAGCTGACGCTTGAACGCATCCCGCGCCAACCAAATAGCCTCAGTCATAGCAGTCAAATCCGCCTCATAGTCCCCAATCCCAGAATCAAAATAATTAAACACGATCTCCGGCATATCAAGCGGATCCGCAGAACGAAGCTTCACCGAACCAGCAGTATTTCGTGGATGGGCCTTCAGAATCGCCCACGAGAACCAATCATGGTGCTCGGTGATATTAACACTATATCCGGGGAAGTATCCACGGAAATTAATCGGCCCACCAAAGACAAACGCATCAAAGTCATCATCCACAGCCACAGAACTCTTATACAGCATCGTACTAGCGAATCCGTTCGATGAGTAGATACCTCTGTTTCCGAGGATGGGATTCTCCCAGCGCTCTAGACAGGGATCCTCGGCTCCATCCACGCCAAATGTGCATCCATCCAACGCGGTGAAATTGTGCGGTAATTGGCCCTGCACAGAGATCTCGTAGTGGTCTTGCAGGTTCGTCCCAACACCGGGTAGATCGACGAGGACGTCGATGCCGAACTGGCGGAGTTCATCGGCCGGTCCGATACCGCTTAGTTTGAGAAGTTGGGGAGAGTTGTACACGCCTCCTGCGACGATTACCTCGCGAGACGCGGTGACGTTACCGGGTGTACCCTTGGCTGCTGTGCCGGAGAGAGGACTCGCGCGGAAGAGGTATTTTCCATCGAGGAATTCGACGCCAGATGCGCGAGGGGTGCCGGTGGAGTTATCGAAAAGGACTTTTGTGGCTTGGCAGTTTGTGCGGATGTCAAGGGGGTACTTCTGGGAGCCGTCTATGTTCTTGGCGTCTCGGACGGCGACGAGGAACTCGCGCGGACCGTTGCGTTTTGCGCCGTTGGTGGCTATTGGGACTTGGTAGTAACCGTTTTCTGTGTCGCGGGTTCGAGAATTGGCGTTGGCGTCGCCGGCTAGGAGAGTTGCGACGTTAAAGATGGTATCGGTGATGTTTCCCAGAGCGAAGGCGCCTCCAAGGAGCAAGTCCAGAAGTTGAGGATCTTCGAGGACGATGCTGATGGGTGCGGTTTGGTCATGGAGCCAACCATCGTATCCGTGGCCTGAGATGAGGGGGAGGAGGTAGTTGTTGTTCTCCATCTTCTCGAAGTACTTGCGCATGTTATCCGGGGCCCATGAGCCATCGCCTGTCAGCGTGGAGATGTAGTCAAAGTCGGATTCGAAAGGGTACACGGTAACCAGGGCATTATGGGCGGTGCATCCACCGAGTGTGCCAGTACGCGGGTACAGAATACCCTTCATGGTTGAGCCCTCGGGTGGGTTGAGACCAACGTATTCGCCGCCATCGGGGGTATCGTAGGTGGTCTTGTAGTCCAGTGCCTGGCGAGTGTCATTCGTGTAGTGGCGCACAAAGTAGTTCCAAGCAATGGCTGGATCCTCTGATGCTTTGGCGGAGTAAGCAGGGACAGTATAGTTGGTGTTCTCTCCCTGGTCATCTCCAGCCTCGATTAGTAAAGTTTTGTGGCCGGCAAGAGCAAGACGAGCAGCTAATGGTCCACCACCAGCTCCAGATCCAACGATGACATATTCATAGCCGGTAAGTTCGACAGCAACTCCTAGGCTTGCCAATGAAATGGCAGCCAAGCCAAAAAGGCGTGGGAGAAGCATAATGTATAAAACAAAGAAACGAGAAATGAATGACTTGAGTTAAAGATAAATGAATGTATAGGTTTGAAAAAGCAAATAAAACACCACGGGATGACAATATTTCTTTAATTCATTTCAATGACGAGGGGGATCATCACTATAGTCCGGGGCTAACAGTCCGGTATAGGGGTCAAAAGTTCCAAGCGAGGTGGTGATCAATAAAAAATTGCAAGCCACTAGAGAATACAGAGACATACATCCACCCCTGGTTACTTCAGTATTGACCAACCAATCAAAATTCAACCTTAGAAGCTCCATAAATGACGATCGGACCTATTCCTAGTAGGTACACGGGCTAGTGATTTGGACTTGTGGGGCTTTTACGAGGGAAGCATATGTCCAAGCGCACATCAATTCGATGTCAGCCAAATCAACCGAGGTGTTAATTTGGCACTTTCATTGACATGTCTCCTATCACATTTGAATTGTATTGCATGAGATTTCTGTATGATCAATTGAGTTTGTTATCAGTCAGATTTGTTTAGTGGATCTGACCCACAAGGATTGGATCTGGATCCTAATCTTACATCTTACTCCACTAGCAGAGATTTGTGTAAATATCTTGTTTATTGCACGGATTAAGGATCAGTGTGGATCACAGATCGTGAAATCCGGATATACCCGGGGGAACTGTGATGTTATCATCCAGATAGAAAGGACTTGAAATTCCAAAGCCATGTGATTCAAGCATGATCATGATCTCAAGTCTAACCCAGTTGGGAATATACTTCAAATATTACCATATCTCCTACTTGATCTCCTTCTTGATCTCCTACTTAGTCTCCTACTCAGTATCTTATCTAGTATTCTACCTTCTTTCATACCGGATAAGTCAAAGGGTCAAAGGGCTCTCCATATATATATATAGCGGAGAACAAGAGAGAGAAAAGTGAAGAGAAAAAACAGCAAAGTGAGGGAGAAGGTCTGGTGGAGGTTTCGCACGTACGTCCAAAAAGTCTACGCTGTTACCAAGTAATAGAGGGGTAGATTAGCTTAGTAGTATTCATGATTTTCTGCCATTAATTATATGATTTTAAAGGTTCTATCCTCATGGCCGCTACTCGCCTTCGTACACCTAGTGTAGAAATCTATCATATTTGCTGTTCAGATTTTGAACATGTCTAGTCTTAGCTTGGATATTGCGAACATCCTTCAATCCATAGAATATACAAGAAATTCCCTCTCAGAGCTCATCCTTTAGCTCCTCCGCCGGCGGAGGCATCGGTCGACCGCTATCCATGGCCAAATCGACGCCGATCTTCTTGCGCCACTTCTCCCACAGAGAATGGAAGTCCTTCTCCATACCACTCTCCATCTGATCAGGCAGAACAACAGTGTATTCCACAAAGAGGTTACCAGGATGATCCTCACCATCATCACCATGATCATGCAAATGACCCTCCGAGTAATGCGGCATACCCTCACCATAAATCGTCTCAACAGCCAAAGGCTGCACAACCTCCCCACGTTTCCGACCAAGACGAACAACATGGCCATCAAGATGCGTCAAGTTCCGCGACCAATCACCCATCCATGCCTCCCTCAAAGAAAGAGTCTCCTTCCAGAACAAATCCTTCCCCTTCCTCCTGAAAAATGTCCCGTCAGTCCTCTCCTCATCCCCAGCCCCCAACTCAGGCTCCTTCTCCTCCAAAATAACAATCAGGTCGCCAGCAACCCAGTCCGGGCTCTCATCAGCCTCATTCTCAAATACCAACCTCGTCCCCCTCCCCATCCCAGGCTCAATACTAGCAGACGTCTCAACCTCCTTCCGAACGACCCGATTTCCCTTACAAACAGGACAAGGATTCTTAATCTTCTTCCCCTGCCCTCCACACTTATCACACGCCATCTGAACCTGCTGGAACATCCCCGGCGCAAGCATATGCTTCTTAATCACGCGCCCATGCCCACCGCACTGGTCACAAGTAACCACTTCCCGATCCTTAGACCCCGTTCCCTCGCAGTCATCACAGATCTGCTGCTTCTCAACAAGGAAGTTGATCTCGCGCCCATTGTAGAAATCACGCAGCGGCAGGGCAGCTTTAACCTCCATATCGGGCCCGCGCCGGTGTCCAGCTCCATGTCCAAAGTGTCCACCTCCGCCGAAGAAGCGCGAGAATAGATCAAACGGATCATTGCCGCGTCCGCCGGCTGATCCTCCTTGACGCTGTTGTTCAACACCTTCATGGCCGTATTGATCGTAGACTTTGCGTAGGGAGGAGGTGGAGAGGACATCGTATGCGTCTGCGATTTCGACAAATTTCTCACGAGCGGACTCGTCGTTACTAGATACATATCAGCATGAATACTGAATACCGACTACTTCGGTTAAGGTGGCCTGGTCTGCTATAACTTACGGGTTCTTGTCAGGGTGGTATTTTTTGCTCAGATTCCGATATGCGCGCTTGATATCCTTTTCTGAGGCGGACTTGTCCAGTCCAAGAATCTTGTAGTAGTCCTCAGCGGCTAAAACGACCACTGAGAACAACACTACCGCCAATGTGACCAGGAACCGAGTGAGATGCATTTTGAAGTAGGTTGTTGCAGCTCATTAAACTTTGTAATGCGGCGCGGCGTTGCGCAACACAGCTCTAGCTGTGCGGGAGCTGGTTGGAGCTGCGGTCTGGTCTTGGTGTGGTGGGATTTGTTAATTAAGTGATTGTCATGAGGACTATCGGGAGTCCCGGGGTTCTTTCCAGGAAACAAGAGAGTCAATGGGGTGGATCACGTATAGTCCAGTTGTATTCCCACCTGCGTCGAACGGGACAAGTAATCCTTATCGCTATGAGGAACAATGTTCAGCCGAGTCACGTGTGCTATACATCGTGACGTGTGAAAAGTACATTAAAAGGGAACAGAGCATTTAATGGAATTTAATTTCAATATCCATAGCTATAAGTGTAAGGTACTATGGAATTATTGGTGTTAAGAATTGAAGATCCTGCCATATTGTCACATAATCGTAAAAAGTCCGAAGCAATCGTAAGTCATAAAAATCAGAAAACAAGGAACATAGAATCTTCAATGATATCCAGCCACGTTGAAGATATCGTTCCGCCACGTGTATCCTAGTCCATGAGTTTCGTCGCCATCCTCAATTGCTTCCTGGGCACCAGTGGCCTGGTCATGCCACGTCTTGACAATACTACCTGGGGCATAGATGCCCTTGAAAACGCCACTGTCCGGAGGTTCCACGCCAATTCGGGTCTCGACATCAGTATCGGCGGGTACCAATCGCGCCAGCACGGCACGTACAAAGGTAGTCAAGTCTTGAGGGTTAGCGATGCGCGTAGCCCGCAAACGCTCTCGGGCAAACACCAGTTCTCGGTTCAAAACAGAAGCAGCATTCACAATTTCTTCTGCAATTTTCCTTTCCAAGACACGACGGATAAGGGGCTTAAGGAAGGGCCTGGTCAACCATAACAGGAACTTCCATTTGCTCTTCTGTACCTGGTAGTCGAGCTTGTGGATGCGCACACGCACTCCGCGGAGGGTAAAGATGTGTTCCAGTCTGTCACGGCCGATCTCAATGTCGAGAGAGATGTCGACGCCGCGACGGTCAAGGTAGAAGCTGGCAATTCCTTCGTCTCGCAAACGGAAGAAGAGGTGGTGAGTCTTAAACCAGTAACCAAAGTCCTTGGCACTTATATTCAAACCGTTAAAGGAGAGCTGGAACATGGTCTTGATATTTGTGTCCGTCCGCTTGGAATGCTTTTTGACTATTTCAATGTCGTTCTGTGTGAGCAGGTGCATGCGGTAGGGGAGGAAAGATGAATAGTTGACCGTGTGGCCGGGCTCCAGGACAAGATTTTCCAACAACAGGTCCATTTCTGGGGCGGAGACCTCTAGGCGAGGAATTGGCACATATTGAATCATCCGTAGGAAAACAGGGAAGGCAACATTGGCCAGGTCTGCTGGAAAATTTGTTGTGTGGCTGTTGTACGCAACCCACGCATCTCCATAGATCTTCTTAGTCGCATTGATCAGCTTGAAAACAGCCGGGTCATCAGGCACCGTGCTCAAGGTCCGCTTAGCCTGAGTGAGAAAGTCATGCACGTCTTGACGAAGACCACTCTCGGACCCGACCTTCTCCGACTGCTGCTGTAGGTCCTCCAGCTTTTGTGGGGCTGACTCGAAAAACTCCGGGTCGGTTAGCATATCCTGAAGCGAGCTGCCTACTTCTCCCATCAGTCGTTCAAACTCGGGATCCTTATTCACATGGCGTAGGACATCATGGAACTTGAGCTGAAGACGATCCCACTCCTCTGCTCGACCGAATGATCGTAATAGTCCCCAAAATTGATCCACTGCCTGTTTCAAATCGGAATTGAATTCGACATCTTCCTGTGCAGCCGAGGCTGTATCTTCAGCTGCGTTAGCGTAGAGAATGGCGTAGCGCTGCACCAGCTGGGTGATGGTGGAGACTGAGTCCGAATAGTCGGTTCGCTGGCGGAGATTCAGTACCGTTTGCTTAATGCGATACAATAGAGTCTCTTTCTCTTTGCCGGCGAGGTGCTCACGGGCGCTTTCGACAGCCGCCTCGCCAGTTTCTGTGGCAGCTTCTCCAGCTACTTTGACCGCATCAGCCAGTTCGGCCTGTACTTCCTCCCGCGAGATGCGATGCTCCTCATCAGCACCGGGGCCCGTCAATGCTTGCTCTTCTTCCTCGGAGGGTTTGATTTGCTCTGCGACCTTTTTAGAGGTCTCCGAGAGGGAGGAGGCGGTGTCAGCGAAGATCTGACGACCAACAGTGGCAACGTCATCGACAAAAAGACGGAAATCAGCGTTGGTCAGAAGCAAGCTCCCAATGGTACGGAAGCTATCGTACGCTAGTCATGCAAGTCCCCACGTTAGCAGACTCTCACGTTACATGTCAAACCAATTTAGCTACGGCTATCAAAGCCCGGGGAGGGGCTGGAACGACCCACCAGCCTTGGTATCAGCACGCGCTTTCACGTGGGCCGCGGTGTAGGAGACACGGGAGCTATCCAGTGCCATCCGCGATCGGGACAGGTGCCAGAGAAAGTCCTGCAGTTGATCCTGGCTATTTTTGGTGCGCAGGAAATCAATGCAGGCCTCGGTCCAGAGACGCGCATCGCGCACCAGCTGGCGACCGTGGCTGCCGATTTCCTGGTTTCGAAGGTTCAGTACATCCGAGGCGAGTAGGGTACGTAGGTTGGCGATGGTCTGTTCAGTGGATGGCATGTACCCCTCAGATAGGGCGCGGAACATCTGGTAGGTATGCAGCTTTTGGTGAAGTTGACGCTGACGGGGAGTGTCATCCTCATAGCGAGGGAGGAGGGGCTCCGTCTCGTCCGGCATGATGAGCCCTTTTCAAAGTTGCCAGGGATAAACTAGTATGTGTGTATTTGAGTCGTTGGAGTTGAATGTAAGTAAAAGCTGTGAATTGAATTCAAATGTTGTGATCTACGGAGGATTCCTTGGATGTCAAGGGGGGAGCTAGAGCCCAACCTGTTTTGGTGTATGATGACGACACCCGTGGACAGGTGTAACTGTTTGCTTTACCAGATAGTTCAACCCATATGAAAATTGAAGAAATCTTGTATTCAGTTCCATGCCAGTATGACGAGCACATTTTTGAAGGTTTATTCATGTACAGTATCATTGGTCAACTAGTCGGGGCCGATCGGGGCGATCTGGGGAAAGCTATGTAAATAGCTGGGGGCAGTCTAGACAGGGCTGTATCAATCAATTTATCCAATTTATCCATTCATTTTCCAGGGTTCAACTTGATCTCTACCTTATAGTAGCAAGACAGGCCTAGACTATGTTTGGATGTCTAATCAAATCCATCAACTGGTACAACCGGACTAGGTATATATATACCATGTTCAGTGACATGTAGCCCATTCGAATCGCACATTTGAATTGAATTCATAGGCAAGTTAGAATATTCAGTAAAATCCATCCGGACGACTGTACTCCGTGAATCTAATCTAGAGTGCTCGATTTACTAAGAAAGATTGAAAAAATTTGTTCTATGATAGATTCCACGCGTATTTCTCAGCAGGCTAAGCCTTTATCCTGACAAAACCGTTGGGAAACTCGGCGACACCAAATATTGCCAATGCATCTTCCGGCAAGGGGTCCAATCAGCGATCCGATAATTCTTTTCATAACTCCGAGCAGACTGTGGAACAATAAAAATAAAAATAAATGGAAAAACGAAAATCACGCAGTACTTGGAGAGGCGATAGATATAACCAAAAGTCCCTATCGGCGGGAAAAGCCATTCAGAAGCCAGAAATCAATCATTTCTAACACAACTAAAAGATGAAACAGGTCACCGGTGAGCTCCTTCCCTCTCCGTCGTTTCCGTCCGATAATTCGTTTTCCCGAAGTATCAAATTCTAAGCGGAGGCCTCCGCTTACCGGCTCACCCCCGCTCTCATCTCCCATCTCCGATATACTAGTTCACTACTACGTAGGTTATCTCCGTATAGAGTGATCAACTCCGTTGGGGAATATTCGGTGAGACCCTAACGGTAAAAGTGGGCAATCTTTCCGTTTTCTAGAACAATTGCACAAATTAAAAGTACCAGTTTTGTACAGTTCTGGTTGGATGAATTTTTGGAGTTAATTTAGTCTGGCACCGAGCAAGACTCCACTTCGGCAGTATCTGCGGCTCTGGTAGCTCGCTGATGTGGATGCGGATGGCTGGGCGGGACCCATCATCAATCCCCCCCCCCGGCATCCTTAACCAGTTAAATTGAAGTATGGATTTGTCCACGCGACTTTTCGGAATTCAGTTCGAGGGCTACTGTGTACATTTTCTTTTCCGGAATGTTATGCAGATAAATCCCGCAATATTGAAAATCAAGACATGTACTACAGTGTAGTATGCATCATGTGCTTGTACTTGTACGTAAATCTACTGTAATCTACACTGTGGAAAGGATATAGATCGTCGTTGCAGAAACATAGGTGGTGTGTACATGGAATCAGGAACCAATGGGAATCTTAGTTGCCACATCGAGTAACCATGTTTCTCCAACAAAAAATCCAAAAAAATCTATTGAAACTCCGCAATTCTTCCCAATTCAACTCCTTGCTGGATCTGCTTCCCGAAAAAGAAAAGAAGCTTTGTGAGGGATCCTAACTCCACTCGGACAGATTCAAGGCCAACGGTTCGCTCCCATCACCGAAATATCCACACTTGAACCTCCTGGGTCCATCCCCATCCCTTTGTACCATCCCCCGACTCTTCCCGACCCCCAAATCATGTCTCTGCTTTTACTGAGTGGCCTTGTCCTCGACACGCGGTCAAGGCTCCGGCCAATTCCATCTTTACCTCTGTCGGAATGTCCTGGATGATGTGCTCCCAAATGACCCAGGGGAAGGCTAGCCTATTCGCCCGTGTACATAAAATCACTCGGAGCTCGCCCCATCTTCAACTCTCTTCTTTCTATCATTCTTCTCCTACCTCGACGACTAAGCTACTTCGCTCTTCGTCTGACACAATGGCTCGATTTACTCCTCAACAAAGCCGTCCGGTCCACGCGACCCCATTCCTGAATCATTCAACTGCTCCTTCGTACGTACTAGCTACCTTGAGATAAGAAAAAAAAAGAAAACCCCTGGCCTGGTTCAACATTGTTTCAACCATGTAGCATTGGACTCTCTCTTATACATCGCCACTAACCTCGTCTTCTTCCTGCTTGATAGAGATGCCAACTATGACACTGCCAACCCTACCTACATTCGCAAGTACCTGCGCACATATGGTCTCACGCCCCCTCGCGCCGAGAGCTACGAAACCCAGAAGACTCGTTGCCTCGCTCAGTTGGGTCTGAAGAACACTCCTATCGATAAGTTCCTCTACTTGCAAAATCTGCGCAAGAACAATGTCCACCTGTTCTACCGCATGGTCACCGACCACCTTCGGGTATGTAGACCCGGAACGAATTACAACGTCAAAATTGGAAGGAAACAAGACTGACCCAACGCAGGAACTTACTCCCCTGATCTACACCCCTGTCGTTGGCGAGGCCTGCCAAAGATGGTCCGAGATCTACCAGGGACCGGAAGGTAAGACATGAGTCATGACGGAATCAACGAAATAAAACCGGGGAAACTAACTTAGCGAAATTTAGGTATGTACCTGAGTTGGGAGGATCGGGGCAATATCGCTGCTGTGATCGCCAATTGGCCGCAGCAAAATGTGGAGATCACAGTTATCACCGATGGTTCTCGTATTCTAGGCCTCGGTGATCTGGGCATCAACGGTATGGGTATCCCCATCGGCAAGCTGGCTTTGTACACTGCTTGTGCCGGTATTCGTCCCGAGGCCACTCTGCCTTTGACCCTTGATCTGGGCACTAGCAACAAGGCTCTCCGGGAAGACCCACTTTACATGGGTAGCCGCCGCGACAAGATTAGCGCGGATGAGGAGCGGGAGTTTTTGGATGAGTTGATGGTTGCTCTTACCGAGCGCTGGCCTGGGTAAGTTCTCGCGTCACACCGATGGATCTTCCGAATCCTTTTACTCCGGCTTTCCCCGTGGAGAAAGATGGCTAACGAAGTTTGTTTATAGTATTGTCATCCAATTCGAGGACTTCAAGAACCCCTTCCCCGCTCTGGAGCGTTACCGGGACATCTACACCTGCTTCAATGACGATATCCAGGGTACTGGTGCTGTCATTCTCGGTGGTATGATCAACGCTGTTAAGCGCACCGGTCTGCCTTGCAAGGAGCACCGCGCTGTGTTCTTCGGCGCTGGCTCCGCCGGTGTCGGTGTCGCCAAGCAGATTGTCGACTTCTTCGTCCGTGAGGGAATGACCGAGGATGAGGCTCGTGCCTGCTTCTACCTGGTCGACACCAAGGGTCTGGTCACTGCCGATCGTGGTGACAAGCTCGCTGACCACAAGGTCTACTTCGCCCGCACCGACAACAACGGCCAGCAGCACAAGACTCTGGAGGAGGTCCTGGACTACGTGAAGCCCACCATCCTGATGGGTCTTTCCACCATGGGTGGCGTCTTCACCCCCGAGCTGCTCCGCAAGATGGCCGACTGGAACACCACCCCCATCATCTTCCCCCTGTCCAACCCCTCATCCCAGTCTGAGTGTGACTTCGAGACCGCCATCGCCAACACTGATGGTCGCTGCCTCTTTGCCTCCGGCTCGCCCTTCCCCAACTCGACCTTCACCAACGCCGCTGGTGAGACCAGCACTTACTACCCCGGCCAGGGTAACAACATGTACGTCTTCCCCGGTATCGGCCTCGGCAGCATTTTGTCCAAGGCCGTCCGTGTCACCGACAGCATGATCTACGCCTCTGGCGAGGCCCTTTCCAAGGCCCTCACCGCCGAGGAGCTCGAGCGTAACCTGCTCTACCCCGACATCACCCGCATTCGTGAGGTCAGCGTTGTCGTCACTCGCAACGTCATCCGCGCCGCCCAGGCAGACGACGTCGACCGCGAGACCGGCCTCCGCAAGATGTCCGACTCCGACCTGGACATCTGGATCAAGTCCCGCATGTATGACCCCCACACCGAGGTCCGCTCTCTCGAGCGTGAGGTCGGCCACCTGCTTTCCAGCCTTGGCTCCATCACACCTCTGATGAGCGGTTCCTCATCCCCTACCGAGGAGAAGCCCTCCAAGCTGTAAATTTCTCACCTCACGACCTTTTCCCCGGTGTCTATGTGTCATGATGCCAATTTTCCCACCATGCAATGCATCCACCAAAAAAGGCAACCTGGTCTAATCAGCAGACTGCTGAGGGTCATTGCATGATGTGCCTAACATGCGCATTTTCCTTTATTTTCGTCATTTTCTGGTTTTGAGCGCGTTTCTCTTTTCCTTTACAGCTTTTATTATATTTTTTCAGGGATGGATACACGGACATTTGGTTTTCTTCTCATTTGGAATACCCTTTTTACTTAGTTTTTGGCTCTCGCTTATGAGTGTCCTATGCATTGGGTTAGGATCAAAATCATCTTGAATGATCAAAATTGAACATACATTTATCTCAATACTTCTTCCAAATCACAATTTATATAGCTTGCCACTCGCCATGGTTAAATTATACCTAGTATAGGTCTATCTACGTAAATGTCTGATGGGATCCCACTACCCTTATCAAGGTACAGAATGCCAGGCACAAAAGCATCCGGATAGCAATTGAGATAGCATAGTTGGCTAGTGGGTGGTTGAGTTCCCCGCTTCATATGAATATGATATATGGTCCAAGAGGCTATTGCTAATCAAACTTGGCAGGCCGTGCAGAAGCTTTGTAATGTACGGCATAAATATAATTATGAAATTTGCCCTGGAAGTCACTTTCGGTCAGGGTCCACTGTAAAATTGATTTCTAAGAAAGTTACTCATCATCCGGTCCAATTAAATTCTCTAGATCCACTAGATGGAGCAAAGACGGAGCATCAATCTCTCCGCGTGGCCATGACTAAGTACCGAGGCCCGCGCCACTTTTTTTTTTTAAGATCAAGCTTTGATAGTGTGAATGATCCTCGTTTCTCCTTTCTGGTCTCCAGTGGTTGATTATATCGATTATTGCATATATCTGAGGCTTTTGAGACAATTGAAATAAAGGTGAAATACAGTTTCATTTCTGAGCCGCTAGACTTTTCAAGGTTCTGCACAGTACGTTTGCGCCTGTATGTAGCCAATCCCAAGGCCGCGAGCTAACAATCCCGGCTCTAGGTATTCTTTATTGAAGGATCTCTGCAAAGTATAATTATACAATGCCTTCCCCCTTGGCAGATCCTGTCAAGCTCCCTTGTGGACTGGTTCTACCTAACCGCCTTTCGAAGGTAAGTAACGCAGTACATTACATATGAAACCCCAACGAACCCCACTCACCCAAACATAAGGCGGCAATGGCCGAGAATATCGCCAAAACAAATGAACCAAACCAAACCCTTTCTGACGCCTACAACCAATGGTCCGAAGGCGGATGGGGTAGCATCCTCACAGGTGTGCCAACCAACCCCCTACCAGCACATCAACCCCAACTGACCACCTATCCCAAAAAGGAAACGTCCAAGTAGACGTCAACCACCTAGGAGGCCCCTTCGACCCAGCCCTACACGCAGAATACAAAGGCGAAGCTAGCCTTGTCGCCAAATGGAAATCATACGCCGACGCATGCCAAAAGCATGGCACCCCGACCATCGTCCAGGTCTGTCACCCAGGCCGGCAGTCCTTCCGTTTCGCCGGCCAGCGCGGTATCTGGGCGAGTACGATCGCGCCTAGCGCCGTGCCTATTAACATTGGCGGTAGTTTGTTAGAGCGGATTATTGCGACCCTAGCGTGGACGGCGCCAAGGGAGATGACCTCTGCGGAGGTTGAGAGGGTTATTAGTCAGTTTGTCGATACCGCGCGACTTATGGCTGATGCAGGATTCTCTGGAATTGAGTTGCATGGTGCGCACGGGTATTTGATTGGTATGTTCAGGTTTTTCCTTTTCCATTTCTCTATTAATCTCTTCGAAATTGCAATGGAATGGGTGCTAATAGATTGTTCTATAATCAGACCAGTTCTTGAATGGAAAGGTAATTCTACCCGTAACCCAGTCTAATATAAAAAGAGATTCACACAGAGAGATAGAGAGGGATTAATACTAACCTTGAAACCGGTAGACAAACCTCCGCACAGACGAATACGGCGGAAGCCCGGAAAAGCGCGCACGATTCGTACTAGAAATCCTCTCACAAACTCGAAAAGTAGTCCCGAGCACATTCTGCATCGGTATCAAACTCAACTCAGCAGACCACAGCTCCGCAAACTTCGAAGAAACAATGACTCAAATCAAGCTCCTCGTCGAAGCCGGTATCGACTTCATGGAAATTAGCGGCGGATCCTACGAAGACCCCAAGATGATGGGTTACTCTAAACAGGAGTCAACAGCACCGGCCAAGTCCGAGCGCACAGCCGCGCGGGAGGCGTTCTTCCTTGAATTCGCTAAGGAGGTTCGCGCGCGACACCCTGGTTTGGTATTGATGCTGACCGGCGGGTTCCGGAGTCGGGCTGGTGCGGAAGCTGCGATTCTTGATGGGGCTTGTGATCTCGTAGGGATTGGAAGACCTGCTGCTATTAATCCCAGGTTCCCATTGTTGTTGCTTGATGAAAGTGTTGAGGATGAGAAGGCTGTTTTGCCTTTGAATAAGGTTCCGACGCCGTTTTGGGCAAGCTGGTTGCCGAGGAATTTGATTGGGGCTGGGGCTGAGAGTGTGAGTTTGAATCAATTGGTGTTGATCAAGGTTTTGTCAGCTAATGCTTTTCTAGTCCTATTACGCTGGTCAGATTCTGCGGCTGGCGAAGGGGCTGGCTACTGTTGCGCCGGCTTTGTGAAGAAATTGGTGTTTATCATACTGTTTACAACATTTGTACATTTGAAGTCATTTCCCTATATAATTGTTCATTTCATCATATTGCCGTTTTAGTCATAAAAGTTGTATGTCGTCCTTTGCCTCATGGGTGAGATTTTCCAATTGTCGATACAAGTCTTCATTCCCCCTAACTAAAGACTCCACATATCTGGCCGCTTCATCTAGGATGTACTTCCTAGTAAAATTATTCCTTTCAAGCCCAGGCACAATTCGACAAAGATCCCGATATCCCTCTCCAATAGCATCCCTTCTCTTTTTCTCAGAGCGACAGTGACAGAGAATCTGCCCAGGCGTCTGGGTACATTTGCGCTTCTTATTCGGCGCCGCGTCTTTCTTCTCATTCGACGAAGTTGACGGTGATTTCGGCATCAAAGCGGGCATGGGAATGTGAATAGGCATTGGTATCACATTCAATCGTCCGTTGTCAAAGTTCAACGAAGAATCCTCAGTTTTGAAAATAATCGGATCCCAATTCTCAATTATATGACTTGTGGGATATTCTAAGGCCTTAAATTCTAAGCTGCCGTCGATATCGATACCGCTGGCCATGCAGGCCATATCCCGCATCAAGTTCCGTACCAGCCGGTCTTCTGTCCAGGTTCCGACGGGGCAGGAGAAGCCGTGGAAGCAGAAGCTAGGATCTGATCCCCATTGTAGGCCATCTTCAATGGACCGGCGTTTTTTTGTATAGTGCCGCATGCCAGTCTGTCTGCGGCAGCATTCTTTCACGGGATTGTGGAGTTGAGAGGTTGGATGGTTTGTCATTTTATATCAAGTTTTCAAGTTTTTGTTGTTTTGCAATAAAGAGGTGGAGTGAACTCAGTCGGTTGAAATTTAGGGTCAAGAGGATTGGGGAATAAGAATGAGAGATATTTGTGCTTCTTGTTTCGATCACAATGCGCGTCCTGATGACAATGAATCAGTTTAGATGGCAAATAATGTTGGGACCTAGAGTGCTAGCGAAATCTCCTTAGCTTTGCTGATCATCTGCATGGCTTGCGAGGGTAGTGATATAAGTGGTCCCTGATAATGCAGGAAATACGTCAACACCGGAATGCACCCGAGTCTGGACAGAAATCTGGGTGCATTCCGAAAGTTCATATTAGCCTGCAGAAATGGGTTATATCAGCTATTATGGAGCGAGAATCGGATATCTGTCTATATTTTATCCAATTAGCTAACCTAACTGAATAAATTAAATAAATTACTATCCCTTCCAGGTCACATGTTCGATCCTACTGCTTTGATAGCTTCACGTGATGACCCGGGTCAGTTCCGGGACCTGCATTTGCTTCCTCCTCACACTATCTTGAGTGACATCAATATCTACCATCAGCCCATGCATTAAGAACTTCATCCAATGATATAGATTCTGAAAAAGGGATGTGATCCGCGCCGGGTGCTTCGAGATCTGATCCATACGGATTTGAAGAATGCGGGGTCCTGAAGCTTGCTGATCGCATCAAACATGTCTTCAAAAGATACCACAAGAGTGAACAAGCGAGGCACTCCACGTCGTCGGAAGGTTGCACTAGCTTGTGAAACGTGTCGCGAAAAGAAGGTGCGGTGCGACGGAGAGAAGCCGATCTGTGGGCCTTGCTCCCAACGATCCTACTCGATTGATAAATGTGTCTACAAAATTGAAAATGCTCGCTCTGCCAGTAACGACGCCTACTTGAAAATACTTCATGACCGAATCCGAGAACTCGAAGAGGTATGCGCACGAAATGGCGTCACAGCTCCGGCTCCGGCTTCATCTATGTCACCACTGGAAAGAGAAAATGAAACCGACAAAACCAATGAGCAACAACCAAAAATCAGTGACTTGGATGCGGATTCTCGTACTTCTGTTGCCGCGGAGGGTTTGCTTGGGCTGGGATCCCGCGTGCCCCTTTCACAACCTCTTTCGACACCTGCCCCTCCAGGGACGACTCATCAGCACACATACCAACCGCCTTTGCATTTCTCTCAATCGGTGACAAGGGACTCCGAATCACATGCTCCGCAGTATGATAACTCAAGACATTATGAATCTATTCAATTTACACCGGCACACATGGACCCTTCTCCTTTAAATTCCCACGGCAGTGTGACGGCAATGGGCTCAATATCGGTTGCAGATGATGGAGAATGCTCCGATTCACCCAGAGAGCAATACTATGGAAACTCTTCGGCAGCCTCTTTTATGCGTCTTGCACGGAACTCTGTGCCAATCAGTTCTTATCTAAAAGCATTGAGACATGCAGACCAAACTCCAAATGCTTTGGATCGTGACACGGGGCTCTGGCAGGATATTAATACCACAGCGACCCCATCGGGCTTTCAGATTAGCGACTTCTCCCTTCCACCACGACCATTGGCTGACCATCTCCTGGAATGTTATTGGGAAAGGATATATTGTCTCTATCCGTTTTTCCACCGGCCGAGCTTTGAGCAGGCATACGAAAACCTCTAGGGCTCAGCCAAGTGGCCGAAGCCCAATTTGCCTGATCTGAATATCGGTCTTGGGGGATCGTTTGATTCTGCGCCCCAGTCAATTGTCTTTCACGCTGCATTGAATGCTATCTTCGCCCTAAGCTGCCACTTCTCCGATATTCCTGCTGGAGAACGGGAGGCTGCGGCGTACTCGTTTTTTCTTCGGGCCAAACGCTTCATTGGCCTAGATTTCTTGGATACGAACACGATTGGCGTTGTACAGACATTACTTATTGTTGCATTGCTTCTCCAGAGCACCCCATACACAAACAGATGTTGGAATGCCATTGGATTAGCATGTCGAGTAGCCCAGGGGCTTGGCTTGCACGAAACCATGACACAAAAATCAATTACGCCCTTGGAGAAAGAGATTCGACGTCGGACTTGGCATGGCTGCGTCATGATGGACATGTCTGTTTCTCTCGTTTTGGCTGTTTGACAACCCACTGACACCGCATAGGATTTTGAGTATGACCTATGGTCGACCAAGCATGACATCTCACATATCGCCCATATTCCCCGTCCCTCTTCCCGCGATGCGGCCTCAATCCCAAGCTGAAGATCCATGTGCTCTCAGTGGACAACCATGTGATCATAAGCTAGGACACATCGCATTCTATACCTCTACGATTGAGCTCTATAAAATTCTTGAATCTATCTTGGCCGATGTTTACAATGCATGGCAGGGTCAATCCCAAAATCACCGCACCATCTCTGTTCAAGGCACCCGGCAAATTAGCATGGACATTATCATGGAACTAGATGATAGGCTTTCTGCCTTCGAGGCCAATATCTCTCCGGTGCTTGATTGGACTACTCCACGGCAACAATTCGGTCCTGAAAATAATCCACAGCCAGTACTTCAGCGCCAGCGAAATGTGCTACGGGCAAGGTTAGAGCAAAGTTCTCATTTCCAAGACCCTTGTTAACTTATTCAGATTTATACATCTCCGGTTACTTTTGTATCGGCCTATGTTTACACAGCTTTGTTCCAACGAGCGGACAGATTTCACGCGGCAGACGAGTACCGACAGAAGCACAGATACCGCCCGGCTAGAGAAAAATGTTATTTACACGTCCATGTCTGTGAACTGCGCTGCAGCATGTGTGACAGCAGCCATTGAATTGGTTTCGCTCGTATATGAGACATACACGACATCGCTAACAGATGCTTGGTGGTATAACGGCTTCTGTATGTGATTACCGTGCCAATAAATGCAGCAAGACTAACATTTAAGAGACACTTCCACCGCAGGGTTTGTCCTGATCATGTCATACTCCTGCTCGTCGATATTGAAGAAGGTCGATTCTCAACTTATCGCTGATACATGGCGGAAATGCGAGAAAATCCTTACCCACATGGCATCGTTCAGCCTCTCAGCACGCAACTCACTACAATTCCTCCAAATAACACACCATCACATTGTACAAAACTACACTAGTACGTGATTTCACCGTAATATTCAGCAGCAAATACTAATATTTTCTAAAGCTGTCTCCCGTCAAGAAGGACTTGGGCCTTTGCCTCCTGCTCATTTGCAGCGAAGGACTACTCGGACAGAAATGCCATCTCAACCTCAGCCCACCGAGACCTTTCCGGAGGAATTCGCCCGTGATATGGATCAAATTGGCCTGGGTAACAACCTCTTGACAGGCTGGGACGAGATTGGCTTGGGACAAGAGGAATTTGGATTCCTTGGGAGATTCGATGTGCCTGATATTGCGAGCTGGTTTCCGGATTTACCTGATCCTCCTTTCCCGACCTAGGTAGCAATAGGTCATCATATAGGATAAGCTCAGAATGATGATACTTCTTTAACCCATTTACAAGACTCAGATCCTCTCGTAGAAGCATGTCCATATTTACAGTCACTACTAGTAATAACATTGGGAGATATAATCAAGCGCCAGGAAAGAAGAGTTGGTAGAATTATTTATCTGGCATGAGCTGAAATTGAACATGGAATGTCTCAATTGTGCCTAATCTCACCGAGTACTTAGAAAGTACATTGCGAGATAATCTCATTCGCATCATCCATGAGTTTATGATGAAAGGAGCCACAACTATCAAACTCCCTACAGTTGACTTACGATAAATCTGACTGATACCTTGATCCAGCAAGTAGACAATGTAAGTGAGAGTATCAGCGAAAATCTCCTAACCCAGAGGGACTCCTGCAGTTTTGTTGGCTGCTTTTTGGAGGGTCTGCTCTGAGTTGATGTTTCCCGGTATTAATTAACACCATCATCAAGTCTCGTCGGCTAATTTGGTTGGTCACGTATCGTGCCTGGTGGGAGTGTTCGCCGCTCGACCATTCGGATGTTGAATCAATTATTTCTTCCTAAAGGTGTTATAACCCAACTTCTTAGCGTAATTAACCCTTTGCCCTGGAAATCCTGAGTCTATAGTCACAAAGACATAGTAGGAATAGTAGATATCTTCTAATAATTTACTCAATGACCGTTCACTTTATGAGAAGCCCATGGGTATTGATATTTTTAAAAGTTGTCCACTCATTGTTAATATGTAGAGATAGGGACGGATTTGCCGTTTTGATCCAGAGTAGGAATGGAAACCTCCCAACAAGCTTGATTAAACTCGAGTATGTACTGTGATATAACCAATGATTGATAATGAGTCTTCGGATAGGTGGATGGTATTTAAATGAAGATGTTATTATAGCTTTAAGATGGGGGCTCTGCTCTTTGAATTATGATTAAAGTACGAGTACCACTGAGCACCACAATCGGCCGTTATTATAGCGCATCAAAAAGATTCATATCAGCATGACTCCAAAATGTGCCTGAAAGATTCTCCAATGTCTCAAAATCAGGCATCCACATCGGACCACTCTCGTCCTGATCAATCCAAGGCGCAAGCTGCAACGCCATCCTTACGGCATGGCCACTATCGTCAGCAGGATAAGGTCCAGCCTCAGGCGCCAAGCCCGTCGAGTTCGACGGTGGGAACTTCTCTCCACCTGGCATATCAGAAGCGGGATTATAATTCAAAGGGACCCCGCCATGCTGGGCGGTCATCAGCTCTGCTATACCCGCATTTCGGGCGGTTTCGTTTCCCTGCAGCTTTTCCATGGCGGCGTTGACGAGGAGCTCGAAGGCATCTCTGTATTTTTTTACCCAGGCTGCTCGTTCGCCCATTACGAATAGGACGGTTGAGCAGGCTCGGATGTTGTTGCTCATGCTTACGGACCAGACTTCTTCGGTGTGGGTCCAAAGGGCGTAGAGGAGAGTAATACCGGCCATGAAGACCGTTTGGACGGCCAGGAATGAGTGGCCGTAGTCCAGGGTTTGGTGAAGGCGTTTTTGTGATTGGCAGATTTCTCCAGCGGCTTGGAGACAGATTTGGTAGTATCGGTCTGTTATTGGTAGTAGAGGTAGAAAGGGTTGGATCAATAGTCGCACCGCTCTGTAGTAGTGCAGCATGGGGTAGTCGAGCTCTGGACCGCGGAAACGTAGCAAGACGGACTCTTTCCACTGTTCGAGTTCGAGGTACAAGGGATCCATTTTGGGTCGTAGGGAGGATATAAGACGGTCGGCTCGGTAGATCTTGTGTAGGATCCTGGAGTCAATGCGGCGAATTTTGAAGAGATAGATAGAGAATGTGAGGTTGGTTGTTTTGGTAGGGTCCAAGCTTTGTGGTGCTGTAAGCAATGCGGGATCCTCTACGTCGTCGTCGATGTCCAATGGCAGATCAAGGTCAATGTGGCGATCGGAAACACTAAATGGTCGACCCAGTGACATTGCCACACCTCTCTCGAGGAAGTACACTGACCAAAAGAGTCTTCGTCGCATCTGTACCGAGAATGGGTCCAGATTGCTTTCGTTTGCTTTTCGGTGAAGGCCAAGATCAATGGCCGTGCGCATGGCAAGTCCAATCATGTACCACATTCCATGGCTAGATGCAGTACGTAGATGATAAACCACAAGAAGAACCATAGCTTCGATGTTCTCGAGGGAGCGTGCGTCGGCAATTGCTGGCACATATTGCAGCGCGGTGGCATAATATCGCTAACAAAAACATTATCAGGTTGTGTCCAAAAATCAACGTATATGCTTACCTCAGGTGGTGTCGTTATGTATGGTTTGTTCCCACTAATTTGGATCATCGTAGACCCAATAGCATAAATCATACTGAGCTTGAATATCGCGTATCGATCAGCATGCGTGAGGTCTTCGCGCTTCGTTTTCGACAGTCGCCCTCTCTCCTCATGAAGTTGCCATGTTCGTTTGCGATGCAAAAATGGATATCGGGATTGAAGTCTCTTGAAATAAATTTCCAGAATCCTCGATCCAACTTCGTCATTTGGAAATTCAACAATGGCCGGATCTCGATGAGCACAGCCCCTTCCCGGCTGAGGTTGCGATTGGCTAGAGTTAGGCCCCGCTGTACCCTGTGAAGCATTTCCACAGCCTGTACTTGGACTTTGATGCATTCTCGAGATAAATTGGTTCCAGACGCTGGTTTGAACCATCTCCCCGAGGTTGGCAGCCAGTGAGAGGCCCGAGCTTGCTCCCACGTAGGCAGGTGCTTCAGACGAACTTAATGCTAGAAGACCCACGATCTCGCCGACGGGGTTGTTGTCTAAGCCGGATGATGTCGTTGTCTGTGGAGTGCGCTGTCCTCCCGAGGGAGACCATAGTGAGGCAGCGGCATTTGTATCCTGGGCCGTTGCTGATTCCTGGCGATTTAGCTTGCCTTCAAGGAATATTACTCGCTCTTCCAGTGTGCGCGTGTAACTTAAAAGAAGTCAGATGTACAGTTCTCGTTGAATTACATATCTTCTTCAGATCTCACTCATCTTGGCGACTTGCGTCGTCTCTTACGCTGGACTTATCGCACGTGACCCCGGCCTTCTGGCAGTTGGAGCAAGTTGGATATTCATTGTCGCACTGCATCGATGCTGCATGAGTATGTTACACAAATATCAATATAAACCTTGAGCTCACTCTTTGTTTTCTTGTTTTGCAACGAGTGCATGCAGTCCTGCCACGCTTTCGAGGATTGTAGTCGTGGGATGTCGGACTGGTCAGTCTCGATGAATCAGGGGTATTTACTGGCGCGTACATTATGATTCATTGTTAATCTTCAGTTCAAAATATCTGAGATTGTTATTGAATCAAAAAGTTGCGTTGAGTGGAGGATGGATAATCAGCAAGATAGATGTCGGGGGAGAACCGAAATAGGCGGAAGATGCCGATGACGCCAAGACATCATTTAACCTTATGCTACGGTACTTTGCGACTTATTAGGATCTGGATTATCAAATTGACTAAAAGAAATCCAGTAGAGAGGTTATTTTTGAGGACAGGAAATTAGACTAAGCTACTTCATGTTCGTTTGGCTCTAGAATCCAATTATAGGCAGCATATGCCCATTATGGCTAGATATTCAGGAACAATCGAATGTTTTGCATTTCTCATGTTAACTGTATCAATGTATGTATCAAGTATCTTTTATCAAGGGTGATATCTTCTGTAAAAATTCAACGCCATGCAATTTGCGATGTAGTTCAAATGCAAAACAAAAAACAATCCGCAACGATTTCTTTCTCTATTTTTGTGCAATACATTGCCTCTCATCCACATTAGAAAGCTCTGGCTCAGCACGAGAAGGAGGCATAGAAGATTCCGCGAGTGTCGACGACATTGAATGCCGTTTTTCAACATTCTCTTCGGCCTGGGGATTTTCGGCATCATCAACCTCGTGAAGGGCAGCCTCGGCATCTCTAGACGCCTGCTCTGCTTTCCGCTTCTCCTCCTCAATCTCCTCGGGCTCCTTTGGCCTTTCAAGACCGCGATCACGGATAAGAGAGCATGCGAGGAAACACACACCAATCAAGGGAACCTGAAGAATAAAAACCGAATGCGATGCTTTCGAATACGAAGACAAAATCTCAGACCACTCCTCTGCACTGACACTCGACTGGGAAGGAATCGAATAAGTGGATTCTGCGAGATAGGAGAGTTGACTGGGCAGGTTTGAGCGAAGGCTCGCCTGTAAAAGTGCGGCCGAGACAGCAAGGCCAACGGAGCCGCCCATACAGCGGAAGAAATTGCGATTAGAGATGGAAATGGCACGCTGAGATTTGGTGCAGTGGGCCTGTAGCGCTACCATAGTCGGCTGGAATGTGAAGCCAATTCCAATACCAGTGATACCGACGATGACAGCGATGACGGCTGGGTGCGTGTGGCGACCAAAGAGTAGCATCAGGCCGGCGCCCCTGCAATTAGATGGTTAGGGATGAACGAAGAATGGGATCGGATGTTACTTACAGAGTCCAGACTCCAAATCCGATCCAGATGATTTCGCCGTATCGCTTCAGCCGAGAGATGTACTGTCCTGAGCACACAGATGAAACGGACTGACAGGCGACCATGGGAGCTGTCAATGCAGCTGAAACAATGGGATCCCAGCCACGTCCATTTTGGTAGTAAAGCGGCAAGTAGTAGAGATAAGATTGGTAGACCGCTCCCAGTAAGAAACTTTGCAGGAAGAGAGCAGTGATAACACTGTTCTTGAAGAAAGCCACTGATCAATAGTTAGTATCATTGTCTTGGCTTAGAGATCAGTTGAACATACTTGGCAACATGGGAAGCGTAGCCACTTTCCACTCAATAAAGATGAAAGCAATCATTGACAATCCTCCAATAACAAGCATGCTGATTACCATTGCAGAGTCCCACTGGAAATAAGAACCACCACCAGAAATGGGGATCAACAAGAAGATAATTCCAATCGAAGAGGCGAGTACACCCCACCAATCAATGCGTTTAATATTATCCCGGAAGTTACTCTTCTTCGCATTGTTCGGAATGAGAAAGAATCCCACCACAGCGGAACAAGCAGCCAACGGGGAAATGAGCCAGAAAAAGCCTCGCCATGTTGAATCCATGATAAATGCAGCTGCAATGAACGGACCGATGACATTTCCAATGCCAAGTGCAGCACCCAGGATACCCTGATACTTTCCACGCTGTTCAAGAGTAACAACATCGGACACAATAATCATAGTCAGAGATGTGACACCGCCACCAGCAACACCGGCCAGACCTCGGAAAATATAGAACATGGTCGGGTTAACAGAAAGACCACAGCACAGATCCGCAAGACATAGTAATACCAATGCGGAGATATAGATGGCCTTGCGGCCGAAAATATCAGACAGTCGTCCGTATAGCACAGTGAACATAGTATTTGCAATCAAGGATGAAGTACCAGCCCAGGAAATGGTATCTTGAGCTCCTAGGTCGCGTGCAATAGTGGGCAATGTCACACTAATACCATTCTGGTCGGACATGGTAATCAACAATGATGTGGCCAATCCCGAAAACACAACCATGAGCTGGCCGAACGGAAGAATATTAGTTTGGTCGTGCAATGCCTTCTCGGCCTCACGTTGTCGATTTGAGGCCATTTTCTGGCTGGAATACAATAGTCGAATTCAATTATATCAAAATAAGTTGATAGCCATTCAACCCAAAGTGGAGTCACAGATCCGGAGGATAACGTCAGAAATGCTTGGCTGAACTGAACGCTGGAGATTTTTATTCATTGAAGATTTCAACTTGATTTTGATTGAATCTTCAACAGTGGTGGAGAGAGTGTTAATATGAAGAGTGAAGGAATTTTTTCCACAGTGTTATCCGACATATCGGCAAATAAATCTTAGCATTAATGCGATTGGAGACTTACGCCGCCGAGCAAGATTAGAGTCGGATAGGAGTCCGACAGCATCATTTAGGCCCTGCATTTCCAACTAATTCTGCACCGGTGGACAAAGCGATCCAGAAATGTCGGCTCTATTCCGCGTCATCTACACTGTGGTTGGTGAAATCATGTGGATCCACAACTTCGGATGTCCGAAATCATCGTCGGACTACCGATGATCAGTCATTCCGGAGTAACTCTTCCCCGCTTTGATTGGATCCCATTTTGCTTAGTTCTACGGTGATCTAGATCAGCACTTCAGGTTACAACAAAATATCCCGTTTCAAGGTTTAGTTCCTCATGGGCTTGCATTAGGTAGGATCTCGGATCTCCGATTTATCAATACACTGATAGCGGAAACTGCATCCCAACCAAATCCTCACTCAATCGGAACAATCTTTCAGCAACATCCTGACTCACGGCGTGGGGTACTGCGGTGGCAAATTGGCAATCGCTGAGGTAAACTGCGGTTGGATCAGATACAACTATAGACCATTAGTAACGCTGTCGCGTGACTTCCTTATTTCAATCATACCATTCAGCCCCGGATCCAAAGCAGCCACAAGCATAGTGGCCGCGCCTTGATCAGCCGTCTTCCAAGATTTGCTGGTTTTCGCCATAGTCTCGCTGTTAGTCTCGTCAAGGCTACGACTCAGACCAGTCCAAATAGCTGCAGATGTTTCAGTAAAGTAAGATATGTTCCAATAATTTGAACTTACAGCCAGGGTGAACACTGTATGACACAATGCCCGCGGACGCAAGGTGCTGATTCAGGTATACCGTGAACAAGATATTGGCCGCCTTGGACTGTCCATATGCCAACCAACCATTATACCCGGCTGCCGTAGGGTTGAACATGGCTGGCAGTCCATCAGGGGGTCTTTCATCTTGAGGAACTTCCTTGCCCTCGAAGTTATAGTCATGGAACCGAATAGGAGAGAGTCGGTGACCAGCACTGGTCACATTGATCACTCGGGTTGATCCAGGCTCCGAAACCTTAGCCGCATTCTTCAGCTGTGTCATAAGCAAGTTTGTGAACAGAAAGTGGCCAACGTGATTGGTTCCAAATTGTATCTCAATGCCCTCTTCTGTGGTTTCTCGGTTTATCACCATCATTCCGGCATTGTTGATTAGGATGTCGATGTGGTCGATCAGTCCTTGGACATTGGATGCTGCCTCGCGAACGGACTTTTGAGATGCAAGATTTAGGACTACAGACTCGACGGTTGTCCCTGGGGCCAGTGTTTTCACTTTGTTGGCAACTTCTTGTACTTTGCTCAGGGTTCGGGAAGCCAGGATTAAGTTGGCTGGTTGTTGGCTAGCTATGGCCAGCGCAAGAGCTTCACCCAAGCTACTGGGACCAACACCAGTAATAACCACTTATCTGTGTGTTAGCCTTCTAAAATTGATCGTGAATATAGGACTATGACTTACCATTTTTGCCTTGGATCCGACCTGCAAACGCGCTGGCAACTTCCGTCGCGGTAGCTTCTGCATTAAAGTCGGGGTGAGATACAGCCATTTTCACTTGTCTTCTTATTTGTGTTTCTCTGTTTCTGTTCCTTCTCTTGGTGCTTCATATACTCCTTTTTCTCATTTATTGCCTTCTGCTCGGCTGTATTCCCTCGGCCAGCCCCGCACCTTCAACAGGCATTCCCAGGCCCCACACCCAGTGCTATCTGTCTAGCAACATTGCTGATCAAGTTGAACATGATCTTATGCTAGTTCGTGCACTTTTTTTTGTGAATAGCACTTGTAGATGCGGGGTTGCGGAGACTATCAGACTAGATCATCAACCTGCCTGCGGCCCCGCAAGAGAATTCTCCACATCGCCTCCTTTTCAAAGTTCGATACTTCTCATTGGTGTGATGGGTCGGAAAGATGCTGCCGAACCCTGATTTCGAAAATATTACAGTGATTTCATCGGCAGTTGGAGGTATCTGATTTAGCCGTCTAGACGGGGGGTTATTCCAGGATGGGGATAAAACCGATGTTGTAATGAATGAAAAGTACACCACAATCGCATTATCACCGAACTGTTTCTCGCTCTTGGTAAAACCCCTTTGTGATTAGATATACAGTTATTCCAGAAGTAGCGCAATATGGCACTTCCCCAGCATTCCAACGGAGACGCGATTGAGCCAACCGGAATCAAAGTTGTAATCGTTGGCGCAGGTAGGCAACACTGCATTATATTCTAAGAAGTTCCTAACAGAATTAGGATTCGGTGGATTGACAGCTGCAATCGAAAGTCATCGCCAAGGACATACCGTTGAGATCTATGAATCGTTTCCGGGTGAGCCGGCAAACGCAAGTGAGATGGGACAATTTTCTAACTTGCCATTTCAGAGCTCAAAGCACTCGGCGATATCATCTCCTTTGGTCCGAATGCAGGTCGGATTTTTCGTCGCTGGTCCAATGGAGTCATCGCGGATAGGCTGAGGCCTCTAAGTATCGATCTAAAGAACGAGGGCTTCAAAATCCACAAGTGGACCGGTGAGCTTATGCACACACAACCGCGTCGTGATTACGATCCTGAAGCCCCGGTTATCAATGGTCATCGAGGTGAATTGCACACGGTTATCTTCAACTATGCCAAGGACGACCTAGGAATTCCTATTCATCTCGGTCAGAGAGCTGTTGAGTATTTTGAGAATGAAAATCATGCTGGGATCGTTCTTGAAAACGGCAACAAGGTTAGATTCTCCATCGTTGAGCGAATTCGAGAACTAACCCTGAGCAGGTCACTGCAGATCTCGTCATAGGTGCAGACGGTGTACGCTCTAAAGCGCGAGAGCTAGTCCTGGGCTATGTTGATAACCCAAAGTCGAGTGGTTATGCCATTTTTCGGGCTTGGTAAGTTGAATTGTCTTCACTGAAGCAAGTATTGCTGATCAGATAGGTTCTCAAACGAGGACATGATGCGCGATCCACGAACCAGACATTTTTGTGAAAATGGCGATACTTTCAATGGATGGATTGGACCTGATGTGCACTTTCTCTTCTCCACCATCAAGAATGGGCAGGACTGCTGTTGGGTTCTCACGCACAAGGTAATTCAATCACTTTTCACAAACAAGTCACTCTGACAGATTCACTCAGGATGACGCTGATATCAAAGAATCCTGGTCCCTCCCTGGTAAGCTCGAAGATGTGTACAAGGTGATTGAGGGATGGGATCCGATCTGCAAGGCCATTGTCGAGAAGACGCCGTCACTCGTCGACTGGAAACTAGTGTATCGTGATCCTCTGCCTCGCTGGGTAAGTGACCATGGACGTATTGCGTTGCTTGGAGATTCGGCACATCCTTTCCTCCCCACGTCCGTACAGGGGGCAACACAGGCAATGGAAGATGGGGTCGTACTAGCAGTGTGTTTGAAAGAAGGTGGAAAGAAGAATGTCCCTGATGCCGTGCGAGCTTATCAAGACATCCGGTAGGGAATTTGACTTCTTATCTGTGAGGCATGTTACTCATCCATTGCAGGTACGAACGTGTGAAGGCTGTTCAGAAGACTGGAGAGACCACCCGTGATATGTGGCATAAAGCGGACTGGGATCAGGTTAAGAAGGATCCAACATTAATTCAACTTCCCCAGGAAGACTGGATCTTCCAATTTGATGCGGAAAACAATGCGAGAGAATCATTCGGGTCGGCGTTGCAGAGGGTGCAAGTGAATTAGTGGGGAGAAGTGAAGTCACTGTGAAGTGTTAGGTTTTTCCGAAGTCGTTCCAGTTCTAAATTCAATAGTCATTGATCGAATGGACTAGAATACTATAATTTAAAGCTATAATATGTACTGTTGGTGTGCTATGAAGGAAAGATGAAGTTATCTAGCTGGGGATGCGACGTAAGCCAGGCTGAGGCCTCAGCACGTACTAATCATATTGCCCTCGACTGCTATCAGATGTATAGAAATAGTCCTTCTTATTTCAATTTCAGATTCAACTACTAGGATAATCTCACAGCTTGACAACTCTCTCGGCCACCCCTAAACGCTACTCGTACTAGAGCTCATCTCAAACTCTGTCCTCAATAGTCTCCACTACAGGCTTTTCTGAGTCTTCGGAATCGCTCTTCTTTGGATTACCTGAGGTACTCTCTGAGCCCCTACGTTTTGCTTCAAGAGCTACCGCACCAACACATTGATAGGATGCGAACTTCCGAGCCGGAACCCGCTGCTCAAACTAATCAAAAGTCAGTGTATGTGTTCCATTGTGAATTCGTTTAAAGTGACTTACCATCTCATCAATTTCTTCCAAAGTACGTCCCTTAACTTCAGGAAGGAAAAAGTAAATAAAGGCAGCGGCAATAAGACAAGATGGGAACCAGATGTACCCATATTTGGGACTTGAATGACAGCAATTAGCAGGGTGAAAAGCAGCGGTAATAGTTCTTTGGTGACCTACCCCCAGTTCAGTGATGCGACATTGATGAAATAAGGAGCAGTGAATGTGGTGAGCCACTAGATTGCTGTCAGTTGGGGCCTTATATGCAATTAGGGGTAGACTGACTGCTCCAAGGAATCCAACTGCTGCCGCGAGACCAAATGTATAGGACCGAAGTCGCTGGGATGGCAGTTCTCCACCTGAAAGCCAGGCATACGTGGCCACCATTCCCTGGATCGCGAATTAGTTGGCTCTTGTAGCCTTGGCATTAGCTCACTGCTTACATTGTACCCGAAGATGAAGATGACAGAAAGTGCCACAATCACTTTGCCTGTGGTTGTCGTCCCTGGCTTGACCGTGTATACGATAGCAACTATCAGTTGACTGACTCCACAAAGTATGAGACCAGTTATCAGGAAGACTCGCCGACGGCCTATATGAGTGATGACAGCAATATTGAGTAAAATGGCCACAACTCCTACTGCAGTCAGAATGCAGCTGTTTTCAAAGGCACTTCCAACACCAGCCATCTCGAAGAAATAGGTTCCGTAGGCTATAGTATGACAATTAACACAGTTCAGCAGGAATTGGATGGCAGAAGAGGGCTCAGGCTAACCAATCATGAACATAGCTCCAGAAGCAGCCTGGGTGGTGACAGCACTGACGGCAAGAATCGTCCGACGACGATCAACGGGATTGGTGAACATATCCCACACAGAGGTGCTACTCGCCAAACTGCGCTCCTGTTCAATTGCATGTTGCATTTCCGACATCTCTCTATCCACAGTCTCTTGATCAGGTCTCAACCAAACCAATGCCTTTCGAGCCTTTTCAACTTCATCATGCTGGAGCAACCATCTTGGTGATTCCGGTATGAATAGCATGCCGATGACTAGTACGGCAGGGATGATAAATATAAGGCCAAGGGGGATGATATAGCTATTCTTGCCACCTATCTTTTCGGTGAAGTTGTCCACAATAGTGCCGATGAGAGTGCCAAGGGAGGTAAAGAATTGGAACCAGCCTAACATGAGACCTCGGTATCGTGCCGGTGAACATTCCTAAGAAGAAAAGGTAGTCAGAATGATGTGACTCTGCTTGATATGAAGAATGCATGCCTGAATGTATAGCTGGGAAAAGGTCATGAGAAACCCATTTCCGATTCCAATAATCAAACGACCCGCGTAAAGCCCTCCTATAGTATCTGTAGTCATCATCACGACGTTTGCGACATATATCAAGACGACTGCGATATGAAGACAGGTCCTCCGTCCGATATAGGCTGCCATAGGCCCTTTTCATTGTTAATTATCTTCACCTGCTGGTCATCAGAGATGATTACCTGAAGAGCATGATCCAATGAAGGCACCCAGAACCATCAAAGAAGAAATCAGTTGCTGACGTTCAGAGGTGATATTCCATCCCGTAGAGCTGGCAGAGTCTCTATATCCGAAAATCTGGTTTCATAGGCGACGTCCCCGTTAGTTTCTCCATGTTTGAATGCGAATTAAAGTGCGCGCAGTCCATACCTTTAAAAATCCGACCATAGCCTGGAAACCTCCAATCAGGGTATAATCAACTCCATACTGGAAAGGAGACATGGAGATCAACAAGCATGCCGACAGTGATTTCCAATGAAGTCGGAGCCCATTCTGTTGATCGCCCATAGTGACAATGATATCTTGCCAGAAAGCTATGTTGAAGAAGATATTTGACAAAAAATGATGCACGACCTGTGCGTAATTGTAATGCAAATTGTCGATCGAGGCAGACCGGGGTTTTAGCAGGACCCAAATCCCAGCTATGACCATTCACAATCTGGATATTGCTCGCTCCCGGTCTCCCAGGTTCTCTGTGGGGCCATGCGGAGTCATTTCTAGTATCCACAGGGATGATCAGTCTAGCTTGACAAACGGCATTACGGATTCTTCGTGTATCGCGAGGGGAGAGTCATACTCCAAACCACAGACGGGCTCATTGGTTGCAGACAATGAGGTGGATACAACCATATCGGCGAATTCTCTGCACGCCAGGTCCAAGGTGAGGAGCAAGATGACCTTGGCAGACAGAACTCTATGCAAATGACTGTCGGCTTCAGTTCCGTGCGATTGGCCCCAGGCCACGGCTGACGCATGTCTTGCTACCCGAGGGGACTGGGATCTGTAATCTGGCGTTAATGATCGGAAGTATGGCAAGTAACAGTCTGGGTTAACTGCCGAGCCAAGCAAATTAGTATTCATAGTTGTGGGGAACATCAACGCGGAGGTGGAGAAGCGGGCCAGCTGGCGCTTTGTCTTTTCTTAGTGCGAGAATCCGGGGGAAGTGGAGGTCAGTTCTGATCTGAACGCATTACTGCGTATTTAATACACTATTTTCTCGATCCAGATGTTGGCCATATGTATAACAGCCAATTAATGGCTGGAAATCAAGATTATGGCAACGCGAGCTTGTATTAGGTTTATCGATAGAAGCTGCAGCTCGATCCAGGTGTTGGCCATATGTATAACAGCCAATTTATACCTGGATATCAAGATAATGGTAACGTGAGCTCGTATTAGATTTATCGATAGAAGCTGCAGCTCCGTCCAGATTGCAAGGATTTGATTCCACCATTGCGGGAAAAAACAACGAGCCAATTGATTAGTGAGTGATAGTCCCAGTACCAGCACTATGGACATAAACATGGTATCAAGTAAAAAAGGCATCATGGATCCGTTACATCTCATAATCTTCGTGATAGTTCCAGTCTTTGTGTAGCCCAAGTTTCGGCCTGCCATTGGGGTACAATCGTGTGAATTTGCGTAAGAAACTGCAAGAACTGGAAAGTTTGGCCATCGTCAAGGACCATATTGTATTATGACGCCTAAATGAGCATACCGCAGCAAAATCCAACTCCAAAACTGCCACGTTCACCATGTATGTTGTGTCCTCGACGCCGAGACATCGGTCATGGGACATCAGCAGCTTTAGAGACAAGAAAATATCGATAGGCGTTCGGGTACTCCTGATGGTGTGCTAGGTATTAGACGGACCAATAGGGACTCCCAGGTCCCCGGTCGCCCATGGATTCTGCATGACACGGGCGTTGAGAGCGTTGACATTGTAGCCATCATCCCCAGCGACATCGCCGGGATTGCCATCTGGGCCATGCTGGGAAGGGTCACCATGTCGAGTGACAGCAGAGTTTGTAACGCCATGATGGCCCAAGTAAGGACCACCGGAAACGTTGCCCTGGTTTGGGAAGAAGCTTTGATTCAAAGCTCCACAGGTCGTACAGGTGAACTCAATCTTGAATTCCGAGATAACCATTTGAGGCATTCCAGGATGGTCATTTCGTGGCTGATAATCTGTAGGTTTGAAATGAGAAGGCCCTGCTATCGGTAAAGCAGCAGCAGTGGTATATCCGATGCCGGGTTGCGATACGGGCATAGGGCGTGGGTCATTGCCAGCAGACTGGCCTGGATTTCCGATCGGAGGTGGTATCTGAGGCGCCCGTATAGATTGCGATGGTACTGGTGCTATATTGTTCTCTGAAGGTTCATTAGCATTTACACTATCATCCTCCATCAACGTAGGCTGGAGAGGATCCGATATCCAGCGAGTCTCCGACAGGTCCCGGTACGCTGGCCCTGCATCGCCCTGTGACTCGGGTTGAGATTGGGCTGGCGAGTTTTGGTCGCCCGTGCTCATATCTAGACTCAATTGTTGATCGTTCTGACTGAGACCGTCTTGTGATTGTAGTTTGATCAATGCACGCTGCGCTTGTCTCGTGGAAATTTCATATCCATGATAACGCTTCACGGCATCCACAACGTCCTGACTCTTGATCCTAGCTTTCATATCAAACAGTCTCGGGATCTCGCTGAGCAAAAATCGTACATGTGAGGCTTCGGAACGCACTGGTGTCCTGGTCGGGGAGTCTACACTTCTTCGGCAGCTGTGACTGTCCTGCAGACTAGTGATGTAGGTTGCGTTTTTGTTCGAGCGACACACCACACGGAAGAAACAATTGCCCCCAGATCGACAGCCAATGACCACACTCTTCTTGTTGCTTCGTATCACGCGAAGCTCCCAATGCTGCCGAACAGAGATGCTCCGGATCACCGACTTGAATTCCTCCAAGGAAGGGAACCGCTGATCCACATGGAGCCCCGAGTATATATCTGACATATTGACCAATACAGCGACTTCAGCGAGGGAGAAATGACCGAATAGATAAGACGGTGGTCGCGAATGTTTTGGTGGCAGCTTCCATCGGGGGGTGTGCGTTGTCCGCGGGCGAGTGTAATACAGTATAGAGTAACGCGATGGTCAATGCCTTGAGAGTTCACTCTCAGCCTGTCATCCTATAAAAGTATTTGCATCGACTTTCGTCGAGAAAAGAGCAAGCTCAGTCTGCGGGACCCGGTGGAGTGTGAGTTTCTGGGGAAAGCAGCCGCATTGAAACCTTGGGACTGCCAGACCGCTCGCCTTCAATTCTTCTTCAACTCCACTTTCCTAACTCTACGCTTTCGCAGTCGATCCCCTGAAATAAATTACGGGAACTACTTTTGGAAATTGAAATCATCCTTGATTGTTCTGGAAGTCCCATGATGGCTTCATACGGGCTGCTGGGTCAGCCTGAAGAAGGTCGAGTCTTCCTCCAATTCCTCTCTTTGTGCCTTTTAACTAACCTCTCCCCGCAGACGCGCTTCACAAGTCGCGGCTTCTCAATGTCGAAGAAAAGCCATTCAAGCGAATTTCTAAACGCCTTTTAAACCCCGATTCCCTTCTCATCGCCAACTCCTCCCTACCACCCACCCCTCCTCCAGAGACCGATTCCGATGCGACCGCAACCGCAGAATCCCAGAAGCAAAAACGCTTAGAAGAATGGCGGCATTTCCGCGAAGATGTGACACTCGACTTTGCCGCATTCGAAGGCAGTATCGCTCGCATTCAGTTTTTGTTGAAGAGCAACGAAGAGGAGCGCCAGCGGTACGCGACAGAGAAACTCCGCATCCTGTCTACCATGCACGCTGTTCGCGAAAATACGACCGACCTGCGCGCCCAACTCGAAGAAGCCCAACGACTCCTGGCGTTACGAAAGAGCTATGACGACTTGGCAGACAAGATTACCAGCAACCGTCTGCTGAAGCCGCGAGAGGACCAGCAGGCCAACCTTCAGAAGCTGCAATCAGAAATTACAGAGCTGGACAAGGAAAGCAAGGATTATGCTAAAACATGGGCGGAGCGACGCGAACAATTTGGTCGCATCGTGGAAGAGGGCATGCAGCTGCGCCGGTTGATTCGCGATGAGAAAGAAGAAGTAGAGCGGAGGGAAGGTATGCAGGAGGGCGAGGATGGGGATGAAGGCGACGCCTCTTCTAAAGGCAAGCTTAGTGCTGCTACCAGCCCTCGTCCGGATGCTGAAGGTATGACTCCGTCTCACGGTCAGGATGAAAGCCGGCTGCGGGTTGAAAATGGATCTGGGTCTGCCAGGCCTGCATCGCCTTTGCGACAGGTCATCACTGCGAATGGTACCCGGGACCAAGATGATATCAACATGGTGGATGAAGGTGAGATCACTGTTGACGACGCTGGAGAGCAATCGGATGAACTCGAGGAAGGTGAAGAACTTCCGGACGAGCAGATGGATACCACTTAAGGTCTTTCGACTATGTACATTACGAGCATGGAGTTATGGTTGAGGCGTTATTCAAATGATTCTGATTAAATGCATTTTGTGGATATCATGACCTCTCTGGACATCACATGGGTATCTCATTTTCCTTTTGATCCATGGCTGCTCTAAGAAATCTCGCGCTCAGCAGTCAGAGCCTTAGCAATAGCGTCTTTGGCAGCAGTGATGTGTGCCACGTTGCTCTCAGCACCCTTCTTGCCCTCTTCGGTCTGTTTCTGTCAGCGATAATCTTATACTCAGCATAATAAACAATCAACACTCACAATCAAGGCCTGCAACTCTTTCACGGACTCCACAATCTTCTTCTTGAGAGAGGGGAGGACCTTTTTGGTCTCCTCCAAAGCCAAGTGCTACCAAACGTTAGCATCAGGGATCAAGCCAGGATTGAATGTGATCTTGGAAAAGCTAACCTCCTGTTTGGCGAGGAACTCCTTGTTCTCGTCATCACCGTCCTGGTTAGACTCGAGCTTCTTGATACGCTCAGTCTGCTGTTCCAGCTCACGGTGGTAGGAAGCCTCCTCCTTCACCAAGCGGATGACCGAAGAGGTAACAATCTCAATCTGAGAACGGGGAGCCATGATTGAATCTGTTGAGCATCAGCTGCAAGGTTCGAGCGTAAGAAATTTTTATGTATGAGGTATCATATAGAAGCGAGAGACAAATATGGGCATCGGTAGATCCTAATGCATGTCTGATGCTCCTCAGATCACCGGCAATGGAGATCACCTGCACGAGCCCACCATAGGACCTGCGGTGGGCTATATTGCACAGAGATTTGGTCTCATTTGCAAACACATGAACAAAATAGAAAATTGATCAAGATAACTTCAATACAACATACCTTTCTGACTATAATAATTGAGGGAAAGCAGTGAAATTCAGTGTAGCCACCAAGAATTGACGATGAGCCCCTCATGATGCTATCGAAGAATATGTTTGTAATGTTTGCATGAGGGGCTCACGTGTTATCAAGCAAAGAAGCATTTCAGATCAGATGAAATTCATGGATATTAATTGACTAAAGTTATATACATAATTTAGACATTTATATACTCCAAGTTCAAATTTTATAGTTCATTCTCATTACGTTCTTTCTCTTAGAGGATCACGGCATATGTAAGATACTTCTTGTATGTTTGATGATATCATCCGCCTTATCAAGTCATAATTCACCGCCGTAACACGAAAGACATTTTCTTAGAGCTGATCATGAGCCTTGTAAATACATCCATTATAACAAAATATTAACTTCATTTATCACACAAAGTGAAAGTATTTTTGCATAATCTAGCACGTATGACCGCTACAAATACACTCCGCTGCCTTATCCACCTTAGCCAATAAGCGCCCGAGTAGAGCTTGATGATCTCCGGGGACCACCCGACCAGCATGATCTCTTAACCACTCCCCAGTGTTTACGCAACCTCATTCGAGTTCGAGTCCAATATATAAATACAGGTCACTTTGGCCTGTATTCTTCTCTGAGGGGTCTCTTCAGGTTGGAAATACTGTCCTGCTCAATGCTACCCCTTTGGCACAATATCCAGTCGAGTCCCATTTAGCCCGATATGCCAGCCCCGTCACTACTGCAGTTGGCCATGGCCACTGCCATCAAACACGTCAAGTGTAAGTCATGTCATTTCAGACCAAAAGATCTCCATATCGCTTTGTCAGATCAAAAGGCTAATGTTGGCAATGAAGCACTAAACGATATCGGAAACCTGCCTTATAATCTTGTTCGCCCCATTTTGCTGAAAGTTGACAACCCAGAGAAGCTGGTAAGTGCCAAATAAGGACCTTACCATGAATTATACGGATGAAAAAAAGGAATCGCTAACATGGTATTTCCCCAGCACGCGATGGAATTACTCTCCCCACACCTGGTCGACGAAGACCAAGAACTATGGCTCGACTTCATCAAACGCGACATCCCACAATGGGAACGATACGAACTCCCCGAAAAGACAAACCAATGGTACGAGATATACTGCGACCTCCGCACAGACGTCCAACGAGCCTTAGACGCCGACGCCGAAAAGATGAAAATGGCTCTAGACGGAATTAAATCTGAACGAACACGATTGACACCTAAAATCATCTCGGGCCCTGAAAAAGGATCGCGATCAAGATCTACTTTCCGCCACCGCTTCTCTGGCATGCCTGGTATGTCTGCCGACAAGAAGAAATCCACTATATTCACTGCGCCACGACGGAACAATGTCTTGGCCGTACCTACGAAGCATCTCAGCACCCGCGCATCACAGGTCAAGAAAGCCCCGATATCGCTTATTGAAGAACATCGTCAGCCGACGGATCAGCCAGCTAAATCAACTGTTCCTTCTAGACGGGATCAAGAAAGGGTGCCTGTTGCGCCGGGGCGGTCGAGACTGCAGAGCTCATCTTCGCGTCCGGTGCATGAGTCAAAGAGTCCCGCTCTTGCTGAGAGGGAGGCGAGGCTGCGGGCAATCGCGGCTGGCAGACCACTGCCCTCATCCGAGGGTACTCGGAAACTTCCAACTTATACTCGGGATGCGGCTTCTTCGGGGTCAGCTGGTCTTAAGCGCTCGGCTGTATCGCCGCCGCCAAGTGCTGGTCTTTCTTCTCATGTACCTCTGGCACGGAGTCAGACTGATGGCCAAACAGGTGCAGCTCCGGCTACACGCCCGGCTATACCTGTTCGCAAGCGACCCGACAGCATTTTCATTCAACCAAAACGTCGACGTATTATCTGATGATATTGGTTTTCTTGGTTTTATCTTGCTGCGATTTAGCGTCTTTTTGTTTGCATGCGAAAATACTGCATACTCGAGGAGTTTGGGATCATGGTATCTGAGGTAGGATGGTCGGCGCACATGCTTGCTGGATAGTTTTGATTGGAATTTTATACGGATCATCATCCATATGGACGCGCATTCGAGCACTTGAGAGAGTTGGATATACATATCTGACTGCTTACTATATCAAGCCCTTTTTTTATGAAGATATTTCTTCCATAAATTTAGCGTATTGTTGAATAGCCCTGTAAAAAAACACGACATCTCGTCAATCTGTAAATGCAAACAATAAAACCCAGCTTTTCTCCTAGCTTCGCTAACGAACTTGTCAGTAACGCCAGAATGCAATCACACTGGTATTACTCAGCCCGTGAAGATAAAGCCATATCTTAAATTCAGTGCTCAGTGCCAGTATAGTTTCAATTCAATCGTATTGCTGGAAAGGAATGGACATAATGGTATCTAAAAGGCAAAACGGATCACATCGCATCGCATCCTCCACGCAGAGCGAGCACAAGATGAAGTGTGGCACCACCCTCGAGGTTGTATTCTGAGGCCGTTTTATCATCCGCCCTATCGAACAGACATTTTAGCATCCAGGTAGGATCCAAGGCGTGTATAAGTCAAATACATACATCTGCTTGCCACCAAAGATAAGTCTCTGCTGAACAGGTGGGATACCCTCTTTTTCTTCAACGCGCTCCTTAATCCGGGAAACCTGTTTATCATATTCAGCAAGTGTTTCGACAGGTTATGTACCTTATTCCGGCTGCGTAGGCGGCGAGGGCTCTGGCAGAGTTGGGCGAGGGTGCGATCTCACCTTGTAGTCCGGCTCGATATCCAGTTCGATCTCCTTTCCGGTGAGTGTGCGGACTCTGTAAAGCAATAGAGGTCAGTAAATGAGGTTTTGGTGGTTGCGGGAGCAGTGATCATTTCGATGATGCAATTGCGGTTGGAGGTAGGGTTCGGACGAACTTGATCAACATTTTGGCGGGAGAGTGGGTGCTCTGTTTTATGAATGGTTTGAAAGGACCGAGGCGAATGCTTTAGAGTGCAAGGACCCCTGAACGCGCTGTCAAATGAATGTCTGGAAAGAGAAGATGAGAGCCGCGTTAGCGGGGGTTTTAGGTGGGGTTTGTGGCCTTATCGCCTGATTGTCGATGTTCCTAGCAACGATACTTATCTGGAGGTTCGAAACTGAGAATTTATGAAGATTTCAAGGTCTTTCCAAGGTTTCCAATTTTGAGAGGTTGAATTAAAATGGAGATTGTTGGAGGAACAGTATTTCTCTAATTTCAAAGCATTCAACAGTTCACCGGCAACCTTGGCGCTGGACATCTATAGCAACAACCTTGGAAAGGGACCATGGGCTCTTCTGTGCAAGGTTTGTTTAAAGGAGAGATGCTAAGTAAACATGAAATACTCTTGGATACTTAACTGAAGCTTTGAAACTTCGAATATTCAATTTTAATAGGTCATTGTGTGTTCAGTCCCTATGTATGTATATGTATCCGAGCGCGTTCTAGGTGCAGTATATATATTAATACCCGTACCCCCACCATTTGATCGCCACGGCTCCCCTCCGAGGAATTTCGAAAGCGTCCATGCTTATCGGAAATTGAAAAAGGTCTTGGAATACCCACATACAAAGACATCAACAATGACCGTCACAGAGTGCCAGCATCCTGCTCCCAACCAATTCCAACTATTCATCTCCAAGTGCGGGAACGATCCGGTAACATTTGAATCCTTGTTTGACACATCGAAATCATGTATGGCTTCTAACCCAAGTAGGAACAAATCCAAGAATTCTATGAGGAGCACCGATCCAATCGTAATGCCAAATTCAGGCTAAGATTGCTGAGCCCAGGCTTTCGTGAATGGCAGTTTGACGAGACCCTGGAGAACATCCTCAGAGCTGAAAAGGGTCTAATCCACTATGAAGACCCAAGAAACAACATTTCTTTACTGGCACGACCACCAAAGCATATCTGCGAGCTTATCAGCGACATCCAACAGGAAATCGCATCTGTAGCTGGCCCATGTATGTGCCACCCGGGTGTCACTATGACTACATTCTGACTTGATTCCTAGGCCTTTGGCTTTCGCCCCAGACTTATCTTCATATGACCACATCCGAGCTGATCAATGCCAAGACAAGGCCTGAAGTGGACGAAGCGATGGGGATTTTCCAGCAGAAGCTCGCTATTGAAGAAATTGTGAACTACACGCTTACCCATAGTCCCAGACTTGTTCGACCGATCATTAGCTACGATGATACGGCTATCGCATTGAGCTTCATTCCTGCTGCGGAGATGGAGATAGACCGATATACCTATCATCACCTGCGGCGGGATCTCTGGGATCTTGTGTCCGAGTCTGGATGTCAGCTCAATGCTAGATATAATGTTCCTTCGGCTCATGTGACTATTGCACGATTTGTTATGCCTCCGGGTGTGGATAAACTCAAAGAAGTGGATAGTCTATGTAGTAGAACCGTTGAGATAATTGAGAAAATCGAGGATATCAACCAGGAGTTGAGATCCGGTGATTGGAAACGATTTGGAAGCACCTCAAGAGGAGTGTGGGTGGTGGGACAGGAACAAGGCATGGAGTTGAACCAAGGCCGATCATGGTATGGAAAAGGAGAAGTAATATTGACGGGTGAAGGTATTTAGAATTTCACCTGTATCTTAGCCCAAAAAGCAATGAAAACCATACATATGTGGAATTCATGATTGTTTAGCTGGAATATGATAAAAGAGTGTGCAGGTAATTTCCTAATCGGGAACGATAATTGATGACTCATCCCACTTGATGGAACTCCCAACGAGGTTTAGTGCGTACCCGAATAGGGCCTAAGCGAAACGAAATCCCACAACCCAACCATCCGCTTGATCCCTCCGACAAGTGAACATCCAACGACCACCCACCGCTACCCGGCAAGACAGTCAAAATGGTAAGATTCATACCGTCCATGATTCAGGCTGCTGTATCCTCAAGTCCCCGTTCGAAATCTGTTGCGAAATTCAATTCGGCATTGTGCGATGGAGGTTGAATTTGTGTGGCCGAACTCGAGATCGTGAATGACGACCAACCCGACCGACACCAATACGAAAATATTCTCCGCCTGCGTCCATCTCCATGTCCCACCATATGCGATTTCCAATATGCAAAACGACAACCTCGAAAGCACAAGACTGGAGTTGGGTGGCAAGTCAAGCTCTGCTTCTCGGAGGCGCGACCAAGTGAACGGACGAGGTGAACATGCAAAGCCACCCGTTCCTGGGACCGACGCTTCCGCGAGCAAGCTTTGGACAAATATTCGATCGATCTTGAGCATGTCACCGAAACCCACAACATACACGATTGAACCAGCAAGATTCGAACGGACTTGAGACGCACGCAGCTTGGATTACTTATTTTTACCAAGCAGCAGAAGCTTATCAAATTTTCTTCGTCTGCAGGTCAACATTCCCAAAACCCGCCGGACTTACTGCAAGGGCCGGGAGTGCCACAAGCACACCCAGCACAAGGTTACCCAGTACAAGGCTGGCAAGGTGAGATTCCACTCCGCCTCGACAATCGACTCTAGAGCACAAACTGATACACTTTTTAATGAATCTAGGCCTCGCTGTTCGCCCAGGGTAAGCGTCGTTACGACCGAAAGCAGAGTGGTTACGGTGGTCAGACCAAGCCTGTCTTCCACAAGAAGGCTAAGACCACCAAGAAGGTTGTCCTCCGTCTGGAGTGCACCGCTTGCAAGGCCAAGAAGCAGCTTGCCCTGAAGCGCTGCAAGCACTTCGAGCTGGGGTATGTTCATCTTTATTCTCTGCTTGACTTATCATGTACTAACCATATTTCCTTACAGTGGTGACAAGAAGACCAAGGGTGCCGCCCTTGTTTTCTAAGCGTTCGATTTCCTTGTTCGGCTTCTGGGTTTCCTGCATTGCACAATCCGCCACACTGTTTCTGCGGGGGATATATGACATGGGCAATGGAAAAATGAAATAGGAATTCATACCATCAAAAAACAAACTATGACTACCTGACGACGAGCCTTCGTTTCTGGACGTAGCTCCACCGTACTGAACCTAGGCTGGCCTCACTACAGTCTAGTCATAAGTGGATACTGTACATTTGACATTGAATCCTGATAGAGTATTCGCCTCGGACTATAGAACGAGCTGCCTGGTCAACACGTCCATGTTGTCATTACGGTCATTGCCTACCTAACTCATGGATGACACCACTGCCTAAACTCTTGGGCTGTTGCTGCCAAGCAAGAAACCACCATCTATAGTAGTAGCAAACCCTTAGAGCTGGCATTGTCATTTTAGAGAGTGGTCCAATGTACGATTCCGATGTGTTGCGAGAAGTGGACAAGGTCGGCTATAGCCTATACCTGGGTGCACACCCACCAGTCAATCAAGATAAACTCCCTAAGTAAAATCAGATCCAATTTTAAAGGGACTCTTTGAACACCAAATTTACTCACATGAAAAAGAACAACTCTTGGCTACTACAATGACAATCTACGAACCCTAATGCCAAGAACTACTAGGCTATATGACGAATAGCGGAATAACTAGTCTGTGTGCTCACCTAATTATAATAGCGGTCTGATTTGGCAGTATGTCCACTTGCGACTTTGTCACTTCACCGCGTTACGTAGAGATAGAACTGAATGAAAGATGCCTTTTCCATTGTACAAGGGCCTACGAATACTTCGCTTAGCTTATACAATTAGAACGGGTATCGTCTCCGTATGAATCCCGTTTATGAGCAAGAAAATAGACAGATAATTATCGATGTAGAAAATTGGAGATAATTGTATATTCTTTTTACTACATGAGTCATGACCAACCATAATCAACTGTATAAGCTCTGTCCTGCGTACCCCAACATCGGAACTGTCCTACGCTCTCATCCCTTTTCGACCAACCATTCGATGTTTCATCCAAGAGAAATATCGATCCATTAGGTTTCGATAAATGATCAAGTACATATATTTGAAGACGGTGGCACCAGTTTCAGGAGGCTCTATATACGCTACCATGGATACAATCTAGTTAACGAAAGGGAAAAAAGGTGGGGGAGACAAAGACAAAAGACCGGGGGATAGCTGGCGACTGGCGACAAGCAACCTCCACCCCCGCATCCCCCACGCCGAGAAACCCCATTGTAAACGCCCAAAGCCAAACCATCCAATGAAAATGCATATCAAAAATGGACCCGGCGGCACGATTTCACTTTCCAGTCATCTTATCCATTTGATTGGATCAACTACATAATGACCCCGTATACAACATTCCCCGCGTTCCGCAAGAAGATCGTTGCCAACTCGGCCGTCCTCCGAGAGTGCGAGGGCTTGGCTATGTTTTCTTGAATCGTGTGACACTTCCTCGGCCATCGGACGAAAGCCGCTGTATTTTCTTTGGTAGTCCTGCTTGGTTCTGCAACATAAATTTTGATTGATTCCGTCTTGTTGCATAGTGGTAAGGGTATGATATATATCCACTGACCCAGGTGCCTCGGATCTACATATTCTTTGTTCAAAGGGGTACCTGCTCGATCTTCCTGCACAGTGCAGACAGACTTTCATCATGGCGCTGTGGTACTCACTAGGAATTGCGTTTTTTGCCGCCATCGGCACATTTTTGTTTGTATGTCTTTGTGCTCTGGTATGTTGTTTGTGGTTTGCTAATTTCGTGAATCTAGGGGTTTGATACTGGAATCGCGACAACGAGTGAGTCTTCAAATTTACTGTCCTTATATTTGAAACCCGGCAGTCTAATTAAACCTACAGCTATCGCACATCAAAGCTGGATTGATTATATGAAGCATCCCTCAGAGGGCTTAACAGGAGCCGTATGTCGGTTGTGGACCCACTTGGAACCAGGCTGATGATAATGATAGGTGGTCGCAGTCTATATCGCCGGTGAAGCACTGGGCGCACTAACGCAGACCTTCATTGGCGATAAACTTGGGCGCATTCGATTCATGCAGCTGATGTGCGTGATTGTGACAATCGGCACGGTCATCCAGACTGCCTCGGTGAATATCGGCATGTTTCTTGCCGGCCGCGTGCTAGCCGGGTATGCTGTCGGGTAAGTACAATTGGCTATTGCTTTTAGACAGATCGAGGGGGTCTAACAGCTATCAGCGGATTGGTCGCTACTGTGCCGATCTACCTTAGTGAAATCTCCGACCCCCGATTCCGTGGGCTCATCGGCGGTATTTCGGGCTGCGGCATCTCATTCGGAACTATGGCATCCAATTGGGTCGGGTTCGCTTGTAGCTATGCGCCCTATGGTGCTGTGCAATGGCGGTTGCCTCTTGGAATCCAGATCCCATGGGGCGTGGTAATGTTCATTGGTTTGTCGACCTTTATGCCCAATTCACCGCGGCAGTTGATTCGAAGTGGGAAGGTCGAGCTGGCCCGTAACGATTTTACTCGGATTCGGCGTGGAGCGCAATCGTATGAAGTGGAGGAAGAGTTTCTGCTTATGCAGGCGCAGATTGAGTATGAGATGGAGCGCGAGATTACCTCTTATCGGGAGATTTTCCGACTATTTCGATCTCGAGTTCTAGTGTAAGTGTTGTTGAGTAGTTATCATGATTACGCTGACGATTAACCCCTTTTAGAGCTATTGCTGTACAGACGATGACGAGTTTGACGGGTGTCAATGTGATTCAGGTATGTCATTATGGGATCTAATCAAAGGTAAGATGCTGACTGAAGCTACAGTATTACCAAAGTAGGTTCGGGTCGAACGCGGATACGCCGTGGGTACTAATTTCCGACCGCTAGCTATTCTTTACAAGTCGCTCGGTATTGGGTCGCACAAGATTCTGGCGCTTGCTGCGGTCTACGGAACTATTGCTTTCCTGTCCAATGCCTTGACGACAAAATATATGACGGACCAATGGGGTCGTCGGAAGTGCGTGAACCGTTGGGCACAGCTGCATATGAAATCACATCGCTAATCCTGCATAGAATGCTGATTACTGGATTGGTCGGGATCGTGCTGATCGAGATCTACGCGGCGGTGATGCAAATGGAGTTCCAAAATACTGACAACCAGGTCGGCAAAGGGTTCGCAATTCTAGGGATATATCTCTTTGTTGTTTGTTACTGTGAGTGGTTTCCCGTTCTCGAGCGGCAGAATGCTTATTTCTTTTCCAGATGGTTTCCTCAACAGTACAACATGGCTGTATGGCGCTGAAGTCCTTCCCATTGCTCTGCGTAGTAAGGTGATGGGCATCGCAGCCGCCTCTCACTTTATTGTCAATGTTGCTAGTAAGCTAAGAACCATGAAAACAGTCAAGGTTCTACTTGTTAACTTTTAACTTCTGTTCAGTCACTGAGGCCGGCCCCAGTGCATTCGCCAACATCAAGCAGAATTACTATTATGTCTTTGTAGCATGCTCACTTTTCTTCCTAGGCGTGGCATATCTTTATTTCCCGTGAGTGGTCCTCGATATAGCCACGTGGCCATTACTAACTTGGACTAGTGAAACGAAACAAAAGACCCTGGAGGAAGTTGCGGCGGCCTTCGGAGATCGAGTCGTTCAGGCAGATGAGAGAAAATCTGTCGGCGGAGCGGAGCACTTCGAGTCCGCAAATGTACAACAGGCCTAAATTCTCCCAGTTGGGCGATGGATATACAATGATATGACGTGGGAGGAAGGATGCTTAAGCCCAACATTGAAATTTCTCCGAGGGCTGAACACACCTTCCCCAAGCAGAAGGTACGTAGTACGTTGACAGGGGATGCCCGGCATTGCCGTGTTTTAGTGTTTTTTTAGCTTCCAGTTTTATTTTTATTTTTATTTGAAATTTCAAATTCCCATAAAAGGACTAGTGGACGAGTGGACTAACGGGATTAACGGAAAAGAGCCGCGTGTGTCAAGGAAATCAATGACTACAGGGCGTCAGCCACATTGACTCCACATATTTCCCAACTACATCCATGGATTTCAAAATGTTTCTTCGTTAACCTTCAAAAGTTCAACCTTCTCTCAAGCCATAAAAACCTTCCCCCTTTTTCTGCCCCAGATCAACGAGATTAACAAGATTGACGAGATCGTTGAGTCCTTGGTTGCCGAGAGGGGGTTGACCCCCTATCCGATGCAGCCATGGATTTCGAAAACTCTATCGCCACGAGTCGAATCCCTGTCGATGACGATCACTCCATGTTTCATACTCCGGGGAGAATAGTATTGAACACTATTTGTTCTTGTGCAGGAATTGAAATGTGAAGATCTGGGGATATCGGCAAAACCATCGGCTGATAGCCAGGAACACGAGGTCCGAGCAACAATGTTGAGTGGGATTGAGTCCACATTCCTAGGGGTCCGAGCATCTGGATCCCACCCCTTACCGATTAATATGGGTGATTGAATCCCCACCGACTATGATCTACCTCTATTGAAAAAAAAGCATGGAGATCATTTCCCTAAGGGCATAGCCAATCAAACCTGCATAGAACAAGATATGGAAGACGCATGGAAAACACGGCAGAGGAGACCCGTCACCATCCACGGGTTCCGGTGGATCAGCGACGTGGAATTTGTGTTTGACACAGCCGGATGGAGTAGACTGTTTACAACACGAAGTGTGGCGCCAACTTTGGATTTGGTGGACAACCTTGGAACTGTTACTTATATCTCCAGCTAAATTGAACTTTGAAGACCTTGAACCCTGAAAAACATTCCAAGGTTTGAACTTGAAATTGAATTCAAGTGACAGCTTCCCTATGTGGCTAGTGACAATTGAAATTTTCACTAGAAGTAAGCACTTGTAGCGTCATCGGCGATTTGGTAGATCTGCCTTAAAGATCGCCGCTCGGACCGCTTCGGTGGCAAGGGACTCTAAGCGAAAATTTTCCATCCGATCCCATCGGGTACTGTGCCCTTGGCAAACAATACACCGTGTCCTCGGAAATCCCTTGATACTTTGCTAGTTTCATCGGCCGTCTTCTAAAGTTTTTCCCACTCAAGAGCCGATTGAGCCGAGATCGGTACACCTTGTGCCGTGTAAGGGTCAATGCGCGCATGTAACTGCATGATTTTGATGCATTACACTCCTACGTAGGGTCAAGGCTAGGAATGTCGGCATGAGAAAAGGGTTGCATCACGTAGTTTATCGGATGTCTGACCCACTAGAAGAAAAAAACGTGGAAAAGAGGCTTTCTAGAAGGCTGTCGGGATCCACATTATGCACCTTCGCACGCCCCAAAGTATCCAAACTATGGCGTTTCTTTACTAGTTCGGAATGCTCTATGGAATTAAGGGGCAAATGTCGACTCAGCTCACCGGATAAACGATCAATGACTCCGTACAGGGCTGTTAGGTTGCCTCCTTTTTAATTGCATTTTTACCAATGATTTACAAATTCGAATTTAGCTAATTATTCTTTTCTGAATCCGGGGCAATATACAATGACGCATCTTGCTTCTTAAACTTCTCTCCCCGACTTCTGAAAGAATCTTCCTTTCCCTCCCCACCTTGTCAAGCTCCAGCTCTGGTGGATAACTATTCTTTTTGATCCAGAGTTAATGGGCCCTTTTATTTGAACTGGAGACGCCACTGGTCCACAAGGCCCATCATCAAGTATCCATTTCGCGGACTCTCCATTGACTTTATGTCCGGACAGAGTTTTGCCATTCACTGCACATACACTTCATCATATTCAATCTCTTCTTGGTCAGTGCACCTTCGCCGCTCATGTCTTCCTCCCGATCAACTGGGAAGCGTCTCCCAATCAGTTGTCAGGCATGTCGAACGAGAAAGATCCGCTGCTCCCGGGATGGACGTCCATGTCAGACCTGTGTGCGTCGCGGATTAGGCGCTGAGGATTGTATCTATCTTGGTCAACCTCGTCTGTCAACAGAGCAGTCCCAGTCCGGAGATCCAAATGTTCAGACTGAACTTTTAGCCCGGATCCGCAATCTAGAGGCCTTACTTCAGAAGCAAGTTAACTCGCAAGCGGGAACACCTATCCCTGGTTCTCAGTCTCCACTTGGGGCTCTCAGTGCCACCGGCAGTTTGTCGGAGTCTGATGTTGGGCTGGATTGGGATCTGCGCAGTACTATGCTGGGTAATGTTGGGACTCTTCATACGTCGCCGTCGGGTCATGTTCGTTATGTGCCGCTTGCTTCACAGTGGGAATCAGTTGTTGCTAAGAGCCCCGCTGCGGGGTGTTTGCGGGATTCCGACTCCGATATTGTAGACGACGACGATCTGCAGATCCCATTAGCGCGGAACGGCAGTGTTTCCCGCGCTGAGCTTTTGGCCTTGCTGCCACCGGGTCGATATTGTGACACTCTAAAAGAAGTTTACTTTCGTGTTTTTTCTCCGGTATGTCCTCGGAGATGTTATTTGACTGATAATAGCTAACCCACTCAAGGTTTTCCATATTCTTCATGACTTAACTTTTGAAGCCGAGTATCAACAATTTTGTCATGACCCTAGCAGTGTGTCAACTTCATGGCTTGCTCTGTTGTTTGCTATTCTTGCTATCGCAATCAGCGCACTCGAAGATGATGATCCTTTACTATCCGATCTTGGCCGGGAGAGGACGGTTAGTCGAAACATGAAAGTCCTTTCAGCGCGTTATCGATCTGCCGCACTGCGATGTTTGGCTGCAGATGGTGTGATGACTCGTCACTCGATCAACTCATTGCAATCTTTAGTGCTTATCAGTTATGCACGTCTCCATCGTGGTTTGCCATTCTGGACATTATTAGGATTCACTCATCACGTCGCCATCTCCATGGGTTGTCATTTAGATCCGGAGAGATTTGTTCTTGGTCCCATCGAGCGTGAAGAGCGTCGCCGGGTATGGACAGGGTTAATGATGCTTTACACCATCCAAAACACATCTTTTGGTAGTTTAGATCAACAACTACTCAATCAGGATGTCAAGATGCCAGCCGATGTTGATGATATCGACCTTCTCACTGCACCAAACGCTCCCACCTCCGATCCATCCTCCACTCCTTCCGCCAACCGGCCCACACAAATGACCTACCTCCTTCTGAGCTTCCGACTATATAAAATCTCCACTAAGATCTGCGAAACGATCTTCACCTACCCACACGCATCTCGGTTTACACTCACACAACTCGAAGCCGAACTCATGGCCGTCCGCGATCTTTGCGATGCCCGATATCAAGTCGACCAAGATCCATTACCGGTGCACCACCAAGCCAACCTCAACATCCTATATAGTCAAATCCACCAACTCCTCCTCCTTCTCCTCCGCCCCAACCTCTGCCGATTCATCCAAGGCGAGATCACACCTGAAACTTGCGAATCACGCGCCAAATGCATGGCATCCGCCAAAGTCTCTCTAACCATCTTCCAAACCCTCCTCGAATCCTCCCAATTCGCCCCTTACAAATGGTACACCAGTGGCCTAGGAAGTTTCAATGCGTTCCACGCTGCAGTCGTCCTAGCAGTCGGCCTTCTCAACCCCGAAAATGAAGCCGAATTCGACGATTTCAAAGAAACCCTCACGAAAGCCCTGGATATGTTCGCCTCCCTTTCAGTCCGGAGCACCTTCTGCAGCAAAGCAGTCCCAGTCGTTCGACAAATCATGTACGTCCGCACTACACCAAATACCCAAATCTACTCACTAACCTCCTCCTCAGTGAAATCACCTCTACGCAGTACCACCAGGCCAAACTCCAATCCCAAACTCAACAAAACCAAGCTCAGATGTTTGCGACATTGACACCCTCAGTACCCATGCCTGATAATTATATCCTGCCTCACTCGCAATCACAATCTCCTGTTCCGACCGTTGCGTCTTCAGTGAGTGATCACACGATGCAGTCTAATTTTGGTATGAATTTGCATCCACAGCATTGGATGGGTCCTACCTCTGTGCCGTGGGAGACGTTGAGTTCGTCCATGCAGTACGGGTTTGAGACTAATGTGGCATGATCTCTTTCTAATCTCGGGCTTTCTTCTCTAACTTTGATCTGGCTTGATTTGATTTGATTTGATGTTTTTCATGGGTTAAAAATTGTGGGTGTCTGGGTCGTTCGGTTGGACTTTTATTGATGAGATCATGATACTAAATGAGATTTATGGAATTATCCGGTTCTAGAAATTGTAATATGATAGGATGATGTGATACAACGTTTGAAGAAAGGAAAAAGAGGAGTCTAGGATTGGTGTAATGGTTCTGCACCTTTCTAGATTCATGATCTTAAGATCCATTTAGTCACAGGAAGAAGAAGCATATATACCCGATAAGGTCTGGCTCTTTCTGATTTCCCTTTCCCTTTTAGTGCTCACTCTTTGCCGCTTCTTGCTATGATCATGAGGAGAGCCTCGCGTGCTAGTCTTCAGTCTTCATCATTCCACCCTGACTTATATGCATTTTGCCCTTTGGTCCTAAATTAATTGACTATGCTTCTTCTTCTGCTAGGGATGGGAAACCTTGAGTCATCATATCCGAGGGAAGAGGAAGATTGGAAAGGTTTTGTGCTTGTTTCGAAGAAGTCTATAATCCAGGGACCCAAAAGTGACATCAAAAACTGTAGTAACCTATATTCTGCTCAGTGATGAGTCAAGCTTTGTACAGGTAATTGTCGCCTGCCCACGTACCTTAGAGATTCTTTCCGTATTCACTCCTGTTCCGATTCCTTTCGTCCAAATCCGCTTGAGTGAAAGGTGGGTTGGGAACGAATAACATGTGCTTATGCCTGCCATTCCGAATGGAAGATGAAGATGACTCCCCGTCATGATGTTCTCTACTGCCATCTCCATATTCGCGCGTCCTTCGACGCTCGCGAGACACAGTTACAGCCGCCTGATATGGTGTTTCTTGGCTGTGTGGCGACGCTATCACGCTAGGCACACGACTACTAGAACGCGATCGCGTATTGCCTAGTCCTATGTTCCCTGAGCTTTGCCTACTTATGGGATCGCGAGCCGTTGGTGTTGGGGTCATGACACGTGAAGGATTTTTTCGCCCTTCCCGAGCGATAAGTGCTCGTGCCTCATCGACGGGCACTTTCTGGATCTTTTTGATAATGGCGATCATCGTCTCCGTGTTGTTTATCAGCGGTGACTCGTGGACGGCTTGAAATGTATCATTCATTGTCTTGGCCAGTTTCTTCAAAGACTTGCTCTGGCGATGAACAGTCTTTTTTAATGTGGTTCTGCAAATGGAGAAAGCGCTTTAGTCATGATAATAATATGCGTAATCAGCTAGGGGGTCTCACATCTGACTAAGAAGCGAATCATGGTCTTTATTCGCTGTTGACTGTTGTGCAAATTTCGCGAGAGAGCTTTCCAGTGTCAAAAGACAAGAAAGCAAGTTTAGACTGCACTTCACCGTACTAAATGTGATCATTAAAGCTTGGATCTCCTGCTTCGTAAAATGCCACCGAACCTTTGCTAAAAGTTCATCAAATGAGCTGGGGCTGCTACCCTTCATGAGTGGCTTGAACTTGGTCATAACGTGGTTGATTTGGTCGAGAGCCGAAGTAGCCTGAGTCTGCAATGCTTCATCAAGGTTTTTCTCCTGAGCCAACTCCATCACTGTGCTGCCCAGAGGGCGTGTGATATCGTTGAAGATACTAAAAAGACCTTGACAAATATAAACCTCCTGCATAAGCTGTCGCACGTCCCGTTTCGCGAACTTCAAGGTATTGTATAATTGACGAAGGCTTTGAATGCATGCTTCCAGTTGACCGCAAACCGCAAAGCCCGAAGTTATTCCACTAAATGGATCCATGGTTCCTCCCGTACCATAAGTCAATAAAGCATTCTCTTTGCCCGCATTTAAGAAACGTGTTTAAAAGAGAATGAGGCTCTGCATATGTGTTAGACCTTGGCAGGACTACTGAGGCATCCAATCAGCCAGGACCACGACACCGGAGCTGTCGAACATCAGGTCCGTGCACGCTGTGCAGCGGCATCATATTTTAGCTAGTTCAGCATAAAACTAGCCGCCCTCTTGACATGGTTCGATTCGTTAGGATCAGCGGGCTTCCCCGCACCATCGACATACGACTAAACACATTGAGCTTGCAGGCACTAACGAGTTTTGGAGAGAATCGAGGAGAAGGAAATGGTGAGCCAGATTTTGATCCGCCCAGCAACCAGTTACATTTCGTCGGGCTCGACACTATCTGCGTCCCTGGTGCACGGCATGAACAACGCACCTTACAAGGTCGTACTTGGTGGCTGCTGTGGCTAAGCAAACGCATAATTTTTCACGCTAGCAAGCACATTTTTGAGGTCCGTTGATTAGAAATAGGTCACGACTCACCATAGTCCTCCAAGTCCCCAAATCACGTGCATTTCCTAATACCCAGCGCCCTCCAGGACCCCAAACGTTTCATTTTTATTATTATTAAGTTATAAGAACTCTGAAGGATGATGGGTCGTGACACGGTGAAGTAATCCCCAACCCCCACTATCCAGATCGAGGTGGGCAGTCTGGATGAATTGCACGCAGCACTGGAGAAGCCTTACGGTATTTTCAGCACTTGAGTGAAGCCGCCGAGGCAAAGAGATCAAATGGCAGAATAGATTTAGTACTACCTAGCTCCCCGTAGCGAATCCCAATATTTACGGCTGAGATCATGTGATGACTCAGCGGATTTCCGCTGCCCGAGTACCGAGCGGTCATGTTTTTGCCGGGGCACTCACTGGGCACTGAGCGTGACATGGATTAGTAATATAACACGTGACATTAATGAATCAGCGCAATCATGCGAGTGAGTCTGCGCCCTCATGAAACGGCTGCAGCCCAGAGAGGAAGACCCCACCCGGCAGACATTGTCCTGTCTATATAGGTATGTATAGGGTGACAGAAAAATGCTAGCGTTCCTATTTGTATCTGCCCTAGTTCTATGCCTTGACTTATTTCTGATAAATATTCGCGTGATTTTACCCTAGAAACATGACGAGAACCGTTACAGATAGTAGTAATAATATCGTAAGGGGGATAAAATGTAGAGAATAAGTTTTATACATGGTCGCTTACATCTATGTATTCATTTACCAGCTAGTGAATTAATCATATACTGTAGGTCTATGTATAACTTTTGAAGTTGACTCCCGTAGAATCTATATCCTCAGATCCAAAAGCGCTCTAGATATATTCGCCGAGTTTGTTACACCGCAACAAATACTCTGTACTTGTGCTATTATTATGACCACTTGTATAACACTGTGGTGATAAGCCTCTTATACAGAAACTGGTCGAAATGAATGACCATACCCCAAACTGTTTTTTCTCTTGCAGGTCTGGGCATGCCGGTTTCCGCCTTCGAGCGCGCTCCGTCGCACTAGTCTCCACAACGTGCAAATCGATAGGGTTCTGCTCGATGGAAGAAAAACGCACCTTGACGTCATCGAAGGCAACACACTCCCGATAACCGCGAATACAGTATTCCAAATCGAACTGACAGTGAAGTGGACGGTCGCATCTTACGTGTTTATCAAGGGATCTGTTACCTAGGATGTTTAGCATAGTCTCTTGTTTGGAATAAATGATGTTGACAGTTGCCATGTGTGGATGGAGACTTACCACGTTTCTTCATGCATGTAGGGATGATGAGTCTGCCTTGCGTACGGAGTATATGAACTAGATCCACTTGGGGTGAAACCGTGGATTAGAACGGGAAGAGAAAGAGAAACCCTGGAAATGATTTGTTTTGATTATACTGAGTAGAAGCCGGTCAAAACTAACAGGATCATCTGGACGATACGGATCATTCTTTGTTCTCATCTGATCCCCATCAACTCCTCTCAAAGTCTCTATTACCAAAAACCCCACCTTAAGTACCCGATCAGTCAAAAACAAGCGAAATTCAACAAAAAAAGAAAACAGACAGTCTTCAGCCTCTCTGAAAGAGGCTCCGCTGTTACCCTACGAGCGTTTGTCAAAATTATTGCCCTTCGATTGCCTTCTGGAAACCAAGTGCCAATCGGATCCTTGTACACTGTGTGTCCGCCCCGTATCCTTGCCGACATCATACGCTAGTCGATCACAGCCCTGTCCCCCACTTACCTGCGCCCCCTCCAATTCCCTGCATTGCATCTTCCTCCCGCTTCTGCCCCTCATTATTTCTAGACTCACTGCAAGTTTTATCTTTCTTACAAACTACCCAAGACCTCACTTCTGCACTCTTCTCTGTGTACCATGTCGTACGTCTACAGAGAGCGCGAGCGCGACCGCGACTACGATGACCGCAACGTCACTATCAAGCGTTACGTCATTCCATCGGATGAAAGAGAAGATCGACGAGAATTCATAATGCGAGACGATGTTTACGACAACGAGCTGGTCATTCGGCGCAAGACAGAACGCGAGGAACCAGTGTCGATTCAGCGTTACGAGAGAGATGTCGAATATGATCTGCCTGTTCGTCGCTACGAGCGAGAAGTTTATGAACGTGAGTACTCTCCATTTGCGACTTCCAAACACCACCCTAGGTCCTTGGAATGCCTGGGCAGACCGTCCAATCATTATTTGTGCCCCCCTGGTCAAGCTCAGCAACTCACAATCCATGACCATGCAGCCCGTTACGTCAGTCCCCGACAATCAGAGTACGAAGTAGACGAAGAGATCTACCGCCGCCGTGTGGATGACCGTCATTCACGCCGGGATCTCAGCCCGCGGGACTCGATCTCACAGGCCAGCCGTCAGCGTGGCCGTACAGACTATAGCAGCGATGACGAGTATTACTATCACGAAGAGACCCGCACGTATGATGGTGAACGTCCGCATCATCGCCGCCACTTGGCAGAAGGTGCCTTGGTTGGTGCAGGTGCAGCAGAGTTGTTCCGCAACCACCGCAAGCGTGAAGGTGAGGAAGTCAGCCACGGTATAAGCCACGCCGTGAAGACAGCTGGCGCTGGTGCATTGGGTGCGGTGGCTGTTAATGCTGCCGGGCATGTCCGCGATTACTACCGCAGCAAGAGCCGCAGTCGACACCGTGGTCACTCCGACGATGATCGTTCTTACCGTCACAGCCACCGCAGCCATAGCCATGGCCGTCGCAGCCGCAGCCGCAGCCGCTCTCACTCCCACTCTCGGGCAAAGACCCTGCTAGAGGTTGGTTTAGGCGCTGCCGCAATCGCCGCCGGTGTTGCAGCTTTGCGCAGCAAAAAAAACGCAGATGAGCGTACTGGCCGTTCTCGTACCCGTTCTCGCTCTCGAGCCCGCAGTACCGCTCGCTCAGATAAGGATTCTGCTCGCAGCGTGTCTCAACGCAACAAGCATATGGCGGGTGCCGGGTTGGCCGGTGCGGCTGTTGCAGGACTAGTGGAACATCACCGAAGCAAATCGCGCTCTCGCAAGGGTGAACGTTCGCACAGCCGACTCCGACAGGCACTTCCTGTTCTTGCGGCCGGCCTAGGAACCGCAGCTGCCACTGGTATCTGGGAAAAGAAGAAAGCCGAGAAAGAAGAAAGGGAAGGTCGAAGCCGCGGGACAAGCCGATCAGGCAGATCTCGCAGCCGTGGAGCTCCTGACAGCGCGTACCCTGATCCAACCCGGGACTCTGCAGGTTTGATCGAGTATGGCAAGGATCCCGTTACTGGTAGCATTCCTGCTGAGCACTACTATGGCGCTCCGACCAGCCCGGGTCCTGCCTATTACTCTGATGGTGCTGAATATAGCCGTCGTCAGAGCCGTGACCGAAGCCGCAGCCGGAGCCGCGCTGGACGACGCAATGACAGCTCCTCTGGCTCAGACAGATCACGTCGACACAGAAAGCACCGCAGCCGCTCTCGAGATGTTGCCGGAGCAGCACTGGGCGCTGGAGGCTTGGGATATGCGGCACACAAGTACTCCCAGTCTCGCGAGCGTAAGAAGGCTGAGAGAGAACAAGACAGGGCTCGTAAGTGGGTTAAAATCCTGCCATTTAATCCTATCGATCTTGAGGGTCACCATACTGACAGACAGCAGGGTATGATAATGTGGATCACCACGATCCCTACGAGGAGTCTTATGACCCGGAGCCCTATCCTCCTTCTCGTACCGCTCCTAATTACCAGGAGCCTCCCGCCAACTACTATCCTAACACCAACTACTTTCCTCCGCCACCAGGATCAACTACAAATTTGAATGCGACAACACCACCACCCAATGCATACAACCCCGCGGAATACCCTCCTCCCCCCCGGTGCAGCACCCCAGCCCCAGGCCTATAACTATGGAGCCCCAGGTCCAGGAACCGAGCAATACGCCCCGCGGCCACGAAGGGTTGATGAGAATGTGAGTGCCCAGCGCTCCCTGCCTACTGATCACCATACGGAAGATGGTGGGTTCAATAAAGCGAAATTGGACCGCACGTTACAGCGAAGCTGATACATTGCCTTGCAGATCTAGCCCAGCAGTCCCAACTAGCCAAAGCCAAGTCCGTCCCGCGATTCAGTAGCCAAAGCGAACCACTTGCTTCTAAATCCGTCTCATTCAACCTGAATTCAGAAGGAGGAGACGACCGCGGCTATGAAACTGACGACAGTGATTCTGCCTTCGAGGGACCCTCTCACCGTCGACGCTCCTCTTCTGTGCCTCACCAATCTATGCCCCATTCCCCTGACCACCGCTCCGGTCATACACACTCTCACCATTCATCGACTCCTCAAACTCCATCCAAAACAGAGCTAGACTCCGATTCGACAATTGACTTGCCCCAGCGATTTGATAGAAAAGGTCACCTCCTCATGGAAAAAGAAGAGGACCCAGCCGTCGCGAAGATCGAGGACTTTATCAATCGTTTTACAAAGGTGCTATTCTAAGGACCACTTGTCAAGAAGCTTGGAGTTGGCTCTGGATAGAAAAAAATTCCTGGACCGGTGACTATGGTTTTTTATTTTCTTGCGTGAGATCTTCTGATTTCCTTGGTTCTATTATGATGACACGGTCGTTGTTTCCTTGGCCAGCTTGCAAGTTTTGATATCTTACCCATTTGCCTTTATTTCTTTGGTGTCGAAATTTTTTTCATTATGACTTATGCTGCACTCAATGATAACGATTTATGACTCCTGTCCAATGCTCATATAGCAATATTTTATTTGATCTTTCCAATTCCAGGATTCTATCCGAAGAAATATAACGTACATGGTCCTGCAGTGGTCCACAGGTTGGTTATACATATATTTCTATGTAACTGCAGTGCTTTCCAACTAATAACTCCAGGGCTACGAATACATTCTGAACGTTATACAAACCTTGGAAACCGATGCTTTAACCAATGTTAAGCTAAGCACCGGAGAAGTTGAAATAAAGAACGCATATGCAGAGGCTTAAGTTCGGGTTGCATGGGATGTAGCACAGACACCACTCTGAGCATCGGAGTCTGTCTTCCGTAAGTGGCATCCATGGACGGGATGTTGTTCATGCACACCTGAGTATGACCTCAGGGCTATCGGTAACTATGTAGGATGCATTGCCTAGATGATCAGGCCAACATTCAATGGCTCAAACTTCCATGTTCCTAAAGACAAGTGGCTATCTAAACCTGAAAACGCTGAACAGTCTCAACATCCTAACCAGTTGACCTTCACCAAGACCAACACAAGGACAAAATGAAACCCGACTACCTAGTCATACTAAAAAAACCGTTCCGTATGTACTTTCTGTACACTGTACATACAACAACATACGGAGTACACACGTACGGTATCCAAACGTTTCAGATCCTCTCCAAAAGTACAATTGACACATCCAATTGAAAGTGTAGCACATCATCCCCAGCCCAGCCACCTCGATCTCCCAATTAGCAAACCATCCACTTATTTTCAAACTCTGATCAAAGTCCACAAACCTTGACACAATCCCCGTGAAGAAGGCAAAGTGAAAAACTTTGAATGGCTCCAATGCATGTACTTATCCGGATTTATTCGGTGCAAGTCTGATCGCTGATCTGAGGGAATGTGATGAATCCATTTCAGTTGAAGTCGGTTACGTCGGTTAGGGGTGGGGCTGGCGCCCTGACCTCTTGGTTATTGTTAGATGACTGGGGTTAGTAGGACACGAATGTGATGTGATTCAAGTGATTGGGGTTGTGTGTATCCGTACTCCGTATGTACTCCGATGTCTGAACAGTGAAAGGTGATGAATTGAATACCCGAGTATTTTCCTGTATCCGTAGGATATCATTTAATACCGGTGGGTCTGGATGGGAGTTGAACTTCCCCCCGAACTTTCCACTGTACGGGGTTCGCTTATCGCGACCGGCGGTCTGGGTGCGACTTTCCCCCCGTAGGTTCCTAGTAGTCGGGTCTATATACTTAAAAGTATAAGTAGAAGTATAAGCATATAAGTACCGGTCAGTTTATTCTGCTTTTGGATGCAGTTTTGGTCCTGTTCCTCTGGTCACGAGGTCTCTGCTTGAAGCATGCAGCAACATGGTCCTTTTGATTTGATTCTTGGCAGATGGGAGATATAACCCCAACCAATGTGAGTCATTAATGTTTGCTTCGAAGATTTTACCCGACATCAACCGATTACAGCCGAGATCTGCTGGTCACGTCAGAAACTTCCAAGGTTGAATACCGTACTAGACTAAGTAAACCACCAACTTACAGGACTTTTGGCAAGCAATCGCAAGTACGAGTCCCATCCAGTCCAGTCTGGAATTGGAAAGGAGTTGGAATGGGAATCGTAATCAATACGAGAATAGAAAGAGAAAAGGGGCCAAAAGATAGTAATCCGCCTCACTTGAGGATTACAGTCTGTACTTTTGTTCAACAAAATCCGATCTCAGTAACGTTGGAACGTACCTATGCTGTGAAGCGGCCCGCCATGTGGTGCGGTGACGAGGTCATGCCCGGACGAGGATCGAAATGGGGAATAGTTCGTACTTTTGTAAGGTGTCCATGCGCTTGTGCAACTACTCTCGGTAAAGGAGGAGACAGAACGAAACGAAACGAGACTGAAAAGCTGGGAGATCCAGAGTTCCCTCCGATTTCCAACACAGCCGAAAACTTAACTTTGTTTTGAACAGGAATCTTGAGATTTTACCGATTCTTCGCTAGAGTATCTGCAAGATCCCCGATTCACTTTCTGTTCCAGCCAAGTTTGATTCTGATTCCCCTTGCAGGGGGTGGAACAGATCATTCGTTCCTTTGAGCCTGAATCCCTGACCTTGTTTGCTGGTTCTTCACGGTCGGCGAAACGGGGCTTGAGGGCTTGACTTGCAGTGTGCTCCGTAAGGAGGCTCTGATATGCAGCCTAGATCAGGGGCGAATCAAAGGAGAAGGGTGGACTTTGTAATTTCCACATACATATTACAAGGTTGTCTAGACTTATAATCATCGTCATGACAAAGCGTACTCCGTACTCTGATTGATACTATCAGCCACATGTGTGGTCCACGTGGATACGATATGCTCCACTGATATTATTGGATCGACTTGACACTTAGGACTGTGCACTCTGGGGTGTCATATCGGGTGTACGACATGTCAATTTCTCATCTATGCAGATGAGGTAACAGAAACATAGAAGAAAGTACATGATGTCTTAGTCGACCATACAGGAGCTGAGAGTTCCTGCGCTGTACAACCTAATGTTAGTTACATATCACATTTGGACGAAACCGTATTTCAATACACGGGTGTTATGCAAGAAATCAATGACATGAAGCCACGCCTTTCTATGTTCGTCTCTAAATGCACTCAACCGAATCACATTCGTTGAAAATATCCTTATGATTGGTTCGGCCGATCCCGCTGTCACTGTCTTTGAGAATAAAAACACAGGTCGCTTACTGTCTAGTGTGTATTCCGTAGGATTGTCCAAATCAGATCTACTCCAATAACGAATCAGAGACCCGCATCGCCGATCATGATGTCTAGACGTAGTTGCATTAATTGGTTTATCCGGACGGTCGCATTGTTCCATCATACATTGATCAGTCATTTTACGCGTAGGTTTCCATTCCCCAGCATTCCAGAATCTGACTTTGATATGCCACAGAGTTAACTTCCATGTGTGGGTTGGATCCAGAGATTCCTCCGATGGCACGATCATCACGACTGGCATGGATCTTCGTGTAGCTCCTGCCCCTTGAGTGGTAATCCTCAGGAATAGATGGGAGGAAAGCCGAGATGAGAATTCCTACTACCGTGTCTTGTTATTGTTATTGCACTTCAACAGTCTCGGAAGCAAAAATTCGTCACCCCTGCTCAAACATCCAAATGGCGCTCATATGAATCCGTAGAGTCATCTGCTTGGTAGACCGCCACTGCCGCAGTATTGTAGATCCAGCATACTGGAGCTCCTGTCTTGGTATTGACGCTAGGTCTTGAAATTTGAGACTTTGACGCATACTGTATCCAGCCCCTACCCCTACACCAAGATCCCATGCAATATCCCGCGCTGGACTGCAGTGTTACCTACAATAGAGTAGACCTGGGGAAATGCCTCTGTCCCGACGACGATCCTACTGCATTAGGAAGCATTCCACCAGTCTCGTGAACCATGCCTGCAACTCATTGGACTTATCAGCACTGTATATCGAATTCTAGAATGGCAGAATCCATAGATCATACACATATGCATAGACGAGTCAAAACGCATGATAAACAAGTGCAGCTCTGGTATCTGGTTCCAGCCGCATGATGTACAGGCCGACTTGCGTTGTTTTTATGCAGTTTCAACTTGCGCATACATAAGCACAGACACAGGAATCTCCAGGTTTCGCCAGTAGGCGTATCCCTTGCATTATCCAAATTGGTTTACAGAACTCTATTCTTCGCTTCGTAGTGTGTCTGCATGGCGTGCAGAGCAGAAGCGTACGTATGTAATAGTTGCTTGTTTCCATTCTTATCGGATAGCGGCTATTTCGGACTTGATGGATTGGTGAGTGACGACTGGATATTGGAGGAGTTTCTTTTTTTATGTAATCTTGTGCTGGTACCTGGATCCATTTCAAAATGGACTAGGAAAGTCAACCGTCCATGCAGGAAAGTCTGGTCGGTCTAGGGTTGTGGTTGTGGCCCAACCATCTAAGTAGATATCGGGCAGGATGCGCCCAACCGGGCCCAGGGAAGAGGGACTGGAAAGTAGAAGTAGAGAGTGGAGGAAGTTCGGTGAAAGATAAGAGAGTTTGTTTACCGTAGTATGTGATGATTGAAGTCTTAGTACTTCCATATACATTGTACCCCTTAAAATAGAGTAACCCGTTAGAATAACAGCTACTCCGTAAACAGTTAAGCAGTTACCAATAACGCACGTCATATCTTATCTCTACTTACATACAGCAGATCGTTGAATTTGATTTTAATTATAATTATGATTACAATTCTGATTTGAAATTTCCTCTGATTAGCACTCAATGTACGTAGTACCCCACTGCCAATGTGCCGAGTCAGAACTATTGTACTGTAACCAGCCGCGAATGCGGGTATCATGCCCATCATCGACTCCACTTGCAATTCCCGACCAAATCCCGCCTTCTAACTGGATCGTCAAATTCAGTCTATTAAATTCGCACATGACAGCCGGACTCCTGCACAACTCAACGGTTTGAAGCAAAAAGCAATCAAATTATGTATTCATATTGGGCCCCTCTTGCTGAAATTGTGTGACTGCCCCGCGTTGGACTCGTTCCAATGGGCCGAGAAAAAGGAAATAAAATCAATAGATGTTCCATTTCCGGGGTTCATCGCTCTGTGTTACTACTGTCCTTCCCCTAGATCTGCGGTATTTCTTTTTCTTTTTCTCTTTCAAGGTTTGGGGGTGGTCGGCTTGGGCTGGGTTCGGATGTTGCGGTCTGATATCATAGGTAATTCTTCATAGGCGGTGATTGGTAGAAGTGGACTCCTGAAGTCACGATGAGTCGGTGTACTCCAGGCTCCATACTCCATGTTATGGGCTTTGGTTCCCAATTTCAGACTATAATTATGATTAACCTCTGTCAAGGGTATACTGTATATTTAAAGTAGTCTGTCATATCCTTCATTCCGTGGTACAGAAAAAAAAAGAAAAATGATCCGTGGATAAAAGTGCGGGTGACCCTGGGGAGTAATTTTAAGTAATTACATTACCCACCGATCCATAAAGCAACGCGTTTCACCTGTCGTTGATCTACTCTTCTCCCGCAGCTTCGAATTTTCCAATGAAATTCGGTGGATACCAGTGAATCACCAAGAAAGTTTGCCACAGCGACATTGTTTGCCCCTTGCAATTGTAGAAAAAATCAAAATTGGATGTAGAGTCTATGATTCTCTCTCGAGCTATCGGGACGGTAGACTGCTAGCGGATAATTTGATGAGTTTGACAGGACAGACGATGCTTAAAATTTCCCGACAACTAGGCTCCTGGGAAACCCTGTGGCAAGCGTCATTTCAGCGGTGATTACTCTGTCCCCACACGGAGATCCGCCGGATGGACTTCCCAAAATTTCAGTTATAGAAATTGCCGGGATCTCAAAAAGTTGGTCCTTGAAATGTGGATAAGGGCTGTGTACTGTAAAAGCCCTCGTGGTCAGAACCAGAGTAATTCAGTTCCCCAGCTGAAGGAGGACCCAGAGCCCCACTGTGAATTCAGAAAAGGAAATAACAAAAACAAAAACAAAAAAAATAATAAAAACATCAATAAATACAATTGAGCCGACCTGTCATTTTTTAAAAGAGTTTCTTATGTGTACGTACATAAAGAGATACAAAGCAGATCCCGATCTGGATGTTTTTACTTCTAAACTTCCTGCGAGGATCCTACATGGGAATCTAGGGGCAAACAGTTGTCATTTGTCGATCCTCGTAATTACCTACGTACATATGTTTCCCTAACTAATTTTAATTTCTTTCCCAAATGTCTACTGGATCGACCCGACAGCTTGGCTTAGCTCAAACCCCCCTGATCTTGAAAAGTATGTATTAGTATGTCACTGACCGCGTTACCTTTAAAATACACGTTTTTGTTCCATGGTACGGAACTGATACGTATACACCCCTCCTTCCCCCCCCCCAAACTCTTTTGTACTTTCGATTTTGAACCCTTCGATCTATCTGATACGGTGGATCCTTAGCTCTTTTGTTTTATTCCTTCCATCTCTGTACGATCTTAGAAAAGCGCCCCTGGTCCCGATCCCATCTGATTTTTTTTGGTTTCTTAGCCGCCAACCCCGGTTACTCCGTACAAAGAAAGCTCTCCAACACCAAACCCAACTCGACAAGCTCCATTTTTGGGACCAAATCCTCCGAACAAAGAAGAAAGAACGCCTCCCCGGTTTTGAATCCAACATACATATCCGCCACCGATCGAGCTTCCAAGATCTCAAGCTTTCAAGCTTTCTTTTGCGACATCTAAAAGGCTTCACCGTTCCTGAAACTCCTTCCCACGGTTCCAGTCGCAACTCCGTCATGTGTATCTGAACGGTGGATCACCAAGCTATATTGCTTTTGAAAATCGGTAGACCCTCCCGAGGCAACTCGCCCTATTGGTGATTCGAGATAAACGTGCCTGACACCGGTTTCAGATCCCACTTGACTCGAACGTGACTTGGATCTTCTCCTCTCATGAATCGTCTACCCGAGAGCCACCATGCGCAGCCCCCGCATGGGGGCTATGGGGACGTATGGCGCGCGCAACACCCACATCCTCCCCCTCCACCTCTACACTACGACCATCAAGAACCGCGTTCTGCCCCAACTCAACCGCCTCCCCCACCATATTTCCCCGTGAATCCAAACCGCGAGTTACCTCAGCCTCCACCACATGCAGATAGTCCTTATGGACGTCCAAATGGTATTAATGGCCTGTCGGGTCTTTCGCATCCAGGCCCGGAGCCTAGTCCCATACATACTGGTTATCGACCCCCGCTCAATGGATCTCCGCACGAGGCCTCGCCTCAGTCCGCTCCTCCGGACTATCGCTCGCGCTTGAGTCACCCGTCTACCGAGCCAAACATACCTAGCGAATCATCACCGCCTCTCTCGGTGCCGCCCCATGCACCACAATATGTTTCGCCGAGTGCACATGTGCCGTATCCTGATTATCCGGGTTACTCGCAGAACCCTGCGTATGGAGCCCGCCAGCAACAGCAACGCAAGCCGGCTCGAGCGACCCAAGCGTGTGATCAATGTCGAGCAAGGAAAGCCAAGTGTGATGAAGGACGACCAGGTTGTAGCCATTGCAAAGAGAATAACCTCACTTGCGTGTACAAGGAGGTACCACCGCATAAGTTTGTATCCTCCAAAAAGTAGACGTCGTCAGATATTGACTATTATACAGACAGGATAAGGGAGCTCAGGCTCTACTCGAAAGAATCGATAAGCTGCAGGACAGTACTCAGTTACACCTTGATACCCAGGACAGAAGGGCGGAAGTTACGTCAGGGAGGATAGAAAGCACGTTATCCCTGTTGGGAGAGGATGTGAAGAAGAGGTTGGAAATCCTTGACAGCAATGTGGCAAAGCTTCTTCTGGGCATGACTGGTTCCATGCCAAGGAAAGGGCCGAGCCAAATCTTGCAAGAACCGCCTTACGTTGAAGCTAAACCCACTATACCCCTGGTGGTCCCGCCTGAGACTTCTTTTGACGAGAAGAACGTCTCCTTTAAATCGTCGACAACGGCAGAGATACCGGCTCCTGCTGATGGCGCGAGACAAGAGGAAGGTGAGGAGGGCGAGGGCGAATTATCGATCCCAGTGGAACACACGACTGCCGCACATAAACTTCTCATGTGGCCCTCCATTCAAGCGCTTCTCAGCCCCAACAAGTACGACCCAGACTATGTCATGATAGTCGAAGAGAAACGGGGTCTCATCAGCGTTCAAGGACAGGGCGAGAATTCCTACACGGCTGATGATACACGATTGCCCTCCACTGTCAACTCCTGGGACAAACCCCAGGTGGATTCAAATGGGATTTCCGTCGTTCAGGGCGAATCAACGGATGATGTGGACGCGGAAATTGACCAATATGGTCTTTTGCGTCTGGATAAAACGACCGCTAGACGCTACTACCGGAGCTATATGCAACACCTCCATAAGCTCCATCCTTTCCTCGACCCGGACGTCTTGCCACTGCAGATCGAGGAATTCATCCGGATATATTGCCCCAGCGATACACCGAATATATGTCGAGACAACCCAGGCGCGAAGCGAAAACGTTCCTATGATGATGATCTGCAGGGCGTGCGGGGGGCTCCCCTAGACCCTACTGCTGCCACTTCTCGACCACGGGTCGGCAAAAATATTGACAACGCTGTTATTCTGTTGGTATTTGCACTTGGAGCCATTTGCGAGCACCCGTCACCACTGCCGGGTCCGATCATGGATCAACCTATCAACTATCGCACAGAAGAGATCCCTGCCCCCTTGCCGGCACCTTTAAGTATAAATGGCATGTTGTCGCCGGCCAACTCCGAAACGGCAATTCAACCAAACTCATACAGCTTTCATCCGCCAATCCCAACATACTCATATCCTACACCCGAATACGAACCGACCGTAAATCTGTCTAGGAAAAACATCTCCACGACTAAAGACAGCTTTGGCAACGTCCGAAATTCTCAGGTCATTCCGGGGCTGGCTCTCTACGGATATGCCACACAGATATTGGGTCCTTTGCAAGGTGGAGTGGAGTTGGAACACGTTCATGCAGGCTTACTTGCGGGTCTCTATGCTGGTCAATTGGCCCACCCTTTCCAAAGCCATGCTTGGATCTCCCAGGCTGCTCGTGCTTGTCAAGTTCTTATCCGATTGAAGCGGTACGAAAGACTTCCGAATGGCCATGTGAAGGATGTCTATAATTTTGCCTACTGGACCTGTTTACAACTCGAGAGTGATCTTCTTGCGGAGCTCGACATTCCTGCTAGTGGGATCTCTCGCTCTGAGGGTCGGATGAGTCTCCCCAGGGGCAAACTGGACTATCCTCCTGATAAGATATCTCACGAAGAGAGCATGTTGATGTTCTTCTACTCGGCGCAAATCCATCTTCGCAAGGTCCTCAACCGTGTCCACACTGATTTGTACAAAGTCGAAAGTGAGTCTCACCTGTGATCTCCTGACGTGCTCTTTATTAACCTGCCCTAGAAAATAACCAAAATCGATGGTGCTCAAGTGTGCAGACAACTCTGAGTCTGAACCTCGACCTCTGGCGTGACAGCCTACCGCAAGCCATGAAGTGGTGTGACAGCGAACCACCGGCCAAGGAAATCAACGCTGCTCGCATGAGAGCCAAATATTACGGCGCACGATACATCATCCACCGTCCTCTATTATACTTTGCCCTTCATTACGGTCAGGAGGGTGCCCAAGTAAATGGACACCAAGTTGGTGTGAACTCACCCACCGCTTCTCAAAAAGCCTCATCACAGCAGATGTCACCCCCCAGCACACAACCCATGCAACGTATTATGAGCGACAGAGGTGGCGCGCCAGGCCCGGTTTCACCATCTTTTCCAGATGGATGGGTTAAACCCACTGTGCACTTCCGGGATCTTACACCGCAACTCCGCTCAGCCTGTAGGATCTGTATCAATTGTGCAATCTCAAGCACGGAGGCTTTTGATGGCATTGAAGGTCGACTCGTTGTGACCAACATCTTTGGCACTGCTCATGCGTGAGTTCCAATTATCACATGAACCTTGAACTTGAATTGGAAACTAACTCTACTAGTCAATTTGGTAACATGCTCGTCCTATCAGCGACCTACATGTCCAGTCTCTCCGACCTCGTACCAAGAGATACACTGCATCGACTCCTTAAACGAACCATTGACTTCCTCTTGCGCAACGTGAATATCTCGCCAACTCTTCGCGCTGACGCTAGAATCCTGACTGAGATCTACGAGAAGATCTTTCGCAAACCCCTTGTCCCTAATGTACCTGTTTCTTACTGAATGCTTGAAGAACGTTCGGTCTTTGTTATGTTTCTTGTCCTTTTTCGTGTCAGCCCATGTGGCTTGGTGTACAACGGAGTCGTTGCCCACGTCGACGACCCCGTTTTCGTTTCTGATATACCCTTTCTCAAGCCGGTGGCTATTTGACCCCGACTTGCTCGGTGGACCTTTGCATTTGGTGGCTCTGATCGTGGTCTGATAGTGATTCCGAGTCCGATTCTGATCCCGGTCCTGTTTCTGTTTCTGATTCAATGGATATATGCAGGGAGTTCTAGTGGCTGGTACATTGCATGATAAATCCTCATTACTACATGCTCTTCTTCCGTTGTTTTCATTTATTTGGGTTGGTTTTGCTTTTTGGGGGTTTTCCTCGATCGCTTATGGCGATACCCCAAGGCTTGGTGTTTGTGTCTGTGTTTTTGTTTTGATCATATTCCCCAATGAGAGCTGGAAACTTGGACCGGTCCTACTTTCTGCCTTTTCTCTTCTTGATTGTTTTCGTAAAGGTGTTTGGGGCTGGGTTTGCTTTTTTTAGTGCTTTGGGTTATGCCACGGATGTGAATCCATGAATGGTTCCTTCCGCTCATGTTGTTTTATGAGATTTTGTCAGAATGGAATCATTTATTATGATGTTGATACATCTATACTTCAAATATTTGGAATGAATATTGAAATAGCCAGTCATGTCCTATTGGAGGATTGATTCATTCTCCCCCAATTTAAAGATTCATATCACGATGTGGAGCTGCTTGATGCTGAGATTATGGCTCGGGTTGGAATCTAGTTCCAAGGAGTATGCTATTGAGTGGCTCTGTTGAGGGGCCTTGAGTTCTGTTCGAGGAGAGATATGATTCGAATGTTGACATGCGGTATGCATTTAGGAACGAACTGGTCCATGAAGTGCATAGTATGTGTGGTTCCGGTAATAGGATATCCACTAAGTAGATTTTAGTGATTGCTGATTTGAATTAAGCTGATGCATGTGCATATCCTGTCAATATTCAATGCATCTGATAGACGCGGACCGAGGATACCCCGCACGAACGATGGGGCCAAGCAATCCCCCTGATCTCAGATTGCATTGATATTTCAGCAGATGATACCCTCTATCTGAGAATTCTCAACGTGAAACATAATCATCATGTCGGAAAGGAAATGGCCCTCGAGAGAAGGTATGTAGCCGCCACTCCTGAAAAGCCCAGCGCTAAATTACTCCAGGTTTCACGGCAGATGTACTAAACCGGTGGATCCAGCGCAGTATTCTCGACCCATGGAAGGTCGTTCCTCTACTAGCACTGGCACGTTACACCATCAAAGGCCGCGAACTTACCGAATCGCGCCCTCATCTTCTCAAAGCACTTAAAGCCCTTGCCACCGTAGCCACCATCAAACGACTCTCAAGCTGGCTGGAACGCCGCGCAATCAATAACGGCGTCTCCGACCACTACGATTGGGACAAAGAAGTAGTCATCCTAACCGGCGGCAGCAACGGAATCGGCCGCCGCGTAGCCCAACTCCTAGGCGACCGCGACATCAAAGTCGCCATCCTCGACATCTCACCTCCAGAAAATCTCCCCAATAGCGTCCGCTTCTACCAATGCGACATCACCTCACCAGAAAGCGTAAGCGAAACAGCCAGGAAGATCCGCGCCTCATTCGGCCGCCCAACTATCCTCATCAACAACGCAGGCGTCCTAATAGCAAAAACCATCCTCACCGCATCCCCTGCTCAAACCCGTCGCATGTTCGAAGTAAACACCCTAGCACACTACTGGCTCGCCCAGGAATTCCTTCCTGACATCATCGCCGCGAACCACGGTATGGTGGTAACGGTTGCTTCGCAGGCGGGTTATATCGGGACCCCGAATCTGGTCGATTACTCTGCTACTAAGGCTGCTGCTATTACTTTCCATGAGGGATTGGCGGCGGAGTTGGTTACTAGGTATCAGGCGCCGCGTGTGCGTACTGTACTTGTGACGCAGAGCTTTACGCGGACGGGACTGATTGATAAGTTGAGTCCGGAGGATACTTTTGTTAATCCGCTTTTGCATCCTGGGACTGTGGCTGAGAAGCTGGTGGAACAGGTTTTGAAGGGGGAGAGTGGACATGTTCTTGTGCCTGGTTCGACGGGGCTTATGTGTTTGTGGTTGAGGGCTTGTCCGCTATGGTTCCAGCATTCTTTGCGCTGTAGGTTGGAGAGGGTGGTGAGAGCTGATTGATTTATTGTTATCCATGGGATCCAGTTTTGGTTTTAGTTTCACACGTGCAACATTTCAATTGAATCCTTCGTTATATTCAAATTGTTGCATTTTTGATATATGGACTTGATTGGATGGATGCTGTGACAGGAAGATGGTACATGCAGGTATATATTTGTTGGCAGCTGTAAGCGACTGACGATGATCTCGGGAACCATTCAAATGTTTCTCATTCTATGGATATGAATTTTTCTGGATGTTTAGCTACCACGGCTTCATAGGTAGATGAAAAGATTAAACTTGAGTACATATTTGAATACATACTATTTGAAGTACCAGTCGACAACTATAAGTTCCTATACTCTCTTTATGACGAAACCCCCTGTGGCACGTGCACGCATCTTCACCGCGATTTTGATTCGACCCACTTTGGACTTCCATCCTGCCACCGACTCGATTTCTCACATTTTACTGTAGCTTTGTCTCTGATCTGAGTTTTGCATTGATCTATTCTGCATGCATTCTTGATCTTTCAAAGATTTTTTGGGGAATCAATCTAATCAAATCTGGGTCACACTGGGGCTCGTCAAGCTCCCCCCATCGTCTGGCGCACCCGACCGTGGGTTCGCGTGGGTTCGCCCAGTCTCCGCTTGACGATCCACGGCTCAGCTCCCGTTGTTTACTACCCAAACAAACCATAACAACGCCATTTTCCCCGACCTTTCATCTCCAACATTCCACACCTTTCCCCTCTCACACACATTCCTAACCTCCCACATGGTGGTCTGTGTCATTTGGGCATCCCTGTGAATTCTTGCCCACCATGTTCAAAGCCCTCATGGGCGGGGGCCGGTCCGATACCCGAAGTGTGACCAGCTCCAGTTCGAAAAGCCGCCGCAGAGCCGATTCCAGCAAATCATCACATAGCCGCAAATCCTCACGGGGTGACGACCGTGATCGCGGCTTAGATGATTCGCCTTACCCCCCATCGGCCTCGGGCAGCAGGCGTGGCCCGTCTAGTGTTGCTGGCGACTCTGTCGCATCAACCTACATGACCGCCGAGCCAGAACCCATTGGCAGTCCAGATGCTATGATCATTGAACGAACACCAAAGCGGAGAGATAGCGATCGGGAGAGTAAGAGCTCTCGTCGCCGTGCTCGCGACCGGTCAGAAAGTCGAGAGCGCGATAAAGGGAAGAGCCGTCGCCGTGTTGGAGATGAGGTAGATGATGTGGATGAGCGCGACCGTCGTGAGCGCCGGCGCACACAGCCTGGGGAACCTTATGTTCCGCCAATCTCTACATCTATGCCACCTAGCGTACCGGCTGCGCAATTTCCAATCGACATGGGTGCTCCGGGATTCTCGCAATTCCCTGGTCAGTTCAACCAGCCTACCTTTGGCTCGCCCCATCATGATACCTCACCTCATCATGGTGCCTCGCCAGCTCTGTATGACCCGCATGTTCAGCAGCAATTCCCGGGCCAGTTCCCAACCACGACAGCAGAACCATACTATCCCCCAAACAATCCCGCCGGCGCTGCGGCAGACTACTACGGTGACCAAGGTCAATCTGTTGGTGAGCAGCCAGGAGTCCGGCCTCATAAGCCAGCGGTTATTCCTAATAGTCAGGTGCATCTGATGACCGCCTCGCCATCAGCCAATCCTCCTCCGGAGCCCAGTAGTCTTGGTGAGGTTGGGGCCGCGGCAGCTTATTTCGACAATGACTTCCAGGTCCCCGAAGAACTGGTCAACCCCACGTCTTCTAAGCCCCCTAAGCCCGGCAAAATTAATTTTAAGCCCACAAAGCCATCAAAGCCTAGCCAGTCTTCCTCGTCAAGCGCTGTACCTGCAATTGCAGCTGGAGTAGCTGCGTATGGACTAAGCAGTGCCATGTCATCACATCACAGTGAATCTCACGAAACGGCTGTCCATCAATCCACCTCGTACTCGCAGCCGGCTATCCATCAATCTAACTCGTATGCGCAGCCAGCTGCCCCAATTGCCAGCATTCCAAGCGCTAGCAAGCCTCCTCAATCGCATGGCATTGGTACTGGCGTTGGCGTCGCAGCTGCAGGCGCTGCCGCAGGATACATGCTTGGCCATCAACATCATTCGAGCCCCGAAAATGCCTCACAATATACGTTCCAACACTATGAGCAACCTCCCTCAGCTGGTCTGCCCCCTCATGGCTCTGGTCCCCACAATGCGGTCGTTCCCGGAGGTCCTGAAGGGTACCCTATGCAAAATCCTGGCTTTTATCCCCATGGAACTGGTGCTCTTGCTATGCGGCATCGCCCCAAAGGCCCTATGTCAAAGTTCGCGGACTTTTGGAGGGACCCCGAAGGTGTCGGCAGATTTGAAGACTACACTGAGTCCATTGGTGTTTGCAAGTACTGCTTCGAACCTGGATCAACCTGTCTTGATGCTCCTCGCAAGCACCATTATAACAGGCGCCGGCACTCTTCTGATCGCTACAGTAGTGGTAGTGCTTCTCGCGTAAGCAAACTCAGTCGATACCAATCCTCGGAAGATGAAAGCCGTCGACACAAGAAGTCACGCCGGTCAAATAAGTCTACTTCCTGGCTTCCGGCACTGGGTCTCTTTGCTGGCAAAGAATTCAAAGACTCCTACAGTGTTCGTCCTGGTCGAGGTGCCGATGACCGTGTTTCGTCTTATGATGCTGAAACCACCTCGCTTTCCGACCGCAGGAGTTATACATCTCGAGGCGTGATTCGTCGACCTGGCTCTCCGAGAGAGCACTACGCCGAATCGAAGTATTCTCGTCAAACACGCTCACGATCACGGTCCTCGTCGCCATCTCGTCATTCATTCGTGAAAGAGGCAGCGCTGGGAGCTGCAATCGGTGGTGCTGCGCTGGCTGTTGCGAAATCAAACCAGCGATCCCGCAGCCGCTCACCTTCTCGAGTGGAACGACGAAAGGAGTCATCATCTAGCTCATCTTTTCTTGATGTCTCTCGATCTTCCCCCAAATCTAGGGGCGGTTTTACTTCATTCTTTACTGCGTCATCTGAGAACCGTAAGAAGCAAAAGAAGCAGAAGAAGCGGACCAAGCGCAAAGGATTTTTCTCTTTCAACAGCTCGTCATCATCATCGCTTGATGCGGATCTCGCTTTTGGAAGCGGCTTTGCAAAGAAGTCCAAGTCTAAGTCCAAGAAGGAAGAGAAGAAGGAAGATGTGGATGCAGCGCTCCTGGGACTGGGCGCAACAGCCACCGCTCTTGCTGCTTCAGCCCATGGTCGTAGCCGCACCACTGGCCAGATTCTTACCGCCAGGGAGGCTCGATCCCGTCATTCCAATAATATGTCGTCGGCCAATGAGGACGAGGAGTGGATTGATGAGTCGGACGACCAATCTTCTGACAGTGTTCCATCCGCACTAGCATTTGGAGGTAGCAGTGCTGATTCCGGATCAGACTCGAGTCGTGGCGGATGGGGTTTCTTTGGTTTCAACAAAAAGAAGAAGAGTAAGAAGGAAAAGTCCTCTATTGGAAATGCTGCCGCAGCAGGTGCCGTTGCTCTCGGAGGTGCTGCTATAGCTTCTGTTGCTCGCCACCGTGGCAGCGGTGTCTCAAACAGCTCTGGAAGCCTGCAACAGCTTTATCCTACTGCCACCTCCGACTTTGATCGATTTGACGCAACGAGGATGTCTCCGTCAGGCGAGCCACCCCTGGTGCGTCCTGGTCCTATTCCTTTACAGCAACCTCAACCTTTCACACCTGTTTCCCAAGCCGTCTACACTACCCAAGGAGGCCAACCAGGATCAATCCCTGCATATACCCCTGAAGTGCCTCTCGCAATCGCAAGTATCCCTCCATACGCCCAGCAGTTCCAAGGCTCCCGAGACCCAGCGTTTGGGCCCGAGGACCGCCAATCCGATCGACGGAAGCATCGCCGTAGTGACTCCACTCCTGTTTTCCCAATTCAAGACCCTCTTATCTCAGGCCCAAAGCGTCGATCTACTACTAGGGAGTCGGCCTCTGTGTCTTTTGATTTGACCGAAAAACAAGAGGAACAGCAACGTCGCCGCGAAAGATACCCAGAAGATCTCCCGTACCAGCCTGTGCAGTTGATTGACCTCGAAGAGAAAGCTAAGCAAGAGGAAGCACAGCGGGAGTTCGAACGTCAAGAGCGGCGTCGCAGAGACCAAGAGGACGAAGATCGTCGCCGCAGACAGCAAGAGGATGACGATCGACGTCGCAGACAGCAAGAGGATGATGATCGCCGCCGCAGACAGCAAGAGGATGACGATCGCCGTCGCCACCTAGACCAAGAGGAAGACCGCATCCGCAGACAACAAGAAGATGAAGATCGCCGTCGTGATGCTCGTAAAGAAACAGACTCATCTTCCTGGGTTGAGGCAGCTGCTATCGGTGCTCTAGGTGGTGCGGCTGCCAGTACCCTCATTTCTCGTAAGAGCGATAATACCGCACCATCTGAAGCCAGCTCAGACCGTTACAGCAAGAGACGGGAACAACGTCGAAAGGAGCGGGAAGAAAGCCGCATGGAATCCTCCATTGTTTCAAGGCCCGAGGTTGTCATGCCCGTTGAAGAGCCAGCGACAACCGCTGTGTATGAAGAGGAGCAAGTCAAGACTTCGCCCCGCCACAGTCCCCGCTCTTCCCCTGTCTATGACAGCTATGCAGACTTCTACGCTCCCGACTTGCATGATAAGTCTCATCAGGAGGAGCAGACTCATGAACCTGAAGATCAGCCCACAATTGTCGAAGTGGTGCCTGCTAGCGAGCGTGAAAGTGAGAACGAACAAGAAAAGTCCAACATTCCCAAAGATGACCGGGTTAATCTGCACCAGTTCGCACAAGAGCCTTACGAGGGCTATGCTTCGCTTCCGTTCAGGGTCCCGGAACTTATCTACACCAAGCCCACTCCTGAGCAAAGTGTCAATGGATCTGCATGCGGTGTTAATTCCCCAGTTGCTCCTCCTGAAACATCGGTTGAGCGTGAGCACGAACACGAGCGCCAGGTAGAGCCCGAGCCCGAGCCCGAACCTGCGCCTCAATCTGAGGCTGTGCCCGTGATTCAACCTGAGCCTGAACATCAGCCCGAGCTCGAGCATGAAATAGAGCCAGAATTCAAATCAACTGAGCGGTCAACAACTGGATCGCGCGTGTCCTGGGGCCATGATAAGACTCACGAATACGAAGTTCCTTCCTCCTCTGAACACGATCCGACTGATTATGATATCTCACCCCTTGATGATCAACGAAAGGAGTTCCCCTTGACTACTCCCGGAGAAGAGAAGGAAAAGCGTGAAAGTGACAAAGACTTCGGTACAGACATTGAGTTCGCTGCCATCGTTGCCGCTGGAACCAAAGCGGCTGGATTCGATCCGTCAGTCGTCCTCAATGACCCCAAGTACCACACACGTACATCTCCTCCTGGCTCTGAGGATGAGGGCGTCTTCTCTCCTCGCTCAAAGTGGGCTGAGAATGGCCAATCCCATGGCTTCGTCGAAGGCGAGGTTGAGAATGACGAGCTTGACAAGTCCAAGGATATCAAAAACTCTTTTGAGTATGTGGTTGAGGACAAGCCATCTTATTCGGAGCCTGAGTACATCACCAAAGATGAAGTTCCATCCCCCGACACTCGCGAAAAGGGTTCAATCGCCCAACGGGTTATGGACGAGTTAGAGAGGAAGACTTCACCACCTCGCTACGCTGAAAACGATGTTTTCTCAATGCCCGGTGGATTTGATAGCCCCGCAGAGCCGCAAGAGCCTCTGTACTCCCACGATGATTCTCGATCCGTTTTTTCTGCCCCCGTTGGAAAAGATATCGATATGCCCACTAAGGCCAGAAAATCCCGTCAAAGCGATGACTTTGATTTGTCGCGTGATATTGCACCCGCCGTCATTGAAGGTGCTGAAGTCATCGGTGATGAGGACAAGAAGAAGCATCGTAAGCGTCGTTCTAAACGTGACAGCGACACAATCTCAGTTGATGCGGAGTCTGTAGTCACGTTGGATGACGATGAAAAGTCCGAGCGACGGAGACGGCGCCACCGTTCTTCCCACGAGGACTTGAATGATGCGGCTTCTGCAATTACTGTTGAAGACGATGACACCAAGTCTGAGCGTCGCCGACGCCGTCACCACTCTTCCCGTGACGACAACGATGATGCTGCATCCACATTTACCGTCGAAGATGAAGACGGAAAGTCCGAGCGCCGTAGGCGTTCTCACCGTTCCAGACATGGCGATGATGATGATGCACGATCTACTCGCTCTACCCGATCTACTGGTGACGATGATGCGAAATCCGAACGCCGTACGCATAGCCGCCATTCCTCTCGGGACAGTTTACATGATGATCGGGATAAGCGCCGGAGCAAGGATGACAAGGAAAAGTCTGGTAGCATTTTCCGCAGCCTCTTTGGCTCCAAGGTATCCGCGCCAGAGGAGCGGCGTAGTTCCTCTCGGTCTTCATCTCTAGACAAGCGCGTCGCTCGGGATACCGTTTCCGAGGCTGGGGTTGATGACGAAAGACGTCGACGCAAGAAGCGTTCTTCAAGCTCTCGACACAGCTCCAGCGGCGACAAGTTGGATGGGTATGATTCGGACAAGGTAAGTGTGAAAGATGATGCGAATTTGGAGGATTACAGATCGAAGAGGCAGGAGAAGGAAGAGAAGCGCCGACAGCGTTACGGAGACATTGTCGACTCGGGGAGACGTCGGGAATCTGAGAAGGTATAATATTTTGAATTTTCTTTTGTGATCTTATTAATGTTGCCCGCTTTTTGTACACTGTTATGTGCCATATAGTTGTCTTTCTGGATGGTTGCAGTCACTCTGATTTATCCAATTGCACAAACTCATGAAACCCCAAACAAAAAAAGAAATTCTACTAAGCATTCTATTGGTATTACTCCATGTGCAGGACGGGAAAGAATCGGAATATAATGACGACAACGACAAGTCTTTTTTAGGGGAACACCCTGAAACGCGTGACCAACACGGTGCGGCGCCTCCATTTCCGAACATCACGAAATGGCTGGGCCTAGAGGATACGGCAGAGGGTGCAGCTATTGCAGCTGCTGGCTTAGCACTGGGGGAAGATCTCTTCCGGCAGCGCCCTCGAAGTCGTTCAACTTCGCCTCGTGCCGCAGAGAGAGACCATGATCTCACCCCGAAATCCCAGAGTAGACCATCTTCGCCAGAGATGGCCCGAAATCAAGGTCAGTCACGACGAATGTCTCTCAACCGGTCGACAGAGTCGCCAACTGCAGTACCTTTGCACTTCCGTCGACCCCCGATGTCACCTGGTCTGACAAGATCAGTACCAGCCGAAGACACAACTCCACCGGGATCTACAGGCTCCCCGACTCAATCTCGCCATCGCCGTCCCAAGTCTGTCGAAATGTCGGGTGAAATGCGGCCCCTATTCCTAGTAGAACGCCACGGCTCAGCTAAGGTGGAGTCAGAGGTTGGTGAAAAGCTACCCTCGCTCCCATCTAGTAAGGCTTCTTCACGAGCTGCCTCTGTGGAGAACTTGAGAGCCCTTAATGACGAAGATGCTGTCATGACATGGGAGCCAATTCAATCTACTCCTTTGATAGACCGCAGGCCGAGTCTGAAGATTTCTACGGAGCGAGCCAACGAGGCCGAAACAGAGCATGATCTTCTTGATTCGCAACAAGCAACCCCAACAGCGCAGAACTTCAGGGAACCTTCAGAGTCAGCAAAGAAGGAGAGGCAAAAGCCCGAGTTCTATTCGCCATCAGATCTTCTGCGAGATCCTACTGCTTATCCGGACCCCTCATCAATCACCGAGGCTCTTCCTTCGCCTGAAGGATCGGTGATTGCTGTCAAAGACCTGCCCGAAAATGCTAGCGCCGATGATGAGCATGCGCGTGAGCTTGATATTGCGCAAGAGGAACCTCCGGCCACAGAGGAAATTTCTTCAGCAGCAAAGCCCATGTCTGAAACTACTGGTCTTGGATTTGCTGGTATTGTTGACGCTGCTGTCATTGCTGCTGGAAAGGACGACACTAAGCCTTCAGAATCCACTGAAAAAGAGATTTCCGAGCCAACAACCCAGTCAAGCGATCCATCAAGCATTGGAAATACTGAAAATGAAGTTGCTGAAAAGGCTCTGCCCGAGACAAGCTTTGAATCATCCGTTGAATCCGAAACGAAACTCCAGGGATTTTCTGATGTCGTTGATGCTGCTGTTGCTGCTCAGGCGTCCCACAATGAAACGCCTGTCGATAAAGAGCTGGGTGAGATTAGTACGGTCATTGAAGAACAGCCATCCGTGCCACTTGAACCCGTGTCATCGGTTGAAGTTGAAGCAAGCAAGGAGCTGGTTCCTGAATTTCCTGAACAGCCCATTGAACCTGTTTCATCTCAGCCACAGGAGCAGTCTCAACTGCAGGAGGAGCCGGTCGTCGACGAGGCAAATTTGTCAAAGTCTCAAAAGAAGAAGAAAAAGAAGGGAAAGAAGAAGCAAGCTGATGAGAGCACTGAATTACCTTCTGAGTCTGCGACGACCACCGAAGACCATATTCCCGCTGTTGATGCCACGGAAGGTGAATCTCGCTCCATTGAGCTCGAATCAACTCCTGTTGACAACGAAGTCCTTCCCGAACCCCAGTCTAAGCTTGCACCAGTGGAAGCTTCCAGAGAGGTAGAGGTCGGAGTCGACAATTCGTCTGCTGCTCCTGCTGAGTCTCCCGAAGGCTTGGAACGATGTGTTGATGAACAGCCTCTGCCCACCGCCGAGCCAGATCTAAGTGCCTCTGCACCAGTTGAGGCCGAGTTTGTCGAGGCCGCAACTGCTCCTGAGCCCGAGGCGCAGTCCGAGCGGGAGACTGTGACTGAAGCTGTGAATGAAGATCATGCCGAAATATCCGCTGGGATGTCGAAGAAGAAAAAGAAGAACAAAAAGAATAAGAACAAAAGCATTTCTTCTACAACCCCAGAAGAGGAAACATCTCGCGATGTGGTTGAAGACCAGGAACCCATTGCTCAAACCGTGGACGCTGTTGAGGCTGGCGAGACTCCAGCTACGGAAGAACCCACAGAGAAAGACATTCCCCAGGAATCCGGCTTCACTGATGCTCCCATGCAGCCCGAGCAAGAGTCTTCCGACCAAGACATGTGGGAGATGGTGGAGCGCGGGGGTACTACCGATGAACAGCAGGGCGAGGAAATGAGCAAGTCAATCGGCTCATTCACAGCCCTTGAAGCGCCTACACCCGAGTCGCATGATATGGAATTCTCTCAGCCTGCTCCAGGGGGAGAGGTCACCGAGCAAGCAGAGGAAATTACGGCAGAAACCACTCCTGATGATCGGGCCACCCTAGAAGAGGCACCTGAGACAGATTCAGAAGCATTCCACGAAGCAGTTGAGGAGCAATCTACTCCGACTGAGGAGAAGAAGGAGGTTGAGACTGAGCCGGCCGAGGCCGTGCCAGAGATTGTTGACACCACTCTTTCCGAACCACAGGAAACTGCGCCAGAAGAGGTTCTAGAGACTCAGTCAAAGAAGAAAAAGAACAAGAAGAAGAACCGCAAGTCTGCGGCCTTTGAAGAGGCAGAAACTCCGTCTGAGCCTCAGATAGCTCCAGAGCCTGAACAAGTAACTAAAAAGATTGAGCCTGAGGCTTCTGCACCTACTGATGTCCCGGAATCTGGAGATTTTCAGTCATCAGAGCCACAGGAGGCTGCTGTGGATGTGCCGCTCTTGGTCTCTGAGGAGGCCACTACAGACGTGCCACCTGCTTCCGAGCAAGAAGTATCACCTCGGGAGCCTGAAGCTACCCCGTCTGATCTGATCAATGCCGAGCCTACACCTTCCGCAGAGCCGGTCAAAGAGGCCGATGAAACACAAAACCAACCCGCTGCCGATGCTGAAGCAGAATCTGAAGCCCCTTTGACGCCAGCTCAAAAGAAGGCAGCCAATAAGGCCGCTAAGAAGAAGGCAAAGCAGCAGAGCATATCCTCTTTCCCGGACGAGGAGACCCCGGCCGAAGCTTCACCTGCTGATAATCAGCGAGCCGAGCCTCAGGCCGATGAGCTTGTCGAGCCTCAAGTGACAGAAGTTCCCGAGCCTACCCCTGAGACCGATACTGCCATTCGTGACGAAGCAAAGGATGCACCCGTACCTGAGACCATTCCGGCGGAGGTAGAGGAGACAAGGGATTTAGAAGTTAAGCCTGAGTCTCTTCAGAAGCCTGAGCCTGAGCCTACTCTGGAAATTGTCACAGAGACTGCTACCCCTGATATCATTCCGACAGATGCAGAACAAATCAAGGATCTGGAACCAGCAGTCGAGCCCTCTCATGACGCTGTTGAAGAAACGCCTGTTGAAAGTGTTCCGGCAGAGACACCGTTCCAGCCTGCTGGAGCGGAGTCCATCCAAGACGTATCTGAAGTACCGCAAGACAAGCCTGAAGTTGAGCAGCTGTCCATGGAGCCTCCGCCTGGCTTGTCAAAGACTCAGAAGCGGAAGTGGAAGGAGAATCAGCGAAAATTGCAGCAGCAGCTTATGGAATCTGCTGCTGAACAGACAACAGCTGAGGCTTCCGCTGCGCCTGAGCCAGCCCAGGATCCTGTCGAAGAGACACCGGCTGTTGAGCGTACCCCAGCAGAAGAGCCGACCAAGGAACTAGAAGCTGCACCCGAGCCCTCACAAGATCCTATTGAAGAGACTCCTGCTGTTGAAGAGACGCCTGCTGTCGAAAGTGTTCCGGCGGAGGAACAACAAAGCAAGGAACTGGAAACCCATCCTGAATCTTCTACCGACCCCACTGCGGAAACCCCTGCCAATCCTGTTAAAGCGGAGTCCATTCAAGAGGTGTCTGAAGTACCGCAAGAAAAGCCTGAAGTTGAGCAGCTGTCCATGGAGCCTCCGCCCGGCTTGTCAAAGACTCAGAAGAGGAAGTGGAAGGAAAATCAGCGAAAGTTGCAGCAGCAGCTTAATGAATCTTTTGCTGAGCAGACACCAGCTGAGGCTTCCGCTGCACCTGAGCCAGCCCAGGATCCTGTCGAAGAGACACCGGCTGTTGAAAGTACTTCGGCAGAAGAAGAACAGACCAAGGAATTAGAAACTGCACCCCAGCCCTCTCAGGATCCTATCGAAGAGACTCCTGCTATCGAAGAGACTCCTGCTGTCGATAGTACTCCGGCGGAGGAACAACAGAGCAAGGAAGTAGAACCTCGGCCTGAATCTTCTGCCGATCCCACTGCGGAAACCCCTGCCAATCCCGTTGAAGCGGAGTCCACTCAAGAGGTGCCTGAAGTACCACAAGATAAGCCAGAGGTCGAGCAGCTGTCGATGGAGCCCCCACCTGGCTTGTCTAAGTCTCAAAAGAGAAAGTGGAAGGAAAATCAGCGGAAATTGCAGGAGCAGATGATGAGCTCGGTTCCAGAACAGACATCAGCCGAGCCTGCCGCTGCGCCTGAGCCAGTCCAGAGTACTATTGAAGAGACTCCTGCTGTTGAAGAGACTCCTGTTGTTGAAGAGACTCCTGCTGTTGAAGAGACTCCTGCTGTTGAAGAGACTCCTGCTGTCGAAGAGACTCTAGCCGTTGAAGAGACTCCAGCCGTTGAAGAGACTCCAGCCGTTGAAGAGACTCCAGCCGTTGAAGAGACTCCAGCCGTTGAAGAGACTCCTGTTGAAGAGACTCCTGTTGAAGAGACTCCTGCTCTCGAAGAGACTCCTGCTATTGAAAGTGCTTCGGCAGAGGAACACCAGAGCAAGGAATTGGAAGTTCAGCCTGAAACTTCCGTGGAAGGCCCTATAGAGACATCTGCTCAGCTCGCCGAGGCTGAGTCTAGCCCAGAGGTGTCCGAAGTGGCCCAAGACAAGCCGAAAATGGAGCAACTGTCTGACGAGCCTCCGCCTGGATTGTCCAAAACCCAGAAGAGAAAGTGGAAGGAAAATCAGCGGAAATTGCAGCAGCAGAGGTTAAGCGAGCAGGCCGAAGCAGAGTCTGCTCCTGCCCCTACCCCTGCCCCTAAGCCCACTCAGGATAATATTGAAGATACTCCTGCCGTTGAAAATGTTGTGGCAGACCTGGAGCAGGTTCAATCGCAAGCTCAGCCTGAGCAAACCCAGGAGCCCGAATTCTTTGGAGAAGGTACCGTGGATACTTCTACTCAACCCGCCACTGAATCCATTCAAGAGGTTTCTGAGGTGTCACAAGAGAAGCCGGAAATGGAGCTACTGTCTGACGAGCCTCCGCCTGGATTGTCCAAAACCCAGAAAAGAAAGTGGAAGGACAATCAGCGGAAATTGCAGCAGCAGATTTTAAGCGAGCAAACACCAGTCGAACCAGCCCCTGAGACTGAGCCTGTTGAATCGACTAAAGAGATCGACCTATCTGCTCCCGCTGAAACCTCAGCTACTGAAAAGATTGCGACGTCCAATCCTGATGTTGCTTCCGCGGAATCTAGCCAAGAAAATCAAGCAGAGCCTATCGAGAATAAACAGCCCAAGGAAGAGGAATCAATTGCGACTTCTATTGCTCAGACACCCGTCGACAATCAGGAGGTTGAGACACAAGGGGAAGATCCTGCGTTGCCGATAGTGGAGTCTGAACAGCCGAAATCCGCCGCCGAGAAGAGAAAGGAGAAGAAGAACAAGCGAAAGTCCAAGCAGTTGGAGAGCCAGTCTGCTGAGGCTGAACCTTCTTCCGAGCAGACCACTACCGAGAAGGTGGAAGAGCAAGCAGCAGAAACAGACTCTGTAGCTCCTACTGAAGTCGATCCTTCTACCGTCGATGAGCCCACGATCACACAGGCAGATTATGAGCCGAAGTCTGTCGACACACCCGAAGGCGAGGACTTTCAAGATCCTTTGTCTAAGGAAACACTCTCTTTGAACGAATCTCCCGAGGACAATGGCGTTTCCGACCAGCTTGTTGAAGAAGCAGCTGTCAGTGCGGATCTACCGGCTGACGTCCCTTCTACCGAACAGCCCGTCACAGAAGTTGTTGAGGACGCACCCACTGAGAACGTGGAGGAGACTGACTTGACCTCTGCCGGGTCAAAGAAAAAGAGCAAGAAGAAAAAGAAGAAGGGCCAGTCTACTCCCGCCGAAGAGGAGTCGCAGCCTGACTCACAGCCCGAGCCTCCTAAGGAAGAACAGACTACCGACCTGCTTGTTGCCAGCAAGGAAAGTGAAGATATACCCGAAGGCTTTGTACAGTCACAAGAAGCTGCTGAAACGCCCGCAGACGAGGTTTTGGTTAGTTCTGAGGCCGTTGAGACTCCTGAAGCTATCCAAGTTAGCGAGGGCCTCCCTGAACCGGAAACTACAGAGACTCCAAAAGAGGCAGAGGATGCAGGTGCCGGGAATCAAACACTCCAAGGGGCTGAGGCTACCGTGGCCTCCGCAGCTGAAGTCGAAGAGGAAGATCCTGAATGGGCAAATCTGTCTTCCAAGGAGCGAAAAAAGCGGAAGAAGCAGAAGGAAAAGGAAAGAAAGAACAAGGCTAAGTCCTTGGACTTGACCTCTGAGGTGCCTTCTACACCAACCGAGGCCCCTCAAATTTTGGATGATCAGACTGCTACGGCCGAGGGTAGCAATACTGTTGACCTTGATGTTGATGCTTCCAAACCAGAAGGCATCGACATTGAGCAACAGGGTGAGAAGAGCGAAACGGCCGAAGCTACTCAATCCATTGAGTCCAAGGCGAATACCACTCCCGATGTCGCCAGTAAGGAAGCCACGGACCCAGCCCAGCTGGGTGAGCAAGAGCTAACTGCCACCCTAGCCGAGCCCTCAACAGAAGCTGATGTTTCCAAAGAAACGGAGCGACCTTCTGAGCCTACCACCGAGGCAGAACTCGATACCGAAATGACTGCCGAGGAACGTCGCAAAGCGAAGCGGGCGGACAAAAAGAAGAAACGCAAATCAAAGAATCTCGGTGCCGATGACCCAGATGCCGACAAAGCTGTTACCGCCGAAACAGATACCACGGAACCCAATGCATCCGTGACGGCTTCCTCGCCTGCGGAAGATGACGGTAAAGAACATCAGTCCCACGACATTGGAACGCCCGACGTACCGCCACAAATTTTGACTTCGACTGATGACATCGTATCTTCGCAGGTAGAGCAGCCGCAGTTAGAGAATCGTTCTTCAGATTATCCTCCCCAACCCGTGCTTGAGCGTTCGAATGATTTTGGCGAACCGGAGGGTGTTGAGAAAGGAATTGACGAGACTGCACCCGTTTTATTGGAGGAGGTAGCAACAACTACAGGGGAAAAGGAGGTTGGTGATGAGGAAGTTACGGAAGAGAAGATTGACGAGCCGGTGGAGAAAGATGTGGAAAATGTACTGATTGGGGAGGAACGGGAAGGAGCAAAGTTTGACATTGTGGATTCGAAGGATGAGCCATCTGTGTCGGAGAAAGAGACGAACACCGCTGAGGAGTCGACGCGAGAGATGCCTGATGAGGCACCTGTCGAGAATACTGAGATGACTCCATCCGTTGGTGCTGAACCAGCACTAACCGAGGAGACGGAAACGTCCAAGAAGCAGAAGAAGAAGGACAAGAAAAAGAAGAAAAAGCAACAAGAGGAGGACAACATTGAAAAAGAGGCCCCTGCTGAGCAAAAGCCATCGGCTCCAGAAGACAAGAAGGAGCTAGAAGCTGTGTCTAGGCCCTTTGAGACCGAAACCAAGGAGGTGGCACAACCTGAGTCAATACTGGCTACTGATGACCCTGAGGTTGATCAAGAGCAGCCCGCTATCGATGTACCCGAGCCACAGGTAGTCGATACCATCGATCCTCCGAAGGAGAGTGAGGTCCCCGCGGAAGAACTCGAGTTCCAGGCGGAAGAGGAAGCATTGGAAGAGGAAATCACTCCTTCTGTCGCTGATGCTGCAGCCTCCACAACCCATTTGGACGTGGAAAATAAGCCAGAGGCAGAAAATTCTGCTGAGGATGGATTGACCGATGTCCAGCATCATCAAGGCGTGGAGGAGACAGGAGATCTCAGTTCCATGGCCACCGAGGAGCAACAGCGAGCTGCAAGCGATGAAATTGAATCCGTTGAGCCTTCTACTGAGCCTCCCTCCCAGAAGGAGCCAGCAGAGGAATCAAAGGAGGCTGCGGCTTCAACATCGGAAGTGCCAGAAAAGGTGCTCGCTGACACGCCGGCTGCCGAAGAGGTCGTGGACGAGTTCAAAGGATTGAGTAAGAAGCAGAGAAAAAAGAAGATGGCAGAGAAGGCTACTGCTGCTGCTGCTGCTGCTGCTGCCACCGTTGGCCTCGAGACCGAAAATGCATCTGAACCACATTCTACTTCTGACAAGGTGTCTACCCAGCCTGTCCTAGAGCCCACCACTGAAACATCTGAAATCGCAGATGTGACAACCAACTCCGAGTTGCAGCCCGAGTCTGCAAGTATGGATGTCAGCGAGCCGTCGGTACCGTTCACCGATGAACCGGCGCAGCTTTCTGAGCCTTCGAAAGATGTCGAACAGCCAATAGACACGCCTGAGCAACCCGTTGAAACTTCTGAGCCATTAGAAAATCCCGACAGCGTGGCAGAGGAATCTGCTACGCCCGAGCTCTCAAAAAAGGAAAAAAGAAAGGCTAAGAGGAAGTCAAAGCAGGTTGAGTCTACTAACGATCTCCCTGACGAGCCATCGGCCCCAGCTCCTGTGGCCGAGGAGCCCGAGGCTATTGTCGGTGCTGAGGTGCCTAGCGCAGAAGAACAAACGGAAACTGTTCGAGAGGTCGAGACTGGACTCACAACTGAAGAGCCTGTGGAGAAAGTGCGTGAGATTGAGCCTGAGCATGTCGAAACTGTCATCGCCCCCGAGCATGAAACGCCTGCAGAGGAAGCTGAGCAGCAGGAGGAGATTGAAGAAACTGATGCTTTTGCTCTAATGGCTCCATTGGATGTCTCCCCGGCTGAAGCCGATCAGCAAGATTTCTTTATCCAGCCTACACAGGAACGTGCAGAGACCCTCGACCAGGACGTCGGCCCCGAGCACGAAGTAAAGGCCGACGTCGCGGGGGTCAGGAATCAAGAATCAGCTGCCGAGCAGGAGAAGTCTGAAAATATTAAAGAGTATTTTGAAGATTCACCTCGACAAGCGAAAGATGATGTGCTTGATCAAACCAAAATGTCGTCGAAGGAGCTCCGGAAGGCCAAGAAAAAGGGTCATCTGTTGACCGCTCCGCTGGCAGATGCTGAGGAACTTATCCCGGATTTGTCTTCTTCAGAGCCTAAGGACATAGATATTCCGGCACCACAGCTCGTTACAGAAGTCGAGGAAGTGCCTTCGGAGGAAGCACAAACTACGATAAACCCCGAATCAACCAGCGAGCAAGATCTACAGCCCATCCCAGCAGCGGAAGCCCCAGAGCCTGCACCAATTCCCTCAGATTATGTTACTGAAGAGCCAGACGTCTCGCTCTCGCGGAAAGATTCTAAGGCTTCAAAGAAAGCAAGGAAGGCCGCCAAAAAGAGCCAAGCCTTGGAAATGCAAACATCAGCTAATGCGACCGATGAACACGAGTCAGCATTGCCTCTTGACAAAGCATTATCTTCCAACGAGCAGGCTCAACTTGCTCAGACAACGCGCAAGACAAACCAAGATGAGGATTGGCCTACGATTGAGTGGGAGCAGGGCAGATCTGAAAATCCCGCGCCACCTCATGACCAAAGTGCCGAGCGTGAGCCTATGTCTATCCTTCCAGCATCCGAAGCCATTGATGAGTATGATGAGCATGCCATCCCGGCAGCATTGCGAGAAGCCAAGGAGCTGGAGGCATCGGAGGAACCACTGAGCAAAAGCGCCAAAAAAAAGGCCAAGAAGAACAAAAAGAAATCTGAGCAAGAAACCCTGACAGGCCCCGTACAGGAGGAGTCTCTCTGCAAAGAGGCCGAGCTGGCAAATGAGTCAATGCCAAAGCCAGCAGAAATCTCGGCCTCACGCGAGATTGAAGCTGAGCCTCCCGCGAGAACCCGCACCCCCGGAGGATCCAGCGTCGCCGACGTTTTCCCTGGATTACCTCGAGCAGGATTTCGACTTAAGAAGACAGATGCGTCGGTAAAAGATAGTGCTGAGGATGAGACGACAGAGGAATTGGAAGCCAATCGCGATATCGCGATCCCCGTCTCGGAAGCACCCACATACGCGACCATTGAATCCAAAGAGACAACTGAAACCAGCTATGAGCTGCTACCTAAAGCTATCAAAGGAATCGATCTTGTTTTGGAACAAGATGTTCCAGCGACGGAGGTTACCAGGGAAGCATCTACGGAGGAGCCAGACCTTCCAGCCTATAGTGAACGTTTCTCGGAGGAACTGGCTTCAACACCGACGCTCTCTGCATCAAAAGAACGATCTTCTATGCTCTTCAGCTCGTGCCCGTCTACTCGGACAGAAGAGCCGTCTTCGCCCCGACATCTCCTGCCATCCCAAATGGAGACTGTCGCTGAACCATGTGGATTGCGCCGAACTCCCTCCGTTATTCACGGGCGACATCAACACACTCCACGCACATGGAATTTGGAAGATCAATCCATTCCAGCGATCGCACCTTCACCACCTCGTTCTCTCTTTGGACCATTCGACAATGATCCTACATCTCGGCCCCGGACTCCACTAGACACAATTGCGGAGCAAGACCCAGGGGACGGGCACAGATCAACCACGGTTCAGCACGGGACGCCCCGTCTGGAGATTAGGCCAGAACATGTCTTACGACCTGTTACTCCAGAGCGACCAATTCCTACTGCACGAAGTGTTTCTCCCGTGCGAAAATTTACAGACAATTCGCATGGGCGGGAAACATGGCCAACACCAGAAAATGAATCTCGACGAAGTCAAGAAGATTTGGGCAAGAGATATGGTAGTGAATCTCCTCTAAAAACACCTGAGGGGATGCCGGTGTTGAGACCATCTGGTAGTAAAGGCAAACTACGTCGAACGAATAGGAGTACGAGTAGCGATCTGCGGGCGGCTAGTCGTGCGCTAGACTCCCAGCCTCCCTCAAATCTCGATCTCGATCAGCTTCCTTCCTCTTCTTCCTATGACCCCGTCACCGACAAGGGCAAGCGTCCTATGCGCAACATGTCGGATGTCTATGTAAGTGGATTTCAATTCAATTTTTGGATTTTCCCCATTTTGTTATTTTTGTTTGTTTTGTTTACTAATCAACTCTACAGGAAGGATGGGGTGAAACTCCAAGTTCCCCACGGTCGCCCAGCCGACCGCCTAGTGTCCGTCATCGCCGAAGCATGCAACACTTACAAGATCTTGAAACTCGTCTCGATCAACTAATTTCGGAGAACCGCTTACTCATTGCTGCCCGCGATGAAGCTGAAGACAGATTGCGTAATTCCAGTGTCGCTCGCCGGAAGAGTGACCAGGCCCTCTACACCAGTGGTGCCGACTTGCGCGACAGCAAAGCCGAGGTGGAACAACTGAAGAGCTCCGTGGACTGGTTACAAAAGGAGACAGCCCGCCTCACCCAGGAGAATGAAGGCTTGACAGCGTCTAATGCCGCCCTCGCTGCCGCCCATGCTGCCGAGGTGAGCAATGTGCGGGAAACCTCAACCCGTGAGCTCGATGTTTTACGGTCGCAACATGACGAACTATCAAGGCAAGTGGATGAGCGCGTACGAGAAGAAATCGAATCGGCCCTAGCTCAGAAAGACACCGAATTGCGGCGCCTGCGCAAAGAGCTCGAAGCCGCCCGCGATAAGGTCCAGGAGCTACAGAAACAGATATCCGCGTCCGTCCATGACAATACCCTTGTCTTCCGTGATGAGGATTACTTCGACGCCTCTTGCCAGAAGCTCTGTGGCCATGTTCAGCAGTGGGTGCTACGTTTCTCTAAGCACTCTGACCATCGTCGCTGTCGTGCTCTAAGCGAACTGCACGACGAAAAGATTGCTGATCGCTTCGACAATGCCCTCCTTGACGGTACTGACGCTGATTCCTTGCTCTCGGACCGAGTGCGCCGACGCGATGTGTTCATGTCGGTCGTGATGACCATGGTCTGGGAATACATCTTCACCCGATACCTATTCGGCATGGATCGGGAACAACGCCAGAAACTCAAGTCGTTGGAGAAGCAACTGGGAGAAGTTGGCCCCCGTCGCGCAGTCCACCGCTGGCGCGCCACCACTTTGACCCTGCTGTCCCGGAGACCCGCATTTGCTGCTCAGCGGGACAGTGACACTGAAGCTGTCGCTTTGGAGATCTTCGGGACGCTATCCCGTGTCCTCCCACCTCCGTCTCAAGTAGAAGCGCAGCTCCTTGATTCTCTGCGCAAGGTACTGCGCGTCGCTGTCAACCTCTCCCTTGAGATGCGCACTCAGCTGGCTGAGTTCATCATGCTGCCGCCGCTCCAGCCTGAATACGACACTAATGGGGACCTGGCCCGTCAGGTATACTTCAATGCATCACTTATGAATGAGCGCAGTGGTGAAACCAGCTCGAATGATGAGCTGGAGACCCAGCAGGCGATTGTGCGCATTGTGCTCTTCCCTCTAGTTGTCAAGAAGGGTAACGATATTGGCGAGGGTGACGACGAGGTTGTCGTTTGCCCAGCTCAAGTCCTCATCGCCCGCCCCGGCAAAGACAAGAAGATCTCTCGAATGATGAGTGGTGACCGGATGTCGCTGGACGCAAATAAATCCGTTCATAGTGTGGCACCTTCCACCTTCACAATGGACATGGGCAGTAACCAATTCTGAGGCGTCACACTCAGGTTTACTACTCCCATTTACATTGTGCTCATGAGATGCTGTCTTTCGTCTTTTTCTCTTTTTCTCTTGTTTCTATCTAATATGGTGCTATGGCATCATGGCGTCTATTATGATCTTGGTTCTCTAGCGCTGGCCTCGGATTGATACCTCAGTGTCTTGGAGTTGCATAATGTTTTTTTATTTCTCTTTGAACGTTTTGAATGTTTGAAATGGAAAATAACGGCCGCTGGACATGTATTTACTATCTTTGATGTCTGATGAGTGACGAACTTGTACTTCTGGCAAGCCAAGTCGGCTATAATAGATTATTTTCACATATTTATGTAACTTTGAATCTTTAGAATTGATATGAGAATTGATAAGCATATCAAAATTTCTACGCAGTTGTGAAGTGTCTGTCGCTGACCTCATCGCTCCGTTTTAGGCAATCAAGTTCCGTTTGATGAACCTCCCGTTGCATTATCTTTTCAATCATCTGGATTTCCTCAACCTATACTTTGCTGCTTGTTCATACCTTTTATTGTCTTTTATTATTTGTACGCAGGCTGGGACAGCTCGATTTCTCACATTGCTTTGATCTAGTCTAGTTTCTGATGCTCCACACGGTTTCGCCACACGCGTCATCCTTAGTGGTCAGCTCCGGGGCCTCTTATTCAAGCTGCATGATCTTTGCTGATCCTTGTTCTTGAATATGCTTAGGTGAAACAGTGGCATTGTGAACACATTCTGGATCTGATTCATGGATACCTGAGTCTTGCAATATTGGCACTTTGGTGGTCACACGGTGGGTGTGCCCAATCGGCGGATACTACGAACCCTTCCGCAGGTGACGCACGGCCAAAGCTTACCATCTGAACGACTATTGGACTGCTTTTATATACGTACATTTCAGTCATGGACCCGCCTCACACACCGACTCCTGTTGGAGCTTCTCGATCATCACATTCGTGCTCTTCTTCCCCTGGTCCAGCGAAGCGCCCCCAGCAAAACGATTATCCACTTTACACCGATAACAGATCCGGGAATGGTCCAATGGGCGGGTCGGGCCAAGATCAGGTTTCGGCCACGTCCTTCGGGGCCCGCCTACAAACCCCCGCGCCTGATAGCAGTGCTGGCAAATCTAAGACCAACAAGCGCAAGAACCGCCGACGCAGACCGAAAAATAGAAAGCAATCATTCCTCACCCCTGATCCGGAAACACATGACCGGCCTGGAACCTCATCGGCAGCTGATGGTGCTAGAGAGCCAATGGAGGGCGACAGGCCAAACTCGAAAGATGGCACGTCGTTTTTCAAATTGGGTAGGAACTTGAGTAATACTAGCTTGGAGAGCGAGGCTCTGTTGGATCACAGGTAAGAGTTTCCCCCAAAACTCCAGAGCGTCAATTGAGAGGATAGGCTTTGCTAATTCCCTCCCCCCTAAAAGAGACCAACCTATGATGCGACCGCGTCGCGACAGTCGCCAAACTTCATCTTTCCGACCCAGCTCTCTAATATCCAGTGCCGTTCGATCTGGCGATCTACGGCCCCGAGCTAGTCCCGGAGGAGGGCGACCACAACAATACCAAGACGAAGACAGCGACGGACTCGAGGCTACTGACCGCACCCCTTTGGTGCGAGCCACACCAGGGAGTACATCAATTCGACCTCGATATGGATCAGACATGCGTACCAGCCCACTTCCCTCTCACCCACGAAGAAGCTCCGGTCAAACGATATCGTCGCAATGTTCGCCAAATCACAGTACATCATATTTTCCCGAGCAAGACCGCGAATTCGATGTTAACAACCCTCCCTCAATGCCCGGTACGCCAAAGCTGGGACCGGATATGAACTACGATGATGCTATGGTGACTGGCGTTGAGTTCGACTTTGCGCAATCCATGGAGAATCACATGGATGCGTTCAATCGGGCAAATGACACGGTGATCAACATGGACAACATGCCACATCAACACTCCGCACCTTCGTCTGCTCGCGGTTCCCCGTTATATTCCCCACACGCACCTGAATTTGGCTCGAGACGTCACACTGTTGCGAATCTAGGTCTCCCAGAAGATGTCTGTTTGCCTCCGGAAGAGTCAGAATTGGGAGATGAAGGGACCCATGCTCCACGAGATGAGACTGGGGAAAGACGACGACGCAGACATCGACGGTGGCCGGATTTATCGGTGCTGGAAGAATGGAGTCGAGAGGAGAAAGAAGAGCGCAATGGGGATTTACGCGTTAAAAAGATCAGCGAGCCGATGCTCATTGAGGGTCGACTGCGACCACAGTATAAGCTTTGGCGCCGTGAAGAAGAAGAGACACCTTATCGGTTCACCTACTTCAATGAAGAATTCCCGAGCACCATCCATGCACAGACTATTTCCGAGCTGGTACAACCGGGCGGTAGTTTCCGAGAATTGTTCATTCCAGACCCTCCAGAACTGGAAGATTCCTCGTCCGAAGAAAGCGATGATGACAATCAGTCTTCCAATGATTACACTGCCAATCATTCAATCCACCCTCCTGGTAGTGGGCCTCGAGCAAATACTTCTCATGAAGAACACCATACTACGAACGGTGTAGCTGTCTCGGGCACATTAAATTCTACCAACAATGGACACAATGCAAATACCCCGGCCTCCACAGCTGACACGCGAATGCATCCGCGTTTGTCTGTTATTAGTGAAGGACATCCTGAATCCAACCGGGGAATCTCACCATCATATTCGAATGGTGTGAAGCCCAAGCGATATGGTCCTCGTCCAACATTTTGGCTAGATGTGCTCTCCCCGACAGATGCGGAGATGCGAGCAATCTCGAAGGCATTTGGTATCCATGCCTTGACTGCCGAGGATATCATGATGCAAGAAGCGCGGGAGAAGGTAGAGCTGTTCCGTAGCTACTACTTTGTGAACTACCGGACATTTGAGCAGGATACGAATAGCGAAGACTACCTCGAGCCTGTCAACATGTACGTGATTGTGTTCCGCGAGGGAGTGATTTCCTTCCACTTTTCTCAGACACCTCACCCGGCCAATGTGCGACGGCGTATTCGCCAGCTCATGGACTATTTGATCCTGAGCTCCGACTGGATCTCTTATGCTCTTATTGACGATATCACTGATGTATTCGGCCCGCTCATTCAAGCCATTGAGGAAGAGGTCGACGAGATCGACGAGATGATCATGAAAATGCACTCGTCTAGTAAAGAGGGATCATCGAATGACAGCGTGCCTCCTTCCTTTGCACCCGGTGAAATGCTGCGGCGGGTGGGCGAGTGCCGCAAGAAGGTCATGGGACTCTACCGACTGCTCAGTAATAAGGCCGATGTTGTTAAAGGCTTTGCAAAGCGTTGCAACGAGCAGTGGGAAGTGGCACCCAAATCAGAGATCGGCTTATATCTGGGTGATATTCAAGATCACATCATGACCATGACAGGCAATCTGACCCACTATGAAACGTGAGTTGATGTCTACATCCAGTAACTCATTTGACATGTCGCTAACTTGTGTCCTAGTATTCTTTCTCGGGCGCATTCGAACTATCTAGCGCAGATTAATATCTTGATGAACGAGCGTCAAGAACAGACAGCTGATGTCTTGGGCAAGTTGACCGTTTTGGGTACCATTGTTCTTCCCATGAATATCATCTGTGGTATGTGGGGTATGAACGTCAAGGTTCCAGGTCAGGATATCGAGAATCTGTCTTGGTTCTGGTCGAGTAAGTCTCTCCTTGTCCCGCTCATACATTTACTTCTAACAAATCTTAGTCACTGCCGGCCTGTTCGTTTTTGCCTTGATCTCATTTGTTATCGCTAAACGCGTCTATAAGATTGTGTAGATGAGGCCATCTGAGAATTATTGATACCCTGGCTTACTTTCGCTTATATTGTGGACTTTCCATGCTTTCCTTCTTATGTACACGATTTTGTTGCTGGCTCGGCATACTGCGGCGTTTAGTATGGGATTATTTTCCCTACAAAGTTCACTTTCTTTGTACACTATGTTCTGTTTGAGGTGTCTAGAACTGTATATACCATTTTCAAATAATCTGAATTGCAAAGGTTCCTAGGTAATCTCTCTACATAATGCATATATGCATCTGTTCAATTACCAGTACAAAACATTTCATATTGATGCTACTAATCTCCTAGGCTGTATATTGGTAGCCATGAAAAATACATCAGCACTCGAGCTGTCATAAAATCAGGTTCCTGGCTCATGAACTGACTTCGGCTTTTTCCACTCATTATGAAGTCATGGTGTGTATTAACATTACTTGTAACCAAGGCCAAGTAATGGTTACTGTGGTGTGTGACTGGTTTTGTGCCTTGTTTTATTACATGTATTTACCTGACCTTGCGTCATCCTCGAGCTGCATCTCCCCCAGATTCCAAATTCTGCATCTTCAATCTGTCCACTGCATTGCATTACTTTCACTTTCATTCTCTCTGTCTATTAATCTCTTCTCTTTCCTTTTGATAATCCCCCTGCAATCCACACCATTCCAGTGGATTCCAAAAGGCCCGCATATCCCTTCTAGACCCATCCGCGTGGTCCCCTGTAGTGCAAGTGCCCCTTCAATCCTGACGTGGGCCACTATCATTGGTCTCACCTTGGGCCCGGCCCTGACTCTCTCCACTTGTCAGCCAGGACACTTTTTTCACCCGAGTTCTTGGTCACCGACATCTCTGCAGGCGCATTCGGCAACGGGTGGGCGCCACATCTCCTCACTTCTTACACAACAAGGAAAACTGGTCCAACGTTGAGCCGGATCGGCGGCCCCCATCAGCCCCCAAGTTTCCGCCAATAAGCGTTTGTTATTGTCGGAACCACCTTGTTCTAGACGTTCTTGTTTTTTTCTGGCTGTGGGAAATCGAAGCATGCGCTTGTCCAATCTATTGCAACTGCTCCACTACCCACACCGAACTGAACTCCTCATCTGTTGGTGCAATCAAATCCACCCTCTCTAAAGTCCCCCAGCTTGGCCGTGAGCATGTGGATATCGGCTATTTACTGTACTGCACCGTCACTCGTGTAACAAGTCTAGTTATCTTTGCACAACATTCTCGCTTGCAAACCGCGGCAATCCCTCATTCGCTCTTCCCTTGCCAGCAACTCATCTCCTTCACCGTTCACCCTTCCCTACCTACATACTGCTGCACCTTGCTTATTCGCTGTCCTTTTTGGGACTATCATTCCTGCCCAACTTCCCCCGGCCTCCTCTCGGTCTCCTGACTTGTCTGCATCGTGTCAGCGCATTATGGCTGCGGAATCCGAGAGGCCGCCTTACTCCAACGGTGACTCTGGTCGAACCAGAGGGTCCAGAGATGCGGAGATGGTCTCCGATCTCCCGCATCGGTCGGTCAGGGAGGACATGACAGAGTTACCTCGCCTGACCATGAAACCCCAGGGCCAGTCTATGTCCCAGGTTCCTAAGCTCACTTCCAGCATTTCAAATTCTTTCTCGACCTCTACGACCAATTCCGCCGTCTCTTCCCGCGAATCCTCCCCGGTCCGAACCTCCTCACGCACAATCAATTCGTCAGTGACCAATCGAGGGCATTCTCAATCTCGACGAAGCAGCCAAGACCGAAGCAGCCCGACCCGATCATCCTACAACAGCAACTCGTCGACTACACCTACACAATCTTACCACTCGCCTAGCCAGCGTGTGTCGGCACAGCTTAGCAATCCACCTATCTTTTCACCTCTTCCGGCCTTCGACCCTCCGGCCAATGTCCCCACTCCCGAAAAGCCTAATATGCCATCATGGGCGGGTAATCGTCGTGCAGAACATGAGTCAACTCCTCCGAATACCTCTCACAAGAGAATCGCCTTGCCGGCCCCTGAGGAACATGGAATGGTGGAGCGAAGCAGCCCTCGGGTGCTCACTAGGAGTGTCGGCGGACAAGGTCCCTCCCTGGAGACGGTGGAGGAGATGGCCAGCAATCCATCGACACCTTCAAGTGATACGGCTCTTAAACCCGTGACCCCGGAGGACTCCAGGCTACACACCATTGACGAGGACCCAACGCCTCGAGCCTTAAAACAGAGTATTGAGAGTGGGAGTGACAGTGGTGGTAACCGGAGCTCAGAGACAACCGAAGAGGGGCGTTCTCAAGCTACTGGAGGGTCTAAGATTACGAAAACACTCGTGCCGCAACGATCAACTACATCGCTCAGTGCTGGTGCTCGTGGGAAGCCTGCGGATGGCTCAGTGCGCAACATGATTGTGGAGACGGAGACTGTCAGTTCAATACCCCAGGTTTCCTTGGGGGTAGGGGCTGGCGAACGTGGAAATGCCGGCCGCTCTGATCAAGGCACTTTGAAGAACAAGAAATCGACGGATACTGTCAGGGCGCCAGTGGCTCGCAGCAACCCCCAGAAGAGAAAGCGAAGGCACAACGCCATTCCAACCGGTCCCACATCAAGCAAGGCGGACATATTTGAGGCCAAGGTTGCTAGTGCAGTTGATGAGGCAGATGTCTCTGATTCTGATGAGACATTTGTCTATGAATCGAACCCGATCGATTATCCTCCACGACGATACCACTCTCGGACACCAAGCGCAACCTCGATGGCGAGCCAGGTAGATCAGCTGGCTGGCCGTAGCCGCCTGCGGGATGGCACACATAGCGTGACTGGAAAGCGCAGCATGAAGTTTACCAATAACACGTATAACAGCAGCGTGGATGGTGAGGCGATCGAGGCTGACGGTCGGAGCGCCTCAAGGGTTGATGGCACTGGAACAATCACTCCGCGACACCATATTGCGCACCGTAACCGCAATGGAGATCACAGGTCCATCTTTGATAGTGATGGTCCCTTTACTCAACCTCAAGGTCAAAAGTCCCCCCGGCACTTTATTGGTGGACAGCGTCATTCACGGAACACCAACACTCGCTCGTCGCCGAACTACAAGACCATCAGTGGCTCCAAGAAAGCGGGCGATGTTTACGGATATGACTTTGACGCAGAAGGTGCCGATGATGAACGTACGCCTTTGGTTCGTCCACCACGCAGTAGCCGCGGCGAACGCAGCGGTCGACGACCCGGTGGTAGCTCCAGGCAAATCGAGTACATTGCTCAACGGGAACGTGGTTACTTTTCACAGCTTGGTTCTTGTATCGTGATTATCATGCTATTACTCGTCATTGCCGGTGGTGCCGCATCGTTCTTCATCGCTGCTACCAAACAACTTTTGGATGTCCAAGTTGTCGCCATTCAAAACGTTCTCGCATCGGAACAAGAAATTATGTTGGATCTGAACGTGTCGGCAGTCAACCCGAACATCTTCCCCGTGACGATTGATGTCGCCGAACTCAACATCTTTGCCAGAAGTCAACATGTTGGCACCGACAAATTCTGGCGCGAGCATGGATCGGACGACCTCGGTCATTTCCCCCGGGTCAAACAAAGCCGACGCCGCTGGCAATTATCCCAGATTGTTCGATGCCTTGGGAACATGGAATGCGTACAGGCGGCTGAGTCTGGCATTTCTTTGTCGAAATCAAAATTAAAATCACCAGAGCACAGTGAAGATGGTGTCGACAGGGGCACCGATCCTATCAATGACCCGAGTGATTACCAGACCATGTTGCTTGGACGAGTCATGCTCTTCGATTCGCCGCTTTCATTTCCTGCATCCCCCTGGGGTTACGAGAAAACTACATCGAAAGGACAGATCCGTCTACCACAGCCAGGAAACAAAACCGAAGAGGGTGGCACCGAGCGTTGGGAGCGAGTTCTTCAGCATCCATTCGAGCTGATTGTTCGGGGTGTTATCAAATACCAAATTCCGCTCAGCTCGCGCTACCACTCGGCGCCCATCAGCTCAAGTATCAAGTATGTGCCTGACGACGAAAGTCATGAACCAACAACACCCCCGAGCAATGAAACTGCTCAAATCAACAACGAAACACTCACCATCCCTGTCGGCCTTGCGGACCTTGATCCCCAACCCGAAAGTCGGACAGGGGTATCTAAACGACAGTTTACGGCATGATATTGAAGTCCATTTTCTTTTAGCGATAGAGCGATGTGCGTCAATGTGCATTATTTACGAACGCCTCTTTTGGCCCCTTACCTTTCAACTTACTTTATTGATGTAATGAGCCTCGAAGAAGCTAAACAAGCCCTTGTGTTAATACTTGCTTCTTCCTCCTTGCGTTTCTCTTCCTGTTGTATACCTTTTCGCGATTTCATTTCTTGTGATTTATGACGAATTGCGGTATCAGCCGGTCTGACCCATGCGGGATCGCGAGTGCTTGATTCGATTTTCCTTCTTCTTACCCCCCTTTCTTCCCTGTACAGAACCCATCTATTGGCTTACCGGTGGACTTGAACTTGACCATGTGCTACGATCTGATGTCTGTGTGCATAGATAAGAGGATGTTTCTGGTCCTGTGGCGATCTATCGCCTCTTGCTTTTGTGGATCCCTGTAACTTTACGCTACTACTAGTATCTACTATATCTCAGTCTTATGAACATACAATAGGGCACGGCTGTGCTAGACACCATTTACTTTTATCCATCTGCCACGTGTCTTGTATGATGTACCCACTTCCAAGGACGCTTAGCTTCTATCGCTTTCGGTTAATTTAACTATGGCGTGATGCGAGTGGAAGCCTTGTGAAAAAGCCAGTCAGGCGGATCGGCCTGTACGAGGATGGAACCGCTAGATAGATTTTATGAGCCATCCTGACTTCCACTAAGCATCCAGAACATCAGGCCGAGCGCCTTTGCGGCACCAGTCCTTTTCAAAAATATCCCGAGGTCACCCATAATTGAAATCTATTGAAATCCCGCCGAAAGTCGAATGTTGTTCAGGGCCACTCGATACGAATATAGCCGGCAAGCTCCCATTCAACGGTGCCTAGTGAGCCTGTCGAGTTACCAATAAGAAGGTCCGTCTAGCCAAGATCACACGCATACGCCTATTATCCGTATTGATTTATTGAGATGCGGTCCAGCCAGGATAATCGATGGTATGTTGATTGATGATGTCCAAGAAACGAAGAAAAAGAAATGTCAGCTACTGTTCTCCTAGCTCTGGCTAAAACAAAACTCTACCGGTATACGATATAATGGTCCATGTAGCCAAGATTATAAGATGTATGAGTGAGGGATAACTACGCCAAAGCTCCCAAGTCTCCCAAGTCGCATGAATACGTGAGAAATAATGAGTGACGGGAACTAGTAAATACAGCAGCCTAAATTCCCAGGGCGGAATTGTGTAGCCACGCCGCTGTTAAGGGTTACTATTTTGACTACTAGGTGGGAGACTAAGTGGGAGACTGAGTACTGAGTAGGATATTAGGGGGGTTATTGGGTAGAAGATCGGTACGTAAGACACTAGGTAGAAACTGAATAGGAGACCTAAGAGATACATGTAAATTGTGACGGGCACAACATGATGGGAATACCAGTAGAGCTAGATAGAAAATCTTGCTTGCCCTTTCCTCCACAAAGACGACAAAAAGGCTGTGCAAATCGGAGAAGAGACGTGAATCTTTTATTTCAGGATACATCAGGACGTTTCGTAGTTACTGTCTCTCTGCCTTCCCAATCTCACCATTATTCACCAGCTCCACGACGCCGTCGAACAATTTCTCCAGCTCTTCCTCCCCGAGGGCGATTCTTCCCGAAAGATGGGCGTAGCCAACAATGTTCAACACACGGAGGATGAACGGATGTTCAGTAGACCCTTGTTTATCAATCCTGTCAGCTATAGTTCCCTAGAGTTAAGTATGTAGAGCTCACGGAGTTCTTGGACCTTTTCAGCACTTAGGCCATAGATCTTTTGGAAGGGGCGTTGCTCTTCTGGAAAGCCCTCTCTTCGCCACAGGAACATAGAAGCATCTAGCAGAGCGACAGCTTCGTCGTTGTAGTGCTTTGCCACCCTATCCCATGGTAAGTAAGCTGTTCGCAGCTGGTCTGCCGACCAGGGGAAGAATGGGCTACATGGTAGCGCGGAAACAGAAGATTGGGACAAGATCAGTATTCCTGGAGGGATGAGGAGAGAAAGAGAAGAAAAAAAAAAGAGAGAGAGAGAGAGAGAGAGAGAGAGCAAACTGAGGGGGTCAGCTGACCCCATGCTCCAATACAAGCATATGAAGGGTTTCGCCAGCTCCATAGAGAACGGAAATTTTCTCCAAGTCAATTTTGCCTAGGAAAACAGGCACAGGCGGCCCTTGAGCTTTGCGTAAGATTTCGAAAACCTGAGGTTTCCTGAAGACCTCTTTCCATAATCCAGACATGGCTCCTTTTCCGATGACAGTATAGCCATATGCGGCACAGATCAATCTTAAGGGAGCACCGTATGATTCTCATCTTCAAAAAGGTATACATTAATTAAAGCTTTCGTCTTATTCTGCTTTTTAAGGATGACTCCAGCCTGTAACCTAAGTAAGCACTGTTGTGGGCAAATTCCGCATCTGGATACCGTGTTTGACTGCCTTTTTGTTACTGACTTGACTATAACCGGTAGCTTATTGAGCAGATGCCGAATCCTGTGTAGATGACAGCAGTGTATAAGATGAGCTAGATTCTGGACTTGCTCATTCCCTTACTACGCTGTTGGAGCACAGATCCAATCTGTTGTAGTTCTGGTACAGGAATCTGAAAACGAATATTTTCAAGACTGGTTTCCTAGGTACGAAGACTAGATCATAAAGAGTTCATTCGTAAATCATAGAAATGTGTATATTGATGATTTCAAGAACTTGAGAATGAATCGAAACTTGAAGTTGAAATATATCCATCCACGATGCACATGACCCCGAGGGGAAACAAATTAAGTGCACAGTAAATGAACAAGTCATACCCACTGGAACCGTTCATAACTTGGCTCCAAAATTCGCGCAGTACTCGAGATCCAATTCCCCTCTTCATTATCAATACTATAAGCATCCATATTTCCCGCAATCCTTGCTGCCAAGCCGGAAGTAGCATGCCAAAGCTCATCACTATCCGGCATGGCAAATTGCATGTCTGCTAGTGAAAGAAGACTTGTACCCGATGACGATCGTGGACCACGCATCGGATCGAAACCCGGCGCGTCCGCTAAAATATTGGGATCAACCAGAACCTGTTTACATACTCTGTATAAAGACAGATTGAAACGCTTGACTTCTTCGATGCCAAGCCAAACTAGAACCTGTGGGTCTTCTGGTTTGAATTGGGATTGGATGGCGGGGTAAAAGAACATTTTTCGTCTGAGGCAGGTGTAGACGAGGGCAATGAGGAGTTTGGAGGGTATTTCGGGGAGGAGGCGAGTTAGTTGTAGATCTAAGGGGTTTATGAGGAGGGAGAAGATGAGGTGGAGGAGGATCCCTTGGTATGTTGCCATTGACCAGGGTGTGGGATTAGACTGGGATGTGGCAAGTTGGTCGTCGTGCTGAGTTGATATGTCCCATTTATCCTGATTTTGGTCTGTCAATAAGCAATATGGGAGGCGTAGGGGAGAGATACGAATGAACTTACTCTTTGCCTTTCAATCGATAACGTCAGTCTCTCGTGTAGATCTTTTGCAATCTGTTGCGGGCTGCTTTCGCCCATCGCCCACGCGCCCATCATAACAACCGATTGAGTAAGAAAAGGCGGCTCATGATCAGGATCAAATGTTGCTGGGTGCAGAAATGGCCAATGCGGGTGAAACTTGTCAAAATAAGCTTGGACATATGGCGCATTTCTACATGGACTATTTTCAATAGCTTCTAATTGCCGGATATGAGCTGCTTCCAGTAACTGAGATGGATGTTCGTCAGATTTTATAGGTAATGGACCTGCTTGGCCATTTTGAGACGTAGTTTGCTCCAATGCAGAACTTCTCAAGCTGCGGGTATAGGAACATGCGATTCCTCGCTCGGAGCACATGCCACAGGGAGACTGCCCGTCGCATCTTGAGCGTCGTGAGCGGCAACGGGTGCAGGCTTTGATTGCCCGAGAGTATTGCAACTCTCTGGTTTTGTGATGAGTGCGGACATGTTGTCGTAGGGTGTCATTCCTGGCAAAGACACGATGACAACATGAGCATTGGAAAGACTGTGTTTGGAAGTGGCCTTTGGCATGTCGGGTTAAATGTTCTTTGCGTCGATAGCCAAGACCACAGCCAGGAAAGTGACATTGGAATGGCGATTCCTGTGTTGCCATTGAAATTACTTTGAGACAGAGCGATATTGACTATCGGACGCTATATTTGCCAAAGCTTCCGAAGATTGATAAATCGAGTTCAAAGATAGAAATGGTAGAACGCTGGGATACCGATAGTAGAGGGATATGGGATGCCGATGGGATACAGGAGCAGATGAGTCAGCGGTGACTAACGAATTAAAATGGCTCCTTCCAGCACCAAATAGACGGACAATTATACTAAGACTATTTTAACTCAAAAGTTTTGATGTGAGTAAACGAGAGGAGAGTCAGTTGTATTTTGGTCTATTCTTATGTGTCTATTCTCATGTTTAAAAGGGGAGCGGGATTCATGATGGAATCATTTGTCAGAGCTTCATAGACCGCTAAAGCGGCCAGACAGCAAGCACCCCAAGGGTATGATATCAGGTGTATGCAAAAATCGATCAGGGTACAAGGTTAAGCACAATCACAATTGCAACCGCACTGGTAGATGTCAGTCACCGAGTCCGTTGTATATACATGATGCACCGCATCTAAGGATGTTAAAAGGGGTATTTTCAATACGCGCTATGCCGAAGTCTAGAGCTTGGAATCACATCGGTCTCTGCTGATGATGGAATAGACTCCAGACGCCTTTCAGCGCCTCTATACGATCGTTTGCGTCAAACAAGTTGTACCATCGGGTGCGTTGGAGCTTTAAGACGTGCCATGGGTGATCTGGAACGTTGGACTCTTCGGGGAAATTGCTTTCGCCGTAGGTGAGGATATCGAGATATCTCCGGTGAACTCGGAGGTGCAAGATGGCAATATGGTGGTTGATGGCCGAGACCATGTAGATCTAAAGAAGTTAGCTGATATATACAGCAAGAGAATCCAGGTATCTTACATCGTCAAATGGGCTATCCTTAGCCTTGCCGATCTGCATATACCGCATGCGCTTATCCCAGAGGCTAGGACCGGGCTGAATCATCTGCCACTTCTCAGCATTAGAAAGCTTTCGCATAGCACTCGGTCGACGCGCCAGAGAGGTCACAAATGGATGCTCGAACTTGTGTCTCTTTCGCGCGCTCTCCGCCTCCGGGGCGGATGTCAAAGGCTTGTCTTCGCCGCCGGCGCCGAGGAGTGAGTCAGGAATAGGGATCCCGTGGATGCCAGGCCCATTCATGAGATCAGCCAAGATCCCATCGCTGGTAGCACCGCCAAATCGCGGCTTAATCGTCCACCACTTTCCCTCTCCAGGCCGCACCTCCACTCCTCCCTCACGGGCGCGCTCCTGCGCAGCAAGCAGCATGCCTCCTACTTCACGGAATATGTCACATACCTCCCCAAGGCCCGTACCGGGGGTATCGCCTTCGTTCCGGAAGCCAGTTTCGGTACGGCACTGCGCGATGAGAAGGGGTCCCTCTAGGATACCGTTTCGTGCGGTCTCGCGGTCTCGCGGAGACCGCGAAGATTGCAAAGACTGGCGGACTGGGAAAAGCAAATTCTTGATCGTCAACCGGGGCGGCAGAGTCGGGATAGTAACTTGACAGCCAAATGGCCAGGCGGCCATCTCGATAAACGCCCTGATGGTCTCATCGCGTACATCCTCGGGCATTTCATGGCCTGAACCAGTGCGACGGCCTGTGTACATACGCCTTATCGGATGAGGAGCCTTTTGACGATCGGCGCAGTCGATCGAAGTAGCTTGGTCCACGTCCATCGTGGCGTCTGTCACGGGCTCGCTGTCAATCTGCATCTGATCCTCCTTGGTATCGTCTTTGGACGGCGGGGTGCGCCGTGGTGTGGCGGGCCGCTCAAAGTAATTATCCAAACTTGTATCCCAGTATTGTGCCATTCGCTCCAATGCCGCCCAGAACTTGCGTGTCTGCGTGACGCGGACCCGATCGCGTCCCTGGCGGGGGGGTAGTCGGGCGACCTCTCTGAAGACGTCGTCATTGTCCAGCAATAGCTCGTTCTGAAGTACCTCGTACCGTTCCTTGGGCGGGTATGGGAGTCCATTGATCATGGACGGCTGTGGCTGAGTCTCTCCCGCGGGAACTTCCGGCGTTGGCTCCCAGGGCAAGGGTGGAAACTGTGTCTGGTCCTCAGGGAATAAACGGTGAATGGCGACATCGCGATCGACTTTTAGATTGAGCGCGGCGAATCTTTCAGCGGAGATATCCTGGGGTCGCTTGATGGAGGCCAGGTTATCAGAAAGATCATGCAGGGTCGAATCGGCGGGGTGGGGGACCACATCGGGAAGCCGGTAGATGGGGAAGTCCAGCGGGGTTGGTTGAGGAGGCGCTTCGCGTTCCTCTTCAGGTTCTATGCTAACCGAGGCCAGGCCTGTATAGCGAGGTCATTGATTAGTTTTTATGAAAAGGATCATGTCGCAGATCAGAGGGGGGAAGCTTACCCAGCCCAGGGCCCCAGCCAAACATAATGGAGACGGGGGAATGAGAGCAGTAGAACGTCTCACATGCTCTGGGGGCTACCAGAACAGAAACACAAAAACAGATAAATCAGTTTCCCAGGATCAGAAAACTGAAACTGAAAGGTGAAGGTAATGAAGGAGAAGTAAGTGGGTTTGAGGTGAGTTGGGACTTTGGGAAAGTGGGGAAAAACACCCTGAGGTCTGGAGAGTCATTTACACGTCAAGTTACGTCAATCATGGGGATTCTTGATCTCATGGATCTACTGATGATCATTCTCATCTGTCAAATAGTTAATTTGAGTATTATTGTCCTTTATGCAGGTTATATTGATCTACTTTTAAACTCGATGCCATACGTGACTTACATAATCAACATGACTCAGCAAGTCAATCCAAAATTGAAGTATGACGAAGTGTGAAATGCCTGGAAATCATGAATTCATAGGAGGGAAAAAAAGATCTATCTGACTTCAAATAGTAATTATGGTCTATCTGTCAAAGTCAAAATCATCTGTTTCGCTCTATTCCTCACGAGACGCTGGCCTGCAGGGTATCACATTAGCACTAACCTGGGGTAATGATCAGCCCCATCATGGCACTCAGTGGGCTCTTTCATTGGACCGGGGGAGGCTAAGCGCTCACTCTCACACACTGGTAGCGCCAGCATAAACTTGAAACAAGAAAAATCCCTTCAAGGAGGGAAGGAAAGAATATTGACTCTGGAAGGTTGAGAGGGTATAAAGTACCCCGACCGGGATCTGACGCGATGTGATTGTTCATCTTGATTTTTTCGGATATCAAAACGCAACAGTTTGATCAAAAGCGGGTCCGAAGGCTATGGCATCGTTTCGCAAGCAAACAATCTCCCAGCGGAGGCTTTAATGATGTTTCTCTTTCTTTGTTGACATCCACTTCCCTTGTCTCCCATCAACCTTGAGACGTGAAAGACTCTTTCATCTTCACCCCACCATATCGCACGGACTCGAATAACACGTGCACCCCTGCAAACCTGGTCAACATGTTGAATGCCTCTTTCCTTACGTATTCCGTGTACATGACGAGTATTGATGAGCCAGACCCAGCGATGGTGACCCTCACCTCGGTGCTCCTTGAGACTGTTCATCCAACGTCGGTCATCACTGAAGCAGTTACTGTTACTGTCAGCCCAACAGCTGTTCATTCAGACGTTTCATCCCTTAAGAATATTCAGCCAGAGATAGTTCAGTCCCAGCAGACTCCCCAGACGTGGCCGAAGATCGAGACCACCCAGTCGATTGTTGAATCGCCAACTACTCAACCTTCGACAACATCGGAAGAAATGGCGTCCTTGATCACATCAAGCTCATCAAGTTCATCATTCCTGCAACCGCTTAGGTCTTCGCATACCTCCGAAGTCGTAGTGTTCTCCACAAATGCAGATACGCGCACGAGTGTTGATGACTTAACATTGATCAGCCCTTCGAGCTCAGAGACACCATCACTATCATCCACCCGATCAAGCATCTCGATCATGTCGATAAGCCCTACCTTCGCAAATATGACACCAGCTTCAACTGTGGCATCTCACTTATCAACTCATCTCCCCACTTCTACGACTATGGTCAGTATCTTTGCAGGATCAAGCACCCCAACCAAAGACACTCCAACCGACAAAACAAACCACCGAAAAGTAGGTGCTATCGTTGGTGGGACTGTTGGAGCCGCAACATTCCTCGCACTTAGCTTCCTGGCCCTTTTCCTCATTCGTCGCAAACGAAGATCCAACCCACACAGACGCCAAAACAGCAGACAGGGACTTCTCCAAAGCAGAGACTCGACGAGTTCATTCCGAGGCCACACCCGCAGCATCTCTCAACCCTACTTCTCCGGGAATGACAGCAGCTGCATTCCATCCGCTCCGGTCTTCCCCGCTCAACGAAGCCAGTCAATGTCCAATGACCGCCCTGCTCCAATGTTCGGAGCGTCAATCCAGAGCCCATACTGGGAAAAGGCCTATTTTCAAGGTGAAAACCACTTTGTCTTCACGGAGGACCCACTTGACCAAGGTCCCGAGAAAAGCCCTGTTTCGCCTATCATTGAGATCTTCCCCCCATCTCGCTCGGCATCAAATTACTCCAAAAAGTCAGGTCACGGTGATTTGGGCGTCCCACAATTTCGCCCAGAATCATATCCTAACTTTCATCGGACAAGCTCATCTCGCCAGACAAGCTCTTATCGACCTGGTGAGAGTAACTTGACTCTTCCGGATACGTGCAGCCAAGGATCCAAGTTCAACTCACCCGGGTCTCGGGATAGCGTCCGCAGTGACCCCTTTGATCTGGAGCCACCTGCCGATATCCTACACAAGGGAGCGCCTGTGCCGTCCCCGCAATCTTTCTGGAGTTTTCGCTTTTAATTTGCATTTTCATTATCATTCTCATTCTTAACGGCGTCAATTCTTCAGATTGTTTCCGAATACCCATCATTTATGTTTATGCTTTGTTTTTCGATTTCAATTTGCTGTTACGATACCCCTCAACAACCGGATCCTTAGGATTGCGCTTGAAATTGTTTGAAATTGCGGGGTGTTCAGGGTTTATGGGTTCTATTCGGGCTGGAGTTTATCTGGAGTTTGTTTCGAAAAATTGTTGCATCTTAGTTTTGATCTTTCTTCTACCATTTTCTTTATTTCCAGTCCTTTTCATCTACTATCATGGCTTGCAAAAGGGAACACTGCATAATAGATACATTAAGTTAGACTGGGTTGCATAACGGGATTGTCCTTTATATTTCCCAATTTCAACCAATTCAAGTACGTGCGAAACTGCAATTGGATCCATACAATATCCACCCAGCGCCGAGCGTTTCAAATAAACAAGCAATAGACACAACAAATGAGAAAACCGCAAACCAATCCCAAAAAAGTCAAGCTTCGTTTGGATACCAATTGCACTGCATCGATCCCCAGGTCGAAACATCAAACTTATTTTCCGCATAATTGACACACCCACCGTCAGAATCGGTGGCCTTCCAACTGGTACAAGCTCTTGCTGACCCATTCTTTCCCGTGCATTCGGAATCTGGAAATACCGTACAGATGGCAGAGGTAAGATACCACGATGCGGGCGTTTCCAGTGTGCTTGTATCGCAATCTGATGAGGTGACTCCGCCGTCGGTGTACCAGCGGCACCATGTGCCTGTCTTTGTGAATGAGGAGGAGATGCCCGTGCCGGTGTGGACGTTGAGACATGTTGAGGAGTAATCTTGGTTGTTTCCTGATAGGTAGTAGTAGTCGCCCTCACAGTCGGCTTTGGCGTACATTGCTATTTCCCAGGGGTTGTAGGTAGCTGTTGAGCTGGTGGAGATGGTTGTGGTAGATGGAGTCCAGTCGACATGTGTGATTTGCACGATAGATGTGGTTGAGGCTGTAGTTGTTTGTTTATGGGTTGTTTTTGTTGAAGTTGATGTGCTCATTGTGGTGGGAGTTTTCGTTGAAGTGCTTGTGGGCTCAGTGGCTGTGCTTGTTGCCTTCTTTGAACTGCTTGTTGACTTTATTGAAGTGCTTGCTGTCTTCGTTGAAGTGGATGTTGGCTCGGTAAAAGTATATGTTGTTTTCGCCATAGTAGTAGTGGTGGCAATCTGCGCTGTACTCATTGGACATCCAGAACTAGAAGCCACAGTGTTGTAACAAAGGCCCACATCCAAATTACACTACCAAACATTGTCAGCTTCACGAAATCACTGTACGAGGATTCCAGTTCTCACCTTGCAATTGGTCGCAAGACACGGGTTCAGATCGTCAAGATCCGACATATTACTGGGACGCGCAGTACCAGGGACCTGTGGCCCACAAATAGCGTTCGGGAGAGAGGCCGGCATAGGCGGGGAACCAGAACTCAAACAGATAAAAGCGCCCTCATCCAATTCCCCACATTCACCCCAGCCGTATGTGTCATCGTTATACGTCTTGAGCTGATCTACCGTGATCTGATATCCATCCGCAATAAGCTTACAGGTGTCGTTGGCCTGAACGGTGTAGGTATAGCAGAGACCATCGCTTTCCTCCACAGGAGGAAGATTTAAGGTCCCAAATGAGCAGCAAACGGGTATTCCCGTAGTAATCGATGAGCAGAGGGAAGCATCTGTGTTGTATTCAGAAAGTTGTGCAGTTGTAATACCACATCTAGCGGCTAGAGTGGCACAGGTATCACCAGACTTTGTCAAAATGGTTGAACATGCAGACTTGCGCTTCTGGAATGACAGTCGTTAGTTCTCTAATGAATTTCTCCCATCAAGTCTTGCTCGGCGAGGGAATACTGACTTGAAGTTCGGCTGCGGATGTATTTGATATTAAGAATAAGCCGCATAAAGCGAGTACGCTGTGAAACAGAGTCATCTCCATCCTTACTCAGTACATAGGCTTGCAGGCCAAATGGAATACAATGCGGGGTGCTCCTCTTGTTAATAAATACCTTGAAAGGACAATTGATAAGATTGCCGGATCAGGAAGGCTACGATGCTCTTCATTGATGTGGGGGCGAAACCATCTGAAACTCGATTGATACCAATTTAGGAAAGGTCATTCGCTAGTAGGGGTAATTTCTTTATTTAATAAGCCGGGGATGAGGCCCTAGGCTTTTCAACAAAGAATGGGATCCCCTATGGGCGTGATATCTGGGATATCCTTCGTTTCGCCATCACATGGAATCTCCGACCTCAAAGAAACAATGGAATCATCCATATTGAGCGACTGTTTATTCCGCTTCGGGTAGGCCGCTGCATATTCAAGGTTCAAGAATTGAAATGAGTCGCCAATCGGCTGACTGAAGGCCACCACAGGGACAGAGCCGCATCAATCACAACCAATAGCATCAAAGTAAATCAGACTGATATACCCAGTATACAAGGATAATCAGAGAGTCACTTCATCTCGCCACCATCTAGTCAATTATCTATTTGGGATGTAAAAGAAATACTAAAACACCGTGTATTCGGATTCCAAGGTTGAATGCAGGATCCTAAGTGAGTGGCATAAAGGTATACGTCAAAGCATACCTAGTACTTAATATTACACAAGTATTGAAGTCTGCGCATTTTCTGTTCATAATGTTCTAGAATGAGCATTCCTATAATAATAAACATGGAATATGTAATTCTGTAGCAATAATCCTCCAAGTCGGGAATGGAATCTAAATTGTCACTGATGGACTCAGAGTTGTCGGGGAACCAAAAGGGTATAGTCGGGCCCGTTGCCTTCCAATGTTGTCACCACAATCAGCTGAAATACCTTGTTATAATGATCCCCCACTATCTGAGAATATTGCTTCCTGGCAAGCGATTTTCTGTATTTCCTTTGAAACTATTCTCTGAATAATGCCACTGCCCCTTCGAACCCTGGGACGAAATGGACCCCAAGTCTCACCCGTCGGCCTAGGCTTCGGCAGCATCGGCGGATTCTACGGACCAGCAGGAACGGTTGACGAGAGGGTGGCGCTTTTAGACCACGCACATGCGACCGGTCTGCTCTTCTGGGATCTGGCCGACGTATACATTGACAGCGAAGATGTGGTGGGAGAGTGGGTGAAGCGATCCGGAAAACGGGACGACATATTCCTCGCCACCAAGTTTGGGCTCCTGTGTCAATCAGATGGAAGTCACAAATTTCGATCGGATCCGGACTATGTCAAAACTGCGTGTGAAAAGAGTCTACGGAGACTCGGAGTGGACACTATTGATCTTTACTACTGTCATCGGGTCGATGGTGTTACACCTATTGAAAAGACAGTGGAAGCTATGGTTGAGTTGAAAAAGTAAGATATGAGAATCCCGACACGATGAACCAGAGAAGATTTTCTAATATGGCTGTCCAACAAGTCAAGGCAAAATTCGGTATCTCGGGCTATCTGGTGTCTCGGCATCTACACTCCGCCGTGCTCACGCCATCCACCCAATCACCACGCTTCAAATGGAATATAGTCTTTTTAATCTCGACATTGAATCGCAAGAATCTGGGATTTTGCAAACCTGTCGTGAGCTGGGTGTGACGGTCGTGGCGTATTGTCCAATCGGACGTGGTATCCTGACTGGGCAATTTCAATCCCACGCGGATCTCCCAGATGGTGACTTGCGTCGCTCATTACCCAAGTTCTCAGCGAAGAACTTCCCGGGAGCCTTATCAATTGTTCGGAAGTTGAAAGAGATCGGTGACGCTCATGGGATTACAGCCGCACAGGTCGCTCTTGCGTGGCTACTGGGTCAAGGACCCGATATCGTCCCGATACCTGGTACCAAGTCGACGGCTTGGATGGACGAGAATATTGGCGCTGCAGGGATTCAGCTGAGTGATCATGACTTACAAGAAATTCGGACTCTAGTGGAGAGGACGAAGATTGAGGGTTCTCAGTACGATGCTGCGTAGGTGCTCTGATCTTCTAGTATTACTCATGTACTAACTCTCACAGGACGATGGCTGCTTTACATGAAGAAACTACCTCACTCGAAGAGTAACACTAACACGGTATCATGTTATGCTGAGATATCCACGGTCCGAACCCAGGAACATGAAAAATTCGATAAACTTTTCCAGGGTTTTTAGATTGTATTACTGTTTACCTTAAATATATAGACCACTTCTATGTATTCAAGTGATATTGAAATACTTTTTATGGCTTTCAAAAATTGACTGAAGATCGGGTATTTATTTCTGGGGTCCTCATAAGTTGCACCTGTCAACCATGGCGTTCATGGGAGAGCAAACAATCAGAATAAATACTCAACCTTACATTGACTACTATACCGGTTGATGTGAAATTAATGTGGTGTGTCATTCAAATATTCAGGAATCGAAACTTGAGACCTCCCCTGACCGTTTACATGGCCCACATTGGGTCTCCACATCGGGTCCCCACTTGCCACTAGCCTGAGATCCCCCGCTTTAACGCGTCAGAGACATTTCAAGACAATCCCCAATCCTCAGAAAGTCGCCAAAAGGAACATGACGGGGAGGTAGATAGTTAATTTATGAAAATGCAGTATGTTTCAATATTCCCAATATGTGTGACAAGTTGGGTCGAGGTCAGTCCCGTCACATCTCATCACGTTACCTTTCTCCTGCACGTAACAGGTAAAGATGCGACAGATAAAGCATAGGAAGTTATAGACCAATCAAGTGACGATTTGGTTTTCTCAGTTGACCAGTCAAGTTGAATGACCTATAGCAGAGGGGCTCGTGGGTCGGGAGTAGGACCGAAAAAGGAAAGCCTCGGGGTATGACCAAGACCAAGATTTCTAATTTCAGTTTCCACGAGACTCCAAGGGACTTGAGATACCTTTAGGGATTTTTGTATCACCAAAAGACCTCTCTTATCTGTGGGTCAGCTTGAATGCAGTAGGACTGGTCCAAGTTGTTGGCCGAACTGCATATCTCCTGCAGCAATGTGCAGGAACCTGCAGATTCAGTGTGCGACCGTAACGCCAAAAAAGCCTAGAAATCTAGTCTTTCGGTCCTTGGAATGCGGTTATTGGCCAGCCTCTATGATGATCATTGATCGAACAGGTATCGAGGCCGAGGTTTCTGCAAGCGAGACGTACCTGGCTTATGAAAGAGGAGATAAAGGGTCCGGGCTGACGCCTCCTACCAGAAACTCGAGAATTATCACAAGATACTTAACTTTGTTCAAGATACCGAGGAGCTGGCGGAAATGTGGCTACTTAGTTATGTTGGTTCTGTCCAATGTGCGTGTCCGCTTTCTACTTCCCCGCATTATACTGGCAGATCCTCACTTCCCCGTGGGGTACTAATCGCCCGGCTAATGATGCAATGCGCAATAACACAATGCAGTGCGATAATGCCTACAGATTATACTTTCAAAACTCATTTATACGGCTCATCTGGCGGTTTTGAAGATTTTACCGTGTCGCTACCTTCCGGTTCAACCATAACATGCCTTTAAGTGAGAAATATGTGCTGGGCGCCAGCAACCGGGGGCCATTTCTTACTCCAAGCGACGGGGGTCAGGGGCTTGAGAAATTGGATTCAGCAGGAGGCCGTTCACTGACTAGAACACCTACACGCACCGAGAGGCTTCGTCGCCATTGGAAACGATTCTGGCTCTTTTATTGTATCGCCAATGTCATTTTCCTCGCAATCTTTTTACCAATTTTGTAAGAATCCCTACTTCAAGTGCCTTTCTAAAGATAACACTGACTCTTCAAGCTTCCTCGTTGTTATCCCTGCGATCGCGCAATTAGTTGTCAACAAGTCCGATCTCGTGCTCATCAATGCGGTGGTGAATCAGCCGAAGCCAGACTCGGTGATGCTAACTCTGGAAACAAAAGTCGACTTACATCTTGCCATTCCGGCTCGAATTGAGAATCTTACCTTGGACCTGTTTGAGCGCGCATATGGTGTCAAGGATGCCTACGCCACGATCACCATTCCCGGCCAGACCATCAAAGGCAATCACACCATGGGTGTGTCGAATCAGCTCACACCATTACAAAACATGACGGCTTGGGAGGAATTTGTCCATCAAGTGGTCTTCCAAGAGCAAACGTCTCTAGCAGTGTCGGGTCAGACAAACGCTTTCCTGGGCGTTCTGAAATCCCACGTTCATTTGAACAAAAATATTGTGACACCTTGTGAGTACAGTCGATTTGCTTTTTTGGACCCTTGCTGGACGCCTTTTTACTGCCCACTACCGATTGAACTGCATTCAATGAAATTCCCCTGTATCACAACAAGCAATTCTAATAAATATCAGCGTTGAACCAGTTTAACGGATTCGCTATTGCCGACGCCACCCTCGTCCTCCCTGCCGAATCTGACGGAACAAACCTCATCGGCAACGCGACTCTCCCCAATCCCTCGGTGATCAGCCTCGAAGTCGGCACTCTCATCTTGGACGTCAAAGCTGGAGACCTAGTTATTGGAAATGCAACACTGACCGATGTGACCCTCGTACCAGGAGAGAACACCTTCCCCCTACGAGGAGTTCTCGATCTCAAAACAGTGATCAAGAATCTAGCTGCCGTGCTCAAGGCAGAAGCCTCGGCGATTAAAGCTGGAAACCTCAGTATCAATGCTGTGGCCAAATCGGTCGTCTGGAACGGTACTCTGGTTCCGTACTATACGGACATTCTCAAAGAACTTACCCTTACATCCTCTATCGGGCTGGGTGGTATCCTGAAGAATACTATCAACTACCTAAAGTCCGAAGGAAATCTTACAGACGTCCTGAAAAATATTACTGGTGATCTTAACTTGACCTCCCTCGAATCTCGGTCGGTTGAAGTGAATCAGCGGCGCCCTGTGGATCTCTCTGGGTTTATGAGGGAGAATCTACATGTCAGAGATATGTTTAAGGATGTTGATCCGGACGAACGAGATTTCATTCTCGACTCGTTAGGGTCTGCTTTCCCCGATATTTGATGGATCTGCCCTGAATCCGGGACTAGGTATAATGTGTGATGATTTCTCTATTATTTATGTAATTAATCGAATGAAAATTACAAAAACTTCAATGATTTCCTGGATTTTACGGGGTAGTAGGGCTAAGCACAAAATTGCCCGTACTTCTTGATGCTCAGGCTCTCCCTGGCATCAGTACTCGGTGCTACTTGCTTTTGTTCTGTTGCGCTCTGGGAATACCAAAAACAGAATGTGAGGTAATCCAATTCTCGGATTCTCTCGTTCTCTTCTTCTGGTACCTAGGCCCTCGGCGAGCCAAACTACTACGAAGCACGATGTGTCTATAGATTATGAATACACTTTGAATTTTGCGCACGCTGGGCCAGTAAAATCAGTCTTGGGTATTAAATAAGCAGTAGATTTCTCCATACCCGTTTTTGCTCGCATGTTCTAAAAAAAGAGATTATAAGACTTCAAAATTTAGACTGACACAGAGACGAACAGCACAAAGACAAAAATGTAAGCCTTTTTGAGTAAATATTGCTCCGTACACTAGAGGTATAAATGGAAATTTCTTTGAAGTGCTAAAATTAAAACTGGAATTGTCTCGTGCGGGCGAGTATCCCCAAGTTGACTGAAACGAAGCTTTTGTGATAGATGCTAACTCATAGCCGGAAATACCACACAAATGACGCATGGAATTACCAGCCAGTTAAAATCTCAGGAGCTGTATATATCGACCCGTCCGTGGAAACCTAAGCCTGTTTCATTCAGGCAAACAGAGATATCAAGACCCAGGCCTCTGTTTTAGTCAGCCCAAACGACAGCGGGAACATCACCGTCCAGGGTCTTCTCAGCAAGCAAGTTGCCAGGGACTCCAGCATGCGTATCCCACTGAGCAACGCCAACCTTCTGGCTGACCTCAAGAGCCAGGCCAAGTCTGTCAGGAGAGCCACCAATATCGAACTGGCGCACAGACGAGCCAAAGGCCGGGTAGAGGCCAACGAAGTGGACACCGGTGAAGTATTCCCCGCTTGCATCGGCAATTTTGAAAATGGCAATGGAGTCATTGTTGCGGCCGAATGTGTTATCTAGACGGTTACTCACAACAATGTGGTTGTTCTCGGGCTGTAGGAGATCTCAACGTTAGCTCAAACTGTCTTCTAGAGCTTTTTGTTGAACCATAAAACTGACCGAGACTTTAATTTCCGCAACCTTGGAGCTGGAGGGTGCTGTTTGATTGCCAAAAGAAGTGCCCTCAAAGATCTTCTCGAAGGATATGACGTGTTCGCGGTAGTTTACGCGGAAGCCGCTGACCATGTTGGTGAGCTCATGTACAAGAAACATGTACACGTTGTCAGTAGTGCTTCTTGTTCCCTTAGGGGCCCAGAAAGTAATATGGCGAGGACCAGATCCTGGAGTAGCGTGGTACGGTTCCATGGGCTTCAGGGTACCATTGGAAGAGTGGATGGAGAAGATGCGAATGAGATCTGCACCGAGATCAGGTACCAGAACGAAGCGCCTCGAGGGATCGATGAAGACACCGTGGGGATGAGGAGCGTCTTGTCGAGTGGTGTTAGGACCAGGGTGAGACATCTCAAAGTGAAAGGTCTGCAAGTTGTGGAATTCGCCCTTGACACGATCCACAGCGTAGTTGGTCACAGTGGAAGTCTCGCTAAAAAAACGTGGCGTCAGCATACAGCGATACATCAGAAGACATCTGAAAAACTCACTAGTGGGCTACAGCAAAGAATTCGGAGTCCTTAACACCGGGCGCAGAGAACATAGCGGACATGACCAGGCCTCCAGGAGTTGTCAAGCGTTCAATGGTGCTAAGTGACCCGTCCTCATGGGCCTTGAATGAGGTGATGCTGCCATTGGTAGCACCGATAGCCTCGTTCAGACAGTATAATATTCCGTGAGGCTGGTCCAGCATCAGCCAAGAGGGGCTTATGCCACAATCTTGTGACTTGTCGATAGTAGACAGCTCATAAGATCCATTGGCTCTAGTCAGCTCGAGAGAGTACACGGAACCTCCATAAGAAGCAGCGTAGAGCTTGGAGGCAAAAGCAAAGTTGCCTGAGAGAGCGACCGCAAGCCCAAAAATCGACTTCATAATGGATTATTGAGGTGTGATCTGCGACACGGAAAGAACTTGCGGACAATGATTCTGCTTTAATATCGAAATGTCGCCGAACTCAATTCCCCGTGCACGTGGTCACTGAACAAGGAAGATCTTCTCTAACCAGCCGCATTGATTCTCAGTCTAAGGTGGAACTGCATCAGCTCGGAACATTTTTTGAATAATTGACCGATCTCGGAACCCCTCACTCCGATCTTGGCGCCAATGCTGCTAATCCAATCCAGGACCTGCCTCTCGGCATGCCGAAGGTCGAGTAGAGCGATCTTAGTTTGAGCTTTGTCATTTATTTAGCCAAGGCGCTAGCGGAAGGTAGATTATGAAGCATTCGTGGCCGAGACCCATGGGCCTCGACTTTGTGAGTTGACAAAACATCATCTTATACATACTCCAAGGCTTACCAACCGTACTTTTTCCATAGAAAATAAAGTTCGAGCCAGATTGAAATAGGAGTTTGACCTTGGCAAGAGTAGATTCCCAAGACAATTTCTGTGAACTAAGTTTGATGTACTTTCTTGCAAATGCTACCATAGTCATGGATCATGATCTCGGATTCTCCTCTCAAGATATTCGGTGAACAGATTGAGCTCTAGAAGGTCGAATTCTGAATTCGTTTCGTTACCTGATAGAGAGGGATCTATCTTTAAGACCTTCTTAGAAAGCTGGGTTTGGCAATTGGTTTCAGCTCTTGGCTTTCTCCAGCAGTTCCCTCCAGCAATGTGTTGAAGACAATCAATGGTGAAGATGCGGCATGAAAATCACGCTGTGTGTGTGTGTGTGTGTGTGTGTGTGTGTGTGTGTGTGTGTGTGTGTGTGTGATTCATTCCTATCAATACGACTCTGATCACCGATCCATGAAACATAGCAACAAAGAACATGGTGCCAAAAGCTGCTTCATTAGCGGCATGCTAGTGGGTCAAATTCCGCCACTAGACCTCAGCCACGATCTACGCGGCAAATCTATGTATCATTATATCATTACACTGTATCAAAGTTCCAATAAAACCCGTGATTTCACCACAACCAAGGACGAGGAATGTGGTGAATATATGAAAAAAGCAACCTGGGACATTATATCCTGAAATGATCCATATCTACATAACAAAACTCTCTGTACGATCTTGTCTGAAGGCAAACAGTGTACTCTTGAAGTTGTATGCACATTATACCCGTATTGTATACCGGTGAACTTGTAAACCTGATATCAGGTCGATCCTGCTCTCGGCGTCAAGGTCATCTTATATTAGGCCAATGAGTTACGATTCTGTCTATCTTGTCTATCAGGCGCCGATCATCCATTTTCAGGATCACATTACCCACTTTATGCAGCCAACGATTTCAGAATCACGTCCCTCAAATCAGTTTTCAACAAAAATCTGCAGGGCCGGATACCTGTATAAAATGTCTCTCTGCCGCAGAGTATCAGATACAAGACAAAGCGAATATTTTCATCAATTCAATTACTCAAATTATTCGTCATACAATGAAGTCTACTCTTGTGAGCCTCGCCATTTCTGTTTATGTGGCTGTGGCCCAGTCCTACACCCATTTTGAGCAGTTTGACGTGCAGTCTCACCTGATCACAGATCCTCATAAAGTCGCCAACAAGACCTACGACTACATTATCGCTGGTGGTGGTCTCGCAGGTCTGACAGTCGCTGCTGAGCTCACCGAGAACCCCAACATCACCGTTCTTGTCGTCGAGCGCGGTTTCTTGGAGTCTAACAATGGCGCCATCATTGAAAACCTCAACACGTATGGCGACATCTTTCTGACCTCTGCCGACGCGAACTACGGTACCGTATCCCAGGACATCAACAACCGCAGCTTGGCTATCAAGTCTGGCAAAGGCCTCGGGGGTTCCACTTTGGTCAACGGTGGCTCCTGGACCCGTCCTGACAAGGTCCAGATTGACTCTTGGGAGAAAGTGTTTGGCAATGAAGGCTGGAACTGGGACGGCATGCTAAAGTACATGAACAAGGCTGAACATGCTCGATTTCCCACTGCCGCTCAACTCGCTGCCGGTCACTCCTTCAACGCCTCCTGTCATGGTTTCAACGGCACTATACCCTCCGGCCCGCGTGATGATGGATCCAACTACACACCCATCGTTCGTGCTCTCATCAACACAACGGCTGCAATGGGTATCACTACCCAACAAGACTTTCTTTGTGGCCACCCCCGTGGTGTTTCCATGATCTATAACAACCTGCATGAAGACCAGACTCGCGCTGATGCCGCACGTCAGTGGCTCCTCCCGAATTATAGGCGTAGCAACCTGCAGATCCTGACCGGCCAGATGGTCGGCAAGGTTCTGTTTGATCAGTCAGGGCTTAAGGCCACGGGTGTTAACTTTGGCACCAATAAGGCTGTGAACTTTGAAGCCTACGCCAAACACGAAGTTCTCCTTGCTGCTGGCTCTTCCGTCTCTCCCCTCATCCTAGAGTACTCTGGTATAGGTCTGAAGTCTGTCCTCGATGCAGCTGGTATCAAGCAGCGTATCGAACTGCCGGTCGGTCTTAACATGCAAGACCAAACCACCACCACTGTCCACTCCCGCGCCAGCGTCAAAGGCCAGGGTCAGGCTGTCTACTTCGCCAATTTCACTGAAGTATTCGGTGACTACACCCCCCAAGCCGCGGAACTGCTGAACACCAAACTCGACCAATGGGCCGAGGAAACTGTTGCCCACGGTGGCTTTAACAATGCGACCGCTCTAAAGATCCAATACGAGAACTACCGGGACTGGCTCCTGAATGAAGACGTCGCTTTCGCCGAGCTCTTCATGGATACCCTGGGTAACATCAACTTCGATATCTGGGACCTGATACCCTTCACTCGCGGTTCCGTTCACGTCCTCAGCAGCGACCCTTACCTGATGCAGTATGCCAATGACCCGAAGTACTTCCTCAATGAGCTCGACGTACTCGGCCAGGCTTACGCTACTAAGCTTGCCCGTGAACTTTCTTCCTCCGGTGCCATGAAGGAGTACTACGCAGGAGAGAATATCCCTGGTGACAAGCTAGACTACAGCGCCACTGCCGAAGAATGGATCCCCTATATCAAGGAGAATTTCCGTCCAAACCACCACGCCATCGGTACTTGCTCCATGATGTCCCGTGAGATGGGTGGAGTTGTTGATGCTACTGCCAAGGTATATGGCACCAAGGGCCTCCGTGTCATTGATGGTTCTATTCCCCCTATTCAGGTCTCTGCTCACGTCATGAATGTATTCTACGGTATGGCGTTGAAGATCTCTGAGAATATCTTGGCTGACTACTCTTTGTAAATGGCCTTGGCATCTCCATGGTCATGAAATCCGTAATAGTTGGAGAGCTACCCGCGCTGAGTCAAATCTCTGTGCTGAGACGCATCGTCGCGAGTGTTGACCAACCACCAAAGGCTTGATGTACCTATTATACCGGCAACCATTATACATCTCATAGAGTTTAAAATGAGCCTCAACCCGAGCTAGAGCCCTTTGTTGAATATATATTCTTGACCTGCGTCCGTAGGCTTGATGTTGTAGCCATGCATAATCGCATTCGAGCCGTGCCCAATGGCATCGTTGGTAGGGTTCAACTGAAGAGAAGAGGAGAGAAGAAGGAAAAGGGGACAGTTTGGAAATCCGTTTTCCCATTCGTGATTTGGGTGTAATTAGAGCATGAGATAGCCCCTTGCTGCAAGTAACTATAAGGTGGATCGCAGATAGTCAGCATCCATTTATTGAGTACCGGGGCACATGATCGCTCACAGAGCTGACTTCTGCCTGACTCCTGAGTAAGCTGTGTAAGGTCAGTATTTTCAGGGGGTTTCATGTATTCTACTATTAGTAAGGTTGACGCACACCGCATTATGATTAAAGTATTGGTTGAGTATATGACAAGCCAACGAAAAGAGTGAACTTTATCATAAAGCATCTAGCCAATGAAGGGGAGAAGAGAGGGAATAGTTAAAAGTACGAAGTAAAAAAGATGCCCCATTGTCGCTCGCCTTCCTTCGATTAATGAAATACGAGCAATATTCACTCTTTGATAAGATTTTCCTTCCGTACCAGGCAAGGATAGCGATGAAGAAGGTATAGTCTCAGCGATGAATAAAGGTCCTAAATCGTGTTAGATTCCCACCTACAGTACTACAGTACTCCGTTTATATCGTGGATAAAAGTGGAAATCAGTCGTTGGAGCGTATAAACCCCATTGACGCTGGAAGCTGCCAAGAGGCGAAAGCTGATGGAGAAAAGAGGAGAGGAAGCGCCCCATGACGATATGCTGCTAAACCTAAACAAGACGAGAGCTGCCCAGGGTCATGTGCGGTTAGCGTGGTCCCGGGCGTACGGAAGTACCCGTTGTAAGCTCCCTTAAGGTATACAATACTTCAATTGAGCTCGCATAATTTTACTGGTGATGGAAATTCAAAAATTGTACCCACAAAGCAAAATTCCCTTCTTTTCAGAGAAGATTACCATAATCTGCTGTGACTGAAGTAGGTGCATGGATGCCTGATATTGCTGTCTGAGTGGGTGGAGTGGGTGGAGCCGTGGAAACGTGAAGATAGTATGTCGCCCGATTAGTGCTAATGCAGTTCGATGCACGCCCTTTGGTTGAATCCCCTCTAACTGTATCCGTATCCTTTAATTTATCGTACTTCCTCCCTCTATCTTAATGTTTTGCTTATAGGACAAGTTTCTTGTCATTGAAGATCATACCCTAGTCAGAATGGTCACGGGCCTCAGGAACTGATGGTGTTTTGAAAGCACTATTTTCGATCACGGCTAGAGTCGGATATTCAAACAATAACAGTTAACCGCCACGAGCCAGCTGGCCCTAATGGACCCATTCCATACGAACTCCGCTCGTTTGGACCAGCCGCCAAGGTGAGGTAACCCGATATCGGCCTAATTGCGTTTTGAATGGGTTTAAAACATCCCCAGCTTGTTAATTTGGTTCATATATCAATTTGCGTACCACTCACAAAATGTTGTCAACCGTGAGAGTCCCTGATTTGAATGATTCTATTTCCTCCCGCAGGAGCTTTATCGTCGGAGGTGGTATAGTTGGCGCTTCACTCGCCTATTTTCTTTCAAAAGAAGACAAAGACCTTGAGATTGTTCTCGTCGACAAATGTCTTGACAAGCTCCTCGGATCCACCGGTCATGCTCCCGGCTTTGTGGGCCAGCTCAATGAGTCGCCCATCTTGACTAGCCTTGCTAAAGATACTGTCTCGGCGTACCTCAAAGTCCCTGGTGGTTTCAATGTCGTGGGAGGACTGGAGCTATCGTCAACACCTGACGGCGTCGAGACACTGCATCGCCGATGTGACCTAGCACGATCTAATGGGTTGCCCGCCGAAATGATCACACCAGAATTTGCTGCCTCCTTGGCTCCCGATTTTATTGACCCCCAAAGTGTCAAGGCTGGTCTACTCTTTTCATCAGATGGAACAGCAAATGCCCAAGATATCACCCATTACTACATCAAAGAAGCTCGGGCGAGAGGTGTCAATTTTCTCGAAGCCACAGTGACGGGCCTTGTATCTACAGGCGATCAACTGACTGCCCTACAATCTTCACACGGGGACATCCAACTGAACGGCAGCATGGTTGTACTCGCGACAGGCGTTTGGACTTCGAGTCTGATAAATGATGTAGTCCAAATTCCGGTGCCTATTATCCCGGTCGCTCATCCATATACCTTCAGTGTCCCTCGATCTCCCCGATCCGGTCCAAAATATCCATTCGTCCGCTGGCTAGATCATCACGTTTATGCCCGAGATCACGGTGACCGCGACGGTTTAGGCAGCTACGATCACCCACCAATTCAGGTGAACCCAACTGACATGGCAATCGGCGCTTGGCCTTCCCACTTTGAACAAGTTCTGTCCGAAGCTACAACTCAGTTGAAGAATGGCCAGAATTTCCTGCTTGATGGACCCAGCGCAGACCTGGAGGAGAAGCGTCCTTTCAATGGTATCTTCGCAGTAACTCCGGATAATCTTCCGCTTGCGGGACCGGTACCTGGCATATCTAACATGTGGCTTTGTGCTGCAATTTGGGTTACAACTGCTGCTGGTACGGCCCAACTGATATCGAGACGCATTTTCCAGGGAGCTGAGCAGATGAGCCCTCAAGATGAGGTTTTGCTAAAGGCTCTAAGTCCCAGTCGTTTCCAGGGGCTCGACGCAAGTGTGCTTGCAACTCAGGCATTGCAGCGTTATAATGACATTTATAACAGAGAGTTGGAATAGGGCTCTTGTTAAACGTGGCTGGATAGAAACTAGGTAGAACAGATCAATATTATTTATAAGATGCCGATTGTGTCAATTGAGAATATCGAGAAAGGTAGATTTGCATCTTGTTTCTATTGTAAAGATTGTCTGGTTATCCTGCTGCTCCACTTTACATATAATTTGGCACGTCAAGCCATTCTCGTCATGCCCCGGGCCTGTTCAGAACTTATACAAGTCCGAAGATCTCCTTTCTCAGTCTATTGAGTCGCCTTATTTCACCGTATATATTTCATCCCCTTCGTTGTCCAGTACATCATTCCACGAAGACATCTTCGGCGAGAAATTCAATTGCTCGCTTAGTCGGCATTTTGAGGGTCTTCCACTCCCCGTCCTTCTTCTTCTGAACCTTGGTGACTGCGGTCCAAGGGATCAAGTGTTCGACCGAAGATTCCTTTTCGTCGGCATGTCCATACGTTTTGCCTGCTTCCTTGTACGCTTCTGCTACATCATAGATCTTTTCGGTGATTTTGGTGGAGTCAAGGGTGTAAAGGTAGCCATTTCCAGCATGGTTCTCGGAGACAGAGATATCGGTTGAGACAGAGATGAATGGGTCCCTGGAAGGGTGCTTCAACGTTCCTTCCACGTGCTCAAACAAGGTGCCCTCTGGGTTGTTGAAGCCCTTGGCCTTAAATCCTCCGGCCTCCTTGATTGTCTTTGGACTGCGTGAATCGCCTCGGTAGTAGGTGGTGGCTATAGCACTGCTCATCAACGATGCGAGAAGGCCGAGGAAGACGAAGAAGGAAGAGGTATGCATTTTGAAATGACAATTCAGAGGTGGTGATTTTTGGCTATAAATAAGATTTGAGAGTGTTTGGGTTGTTGATTGTGGATATCTGAGATCTGAGAATCCAAGAGAACAGGAATAAGAGCTTCTTATACCATTTCATACTGCCTTGAACTGGTTTATCGGTTGCTTTGTGAACCAATTTGGAACGATCATATTCTACAAGCAACCTAACAAGCATAAGATCAAAAATAGAAATTACCGAAGGGAGAATGTTACAGAAAGGCAAAAAGTGAATGGCAATGTCTCATCCTTCAACACATGTATTGTCGTTATAGTAGACTTTCATTGGCGCCGCCCCATTGGCCTGCCCCAGCTCGCCCAAAAACCCCTGACAGAATGGGGTCCAGGGACAGCCTGCAGGGTGCTCACCTCATCTAGGGCCCACTCTACGGTTGGGTCCAGAGATGTGCTCCGCCCCCAATCCCCATCCTTGCCCCATAGAAAGCTAGGTTCAGGCTAGGCTACAAAAGGAAAAGACCCTGTTGTAGTATAGCTATCCTAGCAGAGCTTACTGTAGTAGGAATGATGAGCTAACTAGTTACTGAATAAGGTTAGTCTCCGCCCCGATTAATATCACGCCATGACTACTACTCAAGCAAAATTGAGGCTAATTCCCAACACATGACACCATGGGTATTTGGGAGTCAAACACAAAACATAAATGATTGCCGTTTGACCTCAACTACTATACTTGTACGAATGATCAAACCAAAGCACGAACAATAATTTTCATACTGCTGCCTCATCCCTTACCTTAATTATTTTCAAAACGCCCTTGTTCCTACAGCACCCAAGGTAGTTATGAACAATAACGCTCAGCCGTTTTCATGCTTACGTGCAACAGATCACATACACACCATGCAGGAGCCTGCAACAGCACTATGGGGACTGGTTATCAGCGACGCCGACTTCGCAAAGCTCAAAGCCGGTTTCGAACCTCAGGATCAAGATGACAAATGGCGCGTATCAGTCAAAGATCAGAGCCAGGATGACAACATCTCCATTCATATTTCTCGGACGGCGACGAACAGGGAATTCTACGTGCTTTTTGTGAAGCCAAATGACGGTGGGAGCAGCAGTGGTGCGGAGATCGAGTCGATCACCTGGGAACAGGACAAAGGTGGAATTCGTATCTCGGAGGAGCAGGCCAAGAAAGAAGTGGTTATCGTAACTAGATGCATTCTAGAGTGCGATTTGAATTCGCTTCCAGACTATGATGTTGCCGAGATGTGGAATCATCCTGCTGCTCAGATAGGCGCTAACTGAGCGAGTTCTATCTTTCTCTTTCAGTTCCTGACTGTTGTATGTTTTTATTTTTTTGTATTATTTCTTCATCGGCCTGATTTTCTTACATTTTGTAGTCCAAGCCGTCAGCAACATGTGGATTTAAAAGCTGAAATTCTTATATCGGTAGCAAGTTTTGTGAGTTTTAGATACATTGTAGTAGCATCGGGCAATTTTAGCCAACTGAGACCAAGTATCACACCTTTCTGACTTTTTAAGCTGCAGGGGCCTTGCACTTGACCTTATGCTCGCTCCAATCCGCCTTTTGACAAGCCTTCGAACAATAAGAGACACTCGTGCACCTTGCACAACGCATCAAAGGTGTATCCAACGACGGAGTAAATCCACAAACACGACAGACCTTGTTGACATTTCCAGCAAATTGATCCTCTGGAATGCCCATCGTAGCGGCCGCAAGATCATTATAGAAACGACGCCAGCACGCATCAGCAGTCGTAATCTCTTCCGGATCGGCAACATACACAGCACACAATTCGGGTCGAACACCGACGATCTGAAGTCTGACGGAAAGGGCGTCGGCGAGCTTCTGGTCACGTACGCTCCAGCTCCACGGGGCATAGGCTGTCTTTTTGTCCGCCATGGGAATGGAAATTGAATCGTTATCGAAGCGTGTGACGAAAGACTCAAGTAGTAGAGGGACGATGACAGTTGCCTGTTCCTCATAAGTGAGGGGAATGATGCGGGTGCGACCCTCGCAATGAGTGTGACCATTGAATGGATTGGCTAGAAATATTGCGTTTCCAGCAACTAAGGGAATTGACCTCACTGAGATGTGGTAGTGATTAGGAAGGTCATTTATGTCGAATTCAGGCCGGCGGAGGCCATTGAAGACCTTCACTCGAGAGGCTGTGACGCTCGACATGATTTGAATGAATTGAGTTGTAACCGAACAGATCTGACAGAGATTTTATTTTGTTTTCTCCGTCTTGAAGGCGTTATGAAAATTCGATACTAGAAATTGTGAAACCGCGTTCGCGGTTGATGGTTCTTGAAGTCGATTATTTTGCAGTGTTGTCACGTGATATTTCCGGATTGACGTCGTCTTACAAAATAGGCCTAGAAAGTAAAGCAAGCAAAGGAATAATGGAAAATTCGAACGAAATTTGATGTTCCTTAATTATGAGAGATGAAGAGTGAAGTGGAAGTAAAATGGAAGAAGGCTAAATAACGGTAGAACAACAATCATTTGTCAATGACCTTCCTTACTAAGCACTTGATGGAAATCATGTCGTTTGAGGGTCACATGACTATCTAACGTATTTCATGGTCAATGGCCGCACACGGTCGTATGCCGCTACCCATAACATTTGATAAACCTGATAAATCACAACTCATTATCTCGACAATAGTGGTCCGTGGAAGCTTTTTCATGAATTTTGTTTCTTTTTATGTGATATCTAGTCCCTTTTGGGCGTTTTGGGGATTTTCATGACTTGGTGCTGGAATATATATTCAAGGTTACATAATGGGTCGGAGAATTAAGATTCGATAGGATTCCAACCTGAAGAAAGATGATGCAAAAAAGGACACAACTGGAAGACGTAGTGGATGTAGCTCACCAGATATTCATAATTTTGATTTTTTTTTTGAAAATCTAACGGATAAGGAACTTTCCAGTTGAGATTTGGTTATTGATTTTCACAGGTGAGCTTGACAGAGGAAAAGAGGACATACTAGTCAAGAGGCAGTAACAACATAGTTGATACCTATTGAGCTCGCGAGAAAGAAAGAATTACCTTAAAGGATCTCCAAAGGAACACTGACGACTTTATCACGAATGTAGTCTGCAAAACCCTTTCCAAACCCATCTAAACGACTTGAGCTACTCACACCACGCCCCAAGATCCCGTAGATCACAAAGTGTACAGCATGGATAAGAGGAAACTCCACACGCTCGATGAAGAAACTATCTTTCCAGTCCTTGGAAATGAGTTCACGCATACGATCTCTAGTCATGTAAGACTGAAGCCAAGGCCAATGAGCTGGATTTGTAGCGAAGAAGCCCACATTGAGGTTTCCACCCTTGTCTCCAGATCTAGCGAGAGCGATGTCTCCCAGCCTGATCTCTTTTTGTGGGCCTTTGAAGACCCATGGAGACTTGGCATCGTAGTTATCCCGAATACCAAGCTCTTCGTAGCGGGGTGGATGGCCTGTCTCATAGGAGCGAATTGTATCGGACCCACCGACGAAATTGATTTTCTCCGAAATATCAGACTGCTTGATCAGTGCGGGGTAGTAGGCCAGGAAGGGTAGTGGGAGGGCAGTGCGGAGGTCCATGGAGAGATGGTATCCTGTTCAAAGGTACTTTAATGGCCGCTCCAGATGCAATAGGGAATCGCGACTTACCAGAAAAGTGCTTCAGGGAAATATTTCCCATAGCCTTTACAACTGCAAGTACGGCTTTTTCATTTAGAGAAGCAACAAAAATTCGCAGATAGGTTGTGCTCTCCAGCTGAAAAGCTGGGTTCGGAGAAGGTGTACCCACTCTGTAATGATGATGATTAGCACACATTCTCGATCTGCTAGGAAAGTATCACGTCTTTTCTTACCTCTGGAATTCAAGTGTTTCTAGCTCATTTTTGGCTTCATCTGGCAGGAAATTACGGATTTGCTTTTCAAGAAGATCCCATTTCTCAGAGGTGGCATAACCGGTCGCGTTCATGAGAATCTGGGCTTCATAGCCACCTTGGTAGAATACAGCAAATTTCGTGGTCGATGGGGGTGGGCTACCACGAATTCCGGAGACGTGGACTCTAGAGGGATACGATTAGCCAATATTGTTCGAATCTGAGGATCCTGTGCTATGGGGCTCACATACCGGTCTTTTCCTACATTTATCACTCGTACGTCGGCAATGTGAGCACTGACATCGCTGTTGAGGTACGTTGTTCCCTGCAACTCATACAAGAACTGAGAACGAACAGTATCCACATTGACCATTCCTTGTGTACCAGGATGCTTCGTGATGGTGCAAGTGCCATCCGTGGCAATCTCTGCAATGGGGAAACCTGGAGATACCAGGTTGTCTGAAGGGTATTTGTCAAAGCCGGCAAAATTACCCCCGGTCACGTATGCAGAACATTCAATGAGATGTCCTGCAATCAAAGAGCCTGCGAGTTTGTCATAGTCTGTTTCGGCCCAGTCGTGCCAGAACCAAGCTGCTGCAATAACGGGGCTGGCATCTGACACTCGGCCACATATAATGATATCCGCCCCTCGCCGCAGACCGTCAACAATTCCACGGGCTCCAAGATAAGCATGCGCGGATACCATAGGAACCGGCTTCCCATCCTTCGTGTTCAGGAATGCATATGTGAGATCTGGTGGGACTACGGAGGGGTTGCCTGAGTCAAGATGGGCCAGTCCTTCTTTGGTTGTAGGCATATCTGGGCCAACAACAGGGTACAAATCATCTCCCGAGAGGAATGCGACTTGTAGATTGAGGTTTCTCTCAGAGACCTGGTAGATGGAAACGTTACTTCCCTGTTGTGGTTCTTCAATTTCTGAATGAGCTTACCAGAGCCTTTGTTCTTAGTGCTAGAGCTCTAGGATCCAGAGCACCGCCGTTAATGACGACACGAATGCGTTTCTCAGCAATAACATCGATCGTCTGCCGTAGACCTTCCCAGGCAGTCTCTTCATATCCGGGATGCTTTCCATCCCTCCACGCCAAAGCATTATTGGCCAGGTTTACTTCTGCGAGGTAGTCACCGGTTATGAAGTCGATGTCTCCCAGGGTGGCCTGACGGTACATCTCGTATGCAGGATCGCCTGTAATAAGACTAATGTTAGCAAGGAATGCGATAAAAATTTTGTCACTCACCATGATATCCAGAGCAGTTGGCCACTCTCACAGGGCGTTTTTCCACATGAATCGACATTCTATAGAGATATGTTTCGATATTGGTGCTTGTAAAATATAATATGAAGATGAATGGTAATGAGTCGGGATCACGTAGTTTGTTTCCGAGTTCTTCGTCGGTTGTGATTTGAAAATTAGCGTCATGCTGGGGGGGAAAGATGTTATAAACAAGAGCACCTTTCGATCCATGGTATAATGTGGGGTAATAAGCGCTTCGGGCATGACGGCAAGCAAGCCTCGTGGCGTTATGTGGATTGCGGAGTAAAAATCCCGTGGGCCGTGGCCCACGGGCCGAGCACCCTACGGGGCCGCGGAAAACAATAGAAACTGGATTTATTGCGAATAGTGCCGGGAAGGGGTTGCCGGGAATGGCAATAATAAATGGAGACATGCGTGCCAGGGTGTAATGGTGGATCTGTGACATTTAGCAGGCTCAGTTTCCTTTCCCCCCTCATATCCCCGTTGTACACACCACTGGCAGACCAAACTATCCACCATGCACACCACTCACGCAACGATATCCGGCACCGATGTTTATGGTCCAGGTACTTTTATCGACAAGAAAGTCCTTCCTGTTCCTGAAGATGCCCGCCGGGTATTCGAATTCCTAGCTTCCAGCACACCCGGCTTCACACAGGACAAGGCAGCATGGGATACTGTGAAGTTCGAAGGACGGCCCGAGCCCATGATCCCAGGACCCATCAAGTCCCCTGTAGTAGCCGCAGCACTGCATGCTATGGCGGGCCTGGTGGCAAATGAGCTATTGGAGCTTCGAGATGGTACGAAAGTGGTTGACAACAAAGTGACGGTCGACACAGACCATGCGGGAATCTGGCTTGGATCCGTATTCACCACTTATATCAACGGCTCAGATACTTCCGCGCTGGCACGCTCTGGAAAATTGAACTCTCTGTTTTCTACAGATATGGAGAAGGGATTCGGCAAAGGAATTGCGGGCCGCACCACAGCGATCTATAAAACCAAAGACCCGAAAGTCTGGTATCAGCTGCACGGCTCTCTTGACGCTAAGAAGACCCTCGAGACCATGGGAATTGATCCCAATGTTTCCTTCGACACCGCACAGGGCTACTATGATTACATTCAGAGTCATGTAATCCAGTGGAGCCCCGATGAGCTGGAAATGCATAACGTGCGTCATGGTCTGTGCGGCAGCATTTGCTATTCACCGGCCGGGTGGAGAAAGACTGGATTTGGGAAACGGTTGGCGGAACATCCATTGGTGAACGTCACCGAGCAAACCTATGCGAAGCCTACTCCTCAAGTTCCGCTGTCTAAAGGCCTATCTGATCGCCGGCCACTTGCCGGAATCAAGGTGTTGGAAATGGTGCGAATCATTGCTGGTCCACAACTAGGCGTTACTTTGGCTTCATACGGAGCCGATGTTATTCGGGTTAACTGCAGTCGACTGGCTGATCTGAATGTATGTTGAAACACCCATGTCCGGCGCGATGATGACCTGACTGATGCTAACAATGTTGAGTGCAGGTATTGCAACTTACACTAAATGCCGGAAAGCGCACCATTGATCTCGATATCACAAAGCCTGAGGATATGACACGTCTACAGGAACTGGTCGCAGATACCGACATCTTTGTCCAAGGATTCCGCTGGGGCTCACTCGGTCGAAGGGGTCTGGGACTCCATGACCTTTTGAAGGTGGCAGCTGATAGAAACAAGGGAATCATTTATGTTGATGAGAATTGCTACGGACCGGATGGCCCCTTCGCTGAGCGTCCTGGCTGGCAGCAAATTGGAGATGCTGCATCAGGAAGCTCATATGTCATGGGCCGATCTCAAGGCCTTGAAGAGGGAAAGAGTGTTCTGCCACCTCTTCCTGTGTCGGATATGCTCACTGGTATTATCGGCGCGCTGGGAGCAATGATTGCAGTCCGAGACCGTGCGGTAAAAGGTGGCTCGTACCATATAACAACATCACTTGTAGCTGCGGATACCATCTCGCTTGAGAAGGAGGTCGGGTTGTACCCGCCTGAAGTCGTCCAGGATACAACTGAAAATTTCGGCTTTCCTGCAATTACACCAGACCAGTTTGTTTCGGAGGTCCTAATCGGGGTGATCGATGGTTGGAAGAGGGGACTTCCAGGGTATCTGGATGAGAACTCGAACCTTATGCAGACATTTGAAGATGGTTATTGGGGACACCAGACCATTCTGAAACCTGTCGCGAGGCTTGGAATTGATGAAACGACACCGCGATGGACTTCGGCACCGGTACCCAACTGTCATCATGAACGGGGAATCGATTGGGCTTGAATGTATATGTGTCAATATATGATTTAATGTATCTTAAGTCAGATTTTGATGTCGAAAAAAATTCGTCTGTGAGGTACTGAGCAGCTTCATGACTGCAAATCCAACCCTAGATGAAATCTTCCGGTCTACCTTCGTTCATATTCAGTGATGGAATTAATCCAGAATATGTGTCCTGCCAACTCCAAAACGGAGGAATGGACCATTGTGGGTTCATCAAGTCGACGACGGGCTCACTTTGTGGATCAATAGTTTGATGGAGCAAAGTATCTCCGGTGAGATCAACGGATCCTCCGTGCAAGACAGACTCAGAATTACTGACGCAAGAGTCCCCATCAGTCCTTGATGCAGATGGTTGAGCTATATCAGGGCGTGTTTGGCGAATGGCTCGTCTAGCGGATTTTTCCACATCAGAGCAGGCACCAAGAATGAAGTCAAAATATGTACTTGGCTCCTCGGAAGAAATATCTGTGAGGAAGGTGACTGCCTCACGGACCATTTGAAGATCACTGTGGACTAATTCGTGTGATGGATTCGACGCAACTTCCGAAGCCAATGCCACAGAAGCCGTGGCAAAAAAGTAAAGAACATGCCTTTATTAACAAACAATGAGTTGTGACTTTTGCCAAGGAAGTTTGACGTATGACTTACCATTTGTAATTAGACCCAAGAGAACGTACATATGGGAGCAAAGCCACTGCGGAGCGTGCCGAGGCAAGAGATCGGTGGCGAATACCGGCAGCGTCGATATCCGCATCCTGGTTGTGATCTTGGAATGAATTGTCCCCAGGAGACGGGGGTTTTGGTAATTGTCGAAGATTTGCACAGCAACAATGGTAGGCAAGATGCATCCGAAGGAGATGCTGTAGAAAGTAGTTCGGCTCGGAAATAAACGTTGGCCGTGGTCGAAGATCTTCAGGGATAGAATCTCTCCATTTGACAAGCGCGGCTTCGCAATCCATTGCTGACTTTATCGTTCTTCCTCGGGACTGTTGAGTTGTTGTAAGGATTTGAAAATGACGATAAACACGTCTTTGAAGGAGTGCCAATTGAGCATGAAGACGCAAGAAGTTTATTTCAGTGCCCGCAATGCAGATTATACCTCCTCGATCTGGAGGTACGGAAGCTGGTAAGGGGATGTTGTGATCCTCCATATCCTGGACAGGTGGGCGACCAACACGTAAGGAGATATCTGCATCAAGAATGAATGCGATCCAATATGTTCTTCGCCTTTGTTCAATTTCGGACGGATCTAGATCGGTTGATGTGTTCCTATGCAGCCCAATAGAATGAGATAGACGCATCGCGGCCGCAGAAAACATAAACAAGGCTTGAGCATTTGGTGTACCCTGGAAATATAGTGCCAACCCCAGCAGGGCCTGGACAGCAGATAAATCTGCATTTCGCAAAAATAGATCAATGACAACGTTGAGCGCATTTTTGATATGTGCTAGAGACATCTTCCATGGATAGCTCTCATCGGATGAAGTCTGTGCCCTTTCCCTGTACGAGAAGCCGAGAACCACATTTAGCAATGCCCACGAAGAAGGATTGTCATCTGGGTTCCAGGAGAACTGTCTTTCCACCAATCTCAAGAAAGATTTCTCGTTGACAAGTGGAATGGCTTGATTAAATGTGGTAAGAAATTCGTTGACCAGAGCTAATGTAGCTTCCTTGGGTGGTAAATTTTGAGTCCTCCGTTGCTCAAAAGGATCTTGAAGCACCCTCGGAATCCAGTTTGTCAACGGCCATCGCTTCGCACTGCGCTGAGCCGCTGTTTCTCCGGCCACCTTGGATGCACTCGCGCCATTTCGACCAACGGTTTCGGAGTATGGCGCACTAAATCCAGAAGAGGCCCCTATTTAAATTAATGTCAGATCGTGAGAAGGATTCATGATCCAATGCGATGGGTATACCGACCGTAGAAACGCATTTTCCCATCTTCTGACTGCAGAACGTAAGAGGGTTGATCAAAATCTTTATCGCTGGCCAAAGAGGTGTATTCATCTGGTAAGGGACCACTTTCTTCCCCCGGGGAATTATTTGCTACATTTTGCGGTCGGGGAGATCCGGGAGCTTGGCTAGTGATAGCTGAAGCGTGGCCAGATGAAACTTGATGTTCAAGGCTCCGATCAGCGGGTTCTCCAGATGGACCTCTCCGTTTCAATTCGTTCTCCATACGTCTGAGCTTTTGTTCTAGCCCCTCAACATAAGCCCTGCACGAGGATAGTTAGAGGTAAGTCCGGTTCGGCTGGGAGGCAAGCAAGGTTGACAAACCTGCTGGGATTTTTAGATTCTTTCGAAACATCCTGGAATGCACAAGTAAGACCGAAAGTGTGGCACGTCGAGCAAACAGGGCGTCTGCCATCGCACTTGACCTTTTTACGCCGACACGTAGTGCATGCCTAGATAAGAATTAGTCGATTGGCTTCAGGGTATGATGATTTACACAAACCTTGGCACATCGTATCTTCTCAACACGCGAAGGTTGAGACTGGTTCATTTTGGCCCTGATGTTTTACCGTCGACGTCAGTCGCGACTCGCGATTGTCCAATTGGTGAGGACTTGGGGTGTAGCATTAAAAGGTAGTGTGGAAAGGCATTATAGAAGATCAATAAAGCGCAGGGCACTGGCCTGGAAAGAAGATTAACAGGAAGGTGAGAGAATTGACAGCTACAAAATTCCGAAGGTCTCTCTCTGCACTACAGAGTACTTCAGAGTCCATAGAGATATCATTTTAGCCGGTTTATGCCGTGGTAAAATGGTTAGGTAATCTTGGGGGCGGTATGGATCGGATCATCAATCCTAACTAGTCCCGATTTGGACGACAACAAACCCAAGCGGAACCTACTAGTACTCAGTCAGGCCCCAACCTGTTTGACCCCCTTAAATAACAATGTATGAAACATCTAGCAGTCTTTAATTTCAATGGTAATATTCGTAAGTTTTCAACGCACGTATCCCTTTGTATTGTAGTAAACTAAGCCAACTAAAAGTCAATTAAAGTACATACGGCCACAGGGTGTGGAGAACAGGGCTTCCCGTCCGCTTAGCCGTACTTAAGCCCATTATAGTACACAGTCAATTCTCAATGCGCCCTGAGCTCTAAGCTGGCGTCGGATTTGATCTTTGGGTGAGTGTGGGTGATATGGGCAAGAAAATTGGAGACTGGGGTAATAGAGTTGTGAAAGGGGTAAGAGTGGGTGAGAACGGAGCAAGGATTCTTACCCAGATCACCCCGTTTTTACCTAATTTCCCTTTTTCGCCTGACTCTGTGCCATCAAGAGAAGATCAGAGAAGACCTGGCTCACGTATTTCCCGATTTTGCCTCGGAGATCGATATCTTCTCTCTCCCGTCAACATCTCGATATCGTGATCTGGCGCTTGGAGTCGAATCCTTCGCTCGGTATCGGTGTGTACTCTCTGACATGGCTTGTTGTGGCACTTGAGAAGGACATGGAGATGCCCCGTATTGTGGCGTCGCGGAGTCATAAAAAAGGCATTGAGGTCACCACGAATGCTATCCCTCAATACTCCAGCGGGCGCATCGGTATCGCGAGCGCCATGACCAAGACCAAGGGCTCCCCTAGAAGAATTTTGCCGTAACATATGGGAGGAAGGATCGCATCGAGGTTTCGCAGGGAGCGCGCCTTCTTTCCCTGAATCATTCATTGTATGGGCAAGACAGACGGAGCTGGGAAGGGCAGATTGTTTGACAAGAAAAGATACGAGATAGCAAGACATATAAGCTCCCGATGATTGGGGGTGGGTTTGCTCGGGAGGACAGAAGGAGAGTAGTATCGTGCCATGGGCAATGACTGTGCATATAATGGGTATTGTGGAGGAGATCAGGCGTCAGGGAGGGACCATCTATCCAGGGGAGTAATAATATCCTATCCTGTCGAGCCGCAAAGGGTTTGGCGACGCTGGGAGTTTCCTCGGTAATCCAATAAAAAAGGGGAAACTCATAGATGGCGCAAGCACTTGAGTGGATTGACATCTGACTGGTCCACCATCCATGGACTCTGCTATACTTAAAAATTTCATCTAGAAGGTACAGCACAGGCAGCAGAATAAAGCGTGAAAAAGAAGCCGTAGAGACCCAAAAAGAAGGATATATTATAGTTCATATAAGAAATATAGTTCATGGACTGAAAAAATGGTAAGTAGAGCGAAGCCCTGGATGGTTCACGACGCATTGACTGTGCTCTTCGGATCGGACGTCAATCTCACTGTGATACAGGATTTGGGGTCGGATTTCTCTGGCGGCTTTTTTCCATCCACTTGGTATAGCAGCCTCACAACGTTATAGAAGTCTTGTTGAGTCTTGCTGGTGCGTAAAGAGTTATCACTCATTCGTATGTTTCCCTCTGCGTCAACCAGGAAGCTCGTAGCGAAGAGTCGAAGCCCTTCCGGGAATTTGCAGACTGTCGGAAACCAAAACACTTTCGAATCGGAGTCCGCATAGGGGGATTGGGATTTAAAAGATATACCGTAGGTTTCAACATCACTATTCTTCATCACCACCAATGATCTATGATGTTTTGTTTTGATGAGCATGCAATCAATGAACTCCCAAGGGATAGACTTACGCAGCTTGTGTATCTTTTGGCGTGTTCTCAGCACGGGATACCCCCATCCCGACCATACCGAAATGAAATAGCCTCGCATCAACCCAAATTAGACGTCCGAAAACATCATAAGTGAAGATATTCTTGTCTACCTCCAAACCACCCCAGGGTGCGCTAATATCGTACTCGGCTGAGTTGTTTGCGAGATAGATATGTCCATCCTTCCCCGATAGGAGAGTTGCAGTTTGGCCAGCATCCTGGATCAGGCGGAAGCCGTTTGTCTTTGGAAGCTTCCGAAGCTTATCCTTATCCTGCTCCTTATTTTTTTCAGAAAAGTGCTCGTCTGCATAGATTACGGGCTGAGGTGGAGCAAGTTGAAGAGTCTTATTGGAGGCGAGATTCTGTTCACCTCCAAGAGACTCTGTGACCTTTTTCAGGACCTCGTCGGTCGCATCGCTCGAGGCGTCTGGGTCTGTGTTTTTCAAAAAATCGGTGTCTTCAACCTGAGAAGAGTTCCATCCCTGGGTACTAGTATAGATATTAGTCTAGTTCAAGACCATGACTTACAATACTCACGAAATGCAGCCAATGCCGGTCTCATAGAAGGTGAATCCCAAGCTCTTAAACTCGTACTCCCATATTCCAAGGGCCGAGGAGTATATGCGATTTTTGGCGCCGGCGCGAAGTTCTATGCCCTTGTCACATGCATGCTTTTCGCCGTATGAGTATCCTGCAGTTAGGTAGAGAGAAGGTGCGGTGTAAACCCCAATCGCCTTCTTCCATGTACCAGAAAGGACATCAAGAGCAAGTTCAATCCCCACTGGTAAAGCGAGGTCCGCAGTAGCAACGACATTTCCTTTTTGGAACTCAAAGATTGGCTGGAAAGATGGATTAAACCCGGAAGCCTTGTTGTTTTCACTTTGAATATCTAGAACGACTTCTCCCGGTGCGATAGAGAACCTTCCCCCGGCTATGAATTCAGCATGTGAATCAACATAGATACTGGCGGCGGCAGTCACAGATAGTTGGGGCCCAATGGTGATGATCTTGGGGATCGTGAGAGGAGAAAAGGGCACAGCAAACAGCTGCTTCTCCAATACCGTCTTGAGTCCCCCTTTGTTTGCATTATCCTTGAATGCTTTGGCATCAGTCGTGATATTGAATATCGCATCAAACAAGAAAGGGTCATGGTTGTTCAAAGATACTCGTGCCCTGTAGACACCTTTCGTGATGCTGAATGACAAGGCTCCTTCAAAGCTGAAATTCCCCTTGGCTCCGCAGCTGTTGCATACCACCCTCGCTGCGGCTCCCGCTTTAGAAAGAACGAAATTGTCCAGAACCATCGTTAGATCGGGGGCACTTCCTATGAATTTTCCGCCAAATGAACCAAAGTCAAGTGGAAGCTGGCCACCACCAGTTGTGTGATCAAACTGAATATCCGCATGGTATTCCTCTTCGAAAGGAACACCAAATACCACCATAACTATTTTCGCTGCGATAACTGCAACCTTGATTATAAGTTTGGCAGCCTCTTCAACTGTTGCTGCTATCTTTTCAATCGCGCTCACAACGGTCTGTCGAGAGCTTTATTAGCGTCATTCGAAACCCCTGTGGTCCCTATCTGATCAAGACTCACGTTTATCACCCATTTAATACCTTCAACAATCCAGGAGAATAGACCTCGTTTCACGAGATCGTTATATTTTTCATCAGAGAGGTAATCAAGGCCGATTTCGTACTCATCCGGGATATCTATGTTGATAGAACTCGCATTGGTTCCGAAAAAGTCCAAGACTGCCGTGGCATTCTTGGTGATATCAACAGTTTCCCGAGGAAACGTTTCGTTCCAGCCCTTGAGGTAGTCAACCGTTCCATTGAAACTATGGGGAATACCTCGATACTGATATATCTTTGTGTCTGCCCTCGAGGCTTTGACATGCCCCTTAACTGGCTGTCGCTTGTTGATATGGGGACTCCGATATGTTCCCCAACTCAGGTCTCCATCATGAATTTCCTGTTCGTCCGAGAGCGCAGTAGCCACTCTTGTACAATTGCCACGGAAGGTAGGGCGGGATGCAACAAAGATGGAACGGTATTCTCCTGTAAGGTGGCCACATCCGTTATGGTACGTGATGAGATTGAATGACGTGGCATTGTATTCTTTCCATGCATTCTCCACGGTATGCATCGCCTCGGGGTTGCGGAAACAGATATCAATGTGTTGGTTGCCACATTTGACATCTTTGATGTGGCTAGAATGCTCCAAAACCACCGTGGGTCGCGAAAAAGTTGCATACAACCGACCATGCTTTGCACCATGTAGAGGAGCTGAAGGTGTTCAAGTCTGTCAGTAGCGCTCTCAAGGCGGTGGTAAGTAGGGTTGAGATTCTGTACTAACGTCTGTGGCCTTCCTGGCTGTAATACAATTCTTTGGAAGCCTCCGGGACCAAATGCCTGTGGTCGTTGGGGTCATGCTCGGGGTGTAGAGCAGGATACATATGAACACCATTACGGGCAAAAGATGGGGGAACTTGGAGCATCCCCTCGTGGGCTTTGTGCCTACCGCTAAAGGCAGATGTAAGACCCATCAAGGCCAAAAAGGCCATATATTGGAATGCCTTCATTGTTGAGGGGTTTCCAATGCCAACCCTCAACGAATAATTAATTACTGAATATATAGGTCGATAAAATATTCATCTGCTACAGGCCGTCCGTCTCATATTTATATGCAACTGTCCTAGCGTTATGTGGGATCTTGAGCCATAGAAACTCGATGATTTTCATAAAATTGTTGACATCATGAACGCAGTCATTGATCACTAACATGTAGATCAGTTGTTGTATCAAGGAAGTGATGAGAACTAGTACAAAAAAGCAAAAGCAATAAATGGCGAGAGCGCCATGTATATGACTGGCGAATTTCAATGGTTGAGTGTCAGCTTGATAGGAATATCATATGCTGCATTGTTTTCAACACCATTTCAAGCTCATATTCCTGATCTAGGTGACGCAAAGGGATGATCTTTATATCCGACGACTCAGTTTGTGGAACATCGTCAAGACTTGATGATCTACCCTTGTAACATACCCCTGACACCTGCGGCCTCGGTGCCCTATCAAGGGCGTGCAATAGAGCCGATAGCCACATACACCTTTAAATAAAATTCCAGTCAACATTATATCGTCCCATGTAGACGTGAAAAAAAATTTAGTCCCTGCAGGAACCGAACGATCTGCACCCCTACTGTCGTTAGTGTCGAGCGGTGTAACATCACATTGTGGCCCGAATCCTTAGGCATCCTTACGAGACTCATCCCCATCTCTGATGAATTGTTTTGCTTAAGCCAGGGACGACATTTTAAAGCCAGTAAGACTGTCACCAGTTGATTTTGGGTGGTATCCTTCAGGGCCATACTGCTCAGCATTTCCTTATGTCCTCAAAAGGGATATATTTCACTGGATTGCCTGTTTGGAGGGATGCGTAGGCTCAATAGAGTCTATCTATTCTACGGTAAGTGGGAGCGATGTCCCTTCTATGGACTGACAAAATCAGGCTCGAAGCGGCCGCGGTGACGAATACAGGCCACCATTAATTTCAAGGCCCTTGTCCCAGGTTTCTTGCAAATATACTTGAGATACTGCACATGTAGTACGTACACGTTTGTATGGTTTGACTTTTAACATGTTTCCACAGGTTTCAAATGCTGGGTGAAGTGCGAATCAAGTTGATGATAATAATTGAACCAGTTGCTGCGCTATATCTCATCTCCCTCCCCCCGATTTATTCTTTTCTTCCATTCCTTTGCTTCACACCAGAAATTGATTCCGAAAGCTCAGCTACCCATAAATCACAAACCACATACTTGAGCTCCTTCACCCTCAGCCGCATACGCTAGATATGCAACCCCATTCCGAGCTTATCAGATTCCACCGGTCCCCCGCCCCAGAATTACCAACATAACAAAACCATAGAATCAATTCCATTTCCAGATGTTATTTATTAGCGTTTTAGATAGGTAGGATAATTTTAGCTAATCGATTAGATTACGAAAGCCCTATAAATACCTTGGGCCACTAGGGATACGGGCAGAGGATACACGAAGTAATAACTAATTCGAAATTCCCTTCGTTTATTCCCTGATTCTCACCCAACTTATTGCGAACTCACCATTCCTACCTCCTCATCCTATATTCACAACCAAACAATATAAGCCAGATCAGGGAGATGATAAGTACATACGACCATAGGGTGTGGAGAACAGGGCTTCCCGTCCGCTCAGCCGTACTTAAGCCACACGCCGGTTAGTTAGTAGTATGGTGGGTGACCACATGCGAATCCTGACTGTTGTATGTTTTTGTTTTTATCTACTCTTACGCTTGCTATTTTACTCGTCAGTCTGTTCCGGCTATTCGCCTGGACGCCCTACATGTGAACACCACTATTTTGCGCCTGAATATCCTGCACAGCCCTGAAGCACTGAATTGGCGTTCCCCTATCGTGCTGACCTTTTTCATGTAGGAGCATTATCCTAGCCACAAGTGCTTTGGTCTGGCCTTAGCTTTGTCTTTTCGAAGGACGCTGACTTAATAAACTTGGTATTGGTTTCTTCTTTTCTTCTTCTACCATCGTTAAAATTAATAATCACAAACCATAATTTCTTCTAATCACCTTCAGATCAGATAGTCTCCTGGTCTCCTGGTCAGAGGAGGGGGAAAGTTTTCCTTTATTTACCAAAAATCTCTTGACACTTCTCTCAGTCATGTCGCCAAGTGTACTGGTATATGAATGTATTCAAAGCCCGACTCCTAAATATCTGGTCTTCAAAAGTCAGCTGCTAAGGCAGAATATAGGATAGCTTAAAATATGCGATTCATCTATTCCTAGTTGAGAAAATACGATACTTGTGAAGTCTGTAGGTACAAGACAATATAGCAAAGATGAAAGTGGTCTAAGTGCTTTACAAGAATGAATTCCTAGAAAGATAGTAAGCAATGTGTCATTTCTGGCAATGTAGTTCGTTATCTATCGTATTACTATATTCAATTTGAAAGTGAGGAAGTTACTGTACTACAATTTCCTGAAATATTTGCTGTCAGTGCAAAACATCTGAATAAATTCAGCAACATAAAAAGTTACAATATACTACACATGCTTGTTTAAAGTAAGAGTCAATCGCACCCCTACATCTTTTACTAGAGCCCCAATAAGAGAGATGATATATTTGATAGCTCCAGTATAATCCATACTAACTAAGCAATTTCGATCAATGTATCACGTTCGGGCTTCGACCAGCACTATCGCAGATGGCAGTGGATAGATGGAACCTCTTCAATTATTCTTGGGCGGCAAAGACTTCGGGATAGATCCAGAAGATACCATCCATATATAAGGGTTATATCAACTCAACTAACTTATCAGCGTAAGCCTATTGTTACTTTTCAAAGCGCCGCCAGAGACAGACCCCCGCTTATTTATGGCTCCCTCTTCCTAGCCCCTAGTACTCAAATTTGTTGCCTTTTCTCGAGCTCATCAAGCAGCTGGGTCGGTGTCTTCCCAGCCCCACTTGGTACATCCATCGAGCCCCCAGCATTGACCAGCAATGTAACCAGCTCCTCTCGTGCTTTGATAGGGCTATCAGGGGGTTGATTGAAATTTCCGTTCTCATTCAGCGTTCCAGTCATTCTACCTCCCATCACGTCATGAAGAGGCGTGTTTACCTTGTGATTGACCACAGTAACATCCGCTCCCCGGCTGATGAGATAGCGAGTAGCATCGATCTGGTTCATATGCCTGACTGAATAGTGCATTGCTGTACAGCCGTTGGAATCAGTGTCATTGATACCAGTCCTCTCTAGCAAACGGTCAATCATGATAATGCTGATCGGTTCCACCCAAACGCCATCACACAGTTTATGTAAGCAGACATGAGGATCAGCTCCATTATCAAGCAAGATTTCTATCAGCTCTGTAAATTGCGGATCAAGAACTTTTGAAATCGCCAAGCGTGATAACCCACTGCATCGCGTAGAGCTGTCGCGCCTATGAAGTCGCGAGAATTGAGCGTAGGGGGCTTTGCGCCTAAAAGTACCTTCACAATGGCTGGGACACTTGGTGATGGTGTATCAGATCTGACAACATAGTTGAATACTGTCGCACCTTGCCGATCCTGGGCGCTGATTTTGTCGGGGTCAGCGCTGAGGAGCAATTTAACAGCTTCCATCTCGCGAGGCGGTAACCGGTATTGATTACCCCGGCCCGAGTCTAGATAGACCTCATCCCGAGTACCTTGGAGTGCCCAGTGCAGTGGGATACGACCATAGTTGTCGGCCTTGGAAAGCATATCTGCTACACTTATGTCACCTCGGTGATCGATTAGCGCATGAATCCCTTCTAGGTTCCAAAACATGCTTGCTATATGTATGGCTGTGACGCCCTTGCCGTCCTTAATATGATCAGAGCGATGAGCAATATCATAATCTTCCCAGGTCTGCTGGGCGTGAACTCCAGCGCCTTCGGAAACCAGCCGTGAAACCATCTTGTAGCTGGCATTGGGAACAGCGGCACCGAGAACTGTTCTTTCTATTTGGGGGTTCAAATTGGAGTTTTGCTCGACGTAGATATTCGAATCACGAACCGAGCAGCCCTGATCTAGAAGAAAGTAGACGAATTCTTCATGATTTCTCGCACTTCCGGTGGGGCTTCTATCATCTCCGTCGCGTTCTAACCCACCTGCAGCGCTAAATAGAGGTGTTTGCCCGAGCTTGTCCCGATGATGTAATTTCGCTGCCAGAATAGATGGTGTATCAACCACAAGGTAAGCTCCCGGTGTGCACCGGCACAAGCCACATTTATCGGAGAAAAGGGAAGGTGTTCCAGATACTGGTCAAGCGGCTCAGTATATGTCGGATTCTCCAAGTAAATCTCAAGCATTACGCGGATTGCATCGAAGCTACTGCTCTTGGCTGCAACGAATAAGAGATGCCAGGATGGATCCTCGTATGCCTCCCAGAAGATCTTCATTTCGGGGCTTGCTTGATAGAGTCGTATAGCTGCAACATCGTTTTGGACAACGATATCATAGAAAAGGCCTCCTCGGGAGTCCTCGGGAGTCGTCAAAAACTGGGAATCAGTCTTTGTCGTAGAAAGCGGGCTTAATATCGTGGCGACAGCCTTCGAATTCTGGGTCAATTTAACGGAAGTGGGTGTATGCCATAGTAATTCGGCACGGATTTGACGCAGAATAGTATTGTACGGGTAAACATAGACAAATAGCTTGACCGGCAGAAAGGATAGAAATAAGGATAGTACAATTGTTCAGCAGAGGCGAGGGGCGACGGTGGTCTTTTAAGATATTTCAGTCGGGATCACTTCCCCCAAATCACCAAATTAACAATTTTGCTCCAATAATATTTCCGACCAATCAGAGGCCTTTCAATTTCCACTGTTTTTCGTGGATACCTGAGGGTGATTAGCGGATTGATTCCGTTGGCTCCACCAGGATGGCTCCTTTCGTTGAGTGACTAGGCAATATTCCCAGTGTACCAGATATCGAAGGCCATACGGTCAATTTCCCCCCCTATGAAGCATTTGCATGAAGTAACTGCCAAATATATGCTAAAATATTGTAAATATTCAGGTCTCATGTATCTCAAAACCTACTTAACTAATCTTCTTCATCGGGCAATAATACATTCAGCTCCTCTAACTTATCATCACACTTCACTCTCATCTGCATGATCACATCAGCAGCGTCGTTTCGTGTGATCAGCAACTGCGAGACAAGCCAGAAGTTGTATCCATTCTTGTAGAAGCCGAAGGAGTCCCATTCATCTTTCGGAATTTGATCACACAGTGTGAACCAACGATCGTGCCAGCGGGTTAAAGCTTTGCGGATCGAGTCGAGAGCCAAGTCTTTTGAAGTGCGTTTTCTGCTTGAATTGCTCTTCCGACCCTGTGAATTCTGGTTACAAGGGCTCTGATGTAAAAATGGGTCCCAAGAAGACATCTGCATATTGATGAAGACGTATAGTACTGTATCAAGTGATTAGTTAAAATTGGCAGGTCAAGGATGATTGCAGGAAATCATACAGTGAATCAAAATGAACATGTCCAAGGTTGTCAAGTGCATATTGGAATTATCAGGAGAGCCCCTATCCTCGTCAAAAAGCCCTTGGAAAGCCTCGAAAGCCGTGATATCGCGTGATGCTTGAAAACGGGGCGCGGCGAATGGATGCTCCGCTTGAAAGACTGATTCTTCGCACGGGAGTTCGAATTCCATCTCAGACGGTGTTAGACGACAGGGGTAGTTTTGGTAAAAGAAGAACGCGGAATCAAGCAGGGACACTATCGCCATCGTCCTGTTCGGTGTTAGTTGGGGAGGCGACCTCGGCATCTTAGCCTCTACGCACCTGATGTGGCTCTCCTTTTGAATCCACAGATTCTCCAACTCCGAGTCTGCAGGTCGATGTCGAGATTTCACTATGCCTTTCCTCCGAGCAACCTATGGTGAAAATATCGGTTTCATGATATACCAATGGGGATATAGGACTTCAAATTTACCTTGACAACTTCATTCAATCGGGTCTCCATCGCGCGGTCTCGAGAGACTAGATTCCCTGCCCAGTATTGCACTATAGTAATCAATAGACCTGCCTGGAAGTTCTGGAACTTGACCCAGTCGTCTACTTCATCCTCGCAGAGCCTGTTGCCGCAGAAGATAGCCTCAATTCCACTCTCCGGTGAGAATACATCATTCGAAAAAATGTAAAGTTCCACAAAATCGAGCACTCTCTTTGCAACGTGGACCTCCTTTTGGTCACTGGAGTACATTGCGCCCATAGACACAATCGACGCTAGCAATGGTACAGATACCGTTTCCGGTTTGAACGTAGGTGCATGAACGATTGCGCAGCCTGGATGCCAGTATTTGAAATATAGAGCGATGAATTTCCGGGTACGAGCGGCTGTCAGGAGAAATTTAAGGTTGGTAGAGAAATCTTGCTGGGCTTTAGCATCTTTCAAAACAATCCAACCTTGGGCCAAGATAGATTGTATCAAGCCCATCACGAATGGAGGGTCAGGTTCAAGGATTGTGTCTCCCCACGATACAGAGAGATCTGAATCTGCTTCAGCTAAGTGTGAGTGAGGAGCAGCACCACCGTTGTTGAAATATTCCACGAATTTGTGTTCGCTGTCAAAAGGAACGTTGAAGAAGTCCAGCCATGTATCGTGGAATATATCAACATCAGCAATACTAGCATCTATGCAAGTCAGGGGATAAGTCGGATTGTTGCTTCCAACATGCTGTAGGATGGTCTCGCGCTCCTCATCCCGCATAGATGTCTGGTTCTGATATACCAGTCCTCGGATCCGGTCGTCACGCGGTGGATGTCCGAATTTTTCTGTGAAGCTGTCTGTCCCACCATTGATCAAGGACTTGACTGACCCGGGGTCTGTTGGCAGGTTATGCGGCTCTTGTCGCGTCGATGACGACCCTAATTTTGTTAACTACGTTTTTCGCAAGGCAGATTGCTATATTCGTACCGTTTTGATTTTTGTGACTTTGCGAAGATGAGGTTCGCTCATTGTTGCAATTGATGCCTTTCCTATGGCACGAGTCGCATGGCTGTTTCCCGTCACAACGAAGTTTTAAGGATGTGCACTGCGTATAGTGACCGCGTATGTCAGTGCAAAAGAACGCCTGGATACCCTGAAACAACATCCTTACCGTTTGGCAAGCATGTCGCCGCCTGCCTTTTTGGCTATTTTCTGGGATACGGCGTTCTCCGCGTTTAGCACAATGTGAATAGTGGACGCGAAGACTGTCACTGTAGGGAAATGGACTGTGAGGATCGAAGCAATTCTATAGGGACCAACTCCCCAGCTTACCATCGCGCAAAGGTTTCATCGCAGAATAAACAGAAGTATGGCTTCTTGCCGGTATCTGCTCAAAGCTTAAATTTTGAACAAAAGTATAAGGAGGGTGACATGCATACGGCGTAGATGGTGTCTTTTCAAGTGATCACTTCGTGTAAAGCTTTGCTGGCAGATGTTGCAGCGGAATTGTCTTTCTGCACTCATGGTTTTGGGAAAGAAAAGAAATCTGGGGTCGAAGTTGATTCGGGGTGGGGGAAGAAAATTCCCGAGGTATTGGTATTGTCTCCTGTTGGTGGGAACTGGTGGTGCTAAGCCTGGAAGGTGCAAATCCGGATAAATCCGGTAAGCGTACGGTTACAACATCGAAACCTAAACTATATCCGAGGAAAATCAAGTCCATTTGGCTATTGCTAAATATCCTTGATCGGCTTGGGAAAGTCAATCTTCTCATCATCCAGATAATCAACATTGATTTTGTTGCGTTTCTCATTCTCCGTCCACCCATCTCCGAGCCACCCCATGGCGTTATCCCCAATATACTCATACTCAAAGTCTTCCCAACGTGGGTGCTCAAATGCAGCCATAGAGTGCAAAGATGATCCTAATCTAGTCAGCGAGTGCATCAAATGAATATTAGACCCCTAAATATATCACCTACCAGGCCAAAGGGCTGTAACACGGCCATCTTCAGTCCCGCCCTTATACCAACTGCGACACTTGCTGCTGAACACAGTCCGCGAGAAATATTGATCGCAAAACTGAGTAAAACGCTTGACGGATTCAGGTCGGACACTCATTGCGCGGATATTGTCACGCTGGATTTTGATTACACATTTGGTGAAATAATCCACTGCTTTCTCAATCAGAGTTAAGAGATTGCCTTCACCTAGCCCGGCGTTGGGTCCCAAGGATATAAAGTAATTTGGGAACCCATTAGTAGCGATTGACAGATAGGTCTGGGGGTTTTCCTTCCAGTGATCAGCCAAAGTAATTCCTCCCCGCCCCTTGACCGTGAATCGGGGAGTGCAAGAGGTATCAAATCCAGTTGCACACACAATCATATCTGCAGGTCTGTGCTGCCCATCTGCGGTGATAATTCCTGTTTCATCAACTTTCACAATGTTCGTGGTGATGATATCAACCTTCTCATTTGTTAATGCCTCCAAGTAACCGGGCCCCGGAGTCAAACGACGACAGGCGGGTGGGAAAGCAGGAATTAGATCATCGATCAGCTCCGGTTTACCGGCTAGTCGCCGTTTCATGTTGTTCACGAATTCTTCCTGGGCGCGGATTTGCATTTCGTTCCCAGTGAGGGTAGACCCGTGAACGGATTGCAGTTCCAGCTCGACCTCTGTGAAATCTGTTAGAAAAAAATGCAAAGGAATTGCGGGGTTGCGATTCACCTTTGCGAAACTTCTGATAGGCTTTGTGATCTCGTTTAAAGAGTTCAATATCCTCTTCGGTAAATGTGACTAAATATTTCTGGTGTCAGGGAAACGATTTGAATAGAAGCCCGTTGAGTATACTCACAGTTTTCCAATCCCTTACCACGTTTCTCAATGTGTTCACGCGCAAAAGAAGGAGAGACCCAAGTGCGACTGCGAACATAGTGATCCATATGTGGCACATCGGGCAAAATGCCAGGGACAATCTGAATACCGCTTGATCCATTGCCAACAACTGCAACTCGCTGACCCTATGAGATGTTAGTTGTTGCCATAAAGAAATAACCGCATCTAATAGGCGCATACTTTGTAATCATAGCTTTGGTCCCAGGAGGCACTGTGCATCAATTTGCCCTTGAAGTCATGAAGACCAGGGATCTGTGGCCACTTCCAATCATTCAAGGCCCCCGTTGCCTGAATTACAACATCACATTGATCTTTGAACATGGACTCCGTATCAATGGCTTCAACCTTTGAAAAAATAGGTCAGTATCGCATCGCCGCTTCGGCATGAGTTTCACTTACTTGCAGTCTCCATTTCGAGAATTTTTCATCCCACACCACCTCTAACACACGGTTGTTGAATTTCATATACTGTCTGCATCCGTATTTGTCGACAACGTGCGCCCAGTACTTGTGAATCTCCGGGGACTTGGCATAAAATGTGGACCACTCTTTATTAGGCTCAAAGGTCGCTTGGTAGGTATGAGCTGGAATATCTGTGTATAGCCACGGTCTGTCAGACAGTATACATAGAGACCAGAGAACATGACATACCGCAGGCACACCCGGGATAACGGTTCTCAAACCAAGTCCCCCCAATGTCGGGATTTTTTTCATAAATGCAAATTTCCAGATTTGGGACTCTTTGCAAAAATCGAATGCATGCGAGGATTCCAGAAATGCCGGCCCCGATGATGACAATTCTCAATGGACGAGCTTCATCTATAGATCGTTCTTCCACGAAACATTTGGTTTGCTGTGCCGTTGCCTCTTCCACCGGCTGTTCAACCGCCGGTTTGGGGATGGTACTGGAGACACGACTTATACCCATCGTGCAAGTGTATACTGTACTTGTTCAATCTTTGGGTCTCGAGAAAGGAGAAAATAACATTGAAAGAACGGTTTCTCGGTCTTCTTTTTTTGAAAATGGATCAGCCATGTCGAGGTTTATATAGGTGTCTCATCGCGAATGTGGATCCACGGATGCGATCAGACATCCATTACCGTGTATGTATTAGTGTATATTTCAAGGTTGATGCGTCGGGATTACGGCCACTGGTTACAAGGTGGATGCTCAGAATCGATCGGAATTCCCCCGTGTCGGTGAAACAAGCGTGCCTCCCCCGGGAAATCTCCAGAAATACCCCGCTCAAGTTCCCGGAAATAGATTTTTACCCCAGATAACTGAGGCTCCTACGTAATTCATTTCAACAAGCCATATGTAGAACTAAGTATTCCAAATTTTATACAGGGTATTTATTGTCCTATGACCCCTCTACATTCGTAGAAACTTGCAGATAGCTCCAACATACTTTCCAAGGCAGCTATAGTGGTCTCTACGAATAAATACGGCGAGGCTAAGAGGGGAAGGAGAGAGGGGATTGATGGCGGGTCTTTACCTCGGTCAGGCTGTCAGTGGCCAGAGTGTATGCTTACGCTTACCTGTAAGGGAAATTAGACTGGGTTACGGAAAAGGTCGTGTCGGGAATCCCCCTCACCCCACTGCCCAACCATGAAAGATCCAGCATGAGGTATGCATGCAATCAATTCCAGCGACCAGGATGCCTTGACCCACTTCATCCAGAAGGCTAATTGGGGTATCTCCGGAATTCATGCAACTCCACAGTTGGGGTATTCCCGGTCCTAAAGTTTGACGGATATGAGAAGAGCCACTAGTTCGCCACACGCTACGGTCGGATTTACTGTCATCTGACTTAAAAGGCATATATAGCGCATGCTCATGGGGAATGAACGCAGAATGGAGACGGTATACCAGAAAACGAGTATTTACTCACCAAAATGAAAATTGAAAACCTCAAGTCAACCCTCCAGAGGCATTTCTATTCAACAAACGCTGTAGAAGAGAAAATGATATTTATTGGAGAGTGGGGCCACCTGACCCCCTGCGTTTGCTCCAGCTCTCTCTTTCTCTCTTTAATTATCTCGTCCATACTCTCGGAATGCAGATTATGACCCTTTCTTCTGCGTCTGGCCAGTTCTTCGCCTGGACGCCAGATCAGCCCTCGACAATATTGTTGCAGATGGTCGCAAAAAGCGTTGAATATCGGTAGCATGATATCACCGTGCCTTTCTACCTGAGATGAAGAATCTCGTATACTAGCAAATTGCCACAGATTACTCACTGGGGACTGTATTATTGTGGCTTGACTGTAAGCTATGACCTCCATGACGGGCACCGTACTAGGTCTAGCGCCGACCCTCATGAGTCAACTACGAGCTACTAACTAAACTTGTTAATACAAATATCCTCCAGGGCCCTCCAGAATACTCCATGATATAGACGAAATGGCTGAAGAAAAAGACGACGTTCGCGATCAGATCGCAAAAGAACTCTCACAAACCCCCTTTGCATGCCCCTCACTCACTCGGTTGTCCGGCGGGACCGCCAATTTCGTCTACCGAGGCACACCCGCCTCATCCCCGGATTCCATCATCATCAAGCACACCAAAGACCATGTTGCTTCCAATCCGAATTTCAAACTTGATACGAAGCGATGCGTTAGTTTTTATCTGAACCTGATAGCCGCTTACTAAATTTTAATTTAGCATTTCGAAGAAGCTATTCTACAGGCACTTGATGGTCTACCCTCTCACTTGCAGGGGAATTTTACGGTGAAGACGCCTCGCGTTTTCTACTTTAATAAGGAAACAAACACTCAGGTTCTGGAGGACCTTCCCAAATCGCTTGATCTTAAGAACTTCCTTCTTTCAGATTTAGCAAAAGGCGCGTCGGAGGCTATGGGCCGGTCGCTTGGTCGCTCACTTGGAACTTGGCTCCGGTCGTTCCACGATTGGGCGGACAAACCTGAGCAGAAAGAGTGTAGATCGCTGCTTGCTCAGAACCAAGCGATGAAGACGTTGAAGTTTCATGTGAATTATGCTCTTCTGGTTGATACGATTGCCCAATTTCCAGCTCTGTTGGAACAGAGCCGTAGTGTTTTTGAGGATGTGAAGAGTTTGGCAGAGAGGGACATGAATAATAAGGACCAGGGTGGGTGTGGGATTATTCATGGTGATTTTTGGACTGGGAAGTGAGTTTTATTTCCGTCTCGAGCTACAAGATGCTAATAAGGTCAGTGTGCTTGTTCCGAGATTTCCACTTGATGAACATTCCGATACTACGCTGTTTATTATTGACTGGGAACTTTGTCAAATCGGGACACGAGCATTAGACCTCGGCCAGATGATCGCTGAGTTGTACGAAACAAAACTGTTCAAGGAGGTGAATTGTGGATTGTGGATTATCAAGGGATTGATGGAGGGCTATGGGTCTCTTAGCGATGAGATGGCCTTTAGAACTACGATCCACGTCGGTGTTCATCTTGTTGTATGGGGAAGTCGGGTTGGAGGATGGGGTACCCAGGAACAGGTTGAAGAAGTTGTAAAAGTTGGAAGGGATCTTATTATGCAGGGGTGGAATAAGAACAGAAATTGGTTTGAGGGAGGGGATTTGGAATGTCTCTTTGCAAACTAGAAGCAACTCGACAAAGATGCCTTCGTATTTCAAACCTCAACCATCTACGTCAAATTCAAGGGCTGGCACACTTCCCGTCCTTGCAAACCAGATTATCAGAGCAATCGTTCTCAGTAGAACAAGAAGCACCGACGCAATGTCCAGACCAAGAGCATGTAGTCGTAGGAGAGGAGCTAGTAGTGGTGGTGGTGGGTGTTCCAGAGCCACCAGACAAGCCCAGGTTCTTCGCGAGAGCACTCATCAAATTGTCTCCCATTGAACGCAGAGTGCTGAAGTTGGTGATATAGTTCTTGTTGAGGGCACTGCTCGGAAGTACGGAATTTTTCCCCGTGAATAGAATATCTTCCGATTGTCAGTATTGAAAAATGGCCGCTATTCTTGAACTTACAGGTCACATCGACGCTGCCGTGGCCAGCATTTCCATTCAAGTTATCATTTGGGAAGCAGGTTCGAGCCATGAGCCATGAGGCCTCCCCGATTACCTCGGGATCATCTCCATCCGAGTCGCCGTATATCCCATAGAACATTTTCCCGTCGCTAGAATCTGTTAGTTGGAAGTTTTCTCAAATTCCGAGTTGCAAGGCTCACCAGATAACTGCACCGATATTGTTACCGGGAAGAACACTCTGATAAGTTGCGCCAAATTTGTCCGGAATCACGATCCAAGGGACCTCATATGCAGCCAAGGCACCAAAGTTGGTTTCAGATTGTCCATCTTGATTCCCCTGTGCGGATTCGTTAGCTTCCGCGTAAACTTTGGCAAATATCACAAGTCTGCTTACCTTGCACTTGTAATCAATTCCATCGCAATCAACATCCATATCAGCAACCCAAACAAAGGCAGCGCCCTATCCCAGTGTTAAAGTGACGCGCTTCAAAACTTCAGGAACATTTGAAGCGACCATACCTCATTGAAATTCGACCAATCACTGTGAATGGTAACCTTAGCAGCACCGCCGCCATTATTGATAGGATAAGTTGCATCCTTTGCAGCAGTGCTGGCTGTGGAAGCAGCATTCTTCAACGCAGCAACGGGGATGGTTGTAGCAGCGGCAAAGAAGCTTGAGGGAGGCCCAGCAGTAGGATTGTTGTATTTTGAGCCATCGACGCTCTGAGCGAGAGTGAGGCTGGACAAAGCCAAAGAGGCCAGCAGAGCTGAGAGTAGGAATGCCATTTTTGCCTTTTGTTGACAAAATATGGGAGTAACTGGCCGTCTTCTTCATCAGGCGAAGGAAACCGGCTCTCTTATACTTGAGGTCGGAGGGTAATGTATTCCTCCATTGTGGATACAAGGTTGCAATTCCAGTCATCATGAAGCTTGTGAGGTCTCACATGTTTTTATGTATAATAGAATGGAGAACCGTCAGATTATGACCCCTGCATGATGAGCCAAAGCTAACCGGAAGTAGTAATTCCTCGATGTTCTCTGGGGTGAGCGGAGAGGGCACCCAGACCGGTAGTAAGCTTGTAAATGAGGTTAGTTTCAAATTACTTCTTGATTTCTGGGTTGAGATACTCTAGAAAAAGGAAAGTTATACTGATATGAAAGAAATGTAGGGAGTTCGCGCTTGATCTCGAATCATGTGTCATACATTCAGCCCTTTTCAGTCATCATGGTGAGGTAAGACGAAGCTAAAAACTCAAATATATTTTAATTGTAGATTGTGGAACTCAGTTGTACCATATTCCAGCCCTGAGTCCACGTTTTCAGGGTCCGACAACATGATGTTGCTATTGGTCCGTGTTGGGTTTATTTGGAACGCGGGGAAGCCGAAGTAACCCTGGGGCGCTTTAAGAGGAGCCCACTTGCCCTTTGCGGAAGAACCGTGAAGAATGTGATATTGCATTCAAATGTTCGCCCCGGCTTATGCAGGCAGCGTTTTTTTACCAATACGTTTAGTCACTGCAAGTCAGACACTGGAAATTTGAAAATATTGGGATGTGGAGTAGGCTAGCCCCGTCTTTTGGCTCCAGCGCTTGCATGTCTTAGCTACGAATTGGATTCCTCAGTCTGTTTCTGCTGTTAGAATTCCTCTCGGAATGCAGGACCATCCGTTTCTTCATATGTTTCCTCGCCACCACGTAGCTCTTTTTTTCTCTGGACGACAGCCTAGCTGTCAATTTATTCTTTTGGTCTTGATCTATCGTACTTTTCCTGCAGTGTATTCTGGATGAGTTCCCGGTTTTTATAAGGTGCCGGCTTGATAATTTGATAGTGATTATGATTATCATCTTTGAAATAAGGATAGCGTTGAAGAATATCAATTTTCACGTGGAGTTGGCAATGACTCCGAATGAGGATGGCGTTAAAGGCTAGAGCTCTTTACTATGTAGTCAACAATATCCGTAATATCGAAGGATAAGTAGATTTTTTTTATTTTTATTATCCGAGTTACCATCATAGTATAGGGGGGAACACGTTAATTCTCTGTATCAAATATGTACTAAATGTACTGTCATTATAGAGTAACGTTGGCTGACTGGAAAAGTACGAGTCTAAAGAAGACGAGGATTTGTCCTTCTTTGAGCTTCCAATTCAATAGTGTTTGCGAATGTTTTCATTATAGTCTGGTATCAGGATTCTTGTCCTTGTCTGACCTTGATTGGTTACATGCCCAGGGATCTTGTTTGAATTTTTGTTTGTTGTTTCAGGTATAATGCAGCATCGGGCAATTCCATCGGGGTTAGTTTCAATGCAATGCAACACAGACTGTACCTTCTCAAGATTCCTCTAGTGTTTGATCTCCATCTCCTGGTATGAATTCAGTGGATCTGTAATATGATGAGCCGATCTAAGTGGCCCACCTAACCTCGGTTCCTCGCGTACGGAGGAAACCGCGGGATATCTGTACATGGGTATCGGGCCGTAGCCGGACTCCGATCGGGTGACCTGAACCTAGTTATATTCCTGAACATTCAAGCTTGAAGATTCAATCTCAAAACATATGTAAAACCCAGACAAGAAGATGGAATTGTGAGAGAGATCGACGGTGATAGTATTTTCCCATAAAAGAATATGTAAAAAGAAGGGTGAGAATGATATATGTACATGGAAAAACCAACTCCAAGCCGCTCGTATCATCGAAATGCTCAAAATGCAGTATCCGACAGGTGACATAGAACGGCATATAAAAGTAAATAAAGAATGTGTTCATACCACGCTTACGCAGTAGTCATCGGCATGGTGGTAAGCGGCAAAGTTTCCGCAGACTTCTCATCTTGCTCGAACATAATCTTCTCCAGCTTGTGGGTCATCTTCGCACAGAATGGATCAACGTACGATGTCCACATGCTTGCACAGAAGTAGACCAGCACAATCCACGCTGGGATGGAGATTGCGACGACCCATGGCGGGCGGATGGGGATCCAGTGTGGGTGGAGGGGTTGACCGTTCTCATCCAGGAGGGGCTGGCCATTTCCATCAACTGGTTCGCCTTCCCACGGTTGGCCTGTGATTCCGTAGAGCATCCAGCACAGAACTGTGCGGAGGAGAGTGCCGTGTACAAGGTAGACGGCGAAACTTTGTTTGCCGAGCCAGAGAAGAAGGCGGTTGGAGAGGAAGTCTTTCGTTGAGGGGGAAATATAGATTGCGAATATTATGAGATCGACACCGATTGCTGAGTAGCGTTTTCCGATGTTGACATCTGGTGGGAAGATATAATGGGCGGCCTCGAACATGTAGTTGGACCATGTTGCCCATTCAGGGTGCTCGCCGGGGTAGGAGCAGATGAGGAGGCCGGAGATTCCGAGGACAGTGCATAAGATTCTCCGAGGCCATTTGTGCTTTTCGATGAATTCTCGGAACGAGATCTCGTATGAAAGGTCAGCAAGCGCCATCCCGTAGATGGCTTGCATTTGGAATGTTTCTGTTCATATTAGCGATAGAAGTATTTGTCATGCCTAGCTAACTTACCCGTGTTCTTAGCCGCATCTTGGTGGAAGTATAGCAGCATTCCAAGGTAAATACCCAGACGCCACCGGAACTTAACAAACTGAACGGCGCAGATCATAACATATACAAGCATCGAGGCTTTAAGCAGCGGCAGCAAAGCCCACTGGTGATCATCATACGCCATATATCCTGTAGTCCACACACCCAAGAAGTTCTCAAAGAGGCGCTTGAACTCTTTCCACAGCGAGTCCTCCAGATCCGGAGAAGCATAACGACACCACCAACAGTCGGACCGGTTCGCCGCAATGAAAGCCCCACACTGCGCCATCACCCACGAAATGATCAAGGCGATAGTAGCGGGGAAGATGAGACGAGGCGGGCGACGCCAGGCACTTTTGGCAACAGATGTGAATGAGCCCAGGTGATCGCTATTCCGGGCTTGCTTCATAGGCTTCAAGGCGCAAACATAACCCGTGAGAAAGGCGAAGATGGTGACACCTAGACGTCCCTGCCAGGGAATCCGTAGAACGGGCCACTGGAGGATACGGGGAGGGACATCCACATCGTCCCGCGGCGAAAACAGATCATAATCCCATGCTCGTGCGAGGTGGGTCATCACCACCAGGAATGAGGCAATACCTCTCAGGCCCTGATAAGTGCATTAGCTTGATATTTCCAATATAACAGTCGAGGGTGTTGAACAACGCACATCGATCCATTTGACACTTTTCCGTGGGTCACCCTTGGTATTCGGGTCACCGGATTTCCAGGGCAGGTTCTCCAGGATGCGTGTGTAGAGGTGACTCGGTTGGACATAAGACATAACTGTAGTCGCAACGCGGTAAGGAAAGTCGAATCAGAAGTCAAAAATCAGAAATCAAATCAAGAATCAATTAGTCATCGATGCATCTGCCTCTTAACCGGAAGAGAAAGACGACGCAAGGGAATGTTGGAATGTCGGAACTGAAATGTGAGGAAAGGACTGAGGGGGTCCGCGGGACTTGAGAGAAACAAGAAATGAGTGAAATGGGGAATGGAGCCGTCAATAAAGACTCGCCAAGATTGGAATACGTTACGAAAGAGAGACCTAAGAGAAAGAGAGTGGGGAGGCTTGGGGATTTTGAATAATTCCAGGCAAGATAGGAGGTTCCTGAGTGGGGATGCATGAGACCCAACACATGCATCCTTGGCTCGGTCCAAGCCAAGACGGGGTAGATCAGTTTCCAGATTTAGATATGAACTTGAGAAGCTGAGCATATAATGAGTGTGTGGAGCGGAGACTCCATTGATGGATCTGATTGTAAGTTTGAATACAGGATCCGTGATCCGTGACATCCGCTCTACACGTCCAATCTACCAAGTTCAGTAGGTTCAAGATTTAGAATGTTTGTAGAGATGTGGGCTAAATGAATGATAAGGACGAGCTGACGACGTCCATAACAGACTAGCATGATGTCTACCAATCAACATAAATCCTTGAGTCGTTTCGAGTGTTGTGCAAGAAGCATTGTAAATGGCGTGAGATTTCAAACGTAACAATACCAAGATGTTATGCACGGATTTCCGTGTTTTCTAGCTAACTCCGCATGGACGTGGGGAATTTCCCGAAAAGAAAAAAAAAAGGGTCCTTGTCTTGGCTCTGCCCTACAATCTCTTCTCATGCTCCAAGATTTCCTCCATTAGGTCTCCCAAACGAAATCGTTTTCGTAGACAGCGGATTATGTCTCACTGGGAAAAAACCTTACGATACATTAATTGCATGTGGTGGTGGTAATATGACGCCATTTGATCTAATAGTTGTCTAACGAGATCGACGATGGGGCTAAATCGATACCCTGAACCCTATCAGCTGGTATCAAGTATCAGGTATTACCGTATTTACAGCGGCAAGCAGGTCTTGGCGCAGCTATGTTTGTATTTTTGGAATGCAGGAATGTAAGGTTAGGTTTAATGTAATGCAGGTTCCAAGTAGGAAACAATATATAATCAGGGACAAATTCCTGATTTGAGAAATCTTTCCCAGTCAAACTCCTGCGATCTACAGGGCTGAATCGTGCGCTCTGCAACACGTTGATCTCTAACATCAGTTGGCATCTGGGCAGTTGCCAAGATTCTCGCCCGGTCGGAACAGACTGACTCGTCACGGACTGTTCTTGGCGTCTCCAAGGGGAAATAAAATAAAATGAGAAGGAAAATGCCGCCCCTGAGAACTTGAGCACCTGAGACAAAAAGAGGTCCGCGATACGGAAACGATAGATTGAAGCCAAACCCAATTAGGCAAACAATACTTAGTCTTGAGTGACAAGACTAGTGGGGAATAAAGTCCACATTGGATACGTCCACATCCTATCTATAAGTACAAATATACAGGAATAATTCCAAAGCCCTATTGGAAGAGGATCGGTTAAGTTTCGGGTGCACCGAGCGCTTCCCCTCGCAGTCTCCGGTACCAAGTGGAGACCCGTCCAGGGTCCAGGTCGGAGAAAGAAAAGACAAGTTGGTAATCCAGTTAAGTGGGTATTGAGCTGGCCAATATGCACAGGACAGATACTTCTCTCGACTTGTTTTACCTTTTTAATGTTCTCTGTCGCCAAGATTAGTCCTGTCATTCTGCGGGTGGCTAGGGTCTTTGAGCCCCTTTTTTTCTTCTGATTTTCTTTTTTGGTATTGAGTATTGGCTTAATACCAACTGTTCTTCCGCGACGAATCATACTACTGGGCTTCTAACCGAGTTTCCGGTCCCCAGATAGTGGCGCTAGGTTGTGACCCCTGAAGCCGAACCACCAAATTCTTGGCGAGATCCATTCCCAGGGGTTGATTCGATGAATGCAACGCCACTTTCGTTGGTTCAAATGAAGGGTCTTGGCTAGGGAACGTGTAATAATGTAACAACAATCCCGGTTTTAATTGTTTTATTTTCTGTTTTTTGGTTTTCAGCGTAACATGAGTGGATCCCATCACGCCATTATTAGTACTCTTGACCACATGCGAGAATGGAGTCTTGATCGTGTGCCTTTGATCTTGCTTACCCTCACATCCACGGGTTCTGTGCCATAATGCGCTTATATCTCAGTTTGGCATTGTTGTGGTCGTTGGCTGCGGCCACCATCTTACAGAATGGCCAAGTGAAGGATGATCCGTACCCAGGACAGGCACCTGTCATCTCCCTCGATGACTCCTGGCGGAACTATGCAGCAGACGCGCCGGAGATAGCATACAAGGGTCGATGGGATAGTCAACATATTTCATGTTTGTATTTGGACGTTTTAGATGTGATCACTTCTAACTTTTGTAGGGTGGTCGTTCGTTTCTCCATTCTATCGGTCGTGGTTGCCCACTTTTCTGTCATTCTAACGGTTTTTAATCACTAGAGCCCCTGGGATTAAGCTTCAGTTCTCGGGGAATAAGGTATGTCCTGACATGACTTCAATATCTGATAGACCCCGGATTCTAATATTTTTTAGCTCGCAATTAGCTTTGGCCCATCCACAAGTGATGGCGTGCTGATTGCATACCGGTAAAAAATGCTTGAGTAACCTTTCTGGCCTCATTGCTGATATCTGTTAGACTTGGATCCCTTGACTGGCAGTTTTCCAATGTGACTGCTGGCGCTACTTACCAATTTATCGGTCCCTGGACAGAGCTGGCTGAAGATGTCATCGACACACCGAAAGACTTTGAGATGAGAGGTATGTACACATGTTTAAACTGAGTATACATTAGCTAATCTGTTATTAGTAACGAACTGGGGCATTGGATAAGTGTTATATTCCCCATATCACTCCCTTCACTAACCTGTCGCACAGTTCAAATTGCTGGTGTATCTATCGCCGATGCCGCTCAACTCACCATCCCACCACGATTCGCCAAAAAGGTGGAAGTCATCGGGGGATCGTGAGTACACTCACCAAAAGCACAACGATACTCTTCTGACTCTTACTAGAATCGCTTCTGGCCAGTATGGTTCTTACGAAACGCTGTCGTCTTGGGCCTACCTTTTTGTGTCAGGTCTAGGCAATGTTGAGCACACCCTCACCGTGAGCCACCTGACCCGAAAACCCGATATTTCTTTTCTTGTTAACACTGTCACTCTAGTCATATGCCGGTGTCTGTCTGGTTGACAAGCAGTGTTATAATGGAGACGCGCACGGAATGGTATGTCATCTTCTTCTCATCCCCGTTTAGCGGCAACTGACCAGAAAGACGTGGTACTGGCATCGCGCGTCAGACCCCGGCAGTCGAGCCCATCAATTTTACGGCGATGAGCCCGAGATCTTCGATAACTCAGCCGAGCAACCTGCTGATCTCGTCATCATCCAACTCGGTGGAAACGACCACCGCCACCCGAACGAAATCCCACCTCGAACTTTCTACCATGCCTACGTGGACCTAATCGAGGACATTCACAATACCTGGCCACATGCTGTCGTTCTCATCATGGTATGTCCCTCGCCCGTCACCTATTGCTCTTTCTTACTAACTTCCACAGTCCCAATGGGGAGTCTGGGAAAAACAAGGATTCTCCTACGTTCCAAACATGGTCTACGAGGAAGAGGCTAAGCAAGTTCACGAACACTTCCTGGATCGTGGATTCGTTTACTATTTCGATACCACTGGTATCCTCCAGCACAACGACATCAACCCGAAGAACCATCCAACAGATGTGGGTCATATCAAGCTGGCTAGCCATCTGCTGCAGTGGACAAAGCTGGTTTTGAGGTGGAACCTTGAGCCGAAGGGAGAAGTGCAGCATGGCACGCTGTACTGGAACGATCAGCAGGAATACTAAGTATTCCACCCCCTGCATGATTTGTATAATACTCATAGACTCCGTATATATGCCGTCATCGTCCTCGAACGCATCAAGTCAATCATTTGCATAATCAGCTTCGCAGTCAAATCTGTCTAAGAATAGTCCTCAATACTCCAGCCGTCGCTTGGTATCCCTCGCCTTTCAGTGAAGAGCTTAACACCTAAGCTTACCTGAACGCAGCAATCCTTTTCAAAGAAAGGCGATTCCTCATCCCCTCCTGAATCCGACAAGGTAAAGCCTTGATAATCGTCAATACCCAACGACTCGACGGAACAAAAATCTGGCCTGCAACCCCCGATAGTATCCGCTCAACCACTACCTCCGCAACATACCTAGGCTCAAGGATCTGCCCATCACGCACACCACTATCGACCGTCTTCTGTATAAGCAGAGTCCGAGCCCAACCAAGATTCACAATCCTACCAGCCAAAAAGGTCAGCACAAAAAAAAAGAATTTCAGGTAACTCACGAGTTCCGCACCCCAGCAGCCATATAAACATGCCTCAACTCCTGTCCCAGCCCTTCATATAAAGCCAATGCAGTAGATTTCGTACACGCATATTCCACATTAATCGTACTGGTGGCGAAAGATGCCAGACTAGCTACACTCAGTACATGCCCGCGGCTATTGGAGATCATAGACGGTAGAAATTGCTGTACGAGCAGAAAATGCGCAAGGATGTTCACGTCGACCGTTCTTCGGATTTGGAACTCTGAGAGATCGAGAATTGACTTGTTGAACTCTATTCCGGCATTGTTTATAAGGACAGTAGGGTCCCCGTGCTCCAAGCGGAGTTTTGCTGCGGTCAATTTTATCGCTTCGGGGTTTGCGAGGTCGACTTTATAGGAATAGGTTTTTTCTGGGATCGTCAGTTGTTCATACTGGAATTTAGTTTCGAGTTGTGGATTGGACCGTACTCAGCTCATTGAGTGGTTCGGAAATGTCTAGAATGATGGTTCTTGTACCCCGGTTCACGAGCAGGTTGACGATTGCTGCTCCGATTCCGCTGGACCCACCTGTTACGACGATCTCCCGCTCTGGATCCCAGGATTTGGGGGTTGACTTGGGGTTCAGGTCTCGCTTGGATAGGTATGCGTTTGCTCGATAACAGAGTCCAATCAATTCTAGAGCTCCGAGGCCAATGGCCAGTGGCGTGATGTGGATCAGATGTTTTGGCGGAAGTTTAAAGAGTTGGCTCAGTATGTCTGGCATTGTGAGTGGGTGTTGCAGGATAAGGCGTGGGGAAACGGGAAATTGACTTTATCATGTAGCTTGCGGCGGGCCGAAAATGTGCATGACTCAAGGGCTGACGTGGTCATGTTGGCCAAGGCTGATTTTGTGGGGTCAACAAAGGAAGGCTTTCGCTTTGGGGGCGGAAACTGTGGGCGCTAATCTCCTCTACGAATACGATCGTATTCGTTGCTACAATATTGGAATCCCCTTCACTCATGAACCTACCCTGACTCAAGTCTCATAGACTGTTAGTAAGCGGGAAATGGCCAAATATGCACTTCGATCGACGGGCGTGAGTGCATAAAGGTGACGGATTTCATATTTCATGCTATCAAAGATGCTCTGAGTTGTCAAAAATCAAAGCAAGAGCATCATATATCCTTGGGGCTGGGGCTCTTGTCAGGAATATGAAGAAAATGATCAAATGGTTGGAAGAAGATTCTTCGATGATACCTTCAACGTGTGAGTCAAGATACAGTTCCTCTTTCGGCGTTGAGAATCTCTTCTATCGAGAAGAGCGACTGGTGGTGGATATCATTGATGTTGGATACTCTGTGAGAATGCTACACGCAAAGGTGCAATTCTGCATCTTCTCGGAGTGCCGAACATCCTTTTCTTTGACTTTTGGACTTTACCTCGACCTTGGGTATCATACGCAATATATTCCTCTCTCGTGTTGCCACGTAATTCGGCAAACTGTGATATTCACGTTAGCCTGACTCGCTCTTCAGTTTTTAGTTAGAGATGCAACTCTCATTCGCTTTTGTGACTTTTGCTTCCATGAGTAAGATGATCTGGATTACGACTAGCGCGCTCTCCCTACTGCTTTCACTTCTTCCCTTTCTTCCGTATCTTCTCTTTAGCCGTGATTCTCCAATCGATGGACACACTATACTGCATGTTGTAGGGATGGTGATATATAGATGGGAAGATGTCTGACTTGCCAACAATGAAATGGGACTTGCAGTTTTATCTTAAATCTGTAGATTTGTGAATTACTATTGCTGAACTTTCGGTATTTTTGATCTTCTACCGTTTGATTAGTGATTTTAATTGGGCTGTTAAGATTAGCCCTATAGTTCACCGTAGCTTACCTCCAATAGTGATCTGAGCACGGCCCTCGCTTCGCAGTGAGTCACAATCTGTGTGATTCAGCCTCTTAGACTTACTAACCGGATTACGTTAGTCTCGGAAATCAACATCATCAACATAAGAGATTGGTTCCTTTTCGGAAAAAATGTCTGCGAACTGGGAAGGCAATGCCAACGACCTACTGAAATATCATGTCGTTACTGAGACTACCTATTGAAGTATTACTACTGATCGTTAAGTCACTGCCCGATAGATGTCTTTCTCGTCTACTCCGAGTAAATAATCACCTTTACGACGTACTTCTTCCACATCTCTATTGGCGCCGTCCAAATTTTGGGGTGGATAAACACAGTTGGCCGTCAAATTTCATGCGAGCGATCGCTTGTGGCAATGAACGAGGCACTCAAAATTTTATAAAATTTGGTGCCGACGTCAATACTGTCTGCGGGACTTCTTTCCTGCGCGCGACCGAATTTCCGATCTCACCTTGGTTTGAGAAGCAGACGCCACTCAACATCGCAGCCAACATAGGAAATAACGCACTGGTTATAATGTTGCTAGACCACGGGGCCGCAGTCAATGGAGTGGCGCAAGAATCCATGAGTCGTCATAGCAAGCAAACCCAACCGGCTGTCATGGATGCTATGTTATCCGGACATGAGAGCACTGTTCGAATTCTTCTGGAGCGTGGGTCAGATCTTCAAGGAACTCATATGTGGGCCGGTGGACTGGTCAGCTGCGCGGTGCAAACCGGACACTTAGGAATGCTCAAGCTTCTGGTGGAGTTCGGGGCAGATATGAACGTTCCATATGGTGGCGTGTATCCTTTATACAGAGCAGTGTCTTCTCGGGCACTATCGACTGATATCGTGCGGTTCCTACTAGATCATGGCGCAGAAATTGCCTCTTTTGATGATACTCAGGGTCGGCTTATGAATGTCGTGATCAGCTGTGGGACCATCGACACTGCTCGGCTACTCCTAGAACGCGGAGCCGTATACACCCCAGATAGACGCAGCTCCGTTATCTCCATCGCCACGCTTGATACAATCCGTCTGCTGATTGAATACGGCATGAAACCTGATGTTGAATCGCTCAAAAGGGCCATAAAAAGCCATCGGCTTTATGTGGTGCAGTTTCTCCTTGAAGCGGATGTGGATCTGAATACCAGAGACGCCCGAGGATCTACAGTCCTGCATTTTGCAGTAACGTGCTGCTGCTCTGGGGGATCCCCGATAGGGAGATGTCGACGCCCGACACGCGGGCAGCTTTTGCGCCGTATAGAAGTCGTCTCCCCACAAAACGTATCTGACTCGTGCAGAAAATTGGACACCAAGAAAGATGATCCGGTAGACATTCTGCGCTATTTGATTCAAATGGGGGCGGATGTCAATGCCGTGGATTGGCGAGGTCACACCCCGCTGTACACGGCCCGGAGATATGCACCGGCAGTGGAGCAGATACTTCTAGACTATGGTGCCCTTTCGGAGAGGCCTTCTCTGAAGGAGGTACAGAGTGATACTCCTTCTCTCATTTGAAGTAGCAGCTCACTCATAGTGCTGAGTCAATCGTTCACAAATTAGATATACCTGAAGCCGGTGTTTGCAAGCTTTTTCATATTGAATATTCCCAAATACGATCTTACAGGAGAGGGCAAGGCCAAGGAACCAGCAGCACCCGCGATGCCCATGGAAATACCGCCAGTAGCGAAAGGTTTCCGACCGGAAGAAGTCTGAATGCGTTCGAATGATTAGCAGTGAATCTGGATTCGTTTGTACTTGTAGTCGACGAGGCCAAGGATAAGAAGGATGACGAAGTGAAAATAACCGGGAGTTACAAATTTAATTCAGGGGTGACAATTGAAGACCCAGTCATCGCAGCGATCTCGGATCTGTACATAGCTTTATCGCTGGTGAGAATGTACTTAACATCGCTGGGTAGACTAGAAAACCAATCAGGCATGATCCCCTGACAATCGTATTTGTTGCTACAAAAATCAATGAAAAGCGAAGTACAATTTGATATCCCTGGTGCCAAATCCTTGCCATGTCCAGAAACTAAAGAAATGAAATCCAATGCACTTAGCTGCAGCTAATATCATCGGGGATGTTAGTACAATCACTGTACTTGGATCCACCAGTGACATCAACATCAGTCCAAGTCCAGTCAGAGCAGCCAGAGCTTCCACAAGTAATAACAACATCGTAACCATCCGAGGACACGGCATCAACACCGGAGATGTTGGACATGGTAAGGTCAGTAATGGGAATACCACTGGTGGCGGTACCTCCATCCAGATCACCACCATCGTAGTTCTGTTCGATGAGAATACCATATCTATGAAGAAGTTAGTACGGATGTCGATCGAATACGTGTTCCAACTTACTTGGATATATCGGAAAGCGTAATCTCGGTGTATGTGACACCGGTGATGGACCCAGTGTCTCCTTCGGTAGCCTTGATGCGAATACCTTGCATAATCGTTAGTACTTGTCAAGTACCTGTTTATCGTGACTACTTACCATTGACAGATGATTTGACCTCGTTGTTACTGAAAGTCACGGTTTTCACGACATTGTCACTGCGTCCTCCGACACTGCCAATGGACAAACCGTGTCCACCGGAGCAAACACCGTTCTCGAACGTAATATCCTGCATGATGTCAGTTCAGTCCTCGGGTAGACACCCAGTCATTGTCTGCATACCGTGCCCGAGTTGATTGCAACACAGTCATCCTGGTTATACACGTTCGCACCCGTGATAACCACATTAGTGCTGTCACCGATATCGAATCCATCGGTGTTATGTCCCAAGCTATCACCTGCCTCGTTGTTGATGGTCATATCCGTGATGGTCAATCCATCACACCCGTCAATGCTGACAGCCTGGACCGGAGTATTCTCAATATAGAGATCTGTGATTGTGGAGTCGATAAGGTCGTGGGCGGCGAAGAACTTGGGCTTGGTGACACCACCGTTGCTTCCTTCACCGTCCCACCAGAGGGCTCCATTGCCATTCAGTACCGCACCGGAGGCACCCTTGACGGTGATGCCAGTTCCGGAGATTTCGAGAAGTGGGCCGTCCCATTCTTCGTAGGCCCAGGTGGTCGTGCCTTCGAAGATGACCTGGCAAGGCTTAGTATAGTTCAATAAAGGCGTGGATCTGGGTTGTACTTACCGTGGTGTCATCTTCCAGGTCACTGAGGTCAAGCGTGGTCCCGGAAGGCACAGCAAGAGCCGAGAGGATGATGGTGGAGCAAGACTTCTGAGAAACACTGGCACTTGATGCACCCTTGGAGCCAGAGAATGTACAGCTGGTAGCCCTCTTGGCCAGATTGGGTGCGGCGGTAATGGCAGGCTCGGCGACAGGAGTAGCCACCACGCAAGCCGCAAAAGCAGCCAGCACGAGAGAAGGGAGCAACTTGGTCATCGTGATCGAGATTATATTGCTTTCCTGACAATTAATCTGCAACTCTTGCTCTCTACTTGATCTTTCTCGAGGATTTCACCCTTTTTATAGCCAACCTGACGGCACCAACATCCGTTAGACAACTGACTGGGACACATACGTATCCATCGTCCGAAACGTCGGCATAGCCTGCACGCTAAGCAATTGATTATCCTCCAATCCCGGCGCCATGTTTCCTACGGGAGAAGTGGTAATTGGCGGTCAAAATACCGGGGCTGATTAAGGATCAGAGTTTTCGGATTTGACTAAGAATTGAGGTAAATATGGGGATTCTTCAGGAAAGTCAGGGGAAGTAGCGAATAGGAAGAATCTTCTACCGGGGGTGAAACCTTGATGGTTTCAATTCACTTTAAGCTAAGAAACGCCACGAAGCGCCACCGAATCCGGAGCAACCCTGAATCCGTAAATCATATCCGACCAGTTAGAATGAGCACGGGCCGTTCCGTATATGTGTCTGATGATCTGAACGGGGTTTCATTTTGCCACCACTCCTTTATTGTCTCTGGGAAAGGTGGTCATGTTACCTTGAGAACTAAAATATCGACATATGATTGATGGACATGGAGAAAGGGGAAGGGGAAGGGGAACGGAAGCGGGGTGGGTTCATGCGGGGGTGCCAAAGGAAGAAGCTTGTATTAGATGGGATATTCCTCCGTTCGTAACAGATGATCTTCATTTTTGAGTAGATAACTTCTTTTCTATCTATCAGTGAGTATTATCAACTCCGTACCTATGGCATGGCGAGATATCTGCGTATCAAATTGTATGTTCTTGTGGGGCAGATAGCACTAGCTTACTAGAATGAAACGTCCTTTTGCTTCTAGTAATTAATCTACCGCATCATCTCTCACCTGTTCCGCATCTCATACAAGCCACGTGTGTTCAGCGAATGCTTAGAGACGGAGTCAATGCCGGAAGGGCAAGTCTGCCGATGGCAGATGATGACCTGTCGGTATATGACTCCCAAAACTCTCAAGTATCGGTTTTTGCCCTTATATAATCAAAACAATGGCATTCTGTAAAACTATGTATAACAATAGACGTAAGGTTGAGTGTTCTAAATTAAAGATGACTAATCTGATCCCAGTTATCGTGAAAATCTCCCCCCACTTGAAAGCCTTAGGCCCCACTCAATACACTTATAACGATCATCCAAGCTGCTCCAGGCTTCTATAAATTCTAGAATGATTTCTGATGGTGAAAATTTTTTATAATTGGGTCTTATTCAGCATTCGTTCCAAGGTTCATCTTTCGGGTTTGGGATATGTCGCAGATAAACAGGATTGGTATAGATGGGTCTTCAAGGACTCAAATTGGCTTCAAAGGGAAGCTCGATTGAGACCGGTATGTCATTATGAAATAACCTGGAAGAAGTCAGTAATTGATAGGATATCAGACAAATTCCAATCATCGCAGTATGCCCAACCCCACCTTGTAAAGAGCACTGTCCCTGTATGACGTCAACAACTCCCCCTCACCGAAAACCATCCGGTTTTCCTACATAGACACTTTCATCTTGAAACTCTTTTACTCCTTCTAATAAAATATTCTTCTATCAGTATTTCCACCACCAAAAATCCTACATAATGTCGAGTCACAAACTTCCCGTCGACTTGAAGCAATTCAAGCAGTTGAAACTCGACCCCAAGAACTCCAGTCTTACATCTGATCAAAAGCAAGACCTCCTCCACAACATCAACATCTTCAGAGATGCAATCATCGCTTTTACTGCGACTGGTGCCGCCCGGGGTGTCTCAGGCCACACAGGAGGTCCCTTCGACACTGCCCCAGAAGTCTGCATCATCCTCGCCTTCATGAATGCAAATCCCAATGGCTTCGTCGATGCCGTGTACGATGAAGCCGGCCACCGAGTCGCCACACAATATCTGCTAGCAGCCCTGGATGGAAAGATTGAGCCTGACCACCTGCTCAACTACCGTGATGCCAATTCCAAGCTTCCTGGCCACCCCGAACTCGGCCTGACACCCGGCGTGAAGTTTAGCTCCGGCCGTCTCGGACACATGTGGGGAATGGTCAATGGTATCGCGATGGCCAACAAGGATAAGAATGTGATTATGCTTGGCTCCGACGGATCTCAGCAGGAAGGAAATGATGCCGAGGCAGCCCGTATCGCTGTCGCCAGGAACTTGAATGTCAAGATCTTCGTTGATAACAACGATGTCACTATTGCCGGTCATCCGTCCCAGTACCTGAAGGGCTATGATGTCGGAAATACCCTCGCGGGTCACGGTCTTCATGTTGTGCGGGCCCAGGGTGAGAATGTGGACTCGCTGTACGGGGCTATGTGTGAGGTCATCAACCACAAGGGTCCTGCAGCTGTTATTGTGGATCGGACTATGGCTCCTGGAATTGAGGGCATTGAGGGCGAAACCCATGCCCATGATGTCATTACTGTCGATATCGCCCGCAAGTACCTGACCAAGCGTGGCTACAGCAAGGAGCAGCTTGCGTTCTACGATGAGATCAAGGGCCGATCCAACCCACACGAGTACCAGGGTTCTACCAAGGAAAAGGGCGCCAACCGCTCTATCTTCGGTGAAGCTGTGAACGGTATCCTTGACGGTCTGAGCAAGGAGGAAGCTGCCCGTAGGGTCATGGTAATTGACTCCGATCTCGCAGGCTCGACTGGATTGAAGGCTATCCAATCCAAGCACCCGGAAGTTTTCATTCCATCGGGAGTGATGGAGCGAGGCAATTTCTCAGCTGCTGCTGGTTTCGGCTTTGGAAGCAACGGCGAGCGCCAGGGTGTCTTCTCAACCTTCTCTGCCTTCCTCGAGATGTGTATCTCGGAAATCACCATGGCCCGCCTGAACAACTGTACCGTCCTCTCCCACTTCTCACACAGTGGTGTCGACGAGATGGCCGATAACACCTGCCACTTCGGCCTGAACCATTTCTTCGCTGATAACGGCTTGATGGACGCCGAGAACACCACGTTGTATTTCCCTGCGGACGGCGACCAGATGACCGCTGTGGTAAACAAGGTCTTCTGGGAACCAGGCATGCGGTTCATCTTCTCCACTCGCTCCAAGGTTCCCTACATCTTGAAGGAGGGCACCAACGAGAAGCTCTACGGCGAGGGCTACAAGTTTGTGCCGGGTAAAGAGGAGATTATCCGCAAGGGATCTGCGGGATACATCGTTACGTACGGTGACATGCTCTACCGGTCCCTCGATGCTGTTGAGCGTCTCCGCAAATCTGGGCTGGACATTGGTTTGATCAACAAGCCTACCCTCAACGTGGTTGACGAGGAAGCAATCAAGCTCTACGGATCTTCGCCCTTCGTCCTGGTGGTTGAGTCCATCGCTCAAAAGACCGGTCTTGGCTCGCGTCTTGGAACTCACCTTCTGGAACGCAACTTGACTCCCAAGTTCAAGTCCATTGGTGCTGTTCGGGAGGGCAGCGGTGGTTTGTTCGAGCAAATCTATGCTCAGGGACTTGGCCCAGACGACATCGCCGCAGCCGTGAAGAGCCTTACCGGAAAATAGATTTTTTAGAGAACATTACGATAACGAGTACAGCGTATGAAAGAAGTAGCAAGGTTCCATTTCTTGTCATTCCAATTTGATTCCTTATACAATCCACTTCCATAAATCTCAAATCCAAATCCAAAATCAAATCCACTAAGAAGCCAATCCTCACTCCCGATCATCAGGATGAAAAACCAAAGCTCGAACCTCAATACTCTCCCTCGCATCCTGATCCTCCGTCTCAGGATTAACAAAAGCAGAATGAGGCACCCTCCTCGCCCTCCCATCAACCTTTGAATCAAAGCACTTGATCAGCGTCACCAAGTCAGGAGTCTGTCCATAACGATAGTACCACTTAATATCCGGATCCGGCTTAACGCCATACGTCTCACCTTCACGATCAGGATAAATAAGTCCAATAGGCACGAGATCCGTTTCTGGCACTGAATGCGCATCAGCGACAGCGAGAGGATCCTTGAAAATCGTGCGAATCGGGCGCCAGACGTTGATAATCTGGTACCGGCCTTTAAGGAGCTCTTCGGCTTCGTCTGGGAGGTGGTGGGAGACACGGTTCTTGGCAGCTTTATAGGATTGATCTATGTGGACGCGTTGGACCGGGCCGCGGAGTGGTGTACCTGCGCCTGTTTGGCGGCGGATTGTGTGGTCGAAGATGAGTACTCGGGAGGCACCGGTGCTGTTGGAGATGAGATGTTAAAGAGTTGTTTTATAAGGTTTGAGGGAAACATACGCGTCTTTGAGCAGTTGTTCTGTTTCTGGATAGTACTCTCGTTTGATCTTTTCATCGTCGAGGAAGGTCTTCTCTTTACTTTCATGGTAATAGAATTGGAATCCTTGGCCGTCGAGAGAATAGTCCAGTTCATGACCACTGACATCATGGATGGTGGTGGGGAGTGGGACACTTTCCCTTTCGTATGTTTCAGGTTTGTTCACATAGGTTGGGAATGGAGGGGATCCATCTTCGTTCTCTTTGAGGTAATTGAGGGTTGTCTGGACATGATGCGGCTTGTCGGATACAGGGACCGGTGGTTTGTCTGCTAGGAGGGAGTTGTGGCCTAGATGTTCGACAGCTGCTGATGCCATGACTGGTGGTGAACTATATTATTGCCTTGGTAGGTATTGCCTTGGTAGATGTAGCAGATTGAGAGTATCATTATAAAATGGGCGGGCATCTGGAAGGGATTTAAATGCCTGATCTTGCGGGGTTGAGATTCTTATTTGTCAGGATAGCACGCCATATTCGTCTTACATGTAGAGAAATGCTGATAAATTCATTTTCAAAATGTCAAATGATTGCGAATAACATGTGTTCGACGTGCTTTATAGGTGTCACATGGATTAATAATGCTTCGGGGCGAGTTGATAAGCAAATATGTGAAGTTGAACAAACTCACGTCAGTAGACCTCGGACAATATCATGCTATAAGAACTGGTTTAATGGACTGATATCTTTTCGACTACACTTGAGAGAATGTGAAGAAATTAAAAGCAGATTTGTAGAAAAAACTATCAACTCAAGAATGGGAAACCAGGTGTATGTCTCATTAACGTACAGCAGGATCTCGGAGGAGATCATCTGGAGGTGTCCTGCTGTGGTTGGTCATGGCGTGTCGTATTGCCTCGCTCACACACAAAGCCTCGGTCAACATGATGCAAAACAAAAAGAAAAGAAAAATTCCATTGTACACCAGCGTCATGAAGGAAAAACAAAAAGCAATAGGAAGAGAAAACGAAATGAATCTCGCACATGCGGAATGAAGTATGGAGTGACTTCCACAAAGGGGGAATAGTAAAAAACCTATTGTGACAACTTGACATCATAGACAGAAGAAGAGAATTTGAGCTTTTGTGCAGGTTGGGCGTTCAAGACGGGCTTAGAACATGAGGGATCGAGTCTTCTGTCGACGAGCTTCAGCACTAGGCATCTCTGGTTGTGAGTAGGTGTGCTTGTGTCGGGGACGGTTGGGTTGGGGCGCCGGCGCCGCCGATCCCGCTGAAGACGGGGGTGCCATAATTGCACTTGTCCTGTGAGAAACAGGCGAGGAAGGAGCGGGGATGCCGCTGGCAGGGAAACGGTCAGCGGTTTGACGCCGAGCCTTCATGCTTCGTTCCCGCTTGAGAACGAGTTCCGCCCAGGCTTTGACCGGGCCATTGGCAGTGGAACCTTTGCCTACAGCCTCCGACATCACACGAAGCCATCCTTCTTTGGCAGTCGGGCTGTCCGCATAGAAATCAATGACTTCCCCGTTGCCAAATCGGATGCGGAATCCCTCTTCCACAAACATGTAACCGTCTTCCTCCTCAGCGAATGCAGACTTCCGGCGACCACCGCTCTTAGCGTTGGGATCCTTCTGCATGAGGGATGACCGGTCATCAATTAGCTTCGCGGCCTTAGCAAGGTTGATCGTGGCACGAGGTTGCCGTGTTGTTTCATGGTAGGCAGTCAATTTCGATCCTTGAAGCTTGAAAAAACGTCGACGCCAGTACTATCATATCAGTTAGCAGATGAGATGAATATGTTACGGATTGGTGGCTCTTACCGGGCAATCTCCACCTTGCTGTGAGAGGTATCCTTCATAGCTCCGGGAGGCAACACTCTCAGCGTCACGCATCTCACGAATACAAGCATTCATGCTCTTGGGCATGTCGTCTTCCTTTCCACCCTTGGGTTTGGGGACAAACAGCAGCTGCAACTCCAATTTTCCAATCTTGTAAGGAGGGCGACGTTGGGCAGTGACGCTTGTTGCACTCTTCTTACTCTTGACACTGCTTGGCTGCTCATCGACCGCCCACTCATTGAAGCAAGGAACATCAACAGTGTAAGGACGGCCATAGGCGTATTGTTCGTGATCACTCAGAGCCACATATGACCGAGCAAAGCTACCGTCGCGTGCAACAACATTGCGAAGGCGCTCCCAAACAGGAGCATTGACATCCTTGGTTTTTTGCTGCTGGGTTTGCATCTGTTGCTGCAAGTCAAGCTCCTTGCGCCGGCGAGGAGATGCGAACACACGGCTTAGAGTTGAAGCTTTCTGGCGGGGGGAGCTGGCAGCTTCCTGTGGGTAGAGCTTATTCTCGTCGATCTTCATTTGCAGCGTCAATTGGAACTCGAGATCGTTTTGCACGATGAGTTCGAACTCTTGGCCAATTGGAGCTGACTTTCCAAGCTCGAGCCAGGATGTTGTCACACAGTGGAGACCATTATCGAGGGTCAGGGAAAAGTAGGATCGTTCACCTGTTACTGGTTAGTGGGTGTAGTGGCAGAACACGAAAGGGCAACATACCACGGGGAAGAGGCAAATCCATGTACTTGATGCCTACCACCTTAACAAATATGCGACCGCGCTCCTCACCATCTTCGTATGCCTCTTGGCCGAGCGGCTCATTCTCGTCAATGGTGGCAGGAGTCTCCTGCACAATACTCTGACGACCAGGGAGAGGGGGAACGGGTCCAGCGACGGGCTTCTTCTTCGGCAGTCCACCTGCCAATTTCACACTGGGTTTTCTCGGCTGTCCGTTCCAAGGTTCTGTTGTCCAGGTCTGTTGACTGGGTTTGCGGGGAGACGAACCCGCTGAACGAGTACCACGGGGGTCTTGCATCGTCGAATCGTCAGCAAGGCCGGAATCCTCCTCATTTCGGTTGCTGGCGATGACGACCTTGGTGTTTTGCCGCATAAGGTATCCTCTCTGTTTAGGTTGAGACGTGTTAGCCGACGATATGGCATTTGTAGGGGTGGGGGTTTCAGGGGAGTGAAAGGCCGGTTGTTCCCAAGGGGAGGCCGGCGTGGGGGAAGATTCAAGATAGGAAAGAGCGAGGTCGAACGCCACCTTTTGTGATTCAATGACACGGTCAAACTCCTTGGTCAGGCCTGATCCTAGGCTTTCCTCTTGGATGCTGAAAGGAATATCCAATTGCATCAAGCTTGACTGGCGCTGCGTGAAACTAAGAGGGAGAGACAGCTGGGGCGCTGCATCGCTCTTGGAGGCCTCTTTTTCAGGTTCCTGGGAATCAATGCCTATGAATGCTGGCATTGGAGGGGCAGTAGGAATATGTTGACCACTGATCTTACGACGAGTAGCAGCCATGGAATCCAAGTCTGCGGGAGTCAGTGAAGGACGAGTCTTTAATCCAGCACCAGGGGCCCGAATTGTTGCGACTGGCTCAGGGACGGACTCATCCGAGGAACTTTCTGCGTCTTGTTCTTCTTCAGACATCTCATCGTCATCATGATCCTCAACTGGATGCCGGATCACAGAGTCGGGGGTGGATGGTTCTGAAATCGGCTCCTCCTTGATCTCAGGGGTCACAGGACGTTCAAGCGACTGGCGGATAGAGGCTATATCCAGGTGACTAGCTTCCTGGGACTCGTTGTTTTCAAATTCCTGTTCTGGGTTAGGGGCTGGGGGGGCAGGGCTCGCTTCAGGAACTGGAGTAGTCTGGCCCGAGCCTTTGCCGTCGTCGTTTACGCCCACTTCAGCCGCAGATTTCAAAGAGTAGTTGCTGTCTTCGTCATATTTGGCACGGTGGTCCCGAGAGGAGAGGCTGTGATCTGAGGAGTTCTGATAGTAATCAGGAATAGCGTAGAGATCATCGTCATGGGCTTCTTCCTTGATAATCACACTTGAAGCATCGTCGTCATCACATTCCAAAGAAGGAATAGGGACGTCCGGATCATAGTGACCATAGCCATGAGGGCTGAATTCGATATGGGAGTCATCCCCAAAGATGTCGTCATCTTCAAAGCTCTCGCCTTTGCGAATATCTCGTAGAATAGAGTCCCGGGAGATGCGAGGGGGAGAAAATATGTCATTTGCGGGTTCATCGTCGTTCTCATCCTCCTGGGCAGAGTCGAGGTCCTCTTCAATGGGCATGGGGCTGACGGCCCGATCGCCTGTTTCGTCTTCATTATCATTGTGATCCGACTTTCCCTTATCTTGCAGCATCATAAGCGATAGTCGATCCTCCAGGGACATGTCCCCTTCGATATCAGCCTTGTTGAAGGATGCTGCAGCAAGTGGAGCTGGGAGTCCACGTAGGCTACCTAGCTCAAAGGCATCGGAAATCTTGCTCGCCGACGAAGGTCGAGAACCAGACGTGCGAGACACAGAGGGTAGTGGAGGCAACGGTGGCAATGGACGACGCTCACCATTTGAATCCAATGACTCAACACGAGAGTGATGGGAAGATTCACCATCGCGCGAAACTGGTCGCTGCTCGGCGGTTTCATCATCGACTGTCTCGGCGTAAGAGTCACCTTCTTCATCAACACCAGGACTCATGAAGCGCCATTCGTCTGGCAGCACGACAGGTGTTTTTTCAATATCCTCGAGAGATGCGTCAAAGCTGTCGTCTCGCTCCACGGAGGACTCATGTTCAAAGCTAACATCGTCGTACTCATCGGAATCGTAACTGTTTTCCCGGGACTCGGAGGCCAGGGATGACGGATCCGGAGTTCTCATTTCATATTCGTTGACTTGAGGCGGAGCGGCATCAAACGTCACACTCTTAGCATGGCGGTGACCAGCACTATCATACTCTGACCAAATATCGTTTTGCGGGTCAAATCCCTTGCCATATCGAGTCGCTTTGGACAATGAGGATTTGCTCGGCGACGGCTGCTCCTTGCTGGGGGACTGTGGCCGCGGCACTTCATCCACCTCTTCGTCTGTAAACTGCGACTTTGCAAGGTTCATTTGGCTTTCTCGGTTTGGGGACCGATCAGCGGCCAGCGGCCTTTGAGGCGTAGAAACTCGCGCCGGATCGTATTCCTGTCCGCTCTCGCGGAACATGTTGTTATTCTTGACTCGCGATACGCGCTTCAAATCTTCGAGGGATGGACGTCTGGTAGGGATAAAAACGGATTCTGGGTCATAAGGCGCACGGTTTTCGGCGCCCTTCGCGAAAGGCAATGGAGATTCACGGCCCTTCCAAAACCGATGCGGGGATTTTTCATTGCTTAATGCCGAAACATCGTTCTCAGCACTTGGCATCTATCAACAGTAGTCAGTATAAGATGGCAGTTATCAGCACGACCGAATCCTCGTACCTTGGTGGCCTGGTTCCAAATAGGGGAATTGCGCCGCTGTGCCATCGGGCTGACTTCAGAAAGTGGCCGCTGGGCGAGTCCACCAGCCATAGTCGCGATTGATATGGTAATGAAACAGTTGAATCTCGTGTAAACAAACAAGGCTAACTATCACTTTTGACGTGTCAGCATCGATTTACCATGTCAACATCCTAATGACGACAACAAGTTACGAGATTCTGGATTCGATGATAGAAGACATACCTTTGGTGAATGGATACCAAGAGTCCCTTGGGAAATGTTTGCACCAACAAGCCCCGGCACACGTGAAAATGTAAGAAAAGTCGTGACGATCGTCTCAGGAATGTAGATGCGCCAACACAAACAATGCTACTTCAACTCTTCCATGCACAAAACCAAAGCAAAGTTCGAAGGGGGATAACGAGTGGAGGGGAGGGATAAGAGGGGATCAGATCTCGATATCTATTCCATGGATCATAAAGTGGATTTGGTTACCCCAAAGCAAGTTACGCTTGTTGACAAGTCAAGTCGGGAGTATCCATGGTAACCAGTTTCAGGTGGAGTCGCGCTTTTCCTATTTTAGTCAGCGACGGATAACAGCTAGCTGACTCATCAGTTATCAGTAGTCACATGATTTTCTTGCCTAGAATATCAGGCTGAATGATCTACACTAGTCCAGGATAGGTATAGTGTCAAATTAATCCTGAATCTGTGAACCCGCGATTTCTTCTTGATCTGGAACTTTGCCGTTCAAATTCAATCACTTACCTATTTCATTTTAATTTGATCAGGTAGAATGCCTCTGCCCGTCCGTTCCTCGATATGCCTCCTATGTCAATCTAGGCCTAGCATTTTCCCTTCACCAGCTGTTCTCTCAACATGGCAGGCCACGCGATCCATGGCCACTGCGCGTTTGCGCCGCAAGGCCTCTCGCATGGCACTATCCCCTGATGTTGCAAAACACACCTTGAAGAAACCACGCTCTGAGCGTGCTGGGCCTTTTGCAGGAATGAACCAAACCCAAGCCCGTATTCCAGATACGCCACGATCCCGATCCCAAGCCGCCCTCAGACGTTCCGGCGATGACAGCAAGTCCAACAAACCCCAAAGCCCCTTGTACAAGGCGTTGAAGATGCAAACCACGTTGTCCCCTGTGACCTATGGACGTCGAACCGCTACCAAATCGAAAATCGCCAACATCACCAGCTTCGATCACATGCCTCTCCTCCCTGCTGTGCGCCAATCAATCTTTACCCAGGCTCTGCCCAATCTCACGGAGGTTGTCCCAACCCCAATTCAAAGACTTGCCATCCCACAACTTCTCAGTCAGAAGCCGAATAAGAAGGTAGCCAAGGCGGTGGATGATGAATTCGATTACGATCAGTTTCTTCTTGCTGCGGAAACGGGATCTGGGAAGACACTAGCATACCTTCTCCCCGTGGTGGATGCAGTGAAGCGTGAGGAAGCACTCGATTTGCAAGAAGAGAAGCTACAAGAGGAACAGAAGGCAAGGGAGCGAGAGGAGAAATTGAAAAATCGGGAATATGACGTGGAACCTGAAGTAGCTCCTATGACCAACGAGGGTCGCCCGAGAGCCATCATTCTCGTCCCGACGTCAGAGTTGGTGGCCCAGGTTGGAGAGAAAGTCAAGGCTCTTGCGCATACCGTCAAGTACCGATCGGGTATTATCTCCTCAAACCTAACCCCCCGCCGCATCAAAAACACCCTTTTCCACCCGGACGGCATCGACATTCTTGTCTCAACCCCTCACCTCCTCGCATCTATCGCCAAAACCAATCCCTATGTCCTCAGCCGTGTTAGTCACCTTGTTCTTGACGAGGCCGATTCCTTGATGGATCGTTCCTTCATTCCCACTACCATGGAAGTTGTGGACAAAGCAGCACCCTCGCTCAAGAAATTGATCTTCTGCTCCGCTACCATCCCTAAAAGTCTCGATACTCAGATCCGCAAACGGTACCCCGATGTCAAGCGCCTGACAACCCCAAACCTACACGCCATTCCCCGTCGTGTTCAGCTGGGTGTGGTGGATATTGACAAGGAGCCCTACCGTGGAAACCGGAGTCTTGCCTGCGCTGATGTCATCTGGTCGATTGGCAAAGCAGGTGATGGAGCTGATGGCGAAACCTATGGTCCCGTTCTCTCCAGATACATGGGACCCAAGGTCAAGAAGATCATTGTCTTTGTCAATGAGCGAGAGGAGGCGGATGAGGTTGCGCAGTTCCTTCAGGCCAAGGGTATCGATGCGGTCTCCTTGTCTCGCGACTCTAGCTCCCGAAAGCAACAAGAAATTCTGGCTGAGTTCACCGATGTCGACCAGCCTCCAAGCTCCGAGGATATTCTACTCGCGAAAAAGCAACACCGCATGGAAAAGGAAATCCCCTTGGAGCTCCCTGACAGCAGATCCGAAAGGATCCGTCGTCTTCCCAACACCAGAGTTCTCGTCACGACAGACATTGCCTCTCGAGGTATTGATACTTTGGCGGTGAAGACTGTGGTGCTCTACCACGTTCCCCACACCACCATTGATTTCATCCATCGTCTGGGTCGTCTTGGCCGTATGGGTAAGCGTGGTCGTGGTGTTGTCCTGGTTGGCAAGAAGGACCGCAAGGACGTTGTTCGTGAAGTCCGTGAGGGCATGTTCCGTGGACAGGCCCTGATCTAGATGTACATCCAATGTTGTGATCCCCTTGTATAAACATGTACCATATATGGCGTTTCTGCGGGTTGGTAAATGAAAAATACCCAATATAGCTTTAAACAATCTTCCATCTAAGTTTCTGATGTTGAATGTACGATCCCTAAATACCTGTTCAGTAACCAAATTTAAAAATTATTTGTGTGTTTTCTTCTTCTTCTAAGGGTTAATTTGAGAGTTTCAGATATTAATGTTACTCTGATTAGCCTTGAGGGCGATTGAAACTCAAAGTTCAAATAAAAGGGGGCTGAGGCTCGACTTAGAATATGTATCTCGTAAGTGCAGTGATTAAATATATATTTTCACCCAGAGAAACGGACGAAAATTGAACCGCTTTCTTTTTTCCAAAAGATATCACATGCAGTATATACATATAGAGAAAGCATATACAATAACCATCTAGAGCCGTCTGTTCACTCGTTAGACAATCGATGTTGAAGACCTCGGTTATAGAATTTCAAACTCGATATGGTATGTGGGTACACCAGTTTGCCCCTCGCTATTATGGTCATGTAAAGCAGGATTATTGCCGTTGCCTAGTACGAAGACATGCATCATATAGACTGAAAAATTCTCTAGTGTCATTTTGACTCTAGTCATTATTGGTCCAATGTTATTCCAAGGTTATCCCCCAAGGTTGGTGGATGCTGGACGCGTCAACCCAAGTCCGCATCAAACAATTCCAAACCCGAGTACCCGATCGGCTAGACTAAATTGTAGATGGAAAAAATGGAGATTCTAAAGTTTCAAGCCTACTCTCTTCCCTGAAATCTCTACTCGTCCGGTGTCCCTGGAAGTTTCTTGTGAACACTGTGATTGGGTTCCTGCGGACGCGTAATCCTACTAGAGCCGCCGCACAAGATTCTCTCGACTCTGACGTCACTTTTGGCTAGTGAGAAGGACTTTGAAAGTCGAAGGTCGAAATTGAGTGTCATTTAAACATCTGCCATCAAGATCACCATGAAAATCTTACCATGGTTGGCTGTATGGGTTCTGGCGCAATGTGTACATACCTCGGCCGAGACGACCGAGAGCACCGAGAGCACTGATACGACGTCCACAACCACCAGCACTAGCAGCGCCACCATCACCAGCACTACATCAGACACAACTACTGGGTATATTGTTGTCACATCGGAAACTTCAGTCGCAGTCCCTACCGGAGACTACATCAGCTATACCACTACCGAGATCGTGTCATCTGCTGAACTCAATGCCACAGCCTCGAGCAACGCTACGGCCTCTACAACTGCTACAGATGTCGTTCTTGTCGGAACAGGCAGCTCTACCAGCACGTCCACTTCTTCAGCTTCAAGTGCAACAAATACGCAAACATGCAACGGCTACACCGAGTTCTGCGAGAGAAGATACTCCAACATCACAATGGTGACGGCGCATAACAGCCCGTTCGTGAAAAAGAACAATATAGCATCAAATCAATACTACGACGTCACAACACAACTAGACGACGGTATACGCATGAGTAAGTGTAGAAACTATCTCCTCACGAATCTTCAACTAACACCAGACAGTATCCTTCGAGGCACACTACTATGACGACGACATCTATCTGTGTCACACCTCCTGCGAACTTCTCAACATGGGTACCCTGGAGGCCTACCTGACAACCGTGACGAAATGGATCAAGAAAAACCCCTACGATGTCGTCACAGTCCTGATCGTGAACTCCAACTACGTATCTCCTTCGAATTTCAGCGCCCCTATAAAGAATTCCGGATTAATCGACTATGCATACGAGCCCTGGAAAATCCCAATGAGTCTAGACGACTGGCCCACCCTGTCCGAAATGATCCTCACCTCCAAGCGCGCAGTCGTCTTCATGGATTACGAAGCCGATCAAACGGAATATCCTTATATCTTGGATGAATTTTCTCAGATGTGGGAGACGCCGTTTTCACCATTGAACCGTTCATTCCCTTGCACTACTCAGCGACCCACTGGAATTACCAAAGCCAAGGCCGAGGACCGGATGTACATGGCGAATCACAACCTCAATCTGGAGATTATCTTCGATGATATCGATATTTTGATCCCGGACTCAGCACAGATCAATGTGACGAATGCGGTATCTGGATATGGAAGTCTGGGGCTAATGGCCAATAATTGTCGAAGTGAGTTTTCTCTTCTGGATGCTTATGAACATTACTAACCGTTTAGGCGAATGGGATCGACCGCCAAATTTCCTTCTTGTGGACTACTACAATGATGGCAATTTCGCAGGCTCGGTTTTCAAAGTGGCTGCTGAGATGAATAATGTCACTTACAACGGTGACTGCTGTGGGACAACATCGGATGCTGCGATGATGAACGGCGGTCTGCATTTGTCTTTTATGATTGCTTTTATGAGCACATTATTGGCATATTCGATGTAGATTTGCAATTTTACATAGAATCTCAATCGCCATGTTGAGACACATGCCCCCGAGCATGACCTATATGACCTATGTCATGACTCAGAACTTAACAAGTACTTCAGAAATATTAATGAGTAATTAATGCCATCCGCACTTAAGCTTAAATTTTATTGATTAACTAGAGCGCAGATCGCTCCACAGGACGGACATTCCGTCTACGACTCCGTTATCAGATCAAGCCACATCCCTTCGGATCCACATACCCATGCCTAGGTACGTCGTAATGTTAAACTTTGTGTTCAATTAGCAATTTTTATTTATTTATGGTGGTTGTCCTCGAGACAAAGGCAACAATAAACCAGGTAACGCAGGGATGTGATTCAAGTTTCCGAAGCGCTGATCGCCAAGTATGAGACCTTTCGACCTGCCAAAAGAAATTAATAAAGTTCATTTTGATAATTACGTGATTACTGGATATTAGACTGATGTTAGTTACTCTTAGATGCGTAAATGTCGTCATTAGTCTGGTCTGGGGAACTTGTCATTTAAATATCATATTTTTACAGAAATATCACAGGTAGGAGCTCAAAGAAGATCCTGCCCAACAAAGTATTGCCAAAGGCCATATTGATCTGGCATGTCCGGCCTCGCACTTTGATACACATTAAGGAACGACAGATCAGACTGGCTATCAGCAGGCGATGTGTTGAAATTCCAGAGTGTGTTGGCATAATTGGAATCAGAGTCGTCCTAATTGATCCCTGTGAGTTGAAGCTTGCATGATCGGGTGTCAAGTGTAAATACCTGCATCTGCATACCGAGAGCCGAGTAGAATCCAGCACCGAGAGACTCTTGAGGCATAAATTGTTCGGGGCCATTGACAGAACTGTCATTTGAGAAAGGTGGTTGGTTATAGGGGGCGGAAGTTGAAGGTGGAAATTGTGAGGATGCTGAGGATGTGTACCTGGGATCGTCGCCTCTGGAGCTGCGAGCGCCGAGAGTCATGTTGCGGGAGATGCGGCGTAGGACTTCGGAAAAGGGAGCGGGTTTTGGGATTGGCTGTTGCTGGTTGGATGAGTTGGTACTGAGAGCCTTAGCTGATCGACGGGATTGGCTCTCAGATATAAGATCGCTATAAGAAACGGGGATAGAGTTAGATGAGAATAGTGATCGTGGAGGGGTGCGTACCTGATAATGCGATAGGCGGACTCAACAATGCGACGGAGTGGAGTGTTGGTTATCTCGCTGTACATGGAGAAAATTTCTTGAACCATGTAAATGGTCCGTCTTCTTTCGTCGATTTCAGGAGCAGGGAGGTTACTGGGAAATAATTAGCTCTGTTCGACCAAAATATCGACGTTGTTCACGATTTTCTAGAAATGAGGACCTACTTATCAATGGACCAGAAAAGATCCAAAAATAAGACCATAGCGGAGCTTAATGTGTGTGAATATACGAACCTGTAGGGGTTGAGAATTTCATTAGTCTGACTTTCGGGAAAACTAACGGGGAACTTACCAAAGCGAGCCACTTGTTGTTAGATCACGTAGATTGTAGTGACAATCTACCACTATGCGTGCTGATTGGAGACATTTATCTCGGGAGTTCGCGAACTTGGAGCCTTTTGCATAACCGCGCGAGAGAAATGGTCTGTTCAGTCGAACAATGCGAGCATGAATCTAGAAAAAGTTACCTTCAGTAACGCGGCGTGAGGAAATACTCGTATTGAAAGTTTTTTGCATACCCCTTCCAGAGCAATATCTGGTAATAGAGTACATATTAGTCGGTTTTCTAAAGACACAACATTCAACGTGGGGCATACGTACTGCGTTGGCGACGGATTCTAGGGTCGTTACTATCGACCAAACTATTTTCTCGTAGAAAGGCTTCGCTGAAGTTATATCAACGTTAGGATTATAGTGAGATTCAATGACTGGAAGTTCAATGATACTCACGGCAGGCCCTCCAGAATTTTCCGATATCCTGCATCCAGTTCCAAAACTACTCAGAAGAATCTCGTCAGCACTGTATACTTCTTTAGGACAAGTGAACCCACCGGTAGCATAGGAGAAATCATCCGCATAAGTAATGAGCTTATCAAATGTCATCCGCAACATGTTGGCAATTTTCCACTTGTAAACCTCAAAAGAGCTGGATGTCACAATGTGCGCAGGCCGAGGCGTATACTGCCATTCTGTCGGTGACAGCTCCCAATCATTCACATTATCGACTAGTTCTGATGTACACTGATCGAGGTGAATGGTGTAGCATCGAAAACGAGAGGATGCAGACATCCAATCAGCCCATTGTAGCATCATCCAGACTCGAAGTCCCATATGGCGCTTGACGGCATTCTTGCCAGGTGGCCAGGCAGGGTCATCGGGAGGCATTCTGTGGAACAATTAACAATGGCTTCAAATAGAGTGGAGTCGTAGAGGAGAGCTCATAAGTACTCACGTCTCTGGATTGCTTCCTAGTCGGTGTAGACCCATCAATTGGGCTGTACGAATGGCCAACGCGTTCCAATTGAGCATGGTATCGGCTTTTCTCCAGGCAGTTGACAGCTGAAAGAATTGGTTAAACAAGATGACTGCCCTGTTTGGGATTAGACTTTAATTCACGGGTAGAAAATTTAGAGCCTCCACTTACTGTATAGTTCTAACTCGTGGAGTGGACATAGCATCGCCAAGGTAGAGTGCTTTCATGCTCACTGCATGATATTTACTGATGAGCTCATCGAGTCTCTGATGTGAATATCCGTGAAATGGGTGACTTGGACTTGTTGGTCCCGTTGGTCGATTGTCAAGTGCAAGGGCCATCACCATAAAGAAAATAGACAACCATAATGGATCAAGTTCAGTATGACGTTGCTGTCCCATGATCTCCCAGAAGTAATTCATCTCGGCTTGAAACGAAGGCCAGCTTCAAACCCACCAAAGTGTCAACAAGATTGACAAAATTTATGGGGCTACTGGGTATATTGAAGACTCACTGTAGAATGCGGGACCGCCAATGCAGGATTTTATTGTATTGCTCAGCTAAGTAGTAGCTCTGGCGTAAGGTTGGCAGATTTTCGATAATGCTATTCATGGCATCCAATCTGTGCTTGAGAAGCTCCTGGTGATTATTCGACTCATAGCCTCGTTGTTGCATCAACAAAGGATTATATCGATCAAGTGTGATATCCCATGGTGGTGCTATGACGCTAGTAAGTGCCGAAGTATACTCATGACTCTGATGTTGGTTCTGGTCATGCTTTCGACTTGGATCATCTTTGGCAGTCCCAGCTAATGCTGCCCCAGAAGCAGGGGTAAGCATGTTCCCTCTCCAATATTCGTGGGAGGTCATTGACCCTTGGCCACTGCCTGACTCGTTTGCTTGAGGGTTGAAGGCAATACTCTCCAGGACCACAGCTGCATTTTCAGCTGCGTCATCATAGAAATCTTTAACACTCTTCGAAACGCCGTTGGAAGAAGGAATTGGATTACTATTTGGAGTAGAAATCACGGCTCGGGGATGAGTTGAGCTTGCAGCCGTGGAACTGCTCACTTCTGCTGTAATGGACGATGCTTCTCGAGGCATCTTCGTGACGTCATTTGAATCGATGCGGCGGTTCGATTGAGGTGGTGTTATACCAGACTGTTGCTGAGCGCCAGCCACTGCTTTGGCAATTTCCGAAGGCAAAACTAGTAATGTCTGTTGGAGAGTGTCAAGTCGCCGTTGTAGTTCATCCACTTGAGTCTTTAAAGCGAAAGGTTGTGGAGATGGTTCAACCTTTGTATTTTCCCATTTACACGACCCAGGAACACCTCTTTTCACACACGCCATGCAGGGAACGCTGCGGTCACACTTAATTTTTCGCCGTCTGCATTCAGAGCAGGAAATGGCCATGCGTGGCCTTTTTGTATCGCGCTTATCGTCATGGTCGTCATCATTCCCACTTTCATCAAAGACCCCATGAGAGTCTGGCGTTGATTCAAACAGATGTCGTTGAATACCCCGAGAACCATCTGAATTTTCATGAACAATGTGACCAAATGGCCTCTTGACTGGTGTATCAGCCCAGTCCTGGGCAGCAGAGGCTGAGTTTACATGGTGAGGCGCCGATGGCTCTCCATGAGCTAGCGCTACTTCCTGTAATGATCGCGTTTGGTTTGAATCCCATGTCCGATTGCTATCGATCAAGTATGCAGATGATGACATTGTGCATTGGGCTCGAGGATGTAAGGACCAAGAGCCCCAGGCTGTCTCACGGTCGGCTCGGTGCGCGCAACCGGAGGTTGAACAATGCTGTGGGCTCAGAACCCTTATGCAGTAAGATGCAAGGGTCTAGCATCAGATATGGGTGTGGCAAATGATAGGCTCACCCACACAGTCTTCACGGCATTTGGTGTGGAGGAAGAAAGGGGAGTCAAAGTTCGGAGATCGATACGGAATGTCCGTTACCTTATCCATCGCCCCACATTTTACATCATCTGTTTTCGACCACTCGGAGATAATTGCTGAATCTGATAGTCAGATTGAATTTTAGTTCATATCCACTCAGGGCATCTCCCATATGAAAGGGTCTCAATTGAATGTTTGTGAATTTATGATTGCAATACCACGATTTGAAGAAGGAATCTGGCATCATATGTGCCATTTATCTGGTGTTGGTCGTCCTACCCCAAGGCCTGTGAACTTAATCCATGGCCAATGCTTTGGAAAGCATTGGTTGAAGATATTTTTTCTGCCAAGTGTCGCCAAGTCCTGGCACCGCTTGCAGTAAGGCCATCGCCGAGAATACCCAAAGGTTGGACAAAATTTACCTTGCTGCCTGAGGCCAACAAATCTGAGGTTATATCGGTTTAAGATTGGCCCTCGGTAAGCATTCCTGATTCATGAAATCTAGAGAGTTAGGAAAGCTCCGCCATACTGGTTTCACCAATCATATACTACTAGTAATATAGTAGAGCCGTTGAAAGAACATTAACGACCCCTATCATTTAATAATAGCTAATAATCGCCCTGTTACTTCTATATTGACTTGAATGCTATAAGTGGTGAGGGAGGCGGTAAGCTGGTTAAAAAAATCCCTTCGAGCAATGGAGAATTTGTTTTAAATTGTCTCATGTGTGACTATCTGGAATGAGTGACATAAAAATGAAGATTTGAACGAAGATAAGAAAATAGAGAATCCTCATCGTAAATCTACATTTCTCTGTGCAATCCGTCTCGTAGACCACCCTCCGCGACACCCTAGATGCTGTCGTCCGGGCAGCAAATTAAAAGATCATTTTGATAACCCCATAGCCAGAGCTGTGCAGGTTATGTTGTATGTGTGTAGGGGTCAGACACAATTGACGAGCCAGTGACATTCAATAACAAGAATTTGACCCATTTTCACCAATAGAATAAGCTAAAGAGAAAGGCAATGGAAAATTGGAAAAAGATAAATTAGAGAGAAGAATAAGAGAAGGCTTGGCGTCGAACAGCGCGTTCCAATCAGCGCGTTCCAATCGGGCGACCACAGCATCTCTACTACACGCCCTTCTCACATCCTCTGTGAGCCCCAGAGCAGTCATCATCGCATCATGCCCCAATAACTCAATGAGTATATGGCTATCCGAATTCCTAGAATGGAGCTTTTATACTACTCCGATCGTCTGAAAGGCATTGTGGTCGTTTCTAGAGCGACAATCCACTCACTGAAGGCCATTGAATCACTTGCGGCGTTATAATGAACAAAAGTACCCGTGGGAGCAGGTAGCCGAGCTTGTTGTATGATTGTATATTCAAAACGCCTGGCGTAGATGGAATAAAATCCATTTAAAGGAAAACCAGCGATACTTCATCACGGAAGAAATCAAAACCCTGCGGCCAAACTTCGCGTATATGAATTTGACCATCGTCTAGCATCAGCAAATTTACGGAGTCCGTATCATCAATCTGAGGGAGCGACGAAGTGGCATTATTCAAGCTATGGAGGCTTAAATTTAGAGAGGTTGACGTCAGCACCACACCATGGGATTTGAGAATATCCACGGTGATATAGATATGCCTTAGATCAAGCCTGGCAAGTCGTCTTGACGACAGATGCGCGACATGCGGAGAGAAGACCACGAATGAAAATTGGCATGAGAGAGGCGAAGACAAAAAGAAGCTGGATAGCAGAAAAAAGCCCATCTAGACACCTGAGGGCACATGGCCGTAGAGATGATCCAAAGGAGAGCGACTGAAGAAATGCGGATAAAGATCAAGTTCTGGCTTCTATCTTCAAATAAAACCATGCAAACCTAATCTCCTCGCTGTGAGAGATTAGAATCTCAATTCAAACATGAGCAAACGAGCTTCTAGCGTCTGTGGAAGAGGCGGGAGAAGATTGATTGTTTGCGATGTCGGTTAGAGTTAGAAATTTGCCATTCGTTGAGAGCAGATATAGAAGTCAGAGTGTCCGGGTGATTTGAGCCTATTATTTGGCACCTTGACTGAACACATGCTGTCATTAATTGGAAAGCACCTTCGTGTTGACCTGATGACTTCAAGTTCCAGGCAAGGTTGTGCATACTGGTCAGTGTATCAGGATGTTCTGACCCAAGCACCCGCTTATGGGTCTCCATCACTTGTAGCTCGAGGTCTTCAGCTTCCTTCCACCGTCCCTGATTCTGGTAGGTCGAAGCAAGGTTGGCCATACTGGTCAGTGTATCAGGATGTTCTGACCCAAGCACCCGCTTATGGGTCTCCATCACTTGTAGCCCAAGGTCTTCAGCTTCCTTCCACCGTCCCTGATCCCGGTAGGTCAAAGTAAGGTTGTGCATACTGGTCAAAGCATCAGGATGCTCTGACCCAAGCACCCGCTTATGGGTCTCCATCACTTGTAGCCCAAGGTCTTCAGCTTCCTTCCACCGTCCCTGATTCCAGTAGGTCAAAGCAAGGTTGGCCATACTGTTCAAAGTATCAGGATGCTCTGACCCAAGTACCTGATTCCTTGTTTTCATTGCCTCTGTCTGAATATCTTCAGCTTTCTTCCATTTACCATCAAGCGTTAACAACGACCCTAGTATGTCTAAACTTTCAAGGGTTTTTGGACTCTCTTGACTAAATAAATCTTTCCTCACTTTGGCTGACTTTTCTGCCATTCTTTTGCCGTCGAAATAATTCCCACTTTCTCTTGCAAACCATGCCGTTCTATACAGCAGGGATGCCCATTCATCCAGGAAAAAAGCGGATTTAGGCTGCTGCTTCAGAGCGCAGAGCACATGAGAGAACATTGATTGGCAGGTTGGTTAATTCTCGATGTTACCATCGGGAAATTTCGAAGAAAGTAGATGTATAAAGTCTCCTTGCCATCTTTCAAGCAGCTTTTGCGAGTTCAGCCAATCTTGCATCGCCAGCTGGACAAGTCGGTGCATCTCAAAGATCTTTCCATCCAAAGAAACAGAAATCATAGAGAAATCTCTCAGTACCGATATATCTTCTTGAAGATTATCGACTTGATCGGGCTCACTTCTGCTCTCGTCCTGGTCAATATCATCATTTCCACTCTCTCCAGGGAGAGATTGTCTTCGAATATTTTGTGTCTTGTTCTCTCGAAGCAGATGATCAGGGATTCCTTGTCGATCAAAGAAGCTCATAAGAGACAATAAATCCGCTGAGACTGGGCTGGTTCTTTGAATATAATCGAATGATATTTGCCATGAAGTGAGGATCGAGTTCTTGGCCTCAGTGTCTCGACGAAGATGCCCCCCCTCATTGTCAAGAAGAGTGACTTTCTGGCGATCACTCCTCTGGAAATTTTCAAGATACTGTTGGACTGACTCTTAGGGTGCCCTTCGTCTGATATAGGACGCTGCTTGCACAATGGCAAGCGGCATGAACTCAAGCGCTGCAATCAGTTGATTGACATCTTGCATGTTTGCTTGTGCGCCAAACTTTTTCTCAAAAAGGGCGAATGCTTGAGTTTCGTCCATCGGGTTGACCTCAATAACGTCATCGTCTTCCACTAATCGTAAGGCCACGCGCCGGCTTCGACTTGTGAAGATAATGGAGCCTTTTGAGATCTGTGAGAAGTACCCCCAGATCGACCGACCCGGCGGCCTACTTTGATTAGTCCCGCCGTCTGCTGTTTCAAGAATAAATTGGTCGTCGTCTAGATTGTCAAGAACAAGAATCCATTTGTTCTTCGCATCCTGTAGCCAATCATAAAGAAGCTTGAATATGTTCGCCTGTGGGTTCTGCCGGCCTGGTAACTTGACTCGATCGGCGATCTCTCGGCAGCTCTGCTCGAAACGGTTCTTGTTACTTGCGTGGATCCAGAAAACCCATGTATCGGCAGATCGATCTCGAACTTGGTAACAGTATTCGATAGCAAGTTGCGATTTTCTGCTTGGTTGTTAGAAATCGCGAATACTGCGACCAGTCTCAACTTACCCAACACCACCCAGACCAACTAGTGCGATACGAGACCCAGGAACGAGGGTTTTCTTATCAACTTTCTCAAGTAGAGTCCCACGACTAACAAATTCTCGGTCGCGAGGAAATGGAACCGTTGAAAGCGGGGCTGGTGGAGTTTCCGGTCGCTCTAGGAACTTGTTAGTCAAGTCGACCCAGGGTTCTCGTGGTACCTACCCGCATGAGGATAGAAACTCGCATTGACCGTTCCATTCACAATACCAGCCTGGAAGCCAGAGTTTGTGCCACCAAAAGATATAGAGTCCATGTAAACACTCTATGAAAAAAGTGTTTGTCAAGGGTGTAGCCTGAGGGAGAAAGAAGCACCAAATGTGGTAATATGAGGACGTATGGAAGAATAGAAGGATCAGACAGAGCGGAGAAAAAAGGTCAGGCCTCCAGCTCGGTGCTAGTTTTCGGAGGATTCTACAATAATGTTCAGGATGGTAAGCAGAAGAAAAGCTCCAACATTCAATCATCCTCAGCTGCACCGTCAGGTGACTAGGGCGCTTATCGGTAATTTGATCTTTAAATAAAATATCATAACCCTTCCCTCTTTAGATATAGAACAATTGCTTCTATCAATTTTCCTCCGTAAATTACTGCCCAAATTTCATTTCATATTCCTATATTCCTCGACCAAAGATATCCAATCTTAGTTTCCTGTGTATCAGATATATGGAGGTATCTCTTTCGTTTACGAAGTGTAACCCCGCATCGTGGTCAAAATCCCGAGGTCTGGATAATTTGAAAGGGAGCAATTCCAAAAAGAGCTTGAGATACACCGAATGTTCTCACAAAATCCACCTTGCCACTATATTGTCCAGTGTATTTTCTTTTTAGACAGCGATATATTTTCTACTAATCTACTTCCTAAATATGTGGCTTTCTTCAAGGATACAAAATAATCATCTTCTGGACCAGCAAAATATGGTGATATCTATAGTGGAAAAGTTGGAGCCTCTTTCCCTCCGAATAAAACGAATAAACAATCTCGCTCAAACCGACGCTTTCTTGGAATCTCTCAATGTCGCCCATGGCGATCTACGCCCTGAAAATATCCAACTTGATCGCAATCGACTAAAATTATCCGATTCTGGTTGTACGGCGAAAATTGGAACATTCTACGAAGGTTGTGCGGGTCCTTATAGTACTTGATAGTGATGAGGCAGACCAATGAGAGAGAATGTGGAACTTTGGCTCTCTTGGCCCTCGGACCGAACAGTTCGCTCTCGGTTCCATTTACTAATTTATAAGTTACGGTTTTGAGGTCAGCAGAGATCAGTTTCTCACCAAAGATATCTGCCACCATGGCCCTAAAGTTTTGAAGCTACAACAAACCATAGAGCTCCCCATTTTGGATGGCAATCCCCTGATTGACTATATTATTGAAAAATGTTAGCATAATAATAATGTGTCAGGGCCTTGAAATGAGCGGCGCAAACGAACATGCTTTTGAACGAGAGAACGGATGTAACAGAAAATAATAGAAGCAAAATTAAGGAAAGCAGAATTAAGGAAAGCAGCGAAGTCGCAAGTTTCGCGGCTGTCAATTGTGATGAAGGACCCTCAAAAGATGATTTTATTCCTAGTCAGGGATTTCGTCAGGACCCGGAGAAACGTGTAATTCTTCCAGAGATTTTCTTCGGGCGAACCCGAGAAAACTGTATTCACTTGCGATTCGTACAGGTGTAGCCTTTGAGATTCATTTTGAATGACATGAATTTGATGGGAAATTCCTAGAATTTGCTCAAAATGACCAATTCTCTTCAGAAAATAAAGACTGTTACGAAGCAGGTATTTAACCTAGGTCGTTCTAGAAAAGCAGGATTAGGTATGATAAATCCCTTGTCTTCTTTAAGACAGGGTGTCTCCAACTTAGGTGACCACAGTCGTACAAATGCTGTCAGATGGTTTTTTCTTATATTTGGCTATCAGTTTAGATGAAAGTACTTATAGCGCTCGCTAATTTGCCCTGATCTCACTTCAAGTTTCCTGAACGGTGCTCTATCTGGAGAAAAGAAAAGAAAAGAGCTGCGGCAGGCCATGAAGTGCATCATCAATCAAATATCACAAAGGAAATTGATTTTCGAGAATGAAAGGAATATGATTTGACCAGATGCACAGTTGATTGCAATAACTGTCCCGGATGAAACATTCTGAAAGCAAGTGAGTTATCCAGGGACAGTCTTTATTCATCCCATACCCACATTTTTTTGACGAATAGTCAGACTCTATCTCAACTATCCCGCACCTGGTCTGAAGAAGATTAGGACGAAATTCATAATATCTCAGGAAGTAAGGGGAGTTGATAGAGAGAAATGAGGTGCATTGGCCGGTGGCCGGATCCCAGATCTTGACCGTCTCATCCACGGATGCCGATGCGATTCGAAGAGACCACGTAACCGATTTGACAGCATCTTTATGTTCTAAGACTTTAACAGACTGACCAGTGACCGCATCCCAGATCCTGGCTGTTGCATCGGATGAGCCTGATTCAAGACGGCTGTTGTCTTGCGACCAGGCAACCACATCGACAGGTTCTGTATGCCCTTTCAATACCAAGTCACACCTGCCCGTAGCCGGATTCCAGATGCTAACAGACTTGTCAGTGGAGGCTGAGGCGAGTCGGCCATCATCTTTTGACCAGGCGATCAAGCTGACCCAGGCCCAATGTCCCCTAAGAACTACCAGACACTGGCCAGTAGCTGGATCCCAGATCATTATCGTTTGATCACATGAAGCTGATGCGAGTCGTTTTCCGTCTTGTGTCCAAGCAATAGAGCTGACTCCTCGAGAATGTCCTTCAAGGCTCAATCTACATTGGCCAGTAGTCTGATCCCAAATCTTTATTGTCTCATCCCAGGATTCTGATGCGAATTACGTTCCGTTCTTTGACCAAGAAAATGAGTAAACTTCCTCACTATGCCCCTTGAGGGTCGAAGTAGATTGGCCGGTGGTCGGATTCCATAATTTTATAGTCCAATCTTGGCATGATGCAGCAAGTCGACTTTTATCTTCCGACCAAGTAATATAATCAAACGGACCACTGCGTCCCTCGAGGGTTGGGGGGAAATGGCTACTAACTTCCCAGATTTTAATTGTGTTATCATCAGAGGATGGTGCCAGTCGGTTGTTGTCTTGTGACCAAGCAACAGACGATACCCAGCTTCTGTGCCCCTTACATGGTTTGAACACACTTCGAATTCCAGATCCGAATAAAGTTATGAGAGCATGATGCGAGTCGTCTACCATTCGACGACCAAGTAATCGAAGTTATGCACTTGTCAATACCATCAAAGCTTAACGTGCATTTTCTAGTCGTCAGATCCCAAATCCGGATTGTATGTGCTGAGGCCGATGCGAGTCGCCTTCCATTTTGCAACCAGGCGATCGAAGTGATGTGCATTGTATGTTTCTTTAGGGATAATTCGCACTCGCCAGTAGCGAGACTTCAGATTCTGACTGATTTATCACTTGATGGTAAGGCAAGGAGCCTGTCATTTGACCAGGCCACAGAGGAGATCCCATCAATATCACCTTCAATGGTTGACAAGCATTCGCTGGTAGTAGGATCCCATATCATAACAATCCACCCCCAGACGATGATGCAAGTTGGTTTCCATCCTGTGACCAGGAAATGAATGTAACACGGCGGCCATGGCCTTTTAATACTCGGAGACATGTTCCAGTAGCTAGGTCCCAGATTCTAACCGTCCCATCATAAGATCCTGATGCAATCCTGTTGTGCTTTGATCAGGAAACTGCACTGACCAAATAAGTATGCCCCTCAAGCTTCAACACGCATTGGCCAGTAGTGGAGTCCCGGATTCTGACTGTGTAATCATCCGAACCTGATGCCATTCGGGTATTATCTTGTGACCAGGCAACTGATCGGACTGTCGCAAGATGACCCTCTAAGGTCTGAAGACATTGATTCCAGTTCTCTTCCGTCTGTAGCATATTTAGGATCCACTGCGGGGCTTCTCATTGATAGCAAATCCTTGTAAGACTGTTCACTGGGCTGAAGATAAGGCATGAGGCATATATTTGAAGAGGACTGCTCTCAATGGCCACTCTATGGAATTTGATGAATCGACAGACATCCTGAACTCGACTTCGAAAGGTATCTGATTCTGCTTGATCCTATTAGAGTAGTCTTGTTATCATAGGAAACATAGATATTGGGGGAGTGCATAGACAACTCCATACCTGGGTTAATTTGTCAAGTTTGACCAACGCCATTATACCTTTCGAGACATGTTCCATAATACTTAATGCTTCTCAATAGCCAGTGAATATACTTTTGTTGTAGAAATATATCCACTACGCCTCCCTCCTCAAAATTAGAGATCAATGCTTGTCCACACCCGCTATCCTGAAGGTGATCAACCCAGTAAATGGAGGCATACTTTATAGCTATAGTATGCAATCCTGGAAATCCCGATACAAGTCAAGTGCCATTTCGTCTGAAACATAATTACTGACATTTGGAAGACCGTGAACAAATTGAAGCCGCTTCCAAGGTTGTCTCCCGACTGAGAAATGCAGGCTAGGCCCATCATGTTTAGGCCACCGCAAAATGCGACCGAGCCCGTAGCTTGGCACCATAAAAGTATAGAAAGAACATACCGATCTGAAGTATAGGTCAGAAAATCGTAAGGTGCGAGAGATGAGAAATTGGATCGATCAGTGTGCACTTACAATTCCTAAAATGCTCAAACCAGCCAGCACGGTCACACCTTTATCAACACCAAGGTTCTGAAACATGGGTCGCGCAAATAGGATAAAGGCAAATGCAAATGCAGACCGTGAAAAATCATTTCCGGCGAACAAGGAAGCCGCATACTTTGGATAGACTAGGGGAACGTAGACGAAAATGCATTGCAAGATGATGAATACCGATGATCCATATATCATAATGCCAACTGCACTCACACTCCAATTAATGTCGTCCCTGGAAGTCCAGGCTGGATAATTTGCAAGTTAGCCGTTTCATGTAGATTTGGGGAATATAGCATCCAGATATAAGTAGGCTGCTTACCAAAGATGAACAGTCCCGCAGGCACAGTTAAAGAAGCAAATATTGCAGGAACTAAGCGGTGTTCCGGTGCGCGGTGGCCATTTTGGATCAAATCGGGCATCATGTAAGTATAGAGGTAAGTGATATAGATAGTCACTCCAATTCCACATGCAATGACGATGGCGATGAACACAAGCGCAGTCTTCCCAAGGTTAAATCCGTATATGATCGGATATACCAAGGGAAAAGCTTCGAAGAATGAATAATAGATTCCGTATACCAGGGAGGTGTAGACGTTGGTGAAGAGTATGGCTGGGTCTTTCATCATTATCTCGATAGGCTTGGCTAAAGAAATTAGAACCTCTTGACCGAATGTTAGATGATCCCTTGCGATTTCAGATTGCGAGAAGATATTGGAGTTGCCGGTGATTCTGCGCAGTCGCTGCGCACGATGTAGGAGAATGGTGTCGGGGGAGGTCTCAGGAAGGAAGACGAGCATGATACAAAAGACGGGGCCACTCATCCATAGGATCTCCCACATTGCCCATCTCCATCTAAAAAGATAATTAACATGAAGATCTACTGAAATTTCTATCCCTAAAGACTTACCCTTCTTTGACGATGGCAAAGGCTGACAAAACTGGACCAAGAGCTGGACCACAGTATGCTGCTGCAACCCAGCTGGTCAACAGCAAGGGAACGTAAATTTCGTTGTACTGGAATTTGTCATCATAATCAGCTCCCGATCAAGGTAGTGGGGAAGACTTAGAAGAGGAAGAAATCAACGAACCATATCCCCCATTGAGGCGCCACCACTTGCCAGACAGGGACTCCCGAAGAAGCCTTGAAGAAAGCGAAGGATCATCAGGCCTGGGTAGTTATCAACCAAAGCTGTCGGAATGCAAAGAATAACGAAAATGAAAAAGGATATGAGATATGGAACATTCCGACCGTAGGCTGGGACTTCACTCATGGGCGAAAATAGCAGTGGTCCCAGGCCATCTGAGAGAAAGCAGTACGTTAGGGATTATCACTGGCAAATCGTGGTTGGATCAAGTTACATACATCCCAAAACGTATAACGCCAATCCCAACGAAGCCTCGGTTTGACTAACGTGGAAATGTTCCATGATTTGACTTCTCAGCAGTTAGTTTAGTTTCTCAGTAACAACCTTTATTTCCTGGTAGGAAACTCACCTCTCGGTTGGCACGTAGATCGCCGACCCACAGTACACCACAAAAGTATACAAACTTTCAAAACAAAATTGCAAGTCAGCCAGCCATCGATAGGGTATTAATCAAAGATGAACTGATAACCCACCATATTTGGGCAGCAGTGATCTTCTTTCTCAATGGTGACCAGTTTCTTGGATTCGTTGGGTCTTCTGGTCCATCCCACTCAACTACATGCGTTTCTTCTGTACTCCGACCGTGAGATATATCATGAACTGTTTGCGGTAGTGGATTGCAGGAGTCTCCAGATGAGGAGTTCCTTCGTGTCGTTGTGCTATCATTCTCGAGGATTTGCTTCTGCTCCACAGGTCGTTTTGTCTTTTCTTCACTTATAGGAAAATTGAATCCAGGAAGTTCTTCCGGATAGAGCAAGACACGATTACCTGTGATCCACCGCAAAATTTGGCCAATGGGCGAGTCGCGCACTATATCCATGTTGTGAGGTGAGGAAGGAGAGAGAATAGAAAGATGTGCTAACTTCTATCTAATACCGGAATGAAGAAACTATTTATTTATTATGATATTTTCAGCTTCGCCATATCCATGCATGAACCTAAATTTCGATGTATCTTATAAGGTAGAGACATGAGAAATGAGATGCCGTTCGTACGACATGCGAGCCACACCCGGGAACAAAGTGATTTCCCGGCACTCGGACCAATTGCAGATCTTCATAATCCGTATTCCATGTTTCGATTCTACACCGACACGGGTCCCAAATTGGGGCAATTGATTGAAGGAGCAACACGTTATCAATATCTTGTCATTGTAAGAGCAAAGTACACAGCGTGAAGGCTAGGCTGTGTAGCCTGTCATTAACGGATTTCTCATCAGCCCGATGAGGTCGGCAGATTTTCACGACACGTGTCTCGCATAGAATCATTTTCGGCATTAAGTTCAGCTACGCCGTCATAAACGGGTGTGAATCGTGCAAAATGGATGCCATCATCACCGGCAGATAGTCAGCAAATTCGACTAAATATAACCATGAGATAATCCACTTTGCAGGTCCGTGCCCTCGGCTGCCCAGCAGTCTTACTTACTGCATGTAGATTCTAGCCTTTCTCTTTTTTTCATAGCGCACCGATATCTCACATATTGAACTTTATGCATGCTTACTCGGCCAGCTCCGTAGCCTCATATCCCGATCAATATCTACAAAAACGGTCATGCGGCATGGAGGCGTCCTGATGGCGGCTTGAGATTCGACATGCCAAAAACGTCCTACGTAGAATCAGATGAACCTTTCAGTTGATATAAAACGTACAAATGAAACAAAACAAACTTTAAGGTGATTTCACTCAAATATCTCACAAAGGAGCGAGCAATCGGCAAATTTGACTGGGCAAGGCTCGTCTGCATAAGAATGCCACCATTGGCTGTGCTTCGCTCGTCTTGGAAGTAAGCTGATTCTTGCAAGTCACTTTCCAGTGAATTAGGGAGCAGACTTGGCATTTTTTTATCCACTGCCGGTGGCTGGGCTGCTTGAGTGAGGAGCTCGCGGGCGATCCACCTTTGATTGGATGAGAGTCGTCTGCACGAGAAAGCCACCACAGGCTGCGCTCGTACCCGACAATCACCGCTAAATATTCTCACAGGGCTGACATTGTGAAATACGCCTCTGATGGGCTTGACTATTGGATTTTTAGCGGCTCTGATTTTGTGGTGAAAGTTTTTGAAAAATGACTTACATAATGGCTCTCTCAGCAAATGTATTGTTTCAATGTTCGATACTGCACGCGGTGTTTGCGGAGGGACAAAATTTGGATACACATATAGATATCAAGAGATAACAGAAGTTATTTGAAATTAGGAAAGTAACTTCTCATTTTTTTCAAGTCATTCTGGATAGAGATAAACTGAAATCTATTGAAAGGCCAATTAGAGCCTAAGTCCCAAAGTGAGCCGGGATGAATCGGAAATTAGTGCATATGATACATATACGCAGACAAAAAGCTGGCCCTGATTGGGAATAAAGGATTCCCAATCTCGAGCGCTGGGAACTCACCAGCGAAGTTTCTATGCTTTTTCCAACCATGTCCTGAAAATTTGTCACAAGTATAGTGTTTCCGTTAGTCGAGGCCATTTGATGCTTGGCAGCAAATTAAGGAGTACTGGTTTCAGGCAATGAACTGAATAATGTCGAATGACTTACAATTTTGACGATTGACCTGGACCTCTTAGAAGTCTCTTTTGTTCTACTTTCATCCATAATTTGTTGGATTATGGGCGCTGGTGAACCCTCCATTTGCTCCGTGCCTGTTTGTCTTTTTTCTAGATGGCAATCCTCTCCCTTTGTTCTCTTTCCTTCCTCCATATCCCTAGGAAATCAAACCTTTACATTCCGGTTCCAGGCCACGTATGTCACTGCCACCTCTTCTTCCCCTGGCTGATACCAGCATCCAGCTGTCGGAACTTTGAGGCTGTTTGTGTATCTTATGGGCTGTTGGGTCTTGATGGCAACCGGTGTAGTGGATACTTCGTCTTCAAAGCTGACTTCCTACAGTGCCAAGCAGTCATGAGTGTTGCCTCGCCATCTGCAAACGATTTGATGATCAGTCCATGACATAGTCGTTGCCCAGCACCTGCTTGCTTACCTCTATACTGATCCTTGGACTCCCCGCGAAAGAGACCCTATCAATTTATGCGTCCCTGATCTCTCGGAGTTCGTCCGCGGAGATTAAAGCACGAAGTGCGGCACATACGGGATCCACGAAGGTATCTCAGCCTCTGAGGATGACAAGGATGACAACTGGCTGACAGAATCTGGCGACAGAACCATGAGTTGACGTTTACTGCTACAATCATCTCAAATCTATTACAAGCAAGATTCGGCACAACGGTGTCTGTCCAGCGTGAGGTTTTGCGGTCCTCTGAAAGCGAGAATAAACTGACTTATTTTTTCTCTATTTTTACTTTCGTGAATTGTTGCGATTGTTAATTATGAACTGCAGATTATCGTTCGGTCCCAGAGCCTGATGTCACAGTAACGATTTGCCCTCCGAATAGGGTTGCTATGGCCGCGGTCGCGATATTCTCTTGTGGCCGCTGTGTCTGCGACGTGTCATGCGATAGAAACGATAGTCGTGATCATCGCCGTCGTCAGTTAAGGAGGGACCCTCCGACCTGTGCACGCATTCTTAGCCGTCTTGCAAGTCGGTAACATCGCGTTCCTGACAGTTGTCACAGTCAGGAAGTTCGTTGTGTTACTGTGATTCGTATAGTTTCCCTTCCAGGCGTGCGACAAGCAGCTTCATGGCGTCGAATTTTCTTAGTAATATACTCACCTCCAGCTCTGAGGAACACCCGCACTATTGGTGGCGCGGGAAGAACCGTCTGTGTGGTGATTTGGAGTTACGAATCCACGGTGTTTCTCGCCCTCATCTATCTTCTGTTTTGCTTCTGTTCACTCTGCAATATTCGTTAATCGTCCTCTCAATCCGTGGTCCATTCCCCTTTGTCCATTGGCTCGCCGTTTTGGCAAATGCTCATCTCACTTGGGGACTCTTTTTCTTTGACTCAACATTTTTTTAACTATCATTCAAACACAAGGGTTGATGTGGCAGGTGGATTAATTATCATATAGTCGAGATGACTGAATATTACTTGGAAATATTAGATAGTGAGCGAAGGGGTTAAGGTCTTAACTCCGCTTTCTCCGGTTAACCACAGCAAGGTATAGATAGCCGTCTCCCTCCGTCTAATCGCAATTTAAGAGATCACACAATCGAAATGGTCAACCCCCACTCTACTTGGTTAATAACTGGTGCTTCCTCTGGTTTGGGCAAAGCGCTTGCCTCCGAAGCTCTCAAGGCTGGCTACAAGGTTCTCGGAACCACACGCGACGTCGGCAAGGCTGAAACCGCCTACCCTGACTTTTCGGCTGAAGGTGGTATTTGGATAAGCTTAGATCCCGCTCAGAATGATGCCTATGATCAATTTGCGAAGTGCTCGAAGGAACATAACGTGGGCGTTCTGGTCAACAATGCAGGCTACGCTTTCATAGGCGGCGTGGAAGATACAAGGTTTGCTGTTGCAGGCCGATTTTTATGAGGGATTCGCTAAGTGTTTTCTAGTGAGACTGAAGTCCGCGACCAGATGGAGGTGAATTTTTATGGACCTCTTCGCGCTGTCCAGGCTTGTCTGCCCGTCATGCGTGCAAGGGGATCTGGCCATGTGATTCTTATTAGCAGTGGCGCTGGGTATGTTCGCCTTCCACAGGAGAGAGAACAAAATTATGCTGTGAACTATTTCTGACCTAATATATTCTACGAACTATAGATTCATAGCACGTCCTGCACGAGGAACGTATTCGGCTAGTAAATTTGGCATCGAGGCCATTCACGAGTCACTTTCTCACGAGGTCAAATCCTTCGGCATCAAAGTGCTAATTGTGGAGCCGGGTGCTTTCCGCACCCCATTTTCCAGTCGCATCATCACCCCCGCTCGGTTTGAAAATGGCTTCAGCGAGGGCTATAAGGGCACCATGGTTGAGCAGATGGTCAATGGAACTCGGCAGCTTGCATCGCTCCCTGACTATGTCAAAGGGGATCCGAACAAAGCCGCACGGGCAATCATCAAGGCTACTGAGACAGGCTATGATTATCTTCGTATGCCACTTGGGAAGGATTGTGTTGTCGCCTTGGAGACAAAAATTGGCGAACTACAGAGAGATCTAGAAGCCACGCGATCAATTGCCACAGCTACTGATGTGGATTAGATTGCTCTGCTGACATGTGCAGCCACTCAAATATATTGCATGATCTATGCATTCAGTGGAGTAAGACCTATTGATTGAATGTGCTGAAAATCAAAAAGAAAACAAAAACATACAACAGTCAGGATTCGCATGTGGTCACCCACCATACTACTAACTAACCGGCGTGTGGCTTAAGTACGGCTGAGCGGACGGGAAGCCCTGTTTTCCACACCCTATGGTCGTATGTACTGGACATTATGTCATTTCAGAATATATTGTGCAAGTCAAAGGAGTGGTGAATAAAATAAAAAGCCTGAAAATCAATGAGTGAAACCATATTGCGGTTGGGGGATTGTGGAGGCTGGCGCATAAGGGTTTCCTTGAGGGCCAGTTCCTGTATTTCTGCAGCTGGTATAAGTCTTGAAACTGGCAGGTGGTGATTGGACAACACCGAGTTGACTTACTTCGACATATCTGGGAGGTTTAATGACAGAGAGACGTGGCGTTATAAAGGAGGATGGTTGGTGAAGAGAAGAGGAAAAAGGCCAGAGAGAGGGAATTTAATTACCGGGCTTCTCGCTGAAGAAAATAAAGTGAAAGAAAATTGTATCAAAAATGAGTGAGACCAGGCTAGCACCCACAATGCTGGAAAATTAGATAATGGTAGCTTTTATATTCATCACCATCTTCCAAGTAGGTTATAGGGAATCGCATTAATATATAACAAGGATAAAGGGAGTGGTTTTATTGGGGTTGCCTCACAATGCCTGTAGCCTCACCATGTCTGTAGCCTCACCATGTCTGTAGCCTCACGTGATATCTACACCGACATTTCCGAGGGCCTCTTCCTCCTACAACTGCCTCACGAGAGTCATTTGATGGCCTCTGCGGGTAGCTCGTCATCTCTCAGGCAGTCAAGTGTCAATTTTGTCCCTCCCACCTTCCCTCTGTATATAGAATCCACTACAATACAGACACATTGCCTCCCTTCAAGGGAGCGCGGACGGGGCCTATCTGACGCCACGGTCTACGACCGCAGCGACAGGTAACCCGTTGCGGCCAAACTAAACTCTTCTTGCTCCTCTTGACTGTGTGAGGTCACCAATAAATCGCCTGTTATAGTATTAAGAGACTTTTCCACTTCTATAAAGTAATAGAGAACTAGGAGTACACATCTAGGTCCATCCAGTCACCTATATAATTTATTCAGTGATAAGTTAGCTATTACTATCCATAGTAGATTTTGAAACATATTAAGTATATCTACCTAAAGGTCTGCTAAACCTATACCTTAAATAAACCATTAGGGTTTATGTATATAATAGAAGGAGAATGGATAGGTATAAAATAGTAGCAATCGGATTATATCAAATCTAATCCTTGAAGAATCAAGGGTGAACGTAAAGGACATAGGCTTTTTACCCTATTCTTTCTTAGTAAGGTCAGCTAAGGCCATATGATATAATATCTAAATGATCTTATCAGTTTTATGATAATAACCAAAAGCGGGCTATCATAAGAAGGTAAATAGCTTGTGAAGATATTCTCATAGTTCTAGAGGGTCTAGAAATTCTAGAGCATATAGAGTATATAAGTTAAGGGTCTTCACTAGCTCTAGCATGGGATTGAACCACCTATATAGTAGCGTATAAGAGCGTGACCGAAGTATAGGAATGATAGAATTTAGGGGCGTAAGTAAGATTCACGTCTAAATAGGGTCTAGTAGTCAATATTAGAAATAAAGTATCAATAATGAGATTAAGTAGTTGGGGGTTAGATAGTGGCTCGCTTACCGGTTACATTGCCCTAAGGATAATTTGTAGACCCTTATTTCAGAATATTCTTACAATACTCCTTGATTATAGGCGTGCTCGAAATCCAGTCTCACTCATTAACTCTGTGTAATTCTTTCTCGAACTTTGTTCTAAAATTCTCTAGTCTGCCTTTACTTTGGCCTTATGTAGGGCCATGCCATATTTTAATATTAAATTATATGATCGGTGCGGCCTATCAATGTTTCTAAACGCTTAAAATAATTATTACTTTGTATAGTTATTACTTCCTACTTTAATTTTAAAGTTCATTACCCTAAGGAGTGTTTCCTTCTGAGAAAGTGAGAATAATATAGGGAAGGCGTGTCTTTTTATCACTTTCAATAGTGGGAAGATATGAATATCTTCTATCTTCAGCCCAAAATTACCTTACAAGAAAACATTTTTTTAGAAAAGAAGCTAGAATGGGCTTTATAAAATCTAGTAGTAATCGGATTCATATAAGTTTCGTATAAAAAATTTGCCAGAATCTGGTATTTAGCCACGGGCCTAGGCGCGTTATTTTTACCCGGGAAATCCATTCAAGTCGCTATTCGGTGCATTCTACTATACCCGGCTAGAGCGGTCTTAGATCTTACCATATAAATTAAATATGAACACAGCCGTTAACTGAAGTGGCGCGCTAATCGTTAGAAGAAATATCATCGACCATGACTTTGCGTTAACCGTTAGTTATAATAGCCCGTCTTTCAGAATCTCGGCTCGCTGCCGCTGGAAAAGTTGTTGTTCTGCTCTCATCCGCATTTTGATTTTATTTAGACGTTTATAACCTAACTCCTATGCATTGGTGAATTGTTCTTCTAGTTTGTGGAGTTTTTTGATTTGAGATTTCAACTGTATGGCAATGTCTCGCTCCTTCCTTTGCTGTTTCCTTATGATAGCGGCTTCAAAATCCTCGCTCTGCTTTCGTCGACTTTCTTTAGTAGGCTTACGCTTTGAGCGCTGGTAAAGCGCTGTCCCCGTTGGATACTATGGTCGCGTATAATTCGGTCACGAAAAGACAGCAGGGGCTCCGTATTTAGTGGAATCATAACAATCGGAGGTTTCTCATCTTCCAAGTATGTTTTGCAAATATGATGATATGGTGACCACCCAACCTTTGCCTCAAGTTGTTAGTAAGTATGTTATAAGTAACGGAAGCATTGAAGCAAACCTGATATATCCCATGATCTGAGGCTACTCCCCTAATAGCAAATTCAAGTATGTCGCCAAACTTCTCTTTCGCCTGTTTGAGATTCATCAATTTACGGCCATCTCGCACTTCATGGTGCGCCATGAGATTCCTGATAACCTTCACTTTTTGCATCAATTGGCGGAAGATTATCACTTCGTCATCACCCATAATTTTGGTGAGACTTCCATCGTTCCTCTGCAATTCAAGATGAAGGATCCTAATTGTAGCCGGCAAGTCCGCTGCCTGATGACATCTGAATCCTATTGTGTTGAAATCTTGCGCATCAATTATCTCACAAAGTATGTAGCCCAAAAACTCGAGCTTGTCGGTCCAAGTCGTTAATTGTGTTTGTGCATCAAAGTAGGCCGCTGTATATTCAGACATCTTGGTAGTCAAACTGCAATATCAAAAAACCTTGACTTCGTCATAAGGCGTGCATATATAACAGTTTAGATAGGTGGGGTCGTTGCCGTTCTAGCGAATGTCATCGTCATGACTTTGGTGAGGAGATATCACCATGACGTCGACGATTTCGACTAGATAGAGCAAATTACGTTTATTGTATTTATAGAGACTGTTTCGTAGGTGGAAATTTGGTCGGTGTGAAGCCGTACCCTAGCATTACTATCTGGGTGGCGTTATTTCTTACCGTTCAGAGATACCCTGCTAAGAATGTGGGCCAGGAGCAGACTAACTCACAAAGGCGTGGCGTTATGCAAAACAGAGTTTGAGAAAGAATGGAGGATAGTAAAGAGGTGAAACTGGATTCGAGCATATGCATATCAAGTTGACGATCTATATTTTGCAATTTTGATTCAATTGAATGTTAGCCGCGCAAATCACACATGTGACCCAAAGTATTAGTATATGCTTTCTGACCTTGTTTACGTGCTCAGGAACTAGCCCATTACCATAGAGAGGTGGAAGAGGGAAGTATCTATTGGTTCCATCAACTTTAGTGGAGGCTCTTTATAACTTCCTCAATTAACTAGGCATAGTCGGCGTGTAGTAAACGAAAAATAACCTATGAAAGTAGCCGGAGTAAGAAGTGCGATTTTTGCCATTAATTCTTGTTACTGCGGCGTTGTTTAGGCTAGTGTCTTTGAGGCTATGCAAAATCCTCGCATTCTATAGATGAATCCAGAGATATTTCTAGAGGGGTTCATCATCTAGTGCGGAGCTCTTTTCTCGGGCTTATTCTGGTTTATTACGTTTTATTGCCGCAACTGCCAAAGTGCAGGACGTGAGTCGGGACGAAACTCCCAAACAGCCGCCGGGCGAATCAATCGATTTTGTGCTTCCTTTTCAGGATCTCAGCTCCGACTTGAACATTCAATATGCACATGTGGCCTATACGATGTTGGATGAGATGCTCCAGCACTGGTACTGAGCGTTGATTATTACTTTGCTTGACCGCTGATTGATTGTGTTCTTTTCGAGCAGGACGGTCTAGAACGACGGAACTGGAAGCCTTATTTTGGAATTAAAATTCTATCAATTGGAATATGTATAACACACCGCTCTATGTAAAGTCTGCGGTTCTATAGGTACAGTAGAAGTTTACCCGTCCGGGTTTTTATGCACACTACATGAATATTGGAGACAAATGGCTATGAAAAGCTCGAGATAGGCGACCGAGTTGCCTCTTTAATAACACTATATAATCTAGATTAAGTTATTTCCTAACACATACGACCATAGGGTGTGGAGAACAGGGCTTCCCGTCCGCTCAGCCGTACTTAAGCCACACGCCGGTTAGTTAGTAGTATGGTGGGTGACCACATGCGAATCCTGACTGTTGTATGTTTTTGTTTTTTATCTATGTTCGTTTTCTAGACAGAAACTATGGCGGAGTCTCCAAGAGCACGCAATTCCAGGCATCGGTAACCTGCCGCCGAGCATGGATTTATATTTGACCGTAAATTCAATCAAAAGGCGGAAAATTCTATGAATTCTTGTAATAACATGCTTGAAAATAGAACTAAACCAAAAACCAAACAGAATTTGGTTAAGAAGTGGTCATTGGCAACAATCACGACGGTTGAGTCGATGCAGAACCCTGGAAAGGGAGATGTCTGTTCACTAAACGAGCTCTCAACTCCTCAGCTCAAACTAGAATCGATTTCCTGAGACTGCCCTCGCGCATCCGCGTTAGTCTCGCTGTTACGGCGGAACGTCCATTTAGTTTGATTTCATTGGCCCTCGAAGCAAACGCCCGGATGTAGTATTGTCAAACATAGAATCGCAATCACGATCATGGCTCCCTCAAACACCATAAAGAGAACTTGGTTGTTTGCCAACGAGCTGTGGAATCCACCCTTCAATTCTGCAACTCGAAATACGGATCTTGTAAAAATGGCAACAGTTGCCAAGGCCAGACCTAGACTCACGGTCAACACTTGATGGGTGAAAGGGGGGAGATGCTCTTACCAGCAAGAAATCCTTTCCATCTAAGGCCATTTCGAAGCTCACACATTTCCGGCTTCTCATTGAGAGCGTCCGGGTTTTTATGCACACTCCATGCATATTGGAGACAAATGGCTATGAAAAGCACGAGGGAGGCGACCTGGGTTGCCAAACCAGCAATCAAAATTTTGACACCGGTTTGCGCGACAATGTGCTGATTAGAGTCGGCAATCGAGGTAATGGCACCACCCGCGGCTTGGAGGATCAGTGAAATCAAGTCACAAAGAACAAAAAATATTGTGTAGGTGCGAGGCTGGAGGAGCGATATTCTCTCACGATAGATTTTCACAATTCGTCCGAGGCAAATGTAAATTGACGCGCTGAAGAATGCCGGTCCAATGGTGAGGCAAACCAGATATCTATATGTTTTCAGTTAGTATGCGCGGGTTCTTGATGACTGCGAGAGAAGTCAGAATATCATGACTCACTCTAGGTATGGGTTGAAGAGAAATGGATTGTCGTGCATCTGTAACCTTCCCGCATATCCAATGATTTCGAGCACCAGGCCGCCGAAAAGGCCTGCTGAAAAGCCCCAGGTCTTGTATCTAATACCTAAACCCAATTGAAATATCAAGAAGACCGCAAAAAGGGCCAAGTAGAAGGCATTGTCAGCCAGCGAAGGAAAATAGTAGACATAGGCTTCGGTAATGGGACAAGTCGCCAATATGCAAGAATCAGAGTTTGTCTCGGCTTTCAATTGAGGGAAAGGGTAGGTTGGCCTGGTATGATGAAAGTTCTGCTTTTAACTCAACATAAGAAAGCTCGATGCCTGGATTACCCCCATGAGGCCCAGGAAAATGCGGCGCCGAATAAAAAGCGATCTTTTCTGAAATGCCTTGAAGTTCCACAATGTGCATGAGGTATCTGTCAGACGCATACCCCGTATCCGCTGCCAAATACATGCCCAGGCTTTCGAGACATAGTAGATATAGGAAGTAAAACCGCTTTTGTAGAATTTGAGAAATTCTTAGACATATTAGTCGCCATAAGAACCTCGGATTCTTCAAAGATTTGGATGACAGATTTTCTTACGCAGATGAGAATTAGAAACATCCTATAATAGCGCGTCTCTCATCCCGTCCCCGGGACACTAAATCTTTATCGTCATCACCATCGAAGCTGACCCGTGTCGTCCAATATCGCTGCTCTGGGGGACGATCCAGTTGTAGATCAGTGATGACACTGATGGCAAGACTTAGATACTGATAATACCGCCGTGGCCTAGAGTGATACTGGCACCTGTTCCTATTACCAGACATAATTCAAACTGGGGGAGGTGAAAAAAGTCGTGTAATACCATGCAATATGGACCAAAAGACCCTGTAAAACTTCAAATGAAATTTTCCCGCTACCAATAATGCATTCGGAGATCGCCTTTTTAGATTCCATCTCTAGCTTGCGCTGCAGGAACAAATTTTCGTATAAGGCGGCATTGATGATCGCAAGGAACAGTAATGGCTTTTCTCGGCGCAGCTGCTGCGCATTCACCTGTGGTGGAATTATGACGAACGGGCAGTAGTGGGTAAGAGTAGTTTGATAGACTTTCAGGAGAACATTGGCTGCATCAATCGTCAGGAGCCCTTGATCGATTACATCTGTGCAGGCGGCAGGAGCAATCGTAGCAACGCTGACTGGAGATCCATCGGCCGTGCTACCATCTTTCTTCTGACGCCTCAGACGAATTTCATGAACATCTCACTATAATGATAACTTACCAGACCTCGATTCCCCGGAAGCGCCAGCAGCTGGTCAACTTTCGCTTCCAGTGCATCCATCCTTCTTTACAACGGTCAGTTTGAGAAAATGGAGCATTCATCTCAACCCCTACCTATCTTTACTATTCCTGCGGGTTGCTTCTGTGCTTCGATCACCAGTATACTGACAAATCTTTCCTAGGCGGTCACATCTATACGCAGTCTGAGCATGCTAGGCCCACATGATGGGCATAACTCACCGGTCGCAATTTCCAGTCTCCTTTTGTCGATCACAGCGTATTTTGGCTTCGCGCAATTCTGACAGATTTTAGAAGAGCCATTGGAATTAATTTTCACCTTCGGAGGATCAGACATGAGTGAGGGGCTTATTGTTAGTAACAAAACAAAAAAAATATGTCGCGGGCGGGGAAGGTTTACTCACAAGGGAAAACAAAGAACTGGAGGTACCACCTATTGAATGGGGGCCAAAACCGACTCGCCAAGGAGGCAAGTCAATTAGCGCGTCAGCGTGGGTGGCTTAGTAAATGGTTGACTAGGAACGCTTGGCGTGTGCATGTGAATGATCTTATCAGTACACTTTTGACAATCTTGCTGATAGCCTGGTCGCTGTACACGCTGCCGTTGGTTAATAGAAGACGCGGAAAAATTTAAAATGGAGGAAGGAAAGAAAGCAATAAAGAACGTGAGGCTGAGGACTATAATAATTGTGAAGCCCGAGCTGGTCCTGTTTGGAATCACAACAAACATCTAGCCAATCACCAAGCACAGAATCAGGTATACACCTATGGTGCCTGGAATACAAGGCTTCAACAAATCTCTTTCCAAGTCTCTCTTTTCTTGTCCTCTAGATGTGCACTAAAGAATTCAACTCGAAATGGTGATCAGTACATACATGATACGACCATAGGGTGTGGAGAACAGGACCTTAGTTGTATGACTAAGCAGCAGTGAGGTCCCCGCGTTTACATTTCAAACCGCACCCACACCATCCAAAAATGATACGAATCACGCCTTGACTCGCGTACGAATAAACAGATAACAGTGAGGCTTAACCGACGTTTTCACTAAAAATGATACCTGTAGGTAAAGAAATGTGGTACCTCAAGGTCATTGCTCATGAAAACAGGAACATCAACCGCCATCCGGCTGGAATGACTGCCCGGCGGATATCTTTTGTTTGGTGTTCCACTTTCTCTCACCTGCTGAATTCCATGTACTTAGTCTCGTGAATAAGAACTTCCGCATATTCACTGAGCCATTTCTCTACTCCAAGATCCAGTGGATCTGGCGACAGCCTAAATTTTCCTCCCCCAATCACTCAGTTATTGCGGACAATCCTTTGCAGGCCGCAGCTGGCTGCTTACATTAAAGACATCCGCCTCGAAGGCCCTGTCTTCGACAAGCTTCCGCCTCGAATCCCTGCCTCCAGTGCCGAAATAGACAGTGCCACTAAAATTTAACCGGACCATCAGACTCCGCCATAGCGACCTTTGGATGAAAGGATTAGTCCAGGGTACAATGGATGCTTTGGTTGCTCTCCTTTTGGCACAACTCTCCAATCTAAGTTATCTATATCTTGGTGCTGCGATTACACAACAGAGTGACAATATTGGCATGATCCTCCGTTCAGCTATCTATGAGCCTGCGAGTCAAAGGCTACCAGACTTTCAGCATCTCCAAGATGTCACTGTCCTCACTAGAACCAATTATCAAATATGCCAGGTCCTTATACAGTCACTCCCTAAATGCCAATTTCGGAAAATGAGGAAATGTCAAAAGTTCCACCCGGTCATCGTAGAAAATATTTTTATGCCACTTTTATTGCCACCCATGTTAACTTTATTTTGACCTATATTGAGACTTTGACATGGGCCGGCTTATTGGGCTAATCCCTTACCCAAGCCCACCTACCCAAATTTCTATCTTCTCTCTTATATTTTATGGAATATCCCTATCTATAGATAAATAAGTATTATCTTTGTTAGTCTAATAGCCATTCATATAAATAAGGGTAGGGTAAGGGTAGACTTCGGCAGGCCCGTGGGCATGCCCGTGTGGACGGCCCGCGGGCCTGTCCAGGTGGACAAAAAGTGATTTGTCCATGGATTGGCCCACCAAGAAAAGCCCGTAAGGCTCGTGAAAGTGGATCTTATTTTCAGGCATAATTTATGGAAAATATCGTGTATTTATAGTTTTCGAGCAGTTAAATACAGCCAAAAAAAAAACACACACAGTAATCATATTCAAGAAAGAATTCATAAAGTTTGAGAAATTGAAACCAGTCGGCGCCGGATACGAACATGTTTGCCAGGAGGATTGAAGATGAAAAGGTATAGGAATTTAGAAATGATTGCATCACATAAAACGCTTCGCACCTGGGTGAGTTAAGACAGGGCTTTAACTTGGCTGCTTTTCATCTTTGCGATCTCAGACGTAACCACTTAAAAAATCTAAGAGTGAATAAAAAGCAGTGAAGATAATGAAAGGCCAGCCCGCCGTGTCGATCTATTCGTCGATCTTGTCTCGCTTTTAAGGAAAGACGATAATAACCGAGCAATATAGGTTCCCCTAGGATACACTTCCCTGGAGGTGCCCCTTTAGTCCGTATTCCGCCCCCACAGGAAGTATCGCAACCATCTTACGCGGCCTCGATTCAGGTTTTGAGGCATTTTGCAATGATTAAGAGTTGTGTCTTGCCTGGGTTATACCATATCACGACTGTCCCTTTTGTTGCTAATTCTTTATTGTTTAGATAAACAGCATGCAGGCATCGCTCAATTGAATCAATTCAGTCGTAGCCCTTCACAGCTCTGTAGCCTAGCTTATAGGGGATTATCGGGATTAAAGAACATCTCTTATTTGAAAAGGGTAATATCTATCAAAGCCAAATTCTGCTGAAGTAAGGTTGCTATTTCGTGTAGATATAAATAGGTATGTTCTCATAAAAGATTTTGAAGTGTTTCTAACATCGGCGGAGTGATCCTTCCTTGTGGACTAACACGATTCGCAGGAGCTTAATCACTGCCAGGCCGTGTCATTTTAACGAATTTAAGTCACAGTACGCGTAGTGCAATCAGCAGCATCGGCTATCTTATACATTGTTAGTGCTGTGTTCTCTGCTAAATCGTAAGTTTCCTTTAGCTTCTTAGGGCGAAGATTAGATGCCATATATACAACGGTATTGAGGTTTGATACTCCAAAACTTTTGATCCGAATATTCAACTTATCATTTGTTGAGAGAAAAAGATGCATGGATGAAAAGGAATAATGTGATCCTTGTGCGGCGATCAGAGCTGCAGCATATACAACGCCGCTTTCGGGCAACTTTTTGGTCTTATCTTTATAATTTGGACTTCCAGAAGCGGGCTTCAGGGGGTTGACAATGCTGGTTAACGTAGCGATTGTGGAAGACGCAGGGCAACCATGGATTGAGTATCTTTCTATATTAGAAAATACCAGAGACCAAAAAACATAATCATAAAACCTCCTCTCGAGCAGAAGCTACAATCATAGATTGATCGTGTTGGGCGAAATCCCCAATCTGCCGTTGATCCAACTACTTAGAACCCTCTTTCCCTTCAAAAATACTCGTCTTGACGAACCTTGACCGTCGAGCGAGCATCTCCGCAACCTGTGCCATTGGTATGGAGCTCATGATCTCCTTCATCTGGACATGAGCACCCAGCTGTGTGACAATCCAGTTCCTGAGCTCAACGGAGATGAGAGAGTCCACTCCATAGCTGGCAATCGACCGGTCGTCCTGTAGCTCAGTCTCTGGGATGGCAATAAGTTGAGAAAGTTTGCTTTTAATTGCAAAGAGTGTAAACTTGATGGCTGCGACAGGGTCAGCGGTAGCCCGCAAGATTGGTTGCACTCCAGGAGGGGCTTGTGTTCGGCTGTCAAGCGCTTCCCCGGGTGCCGGATTGATCCATATGTGAGAAAAGCGGGCATCTGGGCGCTCGACAGATTCTTCATCCATGTGGGACTGTGGATCTACTCGTCGTACTCGGCACAATATCTGCGCATCATCTGCATCATTCACGGGTGGAGCTTGAATCGCGCAGTTTATCAGAGCCAGAACCTCCTGCATGGTGGTAATCTGGATCCCATGCTTAAATAGCAACTTCATCACCTCCTCCGCGTCTGGTCGGTCAGCAACCACTCCTCCGGTAGTAATTAATCCAAGATCTAATGATCGGACAGGGAGGCCGCGGAGGGCATGGTGCCGGGCAAAAGCATCCTGGAACGTATTTGCAGCAGAATAGCTGCTGGTTCCGTATATACCAACGATACCACTCAAGCTGCTGGTGAGAATGAGGAAGTCAAGCTCAGCACCGAAATACTGGGTCAGATTCATTGTTCCTGTCACTTTCGTTCTGGTGCTGGTTATCCATTCTTTGCGAGTCATCTTGCTGACCGTGGCGCCCAACTGAAAGTGATTAGAATTAGTAGCCAGAACCACCTTCAAAAACCTAGCGTGTCACATACCGTTGAGGGTGTTGCTGCATGTATAATACCGCGCAATGGCCGGTTCCCACTCGCGGTTTGGACTTTAGCCATAGTGTCAGGGTCAGCCACATCCCCTTTGATAGTCGTCAAGTCCACATTGAGCCTGCGCAACTCTTCAGCGAGGGTGTTCATTTTCTTTGTGTCTCCTCCAGATCGGGATAGCGTAATGACATGCCCCCCCCCAAGTTGTCCGAGAAACTTGGCCGTGGCACGACCAACCTCTCCAGTACCGCCCACAATGAGGTAAGAGCTATCACTCTGAAGTTTAGCCAACTTAGGCCGAGGAGGTTGTACCTAAAGAAAAATCAGATCTAATCCGACAGCTTTATGGAAAGTTGAGATCCTACCATCATGTTGCCCATTGACTTTATACGCACTAAGAGCATCCCTGTGTGCCTCCCAGCCTGCATATCGCGAAAGTGGTCGCCGATCGCTCCGATGGGTTTTGTCACGATGGGTGAAACAGGCGTCGTCTTTGAGCTATGCACAAGGTCGAGGCAAGTATGGACGAGGCCTTGGACCACGCTAGGGCGCTCTAATGCGAGAAGTGCCAGGTCAACAACGGCGAAAGTGATATTTTTTTCCAGGCTTCGCATCTCAAGTCGCGCGTTCGATAAAATATCTTTCTTGCCAATCTCGACAAATCGACCAAACGAGGCGAGAGCATTGCAGCTCTGTCGAATTGCGTCTCCACTAAGTGAGTTCAGCACAACATCGACCCCTCGTCCATTTGTTCGATGGCGAACTTGTTTGCTGAAATCCGTGCTGCGGGAAGATATTATGTTTTCATCTGGGATAGAAAACTTCTGCTTTATGAATTCAGCCTTCTCCGGGTTGCCGACTGTAACAAAGATCTCGCTGGCACCAAAATATTGGGCCAGTGCAATTGCTGCCTGACCCACTGCACCTGCGCCGGAGTGGATGAGGACGGATTCACCGGGTTGAATACGGGCAGCATCCCGCAAGGCATAAAGGGCTGTTGCATACACAACTGGCACGGCGGCAGCGGACTCTATATCCATACCTTCCGGAATGGGATGTACGTACTCAACGCCAATGTTGCTAGTCGTTGCTAGTCCGTGTGGGTGAAAAGCATAAACAGCTTGCCCAGGGGTATAAATTCCTTGGACATCTTCACCTACTTCTTTCACAATGCCGCTGCCTTCGAATATTAGCGTTGAGATGCCAGGTAACTGTCCCATCGCAACCATTAGGTCTTTGAAATTCAACGAGGTGTAGTGCATTTCGAGGCGAATTTGTTTAGGCTCGAGAGCTAGCGAATGAGAAGGAGAATCAATCCAGTAAAGTGAGTCTAAGATCCCGGGGGTGCCAATCCTCAGCACAAGGGCGCGGTCTGGCTTCACCTCGGCTTCTAGACGAGGGTGATATTGGGATATCGAGTCCCGGACGTAGTCTTCTATTTGAGAGTCGTGAACTAGGCGAGGTATCAATACCTTCCCCCCCCGGATGGCAAATTCCCATTCCAAAAGAGGCTGTTCATGAGTGACAGAGTCAATGGTGCCGCGGAAAATACGTAAGATGTCTTCTGCCGTCCGGACATCCGAAGCTGACTGAGGGTCAAGATCGAGGGTCACAAACTTCATTTCATGATTTTCAGATCTCAGGCTACGAGCCAGACCGCTGATCATACCCTGACTGGGTTCTGGACAATCAACAGTACCTCCGCAGCTCACCCACAAAATACTTTCCGCTTGACTCATGATGTGACGAAGGTTATTCCAATGTTGCTCCGAAGGCGATTGCAAGAAGTTGCTTGTGAGTTCCAAAAGAAAAATAAACTTACCACCGGGCTCTAAAACATCTGATAGATATGCTTGGGATACGGTGCGAGACGCATCTTTTGATTGTAGTGCTTCACACAGGTGGCGACCGACCCCGTTTTCCTGATCCATTGTCACGATCTTGACCTCGTCCTGCGAGTCAATCCCCTCCAATTGTATCTTAGCAGATATGATCGTGCTGAACTCGTGCTGGTGCGTGCAAATGTCTTTCATCTCAAGATCCACGCCGGAGAATCCAGCGTTCTTCAATGCCTTGTCCCATCCAGCTGTGCTGAGAAGTGGAGACAGGTCACGATCATCCTTATAACCACGCCACCAGCCCGGTAAACAGCCCCAGAAACCGAATCGCAAAGAGGGATTCGTTACTTCAACAATCGCAATTTTTCCGGTCGGTTTCAAAAGTTTACGAATATGAACGAGAGTTTGATCCATGATTTGCGTCGCGTGAAGTACATTAGACGCAACAACCAGATCAAAGGACTCGGGCTCGAATCCTTGCTCTTCAGGAGATACCTCGATATCAAGTTTTTTGTACTCCAAAAAAGACCCAAGCTTTCCTAGCTTAGATTTGGCACGAGTGAAAAATGCGGTAGATATATCTGTGAAGACATATGTCCCTCTACCGTCAGAATCAGCGTCCCCAAATAGAGCTTGGGCAAGAGGGAGGGTCAGTCCGCCAGTACCACCCCCTATCTCCAGAATACGCATATCCGGTGCTTTGAAATTAGCCAACTCAACATATTTGGCCAGTTGCTCTTGGCAAATTTTAAGCAGGATATCTTCTGAATAGATTTCATCGGCCAGATCATTCTGGAAAAGAATCTCCAGGGCGTCGATATCTCCTAGCAGGAAGTCATGCAGGTGTGGTTGGAGTTGAGACAGCAACTTTCCCGAGACGCCGGAGGCATCTATGCGGCTCTGCAGCTCTTTGTCAGGATTTGATGTGCATTCGACGTATTGGGAACGCATCCACTGGAGCAGTTGATGTCGATGGTCCACTATCTTCTGTTCATCTTCTGTAGACAGACCATCCAATGTCTGACGAATAATGACACGACAGTACTCATCGAGCGTAGATCTGAAGTCAGGCAAAATTTGGGGAGGCTTTAGGAGACAGTGGCTGAGTACGTCTTGACTGGTTGACAAAGTCGGATCTAAGCTCCACTGAATTCGGCAGAATGGTGCCTTCGTTCGTGAAGATTTCGTATCCGTAGGCGCATCACTCAACGGGACAAAGGAGACCCCCTTTGCATGGAGAACCGCCGCGCCTTCTCGGTTATCCGGGTCCATAGCGATAATTTCGGCCTTGAATCGTGAAGTACCATGGCTGCAAACCTGCGCTTCCACCGTAAGGATGCTTCCCGGCTGTGAGGCAATATTCGATGATAGGTGAAGCTCATCAAGCCACTCAATTATGCAAGTAGAATTGAGCTCACTCGAGGCTTTCATGCCGAGGAAAGCAGTATGGAAGCACGAGTCGAGTGTAGCAGGGTGGATGAGATGGGTCTTTTGATGGCTGAATGGCATGCCCGAGCCGGTGTCTGGAATTTGAATAGTAGAGAGCCCCTGAAGATCACGAGATCGACCTGTCTGCATAGATGTGAAAGGCCCTGAATATTCGAGACCTATAGCAGCCAATTCCTTATAAAACTGCTCAAGCTTGACTTCTCGCCAAGAAAGTGCCTCGGCGGAATTTCCATGCCCCGAGTCATCGGTGAATAAGTGGATCCCAAATCCAGCATCTTCACGTTGTAGCGTATCTTCGAAAACAGCCACAAGGCCTCGACAATGCTCTGTGGACTCACTGCCATTGAGGGAGAAAACACGGAACTCCTGCCATATTTCTGAATTATCCTTCCAGGAATAGGACGCGGGCCGCACCTGTACTAAGGTCTCGATCTGCTCTGAATCTTCTGCGATTACGACGGGAACCTGAATCGAAACTTGTCTGAAGTAGATATGCCTGTCTCGGAAGGTGTGGCCAGTTGTAAGAGACTGTTGCTGCAAGGCTTCTACTATCATGGTGATGTACCCAGCTACAGGGAATAGGATCTGTCCTTGGATGCGGTGGTCTTTCAGCCACGGTAGCTCGGAATGACGCAGATGATTCCGCCAGATAGGCTCCACGTCGACGCTGTCCTCAGTTCTGAGGCCCAAAAGATCATGCCGTGGGAATTTGCGCAGCCTGTAGGCGTCGCTCCTACGAGACATACCCCAGTAAGATGTTTCATGATGCCACTGGTATGTTGGTAGGTCATGTAGGACCTTCTGTGGTGTCTCTTGCGTTGGGTTGTTGACCATGTCATGGTTGATGTTGACACCATGGAGAAAGAGCCTTCCCACCAGGTCGAGGGTTGTTGCTACAGCATTTTTTTGTCGAGATAAAGTGGAAAGGTAGATTGCCTGACTTCCCAAACCGGTCGATCCTATTACCTGCATGATCGGTGTGCGGAGCGCTGGATGTGGACCAAGTTCAATGACTATGTTTAAGTCGGAAGGCGTCTCTGTACTACGCTTCAGGATATTGGAAAGGGCACCAGAGAATCGAACTGGCGATATCATGCTTCTTGCCCAGTAGCTAGCATCAAGCTCATTAGGCTGTATTTCCTCTTCCGTAACCGAGGATATCATCTTGATGGCGGTATCCCCGGCTGGCAGCGGAGCAATGTGTTGTATAAGAGACTGGTACCCCTCGGCTGCATGACTCATGTAGGGCGAATGATAAGCAAAATCCACATCCAGGAATCGAGTGAATATGCCTTCCTCTTTGAGCTGCGATTCGAGTATCTCTAGATGAGCTCTTTCCCCAGATAGAGTCACACTTGACGGGCTGTTGATGCAGGCAAGTGCTATCGGTTCGCCTACCCGCGCAACGTATTCCCGTGCCCGTACGTCGCCAACAGATACGGCCAGCATGGCACCAGAAATATTCGGCGCCTTAGATTTCGTCATTAGACCACGGAGGAAGGCCACCTTTATCGCATCTTGGGCGGTGAGATGTTTGGCCGCATATGCTGCTGCAATCTCTCCGCTCGAATGCCCGCAAACCAAGTCCGGGCGAATGCCCCATGATTCCAAAAGATCTACCAAAGCAATCTGAATGGCAGTGCTGCAAGGTTGGGCAAACTCCGCATCAGAGAGTCGAGATATATCTCCATGGCAGGTAATTTCAGTGGTGAGAAACCACGACCCGCCCAAGCGGATGATTTCCCGCTCAGATGCTTGAATGGAACGGGCAAAGACAGGGTACAGTGCTATGAGGTCGCGACCCATCCCGGCCCATTGAGCACCTTGTCCTAAGAGGGAGATCGCTCATCAGTTGAGAAGATCAGCGGAAGAATGTAAGGTGGCAGGGACATTACCGGTGAAAACATATTGGACTTTTGGTCGCAAGGCTGACTTTGTTGGATGGTCAACGCTTGTGGTAATGCGGTCCAAACGATCCTGAAGCTCGGTGATGGAAGATACCACAAAACTTGCTTTGTACGAATGATGTGAGCGTTTGGTACCAAGGGTAAAGGCAAGATCACCGAGAAAAGAATATTCCTTTCCCTGCTCTGGCTTGATATCAGACAGAAATCGCCTCAATTTCTTCGCAGCCGCCACAAGCCCTTGATCGCGTTTATGGCTCAAAACAACGAGCAAGGGCCTATGTACAGAGGCCGATCTTGGGGACTGGGCAGGCGCGACTTCAAGGATTACATGTGCGGGTGTCCCTCCATATCCATTACTATTGATGGAGACTCGTCGCGGTAGACCTTCTGGCCATTGCTGAAGCTTGGTGGGAACCCTTATGCCTGACTCGGTCAATTGGAGGTCTTCCCTAGCCCGAGTAAAAGTCGGGTTTGGTGGAATCATCCCATTTTCCAGCATCAAAATCCCTTTGATGATACTTGCAATTCCTGAAATTAACTCCGTGTGGCCAAGATTTGCTTTCACACTGCCCAAAAGCAGTTCGGTGTCTTTCATTCGACCTTGGCAGAAGATCTTTGCGACGGCCTCTGCCTCTACCTTGTCTCCCATAGGTGTCGCAGTGCCTACCAACTGTTAGCTAGTGCTATGCAGGTCGGGTGTTAGAGATATCGATATGCATACCGTGGGCTTCGACAAATGGCGTATCCTTGGGGTCGAGGCGGGCCTGTCTGTATGCTTTCCAAATAACTTTTTGGTACGCATCCAAAGACGGCATCGTGATGCCGTGCGTTCTTCCGTCAGCACCGATCGCAGTACCCCTAATAACGGCTCGGATGGTGTCTCCATTTTGTTGGGCTACGTTCAATGGTTTCAGCATCACGGCGGCCACCCCTTCGCCTCGGCCATATCCGTTTGCCTTTTCATCAAAAGCATAAGAACGACCATGATCGGACAGGACCCTATGAAGGGGAATTTCAATAAGTTGGAAAAAAGAAATTCAAACTGAACGATAGATAATGACTCACTGCAACGACGCCATTATGGCGGTGCGTTCCGGATCCAAAATCAAATTGGCACCACCTACCAGAACCTGGTCGACATCACCAGCACGAAGTGCTTGACAGGCCTCATGAATCGCATAGTGGGCACTGGAGCATGCAGTATCGATTACCATACTAGGTCCGCGAAGGTCAAATGCATACGACACGCGATTAGCAGTAAATGAAGGCCCAGTTCCCGTAAAGCGATATCTGCAAAGAGGTTAGACTGGATTTTGATTAGGCCTCTACCGAGACCGTATTTTTGTTCATACTTCGGAGATGATTCGGGATCCCGGCTTAGCATAGAATCATAATCATGTGGGCTACCTGTGCAGTATACCCCCGTATTGGATCCTTCCAATTCTTCCAATGCAATCCCTGCATCTTCAAATGTTTCATACGCGACCTCGAGCATCATTCGGTGGTGAGGATCCATAGCCTTGGCCTCGACGCCGTTGATAGCGAAAAAGTCGTTATCGAACACCGCTGGATCCTGCTTAAGAAGATGAAAACCTCGAGTATTGAACTGACCCATACAATGAGTGACCCTGGCACAGTAGCTTGGGGGACGTGGCGGGCTTTTCTACTCACTGTCCCGCTGATGTCTGGTTTTGGATGCCAGAATGCATCCATTTTGAATCGATTTCCCGCGTTTCCGCTCCATCCTGTGCGGCCCTTAGAAAGCACGTTCCAGAGGTTCGACGGGTTTGTTGCATCGCCGGCAAAACGACAAGCCATGCCAATAATGGCGATAGGCTCCACCGGTGGGGTCTGTTGGCCTGACATTTCGTTGACAAGAGTTGTCATGACTTTCTTAGAGAAGTACACAATTCAGTGAGGAATTTTTCTGGGTATGTTTACAGATAACAGTCTCTATTGTCAGCATGAAATATCGAGATCAAGTGGAAACAAATTTGGGGGAATTCAAATATATCATCGCTAGGAAATCAGAGTGACGAAGAAGAATGCATAGCAGTGGATACTGCACCGTGAAGCACCTAGAAATGTCGGATGACACTCGCTCGATCGTCACTCGCTATCTGAAAATGCACGACCAACGCAATGGTAGGCGTAAGTTGCGTGGTCTCAATTGCACTGCACAGTAAAAATAGGGAATAGAGTTCGCACAATTGTCACTCGACATTGAACAACGCATGATTGCCCCGGTGGTCTGCATTATCTGGATCTGGATACGATTTTCGGAGGGGTATCAACGACCCTCCGTCAGGAAAACGAAATTCCAATGGTATGGAAATCAGGCAAGCAACGCCACATAGGTAGCTGATGTCAGGGTCTCCATTCATAAGCATTTTGTCAATCCTCTATGAGATCCGTATACATGCCCCAATCTACGCAGGAAAATTCATACAGACCATATATTTTCAACATGTGTTTGCAGAAGATCATTGTTCGGCCTACCTATCCTATAGTTCCTGGTGTGGAGGATTTGGGACCGCTGGACCAATACACCGTCCGCATGTATATGCCAATCGCTTGTCTTTTTCGGGTGGATTCGCCAGCGCTACGTCCGAAGATCCTTCAAGACCTCCAAGCGGGACTTTCACGCACCATCGATGACATTAATTTCCTCGCCGCGAACATCATCCCTCAATCTGAAGAGACCGATACAATCCAACTGGAATACGGAGATAATCCTGGGGTGTCGTTCTACTACCAGGTAATCGAAGCTGTTGAATACCAAGCGTTGTTCGCCTCACACTTTCTGTTTTCCCCGGAATTTGTGGAGCAATTTGTTCCCGAGCCACAGCTACATCAGCAACCCCGCTCTCCCGTTCTTACTGCAAAGGTGACCTTCATTACAGGTGGGCTGATCCTGACCATCAATCCGCATCACAGCATTCTAGATGCACATGGAGTTGCCCAGATCATTCATCTTTGGGCCAGGCATACTGCTGCAGAGTCCGAGGGCCGCACACTCGGCGAGGGTGAAAGACCGACGCCGGAGAGCATAGATCCATATTTCGCTGGCGGACACGGCCCGCGGGAACGGTCCGAGTTCAATCCATATCAAGTTTCTCCGGACATCGACTATGTAGCCACACAGGCGGATATTATGAGAAGAGTCTTGTCTGGTGACAAGACCAGGCCTGAGCTCATTCCAAAGGCCTCTCACTGGCTGATTTCGCCAAGCCTCCTCAATAAGCTGCATGCTACTGCATCCTCACCATCCGCAAATATGCCGACTGTGACCCAAAACTCTGTTATTGCAGCCCTAATCTGGCAGAGAATGATTGCGACGTGGCAGGTATTGGGACACGAAATGAAGTCAAGCGCGCTGCGTACAACCGTGAACCTGCGAAGACGTATGGATCCACCACTTCCAGCAGGCTATCTGCGAAATGTCATCGTCCTATCGGGGGCCACAGTTGACATTCAGCATATGCAAACCATCTCATCTGACCCGGTCTACTATCTTGCGCGGCAGATCGGGGACTCAATCGAGTGGTGGACCCCGGAGCGGATCTGGGACTTCACTAGCGCGATTGATTCGTGGCCGGATAAGAATGGCCGGATATTTCCCCCGGTCGGTCGAGACGTTTTCGTTACCACCCCTTCGCAACTGGGAGAGTTAGTCTGGGAATCTCGGTGGGGTAGGGAGCTTGGTGCAGTTCAGGCGCTGCGGTCTGCTGCAACGGCATACCTGGACGGCACGACCCTTGTGCTGCCGACTGCGGATGGAGGACGAGATATCATGATCTTCACCACGACAGAGGTAATTGAGATACTCAAGAATGACACAGCATGGACCACCTGGGTCGAATTTCTAGGTTGACCAATTTTATAGAGATTTTAAAGACCGCACATTCTTTAGAATTGATTCAATCTGATTAGTTACACCCTACTTTTGAAGAGTAAATACAGTATTACGTAGTAAAATCTGCATTTAATCATGAATACAGAATCATTTCACTAAGTTAATTCTAAATAGGACACATAATTGCAGAGTTTATATGGTATAGACTATTACAATACGTCTCCAAACTACGGTCTCCCATATCGGAGGGGGACAGCGAATTACGCTGTGTATTTTAGGTTGCCCATTTGCGGTTTAGCGCTCTTTGTCCTTGACGTCCTTGTGCATGGTTCTATACTTCCCGCCCCCCAACAACAACAACCCATCATCTCACATTTTTCTTTTCGCCTTCATCTTCCCTGGTCTGTGCAGGTGAGGGAATTTCGCTATTGATTCGGACCACCGAGTTCCTGAGCTGCGCTAACCCCGTTTTCCTGTGCGACTCGTCATCAACTTTTCGCGATTTTTCCTCACCTCTGGTTGCTTTGAGCTCTCATCTCGTTCCTGATCAGATGCTTTTTCTGAGGCTAAGGCCTTGAACCTAGTCTCCGAATTTCCAAGTCTCTTGTAAGTAGATATTCGTCGGTCGTTCGTAATCCCTTTATCGATGTGCCTTCCGCTCTCTCTGGACTGTCTTCGGTGCAACGCCAGGCACCTACCAATCTCACCGTATCGAAACAATCGACGAAGTCGAACGAAGTCGAAGCATTGTGGCGTCGCTTCATCGACTGTTCAGCACTGTAGGTAAGCCAATCTATCACAAATGTCCACGTCAATGTGCAGAATTCGGATCTAACCATACGCAGCTCATCGACTTGTGTATCGCACAAGATGATACGCTATCTAACCTAGTATCATTAGCACGGGCACTGCAAGAGCGGAATGCATGATTTAAAACCTTGCTCAGTGGAGTCTCCAATTGAGGCCCAAGTCTATGTTTTCTTTCTTTGGGTTTCCTTTCCTCAATCTTGTACATTCCGTCTAGATACAGATGCCACATTCTCGCAAAATAAATAAGAGCGTTAGACCCCACTTACCACCCCTGAATCTTGTGTATAGCCGTCCTCGACTTCTTACATTAAGAAATCATTCCACAACGCTTTCGATATGAAATCTTGTCGTGCGCTTGTACAAGGGTCTGTTGATTCACCACTCTGGCTTACGACCACTTTGGTCGATGTTGTCAATGATCAGGCAGCCAAGTTTGGCTCAAAGGATATTGCTGTTTTTCCATGGCAGGGCGTTCGAATCTCTTTTTCTCGACTTGCAGAGCGGGGCAGACTGGTAGCAAGGGCTTTACTCGGCTCCGGGGTTCAACGATCTGACTGTGTTGCCATTTTGGCTGGAAATCGTTTTGAATATCTTGAAGTTGTTGTTGGGGGTGCCTTGATCGGATGCTCGGTTCTAGTACTCCATACCACATACAAACCCTGGGAGCTATACAATGCGTTGGAGAAGTCAAGTAGGTGAGTCTAAATTATACCAGCTACGCAGCGATCTTCAGCTAATTAGAGCAACGTGTTAAAGAAGCCTGCGTTCTATTTCTTGCTTCCAACATAGGATCTCGTAGCATGTATGAGCACTACAAGTTATTGAACTCGACAGCAACGCGCTCTTCTCTATTAAACTTGAGTCGAGTCATTACGCTTGGTCATGAGCCCTGCGTCGAACTATTGATGTTAAGCGAAGGTTATGAGGCCTTTCTCTCGACGGCTGTCGTGTCAGATAGTCTATACGACGCGGCTACAAAGTCAGTTCAACCTTCGGATATCGCCAGTTTGCAGTTTACATCTGGTAAGTACGCATGATCGATTTTCTAGTCTAGGTTTATGCATGCTGAGCATAAATAGGCACAACTGGCGCAGCAAAGGCATCAATGCTAATGCATATGTGAGTCCCACCCAAACCTTTCATCATGTTTCCTAGCGCAGCTAAGATAGTTCTGCAGTAATATTCTCAACAATGCACGCTTTGTTGGTGAGAACCTCCAACTAAAACCGAATGACATAATCTGCTGTCCCCCACCTCTATTTCACTGTTTTGGACTAGTTATGGGCTTCCTCGCATCATTAATTCACGGCTGTATGATTGTGTTTCCATCAGACCATTTTGACGCCAAAATCGTCCTAGACTCAATCGTGTCCGAAAAATGCACTACCGTCTACGGCGTACCAACAATGTTCATCGCCGAGCTCGAAGCCAGCCAGACCTATAATCGCACCATCAGCACACTCCGCAAAGGCCTAGCTGCAGGCTCAACGATCCCACAAGCCCTAATGAGCAAACTCAAAGAGAAAATGGGTATTGAGACAATGTTGATCGCGTACGGTATGACCGAGACGAGTCCTGTGACGTTTATGTCTAGTTTTGAAGATCCTGTCGAGATGCGGGTTGCAACTGTTGGTAAGGTCATGCCGCATACTGCAGCGAAGGTAGTGGACAGGATTGGTCGGATACTGCGTGTAGGGGAGAGGGGGGAGCTTTGTTCATCGGGTTATGCGTTGCAGAAAGGGTATCTGGATGATGAGGAGAAGACTGATGATGTTATGAAGAAGGATGAAAATGGGGTTTTGTGGATGCATACCGGTGATGAAGGGATGATCGATGATCTTAGATACTGCCATATCACAGGGCGGATCAAGGATATCATCATTCGTGGTATGTTCTGTCTCTCAGCACGAATAAAAACACCCAGCTAATGAATACAGGCGGGGAAAATATCTTCCCTGCTGAGATTGAAGAGCGACTACTCGCCCATCCCTCCATCGCGGAAGTATGTGTGGTCGGGACACCAGACCCCAAATATGGCGAGGTTGTCGGTTGTTTTCTAAAAGAGTCAGAGGGGGCTGTTTGCAGGCCTGGGTTACAGGAGATACATAATTGGGTGATGCCTACCATGGGGTGGTCTCGAACTCCCCAGGTTGTCTTTTGGGTTGGCCCTGATGGATTATGTCTTGATTTTCCTAAGACGGGTAGTGGCAAGCATCAGAAGCATTTGTTAAGAGAGTTGGCTGCTAGCCATTGCAGGAGTTGTTCTGTTGGTATCGGTGATGGGGTGTAGTTCGTCTGTCGAAGGTTATATACTACTTACTGCGGCATGGTATGTCTGTCTGTCTAACTTATGATTCTAAAGACTTAAGTCTCACCCCTTCTATTACGCACTCACCCTTCTCATCCTTAGTCGCGCGACCGGTTATCTCCCCACTAGGCTAGACTAAATGATTGGCCAGCATGGACATTCGGCGTGTAGCTTATTGTTACGGACCCACATAGGGCGCACTTCCCAGGTGCACCGAAGGCCAACCAAATTCCGCCTAACAGGGGCCGAGACCGCTCACGGCCTAGAGGCCGGAAGTAGCTTACAACTCGCCAACATAAAGAATGCTATATATCACCACGGGACCGCGTTTAGTGGGCCAGAATCGGCCGCCTAATCATATAAGCCGATTCTACGCTAACAGAGCGGTATAACTAGACCTCGCCATATTGCTTTTTTGGGTACCCGAAGGAATACCCGCGAACCCGCCAAGAACCCATTTACCTGTATATTACAGTATTACTGTTGAAATACAACCAATACCAGATATAGAGTGATGTAATCAGGTATATGTTACGTGTATTTTAATCTCTTGGCGGGTTTTGGGTCAAGGGTCGAAACCCAACCCGCCCATTTGGCGAGGTCTAGGTATAACCCAGAGGGCGCACGTGATTAGGATAGTTAACTAGAGGAAGTCGGGATAAAGAGAAAAAGAGTGGTTTTGTTCGAAAAAAGCTCGGATGAAAGTGCAGATAATAGACTTTTACCCACATTTCGCACTTCTAGTCGTATATAGAAGCGCCCTAATCAGCCAATTAGCCTTTATATAATTCATTAGTTATTATATCAAATTTTGTCGGAATGTTAGGGGTTACTAATTTCTATAGTAATAATTAACTCCTATATTTTCAGGTAGTAGGGTTTTTATGTATAAAAACACGTCTGTAGGTAGTAAAGTATTTGTATTATTTTAGGGACCTACTAAATTCATTCCCGTTCTTACTAATCTCACTCCCCTTCCTGGAACTAAGTGACTTATATTTATCCTGCCGCGACTTCGATACTATATATATATATTTTCCTTTATCTCCTTCCTTTAGATTTAAGAGGAAGATTTAGTAGAAGACTTAGGGCCTAGGTATGAGATCTTACCTCCTACTATATCTCCTACTCAGTCTCCTATCTAACTTTCTACTTAGTCTTCTACTTACTACCATATCCAGTATTCTACCTTTTTCATACTATATTAATATAACAGTCAAAGGTCTCCCTAAACTCAAAAATAGCGGAATAGAGAAGAAAGAGAGAGAGAAAAGAGAAGAAGAGAAAAATGAAGTAGAAGGAGAAGGGAGCATATATCCAAAAAGCCTGCGATGTACCTAAATGATAGAGGGGTAGACTAGCGCAATGAATAGAAGTCACTTAATTCTTGGGCGGGGATTGAAATTAGTAAAAACGGGAGTGATTTTAGTAGGTCCTTTTATAGTATTCAACAGCTAGAATACTGAAAAAAAATATATATATTTCCTCAAATTATGCCAAAAATTGAGATCCACTTTCACGGGCCTTATGGGCTTTTCTTAGCGGGCCTATCTATAGACAAATCACTTTTTGTCCACCTGGACAGGCCCACGGGCATGTTTAAGTCTAGAGCTCACAAAAGCAGGGAGGGTTAAAGAAAGTCGTGTAGAGGTAACGAGCGACAGTGTAAAAGGGTGGCGGAACTTAGAAGCTCAGTAATTCGGATCAATAGGGAAACCGCCTCAACTTAAACGTACAGGGGAAAAGTGGGCAAGAAAAGAAATCGGATGTTAAGTGGGTTACAACCACGCACGGTGAGGTAAAGGCACATGAATCTAAGAATGTTTTTTTGGTAAATCATAAATCTGCGACACTCCACATATTAATCCGATATGGTGTAGTGGCTAACATCGTCGTCTCTCACACGACAGCCGGGGGTTCGATTCCTCCTATCGGAGTTTTTTTTTTTTATATTCACAATGCACCCGGACCAGAAGACGCCTCTCACAGCGGCTTTCCAATGTTGGGAGGGCCCGACACTCAAGTCCTCTATGGTATGAGACTCGCCTTCTCCGACGGGCCCGACCCACTCCTACTCACAATGATTTTCGAGATTTGACCCCTTTTCAACATTGCAAGGTCACATTGGGGCAATAGTATACGGCTTCTAGACTCACATCATTAGTTGATAAATAAATGTCCATGGCTACAGTATAAGCAACGTACAGGGAAAAACATGAAGTCGAAAGAGATTCTCGAAATACTTCGTATGACAATGAATAAGTCTTGGCCAGTACAATACGGAATCTGACATTGACAAAAATAAATAATCAGTATGACATGCAGTTGAATCTCAAGCAACAGAAAGTTGGAAATGTGAACTTTTCTCGGAAATAATTTCCGAAGGTGTCAATGACATATGAAAGAAGCTGGCTTCCTAGGATCTCCTCCAACATATTTCTGTTGGAGAGGATAAAGGCACAAGTTGCGGGCTGTATTGTTCTTTCCACCAGTGGCTTGTAAAGTGTCAGGGGCATAATCTTTCTCCACCCAATCCATGAGTTGAGAAATTGCTCCATTGGGAATAGGCCCCAGGCCACCAAAACAGTGAGCTACTCCTGGTGCCTCAAAAAAGCGGTAGAAGTCATGAGCTTTTGGATCTTTCTCCAGAACTTCCTCATAGTACTTGATTGTTCCATTTGGTGGGATGGCTTCATCCGCAAGTCCATGCCAGGTGATCATCTTACCACCACTCGCCTTGAAACTCGACAGATCAGACTCCGTATTGCTGACAAGTGATGCGTATTGAGATCTTGACGCATGTAGGAGTTTGAAGAACGCCTCTTCGGTCATATTGCTGACCTCGAAATCGGTATCCTTAGCGATAAGATATTGAATCCAGTTGGCCATCAAAGGAGCGCTGTCAGCATAGCATGTATCGTTCCCAGAACATGCAGTCGGGATATAGTAGCTTCTGATTTCGGCGTCTTTATTCAAGCCAAACCAGCCCTCTTTCCCAGAACCTGACCAAGCAGCTTCAACAATCTTCGCGCCAGATGCAGACAGAGATCGCCGAGTCCCATTACATGTGAAGTTCTGACCAACAAAGTCATAGGCAGTGAAATCGCAAAGGACAGGTTCACTAATGATGCCGTCTTCCACTCCGTCCATCCGATCGCACGCTTTGACAGCAGCCTTGGTGAAGGCCTCAACTTCGCAAGGTGGGGGATGATAATGATTCTGATTCATGACTTGCTCAGGCCAATATCCCGCGGGTATGAATGTTTCCAGATTGATGGCAGGGGAGATTGCCAAGATTCCATCAAAAGCATCAGGGAAGTTCTGCGCCATCATCAGGCCTTGTCGCCCACCACCAGAGCACCCGGTGAAATAAGAATAGTTCGCGGCTTTCTGGTAGAATGATTTGGTAATCTGCTTTCCAATCACAGCCATGTCGTTTGTCGCCTTTGATGCGTAATTTTTGAGAAGAAACCAGTTGACATTGTTTTTGCTGCTGAGTGCCCAAGATAGATCCGTGGGAATGACGCTTGCTCCTGTTGCAAGCCCACCATCGGTGGAGGCTGATGCAAAGCCTTTCGCAACGGCATATGTGAGGTAGATAGAACCAAATCCTGTGCTGTAGCCTCCGCCTCCTATAGCTTGAAATCTCCCATTCCAATCCTCCAACGGAAGCCACACTTGGGTGTTGATCGTGTCGTTCCAACCGGGGTGAGTGTATGTCACGGTGACATTGCAAAAGTTGATAGTATATCGGCCTCCAGCATTGGTTCCTGGGGCAATACTGGTGGCGGAATAGTTGTGGACTTCTTGGGCCTGCACTTCGAGAATAGTAGCTCCCAACAGATCTGGCTTGTTGATGAAACTCGGTGAGCATCGGCTAGAAGCGGCCGTTGGTTGGGATAAGACCGCTTTTCCAAGGAGCAAAGCTTGCGAGTAAGAGAGAATCATCATAAAAAAACGGGCGTAGTATTTTATTCTAGGATCATGGGGCGGATTTGAAGATATTAAAGTGCATCAACCTTGGAAGAGTGTAATGTACTAATGGGTAAAGAAGGTAGACGTGGATTCAAAGTAGATCTAAAGATACAGAACCTCGCCAAAAGCTGTGGATCTTCATACATCCACGCAGATACCCAGTGAGATACGCGTATTTACTTAAGGACGATGTCCGTGCATACGCGTATAGATGTGGATCTGTTCAATCCAAGGTCAACGATCCAATCCACTGAACGCGCGAAATTCAGGAGCAATATTTATCTCATCGGAAAGATGGAGTGTTGTGGGGGATCCAAATTTCTTGTTGAGTGATATGGAACTTCGCAAAATCCAATTACTGTAGGAAAGGGATTTGTCTTTTGCTTGTTTTGAACAATTATGTTGCACACAAGAGTACTATGCATGAATGGGATCTGTCTCTACCACAGCTTACATGAAAATTGCATTATTACTTAAATGTAGACATCTCAGTCAGCTAGGCATTATCATCATCACACCTGACAAAGGCTCTCCAGGATACGCTTCCCCTCCTCCGCGTCAGTATCGTTCGTAGCCTTGAGCCCAAAAGAAGCCAGGAACATCGTCCAACCCCCGTATGAATTGACGATCGCCCGCTCAGTGGGGTTAAGAGGAGGCTCTACCCATCTTTAGTGTACGGAAACTTTTGGGGTGGATGTTATTGAGCAAAAGTGGAGACACATACGAAGGGAGTCGGAAGCAGGCATTTTGCGATATGTGTATGAAGTGGGTGTATTAGGGGTTTAAACAAGGTCCAAGCACAGTAGTTGGCCGGAGTTAATGGATGCTTGAGGATGATGGAGAAAGTAGAAATTTTGGGGATGATGCTTGGATGATGAAGCTATCTAAGACAGAGAAATGTGGGGAAGACGGTGAGGCGGCCGTTGCTAGTTGACCAATCCCTACCCGTGCACTGACCGCTTTGTGCCCATAGGGTGGTTTATTGGCGGGCAAAAAAAGAAAAGAAGAGGTCTTGCCCGGGATCGAACCGGGATCGGTGGAATCAGAATCCACAGTGATGAACCATTACACTACAAAACCTGTTCATGTTTGCTGGTCTCGTAAATATGCACTAAGACACAATTTATACACGGATGGCAATTGTTATGTGCAAAAATCAACCTATCATTGCAAAGAAATTATTTCCTTATTTTGTTGGGAAAGAACTGAGTATATACCCTTTTGTTTGGTGACAGGTTGGTGCTCGAATCGGATGAGCCGACCAGGCTTGAGTCGCGGTAGCCAGGTCCCAGCTTGAGGGAAGGTAGGTGAGACAACGCACGATGCATTAGGGTAATATTCGCCGGTCCAGAGGTAATGGCAAATCCAAGAGCAGCAATAGAGAAGTTTCTGGGGTCTCACTTCTGGATAAAGTAGACGCCATTGGAGTTACTCTATAATGCAGGGTTGACAAATGCTTGGAGAAATTTGGCGAGTTGCGGCCCATAGAATAAACGAAGGAAGTTCTCTGGGGACTCGATTTACCAGCCTGAAGTCCTTTCTTCATTCGAAGAACATGTCGGAGGGTTGGAATATTAGTCATAAAATGGTGGTTTGTGTTTAGTCCTTCTGGCAACTGTGGTGCTTTCTCAACATGACCGACTAGTCTTGTAAGAAAGCTTTCAGGAACTGATACACCCGTCACTTCAAAGGCTCGTTGAATGGTGCCCAGTACATATTGTTGTACTTATCACGTCGCATGATGTTTTTGTATCGCTGGTTTTTGAAATAGGCGAGGTGAGATTCTAAGTCCCAAAACAATCGAGGCGCTATTCTTCAAAACATCGGGAGGGACTCGTAATCAGGTGCTCTGGAATACCGCCGCCTTATTCAGAGTTGTCGGTATAGACTGTCCATAAGATGTCATCAGATCTAAGGTCAGGGCCTAAATCAACCCATCTTCAAGTCATTATGAGAGCGACCTCGTCGTCGATTGCATCGATTTTATGATGAGACTCTGAGTTGCACATCTTACAGGCACCTCCGTATCCAACTGGCTTTTCCCGTCCTTGCTGAAATTTGTCCACGATAGGCTGAAGAAAACAGGGAAATGGTGATGTATACATTACTCGAACTTCCATACAAGACGAATCTGAACGCCCCTTGCTTAGGCCAGGAATCAATCGGCAGCCGTTTTGACAAGTAGTATACCTGGATCCTGACATGAAGGCCTAAGCTCTCAGGACATATATGGACTTATATTGAGAGTAGCGAGATCATGTTTTGGCGAACTGGGTATGTGGGGAAGTAACGACTGGTATATAGCCTAGAGAGTCAGTACTAACCCCAGGCCTGAGGCCATAATATAACTACCTCATTTGAAGCTTAATCTGTATGAATAAGAGACGATACGGTGAATGAGTCACGTAATAATGGAGTTTTAAGGGAAAACCTTTACGAGGCCGTCTAGCCTTAGGTAGACACGGGATTAGGCAATTTCCTTGAATAATATAAATCATAAAGTCCGCAGCTCTCGGATACATCATACCGATGCAGACCTTTACAGAAGTCGCAAGCAAATTATTCTATGAAGTCTAGTTCTAGCCAGTTCAAGACAAAGAATTTATCTTCTTGTGTGCGAGGTAAGCGGTTAATTGGTCTTTGAGATGACCGAAAGAGTCGATATTTGCAGAAGGAAAAGCAGGTAAAATCAACATGTGGGAGGAAGTCGAACAAGGGGGAGTCCGGCGAGTGCCATGGGAGTCTTAGTACAAGAGCTGATCTGCTTATGTGAACTAAATACCTTGTAAGGGCGAAAGAGGTAGAATCTGATAAGACTACTTACGACTTTCATTGAATAGATAGCCAAGGGTGTTTCTAAAGAAAGTAGAGTGATTAAATATAAGTTTTGATATCAAAGTTGAAAAAAAAAGTAAGCCAAAATGAGTTTTGATTAGGACAAACTTTCATCGATTGAACCATGAGTCATCTGCCTGCTGCTGATGTTCAATGCCCCAAATGATTTATCAAAAAACTAATGGTCTTATTCAGTAGAGCCACGTGTTTTTGGTAGTCGTAGTCGCCAGTCTCTGCCAATTTCTTTCTTTCCTTAGCATCATGACACAATATAGTATTATTCATCACACCCAATATCATGAATAATACTGTAACCTTGATCATGGTTAATTTTTGCGGTCCTCACTTCTTCTTCTTCTTCTTCTTCTTCTTCTTCTTCTTCTTCTTCTTCTTCTTCTTCTTCTTCCTCTTCTTCTTCTTCTTCTTCTTCTTCTTCTTCTTCTTCCTCGTAAGGCATTCCAAATCACTTTCTCCTTCGAGACAAAATCAAACATGTACGTGGTGGAATCCTCCCTTGGTTCTTACTTGGACGCTCGCCTGGAAACTCTTAACGATATCGCCGGGATAGTAGCCTGGATTCTCACTCTGACCCTCACTTGAAAGCAACAAGCTATGTTATTGCCGAATCATCAAGGCTGTTTGACATAGAAAGAAGCTGGTGTGGATTTCTACACTCACATTCATGACCATGTCACAGATGAGACCTTCCACTGGAAACACCGATTCAATAGGTGGCTCCGCACGATGTCTCATCACAAATCCTCGCCCCTGCTATGAATAGGAAAGACCCACATTTCGTCTCTTCTATACGGCAAGCCCTCATTGCAATGTCCTTTCTCGTTGCACATTAGCATCCAATGTCAACTCGAAAATGAGATCACATACATCGTGCCATGGTTCCAAATTGAGAGAATCTTTCTGCTTTGTCCCATTACAAGCTACTTATGGCTTGAGTACCGTGTAGTTGCAGTATATTAGGACAGACTTCCTTGGTATCGTGCGTCGCAAGTCTCTCACGAAGCCCGCTAGGTCGTGGTGGCAGCAATAGCAGGCTGCATTTATCACTTCAAGCATATGGGTGCCATGGCCATTCAAATGAGAATATCGAGATAATCGTGCTAACGGGCTGTGGAACACTTGACTCGGCCTAGTTGCCACGGTGCTCGTGATCACCAACCAGCTCTGTACTCGCCAAATTTCTGGCGACTTGGAATGTCGACCGGATAGATAGCTATGATCGCCACCTTGAAGACTATGAGAGGCGTATTTGGAACTAGGAGCTCTCTTGTAGCAGCGAATGGGTGCCCGTCGAGGAGCACTGGCCGAGTAGTTTCCACGGAAGGGTACCAGCGAGAGGAGAGGTTCACTCCTCGGGCCGTGAAAGCCTAGACGTGGATATGGCGAGCGTTGGTCTGCATAAAGTGAACAGTAATAGATGACTTGTGTCGTGGTTCCGGACATAAAGAGACTGCAGAGAAGGAAGTTTGGATGACCGATTAGCTGTAAAAATTGTTACACTGTTCCAAATCTGTATCACTAGAAATCATTGGGCAGAAACCAATTGCGTAAACTCCACTTTCTAGCCATCGAACCTAGATATTGCTATGGTTTAATTAGGCAGTCAGTGACTCTCATGAACGGCCACGTATGAACAAAAGCCAAAACCAAGAGCAGAAGTCGACATGGAAAGTATTGTCGTCAACCCAAGATTTAAAGCCCGGTACCGCCGCAGTTAGGCTACTTTAATATACCTGAGTATGAAGTGTGGAAGATCTTGGGAATTGATCCACGTTCCCCTAGATTACTCATATATCCTATGTATTTCTATCAGGGATATACCCATAGCTTGCAGTCAAATGGCCCGCCAAATCATGTTTTCTATAGCCTACCCAGAGAGCCTTCAGTCTACCTACCCTTTGAAAGTACTTGTAGTGTCAAGTGTATCTACTCCAATACGTACCCCTTTAGCTACGGTACACTGTACTGTAAATATGTACATATGTATCGCATGTATCCATAGATATAAAAATGCGAAGCGAGAAAAGAACATTTGAAAGGTTGATATTATAGGGTACCAGAGATTTCGAGGCCCTGGGTATGTTCCTGCACATAGGTTAGAATTTACAAGATTTATTTTGAGGGTACGTGGAGCAATTACCTAGATTTCAAAGAATCAATTGGAATCAATTTTTACAATCAATAAGATCAGACAGCTATAAAAGCGGAGGCTCGATCGTATCGGAAGTAGTGCAAATTGTTGGCATTAAATATTCATCGAATGCATGCTGTACAACCCTTACCTACACCTGGGGCCATTGAAGACCTTGAAGAATATGATATCTTTAACTTTTGGTAGGACATTTTGGATAGTGAAATAGTGATGCAGTATCATGATGAAAGCTCCATATGCATTTGAGTACAGGATATATATAGAACAGAATTGGCGAGCTGCCATGGCAGGTTGGAAATAATACATGGTAGATGAGAAAAGAAAAGAGAAAGCATCGCTGGCACCAAATTCCACTTTTCAACGCTTGACCCAGGTGGGCATCTTGCGAGCCTTGACGTGACCCGGCTTCTTCCTCTCCACACGACGAGCATCGACAGTAATAGCACCCGCTAGATAAGATATTTAGTAAATGACCATACGCACAGACAATGTGATGGGTAATCTTACCTTTACGCAAAATAGGCTTCAAGGCTGGCTCGTGAATCAACAATGCTCGTGCAATCGCCAAAGTGATGGCCTCCGCTTGACCTGTTACACCACCACCATGCACAGTAGCCCATACATTATACTTATCCAGCCGTTGGGTACACCGGAGCGCCCAGAGAGCACTCTCACGGTCATGTAAGCGCTGGAAAACCTCCACCATTCCCTTTCCATTGACAAGGACCTCACCCTCACCCTCAACAAGCTGCACAACAGCAGTCGACTCCTTACGCTTGCCCTTCGCCCGCGCACGTCCATTCTCATCAACAGTACGCGGCGCATTTTGGGCCGCGTAAGGGTTTCCGGGACGCAGGAAATCCTGAAGCGCAACGCGCACCTCTGAAGGCACGATGGCAGGCTCGATCCGGTTCAGCTGCTGCAGAATCTTGAGCAAGCTCTTATATTTCTTCACTGGCACGGCTTCGCCAACAAAGTCGCGGAACTGCGCCAGTTTAAACCAGGCCATGCGTGGTGCTTCACCGGCGGATACTGTTGGGAGACCGGCATGTTTGAGTTGCAGGGCCTCGAGCCGGAGGACGTGGTCGATGAAGCGCGGGTTGCCGGAGAAGTAGGAGGGGGAAGCAGGGATAATTCGGGCGGGTTGGAGGCGGAAGAGGTCGAAGTTGATTGGAGGTGCCGCGCTCACTTGCTCGGGTGCTGGTGGCAGCGGCTGTTGCTCCAAAGTCTCGGGTTGAGTCTCGGTCGCATAGTTGCGGACTGTCTGGTGGAGGACAGGAAAGCTGGGTCGAGATGGTAATGAGCTGCATAGGCGCAGCGATTGCATTGCCGAAGCAATGCCATTGGGTGTGTACCGGGCCATTGGAGATGTGATTGGCAAGGGACCAGTCTGCGGAACGTTCTGGAGTTGGCGTTGAATTGCTGTTTTTCCCGTCATGTGACAAGGGATGATTGGTTCCTCCGGAATTCCGGAGCCGCGCCTTTCGAGCATAAAATTTCACTTCTACCCCTCCTCCCTTTCTTCTTTCTTTTTTTCTCATCCCCTCTTTAAATCACAACTCGCTTTCAAGATGGTCTTCGGAAAGCTTTACGGTCTCCCCGTATGTTTATCAATGTCTTCTATGCTCCTGTTCATTACTCTAACCCCATTTTCAGGAGAACGGGCGCACTCTCGCCGTCCTGGTCGCTGCCAAGCACAACGACCTCGACATTGAGCTTGTTCAGACTCAGCCCAAGGGCGCTGCCGCCAGCGCTGAGTACCGCAAGGTCCAGCCCCTTGGCAAGATCCCTGCTTTCGAGGGTGCCAACGGCTTCAACCTCTCTGAGGTTATTGCTATCGCCATCTACCGTACGTTGACAATACCTTTCAATGTTTTGTTTCATCAATCTTTATTCCCCCCCCCCCCCCCCCCCCAATTCTTTTATGATGAGATATTAGTTATCCCTGTCAGAACTATACTGTTGAGAAAGACTACTTCTGAAAAACATTACACGCACCATTGGGATGAAAATTTGAGTACCCCTCATTCAGGGGGGAAATATTTTCAGGACCAGGCGATCCACTTCGCTTTTGGATCACATTCCTCCTTTGACGTTTCTCATTGCTTGATCTATGATTTATTCATGTTTCGAGACCTTAACTAACATGTTTGGGTTTTGCAGTGACCTCCCAGAACGAGAAGACCACCCTCCTTGGCAAGACCAAGCAGGACTACGCTTCCATCGTCCGCTGGATGTCCTTCGCCAACACCGAGGCTCTCCCCCGCCTTGCTGCCTGGTACCGCCCCCTTATGGGTCTCGATGGCTACAACAAGAAGGTCGTTGATGAGGCCTCCAAGGCTGCCGTCAACACCCTCGCCGTTCTGGAGAGCCACCTCACCCAGAACACCTACCTGGTTGGCGAGCGCATCACTCTTGCTGATCTGTTCACTGCTGCCCTCCTGACCCGTGCTTTCGCCACTATCCTTGACAAGAAGTACCGTGAGGAGAACGTCGCTATCACTCGCTGGTACAACACCATCATCAACCAGGAGTCTTTCAAGGCTGTCTTCCCCTCTCCCCAGTTCGCTGAGGAGTGCATCAAGTACACTGCCCCCAAGAAGGAGGAGAAGCCCAAGGCTGAGAAGGCCAAGGCTGCTCCCGCTGCTGCCGCCGCTGAGGAGGAGGACAAGCCCGCTGAGGCCCCCAAGGCCAAGCACCCCCTTGAGGCTCTTGGCAAGCCCACCCTCGCTATTGACGAGTGGAAGCGCCAGTACTCCAACAACGACACCCGCGAGGTTGCCATGCCCTGGTTCTGGCAGCACTTCACTCCCGAGGAGTACTCCCTCTGGAAGGTTGACTACAAGTACAACGAGGAGCTGAAGCTCACCTTCATGTCCAACAACCTGATCGGTGGTTTCCAGAACCGTCTTGAGGCTTCCCGCAAGTACCTCTTCGGTTGCCAGGGTGTCTACGGCGAGAACTACAAGTCTGTCGTCAAGGGTGTCTACATGGTCCGCGGCCAGGACTTTGCCCCTGCCTTCACCGTCGGCCCCGACTGGGAGAGCTACGAGTTCACCAAGCTCGACCACACTTCCGAGGCTGACCGCAAGTACGTCGAGGACATCTGGGCCTGGGACACCCCCGTCGTTGTCGACGGCAAGTCTTACGAGATGGTTGACGGTCACGTCTTCAAATAAGCGGATCGCCTATAGCGTTCGCACCTCACTTTCCCCTATCCTTGGCCATCCCCAAAATACCCCTGAGAAAGCGAGATTTGGCCCACCCCTTTCACGTCATCAATCCGCCTCTCTTTTCCCTCTTACCCTTATTAACTTACCGCGCCTGATATGATATTTGCGGGAGTTGCAAAATTCTTACTTACGCGCCGATGTGGTTCATGTTCACGTTTATGACGTTGTGATGCGAGATGATTGACTCGTGATCTGGTACAACACCAGGATTGCGTTGTCGCTGCTAGTTACTGTCTAGCAATGGAATAAAGGAATCAGGACTGCGTCTTGATGAGCTTATTGCTGATGTTCCCTTCCCTTCCTACGTAGATGCGTAGACCTTAGCACGGATGTCAAATTGCGATCCAGCCCTTTCATGGCTGAGGTTGTGCCGAAGAAGTGCTTATATTGAGTGGGATTTTTATCTCTTTAATTAACCAGTGAGTACTAGATTTGTGCCCAACGGGAAACCGAGGTGGCATACGTCCATTGAAGATCTGGCACATACCAAGTAAATTCCTAGCTAGATTAATATGATTCCAATCTGCTCTACTTCTTTCCAATCTAAGTTTTTTTGAATTGTTTACTTCTCACGAACTCTGGCCGTAGTAACACAAAGGTTTCAAGTTCGTTTGAGGATATCTTCCGTCCCCATAAGGCAATGTCCATTCCAGTTGTCAGTCACTCACTACACAAGATAATCTATACATGCACATGTGTACTAGTATAGATGGAAAGAAAAGATTTTGAAAGAAATAAATGAGCGATTTGCTATCTTTAAAATGATTCAACACCCCAACAGGGCTCAACGCTAAAGATACTAGCATAAAAGACAGATGCAATAGCCAAATAAACCCCCGATAGAACAAATTAATTCTTCTTGAGCCCCAGACCAACTTCCAACCGATCCAAAAGCGAGTTCCTCGATGCAACAGACGTATCAGAAACCGAGGAAATCGAACGGTGGCGGCAATGGGACTTGAAAGTAGGCATATCCTCAGCGGCGGAGTGAACAGCACTTGAAGGATCGGGGTTCGTGAATGCAGCAGGGGAAGATGAATCCATGATAGGGTCTTGTATTTCAGATCCGGTCTCTCTAGCTTGGATGCTGGATGGGGTAACGGGACCTGCGTCGACGGCGCCTTGTTGTTCCATCTTGAGGCGTTTCCGGGCTCTTGCGCCCAGACGTGTTTTTGGCGCTGGCACTGGCGTTGGCATTGAGGGTTCGGGATTCGCGGGCCCATTTTGTCCAGCTAGAAAAGCTTGTTTGGCAGCTTCTTCTTGGGCGGCTTTTTTCTCTTTCCTGGCTTTTTTGGAGGCTTTCTGTCGAGCTTTCTTTATCTGCTTTTTTTCGTTCTTTTCCTCTTGTGAATTTTTGGGTTCTGTCTGCTTTTCGCTGGGTACTGTTGGCGGGAGCTTGGCTCCACCATCTTCGGAGTCTTCGTCCAATTCCACGGGCATTTCGGGGGTGATATCCAGGTCTAGGATCTTGCAGTTTTGCTGTATCTGGCGTTCCTCCCATACGCGGAAGACTTTGCTGACATCGTCATGGTGGGAGAGTACGTCCAGTCTTGCGAGGACTTTTTTGAAAAGTGTTGATTCGTCAATGGCTGGATCATTGACGAACTCGGGGATTTCCAGAATGTTGTACGGTTCGCTGAGGGCCTTGATTTTGCTGTCATCAATCAGAATGGTGTTTGTCTGATCCCATCGCTGGCCAGAACTGTAGCCTGGGTGTCTAAGCTGGATATTTTTGTCATTCCATACTTTGTGCAGCTCTTTGTATACCTGCAGCTTGGCATTGTACTGTCTGCTGGTAAGTCCAAATTTGTCACGACCCCAACAAGCGACCAGTCCTTTTTTGTTGCGCTTAGTGGGGAATAGAAGCTTGACAATGGGAGCGAGGGTCGTTGGCTTGGAACTCGTCCAAATCATGACAGCGTAATTCTTCGTCAGCACATCCAGAAACTCCTTCAACCCATCGCGTCTTGCAAAAACTGGCGGCAACTTGCGGTGTTTGCGGTAGATTAAAGTACCGTTCAAGTCAAGAATGACTAGCAGTGGTCGTTTTGGGCCTTGTTGTGGTTTCTGGAGGGCTTGCTGCGTGTATGCACTTGTTGGTCTGGGAACTGCCAATTGTGGCGTAGATGATCGCTGTCGTTGACTTTGCTGCAAGGTGGGTCCTGGCACGGTGCTCATATGCTGTACTCTCTGTAAAGGCAACAGCGCACTATACGGCATCATAGGCGGGAATGGCGGTAATTGGCTGTTTGGGAGTGGTGCATTCATGAAAGGAATACTACCACCGGGTTGGTTTATTGCGTTCATGTTCATGTTCAAGGGGTTCCATATCGGCATATTGAATGCGCCAAAACCTGCAGGTTGCTGAGAGAAATTGCCAATATCTTGCTGGCTGTTTGGTATTGAATGTGATCCGTGATTTTTCAGAGGGTTTGGATACTGTTCATATCTTCGAGGGTCGTATGAACTGTCATAAGTCGTGTTATTGTTGGGTGTCGCATATATCCTGGCCTGTGAATTGGCACTTCCGCCTTGAGGCACATTCAAATTCTGGGATCCATGGCGCCATTCTCCATCCACGAATGGCCTATTCTGACCACTCGGCCCGTTCTCCATTGGTTCAATGCTGGTGTGAAGAGGGTATGGCGCATTCACATTCTGAGATTCATTGGGCCACTTCCTATCCGCATATTGTCTACTCTGACCATTCTGCCCGTTCTCCATTGGTTCAATGCTGGTGTGGAGAGGGTGCGGCGCATGCGCATAACGTGCTGGATCAGAGAACGAGAGACCCCCAGCAGCGTTCGACACGTGCGGTAATCGTTTGTCTTGGTAATAAAGCTTGAATGCTTTTGGCAGTCGCAGAGGAGAATCGATCGCAGAATAGGATGGCAAGGGGGAAGTGGGCTGCAGACGGGGTTAGTGCTGAACTTGGAAGTGGGTGTTGACAGGAAGAATTGAAGGGGGAATGGATGAGTCGTACCTGTTTATATATTCTGTATGAGTCGCATTTATATATCGGCCTGGTAACGGAGCGACAAAACAAAGCAGACGAGGATGATCGAGACATGAATCCCCAAGTTGCGGACTTGGATCGCAATTGATCAAAAAATATCTAATCAGCCGTTATCGCACTGACCGCCTCGGCAGTATTTTCTTTTTTGCGACTTCATTCGCACCGCTTTCCATCTCGACAAATATACATTTCTCGACCAATTTACTCCACCATGGCCATTTCAGATATGTTGAACCGCCGTGTGCGGGCAAGGCCAGATGTTGAAGAGGATTTTTATTCCTCTGGTTCTGAAGAAGGCTCTCAGGACGAGGCAGAGGTAGAGGACTCGGACGAAGATCAATCACAGGAAGTATGCGATTTACAATTCCAGCTCACAGGGATATATACTGACTAGTTTTCTATAGACTGATGGATCTGATTCCAACGTTGAAGTCGACGAGGACGAAGAGGAGGAGAACTCCGAGGACGACGTCGAGGACGAAAATTCCGATGACGAAAAAGACAATTTCCAAGCATCCCTCAGCAACATCTCATTTGGTGCTCTAGCCAAAGCTCAAGCATCCATGGGCCCGAAAAAGCGAAAGGAAAAATCCCTCCAGGCAGATGAATCTACCGCATCCCCACTCGACGACATCCGGGCCAAGATCCGCGAAGCACGGGAACAAAAACGGGAAGCCGAAGCCAAAGCACAAGGCAAGGACAAGAAAGCCAAGAAAGAATCTCGGTCATCCAAGCACGCACCTATGGAACAGTCATCCAAGCGCGCCGTCACCAGAAGACGTACAGTTGTGGAACCTCCGGCCGTTGCTAAGGCTCGTGATCCGCGGTTTGATGCGGCGGTGATGGGATACAGTGGTTCGGGACGATACTCGGAAGGAACTAGCAAGGCCTACGCATTCTTGGATGAGTACCGAGCGTCTGAGTTGAAGGATCTCAAGGAGCAAATGGCCAGGACGAAGAATCCTGCACAGAAGGAGGCGCTGAAGGCGCAGATTCGGTCTGCGACTGATAGGATGAAGGCCGATGAGAACAAGAAGCGCGAGCGAGAGGTTATGGCGGAGCATAAGAAGCAGGAGAAGCAGTTGATTCGGGATGGTAAGAAGACTACTCCTTACTTCTTGAAGCCGTCGGAGCTTAAGAAGAAGGTTCTTGAGAAGAAGTATGAGTCTATGAAGTCTAAAGACCGGGCGAAGGCCATGGAGCGTCGTCGCAAGAAGATGGCTTCCAAGGAGCGGAAGGATATGCCCTGGGAACGCCGCGGCATGGGCGATGACGAGCCCCCGAGTTTTGGCAAGCGTCGTCGACTTGCTTAGATACCCAGTTCAAACGTATTTTGCAATAAAATTATTAGAATGCATGCACATGTTCGATATCCCAATGTCCCGAAGACTACAGTATTAAATTCCAGCAATATGTATTAGGTTAACCAGCATTGGTCTGCTGAAGACAAGACTTGCATCGAAAATCCCATTCACAAATGCTAAGTCCCAAGGGAAAAAAAAGAAGAAAAAATAACATCCAGAGAAGAGGTATATAGTAAAAACAAGAACTCCTTCACAAAAAAACGCCAATTTAAAATCAAATGCATGCGTCCCCGAGTGCAGAATTTTCCATGAGCCACAGGCTCACCACTATCGTACCGTGGATATAAGAGAGGAGGTATAAACATCAGTGTCATATATGTGAAGGGTGAAGTCCCAGGCCCGATCACTCAAGACCAGCCAGAGAGTCGCATGAGAAATGCTGCCTTGGAGGCATTCGAAAATTTTGAGAAACGAGATAAACCAGATTGTGGGATGGCGATGTAAAGAGTGTAAGGCGTTGACTGGCTTCGCAGAAGCCTTAGTCGATCACGCATAGACCGAATTGTCATCATGTCGCACAGGTTTTTATGAGTGAAACAGATCCCATGCTCGTGCACAGAGGCCAAGGAACTCCTCCTTCTTTTTCCGTTGGGTTTCAGGCGAGTCTCGACCTGCGCCAAAGGGACCAGGGAGAGTAGCACTGGGGGCCGGGTTGGCAGCCGGGTTGGGACGATACTGAGAATCAGGACCATGTCCCAGCGGGGGGCTTCCATTATCATTTTCGTATTCGCTGCGAGGACGACGGCGCGCAGTCGTATCCGGCATCTGCATCGGAGCGAGAGGCGCACTTGGCGCGGGCTCTTCCCAGGCCATAGGTGCGGTCTTGGGAGCGGTATGCATGGTCTGTGGGGATGGAGGGGTGGGCGGTTGGTGCCCCCCATAATGCACAATGCGAGGAAGCAGCTCTTCCCGTCCTCCTGACAGCTCCTGTACGGCTTCTTCAGCCGACCGGTACTCCCGTGGCCGGCTGGGAGTTTGAGACATGGCAGGAAGGCCAGGAGAAGGCATAGGAGCCAAGTTGGACTGCGAGGAATTTGAGCTTGACGCATTCACGTAGAGGCCCTGGCGGCTGGGCTCTCGATCCCGACCGAGCGCATCGGATCCAAAAACATCCGAGAGAGGCGGAAGACGATTATTCGTCTGGTTGGCCGGAACCTGGTGCATATGAGATGTAGCGCCCAGGGTCGGGCTCTGGTTGACGACATGACGGGTCAAGGGTTGGGGCTGATAGCGACCGGTAAAGGTCTGATGCAACGGGGCCGACTGAATGACCCGCTCGTTTGCAAACTGCGATGCCGAGGGTGGAACGATGGAGAGGCCGGGTGGTGGTCGTCGCTTCGAGCCACTCCGGGGTGGCATACCCATGAAGCCCGATTGTGAAGGCGGACCGTCCTCTTTGCCGGGTTTCTGCAATCGTGCCTCGATTATTGACCGCTGCTGATCGCGCACGGAGAGGCTGCGCTGAAGTTGCTCTCGCATTATCGGATCGTGTGTCTGGAAGCCAGGTGACAAGCAAGCTAAGCCCACATCTTGCATGGTGACGCCGTCGCGAGCGGTCATCGGACCACCCGGTGGCCGAACGGTCAAACCACTTGAGGAGGGGAGACTGGTGGAAAGATCCAACTTGCGAGGACGGGGACGAGTCTGTATACGGGGGGATGATGGCGGCTCCTTTTTGACAGTGATTTTGGGACCCGCGCTACCTTGTGATCTGTTCCGATCTGATTAGCCTCCAGATCCATACCGCCACTAAATTCCACTTACGGAGACGACGGGTCTTTATTATCGGGAGTGCCTTTGGGAGCATCTCGTGAGCTTGCCACACGAGGTGGAGAGGAGTTCACCGGTGGAGGAGCCAGGGACGGAAAATTCCTGGGGCTGGGATCGCGGGTGGTATGCGGCGAGGATAGCTGAGCTGCCGTTGCGGATGCAATTGCGGTCGACATGATGGAAGATTCGATGAAACCGCTTTATACAAATCCTCTCTTATATATTACCAGAGGGATCGGCGTCCAAGCACCCCGGAGAGTTAAGAGAGGAGCATCAAAAGGCTTTCGTATCCCTAAAGACGGGGAAAGGGTAAGATAGGGAAAACGTTGTGGAGGGGAAGTTCGGCGGTTCGGGAAGAGTGACAGATCGCAAGGGGGAGAAGAGAGAAAAGAGAAAAAGAAAAAAAAAAAAGTTCAGTGGGATTTTGATAAAGAAAACTGAATATGTTCTGGACCCCAAGGGAGAGAAAACAATAGTTTAAAACCTGCATTAAGAGGGGGTTGAAGGGGGACCTTTTTCCATTTGTACATGTACCTGGTACTTTAATCTGCAGCAGATTTAGTATGAAACAATTAAGTATTTAATACTGAAAAACTAAGTTCGTAAGTGGATAACAATCTGGGGCCAAGGCGTATCAGAATCTCTCAGCTGAGACAATATTTGTTTCTACTTTTATGAGAAACAATGATTCAGCTTAAGTAACTTCAAGTTCTTTCTACAGAGTATGTTCTACTATCTACTTATGATCTGACTCTTGCAAGTCAAGCGCTTACATCTACCCAGAGTATGGTTCGTAATGTGACTTAGGTTGGCGGCTGCATGGATCACTTGCTTTTTGCTTTTTGCTTTTTACAACCAAACAGGTGTGGATTAGTTCATGAACTCCGACCGTACACAGAACAACAAATAAAAAAAAGACGAAAACGCCAGGCTGGTGTTTATTGGTCATTTCTAGAATCCAAATGACACGAGTTTGGCGCACAGATCGGCGCCAAAATCCTCGGGTCCATGTCAGTCATGCGTGGCTAGATCAGAATCAGATGTGGGAACTTGACTAGAGCAATTTCCAAGGAAATTAGCCTTGTCAAGCCATTCAATAGTTCGATGGTTCGTTTATATGCAGCTTATCGATTGGATCAGGGAGGACATGTTTAATGAGCTTCCCCGCTATTTCCATTTTTCACCTGTCATGAGTCTTGACGGTTCTTTGGGATTTTTACAGATGTGATAGGTCTGAACTGGGGAACATTCCCAAAGCCACATAAACTTGGAAACTTCGATGAAACCCGCCACAGGGGTCGTTCTAACCTAAATCGGTCTCACATGGATCAGATCCATGGATCCAAGTTTATAGCCTTACTGCCCAACATATATAAGATACACATATGGAGTATCTTGGTTGTGTTTGAAACATATTTCTCAATTCTCAATTTAATCTTTCCTATCTTTAAGATCTAATCAACCGGACGTAACCTGTAACCTATGAACTGCAACCTGTAACCATAGCTGGGAGACAGGGATTTCAACCAGTCAGCCTTACACTTGCACAAAATGAATACCTCAAACCATCTCAACCCATGGAAGGTTGAACATTCTATCATTGAATGACATCAGTTGATCAAGAATTTTGGTTGTTGGAATAAAGAGCAAAGATGAAGCCAAAAGTCTAATATACCTCAAATGGAAGGCGGTGAACCCGCTATCGATAACCCACTTTTTTTTTCTTTTTGGCAATTCCAATCGCCAAAGTCGTCACTTTCACCTAATATCTATCGCACTTGACTGATTCCGAGCTCGAATCCTCCCTCTAAACGGCCCAATTTTCCAACCCTCCGATCCCATAATGCCAGGCTCTGTCCACTCCCAAGATGCCCAAGATCAGTCCATGATGGACGTCGAACAGCCAGATGAATTGATGCTGGATGAGCGCCGCATCCTGGTGGTATGTACACGGACGATCGTTTACAAATCATCAAATCTGACCCGAAGTAGCTCCCCGGTTCCTCAGAGACAGCCGCATCATTCCAATTCGAAGGAGAAGGTCACACTATGGGCAACGCGCTGCGATACGCCATTATGAAGAAGTGAGTTCAAGCTGGATCTGCTTCTGGGTTTTGTCTGGAATTTTCTCACTGACTTGATTAGCCCGGCCGTGGATTTCTGCGGTTACACTATTCCCCACCCCTCTGATGCCAAGATGCACCTTCGTATCCAGACTAGTGGTAAGTGGACGACTATTGCGATTGCGATCGCAGCGCAGAAAATCTTCTAAAGATTGTCTCGACTAACTCGACTTTCAGACTCGACTACTGCCCTCGAGGCTCTTGAGAAGGGTTTCAACGACTTGATGGACCTTTGCGATGTTGTTACTGAGAAGTTCACCGCTGCTCGTGACCAGTTCAATGAGGAAAACAGCAACAAGATGCAGTCGTGAGAATGATCTAGGAATTGCATTTGTCATATATGGTACTGGCGTTTGGGTTGATTCATTTTAAAAGCTGTGTTGATAGTGGCTTGTCTATGCAATTAATGGTAGGAGATACCAAAATCTACTCTTCATCCCGAACTGCATGTCCAGGAACCCAAAGTTCTGTTCCTAAGTACCCAGTACTTCCTAGGCACCCAGGATGTCAAGTGCTGCCATTGCAGTCACAGTCCTGCCAATGCCTATCCCAGGCTGTTGGTACCCATACCCAAATTGATAAAACAAGCGGAGAATCTCATCCTGCCTATTCTCCATAGCTATCCTCATAGCCGACAATCCCTGATTATCCTGTCGATTCGGATCCGCTCCTTTCTCTATTAGAAGCTTTGCCATCCTCACATTCCCAAGTGACACAGCCCTGAAAAGCGAAGTCCTAGTCGAAATCCCAATCTGATCCACCGGAGTACCATGATCGAGTAGCAATTGTGTCATCTCAATATTATCACTGACAACAGCGTATGTTAGAGCCGTGTCGCCGTTGGCACATAGTACATTGGTAGTGGCTCCGTAGTTCAATAGTAGTCGCGTCATGCTCAGATTTCCACTTATGACTGCTTGTGAGAGGGCGGATTTCCCACGCATATTTGGGCCCTTTGGATCTGCTCCGTTGAGGAGGAGGAGTTTGGCAATATTCTCGTCGCCTTTTTGCGCTGCTATGAAGAGCGCTGTTTGTCCTTTGTGTGTCGTGTCTGTTTTGGCTTTGTACTTCAGTAGTAGGGAGACTACTTCGTGGTAGCCGTGTGATGTAGCTATCATCATTGCTGTCTGTCCGTCTGAGTCTTGGGCGTTCACATTGGCACCTTTGTTGAGGAGGTCTTTGATCGTGTTGATTTCTCTTCCATTCTTGATTAATGTGATGAGTTCGGTTTTGTTGCCCCCCATTTCGAATGTCATTCGTTTGAGTAAACTGGGTCTCTTCATTTTGCAAGGTCGCTCATTAATCTGTGAGAGGCTTTCCTCCTCACAAAAAGAGATTGAACTCATTGTAAGCGATATATCAGACGGAGCTTTGTTCCGACTTTTGATTAGCCTGTCTTGGCGTTCTCAACTAAGTATGACTAATTCGGGGGTTGACAATTAAAAACAATCTCTCATCCCACTTCTCTCTCTGATGACAAGTAGAGTTACCCCTTAAATCTTGGGTTCTATACTGTCCTCAACCTCCTGAGCAGTTCACTGCAAATTCTCGTCCCCGAGGCAAGAATTCCAATCAAAATGTCCATCGCGGCCCTTCCAGTCGAGGTGATTTCTAAGGTCTGTGGCCATCTACAGCTCTCTGAATGGCAAGATCTAAGATTATCATGTCGTGCATTGTACAGATCGTCACTCGCAGGATTTGCATCTCGCTTTTGTAAAAAGATCCACTTTATTGTAACAAGCGATAGCCTTGGGGAATTGGAATGCCTCGCGGAAACAGATGGTATTCGGGAACAAGTTCACGAAGTGAATGATCCCCTCTGTGTTTGATGGTTCCCATGTGGCAAGTGAACATGATTTCTCCGAATTTGCCTTGTCATCAAAGAGTTGTCGCCGTATCTGGCGACGAACTCAAGGCTCGGTTTTCAACATACAAAGCCTTGGTTGCGGACAACTCAAGCCTTCTGGTGTCGGAGACTTTTAGCATGCACCTACGCGGGTGCTTAGAAAAATCGACAACCTTGACACCTTTGGACTTGCGCATTATTCAACGAGCTTTTTACTTGACCCACGACAAGAAAGAGTATGATTCCTTGGCTGGCGCCGCCTTATCAATCAAATCGATTTCCGATTCGGGATTAAGAACCTCGAACCGCTTCATGGTAGCGGAAGCATCATGGCCAAGGTTAACTCTTTGGCTGCTTCGAGGCTCTTACAGGCACTCAGTGGAGCCAGCAGACTTGTGGCCCTGATTACTGTGGTAATATTGGCACAGAAATACTTTTCACAAATGCGCAATACAGCAAGCAGTCTTCAATCCAATTTGAACCATTTAGAGGATCTCCATGTTTGTACGGCTTTCAGAACCCCAAACCCAACTCATATTTTGGATACACCTACCTGGGTCACTACGCTTATCCATGTTGCTCCTCGCCTAGAAACACTTACTATCTCGCAAGACTATTATGTTGGAGAGCTTCCTAGAAAATTACAATTCAATCACCTTAAAGAGCTCCATATCCATAAGATTTCGATCAACTCCGAGGATCTGAAAATTATATCTCATGAAAGCCAAGGAAACCCTCACTGTTTTCACGCTATTTGAGGTGATCATGGAAGGTATCTCGCCATCATTATTACCGGACCATTCATCGCTTTGGTATTCGCCAACCCCAGAATGGCTTTTGCGAACTTCGCTCCCGTCTTCTGCGACCTCAACCTCGACAGCCTACACTCCAACGTCCTCTGCCTACACTCTAACTTCATCCTACAATCCGACCTCAACAGCCTTTACTCTAACCTCGATAGCATGCCCTTCAGGCTCGACCTCGTATTTTGCCCAATAAGCTGGAAAACTACTATCCGGACGAGGTTACGCCCCTTCAATCCCCTACATACCTTCTACAGATCGTGAGGATGCTCTTTGGAAGTCGGTTTGGAACTTTTTCGGCGAGAACCTATCGCTACAGAGATTCTCCATGACGAAGGTCGCAGGCCGTACCTATCAGATCTCTATTCAATGGACGGATGGCTTGATTGAGCCTAGGCACAATGCTATTTTTGATATTGAAACTGCTGGAATGACGTTCCATCAATGGATCGACCAATTTACCCCAATGCATTTACTGGATTCGCCTAGACCTTCAATGTGGCCCGATAACGATCAAGGTAAGCCAAAAAGTTGAGCTTTTCGAAGATATTCCTAATGAAATTTAGAGGCATGGTTCAACAGAATGATAAACACAAATAGCACCCTCAGGATCCCCGCCAAATGTGACTGTGAGAATGCAAATAGGGGATGTGATTTTGGATGTACAGTCACTGGACAAAAGTATTTGGATCCCTTCTCGCCAAATGTGGAGCCCTGGGGTGCAAATACTTTTGTCTAGTCACTGTAAATGACAAGATTGGAAATAATAATTAGGCAAGTAGGGCGCCTGGGAAGGAGTCGCCATTAGATTGATTTGAGTTATCAACTAGTGAGTAATAATGTTGCTCGCGGAGCAATTTTATGACTCTAAATTGGGGCCATTTGGTTTTTGGTAAGCTCTAGTGAGAGCAAGGGTTCAGCTCAAAAGTACTCCATATTTAAATTGCGATAGAGGTGATATTTCAGAGGCTCCAATGTGATCAACAGCGGAGACAACGTAAATAATCGGTCCGTCGGTTGGTAACATATTGCGAGTTCCGATTTTTATCCAAGACGGGCTGCAAGCACGATTCATACAAAGATCTTAAGTAGAGCCATATCAATGAGTTATACACCAAAGCTATGCTAAGACACTGAGTAACTTCCTAGTTTCAATTAAACTTGCCTTGTCATAGTAGTTTTCTACTGTCTTTAGGTCAAATGCTGCATGTATGCCCATGTGAATTCCTTGATATGATTTCAAATTCTATTCTTGGTTGACGTTTCGCATTAACAAATCTAGTTACCCTGTTTTCCACCCCAAGATCGCACACCTGAACTTGAGTTTGCTAAAAGATTAAAAATTTGTCGAAGATTATGCCGGCACACATTTCCTCTCTTCCCAACCGCCACTAGAGGTGACAGAAGACCAAAAAAATTGACCGACGCAGGGGTCGAACCTGCAATCTCTTGATTCGTAGTCAAGCGCCTTGCCATTGGGCCAGCCGGCCTTGTTGATGGAGAGTAGGTAAAAATTTGCCATCATGAGTGGAGCCGAGGGTTCCGTGGTCTCCACTATGTACAAGCTTGCCGTGGAAGCGAGCCCTCGTATGAACGACTTCATGCATGGTATCAATCTACTTAATATCCATGCAAAGCCTCCAGGGCTTTTCTGTTATATTGAAATTGCTTAATCACGGTAGTTAAAATAGCAAAATACGAAGTTTTGATAAATTGAAATAATGTTGGTGGTCTTCGTGCACCTCCATGCAGCAACTATATATAGCGGTAAGGTGATGCACACACATATCTTTAATACAGACATTTTCCACCAACGTTATGAAGTTTCGATCAACATCCTGCGGTCGAAATAACCAATACCTTGCCAAAATTGGGGAGGATATTGAATGCAGACTGAAATTTAAAGTGCAGTTGTTCTTTGGTCCGATCTAACTAGGCGGATTCGAACTTTGGAATGTGTCAGTCTTGGATGTTGCGCTATTATATTACCAGACACGATGCCCTATCTAATTTTAACCATTTTAAACATTCATAATATATCAGAATCAACACTCCTGTAGTTCTCCTGCCCGGACCTCAGTTATTGACTGCGAATCTTCCACCGAAAACTTTGTTTCCAGATTGTGATCCGACCGAGCCTCACTAATATTCGTCGAATAACCCTTACCAGCCTTGGAGAGTATCATCCACTCATTGTGCATGCTCAGGGTCCTTTTTTTGCTCTCCGTGACAGTTGGCGCAGACGCTGAACCATCTGACGGCGATGATCGATAAGAAAGAATTCTTTTGAAGGCTCCAGTGGTCAGCTTGTAGAGGAAAGGGATATTTGCGCAAATTATCCCACAAAGTGGCTCATATACAGAGAGGATTCCGAGAGGAACACCGGTCCCTAGAAAACCATCAGTTTGCTGGATCAGAATTTGATAGCACTCATTCCCTACAAGTGAAATCTGATGATCCTTGCGAAACGACAACTGTTAAACGAGCAAGAGTCACGCCGCACGTACTAATCGAATTAGAAGAAAATCACTCCGATACTGGAAAGGAACATACAATAAACCGATGGCAAAAACTCCTGCAAGCTCGAACTTCCGTCGCCGCGTAACATGTAATCGGAAGATAATCGGCAGCGGCAGTAGGAACACCCATATGTCGGTGATTAAATTGGTGATATTGGTGAAGTAGGAAAATGACACTAGATTGACACAACTGCCCTCCACATTCATGTCCCAGGCTTTTTGAATGGGTATGCACTGTAGTCCGAGAGCAATCTCCATGGCCGCTAGCCAGAGCACGACGAAGAAGGCGGTGCCGATCACGAATCGGCGGAAGACGACTGTGCTGAAGATGCGATAGTAGAGAGAAAGAATGGCTAGTTTAATGGTTGCGATAGCCCAGTCGTAAAAATGGCTAAAGACATAATCGCCCTATCCAGTATTCAATGTCCGAAGCAGGTGTGGTAAACGCGATATCTTACCTTTAAGAAACCTTCGATCTCTTTCATCGGAAGCGCAGCTTCGTGTCGACCAAAGCCATAAGGAGGGCCTATTTGATTTAAAAAGTCAGAATTAGCCAGGTCAATAGGTCGGTATTTATAGAGCCCACCGTAAACTAAACCACTTATACACAAACCAACCGATATCGACTGAGCGGATAATATTAGAATACAGTCTGCTTGAAGGGCCGAAGACCAAAGGGCGCTTATAGGAACTGTGTACAGACCGTGGCGATGATTATCATCAGATCATCAAAAGCGATGACATTTTTGGACGAGGGTCGTAGTTTTACGAAAAGTCGCAGTCCGGTACATATAATCATTATCGGGATCGGGATGGAATAACATATTGTCACGGTTTTGATGCGCGATTCATTCAAATCCTGCGCCATAATCGTGGTTGGATCCGAGAGTGAACATGCGAAGTGTGAAAGTTGTGAAGGGATAAAGTCCATAAGGCCGGAATGCAGGGCTAAAGACAGCAGAAAAATACCGCCTATATGCACCTGAATACTTCGAGGTTTAAGATCACCTGGAATGATTATCTTTGTTTCATCTTATTCTTCTCACTTCTCGTTCCTTATTTCTTATTGCTTTTGTCGCGTCAGCTTGGTAGGCTAGATGTGTAACCTTGGTCATCTAGTGATCTTCGGTTCTATTGTTATCTATAAGTTGCTTGCAATTTCTAAGCCCAGAAATATACTAGAAATTCAGTGTTCATGTACATTCCCAAGGGATGCCAAGTATATTGGATATATTGGCTTTAAGGGTTGTGTTACCTTAACATTGGATTTGGCCCCCACGTTACGATATTGATTGAGGGGCTAAAGGTGGCTGGATGGGGCCTCAATAAGCCAATCATAGCGATCCCCCAGAACTTAGACTCTCCACACTCTCCACTTTCAATGTTGATTCCCGTTTTATAGCGCTAGAGTCGATAAACATCAACACTAATGCGACCTTGAAATATGATTTCTCAGTAATCATAACCAATGTTATCATGGTCGCTAATCTCTCGATGGAGCCACAGTGCACTTGGGATGAGTAAGCAAAGTCAGATGCACCATGCCGACCTTGCATGAGTTCATAAGGGGCTGGGATCGGCACATTCACCAATCAGCTCCAATTAAGACACCGCCTTCCTTACCTCCCTTTCATTTCCAACATCACTGGCTCTGGCAAGCAGGTCAGGATGGCCTTCATGGGACTATCCGCTCTGATTCCTCTGGCTCTTACGAGTTCGTGTTTAGCGATTTGCAACCCGGTGGTTGATTTAGGCTACGCCACCTACCAGGGATCTTATAACAGTACTTACGACCTGAACGTCTTCAAAGGGTAAGATTTCAAACTCTATGAGCCCGACCGAATCTGTGTAACTTACTGATTTCTGCATAGAATTCGTTATGCAGCTCCTCCAGTTGGGAAGCTACGATGGCAAGCTCCACAGGCTCCCTTGGTGAATCGGACTTCCATTCAGTCTGCCACTGATCAGCCTCCTCTCTGTCCACAGTCAGGTGGTGCAAAATTGCCGAAAGTTTATGGCTTCGGTTCAGCTCTTGGTGATGAGGACTGTTTGTTTTTGAATGTTTACGCCCCACCCGGAGCGAAAGATCTCCCTGTGCTCCTTTGGATCCGTAAGTCCAAGCCCAATTAATGAAAAATTGTCTGAGTATCAAAGAATCTGTCACTAATAAATATAGATGGGGGTGGGTACGGCCTTTTTGGGGCCATTTATGACCCTAGTGAGTGGATTGCCACGAACGAAAATGGATTCATTGCGGTCATGATTCAGTACAGACTGGGCGCTTTTGGCTTTCTGTCATCGGAAGACGTGTACAGATATGGTCAAACAAATACAGGCTTGCTGGACATGCGATTCGCCCTTGAATGGGTCCAAGAACATATCGAAAAATTCGGCGGCAATGCGTCTCGTGTCACGGTTGGTGGTGAATCTTCCGGCGCAGGTTCAGCGATGTTACAAGCAATGGCCTACGGAGGCCGTGAAGATCACTTATTCAACAACGTGCGGCCATCCTACCTAATATGAGAGCCTCGGCTAACTTTTGTAGATTATCGCTGCTAGCCCGTATTCGCCGGCTATGTACCACTACAATGATGAGGTGCCGACAAGCCATTACCTTGAATTTGCAGCTCGAGCAGGGTGTTTCAATGGAAAAATTACATCTGAGCCAGTTATATTTGACTGTCTACTCAAAGCAGACACCGAAACCTTGCAATATGCCAGTGCAAATGTCTCCACCTCCGGAGCATGGGGTACTTGGGCTTTCCAACCCGTGATTGACAGCGATTTCATTCAAGAGCTACCATCTCAACAATTATTCGAAAAGAAGGTGGGCGGCAAGCGTGTTCTGTCTGGAGTAAGTTCACTAATTTTCATCAAAATACGCTGGGCTCTCATGCTGATTCCTTCAGAACAATGCCAATGATGGTGTTCCTTTAAGTCCACCTTGCATCAGCACCGCCGATGGGTTTTTAAATTACATCAAGCAAACTTTCCCCTTATTCACTCCAAGTGACTACTCTCTCTTAAAAGATATCTACAGATCCTGGGATGGTTCTCTTAGGAATACTGCTTCTCGCTACGACACCTTGGGTGATCGTGGCCCAACTGCTTTGAACCAGTCAGAGATGGCAACAGGCATACAGCAAACTATTTTCGATATCTTTGCCGAGACAAGCTTTGATTGTCCTTCATACTGGCTGGCTGAAGCTTTCTCAGGAAATCCAACGACGGAGAGCTGGAAGTATCAGTATTCCGTCACCCCTGCGTACCACGGAGCAGATTTAACGGCATACTTCTCTGTCGGAGCAAAAACACCCACTCGTGGCCTTATACATGCATTCCAAAAGATCTGGGGAAGTTTCATCATCAACGATAGTCCGGTCATCTCTGTAGCAGACGCAAAGGGCGGCGCAGAAAACTCTACAGTACCCGAAGGGCACTGTGGAGAAATTTTGTGGCCAACGTGGAATGGGTCCTCGCCTGTGCTCATGAACTTGAACACCACGGGTGGAACGACGGTCTTTGACCGAGTTACTCACCAACTCTCCTACTGGCTTCGCCAAGGACCTGGTGTTACGAACGAGTTCACGCTGGCGGATGCAAATAGCTGGGAAGGTGGTCGCGGAGAGCGTTGCAAGTTCTGGCAAGCCGTTGGCTCCCGTGTGCCATTTTAAGCTGAATGTTCCTTGCTTCTACAGTGTGGTCACTATGGTGGTCTGATTCCACAGTACTTTTTAATCCTCGCATATAGACTTTACTTTCTCTTTGATCACAAAAGCGCAATGAATAGAAGTGTACATAACATATGATTAATTCAAATAACTTCAAGAAGAGCGGTTCCCCAATAACATGCCGTACAAACAAATCCATTCAGTAAATACTGGTATGTACTCACTCTGTCTCATAGCCCATTCCCACCAACCGCAGTGAATCCTTCCAAAGTCGCTTCTCATTATCCAGATCATAAGTGTGCCGAACATATCCAACCCCAAAAGTATCATTATCATCCAACCCACGCTTCGCTTCCTCGCAATCCTCAAGGTACTTCCCACCCTTACCTTCCCACTCCTTCCCAACCGCCGCAAAAACAGTTGTAGCAGCCCCCTGCTCAGGACTTTTTAGAACCCTCACGATATTCTCATCACTCATAATTTGCTCCACGAATTCCCTCCCCACATGTCTGGACAAGTTGGTATTAATCGCACCAGGATGAAGGCTCGTCGCATGAAGACCCAAACCACCATATCGACGATCAATCTCATTAGCCATGTAGATACTAGCGAGCTTCGAATTCGCATAAGCAACGCCAAAATTATACCCTCCATTCTCAAACTTGTAATTATCACTCTCATTCAAATTCCAAGCCCGATGAGCCGAGGACGCGACATTGACGACCCGAGAATTGAAATCGGCTCTCGAACTGGCAAGTAGAGCGGGCCTCAGAAGTTGGAATAGAAGAAATGATCCGAGAAAGTTGGTTGCGAAATGCATTTCGTGTCCGTCTTCCGTGAGCTCTCGGTTCTTGAGGCCCATTACTCCGGCATTGTTGACTAGTATGTTGACTTGGTCGTGGGATCTTGTCAAGATATCTGCTGCTGCTATGCGGATACTGGTAAAGGAAGCAATGTCCATTTCGACTAGGTGCACGCGGGTCGGGTTGAGGAGTCCAGCTAGGGCTTTCTCGGCCTTTGTGGTATCGCGCGCTGTGAGGAATAAGGTTGCGCCTGTTGCTGATAGGGCTCGTGCGGTCTCAATGCCGATTCCGGATGTTGATCCTGTGAGGACTATCACTTTTTCGGATAGTTTTCCTTCGAGGGACTCGTCTTGGATTATTTGGAGTGCCGTTGGTCGGACGTCTCCAGCGCCTTGGGAATTGGAATGGGCGGCGGTGTAAAGGCCCATAGTCAAAAATTTGTGATGATGATAGGTAAAATTTGTTTCAGAAAACACTCTACCTTCTCAGGCCGAGTTGATCTAAATCTGATATTTGGGGTTTTATATTTGACATTTTCGATTGATCTCCAGGGCTTTTGCATTTTGTTTGTCTGAAGATGATGCTTGTGTGCACAAGAAGCCTGTGACGATTCATAATTTCTTTCGGTCTTCGGGCAATAATTGAGACGACGGAATGCCATAATTGTGATCATGCTGTTGCCCAAACAAGATGATTATTAATAAAGGTACTTTGCGAAACTTGGCTTATCAATCCTGAGTCAGCACCATAAATTGGGACTTGCATAAGGCTATACATGATCCAAACTATAATAATATTCTGACCTTAATTCTGTTGGATCTATGCTGTACTCTACATTACCGAAGTAAGATCAACAAGAGGTGGGCCGGTCCCAACTTCCTCTGAAACTCTCGTGAAAAGACAAAATTCCATAAAATTTGGTGGCAGCCACTGTATAGAGTGCAGGGAAATCAACACTGATACAGAATCGGTCTATTGAAGTGATCTTCACCGAATACACAACAGCAACGATATATGGATAACCGATCTTCTGTCGATAACACAGAAAATGTCAATCACAAAAATTATTGTAAGTCTGAAGCCCCAGTCTTTTGAGCAACGGGAAATGACGGGGAACCCAACACAGCCTTCGCCGACCTCCACGAGAGTCGCAGCACATAGAGCACCAAAGCCCCAAAGTTGACCCACACAAGCACAGCCAAAGAAATTAAAAGCTGAGGCGGAATAAGCTTGAAAAGGGCGACTGGATCCAAACCGGATTTTGCTTTAAATTCATCAATCTGGGCCAGGGAAGTGTTCTCCAGGTCCGAATCGCTCGGAGTCATAGGGTCTTGATCCTTCGTAACCTCAACCAAAGAGTCGGTGTAAATCAAAGTCGCGATCGTGCCTCCAAGGAAGGTCATAAACATCATGGTAACGGCTTGTGAAAGAAGCTCGTACAACCAGGCGCAGGTGAACATGAAAGTAGCGAGAGCTTCCAGGGGTGATCGGAGGTGCGCGGTTGTCAGGAAATAGGCAATTGAATCATTTTTGGTATCTGGATGCGTGAAAACAAGGAGCCGACATGCTAGATAGGTGAGGAGGCTGATTGATGCGGCTGTTCCGATGAGACCCCTATTTTCGTTGAGGACGTTTAATGCGGAGAAACCAAGTGTGGTTATGGTCCATGAGGTCAAGAGGACGACAGAAATTGTCTTGGAAATAATGGAACCAAATGAAGTGCTTGCCATGATAGAAGTTTTATTTTGTGAGACAAATACAGAATGGAAATCAGAAAGAGTCAAAAAATCAGAAAGAAAAAAAGAAAAAGTAAGTGGGGGGCCATTGGAGCCTTGCGGGAGCCTGTTACCTCCACATTTACGGATATAATGATCTGACCACATGGCCGCTACTCACCCCGTATACATGTCCCACAGTCGTTTCACAAACATAACAAACCATGCAAGAGATTTTAAATCAGTCTTTAATCAAATAGAACCTTTCTCAACCTGTTTCAGAATTTTTGTTTTCAAATCCACCTCCTTTTTCAAACCTTTCCCTTTTCCATCTTCAAGTCCCGCAGCTTTTCGGAGGACGACAGCATAACGAGGGATGTGAGCAAGAATAGCAAGCGCTTCGGTAGTTTTGATCGACTTTCCTTCGCTGCCGTAGTAAAGTCTCTTCGGCGGAGAATAATTACGGAAGCGTTGAACATCATCTGGCTTGGGTTGGCTCATCGTGGCGTAGTGTAGATGTTTCACAAAATTTTATCAAAAAGGAAGGATTGCAGTAGAAATTTGAAAATCAGGTTTGGACAGGGAAAGAGAATGGGAAGAGAAGTTGCTATTCGGGGGATTTCCATTCATCTTGTAGCCATCCAAACGGGATTAGTTATTTTGCTTGTTACTATGCCCGTTCTGGTCTCAGTGTCACGGCCTTTGGACTATGGTTGGGAGAAACTTAGAAAGCCATCATCTCCGTTTTCGTATACTTACCATAAAAGCACTTGAGCCAGAGAGGAGCACTTATCGAAGTATTGTGTCAACTAGTATTTGGACATATTCCCTGCCACTGAGTGAATACCAAGTCAATTAGAAAGGGCACCAGACTTGTCTAAGTAGGTATAAGAGTAGAGTTACAAAGGAGAAAGCTAAGCTAGTAGGCTAGAACCTTAATTCCACCTGTCTGCATAGACTGGGGCCATATTATGATCCACACAATTTGACTCGCAGTCTGTCTCACAGCCTAGTGTGGCGCCGCAGAGAGAGTACGCCTTGTGAGTTTAGATGATCCAGCTAGCTGGCATACCAGCCTAAAAATTCTGGAATAGGACCGAAGGAAAAACTCCACCCTACCAGGCAGTTAAGCCGTATTGACAATTATTGAGGAAGATTTTAGCTCACGAGAGCAATAACTGTATTGCTTGACAAACTCTATCAGACTTATAGCCTGCAAAGTTTCTGACGTCATATCAAGGCCGGCTGGCCCAATGGCAAGGCGCTTGACTACGAATCAAGAGATTGCAGGTTCGACCCCTGCGTCGGTCAATTTTTTGGTGTTTTTTTTAATTCACAATACAATTATTGTGCGATAGCTGCTGGGCTACAATCATTTCTGCGCTTGGGAGCGAGGCGTCCTGCTTTCTATGTGTGGCTTTTTCGCCGGGTTTGGCCAGAAGTTCAGTATATCGAATAAGAGAAACCCGCAAACTCTGACTCCATAGTCCAAGTTGAGAAAGTTGTTGGTGAATTTCAAGGTCTGACATTCGACATCTGCATAGCCATTGGAATCTGCAATGGTGCGACTGGGTACACAGTGGCGACTATACGGCCATTCGGTTAAATTTCCCCCCTTTTCTACAGCTCTTTACTTATAGCTGTGCTTTGACAATATTAAGCCCCAAGAGGCCCAATAGGAGGGTAGAAGATACGATGAATAATTTCACCTCTGAAAAGAAAACAAAGAATAAGCTGAATGCTCGTTTGAACAAAATATAGAATGACGAGCATAATATGATAGCATGAAGGAATTAAGATAAGGAACAAATGTGATCAAGTACAACTTGCTGGATAATTCTCGACAACCCCCCTCTTCATACTACCCTAATACCCAAAGCGCTTGCATTTAGAGGTCATGGGGAACTTCAGAGAATGGGGAGGTAAAAGGTTGGAAGATGAACAATAGAAAGAAGGGAAGGACGCGTTGGGTTTTTGATAAACCCTTGGTATAGATTCACACCTAGGTGCATAGCGTGGATCTATCGACACAAGCATGTGTTTAAGCTGAGGTACATAACGTGAACTCAAAATTTTGTAAGAAAGATGTCATTGCCTGATTGCTAGATCTATTGAAAGCTATCGATTCTGGATTTCCTTGCTCTTCTGAAAAATGAGCGCATCCATTCTGACCCGTTGAATCTCGAGTTCCGTCCGCTGATCCTCAGCATGAGATACTTCGAAGTCAATGCTCTCTCGATACTGAGAAATTGTGGTCCAGCAGGCATCATGTGTGGCCAATCAGGAGAAGTATCGGCTTTCAACTCAATTTCTATGTAAGTGTTATGGCCTGATCCGGGGAAGTTAATAAAAGATCCGTAAGTGAGTTCAAGGGCTGTGTAACGTGTTTGCCTGGAAGCTCGGGGACCATCAGGATGTGAATGGATCTACAGTGGAGATCATGATTGATCAGATGCACCTTTGATAGTCTGAAATGGCATCGCTAAACTCTTAGGCTGCTGCATTAGACCCTGGCCCACTTAGTCTTATTACAGGCTACTAATGAAATACATCTTACAAACAGTAAGGACCAAGCCCTCTTGAATATGGAGTTATCAGGGTACTATGCAGGTGCCCCAAGGAACCGCCTTTCCCACCGCCTATAGTGGCCATCCAAATAGCATGGTAAAACCACGTAAGAACATTTAAAATACATCTGAGAGCCCCGAAAGGAACCAATGCATGGATAGAATGAGTATCATAAGCCCTATTATCTAGCGATAGATACTATATTACCTGGGTTTGGATATTCTTCGACTGGTAGGATATTATATAATCAACCGGGTATGAATACTTTTGGCCTATCACTTTAGGTATCTGGTGAAGTACTAGTGCTTACTTCTTAGAAGCCTAGGTAAATTTCAAGTTGACTTGGAAGGTTTTGTCTCTAGCTGGTCAGGGGTAGTATTAGCGCTGACTTTCTTGGAAGCCTGCTAGGCAAACATGTTGTTTAGCCTGGGAAGTTCCGTGACTTCCTATTGGTTCAAATTTGCCACGTAGACCCCCTTTCTTACATGTACTTTGTTGTCCCCCCGAATCAAGGGGTAATCCAGCTAGTCATTAAAATTATACATTGTAATCTTTATGTACCTTATCATTTGCTTTCGTTAATGAACAACAGGCTTAAGCCAAGATGCCTCCGTGCATGAGTTGCTGAAGTCTGTATCCATCTTGAACCCTAAGTTTGATATCTTTTCGACATCCCAACCAGATATAAAATCTTGGCCGTCAGGCGTAGGCTTTCCCATTCGTATCGAGTTCCCAAAGCGGCACGTTTTGGACGAATATGAAAATTGCAAGCAATTTGCGTCTGCGGCGCAGGCTGAGCTGCATTCTGCAGCAGAATTATGAGCAGAAGACCAAAATCGTTGAGTCTTGTCGGAGTAGTTATCCCAAAACTTCCGGATAGGCTCCTTGCGTAGATAGGAAAGAGTATATGCAAGGAGTGATGAGTAAAGAAAAGGTTCCTATTAGCGTGAGTGGTGCATAAATAATCGGCAGAAAGAACGATAAATACCTCATTATATGGCCTCGTTCGCTCCCATTCCCAAAGGGCCGTTAGCTGCTCTGGCGACATTCTGTGAAGTGAAAGAAGTGGTATACACCATCTCTCTTTGTTCACTTCAATGGCACCGAGTTCTTCACCGGAAAATGTAGGATTAAGACCTTCCACTTTCACTCCAGCTTCATCCATAATTGCATAAGCAAGCACTGCATCGCCACAGCAGTCCTTTTTGGCCAAGTCTTGGTATTTGACACTGAGGCGAGATTCTTTGCTGGAGCCATCATTCAAGCGGTTCATCAAGCCCCTTGACAGCACGAAGCCTGCGCCACCATACGCAAAATATAGGCCTCTACCTCCCCCAACGGGTGATCCTAAATAATGCATCATAGATGGGTCGAGTTGATCAAGCATGCGGAACAATGTATCCCAAAAGAAATAGGTGTCGGCTTCGATGAAGACATACCAATCGGCATGCGGGCGCATCTTATACGCCTTCTCGACCATCGGCAGAAACTTAAAGCGGTCGAGTCGCCAACCCTCCTGCGAATACCCAACCCGACCATTTTTCGAATGAGCCAACTTCTGATCATGGTAAGTCGCAAAGTCTGGGTTACTAGTCGTATAGCTTGACGGGAGATCGTCGAGCACATCGATGAATTGATGCTGAGCAACGTTCTCCTCATAATCGGAAAAAACGAGAAGATTGGATATGCACGATGTAACAGTGGCAAGATGTGCTTTGTTCTTCTCAGGCTCTCCAGTACCTGTTTTAAGGATGACTTGGATGCGATCCAAAAGATGAGTGGGAAAGCCTGCGCAGTAGTCGGGCGCCGTCAGGTTGGTGGCTCCGGAATTCACCAGCGGCGGGAAAAAAGGCTTAGTTATCCATGAATAAAAGCGATCCCGCCCATAGGAATAGTATGGCGACTTGTTCGACGAGGGTACTCCCAGGGATAAATTGTATCGTGATCTGGAGACAAAGTGGCCAAGAGCCAAAACGCACGAAATGAACGCAAGTATTGATATATTGATCACACGCCTTCGAAGCCGCCACAATGAGGGAAAGGGAAACATGGAGAAATATGTAGAGTGTATAGATGAGAATGGATGTGCACGAGCATTCCATTGAATCCTTTCCGAAGAAAGTCACGGGTCGCGCTATGACTGTTTTGGGGCCGAGCAAGCAAACGGCTAGTGGAAGTGGGGGCCAGAGCCGCCCAAAGCTCTCCAGCTTATGTAACTCTTCTGCCGAACCCTGAATCACACAACTTATTACCATGCATTACAACAAGAAAATTGCCATTGATGAGAATTTGGATTATTTGAAATGTCAACAACAATGGGACTTTTGTGGGAAAAATATCCACGCTCTGTCCGAGAGTAGACTAGCGCGGAATTATTTCGACTTGTACACGTTCGTGAGGGTAGGAACAAACAGCGGGAAGTCAGCGAAAAGGGGTTCAGGAGGCTACACTCTCTGGCCACATTCGCGGAGACACGCTAAGAGTGCATTAGCGCGACGGTGGTAATTATACCAAAATTAACAGCGTTTTAATCTAAGAGTTGTTAACTAGTACTGGCATTGTTGTCATCTGAAGAGAATATTGACCTATAAGCAGGCAGGATCAACGAAGGTAATGATCTGGGCTGTAACGTCTCCGCGGATGTGGCCAGAGAGTGTAGTACAGTTTAAGTGGCGTATGCAATTTCTGAGGCATCGGGACTGTATCGGAGTCGCCTCGGACCGACCCTGGTAGATCAGCAGATCAAAAGCTGGACTTGTTAGGATCCACTTTTACAGGCCTGTGCCCTCAGCCGCAGCTGCATCATGATTGAATCTACCTTCTGGTCCTACCTTCTGGTCCTTAGCTTCTTCTCTACTCATATTAAACCGTACTCATTCAACTTATACCTTGTTGGGGCTTGTCAAGCAGAGCTCTTGCTTCTTCAAAGGTGGAACTGATTTTCACATTTGAAAATATACTCACCTCAGAAGTGGCTAGGCGAATGGATGTTTAGCGCTTCTACTTCCCCATGCCCTTGATCCGAATACGCAGTAGCATATGGTAGGGGATGTTTCAATGTGGATTATTCCATAGCGAAGAGAAGATTCAACGCTCAAAAAAGTACCGAGCGTGTAGTGTCCATTGGAAGAACCGGGTCTTGTCTTTCAAGGAAGATGATTTGAATCTTCTAAATCGGTGACTTCTTCAGGGAAAACAACTTATTCTGCAAAGGTAATTTATTATGAATGATTATGACTGATCATTACTTATTGAAACTGCTGCACGATATTTCTAGGCTCCTGTCTAACCGTTTTGACTGACATTCTCTCATTCTCCAGTTAATCGTATATGGATAATTACATTGGATGCTCTTGGCGCCAATAGGCCCCAAGCGGGGAAGATGGAAGATGACTACAATATGTAGGCTGACAGCTTCACACAAAACGTATGTGATATTGGGTATGGGGGGAGAAAAGAGAGAAGGAGCAGAAGATCTAGAGGATATGCCCCAGACCCAAAACCAAGCTAGTCCTAAACGGGATGCCAGCGCTGCTCAGGTCACATGATATGACCCAGGGACACCGACACACCCCCGCAGCGCGAAAGCTGACCATACAAAGCACAAAAAGGGCCCCTTTGTCTCAGAAAAACTCCAAAAAACGCATAAAATACAAATCAACCTCAGTTTCCTCATTGGGCCTAGCGCGGCTTACGTCATGAAGCCCGCCGCTGCACTACTGCAGCCCCAACAACTCCACAAAGGTAGAAAAGGTGGCAATGTCGAGGATTTTCGTAAATCCATCTGCCGGATTGTCCTTGCTGGGTAAAACAGTCAATTTGACTGTTCTTTTGGTGATTTCGTCACGCACAAAGTGGTAACGAATGTCGAGGAATTTTGTAGCAGGTTTGTAGGCGATATTCGCAGTTTCTGCCAGAATTGCAGCATTATCGCTGTCCATTCGAATCTCCACGGGTTCATTTCCTCGAATCCCCATCTCCTTCATTAGGTGTGATAAGTAAAGGGCGTCCTTTGTAGCCCGGTCCAAGGCAATGTACTCGGCGCATGTGGAAGATGGGGCAACAAGCTGTTGGCGTTTTGAAGACCACAAGATCGGAGTACCGTCGTAAAAGAAGACACAGCCGTCAATAGAACGGCGTGTAGGGATATCGTTGGCATGTGAAGCGTCCACATACCCCACTAAACCCCGCATGTCGTAACCAGCAGCGTTTTTCAACTTGTGGGGCCCAAATTCGAGTCCTTTCTCAAGGGTCCCCTTCAGGTATCGAATAACCTGTTTTGACAGCTTCATGGATGCTTCTGAAGGTGTAGACGCTGCCCGTTGCAGCATGGACACGGCAAAAGAGATGTCTGGCCTGGTCTTGTGTGCCAGCCACCCTAGCTTCCCAATACGGGTAGCAAGGTGCTCCCTGTCCGTTTTGTCCATTTCTACATCAGAATCCATTTGTGCCACCCCCTTTTCCTTTTCGAGTGGTTTGGTGCCCAACGGGATGGGTATTTTGTTCGAGGTCATGTTCGTCAGACCTTCGGTGTCGATGAGGTCACGAATGTACTGAGCTTGGTTGATTTTGATCGTGTATGATTTCGGGGTTGTGGAGGTCTCGGAGGAGGATTCGATGGAGGATTTCGTGTTTCCTGGTTTATCAATAGTAACAGCACATCCAAGGAATTTTGTGGGTTCACCAAGGTCTTTAATGACCACAGCACGCCCGATTTCCTCGATAACAGCGTCATTTTGGTCCTCACTAATCACAAAAGCGTCGTCGACGTAGATGATAATGAAGCATCCGTCTCGTACAAAAACACACGGATCGAGGGTCAATCCTCGGAATCCCATGCCCTCCAAGATATCCTTGAATTTGTGAAACCAAAGGTGTGCAGCCTGTCGAAGTCCGTACAAAGCACGCTTAATAAGACTCACATAGCCTTTTCTGTCGAATCCTGTCGGCATTCTCATGTACACGATCCTGTCGTCAATAGCTGCATTCAGGTAGGCGGCTACCATGTCAAATTGTCTGATAGACCAACCTTCTCTAGCTGCAACAGCGTAGAGGATCTTCACACTCTGATCGTTGGCCACAGGTGCGTAGCTTTCGTCAAAATCGAGTCCTTGCTCCTGACGATTTCCACAAATCACCCATCGTGCCCTGAATTGAGTCACAAATCCTTTGTTGTCACTTTTGAGGTCGAAGACCCATTTTCCTGGTAGAATCCTAGCTTTTTCAGAGGGGTATGCGACCTCATCCCATGCACCTGCTACTGCCAATTTATGCAGCTGCTCCTCCATAGCTTTCATCCAGAAGTCTGAATATTGAGAAGCACACGCTTCTCTGTAGGTGAGGGGTATCTTGACCGTCCACGCTTTCAAAGAGTGCAGAACGTCGATTTCACCTGCTGGCGGCATATCCTCATCTTCAACGAGGGTGGCAGCCATAACAGCTGCGTCAATTGCCATATTTGCAGCTTTCTCCGCATCAAAGTCCTCATCACCGTAGCGTGTCGTCTGACGTTTTCCCCTCGTAGAGCATGTCGATTTCCGAACTGTGGTAGGTGCAGGCTCAGGGGATTGCGATCTGGGAGTAAGTTGGGACTCCGAAGAGGTTTTTCTGGGAGAAATCTGGGAGTTTGAAGGCTCTTCCTCGGGAGGGGCAGTAATAAGAGGGATAAGAGGGGTCTCCTCAACCTCGAAGAACTGCGGATCCTCGGCTTCATGTGTAACCTCCACAACCGTGTGTCTGTAAGCGGATCTGATATCCGGGGTAAATTTGGCGATATTGACCTGTTTAGCAGCGATTTCAGCGCGTTTTTGCCATAAATCACTTGATTTTTCGTCGTCTTTGCCCTCCCAAAAGGCAACATCTCGCACAGTGGCGATTTTGTTGGCAATAGGGTCGTAGATCCTGTAAAGGTGACCATTTTCACCCCTGTAGCCGACAAGGTGCCCTGCCCATGCCCTTGGCAGCATTTTCCGGCTCTTTACCCTCTTCTCAGGGGGTACGTTGACGTACGCCTTGCAAAACCAGATTCGGAGATGGTCGAGGCTTGTTGTCTGATCTCTGTCGTCCATGCCTTTCCGCCACATTTCCATAGGTGATTCTTGGGTCTTTCGAGTCCGTAGGCGATTTGTGATGTTGGCAGCTGTAGATAATGCCTCAAACCAGAGGGTTTCAGGTGCGCCGGCATCAATAATCATTGTGCGGGCTATCTGCATCAAATACTGGCCTGACATCTCACTGACGCCGTTTTGCTCATGCATGTAGGGGGCAGAAAGCTCGATCCTGATGCCTGCAGATCTTGCCCATGTGGTGAAATTGCAAAATTCTCTGCCGCCGTCGTAACGCATTTCATGGGGATAGGAACCTGAGCTGTTTTTGACCTTTTCACAGAAATCCTGGAGGTGGCCGGAGGCCTCAGCTTTACTTTTGAGACCTTCCACAAATCGACAGCGAGAGTAGTCATCCGTGACTACTAAGGCATGCTTTTCAGCGTTCACCCCCATAGGTTTAACCTCTTGTAGGTCAACATGAATAAACTGGCCAGGCCGAGTTGCCCTGGTTTGTGGGGTCCTGGAGACAACTTTCTTGGATTTTCCCAGTTTGCAGGCCTCACAGTGGAAATCTCTGTCTGCGTCGATCGGTCCAAAGGCATCTTCATTTGCTCTCATTTTTGGTTGTCCCGCATGTCCGAGTCTTTTGTGGGCGAATTCGGCAGAGAACATGACAATATTAACCTCATTTAGGCCGGTATTGGTGTGTCTGATGAGAGGAACTCCGTGGCTGAAGAAAATGCGGCCAACAATAGCCTTTTCAGGTCCTCGGTCATGAATCGCCATAGTATCGTCGTTATAAGCGATATTCAGCTCACGACGACCCTTGCACGCAGAAAAGAGGTTGAATTTCATTCCTGGAGAGAAGAGACAGTTGATGATAACGTCATAAACATGACCGCCATCTTGGATGAAGGAGATGCGAGCTTTTCCATAGCCTGTAGCTTTGCCTGACACCCCCGGAGTAGCAGAATCCCACTCATGCTTCTCGCCGTTTTTGAATTCATGAAATTCGTCCATAAATGCCATATTCGTGCAGATATGAGCATAACTGCCAGTATCCATTATCCACTGCTGAGTGCATAGGTTGGCAGGAACTGTAATTCTGTGCTCATCCATCCCGGCGTGTTCCTGAATCGATTTCGGCACGGACGACAATGCGACGCAGTTTTCAATAACAGCATCAAATACGGCCTCAGATACCGCTTCCACCACTCCTTCCACAGCGGCAGCGACCAAATCCCCTACCAGGTTATTGCCTTCGTCGTTAAGGTTCGGAAGTGGGTGTAGTAGGTTTTCGGGGTCGTCTTCAGCCAGAATCGGTGGATTGTCGTTCGCAGGAGGAATCGCATTCGAGTCGTTCGGCGTCGCGCTTAGTGCCACTGCACTAATTTGCGTAGCTTCACGGTGGTTGTCCTGTGAATTGAGTGCATCAAAATCAGCGAATTTGCCAGCTTGAAGGGGGGTATTGTGATAATTTTCGTTGTCCACAAGCCTATCGTAAGCCTGTTTGAGAAAGTCGTCTGCTGCTTTTGTCAGGTGATTGTGCTTCTCTGCGAGAGCTTTTTCAAAATCGAACTGATCTTCGAAATCTTCGGGGATGTGGGGTACGACCATAGCGGAGAAGTGGCCAGCGTAGTAATCGTCCATATACCCCGCGCTTGTCGCCTGCATACTGGTGGTAACAGCTGAAGTGTCCTTATCTTGCGTGAAGGTTGACGGCGTCGTCATCGTATTTGACGAATTCGACGGATTCAACGGATTTGCACCCCCGCTGGTGCCCCTCTTGTACTGCCAAAGAGCCCCTGGACCCTCCCATCCTGGTGGTCGAAGATCTGGTCGAAGACAGTAGCATTTGTTGGTTTTGTGTAGATATCCACAGTGGGCACAGTTTTTATCCTTGTTTTGTGGCTTATTGAGCTGTGCTTTCACATGTAGTTCGTCAGAGATTCCGGGTCCAGGGCGGTTCTTTTGGTCTTTCAGTTCGAGAACAGTTTTGTAGTTGCCACCACGTCCACCTGAAGTCTTCTTCTCTTTTTCGGCCTTTGGGGTTTTAGCAGCAGCTTGTCGAGATGTAGCCTGATAATTTGGGCCTTTTTCTTTGGCCTGAAGGCGTCCGACGACGTCGTTGAGAATACGCTGCATTTGATCAGCGTTCATGATATGTCGTTCAGTTGCAACAGAAGGTAGGCCAGAGAGAATCATGTCTTTAAGTGTATCATCGCCCATGGTGCCGATAATGATCATCAGTACGCCGAAAGGGGGCAACACTATTCCGTTTTCCTTCATTTTGATCCATCCATCCCTCACGGCCTGCACATAAATGCTAGGTAGCGGGAAATCATCAGGTTTAAGCATGTACCAGTCCGTGGCGGTGTTGCATTCGGCAAAAACGCCGACGCCGCAAAACTCCTCGGTAATTGCGTCAAAAACCTCGTCAGCAAGGTCTAACCTTTTGTCCGTGGCTCTGAGCTTCGAGTTTGTATCTTGGGACACTGTTCCAAGCATCCAACTGGCTACCAGGGTTGAGATAGCAAGCCAGTTGTTGGCCATAGTGCTTTCATCGTTGTCAGGTCGTTCAATAGAAGAGTTGATGAGGTGAACAAGTTTGTGAGCTTTCAGCGCGATTTCAACGCTGTTTCTCCAGTTCCTGTATTGGCTGGGTTCGGACAGTGTTTCCTTGAAGTGATAGAGACTAATTTTGTCAGCTTGTGGCAGGAATTGTCCTTGGTGTTGACGTGTTTGAGAAGGGAGAACATCCCATCCCTTCTTCACGCGGGGCACACCCTCTGGAGAGATAGGTGTGGCCATGTTGTTGTTGTTTGAAGATGAACTTCTGTTATTGTTGGTGCTGTGCAGCGGTTGCGATCCGGCACAGGAATGTGGGGCTGCCGAAGCTTAGTCGGAATAAGCTTTCAAAGCAAAATGGAGTGTACACAAGAAAAAGGGTGTCAAAAAGACACAAAGGGTGTCAAAAAGACACAAAGGGTGTTTTATCAGGCGTGATCAGTGCCCAAAACGGAGGTTTTGTGAGTCCTTGGACTCGAGAATTCAGTCAGAAAAAGGTCTGTTTTGTGTGGGCTGTAGGTTGTTGACGTTTCCGTTGTAAACCGTGTGCTCCGGGCTCATAACCTCTTGGCGCCAATAGGCCCCAAGCGGGGAAGATGGAAGATGACTACAATATGTAGGCTGACAGCTTCACACAAAACGTATGTGATATTGGGTATGGGGGGAGAAAAGAGAGAAGGAGCAGAAGATCTAGAGGATATGCCCCAGACCCAAAACCAAGCTAGTCCTAAACGGGATGCCAGCGCTGCTCAGGTCACATGATATGACCCAGGGACACCGACAGATGCCTATCAGGCTCCCGTGTTAACCTGGGAGAACAGGCACACTATATTAGTGATCACTGAGGCGAAACCTGCACCCTTTGAATGCTATGGTAGAATATCGTTCCCACTTACTCAAATATATATCGCAGTACCACCCTTTTTCTAATCCAGAATATTCGAATATCAGGTCTGTCACCGATTGCAGACCTCTCGTTTCCCATAACTACGCAGTCAAAATACTCCATGTCTTATATTCAAGGCCACTGCGCCCCACAATTCAAGGCCCTACATAAACTCATCTCTGAAAAGTTGCAGTCAAATGAGGAGCTCGGGGTCTCCCTCAGCGTCATAATCGGAGACAGAACCGTTGTCGATATATGGGGCGGATACAAGGACGCTGCCCGCACGAAGCCCTGGACCAAAGAAACCATCACAACTGTATGGTCCCTCTCAAAAATCATCACCAACCTCGCAGCGTTACTACTTGTCGACCGCGGCCAGCTAGATCCCTCCGCCCCGGTGGCAAACTACTGGCCCGAATTTGCAGCGAACGGCAAGGAGAATATACTTATCAAGCATATACTTAGCCATACATCCGGCGTATCCTCCTGGGAACTCCCCAACACTATCGTGGATATCTATAACACTCGACAATCGACCGCAAAGCTCGCTGCTCAGAAGCCATGGTGGTCCCCACCGGGTGTTCAGTCGGGCTACCATGTAACCAACCAGGGCCATATGGTAGGAGAGATCGTGTACCGTGTCACTGGCAAGTTGTTAGGCGCGTTCATCCGGGATGAACTCGCAGCGCCCCTCCGAGCTGACTTTCAACTGGGATTGTCGCAGGAGCCGGACTGGGATCGTGTGGCTGATCTTATTCCCGGGCCGCCTGTTACAATACCCGATGGCATTGATCTAAACAGTGTGTTCGCGAAGACTTTCATGAGTATCCTCATGCCGGCGGAGACGGCTATGACCCCCGGATTCCGGAATGCGGAGATAGGTGCTACGAATGGCTTTTCTAATGCACGGGCCTTGGCCAAGATTGGGTCTATGGTGGCCAATGGAGGAGCGGTAGGAGGAAAGAGATTCATGTCGGAAGAAACTATCCATCGAATGCTTGAGGTGCAATCGGATGGAGTTGATCTGGTTCTAGGTTGTCATCTGCGTTTTGGGTTGGGTGTAGGGCTGCCGACGCCCGAAACACTGCCGTGGCTACCCGCTGACGGGCGAGTTGCTTACTGGGGAGGTTGGGGAGGCTCTTTTCTTGTTATGGATGTGGATCGAAAGGTCTCTATTGCCTATGTGATGAATAAAATGGGAGAGGGCACGCTGGGCAATCACAACACAGCTGAATATGTCAAAGTGATATATGCTATTCTGGATGAATTGGATGTGGAAGCTTTTAATTAGTCTTCGTATTCATTTTGAGAGCATTCCTCGTCGGCCATACCATGCCGACATTTGAAACTACTACCCTGTCCATATGAAGCGTAGGTCCGTGCATTTCCCAATACTTCCGCTGCCCTCCAGCCTGTCGCCACATAGTGACTCAGTCGCCAAGACGCCAGTGAATTAGCGAACTCTCATTTGAGACAAGTCCGGCGGACCAAGCTACCTATTTTAAGCAAGATAGCCGGCCTTTTATTTGCTTCACTCGATTTTGTCGAAAAAGATGGACCCTTTCCACGACGATTCACGGGCTACACCATGGCGCTCATCCCTATTTTCACCCGAAGAAACCCCACGTCAAGCAAGCAGGTGGATTGAAAAGTTGCCAGAATGGCCCATTATAAGCAACAATTTGACTTCTTGATACTTTCAGGAGCAGACTCTTCACACCGGAGGTTGGCCTTGGGGGTATGTTATCTATCACACAATCTTCACAGCTACTTCTGATCGGGACTGGGCTGCTGCGATCGAGAAGCTTGATAGGCACTGCTATACCGAGATGGCCAAGTTTGAAGAGTTGGAAAATCTTCGATTCCGATTCCAGCCTGATGTCCATGAACATGTTCGCGAGGGCTATCGAAACTTAATTGTCCAAGATCCGAACTTGGAAGGCGCCTCGGTAGATGCCATTCGCAAAAGACACATTCGGTGGGTTGAAGGACGGGGTTACCATTTTTACCTTGGAATCCCTCGGTTTGACTACTGCCTTTTTCTGGATGACCGCGCGATCGGGTCTATTTTGGCGAGCTCGGAGCCAGGCGCCAAGGATGGCCTGTCGGATACGTTAACCTGATCGACCGTGATTTTGATAAGAATGACACAGAGAATGACTGTTCCGAGCACTATGATGGATCGCTCAGGATTTGTCTGAAGGATATCTTTCACTTTGCTCTGTACTGTGAAGATCTAAAAACTGGAGAACAGCAATGGGGAGACTGGGGTTGGAACGTCCTGGGAATGTCATTTATACAGACGGGCATTCTTCCATGGGCGAGAAGCAAGACGTCTTTCTTTGTCCATCCGACTACTGCTGTTTCTTCCGTTCCTGCTACCCTCAATTTCCGAGAAGAGAAACCGTCACAGAGTCTCAATACACAGAGCTCCAGACTTCTATCATACATGGTAGTCTAGCAAACTGAACTGTGTTTAATACCTAGGTATTTAACATAACAAAATGACTAGTCTGATCCAAACATTCATATTTCCATTGGTGAGGGTATGTTGCGTGGTCAACAGGATCATTGCAAAAGGAAAGTCGGCAGGGTGTGTTGGGAGAGAGAGAGAGAGAGAGAGAGAGAGAGAGAGAGATAAATCATAGTACTGATGTCGAATATCAGCCACCCAGTCTGATATGTATATAGATTAATATAGTCAGCCATTCTCATGCTATCTCTCTCCAAATGTCTGCTATAAGTAGGTAGGTAAGATATTTTGAATATGCACTGACCGTAGTGCGATAAGGTACCGGAGTTGTGTATTTTGATCTGGCCTATATAGTGCGTTAATTAAAGAGAATTCCATGATTATTTCACTTTTTTCAACAAACAAAAGATGGTGGAAGGAACACAGTTTTAAGGACTGTTGACGACCGTTAGTAAACCTTGACCATTTTTGGTGAGATACTCTCAAGTTTTGTGACTTTTGGGAGGTAGCTTGATGTCCATGCGCTTGAACCTTGGAAGATGAATACTAAATTGAAATGATATGTCTGGAATGCTAGAGAATTTCTAAGACTGATAGGGGAATTCTGCGCTCATGACACCACGATACCCTTCATGTCGCCGTCTGCTCGCCATTTTTCAATCAAACCAATCCAATGCTCGATTCCCCAGCCCCAAGTTCCTGACCGTGCTAAAACCATTTGTTGCTCGGGTGGCACACGATCAAGATCACCTTCTAGATTTATGTACCCTGGGGTACATCCCATTACGGCCCCCAATGGCGCAGAGTGCATCATGACCTGCAAGGCCCAATTTTCTGCAGCTTCTGCCGATGGCGCAATAACGACGGGTGCACCTTTAGCCATGCGCTTTGATTCCGCCAATATATACGCAATGTGCTTTGCGTACTCATCAAGTGAGAAGCGATAGTTTCCACTGGCGGATGCCTGCTGGAGTCCATAAATGAATAGATTTGGGAATTTGGCATCAATCACACCGTGGAGGGTAGTAGGGCCCAGGCGAGACCATTCCTTGCTCATGGAGACTCCATTCAAACCAATAATTGACATACTCGCTTTCTCCGCTGGTGATCCAGCGGGAGGGGCCAAGAAACCTGTCGCAAAGATGACCAAATCGACTTCGTAGGCCTTATCACCGACTACGACAGAGTTCGTTGTCATCCTGTCAACTGACTTGCCGTTTGTATCTACCAATGTCACATTATCCTGATTGAAGGATTTCAGAAAATCGTCATGGAAAAGAGGGCGTTTACACCAAATTGGATGCCAAGGCTTGAGTTTCTCGGCGATGGCAGGATCATTCACCTCTTCATCGATACGTGCATGAATGCGCTTTTGGTACGGTGCATCGACTTCGACCAACCTTGCTTTATAGGCTGGAATGTCTTCGGGTAACTTCGGCCCTTCTGGGTTCCCGGCCCAAGCAACTAGGCCAGGGGCTCGTGTCCACTCATCGTTGACCAGGTTGAGTGCTGGCAACTCGCCGAGAGTGAAATGTTGGTGGAAGTTCTGCATTCGCTCTCGTTGCCATCCTTTCGTTACTGCAACCTCTTTATGAAACCACTCTTCATCGGTCGCACGCTGATCTCGGAAGTTCACCGAAGCCGGCGTGCGCTGGATGACATAGAGATGCTTGCACCATTTTGCGAGGTGCGGAACTACTTGCACGGCCGTTGCTCCCGTGCCGATGATCGCGACTCGCTTGTCCTTCAATTTGACAAGAGATGAATCTTTAGGAGATCCACCTGTAATATTGTATGCCCAACGAGCCGAATGGAAGATGTCACCTTTGTATTCCAGAATACCCGGGATGCTCGGCAGCTTGGGGAGGTTGAGTATTCCAGCGGCAATGGTAACAAACTTGGAGCGGATTTGAATAGTCTCTGGAGATTCTTCCTCCCGACACTGAAGTAGGTCAACGATCCATTCCTTGGAATCATTATCCCAGACAATCTTCTCTGCTTGTGTTTTGAAGACAGCACATTTCGTCAGGCCCCATTTCTCGGCGACAAGATTGACATATTCCCGGATCTCCTCTCCCTGTGAGTATCGATGTTTAGGAACGTATCCCGTCTCCTCCAGAAATGGTAGGTAAGAGTAGCTCTCAATATCGCACATAAGCCCGGGGTATCGATTCCAGTACCAAGTGCCCCCAAAGCCACCAGCTGGGTCGATAATCCGAATTTCCTCGGCCGGTATGCCAGACTGAATCATACGTACCGCGTTCTGTATCCCGCCCCATCCAGCGCCAATTATAAGTATTTCACTTCGTTTTTCGGGGAACTTGATTTGGAGGGGTTCGATTGTTGCTAGGTCAACCCATGGGTCATTGGCAAAATGCCGATATTGTGGTGACTTTGCAATTTCAATAAACTGGGCGTTTCCGGCGTCGCAAAGACGCTTTTTCCTTTCCTCTTCGTAACGGTGCTTCATTTGGGCAATCTCAGTCTGATTGATTGCCCCATTGAAAGGAGATTGAGCGGGGTCGTCTGTTCCCTGAATGATCGACATGATAGAAATCAAGCCAGTTTTGATCATACAAAGTTGGAGCCAAAATCAACGGAAGTTGATAAATAGACAGATGGGTGATGGAAAATTTTATTTGTCACCTGCGCAGAGCCTTCTGGTCGTAAAAGCTAGCTGCTATATGCCTGCAGTTTCTTTGTTGGCCCCATGACCTCCCAGCGAATGGCTGTGAAACTCATTTGGGGGCTGAAAGCAGTCTATTCGTTGACTCCACTGCTAGCCAATGACTAGCTTTAACACTGACGTGGTGGCTGAACAGCGATTGCATATTTGTTAGCGTAATGACACTATGGGGCACCTAGAAGAGAAGAAGGGAGTGTATGAATTCGTAGGATAGAGAATTACAATCTGAAGAAAGTTTCATATTCTCAATGACGGTATAGTAAGAGGAAAAGCAGGAAAAGATCGATATGATTTCTAAATCCATGGTTACAAGGCTAGTCCTAATTAGGGCAATAACAAACGTAATTCTTGGATGCCTGAGGCCTAAAGCCCAACAGGATTGTGAGCAGCCCCGAACCCTCACGTTCCCACTCAGTGAACAGGGATCTTGCCAAGTATTGAGCAACTAAAGAATTTGGGGCGAAAGGATTTGAAGGACACTAACAGGAAACCTAGAGAAACAATTCAAAGTTGGGCAAGTCACATTGTGTTCTACACGTGAAACTTGTCGCAAATTGTGAGGTTAGTTGACCCCCTCCATTTGCTCCAGCGCTTAGTCTCTTTCTTGCTCGTTCTCTCTCTTCCATCATTCTTCATCTCTCTTGGAACCAAATATTGTCTCCTTCTGTTTCCAATCTATCCATGTGGCACTTTCATTCCCTAGACGAGAACAGGATCCAGCTGTCGACAAATATACCCAGTGTATAAGCTATATAATAGAACTATATCAGCTGCTGCTATGAAAAGGAATGAGTCCGAATCACGGCTAAACTGGAATCAGATGTCACCTTATTAGCGTGCCGGGGCGTATATTTCTGACTCGATTAAAATTGTGCGTTGTCTACCATTGTGAGAGCGACATGAGACATCATTCTCAAAAACCCCGGGCGAATCGTAAGTATGCCTAGGTACTGATATCTGACAATCGAAGATAAAGCTTTCAAGTTGGAACCTCGCATGCAGTACTCCGTATGGGGTCTTCACGATCTCGACCTCAATAACTCGGAGATCTCGGGATTCTCTGTGCGTACTAAACAATTTCATCAAGCCTTTTTGATCTCCAGATTTACATGCCAAAAACGGCCTATGCACAATAGCGTTCAATGTTGGCTTCATATGGGCCCTACCCACAGATCCTAATAATCTACGCAGGGTCCGCACTGCTATGTAATACTTCAAACGTGTCATCAGCAGGCCCGGCATTTGAGATCTAAATTAATTGACCCACCCTAATCCCTGTGGCACTCCACTGGGATTTTGATGGATTGTATCCTACCACTTCAGCTATGTTGTACACAACCCCTGGAGGTGGGACGTGTACTTCCGTATGTATGGATCGGACGGGCCGAAACATAGTGAACCCTTTTCTTGGCAGGTACCGATGTGGGGTACCACTGCACATGTGCATAAAGCACTCCTCGCATCCATGGCCAGGAGCTTAGATCAGGGTACTGGTCAATTTAAGCACTGCCGCATGCTCTTCTATGGGGTCGGTCGTAAAAACCCCTCGTAGCTAATTTAAGAAGCTCAGGCTGAAGAATTCCAAGGTTGTGTTATGAGTGCGGTCGGATGGGGCACCTAATGATTCAATCCACTAGTGGATAATTGCTTCTGGTGGCAAGCAAGCACTTGAGGCCCATCGGACCCTCCCGCTTCATACAAAGGCGGAAAGGTTGTTCGCGGGGATCTTAGATCAACCTTGGAAGCACTTGACAAGCCTGTAATGATCGAATACAATACGTGGGGCGAGGGAGTATATGGGTTTATTAGCGCACTATGGTTACAGCCTATTTGCTCCTTACGTGCAGATTATCAGCGGGAACTACTGGTGATAAGAGTGACAAAAACTCTGAACTTCAAGTCGGAGATCTTCTGATTCAAGTGGCAATCATCTCTGCCAAGCTGCTACTGGTGCCCTTTGGTGTTCCATTCAACCACTCCTATCACAACGATATCTATGTCCACGAATATATCAACTCATACGGGTTAGACAAACCGCCTGCAATTTTTGGCCTTAAAAACGGCTATACTCTACTAAGCGATAAGGACGATGATGGAAAGTGGATTGTGCAATGCGCAAAATGTTGTATGCATGTCAATATGAACATCGATGGCCGATTGGCATTTAGCATCAAAGATGGTATCACTGAGGGCACTATCTAGTTGACCAATGTCGATCCCCTCACATTGGATGCTCAATTTGGGCTTACTGCAGAGAGCTCCGTCTCCAAAACCAAAACGAAGCACCTGAAACGCAAGGGCAAGGAGATTAAGAGTATCCCGCTGAGCCCACTTACGATTCCTGGTATTATTACTCTTGGCCCTCAGGTGTCCGTTGGTGTAGCACTCAGTGTGGAGGCTGCAGGGAAGATTGAGCTGCTTGTGGGAGGAACAATCTCCCTTTCAAAAGGATACGCTGGAGCCAGCATCACACAGGGCAAGAATGGTGTTGAAGGACTCAAACCATCGTTTGAGCCTATATTTCGCGCGGCAGGCGAGTTCACACTAACTGGTGATCTTGGAGTCCCCATGGCCCTCGAAGTTGGGCTCGATGTTCTTGAAGGGAAGTTCAAGAAGACAGTTGGACTTGTGAACACCTCGTCAGTTTACGTCAAGGCCGCCGCTTTGTTTGATACGAAGGGCAAAAGCAGAACCAAATCACGTCCAAATGGTGTTTCGTTGAGCGTTGGCACGAGGAACCGCGTCCATGTTGCTGGCTTTGACATTTGGGAAGAGCAGCTTCTTTCAATCCCGCTTATTGAAAAGTCTCTCGGCTGTGTCACGTAAGTACTCAGTTTACTTGACTGATTTATCATTCGCTAACCATGTCTGACAGAGTGGACGGATTCAAATCTGCTAATAAGAAGGAAGATAAATCTCTCATCAGTCAAGTCAACAGCAAACTGGGTGGAGATCCAAATGCAGAAAAGCCTACTCTTGCTGATGCCACTAGAGAGTTCAAAAAGGTAGATGGTGCCCAGGGGTTCCGAATTCTCATGGATGCCCAAGGCGATACTATCTTGGTTAATGGCAGAAACGGCGCTCTCTATCTTGTCGGAAAGGACTCAGGATACGATGTCAGTGCCCCATGGGGCACTCTCGATACCAATGAGAATCTATTGACTTTAGATGTCTTTGGTCGCACACTATCGTATAAGCTCCTGCCGTCTTTTGAAAAGCGCGCCCAGTACTCGCGAGACCGACCTATGTTGGCCGACCTAGTCGTGTCAGATCCTAAATGTGTAAAATTTGGGTACCGCGCTACGTAAGACATTTCTCCACCCAAAGGAAGAAAGAACGCAACAGAACTAATGGGTTATCAATAGAGCAATCAAGCAGCTGGAGGCCAATGAACCTACCAAGAGATACGGCATCCCCTTAGTGTTTGAAGGAGACCCCAACTCGAAGCCGCCAGTGAAGCCACCATTGTATTATCCCACAGCTTGCAAGACAGCCCAAAGACTAGAAGTCATCGCCACTCGCGAGATTGTTTTGGAGGATGGCAAAGTTCAGTCTGCACTTATCACGGGCTGCGAAAACCTGATTAAACTTGCGAAGGAAATGAGAAATGAGCTCCGGGATCACTACGGTGTTCATTAAAATGACTGCCGGACGGTCCAGTTGGTTTCCGACAACAGACGTTAGCCTTGGCAGGCTCTTGATTAAAGTAACGTGAAGGTGGGAGTAAGGTTTGGGAGTATGTGAGGGACGATCACGATAAGAACCTTGGAAGGGAGAGGAAACTATTCAGATATAATGATACCAGATATGTCATGAGCATTATGTGCCTTGGTAGTCTGTAATAGGATTCAAATTTTCTAATATTCGATCTTGTCATAAAGTCCTGTTCTTATACATTCAATATTTCAATGCCTCGCGTGTCGGGGGTGTTGTTTTGTTTGTATTGTTTGTTGCGTTTGCATATAGATATGGGAACTTTTCCGGCATGCGGGCTCACAGATAAGGTACAACATTATCGACTCTGTTCGAAATGAAAGCCGGTATCTAGAATGACCGCGTAATTTGCAGGGGTATTTATTGACATTCATAGCCCACGTATACATGAATTAGCGAGCTCCTTTCGTGTACACAGGATTTCGTTATTATATCTCCGAATTAACGACCTGAGCTGTCCAAGATAGCTCTTTGCATACCACTCCATATTCGGTTAGCACTTTTGTCCTTATGCGTAGCCTGATCCTACAAAATCAACCCCGCTTTTACATGCGCATCTACTTATCTCTTTTCGCTACCCATCTCAGCATTAACATGCTTCGGTGACGCCTTTGCATCCTATTTATTCAACATGGGTTCTATTATTGACTGGTCCCTACGTCCAGTCTATTCGCCGGAACAATTGAACCGGTACTTTGACCGAATCAATCTACCTCAACATTATCGGCAGTCACCGGTGGTCAAGTTTGGTCCAAGTGTTGACAATGATGCCGCCCTGGCCTTTTTGAAAGTTCTGCAACGATACCAGGTGGCCGCGGTACCTTTTGAAAATCTCAATCTGCATTATGCAGTCCATCGGCACATTTCCATTGATCCCCAGAAACTATTTGAGAAAATAGTAGACCCCAAATCCGATCGGGGTGGATACTGTATGGAGAATAGTACTCTTTTTGGGACCGTTCTTAGGAGTCTTGGGTATAACGTTACCTCGGTCGGAGGTCGGGTAAACGAGGCAGTCCAGCCTATATCAGCCTCGAAAAATTGGAAAGGTCCAAAATATGATGGATGGTATGGACAATTCTTCATCAGATAACCGGAAAATACTGAACAGTGAAACGCAGGAATCACTTGGTCAATATCGTTGCTATCGGGGAAGATAAGTACTTAATCGATGTGGGATTCGGCTCAAATGGTCCACATCAGCCACTTCCATTAATCGACGGGTTTGAGGCCCATAATGTTGGCGACCAGACTATACGTCTTATCTATGGTCCTATTGCCCAGCACACGAGAGCTGGCCAATTCCTCTGGCAGTATGAGATCTGCAATGCAGGCAAGGCGTGGATTCCTGCCTATTGCTTCACTGAAATGGAATTCCTTCCGGAAGACTTTACGATCATCAACTACTATACGAGCACCAGTCCGGATAGCTGGTTCGTTCAACAAGTTCTGTGTGTAAGGATGATTCTGGATGATGGAGGTGGAAAGCTCATTGGAGATCTAACACTATTCGATAATACACTCAAGCGCCGCCTGGGGGCCACATCAGAGGTCCTGCAAACCTTCGCTTCCGAGGAGGAGCGTGTGGCTGCTCTTGAGAAGTTTTTTAACATTTCAATTTCAAAGGCAGATCAGGAAAGTATCCGCCAAACGATGTCAGAAATTCTATAGTATCGTCTCTCTAGTCAACTTTACAACCCATCAATATCACACAACTCTGATAGGATGTTGTTTCACTCGACAGCGTCTTTAGTTGATAGCTTACGTGTAAGTTATCAAACTATACCAATCATTCCCTATACTGCATTAATATGGCCAACTCATTGGAAGTTATGTAATGGGTATTAAGCCCGGGTGCACGAGCCAATTCCCGCATCCCCGACGGCTAAAGGGACAGCATGCAAGCCCGATGCGCACTTAGGTCTTGAACTAATTTCTCTTAGCGCAGACTCCTATGGCCCCTAGCCTAGCTTATGGTAGACGAGTTCTTTTGGTGAGTTCCAATTTCCCTGTGGCCTATTCAGACCTTGGAAAGATGGTTTTGCTTTCATTTTTTGCTCTTTTTGTTACAACCAGTATCAATAAAAACAACTAGGCCTTATAAGGTATGTCATTATATGATGCAATAAAACAACCTCATTCAGCAAAATTTAGATGACTTGTTCACAATGGATACGTAAAGCCCATGGTAGAATGAAAAAACCTTAAGATCGAGTTAGGAGGGATTTGATTTCCCGGGGAAATATCAGGTCACCTCAAGGGAGGCCCAGGGCCAGAATGGGCCAGACGGGGCCAGACAGGGCTACACGGGGTCAGTCTACCCCTCTATTACTTGGGTAAACCCCATCCTTTTTTGACATACGTTCGAAACCCCCAGTCGCCGAATTCTTTCTTTCTAATTCGCTGTATATGAATTTGCAGAGTACTCTGACTGTTTGAATAATCCGAATACAGAATAGGATATCAGGTAAGATACAAAGCAGTAGACTGAGGAGATATGGTATAACACCTAAATATTCAGCGCGGCGGAAAGCAGCGCTCTATTCTCACACGAAAAGGTCAACCGTGGTCAGTGATATTTTCATTCAAAAGCAAAAAAGCTAAAGGAAGGCTGGTAATGTAAGCTAACTACAACTGCCTGAGTCATATGATCGGTAGCCGCGGAATCAAGTCATCATATGCTTTAGTCATAACAGCTACTAGGTACCCCAAGGAAGACTCAAGTTAATAGACAAGCACTAATTCATGACAAGCGTAACATTGTTCGATCCATTTGCCTAACATCAGCTAATATGGTCTGCGCCCAGGTACCAGGGATAGGGTCATGTAAAAGAAGACGATCGGCCTCTCGATAGAAAGAGCAACGTTGAAACTCGCAATTTCAGGATTGGATGACAATAACAAGTCCACGGGAGCTGCATCCTGAATGCCTAGAGCGTAAGGCTCCAATATATATTAGTCAGCTCCTCTGCCCTAGTCCCGTTTAGGCTAAAGGGGCATAAACTCTCAGACTCCTTTCTCTTCTTTCTCCGTATCTCCAAGTACACATATTGACCCCATACTCCCTTACTTCATGTTTTACGTATCCTTGAACTTTGATCATACGTTTTTTGTGTACCTCCAGAGAGATAAAATTTCGACCCGAACTAAGTACTCTGCTGTAAAACTTGGAACCTTGGAAATTGGTTGTACCGTAGTTCGTACCGAGCAAATAAAAATAAAACGGCTCCTAGTGGCTGGGTTACGGTGCTGGAGAGATAATTTAGTCATCGACTTCCGATCCATTTTCCCTGCTTTTTCGGATTTCGATCAAAAATATAGAAAGTGGCGTGGTTTGAGCATGAGAGTGTTTCCAGCTATACATCTAAAAGGTTAGTCCAACCATGGCAATGAAGCCAAGATCTTTTTCAAATGAGAAATCTTGATGATCTCATCCATTCGACCTACACATAGGCTATATTAAAATTGTAAACTCTTTGTTTACCATCAATTCTTTTTCAGCGTATCTACTGACTATAGAACTCAGAATCAACAAGAATCAAGACCACACATGACAAACATTCACCCAAACCCATGGTTGTCAGTGAATAACTCTGGTTGATCCGCCATCAGAGCTCTTGTCCTAGTAAACCAAACCCGAGGCGGTGAACCATGGTAAACAAGGTGGCCACTGAACCCCTATTTACCCATTGCACTATTCTAGTTTTCGCAAATCGCGTATAACCGCCTTGGTAGGTTTTAGGGATATGAAAGATTCGAGCATCAAGTCATGACGTCTACTAGATCCCTGTATCGTTGTTTGATCGGCCAAAGCTTCTGCTTCGTAAAAAGTCATGCCACTTACACCCCGGGCATAAATATGCTGTATATCCACCAAATTATTACAATTTATGTATCAATCTTCGTTTCTTCAAACTTTAGTATTTCGCCGTCGATTATTTTTACCTATTCAGTCACACTCTGTGATAAAATGAAGGCATTCACCACCTTGGCAACACTTATTGCCAGCGCTCATGCTCTTGTGGGCCGTGATCAAACCTGCTGCTTCCATCTTACTGCCTCTGGCGGTGCCTCTGGCGGTGCCTCTGGTGAGGTCGGCCAGTTGAGCGACGGACAAAACCGTATCGGTGATAAAAGCCTGTCTCCCGCGGAGTTCTGCATCAGTTCCGATGGTTCCATCACCGATAGCAGTTCCCGTGGCTGTATTCTAACTCGTGAGTGATGCATGTGATTTCGAGTGAAACAGACTAAAGAATCCCTTAGCGCCGACTACACAGTTTCAGTGTGACACGGGAGCCACTCCAACCCCGGGCTTTTCTATTAGTTCGTCTGGCTTGTTGGAGTTTGGTGGCAGCACTCAGTTCTTCTCCTGCGAGACTGGCGACAATGGCGGTATGAACATTTATACTATGACAACTTCTGCCCAGAGTGGTTGTTCAGTCATCGAGTTAGAGGCGGACTCTTGCTCCAGCTCCAACTCTGCTTCGGCATCTTCATCTGCTTCGTCAACTTCGTCTGCTAGTGGCAGCTGCAGCACCAGTCTGTCGGGCGCTTTTGAATATCCTCACTTGATCGTACCTATTAACTCTCAATCTCCCAACCAAGCCCACGGTACCTCATTCAACGGCGAAGTAACCTCGACCATCTCAAGTATCTTCAACTTCGATATTCCACAATCCGACTCTGGTAAGACCTGTACCCTGGTCTTTTTATTCCCCAACAAGGCCGACCTTGAGACTTCGGACTACACCTTCAGTGGTGACGGCAGAATTGATGTTGCTCAGCTCTCAGAGGCTGCTTCATCACTGACTACATTTAACAATGCCCCTTCGGTTTCTAAAGACCTTGGTGATATCACAGTCTCACCTGGCAACTCATATGTTATCAGTAGTTTCTCGTGCCCCGCCGGCGAGACTGTTGCATTTGAGTTGAAGAACGCTGGAAGTACTGATCTGACGTTCTTCCAAGATTTCAACCCCTCCCCGTAAGTTATTATCTTTACACATCAAGTTATTTTCTTCATTCAGCAGAAGCTAATCTCTTTCCAGCATCGGCCTATTCATTACTGTTTGCTAATAATTGTGAAATCCACTTGAAGGTGATTTACGTATCTACTGATTTAGTCTTTCGTATCAATTTTTCCAATGATTCATGTCCTACGCATTGATATATGCTTTATGTCTGTATCTCGGTTTCGGTCCAATTACCTATCACTATTCTAATTGACGACTCGCTCAAATGTGCTGTAAACAGATTTCGCGATGTATCAATAGGAAAATAAAAATTTCGTTGTCCTACAGTTATCAATTGATCTTTGTAACGGCTACGTAGAAATTATTTCTCAAAGAAAACTATACACCCTCATTCGCGCGCTCTCGGTTCCGGCTACGGTTTCGGTCTCGGTCTCGGGGATCGAACAAGTAGTGGGGGTCCGAGGACTTGCTTTATGAGCAAGCAAGCCTTGGCTTCGTTAGAGCTGGTAATCTTGTCAAGGAGCGTTGGCATTGGATGACTTTATGATGGACTGCAAATGCAAGTGGAGACGCGGTTGCCATATTTTCTTGTTCTGAAATTTGTAATGTGTATGTCGATAAAAGTGCCCGCTGATATGCAGCCCCCAAGGTGGATTCCAAGGAGCTTGAGTATCCTAAATAGCTCCTGATGACCACTGGTGCCTTGTTAAAAAGAATCATTGAAGGATGCAAGGGGAGTAATGTCATTCAAGAGTTTTGAACTTTTGTCTAATATACAAAAACCATTGAAGTGATATCGTAGGAACTCTCATTGTACAGCTCCAGGTTTGTTTCACACATGACTGACATCCAGCATACCAATGAAATTGACGCCAGTAGTTACACTCTCGGCTGAACCGTCTCATCAAATCCTAGAACCCACACAGCGCCAACATCAACGCATTCGACTCACTCTCACCATTCACATCTCCACAATAAACCATATTTCCTTTTCCAATTTTCGCCCCCACAACCGCAGCTTGTGTCTCATCCACATACTCTGGCGAAAAAACGAGACTCTGCGTCTTGGCACCCGCAACAGGGACAAAAATCTTCTCCTGGGGTCTGGCATTATCAACATGGAGCACCTTCATGCTATACGGCCCGGGCAACGAAGCAGACTGAACGCCCTCCGGCAGAATACCAGATGAGGTGTGCTGGAATGTCGTGCGGTGATAGTCGCCTCTCTTCCAGGGGAGACCGAACCTCTCGAAGAATGTGTTGAACTGATTCGAGTTCGTAAAATTGGGGAAGTGCAGGCCAACGATGGCGAGCCCGCCACCTTCAATGTACGTTTTGATCTTGTTCAAGAGCTCATCGGTTTCGGGAGTGGACTTGATGTCGTAATCGTCTGCGATGAGGCCCGAGTCTGCGATGATGATTGCTTTGAAGGTGTTGTCGGCGAGCGCGCGGAGTGCGCCGGCGGCTGTCTTCGCCCGCTTGACGCGCGATACTTCAAGGAGGCGAGTCATGAGCGGGCCATATGTTTGATCGAAGAACTCAAGGTATGCAAGGGAAACGAAGAGTATCTGAGGTCTGTCTGCTGATGCCATTGCTGCGATGTAGACCGTTCAGAGTGGCAGAAGCCAATGGGTTGAAATCCTGGACTGATTTAATATCACAAATAAATTTTGATGTTATGGGCGCTCAAACTCTGAATATGTAGTCAATAGTGGTGGAAGAAATGGTGAGTCGTGATGACGCAGATAGGGGTGGTTATCCTTTGTTGAGAAATTATTGGGAAGCATTCATGAAGCTAAGTGGTGGGTAGGAAGCAAATGGGCATAGGGGAATGGAGATATGAAAAGAAAAAAGGTAGAGAGGGAGGAAGATGTATCATATGCTTCTTCCACTATAAAACCAAACTAGACCCAATTGGGCAGACAACAAACCCGAGCTAGTTGAAGCCTAAGGCTTCAACTTTCTGTAAACTGACCTGCGGCATCAAGGTCAAAAGCAAGGCTAACATGACATTCAATGGTTAGTATTACCTTCAGCCTGAGCCGACATAGTGATGCCAGATCTAGTCTTGATTCTTTCCTTGAATAGAACTACTTTCTCTCATAGCACCTCAATCGATCATGTTAATCTCCTCTCTTTTTAAGTTATCTTCCCTTGATCCTTATCCATCGGAAAATCCCGTTTTTGGTTTCTCTGCGTCCCTGTGAATTGATCAGCATACAATGTGTACTCTATGAAGGCTCTTGCTCCACAAGTTCAAATTGATATGTCTAGTACTGCTGATAATTACCCCACGCTATCTTCATGTGCTATGCTCGCAAAATGATGATGGGAACAATCACTCATTCGAGTCTCCGATACCCATACGTCTCGGTCTGTGCCGCCAGGCACGTCATCAATTTCCGTGCTTGAGCCGTTCTGACAAAGCGTCTAAAGTAAATGTAAGCGCAATCATTAGCTCATCGGGAAACCGCGCCACAGATGTGAGGCAGAGCAGCAGTTCTTTCCATGGTTAGAAAGTAATATCTACTGACGTGAAAGAAAGACATAATAGCAACTGAATCCTCAGTCTCAGGCTCAGAGGCTGTTAACAAAATTTCTACAATACATATTACGACCTAATATAGGCAAGAGCAATAGTTGGCTGTCGTTCAAAATAATGCCTTTCAGGTCATCACTTGAGAGCAAAGCCTCGACCTCACGCTCAGTCAGATAACCAGCCAGGGCACCAAGCCCTTCGTTCATCAGAGACCCTACCATAGATGCTCATTTTGAGAGAATGCAAGCAGATTTCGATAACTGCATGGCAAATATCAATGACTCCTTAGCAAATATCGATGACCAATACCCTGCACTATTCCAGATTCAGGACACAGTGCAATTATCATTGCTTCAAAGATTGGAAGCCCTCGAGAACTCACTATTTTCAGTTCCCCCGCTTGAGATTGCGACTCCGGCCCCACGTTCACGAGAGCACAGAACTGCAAATATAACTAGGAGTCTGAGCGCGAGTTACAGCTTCGTCTCAATCACCGAAAGCTTCACGAGTAGACCCCAACAAGAAACAGCCACAACACAGCCAAGAATTGCTTCAAGACAAAGCGACGTCGCAAATTGGGCACCTCGTCAACAAGAATCGATATCTCGCTCTAGATCCGTCGCATCGAGCCACAGGCCGCAGTTTCCGTCCCGAACAAGCAACACGACCCAAGAAAGAGCACCACACCGCAACACCGATGAGTCGTTCTATCGAATTGCCCATCGTACACGTCGGGAAATAGAAGGACCTTGTGGAATTTGTCTAGAGGACCTGAAGAGCATCGCATGCAGTGATACGGAAGAGCGTAACGACTTCGACCGCGAGAGTGACGGCGATAGTGATGAAGAGGATGGCCAGTCTCTTGTTTATTGTAAAGCCCAATGTGGAACCAACTTCCATGAATCCTGTTTTCATGAATGGTTAGAGTACGCTGAGCGCCCAACATGCCCAATTTGCCGGATTTGGTGGACGAATTGATACGGCCATTCGCTTTCAAAGATTACTTGTTGCTTTTGATCTTCCTATACATTTATCACTTTGTTAAACCTTCACAGCTAATTGGAGCTCACAATAATTACGAAATCTTGGACCAATCTACATATATATTCCATGATAATGGCCCTTGGTGGCCCCCGGTTTCTCTTTTGCCAGTTCCCGCAACTTCGCGCGCATAACTTTTCAATTTTGTAAAGTCACATGAATTTGTGTCAGCTTTGATAGGAAATAGTGATTACTATGAACGAAATACATATGACTGACTGAATTCCTTGGAATGCTTGGAACAAATGAAACACCTCCAGTAATGTACTTATAAGGTGCCACTTTGTCCAACATAAAGAGGTCAATGTCGGCGGCGGAAAGGACCGACCTAGGGCTTCTTTGAACATACGCCCATGGTCCTTCATCATGATTCCTGCTCATGTTGTCAGCCTACAATCTTTACAAATGGACCTCTGTTCTTCTTACACGGCTACTCCGATAATCCCGACGTCCATGATTTCTGGATGCTGACTTAAGTAGCTTCCAGCTCAGTTGGTGCCACATGATTGCAATTGACTTTGATAAGGTCCTGGTACAACGTCAGCGTTTTTATAAACTAAGCTGGAAAAAGAAATACCCTTTTACGATCCACGATATACCAGTTCCCCATCTCATCAACATACCCGACATCTCCAGTGAAGATCCACCCATCGGAGCTGTGGGATTCTTTCGTAGCCTCTGCATTTCGATAGTATCCAATACTCTGACTTGGGGCTCGTATCCAGATATCCCCAACGGTATTGCGATTAAGAAGTTGCGTAGAATCACTAGGGTCAGTTACCCTGCCTTCAAGATTGGCATGCAACTGCCCAACAGATTCGGATATCGAGGGCGCCGTCCTATCGTGGCCAGTGATAAGTCCGAGCCTAAGACAAATTCCAATGCGTCAAAAATCTCAAACCTGGTCTTCTTCTGAAGTATTCTCTTCTTACTCGGTGAGTCCTCATACTCGCGTCACCCGTCCAATGCCCAATCTCTCCAGTGTGCTTTTCGTCGATTGCGCCAATGGCGCAGCACAAGTCTCTATCCTGTTCATGGAGGTGAAATCTCTTCCAAATAACAGAGGAGTTTCTTTAGCCATTTCGGTAAGCATGGAGCCCCGAATAATTGCATCGGAAACTTTGAATTTCTCCTAAGAATCTAAGATGCTCTGCACATTGGGCTGGCACATTAAATAAACTGGTACACGGAGCTTTGGAAAGATGACATTATAGGAGCGCTGTCCAAGAATGTGATACATTCAAAGCGCACCCAAGATGCGAATAGGATTTATTTTTGTTATGTCGATTTGCGTCGACTATGCCCATTCGGGATGAAGAGATACTCGATGCGCATAAGAAACGGCCGCGGCGATATAGTTGCAGTGAGAAATTTCAACACCCTTGGCCTCCCCAGTTGTTCCAGACGTAAACATAATGACAATAGTGCTGTGATAATCCTGTGATGATTCAACATCGGGATACTTCCATTGCCATTCTTCCGTGGTTGCCATCATCTCCTGCTAGTGAGGAATATTTAGGTATGATTCACCTGTTTTGTCTAAAATATTATCATCGAAAATAAGGATTGCAGGACGGTCCGAAGAGGACCCACATATTCTGTCTGTAGCATGCATAATGTCATATGCCTGCATCTGATTTGTCAAAATCACCACCGGGCTTGTAAATGCAAGCAGTTTTTCCAATTCTGGATATTTGTTGGAAGGCTGACCGGATACAAACACACATCCAGCCATGAAATTGCCCATAAATAGAGCTGAATATGCAACTGAAATGCCGGATAGACATAAGATGCGGTCCTTTGCGCGGACCCCTGTCGTCTGAGGCCCACTGCTACCCGTACAGAAAGGCTACGGTAATCGGCTAGAGACAACAATCGCTCATTTGGACGAAGGGCGTCGATGAGCACTTTTTGTTCGCTGAGGGTTGTATGAGGTGACCCAAAGACAAAGTATGGTATAGAACAGTGAGGAATATGAGCAGTCCATCTGGATTTAAAGCAATGATACCTGCTTGGGAGGGTGGGTCATATCTTGCTGTTCCAAAAGTGGACGACAGAAATTTGGCAATGCCTGAGAATCTCAGCAATTATTTTTCACACAATATGTTTGGCAATTTGATCATCTACTTGAACTGGTTGCCAACCCACTTCTCTGTGGCTGCAGGTTCTTACGGACTCTTTGACCCTCCACAAGTCACGTGTAATATGTATGTGATTCAGCACGTCTGACGTGGCAGAGGGCCACATAGTGACTTTCCTCAGAAATGAAAATACGGGATGGATTTTCTCAAGACCTATGTTAAGACTACTCCCCACCAATATTGGAAAAATGGAAACCTCCAGTCAACTCTACCATGTTGGTATGCAGATAGTCCAAAAACGGCGCAAGACTAATAGTAGTTCAGAATGCACTCGATAGACTCAACCGACTTCGTTCAAATTTTGAGTCGCGAAAAGAAGCGATAGGGATGAAAGATAGAAGTGTTCTTATGCATAGAATGATAGAATGGTGCAAGGATATTGGATATAGGGTAAGGTCCGTCAGCCTGTCCCATCCTAGTAGGTTCTAATCGCTAGATATTTTAGCCAGTCGACTTCAATACTTTCAATGCAATTCATATTGCGGGATCAAAAGGGAAAGGATCGACAGCAGCATTTGTTTTCTCTATCTTATCCGAGTACTTGGGCGACGACTTTCATGCTCATGACAAAGCGCTTGCTCCTATAAAAAGAGTTGGGCTCTATACATCACCACATCTGTGTACTGTGAGGGAACGAATTCGAATTCGAGAATCGCAGACGACAGATTTCTCACAGACTGCTCTTGATGAGGCCAAATTTGCGCGATATTTAATGGATATATGGGATCGGCTAGGACTAGATAACCGACCACCTTCTCAAAGTCCTCCGTTTGCAAAATTTCTCACCTTGCTGGGCTTCCATGTTTTTCTGGAAGAGGAAGTTGACACTGCCATTGTGGAAGTTTGCATTGGTGGACGCTACGACTCGACCAATATCCTCTGCCAGCCCAGTGTCTGTGCCATCACCAATCTGGAGCTTGAGCACACTGATATTCTAGGTAACAAGATTGAGGGAATTGCATGGGCTAAAGGTGGGATTATGAAAGCAGGTGTTCCTGTATTCACGCCACCTCAAGCACCCGAAGCCATGACTGTCCTTGAAGACCTGGCACGAATAGAAGGGGCTGATCTACACGTAATCGGAATACACCCAGATCTTACTGAGATTGAACTCGGTCTTGCAGGAGACTTTCAGCGAATCAATGCTAGTCTGGCTATAGCGATCGCCTCGACACATCTATCTCGCATGGGCTACAAGGGAATACCCGAAATGAAGATAGGAACGCAGTTTCCATTACCGGAAAGGTTTCGCCGCGGCCTTGAAAATGCACGATGGCCTGGACGGTGTGACATACGTGATTGTCTCGGCATTCGCTGGTTGCTTGATGGAGCCCATACCATGGACAGCATGGAAGCTCTGGGACCTTGGGTTGCAAAGCAACTGGCCATTGTGCCACATGCGAGGCGCATTCTAATATTCAACCAACAGACCAAAGATACTGTTACGCTTCTCCGACATCTTTGGCAGGTGTTGTTGTCGGCGATGGATAAAAACCTCAGCCATGAGAAGATGGTCTTTCACCAAGCCATATTTTCCACAAATACCCCTTGGAAGCACAATACGTCTACTAATAATGAGAGAGTCTCCATGACATATTCAGGAATGCCGGTGGATGATCTGAAAATACAAATTGAATTAGCTCGCTGCTGGATCGGAATGGGCGGAGGAAGTCCTGCAGTCACAGTGGTTAGATCGTTCGAGGAAGCAATGCAAAGTGCAGCAAGCGGCTATGGTAACAGTACTTGCAAAGATGAAGGCCATATAAGAGCAGTAGTGCTGATCACTGGAAGCCTTCATCTCGTGGGCAGCGCCATTGAAGTTTTGGATGCAATTTCAGGATGAAGAAATGGCGAATATCAAGGAAGATAATGTAACGAATATATACATTTGAAGACACCAAAACTAGATATGCGCATGTGGCTGCCAGCAGACCAGAAAATGATCATTATTGTTCCCCACATTATATAGTATAGTACTAGAGGCTTTCCGCCGCGCAAAAGCGCGGCGCCTACTTAGGTGTTAGACCTCATCTCCTACTATATCTCCTAATCAGTCTCCTACTATATCTCCTAATCAGTCTCCTACTCAGTCTCCTACTCAGTCTCCTACTCAGTCTCCTACTCAGTCTCCTACTCAGTCTCCTACTTAGCCTCCTAGTCGGTATCCTATCCAGTATTCTACCTTCTTTCATACCATATTAATCCAATGGTCAAGGGTCTCCTTAAATTCATAATTAGCGAAATAGAGAAGAAAGAGAGAGAAAAAGAAGAGAAAAAAAGATGAAATGGAAGAAGAAGGGGGATAGAGGGAAGTCTGGTGGAGTTTTCGAACGTATGTCCAAAAAGTCCGCAGAGTATCCAAGTAATAGAGGGGTAGAAAAGGGTCTCTGGGTAGAACGTAGATTTTGGTCCTGTTACTAGTACTCGTCTTGAAGGTTTGGTGGGAGCAGGTGATGTCATGCGTATATTTTGAGGGCTCACTTCGAGAGTGAATAATAACAGATTGAAGTCAAAGATGAAGGGATAATAATGCACTGAAGGTACGGAGAGCGGAAAGAGAGGAAGCCACGAGTTTGAAGCTCCACTATGAAAACCAAGCTAGTCCCGATTAAGACAAAAACAAACCAGCCAAGACTAGACACCTTGATGCCTGAAGCGTAAGGGTCCTTACTGCTTTCGATTTGGCTGAATGGAATCCGGACCTTTCGCAATTCAGTCCATTTCGACTGTTTTACGGGCTAATTTTGCCACTGCACTGAGCAGCGGCTTTTGGAACAGCAAGCAGGTACCGATAATAAGCAGGCACCGCACGCTAAGTGGATCCTTCAGGCGTAGACAGCTTCACTAGTCAGGTACGAAAGTGTCTTTTCCAGCCGAAGGAGCCGAAAGTTCATCCAAAAAACGTAGATCGGAACCGAGCTTCGAATCTGACTTTCGGAAAGTCGAACTTCAATGAACTAGCGCAGATAAACAAAGCTGAAGATGTAAGTGGCGTGCCTAAAAGTAGAACGGAACAGCGAATTGGGTGCTCGGGAAAAATTTCCGTTTCGACTTGGCAGTTCGAAGGCTAGATCGTGTTCAACCGGACCCGATTGTCAGCCACATCTTACCAAGGGAAATGATCTTTCCAAGTGCTGAACCGAAAATGTATCGAATTAGCGAGTATGCGTCAGGTGGCTGAGACCGATGGGCGAAGCTGATCAAAGAATTGCGATTCGGGGGTTCTTTTTCTTACCAAGTTATGAGATCCCCCGATTGGTGATGAAAGTATCTGAGCTTGAGAGCTGGAGGAACAGTGGGTAAAAATATGAATGTTTCAAAAATGTATACATGGATAGGGTTCGAGCCTCCCCGCCTAAGTCAATTAGATTTATACAAGTACTGATCAATAAGCTCCCTCGCGCACTTGGCCACAGTTTCCGTTGGACGCCTGGAAAACACCGCTGTCGGCTGTGGTGGCCAGGTAAGCATAGCCAATCTCAGAGGAAACCGAGCAAGTCGTTGACTCAACCAAGGTGCAATACCCGTACACGCTGAAATAGCTGTAGACGCAAGTCGAACTTTCTTGACAATTCACACAGCAATCGTAGGGGGTGTCAATTCGAGCAGTAGACAATGTGTAATCAGTAATTGCCCCCATATCAAGACTGTAGATATATTCGCCTTCGAGATCGCCAAAGTCCGAGGACAGGGGAGCACCGGCGATGTTGTTGGTAGCGCAGGCTGCAAAGGAAGATGTAGTAGTCACGGCTGTCACGGTGGTGGTGGCAGTCACGGTATCCGTAACAGCAGGCGCTGTTGAGGTTTCGGTGATGGTGGAGGTGATACTGTAGCTCAGTGTAGTAGAAACGTCGGAGGGAATAACCACTGAGCTGCTGATAATGGTGCTAGTCGCTGTGACAGTGGTGGAAGGTGCAACTGCAGTGGTGGTGAGAGGGGTCTCGGTCACGATTGAGGTTGTGGTGGTCTTGAGGATAACCTTCTCGCGACAGACAACTTCTTGGGGATACTCATAGTCATCAATCCAAGGGGCGCAATCATTCACCAGAGGTACCTCTCGTTTACGATAGGCAGAAGCAGTGGCAAGCGTGTCCGCGATAGGAGTGAAGCCATCCGAAGTGGCAACTGTGGAGGTGCTGGTCAAAGTGACTGAGATGGTCGAAAAGACGGTTGAGGTGATGTCATCAGGGGTGACAGTCAAAGTAGCAGTATCAAACTCGGTCGATGTTGTTGAAAATACATCGGTGGCCGTGGTATCAGTGAAAGTGATTGTGCTGGTCTCATAATCCGTCTCTGTCAGGGTTGAGACCGAGGGAGTCACGGTGACGGTGTCCTGAACGGTAGAGAAGACCACAATGGGAGTTGGGTCGTGGATGCGACGAGTGATGGTTGTTGTAGGTACTGTGCTCTCTGAGGTAGTTCCCAGAATGGTAGTACAGATTGCAGTGTGAATATGAGCTTGACTACTGGCTGGACTGCTGGATAAGAGGGTGCCGGCAGAGGCAGAGCCAAGCAAGGCCGAAATGGTAAAGCGTCCAAGCGACATTTTCATTTAACTGAAAAGAAAATCGGTGCAATTGAAAAGACTTTTGCTTCAAGGTTAATCTAAATACTTTTTCAAAAAGTTATAGTTAGGGGGAAGTTACATCGGCTATTTTAACCTTGGATCAATGTATCCACAACACAACCCCCATAACTGACTCCATTGAGGCGTCGATAGTACAAGTAAATGGGAAGATTCAAAGGGAACTGTCCACTTTCTTGTTATTTTAAAGTTCTTTTTACTTACATTTATTCGGTCTTGTCCGATTCCGAAGGTTTATACATCCCTACCGACGTATGTACAATAGTTTTCCTCTCTCAATTTGCATTCTCACCCATCAGTCATTCTTTATTTGTATTTCTGTTTTTCCTGTCGCTCTTTCAGTAATGGGTCACTTGTTATTTCGAGGATGGGTTATCGCCGCACTGGCGATGCAAACTTTTGCTTTGACGCTTCGCGCTAGATATTTGACTACAACCACCACTGCTGAGCCAGTGTCTATTCAGTCGACTGCTACAACAACCCTCGAAGCATCTGTGACTGCTCAGTCAACTTCGGTTTCCACTGAGACACACCATCCTCATCATAATCATTGGAGTTACACCTCAAGGCAATTGCCCAGTCGCAGTTGAAGCGTTCGCTCTTCTGCCATTCTCTCTTCTAAGGCAACCCCATCATCTTCTGCTATCGTGGTGCCGTCTTCATCAGTGACTCCCATTCCTCATTCAACCCACCACCACCACCACTATCACTGGAGTTATACGTCAAGGCCGTTGCCCACTCGTAGTTGCAGAGTTCGCTCTTCTGCTGTTCCCTCTTCCAAGGCAACCCCTACACCATCTGCTAGTGTAGTGCCATCCTCTACTGTAGTGATTCCTTTGTCTGGCCTTACCAGAGTTTCCACTCCTTTTTTAAAACCATTTTCTACTCCTCTTCACCAGACAACAACCCTGATTTCGGTGCCAGGCTCTCCATCCGAAACAGAGCCCTCTGGAGCGGCACCTACAGAATCTGCTGGGCAGTCGACTACATCCACGATTGTCTCCACTCGCACTGCTACTATCACAGCTTGTCCATCAGCGACCCCTAATTGTCCACCATCCTCCAAGACCACTTTCCTCACAACTGAGACTATTATTGTCTCGACAACGGTCTGTCCACTAGCTGGAACTACTCAGACTGCATCTTCGCCATTAGGAGGCCAATTTTCCGGAACCCCAGAGGGAGCTGAATACACGACTTCGACCATCTTCAGCACCCGCACTGATACTATCACTGCCTGCCCAGCCTCCGTCACAGACTGTCCTGCGAGATCAAAGACAATCTTCCTGACTACCGAGACTATTGCAGTGTCCACAACAGTTTGTTCAGTCGCCGAAGCCACTCAGACCACATCTTCTTCCACTCCGGGAGGCGAAGTTCCCACAAGCTCCGGAACTTGGATTTACCACTTCTACTGTTTGCAGTACCCGTACTGCTACTATCACTGCTTGCCTATCCTCCGTCACTGACTGCCCGGCGCGATTGAAGACAACATTCCTCACCACAGAGACAATTACAGTGTCCACGACAATTTGCCCAATCACTGAGGCTGCGGGTGCTACCCAAACCTCGTCTGCTTCGGAATCCACGATCACAGGTGCTGCTAACCAGGGCACTGGAAATGGAGGCTCCGAGTCAACTATTTCCACTATCTGGAGTACCCGAGTTGCAACTGTCTATGCTTGCCCAGCATCCGTGACTAAGTGTCCTCTCCGCTCCAAGACAAGCTATTTGACTACAGAGACCCCGGCTATAGGAACTACCGCCTATGCAGTATCCGCACAGCCTACTACTCCCGCTGAAGGTGTCACTGCCACCACTTCGATTGTCATCGCGGATTCCCAAGCTACGAACTCCAACTCAGTCACAGCCTTGCCTAAAGTCACCGTTGGGGCTTCATTCGGATCTTCCGGTGAAGCCGGTGCCCAGGATTCAGGCTCCAGCGTTGCTGTGGTATACACTGCTCTCTACACCGTCGAGTCGTGCGGTAATGGTAGTTCCTGTACGGAGTATGTCAACACCGTTGTGATGACACAGACCAACGTCGCTCAAACCACCATTACCTATTCTATCTACAGGCCGGCCTATGGTTCCGGTTTTGGTGGCGTTCCTACTGCTTCTGCCTCGGCTCACGTTGGACCCCAGGGTAGTCAGTCTGGTGCATCGACAGCTGGTGCTTCTAGCACAAGTAGCGCACCGTATGCTGTCTACACTGGTGCTGCGTCTTCGAACCTCCAGTGGTCTATGCTGCTGGTGATCGGTGCAGGGATGGTAATGCTACTAGCGATTTTGGCTTAGGAGACTTTTCAAATTTGTCTCCACCCATGTTCAATTCAATAACGCCCCTTATTCATATATTTTCCGCGTGTATATAATTAATCAGAATGTGACTACTTTCGTTTCAATGACAGATCACGGCGATTAATGGGGAGTGGACAGTAGCCCAATTGTTTCTTATGTAGATCGCATGACCAACTGAGTTGCCCGCGAGGAATATTTTATACTGTTTAGCGGCAATTTGTGTCTCACGGCCTCTATTCATACTACTCGACCTCTCGTATTAGCTGATTTGGCTTTAGTCTTGCAGCTTTTCTAGATGTTCAGGCCAACAATCAATCATGAAACTCCCAAACCCTAGCTTGCCTCCATGCGAGCCCGCATTGTCAAAGAGCCCAAACCGCAACTCAACTCATATTTGTGTGGGAATTTACAGTTTTTAATTCTGATGGCACAATTAAATCCCCTGTGCACAGCATTCATGCCGCTTCGTCAAAATTTGAGGCGATTATTGGGGCACTTCCCGAACGATTGATCTATTGTTTATTGTCATCCCAATCGGGACTAGCTTAGTTTCCATAGTAAGTGATTCGTACAGAGTTATATTTGCATTATATATGAGGTAATTATTGCCACTTTATTACTTCTCTTCGTACAGTCGTTGGATCTATAGCGGACGAATGGCTGAAATAGACCAACGCACTGGGCTGATCCACATCGAAGACCGGAAGGAAATGTGATAACCGCGCAGATACAGGCACGTCTTCATGGCTGTTCACCACGCCCAGGCCCTCCTCTTCAATCTCAATCCATTTTTCTGCGATAGTCGCCACAAATCCACTGTTCCATACTCCTTCCTGAACAGCAGCAGTTCGCAGCACGCGTATAGCACGACGTCGAATATGTGGGTCACGGCACCGCGAGGCAACATTAAACATGGCTGCTATGATGCTGAGATCGAGCGAAAAGGTTTTCTGGGATGAGGAAGGTAACGAAGAGGAAAATTCGACGATAGACTCGCCTAGGATCACCATCTGTTCAAACGCAGAGTAGTACCTATCCCACTGGATGTTTTCGCCGGGATCGAGCTCGCCTTCCGGGCGAAGGGTATCTAGCATGATGAAACACTCAATCTTGCGTAATTGGAGAACAGCAGCACCACGCCGCTCGCGGTCTGTAAGGGAGGCGCTGTGAGCGTCCAAAAATTCGTCTAGACCAGTAGCCCAGTACGCTACAAGGGAGAGGGACGTATCGCGGAGAGCGGAAAATTTCGGGGCAGCAGTTGACTTCCCCTGTCTGCTTAACTCTCGTAGTTCCGCTAGATGCTGTCGGTGGTGATAAGTGTAGACCTCGAGCATTTCGCGCGCATCAGCCAACGAGTGGAATACGACAGGTCGGGAAAGGTCGATGACCAGTTCAGGCCAAAGGTCGATCCCCGCTGTGCTGATTCGGTTGGAAGACTGGAAATGGTTGATTTAGAAAGATTCCCAACGGCGAACAGGGTTATATCGAACAGGGGACCCATACCACACTGCTCTGCGCCTCGAGGCGGGTGAAAAGTCCGCATAATACTTCCACAGAGATATAGGGGTTACGACCCAAATTCAAAGCCGTAGAAGCTCTGAACTTGTTATTTCGAAGCTCTCCAAGAATCTTTAGTCCACCAGTGATATGCGTGATGGCTGAACCGTAGTGGCCTCGCATGGCCTAGAATCTGGTTAGAATGCGGAGATCAAAGACTTAACTCAAAATTACGCACCTCGAAGCAAGCAAAAAGAATACAGGACATTAAACAGACATCAATAGGCTGCGAGTTGCCATGTTGAGGCATTAAACAGCGCATAGCACGCAGGTATTGGTGCAAGGCGAAGGTACTCCGTGAGGAGAATGGACCAGAGCTAAGCGGAGCACCTGGATTGCGCTGAAATTCCTCATGTAGCGAGCCCAAGGCAACCGTGGCATGGCGGATGGCTGGTTCGTGGTGCACGGTCTGCAGCAACAAGCGCTCCCAGAAGGCACACTCGAAATCGCCGGCAAGCTGCGGAGCAGTTTTCAGTAAGAAAAATTGGAACGAGCGTCGCTCCTGATCGCAAAAGAAGAGATCGTGCGATGTGCTGCTCAAAGGCCTACATATAATAGCTCTTGTGAGTTCATTGGATGGCGAGCTTGTCTGGCTAGATGAGAGCGGATTGGCCGACTCTCTGTAGCCATCACAAATGCGGCCGGTTGATGTGCACCGGCGACAAGCAGGATGCTCTTCGCTACATTTAACGCGTCGTTCTGTATATCGTAAGAAATTAAGAAATCCAGAAATCCACACGAATCAGTTTCTCTCACTCCTAGATCGGATCAGCGGGGGAATCTTGTCAGCGTGTGGGGCACATACCTGCATGTCAAACAGCCAGTGCGTGTCTTCGGCCGATACGCCCGTTTTCTGTTTTCGGGACTGACCCGGGGCATTGCTCTAGGGAATGCTGAGGGGCTAAGTGACTAGGAACGACTAGGATGAATCATAATACCGAGCGGCCTCGGGAGGTGGAGAACTTGAAGTTCGGTTACTGTGGGGTCCAAGCGACTTTGTCAGCGATAGCCTCATTTTTTTTTGAACTCGGGGAATTGTAGGTGCTATATTTCAACAACTTCCAGGATTTGAGGCAAAAGCTGAGCTTCAGCCATTTGCAGGGAAGAATCTGCCTACTTGTTCAGATGTTTTCTGTCAGTGTGGCTACCCCCACTTTATCTATCGACCCCGTTCCCCTTCTTTCACTTCGCATTGAATCGCACATTTTCTCCTTCTGTGCTGGAGAGAAGGAGGCTTGACATATAATAACAGCTGCGAAAATACGATGAGGCTATATATTGAAAGATTGGAGAGAACTTATGCACGTTATAGGTGGCTATGTCTTTACTGGACAAGTCAACTGGTTACACAACATGAAGAGCTTAGTTTTTACTGGTATCCACTTGTATTTAGTAGTCTCTAGTAGTGGTAGAATAATTAAAATATTCAGAACGTCTACACACACCTTTGCTCCTGTAGCACCTACCCATGGCAGTCAGCAATGGTTATGACCTCTAGAAGTCTGTAAGACATACCATGTCATCCTCTAGCGATCTCGGCTTGGCATCTATGCCAGTCTTCTTACGTTCCTTGCGGCTTGGAATATCACTTTCTTTACCTGGCATGACGCGACCCGGGTGCTCCACGTTGAGCATGACAAGCGCAATTAGCATGGGCAGCGAGTCAAGGCAATACTGATACGCCTCGTGGAGGGGAATCTTGCTATATAGTCCCTGTGAGTATTCACATAGACGGAAAATAATTCGCATCTTTCTCATTAGCTGGATTCCACCTCAATCGGAAGTTTCCGCTTACCGTGATAAAGGCGAGACACGCGTAGAGAACATAGAGTAGGATCAAGGCCATTTGGGCATCTGACCGTCGCTGGCGAAGAATTTTGACGTGGAAGGCAATTGCATAGACGACGAATACCAAGACGAAGAACTGCTGCACACCCACCCCGGCCATATAGACGTGCAGGCCCATCATCTGCTTGCTATACGTGATATCGTTTCCGGCGGCCGTAGCAGCCCCATAAACCTGAACAATGAAGGCGCTATTTCAAGGCTCTGCTATTAATATAGACGCACTAACAAGAGAAAAGGGGAGTTGACTCATACATTATATCGAGCATGACGAAGAAGAGTCCGACCTGCCACGGGCGCATACGCAGGACGCGCGCGTCGTCCGTGAAATTCCAAACCATTTTGCCCATGACCATATAGACAAATGCATTGGTCCACAGTGGTGCAATAAGGATTAGCACAAACCATCCTGCATAATCACCATAGCTTGCCGGGTTTAGAATGCTTAGCACTCGGAAAATATATGTTATTGTCTGGATGAGGCCGGACATGGCAATAACCCAGCAGTAGGACTTGCGGTGAATAACCGCTTGGATAATGTGAGCAATTGTTGTGAGGGCGAATAAAACGATGAATAAGTAGGAGGCAGCAATGGAGGGACAGAACTCCCACATTGTGTCAGGGGTCGTGAGGGCTATTCAAAGTGAGTTACTTCAATGTTTGTAGTCATAATTGGAATCATCAATTGCTTTACCTTTACATTTTTTCATTGTGATTAAAATGGGAATTATCAAAAAAGCACAATAAGAAGGTTCATTGAGGCATGATAGAAGAAGCGTTGGTTTAAATACCATTTTCTCTTGCTGATAAATATATGTTCTTTACGAGAGTGGGGCTTCATAGATTTCATAGGCGTTTCCCATTGGTTCTCTCGTAGGGACGAACCAATCATGTTGACAACATTGAAACCCACCTAGATCTTACGTCGACACGTAAGGCAGCCCAATTTAGCTACCTCAATGTGTTTCTTCACAGTCAATAGTAACGCTGAAAATATGTAGGTGTGTAAAGATCTCAACACAAGGATTCTGATAAATAGTGGCCTACGGGGTAACCGGATATCACACTTCAGCTCATAGCTCTTTTGTGGCCCTCAAATTGTTTTCGTCAAGCCATTGCTCCAGCAGCTGGACTGGAATAGGGGAGTGATTTACTCATCTGTAAGCTTACATTCTCGGCAAGATCGGATGATGATTGATGCAAAGTATAAAGATGCCAAGAGTACGCGTTATGGGGAACAAAGCAATCAGATGATAGTAACCATGATTGGGTGAGCGGAGCCCTGGAGTGATTGAGACCAGATTATCAGACAAAATAGCCTTCGGTGACTACTTATACCATGTTGGGAAAAGATGATGATCCTAGGCGTCCCTATCAACGGACGGTGTCTCTGTGAGAGGATAGTCGAAGTCCAAGCACTTTGTCGGCTGGATTGTGGATCCGCCTTGTTTATCTCGAAGGGTGCGAAGGTTATTGTGAGTTTTCTCAAACTATCCCTTGGTGATAGGAAAATTTGGAGTTGCATTAAATCCAGCGACAGGACGCTGCATTTTTCATCGGAACCTCGCTCCGCCGTCATGTGTGGCATCAATAATTATATTCTGGGTTCAGAACACTATGACCCATGCATTTTCTTGTGCAAATTGTCTGTCTATTTATCGCATCGAAATTTCTAATCCTATAAATTTCACACGACAGTCATTGATCTCTTTTAAAGAAAGGGTCATTATCATACGTCATTCGTAGAGATTTCGAAAACCAACGTCGTGTTTTATGAATTTCCTCCCTAACGAATCGACAAGGTGGGAATTGCCGATCATGATAGATAAATGTAAGCCAAAGGAAACCTCAAAAGGAGGCGGAGCTTTCATCGTGTACGTTCTGATTCTGCCCCTGGTCACATTCCAAGGTTCCTCTCGATAGCTGCAACTCGAGTTGCCGTTCTATTTCTGTCTTTTCTACTGACCACGGATCCCCTAAAGATGTTAAGTGTATTCGGAAAACATCCCCTGTTTCCCATAGCGCTTTCTCACGAAATACGGCGGTAAATACGCCAATCAGAACAAAAATAGACTCGCACCGGCTCCAACCTCCTGAGCTCATGACAGTGCTTTCCTCCCCCGTGTCTTAATCAAAAGAAGTGTTGTTCAAGTAAGTAGTTTATTAAGACAATCCTATTAAAACTTATTCAATATTCATTCCCAAGAAGAGCTAAGTTTCTGTCGCCATGAGAAGTCAAAAGTCTATTAACAAATTAAATACAGACCACTCGATCCGCCTCAATAATGACATCAAAACATTCTATCAACCAAGCTTGCGGAAGTGACTTTTGCGCAGATCGTGGATTTAACCGAGGAATAGCGACCCGAGATCGATGTTGCCGAACGATCCAGATGTGTCTGGTAAACTCTCTAGGTGTGAAGTGGTGAGCTGCCATTTAAGCATGTCACCGGTGAGAATGGTAGCTCAAAGGGGATATTTATTCTAAAACGTTATTTCAACAATTAACACTAAACCTAGGTAGAAACAACACAATAAGAAAGGCAGACATGGAAAGAAAGCAAGATCTTAGGGCTCTAAGGCTCTATTGCCCCACTTTCTAGGTACCCACTACCTGACGGGCCCCGTCGTGAGCCCGAGAGGCATGCCTATTTTGGATGCTGCACATCATTCCGCAGTCAGAAGGCCAGAAAGCATCCATGGCCAGCACCAGATTTTGAAAGAAAGCTCTACCGGGCCAAATTAATTCTAATCCTAATACTACAATCTATCAATATTGACTCCAAATTGGTTCTAAGAGAAATACGCATAGAAAATATATGACCAAGGCTTTAAGAGTGTGTCAACGCACCTAAGGGAAAATAGCACTAGAGAGGTGTTACGGCAGCTGATCTGCTGTCCAGGGGAAGAAAGGGCTACATAGTAGCGTGGAAACAGAAGAAAGGGACAAGATCTGTATTCCGAGAGGTATGGAGGAGAGAAAGAGAAAGAGAGAGAGAGAGATCTAGCTAAAGACATGCAAGCGCTGACAAACGGAGGGGGTCAGCTGACCCGACCCCATATACTCCAATAGGGTGTTCAAAAATTGGGCGCAACGCATAAATCCAATTTGAGACATTTGCACCTTCTATCACTCGGTTTACTCGATTCCCCCGTTCAGAAGTCTATCAGACGTCGTCGTCGTGATAAAATGTAACCCAGCTTGAAAGAGCATGACTATAGCCTTCATGGTTGCATATTTGTTTCCAGATAAGGACTTATATTGAGATATTACCTACAGCACCAACCTGCATATCGGCTGTGAGCTACACATTCCGACGAGGCTGCGAGGGGTCGATGCCTGTAGATTTGTATTGTATGTTCAAGTCCACGTTCTCCATTCAATGAAACTGCATCTCTAAAAGTCATTACGATTTGAAGCTAAATCTTATCGAAGATCATCTGCACGTAAGAAACGCCCCCAAATTGAAATTTCCTGGCTCTGAAAAAGTCACAATGTCTTTGATCCATAGGATGGCTTCGTCGGAGTTTGTTTTTGATTAGCCTTGTCCCCGATGAGCCGATGAGCCGATATCACGTCAACTCCAAGCATGGAACGGCCAAGTCATCACGGCCCCACGATCGATTTAGACACCATAGAACTATTGGCTTTCAAGGCGCTTGGAACTCAAATTTTGTTTGTTGCTTACCTATTCGCTACCTAGGAGATGCACGGAAATTGGATCGGCGTTCGGCATTCGGGGTCCCGATGCTGTCGGGTAGCAAAAGTACTAAAGCCCTCGCACCTAGACCACGAAGACGGGGCCGAAGCCCGAGTCAGCCTCACGGTTACTTGCATGATGCTGCAGTGAGCTCTCACTGTTTTCACAAATTCCAATTCGACACGATTACTACGTTCTGCTTTCTCATTGTGATTGATTCTTAACATCAACATTATTGTCTCGGTCAAGACTACAAATAAATTTGGAAGCTATGCCATCCAATCGAGCAGCCTGGTTAACAGCCAAATCTGTGCGACCACTAGAAGTCAAAACCGCCCCTTACACATCCCCATCGACCAACGAAATCGTTATCAAGAATGGTGCTATTGCAGTCAACCCGGTAGAATGGTCTAAACAACTCGTTGGAGATATGATGATCTCATGGATCAAATATCCATTCATTCTCGGCAACGATCTCGCCGGTGAGGTCGTGGAAGTTGGCCCGGGGGTGACACGCTTCAAGCCCGGTGATCGCGTCCTGGGTCACGCACTCTCAATGGATCCAACCGTGAACAAGAACTCCGAGGGCGCATTTCAGGAGTACACGGTTGTGCGCGCGAACATGGCATCACCGATTCCGGATGACCTCTCCTATGAGGAAGCCTGTGTCCTACCACTAGGACTGTCAACAGCCGCCTGCGCGTTATTCCAGAAGGATACACTCGCACTCAACTACCCAGATGTAGCGGCTACTGGGACGGGCGATTCAAAGAAGACAGGAAACGAAGCGCTCCTGATCTGGGGTGTATCTAGTAGTGTTGGATGCAATGCTATCCAGCTCGCTGCTGCCGCGGGGTATGATGTCTTTACCACCGCTTCTCCGAAGAATTTCGAATACGTTACTAGTCTGGGAGCTAGCAAGGTATTTAATTACCGTAGTAGTACTGTTATTCCAGACATCATCAGAGCTTTTAATGGGAAGAAACCTGTTGGCGCGATCGCGATCGGTAACGGGTCTACGGAAGCTTGCATTGAGATCCTTTCCAAGACCAATGGATCAAAGTTCGTTGCGCAGGTCAGTTTCCCGTGGCCGGAGAAGACTCCAACTACGGCTTTGGCCCTTTTTGGTGCCATGATGGGACTCATGTGGTGGAACTTGAGCATCTTTTTCAAATCAAAGCTGAAGGGCGTGACGGCGAAATTTGTGTTTGGGAGTACTTTGTACAATAATGAAGTTGGTGGGATAATCTACGATGACTTTTTGCCGGACGCGTTAGTGCAGGGAAGCTTCGTGATGGCTCCTCAGCCTTTGGTGGCCGGGAAGGGATTAGAAATGATCCAGGAGGCTTTGGATTTTCATATGAAGGGGGTCTCCGCGAAGAAAGTGATTGTTTCATTGTAGTTGTTTTTTTCTAATCGTTTCCTTCTTAACGGTGTGATGATTTATTGTTTTCCTTGGAAGCAGGATTTTCATTTACAAAGATAGCATTGGATCATTGAATAAAATCATAAACGCAGAGCCCTTTTAGAGATTACTAAGGCGTCGTCATAGCCTGCTCCTTAGCCCTAGATTTTCTAATATCCTGCCACCCCATTCCCCAAGCACAACAAAATGCTGCAGCTGCAGACCCACAAACCAAATAAAACACATGGTCAACACTCTCGCTATATGCCTTCAGAACATCGGCCAACTGATCCGCGGGAACTACATTCCAAAAGCCCGTCGCACCAGCAGAGATAATTGCACTTGCATTTACCCCTGGTGCGTACTTCGAAATCGCAACGGGGAGACTTTGGCTGAAGTTTGTTTCGGCGAATGTGAGGGAAGTGGCCCCGCCGAAGTTCAACGAAAAGACCAGGATTGCCATGACCACAGATATTTGGGCATGTGGGATAAGGTTTTGGACGGCGACAAAGGGCTATGGCAATGATGAAATATTAGCAATGGATCTCGTAGAGGGTGTGGGATCTGACCATTGCAGCAGCACTGCCTAGGCCAGCACCAGCCAAGATTTGAAATCCCACACGGTTTGCAGTTTCGTATGTTGGTGTAAGCATCGTGAGTAGGCTATATCCGATACTCGCTAATGCGGTTCCCCCAAACACCCATGGAAGGTAAAAGCCAAATCTCTGGACTAATGACTCGACTTGTTAGCAGCATCTTCGGACGGGAGAGAGAGAATCCTTTTGCCCATAATTCCTGACAACATAGCCATGGTGATCTGCAGCAGAATATTGGGGAGATAGTAAACACCACTCATAATAGGTGACGCTCCCTTGACGGCTTGGAAATAAATAGGCAAATAATAAGCTCCACATGTCAAAACACCTGTTATGAAGAACATGGTCAGACAGCTGGACCAGATGATGATTTTTCTTAACATGAAGAGAGGTATCATAGCATTGTCGCCACGATGGTACTCCCAGCCCAGAAAAACGAGAAACGTTATCCCCGCGCCTACGAGTAGGCCAATCACCGTTGCGCTATTCCAGGGATATTCGCTCCCACCGTACTGAAACGCGAGGAAGAACATAATTGCAGCGGGGGCAAATATGAGGAAGCCCAGAATATCGAGTGTAGTAACGATGGTGCGGAGGAGGGTTCGCAAGTCTGGTTTTGCGATCCGGTCTGGTATGTCAAGAGAAGCGAGAAGGGCGAGGACGATTCCACCAATGGGGGGGGGTTCATACAGAAACACCTAAACTCTATCTGTTAGCAAGACCTGGGATAAGATCCAGCTCTAGAAACAGAAGGAAACGAACCAGCGCCAAGTGACTTTTTCAGTAAACGCCCCTCCAATAAGGGGGCCCAGGGCTTGACCCAACTGTCTAACTAGGTGTTGTTAGGTATGATCAGGGGGGAATATTGTGTTGGTTTGCTTACTGGAAATAATCAATCCCATCGCTGCTGGACGTTTATGTTTAGGCAAACAGGCTGAAATCATCGTCAGTCCATCATTCAGCAGTCCTGAGCCACCTAGACCGGCAATGGCGCGTGCTATAATCAAAATTTTGGAGGATTTGGCAATGGCACATAGCTGGGATCCAAGCTCAAATATAAAAAAGAAGGCGAAGAATGTCCACTAGATTCTGGTTAGTGAACAGGTCACCTGCAAGATCTAGAATCCATGCACCTGCTCACCTTGATCTTCAGATGTGTGTATAGCTTGCCGGTCAAAGGTTGCAAAGCAGCACTGCTCATTGCCTTAATAACATTTTCGTATATTCTTGAATGTTGCACTCACCTCGCTAGTTGGTATGCACTTCCATACCAACCTACGTCCAGAAGAGAGTGAAACTCATCCGTGATGTAAGGAACAGCCTGTGTCTTGTTTAGCACTCCATAGCGTTCCAAACCCATTAATGCAGATGCGTACCGTAGCAATAATAGACCGATCAAGCATCATAACAAACTGGACAAGAGTGCCTGAAATTAAAATCGCCCACAACTTGAATCCTGTGATATATTCCTCATCATCCAGATCATCATTTTCTTGCATAGTATCATTGCATGTAGGCTTCTCTGGTTCTGTTCGCTGCATTGTAGTAGAGAGTTTTCCCGTGGGAAGGATTTTTCCTGTTGCCATGGAAAAAACTGGCCACTTCTGCTTAGCAATGTGGTAATGTATTCACGGGTCAAATGTTCAACAGCAATATACATATCAGATGTAATAGTTGGCGCCTTGTTTAGCTTAGGGAATCGGGGTCGGCCCACCGAACACCGATTATAGAAAGGCAACTTTATATCCCGATCCAGAATTACTATTGGAAGTAAAGGTGACAAATAGTATATGACAATGCAGGATCGGCCCTTTGGGATCTTTCAACATTAAACTCATCCATAATTCCATATGTTATTTTACCCTATCCTCATGTGAGCTCATATAATTAACCGCATCGCATAGTTCAAATGTTTCCAATGTTAGAAAGGTAAGAAAAGCTCCACGAACGTTAAAGCTAGAAGTAAAGATCCACCGATTACTCAATCAAATACAGGGATTAACTTCGAAGACCGCAGGCAGTCACACAAAATTCTTTCCGTCGAAAAATAGATCAAAACTATCTCGCCACCAAGCGTCTTCGACAAAAAACGCGTCTAGCTGCGTGCCGCTGTGTACATTCGTTTGACAATTAGGGTCTCTTTGTACGCCTTCTTCACCATCTTCCGCGAGTTTTGCGGCGCACCAGTTTCGAACGGACGTGAAAATTCTGGTCGACTTATCCAGCGGGCCCCCTGTGCACTCTTCACCTTCCGGGGCTTTGGCGAGTTCGATATTGTTGATCAATTTGTCAATCACTTGAAGGACATCGACCGTTGATCGTGCAAGATTCGTATCCCAGGTGGGATCGTTCAGAGTCGAGAGTTTGGACAACACGATGAGGTAGCGAGCTAGCTGTGTGAAGAAGGGAAAAGAGATACCAGCATATTCGATGAGAGGAATTTTGAAGAAGTTTTCAAATGCCTGTTTGACCGTGTTCAGGCATGCGTAGAGACAATCAATTCTTTGAAAGCCAGGACCTGGGATATTCTGTTTGGAGAGTGCAAAGCCGAACATGCTCAATTCTGTGTAATATACTGAAGCCAGGAGTGGTACTGTCTGACTTTTAGGTCATTCTTCTGTGGGAGGAAGGCATTTGGTTATATAGAACTCACTCTCTTGCAGTAGGTGTGGTGAGATTTGTGCCTTAACTTCATTCACCTTCAGTTGGAGAGCGGTCAGGTAAAAGGCCGGTGGAGCTGTGGCTGTAGCTCTTGCGCTCTCTACCTCTCCCGCAATGCGCTGCAGTCTAACTTGGTGTGTAAACATCTCGTCATATGGAGATTCTTGGCTCCGACTTAAGACGTCTAGACATTCTTCCATATACGGCGTCCACTGCATTGTATCGATCTGCTCAAAATACGAAGAAACACTAAGATGGTTAGATAAACACGTATGCAAGGATGGGAAACAAACATTGAGCTCATTACGAAGCACCCTAGAACCGCACGTCTCTCCTCTGAAGATCTGGCCGGGCCCCTTGGCACCAAGCAGTCTCCTCCAACCGGGAGCATGTTGGGGTCATCCGGAAGTGGCTTGTTCAGACGAAGGTCAAATACTAACGACATTGCTAGCTGGGTAAAACGCGACAACCTCGCTGCAGTGCCGTGAAGGAGATGATCATGACCCCAAGCAAGAAAAGTTAATAATCCGAGAAGCAAATCGATATTGACAGCGCCCGAGTTGTTGTCGAGGAAGATCCGTTCTGTCAAGGTTTCCTTAATCCTTTCTCCAAGTTCAATCTTGGTCCGTGTTGAATGGGCAGATGCAGCTATGATACAGAGGAACAAAAAGGGTCTTTCTCGGCGCAGACATTCTGCATCAGTTGAAATATGCAAAAAGGCAAAATATTTGAGTGTGTGGGTACGAAATTTTCTCAAGCAATCTTCTGGCGACAGATCAAAGGTCAGGGGTGAAGTTGCTGACGAGGCTCCACTTGGAGAGGTAGAGAGTGGGGAGATGGCAATGGAGGTAGAGGCAGGTGGGGTAAGATGATCCTGATGGGGGGCATTGTTCGATGGAACTGACCCGCCTAATAAGGAGACATGTTATCAGTGTGTGGAGAATTTGGATCGTGAGTTTCTGCCTATTCATACCCTCCGGTTGATGCGGATACTAGAAAGAGTGCCGGACCCAGACGAAGATGGTTTCGTTATCGACGTCGATGAACCTAACTCTCAAGTGTCCGTGGTCGGATTGGAGGAACGCCCGATAAACTTTGAATGGCAACTCTTGTACGGAGGCGAGTAGCGGCCATGAAGACAGCGTTTCCAAATCACTTAACAAATAGCAGAGAATCATATATACTACAAAGCTAATCTACCCCTTTATCAATTGAGTATACCGCAGACTTTTTGATTGTAAATTTGAAACCCCCTTTCTTCCTTTCAACTTCTCCTTCCACTTCACTTTTTATCTTCAATTTTGTCCCTTTCTTTTCTCTTCCGCTAATTATAAACTTGGAGGGTCTTTTGACAATTCTACTAATCTAGTACGAAAGAAGGAATAATACTGGATAGGACACTGAGTAGGAGATTAAGTGGGAGACTCAAGTAGGAGAGTAAGTGGGAGATATAGTAGGAAACTAAGTAGGAACCTAAGTGGGAGACTAGGTCAGAGACTAAGTAGGAGATAGTACGAGATGTAGTAGGAGATATAATATAATACCCAAGTACTAGGCGCTACGCTAAAAGGTTCTGTCCTCATGGCCGCTACTCGCCCCCGTACTCTTGCAATGGTTCTCGAGGATTCCATTCTGTAGAACATGACGAGCGACAATTACAATACAGCTATCCGGCCTTAGGTACAGGGTACTTGGAACCTCCACCAGTATCTCGGCTCCGATCTTGACTTTTTCATCATGCTCTCCTCTCTCGCCAGTGTAACCAGAAACGCCAGTCAGTTCAATTATACAGCTGGCGGTACCTTCCAAGACGCGCTGGCCAGGCATCGAATGGCAAAGGGGCTCCCAGCTGTAGCGCTCGATATCGGCGCCGGCAAGGACGTCGGATGTGTGGCATCAGATCAGGGCGTGTATGAGCGCCTGGAGAAAATGGGATACCGGCTGCTAGAAGAACAAGAGATCACGTCCGCCATTGAATCGGCTATTTTCTATCCCTGTCCACAAGTCATGGTCGGACTAAATACCGGTGGCGGTGCTTCTGACTTGAATCTGGTGGCACGAGAATCGCACTTCGGCGCCCTGGGCTTTAATAAATCGGCCAACGGTAGCAACGCTGCATCCAAGGCTAGCGGTGGTGTTGTCAATCTTGCTGGTAAGCTATCCTCTGCTACATCGCTAGAAAAGGCAGCCGGTTAGTGATGCAAGCGCTGGTCAAGAAATTGATGGATATCGGTATCATTCCTGTGGAGTAGGTCATAGCTGCCAACTTGATGGCAGCTTTTGGTATCGATTCTCTTGCTGCTGTCGAGCTGCGCAACATGTTGGCCTTGAAGGCGGAGATTTCGATTTTTGACATCATGCATAGTCCCTCTTTCGGAGTCCTCTGCCACAAGGTCGCGTCGACCAGTGGTTGTGTCGTTGTATCCTGATTGCAGCCTGCATACCAGCGCGAATGAGGATTGAAAATCAATTCCGAGAGCTTAATGAGTGGCATCGAGAGGGCACAAAGAATTAAATCCTTGGGGAAGGAAAGGGGGAAATGCTCTCAGAAGTTCGAGGTTATTCCGATGGCGAAGTCACCTGACAGTCTCCAGCACTCACTTTATATCGCGGCGAAATGTATAACATCTGAATCATTCGGACAGTACAGCAATATTCGAAATTTGCTCCCATGTTTTACGTAGAGTAAGTATCTCAAGCCCCACCGCCAAGACAATGGTGAAACCGCCTAGGCTAAATTCAGCTGGACTACAGATCACCCCGGTACCCAGTGCGCCAGAACGGAAATGTAAATTATATGACAAGACGATAATGTATCATCTCCAGGCCTTGTTCTAAAGATAGAAAAGGGACAACAAATTTCCAGCGCCAGGGTCACATGATGGTGAGGCAGAGGACGAAATTCCATTTTCTGAGCCAAAAACACAACTTGAAGTGCAGCGCCTTTTGAAAATGACTTCCATATCGGTAAGCTTTGGAGGCAACAATTCAGGTAACCAGGTGGGAATCAATTATGGGCCGATATATTTACCCCAAGGTACATTTCATCAGAGGCTACTACCACGCTTGGTCAAATTACCTAACAATCCTATCTTGGCCCAGAGCGACCAGAAACCCCACCTCCCCCTCTATTGAACGTTCCGTTCCGTCGTGATCCGGACTTTGTCGATTGTGGATCTCTGCTTGATCAGATATACGAAAAAGGGACTAAACCGGGGGCTCGGATCGCGCTTGTTGGGCTTGGTGGTGTTGGGTTAGTGGAGATGCTTAGCAGTTGGCCATTGCTCATATATCGAAAGCAAATCTCAACTTGCGATCGAATGCTGCTACCGAATCCGAGAACGATCGCCCGGGACGTGGGTTTTCTGGATCCACGCGAGTAACGTCACCCGTTTCGAACAGAGTTGCCGGGATATTGTCGACCGAGTCAAGATCCCCGGCCGGCAGGACCCAAAGGCACATACTTTCAAACTTCTTCATGACTGGCTACACGATGAGAGAAAAGGAGAGTGGGTCTTGATTTTCGACAATGTGGATGACGATCAATATCTCCATGAAATTCCACCAGCAAAACAGGACGGCCGTGAGAGTGTCTCAAGCTGTGCATCAGAACGACCAATCTGGGCATATTTCCCTGAAAGCTTGAAAGGCTCAATCATTATAACAAGTCGAAGCAGAAAAATGGTATCAAGGATGGTGGAAGTCAACGATATCATCACAGTGGAACCGATGGATGACATCCATGCAGTAGCGCTTTTTGAGAAGAAGCTCGGAGAACTTGCTGCCAAGGAAGAGATCATTCAGCTGACCGCGGCGCTAGACTTTATACCGCTTGCGATTGTCCAAGCAGCAGCCTATATTAAGAAAAGGGCACCACGCCTGTCGGTTCCTCAATATATGGAAGCCTTTCGAGCTAGCTATCATCAGAAAATTAGTCTCCTGGGTTATGAGGGAGAGAACATCCGCAGAGACCGAGATGCCAATAACTCCATTCTTGTCACTTGGCAGATATCATTTGATTATATTAGCAAAACGAGACCATCGGCAGCAGACTTGTTATCTCTCATGAGCTTTTTTGATACACAAGAGATTCCCGAAGCTTTGCTTCAGGAAGTCAAAGAGACGAAAGACAGCATTGGAAGGCTTTATGCCTTCAATGCTGATGATTCAAACGACAGCGGTGGCCAGAATAAGGATGCAAGCGAATCCAGCATGCTCGAGATATTCGAACATGATATATTGGTGTTGAGAGACTACTCAATGATTACCATATGCCCGGATATAACGAACTTTAAGATGCATCGACTGGTACAACTAGCCATGCAGGAGTGGCTAAAGACCAATAAGAATCTTGAAAGGTGTAAAGAAAAATTTATCAGAAATCTTTACCTCAGCTTTCCGAAGGGATTATTCGGAAATTGGCCAATATGCCAGATGCTGTTTTCTCATGTGCAGTGTGCAGTCACACAACAACCACACTCTAAAGCTTCGATAAGCGAATGGGCGTCGCTACTTCACGAAGCAGCAGTATTCGCATGGACCCGGGGGAACTTCGTTGATAGCAGAACAATGGCAGACAAAGCAGCAAAGGCAAGGAATGAATTATTCGGGCTGGAGAATGAGAAGACGATCGATAGCTTCGAAATTCTAGGGTTGGCATACAATCTTGGGGGCCAATGGGAGAAAGCGGAAGAACTCCAGTTACAAGTCTTGAAGATCCGCAGCAAAACATTGGGGCTGCAGCATCCCTCCACTCTCACCAGCATGGTCAACCTAGCAGCAATCTACCACGCTAAGGGACATTGGAAGGAGGCTGAAAATCTTGCGGTACAAGCGATCGTGGCCCGCGAACAATTAGTCGGACTAGGGCACCCTTCTAGTTTGATCGCCAAGAGCAATCTAGCATCAATTTACCGGGATCAAGGACGATGGCAGGAGGCCGAAAGGCTAGGGATGTTTATAATGAGAACCTACAGTCAGATCTTTGGGGCAGGTCATCCGAATACTCTGAGATCTATGACTAACCTGGCAACAACCTACTTAGAACAAGCAAAGTGGAAGGATGCCGAGGAATTGCTGCTGCGGGTGGTGGATATTAGTGAAAAAGTGCTTGGGCAAGAGCATCCCTCCACCCTAACCAGTATTGGAAACCTAGCATCTACCTACTACAGCCAGGGACGATGGAATAAAGCCGAGGATCTCCAATTGAGAGTAATGGATATTCACAAGCAGGCTTCAGGGCCAGAGCATCCCTCCACGCTCACCAGTATGAATAATTTGGCCTCAATCTACCTTGATCAAGCACGATGGAAAGATGCCGAGAAGCTACAGATACAGATCATGGAGAGTCGCAAGCAATCTTTGGGGCCAGACCATCCGGACACTTTAGTCACCATGAACAACTTAGCAATGACATACGAAAACCAGGGACAGTTGAAGGAGGCCGAAAGGCTACAAGTGCGGGTGATGAAGGCCTCCAGTCAGGTGTTTGGGCCAGAGCATCCCAAAACGCTGACCAGCATGGCTAGCTTAGCTTTGATCTACGGGAGTCAGGGCCGATGGAAAGATGCTGAAGAGCTCCAGACCAAGGAGCTCAAATTATGCTCTAAGGTTGTTGGGGAAGAGCATCCCTCCACCCTAACCAGCATTGGCAACCTAGCTTCTACCTACTGCGGCCAGGAACGATGGAAGGAAGCCGAGGAGCTCCAATTGAGGGTGGTGGAAATTCGCAAGCAAGTTCTAGGGCCAGAGCATCCCTCCACGCTCACCAGCATGAGTTACCTAGCATCAAATCTTTGGAACCAGGGACGATGGAAAGAGGCCGAAGAACTAGGAGCGCAGGTAACGGAGATAAGCAAAAGGGTTCTTGGGCCAGATCATCCTGATACTCTCACCAGCATGGCCAACCTTGCTTATACATTGAGGTCATCAGGTCAAGCCAGAGCTTCATCAGCACTAATGGCCGAGTGTGTGCAACTCATGGTTCGAAGGCTAGGCCCTAGTCACCCAGACACGAGAGCTACAATGTCTACTCTAGACGAGTGGCGTGAAATAGATGGTGATACGTCTACCTTATTTACTGAAGTACCGGTTGTGACACCGGGGGATAGGCTCGGAAGAATTCGTGAGAAGGATCTTAGAATGGTTATGAATAATGGAAGGGAGAAATGACAGAAAAAATCTACGGCAAACATGTATGTACCACAGGCGACCCGAAGTTAGGCTGCGTTACAAAGGGGCGTGTTATGCGACAGAATGGGGCAGTATTTCGGTTGCAGAAGATATGGCAGCTATTTCAAGAAAGCAAAGAATTTCTATTTGCGGCGCTGAATTCTAAAAATCCCTTGATAGCACTGCGATGCTAGCAGAAGCCTACTGACTAGAGGGCCGATGTGAAGATGCGGAGCAGCTTTTTGTGCAGGTCATGGTGACGACTAAGACGAAGCTCGGCGTGGACCATCCCTCCACGCTGACGAGCATGGACAACCTGGCTCATACCCTTAGGTCATCGGGACAATACATAGGCGTATTAAAGTTCAACTTCGCGACCGAAAACTAGGCCCTATCCATCTGCTTACTACATCTTCTGCATACTACTTCTTCTGGCAAATTAGCGTGGTGTTCAGCTAGGAACTGATCCATGGATGTTAGATGCTCTTTTGCCCCTTGAAATGGGATACTGTCGGCAGCTGATCTGCTGTCCAGGGGAAGAAAGGGCTACATAGTAGCGTGGAAACAGAAGAAAGGGACAAGATCTGTATTCCGAGAGGTATGGAGGAGAGAAAGAGAGAGAGAGAGAGAGATCTAGCTAAAGACATGCAAGCGCTGACAAACGGAGGGGGTCAACTGACCCGACCCCCTATATTCCAATAGATACATTGGCCGTTACTCTATCTCACATTTACTTATCACCCAATTATATCTCAAGATTGACCAATTCAGCACTGGATCTTGCATCGATCTGGATTTTGGTGTCATCTGGCCTTATTGCAGTAAATTCATGATTGCCACCAGAGTTCACAGTCAATCGGTGTTCGGATACCGGTTCGCCGATCATCTCCAGGATCTCATGGATGCGGTTCCGAACCCCGATCCAACTAACGAAGTGTATGAGACTAACCCCTTGGAAACCCAAACTCGATGTTTCTCCTAACATTGATTAATCATTCAATTTACTTAAACAGTAACCAATAATTCAACTGAACTCCAAATACCTCCACCATGAAGCTCATCGTTGCTGGTGCAACTGGTCTAGTGGGTACGGAGATCATCAGACAGTGCCTACAGATGAAGGAGATCACCCAGGTTATCGCACTGGCTCGGAAACCCGTCCATGTCGAAGACGGAACAGACCCGAAATCTAAGCTCAAGAGTGTCGTGATTCGTGACTATGAGGAGTATCCAGCCGATGTGATGGCTGAGTTCGCCGGGGCTAACGCCTGCATATGGTGAGCGTTAACCACCCTTATTAATTATGAAGAAGTAAGCAAAATAGAAAAAAAGATTGACTCTAATTTCTTTTCAGGACTGTCGCCGTGACACCATTCAGGACGAGCAGCTTTGACTTCGCCGAGGTTAAGCGCGTGTGTCAAGACTGCGCTCTCGCGGGGTTCAAGGCCATGTACAAAGCTGGTCCTGCGAAACCCTTCCGCTTCCTTTACTTCAGTGCCGATGGCACACCTAGAGATCCGACGAAAAAGCCAGCTATCATGGGTAATTATCAAGTCATGCGCGTGAGTTCTTCCCATGGGAGCCTTCTCTATGGACATGTTTATGTTGCGGTGTTAATGAGGACCGACTTCTTAGTGCGAAACAGAGCTCATGGTTCTCAAATTCCCCAATGACTACCCTGGGGTGCAGGTCTGCATCGCTCAGCCCGGAGTGGTCGTCAATTCCACGTCTTTTGGGAGATCGGTTGTGGCCTCGGCGTTCCGTGTCGTCAACACTTTCACGCGCGCAATTCCAAATATCCATCGACAAGAGCTTTCGGCAGCGGTTTTGGATCTGGCCGTAAATGGATTCGATCAGGAGACTGTTAAGAATAATGACCTGGTTCGTCGTGGACAGACAGTGCTGAAACAGAATGGCATGGCCAAGCATTAAACCGATATTTGGTGTGTTGGGTAGATTTGTCTATATAATCTCATTGTAATAACCATAATTCGAATTTTCACTCCTTTATGTATTGGTTTCTGCTCGCAATCTGTTGGATATTAGCAGCTATTCGCTGCTCACTTGACTACATTCTCATACTGGAGATGCCTATATGGAGAGCTACAGCGGCATTGCAATAAAAATTGTAACTCATGATATGTATTCCCCTCATCAGATATTGATTGAGATTTGTTTTGAAAAAGACGAAACGGTCATCTAGGCCATGCTCATTGGCCTTGAAGTACTCGATACAATGACCATTGCATGCTTGCCACGAAAAACAAACCGAAAGCCGACACTACGACCGTCTTGTCGCTCGGCAATCGCGTTTTTTTGACGAGCCCATTCTGGTCCACGACATTGGGGTACCGTCTGGCCTATTCGCGTCCCCCAAAAGCCTTGCGGGTGCCCATCAGTTGCGGGTCATCCGGTGGCCATCGTCAGGTGGGTCATCTAACCTCTCATCCATAAGATCGCCGTATGTCTCGTGAGGGGTGTAGACAGCCTTCTTGGGGCTATCCCTCAAGTCCTTGTCCCTGGTCCTTGCTATCAGGTGGTGACAAAACCAAACCCTAAATATGCATATAGGATCATACTTCCGCTTGAGCTCCCTCAGACGTGCAGTGTTTGATCCGACAAATGAAGCCGGATTGATGCACGATGCACTCCATATTTGCAAGCTCTTCTCATACCCAGAGTCGCCAGGGAGGTATATCTCCGTGTCGGCCAAAGTTCGACGGAGATCATCGAAATATGATACCATTTGGAGGCTTGCGTTTCTTTTCTGTAAGAGACGGTTGTGAGGGATAATTGAGTATACGAAAACTTTATGGCGAGCTTGACAAGCAGTCAGCCATGTCTCTAGGTTCAAATGATACTTCATTCGCATGGAGCGGGGGAAAGACGCGGACGGACCGGTATTCAACATCAGACCACATTCCACGTCAATTTATCATGATTCCGGCAATTCATTATAATTCCAAGCCCACTGCTGCCTAGGAGCTGGAGGAACTTTTACTCCAATAATAGTCCGAATGGTGTGGTTGGTAGTTGAATCCAATGTGTTCTTCAAGTCTCCAAGTATAAAACGGCATTCGGGTACCGTTCCTACCGCTACCAGGTAAGCGGGTCAACCATTTATAATTACTGTAATGTCCAGGGTTTTGACAGGAACTTTACTCAAGGACTTTTCTCGGATCCTTGTCTGTAGTGAGGGGAATTGCATAAATTTGTACACTACTAGTAAGATTCCAAGGACCGTAAGATATAAAGGTGCTTGTACATGTTTGGGCGTTGGTCATTGTCATTTGAGTCTCTGAAAATTAATGCTATGAAGTGACTGCAATCTTTCAATTATTGCTGAACTTTATAAATGATCTTAGCCTAAGCGCTTGAAGGCCGAGTCACCATGTGGGTCATTGAATGATTTACATCACTGAATAGTGTTTTAAGAATCTAAATATCCTATAACATTCTGTGAATGAAGAATATGCCCCAATGCCAACGTATCCATAACATATATGAAGTAAATACTATACTATATAGACTATGCTATAGTGTTTGGGGTAACTTAAGATAGAAAGTTCGAAGTAAGTCGGGTCGAAATTCTTCCGGTTCGGAGACATTCGTGACATTTGTCTCCTCGACCAACATTGATTTAAGTCTATCAATAATCAAGGGTTACAAGAATTGAAATTTGAAGGCTCAATTCTTGTATAAATATTGTAAATTTCCCGAACAGTTTCTCTACAACCCTTCAATTCAATCAATCTTCGAGATTCCCCACCTCCCAAAATATACAATCAACAACCTTGGAACATTGCTTCATTCAGGAATTGTTAGCAATATTTGAATCATGAAATTCCTTCCTAGACCATCACTACATCCCGACCTCACCGAAGCACACAACCAGCTTCCCAGAAACGATGAGATCAGCACTCCCGAACAAATCGCGAACCGCCGCAAAGCCCTCGACTTTACACTGGAGTATGCCCTCCACGGAAGAGAACATATTATTTTCCACGAAGAAAAAGAATTCCAAGGTCCAACCCAAACCCTAAAAGCCTCAATTTTCCGCCCAAAGCAACCCAAGCAATCCAACTCCCCAGGCATCCTCTTTATCCATCCCGGCGGCCACATATCCGGAAGCCGCTTCCTAGGCATCGACAGCGCCCTAGACTGGGTAGAAGAATTCGGCGCCACCCTGATCTCCGCTGATTATCGTTTTGCGCCCGAACATCCCCAGCCAGCGCAAGTTGAAGATAGCTATGCAGCTCTGGAGTGGATGAGCGAGCAAAGCCAGGAGCTCGGGTTCGATCGTAATCGCATCATTGTATGTGGTGGCTCGGCTGGAGGGAATCTTGCTGCCGGGGTGGTTCTGTTAGCTCGTGATAGATCGGGGCCACGGATTCTTGGGCAATTGTTGATTTATCCTTGGTTGGATGATAGTAATGCTACTCATTCGATGATGCAGTTTGGAGATTTGGCTCCGTGGACGAGGTCGAATAGTGTTGATGCGTGTAATTATGCTTTGGGGGTGGGGAGGGAGTTTGCGACTATTTATACTGTTCCGTCGCGTGCGAGTGCGAAGGATCTTGAAGGTTTGCCGTCCACGTGGATTGATGTTGGGGATGCTGATGTGTTTCGGGATGAGTGTGTGGAACATGCTTCTAAGTTGTGGACAGCGGGTATCTCGACTGAGTTGCATGTTTGGCCGGGATGCTGGCATGGGTTTGATACTTTTGCGCCGAATGTTCCAGTTAGTCGTCGGGCAAGATTGGCACGAAGTGAATGGGTGCGCAATTTGATCCTCTCGTAAGTAATTTTAGAACATCAATTTATTGAAGCACTTGTATAATTGAATTTCAATATTTTTGGTTTCAATGAGCCCACGTACAGCTATCTACTGTATTCCATGAAAATGTCACTATAATTGAATACAGAGCCGGGAGATGTATAGGTTTCACTCGTACCCAAGGATGGCGAAATACATGGGACTGGGATCTTGAAGGGAATAAAATGATTTGGCGACCTACTCAGACAATATATACACGGCATGTCTCCGTCGATGGCGTCCCATGAGCTGCCACACGGATTGGTACTAAAAAGGAAAAAGAAGCAGTGGATGGGTTACGTTAAACAGTCTTTTCAATTGCGACCCTCCAAGAAACCCGACACGAAGTTGCGCGGTAGTCGTGCGCCTGGGTCTTCTTCGGCGCGGAAGTATTTCATAACGTGAGACAGCTGCTTCCAGTAGTTGAGGGTTTCCTAGATAAATGTTAGTATATCGTTCAGTGAGAATGATTTGGCAGCTAGAGATTTGACAGTGGAGATTCAAGCTTGGAAGACAAAGGCCATGTGCTGCCACTCGAATAACTCTCCATAATTGAGTCCTTAGCTCCTTTGGTGTTGTGACTGACCTGGAACTCGGCGTGGCTCTGGTAGAGCAGAACATCAATGACGTTCAGCTGGCTGACGTAGCGGTGCTTCTCGAACTCCTGGCGAATCTTGGTACGGATAGCGGACACAGGCATGTTCAAAGAGTACATGGTCTGGATTTCGGGGGACTATGATTAATCAAGCGTGTTAGCTTATATCCGACATAAAGTTGTGCTGACCATTATCCCGCAACCATTGGTCAAGGCGTGGGTCTGGTATCTGGGGTAAACTTACGGCGCGCAACCACTCCCGGTAAGACTTGAGGACTCGGAACTTCGCATCGCTCAAGTTAAGGGCTGTTTAAAGCTAATTAGCACTCCGGACTCGTTCGAAGGGTTCAATTGCAGGAGGCCGCTCGCGGGCGATCGGAACTGCTCGGGGAGATCGACCAAGGAAGGACACATACAGGAACGCGTCCGCTGCGCAAGGAAGGTAGGGTTGATGGTCATGGTTGTAGAAATGTCGGTGTCCCCTCAATCCAAAGAGAGTACAATCTCTGACGGCGAAAGAGAGAATGGGTGTCGCTGGTGAGCTCTAGTGGGACGGAGGTTTCGTAGTCGAGAGTTGGGTGGTGGCCCGGGTTTCTCACCGCCTTCCCCTTCTAAAATTTTCCTAACAATTTTTTGGATTCGAAGATTGAACGGCCAGTTTCAATCCCAGTTTTCTTTTTTGTTAAGCACTTGCACTTTGAATTGTTGATTTCTTACAGGATTTCAATTTCGCGTGAACGTGCTAACTTCGGAGCCTTCCCCGAATTTCTGATTTCCAATCCACTCGACGCTATCGACTTCGGCGCATTTTAACCTCAGTCAACTATTCCTCCGAACTCCCTCACGACACCTAAAATGGCGCCTACCAAAGGCTCGTCGAAGGGTGGCTCCTCAGGTGGTGCCAAGGGCTCTAAGCCGTCTCTGTCGTCCGCCTCGCGTGTGAGCAAGTCCAGCAAGAAGAATGTCAAGCGTCCCCCGCCAAAGGAAGTCAAGTCCAAGGCGCGCACCGAGAAGGAGAACCTGCAGAAGAAGAAGAAGCGAGTCTACACAGAGGCTGAGCTCAATCTGCCCAAGTTAAATACGATCACACCGGTTGGTGTTGTAAAGCCCAAGGGCAAGAAGAAGGGAAAGACCTTTGTCGATGATGCGGTACGCCATTCCCTCTCACCCTTCTCCAGGTATCCATACTGACAATGCTTTACAGGAGGGTATGATGACGATTCTTGCTATGGTTAACGCTGAGAAGGAAGGACAAATCGAGTCCAAGATGATGAAGGCACGTCAACTGGAGCAGATTCGGGACGCCAGACAAAAGGAGATGGAGGCTCGGCAGGCAGTGAAGAGCAAGAAGTTGGAGGCCGTCAAGGATTCTATTCGCAACGCGAAGAAGGGCAAGGGTGGTGAGGAGAAGTCGAGTGAAGCTTCGACATCCAAGGGCGCGAAGTCATCCAAGCCCAAGCGGAAAAGTGTTTCTTTTGCTTAAACATGTTGTCTATACCATTATGTACCTAGACTGGGCTCGGCGTTTGTATGGGGGTTTATCTTGACGTCTGTCATATCCAAAATATTGTGAATAGCGTTGATCATATTTCAGGACTTTCTCCGAAGATTGATGAATTCATGACAATCTCATGGATTAACCGATTGTTTCAATGTTCCCAAACAAGATCTATATCAATTTGTTCTATGGCCAATATAAACTAAATTTATGCGTGAATTGTATCATGATGGTCGTATATAACGCTACATCTGCATATCAAGGTATTTGTGCGGTTTACGCCGACATCTTCATGTCGAGCCTGCGGCGTAGAACGTTGTAGTCGGGCTTTGGCGCGAGGTCTGCATCTTTGCCAGGGCCGGGGTGGCTAGCAATTAGGCCGGGCAACTTCTCCGGGTTTTCAACCACACCGGGAATTTGATGGTCAATCTCTTTGGCCATCTTGTTCAAGAAATTGTTCACCTAGCAAATCATCAGCATGGATGTAAAATTATTTCTAGTATATCAACTTACTGGCTTCACAAACCACCGATCTCCACCAAGCTCAAACCATCCTAGATGGCCACCCCAAGAGGTGGTCACCATGACGCCATAGGGTGTTTGGGTCATTTCTTGGAATGGCAGTGCCTCGCGCGATGCAATCTATTTGTCGTTAGTAGATAATGGCATAGAAGATACGATTCATAACTTACAGGGTCATCCTCTGCCTGAACGCACATGAATGGAATGCGAATGTTCAACATCATATCAGTGGATGCAGCGTCACGATAATATGCGCCCTCGGTGGGGTAGCCCCAGGTCGGACATTGCAAGGCACTGTATGGAATAAGAAAATGGATATCAAATAATCGAGGTATACTCTTACCGGTCAAACTCATGCAAATAGGTAGTCTTTCTCACAGCATCGATATCAACACGAGGATTGTGAACAATTTGATCAACGTGTCTAACAAAACATTAGTTGGCTAATCATTTGATTTCAGGTCGACACTCACCGTTCAAAGAGCGCTTTCATGCTCGTTCCCATGGTCTTGCTGTACACTTCCCGTCCGATCCAGGTCTGCAGCAGCGTGGCCGAACTGATATCCAAGTTCCAGGGGCTCGCACAGAGCACAGCTGCCTTGATTTCACAAGTATCACCTTCCTCTCCCAGATACTATGAGGTATTAGTAAAAGAAAGACCCCTAGGGACCACATTGCGGTAGGTACATACATTGGCAAGAATGTTAGCCCCGAGTGAGAAGCCGATCGCATAAAGTGGGCGGTTGGGGAACGTCTTTCGCAGCCATTTCACAGACTGGCGGACATCCCAGGTTGCCCTCGCATTGTAGAGGACACCTGTGCTGATCTTGGATTGGGCGCAACCTCTCGCGTTCACCACACAAGCCTCCCACGAGCCGTCTTCCGTTAGGGGAGACAGGACATGTCGCAGATACAGTTCATGGGAGCCACCGCTCAGACCATGCAAAACCACAAGCATCGGTTTGGAGTCGTTGGATGGAAGATCGGCGAATTCCGCCTGGGGATAGAAAGAAGTCCGAGGCGGTAGACCAGACGGCTGGGTATACTTCCTCTCCTGGTCGGTCAGCTCCCCCTCGGGAGGCATATCATACGGCTTTACGACAAAATCGATCGCATATTGACCCGATAGCATGGGGGTGTCGGACTCGAACATCTTCCGCTTATAGTACACGGGGACATTATCATGTTTATACACGGTCCAGCCGGTTTGCAGGTGGCCGTTGAACAGAAACGGGTTGAGATGGCAAGTGTCGGGAGTTGCGCTGCGGCAGATGTCCACGAGGGACGTCTGTTCTTTGCCTGATTTGCCATGCTTTGTCAAGAGAAGTTTATTGTCCTTGGCGTGATAGAAGGAGATCCGACCGCTCGGGCGAACCCATGACAAAAGTCCCATCGCTAATAACCCCGATATTAGGACGGTTAGAGGGAATGATATAAGAAGCGCTGATGTGAATTCGGACATGAATCAAAGATGCAAAAATGAAAAAATCGAGCGGGAAATCCAGAATTAAGAAGACGCTATGCAAGTTGATCTATGCGGAACTAGAATTTTTTCCCTTCATTTCCTCTAGATGAATATGCGCCTGGAACCTGATAAGGAACCTCGGCTGAGAAATCCAATGCACATGTCATGTGATATGTGATGAATGAGTCAGCGGCGTACTCCCGATCTGGTAAGGTGCATAGATTATGCACAACACGCATAGATCGGCAATCTTCAGGGTATGAATTCAAACAGATAGACAGGAAAGAGCAGCAGGTCACTGAGATTGGAGAGAAGCAGTTGATTCCACTCTGAGATCTGAAAGCAATTATGCGATGTCTTTGATAACCTTGGAAGGTTGTAAACAGTAAGTGTGCTTTTGCGTTTTGCTGGGATATACCAACTTTGATGTTAACTATTTTAATGTTTTATGACAGGAGGCTATCGGAAAGCTTAATATCTCATTGAAAGTTATCTTATTAGGTTTTATTTGTTTAATAACATTCTCTCATGAACTGTTAAAATGTTCAAGTTCTGAATTTTAGTATGGGTAGAATAAAAGCGGTCAGTTGATCACCAGCAAATTGTGGGAAAATTAGAATTAAAGATTATATTCTATATTGATTGGCAATTAAATTGCACTGTACAGTACATAAGAGAATATATCGTAACCAACGAGTGCGATGCAGATCGAAGATCCGATTGAATTTGCACTGTTTGCTTATTTCCTAATTAGGATAGGCTCACATGATCTAAGTATTCACGAGGACTTGAAACGTCATTATAGATAAGAGACGAACTTTCGTAAAAGACTGTAATCTGATAGGATCCTGTGATGAACGCCGCTGACAGATTTGATTTTCTTGTGACGTTGAGCCCGATACCAGCACCAAAGTTGAGGGCCGGAAACGCCAAGTTAGACGGCAAAACACTTCCGCATGCGGCGACACTCCAGGAGTTTGCGGCAAACTCGTGGACTTGAAACCCCTGGACAACAACATAATAGAACTTATTCCGGCTTGGTTAATCCAGGAACAAAATAACTAGAATAAATAGGGAGAAAAAATCGAGGGGAAGGGGCCCCGGCGAGGCTGCATCGAGATCATGAACAGTTGATCGGCCGCAGCCCTATAACTGGCCTGTATGTAATACTGATAACATTGGTCCGCAACTTCAAGTTCTTTGTAGTCCCATGGTCGGTGCCGTTTCCGTACAACTTTACCACTCACGCTTCTTTTTAAGGTCAAGCGATCCACCTTTTTCTTATTCTTCTTTTCTACTTGCATTTTTAACTCGTCACACGATACATGTCATCTTCACTCCAATATGGTAGTTCAGCATTCATGTACCCCGTCGACCCCCCCATATTCAACTGTATAATCATTTACCACTCTCATGCGGCCTGATCTATAAAGCGATCCAAAGGCTTTGTCTTGTCTGAAGGCTTCTAAGGCATTTAAATATTCATGGCGTCAAATTTGTCGTCCTCTGGTATACCAGAACGCTTACTACGGGCAACGAACAAGTTCAAAATGGTCATGAAAATGAAATCTTGGCCAGCAACTCGCGCAAGGAAGCAGAAAGAGGAATCAGGCCCCTCTTATTTGATGGAATTGCCCACCGAGCTACTACTGGAGATTATTTCGCATCTGACTCTAATCCCGGAGGCCGCTTTTGCCTTGACCTGCAAACGCATGTTCACCATCTCCGGAGAAATTCTGTTTTCAAAATCTTTACGGTTTACTCGGGACTTTGCGCCTCTGTTCCATCACTACCGGAATGGTCACAACTTTGTTACTCCACGCTGGCAGTTTATGACCTTACTGGAGGATTCCCGGTGGCGACTATGCTCCAAGTGCCTGAAGCTGCACCCCCGATCCGCGTTTTCATCCCGGGAACTACGACTCAAACCCGATGCCCGTACATGCAACTTGGGCGAGCTAGCGGGTATTGTCGATCTGTGTCCGTGCAAAAAGTTGACATTCCGCGACAAGCTGGACCTCACAGATAATCTGCGAGTACGACAGACCGCCCTGAGCGCCCTGGGAACACAATTTGGAAGCACGGTCCCGGAACGATACTGCTGGCACACATGTACTGAGCAGTATGGTCCCACGGAGCTCAAGGTTTCTCTGTTCCCCGAACTTAACGAGGAGAATCAACTGGTTGTCCGTACAGAGTACCAGCTCACCACCGAGTCGGGCCAGGTGGGCAAGGAAGAATATATGACCCCTCGATTCGGTTGCGCTCATCGATCCGTCGACCTCTGGGTCTCAAGTGTTTATCAAACTACCATCTGTCGACTCTTTGACACAGTCTGCACCTCCTGTCGAAGGATCTCGGTCTGCGCTACCTGCAATACCACACTCAAGTGTCATCGAAAACAGTCGTTTCAAATAGACACATCCGGCAGGGTCACTTATTCCTTCCAAACTGAAAGGTGCTTGGGAGGCACTGGATCACAGCCCGATTCAATCTGGGCTGCCCAGAGGATTCATCCAGCCGAACCCTCCATCAGCGTGGAGAATTGTAATGAGCTCTGTCCCTGGACAGTGCGAGAGCACCCCCCTCTCAACTTCACGCCAAGCATAGACGAAGAAGTACTCTCACCAGGCAGTGATGAGCGACCAATCGACTCATTATATTCATCAATTCGCATGCTATGAAGCATTTTTGGTGGCGTTAGCGACATGGAGCATCGGGATTCAGGATATTGGGGCTTTGTTTTTGATTTTTGGTTTTTGGTTCTTCAATTATTTATCATAGCGTGGCAATGATTATTTGGAACTCAGGATATATTTACCCCTCATTTTTCAGGGAGATAGAAGTCAATATTAGAGTTGATAACCTTACCGCGGAGCATTTAACGTAAGGTTTGATATCGCAACGCTTATCAGCTGACCGCCATGAGTTTCTCCGCCCCGACGTCCGCGTCAATGACCTTCATCCCGCGCGTTTGATAAAACGAACAGCTTCACTTGGTGACAGCGCATATCGGGGCGATGAGCTTCCCACCACCCAATTCCGGTCAATACCCGTACATCCCTCATCCGCAGTATCAACCCGGTCACGCATCCCCACAGCAGTTGCTATACAACAATGTTGCGGCCCCTTCGCCGCCTCAATATAATAGCTATGGAAAGCCGCCGCCCTATCCAGGCATGATGCCCTATCCTTCCGCGTATCATCAGTATCTGCAGCAAAATCAGCCACAACAGCACATGCAGCCGCAGTTGCAGCAATCCCCTCTCATCCATCAGCAACATCAACTCCCGCCTCAATCCCAGCAGATCACTCAGCCGCATCACCAGCAATCCCCTCGTCCTCGGCCGCAGCAGCCCTTGCTTCCTCATACTCAACCGCAATCCCCTCTTATCTCTCATGCGCAACATCAGTCTACTCTTCCACGACCGCAGCAGCAACAGCCTTACATCCAGCCTCACCAATCCCCAACACTTCAGCAATCACGACAACTGCAATCTCCACGACAGCCACAACAGTCTTATCCTCAGGCGCATCAATCCCCAATCCTCCAACAGCCTCGGCAAGTACAATCTCCACGACAGCAGCAGCCTTATATCCAGCCACATCAATCTCCTGTCCTCCAACGGCCTCAACAAATTCAATCTCCTCGCCCGAGGCCATCGGAGCCCCCGGTTCAATTACCCCAGCGGCAGCAGAGTATGTCACGCCCGGCTCCTGTAAAGCCAACACCTGTGCAACAATCTCCCGTGCAGAAACCCCGTGTAGAGCAACACCAAGTGCAGCAGACAGCACAACAGCCGCAGGCGCAGCAGAAACAGGTGCAGCAATCTCATGTGCAGAAACCTCGATCTTTGCCACCCAGTGAACCTGAGCACCAGTTCGTCAATCCAGCCAATTTATTTGTCGAGCCACCTCTCCCTACTGCCCCTCGGTCTTGGTATTCATCATCGAAATTCGTTGATCCAAGCGCCCTCACGACTTCCACGCCCAACGATTCAACTTCGATTCCTCTACCCCCAACTTCTTTGCCATCTCTATCCCAGGCGCCACTAGCTCAAAATGCACCAGTTGCTAAGAGCGTCCCGCCAGCAAGTCCCCGGAATGATCTGAAACCCCTCCAAGGGCAGTCCAGCTTCCAAGTTCAATCACAGCCGGTCAAGGTTGAGCCACGACCCCCACCCCCGCCTTCTCCCAAAGTAAAGGTTGAGAAAGTGAAGGCTGAAAAGCGTCTATCTGCTCAAAAGCTACCACCCGCTCCAAAGCCGCCATCAATGCCAAAGGTGTCGGCTCCATCCGAACAAACTTCTCTAAAACCTACCCCCTCGCCTGCCGTGCCTGAGGTCCCGCAAGTAATGATTCCAGCAATTTCCCCAGACTTCCAAGCGAACACACAAACGCAGCAGTCCCAAAAGGCTCTGCAACAGAAAAAACAGCTCTCTCAGAAAGTCGCGGATAAAGCAATGAAGTCTTCCAAACCCCCAGTTGACTATCAGGTCCTGTTGTTGTCGCTGGCTGATGAATATCTTAATGCCGCTCATGAGCATGGGACACAAACCGCGCTGTTATCTAACCCAGCGGATGTTGAGGAGTATTACAAGCTGGTCTCTACCGGGCTTGGGTGTTTAGAAGCTGTGTTGAAGGTAAGTGTATCTTCGTATTCGTCTGTTAATCTGACAACACTGACTGTTGACAGAACTGGAGATTGGCACCTCGCAAAGAAGCTCTTGTACGGCTTCGCTATGCGCGTACGTTGTTTGAGGAAACAGAAAATGATATTGAGGCGGAGACTGCTCTGAGTAAAGGCATTGATCTTTGTGAGCGGGTAAGTTGCCATCCCATGCTAGACTTGCAAATTGCTGACTTTTGCAGAACCGCATGCTGGACTTGAAGTACAGTATGCAGCATCTTTTGGCTCGCATGCTTCACAAGACCAACCCTAAAGCTTCCCTCAAAGCTGTCGATGGCATGATTCAAGATGTCGAGGCGTAAGTCAACCCACGGCATGCATTCAGATCCCGTATTAACGTACACAGATACCGACATGCGGCCTGGGAGTATGCATTCCGATTCCTTCGGGTTTCGTTGTCACTGTCCTCCCCATCCCACCAAGACTCTGTTCAGGCTCTCCAACACCTGAATAAGATTGCAACCATGGCCGGCCGCAATGGGGACAAGGCTGTCTCGGCGATGGCAGCTGTTATCGAAGCTCTGGCCCATCTGCAACAAGGGGCAAGCTCTGATTCTATTGAGCAGGCACAACGTGCGGTGGCCGTAGCACGGAGCCATCAGCTGAATGACGAGCTCCGTCATATTCCTCAACTCGTCACATTGATCCAGATGGTCGATATTTGTTGCAGCATTCTTGAATATGACGTCAATCAGTCCTCTCAAAAACTGAAAATTATGCAATCCTTGGTGGATGAGACACTGAATAATTCCAACTGGCGCACTGATGGATCATTCTCTGTTCCATTAAATGGCAAGTCTGCTGGGCCATCTTCTATTGATACAGGCGACATTCTCCAGGTTGAGAGTGGGACCCTACTTTTGAGCTTCAATTGGCTTCCTCAACATGATCTCTACGCATTGTCTTATTTCCTCAGTTCAATCACCTTGAGTGCGAAAAATTCTTATGATGGCCGCAAGGCGGAAAAATATCTCGATGAAGGGCTTCGAATGATTCAAGGTACGTGAACGCATTCGAAACACTGTCTTGCCTTGCATTTTGATGACTAACCTTCTTCCAGCATCTTTCACCACTCCGCAAGAAATCCCAGAGTCGATGGTGAATGCAGCACGACGTGTCGAATGGCGCCGATCTCTTTACTGCAATTTTCTCTTACAACGTGTATTCCTAGCCTGCTCCCGAACCGACTGGGACATGGCTAGTCAGTCCCTCAAAGACCTACGACAGGTAGTTCAAGAGATCGGGCCCAATATCCCCCAGCCTATAGAGTGTTTGATGGAATACGCTGCTGGCACTATTGCTCAGGCCACCGGAGATCTCGCTGATGCCTTACGCATCTTCCAATCGCCCCTCCTGTCACTCTCGTCTTCGGCTAGCAAGACCACACGCAATGACCCTTGCCGCGATACACGTATTCTGGCCGCACTCAACACCGTTCTTCTCATTCGCGACCCTGCGCACCCGTCACACTCACATCTTTCCACTGTGATGACTACCCTTGAATCATTCTGTACCAGTAGTCCGAACAAGTACATTCAAGCGGCCTATTTTCTAGTCTGCGCCACTGTTCAAACAGAGTCGACCATCCAGACTAAGCAATACCTCCAGCAGGCACTGCAGTCTGCAACGGCTATCAGCAACAGTCAAATCACCTGCATGACTCTGACTTTCATGAGCTGGAAGTACTTCCGCGGCGTGGTTGGCGAACAAGCTGAGAAGAGTGCACGTGCTGGTCGCGCCATGGCCAAGAGGGCAAATGACCGCCTGTGGGCCAGTGTCACTGATGAGATGTTGGCCGATACTCTTGAGCGGCAGGGCAAAAGTGATGAAGCTCGTGGTGTACGTGAAGAAGGTCAGCGACTTATCATGAGTCTACCACCGGGCTTGAAACGACCCGCTTGAATTGGTGCTTTGACCATTACTTCGGACGCCACTGCGTCATCCATGATGATCTTCATTTCTTGTTTAACTTATATTTATGATTTCCCTGGAAAGGGACTTGCCGTTGTTGTTTATGATACCATTCCATGAATTATGGAGAAGGCGTTTCTATTCCTGGGTTCTATTCCGGCGTGAATGCATAGCGTATGAGTTGGTTGCTTGCATCGATTTAATAAATAGCTCAGGGAATCCATGGCAGATATATCCCAAAACAAAATTTATAACGTCTTCCAAGTACCTACTGATACTGCAGTATCAAATGTGCAAATTGTCACACCCAGAACGTCGTTGGTCTCCCCAAACATTATCATGTCTATATAGAAGCCTAGGTAGTGGAAGTGGGTGAGAAAGAATCGTAAATAGAATCCGTCTAGTCGCCACGGACTCCTGGTTTGGTCATTTCACTGCACCACGCTGCCTATAAGACAGGCAAAAACCCCAGCATCCTTGCTAATATACAACTCCCTGGTATAATTGAAACCATCAAAATAGCGCGAGGCACCGAATGCAACCCACTCGCATCAGGGATAGAAAACATTAAAAGAAAAGATAAATGAAAAAGCAACCCCATCGAACGCCACGCCCTTAATACGCCAGAAAACAATTGTGAAACCCGGAACTCGAAACTAGATTATTCCGGTCTTCAGTCTCTGCTCCAACCCACAAAAAGATAAGATTAAAAGACCTCGAATGATGCCCGCGAAAAAAGAAAGAAAAAAGTCATTTTCGCAAGACTGATCCATGGATCAAAAAAAAGTGAACCGGAATGGAGAGGAAAGGAAAGATGAAGGTCGATTAACCAAGACCAGCCCAGACTCCGCGAATCCGGCGCGCAAGCTGAATATCCTTCTGCATAATTGTGACCCGCTTCGCGTGCAGTGCGCAAAGATTGGTATCCTCAAATAAATGCACCAGGAAAGCTTCAGCAGCTTCCTGTAGTGCCTGGATAGCCTGTGATTGCCAGCGCAAGGTGGCACCCACGTCTGCGGGGAGGAGGTCGAGTGCGACTTCGCGGACCAGACGCGCGAATGGGAGCTTAGCGATAAGTAGGTCGAATGAGCGTTGGTAGCGGCGGATTTCCTTTAATGCGACGGTGCCGGGCTTGTATCGGCGACGACGGCCTGTGGGTGTGGGATCACCGGCTGGGAAATGTAAGTCTTATGTTTGCATGGGAATTGATTCACATCAAGGGAGGCGGAGGTGGAGTAAGTTTTTGATTGTTGGCAACGTACGTTGGACATTTGATGTTCGCTTTGCTTTGGACTTTTGCACTCCTTTGCTGGCTGTTGGCTTGCGCGATGTGCTTGGTGATGCTTCGGCTGGTTCGGTTGCAGCTGCGGCTGCAACTTTGCGAGGTCTACCAGGACTTCTGGGAGCAATTTGTTTGCTTGATTTGGGTGGCATTGTGGGGTTTGTGTTGATGTGCTTGCAGAGGATTGGATTTTTTAGCGGGGTGAATTTGGTGGTTTGAGTGATTGACCTCTCCCGATGAGGGCACGCGTCGAGGAATGAGGGTCCCTTGCAGGGGTATGGTGATCGAGAATATGGGAGAGATCAATTAGGGTATCCCACTCGAATCAATAATGTTACAAAAGTAGACAGGAAAAAGAAAGGAAAAAAGAGAAGAGAAAAGCCCGACAAATCGTGATTGTTGAAGGGGGCTGGGAATCAATTATGTCTTAATTAGTCTTAGCTTCTCCGCGAGAGAGGAACGTGACTGGAAAGTTCAACGCGCCCGCGTCACCAGTCACGTGTATTCGATAAGCTCTATCAATTCAACTCTGATGTATCCATTGTTTCCAACCTTCTACTTGTCCTCTTAACCTGTTGAACCCTCCCCATACATTCGACATGGCTGCACTGTGGGAGAATAACGGGCAGATGGGCCAGTTTCCATTGGAGCAGTGGTTTTATGAGATGCCACCTGTGACCCGATGGTGGACAGTTGCCACGGTGGCAACCTCAGTTCTCGTGCAGTGTCACATCGTCAGCCCATTCCAGCTGTTCTACAGCTTCCGCGCCGTCTATGTTAAATCACAGTACTGGCGTCTCCTAACAACATTCCTCTACTTTGGTCCCCTCAATCTCGACCTCTTGTTTCACATATTCTTCCTCCAACGATACTCCCGCCTACTGGAGGAATCCTCCGGTCGCTCCCCGGCGCATTTCGCCTGGCTCATGTTCTATGCCATGTCCTCGCATCTGATCATCTCACCTTTTCTGTCGCTGCCATTCTTAGGTACCGCTCTATCTTCGAGTCTGGTCTACATCTGGGCCCGTCGCAACCCTGAGACCCGCCTTAGCTTTTTGGGTCTGCTGGTCTTTACCGCTCCTTACCTCCCGTGGGTCCTTATGGCTTTCAGTCTGATCGTACATCGCATTGTCCCCAAGGATGAGATCTGTGGCATTGTGGTGGGCCATGTATGGTACTTCTTCAATGATGTCTATCCAACATTGCATGGTGGCCACCGGCCTCTTGATCCGCCCATGTGGTGGCGTCGACTCTTTGAGCAAGGCGCAGACCGGCCGACCGACGCGACGAATGTGAATCATGAGTTTGCCGCGGCGGCGGCGCCTGAGGTGCGATGAATCACTATCCAGGATTCTGTATGAGCTCAATGGAAAATCAAATTGGGGTAGATGACGTTTCACGTGCAAGGGATACGGGCGGTATACCTGCACCATTGGTGGTTACTAGGAGATTAAACGGATTCACCATTGGTAATTATGGTGATCTGTAGAATGGAGCAAGGGCCGGGCCCTGCAGTTTGTTCCCGGTGAGTGCTCGGAGACACGGTCATCGAGTGGTAGGACGAAGTTGGTATATGCCATGGCATATATGAAGATCCATATCTCGCAGGTTTGTCGAGGTGGATAGAGGCTTGCATCATTCATTAGCGTTACATTGCGATAGATACCCGATCTGTTTACTGGATTCAAATGAATGAATCTTTGCGTTATAAGGCGAAATAATTTGGGCTCCCTTGCTGAGTGCCTTCCCATTTCGGTTGCTTCTTTCCCTACAGATATATGGAGTAATAGCTCACAGCCCCCCGCCCCAAGATACGCATTGATACATGGGTATTCCGTACAGATCGGCCCCTCCCCGTCTGTGCTGAAGATACCGAGAGATAGTGTTAATCCACCGCCACAGGTCCATTTTAGGCCGCTCATTAGTCCTAGAATAGTATCCATGCAGTAGAATCTGCCGAGCCAGGCTGAACAGGGTCTTGACTAGTGCTTACACAGATTTGACGTGGTAAAAACAGGTTCGGTATCTGTACTGCGTTCTCTATACAGTGTATCGCAAGATTGTGGCTTCCAAAGAAAGAAACGCGCGTGGCTGATCAATGATTAGCATCTGTAGAGCTGGGGCCCGTGTAATATTGCGAGCCGGCACGTCATAGCATTCAAAAATGCCGATCGCATTATGTTTTAAGCGAACCGAATCTGCAGTTTACGTAGAGAACGGGTAAATAATTATTTCTCTTCCGTCACTACCCATTCTCTCTCATCGGTAAGCGGACACGGATTTTCCGTAGTCCGATCAGACCCAAGTGGATAGTGTTTCGTTATCTTGTCCAGGGAAAAATAAAAATAAAAAGATAGGGAGCAAAATGCTTCTGACTGGAGCGAACGGGCGAATGGGCGAAACGTGGACAAAGTGGCGCAGGGACATGTGGGCTTTTGGAGTTTGTGTCTGCCTGGGGCAGTCTGTTTCAGCGTACCAGAACGTTGCTGTTCAGGGCTAGTTGGGGAGTTTGGGGGGGTTTTGGGGGTGGGCTGTGGGGACTATTAACGACCATCCTTAGTTAGTTTAGTGGGAGTGGGGCTTTGGTATGGAGCCACTTACGACGTTTGACTTAGCCACGTAGTTGGGTTGGTTAATTTCCTTTGGTTTGGAGTTCGGTTCTCCCCAGAAAAGTTATTGAATACGAATACGTTTTGCAGGAAGTTTTCTCTGATTAGTTTAGTTTAGTTTAGCTCGGTATTTCCTTTACGTTTCTGTTTCTATACGCTAGTCCAACTAGTTTGAATCCTTTCCCCCGCAACCATATGCGAATAGGGACGTGCTTTCAGGGGCTATGAACATGATAGATTGATTATTGTCCCGTCGGCGTATAACTTTAAAAGGATAGGTTTGGGGTCTACTTGGATTTGACGCAATTTCCACGTATAGTATCAGGAGAGGTGAGTAAAGTATGGTTTGGTTTAGGCTGCTCTATTATACTTGGTAAGCCTCGGCATCCGATACGGTACGGACCAGAATAACTTTGAACCAGATAAGAAGATCGAATGGAGTTTCCTTTTCGCACAGGCAACAAGTTTAAACAGAGTTTAGACCCACTAGAAAAACATGTGTAATTCAGGAGAAATAACCAGCGAGTTAAGAGTTAGGTTATCGTCAAACTCGCCCCCACCGGTACAGAGACTCCACCAATCCAGGTACTGTAAAGCTTAACGCGCGGCGAAAATGGAAAATACACGGTAATTTAATACCACCAGCCACAGACAAACTTCGCCCCCTTTCTGTACTTACAATGTTTCCCCTGGTACACACGTTTGCCCTCAGCATTTCCCTATTCAACACTCTCTTAAACTTTGAATTTCCCCACTCCCGTCACTCCTTATTCCCTTTATCTTCTCTAAACCACGCTCCAGACTTTTCCCTTGAAATCTTTCAACCTCTCAATTGTCGAACCCAAAGTTCATGACCTACTACTAACAGTCCTCTCGAACCTTCTCTTGCCAACGGCGCATTAGGATTCTCTCTGGCTCTACTCTCTTCACAGCCTCGGAGCTCCTACCGCTTGATACGGCTACGACCTTTTTTAACGACCTCAAAATCTTGCAACTGATTGTTTATCGCCTCTGTACACCCTGCTAGTCGGCTGCATCCCGTCTTCACTCCTTTCATAATGCGGCGCGGACTCTTGATCTTTATTTTGGTCAACCTCCTCATCTTATCATTTCTCATTCGAAGCGTTTCAACACTGTTGGCGCTGTTAGTCGAAGATGCCTCTGCAGACGCCATTCATCGTTCGGAATTGCCGTCGCCTAATTCAAGTCTGATTGAAACACGCCCTCAGATCATTCCTAAGATCATTCACCAGACCTACATAAATGAGTCCATCCCCTTGGTCTGGCAGGAGGCTCAGCAGAGTTGTATTGACTTGCACCCTGACTACGAGTATATCGTACGTTGCTCAGCAATTGACCTAGAGAAAGGAGATACTAAATATGCTTCCAGCTCTGGACCAACGAGAAGTCGCGCGATTTCATTGCTGCTGAATACCCCTGGTTCTTGGCTACTTTCGACGGCTACAAGTACCCCATACAGCGCGCAGACTCCATTCGGTACTTCGTTCTGGCGCACTATGGTGGCACATATATCGATTTAGACGACGTACGTATCTCCAAATTTTCCATACGGGCTCAATGGCTAAACTTGAACTAGGGTTGCAACCGTCGCCTCGATCCCCTACTCGCCTATCCGGCCTGGGTGCGTCGCACAGTACCCACCGGTATCTCCAACGACGCCATGGGCTCCGTTCCCCAACACCCCTTCTTCCTCCGTACCATCGAGTTGTTGCAACAGTATGACCGCAGCTGGCTGCTCCCCTACATCACGGTCATGTACACGACCGGCCCACTGTTCTTGTCGGTGATCTGGAAGGAGTACATGGCAGATAAGCCCAGCGAGGCAGGTCGTGTGCGCATTCTGATGCAGGATGAATACAACCGCTTCTCTTGGAGCTTCTTCACCCACCACACTGGAAACAGCTGGCACGGCAAGGATGCGCGTCTGATCTTCTGGGTATGTGATTCGAGTGACTCCTGACGAAAATATAGCTAACGGAAATAGATGGGTCAACACTGGGTTTTCCTGACCTTCATGGGATTCGCCGTCGCTGGCATAGTCGGAATCTGTCTCTGGTGGACATACGGTCGTGTGGCGCTCTTAGGAGCCCAGTACCGTTACCGCTACACCAAGGTGCCCTCGATCATCAGCTCCCGTCTCTCCTCTTCGCCCACCCGGCGTGCGCGACGCATGATGCCCACCCTCCTCCGACGGGTCAGTTTCAAGGAAGACGAAGAATCGGCCGGCGTCACCGAGACCTCATACGAGCTCGGACGTCGTGACGACTAAAGTTTTCCGACTTGGATATTTTCTTTTGTATTTGTTGTATCGATACGGCCTTGAACACGATCTGCATCAGCATTTATTGTACACCTTTTTTTCCATTTTTCGTTTGAGAGCGCATGCATGGTGATCTCAATTCCGTGGCGGGAACCGGGGTTGACGCTTTCACCTGGAGCACATTTGGGTCTTTTTTTTTATTTATTGCTGGAGATGGGCGACTGTCTCTCCCGCTTGCTCTGGGCTTCTTTTGTCCCTTATTTACCTTACAATTTGTAAACACTTTTTAAATTATAATTCGTGGGAGACCTGGAATATTTCTGATATTTGCATGGATCTGATATCTTCGATAATGAATATGAATGGCCCTAGGTCTTCCATTTATACGGTGAAACAGAAAAAAAAAATTTAGATCTTGTTGGATTGAATCAGACTGCCAGTAACCCCGGACGCCGATCGCAGACCCTTGATCTGATGATCTGATCTGATACGTCAACTCGCAAGTCCCGTCATGGTTTCAACCCTGAAACACTGTCAATCCCAACATCTTGTATGGGGTGGAAGAGATCTTCAGGGTACATTTTTACCATATGAAACTAAGGGTTTCAGTATGACTGGGCTGGACCTTTCAGAATAGTTCGCCGTAGAGCACATACTCCGCGTCTGACATTCTCCGCAATCCTCACGCCCCTTTGTACTCCGTGGCCTATAGATTACTTCCTGGACGCGACAGCATTGAGCATGTTCCAGCGGAATCCCCATTTCTGAATTATTCCCCGCCTCCTTCAATGTTCCCACCACATTCAGATATTCTACTGATACTATAAGTCCATCCTTTCACCCGTCACTGCAATGCATTCAATACAATCATTCACTATCATAACCTAGTTTATACCATCCAACAATCTTCTCCATCTTTTTATCTTTCTGCCTTTTCAACTTGCAATTTCGACATGTGGTCCATCACTCTAACAACCACCCTCCTCCTCGCCCTCTCAGCCGCAACTCCCCTTCCAGGCAGAAAATTCTCTCTCCTCAAACACCTCAAACAGGAAACCACTCTCACCGAAGCCCAAATCATCGCTATCGCTCCTACTTCTGAAACGTGTGACAATCCTCCCGCTGAAGGCGAATGCGCCACAGCTCAACAAGCCGCCAAGTATTCATCGCAAGCTTTCGATGACTACCAAGTTACTTCCAAAGCGGAACAGGCTGCTGTTATCAGTCTGATGGCATTTGAAAGTGGTGATTTCAAGTACAATAAGAATCATTTCCCTGGCACGCCGGGACAGGGTAGTAAGTTTCATTTTGATTCTGATATGATACATATGTCTTACTAACGAATTTCTTCTACTAGCTCGCAATATGCAATCTCCGGCGTTTAACAAGAAATATGCCAATTCTATCTCTGCGCTGAAGGATCAGATTCCGGCGGTTGCTGATAGTCCGGCTGATTTGTTGGATCTTCTGAGGGGGGATGAGACGTATGATTTCGGTTCTGGGGCTTGGTTCCTTACTACACAGTGCTCGAAGGATGTGCGCACTGCTTTGCAGGGTGGGGATGAGAGTGGGTGGCAGAGATATATTAGCGAGTGTGTTGGAACTTCGGTCACTGATGCGAGGAAGGAGTACTGGCAGAGGGCTGTGAAGGCTCTTGGCTCGGAATGATTTTGATTATGGGTTGGGGTCGTTATGGAGTTGCTTGTGTTGAAGGGTTATTGTTTTTTGTCAGAGCTGGTCTTTGATGGCGTTTTAGTATTGTCGTGTCAGTGCTTCTGATTTTGCTGAGTTATGGTCAACGATATTCAGATACGGATCTTTCAAGTCAATGTATCATGAACAGTAGAGAACATACCAATTCAAGGATTAGTTAGATCAACGTAATCATAACCGGTATCTCGTTACACCATAACCTCATCTATGCCAACTTTTGGAGTAACTACTAGTATTTACAACATGACCAGCTTACAGTACACCCTTGGTGCTAACAATATCACCCGCACCAACCTCACCAGCAACTCTCCGCGTACAAGCAGTCCGCATCGCAACAGCCAACGCCTTAAACGCAGCCTCCGCACGGTGGTGATCGTTATCTCCATAGGTACATCCAATGTGCAAAGTAACATCAGCAGCCTGCGCGAAACTCTGCAAACCGTGTGTGATCATCTCAGTGCTCAAAGCACCGATCTTCTCGCGCTTGAAGCCAAGGTCAATCACAGCCCACGGACGGCTGGAGAGATCAATAACAGCCCAGGCAAGAGCCTCATCGAGAGGCGCATCTCCACGACCAAATCGGGTAAGCGATTGGCGGGCACCGAGGGCTTTGGTAAATGCTGTGCCGAGGGCGAGGAAAGTATCTTCTGTTGTGTGGTGATCGTCGACTAGAATCGGAATTGGTTAGTGAATTATTATGAAAGTGGACTGATAGGTTTGCATAGATTGGTTGGGAAGTTCATACTGTAAAGATCACCCTTAGCCCGCACTGCTAAACTCCATCCTGAGTGCTTAGCCAGAGCGTGTAGCATGTGGTCCAAGAACCCAATTCCAGTAGAGATGGTGATCTGCTGGGTTGGGGTGAATTGGGTCGCATGGCTAGAGTCTTTCTCGGGCACAATGCCCTTCTTGGCTGCCTCGGCTTCTTGGGGGTCTGTCGGGGCGGCGAAGTGGGTGGTGGGTTCGTAAGGTGGGAGGACTCCACCATCCAGGGAGATTGAGACCTGGATCTTGGTCTCGTTGGTGACCCGTGAAACAACGGCGGTACGAGCAGAGAGAGACATGGTGGGCGATCGAAAGAGTCAAGGTGGTGTGTATGGGACTCGGGATCTGATTTGATTTGATTTGAGGCTGATAATCCAATTTCTGCTTTATCTGAGTCGCTATCGGGAGAATTGTTGATCCGTTGGCGTCATTTCGGGAATTCGGGATTTGCATTGAAGCTTCAACACTGGCTGGTCCAGAAATTGGAACATTTACTCACGATAATTTTACTTAGCTTCTCCTCTCAAGTGCAGAGTATTGCTTTGGACATAAGGTTGTCTAAGTATATGCTCCAGGGTGTCGTTCTCGGTTCCCCACATCCGGAGCTCAACGATACACATCTTCCTCAAACACCTTGCATTTCATTGATATTGGCATAAACTCAATTGCAGCCATTATGCCACCTCCTTCAAATCAACGAGCCGATATTGAGCCCCCGGAGGAAATTACCTCGGTGGCTGCTCAAGGCTTTATGACCGGTGTTTTTCGTGTATGTATATGTCGGGATTCAAAAGCAAACCCCAAACTAACGAACGACTTTCACCGTTTGCTTTTTCCAGTTTGGTTCCGTCTCCATCCTGGCCCATATGATCTTCAGTCTCCCACATCCTTTCATCTTCTCCTCGCCAGCTCCCCCAGCTCCCCCAGCCACTAGTACACACCAACCTCGTCGTCAATCGCCTTTCTCCAAAGAGTATATCCGCTCACGTCTCTTACACCGACCAATCGAGGGGTTCTCGGAATGGATCTCACCGACAGCCCGTGTTTACCGGGGTCTCACACCGCAATTTAAAGTCTTCCTGCAGATGGCGGCCATGATTCTTGGCGGCTGTATTTGGGCGGAACGCCGAGTGTCCGAGTATATTGACCTCATTAGACAAATCAAACGGGCGGAGAGACGAGCGGCGGAGTATCCATCAAGCACCCGTCCGTAATGTATCTGCATGAAGGTTTTGGATCGATCGCCTTCAAAAGACTTTCGATGGTTTACTTTTACTTTTTCTGCTATTCCTTTCTCTTTTTCTTTTTCTTATAAAACTTATAACGATCAACTCCCTGTGACGCAACGGATGGATATGTTGGGGCTGAGTGGATTTATACTGGATCCGCCAATTCCCTTTGTTCCGGGAACAGCCAAGCTTCTTTGGTGGCGTTGTCGATCTTATTAGGATCAGCCTATATCTGCATTAATACAGTATGTTTTATCGGATGGTGGGTTTTTCCCGTCAAGTTTTACTGTACCTGGAGCACCGTGGAGCTCGAGTTTGTCGATCACGGAGTGGAGACTTGAGCCCAGATAGATCTTCTCCATTATAATTCTTTTTTGTAAGGAGACTAGCCTAACGCTGTCGGTAGTGTTGAATCCCTGCCGACGCATAAGATAAGTGGAGTACGCCTACGTGGCCTAGATGTATGTATTCGTTTTCGTACAATGTACACTTAAAAGCCGCGTCAACATAGATATAAACCTAGAGAAGAGAAAGATTGATTTAAATATCGTTTACGTAGAATTTAGAATTTTTTTTAAAAACACAGAAATGAGAAATGGAAGGAGAAGAATTCAATCTTCAATCGAACTGGTTGATAATGAATGAAAAATCCTGAAACATGTTTTGGTACCTGGAACTGTTTCCGTCCATTCTCTCCTTTCCCTCATTCTCTACCTTTCTCCCTCAACTGTCATTCGTTGGACTCATTAAATTGAATCTTTTTTTCTTACTATTTTTTACTTTAACTGTTTGCGTTCAGGCCTTCACTTCTCGAAACCTTGAAAACCAGGGTCTTTACGCTCGTAACTCTTCTTTTCAAACTGATCGGCAAATCTGACCTCATTACCCCGACCCTGAGAACAACGTCGCTTATCGGATTGATCAATTGATCACCATCGTTTTTGGTTGTTGACTTGTTTTGCGATAGCTCCGGATTCCCCCCCTTCCGGCGAACCTTTTCCCCCGGTGCAACCATCCATTTCACTCTCGCCACATTAGTGACAGCTGCCACTCTTGGGTCTTCCTTCAAAGAAAAAGCTCCGGATCCGCTTTGAGGGGGTCCCTGCTTGCTCCCTTAGCATTTTACCTTTCAATTGCTTCCCATGGCGCCGTAAAGACCTCATGTACGTTGCCTGTCCCCCGTCTCCTCTCCCCGCTTTCCCAACCATCAACAACAAACAGCTCGGGGTTCACTACCCTTTACGTCTCTAGCCACATGCTCTCCACTTGGAGCACCTCTCGTTTTCCGTACTAATGTCGTCGTTAGTGTGAAGGACGAAGGGTCGTCGATGAGATAAGCTAATTCCTCTCCACCTTCGCGCCATTCCCGAATCGTGCAACTCGCTTCTCGACGTGATCTCCCTACACACACCCCAGTCATGGCAGAATTCCTTGGCAAAAAACAGCGAAGGAAGAGCCTCAGCGTGTTCAGTTCAACATCCACAGCCTCGCCGCTGCCTCGGCCTCCCCATATTCGAACACCCTCTGATGACACCCTCATCAGAGATAAGAAAGCCCGCCGCAACTCGGGGTTCTTTGGCCGGCCCCAAAGCCCCAGTAGGAAGACCAGCGGCCCCAATGTACTGCGTCGCCCAGGAACGGCGAGCGCGGAAGTCGCCGCCTGGTCTGCGGCCATGGCCTCCGCACCCACGCTGGAGATTCCTCACCCTCGCCGAAAATCATTACAGAAGAAACGAACCTCGGTCTTTGGTTCGTTAAAGTCGCTGCACTCGTTAGAAGATGACGACCCACTCAGCGCCTCTGTCGGCTCGGTCGACGAGCACAGCACCTCCAGCCCCCGCAATTTGATTTGTTCTTCAGCGATCCTTCACTATGGTGAAATCCAGACGACCGGGGCCATGTGGAAGCGGAAGAGTCAATACCTTGTGTTGACGGATACGCATTTGGTACGCTTTAAGAATCAGAGCAAGGCCGCCGATGCTTTCCCCTCAATCCCACCTACATATAATTCCCGTGCTCCGGCATCGCACCGCCAGTCCATGGCCTCTATCAGTTCATTGCAGGACATGCAACTGATGGTCTCCACGGAAGCATCAGCCGGTATTCCGCTGAACAGCATCATTGCAGTGTACATGCTCGAAGATGCACGGCTATCCCCCACGGTCGAGGTGGCCTACCTGGATGAGCGCACGCACAAAGCGTCTTTGATCCAAATGCAAACCCCTGATCAACAGGAATTGAATCTTTGGATGGTGGGTATTCGCCAGGCCGCACAGTTGGCCCGGTCAAACGATCCGCTGCCGTTCGATCGTGGTGCGGTGGAGTATGTAACCAAGATGCTGGAACACGAACGAGATTACGATCCGGCCACTTTCCGAATGTTCCGCGTGATACAGATTGCGTCAAGCAAGTCACCGACCCGTTCATCCTCGGAGGACCTGACCAAATTGTCTCCGACGGGCTGTTACTTAGTTATTGGATCGCATAAGGCCCATCTGATCCCTATGCAGAAGGCTGTCAATAAGTCTTCCGTGGTATCCTTGTCGGATATTGAGACGGTCACCTCATTTGGTCTTATGAACTTAACAGGCTTATCTATGGAATATGGGGATGATAGTTTACATTTGACATTCCGGTAAGAAATCAAAGTTGCTTGGTGGTTTCAACGACACTCGCTAACACTAGTCAGGGTCCCCTTGCGGAAATCGTTCAATGTATTCTTGGCTTCGGTACACTCCGTGGAGGTAGCTTGTTGGATCCGGCAACATACCGAGTTCCTGCGCCCGCTGTGGACAAGGCAACCTTACGACTTTGTTGTCCCACCCGATCTGCACAACGCCGAAAATTTCCCTCAGGTCCCTCTAGACGAAGACTATGGCTGTTTTGATCGCACGCTGGTGGCCTACTCCGCTAGTTATGACGTGGATACCTCAAACATTCGCTACACGATTGACTTGGCATGCGAAGACGCCCCTTGCTTCCGCCTTCTCCGGCCAGCCTTGGACGCAGTGACCAAAAAGGCAAAAAATTATAGCGCCTTAGAGCTGATTGCGGTCATGCGTGCGCTGCGATATAACGAGTCGTTTCGGTCGATCTCCTTTCGCGGTATCAACCTGGATGCAATCCAGGGCATCCGCGATCTTCATGGTGTGGACCCTGATGTTCATCTTGATAGGTCTGGATCACTGGTGAATATCCCCGGTCAAGGAAGTCTGAGCGTTCTCTCACAGGAGGTGCGAGCATTGGCGCTGAAAAGTACCTGGCTTCGTCGACTGGACTTTGCTTACTGCCTCACCCGGACCCCGACGCTGGACAAGGGCAGCCGAGATCCAGGCTGTGGGATCCCCGAGGCAATCTTCCCGGTTTGTCGGCGCGGGATGACCAATGTCGACTGGGTGGTCTTGAATGGTATCAAGCTCGGCGAATCGGATCTGGATTATCTGGTTGACGCGGCTTCGCAGAGCCAAAGCCACCTGCGAGCATTGGAGGTTGGAGACTGCGGACTATCCGTCCACGACTTGGATCTTTTACTGTCGACCCTGGTGGCTCAGGAAACAACGCTTGAGGCGATTAATATTTCTGGCGTACAAGGCCGCTTGAACCCGGATGTGCTGCAACAGTACATTGGCTACTTTGGGCAGATTCGGAAGATCAACCTTTCACGCATCTCACGCACATCCGGTTCCGATCCGTTGATTACGGCAGAAATGCTGTTTAACTGGCAGCTTGAAGAGCTGATTCTCAGCCGCACGGCAGTCAACCGTGAAACTGTCGATTCCATTGCTACTTACCTAGCAAGTGACCGTTCACATAATCTTAGGATGCTTCGACTGGATCAGTGTGGCCTTAGCGGGGAGGATGTTGCTATGTTCATGCACTCCATGTCTGCTGGATCAGACGCCCCGCGAAGTCTTCATTTGCATGTCAATGAAAACAGGCTTGACAATGGCTGCTCGTACCTCTTTGACGCCATTGCGAAAAACATGACCCCATCTCATCTTTCGATGCAAATGATTGACTTCAAAAAGGAAGACCACTTTCGACAACTCGTCGATGCTGTCCGAAAGAACACAACAATTAAGTACTTGGATATCTCTAAGGCTTCGCTTCCCTACGATGCAGGCCCTGAGACTTGCAAGGCATTGCAGCTCATGTTCGAGCAAAATGACACTCTTGAGGCTCTCGATATTAGTGGCGAGAGTGCGCACCTCGATGTTGCCCGGTTTGGTATTGGACTCAATCTGGCATTGACCGGCTTGAAGAAGAACACATCTTTAAAGGTTCTCCGTATTGAGCATCAGAAGCTGGGTCTTCAGGGTGCCAATACGTTGGCGTCCGTTCTAGAGGAGAACGAGTCATTACGCGAGGTGCACTGCGAGAACAATGATATCAACCTGCAATCCTTTACGGTATTGGTTAACGGACTCCAAGGAAACCGTACATTGTTGAGTCTGTCCTCCATGGAGCGGGATCGGGCTTTGTCACTTGACAGAGTGCGCCGAGAGGTTGATAGTGTCCGTTGGGATCCTAGTCTAGTTCAAAGCTCCACAGCAAACTCCATCCGTCGCTCCCTTCATGCAGCAATGGGAGTCCGATCTAGTGGATCTAGTGGTCATCGTTTGACCAAGCCACCACCAGCGCATTCTCCAACGTCATCTTTGGATGCCTCCGCTTTTGCAAGTCAAAATGTTGACTTGGTATTGTTATCACTACAGCGCAAGTGGTCAGGTGAAGTTCAGCGTTTGGACCGATATCTCGCCCGGAATTACAACGTTTCTCAGGGAATTGCGGACTCGGACATCGATGATAGTGCGAGTGATGGACGACCTGCAACCGCAGCAAGCCTTGGTACCATGTTGGATAATCTAAAGTTCGAGGTGGCTGTATCGACTGATGAAGTACATGCCTCCCCTCCCGAGGAGCCCCCGCTGTCGATCCAAGTCACTCTAGAAAAGCCGACGCCTCCTCCCAAAGTCAGGCCGCGGAAACTGTCAGCCAAAACCAGCCGAATGAAGAGCGAGCCCGATCTCCGACCTCATACTGCCCGTGCCCAGATCTACACCGCCGAATACGGCTCTAGCCCTTCCTCTCGACTGGCTTACCCTGTTCCTGCCCTACCCAAGGCAATTCCAAAAGCGAGCAGTGTTCGCAGTGCGCGCAGCTCCAGCACAGTCTCAACCAATGCTGGTAGCGCGCGCAGCACCTACGGCATAGCCTCGTCTACCCTGAGAGGTTTCCTCACAGGCAGTGCCTCAAAGGAACGTCGCCGGGTAGAGTCGATACGCCCTGTTTGTGTCTCAAATGACAAACCCCCACAGCTGGACTGGTCACCACCCAAGTTGGACTTGCAGGAGCTCGAGTAGCTTTGACGCTTATAGGGCTGTACATATTATGTACAGATATTGAGCATACCTGCTCTTTCCTCCCACCCTCTTTCTCTTACCATTTCTCCACGAGTCATATATAGGGTTCTCGTTTCCCGTGACTCTTTTGTCCTTCACTTCATACCCCTTCAGACCACACCAACTGGTACTTCTCACGCTTTTGATCCTCGTTTTTGATCATATTTACCCGGCGTTCGGCACCTCTGAACAATTTTCTTGGACGTTTTCCAAGACCTCTCGCCTTATCCCTTTCATATTACCTTGATTTTTATTTAAAAGCCCTACCCTATTTGAAGAAATCCCCAAACATGGCGCCCCGCATATTCTGGTTTGGTTACGGTGGACTTGGTGTGGTTACCAGGTCATCTCAGGCGTCTAGCATCAAGGAGCAACGGTGTTTTCTTTTCTTTGCTTTTTCCCTTTTTCCCTATTATTCTGTTGGATTGGTCCATATGAGCCTTAAATGTGATTGAGAAGTACGAATGCGCTCTGCCTGTTTTTATAAACATCTGTGGTTCTAAGTTTTATTTGTGGAATGGGTAATCGTTAATCAGGATAGAAGTGTATAGTGCCAATCTGATGAGATTTTTACCAAAGATCATAGGGGCAAAGTGATACCGGACGAATCGTGACCATGCCCAGTACTATGTATGGAATGCACCTCTCGTCCATTAAGTTCCAAAGACTACAGTCGTTGAAAGTCGTTGTGACCTACCCGCAATGTAGCCCGGAATGGTTTCCTCGATTGCCTGACTTGATATCCGAATTTAACTCGGATTGATGAAGTTGAGAGGTGTCCATCTTCGTCTGAACCGCAGTAGCCCGAAGAAAAGACAATATTGAGACATGGAGAGGCAGTTTCACAGGTTTATTGTCAGGTCGACTCCTTGATCTCCGGAGATCAGGCCAGGTGATAGGATTACAATGTACCACACATGAGTCCGAACACTGATGCAATTTAAAGTGATCTGCCTCAATATTCAAATATCCGTACAGATTATAAGAGAAAAAGAACAAATACAATTCCCACAGGTGGCCATATACCTAATTGACTTTCCAAAATCACAACCTTATAAATAGCAATTGAGTAATTATCAGGAAATATATTTAGAGAGCGGTGTAAAAAAGACCAAGGCCAGCGCCATCGTCGATGTAAGCTTAATCTTAATCAGTTGGGAACAAGAGGAAAATCATAACAAAGATATGAGCTCCATTATGTACTAATGTTGACCTCCAACACTACTAGACAACTGATAAATCCCCTTATATCCCTCAACTTCCCTCCCCATCTCCTCAAACACAATCTGTGCAAGCTTACTACCCCTATACAGCACAATCCCATACGGATTCTTAACATCCATCAAACACCCCATCACACCCTCATACCCAGCATCAACAACCCCAGAAGAGATATCCACCCCAGATCTCCACAGTGATGATCGAGGAAACACACTCGCCATGCAATTTAACGGGATTTTAACCGTTTCGTTGAATTCCACCAGGTATGCTCCTGGCTGGAGTGTGATTGTTTCGTTGAATGGCAGGCTGGATACTTTGGCTGGCTTGCGCTTGGTGTTGTCAAAGTCTAGAATTGCGGCGGAATTCCACTTCGATATCTTATTGAGAGTTAGATCAATCCCGCATGGTTGTTGTTGGGCTAGCCGGATATTGCGGACTAGGTTGCGAGATGCGATTTCGAGGCCAGGGAGGATCATATTGGTGGTTTCCAAGGTTTGGTAGGGGGAAGAGACTGTAGGGGGTAAATTTGAAATCACTTTCTTTTGCCGGGTTATATGCAGGTGTTTACAGGGGTATTCAATATTGTACATTTTAAACTAACAACCGACCAGAACCGCCGCCCAATGGAAAATCAACTAATATACATGGGAAATACTTGCCCAGTGAACCCCAATTCCTCTTAATTCTCCTCCGTGTAAACGATTGTACCAGCCTGTTCATCAAGCTCATTCTCTGCTGTACGGTACTTCCGGCCATCCCGGCTGATCTGTCGCAGCTTTCGCATGTAGATGTTATTCACAACGCCTTGGGTATCCTCGCCTGAGACTAACAGGCTGGTCTTGCGTCGGTTCTGGACCTGCTTGTATATTCTTGAGGTCTGCTTGGGCGACAGCTCTCGGAGCTCGTACTCAAGTTTCCATTCGTCCGTCTCGGTGAAATTCATGGGTCGTTCAACAACCTTGTTGTTGACCCAGTTCTTGGTTGTCAATGCCATGGCGAAGAGCTCTTTGCCTGCAGTTTGCTCCTTCTCCCCCTTGAAGGTTGGGTCTGGTGGTGTGGCCGAGTCGTAAACGACGGATTCAGGCTCCTCCGCTGTGTTGGGGGTGGGGTTTTCTCCCGGTTCCATCGGGGTGATGGGTTCCTTCGGCGTGGGGTTCAAGAGACTTTCTTGGTATGCTTCAATGTCTGCTGCATTCTTGGTTTGGATCTCTTTGATCTCTTCCTGAGTGACGGGTTCGGCAAAGATGTACATGAATGGTACCAGAGCATCCCGGGTCTCAAAGTGGAAACGCAGGGATTGTTTGGGGAAGCGCTCGGTAGCTTTGTCAAGAATCTCTTGCCACATTTGCAGACTCAGCTGGAACTCGGCATCTCCTAGCGCGGTGTTCGACTGACCATGCAGTGCCTGGTCCATTTCGGGAAGACTGATGTACTGGAAACCGAAGATGCGCTCGACATTGTGGTGTGCCACAAAGATACCGTCCATGCGGCCAACGCGCACTTGCAACGAGTATTTCAAAAATGCGGCCCGAATCATGTCGAAGTATTCGCGTTCGTACGACTCATACTCACCAAATCGGCCCTTGATCTCGTAGCCAAGTCCGTTTTGAAAGTTCCTTGCGTCCATGCGGATTGAGACTACCGCTCGTGTCTTGAGATCAAACATTCCAGTTCCAGGTAACCGAGGGTCGTAGGCATCGAGCTGCGAACGCATAACGAAATTACCGACAGTGGAGTAGTGGTACGATTCTGGGATCGCCGCTTCCTCCTCAACTGAGATCTTGTTCTCGCTGGACCGTCGGTAGCGCTCAAACTCCTCCTTGGGCATAGTGAGTAACTTCTCCATGGACTTGCCCAGATTCATGAGGATATTGGCTGAGTCAAACTCCTTGTCCGCATCAATGGCGTACACGCCATCCTGGTAGTGAAGAAACATGGCAGCTGGAGCGCGGAGCAGACGAGTAAAACTGCGCAACTTGTCGGGAAATCCCTGAGAAATTGTGCGAGTATCGATAGGTCTCCAACTGGAAAGCAAATAGTGGAAGTGTGAAAGAACCGAAGTCATGCTTGATGAGGATCCCAGGTATTTCTTCTTATTCTCAACGGCAACGTCGCGAAGGGCTGTATCTTTTGACGAAGTGATATAGTCTTTGAGAGTATTGAAGTCGAATTCTGTAACTGGCATGATCTGACTTAGGTAGGGGTCGAAGTTGTAGACGCGGGATCGAGGGTCTCGTAATTGATAAACACCAGGGCTATGCGGCGTTAGGATACCGGTCTAATCAACGAAACTTGGGAAGATATGGTCTTACTTGAAGAGAACTCGATCGAGGCCGAATGAAAGGCGAGGAACGGGGGCTGTAGGGATGTCCAATGCTGCGCAACGTTAATTTTCGCTCAACTCAGCCTCCGAGATCCAGACTCACCTTTGACACTCTCCGGGGAAAGTGTTCCAGTATGCGTTTTGGAGACAAATGCATGGAGCTGCACAAGTTCCTCATTGTTTTTCGGTCTCTGTTTCGATCTGCCATTTCCCCCCGGTCTAACATTCGCTCCCAGTAATTGTCTCACTTGAGCGACTCCACGGGAAGGTCTGGAAGATGTGCTTGACTGGTGTGGCTTTTTCTCCTTTGGCTGATCGTCTGCCTTTGGTTCGCCTTCTGTCTCTTCGTTCGTGGAGTTCGATTTTTTCGGAGGGTATTTAGCGGACTTCTTTTTACCCTTGGTTTTCGATTTAGCAGCCTGTGAAGATCTCCTGTTAGTTGTGATAACGGCCATAGATGAAGATCCACATTGATACGAACTTTCTTCTCCAAGTCTGCTGTAGGAACCTCAATCACCGGGTTGGATGGGACGTCTGCATTGCTCAATTCTGGCTTATCTCCGCTCGTGGAGCGCAGCATAGGCGTGAAGTGGAATCGGCGCAGAGTAGATGGCGCGCCATATCGGCGAGATAGGCAGGATAAGCAAACATGGTCTCGAACAGGGTCTGCGACCGCCCGGAAAGAAGCCCGAAGCATACAGGCTAATTTATGACGAAAATGACATAAAAAACAAGAAAATTGGACGTTTGGAATAAGGGGGATTGTAGGGACTTTGTTGGATGAACCTGGCGCGTTCTTTTTTTCTGCTGACCGATTCCGCCTTATGTCACTGACACCTGAGGCATGCAATCTCTATTCCATTCATCTCGAATGTGCATAAATCAGATTATAGGGGAAATAGAGGGGGAAAGGAGGGGAAATAAAGAAACTACCAGTTGTTCATAGCCTAGAGTCAATTGTAACTGGTGGCCTCGACTATCTCAAATCCTTCATATATCGTCATGTTCTCATACTCAAGTCTCGATTATTATGCAATTTGTACAAGATCGGTCTCTCTGAAAACGAAATCATTCTTTAAATTGTTAGCATCGAAAATATAATGCCATTTTAATACCATTCCTCGTACCTAGTAGGCATATATTCTGGGAAATTGAATCCCAAGGTACCTGCAGCGGCTAAAAGTAAGTTTATCGCAGGGCGGAGAAACTTCGCCGCCGGCAGAAAAAAAAGTATTCAGCAAAGAGTCACACTTTTGACTGATCATCAACTATCCCCGCAGTTGTTTCTCAGGTCTCTGAAGAGGTGAGTCTATGGTGATTCTTTTTGTCTTCTATCATCCAGTTTATTCATACTCTTTTTGTCCCTTCCAACTTCATCTCTCCTCTCTCAATTCCCTTCCCACTTGGAGGGGTATTAACCCCGCGGTGGGCTCCCACAGTTCGCTAATTCCTCAATAGTCAGTCGAGACACTGCTGTCACAATGGCCCAAGAACAATTGCGCATTCTTATTGTCGGCAATGGTGGCCGTGAGCATGCTTTCGCTTGGAAGCTGAGCCAGTCGCCTCTTGTCGACATTGTGTATGTCGCTCCCGGAAACGGTGGTACTGGTCTGGCCTCCAGCAAGATCACCAATGCCAATGTCAAGGGCGACGATTACCCCGGCTTGGTTGCATTTGCCCAGAAGAACGGTGTCAACCTGGTGGTCCCCGGCCCCGAGGCACCTCTGGTGGACGGCATTCAAGGATATTTCCAGGCTGGTAAGTTTGATTCGATTTCTTTCAATCGAGTGCTGGCTAACATGTTCTCGTTCAATTAGTCGGCATCCGATGCTTTGGACCTTCCAAGGCCGCTGCCCGCATGGAGGGCTCCAAGACCTTCTCCAAGGACTTCATGCAGCGCCACAACATCCCCACTGCCGCCTTTGGAAACTTCTCCGACTACGAATCCGCTTGTCGCTACCTCGACTCTGTATCACACAACGTCGTGATTAAGGCTTCGGGATTGGCTGGTGGTAAGGGTGTCGCCCTTCCCACTACCAAGAAGGAGGCTCACCAGGCTCTGCGGGAGATGATGCTGGACCACCAGTTCGGCGCCGCTGGTGACGAGGTGGTGATTGAGGAGTACCTGGAGGGAGATGAGCTGAGCATCCTCACCTTCAGTGATGGTTACACCATTCGTTCTCTTCCCCCTGCGCAGGATCACAAGCGCATCTTCGATGGTGACAAGGGCCCTAACACTGGCGGCATGGGCTGCTATGCCCCCACCCGTATTGCGCCCAAGGAGGTTCGGGACGAGATTGACCGGACCATCATCCAGCCATCCATTGACGGCATGCGTAAAGATGGTTTCCCCTTCGTTGGTATCCTGTTCACCGGTCTGATGATGACCAAGGACGGTCCTAAGGTCCTTGAGTACAACGTCCGTGGTGGAGACCCCGAGACTCAGACCCTCCTGCCTCTTCTGAGCGAGGACACCGATCTTGCACAAATCATGGTCGCCTGTACCGAGCACTGGTTGGACGGTGTCTCCATCAAGGTGGAGCCCAAGTTCTCTACTACCGTCATCGGTGTTGCTGGCGGCTACCCTGGCTCGTATGCCAAGGGTACTCCCATTACCCTGGACCCTGCTCCCGAGGGCACCATCATCTTCCACGCTGGCACTACCCTGTCTGGTAAAGAGCTCCAGACTTCAGGTGGCCGTGTGATCGCTGCCACCGCCACTGCCTCAACCCTTGAAGAGGCTGTCAAGAAGAGCTACGAGGGTATCTCCACCATCCACTTTGATGGCATGTTCTACCGTAAGGACATTGCGCACCGCGCATTCCGCCAGACCGCCGACACCTCGTTGACCTACGCTGCCGCCGGTGTGTCCATTGATGCTGGTAACGAGCTGGTGAATCGCATCAAGGCCTCTGTCGGCCGCACCAAGCGTCCCGGTACTGATGCTGTCATCGGTGGCTTTGGTGGTCTCTTCTCGCTAGCTGCCGCCAACCCCGAATACCACGCCGACTCACCCACCCTCATTGGTGCCATCGATGGTGTTGGTACCAAGCTCAAGATTGCTCACTCCGTTGGCATCCACGACACCGTCGGTATTGACCTTGTGGCCATGAACGTGAACGACCTGGTCGTCCAGGGTGCTGAGCCCCTCTTCTTCCTCGACTGCTACTCTTGCGGTCACCTGGATGTGCCCACTGCCACCGCGTTCGTTACCGGTGTCGCCGACGGCTGTGTGCAAGCCGGCTGCGCTTTGATTGGTGGTGAGACCGCCGAGATGCCCGGTCTCTTCGTCGATGACTCCTACGATGCCGTCGGTGCTGCCGTTGGTGCCATTAACACCACTGGCAAATACGCTCGCCAGATCCTTCCCCACACCGACTCCATGCGTCCCGGTGATGTCCTCCTCGCCCTGGGCTCCTCCGGCCCCCACTCCAACGGTTACTCGCTCGTCCGCAAGATCGTCGAGCGTACCGGTTTGAGCTACTCTGACCCGGCTCCCTTCACCATGCCCAGCATTGAGGGTGAGGTCTCCCTCGGCCGTGCCCTTCTCACCCCGACCCGCATCTACGTCAAGTCCATCCTGAATGCGCTTGCCTCCCACCCTGATGCTATCAAGGGTCTTGCTCACATCACTGGTGGTGGTCTGGTCGAGAACGTGCCCCGCATGCTTCCCGCTACCCTGACCGCCGAGATTGACGTCCGTACCTGGGCTCAGCCTTCCGTCTTCTCCTGGCTTCAGCGTGCCGGCAACGTTTCTGCTGCCGAGATGGCTCGTGCCTTCAACTGTGGTATTGGTATGATCATCGCCGTCGATCCGGCTTCCGAGGCTGCCGTTCGCCAGTCTTTCGAGGCCAAGGGTGAATCTGTCTACAGCATTGGCCACCTTCGCGCCCGTGCTGAGGGTGAAGAGGGCTGTGTGCTGACTGGTCTGGAGTCCTGGGCATGATCTGTCCCGGATTTGAACTCCTCTTCTTTCGATGTTCTTTAGTTGATCTTTTAACGTGCTGTTTTCTTTTTTCTGCCTTTGAAAGGTAACAAAATGGATGAGTCCCGAACGACTTGTGCTACTCCTATATGATGGATGAAATGATATGTACTCCCCGAATTCTATCAATGCAAATTCTCTAGCAAATGATTCTGTCTTGACTTGCTATAGTGAAGGGGCATATGTGACGTGACCTAGGGGTTCAAAAATAAGAAACTCGTGGTCTCGTTGCTTCCCCACGGGTTCCGTCATATCGTGAAACGAGCACTGCTTGGCAGAAGTCTCATTGGTTGAGTTTATTTGCACATACCATGATAGCACCATGATCATTCGTCAAAGGGCATCATATTATCTGTCTTGGGGATATGTTCCAAGGCTTGGAGGCTAATAATAACCCTGGACTATGGGGCTGTACACAGGGGGCCTAACGCAGGTATGGTGAGATTGATATATACGCCACACTGTGGATCACCGCCAGAGATCTGCATGGATTTTTACTTAAATCTCCAATAAGTATTTCATTCCAGTTCTTCCAAGGTTTGGAGGGCCGGTCAGGCAGTTGAATGAGGCGCCCTGGAAGGCGTCCAGCTTGACCTTGAATCGACACTGTTGCACATCGATACACAGCTGATTTGCCGGATAATTAGGTGTTCAAATTTTGTTGCAAAGGAATCGATGTAACTTCGTATCAGATCCTAGACATACCTCAGATCCACACGTAACTGTTACTTTGAGCTACAAGAACATGAAGTACAAAAGGGACATTGGGACCTCGATATTATCTACATCTACAATTATCTGAACAACAATTTGGCATATCTCTTCCAATTAATCTATCAATCCCAAAGATGAAGATGAAGACTACTATCATCGGTACCGTTCTCCTGGCTGCCAGCACCCTTGCAGCCCCCACCGTGGACCTCAAACGTGCACTCCAGTCTTTGCAAATCAAGAATTTGAGTGGCAATCTGTACACCGAGACTCCTCCTACTACCAACATCATTGCTTTTGCCCTAAACGATCCAAACACCAATATCGACACTGACTGTGAGGCTGTCTGGTATGTAAAAATCCTAGATATAAAATTCTCCTTAATCTTGCTGATTAGATGATCTATAGGTCCGTAGGTCAAGCCGGAACTATGGTGTTCAACTGCTCCAACCCGGCCTACCAGGTAAATTTCCCTGATGGGATCTATAATATTGAAGACTTTGTCCTGCGAGTTACTCGTCCTGATGGAACGGCGGGTCAGAATACTGTCTCTGGTGCTGATTGGGAGTGCACAACCAGTGATGGATATCCTGAGGAGTCATGCGAGTGGGTTGGTGTTTTCAACATTGATGTGACTGCGTCTTAACCTTGTGGATGTGTATCTATCAGCTTGAGATAATCTAGATACCCACTGTATGCAAGCATCGGAACACCCATGCATTGAAAATTTAATTTTAAATTCTCCAACCACTCAATATATATTCATGGGTAGTGGAATAGTTTCAAGCTAAGGTACTGGGCAGCACTATGTAATGTTGGGATGAGCTTCATTTTACTAAATACATTTACGACACAGGAAACACAGCTCAAGCACTTGAGACAATTTGATCACAACTCATAAGGCTAGAGAAAAGAAAGGGCTAACGCGGTGCCAACTCCACATGTGCATGTACACATCCTCTACACCCGGAGGACCCGAGGGGTTTTGTAAGGAAAAGAAGCACAGGACACTCGCGACAAAGAAGCTCAATTCGTAAAATAAACAACAATAGGAAAGGGAAACAGAACGACCGACTCTATTCCACTAAAATCGAGATTTCCATTTTCAGGCTATCCGCTTGTTAATGCGAGTCCAACAACGCTTGCTATCCACCAGTGCCTCCATCCGGCCTTTTGATACACCAGAAAAGTACGAGCGAAGACGATCAACGTAGACAAGTAGCTTAGAAGCACTTGCGGTGAACAATGGAGGGACCAGACTCGTCGTACTCCTGCTTGGAGATCCACATCTGCTGGAAGGTGGACAGGGAAGCGAGAATGGAACCACCGATCCAGACGGAGTACTTGCGCTCTGGGGGAGCAATGATCTTGACCTTCATGGAAGAAGGAGCAAGAGCAGTGATCTCCTTCTGCATACGGTCGGAGATACCAGGGTACATGGTGGTACCACCAGACTGGAGTCAAGTTAGTGATCGGGGATCGGTCAAGGGAAAAGAAGAATAGAAGCACATACCATGACAATGTTACCGTACAGATCCTTACGGACATCAACATCACACTTCATGATAGAGTTGAAAGTGGTGACGTGGATACCACCGCTCTCAAGACCCAGGACGTTAGGCTGGAACAGAGCCTCGGGAGCACGGAAGCGCTCGTTACCAATGGTAATAACCTGTCCGTCGGGAAGCTCGTAGGACTTCTCGAGGCTGGAGCTCTGGGAAGCGGTCTGGATCTCCTGCTCAAAGTCAAGGGCGACGTAGCAGAGCTTCTCCTTGATGTCACGGACGATTTCACGCTCGGCAGTGGTGGAGAAAGTGTAACCACGCTCAGCCAGGATCTTCATCAGGTAGTCGGTCAAGTCACGGCCAGCCATGTCGATACGGGAAATGGCGTGGGGCAGGGAGAAACCTTCGTAGATGGGGACAACGTGGGTGACACCGTCACCGGAGTCGAGAACGATACCAGTGGTACGACCGGAGGCGTACAGGGACAAAACAGCCTGGATGGAGACGTAGAAGGCGGGGGCGTTGAAGGTCTCGAACACGATCTGGGTCATCTTCTCACGGTTCGACTTGGGGTTGATGGGAGCCTCAGTCAAGAGGATGGGGTGCTCCTCGGGTGCAACACGGAGCTCGTTGTAGAAGGTGTGGTGCCAAATCTTCTCCATGTCGTCCCAGTTGGTGACAACACCGTGCTCAATGGGGTAGCGGAGGGTAAGGATACCACGCTTGGACTGTGCCTCATCACCAACGTAGGAGTCCTTCTGACCCATACCAATCATGATACTGGATGCATGTTAGTATCATTGTTTTCCCATCTTCTTGACTGCCGAATATGGTTTGCTTTGGCAGCATTTAAAAAAGGGGAGGAGTATTTACCCATGGTGACGGGGACGACCGACAATAGACGCTATTCACAACGTTAGTGTCATTGATTTTTTTTTTCTCGAATTCAATCTTGAAAAAAACAAGGCCATGATTTTTTTTCAAGGTTGCAGCAAAACCCGTAAATACCGACGCAAGGGTTGGTGGGATGGTTTGCAAGGAGGGGGAGAGGCCTCGTTCTGTGGGGTTGGGACTTACGGAAGACAGCTCGGGGTGCGTCGTCACCGGCGAAACCGGCCTTGCACATACCCGAACTACACAGGTCGTTAGTAAAACAACCCTCATAGCATGAAATAAGACCATCTCTGCTCGTATGGGGCGCTGGAGGAAGTGTGGGCTAGCGATGGAGGCCCAATTTGCCCGGGCGGCGAATAGGGGGGGAATGATGGAATGGACCGCGACCGGGACGGTTGACGCCCCCCTCAAAACACAGCCCCCAGCTCCCCCTACGAGCAGCAATTCATCACATACCCATTGTCGATAACGAGAGCAGCGACTTCCTCTGTAAGTGAGCAAATGAGTTAGCGATAAGTTTCGAGAATGGCATGGGTTTCAAGTGATCCGAGCTGAGTAGGGACCTTGCTTGGGTCATTGAGGGGGGTAAGAGCCCAAGCGGCTGATGTGGCCACAACAAGATAAAACAGTAGTGGGGAATCACGAACCTTCCATTGTGACGGAGAAAAAGGGAGATAGATTAGAAAAGAAAAATGGAGATGAGGAGTGAAGATATAGGGAGGTGGAAAGGGAGGAAGGAGGAAGAAGGGAAGTGGAGAGGGAGGGGAGAGTTGAGAGTTTGTGATGGGTTGGGATTGGTGTGTGCGCCAATTGGTCTCGACTAAGCCCCCCAGTATCGGAGTAAATTGATCGACTTTGAACAACTTGGATACCTAAGTAGTACAAGGCAGAAATTATATCAATATAATATGAATATTGTTTTATTGTTTTATTGTTTTCCATTGAATTAATTCTCCATGTCTCGTGGGGCATTGCGTCGGGGAGCCTCCAGACCCTTTTTAGGGGGACATTCTTTGTCAGATCCGGTATTATTCCGGTTCTACGAGTAAAAAGGAGATGCCTACAGTATTGTTCATCAAAATCATCCAAAGCTTGGATATCTTGTATCCTAAACTCCCAAATCCCCCAGGCTCCGACATTCCTATACATTGACGCATGTGGCGGGAGTGGCCCTTTTAACTCGGTCACTTCTAAGTATAGAACAGCTGTGACGGCCACGTATTGGTACGAAGGGGAGTACATGGTGAACATTTAAGTATAAGGTAAAATGTACTCCGTACTCCGTATCGTGTTCGGATCAACCAGGGCATTGTGGGTTATTAGATCTGAATATGCCTAATCTTTCCTCTTTCCTTTCAAGAAAGGTGTCCTCTTATCATTACGCAAGACTTGGTTACCGCCATTTGGTTCAACCATTCGACGTGGCAAGTCATGTGACTCTTCCAGATGCCACTAGAAAGGTCCAGTGACTTCGACGTCAGATTATGTAATATTCTTATCAGTTTAACATCACTGAAAGTTATTCTGCGCAGTATACTAAGTTGCAATTACACTCTTTGTTCTCTTGCTGTATAGATCATTTTTCTTCACACATTTACCCACCATGGACCCTAATATGAACAAACTCCTCAAATGGAGTGTCCAAAACTCTCAGCAAAAAAATGAAGATGGCTCTCTGGCTGCCCCTCCATCCGCCGAGTCGGCTGCCCGCACTTTGACACCGGAAATGCTGAACGCGCTTATGGGTGGACCTTCTGATGCCGATCTCATGAAAGCCGCTATGGAGGTTTTGCACTCCGACGAATCGGATCTGGAGAACAAATTGATTGCTTTCGACAACTTTGAGCAACTCATCGAGGGCATTGACAATGCGAACAATTTGGAGCCTTGCGGCCTGTGGACCCCTTTGGTCCAGCTGCTTGAAGACAAGGAGGCGGACATTCGCCGATATGCGGCTTGGTGTATTGGAACCGCTGTGCAAAATAACGAAAAGGCTCAGGATAAGGTACGTGACATGTCGATGAAAAAAAAATCATCGCAAGAGAAATCAAACTGACTTTCCTTCGCTGCGCAGCTCATTGTCCTCAACGCAATCCCCAAGCTCGTGACTGTGGCTACTACCGACTCCAACCCAATTACCCGCAAGAAGGCCGTCTACGCGCTCTCGTCGGCCGTGCGCAACTACCAGCCCTCTATGAATGAACTGATTAAGCACCTCCCCGAAGGTTACTCGCCGGAAACTGTCGACGCTGGTGATATGGATGCAATCGATGCGGTCATGGACAAGCTGCGGTCTCACCCCGTTGACTCTGTGTGAACTTGCACTTGAAATGTTTTCCCATTCTGGATATACCACCAGGCAGTCAGTCAACTGTCGACCGGGAACAACCAAAAGATGAAAACGCCAAGGTTCACCAACACTAGACATCAGCATAAGTCCTGCTTTAGCGCAAGGCAGCTAGATGACACGGGTTACTTCCGTGACCACCAATGCTTCAGGCGTATGCCATATGCCTTGAACTGCAGAGGTGTTTGTGCTAGGGTGATCGGTGGACATGAGATACGATGACTCCGATCGGCTATTTATGGACGCATCACCAAAAGGCGGACGAAAAATGATTTGATCCCACTTGTACATAGTTCAAGGCTACTGCCCCACTGCCCCATCTATATCTAATGAGACCCTGATAGATACGCCTCTGAACATTTTAAAATTGGTTACCTAGAGACAACGCGCGTCGATCATTTCGAGATCAACAGTACTTCCCAAGATACATATACTACATCGCTGCCTAGTATATACATAGTACTATCACTACACGATGACGATTTTTGAGCTGTAGACTGATGGTTCTGAAACCCATTCGAAGAGGCAAATACATTACTTAAGTACTAAAGTGAAGAGAAAGTAGTTCAATCGGAATTTACATGTTCATGTGTGTCTGATATCGCCGTCGCAGAATGGATATCTTGTCCGTCGGCCCGACATTTTCCCGGCCCAAATCGTCATTGGATCCGTCAACAGCTGCAACCCCAGCTCCAGACCAACCATCAATACCACAAATCACCCAAAATGGATGTTTCCAGCAACCGACTTTTCCGCTTTGCCAAGCCTGAATGGCTGAACAACGCTGCCGTCCGTAACACAGGCGTCTACATCTCCGGCGCGCTGGTGAGTACTCAACCCAATTCAACCAGATCACATCGCAATCAGCTTCCAGCCTTGCAAGTCTCGTCGCATACATAGACCCGGAGCTGGCGGAGATTCAAATAAAATGTGGTGTTAGATACTGACCCGTTCTACAGTTCGCCGCAGGCTTCTTCTTCCTTATCGATGTCGCTTCCTTCTCGCACAGCCCCCGCAACGGATCTGACGTGCATATCAAATTCGTGGACTGGATCCCTGGTATTTGCTCGGCGCTTGGTATGCTGGTTATCAACTCGATTGAGAAGTCACGGCTGCAGGCCGATAGCTTTAGTTACAGCGGGAGTGGAGTTGCATGGAAGGCGCGTTTTGTGCTTTTCTTGGGATTTGCGCTGTTGGCTGGGGGTCTTGCAGGGAGCGTGGTACGTTTTGATTGTTCTTCCAGTTGCTTCTCTTTGGGAGTCCTGGGTGATTTGAGCTGACAGTTGCATATAGACGGTTATGGTTCTCAAGTACCTTATTAAGGACTATCCTATTCAGACACTTTACTTTGGAATCGCCAATGTGGTAGCAAATGGGTTGGTTATGTTGAGGTGAGTTCTTTCAATTCTTCTGGGTTGTGCTTGGACCATATGGCTAATGCATACCAGCTCTGTCGTTCTTTGGGTGTCACAGAACATGGAGGATGACTATACTTACAACCTTGCGCTGTGATTTGATATACTCGGTATACTGGCTTCGCTATTTGGCTTTGTACTTTACTGATTTATGATTCTGCTTGGTGCTTACATTTGCATCCCTGGTCGTTCTGACTGGAGCTTCTTTGAACTGATTACGAAAATTTGGTAGTAGTGTAGACAATGTGATTTTTTTGACAGAGTAGGATTGAAAATTAATTTTATAGACGAGTCGATCAAGTACAAAATGTAGATTCAAATTTCCCAATATGAGCATAGACAATAGGTTGTATAAACGTGAACATAAGGCGGGTTGTCTAAACGTGAACATAAGGCGTAACCATATAATCTTTTGACCCATGACACCATACTGAAAGAGAAATGCGAGGGCAATGGCACGTTTGATGTTGTCAAGCAAATGAAGACAAAGATGGAAGATGGATATTCAGTGGAACTTGGAAGGATTGGTGAGTGAGATTGGTGGATCAAGACTTGAATGATTGAAAGAAGTCAAAGTCGAAGCCGATTAGCTTGGTCGAGCCCATTCTGAACTTTGTCCTGACCGCATGATCTGCTTGAGAAACACGCAGCGCCGATTCAGAATGTGGGCTGTTGAGATTGAGATTGATAAAATTGAAAGTGTGGAATTTGTTGTTCATCAGAGCACATGATCTCTGTGTTGAGAAGGATGACAGGGATTGATGTCAAAGCGGATTGGATGTATGTATGCATGAACGAAACTTTGAAGTTTTGATCAACGTGCGAATGATGAGGATTCAGCAAACTGCGAGAATGAGCATAATTGAGGATGGAGTTTAAAAATATTGAAAAGAAGTGATAAGGCAGAGACTCACCTGAAAAATAAACTGGGCTCCGAAATGTTCTCAAGAAGATAACAAAGGATTGGTACATAGATGAAACCCTAGTTTTCTCTGATTAAGGACGGAGGTCCAGATGAACATAGAGGCCCAGGCCAATGCATCTTTCCAGCTTCTTCTTCACATTCAGCTTGGATGAGTAGAAGTTTGAAGAGATGAGGAATGAAAAGAATGGGGGAAGGGAGGTGAGGAACGAAATATTTATAGTAGTGGGCGGGGTCACTGGATAAAGTGAATGAAGCGGATCACCACCTCCACGGTCACGACCTTCCCTAAGATCGCCAGGATCGACCAATCACGCGGACGTTTGGATGGTGTTTGTCTTTAAGAATCGAAGCTATGCGTTGGCTTAGGGACCTTCTCCTATATTAATGACGACTACTTCGACATGATAGACTACCAGTGAATTTATAGACCGCAGAGTGGGAAATGCTTAACTGAATTGATAGCATTAGATAGAAGCTAAAATAGAAGATGCCTCAAATTGAATTAGATTTGCGCATATGCATCCCGAAACGCCCAATCCGAACCAACAGATGCATCATCAGTTCATGAAGTCATAATGTAACGTAGCTAAGAATGGATCAGTGATCCTCACAGAAGAGTCGGAGAATCTCATCGATGCATGTCATGGCTTTCCCTTTCTCCAACAAGAGAGGGGCATTGTCTGCAGAGGCAGAATCTTTCAAATATTTCCGGAGTGCAAAAGCGGCTGCTTTGTAGGTCGCATGGTACATAGCTTTGAATTCCTCGTCATCGGCTGAGGCACCAGGAGCAGGAGTCTCAGCACGGTTCCCCTCAGCAGCCGGGGTGGAGCTCGAGGTTTCTGGCTCCGGGTCAACAGATCCAGACGCCGACTTGCCAGTCGAGGGCCGTGGGTTCGAGCGATGGAATCCATAGAGCCGCATACAGGTCAAGATAGTGCGTGTAATAACGTTTTTGTTTTCTGCGATAATGGATTCCGGATTTTTAGGTGGAGAGGCTGGCGTAGCGGTTTTGTCCTCGGCAGACACTGGGTCCAAAGACTGCAACTGCATCTGCTGCGATACACGGCGAGAGTGGGAGTCCAAGAATGGGTTTGGTGTAGGGGCGCGCTTTTGAGGATCTGCGCTGATACCTGGGGTCGCGCGGGCACCGCGTGTACTACCAGGACGGTGCAAATTGGCTCCAATGGAAACTGAGCGCGACCTTCTGAGAGCCAGTCGATCGAGGGTAGGTAGACTCGGTGACTCGTCCTCGGGCTCCCGCTTGACTCGGAGTGATTGAAGATTCTGTGATGACGACAGGGGTCGTGAAGGAGCCATCAATTGTGAAACCGCCTCGCCACCTCTTTGTCGTACACGACGATGGTGTTGCGCAGCGACCTCAAACAGTGTAGCTACTCGCTTCCGCTTGGGACTCGGTGAGCTGATATCTGGAAGGAACTCCGCCAGGGTGGACACACGCTCTCCGTCAGAACTCGGCGGGGGAGACGGGAAGGCTTGTGCTTGAGTGAGCTGCAAAGTTGAAAGTGGCGCTGCATATATCCTCAACTGATACGGCTTACTTGTCGAGGTGTTTGCACGACCGTTGGTCTCATTTGGAGATGAGTGTGGAGGAGTGGGTGGTCGCGTGCATGATGTCGAACTAGACAACACGCCATAGATTAAAAGGTCAGACGTCGTGGCGCCGGTCCGTTTAGATGAAGTGCCATTGACGCTGACCAGCAGGCCGACAGGGCACTGAAGTGATTGGTGAAGGTCCAACTCATCTTCGTTTAACCAGATAGCCCCAGACAACCTCCGCTGCAGCCATTGAGACGTTTGTGAATTGGTCGTGCGTAACTCGAGGTTAGGGCCCACTCGCGCATGAAGCGGGATCAAAGAAGGGTTAACAAAGCTGCGGAGACCGAGTTCGGTGTCTTTGGAAATATCGCATTGCCAGTGGGAGGTCGGATCACGCAAGCGGATCCCTAATGGTCAGCGCGAAATGCAAACGAGGCGCGTCAGTCACTTACCTTCCAACTGGTGGCCCGCGCCTAGATCAATTGACCCTGACCAGATATTCATGTTCCTGACAGGCAAATGACAGCCAATCCTAGAGTTCCATTTTACGTTGTATTGCGGAGTTTGCTCAGCCTTTTGACATCAATAGCGCGCGATGTGGGGAACGCGTCCAGACCCGTGATCACGTGATTAATTTACCACTTCCAGGGAAGCAGGATAAGCTCATAGCATCATGCTTTCTAAGGAGACTGAAGAAGCCAAAGAAGCGATTCCTTTCAATTCATTGGGAATCTATATATTCACCGTGATATAATACACCAAGAGAATCAAAGCCAAGAAAATGCTAGAGCCATTGAGCAATGGCAGTCGACGCTGAGACCGCTTCTCAGCAAATAATTCGAAGTATATCGTTCAGAACGTCAAAAAAACTAGTTGCGACAAAACAAATTTCATAATAGTAGGAATTTGATTGGGCGCAGAATTTCCGTGGTGCAATAACTTCGCCTCGGAACTTCCACACCCAACTGACACGTTCGATCAGAACTCTTCCTGTTCTTGGAAGAACATTGAGAAGCTGATGATGGTTCCGTAGATCAAAAGACCACCGACGATCGACATGATCATGGCGGGAAGTTGGATCTCTCCGCTGTGCGCAAGAACAATGGGGAGCGCTAGAAGAACACGGCGTTAGCGCTGTACCTAGAGCCAACAGAATCGATTGATCGGAATAAGATATTGCCAGGTAGGGAGACGGAGGGGCGTTGGGTCAGGATGCGCAGACACCTAAATGAATGCTCTGGGACAGTGCGTAGGTGTCGCTTACCAATACCAGTTAGGACAAGGAAGCCGGTCATGAAGCGCCCAAAGTCCATCGCCGCATTGGACGAGCTGTCCATGAAATCATCTGGGTTCGCACATCGCGAACAGATCCAATTGGGGAGCGGCGCAATCACATAGATAGCGACAACCAAGAGGGGCCAGTACTTGTGCCAGAGAGCGGAGGAGAGGATGACAAGGAGGAAACCAATCGCAAGCACCTATTTACAGTCAGTGAGCCAATTCCAAAGTAGTATGGTAATTTCCTGGGGTTGTGTTTGGCGTACAAATGAGAGTGCGATGATGGTCTTGATTCCGGCAGCCATGATTCTGGAGTCGAAGCCGTATCTGCCGGTTCGAGAAGATAGAAATATGGGTGAGAGTGCAGTATTACTTGCTTAGATACCAGACAAGAAGCAGCTCAGCAGGTGTGGAAGGATAGCGCCATAAAGACCGAGGGGAAAGAGGAGCTGTAGGAGGAATGAGTGACGTTGGGGCCTGAAGGTCACTGGACGTTGATGCCTCAGGCGCTAAGAGCTCTCACACCGCGTCACCTTAACTGCCTGCTTCAGCTTTCCCATCAGCCCCAGTTGCTTTCCCTTGTCTTTTTGATTGCATCTTTCTTGTCTCCTCCTATCAAGACTGATCATTTCCCTTGGATTTAACCATATTCATCCTTTCTTTTCATCATGTTCCGAAACAACTACGACAACGACGCCGTCACCTTGTAAGTCCCCTTCTCGGCCAGCTACGACATGCACCCACCAGACCCTAACTCGATGGCCAAAGCTCCCCGCAAGGTCGGATATTCCAGGTCGAGTATGCACAAGAAGCAGTGAAGCAAGGATCCGTGGTGGTGGGATTGGTGAACAAGACACATTCCGTGTTGGTCGGCCTGAAGGTTCGCTACAGCCACTCCCAACCCTACGTCGCAAGCTTGACCATAAGCTGACAAAGATATTACAACATCAACAGCGAAATGCCGAAGAGCTCTCCTCCTATCAGAAGAAGATCATCGAGATCGACTCGCACATGGCCATTGCCATTGCCGGCCTGGCATCAGACGCCCGCGTTCTTTCCAACTTCATGAAGCAGCAATCACTTGGTTCCAAGATGACCTACGGCCGTCCAATTCCACTGGACCGTATCGTTGCGCAGATCGGAGACCGCGCCCAGACCAACACTCAGCATTACGGCAAGCGGCCTTACGGTGTCGGCCTGCTAGTTGCCGGTGTTGATGAGGCCGGCCCGCACCTGTTCGAGTTCCAGCCTTCCGGTTTGACCCACGAGATGTCCGCTTGTGCTATCGGTGCTCGCTCGCAGATGGCGCGTACATACCTGGAGCGGAATCTGGATAAGTTTATGGATTGTAGCCGGGATGAGCTGATTACGCACGGTCTGCGTGCTCTCAAGGAAACTTTGTCTCAGGATAAGGAGCTTACGGTGGATAATACCTCTGTTGGTGTGGTTGGTTTGGCTCCTGGGGGCTCCAAGGGCCGCATTGAGAGCTTCAAGCTGTACGAGGGTCAGGAAACCGTGCCTTTGTTGGAGGCGCTGGAGCGGTCCGAAGCCGCTGGTGCTGGGGAGGGCGAGTCCATGGAGGTTGATTCATAATTTTTTCTGTGATGTTTAATGATGCGCATAGACATGAATACTCTTGCCTGATGCCTTGGTCTCTATGCACCTTTTTCACCTCATTTTGAACGATGCAACCATGAGTTTCATTTCTATGATGGTCTACAGGATATATCCTGGCTATGCCCTCTAAAACAGTAATCCCGCAGAACATCACTCCAATAACCCTAGGCCCCGCCTCGGACCTGAAACAATAACGCACAAGGACAGGCCCAGAAGATAAAGAAGATTACTCTTCACCCCAGTTCAACTGGAACCGCTCACTACTGACCTGATACTCCAAAAGCTTCCCCCACACGTCCTTGGGATCCCGTGTCTCAGCGAGAATATTCCCATTCTCGGGACTGATAAAGCCTTGTTCCACAGCATTCCGGACCCAAGCTAGTACTCCATCCCAGTATCCATTGATATTCAGTAACACGACACCCACCTTGTGAATTCCAAGCTGATTCCATGTAGTCATCTCCATCACCTCCTCGATCGTCCCGAACCCACCAGCCAATGACACAAATCCAGATCCGGGTCCTCCCTCTAGCACCTTGGTCGCCATGAGTCGCTTGCGAGTGTGCATATCCGGTACGATAGTCGTAATTCCATACTCTGACTCGGGAATTCCATCGGCCTCGGGCGACTCCGAGACTACCCGCTCAGCGGCCTTGCCGCCACCGTGGGCACTCTCCCCCTCAGGTGTTGCCTCGCCATTGCCGTTGCTCTTCGTGGAGACTTGGACAAGTGCGCGTGGGATCACGCCGTGGACGGCTTGAGGGCCTGAGAGAGAGACGAGTGTGCGGGCGATCTCGCCCATTAATCCAGTTGTACCGCCACCATAGACCAATTGGACGTTGTGCTTGTGGAATTCCTGGGCCAGTGTTCGGGCAGCTTCGAAGTGGATTGGATCTTTACCTGCTGTAGCGCCGCAACTATAAGAAATTACATGTTAGTAAGGTTATTTTCTTTGGTCTGGTTGTAGTTGTTTGGTTCTGTCAAATGAGGGGGAGATTTGGTGAGGAGTCGAGATGGTGAGGGGGAGGGGTTCTGACTCACAAAACGCAGATAACAGCTTGCTTGGTTGGAGCCATGATTAATGAGATGAAATTCTCAAGTATTCAGTTAAATTGGTATTGTAGAATATATCTCAAGTTCTCAACTTTCAAAGAGGAATAAAAGAGAGAAGTGGTGGGGAGAAGTGATTGTTCGAACTACGATCGGGAACTGGTTCCACCGATAAGATACGTGACTCCCCGGGTCTTTCACGTTGGTTATTCTATTGGCTACAATTCCGCCTTGAACTCATGTCTCCTCTTTTCTCTTTCTTTTCCCACGTTTCCTTTGTAATTGGCACCTTTGTTGTGACTCATACTATTGCCGATAAGCCTCCGGGATCGAATATCTCCATATCATTCGATGTATATAATCTTGGAAGTTAAATACGTTAGGGTATGATGATCCAGCATAAACTCGAGCACCTATGTAAAGAATCTGTTTGGTTCAAGATACCATTTAATGCCTCTTGAAATATTCATAGATCGACTTTATATGGGAAACCGAGAAACGCCCGAGTAACGCCCGGATTCCCACCATGCAAGGGGTATCATAAGTGAAAATCAGCTCGCAACCCGGTTCTTTTTCCGCTTGCCTTTATTCTCGCCCGAGCTAGGTGGCGAGTTACTCTTCTCCGATGCTTTTCCAGGCGTATCAACCCGGACCTGCGGGGTTGAGACTCGGCCAGGTGCCCCAGGTGTACCGGTGGTTACACCGAGGGATGCCTTAGGTGCAACTGCATTCTTGGCTGCGCGGTCACTCTCACCACCAACTCGTGACATAATGAACGAGCCCGGTTCACCGACCAGCGGGGTCTCGTCCATGAATTCGTCGCCATACTGAGTGAACAGGTTGAACGACTCTGCAAGGCTGCGGGTATCTCGATAGCTCGAGCTGGTATTCGATATTCCCAGTCCTGCTCGAGCTGTTGCTTGTGTGTCCGCGGTGGAAGGTGGTGCAGCTTCCGGCATGGGCGTGTTTTCTTTGCTCTGCTGTGTTGCTTGCGCGGTGGACTCGGTAGCCCGGGCCATGGGTGGTAAGTATGTGTGTCCGTAAGACGGGGTGAAGGTCGGAAGGGTGGAGGCAGTCTTCATGAGACGCGATAAGGATGTAACGGCCGAAAGCTAGAGGCAGAAAGAAGAGAATTAGTAAAGTCGCAGGTAGATCTTTCAAAGTAACGGAGCGTGCAACGTACAATTCTGTTTCCCACCACGCTGGCAACTGATGGTGCCATGTAGATACAATCGCCCACAAGAAAGTAGGTCGAAATCACGGTCACCTCGTCGTCCATGCCAGCTCGCTTCCGCCGGTTCTGCTTTCGAATGACCCAGACGTTGGACGGTTCATGGGCGAAACGCGTGTCAGACTGCGCGGCCGCTTGCAAAGGATCATATGCGACGATGAATTCTAGACCAGACATAGTCTTCAGGCGGGCCTCGAATGCTTCACGTGTCTCGACGAAGTGACGGAAAGCTTCATTGTAGCTGGCTTGGATGGCAAGAGAGGCATTGTTGGAGGTTGGGTCAAAGAAGGGGGATTCGGCGAAGTAGAAAAGAACTAGATACGTCCAAAGTGTCAGTAACTGCACTGGAGCCTCAGATGCGTAGACATTACTGTTGTTGGAGTGGATGAAACCCCCCATCATCTGGACGTGCGGGGGAGACCGCCAGAGGATTTCCTCCATCGGGGCATCTTGGCTGGCCATGGCGGGCTCAGGTCCAATTAATTCCCAATTATAGATTGGAAAGATGCCAGGATTCCTTGCGATTGGGGAACAGAACAGAGTAGAGCTGAAGTGAAAGGAATTGACGATCGGAAGATCCAGATTAGAGATTAGATATGCCGATATGTCATGTTTTGCTTGTTTGCATTGACTCTATATACCTTCCAAAGATGAATAGTTACAGCTTGAGACAAAGAAACATTGAGGTAATGTAAAATATATAATATAGAATTCAGATAAATGAAAGCAAGCTCCCCAACTCCAGCGCTTTATGTTGAATTTGAATCCAAAAAAACCCACTCCCTTAATGTGCTAGTATAGATGCGGATGTTGAAGACACGTTGAATGTGGCCCGCGATCAAGTTAATATAAACAGAGAAAGAATCGACAATGATCAAAACCTTGGGAGCGATGAGACCAAGGATATTGAATCTATTCCCCGTCGAATGGAGCAAATATATTGCCGACAGTACGCAACTTGGTCAACATCTCCTGCCATTCACCCTCTTGCGTGCTGAGAGTCGTGATGGCACCACCAGCACCGATCCGCCAGATTTGCTCTTGCTCTTGATCAGAAGAGCAGGTGAAAGCCATTCGAATCATTACCGCAAAGCTACCACCCCCACCCAGGTCAAGGTGGCCCATGACACCGGAGTAGATCCCCCGCTTGCGTCCTTCAATGGTTTTAAGATGCATGCATGAACGCTCCTTGGGTGCACCGGTCATAGAGCCCGGGGGCAAACAGCGCTGCAAAGTCGTGAGACCATGAACCGCCATGTTGGAGGTGTTCAGTTGGGGTATGTGACGGACTGAGTACCCTGGTTGGTCAGGGCGAATCTTGCCCTTGACATGTGTAATCATGGAGTAGACGTGGCCATAGTCTTCGACTTCAAGCAGTTTCTCAACATGCACTCCACCAGATCCACAGATACCATATAGATCGTGCCGAATCAGATCGGCAATCATGAGGTTCTCGGCCATTTCTTTTGTTGAGGATAGAATTTCTTTGGCTTTGGCAAGGGTCATGTCGGGTGTCTTTCGGACTGTGCCTTTCATGGGCTTCATCTCAAGTGTAGACTCGCGGTCCCAGTCGAGGAAGCATTCTGGGCTGCTGCTAACAATCTTGACCGAACCTAGGGTTGCGAACCCACTGTATCTAGCAGGGTTGTACTTCTTCAATCGTCGATATAATTTCCATGGAAACACGGCACGGTCGGATTCCGCTGGTGGAATTGGTAGAGTGATTGATGTTTCGGCTGTGAGACATAGCTCGTAGGATTCGCCTGCTGATAACTCAGCTTTGCAAGCTGCAATTCGCTTTTTGTAATCCGTTTCTTCGGGGAATGAAATGACACCACGATGGAGGATGGAATCTAAAAACGCGAGGTCGGACTTTTCAGTGTTTTCCACGCTTGCCGTTTGGCCTTTGAGTAAATCAAATGTCTCATCGAGCCAGCTACCCGCCAAGTCATCTGACTCGCGCGTAGATTGTGCGACAATAGTGCCGGTCTCGTTGTCAACGACAATACTTCTTTCGCACCACAACAGACTGACATCTGGAGGATCTTCCACATGCAGACCGGTCGATGCATTTCCCGAGGACTGGTCAAGTGTATATGTTTGTGCTGATTCCTTGGGATGAGGAAGGCAAGAGAGGCCCAGTTCGTAAGAGAAGTAGCCTAAGAACCCACCCCAGAAAGGACTATGAATACTGCCAGAGCTGACCTTTTTCATATCCATCAAGTATCTGAGTGCATCCCATAGCTGGACCACGGCGAGACTCTTCTTGATTACTTGGCAATCCCCATGTAATTGATACAAAGTCAACTCTTGTAGCCCCACACTGTACTCCAACCGCCAAGAGCCAGAACTGGGAATCGAGACGATGCTATATCGATCGTCAGATTGAAATACCACAGTCGGAGACCCTGGCTTGTTAAAAGCTTCGCTGATGGTCTCTGCAGTCCAATCTCCTCGCCCAAGAGACCGATGTGCCGAGACAGATGAAGTTGAAGAGCTCCACCTCAACATATCGTATGCAATGTCAGGGAATGTGCTGGTCTCGTCCTGAGTAGTGATGATAGTCTCAGGCAAAGCCCTATAGGCCTCACGACCAACACCCTTATTGAATGTGAGCGCCATGCCCCACCAGTTTCGGAGTAGCTGTTTGCAGGCCTCCCTTTCCGATTTACACGATTCGGGGTGGAATTGAACACCCCAAAAGGGCTTTTGTCGATGACGAACCGCCATCGGAATTCTTTTGCCCCGAGCTGAATCCTTTTCAAGAGAAAACCAGGCTAAAAAGTCCAAATCATTCACGGACGAAACTCGAGCGTGACTCAACGCATCCAAATTGGCATACAGTGAGTGGTACAAAGTCACCTCTATGTCAGAGAGATTGTGGAAAATGTCGCTAGAGCTTGTTGAAATGTGATGCACCTGTCCATGCAGTGGGTACGGAAGGCGTTCAATGGGAACTCCATGGTGTAAGCATAGACTCTGAAACCCGAGGCAGATGCCGAAGATCGGAAGCAGTTCGGCATCCTGCAGGTTCCAGATATCACGCATGATACCGACATCTTTCGGCAAGTTGGGATTTCCCGGACCAGGTCCAAGAACGATAGCCTCATAATGGCGAAGAAATTCGTGCATATTGCCATCAGGCCAGTCAGAATCGATGGTCATCACAGTGACTTTCACCCCCAGAGTCTCTTCTAGCATTGAAACCACATTATATGAGAATGAATCATATGCATCAACATACAACACACTTTTGGATAGAGAATTTGAAGCGGCTGACGGGGCTAGCCCGTCCCAATCGCCTAGTAAGGGCGCCATGGTGGGATGAATGGAATTCAATGCGGGGTGGAGTGATATACTTTGAGCTGATATGACAAGAAGGATATGGCGAGCAAGACCAAGGGGATTCCCCGTCTAATAGTGAAAGTTTGCTATGTCGATAATAATCTTGAGGGCGAGTCCGTCATGTCTTCGAAGGTGGCGACAACTCAAAATCAAAGCTTTATCGGGTTCAAATTTCGGAACCACTCGTTTTCGGGAACCAGATTGGATTGGATTGTCTTTTAACAACCCATGGCCTGAACACGGATAATTTGTCAATTGAAATTGAAATTGAAACCTTTGGAAAGAACAAAATATATTGTTCCTGGCTAAAACCGCGTGGCTAAGGAAGAAATTTTAAGGTTGAGGAATCTGGAATGTGCAGGCAAAAAGCGGGTACCGCCGGAGCAAGGAAAACAATGGATAACTTATAGGCAGATTTATAATGAATCTATATAGTATTTTCATGAAAAACATATATGGAGGGCAATCCAGAGATTGGAAAGTATCCCTCATGAGGAACCTGGTCCAGTTTGAAGTGTGGCCAGCTTCATCGCCACTTTGGGGAAATATTGAGCCACAAATCCCTCGGTGTAGTAGCTATGTGCAGAACTGTGATCGGCCACAAGGTTGTGTGCCAGTTCATGACACAGAATGACCCACCAGTATACAATGGCGTCTGTACGATCAGGTGTGGAACTCTGGAGCAGCGCTTGCTCATGCAGCTTCTGGAAGTAGAAGTAATTGCAAAAGATGCTGCCTGCCCGGTTGAATGCGATGGTCTTGCCACCTGGGTCATAGAAGATGCTCAAGCTGTCCGCACGCATGGAAAAGATTGAACCAGAATCAAGAATGATTGACGCAAAAGTGTTAATGCTGGTGCGGTTGCTCGCTAAGAAGGCAGACCGCTCGGTGACAGTCCTCACAAATAAGACATTAACACCACTGGGAAGGGTCGCCACGAACTCTAAATCATGACCTGGTCGTTCGTCGCAGTAGGATTGACTTGCCGAAATTTGGTTGGTCTCAGGCCGGCTAAAGACATTTGACGATCCATGGGGGCGACAAGCCTGCACGGCGGACAGGAGCTCTTGCTGCAAACGATGCGGAGAATCAACCGAAACGGGCTGCTCTGGATGCGGTTGCTGAGGATCTTTGGGATAAGGAGGGGGCGGAGGAGCAGTATTGGTGGATTCAGGGAGTAAAGAACGAGACTGCTCAGGGTCGGGGTTGGTTGATCCTGATCGCCCGTCCAGACCAAACCGTTTGCTGAGGTTCGCAAATAACCCTCGAGGAGCCCGTTCTGGCATCGTGGGTTCAGCAGGTGTAATCTGCCTTTCTTCAGCAGACGGTTTGCTGTTTGGAGACTCGGGAAAGACTCCCGGCATTTTGGCTTGTGACTGGGGCTCTGGTCTCTCCTCTTTCGCTCGTTGAGCTTGCTCCGCTGCCCAAGCAGCCTCTCTCTTTTGCAGAGCCTGTCTCTCTTCCTCTAACTGCTTCTGTCTTTTATCACTTGCAATTCGAGCTTCTTGAGCTTTCTGCCTAAGGATACGTTCCACGTTATATCCCCGAGCACGGAGCTCTAGGAGATCCGTCTTCAACAACATCTCCAGGGTCAGGGTGGAATGGAGCTTTGGCCGTTTGAGAATCAAGTGGACAAGAGACTGACTGATCTCATACAGGTCGAATTTACCTGGACAGATGCACAAGCCCCAGTTGTTGGACAGACGGGCCATAATGGCTTTCCGCTTCTGTGTATGAGACACTCGTCGGCCCTTCAAAGATCGTGTAAGCGTGATGGAGGTGACTACCTGCACGTTGAAATCATGTTCTAGCCATCGAGCTCCGTGCTGAATAGAGTCTGCCGGCTGGTCATGCAAGAATAGTCGGACCCGCTCGAGGATGACCTTGTGTAATTGCACAGCTGGGGTTTGATCGGGCGCAATACCTCCAAATCGGGCTTGTTCTTCAACAAGCTTGCTGAGAGGAAAAGCGCCGAGAGCCACATAGAAGTTTTCTAACGTTTCTTCTTGGGGTGCAGCAAGGATATGCTCTTTGAATAAATTGAAGCTCTGGAAATCGTCCACAACTACAATGTCTTTCGCAGATGCAAGACTCCATTCTCGGATATCTAAGTCTTCTTCTGGATCAGGGATCTCCTTCTCAGTAGAGCCTCCTTTGCCATCCTTGCCCGCAGATTGAGGAGGGATATCACGGCTCGCCAACAAAAACTTTGCTCTTCTCATATCATTAAACAAATCCTTATCTTTCTTGAGAAGGGCAAGATTCTCCGCAAGAGTCCTCAGGAGCATGAGGTATTTATCTGAGCTTTGGAATGAAGCCGAAATCCGAGCTGGTTCTTTTACAAGCATTCGTGCAATTTCGATCTTTGTAGGTTCTCGCCTGGAGCCAACGGCCAGGAGGAAGAAATTGGCTTCTCGTCCAAAATCCACAAAATCAAAAATATCTTTGTAGTCTTCTCCATCACCGAGATAGCAGAGCTTGGGTGCAACAAAACGGGTCCGAGAGCCTTTCTCTGATTGATCCTTTGTCGAAATGGGTATAATCGGAGACGAACCAACTCGCTCGACATCCTGTGGGCTTATGTCAGATGCCCTGCTAGCCAGATATTTGAAAACTATTCTAGCCTCTTTTGTAGTAGCCGGAGGTTGGCGAATCAGGGTCTGAAGACATTCTGACATAGGAGGATGGGGCTTGACACCCAGTTTAGAAGCATGGGGATGGAGCTGCTGTCGAAGAATATGGAAGCCAAACAATGCAGCGCCTTCGTCTGTGAAGCATTTCTTTGGTGCGGCGAGGAATTCTGACCCTTCGACAGGGAGAAATGGCACTGTGACTGCACTGATATCGAAAGCATCATAGCCGTTGGTATGATACTCATTGAGGAAGTACGACAGGGCCTTGGTCTTGCGGGCACTGTTCTTTTCCGCGTCACTTTTGATCATGAGGCGCATTAGCTCAGCTCCTGTTGGGTGTCGCTTCAAACCCATCATCGAAAGGAACTTTCCTTCATTGCTCGCAGTGTTGTAAACTCCTGGCCATTCAATGATGGGAAGACCCATAGCCCGGAGGGAGTCCTTTGGTTCATATAACTCGGAGATCTTGTAACGAGTACCAGATGCAGCGTCTGTATCTTCCCTCTTCTCTGCAGTACAAATACTTGTGTCTTTGAGTCTCTGAATATCATTTGAAGGGATGTCCTCGCGAACAGATGTGAGATACCGAATCAAATCCACATGACTCCATTTCCGCGCAGAGGGTTCTTTGACATCGCTGGATGGTGGGGGAGTATTGATCAGGCGATCAAAAATAACCCCCAACTCAACGGTCTTCCGGACTCCAAGTGATACCAAAAACTTCTCTTTGACACCGTTGAGGCCATGTACAACAGGTAGATCATCAAAAAGGCGCACGGATGCAAAGTATGTTTGCTCAGGTTGCTTCATTCCAAGTCTAGTCGGAATAACAGTCTGAGACTGGAGGGTATTGATCACGGTCTGCTTGGATGACTGGCCTAAGCTTTCCCACTGCTTAGAAAAGAGAGGAAGGACCTGCCCAGAAAATGAAGCACTTTGTGTGATATCTTGCTCTGGTGACAAAAGGCTGCGATCTCCGGCATTCATGACAAGCCAGCGGAGCCAAGGTACAAGCTGCAATTCAACCCATCCCAACGCTTCGAGTTCTTGTTTGTTCATAAGCTTGGTGAAGCGGAAAGGCATCACTGATGATGGTATGGGGAGATCGGTAGTAATACGCTGGGGATTCAAGAAGCCGGTAATGTCGGCAAAAACGATTAGTCGTGTAGGGTTTCCATCCTTATCTTCATCGTTCGCCACCGCAACCCGGAGAAGGCTCTGAGCCGAAAGCCTATCAAGCTGTCCTGCCACGGTCTTACGACCCAACCAGGTCAAGAATTCAACGATCTGATTGGATCGTAGCGTGCTGGCCTCTAGTTCCCGCTTGATGTCCGAAACCGTGATTTCTGTGACCAATCCAAACTCTGTCAGCCTCCGAACGAAGTCTTTCGCTTGAAGGACGAAGTCATCGGGCAACGCGGGTATCGAATCCATGAAGCTGAGATCCTTTGGAGCAATGCGTGTCTGATGGCTGGGAATAACGCCACATGTCGAAAGAACCTCGATGGACGCGTTCTTATTGCACATCCAGAACGCGTCTTCGATGGTCTGACCGAGAACCGAGGATGGCGTGGATTCACGAAAGACAAATTGATTTGCAGTATGGATTGCTTCAGGAAGAACATCCACAATATCTTCTTTGCGAATTTTTGAAGAATGTGCGGGTCCAACCTTGGCTGCCAATTGAGATTTGATAGCGCTCATCTCTGCAGACCATGCGATCCGGCAGACAATTCCAACAGCTCGCAGCATCTCAATATTCCATTTGCTGATATACCGCGTGTTCAAGTCAATGCTTTCACGCTCAACGGTAGGAATGACGGACGGCGCCGACACATGAGCATTCAGGCCAGTGGTTTGCGCAGTAGGGAAGCCAATGAAAACCTTTCCTGATTTCGACGGTAGAATGGAGGCAAGAATTTCCGACTGTGAAGCAGATGCCCCGGAGGCAACGTTGGCATCATATGAAGGTGTCAGAATCGCAATAGTAGCCTTTTTGGGTGGTGGCTTCCGGGTGGCCCGTTCTAATTCTTTGCTTAGGCTGGAGCTGACTGAGGGCTGTATCGATGCAGTATTGATGTGCAAGAAAACTGTTGCGTTCACAAAAGAGGTCATATTGCCCGGTTGCTCAGGTTGTTGAGTCTTTTGAGAGTGCGATGGTTTATCAGTTCCGCTTTGACTCGTAAACTTTGAGAAAAAGCTGCGTAGAGAACTAGTAGTATCCCGAAGGTTGTCGAGGCTGATCAAGCTGGCATGCGGATTCCATTCTACAATTCGCATCCAAGCTGCATCAACTTGTGCAATTTCTTGTGTTATACCCGTGATTTTCATAAGACCTTCAGCAGTCTTCGTTTCAATATCTCTGGGAATGGGGACATTGACGCCCGGGGCGGTCTTTTTTGATAGCCGCAAGAGGCTCCAGTCATCCAGCAATAGCTCGATCTCTTGCAAAGCGACAAAGGTCAAACTGCTCGCCAAGAACTGACATAGCTGTAGCAAAGACGGAACAGGAGACGAATCATTGCGATAGTCCAGCACAAAAGTGGTGTCCTTGTTCGGGGTTTCGCCCAAATCCAAACGTCGCGTAAATAAACCATTACCCTTCCAGTAGAAGGCCATGGCCTGGCTACCAGAAGATACAAAGGGCTCCTCGCAGTCATCGAAAACACTGTAGAATCCCACACCAAACGCCCCAATCTTCGTTTCGTCGGGGTTTCCATCTGCGATGCGCTTTAACCGGGCCCAGTCTTTTTCGCTGAATGGAAGACCATTATTTGAAATCAATAGACGTCGGAGGGTATGATTCGCGATAGTGTGCTTTATTTGCTCTGTTGGATCGGCTGATGAAGGCGACGGAATTGTTGTAGAGGGTAACGTCTCGAACTTGATCGTCACCTTGGTTGCAGAGGCATCGGCCGCATTTTGAATCATCTCTCGAAGAACAGTCCTGATGAACCCCGTAACCATGAGTAACTATGATTGCCAATGTATAGACCGAGAAGCTTACCATTTCCCTGAGTACCGAGCTAAAACTTTGGATATCAGGCCTCGAGTATCGACCGTCACTGCTTCCTCATCGGCACCAGACCCCATGGTCCGGGCCTTCAAGGCATTAAAATCAATATTCAAAGCCATACTTGTGGTTTGTGCAATCTAAGGCCCAAACGTGGAGTTCAACGCGCAATCCTATGTCATATTCCAAGATTGTGTGGGTGATAAAGGAGCTGAAATGCTATAGACAGTAAAAAAGGTATAAATTTGACGTATGAAGGAGAAACGAGAAGCTCGAAGAATAAGAAAACGATCAGAGTAAGTGTAGGCAGCAAGTAAATGTCACAAATGCCCAAGATTCGGGGCCGCGGAGGTGTCATCGTCTTATCGCCCCTTATCGGCGGCTTAGATCAGCAGATGCTTATGTCATCGGTGTTTCCATCGCGGCTTCAGGAGCAACAGGCATTAGTTGGCAATTGATCTACGTCGCTTGAGCGTGTGTTTTTTATGGTTTTGACAGCGGGATTTGGTGCCTCAGCTCATACTTTCCCTTACACTCTCTCTTCCACTGCTCTCATTCGAAGGAATAAGGTCTAGAGTCGAACTATTGTGGATGCGGGCCTAAGATCTCCCACCGAAAGTACTCCGGTCTCCCTCAGATGACAACATGGGGGTCGACCCATTGTCTCCGATTGCGCCAGTGCGCTTGAGGGCGCTTCTACTACCAATTGGACGGATTAAGCGATCCCGCTTCCTGAGCTTCGCAGCTAGACTTCAAGCTGAGAATGTCGTGCGGTTAGGAGACATTAGTCCCGATGCTCGACCAAACCGAAGTATGCCATAACCATGCCCGTGAAAGGAAATGCGGAGGACAGAGAGATGTGGAGCAAAGAGCTGATCATCTTCTACAGACATGTTTTCCCCGCTTGCATTTCCTACAGGGTTGATCCTATACGACCTGTCCTTCTCGGTTCCCCCCACGTCGCACCTCGAGCTATTCCCCTTTGAGATATACAGAGAACCCTTGGTGATCATTGCAATTGCAGATGGTACAGAGCTTTCCCAGGATTCTGGATCGAAGAAGCAGCATCCCACCCCAGAGGGGCTCGATCAACTATTGGAGGAGCTAGAAGGAATGAAAGAAAGGAGCCCACGTGCGCTAGTTAATCAGCTCCTGGTCTTCGACTATGATGGCGTGGAGAAACTTACGAATGGACCGGATAATGTACTTTGGGTGCCTCTTCCCGAGGCATCGAAAGCTACCACGATGAAAACGGTCTTGTGTGACATAACATCAGTCTTGCTGTCGGAGCTGGACGAGTTCGCAAAAACAATTCAAGCCATCCCAACCATTGAATCACCTCGAACATCCTCATGGGGACCATCTCGCAATCCAGAGTTACGTCCCCGACCGGTCGACCGACTGCTACATCGGATGACCCTACCTGCCCAAATGCCATCGAACCCTAACGGTGCACCAGACACCCCATTATCCGATCCTGGTGTACAAACCCTCAACTCTGAAACTGCTACGACATTTGACGAGATTACTCGCTCGATTCAAATTCATCGCACGCAGTCTGGCAGCAAGAGCCCCTCGGTAGCGTCCGCCAAGGAGCATAGTCGTGAGCGAATGTCAGTTAGCGGAGTGAGCGCGACAGATAGAACGAAGAACCGTATCAAGGGACGGGCTGGGGTCGTCATTGGGACTCTTTTCCTGCAGGCAGGAAGATGGCATGATGCCCTAAAGGAGTTGGTTGAAGCGACGAACAACGCACGCGCAGGTAGCGACTACATCTGGCATGGGAAAGCGCTGGAGTCCATTCTTCTTTGTCTTGTAATGCTTGGATGGGCAGGTATGGATTTCCAGGTACGTGTATATGCTACATCAGAAAAGATATTACGAAGACCACTAACTCTTAATCTAGATCCCCTCGGTTCTCTACCCTGTTGCCGACAAGTCTTCAAAGTCGCATCGGGATTCGCTTTCTACTCCCACAGCTGGCAATCGCATTATATCCCTTCAAAATCTTGCGAACCTACTGCCCGATCTTTCGAATACCATTCTGAACCTATACAATCGAGCCGCGAATATTACAGACGAACCTCTGCCACAACTGGTTTTCTCCGAAACAGTCATTCGATTATCAAGACTCTTGGTATCTGCTCGTGTACGCGATGGCTCGCTGGATGACAACGCCTTAAAACATATCGTCATGAATGAGCCTCTTGTCCCTATACTTCAACCTGAGCTTCCACGAGGCACAGTCCTGCTTCGCAAATCTGAGCTTGCAAACTTTCTGTACCGAGCTCTACCGCTCGCCCCTAGTGCCGACTTGCCTGCCACTGATGTGGTCCCCATTGTCGTGGGCGTGGTGTCTGTTCTGAATGCCCTTGATTTGCCTCGAAAGAAAGCTTTCATCATGCGCGAGCTTCTTACTGTGATGGTACCTAGCCTGGTACAGGCGCGGAAAATTGGCGCTGCTGAGGTGGGCATTCATCCAGCTGCGGGATTAGCATCTCTTAGCGATACCGCCTTTGATGTGAACGCCCTTGATATTGGTCCAGGAAATATGGAGAAGAGTGTGCGGCTCCTTCTTGCTAGCATAGGCGAGATATATGGAGTCCAGCCCTCGGCGTTCTATGAATGGGAGAAGCGAAAGAGCCAATCATCCGCAGTTGGTGAATCAGAAGAATGTCCTGATTATGAATCAGTTGCTGGCATTGCAGAGCGATCTTTTCGACATGTGGTTCTTGATAGATATGGTGATCTCAATCTGAAGATTGATGTTCTCAAGGCATGCATCAACTGCTGCGAAGCCTTGCCCGACTTTGAAGGTGTACTTCGTTTCACAGTTGAGCTTTTGCAGACCATTAGAGGTGATCTTATGCTAGGAGAGACAAACCAGATGCCCCCGTATCTCCCCCGAGAAGAGCAGGTTCGCCTCTTGAACAACATCAAACGCACCGTTGGCGCTGCAAACAGGCTTGGTGCTTCTCAGATGGCAGCAGAGTACTGGGACGACTTTCTCGTGCGTGACGTAGAGCTATTAGCACTACCAGATCCAAGAAGACCTGTCCGACGGTCGAAATCCGAGTTGCATGCCGTCACTGGTGGATCTGAAAAATCGAAAAAGGATCCGTTCCTATACAATGCCTTTGCGAAACCCAGCAGCAAAGCCCTAGAGGTGCTTAGTGTCACGGATGAGCCTGCTTCGTTCCGGGTCACTCTCCAGAATCCCTACGAGTTCGAGGTCGAGATCGAGCACTTGCGACTAGAGAGCACGGGCGTGGACTTTGACGGTGTGACAGAAAATGTCATTCTTCCTCCATTTTCCCTGCAAGATATTATCGTCCTGGGCACCGCTCGCGAAGAAGGAAATCTTACCATCACAGGTTGTATTGCTAAAGTGCGCAATTGTCGAATGCGCAGGTTCCCCATATTCAAGAATTTCTGGAAGCCTGAACCTGATGTCAAGTTCAAACGGACAGGATTGGCGTCGAAGAAGCCCCTCTCAGAGCGACCAGTATCCTGGGCTTCAGAAATCTCGAAAAATGGAAAAACATCAGTTAAAAAGGGCCCCGAGGCGGAAACATGTCAGGTTAAGGTCATCGGCAAACAGCCATCACTTTTGATCGAATCAATGTCGCTCTCGCAGTCGGCATTGATGATCCTAGAAGGGGAGATCAAGTCATTTACCATCACCCTTCAAAACACATCGTCGTGCCCCGTGGACTTTGTTTTGTTTACCTTCCAGGATTCTACCACCAGGCAACTCCAATCAGCTCTCAAGAACAGAGATCTCTTGCCAGTCGAAATCTATGAGTTGGAACTGAAGTTGACAACCCAGCCGGCTCTACGATGGCGCCGTGAGGGTCCCAACTCGGAAGACTGCTCTATTCTAGCCGGTCAGAAGGCTACCTTTACGGTTGATGTGCTGGGCAAGCCTGGTCTACAGGATACCACCATTCAAATCGACTATTCGTTCATCGGGGCCAAACAGGCGGATCTTCCTGATATCTTTTATACCAGGCAATTGTTTGTACCGCTAACGGTTACGGTAAATGCCAGTGTAGAAGTTGCTCGTTGTGATATCTTGCCCTTCAGTGGCGATTTTGCCTGGCGGAATCACCTCGAACCTCCTTCTGACTCGGTTCAACAATCAAACTCACCGTTATCTGCCAGCGATCATGATCCATTCTCCCAGGTTCTCGCCCGTCTCGGCAATGGAGTCTACGGTCCAGATCATTGTGTTGTCTTGCTTGACCTCCGAAATGCATGGCCAAGTCCTGTGACTGTGTTCTTGCGAGTTGGCGAGCACTCCGCATTGTCAAAGGACAATCATACTGGTCAGTATGCTGTTGATGGACATCTTCAGCCTGGCCAAACCTCCAGATTCGTCCTCGTTCTCCCGCGTGTCTATCTAGACAACCCGCACGCATCTATTCCCGTCGTCAACACAGGTACTAGACGGCAATTTGTGGTCAGCGCCAACAAGTTATCATTTGAAGCGGAGGCAGCCTCTCGTGAAGCTTTCTGGTTCCGGGAGGAGCTACTGAAAAGGATGCACGGAAGCTGGAAGGAAGCCTCAACAGGGCGTGAGGGAACCATCGATCTTCGGAACATCCGCCTCAATGCACGCATGGTGGAAGCCATGCGACTTGAGGATGTCGATATAAAGTTTTCCGTCTCCTCGCCCTCCGCAGATCCTTCCAATCCTGAACCTTCTCAAAAGGTCACTCAAACAGGGCGCTCACGTTTCCGAGCCGAAGCCGACGATCTCCTCACTCTGTTTGTTACCATCCGCAATCGGTCTTCACGTCCTATTCACCCACTTCTCCGCCTTCAGCCCAGCTTGCGACACCAACCGAATAACATCGCTTTGGATCTCACCCGCCGCCTCGCATGGACTGGAATGCTCCAACAATCCCTTCCCATACTACCAAGCGGCGAGTCTACCCAAGCCTCCATCGGAGTGACGGTTCTCAGCCGTGGTGAATACGAGTTTGGCGCCAGTGTGGAGGAAGCCCGCATTCTGTGGCCCTCCAATTCTCATGACAAAATAAACAACAACTCTAATGCTCATGATGATGTCGTCATGGACACATTCGGTGCAGATGTTGTGAGAAAACGCCGCATCTGGCATGCGATGGAGACTTGTGTCATTCATGCCAACTATTAAACCCTGTAAACACCACGTGTGCCATCCTCTGTTTCCACGATCATGTCCCCGTTTCTCCTCTTATCTGCTTCTTTGATGATATACATAGATTCCATTGCATGATTTATGTCTATACCATGTCCCCCCTACCTCCGAGAATTCGGTGGGTTGTTTATGTCTCTTTGGGTATACTTTACACTTTACGCATCGAATAGCAGGACCTGTTAATCAAACCCATAGGTGAGATTCATAAAGGCCGGCAGTTCAGAATAAGAAAGATAAATCAAACTTAGAGACCTTGACAATGCCATGCATCTCTCGCAAGTTCCTCTAGATAACATTGTTACATTGCAATAGGAATACCCAGGTCACCAGGGCGACAGAGTACCTCTTTCCAAGGTAATAATAAGTGGTAATGTTCGACCTGGGTCACCTGATTCACAGAAGACCGTTATGGCACATCCGCCGGTCATGAATTACAAGTATATGATCAGCGAATAGTGTCTTTAGGTGTGGAGTCGTGAAATCATATATTTGGCTATGAAATTCTGCTCATCTATAAGTCGGCCAGTAGATCTAACTGGAAGTCAATGGCAGAGGTCGCATTGTCGACCGGTGGTTTCTATCCAGATCGAGGACGCGACATGCTCTCCGTCCTCTTGCAAGTCATACTCATATCTAACTCATGACAAGGCTGCTGGTAGAAGGAAATTATCCAAATTGACACGGGCACATTTGAGATCAAGCCCAGATGGTATGAAGTGTGCCCAGATGACAGTGAGGCCGCATAGCTCGTATGTAGGTGCTGTAAAGAAGAAGATCACAATGTCGGGAGTGCCTTGGAAGACGAATTGAGGAAGAAATGCCACCTCGCATATCGTAGTTGAGGATCAAATTCATGATTCCCCTCATCCCGCATTGCTGCCGCCGTCATTGCCATCGCCCGTCACAGGCAGTGTTTCTCCCAACGGGAAACTGAGATGCTTCCAATCCTCGATCTCCTCAATGATGCATTTCAATCTATCCCGAATACTTTCAACTGCGTATGTACCGAGAATCAACCGTAAAGGAGGGTAGGAGCAGTGCCCAAGCTCCCAGACAAGGTGGGCTGCTTTCACCGCAGAAGCAGGCTGCTTGTCACCTAGCCACATAAGCATGCGCCTTGCATGCGCAGCAGGCGACGTGGAAGTATTATACGGTTCACTGGGAGGCTTCACCAAGAAATGACCGTACAGGGGTAATGGCGATGAGAGGTTATGTTCGGATGGGTTGGCAGCCATAAACGAAGGCGAGACCAGATCCCCAATATCATCGCGTCGCATATGACCCGGCTCAACCAGCGTCCCTTTGATATTGAAGCTATCCACCTCATACAACATACTCTCCATCAGGCCTTCCACTGCATACTTCGACGCGCAGTATGGTCCCAACCCCGGCACTCCGAGCGCGCCTGACGTTGAGCTGAAAATGAGATATCGGCCTGCGCGCCGCTCTCTGAAATGCGGGAGTGACAGCTGGATCATATTCAATGTTCCTGTGAAGTTTGTCTCGAATTGATTGCGGATATCGAATTCGTCTTGGTCTTCGCAGGCTCCGATCACGCCGTATCCGGAACAATTGGCGATTACGTCGATGCGGCCGAATCGCGCGATGGTTTGGTCGATTACTCGCTTGACGGTTTCGCGAGCGCGTACGTCGCATAAAAGGCCGAGGCAGTTTTCGTGTTCGTCTTCAAGCTCTTTCATGGCTTCGGGGCTGTTCTCATAGGTGCGCCCTACGGCTGAGACTAGATCATTGCGTGATAGAGCGATTTTCACGAGTGAGCGGCCCATGTGGCCTGTTGCACCGAAGATCTGAGATTATCGAAGTTGTTAAGTATTGGGATTGGCATTCTTATCTGCGTTCTGTTCGATGTTGCCGGCTGGGCGCATGGAATCAAAGTGGGGTTGGGGAAGGGGAATCACCTACCAGCCATACGAGCGGTTTCGGGGGGTTCTGGGGACCTGGAGGATCGGTAGTTGAGGGAAGATGTAATCGAGGTTCACGGGAGGCAGCTGGAGAAGAAGCTCCCCTTGGGGAATTCTGGTCCATGACGGTGATAATGGAAGAAGCAAAGTGGGAAGGTCAAATCTCGGTCTCCGCAATATTCTGGGGTGTTTGACCCACATTACTTAATGTTACGCCATATAGAGATATAGAAATTGACTCTATCAATGTTCATTTTGGAAAAAATGCAGTCTTCATCAGGATATACTATGTACTATTTATCGCGCAACCTCTCGACGCAGCCGTCCTGCAGCTGTCGAGGGTTCGGGTTCTGGCCAGCTGCCGACAGCATCATCGACCTCTTCCAGGAATGTAGTGCTATTGTGAATCATAGTGCCACCTAAGACAACACGTACACCAGGTGAGCTGGCATTGACCTGAGCGACCATCTTGGCCTCCTCATACGTGGTACCACCAACCATGAAGATAATAATATCCTGTGGCTTGTCGCGGGTGTGTCCGCTGCCTTCCAGGAATGGGTATTGCATCTCCTTCAGGCGGCCCTTAATTAGATTCTGCAAAGTCACCTCCAGTCGTGGTGAGTGCTGGGTGTAGACATTTTCGACACCCTTGAGACCCTTGAAGCGGTCTCGAGCTCCAGAGAAGAACGAGGTAGACTCGAATAGATCTGAAAATCCACCTGCAACTGGTGACGCTTGCAGAGAGTGATGGTAGGCAAGAAGCTTAGGAATAATGTTGACTTTGTTAGAGGGGACATCGCCAGCCGTCACCAGCAAGTCAAGCAAGATTGGTAGGGAACTATTCGGTTGTTTCTCGTAGCGAAGTGCATAAAGAGCCACCAGACGTAGCTTATTATCAGCAGGTACGTTCGGCAACGAGATAATACGTTGCAAGGACTGGAGTAAACCGCGTGGTTAGTAAGCTCTAAATCCCACAGGGTCCCATCATACATACCTTGAGGTCATTGGAGTGATTATCACTGCAAGCTAAACTTTGCTCCAACTCACTCACATCCAGCAAGCTATCCTCACCTACGCGGCGACTTAACTCGCCAACCAGAGTGACATGTTTGCTAACGTTGCCTGAGAGCTTGCGGAATTCCGGATAGTCTTCCACAAACCGCTTCATGTCGGTGATAGATTCAATATTCATGTTGTTCTGTGTTTTAGTCTGGTACTGCTCCACATACTCCTTGATGTTCTGGCCGAGGTCGCCGAAATTCTGATACATGTTCTTCTTGAAGAACGGATCTTGATCCTGAGCTAACACAATTTCCTTGAGTTCTGGTCGAATTTCAGGCACATCCTGCAGGTCCACTCGACCATTCCTGATGCCGAGCAGCTCATGTACCATGGCCTGATACGTCCATTGTGTAAGCAGCGGTGTAATCGGGTCATCGCGGCGATCCAAAATAAGCAGAATCGGCGGTGTATCGGTTCGGCGGAAGTTGAACAATTGCTCTTCCTGCGTGAGGTGATACCGAACTTCTGTGGCTAGCTTGCGGGCCATCAGACTGTTTTTCTCGTATCGAATCAACGGGTTTTTTTTCAATGATAGTAAAAGCGCCAGCACCCCCTCCGTGCCTCTTTGCAGCGAATCCGGATTCCATAGGTCGGGCGAATGACTCCAGAGTCGACTCAAGGGGAATCCCAAGTTCATAGAGCACAAGTCTGGATTGACAACCAGAAAATCGGCGAATTGCTCTTGCACTGACTGGACAACCTCATGACTATCGGCCTCGGCAAGGCGTTCAAGGGATGACTTGCGGATGATGTTGCTCAGGTGGATATAATATTCGCCGTATTTAGGGTCTCGGAGCTCGTCCACAAGAAGTTGAATGGAGCTTGGAGAAGGGCGCACAAATACCAGACATCGCAGATGCCGCATCTTCTCGCGCGCGGCATTGTCCAGGCGATCAATGAGGTAGACTTCGTGATTAAGGAGGGCAGATTGAGTAATGGCGGTCGAGACAATGGGTACCTATAGCGAAAGAAGTCAGTTATTGATTGAGGAGGATAGTTTCAGTGATTATGCCCACTGTCTCACTATCGAGAAGCAGGATCTTCATCTTGGTGGACGAAGACCCTGATGTTGACTCGCCAGCCGTCACCATCTTGGAGATGTAGCCCGAGACGGCCACGACAACATCCATGGTGGGGGAGAATGCGCCCGGGCGCACTGGGACAGCAAATCACAAGGAGGTATGCAAAAGATAGAGCTTATTCAAGCTTTGAAGAAAGTGGTATGCACAGATGACGTTCTCTGTTGTTATCGGGGGAAGTGGATAAGGTGAAGTTGTTGAATGTTGGGCGTGTCCGACTCTCAAGTCCCACATGACATTCTCCCCGACCTGGAACTTTTCTTGTTTTTCTTTTTCTTTCTTGTACTTCTTCACATGAATTTTCCTTGAAGTTACGCACGTCTACTACTTAGGTCGACAACATGTTGCCCTATATAGACAGCTGTTGGTGTTCCCCTACAATTGGAAGAGCTATAGAGCTTCCTGGACCCCTAGACTAACAATCTCCCCGCAGTGTTCGAGATCCCTGCGCAGCTCACAGGCGCCTCGGTAGATGAGCGTACGTAATTCTCAACAGGAAAAAATTGTACAGCTTCTAACCTGAATTCTAGTCAAGCTGATCGGCTCCTTCCTCCTCTCCTACCCACTGGCCGCTCTGTTGAAGCGAATCCCCGACGCCCAGCCATGGAAAAAGAATGCCTTTATCATCGGTGCTTCGCTCTTCTACATTATCGGTCTTTTTGGTCTCTGGGATGGACTTCGGACACTCCTGTATAGCGCGGCTGGAACATACGCTATTGCATACTATGTGGACGGCTCGCTGATGCCCTGGATCGGTTTCATCTTTTTGATGGGACACATGTCGGTCAGCCATATCTACCGCCAAATGGTCGACGATGCGCAGGTAGTTGACATCACGGGAGCACAAATGGTGCTCGTGATGAAGCTATCTTCCTTCTGCTGGAACATTCATGATGGCCGTCTACCGCAGGAACAGCTCTCTGATCCCCAGAAGTACTCAGCCATTACTCAATTCCCTAGCATCTTGGACTACGCTGGTTATGTCCTATTCTTCCCGTCGCTGTTTGCCGGCCCCTCTTTTGAATATGTCGACTACCGTCGCTGGCTTGATACCACCTTGTTTGACACCCCACCGGGCACTGATCCATCCAAGGTGCCTGCGACGCGCAAGAAGCGCAAGATTCCCCGGAGCGGTACCCCGGCGTTCAAGAAGGCCATGGTCGGACTGGCTTGGATCGGTGCATTTGTCTACCTGGGTGGAATCTTCAACACTGACTTCGTGTTGTCGGACGAGTTCTTGAAGTACGGTTTCCCGCGCCGCATAGTCACTGTCTATTTGCTTGGCTTCACCTCTCGCCTGAAGTACTACGGTGTCTGGTCCCTCACAGAGGGTGCCTGTATTCTGTCCGGTCTGGGCTACAATGGCTTTGATGCCAAGTCCGGCAAGGTGTTCTGGAACCGCCTGGAGAACGTCGATCCTTGGGGTCTGGAGACTGCCCAGAATTCGCACGCCTACCTAGGTAGCTGGAACAAGAATACCAACCACTGGCTGCGCAACTATGTCTACCTACGTGTCACTCCTAAGGGTAAGAAGCCTGGATTCCGCGCTAGCATGGCAACCTTCGCTACCAGCGCTCTCTGGCACGGCTTCTACCCGGGCTACTACATGACGTTTGTGCTCGGCTCGTTTATCCAGACTGTGGCCAAGAGTATGTATCACCCGCGTCTGTTCGTACTTCGGCGCTTTACTCACTCTTTATTCAGACTTCCGTCGCTATGTGCGCCCTTTCTTCTTGACCCCCGACGGCTCCAAGCCCATGCCCACCAAGCGCTACTACGATATCTTCAGCTGGGCTGCTACTCAGCTTACTCTCGGTTTCGCAGTGATGCCATTCATCATCCTTGGCTTCAGTGACTCCATGGCCGTTTGGTCTCGTGTCTACTTCTACGGCATCATCGGAACCTTTACATCGCTTGTCGCCTTCGCCTCTTTCTCCCCACTCAAGGCCGTTCTGGTCTCCAACCTGAAGCGTCGCAACCGGCCTCATGTTATGCGGACCGTCAGTCAGGAGGCTGTTGGAGCCCCGACATTGGGTCTACCGAATGATCCTGAGCGTGACTTTGATGAGGCCGTTCAGGAGATCATGACGGAGATTGAGTCTCGACGTCGTCGTGGCAGTGTGGTCACCATGCCCAGCGGAGAGGAACTTAAGATTGCCGTCGAGCAGAAAATTGGCCGTAAGCTGTAGAGATACATCATCGGTTTATGTCGCATCTGCATAGATGAAGCTCATCGTGAAAGACGTAATCATGTTTTGAATCAAGACTGAGTTATCTGATAATATTTTGTATGCCTTTGGTTGTTGAATTTACTGTAAAAGCATTACGTATTTCGGGGTTAAAAGATACTTCTCCTGTGCAATCAAACATGATTCAATGTAGATAATGCAAGACTAAGAATAATAATAATGACATGGTCTTTCTAATACAAGTGTAAGTGACTTACATAAGCAAATATCAAACACAGGAAGGAATCCAAGCAATGTGCATCCAACACGTCGGTGCCAAGCGCGAAGAAATGAAGAAAATATGAGGTAATATGAGGACATAGGTGCTGAGGAGAAAAGCCTCAAACGAAGACAAATCAGAAAAAAAGTCACAAACATCGAAGGGGTAATAATGTATGTGCATATAGTCGTTTCGTGCGGTCGTATCCAATGAATGTTCAGCGAAGAGAATAGATAAATCATCAGTCCGGTAAAAGAATGTCTGAAACAATAATCTCGTAGGTTAAGAGGGCGTTAAGGAAAAGAAGAACATGTCTGGGTTGTTGTCGTTGAAATGGCAATGAAATCAAGTCTGACTGGGGAATATGGTTGAACGTGTCTCCGAATTTGGATGAAAAGAATGTGTCAAATGCAAATATCAGATAGAGCCAAGTCGTAAGAGCGTAGTATAGAAAGAGTGTTGATAAAAAGTATAGGTTCCGTGTAGAACAGCAAGTCCAGGGCACTAGAACTAAAAGCCAGTGGTTGTGCCAATAGCAGCAAGTGTGATCTAGGATGATGTTAGAAATCAATGCTTAATATATCAGACGAAAGAGCAGAAACTTACCACAATGACGATTATCACAACTCCAAGGGAAATCATCCACCGGTTCAGATTCCGCCACCATCGGGTATTGTTGTATCGTCGTTGCTGGAGGCCCATCAACTGGGACTCAAGAGCCATTTCCACATCGTCATCAGATTCAATCATTTCCGGTGCCATCTTAGGTTTAGGCGGAAGAGGGATGAAAGCCGCAATGATCCAGGCGAGGGGGAAAATGAATCCCACACAAAATGAGTAGACCTGGATGTTCCTCCGACCAAAGATAGGTTCGGTCGTCGAGTCAAATGAAGGAGTCGTCCATACACTAGCTGAGTGCTGGATGGTACGTCGGTCGTGGAAGAGATGCGGGGACCAACTGTGCCGTAATCGGTGACGATGAGTTCCGACAACTTCCCCGTCTTCCGGCTCTGGAGACGGGACCCAGTGGGCACGCGGGTCTCTTGGGTCACTGTCAATTCGTCGTTGGGCGAAATGGACACGTTCAGGTGAGCGAGGGCGCTGTGGAGAACGGGGACGAGGAATATTGAGTGGATGGGGCACAAGATTGTAGACACTGGAGTTGCTAGTTCCCGGACGAGCAGAGGATGGCCGGCTGTTTATTGACAAAGTCGGGTGGACTCCGATAGCATCGGCTCGGTAGTAGATCTTCGCCCAGCTAGGGAGGATGTGCATCAAAGTACTGGAGGCGGTGCCCGGGCGGAGGCTGCGCATGCTGTTACTCCGCAAGCTGTTGCTGCGTTTGGAGCCCGAGGACAGGCTTTGGGGAAACCCATTGCGGGTGGGGAGGTTTGTCAGGCTGTCCAAATGCTCGTCATCATCTGCCTCATTCACCAGCCAGACGGTGGATTTACTGGTCTTTGAATTCAGTGCCTCGGAGGATGGAATTGCAAGCTCGGAATCCGCGCTTGATGTTTCCTCGACAGCTTGGTCAGAAAATCCCTCGGCAGACCAGACTGACGATACCCGTGAGAGGTGAGGGTTCCAACGACCAGAGGCCGGGCCTGGGGTGAAGTCGCGCTCCGAGGAGTCAGAGGTCTCTGCTCGAGAGCTTGACGATGGACCACGAATGCGGGCATATTGAATCGGGACACCACTATCCATGGCGGTTTGGATGTCTGACACCGACCGAAGGCTGCGCGAGGACGACGTCGCAGACCGTGATCGGCTTCCTGACAGCCGTCGGGAACCCGTGCGGAACGACGCCACCGATTGCGTTGGAGGGCTGGAATGAAACGACGGCGAGCGAGACATGCTCGGTCGTTCTGACGAGGCTGTAAATATCCATTGTGGCACACCAGCATGTCTCACGGCGGTTCCTCGTGAGTTCCACGATGACAGCGAGTCAGTGCGTGGATCGGAATCTGAATTTGAATCTGGGCCGCGAGGAAGGAAGTTCGCACTTGAATTATCCAGGGTGACGAAGTTAGGGCTGGATGGGGCTCCAATGGGCTGGATATTCGGGCTCGAGTAGCCCAAAGTTGACGCATCCTCCGGCTCAGACTTTAGAGACGTGGGCGGTTCTGATACCACCGCTTTAATTGTCGGTGTGGCGGTAGGCAACACAATCAAGTCGTCATCTGAGAACTCGGCATCCGATCCATCAGAGTGGAAATTGTCTGGTTTGGCTGATGGAAAGTCCGGCAAAGACGATTTGCTTGATGTCGGGTCTTCATCCCACATCTGCGGCGGCGAGTTGCCGGGGTCCACTGTTGATGAGTCCCACTCACCAACGGACTGCTCTCGCATGCTGCTCCGGGTCCCATGGCTAAATGTCGGCGACCAGGTCGATGATGAAGGACCTGCATTGGCATATCTGAGGCCAGTATTTGAGATATATTCCTGTTGGCCTTTCCCAGGCATAGGCAACAAGATTTGTTCTGGTTTGGTTGGAAATGGAGTTGCCATATACATTTCATTAACATCTTCTTGAGTTGGAACCCTGTGTACAGATCGCGTTGGGGATCTTTCGTTGGTATGAGCGGAACTGCGCTCTTCTAAAGCCCTCCGCCTCCGAGGAGGAGGGGAGGTAGACTGGGCGTGTGCAGGCATATTGAAACAATTAAAGCATTATCCAAAGTCGGGATGGGATATGGTAAACAGCCAAGTCGAAATGGTCAAAGTCGAGTCGATAGTAAAACCCAAATCAATAAACAATGACGTTGAACCCGAGTTGTTTGTTTTCCTTAATTGAATTGGGACAAAAAGAATGTGAGATCCCACGCTGATATCAAGAAACCGGTCTATAACGGTTAGAAACGAGTGGAGTTTGGCAAAGGACCAAAAAAAAAAAGAACGTAAAAAGAATGACGAGATAATCAGCGGGGTATTAGAAAAGAGAGAAATCGTTTCAGCACATTAAAAGAGCGTCAAGCATGAACAGGGTCATTAAAGAGAAACGACAGGCGCACAAGGATTGAAAAACAACCAGGAGTAAAGAAGATGAGACATTTGGCAGATCAAGGGGGGAAGGAATTTCGTTGCCCAGCGGTGAGGGTAAAACCCGAGACAAGTCCATTTCGCCTATCATTCGACGGCTTTATGCACGTCTGCACGGCCCAATCACTCCTTGTATCTCTCTACCTTAAGTAGACACGGAGTAGTCTTTGGGGTCATGTTGTCTTTGATAATAATCAATATACGAGTACACTTTTAACTCCAATTTCATTATATACTAAACCCGTGATATTCTATATCTGTTGGTGAAAATGTCAAATGTCCCCAGTGTTTAAATGTCGCGATCCAGGCGGGTCCAGCCCCAGTGGATCTCAATGTGTTGTCACTAATCTTAGCGCCAACAATTTATGAGGGGAAAACACTAGAACTTGCTTCCTCACTGATTTTCATTTAAAAATAATATGGGGGGATCCTATCCCCGTTATTGAATTGAAGCTCGTGAGAATCGGAGAATTAAGCCCACGATCCCCTCGCATTGACTCAGGGAAATGAGTAGAGTCAGGGGGACCTGCAGCTGCTGCATCATATTGGTACTCGTGGACGCTTGGTCCATGTGTTCTGGACTGAATCACCGATTTACTGATGAACCCTAGCATGATGATTACATTGGATCTATTTACTGTTTACTTGTTTACTGTTTACTGCTCACTGTTTGTATCTTGGTTTAACCTTGGAAATGATGTTGTTGTTCCAGGGTTCAACCAAATACCAACAATACTTGTATTATTACCATGTCATGCCATCTTGTACCAATATCCACTCATTTATCCTTGATTATACACTCTCGTTCTGTCACGTTCTGTCAGGTTCAACAAAGACTGTCGTTTCCTTTTCTTTGAAAATACCAAATTTTACATCTTGGAGTTGATTCTTCCATAACGCTCTGATCGCCTTCTAGTTGACTAGATATGGCTCCTGTCAGCGTTCTTGCCAGTATCAAAAGTCTGTACACCAAGCATCAGGGTGAGTTTGGTTTCAAGTTTTTCTTCCCTTTTTTCTCCGCAAAGTTCAAAGTTCCCGACAGCTCAGCTAACTCCGACCAGATGAGCCGTCCCTGTCGATAAACACAGTCGCACTGCTCTCGGTAAATGACCTACTGTACATCGAATAAGGAGTAGCCTAACTTTGACTATTTAGGTCGCCCTTACTTTGCTTTATGTGGTGCCTTTGTATCTGTCACCGGCCACGCGGCCATCTCCCAGCCTCAGCCGTGATGCCCCATCGGTGATCCGCGCGCGCATTCGCGTCGTCTCCGCCTCTTGCATCCTGACTACACTGGTGGTCCTTTGGCTGGCTGTCAATCAGGGGGGTTCTTCCCTAGGAGCTGCAGTGACCTTGATGGGCTGGTGGCCTATCAGCGTCGCCGATATCGCTCGCAGCCTGCTCCTGACTGCCATTTTATTCATTGGCCCGCTCTATGAGCGAGGAATCGTCGAGGGAGAATGGCGATTCTGGTTCCGATATAGTAAACTCTCCGAAAGCCTAGGTGGCTGGATTGGATGGAGAAACTACATCGCTGTAAGTCCTTTTCTTTCTCGTTTGGGTTTTCCTGTGGGGAAGTTGATATCAAACTAACACCGTACCAGGGACCCGTTACTGAGGAGATCATGTTTCGATCCGGCATCATTCCATTGCACCTGCTGGCCCATGTCTCCCCGGGTTACATTGTGTTTGTCTCGCCACTATACTTTGGCATTGCGCATGTTCACCATTTCTATGAATTCCGTCTCACTCACCCAGACACTCCCGCGCTGGCCGCTCTGCTGCGATCGCTCTTCCAATTTGGCTTCACGACCGTATTTGGTTGGTATGCCACTTTCATCTATCTGCGTACCTCCTCCTTGCTGGCCGTCATCCTGATTCACAGCTTCTGTAACTGGTGTGGATTGCCACGCGTTTGGGGACGCGTGGAGGCTGGCATCACTATCAGTCCACCGATGACCCGCGGCAAAGAAGACTCAGACGGTCAGTCAGCTATTGTTGGCGATCACCTGAACATTGGTTGGACAATTGCGTATTATCTGCTCTTGGTCGCGGGTGCTGTCACCTTTGCGCAATGCCTGTGGCCTTTGACTAACTCGTACCACGCGTTGGTAACCTTCTCGTCCTCTGAATCCACAAAATGATGGACTCCTGGGATAATGGGCGCCAAGACAATGATGAATTCGTTTGCATTTGTTAATTGTATTTATGCATGGTCCAATGTCCAGCGTGCAGGCTTGCCTTTCGGTGAATGCTGAGGATCAAAGAGCTAATAAGAGACCAAGACATATTTTTCATAGAATTAATGGACAAATTATCTTTCATTTAAAACAGAACAAGTTTACTCTATACTTTGCTTTTCAAGATAATACATACTATCGCATTGTCAAAAGATCGAAACAGCGTTTCAGATACAACAAGCAGCAACATACCGAACTGCCAGGATATCGCACTATATTAGGGTCAAAGAGATTTAAATTTTGTATTTTTCTAAGCCTTTACCCTCACAACTTTCCTCCGCCGCCATCAAAGTTCTCTCCATCATATTTCATTTCTGTCGCCAGTCATACCCCATACCAAGTCTAAGAAGCGCGTCCAAGTCAATTCCCCGTATAGTGTAAGCAGAGTGCCATTGCCAAGAACCGCTCCAACGGCTTTCTCACCCGAACCATTTGGGAGAGGTCATTTGCCTTGAGACCGATGAGCTTGACGATGAGCTGGTCTTTTTCATGATGGCGATTGTCTCTTCAATGGAAATGGAGGAGCGGCTGGCGAACAGCAAGGACGACCACAGTTTAACATCGCTCTGGTGGAAACTGGTTGAACTGTGTAATGCGACGGCGCCCTTTGGCATTTTCCCTCGACTTGGGAGCTTCCTCGATCTGCTCGATGGCAAGATAGTTCCTGACGCTGGTGAGGGGATTATTGGGCAAGAAAATGAGAACGAGAAGCAGTCCCGTCGTGTCATTGATTCCACCGATCCAGTCCCTGTCTCCCTCTCCTCCACCATTCCATCGAGGGATTCTCAGGATTTCCGTGTCTTCTTCACAGGACTGTTGATGTATTTTGGGGCTAACTGATGACTCATACTTTTTTACCATTTTTCTCGAACAATTCGGATATCTTTTGATCGCAATCTACGCCTTGATGTATTCCTGTTCGATGTATTTCTGTGCGGTTTTCATGTTAAGAAGTTTTGAACTTCCTGTATCAACCTTGCCTGGTTCATTCAAATATTTTCCTTCTGGATTTTCTCGGGCTCTTTCTAGCTTTTTCAATTGACTAGTACATATATAAGTTACATAGGTACATTTGATATGCGGTGTGATTTCTACATATACATATGTATCCGTTGTAGGGGATGAACCCTTGACAATATATATATTGCGAGTACATAGTAACGTTCGCCTGATTTGAAACATACTTCGACCGTTCAAATGAACTCAAGTGTTCTCCACATTACTGTTTACACATAAGCAATATCGTGAACAATATACATAATGGCCTACACCCCTGAATGCAGACTAAGCTGGAATTGGTCATCTCAATGGGTCGCGGGTCGGGCCAGAGCGGGGGCGCGCACAGACGAACTCTATCTAAATCTTGGCAACAAGGGGAAGTGCAGTGTTTAACCAGATCGCACCGTAAGAGGTTAAGAGGCTGCTTGCTTTGCCGTACCGCGTCGGGCTGAGGGAAGTAAGTGAGAGATTCAAAGCTAGTACACTGCAAAAAGGTAACATCGATTGAGCTTTTGTTGCTGGGATGGAATGGGAGGATGTCTAGATATACCAGAAGACTGTCGAAGATAGTTTGGAAAAGTCTATCGAAAAATGAGTTTGCAACTGATGGTGCTACTTAACTTGACGCCACATATGGTATACCTAGTAAATTTTGAGAACTGCGGCATAATAGATCAATCCTCAACGGTATGTGCCAAGAAGATGACATTGAAGGCCTGAAGCTTGAGGCATTTAATATGTTTTCGTTCATGAGAAGTTAAAACCTCGTCTTCCTATCATTAGTCTGGATCTTGAACTTGAGTCTCAACAATTTGTACTTGATCGTCTAGACAGTTTATCGGAATTTGTCACAACAAATGACTTTCAAACCTGACCAGTAATCTATGTCAATTCCATGTTGAAATGTTTACAGTCAGGAGAATGTGTATTTCATGTGAAGATTTTAAAGCTGAATGCTTACCCGCGGACTGGATGCTCCTTCAAACGGTACATATTCTCACGTATGCACAAATAGTCTGCGGTGTACTCAAGTATGTCGTAGAGGATTTGATACCTAGTTCAGCTTGGAGATGAAAAATACGAATATTGTACAGGTCTATATAAATGATAAATACAGTGAAGGATGGAGTGACCGGGTTGTGACCAGGTTGAATCCAACGACTAAATCAGAACACGACGTTCACCAATTTGCCCTTGACAACGATGACTCGTCGCCTCTTCTCCCAATCGTTCTTCTCACGCAGCCACAGATTGCCTTCAGTACTCTCCAAGACCCGATCAATGATCCAGTCTTGTTCTTCCTTCGAAAGAGCCACTTTGCCCTTGGATGGCGTTTCTTCAGAGGACGGCCAGCGTGGAATGGTAACAGCACAGCGGAGTTTTCCGTTGACTTGGACTGCTATCGTTTGGCCACCACGGGAGGATAGAGCCTCGGCTTGCTCGGGGGTCAGAAGCGTGCTTGGCCAGGGAGATGAGAAGATGGATGATAGAGAAGTTGTAGGATCAGACTGCAGAGCAGAATCATGCAGTATTTCCCAGGACTCGGAGGCTAGTGCAGGTGCAATTGGTGCCAGGAGGCGAAGGAGGGCAGAAAGACATAGATAAAGGGCGAGAGGAGAGGATGGGGGTGCCGATGACAAGGCGTTGGTCAATTTGGTTAGATCCGAGATGACGGTATTCAAGCCGTAGGGGTTGCTCTCAATGCAGCTAGTGACCGAAGAGATAGTGTTATGAGTCGCGAGAACAGCGTCCGCGTCGAAATCAGAAAGGTCCTGGAGGGACGGAGGTAGAGATACGACGTGACCGGTAGGGTTCTTCAGATCGGTCACGGGAAGAGCGAAAGACGCCTCAGCCAAGGTTTGCTGTGTGTCAATCACGAGCTTCCAAAGGCGGCCGAACCAGCGCTCAACACCGACAATCTTGGATTCGTCCCACTCCAGGACTTCGCTCACAGGCGCCGAGAAGAGCACGTGTGCACGGGTGGCATCGGCACCATACTTGGATGCACAGACTGTAGGGTCAACACCATTGTGCTTGCTCTTTGACATTTTCTCAAATGAAATATTAGGAGTAATTTGAGTGCCTGAGATCAAGGGCTTGTCGGGTTTTGTGAGATCCACTTCGTGCGGGAGCAAGAATCGACCCGTCGAGGGCTCTGTAAAGGTCTTGCCATGAACCATGCCCTGGGACAAGAGCATCTTGAAAGGCTCTGATACAGATTGTTCCCCGGGAGTGGAGGCTGGGAACAATTCTGACTGCGCAAGGAACTTGTAAATGAATCGAGCGTAGAGCAGATGCAAAATGGCATGCTCCACACCACCGATGTAGACATCTACTGGCCGCGCCACAGAAGCCGAGAAAGGGGAATCTTTATTTGATGCGTCCAGGAAACGGAGGAAATACCAAGATGAGTCCACAAAAGTATCCATGGTATCTGTATCACGCTTTGCTGGCCCTCCACAGATGGGGCAGCTTGTGTGAAGCCACTCCTCGGATGATTCAAGGGGGTTACCCTTCTTGCCCTTCAGCCATTCTCCTTGGATCTTGGGCAGTTTGACGGGGAGGTCTTCTTTTGGCACAGGAACTGGGCCGCACTCGCCACAGTGGATGATAGGGATAGGTGCACCCCAGTACCGTTGCCGGCTGATCAACCAATCTCGTAACCGCCAGCTTTCCACGAAGTTGGCCTGTCCTTCTTTGTTGAGATCGTTGACAATCTGCTGTCCAGCTTCCTTGGAGGGCAAGCCTTGGTACTTTCCACACTGCGAGGTGAGGAAACCTTCCTGCGTAAAGGCCTTCGCGTCCTGGGCGGAGACAAAGTTCTTGTTTCCTTGAGATGGCTCTGACTCAATGACTATAGGAATTGACTCAGGGTCCGCATTTTCCTTGAAGAAAGCCATGTCTCTGGCGTCATGACCGGGAACACCCATGACTGCACCCTCGCCATAATCACTGAGGACATAGGGTGCAACGAAGACAGGGATATTTCTCTCTAATTGTGGGCTCTCTTTGTCAATTTTCAGCAAAGGATGGGTTGCTGCAATGTCATTCAAGCGGTAACCGGCTTTCGAGTCGGGAGGAAGTTGTGATGCATCATCCAAAAACTTACGGAGCAAGGCGTCTTTCTCCGCAGCATTCAAGACAATTGGGTGGTCTAGCGAGAGTGCCAGATATTCAACACCGTAGAGGGTGTCTGGTCGGGTGGTGAAGACATCAACGTGTACATTTGTACCATGAACGGCCACCGGGAACCTAATTTTGGCACCGTTCGATTTTCCAAGCCAATTCCGTTGCATAGATAGGACACGATCTGGCCAGCCCCCAGCAAGTGAGTCTAGATCCTTTAATAGCATTTCCTTAAAGTCCGTGATACGGAAAAACCACTGCTTGAGATTTAATTTCTCGACCTTGGCTCCAGACCGCCATGAGAATCCATTGGCATCCACCTGTTCATTAGCGAGCACGGTCTTGTCGACAGGGTCATAATTGACTAAAGCCTCGGCTTGGTACGCCAATCCCTTCTCATGCAGCATCAGAAATATCCGTTGCGTGTGCTCGTAGAAATCCGGTGCACAGGTAGCAAGTTCCTAACAAGCTCAAATGTTAGTTATCTGTGGCAAGTCATCTTATTCCACCTGGAATTCTACATACCCGGTCCCAGTCAAATTCAGCAGAGATACTCCCTAACTGAGCCTTCATCTTTGCAATATTTTGTGCCGTCCATTCAGCAGGATCCACGCCGCGTTCAATCGCCGCGTTTTCTGCTGGCAATCCAAAGGCATCCCATCCCATAGGATGGAGGACATCATGTCCACGCATTTTATAAAACCGTGACAATACATCTGAAATGGTATAAACGCGAAGATGACCCATATGTAATGTGCCCGAGGGATAAGGGAACATCGACAAGATGTAGGACTTCGGCTTAGGCTCGGATTCTAATTCGCTAGTGCATTGCGGCGACGTCGCGTCCAATTTCCACTGAGCCTGCCATTTTTTGTCCAAGGCAGGAAGATCAAGCTTGCGGGGGCTTGTAGTGCTGGCGAGGCGAATGAAGGTATTCGAGAGAGCGAAAGGTCGGCCGGAGCGGGAGAACCTCGCCTGCGCGGCTAAAGGCGTTAATCGAATTCGGGAGAGGGTTTGCATGATGATGAATATCTCATTATGCTTTAAAGAATATAATATGAGGGTAGGTGCTCCAGCACCATTTTAATGTTGAGGTGAGTGTCGGTCTTCATCTTCAAAACTTCCCCGGAGCCCGCGCAGCTTTAAACCCTATCGGGACTAGCGTCATATCCAGATAAGCCGCTCAAGTCATCAAATCTCATTTAACTAATGATCAATGAATGACCTATAAATGGTGGGATATTGACAAATTGACATGAATGAGACAAAAATGTATATCAAAGCGATTGTCTATTTGAGATCTATTTATATACAAATAATCATACAGCCTGTGCATATTAATAAACCCTTGATCTAGGTCTATAACCGTAGAATGTCTCCATTCCGGTCAATGCCACCACGGAAGTGATCCGTAAGTACTTTGCCCCCAAGAATAGTTTCGTCTACTATGCCTTGCACATGCTTGGGCTCGACGCGACCATACCAGATCCCCTTGCCCGCCAGCGGGTGAGGCTCTGAGCCTCCCATTGTCATCTTCGGTGGGATATACACAATGACATTACCGGCATACTTGTGGCCACCAACGTGGCTGATCAGACCAATGTGGGCATGCTTGGGATCATCGATGTTCGTACCATCACTATCCGTGGAGGTAAACCCCTGAGCTTGAAGAACGCGCTGGAATTCGGTCTCGAGTGCAGGGGCCATGACACCACAGCGCATATCGCGACCCCCGTGTCCACAGATTAAAACGGTAGGCGAATGTTCAATATCGATGATGCCAGTAAAGTTGGACGCAAATTCAGGAGCCCTAGTCATGTCGGCTTGCTTGGCTTCGGGCAAAGACGAGTGCATTTCATGTAGTCGCTCAGGAAGGAGAAATGCGCGAACAAAGGTGGTCAAGTCGGTGGTGTTCAGAGAGGAGAGTATCTCAACGGGGATAGAAGGAATGTATTTGAAGCTAGGGAATAGGAATGCGGAGGCGGTGGCGCGGGTACTCGCAGCGGGGGTGATGGAGGAATTAGTGACAAGAACATTATTGAACGGCTGTTTTCAAGGTTAGCGAATGCTTCAAGCAGAGAAGATCAGGATATTGGCGTACATCCAGATATGGACCTCCGCGACCGAGTAGGCGCTTGAGGCCTCTAACAAGATCACCCCAGCCCGTATTCTCTCCGTCATTTTCAATCTTGCTTGTCCAGTCTCTCTGCCCAGTACAGATCAAAAGCTGTTGCGCATACGCCACCATCGTCCCGTTCAAAGCTTGCTCATGATCAATCGGCAGTCCTTCCGGCATGGATGGTGTCGATGGGCAGTCGCATGTCGGCTCGGGGCACGTTTTGGTGACAGGGAACGGAGGAGGAATCTCGAGGCGAGCGCGAAGCCTGCTTGGGCGGCGTGAGGTGCCTGACAATAATCGGGTGGAATTGGTGGTTTGGGCGCGCCCACTGCAGCCGCGCACAAGCGACTTTACAATTGTTGGTCTTAATCTCATTGAGTAGGGTAATTATGGATGGATGAAAGAGAAAGGTTCGAATTTGATGGGAAATAAGCGGACGCGACCCAAAATTGCCAAAACCATCAATCTCCGAGCGGAGCGGAGATTAGCAAGATTAGGAATTGCCGCACTTGATTTGTTGGTTCCGTTTTAACGTTACGTACCTTATCCAAGTACCAGTAACGTGGTAATTTGACAGGAGTAGGAGTTTGGTTATAGGGGAGAAAGTTAGCGGTTGCTTATATGAAGATTTAGGGGAATAGAATTAAGGATTGACATCCGTGTGGTCGAGTGGTAAACACTCCCACCAGCTGGCACTACATGTGACCAAACAGGTTAGCTCACGGGACTTAATGGTGTTGCAGTAAGTACCGGGAAACATCAACTCAAGAGCAGACTCCTCAAAGTGACCAAAAAAGGCACAGGAGGAATAATATGTTTTTTTTTTTGTGTTTTTTGAAACTTTTTTAACTGGACTACGTACTCGCTGTATCAGGATATCAAGTCATATCTATTTCAAATCGATTATGGGGCGGAATATCGAGGTAGGTGATTGATGGGTTGTGCAAATGAGGCCATTCACAATGTACCTTTGAAGTACTCGGTAAGAACAGGCATAATTGATACATCCCATGTTTGATTCCAGCTCTTGCTAGGATGAAAGTTTTCGTTGCTTCTAATTACAGCAGTCACCGTAAATATGCACGTAGTATTCCACCGAGCTGTTTCCATATCATTCGATCCCAAGGAGCTTCCACCATCTATCTAGAGATGGCAGCGCAACCCGATCCGTCGTATGTAACCCGTACGCTATTCAAGGCTCGCAAGGTAGATAGATGCCCCCAAGATTTTCCACCTGCTCCATGTCAGATTTCAATTTGACCTTTGGAATCTGAATACAGTATTGTCGTGACAGTGATGCAGGAGGATCATGATCTTGGGGCTTGCCGATCGCGGTTTATCGGGGCAATAATGGTTAGCGCCTAGAGATCAACAAAGATTAGCCATCATTCCACAAGATTGCTTTAGCACATAGCCCCATTGTTGAGAATGACCAGCTTTCGACTTCAGCTTCATAGCGACGCATTTCTGTTGTGTCCATATTTGATTCCACCACTTTGAGATGGGACGGGCAGACGCTGTTGTCAATCACAGACATCTGTCCATCTTTTATTCGCGCATGTATGGTATTTCAGGTTGGCGGTACGTAATAGATGTTTCGCAATTTGGAACGATGTCTCCTTGAAGCTGATCAGAGCAATGATAATAAAAAGTTTCAATCTAGGGCGGACAAGGGGATGGAGAGCACGAAAAGGCGTGCGCGCAGTTCAATTCCTCTTTTGGCAAGATAGGAAAACCCCATTGATTGACTCCAAAACATCCCGGTTGGCATGTCTTCGCAATCAATGGTGGACCCGTGAGGGCGAAATCCCCAACAAAAGTACTCTCCTCACCAAAGCAGGGAAGATTGGCTGGTGAGCGGGTCTGGAGTTGGAGAAGTTTAGCAGGCCGAAGTTCGGCGGAAAGACGGGATTGACTCGGAGATCAGCTCAAGCTCCGTGGATACACGGCGTCTTTTAATAGCTAAACAGAATTGAAGTTAAGGCTCGAACCAAGATCCTGTCAATGCTGACTTAATTTACTTGTTCCTTTGTTTCTTTCTGATCAGAGCTACCCCTCATTATGTCAGCAACCCCTCCTGCGGGGAAAGTACTAAAGTAGCTTAGCGTTAGTGATAAGGGGTAGACTACTAGTGGGCTGATTGTACATTGCTAACGTGTAACTAGTATACTAGTATATGTGTCTCTTGCAAATGCCGTTATCACTTCGACTTCCGGGTTTGATTCCGTCTGTTATTTACTATCATGGTCAAATCTACCTAGAGCTAAGTTCCGATAATGTGGCTTTTAGTCCCAAAAGTGAGGTACCCCGCACGCCATAGGAAATTTATCGACGAGACCGTGTTACTAGTAGTTTTTCGGTGAGACTCGAGGTACAGCCAACAAGGTATCCCACTAATGCATGAACAGGCTGAAACACGAGGATCATGACAATTACAATCTAAGAGGACGAACCACAAGAGTCTCCTTCCCCCTCCTTTGTCCCTCGTGCGGAGAGAGTTCCACAGTGTCGTACCCCATCCGGCTACTCTCCCGTCCCGAGTCCCGCTTTGATGATTTGGACTTTCTGGATTTCCCGCAAGGTGGATTATTTTGTGTAAAGTACAGAAAGAGGGGGGGCTCAATTGGAGAAGGGACTAAGTGACTAAAGGGGGGGGGAAACTATATAACAACTGACCCAAACCCAATAGATTCGTCTTTTCTTCTCTTCATTCCAACACAAACATACTCTTCCCCCCTAAAGGTAAGCCAAAATCAATCATAGCTATAACGCTTCCCCACATTTCCCCGCTCCAACCTTCAACCTCTGACTTCATCCAACCTCTGACTTCATCGACTTATCTTTTCCTTGATATATAATGCAAATTGCTGACTTCCCACAGATTATCCTTTTCTCCTACATTTTAATCAAACTTGATTTAATAAACTCTTCAAAATGGTATTTATTCGATCCCTCTGTCAATTGCGACGCCCTGCCATCCACTTGCTCTCGGGAGGTTTAAAGGCTACCGCCCCCACCACCTTTGCGAAGCCGATTGGTGCTTTTGCCAATTCACGTACGCTAACCGCATCTGCCTCCCTTCAGGGTAAAGTTCTTTTGGTTCTGTACGACGTAAGTACATGTCCATTTTGACATTCCTAGATCCTTGCTAATCCATGTTTTAGGGTGGCGAGCACTCCAAGCAGCAGCCCGGTCTTTTGGGTACCACTGAGAACGAGCTTGGTCTTCGCAAGTGGCTCGAGGATGCGGGTCACACCCTGGTGACCACCTCCGACAAGGAGGGTGAAAACTCCACCTTCGACAAGGAGTTGGTCGACGCCGAGGTCATCATCACTACTCCGTTCGTCACACACTGCGAAATTTCCATACTTCATCCGCTAACCTGAATAGCTTCCACCCTGGATACCTCACCGCTGAGCGCCTGGCCAAGGCCAAGAAGCTCAAGCTTGCCGTCACTGCTGGTATTGGCTCTGACCACGTTGACCTTAACGCCGCCAACAAGACCAACGGTGGTATCACTGTCGCCGAGGTCACTGGTTCTAATGTTGTCTCCGTTGCTGAGCACGTTGTCATGACCATCCTCCTTTTGGTTCGCAACTTCGTCCCCGCCCACGACCAGATCCGCAACGGCGACTGGGATGTTGCTGCTGTCGCCAAGAACGAGTACGACTTGGAGGGCAAGGTTGTCGGTACCGTCGCTGTTGGCCGTATCGGTGAGCGTGTGCTCCGCCGTCTGAAGCCCTTCGACTGCAAGGAGCTGCTCTACTACGACTACCAGCCCCTGAGCCCCGAGGCTGAGAAAGAGATTGGCTGCCGTCGTGTTGAGAACCTCGAGGAGATGCTTGCCCAGTGTGACGTTGTCACCATCAACTGCCCTCTGCACGAGAAGACCCGCGGTCTGTTCAACAAGGAACTGATCTCCAAGATGAAGCCTGGTAAGTGGCTGAGATATTCCGAGTGGCCATAGTTCAGAATTGCTAACAGTTCATCAGGTGCTTGGCTGGTTAACACTGCTCGCGGTGCTATTGTTGTCAAGGAGGACGTTGCCGAGGCCCTCAAGTCCGGACACCTCCGCGGGTACGGTGGTGACGTCTGGTTCCCCCAGCCCGCTCCCAAGGACCACCCTCTCCGCTACGCTGAGCACCCCTGGGGTGGTGGTAACGCCATGGTCCCCCACATGTCCGGTACCTCTATCGATGCTCAGGTTCGTTACGCCAACGGTACCAAGGACATCTTGGATAGCTACTTCTCCGGCCGTGAGGATTACCGCCCTCAGGACCTGATCGTTCACAAGGGCGACTATGCCACCAAGGCTTACGGCCAGCGCAAGTAAAGGGCTTGTGTTCGGGAACAAAAAGTATTCCCCTGATTTGACGCGCTCATGGTTTCTTCTTTTCAATTGTTCATATCTTTTACACCTTGCCATTCAGAAGGCATAGGTCACGCTGAAAATATAGCATTTACGATACCAATGGAATTATATCTTTCACCACAATCCCTCGACCCTGCAACGTAATCTTAGACTCTTATCTGCTGCAAGAAAAATCTTCCCCAATGATCATCGAGTGGGGCCGTGACACTGTCGATCAACAGATTGACAGATCCAAGGACGGCTAAAAAGTCGGTGGATCCCCAAGATTGATTAATAAAATATTCTACATGGTAGATGCCACACTTGCTTGGCTTTTTTTTTTGGATCACAATGATCAGTGTTGTATTCCCCATGCACTCTGCGTATGTAGATCTGTCTGCCGAGGACAACAAACCTGGACAGACCAAAGTATGTAAAAGATGAGAAAATGTGTTCGTATCTATAAGACGCTATGTGCATCCTTGAAAATTTCAAGAATCGCTGGTTATACAAATGGGGAAGAAAACACCGTCAATGACCATAGAGTTGTACACAAGGCCTGAACCAAAACTTTAATGTCGATATCTCGAACCGTCTCGGCCCTCACTGCCTTCATTATCACTGTCATCCATGAAAACCTCCTCCAAGTCTCGACTGAGCCGAGATTGATCATCTGTAACGGTGTTGCGATGGCGGTCCAAGGCTTCTCGCCGGGCCGCATCCATGCCCATGCCGACCATGAGCTCCCCTTCGTCATCATCGATATCGATGTTCTCATGATCATCTAAATGTGCCCCTCGTCGCCATGATGAGGGAAGAAAAAAGCGCATTACTGCATCGGCCACGCGATCTCGGAGCGAAACGGTGTGTGCCGAGATGGTATGTAGAGGGAGGTATTGGGAGTAGCGTTGGTGATAGCGACGAAAGAATGGAATGATTAGAACGGTGAAAAGGAGATAGACCGATAGAGCAATTACTGCAGGTACCAAAATGGTCTGTGAGAAAGCAGTCAGTCAATTTGTTCCGGTTGTTGCCTTATAGCTGACGACGCAATTCCACACAATAAAGTGATATGAGATGTAATACTAACCTTTGCAAAATTTGATACAGAGCCCATGGTGATCAATGAACGGTCCCCGAAGCTATGGTGTTTTTCTGCACTGCGACTGAATCCTTGGTTGAGCCCTCACTTGGGCTCGGGGTTAAGATAGCGGATATGTTTACCGGGTGGTTTGGTATGTATCAGGGGGCCGTAGATCCCGAAGATTGAAGAAACTCCGCGAAACAAAGAATTCTCTACCCCTCAACAAATTGAACTATTCAACATTCAAATCGATGTTATATATCGATCTTATCGCAGATTGCCCCCCCCCAAAAAGAAACCAAAGATATTGACAATTGTACGTTGAAAAGCGATAAAGAACAGAAAACAGACTTTCCCCACAGCTCATCACATGATTACACGTGACATCCGGTCGGAGAGTTTGTCCGAAGTGACAGGTGACTAAGCGTGGAACTAAAGCCCCCTAATGCCTAATGAGATGAATCCCCTAATCTGCAATTTAAAGGTGCCCGTGCTTTGATCGACCCTGGACTCGCCTGGTGCATACCTGCAAGTTTCGGTTTCCCCTCTCCCCTTTCAACTCTTCATCAGTGAGATACACCCTACCCTACCCCAAAGTTGCTTCTTTTTCAGTCCATATCGGTGCGGGCTCCATAACAAACCAAAGCGGGTATACTAACAGAGGAAGGGAGGGACAAAAACAGAAACCACCTCAAATCGTGAATGTTCTCGTCTTCGCTCCCCGGATCTTTGGCGACCCGCCCTCGCGACGACTCAAGATATTCGACTTGAACCAACTACGCGTGTTCTCTGGATTGTGCGAGGGGCGCCCTTGATGTGCTCTGCCATTTCACACTCCCACCAACATGCCCGCGAATGCCGACAAGTCCAGGCAGACCTCGGCCGGAAAAAGCTTTTTTGGGAGGAAACTGTACAAAGACAAGGCACCGGATGATCGTTACGATGGGTATGGGGGTTCCTACGACAGTCTCGCCCCGCCGGGCAGCACCGCCGGCTCTCGCTCGTCCCGCTATTCAAAGCGCTCTTCAATTCAGTCTGTCGACATGACCCATGATATCGATCCCAGCAGCCTCGCGCCTACTGCCGGTGTCATTACTACTATCCCCTTCGAAAGTCTTCCCTCCGATACCAGAACGCCCATCCCCATCGACAACATGGCCCGACCAGAGTCCCGCCAGGAACCCTCCCCCAACCACATCGGCAGTACCGGCGGCGACTACCATCAATATCCCGTGTGGACCTCTACTTCTGCGCCAAATGGCTCCGCGTCGCATCCCTCCGGCCCTCGTCCGCCTCCACATGCGTCAAACACGACGATGACAAGTAGTACATCCGGCGATCGTGGGACCAGATACCAACAATGGGGACGGCCGGGAAGCTCGAGTGCGAGTGCCAATAACGGCATGGGTCATAACTCATCCATCGATTCCTCGTCAAATTCTCGGACATCACTCGACCAGGCCAGCTTATATTCTTCTCACTCTTCTAATACCCGCGGCTCCAACTACTTCTCTACCTCTGATGGGTCTGGTCGCACCCTCACCACGTCACATTCAAGTGATCGCAGTACACTTTTCCCTAGCGGAAGTGCTGGTCGATTGTCCAATGCACAATCTGCCTCGCAAAATATTCCTGCAGCCGTGCCCCGGCCACCTGATCAATATCTAACTCGACCAAGAGACGATCGTATAGTGGATCAGCTATTCCTGGAACTGATGAACAAACGAGGCTGGCAGAATCTTCCTGAACAGGCTAAACGGCAAATGCTGTCGTATCCTGCCTCGAAGAAATGGACCCTAGTCCACCAGGATCGATTGACGGAGCTGCAAGGAGAACAAAAGAGGCGACAAAACGCCCGTCAAACCCACGGTCATGATGGATTATCCGGTCTTTTAGAGCGTGCCGACGAAGAAGGAAGCCCTGAATGGTACGTGAAGAAAGTGATGGACGACTCAATTACTTCCAAGCAGCTAGCCAGTTTGAGTGTCAGTCTGCGGACCCAACCCATCAGCTGGGTTAAAACGTTCGTGGAAGCCCAGGGTCAAGTGGCTTTGACAAATGTTCTACAAAAAATCAATCGACGAAAGACTTCCGGTCCAGTCCCCGCTCCCCCAACTGGGGACAAGGATCTTGACCGAGAATATGATATCGCCAAATGTTTGAAAGGTCTCATGAACAACAAATATGGTGCAGATGATGCGCTTGTGCACCAGGGTGTTCTTACTGCCCTTGTTAGCTCTTTGTCATCTCCCCGTCTCAACACTCGGAAGCTTGTCAGCGAAGTCCTCACGTTCCTGTCCCACTGGGCCGATGGAGAGGGTCACCAGAAGGTTATTCAGGCCATGGATAAGGTCAAACACGACCACAACGAAACTGGTCGCTTCGATGCCTGGATGCGAATCGTGGAGGTCACCATCGATGGTCGTGGTAAAATGGGAAGTTTGGTCGGCGCTAGCGAGGAGTACCGCAGTGGAGGCATTGGCATGGAAAACCTCCTGATGGAGTATGCTGTCTCGACAATGATGCTCATCAACATGCTAGTTGATGGCGCTGAGAATGACCTGCAATTGCGATGCCACATTCGTGCCCAATTTACCTCATGTGGAATCGTTCGTCTTTTGACAAAGATGGAAGGTTTCCAATATGAGGCAATTGACAAGCAGATCGAACGCTTCCGTGACAATGAGGCTATCGATTATGAAGATTTGCTCCAACGGGAGGGCAGCAGCATGAAGGACAGTGTTGAGGGCGAGGTCAAGGACATGAGTGACCCTCTTCAGATTGCGGATGCCATCGCCACAAAGATCAATGGTACTCGATCTCATGACTACTTCTTGTCGGCTATGCAGCATATGCTTCTGATCCGGGAAAACTCCGGGGAAGAGGGCTTACGCATGTTCCAGCTCGTAGATGCCATGATGAGCTACGTTGCTATGGACCGCAGGCTTCCCGACCTCGACTTGCGTCAAGGTTTAAATTTCACTGTGCAAAGCCTTTTGGATCGACTCCATACAGATGCCGAGGCAAGGCGAGTATATGATGAATCCCTAGAGGCTCGTCAAATCGCGGAGGCAGCCATCGCCGAGCGTGATGAGATGAAAGCCCAGGTAGAGCTCGGTGCGGACGGTCTCGTCAAGAAACTTCAGAAGCAGATTGAGGAGCAGGCCGGCATTATTGAGCTCCAAACTCGACAAAACGAGACAATGAAGGCCGAAGTGGGTGAGGTGCAGCGGCTGCGTGCCCAAGAACTGCAACGTAACGAATTGGAGACCCGAGAGCTTTATCTGATGCTCCGGGATGCCCAAGACATCGCTGCGTCAAATGCTCGGAAGCTTAACCAGACCGGGGAAGGTGATCCATCGCAAATGCCCGGAATCATGGATCGAGAGCGTCTCATGGAGCGTCTAGAGCGCCAGCTGGAGAGAACCAAGACCCAGTTCAAACTGGAGGGCAAGGTTTGGGGTCAATTTGAAAATGGTCCATCAGACCGATTGCGTGAGCTACGTGAGCAGATGGACGACCATAGAGATAATAGTGAGGAGTTCGCTGAGCAAACCCGTCGCACTATGGACTCCAGTTCCTTTGGATCTGTCTACCGCAAACGAAGCCATGTGCCCGAGATGGACCAGTTCCCAGATGGTGCAGTGCCGACTATTGCAGAGGGTGACGAAGCAGCGCCAGGCCAGTCTTATGGTATGATGGGCTTCCAGCGACGTTTGAATCCTGTACAGGCAAATGGGCTATTAGGCGAGCTAGCTCTCAAGGTGCCCAAGTATGATGAAGGTCCAAAGGCAACAGGTACTGCAGATATCACTGCAGAGGATGCCGCTGCCGGAGATATCACCCCAACAGAAGCACCCAGGTCCGAGGTCAAGGCAGAGTCAGACAAACTGGCAATGCCTCCGCCCCCGCCTCCCCCCGGTGGTGCAAAGCTGGCAATTCCTCCTCCTCCGCCACCTCCGCCACCAGGAGGCATTGTTGTGCCGCCGCCACCGCCGCCGCCAGGTGGTTCAACGGGAATTCCCGTTCCTCCGCCGCCGCCGCCTCCTCCCCCCGGCGGTGCCAATATCGGAGTCCCTCCTCCTCCCCCTCCAGGGGGCATCTCTGTCGCTCCCCCTCCGCCTCCTCCGGGAGGGATTATTCGTGGACCGCCTCCTCCCCCTCCTCCAGGGGGCGCTGGTGTTGGTCCTCCACCGCCTCCTCCGGCCCCCGGGGCAAATGGCTTCGCTCCTCCCCCTCCTCCAGGTGGCGCTGGTTTTGGTCCACCACCGCCTCCCCCGGTTCCTGGGGCAAAAGGCTTCGCTCCTCCCCTCCTCCCCCCCCCCAGTGCTCCCCTGGGTGCTGGCTGGAGACCCAACTACATGGCTGGAGACTCTGTTCCTGGTACCACTCATTTGCCGTTTATTCGTCCTAAGAAGAAGCTCAAGGCCTTGCATTGGGACAAGGTTGACACTCCCCAAGTGACAGTCTGGGCCGGTCATGCCCCAACAGCCGAGGATAAAGAATCGAAATACACCGATCTTGCCAAGAAAGGTGTATTGGACGAAGTTGAACGACTGTTCATGGCGAAGGAAACCAAGATTTTCGGAGCCAGCACTGCAGCCAAAAAACGCAATGAGAAGAAGCAGATCATTTCCAATGACCTGTCTAAGAATTTCCAGATCGCTCTTTCGAAGTTTTCGCAATTTCCTCCCGAGGAGGTGGTTCGCATGATCATTCACTGTGACCGAGAAATGCTGGATAACATGGTCGTCATGGATTTCCTGCAACGAGAAGAGATGTGCAATATCCCAGAGAACGTTTCAAAGTTGATGGCACCGTATAGTAGGGACTGGACGGTCCCGGGTGCTACCAGTTCTGAGCGTGAGCAAGACCCCGCCGAGCTCACCCGCGAGGATCAAATTTATCTGGCCACCTCCTTTGAGTTGAACCACTACTGGAAGGCGAGAATGCGGGCCCTTGCGATGACTCGGTCCTTTGAGCACGAGTATGAAGACATCTCGACTAAGCTGCAGGATGTTGTCACTGCCAGCGAGTCTTTGCGTGATTCTGTCGCTCTGATGAACGTTCTTGGTCTCATTTTGGACATCGGAAATTTCATGAACGACGCCAACAAACAGGCCCAGGGTTTCAAGCTCAGTTCACTTGCCCGCTTAGGTATGGTCAAGGATGACAAGAATGAGACTACTTTCGCCGACCTGGTCGAGCGCATCGTGCGCAACCAATACCCAGAGTGGGAGAGTTTCTATGAGGAAATTAATGGTGTGGTCAGCCTTCAGAAAGTCAGCGTCGATCAACTATGCACCGATGCCAAGAAGTACATCAGCAACATCAAAAACGTTCAATCCAGCTTGGACGCGGGCAATCTGAGTGACCCGAAGAAGTTCCATCCCCAGGACCGCGTCAGCCAGGTCGTTCAGCGAAGCATGAAGGACGCTCGTCGCAAGGCCGAGCAAATGCAGCTTTATTTAGACGAAATGGTCAAGTCCTATGATGATATCATGGTGTTCTACGGTGAAGACAACACTGACGAAAATGCCCGACGAGACTTTTTCGCTAAATTGGCTTCATTCTTGCTTGAATGGAAGAAATCGCGAGAAAAGAACATAGGTCTTGAAGAATCTCGGAAGCGTACTGAAGCTTCTCTTGCTCGCAAGCGAATCAATGTCAATCTTGCCAATGGTGCTGCTTCTGCCGAAATACCGAATTCGCCTGCCACAAGTGGTGCAATGGACTCGTTGCTAGAGAAGTTACGTGCCGCTGCACCTCAGGCCAAAGATCAGCGCGATCGCCGTCGCCGTGCTCGTCTCAAGGAACGCCACCAGGTCCGTGTGGCTTCTGGCCAACATCCGCCCGAGGCATCTGGTGCCGCCGAAGGAGACGCGGCTGTGGATCAGCCCGCCGATGGTGAATCCAAGAATGATGATAACGGTCTGTTGAGTCCTTCGGTCCCCGAGGGAGAAGAGGGCGCCAAGGAGGCCCAAATTTCCGAAGGCGAAGATGTTGCAGACCGTGCAGCTAGCCTGCTCATGGGCCTCAGAAGTAACTCTGATGCCAGTGGCGAACGCCAACGGCGACGAAGAGAAAGTGCCGACGAGGAGCGGCGCAATCGTCGTATGCGACGACGCAACGGAGCTACAACTGGAAGCAAAGACAGTGCAGATGGCGGTCTATCAACAGTACAAGAACCTTCATCACCCTCGCAAGCCGATTCCGTCGGCACCGAGGATCTCTTACCAAGCCCACCCGCTGAGCCCCCTTCTATTGTGATCTCTGAACAGCATGAACCCTCATCACCCGAACCCCCCAGTTCTTTTGACCACCCGATTGAATTATCGGATTAAAAGACTCTCATTATCACCCCATAATCTAATGTTTGATAGATTCTCCATCATGCCGTCTCAGAATCTTTTCCTTTATCCTCCCTCTCACCCTCATACATTGCATCAAAACCTACTCACACCCTCGACTGTATAATACCCTTACCCACTCCTTCCGCCACAATTCCTTTCTCTTGCCTGTGATGAGCCAAGCATGGTGTCATGATACCATTGTCTTTTCTTTTCCATGTTTTCTCATGTGTCATTTTGTTTATCTTTTATTTCCGGTTCGGTCGAAGGCATCTTCATATGCCTCTTGTGGACCTGTGGGCTTTCTCTTTGTAAATAATTCTTCTTTTTCAACCTCTTTGACGCTCTACTGGTCATGAACATGTGGCATGGTCATGACTGATAGACATTCCCATCGAATCGCATCTCGTGTTCGATAGTCCGCATATTATTCCTGTGGCTCCAGTCTATAACCTTCAGAGCACTGACTGCTAGATGTATATATTTCTCGAGGTCCGCATACATTTTCCTGAATTGTCTCCTTGACATGGCTCGATAGTTAAGCCCTTTCCTACATCGGTAGGCAAGGATGCTTGATTCTACACAAGGTACTGGTCACTCAAGATTTGGATTTGGATTTGGTTTTAACGAAACATTTCCATGACTCTATAGCATTCTAACCCTGCAAATCCATATATAATACAATACTAATTCCCCGATTTCATTCCATTCCAGACCGATCAAGGTTGCCCTTCTGTCTCTAACATGATATCTCTATTGTTGTACACCCCTTCGTATCGCATGCCCGCCAACCGGACAAGACAAGGAAGATGCCCATCGTTCCGAGCATGGACCTGTCTCTTGACAGGCTAATCACTGATGATTTTGGGTCGACCAGAGATCCTGGTTGATGAGGTAATTTCCAAGCGTAGGTCGACTCAATGAGTCATTTGCGTGTGACCGTGTTTTGAGTTGCGATATCCGTTTCGTTCTTTGAGATGTTCATTTGGACGGCACCGCGGGTGTCTCATCGGTCTTGCCAGCAGGCGAGTTGTATCCACCACGACCCATTGTTGAGTTTGGGTTTGAGTATGTGTTTGAAGCGAGTCTGGTTGAGGTAGGGTCAGCGGTGTTGAGGATATTTGAATGTTGATGCCGATGTTGGTGGAGGAGATAGAAGTATAGTTCGGATGAAGTCAAGATTCAAAGAGGTAAGAAGCCAGTTCTCGATGCCTGATGCTTGATGCTTGATGCTCGTGTGAATTAAGTAGAGATCATAGCTCAACCGGGTCCCAGCGTTACTTTATACTTGTAATCCCCCGTCTGCCTTGACTAAGTATGGATCATTCAGGCATCCAGAATATTCTACCAACTTTCTCATTCGACAACATGAACCCCCATTTGGGCAATGTTCTAGACGAACCCCTGATAAAAAATGTCTGACTCAGGCCCGACTGAGTCTCACGAGGCTTCTTTGGTTTGGTTCTGATTTTCCTTTGTAAAGGGTGGAAGGGAACACCCGGGTCAGATTAGTGTAGGTAGAAAGTACTCACAAGTGGAGGATCCAAATCCATAATCTCAGGTGAAGAAGTCAGACGTATAAAAAAAGAATAAGTATTTGGTACAGAGATCATTCGATGAAGCGCTAAAATTCCATAATGATGACCCTATCTTAGTCGATCGGGGCCTTTTCAAAATTATGATGCTATTCAGTGAGATTGTGAAGGGGATATCAGCTGATGAAACCCCTTGGCTTTGAAACATGAAACATGGCTCGGCTGATGGGACCAAACATAATTCTCAAGAGCTTATCAAATGGATCGTTAAAAGACTTGCTAATCAATCATCGGGGCGGGAAGTTCAACTAGCGTAGGAAAGAACTAAGAATAGGATGATGAGCTCTAGATATCGGGGGAAAAACGATATCATCGCAGTATAAACTACAGCCGCAAACTATAAATAACAAATAAGATACTTTCCCACGTTGTGCCCCTGCAGGATTTAAGCAATTATGAACTTGAAGCTGGGTGCCCTGGGGGCCGTAATTCAATGTGATGATTCATATTCATCTAATCATACATTGGGGGCCGCTTCTTTTCCACGTGTTCCCACGTTATTCTATGTTTAGTTCCACGTGTTTAGATAGTTTACAACCTAAAGCGGGAAGTGAACCATGTCACACGGACCGGGAAGTATTCTAGACGAGTACGGGTTGGTCAGAACTGAGTAATTATGACTTTGGAACCTTCATGACTAGTTCCAATCATAGCTCAATTTCCAAGGAGTCACAACATACTGCACCTCTTGAATGGGAATGTCGTAGTGACGTTAGGCGCCTAACCTAGTCAACAGGGGAGATGAATGGAATTTCCAGTGTAACTTGGTGATCTAGCGGATCCTGATTGGACGGAGCTGGCTGCCTAAGTCACGATTGATCCGGATCTGTTCTTTCATGTCTTGAAACTTGTGTCCAGATTAATGATTATATTGGGGATCTATGAGCCTAGTTTCTGACCAGGATGGAACTAATAAAACAAGCAAGAAGATTCTCAGAACCGTCATCACGTCGTGTGCCATTCACAGGCTGTGCAGGTGTCCAGGAATTTAAAAAGAAATGAGACAAATACAGCAATCCACGTCTTTCACCATACACCCGGATGTATATGCATGGGGTATCAAAATATCGTAAGAGCAGATCAAAACATTTATCAGGAGCGCCAAGTCCAAAATTTCCATCCCGAAATCCCACTCTGGCCATCACGTTGGTAGATACGCCAATAGTAGACGGGGATACCAGTGATAATGAATCCCACTACAATGAGAGTTTGAAGAGGTTCGGCAATGACGGCACGACTGAGGAGGAAGAGACTGACACAGCAAAAAATAAGGGGTGTGGTGATCCAGGTGCGATAGGGGCGCTCTAGATGCGGTTCCCGAATGCGCAAGACGATCAGACCCAATACCGTCAGGAAATAAAAGGTATAGCCGGCAACTCCGTAAAATGTTACCAGAGTACCAAATTCGCCCACAGCAATGTATATGCCAGTCAAAGCCGCGTTAAAGGCCATAGCATTGATTGGGGTGAAGCCAAGTCGGGCATCGTCTCCTAGGATACGGGAAATCGACCGGCGAGCCCAGGAGCGGCTGCGAAGACGGCCACCGGCGGGAGGTCCCTGGGATGAACTGGAGAATCCAAGGCGGCCAAAGATCGAGGGAAGGTAGCCTTCCTTCCCGGCGGCATAAACTAATCGACCACTGGTAAAGGTCGTTGCATTCAGGGCTCCGAAACAACTGGCTGACACGACGAGCGCCAGCACGAGGCCGCCGACGGGACCAAACACTTTACTGCCAAACTGGACCGCGACGGTATTGCTGGCTTCAATGGTGTCATGTGGAAGGACAAGGAAATATGCGACATTGGCCATCAGATAGGATAGAATGACCAATGGCATGGCCGTATGAATCACCCGGGGCAGATCGCGATTCGGGTTCTTGAATTCGCCAGTCACATAGTTGGTCTGCCTCATTAGGTTAGCAGAGTCACTTTGGAATGAAAAGGTATCTTACATTGTCCCAGCCATCAAAGGCCCACAGACCCGCATACAGCGCCACGGCAAAATCCGAGATCTCATTGTTGGTGCCCTCGAACCAGCCGTGAGTCTTCCATTCCTCATTGGCATCTCCCTTGGCGGAAAAGCCCGTGATAGCGACCACAATTCCAGTCACGGTCACAAATAGTAGAGCGATAAACTTGAAGAACATGAGCAGATCACCGATGCGAGTGGCAATTTTAGTCGAGATGCAGTTGAACAGGGTCACAAGCATCAATCCTCCAAGCGCAACACCTTTGTTGATCCACGGATTTTCCATGACCATATCGGCACCTACAAATGCTCGCACGACATATTCTCCAAAGATAATGGCAATGATCGCTGCCGACCCCGGTTTCAGGACCAAAACCGCACACCAGGTGAAGAGGAAGCCTATCAAATCTCCAAAGATCTTAGACAGATAAACCTGAGCTCCGCCGTTCAGTGGAATTGCGCCTCCTAGCTCCGCATAGCTGGCAGCTCCCGTCCAGGCGAGCAGGCCCGCCACAGTCCAAACAATAAGCGAGGCGCCCGGAGACCCAGCGTTGGCGTTGACTTGACTCGGGGACGAGAAGATCCCCGAGCCAATGATCAGACCAATGATAAGTGACAACCCATTCAAATAGGTCAATGTCTTATTACGCTCTAATGATCCATCCTGGCCCTGACGATCCAGCGACGGGGCGCCTAACGGAGCATAGCCACCTTGTGTTTGCGAGAGCGGGAAGAGGTTGCCACCGAAATCGAATGCGGAGGAAATTGAATACGACCGGAGACCTCGTTGATGGCCTGGCTCGAGATAATCATCTCCTGCAGGGCCTGCCAGAGGATCCTCATCATCGAGTGAGAGCTTGCGCGAAGACGAGATTCCGGGGGACGATGATCGTGAGGAACCGTCTATGGATTCGGGGGAAGACGAGGCGAGGGAAGCAAGTTCGAGTGAATCTCGTGGAGCGGCGAGATTGCCATTTCTGGACTCGTGGGCGTATGTATTTGACATCCTCTATCTTTGTCCGTCTCTCCTACTCTATCTCTCCTTGGTAGATTGTTGGCCGAGCGCGATTCAAGTAGATTGGTCAGAAACCGACAACTCTCTCCATATCCCCCCACAAAGTAACCTACAGAGAGTGATTGAAAGGAGAGGAGAGGAGAGTGGAGTAGAGTTGGAGAGGTGGAGAGTCAAAGAATTGAAGAAGTTGAGAGGAGTTGAGAGAGTTTGGAATTGCCAAGGGGTCCAAGTTCAATGATTGAAATGGGGAAACGATCTGCCCAATCGGGATCTCCCTATGCGCCAAATAAAATTCCCCCGCGCTTTTCCCTTTGATCTAAACCACCAATGAAGTCCTTAATCCCCTCTCAGCGCTGCTACTGCAGAGCTCTTCAATATACAGGTCGACCTCGGCGATATGCTTCTACCTCGACTGCCTCCATATCCTCCTCCGCCTCCGCTTCTCGGAAAAACCGCTGGTTGGGGGTCCTCTTCGTGACAGCCACGGCAGCAGGCGCTGGCGCCTATGTTCGATCACAAAGCCCTGGGTCCACGACCCTGAATGAGGATACCTTCACCAAATACAGCCTCGTCTCCAGAGAACCGGTCTCGGCCACTAGCAGCCTGTTCACTCTCCGACCACGATACCCCAGCGGCAGCAACTACGACGTCTACGAAAATGCGTGGCGCATTGGAGTATGGAGTGTGATGTTCAAGCAACCCCAATTACAAATCGGCCGCGATTACACGCCTCTTCCTCCGACCTCTGCAACGACATTGACGGTGGACGAGGAAAATGAAGGGTATTTGCAGTTCTTTATACGGAAGGATCCGTTCGGAGAGGTCTCCCGTTACCTGCACAGCCTGAGTATAGGGGCAGATATTGAGATGCGAGGGCCACAAATCGAGTGTGTTATCCCGGAAGAGACGCAGGAGATCGTCTTCATTGCGGGGGGAACTGGAATTGCACCCGCTTTACAGGCTGGATACTCGCTTCTGAGTCGCAGGAATGTTGAATCTCGGCCGAAGATACACATTCTGTGGGCTAGTCGATTGAAGGAGGATTGCCTTGGAGGTGTGAGTGACACCCCCAGGACTCTACCCTCTCGCAGATCCTGGTTTCCATGGTTTGGTTCCAAGACTATGACCCCTGATCACGAGGCGGTTCCTGAGAAGACGAAGTCTCTCGTCGTGAAAGAGCTGGAAGCTCTCAAATCACAGTACCCTGGTCAAGTGAAAGTCGACTATTACCTAGATGAGGAAAACCGGTTTATCAGGGGAAACGACATCTCCGAAGTTGTGCAATCTAGTGGCCCATCAGATGACTCGCAGAAGAAGCTGATCTTGGTATCCGGCCCCGAGGGATTCATCAGCTATATGGCAGGCCCCAAGGTTTGGGCTCAAGGACAGGAACTTCAGGGTCCAGTTCAGGGGGTGATTAAAGAGCTCGATCTAAAGGACTGGGCCGTATGGAAGCTATGAGCACCTGTCGGTCATCTGTATCATTATGTTTTGTTTCTGGCATAAAGGCATATACCATATATGGGGAGTTATGTTGAATAGTGAAATGCTTTTCCCTGGCACCTGGGTGTCTCACTCCAATAACCTGCTTTTCCGCTTTGAATGCTCAGGTTGAATCCGTTACGTCAATAAAAAAATGGCTCCAAAATCTAGTTGCCTGTGGCGAAATCTTCAAGGTACTTGGCGAGCTTCTGCACGTTCTCAAGAGGAACGGCATTATAGTTGCTGGCACGCATACCACCAACACTGCGGTGGCCCTTCAGGCCCTGGAGAAGACGCTTCTCGGCACCGGCCAGGAACTCCTTCTCCTTGGCATCATCTCCGCTGTGAACGCGGAAGCAGATGTTCATTCGGCTGCGGACGCTCTTGTCAGGAACAACCTGGTACACTTGCGGGTACTTGTCCAGAGCTTCATAGATGAGCTGTGCCTTCTGATCGGCGACCTTTTCTTGTCCGCTGACCTTTTGAGCGCCAAAAATACCCACCAGGTCGGACATCACCTTACCGGCGATCCAGAGGTTGAAGATGGGAAGAGTATTGTAGAGAGAGTTGTTCTTGGCGATAGTTGCGTAGTCCAGCACGACAGGGCCGGGAAGGCCACCGATGTTCAAGCGGTGCAAGAGAGCAGGGGGAGGGGTGGCAGTGTGAGGAGGGAGCAGATCCTTGCGGACAATGGCGATAGTGATGCCAGTGACACCAATATTCTTCTGCGCACCACCCTGTAGAATTGGTCAGTAAAGCTGGTCATGTCTACTACATTTTGAGGGGTACTTACGAAAATCACGGCATATTTGCTAACGTCAACCTTTCGGCTGATAAAGTTGGAGCTCATATCGGCAACAACCAGACGCTCATCTTCTTCATCCTGGCCCTGGGCCTCCAATGACTTGGGGAATTCCTGGAATTCCACTCCATCCACAGTCTCGTTGTCACAGAAGTAGACAAACGCCGAGCCCTTTCCGCTTTCCCGCTTGGTGGGGGTCAACGACCAGGTCTCTTCAGCGGGGATTTTACCGAACTTTCCACCGTTGGCCTTCCGGGCATCCAGAGCAACATTAACGTACTTGGAGCCCACCAGTCTGGCGGCTTCCTGCGAGGCCTTGAGTGACCAAGAGCCCGTGACCAGGTAATCCAGCTTCAATTCCTCATCGACCTCCTTCTGCAGTCTCTGGAACACCAATTCATCCACCTGTGACTTCTCGGCGCCGGGGTTGGCCTTCAAAACTTCGGCTTCGGCGCGGCGACGGCGGCGCTCAATCCAGACAGGGACAAGGTTTTGGACGACGGCGCTGAATTCGCCACTGCCACCAGCCTGCATGAAGAGAACCTCATAGTTATCCGGGATATCAAGAAGGGTAGTGAGGTTGGCTTTGGCGTCATCGAGGATTTTGTTGGCGGCGGAAGAACGGTGGGAGATCTCACCGAGACCAAGTCCGCAATCGTTGAAGTTGACAAATGCCTGTGCGCCAGCTTCGACAACAGAGGTGGGTAGGGGAGCTGGACCAGCTCCAAAGTAGGAGACTTCTTGTCGGGAAGGCATTTTATGATTGAATTTGCGAGTGGGATGGTATTAGGAAAGGAAACGGGAGAGGAAAAAAAGATGAGTGGACCAGGTGGATCAACCTTAAGAGTCATCAAAGGTCGGAGTCATTATTCAACCTTCAGTCTTTGAATTAGTTTAGACTTATTAATGGATGTGGCTAAAGTCTTTTTTTATTCTTCCACCTCTGTGGTTGAATTTCTATAATCTTCTCAAATCATTTGTTCTGGCTATTGCAGTTCTTTTTTATACATTTGGGTGGCAATGGTGGGGTATGCTTGGAAGCTCATACATAGTTTCGGGGAATTGACTCTTTCTTACATTGGAACAATTGGAAAATATACGTGTTGGTAATTCATATCAAGATATCCGAGCTTTATCACTTTTCATGTTCGCTATGTCGTATCTCGAGCTGTACAAAGATCATCTCTATATACGGACATGAGCTCATAGCGGGGTGGATCTCCGAGTACATTTATACCATAAGTAGTACGGAGTAGATAACAAGATACAACCTTGAATCACAGAGTATTTACCCAGGCACATAAATAGATATTTAAACCAAACAGTAATGCAATATGTGGAAACCAGTTCTATCCCTCTCTTCAGTTATTACATGAACTCACCCGGTGAGTTTAGATGTTCAAGGCCGACATCGGCACTGTTATCATCACGTGCCACTGCTATCATGTTTGCAGTGTTTGTCCTCTTCTCACTGTATCCAGTTCTCGCTTCTATTGTAGTCTGGTATGATCGCCATTTCCACGCTGGAACCTTGGCAGCATACATCTCATCGATTTCCGCAAAGGTACGGCCTCTTGTCTCCGGCATTAGGAAGTACGTAAAGACGATGATGGCTGCCATGCATCCGGCAAAGATGAGATATGTCTTGGCTCCAAGATTCGCCGCATCGGCAGATGTAAGCTGTGGGACAACGAGGGTGGTGATCACAGCAGTGATCCCCTGACAGGCAATCGTGTAGGACATGACGTAGTGGCGGAGCTTAGTAGTAGCCATCTCGGAAGGCATCACATTGGATAAGGAGTAAAAGGATGATGCCCAGAAAAAGTTGAAGATGAATGACAAGGCGGCAATTGTAACGGTGGAATTCTTATTCCTGGTGTCAAAGGCAAGGCCACCGGCAATGACATCAATCATGAACAAAAGACTCATGCCGACAAATGCCGTGGGACGTCGACCGGCACGATCAATAACCAGTGGGGCTGCAAGGGTCCCGGCCAGTGTACAGCAGGATGCAATAATCGTCAATCTGAATGCATTGGAGGCACCGATCTGTGTGAGAAAGACGGTTGCGTATGTTGTGGACAGAATGATTCCAGAGATCTGATTCAGAGAAAAGAAAGACCCTGCCACCAGAGTTCGTCGGAGGTGGTCTCGGCGGAAGATATCCCAGAATTTGACATCGGATCGAATCTCCCGGGTGGTCTTTTCGCATAGCTCCATGAGTCGGATCTCGTTTTCTACCTGCTCATCGCTAAATCCACGCAGTTTTCGTAGATTATAACGAGCTTGTTCTATATTTCCCTTTGATACAAGCCATTCCGGGCTTTCGGGAAGTGGAAGGGTCAAAAGTACCAAAATAATGGGAATGACACACTGTATAGCAAGTGGGATCTGGTAGGATAAATGACCGCCGACTTTCTGGGTGGCCCAGACCACAATAGTGCCGATCACCCCTGCTGTAAGGTTGAAAATGTTGATGGAACTAACGCATCTTCCTCGGATAGAGGCGGGGACCACCTGCGAGAGTTAGAGCTGATTTCGCATTTTTATATATCACATTTTGAGGCAAGTTCTTACCTCGGAGAGATACAGAGGGGCGGTGGCAATGGCAATGCCAATCGCGATCCCATTCACAGCTCGTCCAGCTACAAAGGCCCCAAGATTTGGAGCAAAGACTTGAAGTAGGCTACCGCCTAGTGAAATGGTATATGCAGCCACCAATGGCCATTTCCGTCCCAAGTGAAAGGTCAAAGGTGGCGCAAAAAGACTTCCAATCACATCACCTACCAAGGGGACAGAGATCACCAAGTTTTGATTGCGAGCCGACAGAGCAAGATCATTGCCTTGGAACTTTTCAATCTGGAAGAAGGATTAGCCTCAATGTTTTGTGTTTGTCTGGACTCTGATGATGATGCCGGACTCACAAATGCTGGCAATGCGATGATAGGCGAGATGACTTTATCGTCATAACCAAACATGAATGATGCGGAACCAAATACTATACAACACACAACCAGAAGTGTATTGGTTGCACCTTTCTGATGTTTGGAGTGATTGATATGCTCCATCTCGGCTGAAATTATCTCATGCTTCTTAGACATATCAATCCTGTGTGAGAAAGTGATTGGTGCGAATCTTGACAATCTCGATGCCACAGACTCCTTCACGGTGGATTAAGGTACATATCCAGACGTTCCGGGTTATGTCAGAGAAGATCTCCCCACAGATGTTGAGATGGTTTTTTCCCCATGTTTTTCTTTTTTTCCCAGGTTTTAGAGCCTTGGGGAGGTTACTCAGGGAGTTTCGCCGAGGTTTCCCAGTTCAGCATTGAACCGTGATAGTGACAGCAACAAATTCTACTCAGCGACGAGAATGATACCATTTCAACAATATTTTGACTTCAAAGAGTATACTTAGGTAAATATGCATGAATAGCGGGGAGGGATCCGCAATTAAAAAGCCCCATCTCCCGATTGCCGATCATGGGCTCAGCTCGCCTATTTTGAAGTTTCGCCGACGATAACCCGTTCGTCCGTTTGGATGCCCGAGCACATCCCCGAACAAGTTCCGGAATGGGAAAAACTCCACGGAGACGGTAGTTACATAGTCAAATCTACCTTATTTATCATTTTGTTGGTGATTCACGCATTTCTCCGAGTAGTCTTCCATGTGGAGCTCGAGAAATTAATTGCATCTAATGATATCAGTTACTTAAGGCTCGACCTTGCACCATTTCCTCAACACAGAAGTCGCTCATTATGGCTACTCTTCTAAGCTCACTAGAGGCCGCTCAACTCCTTCGAGAGAAGCAGTTGTCATCGCCTTTGCAATACCACGAGCAGCAGACCCGAAGGGTATCGTCGAAGCCATCTTATCATCTGAGCGCCCCAAGTGGCTGGTCAAATGATCCATGTGGTCTTGGATATGACCCTGCCACAGGTCTCTACCATGTATTCTTTCAATGGAACCCATATGGCAATGACTGGGGCAACATGTCCTGGGGCCACGCTACTTCAACCGATCTTGTTTCGTGGGAAACATTCTCAACTCCGGCTTTAGTACCATCAGCGAAATATGATAAATGTGGTATTTTTACTGGCTGTTTCCAGGCAACCAATATCCACGGTGACCCTGGGACTTTGACGGTCCTCTACACGTCAGTCAGTCGTCTTCCCATTCATTACTCGCTGCCGTATGCCACGGGATGCGAGTCTTTGAGTCTGGCCGTCTCAACCAACGGCGGGAAGACATGGGAACGCCAGGACTGTAATCCCATTCTTCCGGGACCTCCTGAAAACATTCCAGTCACGGGATGGAGAGATCCATATCTTACCACTTGGGCGAGACAGCAAGATCCTGGTCTGTACGGGTTCATTTCAGGTGGTATCAAGGCTAAAAATCCCGCCGTTTTTGTCTATACTGTCCAACCTGATGATCTCCGGCAGTGGAAGTATGTCGGCTCCTTGGTCAATGTCGGTCTCAACTTCCGTCCCTCACGATGGTCAGGTGATTTTGGAGTTAATTGGGAGGTCGCCAATTTAATGACATTGACAAATGACTCCGATGAGTCCCGTGACTTTGTCGTCATGGGCGTTGAAGGTTGCTTGCGTCCGGAAATAACAAATCAAGATTCCGGGCAAGCTCGCCATAGACGAGACCCAAGAGGTCTTATGTGGATGTCTGTCAAGTCATCAAACAATGCGAATGCCGATGCGCTCACAAAATATGGCTGTGCCGGTTTCTTTGATCACGGTTGCTTATACGCGGCCAATTCGTTCTGGGATCCTGAGACGTCCCAACGCATTGTTTTTGGCTGGGTGACTGAAGAGGACCTTCCTGACGGTCCCCGTCATCGTCAGGGATGGAGCGGCTTGATCTCATTGCCTCGAGTGACGAAACTCTTCACCCTTCATAATGTCGCAAAAGCACGCTGCTCGCCACTGGAGTCAATCACATCAATTGAGATGGTTAAGTCTTCGGGAAGCGGGTTTACCATTCATACACTGGGAATCAGCCCAGACTCGCGAATTTCTCGTCTTCGACACAAAGCCATAAAGGGCCATCTTGCGACTTCAGCCTTGACCACTCGAGCTGCTTCGGACTCTGGAAACTGCTTATCGTTGAGCAGCAATAGATGGGAGTTACAGGCCAAGTTTTTAGTTGGCCAGTCATGTAGACGAGTGGGGGTCGAGATTGCACACAGCACTGGTAGGTGAAATCTCCTTTGATTGTAACAAATAACTAACGTTATGTAGATTTTGAACAATGCACAACGCTTGCCTGGGACTGTAATAGTGAAACCTTTACTATTGACCGACCCTGGGTTGACCGGGAAATTAATCATGGGCAGGAATCAGCTCCACACACATTATTTACTTACCTGGATGGTCAAGAAGAGACCGAGGAACCTCTAAGTGTTCATGTGTTCTTTGACCACAATGTTTTAGAGGTGTTCGTCAACGGAAGGACAGCTATCACAACCCGAATCTATCATCATTCAGACCGATGTTTCGGTGTCAAGTTCTTTGCAGAACCAGCTGACGACCGAGCCGGTGAATCTTCTGCTATACTTATGGAAGCTGATTTATGGGATGGGCTGGGGGTGAATTAGCCTTTTATACTGTGGTATCATGGTCTTGGAAACTGGTTTTTTCGATGATACAGAATAATATCAGAAACTCAACCTTTATCGTAACATGTCTACAAATCCTTGCCTATTTACACAAGATAGAAAGATTTTTTGAAAGGTCTCAAGCATCAATGCTGTGCCCAGCCTGAAGCCTTGCCCGTGGGAATGTGCAGCGAATGTAAATGGGCTTGGTACTTCTCCAAGAACGGATGATTCCCACCCCGGAAGCTTCTCATGAGAAGTAGGAAGTCTTCTGCCAAAGACTGCGGTGTTGTGGTTGGGGAGATTGATTCAGGAAAGGCTCCCAGGGGAGTCATTCCTGTACCATAGGGAGGGCTGATATTACAAAGGATGTCAGTAGCCCCAACAGCGATATCGTACAATTTCTCGGTCTAAATATCATTAGTAAGGGGTCTCCACGTTTTGAAAAGGACCATTGATACATACCAGGCCGATGCCATGAGCTTCCATTGAGCTTAGTCTCAATGATCGACATGTTTGAAGTGCCGATTCTGCGATGGTGACTGAGTAGCTGAAGCTCATTTCGGGTCGCTCCGGATTCGCTCTGAGGAGGCCGTGATTCAGACAGAGAAGCCACACACGATTATGAATCCATTTCTGCGTAATGAAAATATCTGCGGCTTGTGTCTCTCGCAGGCCAATCGCCAGAAGAGCATTGCTGTCATTATCATTGCCTTTTGCGCGCTCGAACCAATCATATCCTTTGTATCTCTCAGCTTGGCTGACTCTCGCAAGGCTTTCATGCATAGATAATGCCTTGGTTTCGGTGAACTTTTGGCAAAAGCCGGTATTGATTTCGCACCGTCGATTCCAGCAATGAATGAAATCTTCGTCGATGGCATCGAACAATTCCATCATTCTTGCAAGACCCATCATACCTTCAGCGTCTTTCTCGTTGTGGACGATAATACCGGAGACAAGACTATGGGTGGCATTATGTAGGAATTCGTGCACAGAACGCATGCTGAATCCAGGTTTCCCCGAAAATGTCACTGGATGGAGTTTTTGAAGGGCATACGCTCTGCGATGCAATTAGCACAAATGATCCGCTTCGGTCCGAGAACTAAGATTACCTTTCTGTAATGGACAACACAAGATAAGTTCTTAGACGTTGGCCTTTCTCTTCACCAGGAAGATCGCGATATGAATTGGGGTCATTCAAACCCAGTGTGGAGGCAAGATCCAAGGCCTCTCGCATCCGAAGCCAAGCCGCATTATGCTGGTTGCTCCCAAATAGACAGCCAAAGAGGAAAAAACTTGTCAAAACGGCCTCGATAGTGGGATGTTCACCAAAGTCGGAACAGCTTCGCATCTTAGTCGCCTCGTGCATCATCAGACGCGCTTGGGTGGCGCGAGACGAAGTCGGGCGCTCGTTGATTTCAATTGGCTGGGTGAGTGAAAATGCGCACAGAGAAAGGGTCATTGCTCCGAACTGAGAGTTTTTGCGATGCTCTTGGGACATCATACGCGTGAATAAAGAAGCCCGACTTAACACGGGAACAGTGGGATGCAACCGGTCAAAGTATACATCAATCCAAGGAATCATGTTCGCTTCGTTGATGGAGGCCGGCCAGAAGTCTCCTCCCTCGTGGTTGTCGGAGGGTAATGACCCTACGGATCCAACCGCTGGAGAATAAATATTCTGGTGTTCATGCGGGTGCATGTTCATCGCTGGGACATCAGATACTGGCTGGATAATCGATGGCAGGGATGGCTTGAGATAGATATTGCTTCCAGGGAATTCAAAGACGGGTACCTGCGCGCCCAGATTATCTGGTAGCCAGTATTCCACATCTTGCTGGTCATTCCAGCCTACCACGCTACTGCCATGAGAATCCAATGATGTGTTCTCGGACCCCCAAGCGTCCACCACCGGTGATGGCACTAGGCCTGTGGCACCATTCACCGGTATCGGGACATCGGGGGTCGTCCAGGACGATCCCGGCAAAGAAATGGGTTGGCTAGGATCTACCGATGTAGCTGGAACATGATATTGAAAGGCATCGGGTTTACCAATTTGGTTGTCTTGGGGTGTATTCGGGGCGAGATGAGTTTGTTGCTGTCGGATTTGTGACACGCGACTTGAAACGTTGGTCAGACCACTTGCGGCGATGCGAACATCGAAAAATCAAGACTCACTGTCCGGTTGGCCCGCGCTTCTTTTGTGGTTGTAGGAATGTGCAATCAAATCCCATAGACTGGCAAGCCTTGCAGGGTTGAGACAAGCTGCACTGTGGCAGGTTAGCGCCCGTTACCCCCTGCGCAGTAGAGGGGCTCAGGTCGATATTCCATTTACCTTGATCTTGCGGAACTTGCATTGGTCGCAAGCCCGTTTGGTGATGTTAGTGAGAGGTTTATTGCGCGTGCGAATCGCACCAGGTGCACCAGAGCTCGGAGATCCCGTCGTGGATTCCATAGCCAGGATGCCTCGGTCGCTCCATCAAGCTTGGAGATAATGGGGGGAGAAAGGCTGGTTGGTGGTTCTGAATGGGTCGAGGTTGAGGATCCGCGACCCACATTCAGGTTGGGAATCGTTCCCCGCTTGACAAAGTTACCGTAAACGGCCCATGCAGTGAGCTAGATTAGTTAATAGTCTATTCAAGTGCTATCAAAAAGGACGAAATTGAGGGGAATCATGACCCCAATGACTCCAACTTCATCAGACCTCCAAAAAAATTGTCGGAGTCTCCGATTACTCGAAATGCAGCTATTCGATTAGCCTGCACTCCGCTTTTCCCGTCCCCACTTAGCCTTGGCCATCGATAACGGAGTCACGGTCATCTTGCCGAGCCAATTGTCGTTGTGACATATAAAGAGGATCTGCGTGAGACCTGGGGGTTTTGTTGAGTTAAGAATCACCGTGATGGCCATTCAATCGGTATGGGAACAGATTGTCTCCCAGAAACGGGCGATCAGAGATAAGCTATTGACTCCGTATCTCGTGGATGTAGAGCAAGAACCTCGAGTTGACAATGTTCATGAAAGAAGTCGTGTGAATGAGGAAATTCAAGCGATCACTGATATTGATTGTGTTGAAGTGTTGATGGAAAAAATTCAAAAACGGGACTTTTCTGCCGTGGACGTTGTCCATGCATACATACAACGGTGAGAACCTAGCATGCACCTCGTCAATCCCTACTCCAACTGATTACCTTCACAGAGCTGTAGTGGCACACCAATTGGTTAGCATGAATTAGCTGTCTGTTTTTGAACTGTGTTGACAAATAATAGACCAACTGTCTCACCGAGGTGGTGTTCAAGGATGCATTGAAACAGGCCAAGGAACTGGATGAAGAGTTCCAGGCAACAAATAAGATCAAGGGTCCTCTGCATGGAGTTCCCTTCACGGTGAAAGACCAATTCAATATCAAAGGATTCGACACATCGTTAGGCTATGTGGGCCGATCATTCGATCCAGCACAGCAAGACGCGGTCCTGGTTCAGATGTTGAAGAACATGGGTGCAATTGTCATTGCTAAAACCAACTTGCCCCAGAGTATCATGGTTAATATCCCTATATACACCCTTACGTCCTGGTACGATTCTAATCGATCCATAAATATTCCAGTGGGCGGAGACTGAAAACCCTCTTTGGGGACTGACCACAAATCCTCGGAACCCTGCCTTCTCCCCAGGTGGCTCTACTGGCGGTGAAGCCTCTCTTTTAGTCTTGCATGGGTCTTTGTTGGGCTTTGGTACGGACATTGGAGGGAGCGTGCGAATTCCTCAATGTGTAGCTGGTCTGTATGGCCTGAAACCATCAGTAAGTATGGATGGACTGAACAACCAGCCAAGCCGACCGCTGAAACATGTACAGAGTAGCCGATTTCCCTATGAGGGCGTACCAGTGTCGACAGAAGGCCAAGAACATGTCCCATCTGCCGTAGGGCCAATGACTCGGGATCTCCAATCTCTCAGCTATATCACCCGGCTCGTAGTGAACGCCCGGCCCTGGGACTTGGACCCTCGATGCACCCCCCTACCTTGGAATGAAGCTGCATTCCATGAGATCCAGACTCGCCCGATGGTCATTGGTTTGATCATGGATGACGGTGTTGTCAAAGTTCACCCGCCAATTGCCCGGGCTTTAGGAGAACTTGCGGCCAGATTGGAGTCCGCGGGCCACGAGGTTCTAGCGTGGGATACATCGGATCACGCAGCATGTATCGAGTTGATGGATCTCTATTATACCGCCGATGGAGGAGAAGACATTCGTCGAGATGTCAAAGCTGCTGGTGAACCATTCATTCCCCATGTGGAGGCTCTTGTCAACCGTGGTCAACCAATTTCCGTATATGAGTATTGGCAATTGAACAAGCGGAAATTCGCTGCTCAAAAGAAATACCTTGACAAATGGAACACCATCCGGTCCTCATCTGGCAAATCTGTCGATATCCTGCTCAGTCCGACGTTACCACACACCAGTATTCCCCACCGGAAGTTTCGATGGGTGGGATATACCAAGATCTGGAACTTCCTGGACTACCCAGCATTGACATTGCCGGTTGACAAGGTGAGGGCTGATCGAGATCAGTTGCCGATAGAGCCCTACATTCCAAGGAATGCATTGGATGAGTGGAATTGGAAACTTTACGATGCGGATCAGGTTGACGGGTATCCAGTGAACCTGCAAATCATCGGCAAGAAACTGGAGGAAGAGAAGGTGCTGGGGGCTGCCAATATTGTTGAGAATATCTGGAAGCATAATGCGTGAAGCGTTTGATAGGGAGTAATCTGTAGATGAGGGATGAGCTAATGTTTATGTAACTGTTGAGTACTACTATAACAAGGATGCTTGCGCAAACGAAAAGAAAGCGTAATTCATAACCGGGCAGGCCGAGCGCTCGATCTCCCATGAAATTAACTAGTTGACACCACAAACGCCATAAATTATGCTGTGAAATATCCAAATGCTTTTTGATCAAGTTTTGATCAAGCCTTAGGGGCTTCAAAGAGCTCGGGTTTCATGTTGATTTTGCAGAGCTTCGAGATACAGCCGCTTAGCTGCAGCAGGGATTGCACGCCGTCTAGGATCCGCATGTGTGTAAACCCAATCTCGCGAATGAACTCCAACTTCGAATGCTCAGAAAGAGTAGGAATGGTCTTGGTGACTCGGAACATGGTGCTAATGATATCGTGAGAGGAATATCCCAATGTCCTATAAATCGTTGTTTAAGTTTCCACCGCACGCGAGGGGAAAAAAGGAACAACTCACCATAGTTCATTTAACCCTTCTAGGGCAGCATCCACCTTGCCCTCCCAGCAGGCTTTGATCATGGCCTGAACTTTGACCGGGTGAGGGCTATCGACGACACGGAACACATTATCTCCGCTCACAAAACCGAATCCAGACCATGTACTCTGCAGATTGTTGATCGCTTGCCGCATATCGCCCTCTGCACTGAATACTAAAGCGGCAATACCATCTTCGGAGTGTTCAACCTTTTCCGCCTCGCAGATCTGCATCAGTCGCTTGACAACTTGGGCGTCGGTCAATCGCGCATAACGGAGGATAGCACATCGAGATTGCAGTGGCTCGATAATCTTATTCGATTGGTTGCAGGCAAAGGCGAATCGAGTTGTGGTCGAGTAGATCTCCATCGTACGTCGCAGTGCTTGTTGAGCGCCGGGTGTCATGCTACAAGCTATTAGTCAAAAAGTAATGCCCTGGATCGTAAGGATGTGAGCATTTACCTGTCTGCTTCATCAAGGATGACCAGCTTATGACGGCCTGGAGGCAAGGTGACTTTCTTCTGGGCAAAACCCTTGATCCGATTGCGTACTACGTCGATACCTGAAGCATATGTTCGTTAGCACTCAAAATCAAAGCTCATAACTCCAACGGTATCACTGACCTCGCTCGTCACTTGCATTCAATTCCAGCACGGCCTCCTTATACGAGTCTCCCAGCAATTGTCGAGCTAGGCATAACACAGAGGTTGTCTTTCCAATTCCTGGCATGCCTGAAATGATAACGTGAGGCATGTTACCATCCTTGGCGATGATTTTTAAACGTTCAATTGTCTCCGTATTGCCAACAATATCGTCCAGGAAAACAGGGCGATACTTCTCGACCCTTTAATTTTGGTAGAAAAGTCAGCGACTCTGGCCAACTGAAAAATGGATAGAGTCCTTACCAAGGTAGTTCGTAGTCCGCAGGAGCACCTGCAGTTGAGGCCTTAGCACCATTGCGTGCAGCACTTAAGGAAGATTCAGCTTGAACCATGTTGGGCGAGTTTGTAGGGTACTTTGTGGGGGTGGAAAGTTGAACGCGAAAGGTGCACGCGTTAACGCGATAACGTTATCGTTACTGGCCTGTGCGTTTCTTGGCTTAAGCACTTTGAGAGCTTAAGAGAGTCACAAACAGGTGAAGGAAGAATCTGGAAAATTGAACGTATGATTGTTAATAACAAATAACAAATAACTGGTCTCATTAAATTCAATTAATTAGTACGTGAATATTACTCGGTTAACTGTTCTACTTTCCATAACAGCACGTCTTCCGTGTCTACCCCATTTTCACTCTACAACTCCCTCATTTTTAACCTGACATAGTCTCAATCTGCAGCTGAGTATATTCTTTCTTTCTCTACACCTCATTCAGACCCATTGTGACACGATTAACCTACCTATTATCCTTATCTTTGAATTTTCCGGTTCTGTGTCTGTTACATCACCCTCAAAACAAACAAGCCACGCATTCCAGCTACAGTCTCGCCGCTCTTTCTGGACACACGATCATGAATATGGGGACATCCGTTCGCCGGAATCTCTTCCATCAGAATCTGAGCCGCCGTCCTGCATCTACAGGACCTCAGAATGGGCCAGTACTTCCGGGGAATAATGGCCTCTCAAACCGCCCCTCCAACAGACTGAAGCCAACCGCCTCCGACTCCTCTACTCGAAACATGAAGCTGTCAGAAAACAAGGACATTGTGGTGCGCGATAGGAATGGAGGCTACAAGCTTGACATGCCTGCGTTACCGAGCAGCAACCTTGCTGGTGATAATGGGGAGGAACTTGATGAGCTTGAGACCGGCGAAAACAGTTTTGAGTCATTTGAGGTTGAGCGGGAGAAAGAGAGTATGTTCGCTTGTTGGATATATTGTCTGATACAAACTGACAAATGTTTAGGTTTCGAGGCTGCACTGGTCGAGATGATGATTCGGCATCGCAACAGACAGTCCAGTGGTGAGCCCGATGGTAAGTTGCAAATGCCTTTATCCTACATATGAATACTTTATAATAGATGTACAGAAATTCTTAATATTGTTCATCAGAGCTTGCTCAAAAAGGCCAGTTCCTTGGACGATGACAATTGGATGTTTGAGCCGGAATTCGAGACCCGAGTCTAGAAGATCAATGCAATAAAAATTACGCTACATACATGTGCTTTCATTGTTCATTACACGGCCACTTGGACATGCAAAGCGTGGAAAATCAGTCCTTGAGCACTCTTCCCTTTGACTCGCTAGTCAAGCTCCATATTCGACGGCGGCGCCTCAACCTTCTTCGCAGCGGGCCGAGATGGGCCCGCGTTACCTTGACCACCAAACAGCATACCACTCATCATGTCAAGCAGGGGGTTTCCCTGTCTTGGGATCTTGATCGCAAAGTACTGCTCGCCAATCTGAGCCAGAGTGTCATCCCAAATCCCGACCTCCCGAATCTGTGCCGCATAGTGTGCGGTAAGCTGACGGTATAGATCCGCACTTCCCCGCTGAATGGTCAGAAGCAGCATGCTCAGGAAGTTGAGTAATGGAAGGGCAGGATACACCCGAATGTCGGAGCTGGCGCTGCTCACATCTTGGACACCAAGAGACGGGTTCAATGTTGACAACCGAGAGGTGAAGATGAGCAAGGCCTTGTTGGCACTGCGGAGGTTGCCTGTCGTGAGGTATGGGAAGACGGCGCGCGACGCATACAAGGCTGCGGTGTGCGGTTCGTCATGAGTGTACCACTCATATTCAAGCTTTGCCAGAGTTTCCGCCGATTCCGATGTTCCTAGGATCAGATGTCTCTCGGCCTCGTACGGCTCGTTATCTACAAGGCGCTAGGTTAGATAGAAACGATCAGGACGAAGATTAAAGAAACCAACCTTCTGCGTAGACTGAGCCCGCCGCATGGTGCAGATCCGGGTCCCCACGCTCCAGTGGCCCATGACGCCCACTCCATCCAATAATCTCCTGAATAAACCGCTTTCGTGTAGGCTCTTCCGACGGGAACTCGCGCAGAAGCTCGATAAGGCGCTCTATCACCAAAACCAGTCAGCCATGTCTTCAAAACTCGAACTGGAGGATTAAATGACTCACTCTTTCGAGCCCAGCTCTCCGCATCATCACCACGTCCTGAGATCTCCCACTCCGCCTTGTTGTATACCTCCACCACCAGCATGATTGCCAAGTCTCCACCACTGGCCGAGGCACCCTGCTGAGCTCCAGCTCTCAGCAGAGCAGTTGAACCGCCAGCTAAGATCTCTGCAGCGGCATCCCAGTTAGAAGCTTTGATATAGCGAGCAGCGATAACACGGAGTTGTTGGTGGGCTTCGTAGTAGGCACCTGCCGCGATCCTGCAGAGAGTGGGCTGTCAGCATTCCAATCCAATTCGATGCGCAGGAAGGAGTCAAGTCTCACTTTTCTTGCTGGCGAGCAATAGTTTTATCAATTTTGGAGGTCATTTTCGGATAGGATACTATTATCAAGCGAAAGCAACGGAGGGTGAAAGTTCCAAAACTTCAAGCTTAAGGCGAGGGGAGAACGGGAAAGCTGTTCGAAGGTCCAAACTTCCGTTTAGTGGGGAACCGCCGCTCCTTGTACCATTTTCCTCCTCAACCTCTCACTTTACCATTTCCTCATCAGTTTGAGCTGTTCTTTTCTTTGTCTTTCACTGTTCTTGGGGACTTGGGTACTTGGGGACTTGAGACTCTATACTGTTCTGCCTACTAGCTGGCAGGTAGAAAAGTATTCCTTGCAAAACAAGGGCGAGACCAATTCCAATATTACTCGACCAAGATCAAACTGCCTTTTTTTTTGCGCCTAGGTGTTTCGTGCCGGCCGATTGACTGGATCCAGTAATCATGAGCCAATTCGCCTTCGATATCCAGCCAGTGAACCGATTTGTCGGTTCAAATACCACTATTCGACGGCCTAAAGTAAGTTTGATTATCATGTTGAAGCGTGTAGACCAAATTGATTGACAACCTGATAGGAAATCACTTGCTTCTCTTATGATTCTAACCGCCAGTTCTCACTGGGAGAATCATCCCTGCAGTACTATTACCCGCCTAGCTTGCCAGCTGATCTGAATCTTGGATTCAACACGTTTCAAAAGCTCAATGACGCTGGAGATGAGCATCTAGATGCATTGCTAGATACCATTACTGCTTTAGAGAAAGAAACAAAAAAGAAATGCGAAGCCGATGTTATCACCTGGCGCGGAATGATGACCAAGGTAGGTGTGATGAATAAGCTTGCATGAAATCTACATTTGTCTGGTTTTAATCCCTTTTAGATATTAGCAGCTCCTTATGATGTGATGAATGGGTATGTTGACCTGGTAGTGGTTTATTGAGACTCGTTCCCTATGCTGATTATCCCATCTTAAAGCTTTGAAATGAACGCGACATGTTTCCAGGTACCATCGATTACTCGCTAAACATATGCATGGCGTCTAACATTGATTTAGGGTACAATGTGCGTGTCTTCTAGTTTTTCAGTCTTGAGACCACCGATATTGATATAATCATTTCAGCTTCATCGAAGAGAACAACGCGTACAAGAACGAACAGAAAGAGATCCAGCGAAATCAAAAAATGCCACCAGGCATGGCATCACAGGAGATGATGATGTACTGGGGTATGATTTACCCTTGAAAGTTCTTCAGCGATTGGCGCTAAGAATACCAGGTTATAAATTCGAGGTCTTATCTGTTCTTCCCCGACCATGGGATCCGACAACCCGTGAAGAAATCGAGGCCCGGCCAAATCAGGTCGTCAATAACAGTGCACAGTATTGCTCAGTGGTCAAGACCGGAATTGGAAATACCCGCATGATCCTTGGAGGTGAAGTCGATGCCGGTGAGTGATCAGAGAACCAGGGAAAACTTGGAAGATAGCCGACTGAACCATTTTGCAGTGTGGGACTGTAAACCAGAGAGGAAGGAGGATCCTATTCATTGGGTCGAGCTGAAGACATCGGCCGAGATCCGTAACGAGCGGGACATGCTCAAATATGAGCGAAAGCTGTTGAAATTCTGGGCGCAATCCTTCTTACTCGGTGTACCCACAATCATCGTTGGCTTCCGAGATCAGGATGGCATCTTGCGTCGCTTAGAAGAGCTAGATACAGCCAGTATTCCAGGCAAGGTCAAAAAAATTGGGAGAGGTTCCTGGGATGGAAACATCTGTATCAACTTTGCTGCTGCATTTTTGGACTGTGAGTATTCCTCACTTCCACTCTCGTCCATGTGGCTAATATATGTTTTTTCCAGGGCTCAAGCAAACTATTCAACAGGATGGGATTTGGAGAATTCGGAAACGGGAGAAGTCTTCAGTCATTGAAGTGTTCAAGGTTGAAGAGTCAGGCCATGGTGATATACTTTCACCAGCATTCACAGCCTGGCGATCAACCATGTAAACGCCCATGAACGTAATTCGATTCTGTTTTATACTCCACGGGTCCTCAAATCTATGTACAACACATTCACTGGTCATCATTCGATCAAGTCATTCATGGATTCAAGAATCACGCTGCCATGTTTGAAATGGCGTAGATTCGTGTAGAGGTATCTTCACTGCTCACGGCAAGGTCAAACTTAGCTTTGCTGTCCGTCTCTTCAACTGACACAGGTCGCCATGACAGCTGCGTGATTGCCTTGGAGGGTGCCATGGTTTGGTCAACAGCCACGACGAGCTGTGCTTCAAGGGTTTCGATGTTGATTCTGTGGATAGAAACAGCACCACTGTCCTCTCCCGCGGCCAGAATGAATGAGCTTTTGTACGGAGCCGCCAAAAAAGCAATCGCTGAGACGGCGGATGTCAGAGCGATGGTAGTCTTGCAGGTGAAAGTATTGTCGGTCTTTTGCCAAAGCTTAACTGATTTGTCACGTCCTGCCGTGGCAAAAACGTATTCCGTCGTCACTGGTGCCCAAGCTGCGCCCAGAATCATTCGAGAATGGCCTTTGGGGTTCGAGGTAAAACTGGTGAATGTGGTTGGGTCTTCTTCACTTCGTGCGAAAACGGCCCATTGTCGGTCTCGACCCACACTAAGGAGATATTGGTCGTTGTTGGAAAATGAGAGGTCGGTGATGGTCAAGGAGTGTGCAGTAAGGGAGGGCTTGATCTCATGCCAGTCGGATGTATCATATAGTCGAATCACTGCGTGGTCGATACTGGTGGCTTTGCAGGCAGTGGCAATAAGTTTGCGGTCGTGGCTGACTGCAACCGCAGAAATCTCATAGCCATGGCCATAGAGCTTTTCGTGCTCCGGCCACAGAGTCCATCGAGCGAGTTGATCTTCTAATGGTGGGGAATCTGTGTTCAAATTGACTGCGGGTACAGACGATGTCGCTCCATTAGACTCATCCTCGTCCACGGGTGCCTCGTCTCCCTGCGCTTTATTCGACAGACCTAGAACTGGAATTTCAGCCGTATCCGGGAGATCACCCTCAATAGTTTGTTGAAAGCCCGTGAGTTTCCCAAGAAGATCGGCAATCTGCTTTGGCTCGTTGAAAACCCGCAGAAGCTTTTCGTCGGCACCGGAGACAAATTGGGAGGGCCCCAATGTGTCAATGCAGTTAAGGTCGTACCCATGAATCTGAGGGCGCGAAAACTCGTGCCAAGAGCATTTGTCATCGCGCAACCATTGGGCATGAAGACGTGTAGTTTGGTCTGCACTGGTTGAGAGCAAATAGCCACCACTGGGATCCCACTGCACACCATTGGCTGCACGTACGTGCCCCGAGATGCCAAAATTTTGCATCCAAACATCTGCTTCAAAGTCGTGCTTCCATACACGCCAACTGCCTGTCCGGCCCAGACTTACGACTTGCTTGCCGTCTGGCGACCAAAGTCCAATCCAAAAACCGCCAGCACTTCCAGTCGCAGTAGTCGATCCCTTCTGTACGCTAATCTCCCCCATTCTTGCAATCGACATCCAGACTCCTGATATCGAGTCCTGCTCCCAGATAGTCACTGTGTTGTCCGCAGAGGCAGTCAGAAGCTGTGATCGGTTTGGATTGGGGTTCCATGCAGTAGTATAAATCCAGTCCTCGTTGCCAAACAGAAGCGCTTCGAAGGTGATGGTATACTTCAAGCCAGCTGCCTCAAATTCATGAGCCTTGTTCGACAGTGTAGGCTCCATACCACCCAGCAGAGGATCAGCATCGTCAATAGGCGCGGGAGCATTTCCTTCACCCTGACGCAATCGCCATAAACGGATGTATTTGTCCTGACTAGCCGACGCAAGCAGGATATCATTGGTCTTACTCTGTTTGTCCACTGTAAACGAGAGAGATCTGACCCATGCTTCATGACCTGCAAGAACGGCGCGGCGTTGGAAGCTTGGCTTATTGACAGATTCTTCTGCGACGTATATCTGCACTTTTGTTGTAGTTCCCGCGACAGCCAGCACTAGTGGGCAACTATCTCCTGCGAGTACTCGGAGAGACAAACACAGTGGAAAGAAACGAGGTGTCATGGTAATCGTGTCCAACAACTCGCCCTTCAAATCCAGTGCATTGAGTCTCCAAACCCGGACGGTCCCATCTGCGGCTCCAGATGCAACAATGTTCGTCCCATCGACGACTGCTATCGCATTGATCGACCCGGCATGGCCCTCGAGGGTAAATGCATATTTATAGTTGTGTGGCTCCATGGTATCTTGCTGCCAGACTCGGATTGTACGATCGACGGAACCGGTGAGAAGCATCCTGGTCCCCGATGAGGGGCAGGTGTAAAATCTGACCACACTGACTTTGTCAGAATGACCGACTAGAAGCGAATACACACCTCTGCAAGAGGAGTCCTTGACAAATTATCAGCATGCTAAAGGGTATAATAGGTGCATTGAGTCACAATGGACTTACAAGAGGCTCCCATAAGGCGACATTATTGTCCGCTCCGTAGGCGAGCACACCCGACTGGACATCCCAATCCGCAGCTGCCGGGTGACGGTTTCCGCCCACACTGATATATTCAGATGCAACAGACGCCATAGCTGACAAGGACTCGAATGACCCAGGTTATGTGCGTTTGAGGTGGAAAGAAGAGCTGTCGCAAAAGACAAATTGTGGAAGTAGCTTATCGATAAGAGGTTACCGCCTCGAGCCCCTCTTGTCTTCTTCCTCTTTCAATCCTTTGACGTCGAGCTTCGTCAATTTGGTTTCCTGGAAACAATATTTCGGCCTAACATCTGAGCTTTATAAGTGATTCATTTCTCTACAGAAACAATGGTTGATTCAGCAAATGGGGGCGCAGCCCCGATCCCCATCACCGTTGAGTTTACGTGCATTTCATCCACACCCAAGACATTTTTCCTACATACTGATTGCTTTCCACAGCGGCGGACTTGAGATCTTGTTTTCCAATCAGCGCAAGCACAAAATCATCATGCCTGGCCGCCTGGATGATGGGAGCGTGCCCAATATCTCAAATCTAGTTCGGTATCTGGTTGACAACTTGATGAAAGACCAAAGGAAGGAACTATTTATAATGGAGGACAATGTGTACGTGGACTGTACATTGTCTCTATTGTGTACTCGTTGATTGAAGACTAATTTTTGTCGTAGCCGGCCAGGAATCCTTGTCCTGATCAACGACGCCGACTGGGAACTTGAAGGCGAAGAAACGTACGAATTACAGGCAGGAGATAACATTGTTTTCGTTTCGACGTTGCACGGAGGCTAGAGGATGGACGTTTCAACTAAAAGGAAAAATTCGGGAATCTTGTTATCGAATATGGCGGAGCTTTGGGGACCAACAGACATCAGACGATTAAGTCAGGTCATATTGAGCATGAAAAGATTGCTGGCCCTATACAACGTCTTCAACATGTTGCTGGGAGAGCCTTTCGGGTTCACGGGGAGTACGAATCCCACTGGGGGTCCGATAACCACTCTGGGGAGTCCCCATACCATCCTGTGGACTTCCCAGTCCTTGCATCGGAGAGACAACCCCACTTGGGGGCACTGGAATCTTCAGGTCTTCGGGTGAGGCAGGAATAATTTCTTCAGGGAGATCGGGAATATGAATTCGTTGTGCTTCATTTTGGTAGCTTTCCGGGATGATCTGAAGCATTATAAGTTAGCCATTGAAGAATGCATGTTAGATCCTTCATTAAATACCTCAATAATCTCGTCACGGGGAAATTCTAGGAAAGGGATATCAGCGGCATTGCAAGCCATGAGGTACCCATATAAAACCCTCAGAACGCTTTCATGAGCAATAATGAGCAAGTCATTTTGCTCTCGCTCCAATTCGAGAATGATCGGCTCCAAGCGAACTGCAAGGTCATGATAGGACTGCTTAATGTCAGTATGATTATAATATCTGTGTAGAGTGAAATATTTACCTCGGCACGGGGATAGCGGTGGTGATAAGGATCCAGCTCATGCTTCGTGACCTCATCCGCAAATTCGGCTCGAATGCGCCTTTCTGACATTTTCTCGCAGACACCCGGATTGAGCTGACTCATTTGAGACCGCTGGCGGACCTTGTATCCTTTCTCATGAAGATATCTCGCGGTCTCCACAGTACGACGTCTTGTCGACGTCCAGACCTTCAGAGGCCGCTGTTCAGTGGCAGTCTCACCCCGGGAGATTGTTGCCTGCTTCTCAGCTTCGCGATGGGCGAGCAAGCATTCGGTCATTTTCTTAGCATAATCCTCTCCTTGCTCCGAGAGAGATGCATCGGCTTTGTACGAATCTGCCTCTAATGAGACCCCAGCCTATTTGTATCCTTGATCAGTCATACTCCCCCAAAATATAACGATGTCACGTACCCGCGCAAAGTATGTGCGTCTAGACTTGATGTGGAGGTTAAGTAGGTAGAACACAATGCGGTTAGAAAGATACCCGAAGCTGCGGTTGTTCACTATCAATCTCTCTCCCGCGTTGATCATCTAAGAAAATGAGTTAACAATGCGGTGGCGAATAAAATGTGGTGAATACAAACCTTGATATAATTCAGATCCTTTTCCTCCATGGTCTGGAACTGAGGAATTCGAGAGGAGATCCTGGTAAGATAGTGCTTAACCGCATCCTCTGGACGCCATGAAACATACTGATATACAATTAGACATCAATATTATAATCCTAGACATCAGACTCACATCTGGAGAGGAAATCTTGACTCTGCGGACGTTCTCCTCGATGATTCGTTCATCATCACACCAGGACTCAATGAAAAGAGTCTGAAATATAGATATAAGTATTCGATCATATTGGATTGAATAGAATTTTTTTACCTCGATATCATGTTTGGCAAACTCCTTGGCAAGTGACCGCCGTCCCGATGCCGATGGGTTCACGGAATCGTATATCGCAATCTGGCCGTTCTCATGGTTCAAGAAGTGATAGATGTCTTCTCGGCACTTCCTGACAATCTTTTGGCGGAGAAGGACTGACGAGGCGGTGGCTAAGGACCGTGTAAGCATTGGAGTGATTTATCATGGGTTACTATCCTTACCATTCACATAAAAATAGTCATCAGGCATATCCTCGCCAAATGGGATCGTGGCACGTCGGTAATCACCCAGATGGAAGATTCTGGTTTTCACTCCGAGCCTGTTGGTCCTTGTAAGCATGGTCCTGTGGATGCCAAGGCATTGGCGTTATATAGCACGGGAAACCAACCACCGAAGGTACCGTGCCAATGCAACAGAGATGTGTCTTTTTAACGGGAATGATATTAGCATTTCTAATCCGATTTAGGTCGTTGGTCTGAGTGAACCTACGTCTTGCCTCTAGCGGGTAACCCCACGGTGATAATGACTATTCGGCCCGAGTGGAAAAGCCGACCAGATTCCGTGCTATACAGCTGTGCCGGGGCAAGATCAGCCTTTTCAGGTAGATCATGAATTGCATCGACAAATATCGAGGACTTTCGCCGAAACTGGGGTGAGTTGGCGACAATCTCTGCTGTGCTGGTTGACGTCAGTTTTTTTGGAATTCCAATGACGGAAGATATCTTTCAAGCCGACTTTCACATCTCTAATCGCGATCAAGGTATGTGAAGTCTCCGTCTCTCGGATCTCAAAGTGGCAGCAGGTATGGTGGGGGCATTTTTTCTCATTGCCACCAAACCCCAAACTGTAGGGCTAGAAGACTTACAGTAGGGTGTCCATAATCGCGGGGCTGGAGCTTAATGACGCAAATGTTCACTTTAGAGACTTGAAGCCTCAGAAAATAGCCTTTGGATCGTTGATAACGAATCCAGTGAATAAAATACCAAAGCTACCTGAGGTTGGGAGCTTTGAAGAAGTTGGAAGGAGTTGGAAGTTTGAGTCTGGACTTCGGGCAGAAGCGGTATATGATAACGGTGAAGTGTAGATATCGGGAACCTCATTTCTCGGTCCATGAACGTGTGTATTTTCATAAGGAAAACAGTCGTTCAACCTCAACATATCTCAAGAAATTGTACATTTTTCTAGCATCAAAAAAAAATAGATTAGCACATTGATTCTAAAACTAATTGATAGAACTCTCTGTTCAAATTGAACTTGATTTGATTTTCTAAAACAAAAGCAATATCTAATTGGTACTCGGTGATGACATAATACACGGTGAACGACAGCAACCAAAGACGCCAACGGGAACTGGCATTTTTCACGGTCAAGACTTCAGCTCCGTTTCCTTCATAGTCAACCCCCGATTCCCCCCGGTGAATCATCTACAGTCCATACAAAATCTTCCTCCTAAAACCACGATCTGTGTCGTTTACTCGTCCCAGATCCCCCGGGCTGGTTTTCATCTTTTCTTTTCTCCCATTGTCCTTGTCCGACTAAACTCAACTGACCGGCATCGCGTGACGACACCGGCTATAATTCCACATCTCCAACCTTCAAAATGTCCGATATCACATCATCTCTCTCCTTCCTGACGGAAAACCCCGCAGCTGCGGCGATTAAGGATGCATACAACTCGTTCTCTGACCGGAGAGCGTTGCTCAACCTGCCCAACCCAGGCACCGTCGATGGCCTCGCACGCGAGGTCCAGAAGGACGTCCTGTTGACCAACTTCATGTTCACTGGTCTCCGTGCCGATTTGACCAAGGTCTTTGGCATGTCCCCTCTGTTCCGTGTGTCGCACGCGTTCGCTATGGGCGGTTCCGGCAACCTACCTCCCTACAACTTCTCTACCATGTACGGAAGCCCCAAGGTAAGATTTACTCATCCCTGCGCGTATCGTGGTTTTATCTACTACTTTGGAGATCAATTGCTAAGGATGATACATTATTTCTCAATAGGTCTTCATGCAAGGTAACCTCGGAAACGACGGAACCCTCGCCGCGGTCTGCAACTACCGTTGGACCCCGGCGCTGGTCACCAAGACCAACGCGCAGATTATGGCTGGCGGCTCCCAGGGTCTGCTTCAAATTGATAACGACTACACCGGCGCTGATTTCTCTGCATCCCTGAAGGCCTTCAACCCTTCTACCCTCGAGGGCGGTCTGACCGGTATCTTTGTTGGAAGCTACCTCCAGTCCATCACACCCAGCTTGGCTCTTGGTTTCGAGGCCATCTGGCAGCGTCAGGCTATGAACGCTCGTCCGGAGACTGCTCTTTCCTACTGTGCCAAGTACAAAGGTGACGACTGGATCGGTACCGCTCAGCTGCAAGCTCAGGGCACCTTCGCTGCCACCTACTGGCGCAAGCTCTCTGAGCGTGTTGAGGCTGGTGTCGACATGAACCTTCAATTCGCCCCCAATGCTGCTGCCATGATGATGGGTGGCCCAAGCCGTGAGGGCACCACTGCCATTGGTGCCAAGTACGACTTCCGCGCCTCCTCGTTCCGTGCCCAGGTCGACAGTGCCGGTAAGGTCAGCTGTCTTCTTGAGAAGCGCATTGCTATGCCCATCTCCCTCAGCTTCGCTGGTGAGATTGACCAGGCTAAGGTATTTTCTGTCTCTACATCTGTTGGTAACAAGGTACATTTATGCTAACTCTCCTCTTAGCAAACCGCCAAGGTTGGCCTTGCCGTGTCTCTTGAGATCGCTGGAGAGGAGTTGATGGAGCAACAGGAGAATGCTGATCCTGCCAGCATGATCCCCCCTCCTTTCTAAACTCTTTGGCCCTTCTCTCGTCCCTCAAGTTTCGTGTCAAGTCACGTTTCTTGGGTTAATCACCCTTCATCCTCTGTTTTAGTAGTCTTCTCTCCCCCCCCCCCCCCCCCCCAAATGTCTGGATTGACATGGCATATCACTTCCCCCCTTCGGTATATCCTCTTGAACATGGGTTGCTGGTGCAGGTGGCAGTTGTTTGGCGCCATGGGTATTCCATTTGAATTGTTTCCCATGTTCTTTGTTGTATAGATTCACACTCCGTTTCCCTTTTCCGATAACTTTCTTCTCCACCCACATCTGATGTCCGCGTCTTCGGCTATGTCCTTTCTTTGGTCCGTGGTTTCATGTCTTGTTTTGCTTCAGTTTGATTTCCTTCCATGACCTGGATAGTCGGGATGGCGAGGGGTTGTGGGATGGGAGGTGCCGGGGCTGCACCGGAAAGTGGTTATGTTTTCGCATCATAGACGGACCAATGTAAAACACTTGTCGAGCCTTTCTGTACAAAAAAATGGGGTGTAGGGAGTTTGTCTGGGGGTTAAAGAATGTAATCTTGAAACATGAACATCAGTAGCTCGCATGGACAACCTTAGAAGGTTCACTTCTCTCTTAAGTACTTGGGCATCCACCAACTACTTTTGCATACGAGAACTAGATCATCAGGTGATATGTATGTTTTGTATTGTATTTCGTAAAGAAGCCAAAGGCCGGGAAAATGGGGATCCACTAGTGAGTGGGCGACTGGGGAACTTGAACAGACACCCTCCAACGAAGAGACTCCGGAGTGCAGATGTGGGACATGGTCTTATGCACTTGTGGGAGTAAACCGTTCAACCCCATTAGCAACCCCACATGTCTCTGTCCATTTCCTTGATTTTTTTTTTCCGCAAATAGGTTCCACTGAGAGTTGGGGGAGTCAACATTGGAGTCAAAAGAAAGAGATGTAGCATTGCAGATATTTTATCACTGACAGGCCAAGACAATTTTGGATGTTGTTTTGATCCATACAGTAGACTAGATCATTGACGATTGATGTTGGCCCTTATACACACAAAATTCTTGGAGAGAAGATAAAAGGGCATAATTAGATGCACTACTAGTCACAGCCCTATACGACAGACACCTACTTATCACTCTCTCCCTCTCCCTCTCGATCTCCCCTTCTGTCTCCTCTGCATGACCTCAAATCATGTAATTCTGGTTGACATCATCCCTCCCAACGGTCCCAGGTTGGTCGACCTGCATCGGAACAATGGCAGACCCGGATACAAAGGCGCTGCGGGGAGCAAATGGACTGATGGACTCAACATTTACAGTTTGAAGGCGGGGGCCCGAGACCCTCCCCTCGGGATTCATCCAATTACTGTCTTCTCTGTTCACCTGCGCGGTAATCCCTCGTTTTCTCATCGAAATTGGCTTAAAATGAGATGAGTTTTCTGGGGGGATTCCTTATCCACATGTGTATCCGCTTCAGAATTTGTTAGAATTTGCCTTGGGACTGGCTCGGAGTTACAATTCGTTGATGGTTTTATGGTGTATTATTTATTATCCATTCATTATTTTTATTTCATTTTTTCTAGCCCATTCCATGAGCAATTTATGGGCATTTCAGGGAGATCCGCCCTACAAAGTAATAGGGACATGGTGAGAATAGTACTCCGTAGTCAAAAATGGTTGAGAGACTAATCCCTAGTTCTGACACTAACGGGAGATTATTCCCAGAACGGCCGGGACAACGTGGATTCTTAGTTCCCGTCTCCGGGATGTCAATAGACGCGTTGGGAGGAAGATCTGACCAAATGGTATAAATTTGGATCGTCGTGAGCGAAGCAGATCGCAGGGAATAACATCATCACCTCTCCAATAGGAGATATAGACAGGGGGCAACCCTGAGTTCCTAGAAGTACCTCGCGGTGTAACCCGTGAGAAAGAAAAAAAAAAAAAAAAAGGAGTTCAGAGCAGTCTCTTTCACAATTGCGACTTTCATGATCGTATCCACGTGTCTGACAGAGACATGGAATGTCGTGGTCCTTACTTCCATGCCTTGGACACAGACAGCCTTGGACACAGACATCGGACCATTCCCGCCCCTTTTCTGCCCTTTTCTGTGGGTTCCATCTGCAGGAGAGATCCGACATGTAGCGTAAAAAGTGCCGAGACGGGGGCCTGCCAGGTACAACAGGTATGTGGACCAGGAGGTTGGTAAATTGGGTGGAATTGCGAGTCCCACACTGAACCATTGGCGAGTGAGATTAGTATTGATTGCAGGTAGACTGGTTCACCATTAATTCTGGTAACGGGTCCCGAACCAGACAGAGAAAGAGCGCAAAGAGATCTTCACAATCTCCTTTGCCCGAGGATTTGACCTTTGGGCCGTGCCACTGTCTCACCAAAATTGCCTACGTCACTTCCGGGCGGATGACAGCGGCGTCGCCTGACAAAGGTGTGGCGATTTGGTATGCCTCCGGATTGATCTGGTGATGCTGATCCTCCGTGCTACTAGGTCAGGCATTTTGCGCACAGTAGTGTTTTTGGGTGCGTTTTGGGTGCGTTTTGGGTGCGTTTTGGTTGTTTGGGGGGGGGGGGGGGGGGGGGAATGGGGGAGAGGAACAGCCCGTAAATACCGGTATGCCGCAAAAAAACGAACTCGTTCTGCCGGGTATCTGGGTAATCTTTGGTACAGTAAGCTTCAACAACTTGAACCTTTTCAGCCAGGTGCATTACCATCTGCAGGTTCTGCATCGAGGGAATGGTTGGCCCTCAACGGCGGCTGTGTTGGGCCTGGAATGCTGGTGTATCTTCTATGATCTGATATGATTGGTGGATCTCAGAGTTGAAAGTGTCGAAACATCGATCTGTTGTGAGATGGTCTATGGGCACCAGGGGCAAAAGTGTCAGGAACCGAAACATTTCTAGACTCCCTTTCAATGATGTCCCACAATCCCTAAAAGAAGATAAATCTAGATTTAGACTTAGCATCCACTCCAAGGGAACCAGCAACTTTTTCCCTTTAGATGAAAAAGCAACCAAGGCTTCTAGCCCAGTCTTTCGGGTCCTGCAGCCCATTCTATAGATCCCCTAGCTTCCCAGCTCTTCCCTAGCTTCCCCTTTTTTTTTTCTTAAGAAAAACATGCTGTATGACTCCCAGCATGCATGCAAAATATGACGTATAAACTTTTTGGGGATTTCGCATTTTGAATTTTCTCATGCCCGGGCGGAATCCCAATCACTCGGAGCCGGGTGTCGGCTGGATGAGCCTTTCTATCACACATGCCAAGGGGATCCCTGCACGCTTGGATGTTCAAAATGAGTCGGGGATCGATCGACAGTTCGGTGTCAAGCTGCCGGGTCCCGTTCGTGCCGTATCTCGCATGGCATGGCTCAAGCTTTGAGACTAGATCGACCGAAAAAGAAAGTATTAGAAAAAAAGGAGTAAAGTTGGATTAGCGAATTACAGTGAGTACCTCCTACAGCTGTTCTAAGCCCCCTCAAATTGATGGAAATATATCAGATGATCGAAGAACCAAACCCATACATGTATAGAACCTTAACTAGTCTACTAACCAGAGCTCCACTAAGTGGCCCAAGCTCTCATTTCTTTCTTAACTGTCTCCATGTCAGCTGGACTCGATGACATGATGGTCACGAGGTCGTCTTTCATATGGCCAATCAACGTAGTTCCTGCGAAAATCACGGCTGGTCAGCCGACACGGGACTCGCGGAACATCAGTATCTCCGTTCAACGTGACCTTTTACCAAAGTCCCCTTTTCTCTTTTAAAAATAGTAAGAGGGGGATAGATGCGGGAGGGGAATTTATGGAGCTCTGTCAAATGTTCTGGACTCTGTTCTGCTTCTCATGTAGAAAAAGTCCCATATGGTAAGAGATATCCGTAAGTCAATAACTATCCACTTTCTGGAGGCTCGGATTAGTATTATTACCGGGTAACCTAAACCATTTGTATCAATGAGATCATTCTTGTAATATTGGTATTGTAATCATTGCTGTATTTCAAATCTGGTAATAAATCGATGAGAGATTCACTTATATTAAGGGAAAGGAGCATAGACCAAACAAGATGTGATTCAATTCCTGTCAAATGAACATGGAATATTGTATATATATGTTTCTATATAATTTCTTCTGAAGAAACTCAAAGGAACAGTTTCATTCCAATTACAGACTTTGATATAATATAAATTTTGATAATTATACACTTGAAGTAACTTGGGGTATTGGACCTCTCCCGCCCCCTCTCTCCTCTCTTTCTTATTCTTTCTACATTTTAGTTTTTAGGGATTTTCCTTGAAAAATACAAATGAAACAAAATAAAAATAAGTGAAATTCCCTTTTGATTTATCAATTTTCCTGGCTATTTTTTTTTTTTTACTTTCCCCCCCCCTCTTTTGGTTTCTAAGGTGGTTTAATTCCCTTTGAACCTGTTGGCTGTCAACGTCACCTTTTTTCCCTTTCCCGAACTTGAATCAGTTCCTCTCTACAATACCACCAAGTCTACCCAATTTTCCCTTACTACGCCCCCCCCCCCCCCCCCCCCCTCCTCTCTTCCACCCCAAACCTTTAGGATTTGTCCAATTCGAACATTATTGGTCCCTGCTTTCCCCTTCCACCAATTCCATTCCACCTTGAGGTTTTCTATTTCCCTCTTACATTCTTGGCATTCGACCACCTATTCTTCTCATCTCGCCCCGTTCGGACCTTCCGCCCACCCCCTCCCTCCCCTCCCAGCTTGACTCCACCGATTACCACGCCCAAAACGGGTTCCTTTCCTCTTCCTCCATAGCACTCCCCGCCATGTCACAGAGTCGACCTGGGTTATTCCCAAGTTTGCGCATGGGTGGTAAGTCGTTCCTCAATGGCCTTGATGAGGTCCCCATTCCCTTCCCCTCCCCCAAAACTGACGTTCGTTCTTCCCACCCCCGCAGAGGTCATTCGCGAAAAGGTCCAAGATGGCCTTACTGGTGAGCACAAAGAGATCTCGTACACCCAGTGTAAGATCGTGGGCAATGGGTCCTTCGGTGTTGTCTTTCAGACCAAGATGGCCCCAAGCGGCGAGGACGCTGCCATCAAGAGAGTCCTCCAGGACAAGCGGTTCAAGGTACGGGCGGATTTATCCGGAAATGGCAGCCAGGATGATACTGATGATCTTGTAGAACCGTGAGCTTCAAATTATGAGGATTGTGCGCCATCCGAATATCGTCGAGTTGAAGGCCTTCTACTACTCCAACGGCGACCGAGTAGGTGTTGAGATCATCCGCCTCCCGCCCGGTGCTCCCACTGACTGACCTCCTTCCCTCCCCATTGTAGAAAGACGAAGTGTACCTCAACCTGGTTCTCGAGTATGTCCCTGAAACGGTATACCGTGCCTCGCGCTACTTCAACAAACTCAAGACCACTATGCCCATGCTCGAGGTCAAGCTTTACATCTACCAGCTGTTCCGGTCGCTAGCCTACATTCACTCCCAAGGAATCTGCCATCGTGACATCAAACCCCAGAACCTTCTCTTGGACCCTAACACCGGAATTTTGAAGCTGTGTGATTTCGGATCCGCCAAGATTCTGATTGAAAATGAACCCAATGTCTCCTACATTTGCTCTCGGTACTATCGGGCTCCGGAGTTGATCTTCGGTGCGACCAACTACACAACCAAGATCGGTGCGTTCTTTTTCCACAATTCGATTCCCCGAGGTCCTGAATTCATATCTGACTTTTTTTTTTCTCCCCTTCAGATGTATGGTCGACCGGTTGTGTGATGGCCGAGTTGATGCTGGGACAACCCCTCTTCCCTGGTGAATCGGGAATTGACCAGCTGGTCGAAATCATCAAGGTTCTTGGCACTCCCACTCGAGAGCAGATTCGGACCATGAACCCCAACTACATGGAGCACAAATTCCCTCAAATCAAGCCACATCCCTTCAATAAGGTACCTACCTCTCCCAACAGCCCCTCAACGCTGCCGGCGCTAATCACCCAACACCAGGTATTCCGGAAAGCGCCTCCGGAGGCCATCGACCTGATTTCGGCCCTATTGGAGTACACCCCCACTGAGCGACTGTCGGCCATTGAGGCCATGTGCCACCCCTTCTTCGACGAATTGCGAGATCCGGCTACCCGTTTCCCCGATTCGCGCCATCACAACAACCCGGTCAAGGATCTGCCCGTTCTCTTTGACTTCTCTCGACACGGTAAGTTCCATTGCTGATCCGATCTCGGGATTCGATTTCCCGTCATTTTTTGCTAACAATATCCAGAACTGTCGATCGCGCCAGAATTGAACGATCGAATCGTCCCTCCCCATGCTCGACCAGCCCTGGAAGCACGTGGCCTCGACATCAACAACTTCAAGCCCCTTTCCAAGGAGGAGATGATGGCTCATCTCGACTGAGGGGATAGATACCCCGAGAGATATGTCTGTTCGTAGTGCATTCCGCACAGCATGTGAAGAAATTCTCGAGGACCTATCGACCGAGTACCATCCTGTTTTGAGTGACGCTCTTCACTTAAGAGCACAGGCCTGGCTGGGGTTCCATACCTTTTATTGAACCCACCATTGACGGGACTGCAGCAGCTGTCAGGAGTTTTTGTGGAAGGAACGATGGGAAAAGTGGAAACGTCCTTTTTTATCATGGCTGAGCAGAAAAACTGGAGCTGGATTCATTTGGAGATGGGGTGGCATGGGAGGTTGATGATTGTCACGCAATGGTGGAAGGTCATGGCCTGGAGTTCTTATTTTTGAGGTGTCTGCGACACTTGGGAGGAAAAAGTGATACCCTTTCTGTGCAAGTCTGCCGGGATTGAAGACTGCATCGCTTTATTCGGTCAGGGGAGAGAGGGAAAGGAAGCCCATGCAGAAGGTTCCCCTTTGATCCCTGGGTGGGAAGGGGACAATATGCATCATGGTTCTGGGAGGCTTTTCGTTCAATTTTACCCCGGGACTCGTCTGTGGCCCCAATCTTACCACAATTCCTTCGACTTTGCAGCGCTAGAAACCCCTTTGTTTACTTTTTTTTGTTCTATCTCCTCCTCCCTTCTCTTCTCGATCCCCTTGTTCTTTTTTTACTTCCTTGCTTTGTCTGTTCTTGATCCTCGTTTCTTCCTTTTTCAAATGTCATTGCCTGGCTTGGGGCTCGGCTAGGCTTCTGTGATTCCTCCCCCTTGACCCGGCGATGATGCTACATGTTCCAGTTTCAACGGATGGGCTCCTTGTTCTATGCCCGTAGAGATGTTCCCGTTGTATCGGGGATTCCCTCGGACTCGGTCACATAAGAAAGGCATTCTTTGTTAGCATTTTGATATAAGTGTCAGACCACGAAGCATTGATTACTCCCACGTGTTCATCTAACCATACCAGAGCCTTTCGAGGTAATGAATCCACTTTATGACTTGTATACTGGTGGTCACTTAGGGACTGCTTTTATTGTCATTTTTCTGCCTGAAGCCACCACACATCGATTGGGACAATTTCAAGTTCTCCCATCTGCCATGATATCTGTAGATCTGTGTACTCTTGGTTCCAATTGAACTGTATTTCCTTAATCATCAATGGGCATATAAATTCAAGTTTGACTTGAGGTTTGTTTGGTCTTCTCGGGTCGGAATTTCCTCACTTCCGAGCTGCCAATTGCATTTACTAGGAGCTCGGGACTTCTGTTCATCATTCTTCTCTTGCCCTTGTATCCCATTGACCATTCCAGATTTTACACGCCATGGCTGATTATGAGCGCCGGAATCATGGCCCCCGTGGTGGTGGCGGTGGTGGACGCAAGCGCCGCTACAGAGGTGAGCGACATTAGCAAGCTTCCATGACCATAGCTAACCAGTTGGAAGATGATGAGGATTACGATCGCCGTCCTCAGCGACGCAGATATGAAGAGCCTTTGTTCGTCCAGGTCCGCCGCCAGCTCCTGACGATTGCCGAGTCGGTATGAATCCATTGCCCTTGCATTACGTGCTTCCTGCCTAGGACCATGAACCTGGATACTGATGCGCAAAACCCATTCGATAGGCTGCCCGAAGAGTGGAGGATGATATCATGGGAATCGCGAAGTCGGTCGCGGAAAATTTCGACGATGAGGAGTTGCGCGACACCTTTGTGACCATTTCCTTGGACCTGTACGTGTGCTCATCTACAATGCTCGGCGGCTGATGAGAGACTAGACTAACATCAGAAATCCAATGATAGTGTCCAGGAACAACCGATGAAAATCCCATTCGTGGCTGCGACAATTCTGGTCGCCTACAACCTCAAGGCTGAACTGGGCGCGGAGGTGTTGAAGAAGGCAGGCGAGATCTTGCAAAAACACATTGATTCCGGGTCATGGCGAGAGGTGAAGCTTGTCCTTCGCTTCTTGGGAGGTTTACAGCCTCTCTTTGAGGGTGATGGTATCTTCCCGCTGCTAGAAGAGCTATTCGCCCGCGCGGTTGATCTCCAAACGGCATCTTCGGAAGACGTAAGTGGACTCTATCCCCAGGTGGATCGCGCCAGACTAACAATTTGGTACAGCTACTCGGCCTGGAGCTTGTCAAAATCATTCAATTCACTATTCCCTATGTGATGTCCTCTCCCGCCACGGGCTTCGAGACTCAGGCTATGAGTCTGCTTGAGAAAACGGACATTATTGCATCCACGCCGCACGCATTGGTGGATCTGGTGAACACATTCAGCCCCGAGGAGAATAAGGAAGCCGCTGGACCCAGTGTAGTCAGTCTTCTTCAGAGTCAACTACAAGGCGAGGCTAGCCGCGGCTGGGAGTTGAAGTGTCTCCCCCGTCCCTGGAAGGGTGTCCAGGAAATTGAACAGGATGAACAGGATCTTGGCCAAAAGCCCTTCGAGCCCGTGAACAAGGTCTCTTTCCCACAGATCAATGTCCCCAACCCTGTCCCGAACGGCTCCCGTCCTCTCTTCCCCGAGGTTTACATTTCAGTATTTGCCAACCAAGAAATCGACACCGTGCCTCCACCCTCAGATATCACTTCATTGCTCTTGAGGGATGCATTGGTGGACACCATCAATCTTCTTGATTTCAACCGCGTTGCGACAGCAAAGTATTTGATTGACGTGGACTGTTACTTCACCCCTCACACCTTCGTCAAGCGTGCAACACCCTTTGACCGGATGCGTGATCTTGCTGGCGAGGGTCAGTCATGGAAGCCCGAGGACGTTGCGGTTGATGCTGTGTTCTCCCAGCTGTATCAGCTTCCCACCCCCGAGCACAAACTTGTGTATTACCATGCCCTTTTGACCGAGTGCTGCAAGATTGGTCCGGCCGCTATTGCGCCTAGCTTGGGTCGTGCTATTCGGTTTTTGTATAATAACCTGGAGACGATGGATCTAGAACTGAGCAGCCGGTTCCTGGATTGGTTTGCTCACCATCTGAGCAACTTTGGCTTCACATGGAAATGGAGCGAGTGGTAAGTCATGAATTTTAACGTCAAGGAGAACAGCCAAACGCTAACTTAGCCTAGGGTTGATGATCTTGAACTTCCTGCCATTCATCCCAAGCTATCCTTCATCAACGGTGCTTTGGACAAGGAGATTCGTCTCAGCTTTGCGCAGCGTATCAAGGGCACCTTGCTGGAGCCCTACATTCCCTTGATCACCGAGGGCAAGGAGAAAGACACACCTGAATTCAAGTATCTTTCCGATAGTAAGTACATGCCCATTTTCTGAAAGAGTTTGACACTGACCTTTGGGATCATAGTGACCCCATACTCTAAAGAGGGGCAGGAGATCATGCAGCTCATCCGGAAGAAAGCAGGTGACGAGGAAATTCAGCCATTGATTGCGGCGATCGAGGAACAGGCGCAAAGTTTAGGAGTGGAGGACCCCAAAGTGCCTTCCACGGATGCCTTGATGACCTCGATCTGCTTCGTGGGGTCCAAATCGCTCTCCCACGTCCTCTCGTGCATCGAGCGGAACAAGGACCGACTGCTTGCCATCGGACCGGTATCGCAGCGGGCCCGATGCCAGATTATTGCCTCCGTGATGGAGTACTGGGCGGATCAGCCCGGTATAGCCATTAACATCATCGACAAACTCCTGAATTACACCATCATCAGCCCATTTTCCGTACTGGAGTGGGCGCTTACGGACTCCATGGAGGCCGGGAGGGTGCTCGCCAAGGCTCATATCTTTGAGATGATCTCCGCTACGGTGGGCAAGGTCACCAATCGCATGCGCCAGATCGTCGCGGCCCGTACCCAACCCGGCTTATACGAGCCTCAGCTGAGTGTGCTGGAGGAGACACTTGCGCGGGAACGGAATGAGATGCAGACACTGTTTCGGTTCATTGAGGACTCTATTGTCTCAGTAGCTGCAGGCAGCAACGACGAGCAGATGGAGCGTGGCGGCAGCGGCGATCTGCCTGAAGATGCTATCATCCGCCAATGGGGTCGCCGGTGGCTCCGTGTGTTCCGACGTAAGGTTGCCGTGGAAGAGGCATTCATCATGGATTCTCTAGCGAGCGCCACTCCAGTGGGTACGGTAGCTCCCATGCAGGATGATGGTAGTGATGGGGACATTAAGATTGCAGATGCAGATGGGCAATAGTGTGTATGACATGGGGCAGAAGTGGAACCTGGTGTCATGTAGCTGATCACATAGCCTGTCACATTTGTTTTGATTTTTCAATGATTTTACCATATTGGCATGATCTCATTTGTTCAATGATGTTCCAATCTTTCAAATATAAGGAGTCTACTATCTCTAGCTCCACGAAGTCAGGAAGATCTTAAACTCTGTCCTACAGCCCTGGAGTTTGTAGGTACAACGTTCCACAAAAGAAAAACAAAACACTTGCATACACCTGTCTACAATCTCATGCATGCCATCTACCAGAATATATCTATCACAAAGCACTTGAGACTCTTAAACATGAAAAAAAAAAAAAAAAGCAAAACATTTGCCGATCTATGATCGCAAGTGCACGTACCCCTGAACTAAACCAAACTAGTTGAAATCCCTCGATCGGCTTAATACTCCTCGTGTGTAAAGTAGTTAGCGCCAGGCAGCTGTCAAGGCAAAGCACTAATGTATACTAAAGCCAAAAGAGGGAAAAGGAAACGAACTCGAGGGGCTAACATGGGCTAAAATTGTCTAAAAATTGGGGGGAAAATCTATCGAATTAGGAGTGAGAAAAGCCCTTGGTAAAACTTGATTCGTGTACATATCGTTTGTCCAATAGAATACAGATGAGACCTTGGATGACGGAATAGAAAAGAAAACTCATAAAATCATATACAAAACATAGATCCCAAAATAATACCCCGGGTATATAGATGAGTAGATATAGATCCAGGATCTGAAAAGAGGAAAAATCCCCAAAATCGTCAAGTAAATCGCAACCGAATTTACCGCCGATCCATCAAGTATGGAGGTTCATCTCCATCACTGCTGGATCCGCCCGTGTACATGGACAGACTATCTTCATAGCTGCCTCGGCGGATCTGTGGATCCTCCTCTGATTCCATGGATAGCATGCGCATGGAATCTCCGGTAGATCGCTTCGTAGTCAGGATCCGCCGGTCCTTGCCTCGACCCTTGATGCCTTTGTTGCTGTTCTTGTATAGTGATGCGAAGTATTCCCATAGTTCACGGTCTTGCGGGTTGACAGAGCCTTGGTCGCGGATTTGGGAGAATCGCATGGTTAACGAGCGGATGGTAGATGCGTGGAACTTGTTCTGATGGGACTGAAGTAAAGAGGAGATGTGAGCCATTGAAACCAGGAGTCTTTCCACGTCGGAGTGGATCCTACCTTCAGGTTCCCAAGCTGGGTGAACTTCTTGCCACATTCATCCAGTAAACAGGTGAATGGCTTATTCTGGAGATGAGTGGTCTTGTGGGCCCCTACATTGCCTCGCTGGGCGAATCTTTTATGGCAGATATCACAAGAGTACGGTTTCTCGCCGGTATGGCGTCGTTCATGGGTCTAGAGTGGATTTGGTCAGGTCATAGCCAGGTGAGTTAGGGTTGAATTCCCAGAACTGACCTTGAGATTACCCAGCTGCGAGAATCGCTGTCCGCATGAAGGCTCCTTGCAGACCTACACCGCATCAGCCGGAAGAAAGAACAAGCCTCCGAAATGATCTACTCACAAAGGGCTTGTCACCTGTATGGGCTCGGGTATGAATGTCCAGGTGTGTCTTCTGTGCGAAACTCTTGCCACAATTCGGCAATGTGCAAGTATACTTGCGCTTCTTGGCAGACCGTGATACCTGGCCTTCATTATTCAGGATACAGCGCGGTGGTGTCATCGGGTAGGTCGGGTAGCCTGATGCTGCCAGCTGCTGTAGCGGTGGCAGTGACTGGTGTGAGATCTGTGGAGTCTGTTGCGCCTGAGCCTGCTGGATATGCTGCTCAGGAGAGCCCGACTCCGGGCTAGCCTGGATGGCTTTCATCAAGACATCGACTTCGGTGGAGAACTCAAAGTTAGAGCTACTCTTCTTCATGGCCACGACTCGGGGATCCGTTCCCTTGGCCCCCTGGTTGATGGCATTCTTTGCCGGGCGTATCTCCGGTAGCGAGTGCACTGGTTGCTCCGTAGGGCGAATCGGGGACGCAAGAGGAGGCTGAGTGGCCCCGAAGTAATGACCATATGGGTGCGCAGGCTGACTGAGAGAGGTAAAGTTGTACGGACTCGAGGTTGGAGTATGGTATGGCAGTGAGTATGGTGCTGATGTGGGATGATGGACATAGTAAGGGAACATGGGTGAGTCCATGCGACGGTGGGAATAGTTCCCCATATGACCAGAGAACTCATAGGATGATGATACTGGTTCGGGCGTGTCCATGTTTTGATTTTTTTTTTTTTCTTTTCCTCTCAGAAAGCAATTTGGGGTTTGTCTGGAGAGGAAAGGGTCTAGGATATAAGAGGAACCAAAGATGAGCAGTCTAAGGATAAGTGCATAGAAGTAATAGAACAGACCTATAAGTTTTCCCCTTTAAGGATAAGTATGGTAGATCTTGTGAAAGCCATGGAATGGGATGCATCGAATTTATCAGGAAAAATGTATAACATAAGAGAATTTCAATAAAGAAAATCAAATGAAATTAATGAATTTTCCCATCCCCAATGCAAGATCAAACTAATTAAGATGTTCAGCCGCGACTGGCGATTTTAATCCTTTGGTCTCCTAGACTCGAAACCACATGACTTGTAATTTTCTCTTTTCTACATTTCCTCTCTTACTCTTCTCTCTTACGCTCTTCTTCTGTTTCTCTGTTCTTTCTGTATTGTGTATAATTTCATTGAATTTGATCTATCTGAAAAGAAAAACAAAAACAAAAAAACATAATGCCTCGACGGCCCGGGCCTTCGGGCTTTCCAAGTGGACCAAAGAGTTGCAGTTGACGAGTAAGTTACAGTAATTCCGGATGCGCCCGTCCGATAGTCGCCAATAGCGTCCGATCTTCATTCTGAGAATATCCTAGTTAGCCGCCCATGGCCTTGGAAATTCCCTGCCCGATCGGTTTCAGCTCAGATTGTCGATCCTCGTATTCAAAATTTCCTTCGTTCCTGCAGGGATACGGCACATGAACTTCTACACTCTATCCTCGTGCTACACTGGACTCGGCTTTATATCATACGAATGACATTCATTCCAATGAAACGGGTAAAAAGGGGGTAAAGAAATCAAAACAGACACCGGCAAAATTCGAACAAATCCAACCCGGCTTACTGGAATCCAAACCCAGCAAAAGAAGCATCCGAGATAAGAAAAAAAGGGAAAAAGGGGAAAAAGGGAAGAAAAAAGAGAGGAAATAACAAAAATAAACCAAACAGACGTCACATTACGCCACGTTCACCCCCTTTTTTTTACCGACCAGTATAGTTGGAGTATCTAAAATATGATTAGAATCAAACCACCATTTCAAATAGACAAGAAAACTGACCTCCAGATCCTGGCACGCATATCTCCACTACCAGTTGCGAAGAGGTTACCAGTTGGCGCTGGGGCAACAGAGATAACTATATTCATTAGTTAGCATTAGCATTTGCTCATTTGATAAGACTTTCCAACTCACCGGAGTTCTTGTGGCCCTGCAACATCATCTGGGCATTACCAGTGACCGGATCCCAGAATTGAACGCCACGATCCTTAGAACCACTCATGACCCACTGACCATCGGGCGTCAGGCAAACGCTAAGAACAAAGTCCTAATTTATTCAAGGTTAGTGGGGTAAGGAAGGACAAAGTGGAGAGAGCGGGTAAAGAAAACAAAAAACAAAAAACAAAAAAACAAAAAAAGAGAGGAAAATAGAAGAGAGAAAAAAAAAGGCACCAACCTTGTGGCCCTCAAATGTCCGCACACATTTGCCACCCTTGATGCCATTGTGGGGGTGTAGACCCCGCGGGACTGTCAATTCCCACAACTTGATAGTCTTGTCCAAACTACCGCTGACCAGGTCGCGACCATTGGGTGCGAAGGCAACCGAGTATACACTGTCCTTGTGCCCATCGGGGTTTTCTAGTCGCTCCACCAGGTATCCAGTAGTCGTGTCCCACACACGCACGCTCTTATCCAGCGATCCAGCTGCCACGTAGTGCCCATCGGGGGACATGGCCACCGTGGTGACTCCATCCTCAATGCTGAGCGTGTAGACCAGCTTGCCGTCGAGGATGTCCCAGAGACGAACGGTCTTATCACCACTGCCCGAGGCGATGTAGCGGCCATTGCCTGCGAAATCGAGCGAGTAAATGTCTTGCTCGTGGCCGGTGAAGATGTGCTTGATGGTGCGAGAAGCAATATCCCAAACCTAAATTCCAATGACGTGAGTAAAAAAACTCTTTATACTTTCAATGTGGTTTACGTACCCGAATCTGCTTATCTTCCGCACCCGTTGCCAGGTACTTCCCATCGGGACTGAAGCACACGCTGCGGATGTACAGGTCGCCATCCTTGTCGACGTTCTCATCTTGCAGGGTTGCCACATTTTGTCCTGTGGTCACATCAAAGATCTGGGCCGAGCGGTTGCAACCGGTCGCCAGGTACTTGCCATCACGGCTGAACCGAACACAACAGACTACACTGTCGTGGCTAAGGTGATGCACAAGCTCGACATCCAGCACACGTTGGACCTCTGGGTTGAACACCGCATACCAGTCTGTGCCTTCGCGCTTCTGCGACGGGGGCAGGTCCTCGGGGTTCCAGTTGGCCAACATGTTACCTGGGCGATCCGCACGAACAACGGGGGCCGCCTGTGTGCCTGGAGGGGTCGGTCGGATCTGAGGAGATGCACGAGGATCAGGGTAAGCCAGCTGAGTCGGTTGCGGGGTAGCCGGTCCGGGAGCCGCGCGTCGACCCTTTCCAGGGCCGGGGGATGCGGTTGGAGGTGGTGGGGGACCACCGTAGCCTATCGGGTAAAAAGGACAAGGTCAGCAACTTGACAACGGTTCACTTAATACTCTCACATACCGGTCACAGCAGCGCCCGGTGGATATCCTCCAAAGGAGCTCTGCAGGGGCTGTCCAGGCTGGGCGGCCGCGACAGGCTGTTGAAGGGCATGCTGGGGAAGCTGCTGATCCTGGGGTGGGGGAGGGGCAAGACCGGGACCACTACCTCCTTGGTTGGCCATAATGCCACTAAACAGGTTGCTCGGGCCATGGCCGACCTGTGGTGGTTGGCCTGGGGGAGCTGTGTGCGCCGCAGGTGTGATGTGGGAGACGGTTTGCACACCGCGCGACTCAAGCTCGTGTCGCAGGTGGCGGATCTCAGCTTCGTAGCTATAATAGGGTCAAGGTCAGTATACTAGCCAGCACCAATTTGCGCAAAACGTGCAAAGGAAAGATAAAATGGGTTTCACGCACTCTTGTTTCATCTTAACCTGGGTTTGCTCCAGTTGATACACCTTCTGACGGATCATCTCCATCTCCTGGAGCTGGCCGGTAACTGCATGATCTATCAGTTAGAAAACCATTCAGCGCATTTCGTGACCTAGGAGCCGTAGCCATAGACAGACTAGCGACTTAAACAGATAGGGGGTCGCTCCAAAGTTGCGCGCATTTGAATAGCTAAGCAGAGCAGAGGTCGAGGGGGACAAGGGTAGGGTAGGCAGGTAGGTGGTGGCAGATGGCAGGTGGTAGATTGCAGATGGAACACATACACTGGTGCTCAAATTCACCGGTACTGCGAGACTGGCTCTCAAATTCCTGGCGCAGCTGATCCAACAACTCCGTCAGACGGGAGTTGGGAGCGGGCACCATCCCGCGATGAGCGTTATACATGGTGATGTTTCGGTGTTGAAAGGCTTGTTCCGAAGGGTAAATATAAAGGAGGTACAGTCGGGACCGATGAGGAGTAATGTCGGATCAGCGATAGCTTTTGCGACGATAAATCGTAGCCGGGGACAAGGTCACAAAGCCAATCACTGGGCAATTGCTGCTTGGTGAGCGACACCAGGCAGCTAGCCACCACAATTATGGAACTGAAAAAAATTTAGTTCAGAAGAACAGATGAAGACCCAAAAAGTGGGTATTCGTTTTGAAGGAGGGTTGGATGGGGGTATATGTTAAGAGGGGGAAGAAGAGGCTGGGTTGAAGTTTGGGGCGGGCAGAATTGGGCGGATACTGCCGTTGACGCTAGAAGCGACGCAATAGGCGAGCGCCAAAGACTGGGGCGGTTCTGGACTTTGGGGGACTTCCAAAACTACGTAATCATATATAATGGTGGTTACTGGTGATAAATTGTGACAAATTGTGATGAATGCTAAGTAGAATATATAAATGAACATGTATTAATGAGAATATATCATGGCCAATCTAATCTCATTAAGGGTAAACTAACTAAACTTGTGACTGTTTGCATCAAGACTTGGATTTACACCAACAAATGCTTGGTTGGTAACTCTCAGTACGGGGAGAACTTGATGGCCTTGATGCCTAATCTTAGTCAGTTTGTTGCCTTAATGCCTTGTTGCCTTAATGCCTTATGTTTATGGCAATCTGTTCCTGCAGAAGCCAAAAAGGGGTAAAAGACTTAATATGCTATACTTCGTGTACAGACTTGGAGCACTCCATGCGCGGTAGGGAATGACATGTAGATATTAACATCACTTGATCACTTATATGAAACACATTCCAATGACCATGATAATGACCTGTACTCTATTCTCTACAGTATATCTGATCCTTGGATTATTAAGAGAAGATTCCAAGCGGCAGAAGCCGTTCCGCGCTGGTGTGATGTGGGCAGAAATTGTGATTCGCCCCTCGGACTTAATACTTTCGCCCTTCAAGATTTCCCTTCCCCAATTACCTCACCCCCATCCTTTTTACGTGAGTTGATCATGGATATCATTCTGGAATTATGGGATACCTTCGTTGGTGATCGAATGTATTCCACTCTTCTCCCCAACTCAATTGCCTCGTCTGTCTCCCTCCAGGGCCTCGTCAATACGGCCAACAGCTCCTTGTCCTTGTTCGGTGCAGCCGAACCTTTTATCTACGAGCCAGCCACTCAGCTACTTCATCTCGAACCCTCCAAATATGCCTACCTTAGTGCCTGGCCGCGGAATAACATTTACCGCCAATTCACCAGTTTCTTCTTGATCACTTGGTATGCGCCGACACCCCTGACGCCACCTATCGTGGGCCTTTATTAACATGCGCTCAGGATCTTCGGTCTCCTTGTCTACTTCGTGGTTGCGACTCTCTCATATATTTTCATTTGGGACAAAACCACCTACAATCATCCCAAGTTCTTGCGAAACCAGATTTCCATGGAAATGAAGCAGGCCATGAGTGCCATGCCCCCAATGGCCCTTTTGACTGCGCCTTTCTTCGTCCTGGAAGTACGAGGCTACGCCAAGCTCTACGACACCGTCGCCGAGGAGCCGTTCCCGTACTACAGCTTCCTGCAAATCCCGCTCTTTATCTTTTTCACCGATTTCTTCATCTATTGGATCCACCGTGGCCTGCACCACCCGCGTGTCTACAAAGTCCTTCACAAGCCGCACCACAAATGGATCATGCCGAGTCCTTTCGCCTCCCACGCTTTCCACCCCTTGGACGGCTGGTCTCAAAGTGTTCCTTATCACGTGTTCCCCTTCATCTTCCCTCTGCAAAAACTGGCTTATGTCTTCCTTTTCGCCTTCATCAATCTATGGACTGTCTTCATCCATGATGGTGAGTACGTCGCCAACAGCCCGATCGTCAACGGAGCCGCTTGCCATACCATGCATCACTTGTACTTCAACTACAACTACGGGCAGTTCACTACACTGTGGGACCGTCTGGGTGGTAGCTACCGCAAGCCCAACGAGGAACTCTTCCGACGCGAAACCAAGATGGGTGATCAGGAATGGAAACGCCAGGCCAAGGAGATGGAAGCCATCTTGAAGACTGTGGAAGGTGAAGATGATCGCAGCTACTCTGCTGAACAGAAGAAAACCCTTTGAGATGAGGGCAGGTCCTTCCCCCTGATACACGTGCATATGGCCGTCAGATCTCGGGATTGCATCTTTGGTCTTTTTTTCGCCTGGAGTTTGGGCTCTACTTGCATAGGTTCATATTGGGTCCCCGGATATCATTTTTCATCCGGGCGAACCCTTTGATCCGACCTACATCATTCTTAATACTTGTGTTGTATATTTTTTTTAATACTTCCTTAAAAAGGAAAAGGACAGTGGCTACTGTATAGCTGTCCTGCTTTCTGTACATACATATTCTTATCATGTTAACTGGAATGCACGTTCATGACCCAGAAATCTTGAAATTCTAGCCAGGTTCTAATATGATCTTCTAATCTGATTTATGTACACATGTACAAGATTACAGCTTCCCGGCTTGTCTGCTTTGGACTGGCAAGTACCAGTCCATATACTTACCCTGCAAAGAACGAGTGACGCCCGTTACAGGATGAGCCGGCTCTTTGCCGTCACAGAACTTCCGTATCGCATCTTCAGCATGTCCCTGAACGTCATACCCATAAATGTCAAGCACAGTCTGTGGGTCTCCGTAGAGGTTGCTGCTACGCACGAAGTAGGTCCCTTCCAGCTCAGGCGCCATCGCCGCGTCGCGCCCTTGCTGCAGCGGCCCATCTGGTAGCTGCCAGATGGCTCCGTTGATAAAGGATACCTGTTGCTTGGCATATGCTTTGGGCATGCGCTCTGTCTCATAGATTCCGACGGCATCCTGGATACTGATTTTGCCATGAACAACAGCCTCAATGCACTTGGCGAGGAAAGCGCCGTCTTCCATCGAAGTGGCTGCCCCCTGTGCCATGTGATTCACCATGGAATGTGCCGCATCGCCCATAAGAACCACGTTCTTCTGGGGCGAGGACCAAGACTTCAATGGTCCAGTCACCATGAGTGGCCAACGTGACTGGTATAAAGTTGAGTATGTATATGGATATATCTCTCGTGAATAGGCACTTACCACTTTCGGGATCATATCCACAATACGCTTGATGCGTGGATCATAATCCTTGAACTCCTCCCGCATCTCCTCAATAGGTACATCTTCCTGAGTGGCCCGCAGCTTCTCGGGGCGATGGTGTGACAGGACCAAGTTAAACATGTTGCCGGCCGAGATTGGATAGGTAATGATATAGGATTGAGGAGCCATCCACACCTCCATGGTCAGCTTTTGAATAAGCTCCTTAGCAATTGGATCCTGGCGAATCTGGTCGTACGGCACCATGGCTCGGTATGCACAGTTAGTGGTGGGGGGCTCCGGTCGAACATCTGGGAACAATGAGCGACGAATAACACTATTGACTCCATCTGCACCAACGCAGAGATCGAATGTGTATGAGTCCCCTTTTTGGGTAGTCACGGTGGCCTTTTCAGCTTGGTGGTCAATTTTGACGACTCGGGAGTCAAGCTTGATCATAGCGCCGGCTTTAACAGCAATTGTGGCTAACCCCTCATGGAGATGGGCTCGATGGACCACCCACCATGGTCGTTGCAGATCTCGTTCGATTGTGTCAATTTTGGTATAACCGACTGGTGTACCATCTTTGCGCCGCATGTTCAATTCTTCAAACTGAACCAAGTTATCTCCAATAACCTTGTCCACTCCCCACCTCTGAAGAAGCACAGAAACATTTGGGGTCATCTGAATTCCTGCTCCAATCTATTTGAGAGAGTTGTAACTTTAGTTTGCCATTCATGCATTCAAGGGGAGTACATACTTCACCTAGCTCTTGGGCCGCTTCCAACACTGTGACTTGGGCACCAGCTTGACCAATTGCAATTGCAGCAGCCAGTCCACCAATTCCCGCACCAACAATGCCGATGTGCACAGGACGAGAAGTATTGACTTTCATGTCTTGGGAAATCATATTACCAACCATGTCGATAACCTATCAAATTTAGATTGATTGGGTGTAAAACTATACAGGGATTAGAATTGTGCGCCATCCTTAAATAAAGGAGCTTCGATCTAATTGTCGACATCATGTCGGGGAAATAGGGAAGTTCGGGGGGAGCTTTGCAATTATTTGGTTCACAAACTCCGCATTTCCATTAGCGTAAAGCCACACAATTTGCGGGGAAATGTATGCCAAGCAATTTGTAGTAAATCCACGGACGAGGGGAAATCCGTATAGACCAATAGTTTCTTAGTAACCTACTAGCTACTCCGTTTATAGTTCTATTCTATGCTTCACCGCCAAAGTCAAAAGTGGAGCAAATACTCCTATCTCCCCACTTCTCTTCCTCACACCATGTCGCAGCCGGCTCCTAAACGCCGGCGTGCTGTCTTAGCCTGCAACTCCTGTCGTCATCGGAAATCCCGAGTGAGTATGCCGTGCCAAGTGCTGAGCCCCTTGGAACTAACTCGGGATAGTGTGATGGAGCTCGACCGTGCACTCAGTGCAAGGAGCTCGGATGTGATTGTGTCTATCAGGATATCGGCACATCATACAATCTATCTGTGGAAAAAAGGTGAATTCCTCCACCCACTCCTGGCCCACTGAAACCTTGAGGGGTACTCTTCCTTGGAAAAAATCTTCTGACTGATAGGATAGTTACTTGGCTCGACTTGAACATCGGATCCTAGACATTGAGGCATCTCTCCGTAGATTGGAGCATAATCAAGGCAATGTCACCCCTTCGGCACCAGCTGAGAACCCCCCGCTGGTCAATCATGTAGCAAGGCATGAATCTGGATCATCTCCAGCTCCCAGGTTGGACCAGCCAGTGAGCTCCTCTCACGCGATGGTCCCTCTAGAGAGGGCCGAGTTTGGAGAGATAGATGCCTCAGAGAACTCAATTGATGGGATGGGTGCCATCAATTTTGCGGATGAAGAGGACTGTGGGTTTTTTGGTATGATATGATATTCTCGAGATGAAGTCAATCGGATTTGAACTAAACATTACCAGGCCCGTCATCCAATATTGCGTTCATGCGTCATATTTCTCGCGCTATTGCAAGAGGAAATCAACAAGGTGGCCGTGTTCCATCAATATACTCCCCGATTCAATCGGGTGGCGGAATGTTGAATGTGTCAAAGTCTCGTCCTTCCCTAGAGGACTCTCAAGGTAGAATGCATATGTCTCCTGGGATTAATATTTTTGCTTTGCCTTCTGAAGACCGCACCTGGAGTTTGATTCAAATTTATTTCGAGAAAACTGGCCAGCTCCTACCATTCATCCACGAGGCATCATTTTGTGAGACTTATTTTCGGATGCGTGAAGAAAATTTCAAACAAGTACGCCGGACATGGCTCGGTTTGCTTAATATCATTTTAGCTATCGCCGCAAGCCTCCACACCGAGGGTGACTTACCTACCGACAAAAGAATCCAAGAGTCCGATGTCTACTTCCAAAGGGCGAACGGGCTTTGTGATAAGGATTCCAAACGGAATGCAAGTCTAGAGATGGGTGAGTAACCCTCTGCGAGTTCTGCTCGCATACATATACTAATGCAATGTCCAACAGTGCAGTATCTGTTGGTCCAGGGTCAATATCTCCAAGGAACTCAGAAATCCGTGCAAGCGTGGACTACACATGGTCTGGCTATTTCAGTGGCTTTTCAACTTGGTTTACACTCCCCCGAGGCCAACCAACGCTTTTCGCCCCTTGAATGTGAAATCCGTAAGCGAACTTGGTACGGTTGTATTCTGCTAGACAGGTAAGATATATATCGTAATGTTCAGCGCATAAGCACTGAGATTTCAATCAGAACGTTGAGTATGACATTTGGCCGACCTTGCACCATTCCGGAAACATATGTGAAGCTAGAGATGCCTATCAAAGATATGCAGGTTCTGGCTAATACACCGAAATCTGAAGCGTATCCTCAGTTGGATGGCTGGTTCTTTACTGCAGCCATGTTGGTTCAAGCCCTGTCCCGCAACTCACTTATTTCCTCAAGACTAATTGACTGATCCAGAAAACTTTACGTTGTGATGTTCAACGTCCTTGACACTTGCTATGGTCAAAACCTGGGATTTGAACACCCACTGACCCCAGCGAACGCGTTGCCTCAAATTCTTGAGGGTGAGCGTCAACTCGAGGAATGGCGTTTTTCAATTGTCCCTTCTCTTGGGATCCGCCTCTGGCATGAACCGTTACTTGCCGAGGATTTAGCGCAGTTGAACCCAGAATCAAGAATTCGTCATCGATTTGGCATCGTACTCTCGGTTCGGTATCATAACCTGCGCATCCTCCTCTATCGCAAGTGCCTAGAGTGTTTTTTGGGTGCATACAGTGTTGATGATTCGGCTTCCCAGGAAAATAAGCTCGCCCGGCAGATGAGTTTCACGGGTGTGCAAAACTGCATTGAGTCTGCCAAGTCAATTATTTCCACCGTTCATACTATTACCTCATCAGGTGGCTGGCGTCGAGGCCTCCTAGGGGCATGGAATTATACACTTTACTATAGTACGAACCCAAGTATACCTTCCAAAGATCTTGTCACTGAACTCTTTCCCAGCCTTCAATGCCGGCCTTGTCATCTTTGGGGCTCTTCTTGTCTCATCCAAGGAACATCAGCACAGTCCAGAACAATGGCAAACGGTCGAAAACTGCCGACCATATCTTGATCTCGCAGCGGATGCTTTGTGCCATCTAGACTCAGGTAATGGGGTTATTGAACGTTGTGTCGAATATTTGTCCCAGCTGTCCATGATTCTCAAAGCTACCAGTAAGCTTCCCATTCCCATTAGATGAAAGCTGAACACCCGTTGGTACTGACTGATATAGCTTCGGGTGAGACGAATCACCCTCGTATCCCTGTCGGTCCTCATATGCCTTTTTCTATCCCAGAGATCTTTTCCACGCTCGACTCGAATCTCCCTGAGTGGTCCAATCTAGATCTCGGTGAGTTTATGATGGACAACGATCTGGACTTGCTCAGCCGAATGTTTAATTTCAATCCTTCTCATGGCGCATCAATCTAAGCAGGCTGTGAAAGGGAGTATGGGAGGATAGGTTTCGTGCCTTGCTGTACTGGGAAATGAATCCAAAAGTAAATATTTGGTCTCATTGCGGTTCATGTATAGATTTGACTGTCGCTGTACATATACTAGAGCCTTTCTGCCGCGCGAAACCTAGAATATTTACTTGAGGGGTTTTTGACAATAATTAGAGACTATATCCTTTCAACATTATCTCGCATTTGAATGATCACACATCGTGATCCATCACGGGAGTGAAATCCATTTGCCGCCAAATCCTGTTCCGAGCTTGGCCAAACTTCCATAGTAAACTCCTTGCCTTGTTCTACAGTCATTGCTTGGCACATTGTGACCACTCGACGGGCCTGCATGATATCCCCACACTCGAGGACAGTAATCTTTGCTCGTGATTGAAGCGAAAGAGTAAGAATGCGATGATAGAAGATATCTTCCGCATTGCACCCTTCTGGCATTGTCGACTGGAGGGTATGAGGCGGCACTAATGCCAAGTGCGGTTCAAAACGACGAACACTTCGTGATGTGGTGCCATTGCGGAAGTCCGCGGTAGAGATATAGGGCGGGTTGGAGATTAGTAAGTCACATTCAAATTCCGATGTCGATTCACCTGGCTGTCCAAGCCGAGGAAAGTGTTCACGCAAGGTCTCCTGTATCGTTGGCACCGGTCGACTGTCTCCCATACCAAGGACGTCGGCATGGAGGAAGTGAACTTGTTCAGGGGCACGGCTGGTCAACAAGTTCCGGTGCATGTTATGCAACAGGTTCTTTTGCGCCAATGTTAGAGCAGTTGGACTGATGTCAACCCCTAAAACCTGCATGTCTTGGAAGTTCGGGGGAGAGAAGCGCATGCAGCAAAAGTGCGATGCAGCCTGTGCCAGTACACAAGTCCAATACCCGGAGAGGCCTCTGCCTACGTGGTGATGAATTGACCTTGTCATCCAGAGCCATTTGACGGACAAGATGGGCGGCTTGATAGGTAAATGACTCGGTATCAGACCTTGGGATCAATACACCGCGTTGGCAAAGAATCTCCAAATCCCCAAATGGCTGATCGCCTAGAATATACTGGAGTGGTACCCCTCGTGACCGTTGGTGGCACATAGATCTTAGACGCATCTGCCATCCAGATCCCAGTCGCGGGGACTGGCTGTCACGCATGGCGCGCTCACGCAGCCACCGTAGCTCATTTCGAGCAGAGACCAGCGTACGGCATTCTTGGAGCAGTAAGGGCAGAAGGGGACTTTCTTGATATGCCTTGATCAGTACTGAGGTTGGGATACGCGGCATCCTGTCGGGATCCAAAAGATGATGTTGAGTTAGACAACGCCAAGCATGGCAGAAAGAAATCCACATTCCCCTAAGATCACGAATTCAGTTTCCAACAATTTTACATTTACCATTTTACACTTTGAGCTTTCGGAGATGTATAATGGTTTTAGTATGTATAAATCATATAGAAGAAATAGGTATATGTAATATATGCAATATCATGGCACATGAAAAAAAGAGAGACAAAAGGGGAAATGTGCAACCAAAAAAAAAAACTCCAAGCAATTGAGACACCATAGAAACATGCAAATATCTAGAAACGAATGAGAATGGAATCATGATGTATTCACTTCACAGGGCCAGGAGAGCCGCTCCAGCCAGACCCCAAGCCATATGTTTGGGCATTCTGGTTGGGCCTGGAGCAGCAGGGTTACTGGTCTTTCCATCACCCATAGTGATGACCGCGGTAGCGTCACCAGTTGGGCCTCCAATGCGTGCACCATCACCCCCGATAGCGGCGGTGGTCACTGCGTTGACAACAGAACTGGCTCCCGGCACAGCATCCTTACCAGTACCGATCTCCTTAATGTTGTTGGTCGTGGAGTTAAAGTTGGTGTTTGCCAAGGAGATCTCGTTGTTGGCTAGATCGTACACCACATATGCGCTGCGCAGGAAGGTGTCTCCCAGCACCGAGGTACTATCTCCTGATGGGACAATTCCAAAGGTGCAGGCAGCTTCACCATTGCTGTAGTACGCTTCATCTAGTTCTAGGACAAGCTCGGCAATTCCAACAGTAATGGTGGGCGACGAAAATGTGTAGGAAATGTTGTAATCCTTATTGGCCATACTGCAGGGAACGTAGCCATATCCCTCCGATTCTTCGTAAGTGACATCCAGGTCATCATAGATCTTCTCGACGATGCTATCCGGGAGATATGTCAGGGAGCTACCCGAATCGAGCAGAACCGCGGCAGGAAGGGAGCTGGAGGAATAGTTGGTGGTTCCCGAGGACTTCGTCAAGGCAACTGCGGTAAGGGCGATGTAGAAGGCGGAATATTCGTCGCCGGTTTTTTGGATGGGTATGGTCTCAAGGGTGCCGTGGTACTTGTCGGTATTGACTCCGCCGAACAGAATCGAGCCCTCGTTGGCGTCAAGATCGTTCAACCATAAACTGTAGGCATTGGATTTGATCAAACCCTTGTTCACCATGGCCTTGGGCAGGTTAGCGTAGGATTGTTCTCCCGCCGTGCCCACCTGGGCTTCATTCGTGACATATCCAATTCCTAGTACACCCTCTTGAGACAGGTATCAGTTCGGTTCCAGTCCGATCTCTTTTGGTCAACTCACCTTCCGAAGTCGAGGTATCGCCAATACCGAATTGAAAGTCCGTCAGTTTAGTGTCCCCGATGTGAAGGGTCTCAGTGGCATAGACGCCGGCAGCTCCGGACCCATCGGCATAGGTAATGTTGAAATCCGAAGATACATAAGAGTAGGTAGACGAGTCACTGGAATCATAGGTGCCGAAATAATCGCAGTATTTTGTATATTTCTCACAAAAGCTGGAATTGGGAGCATTCACCCACAGATCACTGCTCCCAGTATCGATGACTAGGCGCAAGCTTTGCTCTGGGGTACCGAGGGTGACATTGACTAAATAGAGGAGTTCCTATATGCATGTGAGTTTTCATTTTATTATGAATCTTTTATTCTCATTTCTTTTTTTGGGGGGGCTTCATACCTCATTATCCAAGCCTACATTAACTGTATCCGCCCGCTTCCGTCTTGCTCGGTCTCTAGCGATGGGATTCGAGATATCTCTTCGTTTAATATCCAAACCAACGACTGCTGGAGTATCTCGCTGGTGTAGTGTTAAGCGACCCAGAGCCGGAAGTGCGCAGGTCGCCAATAGTACCAACGCATTCTTCATCTTGGCAAATTATCTAATCAGCTCTTGAGATGCGATCGGCGTTCTTTACCGAGGTGACTTGGATTCTGGTAACTTCCGTCAATGAAAATGTAAAATGGAAAAATGATGGAGAAGAGCTTAAATGAGGATTAAGGAAAAGGAAAGAGGAAAAGGGAAAAGAAGCGGTATAATATTCAGGGTCCCTTGGGAAGGTAATAAGTGGATTGTGGTTCTGCCACTAAGCCTTGATGGCGTTTTTTGTTCATCCTTTTTCCATCTTTTTTTTTTCTATTCTATACATAAAAGGTACAGAGAAACTCCTATTTTCGGGTAATCAGGGAAATTGGGGCGAAAAATGGACAGTTGATTGGATGTGAATTAAGTGTTGCCTTGTCCATCAACTTGAAAAGTGAAGCCCCACTAAAGTCGGCGCGTCATCCGTTATGCGTCATCCTGTTAGAGAAAGTCAAGTGGTAACTCGAGAAGGCGGTAATTCTGTTTTCTCTCGTTGTAACCTGTAACCTCAAAGAGAAAAAGAGAGAAAAAACTCGGATTGATGGACTTACGTATGCAAAGTACGTGGTTTTTAGTGGAAGGTTGATGACGTGGATGATTATCTCCACTTTACCCGCTTTGGGTTTAGTGTTGTAAATGGTTATATAGATCGTCACCTAATATTACATTTAACTAGTTACATCTATTTACTCCGTAATTATACAAAGGTGGGGAAATGGTTATTTATACATGACCAGGGACAACTTACTGTCAATTGGACCCTGGTTTCGCCCTCCCCCCCCAAATGTCGAGGCTCAAAGTACAATCCATTCGGTCTTGCTCAAAGACCCATGACATCCCGGACTTCTCTCATGGTCTCGCTCGCATTGGCCTGAGCCGCCTCCCCGCCCTCCCGGGAAACCGTATCCAGGTACCCGCTCTGATCCGCCATGATCTCCATGTACCGTTCTCGAACGGGTTGAAGATGATGCGCGATCTTACTTGCAACATGCTCCTTTAATGTGCGAAGACTAGCAGACTTATACTCTGAAGCAATTTCCGCACATGACACCTCTTCAAAATGACTAAGGATCTCAATCAAGTTGGAGACCCCAGGTCGATGGGCGGGATCGTAGGTGATTGTAGGCTCCGAATCCGTCAGAGCGACCTTGACCTTTTTATGAATCTCTGCGGGAGAATCGGTCAACAGAATACGGGATCGCTCATCCGCGTGGGATTTGGACATCTTGGCGGTGGGGTCCTTGAGCGACATCACCCGCTTTGCGGGGGCTAACTCCAGTGGTTAGCGGCTGAAAACCCAAATAAAAAAAAATGGGTGAGAATCATTACAAATCAAGGCCTCTGGGATGGGGAAGATTGGCCGATAGAGATGATTGAAGCTATTCGCAGTATACCTGGAGAACTCCAGATGTTGTCTTTGATCTTCGCCAACTGGAACATGGGTGCCTCTAGTGGAATATTAGCTTTTTGGAGGAATTCGTTCGTAGATAGGAGAAGAATTGACCTATGAACAAGGATATCCGCAGCTTGAAGCACAGGATATGAGAAAAGACCCAGGCGCAGCTGGGCTCGGGCTTCCGAATGCTCCAGGGTGATATCCTCTGGCAACTGAAGTTTGCTCTACAAAGCCCATTAGCGGCGGAAACAGTCGGGTTGGGTACGGGTCATGTCAGACTTACCTTCCATTGTGTCATCCTTGAGAGGTATCCCATGGAAGCTACCGTGCTGAGAATCCACATCAATTCTGCATGAGCCGGCACCTAACACCCCAAGCAACGGAGTACTGATTAGCCTCCTGTTCTCCTATATCATAGATAGGATGCCTCACAGCCGATTGATAAAAGATCGTAGATCGCTTGGGATCCAGTCCCACCGCAAGCAAAGTTGCAAACGCCTCCCGCCTCCATCGTCTCAATTGAGCTGCATCTTGCGGTACGGTCAATGCATGCAGGTCGACGATGGAAAACAACAGCTTGGCTCCTGGCTTCGCATTGTTCTGCAGCTTCACCCACTGGTTAAGTGCACCCAGATAGTTTCCCAGATGAGGAACCCCTGTTGGTTGAATTCCTGAAAAGATTACGGGCTCCTGTGTGGTGGTCGAGCTGGTTGAGCTGACTGATCGATGCCATTGTAAGGGTTGCCGAACGCGCAGCCGGGAAAGCTGTCCGCCAACCGATCTTACTGAGACAGTTCCATGGTGACAAAATAAGGTACACATCTTGAACGGAGTATACACCAAGGCGGTTGTCGTCAATTGGGGAAGGAGGATATGAATCTTTTCCGTCTCCGCGCGAAAACATCTCATTTCATCACGTGATGTGGTGAGAACTTGATATGTTCATAGCCTAGAGCCGAGGAAGTTTTCTGTTCCTACATAGGAAGAAGCTTGATTATTTACTACGGCTTACTAGGGCCAGGGACTTCAAAGGATCGAGATAAATCCCGCAGATTCTTGATTTGGGTTCGGATATGATGGGAAAGTATACAATACACGGGGGGCTTGGAGAACCCACCACAAAGATGAACACGATATGATAAAACTACAGGACGCCGAGGTGTTTCTCCAAAATGCAAAGCTCAAGACCGAGTCCAACCTAAGGACTACCGCTGCTCTATAGGCTTTTACGCTCAGCAAACCGGGCATTGTCCAAAGTGTCAAAGATGGATCCCCCAGCGGAATTATCCTTACGCTGACCGAATTGGGCGAGGTGCGAGCGGAGGGTCTTCTCGATCTCCGGAAGAGATTCGTCCATCGATTTGCCAACATCTGTGGAGGATTAGTGCATTGAGCCGGTAATAAACGGACCCGGGGAATCGTACCAAGGCTGTCATGCTCCCAGACATTGGCCTTCATGCCGACACCATAGAACGCGTGTTTCCGCAGGAAGGCAAGCCAAGCTTGCACTGCCTTGGGGTTCCCATCCTTGATCTGGATCAGCCGGCGGAGGGTAATTCGCTCAAAATTTTCCTGGCTCTTCTTGTGAACGAAGTTGCTTCGTGGGACGGTCCAGTGTTCGACGATGCGTGGGAGAGGGACGGGACCGGAGACGGGAAGGTTGAGGTAATAGGCCGCACGGATTGCAAAGTCGGCAAAGAATTCCACATTCTCGACACTGTAGGATCGAAGCTGGAGATCACAGACCGGGAGGCCGTATTCCGCCTTCCTCCGGAGAGGTCGCATATAAATCGCTTGTACGCTTCGTGGCAGTCTGGTCTTACCCAGAGCTCCTAGTCGGTCGGACCTAATCGCGAGTAAGTGTACTGTTTGATCTCTCACTCGCTCGGTTTCGATTCAGATGGGCAACTAATTCTACTGACCATTCTTTCACAAGTGGCTCAGATGGCTGCTCCGGAGCTGACGTGGATCTAGATTTCGAAACCATCAGTCATTGTGACACACTCAATTGGGATTGTTCAGGGTTTGATGGAATCTTACGCAGTCGATTCAGGAACTGGGGTCGGGGTCGGGGTCGCAGTCACAGTCGCGGTCGCGGCAGACTGAGGTGCTTTCTCCTGGTTTGTGGTTGGAGATGGCGCAGTAGGTTGACTCGGGGATGATAGCGAGCGAATGGGCACGGGTACCTTTTGTTTATTTAACCCCGACTTGGTCAGCGCAAAGGCATAAAGAGGTCACTCGAATACAACATACCCGCAGGTGCTTTCCAGCTCCCAGTAAGGAGCGTGTTGTGTTTGAGAACATTTTGTCAATTGAAGGATCTTATGGAATGCCAACGGTTGTTCCATTTTTTTCCCGTGAGATGTGGTGCTGACCGCCTTTACCCAAGGGACCATAACCATGGCATTCAACTTTGGATCTTCCCAAAGTTGCTTGATCCAAGGCTCGTTGCTTTCTCTAGATAACCTGCTTTTTAAATGTTATAGAGATCTCCTTCCATGGAATGCTTGTCTCGAAACATGTGATTTTGACATGTGGAGAAGGGAAAGTTGGACAAGTATACCGAGTGCCATGCGTATACTTCATACATCTACAATCCAGTTTGAATACAGTATCATAGATGGCTTTTCTCTTGTAGCATATGATTCATGCGTCTGGATAGATGCAACTTCGTGGTTGGCATTTTAACCTCTCAACCAATAGGACTGGGCGACTCCGCAGCATCAGGAGATTCATCGAGATCCACCCTCCGCTTGGACTTTTTTCCCTTCCCCATCTTCTCCCTTACTTATGCCATATACCTCACCTTTACTTCTAAGCATGAATCAGTCCAAGCTGTCTATCCTCGAGCAGGCCCAAGAGGCAGTGGCTTTTTTGAATAGCCAACTTCCCGAAGGCCTACAAGCCCCAAAGGTTGCAGTCGTCTGTGGCTCTGGATTGAGTGGCCTAGCGGAGACTGTCCAAGCAGAGCCTCGAATGGAATACGATTACGCCTCGATTCCTCATTTTCCTCGTCCAACAGGTAAAGTCAATAGGCAGGATGGAATGATCGGAGTCTGACAACACCAGTTGCGGGACATGCGGGCAAGCTAGTTTTTGGGCTCTTGGGTCAGAAGATCCCCGCGGTATTCATGGTTGGCCGTGCCCAGTGAGTTCAATTTGTATTTCATTTACCGGTTCATGGCTCATGGACATATCAGCTACTACGAAGGAAATTCGATGGATCAAGTGACGTTTCCGATTCGCGTGTTTAAACTCCTAGGAGTGAACACGGTTGTGCGTGAGTTGCATATAAGAACCGAGAATGACCAAGTATACTAATACGGAGGAACAGTGACTAATGCTGCCGGGGGCCTCAATCAGGATTATAGCGTGGGTGATATTATGCTATTGAATGATGTAGGTTCTTCCTTGATCACAGATCAGTCAGATCTTACTGACATTCTACACAGCATATCTTCTTGGCAGGTCTCGCTGGGGTGCATCCTCTAAGAGGTGCCAATATCGAGGAATTTGGTGTCCGCTTTCCACCTCTGTCAGATGCATATGATCTTGATCTGCGTCGCCATGTCCATCAGGTGTGGAAAGAAATAACTCCTTCGCAAAACACCAGGAAATTACACGAGGGAGTTTACGCTTTCGTCGGAGGTCCAACGTAAGTAGGAAAGGCGCTCTCTTTCCTCCAGTTCCTGACAATATGTAGTTACGAAACGAGGGCCGAGAGCCGCATGCTTCGAATGTTGGGTGCCGATGTGGTGGGCATGTCCACCGTGCCCGAAATTGTTGTGGCAAGGCATTGTGGCCTTCGTGTGCTAGCATTCACGCTGGTCACAAACAATGCGGTGTTGGCCCCAGTTCCTCGTGGAGACGAGCAATTGCTTCAAGGCAAAGACGCCAGCGAGCTCAATGCAATGTTGGAGAAAGGTAAAGCAACACACGAGGAGGTTCTGGAAGCTGGCCGTACAGCGGCTTTGGACATGCAGGTAAGTCCTCTTCCATACCAACCGGGAGAGCCAAAGCTAAAATGGGCAACAGCAACTGGTGACGCGAACACTCATGAGAGTATTTGGTCGGCCATAGACAGCAGCATATTTTCCAATAGGCTTGAATATCGATCTGTGTCAATAAACTGGAGACCAGACGGTGACTGGCAAGAGTAGTGATCATGATTGGGCATATCGTCTTCATTTCGCCTGAAGCATCATGATCACCGCTTCTTTCCGTTTCGCTTTGCCTGTAGGTTGTTGTAGAAGGCTTTTTTCCCACTTGTCTTAGTGCTTTGAATAGCACGGTACTTGGACTCGAACCGTCCAGTTTCCCGCTCAATAGCCATTGCCTCTGCAACAAAGGTCTTCTTGCGGTCTTTCTTCGCAATCCGGCCACTGAAGAATTCAGTGGGTCCCTCGATAATGGTTCCGACCTGGGAGAACTCAGGCAATTTTGCCTTGCCATTCTCCTTCTTGTAGTGCCGTTTGGGGTCCAACACAGAGCGCATTCGCAACAATTGCAAATCTCTTTTGAGTTCGGTAGTCAACTCCGTCTTGGGGAGGTCGAACCACTGGGGTCCAGCAGTGGCTTTTTCCTACAGGAGTAAACAGTTAGTACGGGTTCGTAACTATATGCTCCAGGAATCACAAGTGATTTGTGGTTGGTTGCTCAGAGTAACTATGAAAAATGAAGCTCTCACTGGTGCAGCACAGCCCAAGACGGGCTGGTTACGCTGCATCAAGCGCTGATGCGTTGGGAAAGTTTTCCTCATAGCAAAAAGGAAAGGTCGTAGGGTCGACGGGAGAGTAAAAGGATAAGACAAGCACTTACTTTAGTAGATTTCTTGGCATGCTGAATCAAGCGTAGAGAATTAGATAATTCTTTCTGTCTGGGATCGACCAACTGAGCTGAATCAATGGTTGCGACATCATCGCCCTGGCGGACATACGGCTCAAGTGAGGTGCCTGAGGACATTTTTGGAATGCTGTACAATGAGTCAGTCTTGTTCAAGGATGATTATTCGTGATTTGAAAGCATAAAAATACCTTAGAGACGTGATGTCCAAGTCTTGGGCAAGTTGAACATCAGAGCCGCGAAGGCGACCTTCTGCTTCAAGCAGTAGCTGTTGGATTTGGTCATCGGTCAAGTCGACCTCTTCTTGAGGTTGACTGTTGACCTCAACATGGGTTGGATCCATCCCTACCAGTAAGGGTATAGGGGGCGGGAGGTATTGAGGAGTTTGAAGGAGCCGGGTGAAAAGCGGATTTTATAGGTTTTTTTTTTTCAGATTGTTGCTTCGCTCGGAACGGACAAACATTTATCATGGCGGCTTACAGTGCTAATCACGTGGTTATACATGGTATCAAAGTACCCGATACCTGACAATACATGTTATTGCAGTGTAAAATTGAGTAACAATAACTAGTATATACCGTGATAGTCGAGATTTTTCGAATTCTATTATGGGATATTTTGAATCTACATATTATAGAGAATTATAGAGTAAATCGTATTAGCTAAAAGTCCCAAAAAAATTTACAGCTCCTTCACGTAAATCATATCAGATGTTCAGGAGCGGGGGTTGGGATACCCGGAAACGTCAGAGATGGCTGAGATCACCTTGGCGCACGCGCTTCCTTTCCAAAGTTATCGTTTCGCCATTCACATCCAATCAAACTTTCTACTGCTTCTTCTGTATCTATTTGCGTCGTATCTTTGCGACATATTTCCGAGGTTTCCTGGACCCACCTCCTTATTTCATTCTAACTTTGTCGAGCGCGCGATTCGCCATGGAACCAGCTCCTCAGGGTACCGGCCAACAGCAAGGTAGACAGCAGCAGGGACAACAGCAAGCACCTGTTTATGATACCAGGAATGGTGGACACTATGGTAAATCAGCACCGTTGTGCCTTTCCTTGATGGATCGGATGTTAGCTTCGCAGCACGCCTGGGTGAGCGCGCATCGCCTCTGGCGAGCGCGCAACTGAGGCGTCACTCGTGCACTCTGAATATAGGCTGATTTTTTTTCTTTCGCAGGTGCCAGTGCACAGGTATGCTCCGGAATTTGAATCGAATACCCACTCAACCCCTCCAGTAACCTCGTGGGGCATCTCGGAGTCGCTGCTAATCAACCCTCACCCCCGATCAGCTCTCTGCGCAAGGCTATGCACCACTCGCGGAGCTGTACACAGGAACCTGGGCCAATGTAAGATCCCTTTCGATACCAATTTTTCCCATCTCATACCAAAGTAGGTGAACCAAGGCCTGCAAGGGACTGCTCGTGATATCTTGACGACCTACTGGCAGCATGTCATCAATCACTTGGAGGGCGAAAACCATGATTACAAGATTCATCAGCTACCGCTTGCTCGCATCAAGAAAGTTATGAAAGCAGACCCCGAAGTCAAGATGATATCCGCGGAGGCCCCAATCTTGTTCGCCAAGGGATGTGATATCTTCATCACGGAGCTGACGATGCGCGCATGGATCCATGCCGAAGACAACAAGCGCCGCACATTGCAGCGCTCGGACATCGCTGCCGCTCTCTCCAAGTCTGACATGTTCGACTTCCTGATTGATATTGTCCCTCGTGAAGAAGCAGCTTCACATGCCAAGCGATCGAGCCAAGCAGGTGCCCCAGGACCGTCTGTGGCTCCGGGCCAGCTGCCACCATCCCAGCATGGTGTTCCGACGCACATGGGTCCTGCAGATTACAGCTCCCTCGGCCAGCATGGAATGCCCCAAGAGCAGGAATACCGCCCACAGCCCACCATGTACCCAGGGCCAGTTCAATCGGACCCCACTGCAGCATATGGCCAACCTCAATCCCAAATGTTTGAGGGCATGTATGCACCATACCCGCATCTCCCTCCTCAACAGGTATGTGCTATGCCTCGCCCCCACCGCTCTTCATGTTTCTCGCAGCTAATCAAGTGTAGTGAGTTGAACTCCTGCGAGGAAAATCGTACTTTTTTCGTTGTGTCAAGGGTCTATGCGCGTTTCCTGGTGAATCCTGGGCCTAAGGGTTGTCTTTTTCTGAACTCTTTTTTTAAAACATGCTCTATCCAAATATATACCATCATGAAAAACTCGGACCAAGCTGTCTCCTTTGGTCATTTAGGATTTTCTATATGTAGACAACCTTGGAACACATCCTTGGAATGAGGGTTGTAATATGATGACTCTTTATATACATGACCTTGGATTGAATTAACTGGTCCTAGAAGCGGACGCTCTAAGTACAAATTAAAATTAAAATTGAAGGTGTGGAATGTATGATATCTTAGATATTAGGAAGAGGTCTCGTTGAAATGATGGCGGCTCCGCTTTGAGGGCCTCCAACCTGATTTTTGATCATGTTTTGGAGATTATTTTGGTCAATCCAAGTAGGCCAGATAACTGAAAAATCCATCCAAAGAAGAAACCGGCTCATTATGGGAATGACGTAAGCAAAGTTACTGTTAATTCTTCTTGAAACGAGAGGAAAGTGTAGCGAATTTATCCACCTTGCTAGGCGCTTGAACCGTCCTCGTGAGCCTAAAGCAGGTCAGCAGATGTCGCATAGTAGGATAAACCCTTGGGGAGAACATACTTTTCAAGTAAAATGGGTCCCTGCATAGCGTCGACTCGTCCATATTTCTTATTTCGAGTTGAGATATCATAGAACTCATCCGCATTATCCGCCTGCATCAACTGTACCGTCTGTTGGAGCTCATCGAGGTTTTCACGCAGAATAGGGACATTCAGACTATCCACAAACTGAGCCAAGTACTCCACATCCTTTGCTAATGCCATCACACCATTGGGATTGATGGATCTGACTTCCGGTGCCAGCGGTTGGGCCTTTTTGTACCTCGTCAGTTTAATCTAGAAAATGGGTTGAGGAAATGGGATAGCATAAGGCGCGTACCAGAATCATGTTAGCCGCATGACTGAGGGCGTCAAAGTAGATGAGCTCTTTGATTTCGGTTGGAAGCCCCAACAGTGTAGAGTTCATGATGTTAGAGAGGAACCGAGTCAATGTCTGCATGTAGTTGCTAGGTTCGCTTGGAGAGGTAGGAGACATCCATTCATATTCCGCTGTTTCGATAAGATCGTCAATTTTGGAGTTGACGACCTCAAAGATGCGTTTTTCGGCCGATTTTTTATTGCTCCGGAACTTTTCAGTTGCCCTTAGAGTAATGGATATGCCTGTAGAGTTTTGAGACCTTGCAGCCGCAAGAAGCAATTCGAGCTCACGACAAGCTGACTCAAAGTGCTCCAGGTTGATGAGAATTTGAACAATCTGTCCCAAGTATTGCGAGGAAAGACGCTCGACTAAAGTATCGCAAACCTTGCGTGAGAGGAGATCATCCAATGCCTATTTCTATTTAGCATCAGGTGGATTGAAGGGTCAAGTCCATGATGGAAGGCACCCACATCTTTCAATGTCTCATCAATGACATTTGGGTGCGAAAAGTCATCATTTGCGAAGAAATAGAATTGATTAAGGAAGTTTCGAATGTCAATGCAACACAGTGGATACATCCTTGAGAATGGCAGGATACAGGGGAAGCTGCGCCGAAAATTAGTCGAGTGGAGACCGAATGCATACGGAGGGGAGAGTGATACACATACACCTGCTCCTCACGAGGCTTTTCAGGGCTATACCAGCTCACATTAAGCACCTTGTCGTATTCTTCCAGAGTCTGGATGGGCATAGGCATGTAATCATCCGTTGACACAATCTATGCATGTCAGAGTGTATTCCTCTTGTCATGACAATAGGACAAAGAGCCAAGGGCAACCGTACCTCTTGGAAATCATCGCTAAACCTCCTCTTCAAGAGCTCTGCATATTTCTCAAACAGATTCAAGAGAAAATCATCAAAAACCCGCACTGGGAAGTTCCAAGTCTACGCAGAGAATCAGCATTGAAATCAATGGAGTAGGGATGAAGGGGACCGACATTCATGGTCTGCATGAACAAAGCAATCAAGTTTTTGATTTTTAGGATATTTTCAGCGTTGTCCACTTCAGGAAGGGCCTTGGATATCACGCCCACCGCAGCCTGGCACATGGAGTCCCAAAGCTCATCGATCTGTCCGCCAAAATAGATTAGTTCATATCACACGGACTGGGTCAAGAGGGGGAAAACGCATACATCAACCGATGATCTCAAATCAGGCACTCTTTTCATCGTAGCTCTTTCAACGATGGCAAACCCTGCCATTTCCTCCAGAAGATTGTGAAGGCTTGCCCCATCCTCATCTATAAGAGTGATGGAAGGCGGGGTTAAAAGGTCTTTTTGGCGGCGACGAGTGTTGGCATACTCAATTCGGAATTTGTCGATTTGCCCCAAGGATTGGTGTATATGCAGGCATTCAAATAACGGAGTGAACTCCACCTGCAAATCTTCATTCTCGAGGAGATCATATTCCTCGTCTTCGTCGGCCACCAGTTCGATGGCGGAGTTTAAGTTGAAGTGCTCGAGGTATGGGACCTTCTCCGCTCTCTGTTTGAGTCGTGATTTGCGCTGATCGGTGTGGAAAAGCGCAATTTCTCCCAAATACTGAGACATTTCGCGGATGCGATACAGCCAGGTATTCAAGTCTGACATCACCGCCTCGGCGATTGCGCGCTGAGTGGCCGGCACCGAGCGTTGAATCATGACAGCGATCTTGTATTGGGTCACCCCTTTAAGATGAACATTCTGCAGCTCTTCTAAGGCGCGCAAGGCTGCGTAGTGATTCTTCTTTGCCAATAGGTCATGGACTTGGTTCGCGAGACGCAGCACCTCTAGGCAATCTTGAATCGCCCTTGAAGTCTCATCAATATTCTGGCGATGACCTCGTGATTCGACTAATGCTTTTTTCTGTTCCGCCAGTCGCTCGGTGCTTGTCTGGATTGATTGATTGAGGTCCAGGATCTCCGCGGTCAAGGATACCGTGCCTTCCCGAATTCGAAGCAAAGAATTGACGGACGAGACAAACTCTTGATGATTTGTGTTGCATATTCTCTCAATCTCTACCTCTTTATCACTTGCAAACCGGGATAAGGATTGGAGCAACTGGGGAGTCCGATTCCCAACACTGTACTCGCGAATGGAGGGTATGAGCTGATCTAGGTAATCAGTGTCGGAAGGCGAAATGATGATCTGTTTTGATATGAACATAAGTTAACAAGCATAAGCAGGCAATTTATGAGTACTAACCTGGTTCAGCACATGTGGCTCTGGCATGGTAGGTGTCATGGAGGGCATTGTGTTTGTCTGGAAGCTGTGCTCCATATGCTGATGTATGCGACGTGATATGTCCCAGTTTTGGTGACCGCCTTTCTCACCGCCCTTATATAGATCTAAGTATAGCCATCTAGTTCAGTTACCATACCCCCATGAATCCAACCTCTATCAATACAAAAATGAACATTTTGAAAGCCATTGTTGTCTTGCGTGACTCTCAGTGAAAATTCCCTATCATTCTCTTTTATTCCATTATTTTTCCATCAAGTTTGACTAATTATCTTATAGATAACAACCGCCTTAACTCATTAGGGCTATTCAAGATGTAATATCTGAATCTGATATCTCCCATGTTGCATGCACAAGAATACACCTCAATATGTGGATTTATTATATCTTGCCTCTGAAAATAGTGTCTGAATATGCACTTTGAGGCCATCAAAACAATGCTTAATGGAAACAGAGTCTTTCCCGACGCGACTCGTCGCCTCCTCCTGCCTGGGATTCGCTGCCTTGGCTTTGCGGCCGCCGAGACTTAGAGTTGCGGATCAGCGTTGCGCAAGATATCGTTGCAAGATCTTGTTGCGACTCGATGTTGCGCGAGGTACTGGGCGACGAAGACAGCAGCTTTTACCCCCGCCTTCTCTCCTTCTTCCTCCTTCTCTTCCTCATCCGCCTCTCCTCCTTTTTTTTCATTTTGCTTCGTCTTCCCTATCAAAGAATCTGTGCATTATCCTTTTGCTCTTAATCTTGTTATCCTAACGCTTCTCTACACCGTTCCAAACTTTTCCTCTTGTGACGCGTTTCATATTGCTCCAAAATGTCTGTCAATCCCTGTGATTCCCTCGGTGGGAGCTCGTCGCCGATTCGTTCGGACAATCTAAAGTCGCCTGGTACTCAACTGGCAACTTTTACATCGCGCTTCCCCGATTCGGATATCGTGGACTTGCCAACACTGCCTCAGTCGAATCGTTTTGAAGCTAAAAGCCCGTAAGAAAAGATACAAATGACTGGTAAATCCCAACTGACAGAAACAGTGGTGTTTACTTGGGGAGCCCCTACCCGGGCAATGGCTTCAACCAAGTCTCATTTCCTCGAAAGCAGCTCAAGCAAGAGGATTTTGATATGTTGCGAGATTTGCCGATCGGGGCAAAGTATGGGTCACAGCCCTTCGGTCCCAACCCTTCGCCTGACCTAAATGTCCCTCGTTCATTGAACCCTTTGCACCGTCGGGAGCCTGCTTCTTACCCAACTGAAATTCCGCACTCACTGTCGATTCCCCGTAAGCAAAGTGATTACGGGATCTACCCAAATCACCACCCACCATCTATGGGTGCCTCCCAGAACCGGAATGATCTTCGAAACTTCTTCATGGCCAACCCTAGCTCAGGGCTTCGCAATTTGACTCAATCTCGCGATGCGATTTCGCCAGTGAGATGGCCTATGCGTCCTGTCCAATCTATCCAAAATGTACAGCCTATGCAATCTGGACCGTCCATGCAACCTGTACAGCCCATGCAAGCTTCTTTCTGTGGCAACAGATCTATTTACCCGGGGCCCACCAGCCAGGTTGCTACCATGACGGTCATGACGACTACAAAGGACTTGCGACCCTACGACCGTCGGTTTCTCGTGAAAAACGTGGATACCAACATCTCGGGAGTTTACATTCTCGACTATTGCCACAGCCAGGTCAGTGTATATAGCAATGCAACAAATGAAGAAAACTAACTTAAAAAAGGATTTCCGAACCGGGTTTGGTCCTACCACACACGAGGTACGCGAGAAAGGTCAGTTCTGGATCGGTTTCTCCGATATGCGTCAGAGCCAACGCGCCGTCGAGCATTTTGCCCGTGACCACCCAACTTGGATTGTGGAACCTGTTGGAGAAACGACATTCAAGCAGGGCTCGAGGATCAACTCCACTGCCTGTACCTTTGAGGATCAGGTCTTGGCCATTGTGTACCGTGGACCTGGAAGAACTATTCCTCCCGTCAATCTTGTGCCGGCTGTAAGGAGTTTGCTCGAGACAGTAGGAACTGTTGCCGAAATGCGCCAAGTCGCACTTGAAGCTCCGTCGCAGTCTCCGCGATTCACCATGGAAGGATTTGTGGTACGTTACTACGATGGTCTACATGCCGTCAATGCGACCAGATCTCTCAATACCATCTCAACCCCAGTATGTCTTCACTGTTCCCTGATTCCCCTTTGATCAAGTGGTGGTAACTCATTTTCTTTTAAATTCTAGCATTTTATTATGGAGGTGCTGCCATACCATTACGATCTCGAGAACCAGAAGATCCGTCACTGGAATGGTCAACCGCAAGGAAGGGATGGCCGACCAGGTGAATACTTCGATCCTGAGGACAACCGAGCCCGAGCCCGGACTCCTCAGACTCCTGGCCGAGTTGAATATGACGAACAAATCATTTATCCTCAAAACATTCTTCAAGGACAAGACCGTCGGTGCACGGTAGGTAGCATATCCTTCGGTCTCTCTGGACTTGTGATGGTTCCTGACGTCTCTCCCAACAGGTTATGTTAAAGAATATCCCCAATTCCCAGACATGGGTAAATCAATGTTCTAAATTGACTTTCGAGTGTGCAAGTCTGACCACCCCGACAGGATCAACTCAAGATGCATCTTGATGTGACATCTGCAGGAACCTATGATTTCATTTACTTGCGTATGGGTAAGTGTGCTTCACAATTATCATGATGACCATCAACTAAATGTGAATATAGATTTTGAGCAGCGTCTAAAGTTTGTGAAACAAGAATGCATTCGACGGGGATTTTTCTAACCAAACCCATCTCTTTAGCGTCGGCTATGCGTTCATCAACTTCGAAAACGTTGGTTGATCCTCCCCTTCGTTCCAGTCACTTACTAACCGTTTTTCTTTTTCATATTTCAGCCCATGAAAATACTTCCGGTATGCTATGAGATCTTTTTATGTCTCCTACAATTGCTAATCATTCAGTTTTTCACCGCTCGACATGGAACGGTCTGGTAAGTTGGTTTCGTTTCCACGACCATGAAACATTGCTAATCCTATATACTGTAGGCCGGGTTTCACTACTGGCCGACCCAAGGTTGCAGAGGTCTCGTATGCGAGTAAGCCCCTATCTCTTCTCCTAAAGATCCCCTGGCGTGTTAAATTGACCCCGAAACAGCTACGCAAACCTATGAACTCCTGGTAGAGAAATTCCGCAACAGCCCGGTCATGCTGGATTTCCCGGATAACCGTCCCAAAGTGAGTCTCGATCAACATCAGATACGAAGCATTTTGTACTGATTTGAACGAGCTGTTCTACATCAAGGGACCCCACGCTGGTGAAGAAGCACCATTTCCGACAGTCAATAACTTCTGGACACTTGCAAAGGGAGTTGAACGAAGCAAAGACAGCGGTGAGGTTCCACTTGACATCCTGTTAGTGAATTCTGAACTGACATGACCTTGGCAGGGCTATACCGAGGTGGCTCTCGCACAGACAGTCACAATCCACGTCGCCATGCCCACACTGATCTTCAGTATGAAGCTATCAATACGCCCGTCCGGGGTAGCCGTCGCCGCCGAGAACGGAACAAATGGGGCAATTCAGATGTGCCCAAGTACCGTCAGAATTAGAGACATACCAGAATATGTTGCTATTCGGCGTGATTCTTACTTTTACCTTTCTCGACTTGATTTTGTTTTATCCTCTTACCCTTCTGCCTTCAACTTTTGAGGGAAGATCTCCAGAGACCGATTATCCCCCTGATTCCCGTTTTATGGTTTCTGAGAATTAAAGACATACCAGACTATGTTTCTATTCGGCGTGATTCTTATTCTTACCTTTCTCGACTTGATTTCATCTTATCATCTTACCCTTCTTCCTTCATCTTTTGAGGGACGATTCCCGGAGACCAATTATCCCCCTGGTTCCCAATTTATGGTTTCTGGTTTCTCATGGTATGAAATGACGTTGTTCCGTTTCGGTGTGATATGGTCCCAAGCAGTTGGGACTGACTGCCATGTCTGATCTCCGTCGAATAGGGTTGAAGCTCCGAATTGGCTTATTTGCCCTTCATTTTTGACATCTTGGTTCTATTTCCTTGAATTCATCTGAGCTTTTCCTGTTCAAACTAGTAATTTTATAACTTTTTTTTATTTTTACTTTGTGGGGCCTTTTATACTCCGTAAACCTTGGAATTCCGTTAACAAATTTAATTTGCTTCCCGCAAATGAATCTATCCTTTCCCACCAACCTTGAAATCCCCCATGGACCAACAAGAGATCTCGGCAGTCCACACTGTCCTACACTTGATATATCATCGCAACAAGAATCAACATCAGAGAGCCAAATGGTGGAAATGGCTGGCCACTTTAAAGCGTACTACGTTGGACCTGGGATCGCTGGACTCGACGGCAGTTGAGCGCTACCAGCAGCATCTGGCCGTACATTTAATTCCCCGATGCTATCTGTATGTTTCCCTAAAATATGCAAGGCAGTGCGTTGACCAGAAATAGAGCATTTTCCACAGTTGTGGCCGAGAACCAGTTCGCGACTTTGGGGATCGCTCTTCTGGCCGCACTTTCACGTCTGGCCAAGGCTACTGGCGCCGACCGTAAACTCAAATCACAATCTCGACAAATAAAGCAAAAAGTGATTGTTTCAACCCCAACCGAGGATTGGGGAGAACGCATCCGTCGCGACGATTTACCAGAACCGAGTCAAGTCTTCATGGAAAGAGAGCGGCCTTTGAAGGGAAAGACTGTCAAACCCAAGACCGCCAAGCGCAAGAAAAATGCCATCGACGATCTTTTCAGTGGACTATTCTAACTCTTAAGTCGCTCTTGCAACAGTGGGATTTTTATTATTTCCTAGGTCCATGGTGTTACCCACTATTGTCGCTTCCGAAGTGTAGCAAGGCCAATCCCACCAAACACATTTACCAGAACATGGTTGGCCGTTGCCCACGCTATGGAGTACAGATATTTGGGCGAAAACACGGTCCAGATAAACAGATGGGTCCTCAAAGCCGTACAAGCTGCCATCACGGAAATGAGGGACATGGCGACGTGGAACGTGAATAACGCGGCCGGACTGTGAGATCCTACGGTCTGATGCGATCGGAGTAGGTTTCCCATCGAAACCCACCAGATGGGGCCTGCCCAGTTACTAGCAAAAGTCAGAATTCCCACCATGGTCGCGCTATAGCTGTCCACTCCGTTATATCCGCTTGATAAATCCACGGAGGAAATGGCGTTCGAACCCCCAAGCACAAAGAAAGTCATGTACTGCATCATTAGCGTCAGGACAGTCACCTCGAACCCATTCAAATCCATCGGGGCCAAAAGAAGGCCTTGAATACGAAACAAAAGAAAGACTGGAATGTTGGTGGCTCTGGACTGCGTCATCAGAAACAGATTGAGCGCCTCGTGGACCAGCCTGTTGGATACTGGTGATTCAGGTCAGTCAGGATTCCGGAGAGAAAATGTGAAATCTTACCGACTGCTCTCCTCGACCGACTTGATGTGACAATTGCCAGAAAGATACAACATGCAATCCCGCCAAAGACGAGCCTTGCCTGCAAAACTAATGGCACGGTATCTAGCGACTTTTGCGCCCGCGATAAAATGAACTTAGCCAGTAGTTCAGGGGAGTCATTTGCCACAAAGTTCAATTTGAACCAGAAAGCCAGAGCTGGCAGAACCAACCCAATCAGTCGTGGCAAACCAGCCGGCAGGCTTAGAAACAGACCCCGGCCGACATCCATGTACGTGAGGATCACCAAAGTCCACAGAAACAGGGGGTGGCTAGGCAAGAAGCTGCGGGCGATATCTGGCTCAGCCGTAAACTTCTGGCCGGTTTGATTCCAACGTCGAAGGATTCGCTGGGACACGATAAGTCCCAGCGTGGCCATGCTAGTCCAATTGAATGCACCATTTCGGTGGGTGCGTTGAAAGCGTGTCGATCTGATATGTAAATAAACAATCCACCCCGAGCAGATCCAATACCAGAACTGCTGCTCCTCTTCCACATAACTGCTTGCAAACATCATACTTCCATAACTTACCACCAGGAAGCCTAAAAACCCACCCGCGTAGGCCGATCGTGCGCAGTCTTGGTACACAGCAGGGAAGAGCATCAAAACCGCACTGCCCGTGACTAATAGGCCTAGCGCAAGCCTGGAAACGTTATAGTCACTGGCGGTACTGCTCATCACCTCCTGAGCATTCCGTGAGAATCGTTGTAAAGCGAGACCAATAATGGCGAACGCATCCTCCACCCGTGTATCATGGGAAAGCTGGTTGATTTGGAACCAGGCACACCGAGCGCCTTCAATACCAGAGACTGCACCGGATGCACAGCTTGCAGCAATGTCATCCTGGTCGAATGAGACACCTGGAAATGTAGCTTTGACCGTGTTTAGTAATTGCCGAGCATTGCGATATAAGATGTCCAATTTTTGTGATTCTGTGAAAACTTGTTAGCCCAGGTAGATCGCCAATGGGTCTCCCCCCCCCCCCCAAAAAAAAGAAGCAGAATATACGTACCGGAGTCCCACATGTTCAGAAACTCGGGAATAAATACACCCAGGCTATTCAGCGGAATCGGTAGACCGAGAAGTCCAGCTAAAGTTGGAGTAATGTCTGCCTGTTCAACCGACCGGTAGTACTGGAATTCATCCGTGGCTTCCACGGGGCTTTCCAACCTATTTCCCAGTGCTTGAAACTTTGGCGAGACAAATAGTAATGCCGGGGAGGTTTCACCGGCAGATGAGCCTCCATGGTTGCCAGCATCGTTCATACCATGATCGCCACATAAGACGAGCAGTGTAGACTGGAGATGGGGCTCTTGCTGCATCGCTGTATAGATGTCTTTTACTACAGCGTCCATTTCCTGCTGCTTGGATCGCATGAATGGGCTAGTCAAATGTTAGATGCTTGATTTGGAAATAAATGTGACAAAACATAAGAATTCACCTTCTTGGGCCTGCCTTGTGACCTATATGATCTAGACCCAGGTAATGCATAATCAGGGCGGACCAATCGCTTTCAGCAAGCTCTGAGGGAACATGCCGCGTCACGTTTTGGTCAACTTCCACAAAGTCCTGCGTGTATGATTCTCAGCTCGAGGCTCCAGCATTGTGTCCGATGAGGAAATGGGGATAATGTCACTGACAGAGACAAAGAAGCTCGTGGTTCCATCTGCTCGCTCAAACATTCCCGGGAAAAGTTTAAGCCATGTATCATCCCCATACATGACAAGCCGGTCTCCTCGAGACCTCAGCTGTGCGAGCCAAGTGTCCTGGTATGCGAGAGTCGATGTGGTATCTGACTCGGCGATGTTCAGGATCACATCTAGGAACGAAGGGACAGACCCTGTCGTTATTGCCTTTAACCGGGGCATTGTCACCGTCGGAGCGCTAGCATGAGCAGTGAAAGGTAACACAGCCCCCGCTCGAATCAGGCTGCTACAGAGTCAACTTTCTGCTTCTTCGGAGAGATCACACGTCTGACCTTTGAGTGAACAAGAACCCGGAATCATTTGAGAAGACAAAATCACTAAAACACTATTTTAGCAGGCAGTTCTCATATAAAAGGGTGCATTCAGTCAATACCTCCGTAGTGCATCCACCACCATAAAAATGACCTTGTCAAAGACCGGCAAGACATCGGTATCGGCCTCGTCGAAGATAGCTAGACCCGGGAGCAGTGGTTTATAGGGGAAAAACCCTGTGGAAAAGACGATAACGCCCACCGGTACCAGGATATTAGCGAGTAAAGTTACCCATCGACCTGGAAAGACCGCCATTGCACACACTCAAAAGGGTTCGTTGGCCGGAAAGGAGAACGCGGTGGTTGTTTACAGTTTACAGTTTACACCGCCTTTGTGTTCATCGATATACAGGGGGAATCCTATCGCCACCAGATCATGCATGCAAGTAGCATAGGAGGATATATTGGTGTACATCGAAGTAGAGAATAAGGACACAAGGGGGAAGGAGGAAAGAATATAAAACAAATGTATTGAAGGACTCCCAACGCCGATTTTCACCCAATTCTGTCCCCTGATAGCTCGTATGTCACGAATCTCAAGTCAGACTGTTATCTTCTTTGACTTCACTTTCTCTTGGAACCACTCTTTCCCTTCGAGGGATGAGCTTTAAACACGATGTTGTTGCGGGGCTTCTTGGTTTTCTGCACCCGTCCGGATTTGCGAGATCGGCTCTTGGAGGGTTTGGTGTCGACATCCATAGCTAAACGAAAGACGATGTTAGAGACTTGATTACTTTCAAATCAAATTAAATGATTTGAGGGTTATTGTAGCTTTACCTTCATCAGTCAAAGCTGCTGCCTTGGCATCTGAGCTTTGGTCGTCTAAGTAGGCACCAAAAGTTAGAAACAAAAAGTTGTTTAAATGCGCACCCTCGTACGAAGCCATTGACATACCAGTCTTATCGGATTTCACTTCAGGGGCCTTGGGACGAGGTTGCGATGCAAGTTCTTGAAGTTTGGCGGCAAGTCGTTCAGTGCGGGCGTCAACAACGGGACCAAACACCTTTTTGCGCAAAGTGGCACGGTTGCGCTTGCCAACACTAGCACGGATACTTCTGGCCATATTTGAAAGAAATTGAGGGTAAGAACGATGAGTAGGATATAAGAGGGGTTAGAGAGAGGCCCAAGTTAAAGAAAGATAAGATAATTGGAGTCACGTGGTTTTTTCTTTCTTTTTTTTTTTTCTTTTTTTTTTTCATTTCTTTCCCTTATCGCCCCCGATAACCCTTCGTCTTATGTCATCCTACAAACCTCCAAGGCTCGAGAAACTCGATTCTCGCTGATCAGTTGCAGCATCTGCAGCTAGAGTCGATTGGACATGCATCTCTGTGGATCCCTTATACCTGGCCCGGTACATTTAACCTGAGGCCTTTCTCTCTTTTAGGACGCGATGGCGTCCGGCCAGTCCGCCGAGCTTCCCAACCTGGTGAATCTCATCAAGACCTTGACACTGCCGCAATTGAAAGATCTCTTACGGAATGAGGGTCTTCCAGTATCTGGTTTGAAGGCCGCAGTACAACTGCGCATCATTGATTGTCGGTCAATTCTGAATCTCTGCCCCCCACCTCTCATCTCTCCCCTCCCCCAACACGTAATACCCAAACATGCTTGCTATCTCGGTCTATTCAACCTGTTTGCTACCTACATATCTTTTATTTTTTCTAAATCACGTCACCTACACCAGAACAACATTATCATGATGTGCATAATACTGACCATCAATATCAAAATCTAGATCTGGAGCGCCTTTGTCATTCAGAAGGGAACAGCGGCCGATATGATACCTTAAAACGTCGCATTCTCCGGACCGGCCTACCTGGGTCTACAGTCTTCCAGGCAGTACCAAGTCCACAGTTTCAACAGTCTCCTATCTCGCACCCACTACCGGTCTCGCAACCTCGATCTGCATTAGGCTCTATGTCACCCCACCCCCATCCTTCAGGTTCGATTATAAGCGCCTACGCACTGTGATATGCCCATATACTGACGGTTTCCTCAGGTCCGATTGGCTTCAAGGATAGTCCTTTTTTTACAGTCGTAAAAGCCCTCACACCGGTCATTGAATGCAAAGGTAAGTCCCTCCATCTCCTTTGAATCTGAGTGGGCTTCTCATATCGACTAGTTCGTGAGCAAACCAGGGATAGTGTAGAACTCAAAGTTGTTCTTTCTCAATCCAACATTAACGACTTGGAGAAAGATGCCAATCTTCGGGTTATGATCTACTGTACAGCTGATTCGGGGCTCAAGCAATATACCAAGTCAGACATCGCCTTCCCTCACCAGGTGGAGCTGAAAGCGAACCTAGACGAAGTCAAGGCGAACCTTCGAGGCTTAAAAAATAAGCCAGGGACCACCCAACCGGCAGATGTGACGGCCTATTTACGCAAGAAAATCAATTATCCAAATAACATCGTGATGACTTATGCATTGACCCAAAAGGTAAGCTTGCTTAGGTCTGCGATGACAGCTTGCTGCAAATTGAGGGAGTAAGTCGTTGCTAATGATCTCGTTAGAAATTCTTCGTGCTTGCCAACATGGTTAAACAACATCCGGTCGAGGAGCTTGTCGCCAAATTGAAATCTCGCAAGCTTATTTCAACAGAGCAGGTGCTGCGAGAAAGTAAGTGGTAGTTGGAGGATTGTTATCTACAAGAGCCTCGTTTCTGATAAATCCTATAGTGAAAAACCGCGCGGATGATTCCGACATCGTTGCCACATCAAGCATCATGTCTCTCAAATGTCCTCTATCAACCCTGCGCATTCAGGTCCCTTGTCGCTCCGTGGTATGCACACACAACCAATGCTTCGACGCATCTTCTTTCCTTCAGCTACAGAAACAAGCACCCACATGGAGCTGCCCCGTATGTGCCAAATCGACCAGCTTTGAATCTCTACAGGTTGATCAGTAAGTTGCGTCCCTCGAATTATGCATACGTGATGGCTTATGTATTCAATGCTTTGGACAGGTACGTGGACGAAATCCTCCAGTCCACTGATTCAGAGGTCGACCAGGTTGTTGTGGAGCCAAGCGGCGTCTGGTCTAAGCTCGATAACCCAGAAGCTGGCAAGCTGGGTGGAGTAACCCCTGGAACGGATGATGACGATGATCTGATTGAACTCAGTGAGTCCGGAACTAGTAAAGTGAAGCATGAACCTATGTCTTCTAGTATCGTACTGGAGCGGACACCCGCTCAGTCCCGAGAAACGTCAACCCCATCCTCGATGGCTCGTCTGTCCAGCAAGAAACGTTCCGCACAATTTATCGACCTAACCGGAAGTGATGACGATGATGATGAATCTCCTGGCCCACCACTGAAACGGCCAGCATTGAGCTTCACAGTTCAAGGAATACCAGCTCAAGATCCTCATCAACCTGTTGCCAGCAGTCCTCTTAGTGGCCAGTCCTATCCTCCATCGCACTAAGTTCATCAGCACTTTGTTCTCCGTTCTGTCTCTTATTTATCCGAATGTTTTCGCATACATGCCACGGTGTTCTTGGCGTGGCCCTGGGGATTCTTATTTGGAATTTGTGTGTTTATTTTTTTAGGCTCGGGAAATATGGAAATTACAATTACATTAACTAGTATTCTTGGTCCTGTTCTTTGTACATGATAAATGTGGGATGGCAGTGTTTAAGTAGAAAACTCCGCCTTTTTTTCCCCCAATTCTTGGCCAAATCCACCCCTCACCCTCACCCAACTTCCCCCATCATCGCCAAGCTCACTATCACCATGTCATTCGATGCATCAGCTTCACTGAGTGTCTCTGATCCAAATGCCCGTGCACTCAGTTCTTCCTGCTTTGACTTTCTTCTCATTGAGCTGGTCCCAATGGCCGAACGTCTTGCAAAAGAACTTGCAACTGAGAACGCAGCAGAAGATGACGAGGTTCGGGAGACAACATATTTTCGCCTGGAATCTTTGGGGTATCGGGTCGGACAAGGTCTTGCAGAAAGGTAGGGTTTTCCTCATTCCCTCTCCTCCAGAAACAAAGATGTGTTGCTAGGTGAATGCTATGTTGTCCGTCACTAATCTTACCTGACAGGTTCTCCCGTGATCGCCCTCGTTTTACCGATAATCTCGATGTCATCAAGTTTCTTTGCAAGGATTTATGGACAGTGCTATTTAGAAAGCAGGTGGATAATTTAAAAACTAACCATCGAGTATGTTTGACACTGTGACATGATCGTGGCTTGCGAAGGAAGCGGCTAATGTGAAGTCGGGCAGGGAGTCTACGTCTTGACCGATAGCGCATTCCGGCCTTTTGCCCGGATGAGCATGACTGCGCGAGGCGAAGCTATATCAATGGCACAGGCGGTATGAAGAGCTTCCCCTCATCACGTCGACATGGCTGACGCGGTTTCGTTCTAGTATTTATGGTTCCCCTGTGGGATCATTCGTGGTGCACTGGCGAATCTGGGCATCAATACCACGGTGCAAGCAGAGACCTCGGATCTTCCAGGGGCAACATTTCAGATCAAGACGGTCCAGGCTCGACCATGATCGTAGAGATCTTGGATTCTCGTGCCGTCCCCCACCCTCCCCCAGCTGGACTGGACCAGGGAAGATCTTCATTAACGCTACGGCCTTTTATGTCCTTAAAATTCCCCTTTAATGTACGACTATGCAGCATAAGAAATCCGTTGGCTGAGCCTTAATTCATTGTTTGATCTCTGCTATCTTGCAAGCGAATTAGCCATACGATGGTGGCTCTCATATCTGTTCTTTCATAATCTCATGATGTCACGTATTAAAGCCTATCTTTCAGAGATAACCATAATTAGCGATGCTCTGCCATTAAGGGGATGTTGGCAACCGAAGACATTGGGCAACATCTGGGTTGGGAAGGGGAGAAAGGAGCAGCATTACTTTGGGGGTGATGTCTTGGCAAATTCGACGCCCTTTTCAATGTTTCCCTGAAGTCCCTTGATACAGGCCTCAAGAAGCTCCTGCTCCCGCGGAGTCACACCGTCAAGGATGTTGATAGCCTTCTCGACACCAGAGGGCTATGAAATATGGCTTAGCAATGATCTTCTTCTAAAGGGGATATTTATCAACTTACACCCAGTTCAACGGGGGTAGAGAAGAAATCGACGCCAGTAGCCTTGGCAATGGCCTCACCACCGGGAACACCGGGGAGGTAAACGAAAGTAGGCTCAACGATGCCCTTCTCACCCTTGGAAGCCTTGATCACAGCCTCGGCAAATCTGCAATTGATTGGTTAGTGGCGTAATCTCCTTAGGGAAGAAGTTGGTCAGACTGTACCTGAAACCAGCATAAGCCATGGACAGGGTGGCGGAACCGGCGCCATCCTTAGCCTGCACGACCTCGTCACCGCCAAACTGAACGCCTGTGGGAAGGATTAACAATTCCAATGCGTAAAACAACGTTAAGTCTGTAGGGTCACGTACGCTTCACCAGGTCCTCATAACGATCCGTAGGGATCTGGAAGCTCGGAGAAACCTTGCTGAACAAGGGGACAATGGTCTCGCCAGAGTGGCCACCAATGACCGGCACGGTGGCCTTGGAGGGGTCCTTGTGGCCCGAGAACTCCTGGGTGAAAGTCTCGGCACGTACCACATCCAGGGTGGTCACACCGAACAGGCGCTTGGGGTCAAAGACACCAGCGGCCTTGAAGACCTCAGCGGCAATAGGAACGGTAGAGTTGACCGGGTTGGAGATAACCAGAGTGAAAGCCTTGGGGCTGTGTTCGGCAATACCCTTTGCTAGATCACGCACGATTCCGGCATTGATCTTGAAAAGGTCATCACGGGTCATACCAGGTTTGCCTACAACATCATTAGTTTGCCCTCTTGCTTCGGATTGACTATCGTGGGGGTGGGGGACTGACGGGGAATGCCAGCCGGAATGACCACAATGTCAGCACCGGTGAGAGCATTCTTCAGACCGTCATCCTTGGGGAGGTAGCCGGTGATTTTCTAAACAAAGGAGCATTCGGTCAGCATGGCGTTTCCGAGGAGAAAGGTGGTATGGGAAGACATACGGCAACCGAGGAGATGTGAGAAAGGTCGGCAGCAACACCGGGGGTGTTCACAACATCGTAAAGGGCGAGCTCATCAATCAAAGGGGATGCCTTCAACAAAAGGGAGAGTGGCTATTCAGAGACCGTTAGCAAACACGATGGGTATTTTCGAGAGCAAAAGAAGCACATACCTGGCCGATGCCGCCAGAGGCACCAAGAACAACTGGACAAGATTAGCTGATGATAAGATCAAAAGATTTAATTAACCTACCAGCTTTGACCATTATGAAGAAATTGTGTGTGTGTGTGTGTATGTGTGAGTGTGTGTGTGTGTGAGAGAAAGAGAGAGAGAGAGAGGGATTAGGGTGATGATGGAAGAAGGGAGAGGGGAAAGGAGCTGGTTTAATATAGTGGGGGAGAAGAGGGGCAAGGAAAGGTACATTCAGGAAACCCCGGAATTTACCAAAAGTGGGACCAACAGGAGGGAAAGCTTGGAATTATGTTATAATATGGGTATCATTCAGTATGGTATATTTAGTGGTTCATTGATTCATTTTCTTAAATATGGATAAGTTAAAGATCAATGTATATACATATATATATACTTGTAACTGTATCAACCTATACCGGTGTCTGTATTCAGTCTATACCGGGACCTTAAGTTGGTTTAGACTGAGATTTTATTTACCCATAATTTTACCACGCAACGTTGAACCAATTCGAAGTACTTAATTACTGAATTACTTCTGTATTTTGTTCTCACCCGAATCCCCCGATGATTCTCGTTCCTTGCCCCGTGAATTTCTCTCCGGGTTCCATCATCGGGAAAAGGCGGGACTATCTGGGGACTATTTGGGGCAGTTACCTACGTCACAACAAAAACCACATCATTATTCTCCACTGGGCCAGACCCGAGGCTCAAATGCATTTAGTATACACTACTCCAGATGTCCCGTAAACTCGGACCGTCGGTTAGCCTCCCGGAGCACATATCGGTTTGGGAGCTCGAGACCTCTTCCGTATCTCCCGTTATAATTGCCATACATACGGCATACTTGGTTGGATATTTTTGAGAGATTTTCTTTGGGGGGAATTTTAATTGGTCTTTAAATTGAATTTGCTTCCTTTCTCCTCCCTAAAGGAAGAAGAATCGGAGCGTTCTCTTTCCCGGGAAACGTCACTACTTTACAAGGACGCCCCCACTGGTATATCCAGCATGATGGCGGTCTCCAAACGCCAATCAGATCCGTTCCAACTCGCGCTATCTCAGTCATTCACCCATTGCTTTTTAGAAGAGAAAAACATTTACTCGTCCTTCTCGGCAGCCTTGCGGGCCTTGACACCACGGGGCTGCTTGGCAGGGGTCTCCTTCTTGGGCTTCTGCGAGCGGCGGATGGCGCTGACACGGGCAACGGCCTCCTCACGAATGTCGGCACGGTATCCGTTCTGGGCAGTCTTGGCGGCAACACCCTTGTAGATCCTGTAGTCTGGTCAGTATTCCCCTCCATTGACAATGATGGAAGCTCGGATGGTCTGCTTACTTGCGGGTGGAGGTCTTGGGGCCGTAGTTGACGACGACCTCGGTCTTGCCGGGCTGCTGGGGGTTGGCAGCCTTCTTGGTGATCACGGTGACGCCGCCATTCTCAGCGGCCTGGACACCGATAGCCTGATAGGAGGGATTAGAATTTGCAGAATAGCTTGAAAGGTCGTATAGAAAGATACCTTGTTGTTGACAAAGCCGGCATACTATTCGTGGGGGAAAAAAAAGCTCGGGTCAGTCCGCAACTCCATCAAATAAGCACCCAAAGGTGGTACATAGAAGATCCACTCCATACCTTGAAGGAGTGCTTGTTCACCAGGTTCAGGGGGTCCCGGGAGAACTGCGAGCCACCACCGCAGTTGCGACGGACCAGATAAGCGTTCTGGTTACCTGTTCCCCAACGGATCAGCCTCCGACAAGATTTTCAGGGAATAAGAACATACGAGTGATCTGCCAGATCAGGTCGTTGGAGACATTGGTACGTTCGGCGGCCATTTTGACGGGTTGGAATTCAAAAGGGATTGAGAATGATTTCAAGGCCCGTGATTTTCGGTGTGTGAAGCACAGTTTCCATGAGCCTCGCTAAGCCCGCCACTTTAGGTATAGACTGGGTTCCTAATATATCAGGCATGAGTATGTTATTTAAAGGCCTGATATATCAGGCCATAAAATAGATGATGACGAACGCGTTCCCTTTGGGGGTCTGAAAGGAAATGAAGATTCATTCTCTCTGGGATCAACATCGGGTTTGAGTTTGCCCACCATGACCTACACTATTTTCTATGCACTTTTATTCTCTGTCATAATATTGGGCACTGGTAAGCTCTGCTCAGTTCCTTGTCCAGAGCTTTTAGACTGACCTTTCCAGCGCTGTACCTCACCCGATCCCGATGGATCCCTCTACTGCCGGTTCCGGATTACATCTACCATCATCTCCCCTCCAGCTTCACAGGCGATCTAGAAGCGGGCTTGAGTTCGTCTCATTTCGATATCACAGCTAATCTTGCCGACGGGGACCCCAGAGCCGGCCTAGACCAAAAAGCAAAGCATGAAGTGCGAAAGATCATGAAAAGTCACAAGGTGGATTTTGATGAAGCTCGGCGCATTTATACCGAGCAACGATTTGCACGTAATAACATCGGACCCGACGGCCGTCCTCGGGATCCTAAATTCGTTTCCTTTTCATGATTCGCTTGGCTTATTTACTGCGTGTCATACCCCACCTATGTTTTCGCTCCATGTCTTCCTGTGTTGTTCCACAAGTCTACTGTCCCCGGCGAGGAGCTTATGGATGATGTTATTAAACCTTCTTTGATTTGAATTCATTCTCGCTTAGATGATAGCGTGAAGATCTCTCCTTAATTCACCAAGCTTCTCCCTGTCCCTCTCCTTTTCTCCCTGGGATTCGCTCAACTATTAGACATAAAATTGCTAGCATAGGACACGCTGATCAGTCTATTTACTGTAAATGGGCCACTTAGATATGCCCGTGTCTTCATTTCAATCCCAAGATCCATGATTCTAGATCAAAAGTGCAGTCCGGTTGCCGCGAGCTGCCGGAAATGAAAGCATCCCGCCGAAGGAGCAAGCGTGTTCTTGTGTTAAACATCTGATCGTACTCCAAGAGTTATGGTAACGCGGAAAGACACCAGGTTGGAGAACAGAAAACAAGATTAAGATGAGGGTTGGTGTTCGTCAAACTGATGTTGTTCATCGGCCACCTCCGTACCCTGATTGCTGAAAGCCCGGTGGTAGTGGAGGCGGTACACCAGATGGACCTGCTGGAGGTCCGAATCCTGGTGGGGCAAACCCAGGCGGCGCACTCTGCGGCGCGAAGGGTGGCTGCTGGCCTGTGCCATTAAACCCAGGAGGGATGAAAGATTGAGGACCTCCATATCCAGCTTGAGATGGCGGTGGGCGGGCAGGTAGGCCAGGCGGCGGAGTGGCGAGCGATAATGCGGACGGGCTAGGGCGAGTTTGTGGAGGTACGTTTTGGTAACCGATGGGCATACTTCGACCCATGCTAGGATCAGGTACCTGGGGTACGATGTTCACCGGTCGAGAGATATCCCCATTCTGGATTGTAGGCGGTGCAGCACCTGGAACAGTCCCAGGGAAAGCCGATGGAGCCTGTTGAGTTGGTGGTCGAACATTATGCTTCCGGGCCTGCGCAGCCAACATTCGCTCTGCCTCATCACCGTGCCTCTCTCCTTTGCCATCTTTCTTGTAGGCATATTGCGCCGAGACTTGTTTGTTCATCAGATATTGGCCGTTCATATTGGCAATTGCTGCATCGGAGGATTCAAAATCGGCGAATGACACAAAGCCATAACCTTTGGACAGATTGTTGTCATCACGAGCAATCTATGAAGTCAGTCAGATTGTCCAGAACGCGCATTTACATATTGAGTGTAGGGAGGTAGATCTTACCTTGGGAAGATTTATGAGATTGCCAAAGCGACTGAATGTATCGTAAAGGACTTGCTCGGTGACCATGGGATCAAGATTACCAACAAAGAGCTCTGCACCGATCTCCACAGACTTTTGTTTATCGGCCGACGCCTTGTTCACACGAATTGGCTTACCGAAAAGGCGGATTCCATTCATTATTCGTGAGGCATACTCTGCATCTTCTTCGCTAATGAACTCGACGAAGCCATAACCTTGATGTGACTGGGTGACACGATCTTTCGGCAAATGGACGTTCACGATACGGCCGGCCTGGAGCATGAGCTCCCATACCAGACTATCCGAGGCACGCTCATCAAGGTTTCCGATGTATACAGTAGCCTCCTTATCCTGTTCCCTGTGTTTAGTTAGCCTCAGGATCGTAGTACCGGTGTGGGGGAGGGCAAGACCTTACCAATGCCTTGCGCCGGACATGGCGCCAACAAGTCAGTGAGGGTATATGAGACAAGAATATTGCAGAACACCAGATATGATAATTTTTCAGAATACTCAGAGTGGATGAATGAGACCGGTGATTGGATTAGGTGGTAGATGTATGGTGGAATTTGTGGTGGTTGGAAGGAAGAGAGAAAGAAAGCGAGCTTAACCTTTAGATTGATGTTCCGCGCGCCGAAAACTTCTGAACCTTGACACATCCGTCCTCAACCTCAACCTTTCACTTCCCCTTTCCTCCAATCCACCTAATCCATCGGATCTGAAGTAAAGTACATTTTACTCAATTAGTTTTGGATCTTGTTCTCCTCTTCCTATTTCCTTTTCATCTTGATCCGTCAGACCGTTCTCATCACTACCGCAAATATGGTTCAATTCTCTGAAGAGACCAAGGTAAGACCCTCAATGTAATCCCTTTACAAGAAAACTTACATTTGAACTTCCCATCTCTATAGGAGCGAGTTTCCAAGGTCATTGATATTTCTCGCGTTGCGATTCACTAGTGAGCTTCATACCCAGCTGGACCGGTTTATCTCATTCCATCCATCGGCGACCGAAGCTAACTTGACAATCTATCAGCGGCTACCTGCCTCTTATTATCTACCTGGGTATGTTTCATGATTATCTTACTATAAGGAATCTGACTAATATAACGGAAACAGGCTACTCTTACAGTGAACCCAAGCCATCTCTCTTCAAGTATGTTCCGAATCGAAATTTCCGGCACCCACGCCCACCTCTAACTCGGTGATCAGGTTGTTCTCGCCCTTGGCTTAAACCGATAAGCTATGCTCTCCAGGATTACTCAAGAGATGAGAGAACTTGAAGTTCTCCGGCTGACTCTGGACCTATTAACACGGTTGACTTGTTGTATTTGATTTGGTGGCATACTTCCGGCTGTACATCCCCTGTATTTTTAAGATAAAATCGATTTATTTTCAATGGATCATTCCTTGTGTTTAATTCTAAAATGAAACTCGTCATCATCTGCTTTTAAGTCCTTTTTTCGTGTTAGCCAACATCAGCTTCTCTCCGCATCGGTGGCAGAAAAGTGGCGGAATTACCAATACAAAATTATTATTACATTTGACCAAGTTCAACGTCAACCTTCAGTTTACTACTTTGACCTTATCCGAACCTTCAAATTCCAGGGTTCATGACGGGCCAAGATGGCTTGTCGTCATCCTTTGTGGAGACCGTAGCGGGTTTCACTGCTGGGGTGGTCTCGACGCTGTGCCTCCATCCGCTCGATCTGGTAAAGACCAGACTCCAGGGTATGATTCTGGTTCTTTGTTCCAGTTCCTTTGTGTCGTCTGACCAGTTTTTTCAGTCAATCCCAAGTCTACATCTCGTGTCGGCAGTTCATTAAAGATTGTCCGTGATATTTCCAGGTACGAAGGTGGCTTCGCTGCGTTTTATCGTGGACTGGCTCCCAACCTGGTTGGTAACTCCACGAGCTGGGCTTTATATTTTCTCTTTTATGGGAGTCTTAAGGACGGGATGTGCATTTATAGGGGCAATTCATGGGCGCTCACATCCTTTGATTATTTTCTTGCTTCTGGAACTGCAGGTTGGTAAGCTCAACATCCCCAAAGCTATTCCCTGGTTCTGATGGCATGCTTTACAGGTGCCCTCACTTCGCTCTTAACGAACCCAATTTGGGTAATCAAAACCCGCATGCTCTCAACGGGCTCTCGATTCCCCGGTGCCTATTCCTCCTTCACATCTGGGGTAAGGCAGATCTACCGTACTGAGGGTATACCTGGTTTCTATCGCGGCCTTGTCCCTGCTTTGTTTGGGGTCAGCCATGGTGCTCTTCAGTTTATGGCCTATGATCGATTGAAGGTTCTACGTTCCCATTCAACCCAGGGGTCTTCTCGAGGCTCGGAACATGGAAACAAGACACGGGAACTTGACAACATGGACTTCTTCGCCCTATCTAGTCTCTCAAAGCTCTTTGCGGGCTGTGCTACCTATCCTTACCAGGTGATAAGGTCTCGCCTACAGACCTATGAAGCCCATCTGATGTATCGTGGTGCTACTGATGCTATAATGCAGATCTGGACTCGTGAGGGAATTCATGGCTTCTATAAAGGCATGGGCCCTAACCTCTTACGAGTTTTACCAAGTACCTGGGTGACTTTTTTAGTTTATGAGAATATGAAGATCATATTACCCAAGCTAGGACCAATATAATATGGTTATTTTCATTATACCTTATACTTCTTACTGGATATTGATATATAAAGGAGTATTATGCCTCCAATGATATATAAGATCATATCTAGTGACCAGTCAATCTATGATGTAGATGAAAGAGTGCATATCAACTATGATTTTATATCCAGAGAATAATAAGGAAAGTTTGAAGGAAATTTTAGGAAATACTATAACTATAACTCTAAAATTCTAGATATTTATCTGCTCCTCTTCTAGAGACTATCTAGAGTTCCTTTTGAATAATCAAATAGTCAGATGTGTTCCTTCTAGATATTTCTAGCAAGGTAAATATAGTAATATGAAAGTAGACTTTGACAGGCCTATGGTCATGTCTAGGTGGACACAAGGTGATTTGTCCATAGACAGGGGGCCCATAAAAGTGGATCTCTTTCAAGTATAATTTATGAAGAATATACTGTGTTTTTAGTATTCTAGCTATTAAATATCGCTGAATACTATATCAACACCTATACTACTCCAGAACATGCGGTTTTTGCAGCGTCTTATTGGTCAGTTTGCTGCAAATATGGGTCTTCACTTCTACCTTTCGCTCCTTTCTATACCTCGCTAGCTTTACTCGGGTAATTCATCATCGGCATGATACTGATGCCGCGCGGAAGCGCGGCGGGCTGGCTTGTATAATTTTACTGCCTAAGACGTGTATTTTTATGTAAAAACCCTACTACCTGGAAATTTAGGAATTAATCATTTATATAGGAATCAGTAACCCTTATTCATCTAATGGAATTTGATAGATACATAATCAGTAATTAAACTATAAAAGCTAATTAGCTAATTGGAACGCTTCTATTATTCTATATATGCCAGAAGTTCGAAATAGGGGTAGACACCCATTATCTATACTCTTATCTAAAGTTCTAAACTTTCTTTAGATAAAGTCCCTCTTTTTCTCTTTGAACCCCTACCCTTACTCTCTCTCTTACCCTTATACTTACTTTTACCTTTAATAAAAGGCTAAAGTAGAATTTAAGTTGAATTTAACTAGGCTATAAACTATATATAAAAAGCTTCAAGAGAGGATTATTTAGGCTTCGGCAGGACCCAATTTTGGACCCAATCTTGGCAATGCCAAGGACCCAAGGACCCAATTAGGACCCAACTTTTTGCATAAATATGTATAAATCATCCAAAATAGGAAATTCTTGGCGTTTTTATGTATTTTTATGTAAAAAGTTGGGTCCTAGATTTAAAATTATTGGGTATTGGGTCCTAACCTTGGACCCAAATTGGGTAATGCCGAAGACTAGGATTATTAAGTAGGTATTCTATATAATGGCTTATTATAGTTATAAACTAATAATATATATATCCTTATATTAGATACTAACCTATAATAGTACCCCCTCTCTAGAGTAATACTAAGTATATATATTATAGTAGTATTTATTTATCTTTATGTATTATACGCTAGTACCTAGTATAAGATCATATAGTATATATAACTATAACTAAGCGTATATTACTTAAGATGAATAAATCTATTAATTAGAGATTATAATTTATAATAGAGCTCTTATCTTTATATATAGAAATAAATTAATAATAATAATAATAGGCGGTCTAACTCTAATATAAACTATAGTTAAATTAATTTTAGAATTATTATAAATAGAATCTATTTACTATAAAAAGATATAACTACTAGATCTAATACTATTTAAAGGAAATATAGCTGACTAGCGAATATAGTATATAAAAATAGAGAATAAACTATATATAGATATATAGTAATTAGCTTATCTTAAGATCAGTTTATATATATATATATATATTAGGCCAGAGAAGCTTATTTAGAAGAATACTAGAATCTTTATAAAACTATAATAAAATAATAGGGATCTATAGATAATATTAGATTATCTTAAGAGTGTTTATAGAGATCTAAATATTAAAGTATATATTATAAAATAGCTCTATTAGATATACTTGTTAGATAGTATATTTTTTATGAAATTTCTATTTAGTTTAGAGAAAAAGTTTATAAATATAGATACTCTTAAATAGTATAATAAAGTAAAAAAATAGATTTAATTTGGATCTTTAAATAGAAATATAATATATTATTAATAAATTATAATATTCTTACTATATTTTTAGATCTTATTACTTAGCTTTATAAAATTTAATATTAATATAGATATTCTTAGTATTAATACTCTAAAAAGATTATATTATATATATATTTAGAAATATTAAGATTTAATTGATTAGACTCTAATTATTATATTTAGTTAAGTTAAATTCTATATAGAATACTATTAATTAAGGCTTAAAATAAATAAATAAAGTAGATTAATTATAAAAAGATAAAGAGATAATAGGATAAATAAAATATCTTTATTATAATATAGAGAATTACCACTATTACTCTCTTCTCTACTACTATTACTCCTCTTTCTCTAAATCAGGAAAAATCCAAAATAATAAAAGTTCTATCTAGTTATTAGTAGAAATATTTTCCTACTACTTCTATTACTACTTATAATTACTTAATTTATAACCCTCAATATTATTACTATTATTATTATCCTTATCTATATAGTGATACGAGTCACGTACCGCTAACGCTTGCAGAAGCGAGAGAGAAGGAATCAACCGCAGCGCAGGTCCGAGCCGTCCCCGCAAGCATCTCCCATGGTGTTCGATTGTGTGTTATCCCTCCGTCTTCGAATAACGCAGTGGCCCCTAGGCGTCTAATCTATCTATTTTACTAAGACTTTATTATAATATCCTTAACTAATTTTCTTATATCTTAAATCTATTATCTTTTCTACTTTATATTTAAGTTTTTATTAACTACTATTAGTAAGAGATATAAACTATCTATAATCTATAAGTAAAATAGATCTAAAGTAGCTAGTCTAACTAGCTCTATATAGAATATTAGATAAAAACTAGTAGATATCTTTAATCATATTATATAAGATATAGAGATATCTAAAACTTAATATTAGATATATAGTTAATTAGGGTTCTTTAAATATTATAATATTATTAATATATATATATTCTATAGATTAAGCTATATCTACTTTGCTTTTTTATAGATTAGTATAGTCTATCATTTTTTATTTAATTACTCTTCCTGTAGAGCTTATATAGAAATAATTATAGCTTAAGCCTAATTAGTAGCTTCTTATAGTTAATTTATAACTATTTTATCTATAATCCCTAATTATAAATAGATTTTATAAGATTTCTCTCTATTTTCTATCTTAATAAGATTAATATAGTAACTATATATAAAGAAAAAGAAGAATAGTCCTATTATACTAATATTATAGTTATTAATCATTATAGTAATAATAGGGAGTAATATATCCTAATTATCCTATATATAGATTATAAATATATATAGGATCTATTTAACTTTTTAGTTTATATACTCTATTATGTTATTACATTATAAATAGAAGATAATTCATAATTAATATTAGATTAATAGCTTCTTATATGCTATTTACTAGAATATATATCTATAAATTAGATCCTATAATTATCTATAATTATCTATAATGGCTTGTAGTATATATAGAAATAGATAAAGAATATATTTACTGTTTTCTTAGCTATTATCTCTACTATATTTATAAGAATTATACTTTTTATAAGCTAGTCTATAATTACTATAAAATTTATTATATCTATATGTATTATTAGGATAGTTCTATAATGATATCTATAGATAATCTATTAAGGTTTACTATAGGATTAGTAATAGTTCTAATAGTCTATACTTTATATCTTACTATCTAGAATCTATATTTATTACTAAAAGTAGAGTAGTATATTTATTTTTATATTTATTTTAATAGTCATTGATTAGTCTTTTTTTATTAGAACTTTATATATCTTTAAATTCTCTAGATCTATAGATCTTATATTTTTCTATTCCTATTAGGGTATAGACTTCTTAAATAAGATAATTTTCTTCTTAAAGTTAATCTTTTTTATTACTTGTAGATTAGATTATCTTATCTTAATTTATATCATTTTTAATAGGGTTTAGAACTAATTTAATAGTCTTTTATCTAAAATATACTATAAAATATCTTACCTTTACTAGAATAGTATATTAGATTTTATAGTAAATTTCCTAGGGCAATAATTTAGTTTATACTTAAACTCTATAAGAATATCTATCTTATTTATTATATTTTCATAAAGTATTATAGATTTTTATAATTTATTATAATTATAAATTAGTATACTATCTTTAGCTCTAATCTCTATTTTTAGAGAGTATATATAATTACTAGCAGCTCTTTATTATAAATCTTATAATTTAATTTTATTAGTAATAGTTTCTTAAAGAGATAGATAAATGAATATAGCTATCTGTCTAGCCTATATTATAATAAGATAGCTTCTATAGCTTATTCTAATATATCTATCATAATAACTGTTTTTATCTTTCTTGAAATATACTAAGATTAGGATATTAATAAGAAGATATTTTATTTCTTTAAATATTTATTAATGATTCTTATTTTATATAAATTAGATATCTTTTTTTATTAAATCACGAGTACCAGAAGGGTATCGAATAGATCTTATAAAGAAATAGTAATAATATTTAGCTTAAAAAAACTATCTTACTTATTTTATATTTCTTATTATCTCTCTAATGAGTAATAGTAAATAATAATCTTTTATTATTAGCTTATTCAATCTATAATAATTTATATAGAATTATATTTCTTCATCTAACTTTTCTATTAATAGAACTAAAGCTATAGTAAATAATTTACTTATTAATATAAAGTTCTTCTTGGAAAGATCTATTGATATCTTCTATAGATATAGGAGTTCCTTTTTATTTATATTATAGAGAGGACTATACAGAGATAGTTCTTTAGTACTATTTAATATACTTTTACTAATTTATATTTAATTCCGTTATCTTTTATTATAGATTAAATTATATAGTGACCATACTATTAATTTCTTAACTT